TGTGGTGTATTTTGACATGTATTTTGACTGATGTTTAGCGTCTGTTCATGTGTCATTGATGCACCATTGACATGCTGTATTGTCCAACATTATGTGGTGATGTTGCAATCAACAAATTGGTGCAACACTGAATGTATGTGGTGATTGTCGAGTATCGAGTTCATCTAGTTGTTTCTTGGTGTTTTCAATATCTATAAGCATCTTGTTCATAATTCCAAGGTATGTGTTGTGTGTCAATGGTCTTGTTGCTCATAATGTGTATTTGCTACTAGGTTTTCAACTGTTGGTAGTGTTGCTCGTGGACATATGACGACATATTGATGTTGTATATAGTTTGGAGGAATATCACAAAAGTCAAAGATAAGCGTGAAAAAATGAACCAATATGTTGATTGTGTTGTTTAATAGAGTAAAAGGTTGACCCTTTTATAAAAATAATATGACAGTTATGCGTATCCGTGATTTAAACAACATAACTGATAAACTCCCTTGTTACCCTATAGTTATTGCATAAAAGGTGGCGATAGTCATTGCATCAAACAGTTATGCGTTGCGTATGGATTCTGATTTGTTTTATATTAATTGCCTAATATGTCTCACATTACCAATGTCCAACATTTTCAGGTACAACTACTTGATCAGTTGTAGTTATGGTTTCCTTCTGCGAATAAATGTGCCTCAAGTCTCTGAAGTACTTGGTTGTTCAGGCAATCTAACACTATGCATAAAATTCATGAATAATATCAATATATCAATCAACACATTAACACATCAATATCAAACAACTTACTGTGATGATGGCCAGAGTACTCGATAACCGTTTGAAATAGTAGGATATTACTCAGTTGAGACTTTGCATCCACATCCAGCACCAAACCCAATGCGTTTATTTTGTAAATCAAATGTCAATCCAAGTTGGGCCATAAATGGAATACCGAGAATTGCATTGTCATTTGAATCAACTCCTACAGCAAATCTAACTATAATCCAACATGTACATTAGTCAGGTTAATCAAACAACACATACTGCATACAATTGTCAAATATTTACAATTTTTAGAACCAGCTCTCTGTATATAGTCTTTGGGACCCAACTTGATTGTTACAACAGAATTGCGATTGGCATCAGTTACGGGGTTTTCAGCAAACATTGTAATTGAAAGCGTTGGCAGCTTGCCCCAATCGATATCAAAACCGGATTCAAGCATTGCGTAGTTTTGCGAAAATATTTTTTTAACCATTACTTTTCCGAGTTTGTCACTAAATATATTAATGTTGACAGTGATCGCACCACTATCAAGAATAGCATTGATCAACGCTGTCACGACTACTTCAGGAAAACGCATATGTAAAAAGCATGTTTCCACACTCGAGTACAAAATACGTCCATTTTCCATTATTGTTTTTTGGAATTCCTCGGGCAGCTCCACTTGTTCGTCATTGACTAGTATGCTCTTGATGTTGACAGTAAACTGATCGTCTGATGGTGATTGTACTCATGCAATACTTGTTCCATCTGTCCCGCATTTTGGAGTTATATCCGTGTTTCCTATATTGATGAAGCTATTTGAAGTCATTTCATACGGACATAATTGAAGACCAATCTCGTTATTAGGAATGACATCACTGGTGTACAAAACATCCATTGCAGTGGTTTGTGAGTGATGATTTGATAACGAGGTATAGCCAAACCCAAATATTCCATCAAGATTTGGATTGATACCAACTATATCTGCCGATTGTCTTTCAACTGATAGTACTGGTAAATTGATGTCAGTTATCCCAGTACCTGGAATCGTCACATCGGCTGTGGAACTAAACCCATTATACTCATCGCCTTTGTAACCTATAGTAACGGGTTCCCCACTTGGAGTGTGTTGCGGAGTCAAACCTACATTGCTGCTTGAACTAGGAAGTGGTACGATTGTATCAGACATTACTGAATCGACTTGTAAATTCAACTATTTTAAACAAGTGTGAGATTGATTCAACGTGGTGCAAATTGATATCAAACTACAATGCATGACATGATACATACATTGACTCCATCAACATTGACTTTAATTGTGTAACATTTTGTGATATCACCATCCAACACAACGGGTGATCGTTTTGACAGCCTATTGTTTGATTGACCGGTAATTTCAAAAGGTGATTCTAATGCAAGTCGAACTGCAGCAACCGCCTGTAACGCAAGTATAACGCATTCTAGAGTAATCAACATTGTATCGAGTAGTGTAATGAAAATGGGTTGAATCTGATACATGACTGCCGTTTTATAACGACGGCAACTTCAAGGGTGACAATCGGCACCTTTCAAATGGGTATTTAGAAAAAACGCCAAATACACCATGTAGGGTCAACAAACCCAGAAACACCCTGTAGGGCGAATCGATATACAAGCATCGTTGTTGGTGTATAATCAACCTCACTAGTATATTGTGTTGATCTCTCCAATTGCGGTCATGTATCCAGTAATCAGATAGTGTCAAATTGTCACCCTGATTATGGATATTTATCATCGCATTTACAATCCATTACTACAGCATATACTGTCACTGTATACCAAATATTTGACTGATTGTTCAATTGGTCATGTATTTGATTTGTCCGAGTGATTCAAACCATGTCAAAATGGTTGTTGAAATATAAATATATATCATCCAAAGTTGATTCATATTGTCGCTAGCTGTAATCTGTTGATCTGTCAATGTGTGACCATGTGTCAATGCACACAGTAAACTTGAAACCAACTTGCATAGTTGTCAATGTTCAAATCAAAGCCGCAAAGTTTCATTCTATTTATCATTGTTTATGGCTCATGGATAGCTGATCAATAAATCACATTCGACATGATTGACATGATTGTTTTGTTGGACATATTTCAGTAGATTTGGTTAGTTACAATTTCAATCAACTCAACAGCTTTGGAAATAACAGTGGTAGCGTAGTAAATGGTTTTAATAGCAACAATTCATATCGATTTTGCAAGATTCATATTTTTGATGTAGAAAATCATGGTTTGTAACAACTATTTGTTGTGTATACATCATAAACTATCAACCATTTGGTCATGCATCAACACCAATGTACAGTGTGACATGGTATGTTGAATAGATTCAATATTCCCAATATTCTCAATACTATAAACAACATATGGACACCAAACAATACCAGTTTTTCAACCGATATTCACAACTAAATTAGTCAGACTATTTATCCAAGATGTGCAACCCAGACCAAACATCATGTGTACAATGGTGGATGGTTTGCAGGTTTGAATAGTGGACAACGTTCAGTGCTAGACTAATACCCAATGTAAATCATCAAGTGATGGCAGGGTTTTCAACAAATAGTTTCGATTACATTTTGACCAATAGCAAGTGTTGATCGGAGATGATCATCAATCAACAATCATGGACAAAACTCGTTCAACTATATTGGACGAATGTAACATTGCATGATTGTCTACTTATCAGCGATATGTATATTAATGACATGAGCAAACAAATGTATGATATCATTAGTACAGGTTTTGATCAAGGTTTTGAAAACCAACTTCAAGTCTTTGCGCCAGGTTGTCATAATCTTGAATGACTGATGACTGTCAGTGCAATATTCCTACTCAATACGTTCATGAACACGGTAGTTTCAGTAAATCATTGCATGATTGGTTACTTTGACATGTTGGATTTACATGGTACTCAATGGTATGATTGATAGGTCAATTGGCAATTGTTTCGTGTTTTTAGTCATTTATTTGCCTGCAATAAAAGTGGCATGATCTCATATACCAGGAGTTTGACAAAAATACAAGACTCATTGTCATGACACTATTTCAAGAGCAGTCATTGCACATTGGTGTTCACCAGACAAACAAACCATCGAGTATAGCGTATTTTTCAATTTTCAGTTTTTGGCATTCAGGTTTGGGTTTTGATCAATCGTTGAACCAAGACTAAATCATCATTGGTTGTTACAGCTGGCCAAACAAGCTTAATCGATAAATATTACAAATCATATAACCCAAATCATCAAAATCACTCCAAACTGCTGACAAGTCACCGCCAAGTTGGTTGTTGCTAATTCATCAGTGTTGGCAGCTACAATAATCAATCAATATATGTTTTGAAAATTGTTTTGAAAATCGATTCGCACAATTTGCACAACTTTTGGACGAGTCATGATCCAAGATACTATCGCTGTTGGTTTTGATGTTATAACCAATTCAATGCCACATCCAAATGTTGTCAAAATCATCCAAAAACTATTGTGTTGACAAGCATGTATATTGGCATCAATTCCATTGTAAAAATAGTCGTATAGTTTCGAGTGATTGCTCGCGAGGTCAACAATATCACCACATTCACGAAACGGAACTTTTACAAAACTACAAATCATATACTGCATGCATGTCGTTGGCATCGAGTCTGTGATTGTTGAACAGTGTTATGGTCTTGATTGTAGTCAGTCCACCAAATCCAAAATGTGTTGGGTTTGAAAATACTATATATTTTCAAAATCATTGATCTGACAATTAGGTCGCATCTTGTTGAATCCCAGCCTGAATATTTGACACCAGCTGTTGCAATTGCATTCAATAAACCAGCATTGATGTTTGTATCATGAATACCCTGAATATCAGTCATGGCATTATCCATACATATACATAATATGTTTGGTGGCAATTTGTCTCCAAATGCAATTTTGGATTTGACATTGTCATGCAGTCAAACCATGTTTTTTTGCAAAACATCGGTAAAAGACTGTAAACATGCGGATCTCAACCACAAATCGTTCAAAAGTTACAAATACAAGTCATCAAAAAACGTATATCGTTGTCATCAGACAATTTACCATCACACTGCACGACACTTGTACAAAGTTTGTTGGACAAAACTTGGTTGATATCTAGGATACGGTTGAAACTGACAAGCATGTGTGTTCATATTGTCACCAGTGTTGTATTTGATATTCAATCAGTGTGTGTATTACACTGTCTGACCAATATTGACCACACTACACTAAATAATCAAATGCCAAACAATCTGTAAACAGAGCAAGACACCACTCTAATTTATTATTTGCCACAAACTACCGACTGATCAAATGTCGTTGAGATATATAACACACTATCAAGACGTGTAATATGTCGAGTTGCAACAACACTAAATACATAATAAATGCATAAATGTCCATTTTTAATGGTCTTGGTTGTTGAAATGGCTTGAGCAACTTTTTAAACAGCGAAATTGATGTTCAACATCGTTGCGCAAGCCATTTCAACACAAACGCATTTACAAGCCAACCCATATTAATAACTGTATCAGTTGTATCAGCTGTAAACCATACTGTAAAATGATGCTATGTTTGGGATGTATTTGACATGTACATGTTGTACATTTTCGATTGCCATTTCATGTATTGGATTATCAGCATAATAAGCGCAGTATCTCAGTCATTCAGATTCCTTGTTTTGGGAATGATCATTTCTGTATCATTTTTTGCTGAAATGATAATCAGTGTGTTACTGTGTATTACTGTTTGAACCAAAGTCAATACTGCAAGCACTCGAGTGCTACTCCAATCAATTGAGTTGACATTGACATTGGTATTGGTATTGATATCAGCAAGAAATCCAATTGATTTCCAAATTGAACGAGTTGATTCCAAAATATTGTTATCCACAAACATAAATGTCAATTGCAACACTTTTATCAAATCTATTGGATATCAAATCCAGTAACCCATTGTAACAAGCCTCAAATTATGTCTCGGAACAATGCAACCATGACAAAATACAACACTTTACCAGGTTTGCTGTATACAACAACATATATTTGGAGCAGAGTTTGAACACATAGTTGCGCAGTTATTCGAAGTTCGTGTGTTTCTAGTATCATACCCAAAATGTGTGTTATTCCATCATCAATACTTTGCTCACAATACACTCAAACTATTACTACACAATCAGTTGTCAATGACCATGAGTAGTATATGTAGTGCACTGGATGATACCACTTGTTTTAAGCAAGACTGCTAAAATATTCAAAAGTTGACGACATACTTTGATACATTCGTACATGATGATTGTGATTGATATTGAACGCATTTGGTTTGTGGTTACAATGTGAATTCTGGTTTTAGAACTAATCAGAATCGGATTGTCTGGAATTGTCTGGAATTGTTGTTGTGCTAGATTGGTGTTTTCACCTATAATCACTGCTAAATTTGATTCAAAGTTGTCAGGTGTGATATCCTGACAAATGCCGACATTATCAAAATGCTTACCGTATACAAGTTGATTAAAGTTGCAAGTTGTCTGCCAAACTCATACTTGATGCTTCAATCGGACACGATTAGATGGTACAAGGATGTGTCAACAGAGCCATTATTTGTCAAAAAGCGTATGTTACAATAGTAAACTTGAATTTGGACTTTCCATGCTAAATGCATCTCAATCCCTTGAATGGACACAATTGTATAATGCCAGTTGTATTAACATTGAATTATCAAATAATTGGAATGGTTGGAATGGTTGAAAATATGTCATATCAGTTGTAAAATACAACTATCACTTTCTACTCTTCAAATCTGGTTGTATTAGTGGGAGTTTTATAACGTATTGCTTCAATCCATGAATGGGTTGTACCTGCTCTGTGCCATCAATTGGTTTGAAACTCTGCTTTTTGAACCCTTCAAACTGGTGAGGTGGAACCACAAAATAAAGTTTGGGTTCATCATACAAATTGCACAGTTTTGTAAGAATATCAACTTCGCGAATTAGATGTTCAGCAACAGCTGTAAATTGGAACATTCCCTGTCGACTGAGTGAATCAATTGCTGCAAAATTATCGTCATCTGTCGGTTCGTAATAGTTGCCATCAAGTGCTGCAGCAGTAGGGATAGTATTTATTCCAAATGTAATTCGTTGGCCATTGAGTGCATCCAAAGTAATCTTTGTCACTGTACCATCTTTCAGGCATCTGCATTTGAGAGTTTGTCCACCAGTACAAAAAACCACATGTCCGTATATTTCAAACAAATGTCTTGAAATCTCGGTTGGAATACCATCAAACATTTGCTGCATATTGGTAATCATTTGAGCAGAATGACGTTGCCAAAGTTTTTCTCCAACATATCTTGAAGCAATATCAACATGCAGGAATCTGTACTGTCCGTTGTCTGACACAATGATATGAAGCAATGTATGAGTATTTGCAGATAGTTTGATTGTGAATCCAATGTTTCGTACCCCTTTGACTGCATCAACATCAGTCAAAGCTTTCTCCATTGGATTTGATACAATATCAAAGACAGAACGAGCTACACCACCATACATGCGATATCTCTCATTGATAGTCTCAATGGGTACATCCGGATAGCAATGACGTCGGCAAGTCTGTAACTCGTCCAAAGTCCAAACAGGAAAATCCCATTCCCTTGCCATCTTTTGTTTGACGAACTCCTTGTATCCTTCAGACTGAGGAGATGACATGAACAAGACAATGCAACATGATGATCTTGGAATCGTGTGTCCATCAACAATATACAATGTGTCTTGTTTCCAAACAATATTGGCCACTTCAAGTCCAAGCTCTGTGACGAGTTGTTGCTGCAAGTAAAAGCATTTGAAACAAGATCCCACTTGATAAACAATCCGGTTTGGCTTTAGAGACAGAGTTTTCGTGGTAAAGTCATCCATCAAGCGATGCAATATGTAGACAAAAAACAGTGACTTTCCGATGCCTGATGTTCCAGATATTGCAAATGATTCCATGCCACGATCAATTTGATCCAAAAGCAAGCCAAACACATCATGATAGCACTCTCTAACATATAGTTTTTGTATTTTGTCTTGGGTGTATGGGAAAAAGACATGATCTGTCGACTGTATACATTCATCGATCAGCTGGGCGTTTGCAAACGACTTGAATTGGGTTGTCAAATCATTGGGTTTGGTACGTTGTCGTTTAGGAGAAAAGTCTTGATGGTTTGCTGTTGATAAAGAAGTAGAACCTGCATCAAAAATGGTACTTTTGCTTGGTTCCCTGGTAGGTGATGGTAAACAACCAATGACAACACAATAACCATCTTGAGTAAAGTATTATTGAGGAAGGGAGTCGAGTAAAGCCCAGGTGTTGATTAGTTGGTCCTTGTTACTGTTGGTGTAGAGTTGGAGTTGAGGAGCATCAATGTCAGCCATAGCAGGACCATATTCAGACTTGATAGCATCCTGAACGTCACTCGGGTCTTCAAAGTCAGTCACATCGATTTCAGCAGTAAGTGTGTTGTATTGGACATTGAGGTATCGTTTTGGCATTTTATGAAAAGAAAAAGAGTAAAAAAGCAATTTATTTGTCAAATTGTAAAACAAAAATCGACTTTTTAATCGAGTCAAAATAACAAAATTTTGGGATATTTCAAGACAATTCACACGATTTAAATATTTGGAAATTAGTCAAATTTACACCAGAATTAATGTCTCATTAATGTGAGACATTACTAGTGTGAGAGTGTTGACTTGCATTGTGTGAGACATTAGTAGTGTGTGAATGTGAGACATTTCTGAATAGTTTAACAATCAAAAACCATCAACAATGACGTTTGAACTGGAATTCACATGACTTTCTTGTCTCCTATTTTATAAACACACTCACTCACTTGTTAATAAACAACACAATCGAATATTGATTCATTCCATCACATCTTCAATCAACTGTAACACACTTGACAATAATGACAACCATCAATATGCCATCATATGTTCACGATCCTCACAAGTAATATGAACTCAATTGGAAACGCTGTGACTAGCGCATTTGGTCAGTCGCAGAGTCAAACCAATGACATTGTTGTCATGATGACCAAACACGACAATGTCATTCGATCATTACTGGGACAGATCTTGATCAAACTGGACTCTGGTTGCTCACCAACACATGCAGTTGTTATACCAGTTGCGGTATTCGAAACCATTTCCACGACTGTGAACATCACCGCAACTGTGACTGTGTTTTGTCCACAAAGTCAATCCAAGTTGTTCATATGCGACAACAGCACGTTGCACACACACGCAGACTGTCGATACGGAATGCCAAGCAACAATCAACTTATTCCGTAATCGTGCAATTGTTGACATAAATACCATTGCGGTCAATGCTGTATCGACTGGTGTCGAACCTTGAATGAATGCTGCAACTCGCATTTGTTTATTGCGTTTTGCATCGAATGCAATGTGCACACTCAATAAACTTTGTGGTGTTTTGGTCACATTCCGTATCAATCTGCAACGGATTACCAACATCCATACAATCAGCAGCACGATCAGATTATTAGTAGATCAATCTATTGCTGTCAAACTTGTAGTCATGACCCAACTCGGTACAAATCAGGTCAAGTTTGATCCAGAAACTCCAACAAAAACCATCAATCCGACCATTGAGCTGGCTGTTCGTTGACAGTTTACTGATTATGTGGGTTTATTGTTGATGGGTAAGCGTGTAAACTGTCGTACACGCAATTTATACTGCGAGTTGGTGGTCAAGTCTGACAATCTGCATTCGCGAACTTGTGTGCAAGCAGTGTTTTGTTGGATCTCAAACATCCTGCAACTCGCACAGTTGTTTGCACAGTTACTCGTCTATCAATCCAACTGGATCTGCAACTCTGTCAAGCAAATCCGTAGTTCAATCTGCTGATGTTGATGTGACTACAATAAACACGAAACTCACCGAAATAACACTTGCTGATCTGACAGGTCAATGAGTGACACTCTAACCATTAATACCAAACAAACAACGTTTTGAATCAACAATCAACTGTCATGACAATTGGTAACATTCGTGGTCATTTGGCATTCATCTCAAACCATCACATCAAACACATTTCCAAAATCGATTGTTGGACAACTCAACTCGGTGCACGAGTCCGCATTACTGTGTCAGAGTCATGTTCCGCACACACTATCCATCAACTCTGTCACCAATCATCCGTACAACAACTGACACATACACAAAAACTGTCAACGCAGGCATCCAACGACATCCTCACTGTGTGTTTCACCACTTCCTAATTGTTGTCAAATATTGTCAGTCAATGTGTCAAACATTGCCAGCAAACACTCACTACTTTGACATATATTCAGCCAAACCGACTATGTGGATTATCCGAGACTTGCATTGCAACGGACAGTTTCAAGCACACAGTGTGTAGTTTCAATGTATTGCAACACTCGGCAACTGTTCCCGAACATCGAGACACCATTCGGTATTGACAAATGGTTTGGATTTGCAAAATGACTGTTTATGGCACCATAATTGTCGCAAACATTCCAAACTTTACACCTGACTGTGTTTGGACTGTTGGCTGTGTACATTGGACACTCGGCTGCATGCGACTATCAAACGCGAAATGTCTTGTCTGCCATTCAACATGTCCTGTCAGCAGTTATTCCGTTTGACGATCACTCATCAGTGCTACTGTTTGCAAACTGGAACACTGAATATGCGCCATTACAACACATCATACACGCATGAATACTGCGTTTGACTGTCATGCAGTATGTTGGCAATATGCAGACAGTAACATCACTCGAGTGAGCAGGACTGCATGTCATTGACACTCTACCAATCACTTTGTGTGTGACGAGACTGAACAAACACTTGTAGAATCTGCTCGTGTAAACATGAACATTGCGGTTGTTGACGATGTGTCATTTACACTTGCATCCGCACTAATACACATGCACCAACTCATTCAGTCCATTCCACTCATCCAACTAACATATCACAACTCTGCATATATGCCTATGATCGGATTGCAATGTTCACGATTGGTGGAATATATGCAGCGTTTGATGGATCATACACGGACACACACGAGCTATGCATTCAGTTATTGGATGCTGCCAATGCAACAGTGAATGATTGTCAACTGCATGCACATGCACATACTGCTCGGGAACATAAACGTCGACTGTATCGCTCAACCAAACGGATGATTTGACATGGTAACACTGGAATATCGATGTACATTACAGCAAGTATCCGTGACAATCACAATGAACTCTGTCGCATCCAACTAGATGCATTCTGGGACAAACACAATGCAACAATCCAGCGACTTGAATGCGCCAATGAACATATGATCTGGATCAAGTTTGCTGACACACTTGACCAGACAGTATTGATGATCGTTTTGATATGACATTTGCAGCAGCTCGAGTCATGTCTGGTGGTGCAACACACACAACAACCATCACTCCATTTCATTCCATTCCACTATACGATGTGATGCCAATCGTATCATTCAGTACAGCAGTGATAGTATTTTTGACATACCGAGTAATCACTACTTGGGTCTTGCTATGAACGATAGTGGACATTTATTTGACTTGCAGTAATGTCAGTACTTGCATATACGTGATTCACTTCCACCATCCAAACTGGTTCCGATTCGTGACGATGCAACTGATCTCGACTCGGATATATCTTGGAATCGACTAGTTGATGCAATACAGCAGCTGGTTCACACCAGACACCCGAAAAACAACAGGATATTGGTCACATTCTGTCGAGTCGCATTATATACATCGGATGATACTACACCTGATGAACCACCCAATCCATTTGATCGTGTCCTGCTACACAGTTCAGGCAATATTCTGACGGCCACTATGCAACCTGATGGCAGTCTGCATACACTGTACCGATTGTACTGACTGCATATATCGACAAGAATAACGGTGATCACATTAATACAAACGACAAACACGGTATTACACTGATTGATGTGTCATAAACTGGTATGCAAGATCTTGCAAACACACATTGATGGATCGTGGATCTCAACAAACTCGTCACCGCTAAGCATGGTTGATTTCAAACCAAACAAATGTGTTGTGCAGGTTGTTTCACTAGTCGATATTGTTCAATGACAGCAGTGCGTGTAGCTCAATACTATTGTTGTGTTGATTGACATTCAAAATGCATTCGACACTGTCACGGTTGGTGCCTTGATATGATAACTGCAGCATATGTGATTGACACCACACACACTGGTCTTGCTAACAGCGCTGCACACATACTCATCAGCTTGTGCTCAAACTGAATCATTGGTTTCTAACCCATTTCCATTTGAGCATGGAGTCCGGTGGTGATGCCCACTGTCGGATTGTTGTCCAACGTGTTCATCAACGACATACACGATGATATCAACCGATTGTCATTGCATGAGTATCGTGTAAATCACCACCAATGTGAGGGTTCATGTATGCCGACAATATCGTGATATTTGTTGACTCTGATCAGTCACTCCAATTGGCATCTGGTGTACTTGCACAATAAATGGAACAATTTCAAACAAGTTTTGGTGTAGTCAAATGCAACATACTCGGTTTCCGTGGTCACAACACTTTGATTCCGAATTACCAATTGATATGATGCTACACGAACAACAGATTCGTCGTGTTCAACACTACAAATATCTGGATGTTGTATTTCACAAATCACTGTATCACACCATGCGACTGAACTATATTCAGGTTGCTGTATCCAATAGCATGTTGGTTGTGTCCAGTTCTTGCAAACCATCAACTCACAATCAACTTTCAGACACGAATATGTTTGGCAGTCATTCTAGTAATGGTCATGTATGCACTGGATCTGATTGGTGATGACTTGACCTGCATACACAGTCAACAGTCAATCACGGTGTGCTACGCATATTGAATGCATGCAAATCCATGACTGTCGATCCCTTGTTGTTGAAATGGGTTCAGATCACCATCAGCTCACTCACTCGTTGCACCGATGCGATTGCATGATCAACTGGACACCAACCAAACCACATTCGAATATATATGTTCCAGTCATGTGCATGGTGTATCGATTGTCAACTCACAATGTCAACTCCAACACATTCCATCATGATTATGGTCACATCACACCATGCTGATGTATGTCGATCGGTATCACATTGAAAACGGCTGTCATCCAATGGCTGCAATGCAATACCGTGCATGTATTGTGACTGATACACTGTGCACCATCAGCAAGTGTGCAACTATCACTCGATATATTGAGTCTGATATGCAACAACATGCTGTGTTTACCATGATCAGGTTTTTGATCAATCTTGGACTCACAATACATGATTTGTCATGTTGGATCGTGTGGATGTGTCATGGACTGCAATTTAGTTTCAGACACACATATGTTTGACATTGACTGATGCATACTGTGCAATGACTGATCAGTGCGGGTGTGATTACACACTTGGTGGTATTGTGCATTATAGTTGTTTGACAATGGATGAATGCTGGATTAGTCAGTTATATGCAACCCATTTGAATCGACCTATTTGAACAAACACTCGATGTAACTGACAACAATGTGTATGCATGGCTGTTGGATCAATCGAGTTTCTGTTGGTAGCGTACCATTGGTAACAAACACAACCCTGACACCATCATCACAACAATCATACAACAGTTGACCAATACACTTGTAACACCACCAGCATATGCTCGTATGGATATGGCATGTTCACATGAGTTCATTTCATGTCTTGGCATTCGTTTAAATAAAACTTGTTCAAAAGTAAATCATGACCATAGCAGACTTACGATTGTAATAGTACACCAAAGTCGTATCCTGCAGCCATTAACAATGTATTACAATCAAACGTTGCATAGAAACCTCCACTTTGATCATGGTTTGGAACTGTAAACTGCCTGTTTGGTTTATGTTAATGTACAGATTCTACAAATGGTATGCCAAAAATCATGCCAAAATCAAAATCACCAAACAGTATCGTTAGATCAGCCGAGTGATGTCATGTATTCAATCGAGATGGATTGCAGTTCAACAAACTGGTTGCAGTGTACAAGACACGAACAATAAATGATTCTGTCATCCAAATCAGTACTAAACAATCTACCGATACTTTGAATAAACATCAATAAAAACATACTCTTGTGTGGTTGAATGAAATGTACACATCAAATATTTGATCCACATTGATGGTGACAGTTACGCATTTTTTGACTTTATTCTCACTTGGTTCCTATTGTACCTATTGTTCCTACTATCCCTATGTCGCTAGCCGTAAGGGTTTTGAAAGACACAATGTCGCCCTTTAGACTTGGTAGAAACTGGCATCGGAAATACTATGAGACTGATTGCTTGTTGTGTGCTTGAACTCCCTTATTAATGTTCCATCTTACACGAGTACAGTTGTAACAATAGCCTTTAGTTTTGACCCTTTAATCAATCCATGTTGTATAAATATCAAAACAAACTGCCAAAACTACCCAGTATTTCGACACTATCTGAATAAATTGCTGCTCGTCTGTATTGTTCATCTGGATAGTTTACAATGAAACAGGCTGTGATTTTTGTAATTTCGCTGCTGGCAGCCATGTCGTCGGCTATAGTCGTATCGACTTCTGAAAGTCCAGCTCCCACATTCGAACCATCACCATCAACATCGACATCAGGCTCAACATCAGGTTCACATCCACCTTCAGCTCCAGCACTATTATTTCGACCCCATAGTGATACTCGTGTCGCTAGTCTGTTTTCACGCTATGATATATTTTTGAAACAATACAATTCGAAAGTCGCTGAATGCGAAGTTTTAAAACAGGATTGTGAAGACCTCGACAGCATCGTACGTATACAAACACTTACACATACTCTGACTCTAGATAAATGCACTCGTGATAAAGGCTCATCAAAAAAAATGCGATTGAAGGCCACCTCCAACTGTATGAAAGAAAATTTAAAAAAGGCCAAGGATGTGTATCTTCAATCCCTTGCGAAAAAAATCCATATATGTGGTGAAGTCAGTCGACTCAAAGCAAGAATGAACGAGGTCGAGGCTAAAGTTCAAAACTTGCTATTCAATGATCAACAATAGCTTGATCAAATATCAAACTGCTACCAATCTGCATAAAATTGAAACAATAAAGTTTGGAATCATGATATATGCATATTGTTTGTAGATGCACATTATACAACAGTGAATGCAATGGATTGTCATTGACTGTTGTTTTGAACCATTTTGTCAACAAATGCAACTGCTTATGACATGCAATAGATTTGGATAATATACCAACAAAAAATCAACATAAACTGGTTTACCGAGTATGTTGTATACAACAATTGCTTTTATACATGTTTGATATGGATCATTCAGCTGGGACCATTGCATTGTTAATAATCGACTACAGACTCATGGACGTGTATTTTAAGCTAGTTTGTATCATAATTATGACAGGATGTGTGATGAGATGATGCAGTGAACATATATACAACGTGTATTACAGTAAAAACATGGACTGATTGTTTGGACATGTATGGAGCAGAGCTGTTGTAACATCCAAACAACTATACTAAACATGTTGAAAAGCATCAAATGGCAGTAGGTTGATCACCAAGAAACAATGCTACAAGTCTGAAATGCAGCATGATGATTATTTATCAACGTAATATTGATTGTCTGGTATTTACACTGTAAATCAATATCAAGTGGGTTCCAATTACGATTTTACTGATCATGGTGGATAATGGTGGCAAATGTTTGGCAAGTCAAAGATATGGACATGTGGATGTGGATGCTAATCACCATTGAATCAAACCACTGCATGTTTTGTTGCACAGTAAATACTATATTGAACAAGTCCAAGTCCAAGTGTTTGTAATGATATTGAGGCTGGTGATGAGTTACACTTGTGATTGAAACCTGATTGGTATTGCATGTCATGTGTCAATACGACATGTCAAGCAATATCATATCGACACAATACACACATGCATGTCAGCATCATCAATGTGTACAACTATGCAATATACAATCAACTGTATTGTATTGGAAATACAAGTGTCAATGTACAATATGATACCATGTCAACCAAGACTGTGAAATGATCAGATATAATGCATGCAAATCCAAATTTATTGCAAGTTGAGTTAGAATGATAATCGAATCGGTTGAAACCAACAGATTAATGCTCAATCAATGGTTCGCGATCTTCATCTCCGGGTCGCTGAAACAATGATCCAGCATTACCCACAAGCCTGGAGGCTCCTCTGCGTATACCGGAAGAAGCTCTGTGTCTAAAAGTAGAAGCTCTGCGTCCAAGGGATCCAGATCCAGATGGTCTACTTGATGATGGTTGCGAATCTTGACTTTGTTGTTGACCACTAGGTTTTCGATGCTTTCGTCGGCCACCAGATTTTTGATTAAGAGATTTATTGCGTTCTGATGATTGCCCTTTACTAGCTAATTCGCCAAAGTACCTCATAACGGAAGGATACGTGCCGATGGAAGCAATTTTTTGATTAAGTGATCTATAATTCCAAGTTCCAAAAACGGACTCCACAAGCCTTATTTCGACGCGATTCATTCCAAATTTAAGATCATTTTTTTTGAGCACGCACTCACTATAGCGTTTTTTAAGATACTCGAGTTTGGATTTTTGGGCTTCGAGATCAATCTTAGTCTTCCGAATTTCAATATAATATTTTAGGCTGTCATCGTCTTGAGATTTTTCTTCCAAATCTTGAATCTTTGTTTCCAAGTTCGTTACCAGCATAGTCTGGCTGTCATATTGAGGTTTTAACGAGTCGCATATTTTTTCTTGCTCTTCAAAACCATCCTGTATCTCTACGTATTTGTCGAGTAAATTCTTGATGCTATCTGGAAGTGGATTAAGACCATCTAAGCCTATACCGTTTGGATTAGGAGTTGGCGAGGTGATAGACTCGGTGCTTGTAGTTTCACTGGGAAGAATTGGATTGGCAATAGTAACCGAGCAGGCAAACAGGATCGATGACAATACAGCAACTGCGAGTTTCATTTTACTGGTTTGGTTGAGCAAGTTGCAATGCCATTCAACAGGTCAAGTTTTGGATTGTATTTATATACATTATTGAATAAATGATATTAAAAGCATATTCCTTGAATGGTCGTTTTAAGGGCTAGTGTTGTTATCAGGGTTGGTGTTGATTTGTTGTCAATGCCAAACTTTGAAGAGTCTCCCTTTATATGATATCCGCAACCTTGGCTGAGCCGATATCTGACCATACATTCGAATATCATGTGGTTGATTATGCAGTCCTACCCTAAAAATGGCTATGGTCAAGGGTTAGGGTCAAGAAATGAGTATAAACCAAAACTGGAATGAGTTGACACTCGGCTATTAGTTGGTCATCAACATGTGTTGTGATATTCCATGCTTGTTAAAATAGCAAGTGATTGGCATGATTCAACGTACAAGTAGTGTATAGTGAATATCGGATGATACCGTTTTACTTGAACAAGAGTGCTAAATCCGTTGAAATAATTGTAATTTAGTCGTCTATTTCTGTACTACATTTTACATCCTCATTGTTATGTTGGAGCAATCAGACATTGACCGTTTACGTATAGTTTGAATGGTTAGTGTGTATCTGTTGTAATATCCAAGCAAGATATCTAAGCTTTAATCAACAAGCAAGCATTAGTACTTGCATTGGACACTCCCTAATTTATCATTTCCTCATTATCTCCATTATCTCCCTTATGTTTCAATACCACTACTCTTACTTTTTAAAAAACCCAGCGTTACCAATATTTTATATAGCGGCATATTATATTATATTATTACTTGTTGAAAGACTCGGTAATTTTTGTCTATCTTGTATACTCTACTTTTTCGATACACCTAAATTCTTTAACATGCTACACAACATCAAATGTCTGCAAAAAACAGCTGGAAATGGAATGTGTTTGTGGAAATAGGAAACATCATACACAATATGACAGTAGTATTGCATACATACAAATCAAAGTATGCTATCATGATTGTCAACGGATTGATTGAAAACAACTTTATATCCAACTTGCTCATCAACAACCAACAACTGCAAGATCCTTCTTGCCAATATCACAGTATCTGGATGGAAATACGGAACCGATCCAAACTGCTGTCAATCAATACTGTCATTCAACACTACAAGGCTGACATTGACAAGTTGTTTGACATCTCATTATTTCCAAAGAAAAACGGAATCCAGACCAGATTCGCTTGGAATGTCAACAACGGAACTGACTGTTTGTTGCTACATCAAGACTCGTCAGTACAGACCCACACAATACAATGTAAGAGATATCAGGCAACCAGATACAAATGAACTGCTTGTCTGCAATATGCTGCATCATATTGGAATGGGTCCTGAAACTCGTTGTATCATTGCATCTCACAGCACCAAAACAGTCTGCATTGCTATCAAGTATTGCCATGTGGTGCTATTGTCCGAGTTGACAAGGATACAGCAAACAATACCCAACTTTGATTGGATTTGATATTTCGTATCCTGTGTATATGCGATTGTGCTGTCAACTCATCAAACTGCGGTCAAGTCGATGATAAAGCAATGATTGTCGACTTTTGTATCCAAAAACAGTCAAAGGACTACATTAAAACAGACATTATGGACAGATTCTACAAAGGAAATGGTAAATTCCATTATTCTGGGTTGATGCAAATCGCAGTCAAAACAACAAACGCTGTAAACATGGATACGATGAACAAGTCGTTGTAGCAATGAAATGCAAGTTGCTGGAGAGTATTGAGCGAGCCGAATCGGAGATTGATGGATTGGTTTAAAATGGGGTAACAGACTGATATTTGAAACGATTTACAACGATATGTCCATGATCTTGAAGCAACAGTTGCAGTTCTAATGGAATATTTTGTTGGTAGCATTCATCTTTAAATGTAGGCATATTGGTATCCAGCAACAATGGAAAATGTGTAATATTACAACTGTAATGTCTGGACAAGTGACTGTCTGAATAACAGTAACTATTTCCAGTGATGCTGATTTGTAAAAACTCGAATTATTCAACAACACTCCATCAATGCATTTGAAAAAGTGATTGTACAGAATATTCGTGTTGGTTTAGCATCTTTTTACGAATGGCAAACTTCAAATTATACCAAAAGGTTGGATCAATCCAGAGATATGGCCAAGTTATTGGATACAATGGAGGCAGATAAAGACTGGGCAATTTTTAGAGCAAGCAACTGCGATTGATTTATTGACCAAGACAATGTGCCCTTGGTTGATCCTGCAAACATCATCTATGACGGATGTGACGATCTTGCCATTCGCGTTGTTCGACAAGGATCGCTACTGCGCAAAGAAGGTGTGTTTAAACGATCCTATCGGCCCGTCAATGCTGTCCTGTCCACTTCTGGATATCTGCATACTCTGCCACCACTTTCATCAACACCCATAGGAGCTACGCATTCTGACACTTCATCTGCAGGCGGTCCATTTTCTCCTACTGGCAACAAACCGGATTTTTCGGCTGATTCCATACTTGAAATGCCTGAGTTGACGCTTGATTTGGCAGAATACACCTTGCTTCCACTTAATCTTGGCGACAAAGATCCCAAAGACATTGTTTTTGTTGGGAAAAACTCGGGTATGTTTGGACGAGATATCAAACACAAATTCAAGGGGAAAACCATGGTTGAAAGTGCGGATTGGTGGACTGCAATCAATGAACATATGAAACAGATGGGAACACGGACTTTGGTTGGAACACCCACTACACAGCACTCAAAACCAGCTTTTGCTGGTACTGCTCCTTTACCAAAAGAAGGTGCAGATGGATCGACCGGACTTTCTCAACGCGCTGCTGCATCTGTAGCTACTGCGGATGCTCCGTCGACGTCTCTTCAAGCTCGATTGGGAGCCGTTGTAAGTCATAGCAAATCCGATACGATTCATGCTACTTCTGGTACACGACCAGTGAGTATGCCTGCACCACCTCTACCTGGTCGACCCAAAAGTACTATTGTACCTACATTGAGACCCAAATCTGGATCGCTTATTGACGAATCATTTGATGATTTGCCTAGTAGGAGAGATTCGTTATCACCTCCGATTTCTTTTACAACTACTTCAAATGATCAAATTCCTACACCTGCTCATGTAGCTGATTTTGCTTCATTTCCACCTCCCGACACGAATGACAAGACCGAGGTGGGCAATGTATCTGCTTTATCATTAAGTGAACAAATGGAAATGAAATTAAGCCATGCTACAAGTGGTGGTCATTCTCATGATGATCCGGTTGAACTGGACACGCCATCACCCAAAGCAAAACTAGCTAGTCTATCTACCGGAACTAACAATCCATGGGACACATTTCAAGACGAGTCGGGTGGTTGGTAATGTCGTATATGGAACTCGTTCAATTCTCTACAAGGCTTATTGTGGCATCTGCCATGTTTATTCAACTATTAAAACCTTATTTACCAAGATAATTTGTTTTTTAAACTTGAAAGCTATCCAATGGAAATTAGAGGTAGAACATACAATAGCTCAATTATTTTATTGATTTGGAAAAAATAGCAATGATTGTTGTATTCGGTAGTATAGCAATACTCTCCAAAAAGTAGCAACAGCATAAAATACGAAATAGCAATATCAAAACAGGTGGTGAATATAAAAATGGTAGGGTACGGGAAACACTATTTTTGAGGAGGCAATGGAGGCTGTTGGCTAGATGTGCCAGTGGAAGTATTGGGCACGGAACTGGCAGCAGCAGCAATACCAACGGTTTCATAAACCTGACCCAAGATCCGCAAAGCATCAGCACGTCGTTTACGTAACTCGGTCGACACACCAGGTGCATCTCCGAGAGCATCGTCGCATACATCGCGTAGCACAGATTCAACTTCTAATTTGGATCCTCTCCACAAAGCTTCTAGTCCCTTTGTTGCCGCTTCATATTCCAGCTGCGTGCGGAGTTCTTGTTCCTGGGGTGTCAGTTCGACTTTGACATCCTCATCAACAGTCTTTTCACCTCCTTCACCTGTTTTTTTTGTTTTTTATCCATTTCTTGAAGTTTGGTGAATTTGCTTTGCAGATCTAGAGCCGTACGAAACGTCCCGACCGTCTCGTTTAAAATGTGAGTTTTTTCTTTGATAGCTCCGCTTACTCGAGACCCAAGTCCCCATACTCGATGCCATAGCACAGCACCCCCATCCTCTGCAGCAATTTTGGCAATCCACTGATCAGCTTTTAAAACATAGGTGAATCCAATCGCTCTCAACAATTCGGGTCCATAGCTTTCTAAAGCAAGTTGTTGGGCTTCGATAGTAGATAAAGCACGAAACGTGTTGAGTGATTCGTTTGCCAAGCTATTCAAAGAGATCCCCAAAGGTGGAGAAGAAGTAGGATCAGGAAATGGAAACGCATCAGTGTAAAGCGAAAGCTTGGCAACAAGATTATGCGACAGTTTCTGAATACGTTCTTTACGAATCAAACGACGTTGTTCGTACATCAATGCCGAGTCTTGTTTGGCTTGAGTGGTAGCATCTGTAGATGGCACTTCTGTTCCCGAGTTGATTGTAGAAGAGTTGGAGTCAGTGGTCAAGTCATTAGATTTGGATGGATCTTTTGCAGCCATGACGTCTTTAAAATCCCGAGCAATGGATATTTCACCAATGATATCAACAAACATATCACCACCAAACTGTTGTCTGAAGAATTGTTCTGGATCGACAAACACAGATCCTTCAGAACCCACTGCAGCAGCCTTTCCATGAATATTATAAAATGAACGACGCTGTGGATCCGACAAGACTAAAATTTAAACATTAGTATAGTTTTTCTGGATACACATGAACCATCAAGTCTGTACCTTGATAAGCTTCAGATATTTGTTTAAACATTTCTTCAGCCAATGGATTGTCCAAGTTTTTATCAGGATGACACTTTATAGCCTTGAGATAATACGCCTTTTTGATGACAGCACTAGACGCCGTAGCAGGAATCTCCAACAAATCATAATATTCCATATCGATTGGATGGTCATCTAAATCAATCATGAAATTAGAAGACAAGAATCATCCTTTTTCAAAGGTTTTACAATTACCTGAACCGGTTTTTCCAAGAGTAGTTTTTGGTCTGCGACTGGAAGCATTGTTGGTAGATTGGTCCGAGGCATTTGTAGTTTTTTTTAGCAGAAACAGATGGAGTCTGTTGAACAGCAGAAGTTGGAATAGAACAAGTCTCTACAAGAAAAGCAAACCACTCTATAAACAGAAAAGGCATAAGCTGGAGTGACAGGAAGATAGAATTCAATGACTACAGAACAGTTTGGACACTTTGCAGTGACAGAAGGTTTTGGTCTCCTCGATTCAATAACAGGAATATGAGTTGAATCGCTCATGTTATCAACAACCAAATCTCAGCAAATGCAAAATGGAACACTTGTGTTGAAAATTTCCTTGATTTTGTTGGAATAAAAATAAATCGAATATTCTTGTTGAAAATTGACTTGATTGATATTGTTGGAATTGCAGGCTTACAAACTCATTTTTATTAGAATGTCAGCAAGAGTTGTTGCACAATACAAAACTGCATTTCGCGATATTATTGTTGAACGGTTTAAACCAGATTCAATAGTAAATGTGTCGTTTTGTTGATTCAAAAATGTATATTTCGTAAATGAAACTCATCTTCAATTGTCTGATTTACAAGTTGGTTTTGGAATACTTGAAATAGTACCGCAGTATGTATTGAACAGTGGAAAATGTAAAAAACAATAGTAGTATAGATAGGGCACTGAATGATATTACTTTTCTTGGTAGATGCTCTCTGCTAAAAGTTGTTCAAAGTGTCTGGAGTTGATCTCGCCTGTGACAGGTAATTTATGCTAAAATGCCATGAACAATCAATGTCAAATATAATGGTCAAGACTCGGTGCTTTATTCATACAAATAATTGTCTAATTCATTCCAACCCAAATGTACTATCTCAAGTATTTTCAACCAGACTAAGGAGCAAGTTTGTTTCTTCCATTCGAGCAACAGGGGAGCAATTTCGTGTAGAGAAGCCAAAGTCAATGATATATGGATTCCCAGATTCATCAATCAAGATATTCTCCTTTTTGATATCGTTATGTAGAATACCGGCCTCGTGAATGCTTTCGAGTGTTTCCAACAACTTCTGCTTTTGCTGTTCAGTGAATCCATTGGCCACCGTACCACAGATAGAAACACCTACACAGTACAGAACGTCCTCCACAAACCCATGACAAACGAATCTAGGTATGCCATTCCCTTGTAGCCCCGATAGCTGTTCATACACAGAAACCTCATTCAGCAATTCTGGAAGCATTTCTCCGTGCTTGGCAATATCAGCAACCTTGAGAGCAATACGGCTAGATCCATAGTAATCCAAATACACTTTGCTTCTTCCTTCACCAAGAACTGTATCGAATTTGAAATCATCAACATCAAAGTCTTGGGGTTGCTCGTTGATTTGAATTCCAGACGACAAAGAACTGCATCCTCTGGAGAGACTAGCACGCGGAGATACTCTAGTACTACTTGGTCGAGAGATTTGGGTAGCAGAACTAGCTCTAGACGGACGCTTTGATACGGGGGGAGAATCCATATGATTGTGATTGACGATGCTGCTGAAATACGATAAGCATTGTTGAACAGTGGGAGTTTGAGCAGTAAAGGAGATTCCCTCGGAAACATACAAAGCTTCATGACTTCGAGGTTCTTCACAAACGGCACATTCTTGATTTCGATAAACAAACCAGGTGTTTTCGTATGACGACAGAATCCCATATTGTCTGTGGTTCAATCGCATATAGTGGTAGAGTTGGTCAAGAGCAGACGCACGTGTCCTTTCTGTGTCGTATGAATTGACGATATCACCAGTAGACAAAGCCCAATTGCCCTTTTCTTCAACAATGGCAACAATCTCTCCATCTCTAGTCATTAAATGATCTGGTTCCCCTACGCAGCTTGTGATTTGACGTCGTGCCTTGAATTCAGAAGGAGGAATGAAACACTTGGCAGAGATATTGAGCAAATTGTCGAGAATGAAGGGTTGAAGACTTTGAACTTCTTCGGTGATAACTCTGGGAACAAACACAGGTCTTTGTACTCTTTGAGAATGCTGATGATGATTAGCACCAATCCAATCAACAACGCTTTGCTTAAAATCAGACCACAGGAAAACATGTGCCGGCTTCTTCCAAATTCTGCCAGAAATGTTGGGTCTTGACACAGGATTGTCATACACCGGTTCAGGAAGAGAACAAATCATATGCTCGTCCATAGTGATAGTATCTCTTAGAGAGCGAATAATCAGTGGATGGTCGTAGGAACCAGTAGGTTGCTGAATGGAGGTCAGGAGAGTATTCCCAGGAATAGCAGGTCCATCAGGCAAGTGGAGAGTGAGTGGCCCATAGTCTTCTGGGATACCAGCAAGTCTTCTAGTTGGTTCAACAACAATGGCTGCAACCAGGCCACCAACGTCAGTCAGTGGCCTTCTTCTTTCTAGTTCTCCATTGAAGTGGGTTTCGATTTCCACTGGCTGATAGTCCAGATATTTGATGTAAAACCTTTCATTTTCCATTGTAGTTTACTGAAGAGAAATGAAAGAATTGAATGGAATGAAATAGAATAAGAATGAAGTGAAATGAAGAAAAGAAAGAAAAGAAAAGAAAAAATCAGACTTTAAATACAAAATTTGATGTTATGTGAATAACGTGAGACAAATTCACACTTTGAATATTAAACATTTGTCATGTGTTTATTTGTATTGTTCAATCAAGTGTCAATTCAACTCAATTGATTACGTCATTCATATAATGACTCGAATCTTTTATTCAACATTTTAATATTCAATTATTGTTAATCAGTCAATTGTTGGATTGGTAAATGTGTTACAAAACATTCATTTACATGCTGAATCTGACAAGTGGATAATGATTGTTCCAATCAACAATTGTATTGGATTGACTGCAATATTATCATTGATTGCAGTCACTGTTGACCAATACATTGTAATACATTGACAGTCTCGACATCAACATTGTCATTCATGTCAAGTTGTGTGTAGTTGCCAACATCACACCACAACAATACTATCAACTTTCAATTCCTGTGATACACCGTTTCAACCATGACTGGATCGATGTTGATCACTTGTCAATACACGGACCAGTTGTATAATCGTACAACTGTTGGTTAACCAATGTTTGACTGTCAATATTTGAATCATGAATATTGTCCAATATAATCGTCACTAACATTGTCGTTTGATTGCCTTGTTCTATGAATAATCATTGCAATGTCATTTGTTCAGTTGTTGTTGGTTTATTGAAACCATGTCACAATTCTTGATATATTGCACATGATCTTGTAATTGTTGGTGTTGTCTGTAGTAATTCTGTCAATGTATACGAATGACACTTGTTGCTAATTGGTAGTTGTTTATGACTGATACACAACCGATCAGGTTTGGTGACCATTCTATGCACATATATATTTGACATTATATTGGACTGTTATGTTGTTTGATCCAATAGTAGTATATGTCAGTCATACTATAATACTACATGTTTGTTGCAATATTCATACAACCTATATCCAAAACTGCACAAACACTGTCATTCAAGATTGATGAGTATGCAATCACAAATGAATCCAACGCATTTTTGTTGTATATAGTTGTATCGGCTGTCGTGTTTGTTGGCTTGCCTGTTGGCTTGACTAGATCTGATATTACACGGGCTATTCAACAATTGTATTGAATTCCGGTTAGTATCGAGTCATTTGAGTCGTTCAAGTAGTCAAGTTGCTTAGTTTGCAATGTGTTGTATCCAGGAATCACTTGCAATCAAACCATCACCAAGCCACAAGTTAACAACACCAAATGGTATATGACTGGTTATATTAACACATTGCAAACACTCGACGAATTAGCCATGAATCAGGCTCAATCATCAACCGCAAATATTGTCAAAGTGTGTATTCCTGGTTTAGTTGATGATGATCCGAGTATGCGGTATTTGTCACAGTTTGATTTGGTTCAAACAGGTTTTGTAATGGTTTCAACAATATCTGATGAATGACATGCTACAATCGCAGTATATTGATATTACCGCATGATACAACTGTTTGGTTGACCAACCGACTCGAATGTTGATGGATTATTATGCCAATCGACTGTTTTGACCTGATATCACCACACTTGACATACCAACACATGCGACATATGATGGAGTGATGGAAATACTCGAAATACACACAATACAACTCTTGCAGCAGTGTATGAAACTATCAAGCATGACATGACATGACATGAAGGGTGTAGATTAGACTTGATAACAATGTGTACGATTTGGACTTTTAAATTCGGAAATAGCAGCTCTGTTCCAACATCCCATTGATTGTAAATGTCGATGTTGTTTAACCTTGTACAAATGACCATTTCACATGCAACTTTAGCCTGATATTGAGTATTTTCAAATGAATGCAAACTTGCGACACTCGCTTGACTTGTTTGGCTCGGATTCTGGTTGATATTTACGATATCGATGCAAAGTTGCATTCCAGAATGAATGTGTATAATCTGATGTGGTCAATCGTTTGGTTTCATTGTTATTGGTCATTGACACCAGTGATTGCATTAATTGCAAATAGTAGTCCAAGTAATCATGCATAAACAAACACCGGGTAGTCACTGATAAACTGATGGTATCCAATGTATACATGACACATTGTATAGTTACATTTAATTGCCAGCAATGTGTGATTGGATTACTCGAGTCATCAAGCAATTATCAAACAGTTGTCAAGAACAATCAAGTCATGTCCAATAAACTGTCTGGTGTGCAGGTGTTTTGGCATTGGTCCGTTGGTCCATTAGTACGATTGTTGGTTGGCAATTCAGACTTGTAAATGACAATTGATTCTTGATTGTTGCATTGGTGTCCATATGTGTCCATATGTGACTCATTGTATATGGAACAGGACTGACAAGTATGTCTGAATTGATGACAAATGATACAGCCTATCCAACAAAAAGTAATACATTGATCGTGTCTGCGTGGTAATAAGCTTTATAACTTCCACTTCTGAATGTATGCGAATCAACATTCAAACAACGGATACGTCCAATGACTCTTGCAAATGCATTGATAGAGTGTTGAATAATTCGAGTGTTTACAAATCAGCATCACTGGAAATAGTTACTGTTATTCAGACAGTCAGTTGTCCAGACATTACAGTTGTAAACAATCAAACTCACACTTGCTTGTTTTTTGGAAACTTGATCATTCATTCGTCCAAATGTCTGAAACCAACAAAAATACAATAACATCTGATATACAATGCTTTATCGGTGAATAAAATAAGGTATATGTTTTTATTTGAAAATTGCAATGGCAATATCATGACGTGAAATTGATTAGGATTACATACTAGGATAAGGAATTTTTACAGCGTATTGGTCGATACTTTTTGGTGTTTTCTTGGTGAAAGAATGGTAATGCAGTGGAGGAAGTAACCAATACAACTTCTTGGCTTTTTTTCCAAGCATCTTTAAATCTTTTTTGGCACCGCCTTTGATATCATGTTTCTTGCCAACAGTCATTTGAAATGCACCAATTCCAGGAATCCAAGCATCAATTGCTGCATAGTTTTTAGTTTTTGGCACATATAGCTGATTTGGAGTCTGACCCAGTAAAACTCTATCAACAACTAGTTTCACTGAAGGTGGAATGGTAAGAGTCGTTTCTTCAGGCTTGGATTTCTCATTTCCATGCACCAACTTGTGGCTCTCAAAAACACCTCCGTTCTCCAGCATTTCAAAAGCATACGGTTCAAAAATATATCCACACAGTGCAGCAGTAAGAGGGCTTCCTTCACACGAGGCCAAGAGTTCCTCCATCTTGCGTTTCGCTTCTGTTCCTTTGATTTGAACAATGATATCCAAGGCTGTTTGAGACGCAAAGGCAACAGATGATTCTGTGAATGGGTCAACAGATGTCATGTGAACCAAAGAATGGACAACTTGAGACTTGTCTGTAATAGTCGAGTTCAAGCCAATTATCTTGATGCAATCATCAAGCTTGCATTGCCTACATGCGTTTCGAAGCAATTCTACTGGATCACTACTTGTATCTTCCAAGACACGTCGAGGGACTCCACCAAGGATTTTGAAACGATGGCGCCAGTCAATAACAGTAACAAAACAGGGTGCAATGGCTTCCAATTCTGGTTTAGTCCACAATGGCATGTAAAAGATCTGAAGGGGAAGGGATTTTTTAAAGTCGTTGGTTAGTTCTCGTCGTGGGGAGGTTGACACCACAAATGAACACCTTTCATAGGGAAGTGCATCTAGATATGCTGCGTTTTTGCCTTTGGCGTCAAACAAACACCACAAGTCAGATGCCCAAAAGTTTACGTTGTTGTCGGAAGGTAGAAAATTAGGGTAAAACACACCGCCTTTTCCATCGTAGTAGATAGTGCTAGGATGATAAATGAATAGCACTCGTTTGCCTTCCTTGACAAGCTTCCATAATAAGTAGATGAGAAATAAAGACTTGCCAATGCCAGGAGTTCCTGTGATGATTGCCTTGTTGATGCCGGGCTTGATGTTTGATGCAATGGATTTATAACTGTCCCGAATAAAGAGTCGTTTCAACGTAGACGAGGGAATCTCTTGTTCAAACAAAAGCCATGTATCCTGTCCAACAGCGTTGCATATGTTGTTGTAAAAGGGGATCTGGCAGGGCAAGAACAAATCAAGTTGCATTGGATCTGAAGCAATAGCGGTAGCGTTGATGAGTGAAGTGGTTCTTGCATCAATACCATTCTTGGATTTAATGATGAATGGATGGTCGTAGGAACCAAGATGATTTTGAATGGAGGTTAATAGAGTATTCCCAGCAATGGCTGGACCATCCACCACATAATGGATGGTGAGGTCTCCAACAAAAGCAGAAGCAAGAGGAGAGTTGGGAAGTGCTTGGAAAGCAGCAATTAGTTTCGATATATTGTTGAGTGGTCTTTTTCTCTCTAGTTCACCATCAAAGTGAGTTTCGATTTCCACAGGTTGGTTTGTAAGATATTGAACAAAGAATGCTTTGTTCTTCATTAGAGTTTATAAAAGAATAGAAATAGAATATAGAATAGAGTAATAGAATAAAGTGAAACAATGAAATGACAAAAAGATCAAAACGTGAATTTGTCTCACATTCAAAACTCAATATCACGTGAACAATGTGAGACAAATTCACACTTTGAATATTAAACATTTGTCATGTGTTTATTTGTATTGTTCAATCAAGTGTCAATTCAACTCAATTGATTACGTCATTCATATAATGACTCGAATCTTTTATTCAACATTTTAATATTCAATTATTGTTAATCAGTCAATTGTTGGATTAGTAAATATGTTACAAAACATTCATTTACATGCTGAATCTGACAAGTGGATAATGATTGTTCCAATCAACAATTGGATTGGATTGACTGCAACATTATCATTGATTGCAGTCACTGTTGACCAATACATTGTAATACATTGACAGTCTCGACATCAACATTGTCATTCATGTCAAGTTGTGTGTAGTTGCCAACGTCACACCACAACAATACTGTTGCTCTTGGACGTATGACAACATATTAATGTAGTATAGTTTTGGAGGAATATCACAAAAGTAAAAGATGAGAATGAAGGAATGAACCAATGAGTTAATTGTGTTGTTTATTGATAAAAGAAAACATTGATCATTTTATAAGAATGTGGATAACGGTTATGCGTATCCGTGAATTAGACGTCATAGCTGAGAAAGTCTCTTGTTATTGCACAAGTGATGGCTGCGATAGACATCGCCTCAAACATATATGCGTCGTGTATGAGTCTCTGAAATATCTCGTTATTTATGATATTTCACATTACCAATGTTTAACAACTCTGGCACAGTAATGCGGACTCGTGCACCGAGTTGAGTTGTCCAGCAATCGATTTTAGAAATGTGTTTGATGTGATGGTTTGAGATGAATGCCAAATGACCACGAATGTTACCAATTGTCATGACAGTTGATTGTTGATTCAAAACGTTGTTTGTTTGGTATTAATGGTTAGAGTGTCACTCATTGACCTGTCAGATCAGCAAGTGTTATTTCGGTGAGTTTCGTGTTTATTGTAGTCACATCAACATCAGCAGATTGAACTACGGATTTGCTTGACAGAGTTGCAGATCCAGTTGGATTGATAGACGAGTAACTGTGCAAACAACTGTGCGAGTTGCAGGATGTTTGAGATCCAACAAAACACTGTTTGCACACAAGTTCATGAATGCAGATTGTCAGACTTGACCATCAACTCACAGTATAAATTGTGTGTACGACAGTTTACACGCTTACCCATCAACAATAAACCCACATAACCAGCAAACCGTCAACGAGCAGCCAGTTCAATGGTTGGGTTGATGTTTTTTGTTGGAATTTCTGGATCAAATTTGACTTGATTTGTACCGAGTTGGGTCATGACTACAAGTTTGACAGCAATAGATTGATCTACTAATAATCTGATCGTGCTGCTGATTGTATGGATGTTGGTAATCCGTTGCAGATTGATACGGAATGTGACCAAAACACCACAAAGTTTATTGAGTGTGCACATTGCATTCGATGCAAAACGCAATAAACAAATGCGAGTTGCAGCATTCATTCAAGGTTCGACACCAGTCGATACAGCATTGACCGCAATGGTATTTATGTCAACAATTGCACGACTACGGAATAAGTTGATTGTTGCTTGGCATTCCGTATCGACAGTCTGCGTGTGTGTGCAACGTGCTGTTGTCGCATATGAACAACTTGGATTGACTTTGTGGACAAAACACAGTCACTGTTGCGGTGATGTCCACAGTCGTGGAAATGGTTTCGAATACCACAACTGGTATAACAACTGCATGTGTTGGTGAGCAACCAAAGTCCAGTTTGACCAAGATCTGTTCCAGTAATGATCGAATGACATTGTCGTGTTTGGTCATCATGACAACAATGTCATTGGTTTGGCTCTGCATCTGACCAAATGCGCTAGTCACAGCGATCAGATCAGTTTTCAAGGATACAACTTGCATGGTGAGGTATTTAACTGTTTGTCGCATTTCGTCCATCGATATGAAAAAGTCAACGTTTCCAATCGAGTTCATATTACCTCGAGTTGCCCTGCCAGTAGTTTGGATTGGACTGATACCACATAAACTGTTGGTCTGCGTGTACACTGACAATCGTTGTTGATCAATCGCATGCACACAGATCCAACTACATATACCAGTCGAGTTGCATCAGACGCAGATGCACTGTCTGGATTAATCGAGAACACTTCACATTTGTCACGGATGCATTGGGTGGTCGAGTAAACGGTACTGGTTGATTGATGCGGTGATCTTGCCATGTTTTCAGCAATCATGAGTTTGGTCCAGTCACCACTGCAGAGACTGCAAACACTGAACAGGATCTGGTTGAGTACCGTGATTGGGTCTTATTTTTGACTGTAGTGGATGTTTTGTTATCAATGATTGTTGAACCAGAAACTTGTAACTCGCGCACATACTCACAGAGACTGATACAATCACTCAGTGATGACATGGGCTGCCACACTTTTGATCTATCAACCTCACCGGGAAGCTTACTGCTTGTGTACTGCATCTGGTCAGCCTGTCAAATATAAATAGTTGACACATACCAATAAATAAAACATTAGTCAACCATAACTATACAGTTGTATCAATCCAGCACAGCTTGTGTAATTTCAAGGCTAAACCCAAGATTTATACTAATACAACCAACTTACTTTATACCGAGTTTCAAAAGGCGGTTTGTCACACGCCAAAACCCGTTTAGCATAGCTGTATGACAGCATAGATGCTTGAGCATCGGTATAATGCTCAACGGGTCCTGATGAATGGCCAGTCACTGCTGAATCTGGTGCAATGGACTCTGCAGTATATATGGTTGATACTGTAGAGTCGCATTGCTTTCCAGACTGCAGTATCCTAGCTGCCTCAATCAGGGACGAGACTATAATGTAAATGTTTTAAAACAATCCATCAGTCAATATAATCAGTATAGTTACCATCAACACACTACAGCCTAAACAATCCACAATACATGCATGTACATGCATTCACACCCAAAACTCGTGAGAAATTGATACAAAAATCACACACTTACTTGGTGAAGCAGGGATTCTTGGATCATTGATTGTACTGATTGGACTGATTGGGCTGGATGTATACATATCAGTGTATATGTTTTCCTGATTTGAACTAGTCAATCACAACATTACAAAATTATGCACAAACAACAGTAAAAGTTTAAAGTAGCATTCAACCCATTGTTCCATAAATCAAATTAGGCATCAACCAATTCAATCCCAAATAATAATCAACCGGTACATCATACCAACCAACACAAATCACAATTGATACACATTGAATGACGTTCAATGACATTAGATAGCATCAAAAACAGTCAAAATCATTACCATCAAAGTCGCGTAGTCGGAGTCGAATCAACAAAATTAAATTCGGCAACGTTTCGAGTCCATCCCAAAATACCGTAAATGCAATCATCAAATCGTAAATAATACAACATGCAAGTAAACAGTCATGTTAGCAATGTGTTGTGTAACCAAACTACAATATTCAGATGCACAACTATAATACAAATACTGTACTGCATACCTTTCTGGATTCATGCTTGCTTCGGCAAGGTGTGGTGCATTTTCACAAGCATTGGTTGGTTGGGGAATAGTGTTTTGCACACTACGGCAAGACTGTTTTGGAGAATCAGCCGATAGGATGTTGAGACGGGACCACAGTGAATTCATTATTGGTATTTGTAGGGTGTCAGGAAATGAATGGAAATGGAAATGTAAAACGAGTTGATCTCGAAACTTGATAACAATAATATGGGTAGCAGTTGTAATAGTTGCAATAGTTGCTGCAAACTAATACGTTCAAACAAGTAGTGTGTATGACTGTTTAACAAAATACACAAGGGAAACAATCAGATCTGAGATTTGGATCAATAAGTGGATGGACAAGTATCTCCAATACCAATCTAGTTTCAGCAGCACAATAGTCGGCATTTTTAATGGGTTTGATACTCCAGTCAATTCGGTCCTCCCAGAAACAGTAAAATGATGAATGAGGCAAATACATGCCAGATTTTGACGTCATTTCCTGTATATAACCGCAATAACAATCATTGATATCAGTCGAATCAATCAATTTGTGTAAAAATGAAACAAAAAGTCTTGGACGACCTTGAAGAGACTGTGAGATTTCTTGAAGGTCAATATTCTTTGACACATCGATAGTAGTTTGAAAATATCAGATGATTTCAAGTAGTTGAAGTCGGTGAATATCAATATATTATCTGGTTTGAGTCCAGCAGCAGAGTATGTCAAGTCCATAATGCAGATTCGCATTTGTGTTCCACACCATATATTGTTGAAGTCATCTTGGATAATAGTTGTGGTCAAAAACGAAAACAGCGACCGAGGAAAATCAAATTGTCCAGCAGTGTTGATGGATTGTTGTTGAACGATAGTCCGACTTTAAAAGATTTAGCACATGTTGCGATTCGTCAAATATAACACGACCGTCTTTTAGGAATCATGATTTCAACTGTTGATAGACTTTACCAAACGCAGACCAAGGAAGCTTAGATAGATGTTTGAATATTTTACAAAAGAGTACACCAGTTTGTATACTTGTTTGAATGCATAGCCATGTAAAAGGCTTGAGATCGGGATTTGTTTCACGGAGTGTTTTCAGAACAAATATACGAGCAGAAATCAAACACTGGATCAGTCTTTTAGATTGGTATTCAAACACTGCTTGATTCTTGTCCGTCTTTTTGTCAGGTGCCAACTGTGCCAACTTGTCAATCATTGCACTGAAATCAGGTCGATAAAACAGTCAAATACACAATATCGACACAAACCATAGCAGGTTGTTGTTCACATCCACTGACACCGATCATGACAATATTGTGTAGTTGTCAGTCTGTCGATTGGCATTTCTATTCCGATTTGTATGTTGCCAGAATAGACTTTTGAATACAAAACATTAGGGATTGTGTCAATGTCTTTGATGTCGATGTTCATGATGGTTTGATCCAGATGAATGGTTTTGATTGAATGTTGGACACACAACAGTTGTGTTCATCATACAAGTGTATCGACTGGACAAGGTTCACAAGAGTGGTTTGTAAAGTGAGTTCATGTCCATTACAATGTCTAGTGTTGATGATACAGAGTTTGACCAGGCATAATGTGTTGTATTTGATGAGTGGATCAGTTCCAGTGGTTTGATCTAGTCCAAGAACAGCAAGACAATGCCATGAATTGCAAGTTATTTCCACTCCATCAACAACAAAGTGGAAAGTAAGAAGTTGATGGTCGACTGGAATACCAACAAGCCTTTTAGTTGTCTCAATGATGGTGGTTGCGACCAAGTCAACAACAGGCTGTTGTTCAGCAATAGAACCTGTTGGCTTGGTCGCAGATTACAAAACAGGATCACTTTTGGTCGATACACTAACTGAATATCCACTCTGTGATGGATCAAGTCGAGACCAACTACAACGCATGGGACTCGCTTGCTGCTCTTGTAACAAACGGAACTGTTGGATCCAGTCCACTCATCATCAAATCCAAGAATGATGTTGGCTCAAACCCAACAATCACTGGTTCATACAATTCTTTCAAGAAAACTATCCAGATCAATGGTATCAATGTTTCTACAAATCATCTCAAAAGACCTGATCAACTTGACAAACTCACATACTTGGTTTGAGTATCGGTTTGTCGTATTGACTTGTTCATCTGATTCTGTAAAACCTATATTCATTAATATGTATCAACATAGTCTCAAACAAATGTCATTTGGATTTGTTTCTTGGACAACATTGCACGACACTTTTGTTGGAAATGCATTGATTGTTCCAAACAACAACGGATAGAATTGGAAAAAGTAAAACTGTTGTTTCTTGATGATGCTCAACAGTAATTACAAGACACAAGTTTATGGAGACTTTTAATCAAAGCATCGCTGAGTTGGTTGTCATTAAGCATGCGATTTATCATTGCATCAAACCATCTTTTTGTTGGAGGAATTTCAAGTCCTGTTGAACTCGGTAGTCTTTCAGGTCTTGAAAAGTGATTTTCTACTTATTCCAGCCAAACTCTGTGAATTCCATGAATTCCATGAATTTCTGGATTTACTCGTTATTGGGTTGCCAAACAACATGAACAATGAGACCTTGAAACATGTTCTTGTAACGGAATGTGATGGTTTTATTGGTGCGCTGTGTGTGTCGATTGATGATATAAAAACACAATGTCTAAACAATATTGAACCCACTCGAGCAGATCTACTACAATACTGTCTATCAAACAATTCCATGTTGGGTATGACTCGTTGTTTTGGAAGCGACCATTCAGATCTGATTAGAAATGGTTTTAAACTGTTACTCAAGAAATGTCTGACAAAAATCATCGATTGGACAACTTGGAAACCCAGCAAAATATGGAATCTTATTCATCACTCAAAAGGCTGGAATATTGATGGAGTCGTCCGACCTTGAACTTGCTTTTACTTTGCTGTTGGTCAAAAAATACTATTCAAATGGACATTCACAAACTGCTTTCCATCACAACATTTGTCTCTTCAAAAACTCATACGCAATGTTGTCTCATCAATATCGACCAATGTATTGGAATCTGTTTCGTCATGCGGTTTTCCAAATGAAACAACTTTACAGCACATGTTTATGGAGATATTGGTTTACTTGACTAAACCAGACTGTTCAATCTAACCAAAACTATCAAAAGTATTTCCCAACAACTCGAATGTGACGGACACTATTGCTGGTGGAATTGATTATTATTTGGACAATGGACTAGGAATCAATCAACACATTGACAGATTTGTCATTCCAAATGGAAACAACGACAATCCAGTTGTAATCCATATTGAGCCTTGAATTCAAACAGTCGTGAATCAAATCATTAATAAACTACAAAAACAGTCCAATATGCCAACTCGCATTTATCCACGACTCGATATGTGATGTTCAAATGTCTAATATTCAGACTGTGCTGATTGCAATTGTGGTTGTAATTGTGGTTGTGTGTAAATATCAATCCAATACTCGATTCAATACTTGATTCAACTTGAGCATGTCCAGTTTTGTAGTAATCCATTTGATCACATTGACAGAATCAAGCAATGATCTGATTCAACAACACCGAATGATGCATCCATATCACTTGTATCAATCAATTGTACACAATCAGTCAATATAATCAACAATCACTGTCATGATTGATTTAATTCATTCAATTTATTCGATCCATTTAATTGCATAGATCTGACTGGCATTGCAACTCATTGTTGTAAAATTACAATCAATCATCAATTATCAAGATAATACGCCTGCTCATATATGTCCTTGTTGTATACCGCTGTGATTTGAGTTCGGTCACTTGTCAATTCATCTCGATAGCGTTTGGCTTTAGTTGGTGATTGAACACCTTGAATATACTGCGTGGCATCATTCCACAGTTCAGGCAGTATGGGTGTCTTGTCAAAACTCGAGTTGTACCATTGTGGTTGTTGTGGAGCCACATGCGCAGTCGAAACAATCCGACAAGATGGATTCACTACAAAAAATGTCAGAATCTTGCAGTGTCCTGGTTGAGTTGGATCTGCAAGTTCAAATGATTGTTCTTTGTGTTGGTATCGATTGGGATAAACTGCACATCGACCATTTGGTAATTCAAGCGATCCTATATATTGATTATATGGCGATTCTCGATCAATGCCATACACATCTTTCCAATACATCTCAGATGCTATTTGATAATCAAACCGATTAACAGCCACGCGGAAATCGAGTTTGGGTGTGGTGATATTTTCCACGTCGTAGTAATACAGTCCAGTTGCAACAATCGATTCGTTAATTGGACCTTCAATGTGCCAGTTTCCCTCGTCGTATTTAGGTTTGGACGGTGTCAGTTGAATGTTGGTGAGTTTGACAATGACTTGTAGATTACGACCACGCAGTGATACTGGCTTTGCCGATTCGTATTTGGATTGGAAATGTTCCGGAAGTGTTGGTACATACACGGGACGAATAACTTGAGTGTCTGACTCCATACCACCACGATCTGACTGGTTTGGTGGTTCATATCCCTTTGTGCCATTGCGAATATCAATATACTTGAACATTGGATCCATCGTTCTGAACAGACCTTCAAACATTGGGACAAAACATTTGAATATTTTGGCAATGCATTTGTACATGTCTCGATGCCATATCGGATTCAGATTGTTGATGTATGAGTTGATGGTCACACTGCCATCCTGTTCGACACGGAATTCACTCGGAAGACATTGGAGCTTGCATGATATAAACTCGGGACTGCTGTCAATGATGGGCATATCTGAAACAAGTCGAGTCGATAACAATATATCGCATGGTACCATTGTGGTGTATTTGAGTCGTATATCCAGCGGTGCAATCATCGTTTGTCCATATACAACACTGTACATTGATGCATCAATCAGATTGTGCACCATTTGACCAGTGTTGTGATTTGATCCATATTCAATATCCGATACATTTGTCATCAATCGCGTATGTACATTGTCAGGTATGCCATTGTCCAGCATATACGTCAGTTCAACAGGTCCTGGGATAATTGTGCCCAATCCATCACCGCCACTACAAACAAGCTGTTTGACAAAAACACCGAGTTGTTCCAATGCAAGATTAAATGTTGATGGCAATATATTCTGACCGAGTGAGTCAGCCCTCCATTGCTCCACAATACGCTGGTTTGTGATATCGATCCACCACATGGGTTTGCAAAGTATACATTGCAGATACTGGATATACTGCATTTCGACAAGTGTGCGCACCTCTCCATGTGCATACCCAGCCATTCCAGATTTCATATCAATTTCGGCATTGTCGTCGTATAGCTGAATGCTCGAACTAGCAACATGAACCCGATGCTGGAAACACGTTTCAATAATCTGCTCAGCAACCCTTCTTTTTATGTATTTAGCAGTATCCGATTGTACAATAACCGTTAGATTTTCAAGTATCCCGCCTTGTTCCAACTCGGTACGTATTGAACTGTCGGGATGATTGTCGGCAAAATCAACAAGTGTTTTGAGTAGGTTTACAATACCATTATAACCATACAGATTTATATCTCTACGTGAATAAATAGTGTTGAGTTGGTTCACAATTCCATATTCTTGGAACGCCTTGATCATCTCGGTCTTGTTTGTAGATTTCTGAATCATGTCGTTGACATATCCAAACAGGTAAAAAGAGTCATACATATCGACATCACACATCAATATCGTCAATTGCTCAAAAACCAACGATCGTACAAGCGATACAGGAAAGTCCCGCATTTTGGATGCAGCTGATCCAGCTACTTCGATTATGCGTGTTTTTAGTCCAGAGTTGTCGCTGTGTTTGATACACAAGTCGTTCAGTGTTTGATCAAATCCAGCCTTATCAACTCGGCTGAAATCACTTCACAATCTTTATAGTCGCAAAAACTCTGAATAGTATAAATACTTTGACTAATCACTTCTTGATCGACACTCCTGTATTCATGTCATGTCAATCCAACCATGTCAAATTTACCAATTGTGATGACTGGACACACATTCATGCATAACACCACATACCTGAGCGTATTGACCACTGCTGGAATGATGCCACATTCCACTGCTTTTACTGGGTTATGATGACAAATATTCCGATACATGGCTTCAAGATTTTTGATAAACCCAACAGCAACTAGACCATTGGATGATTCCAGTCGTGAAACAAGTCTTGACAACACGATGCCAAACTAATGATATTGTTCAACGTCAAGTATACAATCAAATCAACATGACATGACATGACACTGTCCAAACTGATCCAATATTGTATCATTACAAACATACATTTTCATCGTCAATATCATGACAAACTTTCAAAAACAGGCCAATTGCCAATGTGAGCATTTCTTGATCGGACTCTTTAACAATAATCTCAACCATTGGCTTGATGTCAAATTGATCCTCTTGACTCCAGCGTCCATAACCGAACAACTCTGTACATGCGTTTATCGCCTATATGCATATTGACACTAAGTGAGTTGGATTTCAATCATTTGGTCAATATCAATCATGACTTGCCATCATTTTGACTTGACGGTTTGGTGATTGCATGCATTGTGAGAGTTGGTTGCTTAGTCGTTGAGATACTTTGAACTGATCATCACCGTACGTCATTCTCAAAAATACTGTAGTAAACTTCATTATTTTGATCTACACAACACATGTTGATTAGTTTAATCATGAACAATCCATTATTGTTACAATATATGAATACCTGTAAACTGGGTTGATTATACTCCAAATACTTGGCTGTGATATTTTCCAGTCCAATACTCTGTAAGCGATGCACTACATCTGTATATCCTACCATTTCAAACCAACACAAAATCAGCAATGATTTGAATTTATCAACAATACAATGGCTATTAAACCTACTGTAATTCTGTTCTTCCAACTCCAGTAGCAATACAAGCAGTCTGTCCCATGTTTGTTCAGCCTTATATAGTTGAGCATCCGCTGTTAATAGTTTCAGATCTTCCATGTGTTGGATCAACTCTTTCATGATATCATTCAACCTCATGTTTGATAAAATTAGTAAAGTTGAATTTTGATTTGATAATTTCATTCATGCGAATGTTCAACAATTTCCAAGAATTGTTTATATTTGGATTGTTGTAAAACACACAAACGAGTTGTTCCATTTTAGTATTGTTTTGATCAGTTTTTTGTAACAAAATTGGATTGTTATCAAACATGCATTTAGAAATACTGTAAATTAATATTCTGAATGTGATCGTTGTAGATTTGGTTTAATAAACAAACTAGTTTACTACAACACATGGTAATGGATTACTAAACATCATCATAAATCAGATGGACTGGACTGAAATGAAATGAGATCAATGAAAATCGCATTACAAACAGTGTGGTGATTAAACCATCGAGTATTTCCAAATACAAACTTGAATGAAAAGTCTTGTCACAATACTGATCGACTGTATTACTGTTTACACTGTGGTATTATTGATGTATTGGAATATTTGGTGTTCAGATACACGATGATAATGGTAGTACAACTCATGGCAGTTGTACAAACCAAATGTGATTAAAGCCAATAATAATGTCAGACAAGATTGGATAATGAATTAGCGTGTAAATCATCAACATTGACCAAGATTGATTGAAATGGTGAGATTGAGTTGGATGGTGATGAACAGTCAGTGTCATGAACACTGTTATTCAGCGGTCCATTTTACACGAATACGACACTACCAATACCATGCTGCGTAATACCACACTACATATATTACATTGCAAACTGACATAAAACAACACTAATTGACCAATATCAAACCAGTTGATGTTGCAATCTACATTCGACTTTGAGCAAGTGTATTGCTCTGTTTGTTGTACGATGCACGACATGATCAGTTGGTGGTATCTTGCAAGTATGACTGATAGTTACAATCAACACTGGTTGTTATCAGGTCATTGATGTATATGTAACAAACCATGCCAATGTATCAATCAGCAATCCAGTAACTATTGATGTAATACCCAACACAGTATACACAATCAATAATATGGTTGTTGACCCATTCACAATACTCGACAAATATCAACACATCAGAAAGTTTAAATTTATTCAAAATCAAAATCATCGACACATCATTAATCTGAATCCTAATTCGGTTCTTCGAATTCCAAATCATGTTTTTCCATAAACCTTTTCAATTGCTGTCTGATAGCGTATACTCTTTTCCTTACCGCTACATATTCTTGTTGCAATTGGTCTTCAACCTTTGGATCGTATTTTGGTTCAGATATTTCTTTTCCCATTGCTAACGCTAACCGTTGTTCCAATTCAAGGGCTGCATAATCACAATATTCTTTGTATTTTTTCTTGTATATTACTTTAGACGCTACAAGTCTTTGCTTTATATTATCAAGGGTTCTCTGATATCTTGGGCCTAATATAGCTACTTGATTTGAAACAGTATTGGCAGATTCGTCATGGTTGACTGGTTGGTGTTGATTTTGATTGGAAGTACTTGGATTGGGCTGATCCATTGACTGTTGCTGGTTTTGATTGGAAGTAGTTGAACTGGCTGCATCAATTATTTCTTGCCAGTCTTCGTTGGAAATGCTTAAACCAATTGCATCCACTGGATGTTGCTGGGTTTGATCGGAAATATTTGGATTAGGCTCATTAGTTGGGTCAGAAACTTGATTGGAAGTGCTTGAATCAGTTATATCAAATAGATCTCTCCAGTTTTCGTCAAGAATGCTTGAATCAATTGTATCCGTTGAATATTGCTGGTTTTGACCGGAAATACTTGGATTGGATTGATCAATTGATTGTTGCTGGTTTTGGTTGGAAGTATTCAGATCAGCTATATCAAACAATTCTTGCCATTCTTCAAAAGTGTTTGAATCAGCTTCATCTATTAAGAGTTGCCAGTTTTTGTCAGGAATGTCTGGACCGGGTTCATCAATTGATTGTTTTCGACTTTGTTTGGAAGCACTCGGACCGGGTTGATCCATCGATTGTTGTTGGTCTTGTTTGGAAGTGTTTGAACCGTGTTCATCAATTGGTCGTTTTCGACTTCGTTTGGAAGTGCTTTGGCTGGGTTGATACATTGGTTGTTGCCAGTCTTGGTTGGAAGTACTTGGACCGGCTAGATCAATCGGTTGTTGCCAGTTTTCTTTGACAATTCTTGAATTAATTTCATCCATTAGGCTTTGCCAGTCTTCTTCGGAAATCTTTGGATTAGGTTCATTGGTTGGGCCAGACACTTGACTCGAAGTGCTTGATGCTTGGAGTGAGCCATCGTTATCAATCGGTATCAGTATTGCATTAGCGGTTGCTACCACACTCAGCAAAAATAAAATATCAACCAATTTCATCAGATTGGTCAATGGGTTTAAACGATTAGTACAAAAATAGTCTCGATTATAGGACTGAATGTATTCGATTGTATTTGTATGTTTTGTATATCAAACCAACCCTAACCCTTTTAGGTTAACCAGTTATACAGGGTTACTTGATTGCTTGTAGTGGGTCACTATCAAATTAGACAATATGCTGCTCCCTAATCATAATATCATATTGGTCAATTTGATGATCGTGTCGATTGAATAATGCTTTTACGACCCTTTGATCAGGTATATTGAAAAGCACCCTTCAAGAGTGTGTTGTTTAGCCACAAACGCTTTGTTTTACAACCATATTCAAGTAAAATGAATCACTTTGATATTCAGCATGCAATGACTTTGATTTGAGATATGCAATGGTTGCATGTTCGGTTGGTTGTCACTACACATTGACTGCATTACGTGTTTGATATACAACAACCATCATATAACACACAATCAGACTATAGTGTTGAATCTACACATTGTGCACTCTTAGTAATCATACATTGCACAATCATCAAGTTTGAACCCATATTCATATGTTGTGTTTGGCTGTCAATGTTGTCAATACAACTCTGTACACACATTTGTTGTATTCTGAATCACGGATACGATCGCAATCTAGTTCAACAACAATCATGACACATGTCAGTAATGCAACTGTTTATTACACACCAACACTGTTATTTGGTGGTCCATTTACATCAATATGGCTGCAAGTTGTTGTTATATCACGTATTCTTGACATGGTTTTGATATTACCCATCCAGTTCCATCACATTGTTGTTGACCCATCATTGTAATGCTTTATGTCCCCATAATCATGGACATCAATATGTGGTTTCATGTATAATATTACAACCATGCATGTCGTTGGTTGCATCATCACTACTAGTGTATACTACACTACAGTGCATGTATGTTGGCATGTGTTGTACCAATTTGATTGCATTGCTACAATGTGGCATGCTCCAACCTGTTTGGATCACTGTTGTGCAACATATTGATATTGTACACATGTGATACTGGCCACCAACAAAGTGATCGGCGGTATTCGATCGTATCATTCAATTGATCATCCAATCTCATAATCAATGCATTTCAACATACTCCACTGCATGTACTGGGTCATGACAACAACCTATCCAATACATGTCAACTGATACAATCACCAACCATTGCATGATTTTAGTTGTCAATCAAGTCATATTATGATATTGTTCAATGTCAAGTATACAACCAAATCAACAAGACAAGACACGCTGTTCAATATTGTATCATTGTAAACATACATTTTGATCGTCAATCTCATTGCAAACTTTCAAGAACAGGTCAATCTCCAATGTGGACACTTGTTGATCGGACTCGTAATCATATCAATCATGGGATCAACGTTTCAGTTATACTCATTATTGAACAACTCTGTACATGCGTATATCGTGTATATGCATATCGACACCAGGTGAGTTGAATGTCAATCATTTGATCAATATCGATCATAACTTGACGGGCTGATGATTACATGCATTGTGCAAGCTGGTTGTTTAGTCAATGTGATATTTTGAACCGATCATCACTGTATACCATACTCGCAAACATTGTAAACTCTAAACTACACAGTCAATATTGGACATGACATGATCAGCAAGCAATGATGCCTGTAAATATGTTGACCATCCAATACATGAATGACCGACATTCCATCGTCATACTTGGTCTGTACTTGATCGTATTGTGGCTTATTGTGGCTTATTAGTTAGGGCTAGACTGAAAACCAGTGCAAAGCTACACAATCGATTAATCATGGTATTTGAATGCACAGTCAAGCAGTAGCTAATCAAGATTGCACACGATATAAAGGGATCCTCCTTTTCATTACTTCGGTATTGATAGCAATAAACCAACATCAACTCTGACAACAACACAAATTCCTTAGGACGGCACTCAAGGAACATGCTTTTAATACACCCGTTCAGTAGCAGGTATAAATACGATCCAAACCCTACTTGCTGAATAACAACCATATACAACTTGTTTAACCAAACCAGTATAATGAAGCCCGCAGTTGTCGTATTTGCATCAGTCCTGGCTGTCTGCTCGGTCACTATTGCTAGTCCAGTCATTCCCAGCTCGACTACAAGTACTGAATCTAGTATTTGAACAGTTATTCCCACTGCAAATGCAGTCAGTAAACCTGACTATTCAGAATATCCTATCACATATGACGGGTATGGAAAGTATTGCCATCCACTTGATTTTGATGGAATAATGCTGGTCAAACTACTTGCAAAAAATACACATAAACTAGAAAAAGTAACAAAATATATCAACAAGAAAGAGTCTAACATTGCATGTCAAGAAACATTGGTGGGTGAGCTCAAGGAAAGACTGGACTCTGTAATGGATGATGGTAATGGGTCAGGAATCGCCGAGCTTGAATCCGAGTTTATTAAACAGAATGGCATTCTTGAACAACTCAAAGAACAGTTGGAGCGACTTTTTGAAAGACATTCGAATAGGTACAAAAAAGATGTTGGATTGCGATCGGCACTTGCAGAGTACTTTGCAGAGCATGGTATGTCTGGAGAAATGACTACTGATGATGAGCCAAACCTATATTCATATCTTGGATTCAAGAAATGTTTTGATTATTTCTACAATCGCTCATGACAATGATTACCAAGATCCAAGCATGGTGTAGTTTTTCAAGATTATGATGTTTGGCAATAAGCTTTTGGACCAGATTCGTTACATTGCTGGAGTTGAGTGAACCATCACAGTCTCATCCAGTATATGTTGTAATGCAGCGTGTATTGCATGGTGGTTTAATTGTCATGTATCATGCATTCAATGTCGTTCATTCAATAAGCATCGTGTATTGTCAAACAACAGTGTATTATACTAATGGTTTGATCATATTGCACCAATCAACTACTATGTGATGTCATGATTGATCATTCGGTATGCTACACATATTGAATGCATGTAAATCCATGACTGTCAACTCCTTGTTGTTGAAATGGGTTCAGATCACCATCAGCTCACTCACTCGCTGCACCAATGCAACTGCATGATCAACCTGACACCAACCAAACCACACTCGAATATATATGTTCCAGTCATGTGCATGGTGTATCGATTGTCAACTCACAATGTCAACTCCAACACATTCCACCATGATTATGCTCATGGTCACACCATGCTGATGTATGTCGATCGGTATCACATTGCAACCAGTTATCATCCAATGACTGCAATGCAATACCGTGCATGTATTGTGACTGATACGCTGTGCACCATCAGCAAGTGTGCAACTGTCACTTGATATATCGACTCTGATATGCAACAACATGCTGTGTTTACCATGATCATGTTTTTGATCAATCTTGGACTCATGATACATGATTTGTCATGTTGGATCGTGTGGATATGTCATGGACTGCAATTTAGTTGCAGACACACATATGTTTGACATTGACCGATGCATACTGTGCAATGACTGATCAGTGCGAGTGTAATTACACACTTGGTGGTATTGTGCATTATAGTTGTTTGACAATGTATGAATGCTGGATTAGTCGGTTATATGTAACCCATTTGAATCGACCTATTTGAACAAACACTCGATGTAACTGACAAGCAATGTGTATACATGGCTGTTGGATCAGTCGAGTTTCTGTTGGTAGTGTACCGGTGGTAACAAACACTGTTTTGACACCATCACCACAACAATCATACAACAGTTGACCAATACACTTGTAACATCAACAGTATATGCTTGTACGATTACAGCCTGTTCACATGAGATCATTTCATATCTCAATACCCAAGTTTATTTTAAATAAATCCATTCAAAAAATAACTGTAAATCAACAAATAAACCAACAATTCAATCCAGCCAACACTGTTTTATACACTAGTCTAATCTGTCAATCTTGGTTGGTATTATTATTGATTATATTGTGGTTTGTCTTATTCAAGCACAAATGCTCGGTTATACTGTCAAATATTACATTTATCAATGCTCACTATCTTGTATTGGATTCCATTTGTCGTCAGTATACTGGATTGAACTAATCACTTGGTAGATCAACATGTGCAATATATCAATAACCAACGTGTACAACAACAAAATATAAAAGTTGTTTCAGTCGATAGTAATCCAGTGTTATACAGCATACATGATTATTCATGAATGTTGACATGACTCAAGAGTATGGTGTCCATGACATTGGTAATGCAATCAAAAATACAATAGTTATTCAGGTTTAAGGGTAGCTGATCAAGCCATGCATAGTGTAGATCTTGATGCTGCATAACCATTTAAAATGGGGTCTTTTTAAACTGTATTCGACACTTGGATTCATGCTGTGTCCAGTTATGATCTGAGCATTGGCTGTCTTATACTTGCCAATTTGAAACAACCGGGAATCAGGGTCAAACTGTTCAACATATTGCGCAAAGGAAACCTAATACATGCCAGACAGTTTGTGGATCCATTTTGCTTTCGAGTCAATACATGTTATACAATGGTTGTTTTAAACACCATTATTGCCATCCAAACACATTGCTCACAAACAGCAAATCAATCGTATGATAACCCTGACCAAACAGAACTCATAGGGTTGGAACTCATCAACCCGAAATGACATATCTGGCCAAGTAACCAGTTCAAAAAATACAGATCAAGCAGCAGAATTGAGCAAGATACTTGACAACCATTTACTAAAAAACAAATTATGATGATTGGATAGTGTATGGATAAATACAGCACATTTTGTTACGTTCAATTATTCGACATAGCTGGCATATAACATACACAGCCATAGTGGTATACAAGCAATTGATTAGCATGCAAGCTGTGCAATTGTAATAATTAGCATGTTCATTAAATGGGTTTATGCAATCACCACGTGTTAGACCCTAAATTAAATGAGCATAAATTATTGGCAGTGCTGCAGCCGACAAGTGATTATCTATTGATAATCCAATATGTTATGTATATTTGATATATGGACTGGCATAATTGACAAATGTCAATACACCATTAATCATCATATTGATTGAACTGGATTCACAGTAGTTTGAGTTGGATGTTGTGTTGGATAGTAAAATACAATTGATATGGTTCACGTGGTAATGCATGAATTGGTCAATTTACATCTTTTGCTTTATCTACCCTGAATATATACCTCGATTTCGTTATCTTGCTTGACATCAAGCATTTTAGTAAGAACAATGCATATAGATGCAAGAATAGCAAGCATTAGTATTGCCAGTCAAGACCATCAAGGTATAAAAATGAGTTGTCAGCCACTATCAAACATCATCAAACTGCTACAAATCAACAGCTCAATCTGTATAGTATTGATACGCTTGCCAAATACATTTCAATAGTATACTGCAGTCACAATGAAGTTTTTACTACTAGCCATTGCTTCTGCTGCGTTCACTGTCAATGCTCAAGAAAATAAATCTGGTATGCAAATCTGTTGATCAGTCTATTTTATGTTGGGTTTGTCAATGTTTGGATTGTGCAATCATTCAAAACTGTACTAATTGGCATACATTATAGAATCCATGCCTAAATGGGCCTTTATCAAGGAACACCGTGACGCTGGCAGATTTGTTTTTATGCCATACACTGACGAACAACGAAACGTCGTGCTGACCAATGTTGAAAATGGTTTCAAATTGTGGACCAACTATGAATCTAAAATCAAACACTATGGTGAGCGTGCCGATCCCTTCCCGATCATCAAGAAACTGCGTGCAAAACTGGATGCATCCAATCTTACCGATACTGAGATGCAGACTGAACTCATGAATGCGTTTATTCGCATGCGTGATTTTCATAGTCATTTTGCACCGTCTGGACCATATGCTTGTTTCGTGGCCACGACTGGTCTTTATTTCAGATTTATCGAGGGCGATGCAGATATGGTCAAGAAACCAACCGTCGTCTTTGAAAAACACGCAGACAATCAAGGCTTGCGTGCTTTTTTTGGAAAGGACTATGACCAAATCAAAGCTGGCGACGAATTACTACTTGTTGATGGTATGCCGTTTGTTGACTATCGGAACTTGAACCAGGACAAATCGGGTGGTGCCAATGATTATGGTGGTCAGCATGGTGCTCTTAATTACATGACGTCTCGTTTTGGTGCCTTTACTCCTTTGCCAGAGACTGATACGATCAAATATCAGTTCAAATCAAAAGATACTGGAAAAGTGTACGACATTGAAGCTCCGTGGGTTGTTGGTTTTGATCCATTATGCTGGAGTATGACTAGTCAATTGTATGCCAAAATTTCTGGAAAAACTCTACCTGGAACACCTCAGCCTGCCGACACGAACAGTATAATTGACACTGATGCATCTGATACCGGAGCCAAACGTCAGTTCAAGACTTGGAAAGAAATCAGAACTCCATTGATGATATCCGAGTACCATCATAAAAAGCAAAAAATTGATCAGATTTTACTTGGACAGCCATTAAAAAATAATGGTCTCGAGTACCAAAACGCCGGCGTGTCGACTATCAGCTGGGGAATCTGGAAACCCGAATCCAAGAATCTTGGTATTATTAGATTGGATGATTTTATACCGAAAAATCTTAAAACTGGTGCGAGAGCGAATGCGGAAGCTGTTCGTGAAATCCACAAACTTCTCAGTACTGTACTCAAAGACACCAATGCTGTTGTATTTGATCTCCGTGCAAATGGAGGTGGTAGTGGTGATTTTGCCAATGCCATTCCACAACTTTTTAAACCTGATTTTCAACCAATGACAATGAGATACTTGATGAACTCTGTCGCATACAACACTCTGGTTAATGGCACGTACTTTTTTGACACTTCTAATCCAGCATGGTACAAGACCCCACCTGGTAGCAAGTATTCTATTGATCATGACTTAAACTCGTTTAATCAAGCAAACATGTATGGCCAAGCCTATCTCAAACCTGTTGGTGCATTCACTGATGCTGTATGTTACTCTGCATGCGATCTGTTTTCAGCGTCTATTCAGTCGTCCGAGACTGGTTATGTTCTTGGCGAAGATGGAACGACTGGAGGTGGTGGTGCCGACGTATTCCCGCTTAATCCAACCTTGCTTTTGTTCAATCACGTTGATTTTAAGCCAATGCCGTATTACCAAGAACTGACCGACGAAACAACTGGACAGAGCTACACCAACGCTCTTTCAATCGGAGTTCGACAGATGATACGTAATGGAAAACAAAAAGGTCAACTGGTTGAAGATATTGGTGCCGTATCCGACTATATTGTACGTCCCCGTTTGACGGATATAGTGCCTGGATCCATTGGAGATGCACAATTTGACCGTATTGCCGATCAGCTCAAAACACTGGGTGCCAAAACTGGACTGAACAACCTTCACTTTGTTTCTGAACTTACCAACTATAACACCACTAGCAGTGACGTAACCATTGATGTAGAAGTTCAAGGAATCAATCAACTGTCAGTTATCGATGACACTGGCAAATCACTTTCAGTTGCCGATTTTAAAAGCAACATAAAAAGTCAACACTCGTTCAAACTGGCATCTGTAATCAACGATCTTGGTAATACTCGGGTCAGTATCATTGGCCAAAACAACGACAAACAGGTTCTCAAAACACATAAGCATATCAGTCGCACTCCAAAACAAGAAGACTATTTTAAACTTGAACGTGGTGTCAAATGGAAGTTTAATGGTACCAGTAAATCGGTTGGAATATACAACTCGCCATCTACCAAAAAGTCACAGGGATGGAATTCGATCAATGGTAAATGGGTTGTTGGCGACGGAGTACAATACAGTCCTGAAATAGAGACTGAGATCCGAGCATACTATACTGCGCCAGTTGGATCCAACATCACCATTGAAATTGATGCCAAGCTTGAATCACAACTTTATAGCGACTTTTTAGGACTGTATGTCACAGATGCGGATAGCAATCAAGAATCGCTTTTGAATACGCTTGGTCCAGATGGTAATATACTTACAGACGGTATTTCTGGATCCGAAGCACTTGTGAAAAAGTTTCCAGTGACAACCAAGACGGAACAGTTTTTTGTTAATCTCATGTTCAATTCAGATCTTTCTGTGCAGATGAAAGGAGCAACAATCAATTCTTGGAGTGTTACCATGAATTGAAATGGGTTGTAAATGTTGCTGAATGCATCATTGATTGCACCACCAGGCTATGTTTGAATAAATACAGTGTTTGCATAACTATCCTATACACTATTGTTTAAATTTATTTCAATCAACACATGTAAACCTTTTATTTAGTCGAGTGAAATATGCAAGTTTCAAACCATTTTTTAAATTGGACTGGTTTTGTCATGGATGGAATATTGCAAGTGTTTTTAAACTTGTCAGGTTTTTGTAATTTTTGGTGTGTTTTAGACATTTGAATGAAAGTTGATATTGGATATTTACCATACCAATCAGAGTTGTCATGGTTGTTTAATGAAACTCGGTACAGATCTGGATAAAACCGCATTTAAACCTGCATTTTCAATGATCTGATGCGACATGAAATCATTCGAGTTGATAATGGTCATTGCACTATTGTCTTGTTCTTGTTCTTGGACTCTTTCACTGGTTTTTTAGCTTTCATAGCCGGTCTCGAGTTGATTACTTGATTCGCATTTGGTTGATGATTTCAACTGGTATTTAAAACTATGGTTTGATTGACAGCATTAAAGTAGTTGAGCCAAACATGTGGACTGCAATGGATGAGTTTGGTGATTGCACAATGTATGATTACTAAGAGTGCACAAAGTATAAATTCAGCACTATAGTCTGATTGTGTCGTATGATGGTTGTTGTATATCGAACATGCAATGCAGTCAATGTGTAGTAACTATTGTATATTTCAATGTATAACACAGTTATTGTTGGATGAATACTGGAGTGAACCATTTGACATGAATACGGTTGTAAAAAGGAGCATTTGCGGTTATACAACACTCATGAAGGGTGTGCTTTTCAATATACCTGATCAAAGGGTCGTAAAAGCATAATTCAATCGACACGATCATCAAATTGACCAATATGATATTATGATTAGGGAGTAACATACTGTCTAGTTTGATATTGGCTCATTACAAGCAATCAAGTAACCCTATGTCATTGGTTAACCTAAAAGGGTTGGTTTGCTATACAAAAATATAAATACAATCGAATACATTCAGTCCTATAATCGACACCAGTTTCAACACTACTTTTGTACTAATCGTTTAAACCCATTGACCAATCTGATGAAATTGGTTGATATTTTACTTGTACTGACTGCGGCAGCAACCGCCAATGCAATACTGATCCCAAGTGATAACGATGGTTCACCCAAAGCATCAGGCACTTCAAGCCAAGTGTCTGGTCCAACCAATGAACCTAATCCAGACACTTTCGATGAATACCAGCAAGAGCCAATGGATTTAAGCCTTCCTAACCGATACCGGCAACAGCTAATTGATTTGACTATTTCCAACAAATACAAGCAAGAACCAGTTGATGAATCCAATTCAAACACTTTTGGTGAATACCAGCAAGAACCAATGGATTTAAGTATTTCCAGTCGAATCCAACAACAACCAATTGATCAACTCAGTCCGAGCACTTCCAATCAAGACCAGCAGAACCCGATTGATGAGGCTGGTTCAGCTACTTCCGACCAAACTCAGCGGCAACCAATAGATATGGTTGATCCAAGTACTTCCAGCCAAAACCAACAGCAACCAATGATCCATGGCAGGTCTTCAAATACTGTCACAAATCAAGTGACTGGATTAAGCGAAAGATATCAGAGAAGCTTTAATCGTATAAAGAAAAAACTTGTAGCGCTTAAAACGATACGAAAGGAAAAACACCAAGAATATTATGACTGTATAGCCCTTAAATTTGCTCAGCAGTTTGCGTTGGAAATGGGTAAAGATATATCTGATTCAAAGTATAACCCAGAGGATGAAGCCCGATTGAAAAAAGAGTATGAAAAGGCAAAAAAAGCAGTATACATTATCAGACAACAATTGAAAAGGTTTATGAAAAAGCGTGGTTTGAGATTTGAAGAACCGAATTAGGATTCAGATTAATGATTTGTCGATGATTTTGATTTTGAATAAATTTAAACTTTCTGATGTGTTGGTATTTGTCAAGTATTGTGAATGGGTCAACAATCATATCATTGATTGTATACTGTGTTGGGTATTACATCAACAGTTATTGGATTGCTGATTGATACATTGACATGGTTTGTTACATATACATCAATGACATGATAACAATCAGTGTTACTTGTAACTATCAGTCAGACTTGCAATCACTTGTCAGTTGCATGGTTGCATGATATCACCAACTTTTTAGTATTCATCCTGCAATGACTGTGTTATGCATTTCAATATACAATGGTTACATATTCGTTTGGTTGCTATTACACATTGACCCACTCTTTAATAGACACAACGAACATCATATAACGCACACAGACTGATCTTCAGCTGAAACTATCCCTCTACACACTTGACAGTCATACATTGTACAATCACCAATTCTGAACCCATATTCATGTATTGTGTTTGACTGTCGATATTGTCAATACAACTCTGTACACCCATTTGTTGTATTCTGAATCACAAATACGATCGCGATCTAGTTCAACAATGATGGCACATATCAATAATGCAACCATGCATGTCAATCACCACCAACAACACTGTATTGCCAACCATGTCATGGCACTGACTGTTTATCTAACAATTACATTCCAATAATCGTAGAAAACAAAGGTAAGCATTGACCAAACCAATAACAGCTTGTCCAATCTCAACAACATACCTAAAGTGTCTGCTCTCCAGTTTAATTGATGAATAGCTGCTCCATTTCGAAGATGAAAGTTTCCAACTGGATCTAGCGCAAACGATCGCTTGCTTTCCAGAATTAAATATTGAGAGCACAGCCGTTCAATGATGGGTTGATAGTGACGTGACAAGTCTGGATCATCAAGCCATCGAGTATCCTCAGATATCATCTAAAGCGATTCAAACAGTGATTTAGCATACAATACAAACCAAACTTGATCCAGGTATTTAAACTAGACAATGCACTTTAACATCCACACCTCCTAGTCCTATACATGACATGCATTAAACTACTGCGTGCCATCACAAATACCATGCACTGTTCAACACATACCACGTTGAGATGATGTAATAGAATAAAATATGGCAACTGTGGGATCCTTGGTGTCGGGATGTGGATCTGTCAGTATATTTTGAATCCGAGTCGATACTTCATTGACAAGTGCTACCTTTTACTCAAGCAATGTGTTGTTGGCTATAGATTAGCCAAGGTGCTGCAAATGAGATTGCAAACTAAAATGATCGGGATACACACCTGCACAAATGTAAGTGGTTCCTGTGGAATACCACGATGGAAGAAGCAGTAGCAAAGACGACCAGGACCAAGTCGCTGTTTAAGACCATCACACGACCCAATAGCATGCACAGCTTCATAAGAAATGATCTAAACCATTCAATTTAGCAAATAAGCTATTTCATCACATTAATGTAAAGCGTTGCAAAATATCCACAAGAATCTACCTTTTCAAGTATGCTTGCCGGTGTGTGCCAAGTAATGCGTTCCAAATCAAGGAATCCCATGCCAAACCACTCCTGTAGTCGGTTTTTAAGAGAGTCACCAAATGCAGAGTATCGTAAGCAGGTATCAATGCTTCTCGTAGTCTTGCTGATGATCGTAAAACTGTACAATCTGTCATGCACTATAGTTTATATCTCAGCACCAAGTATCATTTTGAGCAATGTGAAATCAACATGTATGATTGCTCTTACTAGCGATTCTTCAAACTGCTGTACAGCAGATGCCGTTTCCTGTAAATCAATACAGAAATCCTTGGCCAGTATATGCAAAAATTTAGATCGTCCAGTCTGCAATACACAATTGGGTCAATCCAATATTCCTAAAAGTTCATTTCAAAACCAGTTGTCATTGTAGATTTCAAGACGTACCAGATCTTGGTTTTCATAAAACTCGCAGAGTTGACGAGTCAGTAACGATGGCCAGATATCTCCATCCTCTCGTTTTGCCTTGACAACCCCAGCTACTAGTTTTCGAACACCTTTTTCATTGTTTTGAACATTCATCAATTCATCATCATTCGTGCTGGAATGGGGTTCATCTCGATATCCGAGTGTATAATAGTCTAGAAACCAAATTGTGAAATCAACAAGAGCATATTAGATGTCAATGTAAAACAATCCAAATTGTAATGATCCAACTGGCAAGTTTTTGGAAATACAGTGAATCCAGCAAGTTGAATTCCAATAGCAAATCTGAAATCAGTGCATTCAGATATTACAAGTCGTCAATAGTACTCACCAGGATAGTTTGAGTTCAACATTACATCGTCCCAATACTTTTCAACAGTAGAGCTGGGTGGAATTGGAACTTTTGTTGATAGTTTACGGACAAAAGTGATGGTGAGGAGGACAGACAAGCTCTCAAGAATCTTGAATGAATTGGGTTGCTCTGAATAGATTGGCAGGCTGGATATAAAGAGTTACGATGATGTATCCAGCTTCTATTGGCAGTAGTCGCAACTATAGCACGAGTAGATTGTATGGTGATGGACTGATATCCCTTGTGGCTAGTTCTTTGTAAACAGCCAATATCACATCTCATCTTGACAAGCAACTCCAAATGTTGGTTATACATCAAGGTTAGAATATGCTTGGATCGTATCTATTCAAGACATTCCTCATGAACAAGCCATCAACCCATTTTCAACAACCATTGGATCGATCGACGCGAATTTCGCTCATAGTATGCCATCAAAAACACGATATTCGATGGAAATGCATTTAGTATGTTTGTCAGTATACTTGTTTTTAATCCAACTATAGTCTTGAGCTGAAACTACCCATTTTCCATTCTTGGCATACTCACACATTTTCAATCATCAAGTTTGGGTACTGTTTTCAATTAGACTCGTATGTTGTATCCTAAATCTCGCATACGATCGCGCTCTAGCTCAACAGTGGTTGTACGCATCAGTAACGCAGTTGTTTGCATGTCAATCGCCACAAATACTAGTCGACTAAAGAGTTTAAAGACACTATAGTTCATTACATTAACAATGATCATGAGACTGGTTGTTTATTATACTGTAATACCCTTATTTAGCGTTCCATTTTACATGAATACGACCGTGCATTAGCAACTCAACTTACACATTTCCAAATGACTCTTCCTGACCCACTTATCTCTGAAGACCATATGACAGTAGTTTCCACAATTAATGGGCACCCTGAGCCAATAGCTGTATCTCAGCTACTTGAAAACAATCGTTTGTGGGCCAAAGCACAGGTTGAAGCCAAGCCAGAATTTTTTCAGCTTCTTGCTCAAGGCCAGCAGCCAGACATTCTTTGGATTGGATGCTCAGACAGTCGAGTTCCTCCTACAGAGATTTGTAAGTTGATGGCATTTACTAAAGCATGATATATCCATACCAGCTGTGTATGGTACCTGTAAATGAACGCAAGCCAAGTATCTTCTAGTTTATCTATACATGCATATTTACTGGTATACTTTGCAATTGTGAATGATGTATAAATGCAGTGCAACTTGGACCAGGAGATGCTTTTGTTCACCGTAATATTGCCAACGTCGTCGTGCCTTCTGATCTGAGTTTTCTATCTGTTTTGCAATACGCTGTTGAAGTGCTGATGGTGCGTCATATTGTTGTTTGTGGTAAGTTATACCGACTGATTGTATATATCCTCCAGCAACCTCTGTTAGGGTGCCGATCAATTAGAGTATGTCGTTTAAAGACTTGCATCAGTTAGCCATGAGGCGTATATGCCCAATACGTTCTAAAAATGCAGTCTACGTTTGATACGATTCAATGAGATTTGAACCAGTCTCTAGTGTCCAAATTAGACGACCCTTTAGCTTTCTATTCCTTTTCTTGCCGTCATCAACCTATTGCCAGAGTAATCTTTATTAATCATGTGGTTAATGAGTGATTTTTTGACGAGACAGCGGGTCGCTCATGTGATGGAATGTTGGGGTTAACTTAATTTCAATCATGCATGTACATACAATCTTTAGGACACTATTCGTGTGGAGGTGTACTTGCGGCAATGAGTAGTAAACGATTTGGTCTAATTGACAATTGGCTACAACAGGTTAAAGATGTTTACCAACAGCACATTGATGTTATTTCTGCGTTGCCTACCGAGAGCGAGCGTTCGGATATAATGTGTGAGCTCAATACTCTTAATAGTTTGGCCAAAGTCACTAGTACTAGTATTGTTCGTACTGCCTGGGAGCGAGGACAACCCTTGACTGTTCACGGTTGGTGCTATAGATTATCAGATGGATGCATTCGTGATCTTGGTCTGATTGTTGACTCGCAGGAAGGTTTAGACATCAAACTTGCCAAGACGTTTGCCAACAAAAAACACCCTGTTCCGTGAAAAGCAGGGTCAGTCTAGTTTGATTGGATCTCGTTGACTCTTTTGCAGCTCTAAAACGGAAGGGGATAAATGAGTAGGATGGAAATTGCTGATTCAGCTATTTTGACCACGCAGTTGAATTAAAGTTTATTTTTACTTGAATTCTGTTTACATCAAATGCAAACATGGCGTAGCAATAGAGGCTGATTGATTTACAAATCAACCCTGACAACCAACAATAGCGCTTAGGTTTCATAGGTTGATGTTTAAAATACATGGATTGTATTACAAACTGTTATGATATATCACAACACAAACGATGATGGCATAGTTGTATGTCCAAGTGGTCATTGCTATATAAAACATGTTTACCAAGAATGATCATATTGAAAATGATGAAAATACTAGTTATAAACACGAAACCAAAGTCGCCACTTGAAGAATTAAGCCACCACTTTGACCTGCTTCAATATTAGATGGGTTGTCTATTTTTATTATTATAAATAGGCGTTTAGTTATGATGCATCAGAACAGCAAATATACTAACGGGACAGAATTGAAACCACAAACAGCTGTCATTCCTACAAGCCCAGTAGAGCAGCTTGATATTGTATTATCGCTTATACCCCATTCGATACCTTTATTACCATCAGATCCATTAGTGAGCACTGACCCACTGACTATTCCAGATACTGAAAAACAGCCAGTTTTGTCTGTCCAAACGTTGCATACTACTACAAAGCATCAATCTAAATTCAGTCAACATCAACCCATTCTAACCCAACTCTGTACATCACAAACTCAATTCATGGCTAATGTACAGACATTTGAATCCACTTGTTGTGGCAGAGATAGAGATTGGTTGGACATTGACAACATCCAGTCATCTCAGCAACAGCAGCTGCCTTCACCCTCTCCGTTATCATCTAAACTACAATCCATTCTATACCATTTAGAATGCGCGACGCCTATGGATCCACAAAAGCAGATATTGGACCAGCATTGCCAATTGAAAAAGTATGGCAACGGCCTTGGTTTACAAAGTGCAAAGTCTCTACCTACAGTCGTCACTCCCATGACTGCATTGGTGCCCATTACTCCACTCGAGCAAGTGGCTTCCCATCTGTCGGATAACCCCAGCCCTAAATTGGTTTCAGATCCATCCTTGTTAACCGACTTACAGCCCCCACAAAACTCTTTACGTCTTGGCTGTGATTGCGAATCTACAAGAGAACTGCATTGTCGCCATGCACAACCGCAACCCAAGCAGCATAAAGAGAAAATGAAGAGTGTGAGTGAGTCTGGGAAATCCACACCAGATTCAGGACTGGAGAATCCTCAGCGTGCAAAGCGTCGTCGTCGGCTGTCTAACCATATCACTTTGGCAAAGACTGCGGTTGGATTGCGTGAAATTGCCAAAAAGATTGGCAAGTAGATCATGCGCTCTGTCAGTATCAATTCCTTGCGTTGAGAATGATGTTCTAATTTTGATATCTCTAATATGGTAAACAGGCATGGCTTATATGCGGTGGGAATCTCCACCAAGAACCGTCATGATTGTTACAAAATTACACGATCCTGAACTGGTTCAGCTTACTTACAATGCTGCGCAATGGCTTATTGCCACTGGCATCACAGTGTATGTATCATTTTGTGGTCAGACGTTTACAAACTGAATCATACATTCAAGCTTAACACCATGCATTTTAGATTTGTTCAGCAAGAGTTGTTTGATCAATCATTAGAGGAAACCAAATCTAGCGAGCCAACTTTCAAATACGATCTAACCAATCTTCGATTTTGGACCCAAGAGTTTTGCACATCTTCGCAATCCAACTCGATTGATTTTATAGTAACTCTAGGTGGAGATGGAACAGTATTGTATGCAGCATGGCTATTTCAACAAAACGTGCCTCCAATTATTCCATTCAATTTAGGTAGTTTGGGTTTCTTGACTGTGTTTCCTCATAGCAGCCTCAAAACAGCCATCCAACGGGTTCTTGATAATAATGAAGCTGGCATGCGCATGAACTTTCGAATGCGGTTTGCATGCACCATTATTCGTAAACCACGTGCAGATGGCAGTCAGATGCCTGACAATGGTTGTGTGTATCATATTCTTAACGATATGGTTGTCGATCGTGGTCCGTCGCCTTACCTTAGCCAGCTAGAGTTGTATGGCGATGAAAACCATTTGACGACTGTTCAGGCGGATGGATTAGTGATTGCTACACCAACTGGATCAACTGCGTATTCTCTCTCGGCTGGTGGATCTGTTGTTCATCCAGACGTGTCTGCGATTCTTGTTACACCCATCTGTCCGCACACGCTTTCGTTTCGACCCATGATTTTACCAGACACCATGGATGTCAAGATTGTGGTACCAAAAGATTCAAGAGCTACGGCATGGGTTTCATTCGATGGTCGACATCGAGTTCAACTTCAACCTGGCGACTCGATCCGCGTATGCGCTAGTCAGTATGCCGTTCCAACTGTATGCTGGAGTGATCAGAGCATTGACTGGTTTCATGGTCTTGAAGAATGTCTGGCATGGAATAAGCGGGATCGACAAAAAAAACTTTCATTTACATAATACGTTTATTCATGTACAATACAATGTTTAAAACTGAATCTATTTTAGCATGCATGTCCAATATTAAACTATTGGCTTTGATCACCCTAAACTTGTGGCACTTTAGTTTACAAAACCAAATACAATGGCATGTGTCAATGAAATGCCACAACTGCCAATGTTGGACAGATTAAATGAGATTATCCATTTAAAATTGCAGTTGTATTCATGTAAAATGGAACGCTAAATAAGGGTATTACAGTATAATAAACAACCAGTCTCATGATCATTGTTAATGTAATGAACTATTGTGTCTTTAAACTCTTTAGTCGACTAGTATTTGTGGCGATTGACATGCAAACAACTGCGTTACTGATGCGTACAACCACTGTTGAGCTAGAGCGCGATCGTATGCGAGATTTAGAATACAACATACGAGTCTAATTGAAAACAGTACCCAAACTTGATGATTGCAAATGTGTGAGTATGCCAAGAATGGAAAAATAGATAGCTTGTATCATACGATGTTGCTGTGTCTATTCAAAAACTAAACATGCTTATCAAAAGTCGATTTCTGACAAGTACAACAAATATTTAACCATTGTTTATCCCAAAGAGGCAATCGACACGAGAGTTCCATTTTACATAAATACGGTTCATATCAAAGTTTGATTTAGAATCAAATACTTTTTTACATAGAACCCGGTTGTATTGACATTGAATCTATTTCAATCCTACAACTTTCCTACAAGTCAATCATTGAAACTGATAAATAACCTCATCTTTTAAAATATCATCTACCATGGTAGAATTGATTGCATCAACCACATCATTGTCTCGAGTACCAACTGAACGCATGAGCCGTTTTACAGCTCATACCGAATCCTTGACAACATCCCTTCAAGCTCTTTGTCAAGCTCTTCAATTGAGCGAAAAAACGGCTCTTTTAGCACCACCATTTGAACTTTTGGCAATCAACATTCAAAACGTATGTGAATTAGTTTGTGGTGGCAGCTACGACTCACTACTTGATGTGCACGAAGGTGTTCTGGCTTTACAGACCGAGACGTATGCCAGTTGTGTCAAGATCCTCAAGGTTGGATCGGCAGAATATGGCATGGAGAGCATGAACCCACTCCATGACACTGATAGTGCCATGTTGACTCAACATGGCTTCAAAAGCAACAGAATACTCAAGCGATCGACTGGTCTGTTTAATGCACCCAACCCGCTCTTGGTCTCCACTTTCAACAGTCAAAGCATTGCTAGTGGCAATACGGCAGGTGGCAAAGACACGAACGAGCACCCGCTCATCTCAAACACCACACCAACCAGTGCAACTAGCAGCTCTAGCAACGATAGTGCTATTATTGGCCTCAAAATATCGCACGAGTATCACAATGGAAAGCCTACTACACTCGAAGAATGGAGGCATTTTCATGAGTGTCTTGCTAGGAACACCGATAGTCCCACTAGCTTGGATAATGCACAGATTCAACACACTGTCAACCATGGTCCGAGCAATCCGACATTATCCAAAGAAACACTATCCAGCTCGACTCCTGCACCTACCATCACTCTCCCAGCTTACATTGCCGATTGTTCTCCAGACACGCACAATGACCACCCATCCGCGACTGTTTCCACCAGTACATTAAACCACCCAATACGTTTGCATCCTATTGCTATAAAGGCTCCTACAAACGCAAGTGCTTCAGCCATACTTTCGCCATTCGCAGATGCATCAAGTGAAATATCTGGTTCATGCGGTTATACAAGTACCCCAGACCAGTACTATTCACTCCCACGTCTACCCTCAACGCAGCCCAACACAGCTCTTGAATCTCCATCTCTTCATATGCCTTCGCAAACACTCTCACCCATATCTCCTAAATCATCTATTCAAAAACTCATCCGGACCTCATCACTCAAGAAACCAAAAACCAAGTCGAACGAAAAGGAGAAACGACATGTGCGGTTTGTACAACCCAATAAGAGTTCAGATGTGGTCACTGATTCGAATGGAATTTCCAAGTCGGACAAAAAAGCAGAGTCTATTTGGCCAACAGTCACGTCTAGCTCAAAGCCAGATCTGCACACTCTCTATGATAAAGTCATAACACAAGTAAAACATCCATTAGACTTGTCAACAGACTCATCAGCAGACCCGTCAACAGACTCACTAGCTCAACTCAATACACCCATTACTGCTACATCTTCGCATACTCGAATCATTGCTCAACATATTCTAAGCAACGTTCCTGTCAATCAAGTTACGCCTGTGGATCATTTATCTTCTCAGCGATCGCTTAATGTGGTTGTACATCAACCAACTGAAATCCATTCTTTTGTTGCGTCAGTGGTGGATGCCAACAGTGTGTCCAAATCCGTTTTGTCTTCAGTAGTACCTGTCAAACCTGTACAGACTGTTGAAACTCCTAACCCTGACAAACCCACTGTAAAGTGTGTCATGGCCAAGTATGATTACAAGGCCAGAACTGCAAAGGAAATGTCATTTCAAAAAGGCGATGTGATGGTGATTAGGAAACGACAAGAGACGTGGCTGTATGGAACATTAGTGGATAAACACACACTAAAACCAACTGTGATTGCAAACCATCAAGATACAGGTACAATCTCTTCAAGAGGATGGATTCCTGTTGCATTTGTAGTAGCATACACTCCAAACTCAAATGCATGATATTTGAGAATAAATTGAATGTTTTTATTTTGCTTTTCAATACAAATGTGTAATCATGTCAACTAGGGTTTCTACTCGATCAGCTTGAGTTCCTTCCTATATCGAGCCTCCTCGTTGTTCCAGTTGGAAATCTTTTTGGCAGAATCACCCAACTTGGATGCAAGATAGTCCATCCGAGATTGAATGTGGTTTGATCCACCTGTCCAAAAAGATGCGGTAGATATTCCATCGTGGGCTTGTAACAATCCCAACTGACACATCTCTTCTTCCATTACCCTCACTTTTTTTTCTTCGTCTGATATAAGCTGTTTTGCTGTGAGAATTCCCATGGTCGAAACAAGTCGGGTGTCTTGAGTCATAAGGGTGAAAGCAGATCTGTAAATGGGTTTTCCTGGTCGAATGGTGTAAGGTCGACCATGTGAATGAATAAGAGTAATTAACCCATTGCGTTCCATTTGAGACAAAGCCTGCGTATCTCCTTTAAAAATGGGATGCATAACCAAGTGGTCAAACGGTACCTAGAATCAATTTAAAACATTTTAGTCGAGTGCAAGTCTTGAGCAGTCAGTTTAACACCATGCATTGGCAGTCTACCTCGTCAAATTTGCTCAGCATCTGCACAATCTTCCAAAATTGAACATCATTCCATTCGTGCTTGGATTTGTCTGCCTCTTCGTTGAGACCAATTTTACGGAGCTCTGTAACTGACCGGTGCAGTATATCATCAAATGCATCTAAATGGGTCGCAGGTTTGATGAAACATACACATTAGATTTTGCGAATGTTTTAAAAACTCGAGTATATCAACCAAAAATAATTTACCAGTGGGAGTTAGGCCAGCATGAATCTTTTGAATTAAAAGGTCCAAGTCATGCAAACGACCGCCAAGGGGCTCAATGCTGGGCCATAAAGACTTGGTATCCAGCTCAGGAAGTCGTCGATGTACATATGCAAGTGCAGTCTCGGGTGTAGCATCATTGAGAATAAATGTTTCGACAGATTTAGTGGGAATCACTAAAGTTTGTGAATAGCAATTGAAAGTCAGCTTCAATGCCAATTGATAAACTTATTCTCAGCACTACAAGTACTTGCCTTTTCCTATCTCTCGCACAGCAGCAGGATTGTCGCTAATAAATATAACGTGTGCAACTTTGTATTGTGTGGCCGTCACTGCAGCCCACTAAAAATCAAATAATACGCACAAGGTCAACATCGACGCATGCAAAACATCAAATACAGCTCTTACCTCGGCCATCATGTCATACAAAAAGTGGCCTCGAGCATTTTCTTTGCCAAGAAACCCGTCAATGACAATCACTGGATATTCAATCTCTGGAACACTCAATGAGTGATTATACTCATCGTTCTTGTCAACCAGCTCGTCTAGCACTTTCTGTCGAGCTTCGCGCTGATCTAGAGTAAGGTCTGTTACGGCTTTGGTTACGCAATCGAGAATCTTGCGTATCTCAGTTTCCTTTGTTGTTCCCAAACCAGCCTTGGCACCAGTAGTGGCAGTGATGATAGCATCCATAAACGTTGTAATTTGAGACATGAATCCAAACGACGGGAAAAAATTGACTTGGGAAGCCAGACGAGTGATGAGGACGTATTCGGGTTGGCCAACCAAATCCTCACAGTGAATAAAAAGCTTTTTTTTGTGATGCTCCAAAGATTTACGAACCAGCTCCGACTTTCCAGAACCCTTTGGTCCATGGACAATTACCAAAGTCTCTGGAGCCTGCTTATAGTGTAGCTCGAGTCGTTTTGCTTCAGTTTCCCGCTCATCCCAGCCCTGATTAGTAGATCTTACATTTTTAATTTTAGATCTGTCCATGCTGGAATACCCAGTAGCAGAAATCAAAGCGGATATAGATGATTGGGCACCATTCCACATAGCACCTGCAGTCTCGGTGTATTTTTCAAAACTGAACCTATCGGTGAGTTTACTGACAATCGAAAAAACCCTTAGAGGATCAAATACGATATAGGACAGGGCAGCAGTAACAGCCAGCAGGATGGGGATAGATATGCGCAGATTGGAAATGGCCCAGTTCCAAAAGGAAAAGCTACTCTTGACCTTTTCATAGCCGATATGCACTCGGGTTCCATCAATCAACTCGCCATGAATGCAGTTACGAGCACTGGTAGCCGATCGCTTGTTCACAAACTCGACTGATGCAAATCTAGGAAGATCTTTGATGGACGAAGGTTGGATGGTAATATCCATGATGCGACCAAAGCTGCGAAACTCCCTGTACAATTGTTCCTAGATGCACATTGAGTTTAAATGCAAAATACCAGCCAATAAAGATGTAGAACAGAATGCAAAAACATACAACGGATAGATCAGGACCATGGAATTCCACATGCAAGCGTCTGGAAGGAATTCTAAAAACCATGTCTTCAACCCAAGGACGTCCCTAACCAACACAATGTTATTTACTTGTCAAGAATGGTAATAAACGATGGTGAATACCTTGACTTCGAATGCATTGATGCGACCAAAGTTGAAGATGGACCGAATGCCTGTAGAATGTACATGAGCCTGAATAGCTTCTATGGCCTCTTCAATAGTCCCGCCCTTGTACTTGAACTTGAGATAAAGGCCACCTTCTTTCAAGTTAGGCTCAGCCTCTCTAAACTGAAACTCGGCACCAGAAGGAAACCATGGAGGGATCAAGCGAGACCAGCGTTGGTGAAGAATAAACCTTTTCGAATAGTATTTGACCCAATAGGTGCGAGGATCCAGCAGACCAAGATGGAATGGAAAGATGTTGTCGAACCAAACAGTTCCTTTGTGATAGTTTGGATTCTCCATTGGACCAGTGGGAATGGCTACAATAAAATCCTGATCATGTTCAGTGGGATCGTCAATGGCAGCGCCAGTATGAGAGTGTTTAACATCTGAATTATTATCTATAGCAGCAGATCCTTTAGTAGATTCAGCAGTGGTGTTGGTAGAGTAAGCAGCAGCACTTTTACGATGAATGGGAACAGCGATAGCAGTCAAAGAATCACTTTGAATAGCACGAGTGCAAGAAAACAGTCTGTAGTAGCTTCTTGTTGATATGGGCTGAATAGAATAAACTGTTCTTTTGTTCAATAAACTGGCTCTGACAGATCCAAACATCTTGCAATAACACCAGCAAGAGTTGAAATGGCTTGAATTTTGATCATTTCAATTTGGCTCGAGCCAATCACGTTGCTCGGCAAACTCACTTCTAGTCACATGACTTCATACAAATCCATCGCGTCTTTATTACACTCGTTCAATACAAAAAACTGTCGTGAATGCACTCGACACTCTCGCTGCCTTTTGCTCTCCAAAGCCTGGAAGTAACATCAACTCCTCTGATGTTGCATGTGCAATATCCTTGAATGACTAGTTGAAACTAAATATTAGCGTTGTATTACATTACATTCTAGTGACTCGAGATCTTACCCCAATGTTGGATGCCAATGTCATTGCATCTGTTTTATTCACCGACTTGATTGCTGTTACTGCCTCTGTCAACTATTCAATTTCAATTTCAATTTCAGTCAGTATTATTATCATTTCAAACCACTTTTTGCTTGTACCTTTGAGAAATAGTCATCGTCCACTCGCTTTTTGATTAGATCTGGCGGCTTGTTTTCATATGACTTTAATGTTTCTATATACCTGCCTGCTTCCTGTCGACTAAAATATATTTCACTGGTTAGATATCAGCTCAAGATTTCTAGTCATAAATTCATCATGATTGTTACCTCCATGCTAGAATCATGGTGGTTTTTCCAAATATGCATGTGCGAGTGAGCTCCTTGATGGATTGTTGGTGATCATCCTATTTATTCAATATATTAAACTCACTGGCCTTTTAAATGCAGTCATCTGCAAAACCATCCAATGTGCATCTTACCACATCAACTACACATATCAAGATACGAAGATAAAACTTGCGTTCAATCTGACGCAGACGAGTGTCTATGTACTCTGGATACAATCGATGATATTTAAGACTATCAAATGACAATCCAAGTTAAATACCATTGGCACCAATACTGGTTATACTGACTGCAACAAACCTTAGAAAGATTACACCAGTGGTTTTCCCCACCTGATAGTCAGCATCAGTCTCGCCATATTCCCAAGGCACATTCTTGATATAATCAAGGACAGGATTTCCCTCTTGATTTGTATTGACTATCACTGCACGAAGCCTTGGTTTTGCTAATGATGAGGACGGTTGTTGTATTGCAGTGGGCGTATCTGCAGAACTGGACATTTGAATTTTATGGGCAAGAATCACATCCAATCCATGGCTTCAACTCAACCATGAATACCATCTTCATCTCAAGAATCCATCACTCAGCTCATACTTGATCTCCAATAATAACCATGTGCTACTATGACTGTCTTGACCCTCTACTATGATCACATGTCTTGACCCATAAGAAAAATTTAAAATATTGTCAAATGAAAACTTGTCGCATTAGTGCTCGCCATTCGCTTGAATAGTCGATACAATTAACGAGTTAGTATTGTCGACTTGAACTTGCATTATGTGTGCTAGAGGAAATATACTTTGAACAAATTCAACTGTATCGTTTCATTACTTTTTTTACAGTGATTCAGTTTCATATCGAATCTCATTTTTACTGCTTCTGATTGTGAATTAGAATTTACTTGAAATGATTGTTCTGCCTGGCTCTCTTGCTCTGTCAGAGTTTCGACGAGACTGTCTGCTCAAGGAATTGAATGAAAATGCTGCTTCTTTAACGGCTGATTCAGTCCATTCCTTACCCATTACGGATGTCAAGGCTTTCCATGTGCATTTGGTCCAAACTACTGCCGATATGTCAGATGATGATCAGAAAATATTAGAAAAACTACTGTATTATGGTACTGTCGAGGCCAACACTTTTTCTGCTCAAGACACTCTTTTAATAGATGCTATTCGCTCCGGAAAATGCAACTCGGTTGCTGACAGAGATGTTGGCATTTGGTATCTGTTGATGGTGACTCCTCGTTTAGGCACAATCTCTTCCTGGTCTTCTAAAGCTACTGATATTGCTCATATTTGTGGACTTGGTCATGTCAAACGATTGGAGAGATCTACCGCCGTGTTTGTGCGTGTCGGCTCAGAGGTTTCAACCAAATCTACTCAGCATACTTTACCTCGATCCCTTCTCGATGCTATCAAGCCTGCTATTCACGATCGCATGATGCATGCAGTTTTTGAAGGTATTCCAGATGAATCTGTTTTATTTGCTGTTGGCAATCCTCGCCCTCTTAAAACAGTCGATATCATCAGTGCTGCTACGCCAGAAAACACCAACTCCTCGCTCCCTTCATCCATACTTGCAAAAGCCAACGAAGAGTGGGGATTGGCACTTGCTGAAGATGAGATCGAGTACTTGGTCAATGCCTTTCTCTACCCATCAGAGGCTACCGCTCCTCGCAACCCAACAGATGTCGAGCTTATGATGTTTGCCCAAATCAATTCCGAGCATTGTCGTCATAAAATATTTGGTGCAACGTGGACGATTGACGGCAAGCAACACGACACATCTCTGTTTGCCATGATCAAAAACACATACAAGTTGAACCCGGCTTATATTTTATCTGCCTACTCTGACAATGCTGCTGTTTTGGAAGGACCCGTTGGTGTTCGATTTACCTTTAACCCTTCCACTAAACTGTACGAAACGTCGTTGGAAGCTATTCATACGCTTATAAAAGTTGAAACCCATAACCATCCTACCGCTGTATCTCCTTTCCCGGGTGCTTCCACTGGATCAGGTGGTGAAATTCGTGACGAAGCTGCTGTTGGTCGTGGATCAAAAACCAAGGCCGGTTTGACAGGATTTACCGTATCTAATCTCTGTATTCCTGGCTTTGAACAGCCATGGGAAACAAATAATCCGGGTAAACCTGCTCACATTGCCTCTGCTTTGGATATCATGACTCAAGGTCCGTTGGGAGGTGCCGCATTCAACAACGAATTTGGTCGTCCCAGTATCAATGGATATTTTCGTACTTACTTGCAACAGGTTCCTGTTGACAAACAGGGCACGCTTGAATGGCGGGGTTACCACAAGCCCATTATGATTGCTGGTGGTATGGGATCTGTGCGTTCTATGCATGTTCTCAAAAACAAAATTTCTCCTGGTGATCATATCATTGTTCTTGGTGGTCCTGCAATGTTGATTGGTCTTGGTGGTGGTGCTGCCTCGTCCATGGCACAGGGTCAATCCTCTGCTGATTTGGACTTTGCATCTGTGCAGCGAGAAAATCCAGAAATGCAGCGCAGAGCCCAAATGGTGATTGAAACCTGCACTGGATATGGCCAAGCAAATCCTATTGTTGCTATTCATGATGTGGGTGCAGGCGGTATATCCAACGCATTACCTGAACTTGTTCATGACTCTGGTCTTGGTGCCGTGTTTCAACTTCGTAATGTTCCCTGCGATGACCCACGTATGAGTCCCATGGAAATATGGTGTAACGAATCTCAAGAACGCTATGTTTTAGCTGTTGAACCTAAAAATCTACAGCAATTTATTGATATTGCAACCCGTGAGCGTTGTCCTTTTTCAGTTGTTGGTGTTGCTACTGCTGAAAAGCGACTTGTATTGGAAGATACACTTCTTGGTACAACTCCTATTGATCTCCCCATGTCTACTTTGTTTGGTAAACCACCCAAAATGCACCGTGTCGCCGAATCCGTCACTAACGCGCTGAGGACAGAGGTCAATGTGATGTCTGCTTCGCTTGAAGAAATATCTACTCGTATACTGTCGCTGCCTACTGTCGCCTCCAAATCATTCTTGATTACCATTGGTGATCGCTGTGTTACAGGTCTAGTTGCCCGCGATCAGTTTGTTGGACCATGGCAAGTTCCTGTTGCTGATGTAGGCGTTATCTTGTCTTCTCATGATCCAGAAGACTACACGGGTCAGGCTATGGCTATGGGCGAACGATCTCCGCTAGCACTGATTTCCTCTGCTGCTTCGGCACGCATGTCAGTAGCCGAATCCATCACTAACTTGGCTTCTGCAAATGTAGTAGATATCAAAACAATTCGTTTGAGTGCCAACTGGATGTCGGCAGCCTCTCATCAAGGTGAAGGTGCTGCTCTTTACGATGCTGTCAAGGCTGTCGGTCTTGATATTTGCCCAAAACTGGGTCTCACTGTTCCAGTTGGTAAAGACTCCATGTCCATGAAAACCAAGTGGACAGACATGTCCGATTCTGAAAAACCAGTTGAACATGCCGTTACTTCACCGTTATCCGTCATTATCACTGCTTATGGACCTGTAACTGATGCTCGTCTCACCCTAACTCCACAACTAAAAACCAACCAAGGAAACACCATTCTTGTTTTAATTGATCTTGCATGTGGTAAAAAACGTCTTGGTGGAAGCTGTCTTGCTCAAGTTTATAATCAGATTGGCAAAGAGTGTCCCGATGTTGAGGACGCGTCCATGCTTGCTTCCTTCTGGAAACTGATGCAAGCTGGTAGGTCAGTGACCAATCCACTGTTCCTGGCATATCACGATCGTTCTGATGGTGGTTTGTTTGCTACTATCATGGAAATGTGCTTTGCTGGTCATGTTGGTGCTACCATTGATCTTCAAAGCTATATCAAGGCAACTGTTCAAGGTGACACTACTGCTGCTCATAATGCTGCTGTTGCTGCTTTATACAATGAAGAGCTTGGTGCTGTTGTTCAAATCAAGGCAACTGACTATGCACAATTGCATGCACTTGCTACCACACACGGCTTCCCTGTTGAGCACCTTCACAAAATTGGTACTGTCGATACCACATCTCCACAACAAATGATTTCTTTCCATACATGTACACCCAAGAGCAATAGTAAACCGATTTTGTCTGGTTCTCGTGTACACTTTCACCGACAGTGGCAAGCAACCTCATTCCGTATGCAATCAAGAAGAGATAACCCCGTATGTGCTCAAAGTGAATATGACTCACTCTTGGACGTGTCTGATCCTGGTCTTCATTTGAGCTTGACTTATCCAGTCAGCAAGCCATGCACATCTTCTCCAGGAAAGATTGAATCGCTAAAGACATCACTCTGTAAAAGTGTAGTTGACACTCGTCCCCGTGTTGTTGTACTTCGCGAACAGGGCGTCAACAGTCATATGGAACTCGCAAGTGCATTTTATCGTGCTGGGTTTCTTCCACTTGATGTGCACATGTCCGAGCTAGTCTCTGCTTCTTCTATTGATTTAGCAACAGATACTCGCATTGTGGGTCTAGCTCTACCTGGCGGGTTTAGCTATGGCGACGTATTGGGTGCAGGTGCAGGATGGGCAAAATCCATTCTCCTCAACTCGCGAGCACGCACACAATTCCAATCCTTCTTTAACCGTTCCGACACATTTACAATTGGCGTGTGCAATGGCTGTCAAGTACTAACCCATCTTGCACCAGAAATGATTCAAGGAACATCCAACTGGCCTAGATTTGTTGGCAATATTTCTGAACAGTTTGAATCTCGTGTTTGTGCAGTCCGTGTACCCGTACACACCAACTCTATTTTCTTTAAAGGTATGGAAGGATCAATTTTACCGGTTGCCATTGCTCACGGTGAAGGTAGAGCCGAATTCACTGATATGGAAACTGCTGCCAAAGCGCTTATGGATGGAACGGTTTCGCTTCAGTATGTTGACAATTACTCAAGCGTTGCTAAAGCTGACATGTACCCTGCTAATCCAAACGGATCAGCTATGGGTATCACTGGTGTAAGTAGTTTGGATGGCAGAGTGTTGGCGTTGATGCCTCATCCTGAGCGTGTTGTGAGGGGAGTGACAAATTCTTGGGGCGGAGTGTTGGATTCAGATGGATTTGGACATGATTCAGCATGGATCAAGATATTTGAAAATGCCAAAACCTGGGTAGACCAACAAAAGATTTAAACCCCTTGCAATATGTATCAAGACTTTAAACTCGTCCAGTTGAATAAAAATAAAAATAAGCAACAACTGGTATTTTGTTCCAACATCTCAGATGTATGAATGTAGTTATAATGGATTAAAGAATTCCTCAAGACAGTTGAACCAAGTCGTTTAGAGTCGACAGAATTGATTTACTTTTTGATTCTAGCCAAAATCCACAAACTTTAATTTATTAGAAATGATGCAGTGGTGAATAGACTACTGTCCAATGCAAGTTGGCATTCCTTTTATCAAATGACTAGTTTTGATCGATAGTACAAACGATTGGATACGAAACCAGTTCACGTTGCAAGATTGAAATGATTCTGTATTAGAATATTGAACACTGAGTACAACTGCCAATTGGCTATGCAGCAGCAAGATTAGAATGTAGAATAGAAGCCACGGAACGATCAGCAACAATCACTACAGTAGTGTCGGTATCATCCAATGATGCAATATGTTGATCAATGGCTTGTTCCAAACGATCTGCAATTGCCATTGTTTGAGCTAGTCGTCGCGTGATGCCTACATTGTGTTGGCTCGATGAGTCAGGACTTGGTAAAGCACAACCAGATAAGATATCAAGATACCGACGCATTTCTTCTGGACCGAGTACCAGTCGTTGAAAGATACCGTCAATAAACAGATTACCTGTAGTAATCATACCAATTTCGGCAGCCTGAATACCCGCATGAGCATACACTAGAGCAATCCGAGCCTGCATTGACTCGGTAGACTCCGTTTCTGTATATGAATCCAATGGGTTTTCTTTCGAGTTGGGTTCTAGTAAACGTTGTTGTTCCCGATTCGTTTTCCATCGTTGCAACTGTCGATGCAGCTGGGCAGATCCAGAATTTGTAAAGCAAGAGTCGGCAATCAATTCCAACTGCTCTTCGCTCAATCCAGCCAGATCCATGGAAACAACTTGAGGAGAAATCTCTCTCAGTATTGGATCTTGAACATACTCTTCTCTATAATCAATCACACTGGATAGAAACGAAATCAGATCCCATTGCGGAATAAGTCCAGTGTGTTGCAGCACAAACGTCCAGTCAGAAGGAGTATCTATGGATTCAAACGTTGCACTTTGTTGCCTGGACCAAATCTTGACTTGTCCTAGCCGATCTTCAGCAGTAGTTGCTGGACGACGAACACTTACCAATCCACCTCCAATCGACTTTTCAACCGACTCGGTTTCAAAAAAAGGCTGCAGTATGGGTGCATAATCTTCCATCAGCCATGATCCTTTGCTAGGGTTTTCATCACAAAGAATGGAGACCGTTTGTGTGTTGCTGAATGAAGCTTGATTCATGTGAGAGTGACCAGCAACGCTCGACTTGACATTGATGTTTGTAGTAGTGTCCATGCCTGTAGATTGGTACAGTTCTAGAAAATGCTCTAATGCTCTCTGACCCTCAAACACCAGCTTCTTGTTATGTGAGAAGGGCAATGTGACTAGTCTTGGCAGATTGACCAACGACGTACCCAAAACATGGATTCTTGCTCGAGGATAAATTCTCGACTGGAGTGGTCGTAGAAACTCTTGCATCCATAGATCGTTTGCTGTTTGAATCCGCTGTTTGAATTTCTCTGAAGGAAACATCATGACATTTACATTAGGCAGACTATCTACGGGATCGTCAACAGAATCAAGTTCTTTAATAGGAAAAGGCATCAGCAACGACTTGACAATCGACTCTTGTTTTTTTCCCAGTTGCTGTATTGGTGGAGTAGTTGATTTGGGCAAGACAGCATGTTTGCTGGACAACAACTGCCGAAAAAACTTTGACATGTGAACTCCTGCAGTCAGCCAATGAATAAAAGTGTGATGGATAGTCTTGAGTTCAAACCACTTTAGATGTGCTGATTAAAAATAAAAATTGGATTTCAAGTCGGATTAATATTTCAATTCGAGTTTCTGCAATCTACTGAAATGGCTCAGCCGTGGACTTGCAATGTCTGTACTTTTATCAACGAGAATCCACTCTGTACAGCTTGTGAAATGTGCGATACTGTTCGTTCATCCACTTTGATTGAGCCTGTCGCTGTATTCGATTCTATCCTGACACCAAAGAAACGAAAACCTCGAATCTATGATCTTACTTGTCAACCATTGATTGACAGTAATCAAGTCAAACGATCTAGATTACATCCTTGTGATGACAGCACATCATCAGAGTTACACAAGTTCAATTCAATCAAACCAGTGGATCTGACCCTAGATTTAAAAGATACTTCCACTCTGAAACCTTGTTTTGGTGGCCGGATTGGAATGACATTTATTACTGGGCATAACAGTCAAAAAAGAATCCGGTTTCAGGATCTGGTTGACAAGGTACATCTTTGATGGTTTAACCATTGATTCTCTAAATTAATGTACTGAATAAATGGCATGAATGGATGGTTTTGTTATTGCAGGCAACATTGAAAAAGGCTTGTTTGTCTTCGTTTAGTATAGATGACGATTGGCTTTGTGATGTGTTTCCATCCACCATCAAGATTTGTCTGGCTAGACCCAAACCCAAAATGGTACCAGAAAGTGTATGTATTCTTCAAAGTTTAAACATTGAATATCCCGTTTTGCATGGATACGGCTGTAAATATACTGATTAAAATTATAATTTATATGCCAACTCAGGTGGACAAATTACCTGTGACAAATAATATTTTGTGGGTATTTCCTAAAATGTCTGCTGGATATGGTGCAATGCACATCAAGTTTCAGGTATGTTTTTCCAATCGTGCACAGTTGAATTGATTCTTGTTCACATCTAATAATTGAAAATAATATGGCACTAGCTGTTGTGGTATCCCAAGTTTTTAAGAGTGGTGATCACATCTGCAAATTTGATGCCGCATGACTGGCAAGAGCTTGAAAATGTAAGAACGTCTTGGCGGCCAGCATACTGAATAGTACCATAAATATACTACTTTATGCCAAGCACATTGATTTGTGAATATTTTAGGTAGTGTTTTATCAAGACTTTCCTATTTTAAATTCTCGAGTACGTCAATCTCAACACTCAGAAACAGCGTCCTCGTCAACCAACGAGTTTTCTAAAACTCTTTACAACTTACTCGTCTCTATGAATATTCCGCAATCCGTCATAGCCAGTGTGCAGAAACACGACTTTTCAAAAGCACTCGGCATGCTTGTTGTGTCATTACCAGGAAAACATGATGCAACAAGTATGGAAACTCGACAATTTGGATCAATGGGGTTATGTACAGCGTCTCAAGTGATTTCACGTCAGTTTCGGTTTGATTTAGAGCAAGCCATAGTGTGTATGCAGGTAAATAGATGCTATTTCATGTACGCTGCAAATATAATGGTGCTCCAAACCTATTGTGTTGATTATAAACCTTTCCCCTATTTTATGGTGATATGCTGTAGACAGCGTCGATGGGATCAACCCATCCTGCTTGGCTACGATACATGCTGTCGGCATTCAGAGGACAAGACGTCATTCCAGAAACCCCATCACTTGCATCGTTTTTCACTCAATCCATGTCATCTATTGAACCCATCACCATTTTGTTTCCCTCGCGTCGGACAGTAGAAACGTCGCGCAACGGTATACCTGTAAGATGTTGATCCACAAGGTTGAAATTCTACCATTTCAACTACAAGTGTTTGACTCGTTAATGCGTTTAGGGTGGTGGAACTATATTTTTTTCAAGCAAGTTTTGGTCCACGTTTCCACGCCATATTATTCGTGATGGCGTATCCAAAACCCAAGGGATTCTCATGCACTCAAAAGTAAAGTGTGGTTGTCATCCTATACATGATTCTGTATAAATGATATTCAGTATACTCATTTGTGAGGTGATGTACATAGATTAATGTGGTGATTGGAATCGGATACATTGACCTTTTGGCCACGTCTCAACAACTCGACATTGTGTCTGTTCCTATACACACTCAAGACAATGCTCATGATCACAATACGAAATTGGAAAAAGAAATCCATGGATATATTTACTGTGGATCACATAATGCAACGCAGGCTGCATGGGGAAGCGTCCCAGTTATGCGCTCTTCTGTCTCGACATCAAGCCAATCATGCAAAAGTATACAACATGGACATTTACAGGTTGAGATTAAGAATTGGGAGCTTGGTATACTTTTGCCTTTTCGGATCAGAGATGTGTGTAGTCATTCAAGTGTTGGATTCAATCCAGATCTCAGTTTTGTGCTACCGTTCGAGTATCCTCCTGCCAAGTATGGACCCACAGACAAGCCATTCAGCCAGTACTAATCAGTGTTTGATGATGGATGCAATGTTTAATTACTCTTTGATTTGAAATACACACCAAAAATAGGATACCAATAAATGGATTTTTATTCTCCCTCGCAAAATGGAAAAGTTCAAAGCCAAAGATTCAAAACACCACCCATAATAAATCCTTTTTGGTAGATGACAGTGGGAAAAGGAGTGGTAGAGAAGGGCAAAACAAAAAAGACAGGGTTTAAAACCCAAACCCAATGCGTTTATGCAAGACTCTTGGCAATCTCCTCAGCCTTTCGCTGAACTTCGTCAATATCACCAACCATAAAGAAGGCAGCCTCAGGAAGAGAGTCGTGTTTACCATCAAGAATCTCGGTAAACGAGCGGATAGTGTCGGCAAGAGAGACAAAACGGCCTTCGGAGCCAGTGAACACCTGAGCAGTGGTGAAGGGTTGACTCATAAATCTCTGGATCTTACGGGCACGCTCGACAGTGAGTTTATCTTCTTCGGACAACTCGTCCATACCAAGAATGGCAATGATATCTTGAAGCGACTTGTAGTTTTGAAGAATCTTTTGAACTCCAGTGGCAATACCGTAGTGATGGTCACCCACAATACGAGGATCAAGAATACGCGACTTGGAATCAAGAGGATCCACAGCGGGATAGATACCAAGTTCGGCAATGGAACGAGAAAGCACAGTGGTGGCATCCAAATGGGCAAAGGTGGTTGCGGGAGCAGGATCAGTCAAATCATCAGCAGGCACGTAAATAGCCTGTACAGATGTAATTGAACCCTTCTTGGTGGTGGTAATACGCTCTTGCATTTGACCCATATCTGTAGCAAGAGTGGGCTGATAACCGACGGCAGAGGGAATACGACCTAGCAAAGCAGACACCTCAGAACCGGCCTGAGTGAAACGGAAAATGTTGTCAATGAAAAGCAACACATCCTGGCCTTCTTGATCACGGAAATATTCAGCAATGGTAAGACCAGTAAGAGCAACACGAGCACGGGCACCAGGGGGCTCGTTCATCTGTCCGTATACAAGAGCGGCCTTGGAACCACCTTCGAGCTTGATCACACCGGCAGTAATCATTTCGTGATACAAATCGTTACCCTCACGAGTACGCTCACCAACACCACAAAAGACGGAGTAACCACCGTGAGCCTTGGCAACGTTGTTAATCAACTCAGTAATGAGCACAGTTTTACCGACACCGGCACCACCAAAAAGACCAATCTTTCCACCCTTGGCATAGGGAGCAAGAAGATCGACAACCTTGATACCAGTCTCGAGAAGCTCAGGAACAGTGGATTGATCGACAAACTCTGGAGGAGAAGCGTGAATGGGCAGAAGCTGTTTGGTCTTGATAGGACCACGTTCGTCGACGGGTTCTCCGATAACGTTCATGATACGACCAAGACATTCTGGGCCGACTGGAATACAGATGGGAGCACCAGTGTCCAAAACCTTTTGGCCACGAGTAAGACCATCAGTACCGTCCATGGCAATAGTGCGGACAGTGTTTTCACTAATATTCAATGTTTGAAAGATTAGACGAATTCGAGTTTAATCTGCATGATTGTGAAATTTGGAATCAGACAGAAACACTCACCCCAAATGCTGGGCAACCTCGAGAACGAGACGCACACTGTGACCCTGGACCTCCAAAGCATTGAGAATGGGAGGAAGATTTCCAGACTCGAACTGGACATCGACAACGGCACCAATAACGGAACGAACAGCACCTAATGAGCCAGCCTCAGTGGCAAGACCAGCAACTGTAGCATGAAATTGAACATGACAGTCGAGTCAGTATTTTGATCATATATTCAGACGATTGAGTAGAGATGAATGGGGGATGGCGTGATTAAATAGTAAGCCAAGACTTGAATGACAAAAGCCTGCTAGCAAGTAGTTGAGCCATGCAGATACTTGGATAAGATGGGAGTGCAGTTGTGTAAATAGAAACATGAACCAATGGCCGTAACAACGAAACAGAAAAAACGGGCCCAACGACACGGAAAAAAGACAGCAGATCAAGAATGGGAAGGCAGAAGGGAGATCAGCATGCAAGGAGTGCAAGAGACAACAGTAGGAGGACATCATGCATGACAGTAGCAGGAAATGCATTCACAAGATTGTCTTTATTCATACATGATTCAATGGAGGAGGGAGACACTTGGGAAAGTGGAGATCATGACACTAGTCGCTCATTGGCAGTGCTCATCTCATCATATAGATTCAGTGCTGATCTCATCAAGACGATACAGCAGCCCACAGAGCAATGGAGTGAAACCATTCCATTCCATTGTATTGTATTGTCAACACTACCATGGTGAGACAGTCCAACCTTGCAAAAAAAACAAGTTCATAGAGTGAGACATCAGTAATGCAATGCTTACCAGACATGATAACAGCAGCCGGAACATTTCGCCCAGCAGCACAGGCTGCACCAAGACGGGAGACTCTCCTCTGAAGAGCAAACATTGCAATGCGTTGTGTAAGAAAGAAAGAAAACGCTCGTCGAGTAGCTTTTCTTTTCAGGGTGTAAAACTCGGTCAGCAACTTTCCATCTTATCGTTACCTATTGGAAATGGCTGCATTCACTAGAGCATTGACTGGTGCTCGTCGCTCTTTGGCTCTTGGTAATGTATTGGTGTATTCATTCAACTTGACTGGATTGGCTTCATCTTTGAGAGCATCAATCGCTACTTGTGTCTGACTGTCAACTAACTTGTGTGCTTGATTGGAACTGGTTATAAAACCCCAATGCATTCACTTGGTCTGTTGTCCTTGTAGCTCGTCGTACTTATGCTACAGAAGCTGTCTCTTCTTCAGGAAAACTCATGGTCAACTTGACTGCCCCTCATCAGGTAAACGATCTACTTTAAACACATATCTTGATTTCTCTTGTCACTTTCAATCTCTCGAGACTTTCCATGGCTGATTCATTTTGAAATCCTTGGTTGATCTACACTATATTATTAGGCTATTCTCTCAAAGTTTGAGGCTCGTCAGGTCAACTTGTCTTCCTCAGATGGCGATATGGGTATTCTCGCTAACCATGTCCCAACTATTGCTCAGCTTAAACCTGGCATCATCGAAGTCATTGGTGCTGAAAAGTCGTCTAAATTCTTTGGTAATTCTTATGTGATCATTATAATGGTGGTCGTTCTATCTAAATCTTGCTGTATTGGTTAGTTTCTGGTGGATTTGCCGTCATTAACCCCGACTCTTCGCTTAATATCAACGCTGTCGAGGCTTTTTCTGTCGCTGAGCTCGATATTGACGCAAGTATCAATCATTCCAATACTCTTCTTTTTGAATCTAATTCGTTTTTACCAATGTTTAATTATAGGCTGCCAAGCGTGCCGTCGAAGATGCTACCAAGCGTATGTCATCTGGGTCCGAGGAAGACAAGGTGCTTGCAAAAATCGAGTTGGAAGTGTTCGAGGCTGTCGTTGCTGCTGCCAAGCACGTTTAAATAAACTTACACTCGCTCTACTCTGTTTTTATGTATTGAGTCTGCAATTTCATGACATGTTGATTGGATCAACTCTAAAAACACTAGATTTGACACAAACATTCATTCAAAGTCTAGATCCAATAGTGTTTCAGCATGCATAGCATCATGATCACTAGATTCGGGCAAATCGTGGCTCAACAAATCCAAGTCCATTGTATGATCTCCAGCATTGCTTGCGTCATCTAAACACACTTGCAATCAGATCTTCATCTCTAAATATTGACAACAGTACAGATTTAGCCATACCTTGAACCGTCTTTTCGGTAAGCAATTGATCTTGTCGAAACAAAAGACTCATGCGCATATGACTGTCTTGTGGAATTGGAGGTTCAATGACCCACGTATTGGGGTTAATAGGTGACATGGTATGCTTTGATACTCGTTGAGCATACGACAACAACTCATTAAAATCAATCGATCCTATCAACTCATCCATTAGTGTTCATCTAGTCCAAATTAAACTGCAAAAAAACAAACCTTGATTGGCCTTGTGCATCAACTTTTGCTTATAGCGAGCATTGGCTAAAACAGAATCAAGACCTTCATGAGCTTGATGCAGTCGTTTCATTTTCATTAATACACTCTTGTTTCGATTATCCAAGTCTTGTTTCATAGCTTGAACCTGCAAAACCAAGTTCTGATGCGATTCGACTATTACACCACTATTAGTATGCCATTGCAAGAGACATACAGTCATGCTGGGTTTAAATTAAAACTCACCACTCTGTCGATAAGATTGCAAGTGGATATCCAATGTCTTGAGCTTTTCTAGTACCGCCAATGGGGCGGATACTTTGTCCATGTCTGCAGCAGACGAGTCTATATTAGATCTTGCCAATGATTTGTGCTTAGCAGACGCAATGGCATTCATTGATTCAAACAAGTCAGTAATAAGAGATATGTAAACAGGATAAATCTCATCTGCTTCGACTAGTAGGTTATGATTGTTGGAGAAAGTAGTTGGTTTTATAGAATGAGTGTTGGATTGCATGCTGCAAGTTGAATAGTTGATTAAAACGAGGGAAAAAATCATGAACAATCAAGCCATTGTCACATCCCATTGCTATACATTCCTAGAATGACTCTACGAAACTATTGTTACAGCATGTCTTGATTCACAGATTCATTCAAGTTTAAATCACAACTCAACTTGAAATTTTTCATCTCAACTTGATCAACAATTACTATTGATTCAAATGGCTCCAAAAAGACAACTTTCAAACGACACTTGTGCTCTTGTCGAATCCGATTTGGAAAACAATGCACAATCTACTGATACTATCAAGGATTCTGATTTGCAATCTAAAAAACCAAAAACACAAAAGACTTCTAAACCAGACTCGGAAGCTGGCCAAATCACCATCAAACCTACTGGTGATCTTCTTTTAAACATTGGTGGAAAGAATCGCTTGACCGTTAGCAAGTGGAACAACAAAGTACTGGTTGGTATTCGTGAATGTAAGTCGTATTCATACTCGTTCTAGTATAAAGAATCAATTCACGCCTTATTGTTCTTGTTCGAAATGATTCTTGGTTATACACTAAATGTTTGTTATCGGACATGGATAGATTACACCAAAGATGGTCAGGAAAAACCTGGTGCAAAGGGCATTGCACTCTCTCCTGCATCCTGGAAAATGATCAAGGAAAATGCTGATCTCATTGACAAGACTATAGCCAGTCTGGAATAAAGTTGAATTCTAGTGCCAATAAACAACCCAATATTAAAAACATGAATTTATTTTACCATTCTACTGAAGCAATCTATACTTTGCATCCAAATTAAACTACTTTGTTTTTATTTATGCATTTCCCAAAAACACAAACATCCACTTGGACATCAAACTCAACTATACGTACGACACTTCGATAAGAATAACGGCAGCTGTACGACTTCCATCCTTTTCTTCCTCTGCAAACAAATACAGCTTGTTTCCTCGTGCAACCAGTAACTCAAGTGACCGAATCTTGTCTTTTTTCGTTTCAAATACGTGGACCATTTTGCCTGTCACACTATTGATCACATCAACAACAGTTGTGGATCCTGCAACAAGAAAATCATCACTCAATCGAGCTGCAATACAATAAAAGTGTGTTAAAATGACCAATCTTTTTAAATCATCTAGTTTAACACACAATGCATATAAATGGCTTGCCTGCAAATGTAAGTGGATTTCTCCACGTTAATGTGGCATAGGTATCCTTGCTCGACTCTAGACTATGTAGTAAAGCCATGTTGGTATAGCACACTGCAAACACGTCGTTTAACAAGACACCTCGAACTGGTGAGCCTAGCTGATCGGCCGTCACTCCATGTGCAGTCACTTCTTCAACTGTCACGTTTTGGAAATCGTAAACGCGAAGTGATGCTCCGGCATCAACATACAATTGTACTTCCCCCGATTTAGACTCACAAATATCCATAATCTTGGGTTTGATGTCCATTGGAATTTCCTAAAACAATGTTGTAAAAGTATATCAACACTCGAGTCAAATGGAAAAATACTAATACACGGCAGTCAAATTGTCAATTCATATGCAAACTTACTTTGAGTTTCATAAACTTATTAAATGGGTGGGGTGCCCATTTCATCACCATAACACTTCGTGGCATACTCACACACAAGTAAACTGAAGTACGTGTTCGTGTAATATGATATTGATCGCATCCTTTAGTTTCCTTCATCTTTTTTAATTTAGTTTCTGTTTCGAATTTGGATTTTTTCTTGAATCGCGTAATGCTGGATGTGTCATGAATCGATACAACATCGTATTTGCCTGAACGTGATATGATTAAATTCAAGTCCTCTAAAGTATCGATTTGGGCATAACGACGATTGGATAAAGGCATAAGACGAGCCTCTTTGTCTGAAATGGTGTTGAAACTGGTTAAAAACAGTTTGAACCATAATAGTGTAAAAACATATGACACACTCACCACTAGTTTCAAACGCATATAAACCGTCATCGGTTCCAAATAGCAACGTGTCGCCTAACAAGTCCACATCACAACATCAGAAAAAGATTGGCTTACGAAATTAAACCCTCATTTCAATAAAAGTCGACATGTTGCAATAAAAAACTACTTACCCAGGAAATTGGCGCAGTTGACAGTAATTGAAAGCCGACATACTTTTTCTGCCTTGAAAATCTAAAGGATGTTTACACTAATAAGTACCATGGAAAAACAAGGAAAAACAAAACAACTTACTGGCTTTTTTTCTTCGGGTGGTGTCAATTCTTTATTATGCAATTCATTGGCACCAGCACGAGAACTTTCTGCCATACTTGCCTGCCGCAGCATACCACTAGGACCATTTAATACAGCTGACCCATTTTGCGCACGACGATCATCTTTTGAAAGTGGTGACTGTGAAATAAAGCTTGCGCCATTCATTTGTGGTGACCGTCCAGCTGTAACTTCTCTTTTTACTGACACCTGCCGCAGTGATTTCAACTGATCCATAGCCTGATTAAGCGAGCCAACAACCACAGGCGATGGAAATTGAGTCAAAGAAGCGTGTGACGGTGGAGATAATGGTGAAAGCACTGTGGTCGGCATTGCATTTACACCACCCTGTCCAGACGCGCCTCCAGTCTGTAGCGTGGTAATGGCCAGTTTAGACATACCAGTAGAATCCACTTGACCGATTGGAAGATTCAACTGTGTCAAAGGTCCTGGATTCACTTTCATAGTAGACGTCTCTTCAATGTATATGTCTTGATCAAGAACACCATCTTTTAAAGACGCACTCTGGAATTCGTCGTTGGCTCCAGAATCACCCACAAAAGGTTTGTTGGGAATATAGTCGTCCTCGTCATCCAGTTCATCACGCGAGCTGGTCAACGCAGTCGGATTCTGTTGAATGCGCAATCGCTTTGCTTCACGCGCTCGTTCAATAAATCCCATAACCACTTGAGCACTTTCAGGAATGGATGCAAGAAACGGATGCTAAATAGGGCAAGTTGTGATGAGTCATGTTGAAACGTTGCAGGAATTATAACTAAAATGTAAAACTTGCCTGTAGCAGCTTGCTAGCTGTTAGTCGTCGATCTGGATCTTTGTCCAAACATGCCAGCAAAAAGTTGTGGAAATCTGGGGACCTAAGTATTCATCATTGCTCAAAGTTTAAACCATCATACCCAAATAAAAAAAACGTATAAAAACGTACCATTTGGATTTGTCCTTGAGTACAGGTGAGTCCAGTTTAGGAATCATAAACAACACGCGCATGGGATGCATATCAAACATGGGAGGTGCGCCATCAGCCATTTCTATCGCTGTGATTCCCAAGGACCAGATATCGGCCTAACTCAATCATAAAGTTACTGTTATAAATTCTTCAGATCAATTCAAAGCATCAACAATAAAGACAATCAAAATAAAGCCATACCTTGCCATCATATGATGTTCCTTGTTGCTCTGATGTAATCACTTCAGGTGCCATCCTACAAAACAGTAAACGGTTAAGCTATTTGTTTGGATACATATGAATTGATACAGATCACACTTGCCAGTATGGTGTTCCAATAAACGTATGCCGTTTAGAAAATGTGCGCGTGAGTTGTGTGGATACCCCAAAGTCCGCCAACTTGATTTCGCCCTTGTCCGTCATTAAAATATTTCCTACATGGCATGTAATTGTCAACAAGGGATACACAGCATAAACGAGCATTTGATTGGATAAAGTTGCTTACCGCACTTGATATCCCGATGAATTTTGCTTTTTGAATGTAAAAAAGCCAGGCCCTAAATATTACAATCCAGCATTGTCAGACATTAAAGTTTACTAGATGAATCAAATCAAAATCTTATACCTTGAGAGATTGGTGAATAATGCAGGAAATTTCTTTTTCAGTAAGACATCCACGCAGATCTAGAAAGCAACACACATGATATTTAAAATATTGAACAGTATAAACTCGAATCAAACCCACATACTTTTACAAGTGGCTTCAACAGAACCACCACCACAGTATTCCATAACAATCTAGAATAAACCATATACATTCAATACAATTAGTCAAATCCTGTATTGTCAGTTTATAAACTGCATCATCATGCAGCATGACACTCACCCAAACCACTTTTTGTCCTTTTACAGGTCCTCGTTTCATATAGCATCCCATGTAGGCTACGATATTTTCATGAGTGCAGTCACGTAGAAAATTAACTTCATTGAGAACTTCGTCAAGTTCTTCTCCAGCCTCGAGTTTGATGATTTTGACTGCTGTCATGATGCCAGTTGGAACATGTCGTGCCTGTGATTTTGAAATGTTACCATCACATACACACATGCAATCAGTAATAAAAAGCAAAATCCCAAAACCATACCTTGAAAACCTCACCATAACTATCAAAACAAAACCAATATCAAGCAACACAAAAAGTTAATTATACTAATCCGAATCGTTCAACTCATGATCAAAGCTGGGTATAAACCCAATCCATAGGTTGGTATTTGAATCAGATTATGGATTGAAAAAGATGTACGCATTATAAACAACCAACCCTTGATTTTGAATTGGGTATGGACCATGGAGTTGGAAGAGGTTAGGGTTGATGATGTATGCCAGCATTCTCAATAAAGTCAACCTCTTTTAAATAGTCAAGATTCCCATTCTACCATCAATCAGCTATCTAGTCCAACAATTACTCGAAAATAAGATCCAAGCATTTTCACATCCAATAATGGTAATTAAATCATCACCGCAGTCTGCCAAAATACATTTCAATCTATACCAAGCAAGTTATTGTAGCCCATGTTGACAAGTTTGATACGTGGGGTGTCAGATACTATATTGTATAAACTCCAATGTAGTGTGTAGGGTTAAATACATGACAATTGTAGTCAATGTTTCTGGAAATAAGGGATAGGAGAGACCAAGTAGATTAGGTTTGAGAATCGGAGTTGTCAATACATGGTGATGTACCTCCCAGTTCCGATATGCTCAAGTAGGTCAAATATAAGTTCCGGATCTTCCTTGACAGATATGCTTGCGAGTAGTTTGGCTGCACTAGCCATTTTAAATGAAATAGAGTTGCAATAACTAAAATGAAAAGGTCGGGCTTTGAGCTTGTTTGAGTTTGGATGTCGAGCGAAAATTGTCAAAACTTCAAACGTTTTTAAAGTGCTGTCGAGACTGTAAAATGCAATATTCTGGCTTGATAAACATGCAATGTTTAAACCAAATTGTAAATTCTGTCATGACAGACTCTTGAGCATACTTGATTTGAATATATTTAAAACTAGATTCGAATCAAACCGATTTATTGAGGCTGTAAGAAAGGATGAATAGGGAGAAATAGTAACGGAGCGGGAAAACTGAACCTAGATAAACTGAATACAGGATAAGAGTTTTGCTAATTTGGATTCCCGTATTTTTTGGGAAATTGAATTTAAAAGGTTATTTGAAAAATGAACTGCGGCAGGGAATTTAAAATATTTAGAATATATAATCGCTCAAGCCTCTGCCTCCGCTTCACCCTCTTCCTCGTCAAATTCGCCTTCCTCCTCTGCCGTAGCATCCTGGTACTGTTGGTATTCCGACACGAGATCATTCATGTTGGACTCGGCTTCAGTGAATTCCATTTCATCCATACCTTCACCCGTGTACCAATGCAAGAAAGCCTTGCGACGGAACATGGCAGTGAATTGATCAGAAATACGCTTAAACAGCTCTTGAATAGCAGTCGAGTTACCAATAAAAGTAACAGACATTTTAAGACCCTTGGGTGGAATGTCACAGACGGCGGTCTTGACATTGTTGGGGATCCATTCAACAAAGTACGACGAGTTTTTGTTTTGAACATTAAGCATTTGTTCATCAACCTCCTTCATGGACATACGGCCACGGAACATGGCTGCAACAGTGAGGTAGCGACCGTGACGGGGATCAGAGGCAGCCATCATGTTTTTGGCGTCAAACATTTGCTGAGTAAGCTCAGGAACAGTGAGAGCACGGTACTGTTGGGATCCACGGGAAGTCAATGGGGCAAAACCAACCATGAAGAAATGGAGACGAGGGAAAGGAACCATGTTCACAGCAAGCTTACGAAGATCAGCATTGAGCTGACCGGGGAAACGCAAGCAAGTGGTGATACCACTCATGACAGCAGATACAAGATGGTTAAGATCACCATATGTAGGAGTGGTAAGCTTGAGTGTACGGAAGCAAATGTCATACAAAGCCTCGTTGTCAATGCAGAAAGTCTCGTCAGAGTTTTCAACAAGCTGATGGACAGAGAGTGTAGCATTGTAGGGCTCAACGACAGTGTCCGACACCTTGGGAGAAGGAACAACGGAGAATGTACACATCATACGGTCAGGGTATTCCTCGCGAATCTTGGAGATAAGAAGGGTACCCATACCGGCACCAGTACCACCACCGAGAGAGTGTGTGATCTGGAAACCTTGAAGGCAGTCACAAGATTCTGCTTCTTTGCGAACAACATCGAGAACAGAGTCAACGAGCTCAGCACCTTCAGTGTAATGGCCCTTTGCCCAATTGTTACCAGCACCAGACTGACCAAAAACAAAGTTGTCCTGTAATAGATTGAAAATATAATTAGCAACTCCAGCATATGGCCAACACGCCAAGATGAGCAAATAGATACAATACGGCTACAAATAACTTACGGGGCGGAAGAGTTGACCAAAAGGACCAGCACGGACAGAATCCATGGTTCCAGGCTCAAGATCAATTAGAACAGCACGGGGAACATATTTTCCACCAGTAGCTTCATTATAGTAGACATTGATACGCTCCAACTGAAGGTCAGAGTCGCCGTGGTAAGTACCAGTAGGGTCAATACCATGCTGTGCATTTAAAACTAGATGTTAATAATCAAAGCCACAAGGCACATCAAGCCGTCCATCAAAAACTTAAACCTACCTCGTCCGAAATAACTTCCCAGAATTTGGCACCAATCTAAACACATCCATAAAACAAATAAGCAAAATGAAATTTTAACAGACAACAAAGAGGCGGAGTAATGAGAATAGCTTAAATTAAAAATGTGGACAAGTTATTTGCTTGTGAATATGGGTTTGTTTGCCCATAAATATGCAGCTTTTGGCTCAAACAAAGTGGCAGGTACATCACGTGCACTTGAAAAGACTAGAGGGAAGCAAAAGATGATTTCAAGAGATTGGCAAAGCAAGGCGCGCTCTGAACGAGTAGATTTGGGCAAATAATCCAAACTTGAAAACAACAGTAGCAACACCAAATCATAGTCTACTGATGAATGTGTCGCTGAGTAATACGCTCAGATATGGTGCAACAACATGTCCGAGTATTTTACAAATGCAAATTCTCATTCAGGTTCAAAAATAAACTTTTAGTGGGAATGGGCTGTTTATGGTGGCAAACCATTAAACACACTCCGCTTGTGTCGTCTGAAACACAAAAAAAGCTCCTAGTATAAGACTCTAATACTGTCTCGACACCTTTCTGTAAAAATACTCTGGCAAGCTAGCCAAGGCATGCAGAATACAAAGTAGAATAGCCAGTAGAAGGAACAAAAGTTGTGCATAAAGTAATTTAGGTCCGATATGAACATTCTGAGAAACATTGCATGTCCGTAACAACCCACCAGCCGGCGGTTCTGTTTAAACCCTAAAGTGTCCAACCCTGTATAGCCAATAGCTAAACAGTTGTCAACAAGACAAACAGACGAATATGGTAGCAGCAAGCGCTGACCACATTGGACTGACGCTTAAAAGGTAAAAAGTAGAGTTTTTCAAACTTGAAGAAACAATATCCAGCCGCAGAATTAGTGGTACTATAGTAGCACAACGGAATGCAAGACTGTAAACTGACCTGGTTACCACACTGACCGGTTTGTAAGTGAACAATTTCTCTCATTTTTAGATCTGGACGATTTCAGGGTTTTCTGAAGGGGAAAGTTGGACAGTAAAGAATGTCGAGCTTGAGACGCGGAAATTGACGAATCGCGTCGAGTTTGCTTTAGGGAGACTTTGTCCCCAAAACACATTTTATAAACTCAGCCACACCCCATAACCTTGCAACTGAATTCCTGTTGGAAACTATCGAGATGATTAGAGAGGGTCAAGAATTCTTATTTAGTATCAGCTCTTTTAGCTTACTCAAATATGCTTCTGGAAGAACGTTGCATTGTCCACCATCTTTTTCTGGATCTCCACCACCAAACCCATTGTGAAACTCGGCCCCTTCACATAACACATCTTCTTGATCCTCTGGCTCTACTTCCCATTGAGAAGGTTTGAAAATTCGAACTCGCTTGGCTAGGATATGAGCTTGATGGAATTCGCGTAATGTTCCAAGCGTCGATGTAAATCCTACAAGATATACTCGTCGTCTAATATGAATAGCATAAATAGTCGAGTTAGATCTTGACAATCTACATTTAGATACATCACTTACCCTGAACAAATAGCCTCTGTTGTCAACATGGGTGAATCTGAAAATACCAGTACATCCGTAGATAACGCAAGTGCTGAGTTGTATTGGTCAGAATCTTGATCCTTCAAGCACAATACTCGGCTTTGCAAATCTGGCTTCAATCTGGATAATAGTCAGCTTAAATTGATGTTTTTAAATCTCGGTGCTTAAAAAGCTTACTTGGAATGCCATGTCATCAGTCTAGTCCGAACCTGTTCAAGTAAAATAAATTTAAAACAATCTAGACCAAAAAATAAAGTAAAAATACGCTGCTTACCGTTTCAGGAGTACGATCAGAAAAGGACAGCATCATTTTTACATTGTGAATAGTGAGTAGTTGCTCAAAGTGTCGAATCAGTCGATTGCTGTGATCAGAATACCATGCAAATAAACTATATGCAAAACAAATGTGTGAGTGGGATTGAATGCACAATACTCTAGATGTCAACTCACTTGGTTGTCTCCCCAGAAACCAACACGGCTATAACTCGATCTGCCTCTAAATTACGAAACGACTCGCTTATGTGCTCAATTGATACTGTATTTAAATATTCACGAGTAATAGGATTCAAAATCCCATCAGTTCTATAAACTCCAAGTTTAATCTCATCTGCTGCTGTTAAACCTAGAATCCACAAACCAAGTCAGTATTTTCAAACCAATCCATGCTAAAACATATCAACCTGATCATTTACCAATAGTAGGCCAGAAATGCTTTGGAATTAGACAAGCATCAAAGTGAATCACATCTACCAACGGATCTTGTAGATGAATGGCTTTTGATTTTCCCTCGCTCAGTTTCTTGACTAACAATGCAGGCAAAATTGTATCTGCACATGAACTAATCACTACTGCTGGTGCTTCACCATCTAATGTATCTCCATTTGGAGAAGTAAGGTACCAGGGAAGGGTTGACAAACGGTTGGGATTAGATAGTGCAGTAGACGTATCTTGAAGAAACTTGAGCTGGAGTGTTGGGAAAATCCATTGAATGGCTACATTTGACAACGATCCAATTGGATGATTAAAACAGTGTACGAATCTTTTAAAACTCTGGAGTAATATACTATAAAAACCAGCGTAACCCATAGAATCTACCTACATGCACTTGGTTGGATATTTTTGATAACAGGCTCAAGACCAAGTAGTTTTACCAATGACAGAGCCTGTCGATTTCTACAACGATCTCCAACTGACATGATCCATGCCTGTTGGTGGCTTCCAGTAGATGTTGAAAAGCCTTGAAATGACGAATTATACTGTGTATTGACTCTGTTGAAAAGTAAAAGCGATGAATGACTGGATACACAACGGAATATAAACAAAAAATGGTTCTTGTGCAAGGCATGCCTATTGTATGTAACACTGCATTGATGGAAAGATGTCGCTACTGCCATAGCCATCACCCACTTATTTCCTTGCAAATTAGCAAAGTGAGGTTTTGATTATAAAAATCGATTCTACTTTTGCAATCCATACATGTCATTGTGTAAATCATCCCATGAAGGTTCTCTGCAAGTCGTCCGTAATCTCCTTGAACAAACTCCCACTCTGATTAATCAAGTCGATTCAGATGAGCGCAGTAAGTATCCAGTTTTAATCATCTTGTCTAGTCGATTGCTAATTGGAATCTACATTGAATTATTCAGCTGCATTGCATTGGGCTGCTAGTGGCAAGCATCTAGATATTGTCGAGTATCTTGTTGAAGCAAGTAGTGATTCTAATGGTATTCGAGTCGCTCATTTCTAACCTTTTTCATTTTTATTGTACTGTCATGAATACAGAAAGGAGCCAATGTCAATGCCAAGGACGAGGTTGTTAATCTGTCATGTTTGACCTTTATCACTACTAACCCAATGTTGCATTGTGTTTAGGCTCATTGGACACCTTTAATCATTGCTGTTAATGTGGGTGCGGAAGATATTGTGCGACATTTGATATCTCATGGAGCCGATGTCAACGCACCAACAGACACTCTCGTCACACCCTTGCATTACGCTGCATCTCGAGATAGACTCGCAATCGGTAAAATCTTACTCGGCGCAGATGCCAACACTCACGCACTCGACAAAATCAAACAGGTACACTACTCCATCCCATCAAAATCCACTTGACAACACCACAGAATTCAACCCTAATTGTAATCTTAGTCACCTATGCATAGAGCTGCATCAATGGGTCATACACGATTCCTTGAACTTTTAGTAGAATCCGGCGCAAAACTCAATGCTGAAGACGTGGCGGGTCATTCTCCTTTGTTTCTCGCTATTGAGCAAGACCATGTACGTATTGTGTGGAGTGTTTGGGTTGAGAATTTAAATTGAATGTTGTTTGGTTGTAGATCAATGCTGCCCATTATTTGATCATGGCTGGTGCCGAAACGGATTCGGACAATAAGCTTATTCAAGACTTTATTTTGAAATATCGTGCCAAACCTGCCAATCTCCAATAAACCTCGTGTCAAGGCTTGGCATCCAATGGTGTCATAAACACGGCATGTCTTGCAACATTTCGATAAATAAAACTCGACTGTTTTACCCATCATGTTTTATTAGTATAGTAGGGTTAAAAACATGGTATTACTCATTACCAAAAACAGGATTCTCTTCAGGAATAAGTTGTCGCACAAGCCGCTAAATCAAATCATTACAAACATATAAGTAATGTGTACCAACCGATTGTGAACAGAGTGCAGCACTTACATGCATCCAATCGCATAGATCGCTATCTAGATCTTGTTCTACAAGATGAAACACTGCAAAGATGAATCGACACGCAAACCCAGTCATGAGATGACCGCCTGATTCTGCAGTATCAGTAACCGGTGTCAGGATTCGGGATTGTGACGCATGTTCGCATAACATTAATCCAGCCTCAACCAACAATGCAGAAAACTTTTCTACTGTAGGTAAAATGGTCTGTGAGGTGGACAGGGGTACACAAGCACGATATACAGGTGTACGCATATGTCCCGGTATCGGCGAATCTAAATCTGTATCTGTGAATGTGGTCGAATAAACGCCATGTTGATTAGGATAGTGTCTGTTTTGATGTTGCGCGAGTGATTTGGATAAAGGATCTGAAAAAAGGCTGGTAGTAGGTTCAGACAAAGACACCGCAGAATATGAGACTGCGTCGTCACAAAAGAGTGCATCCATACAAGGTCGAGTAAGCATGGTTAAAGCAGGAACTCGGGTTAAAGGTATCGACTCGGAAGGAGTGAGAGATGTCGAGTCAGGTGAATAGAATGCAGTATTTGATCCAGCTGATTCCTGAAATAAACTACTTATACACGTATCCACCAACACATTTGACGGTTTTGTTGAAACCTGTGTTTGTTTTAAAGAGGGGTCGCTATGTCGTTGACCCATTACAGGTGATTTAACCAACAGTCTTGCCTGGTAAGGCTCACTGACTTGCGCGCCTGGTAAAATCCCATTTTCTGAATTTGCCGAAATTGTTTTAATATGCGTCATGAGTCGAATCATCTTTTCAACGCAATAGGCAATTTTGGCATCTGAAGATCGAGCAGATCTTGACATGGATTGTGAGTCAAAAGAGTTTATATTTCCAGTACTATGGCGTTTGTTTCTTGCCAAATCAGCCGTGTCTCGCTTGCACAATGTCGAGATTTCCTTGACAGACTGAGATGCATAAAATGTACACAAATGCAGTGCCAACTCTTCCAATTGTGGTGGAAGTGGTACACAAAAACCAATCAGCTGGCATACTTTTGCCAAAATATCGACAGAGTTTAAAACACACAAGTTTAAATCCTAAATCCAGGTAAAAATTAGAATACTAGACATTAACACGACTGCATGAGTGGTCTTACATTTTCGTCTGCCAGTGCCATAGTCTCATTATCTGCTCTACTTTTTTCAAAAGCTTCAACTTCAGCATGTACACGTATCAAATGCATTCCAACTACCTGATGCAGCAATTTTCCAAATGCATTAAACAAGGGATCTAGTTCCTCCATCGGAACCCCCAATACTCTCCAAGGAAGCCCTTCTTGCCGTATGATATTTCCATATAGCTCATGCTTGCTAATTAAAAATTGCATAAGCGATTCAGTATTGTACGCTAGATTGGACGTTGGATGAAAAATCGAGTAGGACTGAGACACATTGGATTGAGCCGTGGCGGATACAGATTGTTGCACAGTGAATTTAATGTCTTCAGCAACTTGTATATACTTGATGATGCCATTGAGCTTGTGTTCAGCAAGATGCCAGATTGGAATCAGTTCCTAGATTTTAAACCATTGCAAAATAATTGAGATGTTGGACCGGGTAATAAATTCATCCATGTTGACTTGAGCGTCACTTACTCGCAATAAACTCAAATCCCGATTGGATAGCCAATGGGCAGCTTCAAGAACATTTTGTGTGATTAATTTGACATCGTCATACGAATCATTGGATATGCCGTACCACAGCATACTTAGATTGGATTTCAATTCGCGTCGTTTGTCTTCCCACATGCGTTGCATAACTGGCAAGTGTATACCATAAGAATGTGACAAGGCAATAATATGGGCTTGGATTGTTGCAGAGCGAGTAGACCCATGCAAAGATGCATCCTCATTTCCCTCAAGAACAACATCTATTTCTGTGTTTTCACAACTTGGTTGTACCGGATTGGTAGGCACAGAAATACCAGAATCAGAATCAATATTGGACGCCAACGATGTTTTCCGTACCAAAGTCGTGGATGGTTTTCCAAGACCGCCGAAAAAAGAAAACTTGTTGGGCCAAACAAATGCCCTCCCATCACTACTCAAGTTACTCGTACTACTCGAGGTAGCCTGAGATAGTTCGGTATCACCTAGATTCATATCAGCGCTTTCCGTATTTTCTTCAACATTTAGACATTGAGCAAATCTAGAAGTCAATGCAGTCGTTGCAGCACGAAACATCTTGCTAGGTGGTGCAAAGATACTACGATTAAGGGATGTATCCACCTGATGTGCCTGTAGTCCGGATGCTGATCCGTCCATATTAGATTGTACATTTTCAGACGAATCACGCTTGCGTTTGCCTAATTCAAGATGAGATTGAGTCGAGGTTGGATGAGTTGCTTTTTGTGCAGTGATGTCGTAAAGAAGCTGCAATGAACCAGATGCATTGTTTGAATCCATAAAATTATTAAGATCAGCATTGTGACTGGATTCAAAAGTGTGATGTAAAAAGGAATGGGATGCATTTACATGTGTGTGATTAGGATTTAAAGAGGCATCATGATCATGGCTTGAGTGGAAAAGTCCAGCAGGATCAGTGAGCTGATTCTGTGGCTGGAACAGTCTAGGAGCAGAATTTGACGCAGCCATGTTGAAATTAGTGTTTCCATGGCTGTGATGATCAGGGTTGGACAAAGCACAGGCCATGATGCTATGACTCGAGGAAACCGTAGGAATTGAAGCCACAGACATAGTAGTTGATATCATTGCCATATCTGAAGATACAGAATCTGTGCAATCCATTCTATCCATCAATGCCGTATTGGATAGAGGAGTACCGGCATCATGACCCGATGGATCAAAATGCATTCCCGAATACATGCGAACAGTATTAGAATTGTCAGCAGTGTGAGTAGGAGTTTGTCGTAATCGTGCACTGGCTTCAAGAGCAGATATTAAATGTGAAAACCCTGTAGCAAGTGGATGCAGCGTAGTAGCAGTCGACATCAAGCTCATATCTGGCAGCATAGGAGAGTCAGTAACAGGGCGTACTCGCTTATTTGGAAGCAAATGCTGTATTAATGGCTGAACAATGCAAGAAGAGGACCGTTGTAATGGCATAGTATGGATGTTTATAGAATGGTCGGGTACGTTTATATCATTGAAATATGTGTAATTATGAGCATCTGCAGTAAGTACTTGCATCTGAGGCTGCAGTTTACGTACAGTAGGGGAGAGCAAGATGGGAAGATTAAACCTATGTTCAGGCTCCAATTCATCATCATCCATGATGAGTGATTACCAACTGTTTTGATAAAAATTCAATTGTTTGAATTTGAAGCAAACCAAGCTATACTTGCCATCTTATGCTAATACCTACAGCATGACGATTAACATCCGATTACAACCATTTTGCTACGCGTATTCATGCAACTCTTGCATTGATTTTCACCTGGCTTTTGAAATACACAATGCTTGACTATTCCAATTCAACTCTAGTAGGCACTCTCAACTCTTCTTACCAACACTCTGTTCATTCAAATCAAACTATGGTTTGAACTGTTGTCTTGTCATTTTACTTGCATTGTACGATCATCAAGTTTCAAACTGGATTCATTGTCATCCTGATATTCGATTCAACTAGTGTCAATTCCATTCAACAAACTCTTGTAGTCTAATATCAGATACGCTCGCGCTCTAGTTCAAGAGTACAGTTTTTGGAATACAACTGTCATGTTAATCATCCAATGTTGTATAGGAAAATTGGAGATTAAACAGGTGTGGCATGGACTAAAGCTGTCATCAAACACTTGTTCAGTTTACAAGAGTATCAACTCATAGGCTTTAAAAAAGTCAATATTGTTCATTGAATTGAGCGATAATTGGCTCTTGATTCAGAAACTCAAACAGAATAAGAATTGCAAGACTATAATTTGGACTAATTTTGCAATCCAATTTTACCAAGACAACTTGTAACAATGACTGCAGGTGGTTCAGCTAGTGATGTCCCAGAGGACAAAAAGGCAGCTGCACCCACTGACCAGCATATCAATGTCAAGGTTATGGCACCAGTAAGTTGACCTTTTTGTTCAGTAACTTGTCAGGTTGGGATTCATGATTCAAATATCGTTCAATTCGACCATTAACTCTTGGTTTATTAGGATCAAGGCGAAGTGTTTTTTAAGATTAAGCGATCTACCCCGCTGTTGAAGCTCATGAATGCTTACTGTGAGAGACAGGGGAAACAGCGTGGTACTATTCGCTTCATGTATGATGGCAATCGAGTTGAAGAACATGCAACTCCTGATCAGGTAACATTCTTTTGGCATCTATGCTTGAATAGTACAGTCACTAACTTTTAAATTATATTAGCTTGATATGGACGATGGTAACTCTTGTAGTATTTATTGCTGGATAATGCATTCATTGGTATTGACTTGTTTATACTTTGTAGGCGATGTGATTGATGCTATGGTGGAACAGCTTGGTGGATGTTAATAGTTGCAGTTCATGTGAATTCTTGGTCGTCTTGTTCGTTTATACAGCTGCAAGATAGGTTGGGTCAAATACTGAATTGAAATCAAATGAATGATGCCGCTACCGTTTCAAGATTCATGTTTTATAATTGACCAATCATCATGTATTTTGCAAGGTTTTTATTTAGACGATAAGAGCAATAAAGATGGGTGTGGAAAAGTTGGTTCACATATCACATACAAAGAATTCCGAGAAATTCAAATGTAGATGATAGGAATACAAGCATGGGGTCAAAGTAAACCTGTCCATTCTAAAATTCAACAGATTGGTGAAAGTTGGATTCTAGCGAGGACCAGATCGTGCTTTGATTTGTGCCTCCTCGTACTCATGTTCAAGATCCTTGACAAGTTTATGATGTTCTTCCAGATCTTTGTTCAGACGATCACGCTCGGAAATCAGCTAATATGTACCAACAGGTTAGATTTGGTTAAATCAATGAGGATATACACGTTGAATACCTTTTGCTCCCATTGTCTAAAGCGGCTTTCTTCCATACGGACTTGTTCAGTAAACCTTTTGCGCAAAGCTTCTTCGTCTTCCTTCATTTTAATTGCCAGAGTTTTTTTGGCATGTGCGACAGGGTCGTCATCCGATCTGCCCATAGTAGTCAACTTGGTTGAGCGGAACGACTCGTAATGGTCTTCTTCTGTGGAAGTAATCAGATCATGCATGTGTGTTCTATTCCAGACAATCCAAATGCAGGTGGTTAGACAGAGTATGACAAAAATAGGTGATGGGATGTTACCTAATGAGCAGATTGCGAAGCTTTTTGAAATCACAGTGATTTTCGTTTTCAACTATATAAAAATGGGATTTAGTAAACCAAATAAAAAGTATTGAACAGGGTTAATGAGTACCTTCAGCAATACCCCAGAGGTATTCACGACCGCGAACAGATAGCCCATTCACCATGACTTCCTTTTCGCTTGCAATGACAGAGAAGGGCATAGCTGAGATGATGCTTTGGGTAGCAAAAGCAGCCTCGTCATCATCCTCGTCAACAATAGGACGATAGTAGTTGATGTTGTGAATTCGGAGACAATCGCGAATCTATAGTGGAGTTGAGCCATGATGATTAGTTGACAAGATAAAGAGGATTGAGCCAAAAGAATACCTACTCTCTCCTTGAACAATGCAAGATCCTTTGGAGTGAGAGTGTCAGCCTTGGCAACGACAGGGATTAGATTGACTCTGCTTCCCAAGTGTTTCATGACTTCGATATCTAGTGGTTTGAGAGTGTGACCACTAGGCTGAACAAAGTACAGACAAGCATGAACACGGACATCAGCGATTCCCTTGCGAGCACCAGAGGATTCAGATTTCATGTAGTTGTGATGCTGATCATCGAGAAAATCAATGATGGGGACCCAACAGTCTTGATTGTTCATGTAGTCGCCAAATCCAGGAGTATCGACCACAGTTAAGCGGACATTAAAGCCTTTTTCTTCGACATCTGATGAGTTGAAAATAAAGATGAGATGGGATGAATAGTATTCATGACAATAGTATTGACATACCAGCACGAACAACATCAATGGAGATGGTGCGGTCTAGCTGATGAGAATGACGTTCATGTAAAGGGCGTTGCTCCTTGAGAATAGTAGAGAATAGTGTGTTGACAAAGGTAGTTTTTCCAAGACCAGACTCGCCTAAAGGGAGTAAATAGATGTGAGTAAAATGTGGCTTTTGTAAATGAGGCGTCCACTACAATAACAAGGTAAACATCAAGTATTTGATGAAAAGATTGGATAAGAGATTGAATAAATCATTGCAACAGTGCAGAATTGCAGTTGTATTTACGTAAAGTAGAACATGAAAGAGTGTTGAATAAACAGTCTCATGGAATGATAAGAGCCAATTCTCGCCCAATTCAATGAACAATATTGACTTTTTTAAAAGTCTATGAGTTGATACTCTTGTAAACTGAACAAGTGCTTGATGACAGCTTTAGTCCATGCCACACCTGCTTAATCTCCAATATTCCTATACAACATTGGATGATTAACATGACAGTTGTATTCCAAAAACTGTACTCTTGAACTAGAGCGCGAGCGTATCTGATATTAGACTACAAGAGTTTGTTGAATGGAATTGACACTAGTTGAATCGAATATCAGGATGACAATGAATCCAGTTTGGAACTTGATGATCGTACAATGCAAGTAAAATGACAAGACAACAGTTCAAACCATAGTTTGATTTGAATGAACAGAGTGTTGGTAAGAAGAGTTGAGAGTGCCTACTAGAGTTGAATTGGAATAGTCAAGCATTGTGTATTTCAAAAGTCAACAGAGGCAGTCCATGAAGAGGACCATTTACGTGAATACGACAGTGAATAGTAGAATGAATGCAGCAATGAACAAAAAGTGGCGTGTGCAGTAATCAAGCGAAGCAAGTCAATGATATAAAAAGGGAATTCATACCAACGACCATAAGAGTAAAGTTTGTACCCTTTCTAGATACAATTTTATGACGTTGATTAGCCAAGTTGGCAATACCGATGAGGCTAGGAACAACGGAAGTAGGCATTTGATGGAGAAAGTAAAGAAGAAAGCCAAGAACGACACGTGGAGTAAAAGAATGAAAATTGCAGGGAAGCTCGAAACGAAACGAGACGAGATGAGAGCGAGAGCAAGAGTGAGAGTAAGAAGTGAGTAAAACAAGAGTTTGATAAAGTGAAAGAAACCGTTTGTCTGGTTCACTACTGCTGTTGAGCTCATTCCAAGTCTTTCGATGCGGAGGGTTTCTTGGTGAATCGCGCCTTTGTTTGTTTCTTCTCGACTTTCCTTCTTCTTCCAACAACAAACTGTTTGAATATGTCTGACAAGGGTGAGTCCATCCTGCCAACCAACTGTACTATATACTGTATACTGTAGTACTGTTTCCTATTGTCACTGTCCTGTTCATTCCCCTTGTTCTATAGTCGTTTGACTCTTACCAACAATACTCGAGATCATCCTTAACAAGGGTTGTATTGGCTCGTAGTACGACTTGTCTGCACTACAAACTAGTGTGCTTTCAACTCTCTTGTCTTGCTCATGACTTGGTCTTGCTCTTGTCTTGGTCTTGCTCTTGTCTTGCTCTTGTTCTTGTCTTGGTCTCGACTTTACAACTGGGTCTCGACTTACAACTGCCTCAACTCTACAACTGCATCTTCTTGTTTACCCGCTACTCTTCATCTCATTTCTTTCCCTCTCATCTCTGGTTTTCTTTCTACTCCCTGTTGCTTTGGTTTTGTTGTCTGCGTCGCATGTCCTTGTCTCTTCACTCCTATTCTACTTGTCTCTCCTTTGGTCTGAATCATCTGAATCAACTGGCTTCAAATCCTCTTTTGGTTTCTGTGCCGCTCTGCCTTTCCTACTGTATCTGAACCGTGGTTTGCCACTGCATTGCTTTGTCTTGTACTTGCTATTGCCTCTAACCCACTGTCTATCTTGCTCTCTCTTTCTCTTGTTTTGTTCTAGGATCTCGTGAAGACCAGGTTTACATGGCCAAGCTCGCTGAGCAGGCTGAAAGATATGACGAAATGGTTTCTTTTATGAAGGAAGTGGCTAAACTTGGTCTTGAATTAACCGTCGAGGAGCGTAATCTACTCTCCGTTGCATACAAAAACGTTATTGGTGCTCGTCGTGCTTCGTGGCGCATTGTTTCCTCCATTGAACAAAAGGAGGAGTCCAAAGGCAACGAAGCACAAGTAAAAAAAATCCTCGACTATCGCTACAAGGTCGAGGCTGAGCTCTCCGATGTCTGCACTGACATCCTCAACGTTCTTGACCAGCATCTTATCCCTGCTGCCGAGGCTGGCGAATCCAAGGTCTTCTACTACAAGATGAAGGGCGACTACCATCGTTATCTTGCCGAATTTGCCACAGGCGACAAACGGAAGGATGCTGCCGGCTTTGCTCATGATGCATACAAGGCTGCCACAGACATTGCCCAGACTGAGCTGGCTCCCACTCACCCTATTCGTCTTGGTCTCGCTCTCAACTTCTCTGTGTTCTACTACGAGATCTTGAACTCCCCCGACCGTGCTTGTCATTTGGCAAAGCAGGCATTCGATGATGCTATTGCAGAACTTGATACTCTCTCCGAAGAGTCATACAAGGATTCCACTCTTATTATGCAGCTTCTTCGCGACAACCTCACACTTTGGACCTCGGATCTTCAGGACTGTAAGTTTATTTCATCCTGATCTCCTCCTCTATCACTACTAACTTTATATCTTATTAGCAGGTGAAAAGGGAGAAGAAGCCAAGGCTGAAGAACAACCCACCGAAGCCAAGTAATACAGAATCAATCGAAATTTGGGATGTATCACCGTCAAGACTTGTCACAACCGATAGTTTCACTTTCTCCGTTCTTCACTATTCTTTTTATCGATCAACTTTCCTTTCTATCACTGTTCCCTTTCGATCAATGTTGTCGAATGTGCAAGTTTTTTCTCCTACTCTATTCCTGGCTTTCGCTTTTTGCAAAGAAACATTCGCCGAATAACAATGCTTTTTCCTCGATTTCGATTTTATTGGTTTATATATGTGATGTCTTTAAATGCACAAGCATTCAATTTAACACTGAATGGATTGTCAACACTTCCGTCCTTCAAATGTGTTTGCTCTCCTATCAGACATGCTATCATTTTATTGTCATATTCACGTAGAATGGAATACATTATTGGAAATATACAATGGTTAAATATTGCTTGTTTCCTACTAGGAATTGACTTTTAGTACACTCAATTCTTTGCAATTACTCGAAAACCCCATTATACTCGAGTCGCTTTTGTAGAATTCAAAAATGATCAATATCTGCCCGTTGAATGGTTGGTAAATCATGTCTAATCAGACAGTTTTGTGAAATGGATTGTTTAGAATAATATGCGTGTTTGGAAATGTTGTATAGCGTTGTTTAGTCTCGACAACTTTCTTGATCAGTCTCCAGCACACCAACCATCGTATGATTACAAACCATAATTTTGATCTGTTTAAATATTGCACTTTTACTTGCATAACCATATATTGCACGATCATCAGATTCACTCATTGCAATCCAGATATTGAATTTGAATATTGCCAATAAAAGCCTAGACACATTTCCCTATGATAATCTGTCACTCACAAATGTTGGGTTTTGTACATACTATTGTTTTCAAGATCATTGATATTGTTGATCAAGACACTTGCGTTGGGTAAAGATCCACAAGTGTACTCGCAACATCTCGCTGTCCAAATGTTGACTGCAAGAAACTCTCGGACCATCAATAATTTCATGACAATATACAAAGTCTTTACATAAAAGTAGAGATTTATACGTAAAAGAACATGCTTAAATGATATACTAAAAACTGTTTTTAAACGACAATTTAAAAGGATACAATGTTGTCCAGTTAATCGGTACCAAATGCCAACTTGCCGTTTATTATGTGTTTGGTACCCTTATTTAGTGTTCCATTTTACATGAATAGGGTTTTAAATCATACAAATACAAACTGTTTGGATAGTCCCCATCACGTTGGATGGCTTATACTCTTGATTGCCAACTCTAATTTGATACATCAATTATTTTATTCTGCACGTTTAGCCTAATATCCATGGACAACATAAAATCTCATTAACTGTTATTCGCTTGGATGGATCAATCATTAGCATCCTTTTTATCAAATCCAAGCAATCTAGACATGATAGAAAGTCGGTCAGATTCAATGCATCCATGCAACACAACATCAATTATAAACCGTACCTTCAGAAACTGTCTTGTCAAATTCAGCAGGCAGATAATCATTCTTTAAAAGATCAAGGGTTTCATCCAATAATCCTCTTGTTTCATCTGGAATCGCTCCATACACCATTGCATATAAGACTAATCCCAATGCCCATACATCCTGTGCAAACCCATCTACTCGTGTAGGATACGTTTGTTTACCATTGGTCCGTGCAATAAAATTACCCACCAGTTCTGGAGGACAAAATACTTTGGTGCCATACATGTGCATGCTAGGGCTTGATTTAATAGCAATATAACTATGTCCAAAATCACACAATCGTGCTTGGTGTGTCATGCATGTAGAATCTATACCAACCAGCACGTTTTCTTCTTTGATATCACCATGAATAATGTTGGATTTATGAAGGTACTGAACACCTTTAACAATTCCAGTAAAAATATCTCGCATGGTTGTTTCTGAAATGTTGGGATGGGTAGATATGTAATCTGCTAATGAGGATCCTGATCCGTTTTGAAGTTGAACACGCTTGGGTCTCCTGTATAGATGTTTGGTATTGGCTTGGCGTTGTTTCAATTTGTATGCTCCCAGCATCGACGGACGTGGCCGATACTGTATACAATTCCGATACTGTGTGTGATCCACTACAGGAGAAATACTGGTTTGAAATGTCCCGGGTGATAAATCATATCGTAATTTAATAGTACGTAGTTCTGTCGAGGTTTCCCAAGGCTCTCCATATTTCTCCATCACAAGATAAAATGCTCGAGAGTCTGACGTATGTGCAATACTTGATACAATATTTTCGTGTGATAATGCTCGGTGAATTCCAATCTCCATAGGTACTCCATCCGTTGTATACACAAGACTATCATGACGATAAATAATTTTAATCGCAACCTACCATCACAATATTTCAAAATAAATCAAGTGCACTATAAACCTATTCAAATTTTTCAATCCACCAAAGTGTTACCTGTTTGTTGGAATTGAAATCATACCCACTGACCACCACACCACATCCGCCGTATCCAAGAATGGCCTTTAGATGATAATTGGATACCAACCATTCATTGTTTAGCACGGCCCATTCAACCATCTTGATGGCGCGAACAGCGCAATCGGGTTCAAGTATTGGATTCTCCATAGTAGACAGACTCGTTTTTAATGCAATCGATGCTTTTTTACAACACTCTCCACGATGACATAATTGGATAGATGATGTGGCATCAACGATATGATGTTGACCTAATGGACAACTTTCGTTGAAATCCTTGCATAAAATTTTAATTCGTGTTGCTTTTTCTGTCCGACTTGTCCGGTGGTTTACATCAACTATGCAAGGTTCGATCATTGTACTGCAAACTAATTTTGGTATGTGTCGAGTCATACTAGTGTTTCCATTTGATGAGACCGTTTTTTCCTGTTTGGTATTCAATACAAGTTTGACCCGTTTGGTTTCTATTGGCAATGGAAACACAATGGGACGTTTCTTGAATGGTAATATAGCAGGCCTGTGATCCAACCTACCGGACATGGCTAAAGGGGTACACGGGATTGGAGGTTTATTTGATGTGAGTGGTGCAATGACCGGTCTCGCCAAGGGTTTGGGTAAATGACTGGTAGGAAAATGGGTTACCGATGGAGACGGATATACCGATCGAACCTGATTAGACAAAGCACATGGTTTAGACGTCAACGTATTCAAATGTGATCCACATGCACCATGTATTGGATTGTTTTTTAATCCATGAGATTCAGTTCGAGGTGGAGATAAGGGAAAAGCGTGCTGGGGCTCAATAGGGTTTTCATGTACTATGCCTGCCTTGTTAACCCTTCTATCCTTGTCTTTTGGATGGTACTGCACTCTACTCGCTGTAGCCATAGTTATAGGGATATGTCGCGTAGAATGTGCATTATTATATAAAGGCGAGTGTATGGGTCGTGTGTGGATTGGAGTATGCGTACAAGGTGAAGAGACTGGGAACAAAGTAGTGTCAGTTGTGCTATTATCATCTCGATTCAATGGAGAGCACTGGTTTGATTTTTCCACCTGCTGACACACTCGTTTACCAATGGATGCATGATGTGTATTCTCCATCACAGAAGAGTTACGTTTCCTAACTAGATGGTTTGCACTAGACACATTGCGGAAAACATCACCCATACTTTGAGATTCAACGCCAACCAAAGCTGATTTTTTTGGTGATACAGGTGATGGAAGTTTAGCGTGTGGTGTAGGCTGAGCTACACATTCCATTTTAGTTGACATCATTTGTCTCTGTGCTACTTTATACCGCATTCGTAGCGGTAGTTTATAATGTGTGTGAACATCTATCTTATCGTGTCGAGGATGTGCTAAACTCGATGAGATAGTTTTGCTCGGCTGTTGAAAGGGTTGCGCGACAATGCTCATATCAACTTGCTGTGGGGATAGAGTATCGAGTTGTCGAATAAATAGTCGTGTATCGTGTAGATGCAAACCACTAGAACCCAAATGGGAAGATGATTGAATATCAGCCATTGAACTGCACAACTAAATTATATTCCAACAGGTCTAACTCGAAGCTTGATCTTTAGTAATGTGTCTTGTGTAGCGTCCACACTTGGTAGTGAGGTAGTACTTTTATCTGGTGTTTAAAATGTATCTGTAGTTGTAAATGCTGCCAATGATTTCAAGATGCGCGCTTCTCGAAGGGTATAAATCAAGGCAATTTCAAATTCTAAATCAACAGCGGATGGAAAACAGGGTTAGATGGGATATAAAATAAATCAGTCGAGTGTAGAAACTCAATTTCACAAGAGTTTACAGTAGTTACACATGTATATTTGGCATTAAATGGGATGTGATTCAATTTGCATGGTGGTAGGATTAAGCAGCTATAGTTGATTGTCTTTCTATGAATCACACATTGGAGTATGTTTGAGCCAAAGCATAGATACAATATAATAAAAATGACCTGATTGTAGAGTTTTGTCCAACTTGCTTTAGTCCCTGGTCAAGTGTTTAATTGATTATAATTATAAGCTAATATAAATGCAATCACCAGAAATCTAAATGCATAGTTCCATTTAGTCGTATTCACGTAAAATGGAACACTTTCGTATTTTGCAGGGACTGCCTCTGCTTTGCTTTGTAATAAACAATGATTAAATATTCACTGCGTTTTCCTACTACAGATTGACTGCATTGCTTCTTCAATAGACATTCTCAATTCCCCTTCCAGACACAGCGACCATCATATGATGCACACACAATCAAACTATAGATTTGAACTGAAATAATCCGTTTCTTTTCCAACAAAACAACCATACATTGTACAATTGCCAAGTTTAAACTTGGGTTCATCCATTTCAATCCATATATTGGGCTCAACTATTCTGATGTTATATTCTAAACTATCAGATACGTTCGCGCCTCATCCAAGAAAACAAAGGTTGCATATATCAAAAATGCAACTGTTGTTTGCATACCAATCACACCATTTGGTTTATCAGGGAAAAGAGTTGGAGATTGAACAAGTGTGAGATTGACTGGAACTGTCAACACATGTTCAATTTTTATACAGAAATAAGCATAAAGGAGAAAGAACAACAAGATTCGCCGAGGAGTCAACAGAACACACTATTGGCCAATAAATAGAATGGAAAGTAGCATCCATCATGTCATAAGACTGGATGTTTACTGTATACTCTAGTACCCTTAATTAATATTTCATTTTGCATGAATACGACCAAAGATACAACACAAACTCGTCAAAATACAGAGTTGACAGTAGGACGTGTGCGTGAAGAAAACAGATAAAGCACCATACCATACACGGATCAAATAGATTCAATATATTTTGCAAAACTTACATTCAAATCCCACTCGAGTCAATCCACAAATGGGTTATCAGTAAAGTAATGATGTGATTTGAGTGGATTGGGTGTGGATATGAATGGTAAAATAATAAATTGCTCGACAGCAGCATCAAGGGTTGCAACGCGCCAGATTGAGGGTTATCGGCCATGTAGTCCTTTTAGGTTTTTGTTACAGCTGGAGTTGAGTATCAATATGGGCGGAAAATAATGGATGAGTGGACATGTCCACCCTTTCCTCCATCCATCCATCAGATGGGCTGCACCTGTGTAAAATTCGCTCAACCATGCGAGTTTGCACGATCGGGTTGGTGGTAAGCGGAAGGGACAGAAAGCACACTACTGGTGCTGTTGACGTATCTACTTTGCGTTTACGCATGCGTTTTTACCCTACTGCTGCTTGGCAAAAATGGGTAAGATGGACGATTCATTCTTGAACGTTGAATCAAACCTTGGATCTGTCGTTACGTTCTAGGCTATGCCAATTTTGTCATATGCTTGAAAATAAACAACCATTTCAATAGGGTTGCTCATTGGATAATATAAAGGGTTGTGGATCAACTCGGTCGGTTGTATTAAAAATATCCACCGTTTTTCACAAATGATGATATGGTCCGTATATCTTGTTTCAAAATATTGCAAGTTTACTCGTCTGTTGGATCAAAGTGTTTGTGTGTGCAGATACTGATGTATCCATTAATCCTTATTTGACACATCAGCACACCTACTTGCTTGAGCAGTCTCGCGAATCTACTCTATATCTACACGGCATTTTGCTGCACGAATGGAAACTGTCACCTGTCAAATACTGCTAGTGTAAAACATTGGTGATCAACTCGAAACAACAGGAAATAATTGTTTTGCATAGTCTCATTCCCGAATCCTCGGCTGTAAACAGTTGATGGATTGACAGTGAAATTGGTTATTATAAAGATTGTACCATAATCAGATTGATCAAGTATACGTCACGGTTGCTTAAACTGTGTTGCCCGTTTGTGTAATAAACATTTTTTAAATTATACAGCCAAATAGAAATCAAAGTATACAAGACTAACCAACACCAAAAAATGGTTAGTTACAAGTCATACAAATTCCTACTACCAAAACCGATAATACAATATTTGCTTTCATAATATATATTTGTCAGAATCATGAATTCAATCTCAAACGACCATTTTATGATTTTCTTGCACATTATAAGACAGTTCAATATTCAACTCCAACGTCGACGTCCACGACGCGGAGATGGGATGGTTTCCAAAGTATCACCATTTCCGTTTTGATCCTCTTCATCAGCATCATCAATCTCTATAGCAGTCGTTGCCGATTTCTTAATCCGTCCACGTCGCTGCTTGTCTTTTTCTTTTTTGATGCTTACACCAACTTGCAACTGCTTTACATCGTCTTCTTGGTGACTATGATCATCATCAGCATCAGACTTTTCTACGGGTTGAGTGGGTGCAAAGGTCGGGGTTTCAAAAAACAATGCAGATGATTTACGTTTACGACTAGAGCGTATGCCTTTTGAAATCGATGCTACAGGTGTTGTGGTTTGACTTGTTCGACGTAATCGCCTTGCACCAAAATTGGCATTCTCATCCTCTTCTTCCTCGTCTCCTTCATCCGCTTCAATTTGATCGTCTACTTGACCATTATCGTCTAGATCTGGCTCAATAGATGCCTCCAGAATATCAAAGTCAGTCAAGTGTGAAGTTTCGGATTTCATTAATTGTTTCGGTGGTCGACCACGTCCACGACCTCGAGATCGTGCTTGACCTCTCATAGGTTTAAACATGGTTGGTGTTTGCATTCGAATAGCTTCATCTTTTGCAGTAACAGGCTCTGCTTTCATGATTGGAGTCGAAGCCGTAGTATTGAACGCAGTAATAGATGTGGCTGCAAGGGTGTCGTTTGAAGTGGTCATAGTCGTAGTGAGTGCAGCAGTTTTACTTTTTCTTCTGGTGGTGGCAGTAGGTTTTGGAGTGCCGGAACTCATTACAGAAGCACCACTATTAGACGGCTTTGGTGTGGAGGGTGCAGCTAAATTCGCAGGTGTGCCAGGCCGATCGCATGTTGGTGTGTTTCCATCATTAGTTAAATCGGTCGCCATACGTTGCTGGGTTGGCAACGGCGTCATGGCCGAGGTTGAAGCTGCCGACATGATGCTATCTAATGTGCTTGCAGGTGGAGTAGCAACAGTATTTTCTGCACCAACATTTGGACTTTTTGATTGTTGTTGCCGCTGCAATTGATGCTGCAACTGAAGCTGTAATTGCAACTGCTGAATCTGTTGTTGCTGCGTCAGCTGCGGTAACTGCTGCTGTTGCAATTGTTGTTGAAGCTGGAATGGCAGTTGTCCATGTTGTGCTTGAAATTGCTGCAATTGGATTTGATGAAGCTGTTGCTGTTGGAACAATTCATTAGTGGAATCTATACCAAGATTTAATCCTGTAGCTTGCTGTAATGGCAATCCCAAATGCGATGCATTGCCAAGCTGCTGCTGAAGTTGCAACTGTTGAATGGCATTCAATTGATTCATTTTCCCATTCGTATCTAGTCCCATTTGCTGTTGGGTTTGCACCTGTTGTTGCTGAAACAACTGAACCTGACGCTGCTGCTGTTGCAATTGATGCTCTTGATGATGCAACAGTAAATACTGCTGTTGAAGCTGCAAGTGCTGAAGCTGTTGCAAATGCTTCTGTTGAAGTTGCTGCAGTTGTGGAATATCAGCTGTTGAGCCGTTGGTCATTGCCTCTTGAAGCAAGTACTGTGCTTGCTGGTGCTGCAGTCGAGCCTTTTCAAGTGCAATCTGAAGTTGCTGGTGCTGTCTTTGAATCAACTCGGGAGTTACCTGGATTAAATAGATACATGGCACGCATAATTTAGTATTATTACCATCAAAGTATAAAACGCGCTTGCAACATAAACTCAACCCAATACAGAATCACAAAGTAAAAAGTACCAAAACATACCTGATTCATCTTTGCTGCTTGTTGTGCATTTTGTAAAGCCACAAACGCAGCAGCAGTAGATACATCTGCCTGCATCTGCCGATGTTGTTGCTGCTGTTTACTTGCTTGCTGGGATTGCTGAAATTGCAATTGTAACTGTTGAGTCTGTTGCTGCTGTTGCATGCGCTGAGTTTGTAATCGTTGTGTAGCAGTTGGAGATAAAGAGCTTGCAGTGGTATTCACAGACGGTGACGTAGAAGTAGCTGCAGACACTTCTGTGCTTTCTAAATCAGCCTGGTTAGATCCGCCTGAAGCAGTCGCAGCACGTGAAGCTAGCTGTTGTCGTGCAGCAATCATAGACTGGATCTGCTCGCCAGTAAAGCTTCCCATGCTTGCAGCAGCAGCGGCAGTTGTAGCGCTTCCAGTTGTATTGGTCGCGCTAGGAGTAGATCCAACAACGCCTCGTATCTGAACTGGAAATGCACCAGGTGAAGTACCAAAAGGTTGACGTGATACCATAGCTCCCGGACGTGAATGGGCTGCATATATAGCCTGTCGGTGCTGATCAAACATGGGCTTATCTCGTCGCTCTTTCATCAGCGACAGTTCTAGTGGTGTGAGGGGCTGCGCTGAAGGATCGATTCCAGCTTGCAACTCTGCCTGCAAATGTGTTTCATGCGCAACTAGACTTACTTGATGCTTGTTTGGTTTTGCCACTAAAGTATCAAAATTGTTAACAGTCATGCAATAAAAGTAGTATCAACCCACCAAACAAGTAATCCAAATCAAAGGCTTCACAAATACAACTTACTCGGCATGCGTGTCATTTCTCTTTTTTTAGCACACTTTCTAATCGCTTCAAATGTTCCCAAAAGTTTTAAAGCCTTCATCTTATTGTCATTGGCAGTGGCTTTACCAGTTTTCAACGGAAGTGAAAACAGGTAATCACCCTTTGATCCTGGTTTATATCCTTGCTCTGCCAGTACTACAAAACGATCACAGCATTCCCATTCTGTGCGTTTCTGAGACGTACCCACCCGAGCAGCATTAAGCGCTGTCGAAATAATTACCCAGTTGAACGTGTAAGCATGTGAAAAACTCCATAGCGCCTCATCTTCATCGTGACTCCATGTCGATACTGCAGTCGGAAGAGTTTCGGATCGTGGTAAACTGGGCGACTTGAATAGAGGATAAGTAGTGCGAATACCTTCGATTGAATCACCCCCATCACCATTAAAAATCGATACAGCGGTGGGAACGGGTGTGTAACGATTTGACATGGAAAGCCATTTAACTGGATCTATAGTAGAGTGTTGTGTTCGCACGCGACCCCACACATCCCATCTTGAAGGTTGCTTGGCAACTATTCGTTGAAGATTGTACCGAGAAACAGGAATCACTGCTTCAACGTTTGGAACAATTGGCCGTTCATCGTACTGGGGTGGCATGTAGGTTGGGAAATGAGGTAGTGCATGATCAGAGGTTTCGTCCCCAGCCATGGTATACAGATTAGCTTCCAAGTCCATGATAACTAGTTTGGGCTCAACCTGAGAATGCTGTAATTGAGAAGATGAGTGTGAATGTGCAAGTGGCAAAGGTGATGCTGGTAATGGTAGCACTGCGCTTGGCGTGACCAATACATGAGTATTATGAGTTGTGTTTTGACTGATCAAAACAACAGGCTGTGGATTTGAATTCAGGTTAGTTGTCGGTTCTGTTGATGCGAGTTCGATTGCCAAATTGTCTGTGTAATTAACATTTACTGTAGCAAGCGAATTTGCTTGATTTTGATCTGCGACAGCAGCTTGTGTGATTTTATCATGGCTAGTCAACGTGTCAGTAGTCATTTCAGTATTAGTTTCAATTAAAAGCGAATCAAATGCCTCATTCGATACAGCTTGAGTGGGGGTTTTAATTTCACATATCGGACGACGCTATATGCAACCAAATAAAAAATTAGATGCATGTTCACAAAGATTAAATGGTCGTTTCAATCAACACACCTTGATACAAACTGTAGATTTGTCAGTAGCTTGGTGCCATTCTATTACCCATAAAGCCATTATATATGACATGGCAAGTTTCCATTTACGCTCCTGTTTGAAATCTGCGTGCATCCATTTCTACGACATTTATAAAAAATTGTAGAAAAACAAAATGTCAATACGATTTCAAATCCAAATCCAAATCAACAATCTAATTGCTCAGGGTTCAAGGTGGCCATAATGCATTACCATTTCTTCCAACAAATAATCGCGATGTGTACGAGGTTGATTTGCAGGTTTATGTGGCTTTATCTGTTTAAAACTCCAAAGACTATCAGCCTTTAGTTGATCAATTCGACCCAGAATCCGCATTTGCCTAATCTCCTCTCTGACAAGCTGCCAGTCTTTAGTGGTTATGCATTTTGTGGCAGTATTGACACAAGCAGTCAGTGGTCGTGATGCAGTTTTGAGTCGCCAAGCCTGTAGATTGTATCCCTTGTATTGACAATGAGACTCGATACGAGGTTTTGGTTTGCTAGAAATGGAAAGAGGTGATTTTCCTACTAGTCGCAACTGTTTACAGCGCTTTAACCGTCCGGGACTATCGCGGTGCAACATGAGCGTAGATTCATCTTGAACAATGTGACTGCTGCAAGACTTTTCAAGCCTAGTGTCATGTGCGGTAGCTTCGTCGTATTCGTCCGTATCCACTTTGTTTAAACACGACTGCATTTCAATATCCTCCATTTCGTCTAATTGATCCATGGCATCTGTTTTAGAATCTTCCGTGTCTTTGATCTCGTGGAGAAGCTGTTCAGTGCTTTTGACAGTGTGATTATGCTGGATAGTTAATATATCATCTGGTTGATCATTGCTATTGCTTTTGTCGAGTTCAGTATCTGGAGTCGAATCAGTGACAGTAGCTGAATCAGAAATACTATTTTCAACTGCAGGTATAACCATTTCGCCTGGATCATGATCAGCATGGTCTGTGTTCATGTACGGATCATAATCCATTTCCAAATCATCGATTTGGTTGATTTCAGCGTCCATCTCGTCTTGAGCAGCATCATCCATCTGGTCGTCATTCTCATCCTGATTTAAATCATCAACATCTTGAGTAGATGTATTGATGGATTCTTCATCTTGATCATCATGATATTGACCCAAAGACATGCCAGTTTCATTGGGATGATCATGTGTAGAATTTTTAGATACGATGTCGGTCAATTGACTAGAGATTTCAGGTTGATTTTCCTGGATACTATCCTCTACAACATCTTGTGTACTCATATGACAGGGCGTAAGATCTCCATCCAAGGAGTCGGCAGATGCATCATGAAACTGGTCATCTTGATCAGAATCATCCAAATCATCATATAAATTGATTCTAGCAGAGTTTGAATAAAAACAAAAGAAATGGATTAATTTGAATCTACTGTTTAGAACCATAAGAAACCAACCTACTTGTCAATCGGGTATCTGTTTTTGAATTTAATCCATTCTTGGTCATTATCATCTGGTACAATATTTTGAGAAAGCCGATCAAGACGAGCCATTTGAGTGGTATACAAAGATTTCAATAACTGAGAGTGTTTTAGCTGAAGTGATCTATAGAAATAAAATGATGGCAGGGATTAATACATGGTTATATTTAAGAGAATGGAACACATTAGCAGTGAATTCGTGTGATTTGAGTATTATCAAGTCCGAGAATCATGCCATAAATGACAGTAATGAAGCCAAGACCAAACCAGATTGCACAAGAACATTAGATATTAGTTCAAACAAGACAAACCCTTTATGCAATAGCTTTTTTTGAATAGCTTCTCTACGCAGTCCCTTGATAAGATCCTAGTATGATGATGGAATTATTAGCGAAACAGTATTCTAAAACAAGACCACATCGTTTTATAACAGAAATCCACACTATATGAACACAGTCTATATAGTGTGGATGAGTTGATAATGATAACAGGCCGACTCTACAAGACAGTTGAGTAGAAACAACTAGTTCAAGAGAATGTCTTGACACATACTAAACGAATGAACACTACCTCAGACATGGCCAGTACTGCAAGCAGCAGCAGCAGTAGATGTGTATATGTGATGAGAGTGATAATAGCAATGATATCACTTGTACAATAGCAATAGTTGACTGTCTGCTTTCACTTCAACAAAATTCTTGCATGCGAAACCAAGTCGCGTCTTTGACAGTTGAAGTCGGCTTGATTCTGGAATCAATTCTCCAATTTTAATACTAAAGTCTTGGTGTTGTTTAGTATGAATTGAATTGAATTGAATTGGACTGAATTGAATTGAATTAAACTGAATTGAATCAAGTTTGTTTTCATCAAAACTGTTTAGTGCATTTTTATTTAATTCAATAATCTTATAAATTGTCAATTTACTAAACATTCCTTTTTTTAAAACTCTAGTTCTTTGATCTTCATCTTTATACAATTGTGTAAATGTTTATATTCTTGTTTAAATATCTTCATACAAAATATACACTGTTGATTACTGATGGTTTTCTATTTAATCTTTTTTGTTAATAATTGGCAAGTATTTTAAATTCATAATTTTGACATTTTACAACTTTAACAAATACAACTCAAATTTCTCAAACACTACAATGATGTCTTGTCGTACTACAACTCAATTTCTAAAAAATCATATTATAAACAGACGACTCTTAATCAATTCGTTTAAATATCAGTGCCTTTTCATCATCAATCAATCTTATTCAACACTCTCCAACAAAAACCATTCTGCTTTGCATGATCAAACTCATCTAAGTGGTGATCAAGTTCATTATGCAATGAAACTAAAAAGTCTGGCTAATCTCACTGAACCCATCTACCCTTCAACTGTCAGTTCATCCAATTTATATTCTCAGTCTGAATTCATTGCTGAATTCGATAGCATATGTCAGTCTGGCATGTGGCTAGACGAATCTCACACTTCAGCCATCGTAGGTAATATAAAACCTTGATTGTATCTTGACTATTTATCTCGAATATAAACTCACTGCTGTTGATGTCTACTATTAATAGGAAGAATTGTTCTTAGACGAGATGCAAGTAAAAATCTAATCTTTCTAGTGATTGAGCGTGATGGTATCCAAGTTCAGGCTGTCATGAATAAACAACATTGGCCTTCCACATTTGGCGAAAACCATTTTCAGATCTTGTCTGGTGCAATTGGTTTGGGTGATATCATTTGTACGTATCACTTGGATTTTTTGTGCATCTTGCATCCCAATTAATGTGGTTGTAACTTAGATGTCAAGGGTGTGCCTGGACGAACTAAATCAGGCCAATTAAGTATCAGAGCAACCTGTCTAAAAATGTTATCTCCTTGTTTGCACATTTATCCAAAAAAACATGTTCTTCTTGAAGATGAGGTGACCAGATTGTTCATGTCACCATTCTACTCGACATGGTTTAACCAATTTTTCGTCACGTTGTGGGCTCAATTCATTAGAATATTCGGTATCGGCAGCGGTATCTTGATATGCTTGTACATCGAAGCACAGTAGATCTATTTCTTAAACGCTCCAAAGTATGCCAAATTTGAAACCAGACAAAATCCTTGCAAACAGCCTTGACTTGAATAATCAAACTAACTGCTTGGGTTTACTCTTCATTACATAGATTATTCGCACCATTAGATCCTTTTTTGACACAAGAGAATTCGTCGAAATTGAAACGCCTGTACTGTCTTTAATGGCTGGTGGTGCCAATGCTAAACCGTTTACAACTCGAATGGATGTCATGAATCTTGATCTTCAAATGCGTATTGCTCCAGAACTCTATCTCAAACAGCTGGTTATTGGAGGTATCGACCGGGTATATGAGATTGGAAAACAATTTCGAAACGAAGGTATAGTCTTTGTCAAATTCGTGTCCAAAATACTGTACTGATCATTCATGCATGAATAGGTATTGATAAAACACATAACCCCGAGTTTACTACATGCGAGTTTTATATGGCATATGGAACATTCGATCAAGCCATGGAACTTACAGAAAACTTGTTTCGAGGCAAGCTCTACTCGTATCACATTTACTTTATTCATCATCCTACTTGTTATTTACTCGATGCATTTAAATAGATGTCGCAACAAAAGTAAATGGATCGACTATTGTAGAATGGGAAACAGCGGATGGCCAAATTCATCAAATCGATTTTTCTCAACCATTTAAACGAATCGAAATCATTCCAGAACTTGAAAAAGCTCTAGGCGTCACGCTTCCAAATGTTAACGATCAAAGTAATTGAACATCCTTGTCAACACAATACGATCTGTTTTGATTGGGTCTAACATTTATTTTCAACTATGTCTTGACTAGGCTCAATGGAAACACTGCTACAATTATGTAACGAAAGAAACATTGTCGTTCAAAAACCGTTTACTCTACCACGTATATTGGACAAGTTGATATCCGAGCTGATTGAGCCAAAATGTATTGACCCAACCTTTGTAGTTGGACATCCAGTGTGTATGTCTCCCTTGGCAAAATCAGGAGAAAATCCAGTAAGTTATTTTAATCTTTAGTGTCTAGCTTTAAATCTGATATTTGAGATTCATGATCCATGTTTAGGAATTGGCGGATAGATTTGAGCTTTTTGTCGGAACCAAGGAGCTTGCTAATGCATACATGGAGCTGAATGATCCTGCCGAACAACGACGTCGATTCGCCTCACAGAGAATGGCAAGAGATCAAGGCGATGTAGAAGCTCAGCCAATGGACGAAAGCTTTTGTTTGGCGTTGGAATACGCTCTTCCGCCTACCGTTGGATGGGGTTTGGGTATCGACAGATTTTGCATGTTGATGACGGGTACAAAAAGGATTAAAGAACTCATTGCGTTTCCCATTCTCAAACCTCTTGAACACAATACAGAACCGAGCGTAAATCAACCCAAATAAAAAAACACTTGTGCTGATTTGAGTTTATTCAAAAAAGCTTGGTTCAAGATTGTATATCTATGAATTAAGAAAATAAAAAATATACGGCAAACTTCACCGCGATGTCACATGAACTAAAGGCACTTCCATATTAATACGGAATGGCAACGGGAGTTCTAAATATGCAAAAGATTAAAAGTCGAGTTAGAATCACAAATCTACAATACAGTCCAGATCTGTACTTGCCTTTGACGGCACGAAACTTTCCAACGTTGTTGGAGTGTTCGTTTTCAAGTCGGATGACAGCCCATCCAAATCGTCTAGCATCAGCCCAAAAATAATAAACACTATTAGCTCATTTAATAACACCATTGTTTGAAATTACACTGCAACTCACCTAAATACTTCCAGTAAAGCAGCAACGTACACAATCGAGCGGAAATCAGTAAATAAGCTCCAATAAGAAGGTGCTAGCAGCATCACCCAACCAAGTCTAAGTAAAGCATTCAGCCTATAGTTGAATTCCATTAGTATAATTCGACCCTTTTGGCAATCAACTTGCACGAAGCATACCGATACAGTACTTACCATATAGCATTAAAATACACCCATTTTGGATAAATGATAAATGTCCGTAGAAACTGATGGTTTTTGTTTGTGTTGAGTAACCCCCAGTCGTAAAATACATCCCAGCAGTACGAAAATATAGTTGCGCATACCGATGCACCTACATGGTCGTGTTGAAAGTATCAGTTACAATAGTAAAAATGCCAAACCGGTAGCATAAAAGTTGAACAATAAACTTACAGATCCAAAAACCATACGCCACTTTCGAATTGGTATATTTCGATACTGTCGATAAAAAAATAACCGTCAACGACAGTATGTATTTGACCGCATTAGTCAAGTGAGGATGAGTCTTTCTGTTGTCATGAAACCCTGATGATAAAATAAAATCAAACAATTAGATCACAAATGCATAAAGCAAATTAAATCATTTTCAATCCAAATGCACTTGCGTCGAAAACATTGTAAAAGTCGCCATGTAGTTGGCAACGCCGTGATGATAGAAGCGCCAAGTGACCCTTGACTTGTACAAGATCCAACTACATTATAACTACGCAGTCAGTCATAGATCCCATACACTCCAACAAATATGTGCAAACCATTACACACCTGGATCAAATGGATGAGTAGCGATACAAAATATCCCTTGAAAGGCAATAAACGAATATGTCTACAAAAAAATCAATATTTGGTGCAAGAAATACAAATAAAACATCAACTAGGCTTACCATGGAAATCATAAGATCGCAGAGGAAAAAGTCGCGAAACTGCACTTCAAAACAACCAGAAAATATAATACGAAACTAAAAAACCAGCACATAGATATGGTTAAAGATTAAAAACAACATCATAGAAACAACATTTAAATTAAAATACCATTGATTTCCACAGCCAGACTCGTGATTGCGATTGAATAATTGGAACAGGCAAGACCAACAAAGCCAGTACAAAGCCAACCATAATCTACCATTCGTAAATAGTCAATAAAAATCACATTACCATTTCTATGCAATACACCATTCAAAAATCATACCGGTGCATAAAAGTACGGATGCAATCCAAAAACACTGTCTACAACTGCAAAATACATTGTATAAGAAAACAACAAAAGCAACAGTGCAGCAATTTCAAAAAACTTGTGTGCTGCCATGTATTCTCTTGGATCCAGTTCAAAAATGAGCACCCAGTTGATATGATAGTGATCCCATATCTGTAGACAAAGAGCAAACAGGTACAGGAAGAAAATAGGCACGCTAAGACCTCCGTAGATTTGAAGAAGAAATTCAAACTCGATGGATTCTGGCGTCGAGGTAATTTTGCGAATGACAAGAATGATGGGTGGAATAGCCAGTCCGGTCATAAGTCCTGATCGCCAAGTAGACATGGCATGATGGGCATGCTATGAATATACACAAAAATACAAATAGCTTTAAAACATGTACTTGTAAACCAATAGAAATGCCATACTAAATCAAATACCGAAATTAATATGCTACACTCACCCCAGTAGAATGATAATCAGGAACTCGTAAAACCTTTTTTGCTTGTCGTCTGGCAGCTGCAATTTTTGCGTGACTGGACTCGTCCATTAAAATTTGGCTTTAGCATATTTACATTGATTCGTGCCATGTACAAAAGTCAAAGTTACCTGCCAATACCGTCTTCAAACGCAGCAGCATATAAATTCTCTGTCTCTACAATCAGCGTGTTTACAACATTTGATGTAACAAGACTGATTTGTTTGGTTTTGGCCTCGAAAGAATTGACTGCCATTCCGGTGCCTTTTGTGAATTTCTAATTGAAAATATGATATCAATACAACTTGGTTAAAGTATAGAATACCATTAAAATCACATTGATCCGTATGTCAAACCTTTAAAATCTTTTGGATAGCAATTTCGTTCAAAATCCGATAGTTCTTGATCAACTTCAATAATCATCAAAGGCAATATATTAAACAACTGATTGATTTTATTCAAAGCAGGCTCCAAAATCGGCCAATCAAAATAAAACTTACCTCGAGTAACCGATAGTACTCTTTGATGACTTTTACAAGCTTTTGTCGAGGATTTGCAGTCGTAGCTACTATTTCTTCAGTTTTCATCAATGTATCCTCCTCACTATCTGTGCTGGCATCCGACGCACTACCGTTGTTTCTAGTTGAAAAATTGTTATCTATGTTCGAGGCATGCGCATTGTTTTTTCGCAAAAGTGCCTGTCCGAATGTACTTTGAAAAGCAACAATACGTGGTAGATTTGCCAACGAGCCTGAATTTTGCTCCTAAACCAGCACAGATTAGACTCAACGATCCTTACCACAAAACATGTATATTATGACGAGATGGATAGTTTACTTGAGGTCCATCTGATCCAAGACGAACAAGAATATCGCATTGTTCCCGCAGCGATGCAAGCTTATGTTTGGCTTCATTTTCTTGCTCTGCATTTAATTCAATAGATTAAATCTCGTATCAAACTATGGCTGTACCTGATACAGCATCACAATCTATACAAGACATACCTTGATGGAATTTGATTGTTTTGCGAATTTGTTTGACCAATTCAACGAAAAAGTCTTTATCTTCCTCAAACTGTATGTCCAGCAGTTGAAGATAATCGTCGCCTTCTTCGATGCTGATATTGCTGTCATCAAATGAAACAGGATGACTGCTAGTTGTGCTTTGTCTAGTCCGACTTTGACGACTGCCTTCTGGTACCTACAAGCATATACACATTCCAACGAAATAAATCCAAAGCTATATGACCAACGATGGCGGGTTTGAATACCTGCAAAATAGAACAACTATGTGGATGCTGGTTACCATATCTCGAGCTATCCGGGATTTCTTGATAAACTTTTTCAACTTGCTGTAGTTAATGTACCTTGTTCGCCACTAATGCATTGACATGATTAGATATCAGGAAATATTAGCATTCAGCGGTGTTTAATGGTATCCGACTTGGCGGTCTTGCCATCGCCAATTCAACTATTGTATGAGAGTGGATGAGATTACCTCTGGAACCGAGTTTTCTACAATGTATTTACCAAACTTCATGATGGTCGATAGAAACAACAAGTAATACGCCAAGGTAGCTTATCAATGGTCAATTCACCACTAGATGACTGCTGGAACACCACGTGGAAAAGGATGCCTTGAATCCATGTTGCCAACTTTGACCTTTATTATTTGAATACGAGACTGACCAATAAGCATATTGTTGGCGTTTGCATGTTCAGACATGTTAGACTTGTTAATTTACCAACTCAGATAGCAAATTGGTATTAAACTGCATCGTATTAGCAATAAACTCGAGTTATCCATGCTAGCCTCGAATACTCGGTGAATCTCCACCCTGCAGTAACACTGCGTTTTTTTAATTTCATCATTTCAAATAAAACCATCGAGTTGATTTCAGAATTGTTTCAATTTACTAATATCTGAATGACATATATTAAAATTGTGCTGCATGGTCAAGTTTACGGCCCAATACGCTCCCCTGCAACATTAAAGAGTATATGCTTGATTCTTAAAGTTTCTCCTAGAGCGTCCCCCATATTACAGTCCATGGATCGTCCAGTAAAGATTGCTATTGCTGACCTTGATGCTTCAATTGATTGCGGATTTTATGAACTACTTGTGCATCCAGATGTGAAATACAACGAATCAATCGATGGTTCTCTGCTTGCTATTCATCATCCTGTACATCGTGATCCCGACATCCAGTTGCCGTATCAGATCATGCGTACATTGCCATCAACGCAATGCACGCTAAATTCAATACCATCTGTAGAAACACTGCCATTGAGTCAGATTGAAATGGATACGTGCATTAAAGCCATGCTGCATCTCATCTCATCCATTCCACCACGATACATCAAGTACAACAAAGTGTTATCTGCTCAGATTGATACAGCTATGAAGCAAGTCCATCATCTTCAAGTATCGCTGACTCATCTTCAATCCAACATCTCATCTACCCATAGCTCTGTCCATCACAAACCCTTACCAGTCACTTTGGATATTCAAACCACGTTTACGCAGTATCGCATTATGCAGGTGTTGTTCGAGGTATGGAAATCAGTTGGAAGACGATATGCTCCACATGTACGCACATTCAACGTATCCAATGTCGTAACACTACACAACGTAGATACGGCAGAACATTATCTCAACCGTCTCTGTTCATGGCGACGAATGATCGATACACATACTTGGAAAACCTTGACATTGGGTATGACACAACAAGAGCAGCAACTTTATTTCAAATCACCAGTTGCTGAATTACCATTCTCACAGCGATCCAAACTGCGTGTATTGGGTCCACCCGCACTACCAAGTGGATTGTATCCACAAGCATGGGAATATTTAGTCAAACCACCATCAGTACATATCATCAACGCTATATCATCCAATATTCATCATACTAAACCCAGTGATCTAACCACCAAATCTGTTTTACGTGAATTCCGACAATTATTCATGAATGCATTGTTAAAACACGAGCTATATACCGACTATGAGTTGAATATACTGCTGGACCAGTTATTGTGTTTGCATGGATCCATGTATACACACCACGATGGCGAATCAACTCAGCCTGCCAATCGGTTCGATAAAAATCAGTTTGATGCTGTAGAATACCCATATGCATTGATTCGTGATTCGATTTGTAAAGAGTTTAATATGGGTTGGACAACAATCAAGGATGGGTTTAATCCACTCAAAACAGACTTACCAAGTTTACCGAATGCTGCCAATAAACAACTGAGCCAGAATGATCGAGATATGGACAAGACAATCCAACAGGTTGATGGAACGCGTTGGCAGAGTCGAGTATTACACTGAGCAATGCAGTTAAATGGTGTCGGGTTGGTCAAGACTACTATTGGTAACTAGTTGCATACATCTACACCCATTATCAACTACCCAACATCACAGTGTGTACTTTCATGTTAACCTACTGCCATCAGCAGAATTGGACAGCAATCGAATAGTACACACTGCATCGTGAATAAAATGGATAACTGAACTAGTAGATTCAACATACGCTATTACAGAACAGATAGATGTGCAAAGTTTAAAACTGGTTATCCTCATTGCACAATCGACGAATGAGGTTTCCGACTGCTGGACTTTATCATAAACTGATATTTAGGTGTTGAGCAGTATGAGCCAGTCTGTTGTCATACAAGGTATTGACACATCAAATCAATGATTTCCATAACAGTATCTAATCGTATACCAACTTTGTATTGTCTACAGTTGGCCAGTGTGGAAATCAGGTACAACTGCAATACTAATGTAAAAGAATAAACATCAATCCTGACAGCCATTCGATTCATGATTAGATTGGAGGAAGATTCTGGGATCTGGCACTTCAAGAGCATGCCAAATACAATACTCAAGGAGTCTATGACGACTGCATGTCGTCCTTTTTTCGAAACGTAGATGAAAAGTATGGTTGTAGATGTACTTGGATTCCATGGTATGATCAGTGTTGAATTCAACTGTTTTTACAATAGAAAGGGACTTGAATGCATTTCTGTTGGCAAGGGAAATGGTTCTATTAGAGGACTCAAGGCGAGAGTGAGTTGGATTCAAGCCAATGCAGCTTGCAGTACAAATACTCGCATCTAATCGCTTTGTTATTACAGGGAATCATGATTGATATGGAAGAAGGAGTCATCAATCATATCTTAAGAGGACCACTGCAAGAAATCTTTGATCCATGGCAACACATTACAAGTGTTTCTGGAAGTGGTAACAACTGGGCAATGGGTCATCATGTATATGGTCCACAGTATAGAGATCAGATTCTTGAAGTTGTACGCAAACAGGCTGAATACTGTGACTCGCTGCAATCGTTTTTTATTATTGGATCCATGGGTGGAGGTACTGGATCAGGATTGGGATCATATCTATTTGGGTTATTGGAAGATGCATTTCCAAGCGTGTATCGGTTTGCATCGACAGTGATTCCTTCTCCAAATGATGATGTTGTCACATCTCCTTATAACAGGTAATATGAATGCATTTCAATAGTGAATTGGTTCGTGTTGTTCACTTTGAATCGTGTTTAAATATTGCTCGACATTATAGTGTATTGTCGTTGCATAAAATGGCTCAGAGTGTCGATTGTGTGTTGCCAGTTGACAATCAATCACTATTGGCCATATACGAACGTATACAAGCACAATCGGAAATTGGACCACAAGGTAGACGTAAAGGTAGTGCCATTACCGATAGCGATGCACTAGCTCATACTGGTTTAATCAAAACCCCAATAAGTAAAAAAGCAGATGCATTTGACACAATGAACAACTTGGTTGCAAACCTATTACTTAACATGACAAGGTAATTTTGTACGAGTTTGCAAGGAATATCCAATACTTGAAATAGCTAACCGATTGCTTCAATCCAACAAAATCTAGTTCGATGCGATTTGAAGGCATGCTGAATGTGGATATCAATGATATTGTAACAAATCTGATTCCATTTCCAAAACTCAAATATCTCTTTTCCACCATGACACCACTGTATGCGTTAACTGATGTACAGATCCAACCTCGCAGGTATTGTAGATATACCTTGCTTTAAATGTGTTTTGATTGATATAAACCATTTGATTGCGTTGAATGAGTGACCAGGTTGGACCAGATGTTTACGGATGCATTTTCTCAAAACTGTCAGTTGATTTCTGCAGATCCTAGATCTAGCGTGTAAGTGGTTGGTGATGATTTATGCATATCATTTTACTGATTCATGTTGTCATTTGATAGTTACCTAGCAAGTGCGTTGATTGTTCGCGGTGCTGTCGAGATTTCAGATTTACGACGAAACATTGACAGGTATACTTGATGCACCTAAACCATTTTTCTCAAGAGTGTTCTACTGAGTGCCTTGCTACTATTCCTATTTCCAGGATGCAGAAAATACTCAAGTTTGTGCCATGGAATACCGATGGATGGAAGACTGGAATGTGCAGCGTGCCTCCACTTGGACAGGCAAGTCAGACGTGTCTACAACCTGATTTACACTCCATGACTACAAATATGTAAATCTAGTAGTTGATATCATTCGAAACTAAACTGACTTGACAACCTCGATATGATTTAGCCACACGCACTATTATCGCTTTCCAACAACTGTTGCATGCACCAAGTTTTTGGCAGAATGGATCAAAGGTTTACCAAACTGTATCGACGCAAGGTATGCAGCCAAAATTGGCTTTTGATTGCAATGATACATGTTTTAAATAGGTTGTTTTATACTGACAAACTGTTAGGCCAATCTACATCACTATTTGGATTATATGGAACAGCAGGAATTTATCGAGGCACGAGAATCGCTACAAAGTACAATCAAGGAGTACCAGCAATTGGAAACATCTGCTCGTCCCATTTCTAAAAAGTAATGAGTGTCCAATTGTAATGTATTGGACTGTGAATCAATAGACTGACACTTGAACTGAGTGAGTTCTAGTGTTGCAATTCAACTCTTTATACTATTGTTTTAAATGTAGTTGATTTTAATAGTGTTGGATTGAGAATCAGTTGAGCTTGTGGATGGCTGAATTCATGAGATTTGAAAATATATTCCAGTTACAGCAAACCAATGCTCATATCTAGCCAAGACACCTGCTGAAACCTATTGATTTTTGAGTATTTCCATATATTGCTAGTTGGTGATGCTTGACATGTATTCAGTCATTAGTTTAAATGTTTACCAATAGCGAAACCAACAAAACAGGGTTAGGGGTTAAAATCAAGATTGGTTGGTATTAGATACACAAATATTTAAACGTGTCAAGATATTACTTGTATGTATTAAAAATATAATTCAAGTGCATGTATATATTCAAAACCATTATATATATACATTGGCATTGCTGACCATCTTTAATTTCTTGCATGGAGACGACTTAAAAACGCTAGTGGCTGTCATCCATGATAAACAACGGGAGCATTACCTGTTGCAGAATTATAGTTTGGTGGACCAGCTTCCAGATCATCCAGACTATAGTTGGATCCGTACTGATCGTGAACAACGACGACTTTTTCGGCAATGGTGGTACGCTTGGGAGATTCAAAGTTTATCCGAAGAAAAGCGCGAATCCCAAAGACAACCAGTACAATGAATACACATACACCAACAGCGATATATACCCCTACTGCTATTGGAGAGGAGAAAAAGCCACCAGTTGAACCTGAATCGGCATCTGCGGGTTCAGGACTGGATGTGTTTATAGCCGATGCAAGTAAGCGTAGTGTTGGAGCATGAAGTGATAGCGTAGTGTAGTCGGAAGAAATTGGGTTACTGAGAGTCAACAAGGGAAACATCATTGTAACAGGAACTATCGCTTCGTTGGAACTCAATTCAGGAGCCGTGCAGATTGGCTTGTTGCTACCTTTTAGTGGTGCAGGTATTTTGAGTAATGTTGAACATGATGTAGAGCAAGCTGAATCCATGCACAATCTTGTAGTTATCTGTCGTGCATCAGTGCTTGTCGAACCATTTTCCAAAAAGGACTTGATGAAATGAGTAGTATTTATAGCTACACAGTTTTCAAAGATATGGTGACGAACAAAAGACTGAATCCTATGAGAGTTTGAGCATACAACGGGTTTGACAGGAGCAGCGTATAGGGTAGTGGCTTGAACAAAAGCAGATGTTGCCAGCGTATCCCATTCAGATCTATTTACAATTAGTTAGCCCGCGCAATCAAAGTTTACAAACCAATTAACAATGCAGCAGTACGTGTGAATTAGAGGGAATGGATCAGTCAATAAGACTGGACAGCCCAAAGCCATTTCAAGGGAGTGCATTCAGTTGTAGCAAACATGATTCCTTCAAAAGAAAACATCACACAGCTTACTTTGTCCATATTGTATCGTCACTGGGATTCACCACTTCAAAGTAGGAAACCGTACACAGCCCTTGACCAGGAGCATGACCATCCGCTTTAGAAACCCAGCTCGTGCCTTGTAGTGAACATCCTTGAGAACAAGTGTTATCACTGCATTCAAGTCGTTCAATTATACCTCCATTATCGGATTGATATCGCTCATATAGATACAAGGTACGATTTAAGGTGGACGAGTAATAGGGTCGACAGAACCTGGATGGATTTGAGGGATTATTTGTATTGATGATTCGAACCATATCATCCGAGATGGATTCAGGCAAGTTACAACTATGCAACTTTACCCATTTGAAGGTAATGGCAGAACCAAGCTGTCGTTTGTGTAGCCGAGTAGTCACACTACCAGCCAAGGACAAGTCGGCAAGAATTGCACATAAAAATATAATATATAAAGACATGAGTTATTTGTATCAGAAGATAAATACAAGTGTCAAGCTTTGTAATGCAGCAATCAATTTATAAGTTGGGTCGGGTGGAGCAGCCATGAGTTGGGCTTTATCAGGTGATTCAAAGCATTTTTACAGTCATAATAAAATAGAACCAAAGATGTCAGTGTATAATAGACAGTATCATAAAGTGATCGAGTTTATTGGACAGTATTGTGTTGTGAAAGAATCAAGAATACCAATTTGTAATAGGAAAGCATAACACATATTCAACCATTGCTTATCTTAGAGCAACGACTGCAAATGTTTTATTTTACGTGAATACAACTGAATAGTAAGAAATATTACCAAGGCTGCAGGTTATTGCAATCGACTCAAATCACTGTTGTCTGGATCTTGCCAATGTAGTCATATACCCGTCTCTACATTGGATCCAATCCGTGTCTAACTGAATCACTGCATTCGGTTTCATTACTACCGAGTTACTCATTGACAAATATACAATTTCCCCACCCCAATTACATTAAACTAGCTGTTTTTGACATCAACTCATGTGTGGGCAAGGTTTTGTTATTACTTTGAATCAAATATCCCTCAAGCAGCAATACAAAATGAAATCTAATCAAAATTTCATGGCATGAGGGTATTGTCCCTTTGTCAAAGTAAACGATGATTTAAGATAGCTCTGGAGCATAGGAGTCTTTTTGATGGCAGAGAGCAACTGAGTATCAACAGTCGTTTGGTCAGTAACACGCTCGGCATTAATCACCCTCTTGACTGCATCCTCGCCAAAAAGTTCGGCGGCAGTGGCCTTCTTCTTGGGTTCCTTTTCATACTTGAAGTAGGCATCAGTGAACTTGTCATCAATAGACACTTTAGACATGTCAATCTTTGTAGATGTGGCAATAACATAAGCCTGATTGACACGACGAATGGGGATACCATTGATCTTGTATGGACCAGTCACGAGCAAAAGTCCAGATTCAAGAGTCTTGAGGTAAACAACATGCTTTCCACGGAAACGACCTGCAAGAAGAATGAGCACAGTACCAGGAGTGATGGAGGAACGAGTGGCAGGTGCACGGGGAGTGATCTTAGTCTTGCAAGACTTTTTTGGGAGACAAGCAGTCTCAGTGGGGTAGAAACGGGGTGCTTTGACAAGCGAAACGGTACGAGTAGCACCATTCTTTCCTCCTTTCATGGGAACAACCTTGGTGGTGGGGGCAGGAGTCTTGTCCTTTTTGGCAACGGCACGAGCAACGGGAGCTGCACCACCAACCTTGGTCTTTTTTTCAAGACGCTTCTTGGCATTCATGGCACTCCGAGAGTAGCGGGTGACACCAGGAATCAGAAAGTAGTTCAATGGAGCCATTTGAGAACAAAGAGTACTAGACAATCGATAATTCAAAATTCAAAATCGGATTAATAAATGCATCAAGTCGGATCGAGACAAAGTACAAAAACATGCCAAGGACAGCAGATCTGCAATGCTGGTATTGATGCAATTGATTGTCGATATTTGAACTTCGACAACCCATCAAATCACACCATTGTCTTGTTCACTCGAATTCAATCCATGAGTGTTGGTAGTCGGCCAGTGTGTTTTTTGCTTCAGATATATAGGATGTACGTACATGTACCCATCAAAGATGGGTATTCAAACAAGAGGTGTCAGAATAGTAGGTTTATCATCATTGCGAAAAACACACTGGACTACAACAACCGACAGTCTTGGGTCGATAATCAAAGGAATTTTGTAGTACGAAGCACTTTGGTGAATACCAATCCTGGCTGACTACTAGAAAAACAAAAAGTTGCCGAAAGTGATCAAGTTGCAATACTCTGATGCATGACCTTCTTATCAAGTAAATGATGCATAATGGATGGATGGATGCATAACAGGTGAGCGGATTACTAACCCCCGTCGATGTGTAAAGTGAAGATGAATCAGAACAAACAGCGCAAATGACACCAACTCGACTTGAACGCTGACATCCAAAAAGTGAAAATAAACCACGTGACAATAAACGTTGGAAATCGGTTTTCTCGAGTCATGAATAACAATTTATAATAATTCGTAATTATTAACAACCATTGATAGCCATTGATAGCCATTCGTAATCATGGACTTGACTCTAAAAATCACTCCGTTCTTGGACAAGCACTTGATACTTCCTCTGATCGAGTTTCAGGAAAAACGACAGGTATTACCTGGTGTTTTTATATGCAATTCGCCTTGTAGCAGCCATTGATTTGTTACTACCATTGCTGAGTCTGTGATGGGACTATCATACTAATCCAACAATACTCTGTAATCTTAGATCTACAACAAAAAAGATTTGCTCAAGTCGAAGCATCAACTTTTGTCCACTACAAAGATGATGGATTTTACAAACACAGTTTACAAGGAGCTACAGGGCACAAAAAAGAATGAGCCTGGCTATGACAAGCGTCGTGAACATGTGCTTGCTACGCTGGACGATCTGGAAAAACAGGTCAATCCTTGCATGAACATCATTCAGGATCCCACTTTTGTTCAGCAGATGAAACAGGACAAGGTTGCCAATCTGACTCTGCTAAAGGACAAGTACAAGGTAATGTTGCTCACCTGAGCTAGAATGTCTGTGCAGCAAGTTAATGGACATACTTTTTGGAATGGCTTTATATTTCCAAATTATTGGTTGATTTTGTCCATTTGCTTCAGGCGTTTCTGAATCTATTTTCTGTTTGCTTACGTTTGTCCAACAATGTATAATCTAGTTTAAACCAGAAATGTTGGATGTTCTTTACAAATACGCTCTTTTTCAATACGATGCTGGTCAATACGTAATTGCTTCTGATTATCTGTATCACTTTATGGCTCTGGTAAGTATATTGATGATTCTAGATTCCGCATTTAAATCCAGACATTGCATTGTAACCCTGACTGTATCTGCTGTGTAAACTTTTGTATTTTAGAGCATCAATCACGATAAAAACAACTCTGCGCTATGGGGTAAACTGGCTGCAGACATCATGGCTCGTAACTGGGATGGTGCATACGGTGAGCTGATCTCCCTCCGTGAAACTATTGACCAATCTTCTTTTCCCGTGCCCAGTGACAACAATGCCACGAGCAACCATGTCCAGCTTCAGCAACGCATGTGGCTTCTTCATTGGTCTCTTTTCGTCTTTTTCAATCATCCTCGTGGCAAAGATGGTCTCATTGATCTTTTTTTCCTTCCAGCATACCTTAATGCAATTCAAACCTCTTGTCCTTGGCTTCTCCGCTATCTTGCTGCTGCAGTCATTATCAACAAGCGTCGTCACAACCACCTTAAAGATCTAGTGGAAATCATCAAGCAGGAATCTCACGCTTACAGCGATCCCATCACCGAGTTTCTCATTTCACTCTATGCAAACTTTGACTTTGACGGAGCTCAGCAAAAATTGGCCGAGTGTGAAGCAGTTTTCTCAAATGACTTTTTCCTTGTGCACTTTTTAAGCGAGTTTAGGGAATCCGCCAGACTGTTTATTTTTGAAATGTATTGTCGCATCCATCAGCATATTGATATCCGAGCATTGTGTGATAAACTTAATATGGATAGTGTCGAAGGTGAAAAGTGGATTGTAAATCTGATTCGTGATGCACGTATGCATGCCAAGATTGACTCGGAAAGCGTAAGTTTCATTATGATCAACAATATGGCTGAAGAAATAGTATTGACTTTTGTATTGTTTAGAATACCGTGATCATGGGTGTTCAGTACCAATCGGTGCATCAACAGGTCATGGAGCGTACAAAGGCATTAAGCTTTAGATCATCATTGCTTGCATTCAATATTGAGAAGCGCGAGACTGAGCTTCATCAACGTCGTCTTGGTCACGCTCCAACCACCACTCCAGCCTCTGGTGGTGGTCGCAAATCAAAAAAATGAAGTGGATGTTGATATTTTGGTCGAGTATATGCAATTGGAAATCCAACAAAATGAAACCACTTACTAGGACTTTAAACTCATGCATGTCTATTTGAGTGGCATTCACATAACACGGAGCACTTTTTTGTATTACAGTGATGGTCTACTTTGCTTTAAAGTAGGCAATAGCCAACTATTCCTTGCACCTTTCTACCACAAATGAACTGTGCTGCTTCCTCAATAGACATTTACAATTCTTGTTTTAAACATGACGATAGTAGTATATCAAAAGCACCGATAGTATTGTTTTTGGCTGAAATGATTCTCATTTGGTATAATTATACACTGCACAATCGCCAGATCAATCAACTAAAGAGTTGAGATGACATTTTTTAGTAAACTGACATTCATCATTTCAAGAGATGAGCAGTTTATTATGTACTTTTTCTAATGTTTCATTTTTACGTGATTAGGGTGGAAGTTGCTTGAAGATTGCATTGTGCAAACCATGTGCAGTATTTCCATCAGGATAAAAAGCATGATAAGAAATCTTTTTATATTTTCCAAAACAATCTCATCGATTACAACATGTCAGCATCTGTTGCAAGAGGTGGAAGTGGTAAAAATGGAACCCAAGGTCATCGCAACTACAACGCAGTCCACAACGATGCTATATGGTAAGTGATGCTGCACAGTTTTTTATACTCGAGGTTGATTGTCATATGATTTGACAGGGTGGAATGTCAAATAAGCGTAGACTGATTGGATTGTAACATACCGATATTATTATATTTGTAATATCTTGTATAATCTGATTTGTAAAGGCGCGTTTTATTGTATAGCCAACCGTGTCTTGACTGATTCAAACCATTCTATTTGTAATATGTATCTAGGCGTCAGACAATAAGGTATGAGCTCAATACAGCCAATAACTGGGAATCTCATTGGGGGTTTATGAGAGATAGTATGATTTCAGCAGATGATGTAAGTGTATTGGAGGTTGTCAAAGCACATTAGATTTAGATGTTAAGTATAAGGTTGATGACTACAATAGCAAAAGACGAGGCTTCCACCTCTCTCACTGAATGCTCAAAAGCGACAGCCCAATATAATGGAAACAGGGTTGCCATCCAAAATCCCACCGGGTTTAACGACGGGAGCTCAAGATGCAATCCTTGCAGATTGGCTATGCACATACAGTGTTCCACGGATCATGAAGTATCGCTTTCCTTCCGAGAAATACACCATACCAGCAACGACAGCCAATGAGATTGGATGGCCATGGGAACAAACACAAAAGAAATTAGGCATGCCATTTGCTATTCAGAAGCAAGCAATGGAACCTCGACGCTTTGCGAGTTTTGAAGAAATGCAAAGGGCACAACGCGGGATAGATCAACAAACCAAGGAGCAAGTAGGAGGACAGCAGGAAGCAGGAGAGATTTCGCAGGCAAGAAGTAGGGTTCCAGGTCCATACACGCTAGAGAGGTTTGGAAAGCATGCTCGTGGTCGTGGGGATGTTTTGAAGTGGTTTGGTGCTCGGGAATCACTCCCATGAGTGCATAATTGAATGAAAGTGTAGATTGATAGAGATGAATGCATTACAAACAAGCATCAAATAGTCGTGTAGGGCTCTGACAGGAGCGCCATGAGTTGTGCTTGGATAGCGCAATACTGACAAGATAATGCAATTAGACTAAACAGACACCGCGAGACCAAGCACCGGACGCATGGATTAGTACGACACACTTTATGCTTGTTCATGAAAGCATAAATAGTCTTGTGGCTGCTCCTCTTCAGACTATTCCTAAACTATCATGAAGCGTGCTATTACTGTTTCCCTATCGATGCGCTCTACCTTTGTATCCCGTTGTCATGCAAGACTTCCTTCTTACCAGCATCTGAGTCCATTGATCCTCCAGTCTACTCGCTCCATCTCTCGTGCTAGCCAGGCCTCGACTAGTCCCGATTCTGCCTTTGAGAGTTTAGGACAATCTCCCACTTCTATTACCCAACCAGGTACAGCAGATTCGTATCTGCTAGCCAACTTGGGTGCTGATGTTGACAGAGCCATGGCTATTGCTGCCCAGCTTGCTCTGGAGAAGCAACGTAGTTGCGACCGACATGTAGCGACTGATCACGCCAATGCAGAGATTGCTTCTCGCAATACTGCTGAACCACTTGCAACTCTTTCTGCTGGCAGGATTCCATCCCTGACTCAAGGCATGGCATCTTCTTTTGACGAAATCCATCAGGCTGTAGTCAACAGTACTGCCTTTAAGCCAGCCGGCGTATAAACTGACTAGGGGTTTACCCCAGTTATTCACTCAATACACTGCCCTACATGACTATAATTGATCTGTCTGCATTCATATCATTTATTTCTCTTGCTACCATTGCCAATTCTGAACCTATCCAACCATGATGTTCTTTTTGCCTACTCTGCTGTCTACTTGAATATCTCATCTGCAATGCAGTCGACATGACGCTCGATCAAGACAATGATGTGTCTCGTCATGATTCCTATGGTCATCACTGAATCACCAAATGTGACTCTGAATTCTCACGATTCCTATTTTATACCCCTTGAATCTGACAATAAAAGCATTTGTTTTGATTTTTGCATCAGTTGATGAATAGAGAATATGTGAAATTTGACCATTCTTCAAATATCAATAGATTGTTTATCTGCTGATTCAAATTAAACTAATCGTACAATTTTACAAAAAAACTCTTGACATACGGCCATCACAGTTTGCTTGATACCATCACTTTAAAACATGGGAATAAATAGTTTTATCCTTTTTATCTTGTGGAATCAAATCTGCTACAGGAATACACCCTGGCTTGTTTATTGTTGAATCAATACACTACATCGTCATCATGACTATCTCGCTCGCTGATCTTGACAAGAACTCTGCGTGCGTAATCTCCAATGGATCGTGCACTGGGCCCATCCAACGTAGCCAAATACGTTTCAAGAGTTTTCATGTTTTTTCCTTGTTTAAGCTGGAATGCATGGATAAGACATTGTTCTGCAGCAAGCTTAATTGGGATGGTTCTGTCACGAACATTGACCATCAACGCTGGAACTAATTTGCTCATAAATGGCGCGAGTGTCTAATGTATTGAAAATGAATTAGACAAGTCGCCAACGTTTATAGTATGCATTGGTGCACAAACTTATTCTATTTTTACCTTGGATGACTTTTTAGCAAGACTTTCAAGTGCTATAATGGCTTCTCGTCGAGTTTCTGTCGATCGAATTCCAGGAAGTGACACATCAATCAGCGTTTCAACCATCGCCACGCCATCAGCATGCTCGACAAGCTTCGGCTCTACCACAAGCTTCTGTGATAGGTACACCGCAGCATCAGTGATTTCGGATTTATCGTCAACAAGTGATCGAGTAGCCATCTGACTGATGGAAACAGCCAGCTCAAAATCATGCATGAGAGTTTGTGGTGCGTCTATACATGTTCGCAAAATGTAGACAAGAACCGTGTGACGGATATGCATAGATGCATTGGCTTCAATCGCTATCAAATGGGTTCTAATCACAATGTCAATAAAGTTATGTTGGTGTTTATAAATATTCAAACAAATGTGTTGATACGTACTTGATAAGCTCACAAGCATCAGAAATACTAATTAGTCGACAGAATGCACCAAAGCATTTGGCTGCTGCTTCTCGTTCTCCAATATCCCTTTCAGCTACACTTTCCAAAGTAGATTTAGTCATATCAATACCCTCGAGTAAAAGAGTTCGGATTGCAGTTTTACTCGCTTCACTCATTTCTCGTTTGTCTGTGGCTACACTGATAATAAAACCGTATAGTGCTTCCCAGATGGCAAGACGAATGGTTGCAGAGCTTGCACCAGATGCAGGTGCAGAAAGACCAGGCGTAGAGGCTGCAACACCATCGCCAGATTTCAAACTCTGAACCAGCTCAATAACCAATGGATCCAAACGCGCCTGTAAAGGTATCAGCAGCGTCAGACACTTGGCTGCACGGTTTCGCATTGCAGAGGATTCCAAAGAAGCATCGGACAGAGATTTGACAAACGTTCGTTGAAGTTGAGGCAAAAATGGCTTGAGCATGGCAGGCACACGGTGCAAAAGCGTTGCCATGGTTTGCAAAATGGCCGACTTTACATTAGGTGGGAAACGATCACCAATCACTCGAATGAGTGGTCCGGTGATTTGTGTAACAAATGGCTTAATAGCTACTTCGGATGTACGGCTGATAATTTCACCAAGGCCCAATGCAGACTGTTCACGAGCATCAATCGAACCATACATGAGACCTTGTAAAAAGATGGCCAGCAGTGGTGATATGCCTTTGGGAAGATTGAATCCAGGAATATCTTCACCAACAGATAAACATAGTTCGGCATCGCGAATACCTCTTCGAGCAATATGGACAAAGCGTTCCATATCATCCTTTTTGATGCGTTTGACTAATGCATCCAATGCTTGCCAACAGGACAGCATCACTTCTTGTCCGTCGCTACCAGCTAGACACCCAATAAGAAGTTGCAACACGTCCGGTATATAGGCATCAAATGCAGCTTTAGATCCTTCAAACAGCAACGTCAAAGCTTCAGCACATGACTGTTTGGTAGTAGCAACATCTCCATCACGTAGATCGTCCAGCAGAAGCGAAAGTACTGAATGTACTCCATCTTTGCTATCAATAGAATGCATCAGTATACCAAGTGTATCACGAACATCTTCTACAGCATCATCCCCTTGATGCAATCCTTGCATCAATGCAGGTAAAATAACTGGCAATCGGCGATTCAACGCATACGATCCAGCAACACCAATTAAACTTCCCAAAGCCTGTGCATTGAATTTAGTCATTGGGATCACAATCAGGGTTGGAATCAAAACTGGGAAAATGACATTGCTTCTTACTGCCATCAATTCTTTCAATGCTTCAAGTGCATAGCCTGTACTATCCACCTTTAAATCGGCCAACAAGCTTGGCAAAATGTCATCAATGACTTTGTTGCCAAGATGTTGATAGAACACATCAAAGGTTTGAGCAGCAGCTTCACGGACTTCGGCATTTGAATCAACCAAGGCAATTTTTACCAATGGCGTACAGTAGGTAACAAACTCCAGTGAATGAGTCTTGCCTGCTGTTGCCATGATTTCTGTCATGCCAACACAAACACCTTCACGCATATCAGCATTATCGCTTTCGAGTCCAGTTTCCAATATGGGAATAATCTCCACCAAAATGCCTTCACCCATTTTACGAACAAGATCACCAAGTGTTCGTGCAGCAACCCCGCGTTTGTCTAAATTGGGACTGGCTAAACTAGTAATCAAAATTTTCATAATGCACGACAGAATCTCTTTGAGTGTACGTGGTGTATTCGATACAATGGATTTCCATACATGTAATGCAGTCTGTCGCACAATTGCTGATGAATCACCACGAATGATATATACTCCCGCAAGAACAGTTTGATATCGATCTGATCCAAGTGCAAGTTTGAGTGCCTGGCGTCCTTGCTCAGTGCCCAACCCTTCTTCCTGGTCAACAGGTCCGCCAGATTGAGCCGAGTCAGTTAGGTCGATTTTACTAGATACACCAGCAATACGGAACAAAAGATCACCCAGCAGTTGCATCGAATTTTGTCGGATACGCCAATTGGCATCAAACAGTCCACGTTCAAGTTCAGGCAGCAAAAGATTCACGGCAGATTTCGCATACCCGCGTACAATCACTTTACCAGCATGAAGAGCATGCCCACGAACTGTTTCTGCTTCATCCGCAAGACCTTGCAACACTGCAGGAATAATCATGGCAATATAAGGTGTAAATGCCTCGCCAAATGTAGCTGGAAGATACATCAAAAGTATCATGAATCCTTCGCGGACATATGCGTGATTGCTTGATGTGCTGTTGAGAATCTCTGGCAACATAGCCTCAAGTCTATCCAATCCTAAACCACATAGAATTTCGCTTAGACCTTGGGCTGCACCACTACGATCTGCAGGACTAGTATCGCTTTTAAGTGTTTGCAATAGCTCTGCAACCAACCCTGGGAAATTATCTTCGCCAAGTTTAGCAATAATACTTCCAAATGCACTAGCTGCAGTAGCACGGATTTCCGGAACTGGATCAACAAGAACTTCTTTTAATGTTGGAACCAATGTAGACAAATATGGCACCAGATCCCTTTGATCAGTAAGTGTCGACATGTTGCCCATAATCTGCGACCCCTTTTTCTTAGACTCGCCCGATCGCTCCTTCATTCCACGATGAATAATTGGCACCAAAAGCGCCAATGAAGGTGCATCGATATAGTGCACAAACGTTGTATCAAGCAGTGCAGACAGTGCAGCGTGGGTTTTGCTGTTTGGGTCAACAAGAGCAGAAATGAGCATGGGCACCAATTCTTGAATTTCAGGATTCTTGATGACGTTGCCAAATTGTACAAGTGCACTCTTGGCCGCTTCCTGCACCCTTTGATGCGAATCAGCTAAGGCATCGCAGATAGATGGCACAATCATGGGTAAGCTCTGACTGAGCTGCTTGGGTGCAAGAGCAGACATACTTGCCATTACTTCAATACTGCCTGTTTTGGTTCGCCACGCTTTATCGGCCAGTCCATTCAAAAGACTAGGCAACACAAGCTTCACACAATGTGCGGATAGTTTGGACATGATCACGCTACTTGTGTCCTGAACAGCATCACGAACCTGCTTATTGCTGTCACCGTAACAGACTAAAAGATAAGGCAGAATCTGAATAATATAGGGCTCGAACAATCGCCCAAGGGTATACGATAGCGTTTCATATGCAAAAAGTGCACCTTCACGCCTTGTGGCATTCTTTTTATCCTCGACAGCAAGTTTAAGACTTGACATGATATTAAAGTCTTTGAGAGATACAATGCCGCATCCTTTGACAATACCAGCAAGACCATAGGCAGCACCACGACGCATGCCGTATTTTGGTGCATTGAACAACTGATCCAATAATCCTGCAATTATTTTTGGCAAATCGGTCCTGTTTACCTTGACTAATGGTGGCAGACATTCAGATACGGCAACTTGGACCAGCTCGCTTGGTGTTTGAAGCGTATCAATCAACTTTCCAACAACCTCTGGGATACGTGGATCCTCTGCTTCAAGATGCTGAGCAACAGTACCCAAAAGAATGACAATGGCTTCGCGAATACGATCGTGGATTGCATCTGCCTTTGCAGGACGTGACAGATATGCATCAAACTTGTCCAAAAGAGAACGTATGTGTTCTTTTCCATTCATGTTCACGGCAGCCAGACCAGCGTCCAACATACTTCTTTGAACAGTCGAGTTACGGTCACCAAGAGCTTCCGTGTCAATTAGAAACACAAATAATGATTGAATGGCAGTCTCGCTGACAATCACTGGTACGCATGCCTTGAGCGCATGAGCAATACCGCTACGAGCTTCCCACTCGTCAGGTTTATTAAGCGATTCGGGAATCACCATGCCATAGCTGTCGTATTCAGGCAATGGATCAGCAATATTTTTCTCATATAGCTCATACAATAAATCCAACGTTGCTTGCACATTGTCCGTATAAACACAAAGTGCTTTGCAAATGGCTTGACCAGCATTCAACCGTATATCTCTACTCGAGTGAATAGTTAGTCCAACAAGATCTGGAACCAAGTCAGATGAAATGACTGCATCAGCTCCATGTACATCCTCCCATAATTTAATCGCACTGGCTTGAATAACTTCCAGCGAGTCGGATCGAGTCAACCATATATAGGTATCAAAGATGGGCATGATAGATTCAGGTATAGATAAATGCCCGAGTCCTTCCAATACGCTTTCTCGTACAACAGCTTCGTTTGACAATAACCCATCAAGAAGTACTTTTGTTACACTTTCAGCCGTGTTGCTTTTGTCGGAATCTGAAACCAGATCATCATCTTCATGCATTATATTGTCATCTTCTTGAGCGGCTGAAATCGTCAAAGCCAATAGTCCACCACGAGCAGCAGTACGAAGACGAGGAAACTCTTCCAATAGTTTGACAAGACATTTGGCCATACTTTGGCGAGGAACAGCACAAGAATTGCTTTCGATAGCACAATGAGTCAACAAAACATCCGAGCTTGTCATTACAAGTTCTGTGTGAGTCTTTTCTTTCATCTGAGCAATGCAACCTTGGCGATGGATTACAGATTCAATCAAGGGAAATACTACAGTAAATGCCGATGCATCCATGGTGTTGTATGCAGAGTACACCATTGGCAGAGATTCAAGAATGCTGCGAATTGATTCTAATAGTATTTATAAATAACTTGTAAGTTTATAAAGCAACACGTTTCAATAGACTTGAATCAGCAGGGTTAAAAAAGTACATACCAGTAAGCGATCTAGACAAAAGCTGCTTTGGAATATTATAATCAGCCATGTTGTCAACACCAATACACCTTAAAATGCATGCAGCAAGTTGAGTACCAGAGATTTTGTCAACTTTATCTCCAAGCCCATCCAGTTTAGATTGATCGTTAATATCAACATCTCCAAACGCAACCTGAACAAGTTTGAAATATAATGCAATAGCACGAGATCCAGCAAGAACGCCTCTTGCATTAACAGGCTGTTTTTTAGTTGCACTAGCGTTAACCATTTCGCGATGAATGATCATCATTAAAGTTTGCAATACTTTGAAAGTCCATCTACCAAAGGCCTCGCGAGCCTCGTCGCCAATCGACATTTCGATTCCCTCGAGTGCAGCCTCAAGCACATCTAAAGCAGACGTCACATTGATAAGTACTGCATCCACATGAGCGCGAATGCCAGCCTCAAGCGCAAACTGCTGTATACAGAGTTCACGGTCTGCTTTGGAAAGTTTGGGATTGGATAGTGGAGATACGTACGTGGATTGAACTCGCTTAGCTTCAATTTCCTTCTTTAATTCACGCTCCCATTTGTCTTCTGCTGTGCCATGACCTCCTGTATTGGCCTTGTTCTTTGCAGAAGCCTGTCGTTTAGCAATAGGATCATCAAACAATTGGTTCGATGGAGTCGCGTGAATCAGTACATCTGTAGATGTAACACTATCCAAACTTTCATCTGAAAGTATATTCAGCGAATAAGGAAGAGCAATGGGCAAAACAATATCTGCAGCCACTTCAGTCATGAGTCGCATGCAGGTCATAGTAGCAGTCCGAATAGCCGTAGGAAAAGTAGTTGCGATTCCACCTATAGTTGAATCTTCGTGAGTAGATTCAAGCCATTTGGTCAAGTGGGTAGAGGCTCTTGACTCAAGAACACTACGTGGGTCAAGCCCACATCGAAAACAGAGTCGTACCCAAAGATCAGCACCGTGAATATGCACCATCATGGGTAAAGATGCAATAACTGCCAAGTCCAACAAGGCAGATTCCAATACTGACTTGGCCGATTCAGCAGGAGTTGTGGGTAACACTGAGTATAGAGCAATCAATGCACGCTGAGCAAGCTCAGCAGAAGAGCAGTTGGGTTTATCATTCCAAATATTCAAAACGGGTTCAAGACTAGATATTGATTTGGTGGATGAAATAGGAGTAGCGGTGTTATTTGATCCGCCAGTCAATGCATGTCCTAGTCCCAATCGAACAAGAATAGCAGCTCGTTCAAGCACCTTGGCATCATTAGCAACAGCTACAGTTAAACGGGAAATTGCCTGGTGACGAATAGGTGCGGCACTGTTTACCATAACCCATACCATTGCATTGGCAAAAACACGCATGTCATTCTGGTCTTTGACCACTGCATCATACAAGGAATGATCGCATAAAATGGCAGTAATAATCTCCAAAAATGAAAGTTGTTCGTCACTAGATATAAGTAGTTTGCTATAGAAACGCTCATTGAACAAGAATGCTTTTGAGGATGAGAGTGCAACAATGTTTTCAAAAAAATTGGCTTTTTCAAGGTGCTCATTGATACTGATACCATTGGCATGAGTGGACTGCTGCATTGTAGTAATGATAAACTGCACAGACATACACGCTTCAGCAAAAAATGGTGTTTCCTTTTTAGGATCCAAAAGTGCAATTCCAGCCGCCTGGACTTTTTCGGCCAAAGTGATCAGTGCTGTAATGATGCAGGAGAGATTTGTGCCGAGTTTGAACAAATCTTTTGAAGAGTTCAAAAGTGCCTTGATGGCATACAAATAAGCCCTTCGCACAGTACTCTTGACATCCTTGATTCCTTTAATTAAAAAGGTAGCTCCGGTAGTAATGTTGTCTTGTTTAGATTCGCTGCTGGAAATGTACGCGGAGAAATGAGTTCCAAATGCAGAAAGCGCAGCGGCAAGTGCAGGCTCATTGGTTTCCTTGGCAAGTAAAGTAGGAATAGCAAGAATAATTTTTTCAGAAACAGCCAAAGAGGTTTGTGGCACGTCATTAAGCAGGAAGTAGTATAAAACCCTGTGCTCGGGCAATGGAGATTTGGCAGTCATTGCCTTGGAAATGATATCAACAACGGCAATGAGATCATTCGTATCGGCAGTTTTTTGCAGTAGCGTATTGTAAAAAGCAATGGCATCGGTACGAATGGTTTCATTGGTGGATTTGAGCTGGTTCAATAGTGAGTCTGCAAACTTTTCTATAAACATCTTTCCCACGTCAAACTCTACAAACCGAGTAAAATAATCCAGGACTTTGATGGCAACCTCTGGAGATCTCAGTAAAAGTCTATCCGATGCAGTCAACAGTTGAGATGTGTAGGTTTCTTCATCAACATAGTCGGCAATGTATGAACGTAGAGCAGTCAAATGATGAGTAGGAACAATAGTTTTTGAAACCAAAATATGCTTTGTAAAAAATTGGATAATGGGATCTTTAAACCGTTGCAAAGATGCTTGACAATGCAGTTTTTTAGAAGCCGCGATACAAACACCAATGAAAAGAGTAAATTTGCTTGCATCCTTGACATCTGATGCAGCAGAAGCAAGCGTGGTGGACATGATCATCCGAGGAGCAAGCTTTCCGCAAGAAATGATGGATCTAGTCAATGCGTTGGTGGCATTTACAGCAAAGTGCAGTTTATTTTTTCCTTTGTGAGCCATTGCAGAGCTTTCTATCCAGTCTAGAATATTGACTTGCAAAGTGAGTAGTGCACAAAAGGAAGGTGAAGATGCAAACAAAGCAGTCAGATCATCACTCTCGCCAACAACCGTAGCATCACTTGTTTCTGAGTTTAGTGAAGCGTTGAGAGCCAATTTCAATAAAATTGTAGTCCATTTTGAAAAAGAAAACAGCGTATTGATGTAAAGCGACGATCTAAATCAAGTTATGAGTTTAATGATATAAACGGTTATGCTAGATCTAACGAGCGCTAAATTCACACGTGTGCCGATACTTACGAAAGTTCTTTGGAAAGAAGCTTGACTGCAATCAGCAACACTGAACACTCTACACCATGTTTTGATCGTTCATGACTGATGGCAAATGCAGCTGAAATGACATCCAAGACTGCTTTGACGGAATGTGAATCTTGGTAACGGGGAACGGTTAAAACCAGCTGCTGGAAGATGTGCAGTAATACTTGATCCGTCACTACAATACACACTATTATTAAAACCAGGTTCAATATGCAATAGCATTGCGTGAAAAGCATTCAATGGTATAGTACTCTTTCTACTGGTGCAATCATCAGTAGATCAAGCAATGAAATATTTTCTGTAGAATGGATTGAATACACAGTACAAAATTATACAATAGCACCTAATAGTGAAGCAGTAGGTAGCTGTAGATTCCGAAGTAGCTGCGATAGTACTGACTTGCGGGTGATCAAATGAGTGCTGGTGATATTGCGAGGAAGGGTCACAGTCAACAGCAGATTCAGAGCATTTCGCTGTTCATCCAATTCATCCTCAACAACAGTATCAGAACCAACCACATCCTGTTCAACCCCTTCAAAACCAACTGCCTTGTCTGGCATCTTCAATCAAGTTTGTAAAGAAAACAATTTCTGTAACGTAAACTGCAACTTTTTACACAAGTTTTTGGAATAAAAAACAGCCGAATATTTGCTTCGTTTTTCTACTGCAAATTGAAGATTGTTAAACAGTTGATTTATAAAAATAAGATTTAAAATGTCAAGTTTATTTCCTGCTTTTTTCTGGTTTCCATCTGCCAATGGCAACATCCCAAATCTGAATGGATTCAATACATTCAATTCGACTCATGTCCAGCATTCGTGGTATAATGACATGACATAAAATTATACTTTTTCTTGCATGACTACAGACTCGACTCGCCATCTGTACTGACTGCCACGTAGGTCGTTTAGATTTAGATTCTGCATCCAACACTGGAAGAACCATCACTGCATATCTTTTTTAAATTCAAGAGTTAGGTTAGTACAGTCATGAGTATGTACTTGAAACCACTTACTCGCTGTGTTTCCGAGTGGGACCATCACGATACAATACTAAATAAAAGGTTAGAATCTGCCAACTCACACAATCCAACAATGTGTTACCATAATCAGCACCAAACAAGTGTCCGCTCTTGACAATCCATCCTTGACTTTGATAATAACGATACACTGCAAATTGAATGGCAAATTCACTTGCGTCAAGTGTTGCTTTGGACTGTCTTGCTAATCGGCATTGTTGCCATAGATCTTGGATTGTCAAAATGTTACCCTGACTTCCCCTCACTTGGAGTAACTTTTGATCGCATACAACAAGATATACAGCTTCTTCCATCATGAGTATATACATTTCTGGATCTGAACTGGTTTCAGATACGATGGTCATTCTGGCATCAGCCATTGCATGTGCCCTTTTCTGGCTAGCAATGCCTGTTCCCTCATCCATGTTAGCATAGTAGTCATGAGTCAGATCAGAGCAATAGTACAGACCTTCTTGGGATACTCCTTTGGGATGGTGATGTCGTTTCCACCATGTAGGTACTCCTCTAGAAAGCGATCCTTTACCAAAAAACCCAAGAAACCATAATCCTTCATTATCCATTGACTTTGAATCCTTTATAATCCGGACAAACCCTCCATGCAAGTCTCCCAAAAACCTGGGTGACCCACTCCACTGCATAGATCCTGAAACGTGTCGACTCGTTTGAACCATCCATCTGAGAGCTGTCAACACATGGTTTAAGCATGTGGATAGAGTATATCGAGTGTATCGAGTGAGATGGAGTGTGACAGTTGTGTAGTGGTGTTGGAGTGTATTCAGCACGCATGTCAAGACTGATGAGGATTCTGATACTGAGCCAGTAATGGATGAATTCATTCCTGTTTGGCTAAACACTTGTTGACAACCCATCCGAGATTTGCATCGTCGTGTTGAAAATAATTCACATGAACCAATGTCAAAAATATATATCTAGATTCATTGAAAATAAAGGTACTGTATGCTCTTATCAAAATCATACTCCACTACATAACCAAAAATAAAACGACCACAAAAGTGCACTGGTGCTATTTAGATTGCGGAACTAGATCCATCTGTAAAAGTGCCATGGCAACAAGAAAATCCTCACTCTGCAAATCAGTTCCATCATTCGCCATTTGACCCACCAACCATTGTCGAACCCCACTGTCAGTAGATCGATTGTCGATCTTGGTTTCTTTTTGTTTTTGTTCATAGTACACCTCTCTTGCATTCGTACAAAAGGTTTGATCAAACTCGGCAAATTTGTTTCGCAGCTCAGGATCAGTCACTTGAATCTCTTCTCCAAGAACACCTTTGGCATCAACTGTAGAACATATCTGAAACTTATCCCTTCGTTGCGAGTGTCGAATGCATGCAACAAAATCTTCCGTTACACGAGATTCGGGAATATGAAAATCCATGGCTAAAAGTGACCGCAACGCTCTGGTGTCATGAGCTCGTTTGGCTGTCGTAATCGCTTCAAAAACATCCGTCGTACTCATCGAGTTTGTGATATGAATATGCCCCATGTTGGTATAGGGTCGATCTGTAGTATTCTGAGCATCTTGTGCCGCCGAATCTACACGCGATGAGTGGACAGGAGTGGCTAGATTCGATCTTTGTGTTGATGGAAAGGATGTTGTATCCATACTCAGTTTAGATGCAATAGAGTCTCCGCATAGTGTAGTATCTGCTTTTAACCCAGCGCTCTCCAAAGCAGCAGAAAATGAATCACGAGAACTGGTACCAGATTCAATCACTATGCCTCCATTGTCCTTTTGGGTCGGAGAAACATGTACATGAATTCTTTGGGCAACACGAACACGTTTGGGCAGTACCCAATCCGCATGGCAAGGACACATCCACTTTTGTCTGATAATTAAATGCTTTGCTCCTGTTAGTAGTCCTGGATCCATGGCTTCCATCATTGATTCAACAAATGTCACATTCCCACTATTGCGCTCTGCTTCTCCATCACTTGGCTTTTCGCCTAAATGAAACCCGTCATCACTGGTCTGCTCCCGCGTAACAAATTGATCATTTGTGTTAATGTAACTCAAATCGTTAAGTGGCGACCCTTTCCATATAATCGCCTTCACACGCTGCCAGTCAGTAGGATCAACTATTTCTTCACTAGAAGGTCGCAACTCTGGAGGAATAGTGGATAAAGGAGGTGTAAGACAATCCAAATGCCATGCCAATGAACAGTAGTCACAATAGATGAGCTCAGACCGCTGTGTTTGAAGACTCAGATGATTGGTGCCCGAGTGTTTGGGTTGATGGACAGAATGCGACGAAAGGAACGAGGTCTGTGAAAGTCGCATCCCTGTTTTCCTGCATCCGTGGCAGTGCGACTGCGTCAATCGCTTATTCTTTTTATTATTTGTTGATTGGGATATATTGCCTGCAAGTTTGGATGAAAGTGTTGGAGCAGCCTCTGTCGCGCGGAATTCGGGTTGTGTGATATGTTTTAAATCTAATTCAGATATATCAGTAGTAGCTGGATTGGCCAGTGTGGTATCAGGAAATGCTGCTGTCAAGGTAGAAACGACAGGTGAATTAAGAGCGTTTAGAGAGTTGCATTTTGCAGAACTCTCTGCACGCAATGATGCGGCTTTAGTAACACGACCACGTGAATTCCGGCCTGAAGCAGGCACAACATCCACTTTGGTGGTCCGTAAATCTATGAATTCACCTGTAGCTGGATGAACCATCACATCCGTATACATCACTGCAATATGTGCAGGAAGTTCAAATACACGAGGATTTAAACTATCCAACACTTTCAAAAGTGGATCCATCAGCCCCTCTCGCTTTCGTTTTCGGGATGAGTCAGGGTTTCTACCATTAAATGGTAAATTAGAACACGGACTTTCGGATGCTTCTGTCGGCTGCCACAACTTTACATCGCTAGGCTTAAGACTAACACTATGCATATGACCATCGGGCATCAAGTTGAAGGTTGTGGAAGTGGTTTCAGTAGATAGAAATGCACAACGACGGCATTGCCAAAACCCTTGTGGTACATCATCTCCAGAAAATCCCTCCTGAACACATGCTAAATGGAATACGCGCGGACATGTATCACAGCACAGTAACTCTCCTGTACCAAGACAAGCGGAGCAGTTATCATGATTATACCGATTCTTTATCACACATAGTATCAAATAATTTAAAATAAGTACAAGATATCATTTAAATGCTTAGCAAACATATAAACCATAGCTAGTGTCGCTGCCAGCAACAGCGATTTAACACTTGAGGATAAGTCGCCAAACTTGACACGATAATTGAATAATAAATCATGTAAACCTACCGCAGCTCGTTTGTTTGAAGGGGCAGAAGTGACAGTGGTTGCTGGAGCATGTAAGGGAATGGCAGCAGAAGATACGTCAACTGGATGTGCAGCAAAATAATCAAGTACCGTAGTTTGAGTGCTGCGCCGAGTTCGTGACGACAATATAGTGTTCTTGGTCTGGGATGAAATACCAGACAAAGATTGCAATGTATTGCCACTGTTGACTTTTTTTTCGATACGATTTAGACCAGGAGCAACTCGTGTAGATTCAGGTGTAGTGGCACGTTCACTTGATCGAATCAATGATAAATCCTCTTCAGCTGTACGTGATGATTGTAGCTGTTCCTGTTCACTGAAAGGATTCACAGGAAGCGCAAGAGACGGTATGCCCATTGTCCTCACAGGCCGTGCTCGACGCAATGGAGTCATGGTATTGGTAGCCGTCGATTGTTGTACCTGAGTAGAATCAAAATTTGCATCATCAACTGCATCTGAACCCGGTTCGCTGGATACAGCATCATTCACAACAATATCAAGAGCAAATGGTTTTTTTGGCCTTTGAAGCCTACGCTTGGATTTTGCAATAGGCTGAAGATCATCCGTTACGGGATGAAGTTCAGTTGATGCTGTTTGGAACAAAGAAAGACAGTCCAGATCTATTGTATCCGCTTTGTGATCTATATTCTGCTTCGCTTTGCGAGACGATCCTCTGGATGATTTTTTAAGTTCCGATTGTGGTGTAGTACCTATTTTTGTCGAGGGGGTTTTCCTAGATATCAGTGGTAAAGATTTCTTTTTAGTCGGGTTTCGTACTGGTGATACTGATCCTTCAATCATATCAGATGGCAAACGAGTGTGTGATTTAGAATGATGCGTTTTTGTGGACAAAACATATGAAAGATCAATTGCACCTTCCGTGGGCGATGCGGGACGAGAATGTGTTAGACTGGCAGGTTTAGAATCTTTTACAGAGCCAGTCGACGATATTCCAAAAAAAGAACTATGGACACTCGACAAGTCCGAGTCTTCTCCAAATATATAATCAAACTCATCGTCACGATTATTTGTTTTTGATACAAGAGTAGTATTATCTCCAAGTGGTTCATCAGTGTCAGTCTTGAAATTATTATGTAATGGTTCAACTGCATTTAAAGCTATTGAAGCTGCAGTTCCAGAAGTATCAGTACGAGTAGCAGAAATAGACTGGACAGTTGAAGGGTTCTGTATCAAAGCAGCAGCACGGGGAGTTTTGGATCTTGTACTTCGTTGATTAGCTCTACGACTCACTCTAGTGATGCTTTCTCGGCTTTTATTAGCAACAGAATCCATTTCAGTATCCTTGATTAGCGGACCCGACAAGGCCGACGAATCTGTAGTTGACATTATTTGAGAAGATAAAGTGAATGCATCTACACATTTAAAAAGCATTCATGACACCAATATATAGATACGAACACATTTGCGTTAACGAGTTGATTATCACCCTACAAGTCTTTGACATGAATGACATACCTGTATGACCACTATGTAGCGTTTGTTGAGAACTGGTATTCAATGGCATATCCTTATTGGAAAGACAGTTTGGATTTGACATGACAAGCCCGTTACTACTGGTATGATTCAAACAGTAAATCTCTGGATGGTCACCAGCAACACTGGACAAATCTTTGATTTCGGAAGCTACCGACTGACAAAAATCTGTTGACTTGACTCTGGGGTGGTGTGAAGAGAGGAGTAGAACACCAGAGGGTTCTTCGGCAGCTTTAGCACCCACAGAGTCAATATACAGATGTGGAGAGATATCAATGTACGCAGCAGCTAGTGAGAGTTGCTGGGAAATGGTCGTAGTGGTCGTTTCTGGCTCTGCTTCCTTGTTGCTATGATGAACGTGGACACTGGACATGAGCCTTGTGCTAGTGCACTGAAGTGAATCTACCTGATAAATGGGCTCAAGACTCTTGATGGCTCTTAAAAAGAAAGTCTTGCTATTATAAAATGTAGATTAAAATCATGGTCAGTAGATGGTCATCACTGCTCTGGAATATTGATGCACAACCCATCGAGTGATACCGTTGTCCAGATCCAATGGCAATAACCCAACGATCTTGCCACTATAAATATTCTATTTTCATCCATTGTATCAGTTCAAATCGTGAACATTCCAGATTCACACATGCCAGCAACAGTCAAACAGAACAGCCATTCAAAACTTAAAGTATATTCTATTTCAACACAGATTATATACATTTTGAAGCAATTTACAGTCACTTACGCTGGACACTTGATTGCCTTGTAAATTTGTTTTGGGTAAACCCTTTTGACCGCGATGATCTCGTTCATGACATTCATACCTACACGTGGTATAAATGGTCAAGATTAATGTGTAGAAACTTGTTTTTAGACATTGGTTTACTGTAGAAATACTGATGGTTGTATTCAGTCTATTTTCATTCGAGTCAAGATTTCACAGTACTTTTATGAATATAGATCTGAGGAATTCAGTCTTGGCTGATTGCAAGCCAATACACACTTGGTCTATATTTCTAAAATATAGTTTCAAGCAGTATAAACCCATGATGTAGGTTGTGCAAATATCAAAGTTATTACTGGCTGTATTTGGCACGCTAGCAGTCGGATATTTGTCAAACGAGGTGCCCAATAGATTAAACCATACAATGGCTCGTTGTTTCCAATATTCATACCAGTCTTCTTTTAAATCATACAAGGGTTTTCAATGTTAATTAATAGCATGCTCATCTTGATGCTCACGCTCAAACTTTATACCTTGATTACGATTGTAATCTGCAGCCATTAAGAGTTTATTTCCTCAACCAGTATGACGTAGCAATTTAAAGGCTGCAATCGCTGTATGTTCTAATTCAAAACTTGAAATTACGTACTCATTCTTTTAATCCATCGAGTTTTGTGTAATGAGTTTGAAGATATTTTATATTTCAGTTCAAGACAAAATGAATGAGAACGCAGAGATATTTATATTTCAACCCAATTGTTACATGTTCGAGTTGATTGACATGCAGTAAAGAATAAAAGTGTAAATTGAAATCCAACAGAATGTCAGACAGTGTTTGCCAACTACAATGTGTTGTGATCAACTATTGACAGTAAATTCCATTTGAATTACAATCCAATTTACTGGTCAAAAAATCAGATTGTAGACTCGATTCAACGAGCAGCAAGCCAATGCAGATGAGATCTGTCATGGCATCAATGCTATTGAGATCATGCAGGAATATCAACAGCTATTTACCTCATACAAGATTATCACCCATCAACACACCGTCCATCATATTGCATCGCACCATCTCATCCACTGTTGTTGAAGGGAATCTTCGTCAACTTATGCGTCAAGTTCCTCAACCAGTTGTTATTGTCACTGCATGCGATACAACTGCAACTCCTCATCAGTCTAGAGCAATGACATGCAGTTCATTCACTTCCGTCTCTTTGACTCCCCCCATAGTGTCCTTTGCCATCAGACATCCTTCCTCCATGTCACCACTTTTACATCGATCTAGCAATTTCGCTGTGCATTTACTATCCAAACAGCAGATATCTCTGTCAGTTGCATTCTCATCTCCTAGCACTCAAACAAACTTTGCTGCTTTCTCTCATCATCTAGACGATGGAGGAACTGGACTTCCAATTCTTCATGGATCCTTGAGCGTGCTTATCTGTCAGGCTGAACAATCACTTCAAATGGGCGATCACGAAGTATGGTTTGGTCGAGTCAAGCGGATTGTACCAGGTCTCGGCGTATCCAAAAATCATCCCAAAATGGATCCATTATTATACTACGAATCCAGTTATAGAAGCATTGGCGATGAAGTGTTTTTAGATGCATTTGAAAAAGGAACATTGTCGTTTGATGAATGGACGCATCGGGCACATTTACGAATGGCTTGGAATTACCTTCGCGAGGCTGATGGGTGTTTAGATAAAGCGATTCCTCGTGTAAAGTAAGGTCATGTCTGGAATCTGTTCTTTCAATTAGTATGGCTGTTGTTTGTATCCACATGTATTATCGCTGATTCAAGTTGATTTCAAATATAGAGAGGGAATCTTTAGATACAATGCTGCCAATATACAGCGTGTCAAGACTGGCTACAATGAAACCATTACCATTTTCTTTCTAAATCTCGTGGTCAAGGCTGTTGATGCAGACAAGAAACTAGATGGTGATAATTCCGACTTTCTTGATTTTCTTGGTCGCCATCCTCATTTGGAAGAGTTTGAGATCATCTTTAAATACTATTCAAAAGAAAGGTTGTATAGCTCAGAGGCAAAAGCAGCATTTGTTTCTCCTGATTTACAACCTATGCCTTTACATTAAACCCTTTTACATTTTTAAATTCAATAAACTCGACTGTTGGTCACTTGAAATCATCATGTCTTGTACAACTATAGGTTTATTGAATGCTATACATCAGAAACAGGCTACGTTTCCAATTCATTTGTTTCATCTGCAGACAACTCCAGAGGTGCATTTTGCAAAATCCATTCCAATGCACGTCGTCGGGCTTCCCAAAGTTCACACAACTCACAGTGTCGAAGAAATAATTTGACAAAGCTTGAAAACTGTGCATTTGGATCTAAAGTTACATCAAGCCATGCGTCTCCAATACCTTGTTCTCCACTACTAGACGTTTTTCTTTTTTGAGATGGAAAATACTCGTTTTTTCCCATTTTGTTGTGGCCCGATACAATAGATGAAAGCTTGTCTTTTTTGTCTAAAAGTATTGGCAGCACAATACTACTACGTAGCTGCTGTGAAATGGGCTGCAAACCAAAAGGCACGTTAAAGCGCTTGTGAATAGAAACAACGGTGATCCAGTATCCCATTGATGATGCAACTGTATCAAGACCATTCAACAATACAAACCGATTAAGCCTTTCATTGTACTTTACAATATCAACTCCCCAGTAAAGTCGATCGTCTGCAATTGGATCACCAGCACCACTTGTAATAGATTCGCGTGGAGTACTGGTATGATTTATCTCGCTAGATTCATCGGATGCTTTTTTTGACTGTCGAGTTCGGTTTGGAATTCCTTGACGTCGCCAGCCAGTACGTTTTCCAATACTTTCCCATTCCGTAATGAATGCATATCGACCGTACGATCCCAAACATGCCAACGTCAATCTACTTTCCAACTTTTCTCGATGATGCAGCTCTTGCCAAAACGGGACCGTGTGCTTTAAAAAGAATGGAACATCCAGTGCTTCGGGTAGAGTCGATGACAGGTTCAAAGACGTTTCAGTTTTTGGTATATCTAGCAACCCTTTTTCAAAAATAGTTTCTAGTGAGTCTGAGTGTGACATTATATCTGTATCAACAGGATCATTTCCCATCCGTGAAATGGTTTTCAAAACACTCGTGTACCAAGTAAAAACACTGTGCCAATCATCATCCAAAGCCTGCATACGGATCATGCGCAAAATAATCGATATGTCTGGCATAACCTCATCACCAAGCATATCCATAAACACGTCGCGTGTTGCTGGGATACGCTCAAAGTACGCCAAATGTCCAATAACGACATCGTATATCTTGATGGGTTTGCGAGTAGTTTGGAAAATACGACGATAGTGACTGTAGATGCGCATGATGTAGAGATGGTACTTTCCAGCCCATGATACAAGAGTGAGATTATGCAAGGCAGACAAGTTTGGATCGTATACAGAGCCTTCAATTTCAGCTAGCTTTTGGCGAGAGTGTTTTTTTATACTACCATCTGGTGATCTGTAGAAATGATGATCTGGTGAAGAAGGGCCTGTGCTAATGCGTCTGTTGGAGGTATGTCGCCATCGACACAGATGCACTAGTAGAGCAACAAGTATATGTTCAGAAGGATCAATGTTTTTTGATAGCATTTGCTCATATACATTGTATGCGCTATCTAAATCAGATCTGGCAATATGTGCATCAATAAATAGCGCAAACGTTTTTTCAGTGGGTTTGATGCCATCCTGTTCCATATTGCTAATCCATGTCCAAGCAGTATCAAAATCACCCAATCCCACATACCCTCCAATCATGGTTTTATATACTTCATGGTCAGGAACAATAGGATCTGGATCTGATATCATTTGACGAAAAACCTGAAGTGCTGCCGTCATATTATGTGACACGATATATCCTTGAATGATAATAGTATACGTATAGAGGTTTGGAGCAATATTGTTTTGGACCATTTCTAAAAACATCTTTTCCAATTGACCAATATTACCAAGCTCAGCTAGTCCACTCATGAGAACAGTATAGGAGATCACGCCAGGCTTTATCGAAATGGGCGACGTTCGAATGGATGCATGCTGTTGCTTTTGATTAAACTTTGTCGCAGGTAAAAGATCATCAACCGTCACTGCATCTACCATCCGCTTGAACCATTGACGAGCTCCAGCAAGATTACCGGCTTTGATATGTGCATGCATGATAGTCGTAAACGTGGTCTCATCTGGTATCACATTTTCTTCTAAAATCATGTGTGTGTACAGTGTTTGCATTGCCATCAAATCATTTGCAAGATTATATCCGTGAAGTAATGCATTGTATAGCCGACAATCTGGCACAAGCCCAAAGGATTTGAATTCTGAAAAAAGTTTTAGCATTCCAGAAATATCTCCTTTATCAGCACGTAACTTGATCAACATGGTATAGAGGACAATGTCGGGCATGACGCCCATAAACCGAAGTCGCTCCCAAATAGAATTGGCATGTACGAGGTCTCCTTGCTGAGCAAACATTCGTAAAAGAAATGTAAATGTCCATAGATTAGGTTTGATGCCAGATTGGATCATTTGATTGTATGCTTTCAAAGCCATCGTGGTATTCCCCACAGCACATGCAGATCTAATGAATGAGTGAAAAATGTAAAAGTCGGGTGTAATGGTTGAAAATGCAGCGGATATCATAGCCTTGTCAGAGATGGTGTCATTCAAATCCGACTGCTCTGTTGTCGAGTTAACATTATGGTTTGAGGGTTTGTTGAGTAAATGCAAGTAGTATGCCATGTTATTAATATCCTTCTTGCGACCAAAACCGTGAATCAGGCTATGTACACTGAGTTTTGAAATGGGTATACGAGCCCGAACAAGCAGCTGAATAATTTCCAGAATAATATCTGATTGAGCTGTTTGACCGAGATGCTGCAGCAGGTGCTCTAGCTGAGATTCCGACACAATGACTGATTCACTAATCAAATTATTAATTATGATTTTGATTTGATCCATATGATGAAACTTGGCAAGTATTTGCAGATATTGCATCCATATTTCAACTGACGGAGTCATTCCACAAGCATTCATATCAACCAGAATAAGTCGAATGGAATCGGGAGTTGCGGTATTGGAACGAATCAATAGAGAAATAAAGATATAGTAATCAGATATGTTAAACCGAAGATCACTAGTGTGTTTGAGGTGATCATATAGGCGTTTGGCTTGCTGGGCAGTTTCTGTATAGTGTCGAGTTTTAGCAGAAGATTGAGTATTCATGACCAAACTCAACAATTTATGAAGCTGAAGAGAGTCAGAAGGTGGTGTTTGATATAATCTGCATTGAGAATAGTTTTGATTATTATAAAACCAGACTTGAAAAGGCATGCGGTGCCAACAATAATTGGCAGATCGATTCAGAAATGATTCATGATTATATTGGATAACTTGATTGGAACAGGAAGATTGTGTAGCAGTGAATGAATTTAACTGCTTTAAACGGCATAACGATGAGTATTGACGACAAGAACGAGGTTTTGATAAGTTCTTGCATAATGGCTGGCTCCATACAAGAAGAGTCAGATCGTGATGGTGCATGCGACAAAGGCTTACTAGCCCATTTGGGTCAAATTATTCTGAACGCGAATTACATTTAAAATATTTGAAATGATATCACATGATTCGTCACATGTTTTTCAACAGATAGCAATGAATTCTGTTGCATTCACCAACGACCAGTTAGTATGAACAGCTTAAATGCAAAGTGATTTAAATGACACCAATGCATGTGTATGGATTAAACATGTAGCGTATGGGGTTTAAAGTCAAACTGTTGATGAATTTAACTGACATGGATTAATTTGGCCCAATTCAATAGCACGGTATGGTCCCCATGTTGGATGGGGTGGAATGAGGAAAGCTAAATGAAACATGGATTTCAACCGTGGAATTCTACAACTTGAAACTACATCCACTGATTTAAACCCATTTATCGTATGCATACAGATATATCAAGCGGTAGAATAGAACATAGTTTCTACCTAGTTCTCTTGGCTTACTATCATATTTCAACCTTGCATTTATACATTTGACGATTTATCTATCAAGACATTACCCAAATTTTACATCATTTGAATTAAACGATTTAGAAATCCACTAGACAACATGCAGATTCAAGTTTACATTACCGCAACATTAGGAATTACTTGCGCTATTGCGCTTCACAATGCAATGCCATCAACTATTCCTACAACGGCCTTGAAGAATCGGGATTCGATGCCAATAAAATCTCGACCAATATCTACAAGTATTCCACAGCATCCGATATCCATCAAAAAATTACGCACACTTGTCAACATTCAAACAGTGTTGACCGTCTTGATTCAATCAGGAATTCACCACTACATTTTTACTCCATTTACATTTAATCCCCATGATATGTTGTTCAGTTCTACGAGTACCGATACGCTGATGTCTGTTCCAGAAAATGAATTAAAAGATGCACATCGTGTATCGGTGCCTTCATCGCAGTTTTTGAAACATGCGTGGAATCATATGGCACTCATGCAACGATCATGTCGAAAAGGATCAACTATCGAACCCTGTTTGCCTTATCGAAGCATCAAAGTAGATCAACCCAATTTTAAATCCATTGTAGTCGAGCCAAAATCGCCAATGAATGTTCCAACAGAACCTCAGTATCGTACAGTTGAAACCCATGGCCATTCGAGTACGTCTTGTGATGATTCTAATCAACACAACGCTACACGGGTAAGATCAATGAATAACCCTCTTCAAAGCAATTCAGCAAGTATGATCTTGAATGATCTTACCAATACCATTGCAATTACAAGTATCCGATTAGGAATGGTTGTAGTGACTGCTTTTTTCATATTGTAATGGTAAAGTCCCCCAATAAAATTGCAAATTTTCAATCAAGTGCTTTAGCAAGACTCGAGCCGAGACTGGATACTGAAAAATCATGTATTGATAGAGATACAAAGTACTATAGATTGAGTTAATGCGTGCATTGTCCTCTGGTCTCAATAGGCAACATGACCATGCATATAAAAGCCAACCCAATCAAACTAGATGAAATCCACAAAGGAATATTCAGATTCACTTCAATCAACGCTCCAGTAACCACCGGCACTATTGCACCAAAAATTCGGCTGAGTGCAGAGGCTATTCCAACCGCCGTACCTCTAGATTCGGTTCGAAAAACTTCCGGTGTATACGAGTAAATTACACCGTACATGACGTTTTGAAGCAAACTCTCAATACAACTGATAATCATTTGACTATTGCTAGATGTAAACACGGTTAGCAAACACAACGAAATAGATGTACCCAGTGTAGCAAGCGACATGGTTCCGATACGGCCAAGTTGAGTATCTACTGCGTACATGCCTAAACACATTCATAAAAGCTAAGCAAGACATTACAATAGATGACACGGTCAATTCCATAAAACACTCGGCTTACCAATAATCGATCCAGGAACACCAAATATAGAAATAATTACATAGTTGCGGTACGTCTCTGTATCTGACAATGGTATTTTTCCTCCGTGAAACTTTAGAAATTTGGTAAGAAACCCATTGAACATAATGTATCCCATCGATACTAGCGACCAAATCAACCAAATCAATACAGTTGTTTTTCGAGTGTCTTTGGAAAATAGTGGTTTTAGTTTGCTCCAGCCAAGATCAGATTTTCGACGAGAGACTGGAGCAGACGATTGAACAGAAAATCTATCTGGATCAATAGTAATGGTTACTCCATTTTCATGCGCAAGCTGATAGAGAACATCAATCGCCTCGTCACGACGGCCGGCAGCAAGAAGAAATTTAGGAGATTCAAGCATACGGAAAAAGATCAGTCGGCCAGCAACCATGAATAGAGTAATCGTGCCAATTATAAACAAAAGGATGCGCCATCCTCTATTCGAGGCAGGATCGCATGGTCCAAAATCTGGACAACTATGTGATGGAATAAATAGAATTGCAACAATTGACACTAGTATCTGACCAACAGGCCAAAAAATACTCATGAGTGTAAGGAGCGATTGATTCTTTTTTGGAGTGAATTCCAGAAAAAGCGTGCCTATTCAACAGCACTGGTTAGATCCAATTGCGATCAATTACCATACAGTTGTACTTTGAACAAAACCAAACATACCGTCAACAGGGAGATTACCCCCAACACCCAACGCTAATGAAAAAAATGTTATACAGAGAATACTAAAGGAAGGCGCGAATGCGGATACTATGCCACAAACACCTGCCATCAGCAACGTCAAATTAAAGGCTGGCATGCGACCAATAACATCGCTACAAACTCCCCATCCTGCAGACCCAAAGATCATGCCAATCAAGGCAGCAGTGATCCCCAATCCAGCTACAGAATCTGACAAGTCAAAATCTCGTTGAAATTTCGGCAGGGTGGATGCTATTCCTTGCAACCACTATCGCATCGACAATAAATGTGCATTCATTACACTATTAGTCAAACCGTATCCATTCAATCTGTCAAGGATATTTTTTAAAGAAATGAGTAGCAGGCATTGCAACAGAGCGATTGGATTGAGATATTACCATGTTGTCAGCGACCCAGCCCATACCGCAAAGCCAAAACAATTTCCATTGGTATGCACCCATGCCAATTTCAGAAATAATACTTTCAATAGCAGAAAATTCATCGTCCATGTTTCCATTGTCGATATTCGTAAGCTGTTCGATACAATAATCATCATCGCTATCAAGGGGAAGTTGAGTTGATATGGCCTGAGCAAAAAGTGATTCAGAAGCTGCCGAGGTTTTGCGTTGATTGGATTCTGTAAGTGTAGTGGATGATTGCCTTGCTAATGGTGCATATCCGGCATGATTGATTACTGGCATTCCAGCTGTAATCAGTACTTGTATGGTCAGTTGGTTGCTTTGGATTGAAGCAGAAAGCTTGAAGCAACTCAAAGCACACCCTCAGGAACAGAGCTGAGATGGACTGCATTTTGCCATTCATATGACGATGCCTTTAAATTCATTATGTAAAACATCGGTTTATTTAGATACTTTGGATTGAGATTTAGAAATCGCATCAGAGTGTACACATCCATGTCGAGCAAGATACATTCTAACCCACTTCTTGGCAGCTGTTCGTGATGTGTCCACTAGTTTATCATCAGTAAGCTCCATTATTAGTGATTTCCCTACCTCGTCAGTCACTGCCTTGACCAACTATTTAATTTTCATGAATAAAAACAAAGTTCCAGTCGAGACATGGGCAAATACATTAGAAACAGCACATTCAGAATAAACGTATCAACACATCTAATGTAGTTGGATGCGCAACATACCGACTTTGCCATGGTTTTGAACTTTTCAATCGAAATCGTATGTTTAAATTTAGATAGTTGATCAATTGCAATAGAATGAAGCTAATAAAATGATCATGTCAGTATTTGAAAATCAGTACTCGTTTGGATTTCGTGATCATGAATCAATACAGATGATTCAAAAACTAACCTCTTTCCGAATTAAAACCTTCTTGGAGGACGACTCGCTGGAATGCTTGGATGACTTTGCGCTGGATTTAGACTTGCGCTCAGATATGTTACCCTTACCAAATCGTTCGTTGCCCAACTCTGCAACAGTGTCATCTATTGCATTGTTAAATAAAACCTTGTCTGAATGCACATGCTTCTTCAATGCGTCAGTAAATGGTGTTTGTACAGAGTCTTTATCAACTGGAGCTAAGGACTGAAGTGATGCAGTTGATGAAGCAGAGTAGTGCTCGCTGCTCTCAACCGACAATCGCTTTTTATGTAAATCTGACACCTGTAATCTCACTGGCTTGCTTGATTCGCGAGGATCGTGTTCAAGTCCATCTTTTGATTTCACACGAGTGACAGGTTTGGGATTGGTGGATATGAAAGAATCGTGCAAAGCATCCAATGACAATCGCGAGCTTTTGGAAATATGCTGACCAATGCATTCAGTCGTACTTTCAGCAGCTGTCGAAAATCTACGCTTATATGCAGATTTGACTCTATCCGTGTGATTAGAGCAGGATGGCGCCGAGTGCTCTAAACTCGAGTTGAACTTATCATGGCTACTTTCTTTATCATATTTGGATGAATCGTCGGCAAAAAGGGTAGCATCCAGTTTGAGTTGAGAATGGCGTTGACTAGAATATGTCGCAGTCTCCTTTTCTTTTGACATGCTTGAAACTAACTTATTATCAGTACTAGGAATATCTGCTTGAATAGTATGCTGCTGGGTTTCCGATTTTGTGCAGCTAGACCCTAATGTAGTCAAATCTGAATCTGTCGCCATATCTAACAGATCAGAATGAAGCTGCTCGTTTTCTTGTTTTGATTTATCATCGCTATTATTTTGTACATCCCGAGAGTCGTCATGACTGATACTGCGACGGAAAGGTAAACTCTGGTCTTTGTTGCTCTCATCGTGTGGGCTAATAATATCATTTGTATGTCGTGACCAAGAGGATTTAGCACTGTCCCGACCACAATCGTCAACAGGGCTTGGACTACGCCGATGAGCAAATGAAGAGCGACGATAAGAGTCATCATCTTTGCCATGTCTTCCGCTACGAGGAGCAGGACTTTGACTGTGGTCATCACTGTAGCAGCGACTACGTGAGCGTCGGCGATAATTAGATCGAATGGACGAACGACTACGACTACGGCTACGACCTCTCCGACTAACTTGATAACGAGTGATACTGCGAGATCGACTACGGCTACGATCTCTTCGACTAGCTTGATAGCGAGTGATACTGCGAGATCGACTACGGCTACGATCTCTCCGACTAGCTTGATAACGAGTGATACTGCGAGATCGACTACGTCTGCGAGATCTACGTCGTGAAGAACTTGAATCTTTTCTGCTCCGATGACCCGGACTGCAGCTACGTTTGCGAGTATCTCGTCGATCCGTATCTCTTGATGACTGGCGATATGGACTGACAGTATGATCACTGCGTCTAGAACGGCCTCGTCTGTACTCATCGTCTCGACCTTTAAAATAACTATCCCTTGTCGGTGATTTGGGGTGGGTAGTGTATCGATCAGGAGATTCTGCACGATTATGCTTTGATCTTTCAGAATCCTTTGGTAAAGATCGTATACTATCACCGGAAGCAGGGGCAGTATGTATTTGAGAACTACACATGGAAACAGAATCATGCCCACGCTTTTCATTATCCGTGTTTGCTTTTGAAGAGAGTCGCCTAGGAATCTCACTTGATTGATGTCCAGAACTGTGTGATTCGCGACGACTTTTTTGATTATCCTTGGATTGCTGTTCTAAAGCACTTTGTTTAAAAGTAGCTGCTGTATTTTTATCAGCATTCAGAGGCGTGGAAGATACTGCACTGCATGCTTGGCCAGATTGTGCACTCGCCTTGTTGTATCGTGGAAAATACTCGGGCTCGGTAAATAGTAAACTCGATACCAAAGTTGCAGATACTGGATTCAAAGCAGAACTTGAAGAAAGAGCATCCAAAGTATTTAATGAATTGGCCAAATAGTTTGCAACGACCAAAGTAGCATTCAACCCCGCCGGTGGTATTTTTGGAGCCGATGCAGTCGATAAGTCCTGATTCTTGGACTGGTCTTCATTAGTTATAGAAGAGCGTTTCGGAATAATGTATTTGATTGTTAATCCACTCCATTGTTTCAAAAGCTATAAATAAAAAAGGCTTTAGTAAAATGATCAAAAATCAGAGAGTATATATGCAATACACACCTCCTTGACAGCCTCTCGAGTTGTGTCTTCCATATCTTCTTTTTCTAGCATTTTTTCAAAAAACGGAATAAGACACAAGACAGGATTCCGGATGGTAATGGGGAGTTTCTGAATAATCTCAACCACCACTGAAACCACAGTGAAATCATATTTCGTAGTCATTATGCAACTACGAACAACATCTAAACCATGCAGACCAAGAAATTTTCGGAGTAAAACAGAATCATCCAGTCTCTGCCATCAGACATGGTAGTCAGTTCAAAATGTGGTTAGTGAAATTCATTACAATTTTGTAATCCTTTTAAACATATCAATACACAAACCTGTAGACGTTTTAGTACATGAAGAGCTCGATCGGCTTGAGATCCAGCAAAAAACAGTGCCCGTACAGTCTTTTTCAAGTCCTCTAACGACTCGATGGGACGAAACACCTTTTCGGACTGTATAAAATAAACAGAATATTCAAGTTAACCACCATGGTATATTTGCAAAATGACTGTAAAGTTGCATTCAATATAAAAGTTACTTTGCGGGGTTTCTTTTTAAACTCTTTTTTGTTACGACTTGCGATTGCATCTCTAGTCTCCTCATCCTCACTGTTGTCATCCAGCTCAATGCCTTCGTCTTCTTCAGAATCATCGCTTTCAGAATCACCAGGCTCGTCAGAAGACCGATTTCCACCAATAAACCCAGTGCATGCAGCAGCACCACAATAGCATTCTTGAGCCTTGGATCTATTATATCAAATAAAGAACATATGAGAAAGTGTACATGCACATGACGACGCGTGAAATCAACACACCCGTATCGTTCAAACTTGTAGTCAAAAGTAAGTTCGGCATTTTTTGGAATAGCTCTCAAAGCAAATAAGCCAATCCGAATCGTGTCACCAACCAGCCATTTTTGTAATGAGCAATTGGGATCGCAGCTGTGATTTAAATACCGAGAAAGGTTTCCTTTTTTAGATGCATCAATGTACTATAATCAAAATCGTGTTTAGCTGACAACTATATAAAGAACCATGTGGCAAAGAGCAAATCAAGAGTATGCACCTCATCTTTTTTCAAACTCATAAAGTAGAAATGCTGCGCGCTGTTGTTGGAATGTTCTGTGATACGTTTACCAAACAGCGAAGCGGGAATCACTTCACCACAATACTCGATAATGAATGCACCGCCAGCAATGTTTTCTCTAGCATAGATTCCAAATCCTTTTGAGCCAGCACGAGCAACTTGAATAGGAGAATATTGACATAGTTGAAACCGTCTATTTTGGCATGCATTTCCAGTGGGACAGTCTTCTGCAGAGCATTCTAATGATAATTGTCTATTGATACAATCCGAATCTTCGCCACATGCCATCCACGATGGATCGCGGGCTAGACCCAATGCATAAAGTGAAAATTTAAATGGAGTTGTAAGCAGACCATTTCAACGAATCAAATAACAATCAAAAACAAACTCTTTAGCTCGATACTCACATGAATTGTATTCACAGTTGCATTGCATAAAGTCGCTTGATACTTTGCCGTTTGTACGTCCTCTATAAATATTTGATTCAATATGTACATAGGCCTCTGTGACCTCTTTTAATACACTTTCATTCTCGTACCATTGTCCATTTTGCCCACACACTGGGCCAGACAATGCCTGTACAGATTCATTTTGAGTCATGTCAGTGCTGGTAAATCCAGTAGATGTAGTGTCGGTCGAATTAGTATTGATGGAGAGTGTAGCATCTTCTGCTGGCGTAGATTCATCATCAACTGTTAGTGATTCCAAGGCCAAAAAAGAGTCGTCCAGCTTTTCTATCTCAAGATTTGCAGGTTTAGAGTTTTCGTTTACAACACGATCCGAATCTTCCGACACAGGTGATGATTCGCATTTGGCAGTTGTTTCGGTAAACGAGGTTGGACTATGTGAGCTTTGTCGTCGATGTGTCGATGCAGGAGAGGGAATAGTTGCGCATGCTGAGATCAAGAATATATTAAAATGGTAAACAATCAATCTATGCAGTTTATAGAAATGACCATCGTATTGGTCAAGTTGGATTAGTGCATAGTAAGCACATACCTTTAGTGATTGAGTCTAAACCTGTTTGGAGTAAAGAGTCTTCATCCACTTTACGAACATCCATTGAAATCGTCAAATTGCTAGACATTCCAAAACAAAAAATACAACAGTAGCCAAAAGTCAGCAGTTGCATTTGGATAGTTGGACATGCAGATTGAATGCAAGAACATGACCCATCACACCTTCCCATTGTGAGCATGATTCAAGAATAGAGTATACAGAGTAAAAGCAATATTAAACTAGTTGGTGAATGTGCAGTATTTTGTATAGAATCAGCCTACAAGTTTACCAAATAATGTTATTTAAAAACAGTGACTACGGATCATCCATAAACAAAGCAAATGGTTATGGCCAACACCAATGCTGACCAAACAAGTGTTTTATGTGTATTCAATGAGCAAGAATATGCTGTGGTTACAATGTAATTCGTAGCAGGAACAAGCACATGATACCATCAGATGATAAAAGCAAACTTGGTTGTATTCCGACCACTTGTTGGTATTCGAAATGGAAATGCATTGACTGACAAGTGACTCTATTGTCCAGTCTGTCGCTATCATGAATGCTATTTAAACAGAGTCGGTAGCTAAAAAAAACAGTAGCATTGCTCACCTCAATGCAATTCTGAATGGCTTTGCATGCAACTTGCAATCAGACTGTCGGAGTGTTGGTCAAAGTCGCGGTTGTTGCAATCGTCATGTTCAAATGTCATCCAACATGTGTTGAAAGCATTCATATTATTATCTGTTATAATTCTGCTCTATTCGTATTGCTATAAAATTATGCATTAGTCTTTACTGAACTCAATTCATGGTTCATTTCGTTTCTTTGACATGGATTGCCGTTTCAGTATTCATCTTATGGATGGTACATGTTCTCTTATGGGCAACTATGTCTGATTCTACCATCAGTGCCAAGATTTAAACTGAATTCATTCATGTATGATCTGACTTTACAGGCATTAACATTGTCGATGTAGTGGTCTTTAGTGGGCTTGTGGAATGATCAAGATTCACTATAGTTACTGTAGGTCCTTTAGGTACCAACTTTGTTCCAAGTCGCCTCTGTGCCTTTTCCTGTAGCACATCCAAGTCCTTGGTACATATATTGTGAGTCATTATAGATCCTGTCCAAGTACAACCCACCCTTGATTCTAAAATAATTACCTTTGCAGTGCGTACGTGTCGAATCTCTTCAATACACTTCCATTCGGCTGTTGCTGCCTTGTTGATCTCTTCGATTTCTTTTAAATACTGATTTCGTGTATCATCAAAGTCCTTTTCCGACTTTTCCTATCAATAAATTAAATGTTGGTTTTGTTCACAACATATCAACACATTCAAAAAAACTTACCAAATGAAGTTTCATTTGTTGAATGTGTTCTGGTGTAATGCCTGGAAACTGCTTTGATTCTCTGATAGCAGCTGCAGTTGAAGAATAAACATGTAGATTTTCAAAAGTGTGCGTATCAGTATACTTGAAACATCATTACTTGAGCATGAACCAAGACTTACATGCACTATATGGAGAAAATAGCAGATCAATAAACATATGATTGCGCTTGTATCTTTCAAGAGATATGACTCTGGTGTAGCCCTGATCCAACTCGTCTATATTTTATGGGATCAGTCAATCAATCAAAATATCAATTGTAATTAAATCATTGTATATAAGAATGCTAGTGTACTCACCTCCTGACAAGTCTTTTTCTTCTTCAATCACTTTTACTTGAGATACAAGTCGTGCCTTTAACATTGCATTAGATCAAATAGCCATGTAAAAGTGGCATTTAAAAATGCATCCCATAGCATACCTGGGGTTGTGCTCGTGGCCGTTTACGAGCATAATAGGACGAATTATGTGGATCATCTCCTGTACGTTTTGCAGCATAATTACCTGATCCAGCATGTGAAGAATCGGGCACATATGCCTGCTGTCGCTGAGGTGCAGTCATGATGGATGCGCGAGGCATAGCCTTGATAGCATGTGGGATCACTTTCATTGCTGCATCTTGTGGTACAGCAAGATAGTGAACAAGGTTTAACATAGGGTTGGCTACAAGACGATATCTTGAACGCTTGCTAAGTTGTACATTAGCACATTAATAGGTTATAAATCAGCCATTAAATTAAATCAAAGTGTGCAATATTGGATCTATATTCTATAATAAATATTCAACCAGTAATTCAAGCGACATACATGGATACACAAGTCTCATTTGGACTAAATCCAAGTTTCCTAGTAAAAATCTCCATTTCCTATATCAACCAAGGCCATGTTCAGTATAATTAAAACCATGGGGTTAACTTGTATAAATCCAGATCACCCCAAGCATTTGACCTACAATGCCATTATCTAGAGTAACTCTGGTTAAAGAATCATCATCCATCCATCCATAGCCATCTGATGCCATCATCTCGCCTGGTTGAAGTAGAAAGGCAATAATAGAACCATCTAATAACCAGCAGTAGTAAATGGATGAGCATTGATCAAACCGAATATCAGCGATAAGTTCAAGACTCATTTTCAAAGTTTGAAGCAGCATTCAGCATAGGAATGCAGCTTCAGTCATCCATAGCAGAATGTAGGCAGAGAATCGTACCAAGTGGTTTATCTACAACAAAGTGTTCTATCTGAGGTTGAGTCTGAAGCAGTCTGCTGAACATGTCTGCAACCTTGTCATTAGACAAAGACTCTTTAAGAGGAAGAATATTGACTGACAGTTTACGAAAGGACATGGCTGGCTGTATGAACACAAGTTTGACCTTAAAGAACGAACCCAACAGCTCAATGCAAGAATAAATCGACTGCTGATTCACGCAAAATGAAAGTTTTCTGTCGCTGTTTTGCAAGACAATTTTCTATTACAAATTGACTCGATACAAAACTTTGTCTTGATTGTCAATACAAAACTCTACTTTGCATCTTAAAATCTAATCAAACGATTGCAAGTCTCTTTCTGTTGTTTCCTTGTCAATCACCAAAACTATGTTCAAATGACATTCTCCAATCTCGGAAATTGGCCTGTTTAACACCCCTGTTTAGTGTTTCATTCTATCTGAATACGGAAAAGATCATTAATGGTTGCTTTTGCTTTCAAATAAATTAAAATCTTGGGCGTACTTTAAAGTTGGCTTCATAAACCCATATGTAAACTATAAACGGGTTCTTCATACCCGTTCGGCTTGAATTTATACGGGACAAACTCATGGACTATACTACTTTATGCAACTGTTGTACAACTCAATATTGCACGGCTAACACCCGAATATTTTTGCTACCATATATTACAATTCTTTGTGGCAATACATAATTAGCCATTTATGTCAATCCCCATGAACGCGACAATAAACTCGATCGTAATTAAATTGTTCAAAACGCCTGGAGTTGGAATATAAAAAGCAGGTATTGAGCATCAACTAGTTCAACTCTACCTTTGAGTATACTTGAATGCTTTTGACTACTTTTCTTGGAACTTTGGCTATCGCTACTGTTACTGCTTTGAGCCATAGCCCAGCAGACTATAGGATTTATGCTCCACACGTTAATGGAAAATCTGCCACCATCAATGGTGGTGATATCCATTATACTCCAGGCGGCAGTGTTTTGACTGGTCCCGTTCCGATTTACTGTAAGTAAAAACTATTCATTTGACTTGGTTGGTTTGATATCAATCTGCAATGATTACAACTTTAACCTGTATTCAACAACCAGTGATCTACTATGGTGGTTGGAATCAAACCCAGAAAAATCTGATTGAGACCTTTACCAACGGCTTGAGTTCGTCTGCCTGGTGGAAGACTCAACAGAAATACTACTACCAAAAAGATGCCACCTCACCCAAGGTCTATGTGGATAACCATGTTACCGTTGCTGGTACTGCTAGCAACAACTATTCTGTTGGCAAAGCGTTTTCAGGAAGCATGATAAAAGATCTTATTCAAGCGTATATCACCAATGGTACATTCCCAGAAAATAGCAACGCGATCTACTACATTGTTAGCACGGCTGATGTTACCGAAGTTCGCAGCAAAAGTGGATTTTGTGGCGATTATTGTGCCTATCACTCGGATATCCATCTCAAATCTGGCACTACCGTATACTTTGGTTATGGTGGTCTGCTTCCCGCCAACTGTGTGAATGGATGTGCTCCTCCACCCAACCAGACTAGCTCGCCCAACAACGACGTGTCTGTTGATGCACTCTTGTCAGCCATGGCTCATGAAATTGTTGAAACCATCTCTGATCCTGACTTGTTTAACACGGGTTGGGTTGACTATGTTTACCAAGAGAATGCTGACAAGTGTGCATGGACATATGGCAACGTGACTATTGCTGACAATGGTGCCAGCTATAACATGGGCTGGGGTGGTAAGAATTACTTGATTCAGCAGAATTGGGATCCAGAAACCCAGTCTTGCACACTTGGTGAATCTGGTAGTCATCCTTCATCATCCAGCACCACCACTGCTAAAAAAACTACCACCACTACTACTACCACCACGATCAAGCCGACCACCACTACCACCACGATCAAGCCAACCACCACTACCACCACTACCAAAAAAACTACCACCACCACGATTAAGCCAACTACCACCACCACCACCACCACGATCAAGCCAACTACTACTACTACCACCACCACTACTACTACTGTCGAGCCAATTACCACTACTGCCGAGCCGATTACCACTGCCGAAACAGCCACCACTGTCGAAACGGCTACTTCTGTTCCTACCGCGACTACACCTTGCGATATGACCGACTTTTGCTGCATGTATCTTGGACACTACTGTTGAGATTGCTGACAACAAGCATGAGAATGGAGATAGAATAAAATGAAACATTATCACCAACCATCAATATCCATTAAACATGACAATTATTGGGTTAAACTATACATGGTGAATCAAAAGTAGATATTGCGTTTTATTTGAACATCTACAGTTGAAACGACTTGGTAGGAGTGGTGAGTTTGCTGGCAGCAGCATGATCTAAAAACCAGTACAAGTTACCAGATGTTGGTTTGACTAGAAAAAAATCATAAAGTAATAGATGGGTTAGCATGCTAAACATGAATCAAGCAGTTTACAAATTAAACCTAATTTAATTGGGTGATAGAAATGAGCAGATTTCAGATATTATACTCGACATACCTCTACGACTAGGAAAATCTTGAGCAAGATCTACCATGCGATGAAATATGTCAGCCTTTTCTTCACCTGTAGCAACAAAAATGGCATTGTGGCTAGCATTGACGACAGGATAAGTGAGCGTAATGCGAGTGGAGGGTGGTTTGGGAGAGTCGTGAATAGCAGCAACCAGCTTGGTATGTTCATCCAGCAGCATATGACCCGGAAATAACGAACAAGTATGACCATCTGGACCCATACCAAGCAACAATGCATCCAATCTGGGTATACCCTCAGCAGTATCCTTGACAGCAGAGATCAGTTTGGATTGGTAATCAGCAGCAGCGGCTTCAGGATCAGACAAAAGGGATTCAGAGATGGTAGTGACTTGATGAGCAGGAATCAAATCAAGAAGAGCAGCCTTGCATGCACCATAGTTGGAGTCGGGATGAGATAGAGGAACACACCGTTCATCTGCAAACAAGACATGCCATTTGGAAAAGTCGATGGACTTGTTATGACAAAGGTGAGCAGCAAGAATCTTTGGAAGCGATCCGCCAGACACTGCAATAGTGAATACGCCTCGCTTGGAAATGGCATCTGCAGACAGACGCTCAATCAGAGAATTCAGAGCGACAGAAACAGCATCTTTTGAGGAAAAGGAATAGAGCGATGTGCTAATCATGACGAGTTTAGACTGAATGAATAAAAACAACAGCTTGAAATATACAAGATCCACGTGAGGTTAATTGACAAGTCTTGCAAGATGCCATCGTTGGCTGTTGGTGAGTTTGTAATAACAAAGACTCGTTTGGGTTTGTAATTGTGTGCTTGCAATGAGTATACGTCGAATACAACTCCAAGAATCTAAATAGGAATTTTCATGTAATCATTTCTTCCTCAACTCTGCAACAATGCCAACTACTATGGTGAGGCTTCGTTATCTGTTGCTCATACATCAAGACAATTGTTTATATTATTGTTAGTCTATTTTATACATACTATTGGAGCAACTTGATAGTTGAATTCAAACCATCACTGGAGTCAAGTAGTGCAGTATCAATGTCAAATAGTGGCAACTCCAGTTTGCACAGGATGCTCAATAATCTCGCATTTCTCATAAATGACTACAATACTAGTCTGGATGTTCTTTGGAATACTGTTTGACTAACTCCTGACTTGTCACCAATGTCCATCCACTCTTTTCCTTAGCAGACTGCTGGATCCACGGCTTTAAATACTTTTGATACCCAGCATGAGGACATGATCGTATGTATTTTTATTTACATACTGCTCAGTATATAAATAGTCTTTGTAATGAATTTCATAAGCAGGCTCTTTATTGTATAGCAGTTTGAGTCTGGAATTATCCATTTGAGCGAGTTTTCGTTGGCTGACCATGATCTGTTTTGAATGATACTTTATTAAATCACGACTTACTACCCTAACCCTGAACAGCATGATGCTCAGCTGGATTACTATGGAAAAAGGTTGGCTACCTGTTCATCAGATAGATCCATCAAGATTTTTAGTGTGGAAGGCGACAATCATCAACAGATTGCTGCACTGCATGGGTATGTCTACTTTGAATAGTTGATATGCTAGCCAAACTACTCACATTCAAACGGGTTTGGAAACTATAGACATGAAGGTCCTGTTTGGCAAGTTTCTTGGGTCCATCCTAAATTTGGCAGCATGATTGCATCGTGTTCGTATGATGCCAAAGTTTATATTTGGCGAGAGGTCAATGGGCAATGGTCCAGGATCAAGGATCATACTACACATACATCCTCTGGTTTGTTTTTTATTAATACTGTGCTTTCTAACCTGATACTGTTGATGCCATTGGTATACAAACTGACGTTTTATCTTGCATAGTAAATTCAATTGCATGGGCCCCACATGAATATGGACTTATTCTTGCAGCTGCTTCTTCTGATGGAAAAGTATCTGTGCTGACTTATCACGGTGAGTATTGTCTATCGACTACAGCTCATGTTGGTCCATCTATGATTATATTCTAATGCCTTTGCATGTTTAATAGATGATAGCACTTGGGATGTCAAAACCTTTAATGCCCATAGCATTGGCGCAAACTCCATTTCATGGGCGCCTAGTATTGTCCCAGGATCGCTTGTGCAAACCTCTAGCTCGCCAGCATCTAATGTCGTGAAGCGGTTTGTATCTGGCGGATGTGACAATCTCGTTAGGGTCTGGCGGTAAGCGTTTTAAATACTCGATGCTATGTTTGGTATCCTATGTTCTAATACTGTCAATTGAATCAGTGAGGATGATGGTGCTTGGCGTGAGGAGCATGTATTGGACGGTCACACTGACTGGGTGCGTGATGTTGCATGGGCACCCAGCATTGGCTTGCAACGAAGTTACATTGCCAGTTCATCTCAGGTAAAAATACTTGAATTATTTATTTAAATGATTTGGAGCTGTATTTTGTTTATTCTGATGTAATCATTTGAACTGGTTCTTGGTTTCTAACTGCCGTGCTATGAATACTACATTTAGGACAAAACCGTGCTTATCTGGATACAAGACTCTCCAACAAGTCCATGGACAAAGAAAATGCTCAAGGCAGAACCATTTCCAGATGTTGTATGGCGGGTGAGCTGGTCCATGTCGGGCAATATCTTGGCTGTTTCAAGTGGAGACAATAATGTTACACTTTGGAAAGAGAACGTTGATGGTGACTATGTTCAGATTGCCGACGTGCCTGAATAAGTAGAAATGAAGCTGGATGAGATTTTATCTAGTTTAGTCTTTTCAACAGTACAATTGCACTACAGGATTCCAGCTATATTCGCGTGAAATGGAACATCTGGGTTGCTTTGAAATATAATGGAATATTTGGTATCTACTATAAATCGACTTTTCAATCAACATTCTCGATTCAATAGACACAACGACCATCATACGAGGCTCACACAATATTAATAGTCAAAACAACACAATATCCAGTAAACCAACATCAATCATCTCATGAGATTGGCGGTTTATTAGACACCCTTATTTAGCATCTTGTTCTATATGAATACGGCAGTAAAACTTTAATAGAAACCAGTTTTGAAATTGAGGGTCATGCGTGGTTCGCTCATCACGCGCTTTAATGATTTTTTTAATTGAATTCAAAATTTGGCTTGAATCATTTTAAAACCATTGTAGCCATGTGTGGAATCATTGGTGCTATTCTGTCTGACCATCAACAGTTGGTTAACTCTGAGATATATGAATGTCTGGGTTTGTTGCAGCATCGTGGTCAGGTATGAACTATCAGCATAGATACAACTCAGTATCACTAATTATTGTTTACTATTGTATTCATATAAAATGGAATTTTTCTATATCTTGCAGTGACTCTTTTGTTTCAAAATAGTCAATGATTGATATTCGTTGCGCTTTCTTACTACAAATTGACTCTAATAGACAGTCAGCTCTTTTAAACACAATGTTCATTATATAATACAAACTATGGGTTTGAACTGTCCTTTCTCCTCTTTTGAAATAGTCATGCACTGTACGATCATCGAATTTGGAATCGGATTTGTCCATTGTGATTCACATGATTGATTCGAGTGCTTTTTGATGTTGTCAATCAAACTGTACCAACTTGTTTTATTTTACTTGGATACAGCTATAAAAACATGTGCATCTTGCGACTGGTATCTAACCTTTATCAATATTTTCTACCTATTTATGTAACCGGGGCTTGATTTTGTTAATCTGTGTCAATGGCTACTGCTGTTTGATGGCGTGTTCTATTACAGGATGCTGCAGGAATCATCACCTGCAACAACAAGGGCAGACTATATCAATGCAAATCCAATGGCATGGTACGAGATGTTTTTGTTCCATCTCAACTAACTGGTTTGCTTGGACATATGGGTGTAGGACATGGTAAATATTTTGCACGATCGCTAAAAGTTTATTTCATCAGCTATGCTGCTCTTGTATTTTACAATGATGACTGACTGGTCTGCAATTTTTTAATTCAGTGAGATACCCAACCGTTGGTTCATCGTCAAATTCTGAAGCACAGCCATTCTACGTCAACAGTCCCTATGGCCTTGTTCTTTCTCATGTAAGTAACTCAAGCTTACTACCAATTTGATGACTGTGCCTCTTTTTTTCTTTCAGTTTAAACCCATTACGATCATATCATTACAACCGTCTTCGCGTAAAACAGAGTGCTATTCCTACTGCAAATTGATACCCTCAACCCTTGTTTCAAATAGAATCCGAGTCATGTACTCACTGCTGAATCATTAATTGAACCATGACTTTATAGAATGGCAATCTTACAAACGCCGACGAGTTACGTGTATTCCTTGATCAAGATGCTCACCGCCATGTCAATACCAACTCGGACTCTGAGCTACTTATTAATATTCTCGCCAACAACTTGCAGCAAACGGGAAAGTTCAGGTGTGTAGGATGCTTTAAAAACCAACTGGTTTAGTAAACCTGTGTATAGTTGCTATAAACTAATGACATGTTTAATTATAGAACAAACGAAGAAGATATTTTTACTGCTATTACTAAGCTTTATGAGCAATGTCGTGGTGGATATGCTTGCATTGCCATGATTGCTGGGTTTGGTTTAATTGGTTTTCGAGTGAGTTGTAATTTCAAAAATGTGTAGTTTAATCTAGGCATTGATCATTGCTTGATCTAGTCATGTAGGACAAGGTTACTTACAGTCTTGTCAATCTAAACCGGATAAATAAAACATATAGGATCCCAATGGAATTCGCCCGCTCATTTATGGTGAACGTGTCTCTGCAGACGGCAAGGGAAAAGACTACATGATTGCATCTGAAAGTGTCTGCCTTGAAGCTCTTGGCTATTCCAACTTTCAAGACGTGAAACCTGGCGAATCAGTCATTTTTACTCCCAATACCATCAGTCGTCGACAATGCATTGAGCCAAGACTTTTCACGCCATGCATCTTTGAATATGTGTACTTTGCTCGTCCAGATTCAGTTATGGATGGCATTTCTGTTTACAAGGCGCGTTTAGCTATGGGCGAAGCTCTTGCCAACGCTGTTGTAGAAAAGCTTGGAAAAGATATGGATATCGATGTTGTCATTCCAGTATGTCTTGCATTAGTTCAAGTAGACAGGTTTAAAGCCAATTATTGATTTCGTGTTTTGTTATAGGTTCCTGATACCAGTCGAACGTCTGCTCTGCAAGTATCATACAAACTCGGCAAACTATACAGAGAAGGATTTATCAAGAATAGATACATTGGTCGTACATTCATTATGCCTGATCAGCAACTTCGGTAGGAGATTTAAACCGTATTAAACCGCCAATTGGCGTGTCATATGGATGACTATGTGACATGCTAACTTTTCTAAAACCAGTGTTAAATCTGTGCGTCGCAAGCTCAATCCCATGCCCATGGAGTTTGCTGGAAAAAGTGTATTGATTGTTGATGGTAAGTTTTATTTTATACACGAATTATTTGAGAATTTAGCCTTTTAAACCATGCATTCTCTTGTTTAGATACAATTGTACGTGGCACAACTTCACGCGAGATTGTTCAAATGGCAAGAGAGGCAGGTGCTCGTAAAGTGTATTTTGCTTCTTGTGCACCAGCAATTAGGTAAAATGGTGTTGATGGCTATTCTTGACAAATGTGTGGATCTTGATTTACTGACGTTCAAGCGTATTTGTAAAAATGCATTATTATTAGATTTCAGAACGTGTATGGTATTGATATGCCTACACGATCGGAACTTATTGCTTTTGGAAAAAAAGATGATGAAGTTGCAGACGCCATTGGTGCAGACTGTGTGATTTTCCAGGTACTACCATTCCATGTCTATCTTGTAGCCATGACATGACATCTGATTTACTCAACCTATTTCCCTGCTATCTGTCGTTTCTAGAATCTGGAGGACCTGATCGAATCTGTAGCCAAATTTAACACTAATATCACCACGTTTGATGTATCTGTATTCAATGGTAACTATGTTACTGGAGATATCGACACATCGTATATGATGCACCTTGAGCAACAACGCAGCGAATTGACCAAGAGTGACAGGATGCCTATATCTGAAAATGTGATTGGTTTATATAACCAGCTCCATGCCAACAAATAGACGGTTGTTTTGCCACAGCAATGAAACTTGCTTTCAATAATAATCTCTTAAAAAATCATGACAGTATCTATCCATTCATCCTATTTTTTTACTATTAATTCTACTATTCATCGGAATCGCCCTCATCGGCTGCATGTATGCTTGCTTCTGTGGCATCTGCTGCCATTGAAATATCTTTACTTGCCTTTAGTCGCTGACCTGATAATTAGTGGCACATTGCATTAAATATGCGAGTTAGCAGCCTGCTTGAGACGTATACATTGAGTCAAGTGAGAAGGATGGTCAATCCCAGTAGTAAAAACAAAACAAAATGAACTCCAACTTACGAACTAGATTTGCTGCAGCTTTTTTGGTTTTCCGATCCAATTTCTCAAGCTTTTTATTCAGATCACGTTTAAGATCCCAGTTGGGTTTCTTTGGAGCAAGATTGGTGAGATCCAGCTCCTTGTTTCTTGCTTCCTCTGCCTCCAATGCATCGTGTTTAATCGTCTCGGCCTACAATATTAAAAGTACATGTATGAGTACATGATCCAGTTCATGATACATCCATCAATATAGGACAATGGCCATGCTGTGATCTGTCGGAATAGGATTTACCTGTCCTTCAACTGTATCTACATGATGTTTAGCATGTGGCCCAACAATGGGTGCAGTTTCAACGTAGTCTTTGAGGGCATCTGTTTCGGGCTGATAATTTCTGAACCTCAATGCAGATGCACTAATTGTTATTGGAAATATTCAATATAAACAGTAATACCAAATGGTTAAAATTGGATTTCTGCAACAGAACTGTTGGTAAACCATGCACAGGTTGACAGAAACAACATTACCTTGTTTCTACAGCTGATTCTGTATCTGATTCTTGCCGATGTCGTTTGGTGTCGACTCCATTCGTGTTGCTGGTGGTGGAAGCACCTTGCTGAACTTGTTTTCTAAGAGCAGCTAGTCTTTCCTTGCGATTCTCAGCAGCCTCACTCAATCCCATATTCTGATATATGCGCTACAGTTGAATCTTGGTTCAAGCTTCAGATCCAGTAAATTCCAAGTGGAATTGATTTTTCCAATTCACTCAAAGCAAGTCAAAGTCACGTGAAATACATGTGATCACTTGCTTGCTTATTGTCTGTCAAACGACGTTTAACATTGAATCTGTTCAATTTGAATATCTAGTCCATACACCATGCTAAAGCTTGCCAAAAACATCTACATTGGTATGCTTGAAATTTCACTATGGTCGATAGAACTGATGGCTGTTAATTTTAACCGACTTTTGCTACTTGACTATTTATAGTTGCTGCCAAACGAACGGTTAGTAAATGTCAGTTATTGCAACGTGAATAGAGTCTAGCAAGGAAATATCCACGATGATTGGGTTTTGCTAGTCAGACTGTAGAAAAGAATTCCAAAACATACGCCTTTATGGTATTGGTACGCTCATCTCAGTGTATTTTTATCTATTATAAATACTCTTTAGGCTTTTGGTGCGTTCAATGGTAAACTTGCTAAATTTTCTGCTAATGAGCTTGGAGGACTGGTTTCAGCTGCCGTTGTCAAGGAACTACCAGCTAGACTCAAGATAGACTCGGTGATCTACGGCAACGTGCTGCAGACTTCATCTGGTAAGGTGACGAGTCATGAAACTAGGGCCGTGTTGGATTTGATTTTGTTAAAAGTCGATTCAAATGCACTAGAATTTGTATATTGGCAGAATGAATTTGGGCTGATCATATTTAAATGGCCAATTTATACTTTTAGATGCGGCGTATCTTTCTCGCCATGTTGGACATCGAGCTGGTCTCCCTATTGAAGCCTCTGCTTTAACCATCAACCGTCTTTGTGGTTCTGGGTTTCAAGCCATCATCAATGGTGCACAGGACATTCTTCTTGGTGAAGCGGAAGTTGTTCTTGTTGGTGGTTCAGAAAACATGTCACAAGCGCCTTTTGCTCTCCGTGATGCGCGATCTGCTCCGCGATATGGTGTAGATCAGAAACTGGAAGACACTCTTGCTCATGCACTCATTGACTCGTACCCAACCAAAACACCCATGGGTATTACTGCCGAGAATCTTGCGAAAAAATTTGGAATCAGCCGTGGACAAGCTGACGAGTATGCACTTTTTAGTCAAACTCGTTGGGCAAAGGGTAGGTAGTCTGACTTGTTGGTAAAGCTTGGTGATAGGGTTTGAATGTGATGTTTATACTTTGAGTCTTACTTGGAAAATGTGATCTTTTGTATGTGTTTATTAGCTCAAGAAAGTGGTTGGTTTGCGGATGAGATTTTTCCAATTGAAATCAAATCGCGAAAGGGTGTCGAGCTGTTTGATGTTGATGAGCACGCTCGTCCTCAAACTACGCTTGAAGGTCTTGGAAAACTTTCACCTGTATTTATCAAAGAGACTGGCATTGTCACTGCTGGGTAGGATGATCATGCTAAATGTATTCCATTACGATTTGCTACTAGCTCTTGGCTAGATCTGTCACTTTCAGATACATTGGGTTGTTCAAGATACTCACTGGAGATTGTATTGTCTAGAAATGCCTCTGGAATATCGGATGGGGCAGCTAGTTTGGTTATTGCCAGCGAAGCAAGTGTCAAGGAATATGGGCTTAAGCCACTTGCTAAAATTCTCAGCTGGAAGTATATTGGAGTTGAGCCGAGCATTATGGGTAAGCTATTTTCAATCTACTTGGCAGTATATATTTTGTAAATATAACATTACACTCATGGCTGGTTAATTATGGCAGGCATTGGACCAGTACCAGCGATCCGTGAAGCACTCAAGCGTGCAGGTCTTGCATTGCAAGATATTCCTTTAATTGAGATTAATGAAGCTTTTGCAGCACAAGTGCTGGCAGTATGCAAGGACTTGAAACTTGATCCAGCCAAGATCAATGTAAATGGAGGAGCGATTGCTCTTGGACACCCACTTGGAGCGAGTGGAGCTCGTATCATGACACATTTAGCGCATCGTATGCATCGCACACAAGCCAAGTATGCTCTTGGATCTGCTTGCATTGGTGGAGGACAAGGTATTGCGATTGTTCTTGAAAAAGCATAACTGAACAGCATTGATTGATGATTCAAATCAGATTGATTTACGCTTAATAAAGTCGTATAAAATGAGAATGAAAAATAAAGATTAACAAAAACAGTCAATGAGAAAGTCAACCGATTGACACTCAAAAGTCGTGCTTTGCTTCGATTGAATTCTAAGTTACCCTGACATTACAACGTGCGATCCAATATGCGTTTTCACCAGCACTCCAGTGGCAATATGGCGAATAAACCATTGGGTTCTTTTATGATGGTCTGCACACTACTGATGCTTGGACTCATTGCACTTGTTCCTTCATTGTCTGTATCGGCCACTGTCATTGGTCTTGATTACGGCACTGACTGGCTCAAAGTTGCCATGGTTAAGCCCCGCGGTATTCTGGAAACCGTATTAAACAGAGAATCCAAACGCAAGACTGCGACTGTCATGAACATACGCAATGGTGTGAGAACGTATGGCTCTGAAGCTGTTGCATTGGTAAGTCTCGTTGGCTTGGATTGGTTGATGTCGAGATTATTTTGAACGTGTTTGCTCTTGATTCGCTTCGAGTGTTTTTGTTCAAGAGCATCATCGTATTTGTAGAATGATGGTGCTCTTGCGTTGTGATCAATATCTTTTCTTGCTTACATGCTTTGTTTTCTTGACTTGAATAGGGTATGCGCTTTCCTGAAACCACTTACTCAAATCTCAAGAGCTTAGTTGGCAAAAACTTCTCCCATCCTATATGTGAAAAGCATCGCAGTGTTTTCCCAAATACCATGATTGCAGATACAGAAAGGAATACTATTCGCTTCCAACAAACCGATACGACGTATTACTCCAACGAGGAGCTTACTGCCATGATATTTGCTCATGCAAAATCACAGGCAAAGATCTATAGTGGTGTTGCTGTTTCGGGTGCTGTGATTACTGTAAGTAGAAAGGTGTGTTTTGTAAAGATTTAGATGCATAGATCTAATGTTTGGTATTGTTGGAATGCGGTGAATCAGGTTCCTCCTTATTTTAATCATTTCGAGCGTCAAGCCATTTTGGATGCCGCCAATATTGCTGATCTCAAGGTATTCCAACTCATCAATGATGAAACTGCAGGTACGGTTCATCTGTGTTTATTATTTGCGCTATCGTCTGCTCTCAGCCTGTACTCAGTATGCTAACCTGATTGGATTGACTCGACATGTTTTGTTTTACATTCTTAGTTGCCATCAACTACGCACTTGGCAAAAAATTCCCTGATCCAAAGTACCATTTGTTTTATGACATGGGTGCTGGTAGCACAATTGCGTCGGTTGTTTATTTCAAAACTGGTACTGCAACCAGATTTGGAAAAAATCGTACTGTTTTGGAAGTAGAAGTCAAGGCTGTGAGTTATGATGATACCCTAGGCGGTAATAACATCGATACTCGACTACAACACTATCTGGCCACCATGTTTAATTCAAAAAACTATGAAACTTTCAAAGACATATCTGTCTATGACAGTCCTCGCGCTCTTGCTCGTTTACTCAAAGAAGCCAACCGTGTCAAACACATCCTTAGTGCCAATCAGGAATCTATGACATTTGTTGACTCGCTGTTCAATGATCAAGACTTCAAGGGAAAAGTAAAACGCACCGAGTTGCAGATGCTTTGTTTTGACATTTTGGAGCGTGTGCCTCAACCATTGACTGATGTACTTGCCAAAGCCCAGCTTTCTTTGGATGATATTGAATCGGTTGTGCTTGTTGGTGGTGGTGTGCGTGTTCCTGCTATTCAGGCTGCTATTGTTAAAGCTGTTGGAGAGGAAAAAATTGCTCGTAATCTGGATGGTGACGAAGCTGCTGTGCACGGCGCCGTGTTTCATGCTGCTGCAGTGAGTGCCCAATTTCGTCTTGGAATTGAGATGAAGATCAAGGACATCAATTCCAAACCCATGCATGTTATGCATACATCCGAGCCTAAAGGTATTCACAAACCAATTTTTGTATTGACGTTCCTGCCTGAATTTTGTAGCAATACACGACCAATTTATTAACGTTTTATAACTGAATGTTGGTAGCATCAAGCGGGACATCAATTGCTATTGATACTGAGCTGTTTAACGAAACATCACTTTTGGGATCCAAAAAAGTACTTGTATTCAAACGAGTTACAGACTTTGATTTAAAAATAGTTTATCCTGAAAGGTAATTTGAATCAAGATTCAAATTGGTCTTGATTGTAATGAGCATTAACAGTTATTGTATTGTATAGCAAAGGAGAGTATGTTGAAATTGCGCGTGTCGAGGTCAAGGGTCTCACTGCCGCCATGAAAAAGTACAAGGAAAAGGCGATTGAACCTCCAGTGGTAAAAGTCCAGTTTACTTTGAGTGAATCTGGCACTTTACTTGTGACTGGAGCCCAAGCTGTATTTGATCTCAATGCTGTCATTAAAGAAAAGCCATCTCTTAAGGATAGCGTGCTCAACTTTTTATCAGGAAACAAGGGAGATGTAAGTAGTGTTGACTTTTGAGCCATTGTAGCCTTTACGATTCTGACAAGATATACTCGTGTTTCTGTAGACTGAAAAGCCAGTCGATGAGCAATCGAACAGCAATGAGGCTTCTACAACTAAAACACCTGAACATGACGGGGAAAAGAAATCGGTATGAAACAGATTTGAGACTGCATACTGTTTTCACTTGAAAATGCTTTATAGTTTGGTATTTTATTGTTCTACAAGATTGTACTTACTGGTTGTTATTATGATATGGGTAGGACAAGGCGGAAACCAAGACACCCGTTGAAGTGGGTGCCAATGCAACCAATGTGACTGCAGAAGCTAAAAAATCCGTCATTGAAAAAGTCAAACTGGAATACGAGATTAAATGGCAAACCATCCTTCCATTGACCCAAGACCAAAAGAAACACTCCAAATCTGTTCTTGCTGCCATGGATCTTGAAGATCAAGCTCGTGAAGAACGCGAACTTGCCCGCAACAATCTCGAGTCTTACCTTTACAAATGCAAAGAGCTAAGCTGGGAGGATGACACTGAGCAATACGCCACTACAGAAGAATTGACCGCTTTGAAAGAAGCCATTTCTGTACAAAGCCAATGGTTGGATGATAATGCTGAAACTGCAATTACTACAGAACTGACCGATCGTTATGCTCAGCTTAAAAAAGTGCGATCCAAGATTGTATTCCGTCAATCCCAAGCCAAAAAACGACCTGATGCTATTGCAGCTTACAAGGCCAAGGCTGAAAAGAGTAGTAATATGTATAATGTATACTCTGCTGCCAAGAACACGGACGATACTCCACTCTATACAGAAGCAGAACTTGATGGATTCAAAAAGATGATAGACTCGGAGCAGGAATGGTTTGATAAGACGAATAGCGAACAGGAGAAGCTTGCACTGAATGTCGATCCTGTACTCAAAGTCAAGGATCTTGAAATGCGCGGACAAACATTTGACATCATGCTGACTATGATGAGTCCTGAAATGCGACTTCGCAAAGCACCCAAGAAAACCAAGACCACAGTAACCAAAAGCACTACTTCCAATGACGAAGGTGTGGAGGCTACAGAAACCACTGCCAGTGCGGACGAATCTGACTCGAATTCAACCGAGAAGCCACATATTGCTGTAGATGAGACCAATGAAATAGCTGAGCCTGCTGAACCACTTGAAGATAGTCCGTCCCGTGAGGAACTTTAAGGCATTTGGCCTTTGTTAGGTTGCTGTACACGCAGCTTTATATCTCAATAAAAGTGATTTATCAAATGAATCGTGTAGGACATCAGCATGACTTATGCTTTCTGCCCGATCCAAGTCGTATAACCATTTCTGGATCAACTCACCAAAATTTGGATAAAACTGTTCAATAATTATAATACGGTCAGTAGTTTGCCTATAAAACTGGCATGTTTATTTTTTAATCACCGATTGATGATAGATAGAGGGGCTCCAAGTACGAGGATGAGGAGCTCGAGTCCATTTAGGAACCCAATGAATTGGCTTGAATCCATCCTTGAATCGTTTTGATTTGACCCAGTACTTTTCAAAAGGAGTCATATCGCTTTCCTTTGGGATCCGTTTTGCAAATTCCTAATGCATTACAAGTGTAAGCAGGTAAACTATAGGTTCTAGGTTGAGTTGAGGATACTTACAAGTGCTCGTAATTGGACACCTGAATCAACAAGTGTGTTGATGACTTCATCTACACCTCGCAACCGTTGACGAAGTCGATATTTTTGCCCAATAGTCAATCCAAATCGACGCTTTCTATAATGTATTGATTGCAGCAGTGTTTCCACACCGATTATGTTAGCGATGGATTTCTACTGAATATGGGTTTACAGAAAGATTGGAGTGTTGCTAGGTTTTTTTACATTGCAATGGGGTTGATGAACGGATCAAACAAATGCTAATGTACTTGCTTTACTAAACCCCCCAACACAGAAAATGTCGATCTAAATGCACCAAGTAGCATGTTGATATACAGTAAAATGGTCGAGATTGGATTGCAAATCGAATTCATTGAAGCTGATTAAATTTTTGCTAAAAAGTGAAATCTAGTCATCTGACCTACAACTCACACCCAAACTCACCATCAACAAGTCATGCATAATACATGCATCACCCTAGTAGTAAATTACAATTGCTTTCAAAAATCACAAGTTCATTTGGTTGTACAGAAATAGCATAGACCAATGCTAAACAGTAGAGACCACAATTCAATATGTTCTAAACATAACGTCGGAGCTGCAGAAACTGGACAGTCATTTGGGCTTGGGAGCTCTAAAAAGCAAAAACTAGTGGCTTGGATCAGGTTCACACAGTGCATTGGTGGCCTTGAAAGGTAGGTGCAGCCAGCACATCCCGTTTACTACGTAGACAAAAACAAGCAGAGATGATTAGATACAAAGATCAGATAAACAACAACCAGATCAACATACCTTGGAACGAGCACGCATCTTCCTCCTCTTGCGCTTAAGACGCCTTTGACGTTTCTTTCTCCACTTATCTCTCATTGCTAGCAATAGTAATGTTTACAGTTAGCCAAGGAAATCAAAAAACAGGTGCGGTTCATGCAGCTCAAGCAAACTTGAAACTGCCAAAGCATAACTCGGTTGCAATCAATCATCCAAGTCGAGCATACAATCGATTGATGATCCCATGCATGCATCAAATGAACTAGATGCATGCATGATTTCACTGATGGATGGATTGAATACAAACATGGATGGATTGAACGAGCATGGATGAGCCGCACAGATCTCTCACGCAACAAGCAACTTGGCTCACCAGAGTCTGTAGAGAGAAGCAAAATCCAGCATGCCAAGTAATATATATAGAATGTGTTGGCCAATCAAATATGTGCTCGTGATTTGGTTTGACTTTTTCAGAAATCGGCTCAACCTGCGACTCTCTCCAATAATAGCATGTTCAGCACTTGCATTGTTGCCGGGACTCTAACCAGACAGCGTCTGGCAGTTATCTGCACTTCAAACAACTACCGCTTTTTTTCTACCAATAGAACTCAAGGAGCCCATGGCGTACATGGATTCCAGACTTATGGAGGTGATTTCTCTTGCAATCGCTTCGTGGGAATCTGGCAGCTTTGTGCTTGTATCTAGCCAATTCTGACACCGATTTAGTTTGATTTCGATTGGTATTATGAATTCATCTTTACATTAACCCAATTTATTGTTCATATTCTTGCTTGGCTACTTCAATCTCAGAGGATGCTCGTGCTCGTGAATTCAAAGTCGACATGGGACAGCGTCAAGTTTTTAAACCCAAAGAGGTATTCTTGTATGCGATCTCACGTTCTCTATACTACTTGGAGAACCGATGCTAGATTCAAACTAGTTTGAGATTAACTAAATTCTGGGTATATATGATCAACTACTTTGTCCTAGACCTATATGCCTCGTGATCTGAATGACAGAAATCTAGAGATGTACACAAAGAAACTGGATCTACCTCCATCTGAAGATATTCTCAAAAAACTAGGCATTGATCCCATCAAAGAGTATCGGGTAAGTTGAAGATCGTGTGATGAAATAAATTTTGACTAGCTTAATCCATGGTCAATCGGTTTATCTTGTATTTATCTAAATTCAGTCCTAACCTATTTATTTACGCCTGCTAATAAACTATAGAATGTGAATATGCTTTCACACTTTATCACAGCAATCGGACACATTAAACCTCGACACAAAACTGGACTTACCCTAGAAAACCAGCGCAGAGTTTCTCGTGCCATCAAGCGTGCAAGAGCAATGGGTTAGTTTTGTAAATTCATTTTGCATAGCTGTCATTTAAACAATACATTGACATTTATGTTGGTTTATATACAAACTATATGTAGGATTAATGCCATATACTTATAGCATTCTTCAAACAAAATAAATTCATTTTTGCCTTAGTCTTTCATTCTATTCAAATAGATTTGTACAAGAATGGGCACAGAAATATCAGTAAAAAGTTTAAAAAACAATCTTGTCAGAAAGATTGACACCAATCAAACATGAGATGGGCCGTTATTACGCACCTTGATTCCACTATTTTACGTGAATACGGTTGTAAAAATATACTCTCACTACTTTATTTCGTACAATTGTAATTCAATACTAAAATAGCTCATAGTGCCAAATTACAGTACAACACACTACAAGTAAAGTACATGGTCCCATTATAAACACCAAATAGTTGGCTGTATACATAAACTCAACTTGTTTTTGTAAGCTAATGATACTATCCAACTCTACCACTTTAAAGTATCATTTACATGACAGACAGAAACGCCCTTATCAAGACTGAAAACCTACGGCTGATGAACTCGATTATTTGCATCGAAACACAGAAAAAAAAGCAGTCGAGTTTACCAGCAAACGGAAACAGTAGATTTCAGATCAACCACGCTAAAGAGGTATTTACTAGCAATCTTCTATTTCCAGTGCTATTAGTACATGTATCCAACGCGTTTTATACTGCAAACTACTTTTATTCCCAATATAATATACAGCATGTAGCTGACTTGATAATGCTTTGATTATACTATTATAGATGCGTAAACTTCAACATGAAAATAATGTAAGACATTCATTTTCAACGGTACTAATTCAAACGTGTTTGATTAAACAATTGCTTTTATTGGATGTGAATCATGAATCCTATATAGCAACTTGTAAAAAGGTTAGAAAGTGCTTCGTCAAAGAGCGAATATTCACGAATTAAGCTTGGTAATGAGTGGGCTAAAACCCAAGAAATTCGTACACGCATATCTGCTCATATACCATCTCGTTCCTGCATTCAAACCCCTCACATTGCAGCTGCCGCAGAAAATACCATCCAATACACTAAAAGACTCAATACACCCAAATATGTATTCAATGTGATACCTGATTCAGATGACATGTCAATCAATACTTCAACCATCAGTACAGATACTCTTGAAAATCCCATTGATGACTACCTAGCTGATGGATTTGAAACCCTTGATCTCGAAAGTGAATGCAAATCTGACACCTATCCGTGTAAAGGATATAAAATTGAGCCGGAAAAATCACTGTTGCAGTGGTATATGCCTAAACGGTATGCCAAACCACCCCTTTTCTCGACTCCCATTAATAGATCTAGCACTACCAAACCAATAGGAACAAACATTCGTGTCAAGGCTGTACAACAACTGAATGCTGCTACTGGAGATGTACACGCTTTTTTGGGTATACATACTGCATGCAATAATAGCGTGTTGAGAAAAACGGCCATCAAAAAACAAACCACTTTTGTCATTCCAGCAGCACCTAATCAATCGTTTGCAACACAAACGGCAACCATTAAAACGTCTTTACCTGTCAAGGTGGTATCAGAATCAATGTGGAGATAATAGACTACAGAATGAACTGATGGGTGTTTTATCAAATCTACAAGCTTTATAGTATTTTGCTAATAAAAATCACTCCTTCATAAGTATACAGGTTTTTACGGTTATTGAATCTGAAATGTTATTGGCACACCTTATCAATCACTTTCATGTCAAAATTATAATATTAATAAAACAAATTTACTCTGACATGCGTTTGTATTAATATACGACGTATCTCAATATATCCAGTATCTTCATTGTAATCAAACACGTACAATAGTCCATTCAAAATCCTTTGATTTTTTAGCTACTGGTAAAGCGGTAGCAACTGCATTGGCTTTTCCAAACAAAAACGTACGTGAGACTGTATTTATACAAAGGAGTCTGTTTGTCGATGCATTACGGATCGATATGGGTGACCCATATGATATCAATGTCTGTTGGGCTTCCCACGCAATCATTTTATGCGATCGACTGACACATTGCCTAATTTCAATTGTTTTAATACATTTAGTATTGATTCTAATCAGTGCAACAAGAAAACTTATTTCTGCGGTTCATGGTATTTACCAGACACTGTTGTTTGACTTTATATCACGAGAAAGAATAACTGAAGCATAATTGCTGTGCGACAGATTAGCAATATGTGTTGGTTCTGTTTTGATTGCATACTAATTAGTTTCCAGAAAAGATTTAGCAGCGGTGTATTGTTGCATTTAAAAAAACAGAGTGAGTCTCAATCATAATGATATGAATAATATAACAATGTATACAGTAGAGACTATTAAATAGATGCAGTGCTTGCCTGATTGTCAAACATGCCTTTGGGTGTAACGATTTGAAACCGTGTATCTGGCCGAATAAAGTCATCAACGTACTCTTGATCATCGCACCTAGAAATCAAACCAATACATGTGGTGTCAGTACTGCTCTTAAACCAATGAATGTATAAATGAATCCATTAAACTTTGTATACCTAACAATTTCAAATACACTGCGAGCTAAAGGTATAGTAGGTTTGCTTGACGAGCTCAAACTTTCCTTGTTGTGCTGAGGTACAAACACTTCATACTCCTCGACCCCAAACTGTGATGACCCCGGAAGATATCTAGGTACAAATGTTGTTGTCCACATATCAAACGACACAGGCAGCCCATCCATACACAGTTGGACACGATCACCAAACCGAAGTGCATTGTCAACAGAAATAGTTGGAATTTCTATATACATAGAGGCTGGTAAAAAATGTTTGGATGCGCCATGCAGATTTACATTGATGGGAAATGTAACGATTGTAGCTGCCTTTTTTGTGGATGGGATGGGCTGAATAGGTTGTGACGCAACCTTATCCTGTGCAGACACGTGCAAGAAGTGATACATCAAAGTTGGATCTGTCAGACAATGTTTGTATAATCAGACGCAGTGATCAGGCATATTGTATTTAACTCTATTCTTGTATTTACCTCGTTTGTAGTTGACAGAAACGCGTTTGAGCATTCTCGAATTGGCTTGGACATGTCCAGTTTGGGGTTGTGGGTTGGAATAAAGGCTTGTGAATCGCCTTGATAATTTGATTTTATACGACCGGATTGGATTTTTGCCCATTTTAATTGCTGGGTTGGAACTGTATGGGTCGCGGACTGAATGCATGCATCACCTTGATTGGCATGGTCCAATGGGACATCAAGTGTCTTGTTCATAGTAGTATCTGATAACTTGAGACGCCTTTCAATAAACTGCTGAAGTTTGCCCTAATTTAATAATGCAATTGGGATTTAGTAATTGTCAATTCATAAGAATATCTACTGCTATGGATTTGAAAACACATCGAGCTGATGACGCATGATATGATTTAGACATCCATTTGAAGACTAGATGAATACAACTTACCTCTGCTCGAACATTTTCCTCGTACCAGTTTCCTTTGAGAATACGTAATTTGGTAGTTTGGGTATTATCTCTAATTAAAGCACGCTCCATCATCCTTCAATAAAAATGCATCAATAAAAAATCTGCCGATTCATTTAACAGTGCTGACTAATATGATTAATAGTGTGATGGCATACCTTTGACTACTATTCAAATGTAAAAATGTATTACTTGTTATCCTATTCAGTAGATATTTATTTGGAAACACAATCCAATTAAATATTATGGTGTTTGGAAAATAAGATTGTGCTAGTAACAAAGTCAGCTTGGCAGAAACGAATCGCGATAATTTGTAAAAACTAGCATCAACAAGGTTGGCAAGGCGACAAATTTGAGCCTGGTTTTTCGTCAATTTGCAGTTTCAGGCCAGTTACTAACTAACTCATGTCTGATTAACCCATCACATTCGTATGATTTTAAAATCTATGCAACTTTGCATTTAGCTTTGTAGATACTTTATTGAAAATGTGCCTAATCCTACGTGAAACAAAAAAGACCGCCAGTAACTATCATATACACCTGGACCCTACCACTATTTTTGCCATCCACGACGAGCAATCATTTCACGAAATGTCGTGTCAATACATTGTTTGAGATCTCGGTAGCTGGCAACCAGACACGACTTTTCATCACGACTCGTAAGCATAATTTTTTCATCTACGCCAACATCCAGCTATACGAATCAACAGTAATTGACAAATATTAGAATGTTGGATCGGTGAAAATCGGTTTTTGACAAAATGTAAATGAGTGATACCTTATTGAGAGTCTGAATCACATGTCCAAGGTCGAGAAGAGGAGCACCGTTTTGATCCACTTGATGAAAAATGTAGTCTCGAAACAATTTAAGAAGATACACATCGCCAGTCTCTGCCCATGTTGGATCCAAATCGTACCTAATTTGCAGAGCTTACAACATTAACATCAAATCATACGTTGCAGCGTAAAACATCCAATTCATAGCATACTCTGGTCTTTCATTGATAAACCCAAGTTTAGACATGAGTCGTACAAGTCGAGCATTTTCTAATTCCCTTGAAAGATCGTCCTCCAATCGATCATTGTAGCTAAACAATTCCAAAACAGTTTAAATAATTACAAAACTGATTTCCTAAATATGGTTCAAACAGCGCAGCATACCGGAATGCGCTATCCATCTCATCTAGCAGTCGCGAAGCAATCAGCTGCAAAATCCCATCAATAGACTTGATAGCTGGTGTATTTCCAAGAAGATACATGACAACGGTAGTCAAGTCGGGAGAAAAATGTTTACGAATATGATCTAGGCATTTTTGTATGTTTTGCAAAGCTGGTAAAGACCCAACTGCTAGAGATACAATCAGTTTTCCAAAATTACGCAAATCCTCTTGCTATTGTCGTAATTCAAAAATAAAGAGCAAGAATCGATTGTTAGAAAATGTCTATTTACACAATCTCTTGTCGAATTGGCTTTGAGTATAAGCATTTCATGTCAATTGCAGCTTGACTGTATAAAAACGTACCTGTAATTGTGCAAGCGAGCTATTTGCTTCAAATGTTAGCATATCCATGACACCACAGCAGTTGAGTGAAAATCTATATAAACCAAAAAATGAACACACAGGTTTAGTAAAACAAGAATGACACGCATCACCACATATGCGCTTTTAAATCAGGTCAAAAAAACACTCCCACCTGTTTTTCCCAGTAACAATGACCTTGCTAGGATCAATAGCTCGAGCAGCAAGAGTATGCATATGAATAGTTTTCAATGCGGATGTGATTTGGCAGATAAAGCTCCAAAGTTCTCTTTCATCCATGCCTCTAACAAGGTGCGTGTCATGTCTAGAAAAGTATTTCGATGTCAGGGTCATGGCTAGTGGGTGGTAATTGTATACCAATACCAGTGCTACAAGAACCTCGATATAAAAGCATTAGTATAAAAATAAAATAGCGAGACTGTAAACATGAATACTTACAGCTATCCCCAAATGCTTTTGTAGTAAAAGCCTCTATAACAGATACGATGTTTGCGTGTCGTACCCGTTGCCAATTATCGATACACATCATAGCTGCTTCATTTAACATACGAAATCCTACAATGAATTCAAGTTGAAAATGAGCAAATTTAATCAGGTCTTTTAAGCTAAACATGGCACATACTATTCACTTTGGATTACGAAAATACACGCATGTGCATGAATTCAATAGAAATAAAACATACCTTCAATTCGACGAAGAACATAGGGCTTGCCATCTGTTGATCGAATTGCCTTGTAGACAGAGGTAGGGTATCCAAATATCTTTGATGGAGCATTGGATTCGTCAAGAGGAAACAGTGTGTGGTAAGTATCCACTGACTGAGGAAGGTTTGACCAATCTGATGCTAAAATAAACAATATTAGTAAACAGAGTCTGATAAATACTAAGCGTTACATTGCCCAGACAATATATCTATAGTTTGTAAAGCTATTACCAGAAGGATCCACTACTTGCTGCACGGCTTCATTGCGTTTTAACAGCATTTCCCTGAGTTGATCGTCAATAAAAAAATTGTGTGATGATTTCAAATGAGGAGGAATATGCGAAACGTTTGGCAGAGGTGTGTTGTAGTGATGATAGTGCAACTACATATTCCAATGAAAAAATTAGATTACGGTAGTACAAGATTTAAAATCAATATAGAATGTCTTACAGGCAAGTAGGGCGAGCCGTCATGTTGATGCATGAAATAAGTTTCCAAACTAGCCTTGTCTTGATACTGATTTCAATCGTTATCCATGATCATTTAGGGTAAACATTTAAGCCAGTTATGGTATCAGATAGTTGATATCAGTCAAACCACTGCATGAACGATACGGATATTTTCAGACAAGATTCGAGTACCTGATCGTGCATCCTTTGTTGTGATCCAAGCCCCATAGATTCCATACCGACTTGCATCATTTGTATATCAGAATACTGATTTCCTTGTTCATAATAATTATACTCGTATTGCTGGTGTTGAAATTGCTCATGGTCCGTATATTGATACGCATGGTCTGGAGTAAAATGCATAACTTGATGTAAACAAGGGCTTAGAATCCATTAAACTCAACAGTGTACTTTGATGGATTACTCACCAGGCTGTTGTATAAATGGCTCGAATTCAGAATCCTCAGCGACTAGTTTATAATCGTTTTGAGAGGAATACAAGGATGGCTGAATAGATGTTGATGGATGATCAGTGTATGTAGTAGCAGGCATCCTTGAAGGAGTGAATACAGGAGAATCGACGTTGATTTTTGGACTATTATCACGTACATGTAAAATATAAATAGTTGCAGATTAGATTGCAATAGCTAGATGGAATGATGATAGATCATAAAGCCAACTGCAGTCTCATGGATTCAGTCATGGATTGTTGCACTGAAGCCACCTTTCATCAGAATATATTGAATTGCGAGTTTGTAGAGCAAGCAAGAGTTCAAGTCAACCAAAAGACTACCTCTTTGTTGTAATTGAAGTATCAGCACTGCTTCCAGTACTGGACATTGGACGGGATAGAATTGGGATGGCAGCACTTCCAGGTTTGTGTTTTGAGTCCTTGATGGTAGTTGCAGCCTACAAGTGTTCAAAGTAATGGCTTAGATCCAGTCCAGATAAACATATAAACGGGATATAGTCAAAGGAACCACATACGACAGCAGTGGAAGTACTATGTAGAAACTGGCATCCTTTGCCTTCAAATCTGCAGTGACCATGAATCAACACATTACGACACTGTCTGTTTTTGGCTACAGACAAGCATTTCATTCAAATTAGTATAAACGATGACAATGAATGCCATTCATATGAGTATATACATTGGTGGAGAGCAGCACTGGTTGGAGTGCGAGCAGTGCGGTTAGGAGAAGACTCCATGACAGTCAAAAGGGTTGATTGGCTTTGCTAGATTGAAAGTAAAGATAATTCAAGACACTGTTTTAGGGTTACTCTTTCAACTTGCATTCTCGATTGATGACTTTGTAAGATCGTTCAACACTTTGTATTGACAAGCGTATTCGTGTTCTACTCGACCACGTCGTCTGTAATAAACGCTGCACGTCATGAGTGCTGTTTCTATCCACTCTGTGATTCTGTAAACCAACTCCACCCATCTGTTCACGACGCGACTTGACTTATCAGAACTGCAATCCATCGTTATTTCTGTCATGGAACGACATTCAACTATACCCAATATCATGCCATCTGGCTCAACTCCTCTCTCTAAATCTACTTTTGATGAGTTTCGTACAAAAGTTGCTGCTCTTGTCACTGATAAAGGCACTCTGGGTCTTCGAACCTTGCTTTACGATACCTTTTCAAGTGTTGAACAACTGTCGGAATGTTTGTCATTGGTAAACTGTGTAGAAATACATATGCATTGGTATATCCATCTAGAAAGTCACCACATCCTCTTAAACAACTGAATCTGCTACTAACTCTACTTGAACTCTTGTTTATTTTAATTCCACTGCTCATCGTTTTAGCCTCATGAGGAAAATGTGGCTGGTTTAGTTGATATTCATGCGTTACAGGCCTGGTATCATACTGTCATGGATCAATCAGATACGACATTTGCTGGTGCTATCACAACTGTACTCGACCATCTGAAACATGGAATTCAAGTATTAAAACCTGGCCAAACTAATATATTCTTGATTATCATGGAAGTAAGTTTTATCTAAACTGTTCAATATCTCAAATGTGTTGCAACATTTGGACATTACATGACTCGAATACAAAGGATTCAAAGTTTATCAACCTCACTCGCATCTAATCTATTTCCATTACAAACGTACAGAACCCAGTCTTTCTTAATGCTGATTCACTTAGTCAGATTCTCCCAAAACTCTGCTACATTCTTTCTACACTTTCACAACATCAGAGAGTGGAATTCGCTTGGGTCGTGCAAGAGTCTATTTTGAAAAGTTCTTCATCCCACGGCGCTCGGGCTCATTTCTTTCAACAACTCGTGGGGATCGTACAACAGTTTATCACGCTAAGGATTGTGTCAAATCCCGATGAAAACATGCAGCCTTCGTTGGATGATGCCACCATGTGGGCCACACAAACACTCGGAATCTTTTGTAAATTTAAATGTGTCGGTTCTAGAATACTGTCTGAAAACAGTTTCACTGCTCGATCATCCCTACTAATTCACTAAATGCATGTGTTGGATCAATTATAGCGGCAATCAATGATGCAAATTCTTTTATACCATACTACGAGTTTTATAACGAATCCATCGAGGCATCAATCGATTTGAAAGAAGAGTATCCAAAGTGGAAATCATGGGAAGGTCTATCGTTTTGTAACTACCCATTCGTTCTCTCCACATCAACCAAGGGTGATATTTTGAAAATCGAGAGTATGGTTCAAATGCGACATGAACTCCAGGATGCGTTTTTTAGAGCCATGTTTATTGGTGTAAATAGTCCATATTTACAAAGTAAGTCTGGCTTGTAGACTTGTCTGTAGGTGAATCAGCCAACTCATTAAATCATATTTCAGTTGAAGTACGTCGCGACCATGTAATCAGAGATGCGTTGTTTCAAGTGAGTCCATTATGCTTTGAACTCCATTTTGCATTGGATGCTCACGTTTCAACTGATACGATTTGCTTGATTCAATATAGCTGGAGGGGAAAAGCACTCACGATCTTAAAAAGCAACTTCGTATCTCGTTTACTGGAGAAGAGGGCATTGATGAAGGAGGTGTTCAAAAAGGTACACTTATATTTCAACATTGGCTGATTATCAAACTGCTATTGTGCTCTTGACTTACTATGTCACACTTTAATTAAACACTACACGGTCTAGAATTCTTTCAGTTGGTTGTACGGGACATGTTTAGTTCCAGCTATGGCATGTTCAAGTATAATGATGGTATGTTTAGATTTTAATAACTGTCATGCCTAAATCTTGTATTGTTCACAAACCGTTTTACTCATGCCATTATATTTGTTTTTAGAATCACGAATGTGTTGGTTGGCAAATATGAGCGACCTCCGAGATAGCGAAACATTGGAAGAATACAATCTTATGGGTATATTATCTGTTAAATAGTCTTGATACAATTGATTTAAACCACATTGATACTGATGCTTGTTTGGAATTGTGTGCTGCATAGGACGTATCATTGGTCTAGCAATATACAATGGTGTCGTGCTAGATATACACTTTCCATTAGCTTTGTACAAGAAATTGCTGGATATTAGCCCTGATTTGGATGATTTGGCAGAACTGGATCCTGTGAGCTAATGCTTTAGCATGCTTGAATAGTGTAATGGTTTATAGCTATCTAATCATACTATTTAAATTGAATTGCTCTACTTGCTCAATCGTTGAAAACAGGACTTGTGTCGTGGATTGAAGCAGCTGTTGGAGTTTGAAGGCGATATTGAAGAAGTTTATGGACGAACATTTGTAGCAGAGATTGAAACTTCTGTTGGTGAACGACAAACATTGGAGTTACACGAGGGTGGAGCAAATCGACCTGTGACAGCTGAAAACCGACAAGGTAGACATGTTTGCAAACTATTTAACCACCCATTCATCTACTTTATATGTTGAAAGGGTTGAAACCTAGTATGTTATGCCATGGTTTAATTTACTAAACGGAATTTTTAATGTGTAAACCTAGAATTTGTGGATCTGTTGGTGGATTTTCTTATGAATAAGAGTATTTCATCTGCATTTCAAGCTTTTCGTGACGGTTTCGACTTGGTTTTAGAAGGATCTGCACTACAGCTTTTTCGCCCAGAAGAACTCCAAGAGCTAATTTGTGGTAGTCCTTTGCTTGATTTTTATGCGTTGGAAAAGACTACACAGTATGATGGCTTTGACAAGGACTCTTTTGTAATCAAGTCATTTTGGAAAGTCGTGCACGAGTTTACAGAAGAGCAAAAGAAGCTTTTGCTGTTTTTTGCAACAGGATCTGATCGTGTTCCAGTGGGTGGGCTATCCAAACTCCAGTTCATCATTGCCAAAAATGGTCCAGACTCTGATCGCGTGCCTACTTCTCATACATGCTACAATGTACTTTTATTGTGTGAATATGCCTCGATAGAGAAACTCAAGGATCGGCTATTGACTGCATTGGCCAATAGCAACTGTGGATTTTTTTTAAATTAATCATGACTATAGTAGTCTTGTGTTATGCCTGGAATGTAAATGTCATTTATATCTATGCTAGTTACCCATACAACCCTTTGATATATTGACAAATTGTTATCCAACCATTCATTAATATTTGATTGCGTATGTGGCTTGGGTTTCTCAAGAAATGTAGATCTACAATGAAGAAAATTTAATTTCCGTAGCCGTGTGTACACTTTTCATTTCAAGTCCTTGTCAATACTCTTATGATGGTTTGAATGATCACACCAGGCATTCAGATTCACAGCGGGTACTATCAATGATCATGCAGCCAAATCTGAAAAGATATTGAATGCTGGATCAACAGTAAATTGTCATGACATCTATCACTAACAGAGACTAAACACGTTGTATAAATAGTATCCTACAAAACCCCGCACATCCAATACCAAAAGCTTGATAAGCACCACAAGTTTAAAAGTAATGTTATGATTTAAAAAATAGTCAACATTAAAAGTTCATCTAATAAAAACCACATCAACCCCATATATGAGCAGAGTTTAACGGAAAGCGAGGTATTCGCAGGTCCTCCATAGCATAAAGGGATGACTAGGCCCAAAAATGCTAATGGTGCGCGGCATGTGGAAAAAGACACTCGTGTGTCTTAAACAATATCATCGTCTTCTGAAAATCCTAAATGATCCTCGTCAAACGTCTTTAATAAATGATGTTCGCTAACAATAGCCTTGTTTGAAAGACTGCCACTTGACAGTCGTGGTCCAAGTGAGATGGATGTGCGTCTGGATAATGACTTGTCCAAGAATGAGGCTTGATTAGATTTGGCTCCATTGACCATAAATACCCCAATAAATATAGTAGTGAATCCCGATAAAACTGAAAGCATTTCAACCTAATACAATGAAGAGCACGATGAGTGGCACAGCATAAAATGGACTATACATTTATGCATTTGCACAAAACATACCGGTGTGGATCGCTTGACACCTTCGGATAGAATAATGGACGCAATAATCGTAGCAGTTGTGAAAAACACATAGTAGATGGGAGTAACACGATTGGTAGAAAACAAATCGAGTGCCTTGTTGAAATAATTAATTTGTGTCATGGCACACAAGAGCATTGTCAAACCAAATATCCATGTTGAAAGATGCAAGAGTTGATTGTCTCCAGCAAATGTGAGTTTGATTGCCACAGCAAAGCCCTTGACTGCCATGACGGATATTGAGCCAACCAGCGAGCAGATGGAGATGTAAACCAGCATGTTTCGCTTTCCAAATCGCGGACCAACATAGTATATGAGGTATACGGATACTGCCGCGACAAACACAATGTAAATCATGAACCCTAGCAAAATCAAAGTATTAGATAAGTTCAATCAAAAACATGGGGTTGGGACCATACCTGGACGAACAAAGTGCCTAAACACGTCGTCCACAGTCTCGATGGCATCTTCCTCTGGAGCATGTAAAATAACAACCAAAGACCCAATCACACAGAGAACACAGCCAATAACGCCGTCTCGTCCAAGATTCTCGTTGAGAAAAATCGATGATAAAATAGCACTATAGAAATAACAATGAAAATCAGTCAGTCTGTTGGTATGCATATGTTGAATCATGAAAAGTCAGAGTTGGCTAGCAATGAGATGAATACCTGACAAAGACAGAGCCAGCACCCAATGGAGTTACCAAGATAGCAGGCGCAAATGAGTATGCGAGAAAATTGGCCACTTCACCCAGAATCACTAAGATTGAAATAGAGGTCAGTATGAGTCGGTAAAATAGTGCGGTGTCAAAGGGAAATCTCAAAACTGGATAGCAATAGGGAAACTCGATGCTGGAAACATCTCGTACAAACCCTAGCAGCATTGATGATGACAGTGTGAATGCCAGCCATATCAGGTACATGGCTAGCTCATCGCTGACTATCAGCAACAAAGTTGCATTGGAGGCGCACAAAATTTTGTTGGCAACGTGGATGTTTGTGACCTCGCCATATGGCAATAACGGACCCATTGATGGAATCCCAAACAAGACGCAGGGCAAAAAGGAATCGAGAGCATCATTGTAAAACAGTGGTATGATGGAAAAACGGTTGTGTAGTAGACATACAATACACGAGTGGGATTATACATACTTGTGCTAGTGCCAGCCCACCACATTGGGTTCTTGAGATAATCAAAGCCTTCCCCGACACGACCTGCATCAAAAGTGGTTTAGCTACAATTTTTAACGAGCCACGCTCACATCAATGTTATCCAGCATGACTATTGCTGGATAAAATTCAGTCTAGTAAGAACGGATTTATATACGCTCAGTAGGTAAAACTCACCGCCGTTATTTCTTGCTGAATCCATCAACCCCTTTTTGGTAATAATAAAACTGGTTCCAATCAGCAATGACGATGTCAATGCAAGTGCAAGTCCAATGTATTTTTCTGCCTCCATCCGATGGTCGACACCTACTGGAAGTGTCGAGTTTGTTGAGTTCATGATGATTGTGGTTAGTTGGATATATTTTGAGGCTAGTCAATGGAATGCTAGACCCCAGGGCTAAAAAGTTGACGGTAATCGTTGTGATGGAAAGGAGTCGGAAATCAAACGTCAACCATGGTGTCCATAAACACGTCCTCAGGTCTTGTGCTGACTTGTGTGCCCACCTGTTTGTGTAGATCTGACAGTACGTCGGTAGCAAAGCATGTGTCGGACTGTAAGACTTGTATCATATCTTGATGCCCTTATCTACTACCGACCATCATTTCCATCAGCAGATTAAGTTTATCATATCCAAATGTTTACTGAGTGCAATCATAAAATTTAGCCGGCCTAGAGTCTGCAGGCATTCTGTTGTTGACAATAAGCGGTACTTGTTGATCCATTTACTCGTGTCTTTTGGTGGCTTAAATTGAAACAAGCAATGGGCTGCTTTGGTGGCTAATATCGTGCATTCAACAACTACTCGAGGTTTCTATTCTATACACCTACTGTAGTTTCTAGCTACACTAGTTCTTTGCATATAGACCTGTAAGCGGTCAATGCTGGGTGACGATGAGTATTGGAATGGGATGTAAGCAGCGGAGATTTAGGGAGGTTAGCATCTGATTACAGGCTCAAGATGCGACTTCCGCCTCATGAATGAAATAGATTGCACTGCCAGTTAAACACAGCAGCTTTACCCAGGACTTTTTCGAGTTTTACTACCATGTTCATACAAAATAGAACACTTGTGTTGTCTTGCAATTGGCTAGTTTGCTTTGGGATAAGCAATGGCTAAATACTCGTTGTGCTTTCCTATTACAAATTGATTGCTTTTCGATAGATGCTCTCGACTTTTCAACACAACGTCCATCATATGATGCACGCAAACTATAGCTTCGAGTTGAATGCTGTTTTTGAACCTCCCTTTTTTCTCATTTGACATAGCCATACATTGTATGACTACCAGACTCATTGCGATCCAGATATTGGGCGACCGTTCTGATGTTGTCAACCTCTTGCATCTAAAATCCCATGCGTTCGCGTTTAAAAAATAAAAACTGCACATCAGGAATGCAACTGTTGTTTCCATGTCGATCACAGAAAGATGGGTAAACCAGCACTAATTATTGCATGGGAATGGCGGTTTATTATGCATTTTAACCCTTATTTGGTGGTGTGTTTTGAGTGAATGTGACAAAGTATCAAGCCAAATGATCAGATTAATACCCCCGCATAGTGCGAATCAGCAGTTCTTCCTTATCATGGCTCATGGGCTCATAGCCATGCAGTGCCATCAGGAATTCACCCGTACCTGCCGTTAATGCACGTAGCTGTGACGAATACCCAACCAGCCCTGCAAGAGGTACACGAGCATGAATGACATGTTTTTCTGAGCTATTATTGCTATCTGCACCATCAAGATCCATTGCATTCACTCCAAGAACTTGACCCTTTCGTGTTCCAGTCAAATCTTTGGTAATAGAACCAACATATTGATTTGCAACACGGACGCTGAGATCCATAACGGGCTCAATTATACGCTTATCGGCAGTTTGAAAAATGGCTCGAACGCAGTTGTATGCAGCAGTGCGCACACTGCTAGGTGTAGAGATCTCTGGGTTGAACAAACTCACTTGCTTAACCCTGACAGATACTTGAGATACAGGAAGTCCCAGTATTGGACCACGACTAAGTGCTCCACGGATCCCCATTTCAGCAGCCTCTGATAGTTCAGAAAGAGGTGCAAATGCAGTCAATTGGCGTCCATCTTCGGCCAGCGTTATTTGATGTTCCTTTAATCGGGCATCAACAATAATGCCATCGGTTGCTAAAGATATAGATTCACCCGCATCTGTATTGTCTATAGACTCCATTTCAAGCTCGACAGTGCATTTGAAATGCTTTCCAAACACTTGTGAATCATATACCATTTCGTGCGAATACGTTTGTCCAGCCTGTAGCGTTTCCCTGTAGCTAATCTCGACTTTTCCTAAATTACACTTGACATTGTACACTTCTTGTAAGCGTTCGCCAGCAATTTCTAAATGCAGCTCGCCCATACCACTTAAAAGAGTTTGTCCCGTTTCATCATTGACAGTGACAGTCAGTGAAGGATCTTCTCTGCATAGACTCTCCAATGCAGCAGCCATGGCTTTCTCGCTCGAGATACTCTCCGCCTCACATGATCGGACAAAAACTGGTGGTGGGATGGGAATAGAATGCAGCTGGATCGCTCTTTTGTCAGTTGACGCCAGCAACGTATCTCCAGTCTTTACATGTTTGAGTCCAACAATTGCGCCAATATTTCCTGCAGAAATCAAAGGAATTTCATCGTAATCGTCTGCATAGAGCTCAAGAAGCTTTGTTGCTCGCTCTTTGATGGGTTTGCAATCTCGACCTATACCTGTGGATGAGCCAGCAATATGGAGAATGGAGCGAGATTCAAGCGTGCCGGAATATACACGAACATAGACTAATGGACCACGGCTGGAGTCGTGCACTACTTTAAATGCAAGGGCTGTCATGTTTGGGTCTTTGAGTAGAATGTGCTGTTGTGATCCATTAGAAAGGGTTGCTATAGCTGAAGGCGCATCCATAGGGGACGGCAGATAGTTGACTATTGCATCTAAAATGGGCTGAACACCAATGTTTCTAAAGGAAGCTCCACAAAGAACAGGCACGGCTTGGCCAGAAATAGTAGCACGCCTGCATGCATTTTGAATTTCTTTTGCAGGAACTTGAGCATGATCACCATCGCACTCGAGAAATACATTTACAATGCCATCGTCCATTTCCGACAGTGTTTCAATCAGCATGTTGCGATATTTAACAGCGTCCTCGTATACCAATGCCCATTCTTTTTCGCCAAGAGTCAACTGCGATCGGGTCACTACTCCACCAGAACTGGGATCTTTAAACCAATCTAATCGCTCCATCGTTAGTAGATCCACAATACCCTCTAACTTTCCACCGCCATGGCTATCTGTAACAAGCACACCGTGTCCATTTCGAAATATTGGGAGCTGAATAATAGCAGGCTTTCCCCAGCCTCCAAGTCGTTTTGACATTGCATGAACGGTATTTTTGAATGATGCACCATCCCGATCAAGCTTGTTTACAAAAGCAATTCGCGGAATGCTGTATCGATTGGATTGTGCCCAGACCGTTTCGGTTTGAGCTTCCACACCTGCTACACCATCCAATACACATACAGCACCATCGAGAACTCGTAAACTGCGTTCCACCTCTATTGTGAAATCGACATGTCCAGGCGTGTCGATAAGGTTGAGTCTGTGATTTTTCCATGCAAGAGGAATGCATGCTGACTGGATCGTAATACCTCGCTCCTTTTCTGTTTTAAGGTAGTCTGTGACGGTTGATCCCTCATCCACGTCTATATACGAATCATGTCAAGTGCATGTTAGTTGACAGAATATGATTCATGTTTAAATCCAAGAGATTGAACAGTTGATTGTAAACATAACTGCCTAGTCGTTTTGTATAGCCAACATAATACAGCATCCGTTCTGTAGTCGTAGTTTTCCCTGCATCGATATGTGCAATGATTCCAAGATTTCTAATAAATTGCGGATCGATAGTTGCTGTATGATCACATTCCAAGTGGGTTAGATATTTCTATACCAATGCAGTATTGCAAGAATTTAGAAATGTGGTTTAAAATAGCTGTGAATCAACACTCACCAGATGAATGTTGAGAATGAGCAGACGCAGAAAACAAACATGAATTTGTATTTTTTAAATGAATTCTTGTTGGACATGGTCTACTAAATTCAGATGGGTATGATCTAGCTGTTTTCCAAGGTGTTGATGTATGGGCTAAGCAAGAAACAGATGATAGTGATTTTGAAGAAATTCTTGTGATAAGCCATGATTGTAAAGCACACACTTTAAATGGACTACAATGCATGGTGCTGGCTTTGATTAAATAGACAACCATGATTGAATAGCAATATACTTTAAAATACTAAAGTTGACGCAAAGCTGGTTTAATTTTAATTTTTTTATTTACAGCCATATTCACGTAAAATGGAATACTAAACTAAAATACATGATAAACAGTCTCATATTTGGTGATAATTCCCACCTAATCTTACCGAGTAATATTGTTTTTTGAACTCTAGTCTTTCTTGATGTTTATTCTTGTACAAAATTACAAATACTTACATTTCTGTTTCAATACATTCTTGACATCTTTTCAACCTCCAACCCAAATACTGGATGGCCAGCATGTATAGTTGCATTCCTGAGATATGTTGGACTAGATCATATTTGATATTAGTAGTTTCAATAAAATAAATATGTAACAATTGTTTATTCCAAGATCAATACAAAAGTGTTCATTTTACGTGAATGCGACTGTAATTCTTGTTTTTACCTTGCAGCACACTATCCACAAACTGATCTAATAACCCTTTGTACATGTTCCAAACTGCTGCATACATCAATTCTCGAACAGGCTCAAAAGATTTAAATCGTTTCGACTACCTTCAACTTCTTGTCTGTGAATACGAAGCCAGTCTACTATACAGTAGTGAGTGTTGACCCAATCTCTATTTTTCATTTATTCATTCGACTTAATATCTACTATAATTGTTTAAATAGACCTACCGTACAGTGAGCCAGAACGTCATGAAAAACTAGCTCGATTGTCCAACTTTGCATATGATCCAATTAACCACGATTTTCTTTGGCAGTTGAACATTGTCGAACTGTTTCTAGATGCCATTCACATATCCTCTACAGACCCAATTGCTCGTGAATTTGCAGCTGGTGGATTGTGTAATATATGTTTAGGTTAGCAAAGAAATAGTTTGTATTGGATGGAAAAATACTGTATAGTATCAGCTGTTTACAAATATCTGGAATAATCTAATTATGGGACATGAACTGGAATCCAGATCCAAGAGTTGCCGAGTATCTGACCAAGACAGAGCCATTGTCGATTCTCTGTACTGCCTTGCAAATTGGTACAATAGCCACAATTGACTCTGTACTCACCACACTGTGGTATTTATCTCAGTGTGGGTATCATGATCGAATTGTATCCATCAAATCTGTCATGGACTATGTCGAGACTGCATCCATGCTGGATATAGATGAAATAAAACTGGAAACCAGGGATAAACATGCAGAAACCAGACGATCTGTATTGATTCTGGTTCGATTATGCAAAGAGGATTGGCAATCTTGTCTAAAGCAACTGAATCTAGCACAATCTTAAATGCATCAAATAATCTAATGTATTATTAAACTTTAATCCAACCTTGTTCCTATTCAAATAAAAGTTTATTTGAAAATAGAATTGGTTCAAAAAACAGCTTGAACATGCATCTTGATATCTACCAGCAAGACTTTATGCTATTAGACTGACTTGACCAGACGCAAGAGTTCAGAGACATCGGAAGGTTCAGAATCGGTTTCGAACCCAGCCTTGCTATACATGCCTCGTTTGATTGGACATGTTTTGTCAATACTGACAAACACTCTGCCCACTTTTGGATGTTTTGTAGCTTCTTCAACAACATTTTTAACCAACATAGATGCTATGGCAATTTTATAATCGTCCAGATTGAATCAACAGAGTTAGATGACAGCATATTTGAATGAACTATACATGCAGATATTACCTAAACCCAGACCTGTGTAAGCAGGCAACACAAGCAGTGAAACAATCTCTACATCCATTTTATCAGTCGTATCTGTAGATAAAGCAGGCACTTTGCGACAAAGAACCGCACCAGCGCATACATCGTTGAAATACACTAAAAGTATTCATGGCAAGAATCAGTTTTCAATACAGTCGATTATGGTGAATATGTCAATACAAAAACTGATGTTGGATACTGTGATCAATCTTGCGATAATACAATAACATCTGGTGGATTGTGTTTTCTGGATTGCGTTTGGCATCATTCATGCTAAACGCTTGGAATCTGTTAGCCTATAGCCTACTCACCTATACGTGAAATGGGATCAAGTGCTAATGCATCATTGAGCAAAGTGTCATCCAGTACATCTGGTGTGTGAGAAGGTACAGCAGCATGAATGGCTCTGATCTGACCGAGGTTGTTGATGGTGATCTCGCCTAGAGCTTTGCGAAAGTGTTTTTTCTGATGTGTAGAACTGGTCTCGACTGAGTCAGTGGAGTGAACAGGGTCTTCAGCAGTCATGTTGAATGTTGTGGAAAGTAATTCCTGACAGTTTGTATTCTTTGAGATTAAACAGCCATGACAGTTGGCTTTATTACGTTTCTATTTTACAGCCATATTCACATCAAATGCAACACTTTTGTATCTTGCAGCGACTATCTTGGAATAGACAATCATCAACTATTCGTTGAACTTATCACAAATGGATTGGACTGCTTCTTCAATAGACATTCTTCAATAAGCGCATCCATTATATGATACAATCAAACATGGTTTTAAACTGATTGTTGCTTTCTCTTCGCTTGGTATAACCATGCATTGTACGATTGTCAGATTCATGTATTGCAATCAGATATTGGATTTGATTGTTGGCAATCAAACTGTTGTATTCTAAAAACTTGGATATGTTCGCGTTCTAGTTCAAGAGAACAACGATCGCACAGTTCAGGAATGCGACAGCTGTTTTGATGCAGTCACACAATGTCATAATGTCCATTTTGAAGAGTTGGATATTGAACAAGTGTGGGATGTATTGGGACAAGATCTGAACATTTGTTTAGTGTTTCATTTGACGTGAATATAGCTGCAAATACAATCTCATCTTATCAAAGTTTCTACCAGATTCATGTCAATTCTAGTAATTTCTCAATGATTGAAACCCCTGTATCTGACAGCAACAAAACGCATAGACTAAACAGCACTCATTGAATGCTGGTATTGTTCATGTTTAAACTTTGCATGTAAATCATTGTATATATAAAGCAGAGTAATGTTTAACTCGGACTAAACCCATTCACCTCAAAATTACACAAAAACAAAAATACGAGTTGGGTGGTTTTCAATGAAACAGAACTGCATTTCCAGCTTAAAAGGTGTTGGGACGGTTTGCAGTAAAGGTAGTCTTGACGCTCTTGGTGGCAGCACGGAAAACGCGATGGGGAAGAGGGAACTTGAGGTCAGGAACAAGAATCTGTCTGATGTATGGACGACGGACATCTTCAGCCTTGACCTCAGCAACCTTGATGATCTGGATCTGAGTGAAACGGGCACGATGACGAGCAGCCATGTCCTGGTCTAAAAATTGATCACAAGTTGGGTTGGTTAAATATAAAAACTCATCGTCACAACATCAGTAACTCTATAGTTTAAAAAATAATAAACATACAGCAGGAGGTAACGGCATCAGCACGGCTAAGTTCACGGTACTCCTTGTACATGTTATGGGTACCAGAGCGAGAGTTGTAACGGAGCCAGATACCAAAGTTCTTGACAGAAGCTGGTTTCTTTTCATAGATCTAGATGAATTTGAATATGTAAATTAAGCATGCATGATAAACCAAACTATCTGCATTTAATCCAAAACGAGCAAGTGGCATACCTGATTAACAGAAACAATTTCACCAGAAGCCTTCTTGACCTTGTTCACTTGCTTGAGGAAATACCAAAATCTGCTCTTTGCAACAATGCTGTTGCAAGCAAAAATGCGCATTCTGTAAAGCTTGGGGACTGGCTCTTTCTCAGTTGGGAGTTTTCGGCCAACAACCTGGAATTCATTAAGACGAGCCATTTGCAATTACTGAAAAATTCAAAATGTTAGCTTGAATACTAGACATACTAGAACCATTGAAAGCGAGTTGGTGGAATTGTATTTGCAGCTATATTCACGTCAAATGAAACACTAAACAAATGTTCGGATCTTGTCCCAATACATCCCACACTTGTTCAATATCCAACTCTTCAAAATGGACATTATGACATTGTGTGACTGCATCAAACAGCTGTCGCATTCCTGAACTGTGCGATCGTTGTTCTCTTGAACTAGAACGCGAACATATCCAAGTTTTTAGAATACAACAGTTTGATTGCCAACAATCAAATCCAATATCTGATTGCAATACATGAATCTGGCAATCGTACAATGCATGGTTATACCAAGCGAAGAGAAAGCAACAATCAGTTTAAAACCATGTTTGATTGTATCATATAATGGATGCGCTTATTGAAGAATGTCTATTGAAGAAGCAGTCCAATCCATTTGTGATGAGTTCAACGAATAGTTGATAATTGTCTATTCCAAGATAGTCGTTGCAAGATACAAAAGTGCTCCATTTTACGTGAATACAGTCGTAACAAAGACAATAAAAAGGCAATGAGATCCAAGGAGTTGTCAATCTTGACCAAGTGGTGGGCTCAAAATCAAAAAATGATGACCAACACAGATTCTTTCCACAGTCAAAGTCACAATCAGTATAGATTGAACGAGTCTTCAACTGGATCAGTTCAGTACGATTTGAATTCGCCAAGAAATAGGAATCCATGAACTCTGGATAGCCAAGACAGTGGAAAAAGATGCTGTAGGACACCCAGTATTGTAGTAAAGGATACACATGCGTACAGAGAGACAAGCCACTAACAAACAACAAACCAGTATCAGACACACACCTCTGAACCAACAAGAATTTCTTTCGTAGGAAGAAAAGCAACAGAAAAAACAAGACGCAACAGAGCAGAATTATACAGTACAGACCGTATAGTATAGCCTGCAATCCATATTATTCAGACCCCAAACCTTGACTTCACACCCTATTTTACTGTGCTGTTATCTAATCATGTTGTTTTTGGTATCACGTTATTTACAGAAAAACCATCAACTTTCGGAGAATTAATTTTATTGGCTTGTTTAAATTCTCCTGTTTCACGTGTTGTCCCGTGATTATGCCATCTGTTTTATTAATTAAACTTTCCTGTAAGCTGGATCGGGCTGTTGTCAAGCAAGAGTTGTGCAAGCGTCTGAGCTGCAACAAAATGATTAAATGTCTTGTTGATGAATGGATTTTGAGATACTTTACGATGCTATTAGAGCGTCCGTATTATAATTTACTAGAGTTGCAAACGAGTGCATTTTCATCCAATTGAATCTGTAGTCATCCAAGCAAGTCTTGTAAGCGTGGATAGTATGAGTAGATAGAGCGACATCAATAATGAGCCATCAACCTAATACGACCATCTGTGTCGTTCAATTCGGCTCATGTTGAACCAATTTGAAAAGTTGGTTTTTTGCCAATATCTAAATTCAATCAGCAAACATGGCTGATCAAGACCAACTTCGAATTGAAGCACTCGATGGCCAGATTAATCTAGCTATTGCTCCGACAGAATTCAAACGAAACAAACTTGTTGATGAGGCTGCACGAAACTGGGATATATTTTACAAGGCATGTTCACAATACTATGTTTCAAATTGAATCATTCACATCACTAAACATCACACTCGTCAACTCTTTTGTATATATAGCGAAATACTACCAATTTTTTCAAGGATCGTCATTGGATTGAGCGAGAATTTCCAGATTTGAAAGAAACTGAACATGGAGAACCAAATTCAAAGGTATTTCAAGTATCGTTGAGCATAATCTGCTGTCAACATTGTATTATATAGTTTAAATGCTTAAACTAACAAACCTTGTACAGAAACTGCTAGGTTAGTTTATCTATTGTTGATAGAGTCTGATATACAGCGGATTACTGATATTTCCAGTAATTCTATTTCAATATTGCAAACTATCAATTGGTGCTGGATAAAGAAATCGGTAAGAGCGTTGATTACATATTCGATTTTCACTTGATTTTACATTGAAATTACCAACATTTACTGAATCTGATGGCATGTCAAGGATGCGGCGTTGGCAATTTTGTCTTTCCGCTGCTGCAATCAAACAAAGAGTTTTTTATTTATGCTTGCGATTATTCAAAACGGTGTGTTTAAGATGGTCTATATCGTATTGGTATTATGTACTATCGCGATTCAATACGATACTGTCCTAACTAACCTTTATACTACTAAATATTACATAGTGCAGTAGATTTTGTCAAGGTAGTACAAACAATCGGTTTAAATCAACCCCAATTGATTTCTAACATGACATGTTTCAAAATAAAACATTGCCTCGACTCACCATATTGCATTTGTTTAAATCTAGGCGTCACCCAACTATGATACAAGCCGCTGCAAAGGGTTTGTGTGTGATCTGACAAAAGATTCACTTGTAGATGACGTTCCTGAATCGTCCTTGGATATTGTATCGGCCATATTTATGCTGAGTGCTGTTCCACCTTGGAAAATGCCTCAAGTCGTGGCAAACATCAAGCAAGTGCTTAAACCTGGTGGTGTAATATTGTTTAGAGATTATGGACTTTATGATGCTGCTCAGCTGCGTTTCAAGGCAGAGAATCGAATTGATGATTGTTTTTATGCTCGATCTGATGGTACTTTTTCATACTATTTCTCAAAAGGTATGCAGTTTGATTGACAGTCATTTTGTTTAGACATTTAAATATAGCCAACTGAAATTTTCAATGACGTTTAGAATATCTCAAAAAACTGTTCGAGGCAGATGGATTTCAAATCCAAGAGTGTGAATATGTCAAAAAGGAAGTGGTGAATCGAAAGGAAGCAAAGAAAATGGATCGCATATTTCTTCAAGCTCGAATACAGAAAATATAAGTACAACGACATACTCAATGATATTAAATTTAAACTATTTGTATGCCATTCATTTTATTCTGCTTGCATATACAAAACACAAGTATTGGTGAGTTTAGATTTTACCCTTTATAACACGGGATCTTTTCCAGTGAGAGTTTTGTACACTTGAATGTATTTGGAAAGAGTGTTGTCCATCACAGTTTGTGGAAGTTTTACACCATTTTTTTTGTCAAAATTGATGGAGCTTAGATAGTCGCGAAGATACTGCTTGTCAAAGCTAGAGTATATCCAAGGCAGTTTTGAATAAATTAGCAAGTCAAAGATCTATGCATAAAGCAATAGTGTACTGATTTAATGGTATACCTTGGTTGACTTTTTCCTGCCTTGTACTCTTTTGCTGGCCAGAATCTGGATGAATCTATCGGTATGACTATGATTAGTAAACGTGATTTGAAACAGTCACTCATAGAAGCACTGGTCATACCTGGAGTAAGGACTTCGTCAGCAAGAATTAAATCTCCTGCTTCATTTACACCAAACTCGACCTTGGTATCAGCAATAATGATCCCTTTTGATTGTGCGTACTCGCTTGCCTATCATCATGCATATTTTTATAAATACTAGCTGGGTTTGCACGTCAAGTCAAATAGCTCACCTTTTTGTATATCTTGAGGGAAGCAGCAGCAACTTCTTTCGAGTATCGATCACCAATAATGGCGGCCACTAGAAATGTAAATCCAGCCATTCAGTTACGTTTTAGATAGTTAGATGACTGTATTTGAAAGCAAACAATAAATAGTAATATACTTGCATTTATCTGGATGAATGTTTTCATCTGTATTATATCAATCGGCAAAGCACTTAGTAAAAGGCATATATTTTAAAAGAATACTGTCAAGATATTACCATGATCGCCAAGTTCAGCCTTGGTACTGGGCGTAAACAGAATTTCTGGAAGCTGTTGAGACTCGACAAGACCACTAGGAAGTGAGATATCACAAACTGTTCCCTTGGTCTTGTATTCGCTCATTGCCGACCCTATTCAACAGCACAAAGCTTTAAGCAAGTATAATTCGTATGTTTGGCAAACTAAAGATCTATAGTACATGTATCGTACCAGTAATATAGCCGCGAACAATGGCTTCAACAGGAAGAATACGAAGCTTGCGAACCAGCATACTGCGACCTTGAAGTTGATCGCGATATTTTTGAACGCTGTCAGGCATCTGATCGATATTGCAAGTGATGGTATGATTGGGAATGGTTTCTTTGAGCAGTTCAAACCAAAATTCGGAAATTTGAGTCAGGATCTTTCCTTTACCGGCAATACCCTATCATTCATGGCAGTATCAGAAGCAGTGTATCCAATTAAAATTAAATAGTTTAGGTCAAATATTGAACCAAGAGTCGACAATGTCTATTAAGCAAGTCAATATATAGTAGAAAAGTGCAAAATATTCAAAGCAAAGCTCATTGCAGGATAATGCAAGTGGTCTATTTTACATAAAATAGTGAAAACTACTTACGGACTTCATAATGACATCAAATGCACTGATACGATCAGTGGCAACAAAGAGTAAAGAGTGTTCATCCACTTCGTAAATATCACGGACTTTGCCACGAGCAATGAACTTGAGATCGGGGCAATTCTATGTGTAGGTAATTCAACCCAGAATATAAACAAAACGTAAACACTCTTATCAACCTTCTTTGACGCAGCTACTAGCGTATACTTACAGTTTGAATGAGTGCCATTGTTAAATTTTGATGGTAGCTCAAGAAATATGAAAATGTGATTTCAATAAAATCATTACAATCAGATGAGCAAGTCACGCGCCTAGATTTCGCATGGCAAATTATTAAAATTTTGCTTTATTAAAACACTGATTTTATTCAAGCACAGCGTTGGTTTGTTGGCGTTGAATACGCTTGGCAAGCGTGTTGGAAACAGTCCGATCTTGCTTAGTAATAGCACAGAAATCTAGATGCTTTAGACGAGGAATAAATAAAAGTACGATGGATCGATATGTCTTTGTGTTCTCCATTGTGTTTCCATGCAGTGTGAGATTGAACAGGTGTGAGAGATTGCTCAGTTTCTCGACTTCTGCCACATCATCAATGTGATTAGCATGCAGATACAACACTTTTAGATTGGACAGAAGCAACAGACTCTTGTTAAATGCAATGAGTATGCGTTGGAATAAAATGGGATATTAGTCGATGTCAGAATTTCACCAGTAATGTTCACATGTTTTAAAAACAGCTTTTGAAAGGATAGGCACGACACTTACACTATCGATTGTAGTCAAAGCGTTGAATGAAAGGTCCAACCAAGTAATATTACTCAGTGATTTCATCTGCTCGATACAAGAGGGAAGACTTGCCAGAGTTGATATTTGGTTGTTTGAGAGTCTAATTGCAGTAACCAACTTTTCCTGAGCAAAATCAGGCTTTACAGATCTGATCAATACTATAATGGTAGAATGATAGTAATGAAGCAAATGAATATTCTATACACTACACCTTTTGTCGAGTTATTTTTTTAATATTTCGAGGTTCTTCTGCAAGTATATCTGTTTACAAATTTGAAGATCCAAGTGGCAGTGCATTATAATAGATATTTTGGTGAGCAAGTATTTAGAAACCATTACAAAGCCTATATGTGGTATGGAGTCGAGATTTGACTAACCAGTGATTTGTGAAATTTCTTTAAACGAATAGTCTAATGGTTCAATTGTATATTCTTTTGGCTGCAAAGATGTTTTATTGGTAGCCTAATCATAATTTGCAAATCCAAAATAATTAGCATGGTGTGTAATACAATACACCAGCAGATACAAGTATTTTAAAAGCCATATTGAGATTGGATCTATTTAGTAATACCTCGAGTTTCCCTGTAACTCCGATATTAGCAATAGGAGCATTAGCAAGTGTTGTACCACTAGTCATCAAGTACTAATAAATTTAAAGACAAGTCGGAAATATTTTAATCAGTGTTGTGTTGTACACAGCATTTTCAAAGTACAATACTGTCAAACAATTAGTTTATTTTCAAAAGAGCATGTTTGCAATTGACATTCCTTGCCACATTGACTGTCCAATGGCTTTAAAACAGTGTGAAATATTTATGAGTTTATTAATGAATGCTTTCAAACAGCAACAGATTTTTCAGATGAATAAAGTGTTCATACAGCAAGTGTGAATGTCAGTCGGTTGAATAGCAAAATGTCACTATCCGACATGAGAAATTGTATTATCAAAGACGCGAACATCAAACGCGCATTTTTAAAATCAATTTCTTCTGATTTTTCTTCCCTTCCTGCTGCAAAGTTTTTGAATTCGTAGGTGAGTTTTGTTATTGCTTATCAAGAGAATAGTCGGTTTGGTCTGCTGGGGATGCAGTTGGATAGTAATCATGGTTGTGTACTGTCAAAAGAATGGGTTGAGATGAAAGTGTCAGGCATGTAGAACGGTTGTCTGTTGAAATTGTTCACTTGATGTATTCATCATGTTATTGAGATTCTGGACAGAAACACTGTTATTGTCTGCATCTCTTGGTTGAAACCATGTCTGTACTTTCTACCACGATCATCCCAACCTCTGTCTACATGTCTGGTTTACAAACACTTTTCAACCTCCGCCTTATCTGTTGTTAACTTGCCCGAATTCCTTTTGGCATGCTGTGTTGGCTGCTTCTTCTGTACATTTGTGGCAGGGCAATAACCATCTTGCAGCAGTAAGCGGCTGTTTTTGCTGAGCATAGAGGCTTCTAGACTTATTACACCATTTTGCAAGTTTTTGCCCATTATTCTGACTCGTTTGCTAACATCAATTTTTCATCTGCCACTGCCGTCCTGTTTGCATTCCCTACAAATCGTCATTTAGCACATTGTTTTGCCATTTTCAAAGTCGTTCAACTCTGACCTTGACCCTTTTACAAAAACAACACAAGTCTTTTAACACCGCAACTTTTTTAACCGACCCGTTTGAGATCTAGTTTTGTCCGACTCGACGCTTTTTACCTGTCAATCTTTTACTTGACAACCCATTCAAAAGGTCGCGCTTTATTAGGCAGCAACTTTTTGGTACTCTTGTTCTCTAGTCTCTAACAAAACCGGCGTTTACGCCTTTTAAACTTGCTTGCACTTCGGGTCATCCCAGAAGTGCGCTAAAACCACGTTCTCTACAACCCCCTTCGTTCCGGTTCCGATCGGAATCCACCTCGGGATCTGCCCCGGTAAGCATTCATTACATATTTTGAATATCTATTCATCAATGTCTATTTTGCTTTTTTGATATCTATCCAATAGCTGTTATGGATCTAAACGTGTTTGAGTTGATCATTGAGACTAATACTCTGTATGATCTATTAGACCCGCCCTGGCTTTTGAACTTTGAAGCCTGAGTTCGTCCACATCTGTCTATCGTCTGTAACAAGCACTTTTTACCACAAAGCATCATTGTCTTTTGCTCTTTTATACTTTTTTTAATTTACCCCACCTTATGAAGGATATTTTCACTACATTTTCTCCATCTGTGGACGTCAACTCTTTTCCCTTTTCGAGCTTCAAGGCCATCAATAAGCTCGGCACCAATGCTACTCCTGCTGTAACGACAGACACTCGTTCCATCAGTGAGATCATACAATCGCGTGTGACGCTCGACAAATCTCATCCTGATTCCGAGAACCCTTTCTTTGTAGCTGATCTTGGTGATGTTGTTCGTCAGCACCAGCAATGGAAAGCTCTGCTTCCACGCGTTGAGCCGTTTTATGGTGAGAATTAATTACCTTGAATTGTCATGTATGAATCTAGCTAATATCTTTATCATTGCTAGCCATTAAATGTAATCCTGATCCGGCTATTTTGCAGACTCTTGCAGGTCTTGGCACTGGTTTTGATTGTGCTAGTAAAGCTGAAATTGACATGGTCCTTGAGCAAGGAGTTGATCCTTCTCGTATTATTTACGCCAATCCGTGCAAACAAGCCTCTCATATTCGTCACGCCGGTGCTTGTAATGTCAAAGTCATGACTTTTGACAATGCTGATGAGCTATACAAAATTAAACAGGCCATGCCTAGTGCCAAAATGGTTTTGCGTATTCTTACCGATGATTCTCGCTCAGTGTGTCGTTTTGGTATCAAGTTTGGTGCTTCACTTGCTGCTGTTCCATCTCTGTTGCGTACTGCTCGCGAGCTTGACATTGATGTGATTGGTATCAGTTTCCACGTTGGAAGTGGTTGTTACGACGCTTCTGCTTTCAGTGAAGCAGTTCTTTTGGCACGCAAAGCATTTGATATTGGTCAAGCTCTTGACTTTAATTTCACTTTGCTCGATATTGGAGGTGGGTTTCCAGGTCGTTCTACTGAAGGAATCCAGTTTACTGACGTGGCTCGCCTTCTACGTCCCGTCATTGATGACAACTTTCCCGAGACTGTCCGCGTCATTGCTGAACCTGGCCGCTACTTTGCGTCTTCTGCATTTACTCTTGCGGTAAATATTTTTGCTCGCCGTGTGGTGCTCCGCGATACCATTGAAAGCACTACAGCATCAAGTGAATTTGGAAAAGATAGTCCCACTACAGTGTCGAGCCAACTCTCTCTCGACTCGGAGTGCAATCCCACCAATGCTAACGAGCACCCGTCATACATGTACTATATCAATGATGGCATGTATGGCAGTTTCAACTGTCTGACTTTTGATCATGCAGTGGTCAAGGCCATTCCGCTTGTTCGTCAAGGAGAATATCTTTTTGATTCACCCGAAGTGTCCGATTCAATGCCACAGTTTTCATGCAGCATCTGGGGACCTACTTGCGACTCGATTGATTGTATTGGTCGCGAATGCCTTCTCCCAATGATGAAAATTGGCGATTGGCTCTACTTTTCAAACATGGGTGCGTATACAATGGCTGCAGCGTCGGCCTTTAACGGATTTGAAAAGAGCACTGTTCTTTACACCACCACCAATTAAAACAGTGACAACTTTGATATTTGGAATTCATTTTTGGGTTATTACTAGTTGCTGATTCGTTTCGAGGTATTCATTTTGCAACAGTTGGAATACCTCAAAGTCGATGGTTTAAACTTGATATACGATTTATTCTTAATAAACCTGAACAATTGAATAAAAATAAATGCGATGATTTCAAATAGTTGAGATTGCAGTTTTGAATCGAGACTGGCGGATAACTAAAGTGTCGAGTTTTATGGTCGGAAATCTTTGCTTCGAATAGCAAAAAAATGGAAGACTTTGAGGTGAGCATCGGACCATCACAACTGCTTGCATTATCTTATAAAACAGTTTCATTACGAGCTACAGTTTAGCTGTATTTGTCTGCAATTGCAGACAATTCAATTTCAAGTCATAGTATAATTACATTGGAAACGTCAAGATGATAGATGAGGTTGATTTGTAGCTTTTACGAGCCAACACACTCTGGCTTGTTCAAGCGACTCTTTAGTTGTTCTTGTTTAGCGTCATGCTGGCTGTATACAAAGAGTGCACTTTTGTATACCAACGTTTAGTCATGCAACATACTTGTGTGGATCTCACTTTTGAAATGGCTCGACTCGTCACTGCTTTAAAACTAAGCATATTCTACTATCATCTTGTCAATACTATTATCAATCATCCAAACAGTTCTAACTTTAAATTTGTTCAAATCAATCACTACTTGGTCACGTCACTGCTGTCTTGTATTCACCACTGGATCAATGACGATGCACAGCAACCTAGAAAACGATCTGAAATTCAAGCAGAGGCCATGGAGCGAGTGAGTGATTTACTGCATTGTGTTGTCATTGATCGTCTGTATGATTTGTTTTAGTCAATCTTAGCCTAATGTCATACGTATTGATTGACGTTTGCTAACATGTTTGTGTTGGATTCAATAGAAGGCTGATTTTACAGAGAAAAAGGCAGCTCTTTCAGCGATGCAGGTAACCTAATTGTGCAATGTTTAACGCAACAAATCAGTCTATGACCAATCAAAATCATTCTCTCATTTCAATGTGTATTCGTTGCTCATGATATGTTTTATTAATCTTTGTATAGATTGAGGATGCTCGCAGAAGATACGCCTATTTGCTTGGACAGACTGACATTTTTGGTAAATTTCTTTGTGAACAACTATAAACCTCACTCTTCAAGATATGACTATTTGTTATCTGACACATTGATTTGATTAGCTCATTTTCTGAACATTGCCAAGATGAAGTCAACCGATGCTAGAAAGTTTAGAGATTTTACAGACAAGGGCATTAAAACTACAGAAAAAGAACCGTATGTCTGTTGTATTGATAGATCCATCAATAATACAAATGATTGTCTTATTTACTAGGCTTTTGAATGTATTTAACGCTATAGGCCATCTCGAAATCGTCGAAAGACCGAAAAGGAAGAGGATGAAGAGCTGATTAAAAACGATTTAAATGACGAGCCTTTAACCACGTTTTCATTTACCGAATCTCCTGCTTGTAAGAATACCATCTGTGTTGCATTTGACTCTACATTTGTTGATGTTGACCATTCGTTGCGCTATCGCCTATTACAATTTAGATGTTACTGGTGGGAAAATGCGTGATTATCAGATTCAAGGCTTGAACTGGCTAATCTCAATTTACGAAAATGGTATTAATGGAATCTTGGCCGATGAAATGGTAGGTTGGTGTTCTATACATTTAAGATTGCATCAGTATTTAGTTGTTTAATAATGCTTTCCAAATAGGGTCTTGGTAAAACACTTCAATCTATATCTTTCTTGGGCTACCTTAAACACTTTCTTGACAACAAGGGCCCCCACCTTGTTATTGTCCCTAAATCCACACTACACAATTGGTTCAGCGAGTTTAAACGATGGGTTCCATCCATTACTGCATTTATCTTTCACGGACCAAAAGATGAGCGAGTAGGTTTAACTTTAGATTCTGCCAAATTGATACCAAAGTGCATCACCTTTAACCTCTTATCCGTTTATAGGCTGGGCTGATCTCCTCCTCACTCCATTCTGGAAAGTTTGAAGTATGCATTACTTCGTATGAAATGTGTCTTTTGGAAAAGTCTGCATTCAGCAAAGTTGCGTGGCAATATATTGTGATTGATGAAGCACATCGGATTAAGAATGAAAATTCTGCTCTTTCTCAGATTGTTCGTTTAATGAACTGTCGCAACCGGTTGTTATTGACTGGCACTCCTCTTCAGGTAAATTTTGTTGCTTTTAAATGATTGTGTTTCTGTATGTCATTCAAATGTTTAATCAAGACTATTTAACATATTTGTTTTTGGGTTGCTTTAGAATAATTTGCACGAGCTCTGGGCACTCTTGAACTTTTTGCTGCCTGATGTGTTTAGTTCTGCTGAAGATTTTGATAACTGGTTCTCTACTGACCAAGAAGGCGATCAAGACAAGGTCGTGAAACAACTTCACAAGGTTCTTCGACCTTTTTTACTTCGTCGTATTAAATCTGATGTGGAGAAATCACTGCTTCCAAAAAAGCGTATCAATTTATACGTGGGTATGAGTACCATGCAGCGCATGTGGTATAAAAGGCTTCTTGAAAAGGACATTGATGCAGTCAACGGTATAGATTTCGAGATTGTTTTATTATGACTTGGTTGGCATGAGTTAATATTAACTTGCTATTGCGGGTGCGTCACTTGAAAACTGTAGGTGCAGCCGGTCGTAAGGAAAGCAAGACTCGACTGCAGAACATTGTCATGCAACTTCGAAAATGCTGCAACCATCCTTATCTGTTTGATGGTGCAGAACCTGGTCCACCTTACACTACCGATCAGCATTTGGTTGACAACTCTGGTAAAATGGCACTGCTGGACAAACTTCTTCAGCATCTCAAAGCCCAAGGATCTCGTGTGCTACTGTTTAGTCAAATGTCTCGTGTACTTGATATTTTGGAGGATTACTGCATTTGGAAAGAGTTTGATTACTGTCGTCTTGATGGAACTACTGCTCACGAAGATCGTATCAATAGCATTGATGAGTATAATAAGCCCGATAGCTCCAAATTCATTTTCCTGTTAACCACACGTGCTGGTGGTCTTGGCATCAACTTGGCAACTGCTGATATTGTTATCATGTATGACAATGATTGGAATCCTCAAGTGGTAAGTTGAAGCTAATTTTAAATGGCTGTTTTGATTATTTTTAAAATTGATTGTATCTCATCCAACTGTTTTGCTTTAGGATCTGCAAGGTAAACATATAGTATAGCAGAAATGATCATGTCTATTTTGTTTTTTTTAACTCGAGCTTACTGATTTCCTTTATAGCCGAGGATCGTGCTCATCGTATTGGTCAAAAAAAGCAAGTGGTTATCTTCCGTTTCATTACCGAGGTACCGTATTGTTTTGATGTCTACAAAATGGGTTTGTCGTGTAGTATATATAAATACTGATTGCTTATTGTTGAACCTCGGTAGAATGCTATTGAAGAAAAAGTAATTGATCGTGCTACTCAAAAGCTGAGGCTAGATCAGTTAGTTATTCAACAAGGACGAGTGATCCAGCCTACAAAAAGTACACAGTATTGACTACTTGATGTAAAATGGCTTGAAATTGGCATACTCTATTAACACATTTCTTGATATAACTCAGATTCGTCAAAGGATGATCTTGTTTCCATGATTCAATATGGTGCTGAGAGTATTTTTAACTCATCCGACAGGTTGGGTTAATTGCCTTTTAAACTATTTATTTTGCATGTTATGTTGGACTAATGTTTTACAAATGTAGTACAATTTCCAATGACGATATTGGCGAGATTCTAAGGCGTTCTGAGAAGAAAACAGCAGAGCTTGATGACAAATACAAAAACATGGGTCTTGATGACTTGCAAAAATTCACAGTCGAAGACACCACAAGCGCTTATCAATGGGAGGGAGAAGATTTCAGAGACAAGCGTTCTGGTATCGGTATGAACTGGATCGGTCCATCCAAACGCGAACGTAAAGTCAACTACGATGTCGACAACTATTACCGTCAAGTATCATTGACCAGCACACGCACGGCGAATCCACGTCCACCCAAACCCAAAACAATGACTCTTCAAGAATACCAGTTTTATCCTACACGACTTCTTGAATTAAACGAAAAAGAAAAGTATGAGTTTTGGCGATCTGTTGGCTATAAGCCTAGTCGCGCAGATTCGACTGAAACCGACGAGACTGCTGCTGAAAAGTGGCTGGCTTTGGAAGAGGCCCGTATTGAAACTGCTGAACCACTTACTGATCAAGAAATTGCCGAAAAAGAACAACTTACCCAAAAAGGATTTGAAAGTTGGACAAAAAGAGACTTTCAAACTTTTTGCAGGGCCAATGAAAAACATGGACGGTACGAAATGCAACGTATTCAATTTACCTTGTTAACTCTCCACCTTCTAATATAGTATTTTTAAACAGTGACAATCTTGAGGCCATTGCAAACGACATGGAGGGAAAAACTTTAAAGGAAGTAGAAGACTATGCGACTGTGTTTTGGAAGCGCTATACCGAAATCCCAGACCACGAAAAAATTGTAGGCAATATTGAAAAGGGTGAAGCACGTCTTAAAAAGGTACAGGAGGTTCACGAGGCCATAACTGCCAAAATAAGCAAGTATCGTTTGCCGCTTCAGCAGCTTAAACTAGTATATGGACAAAACAAGGGTAAAAACTATACTGAGGAGGAAGACCGATTTTTAGTAAGTTGGCTTGATCTCCAATACTGTCTTGCAACTACAAACTGGAATTTGACACCTATTCAACTTTAATGTGTATACATAGCTGGTTACTTTAGGCAAGTTTGGATATGGAACGGATGATATTTATGAAAAGATTCGTACCGAAATCCGCAAATCGCCTCTCTTTCGTTTCGATTGGTTTATTAAATCACGCACCACAGCTGTAAGTCAATCTATTGACTTTGTTTCTAGCCTATCTGCTTTTTAATACAGACGGCTGATACTCTATGGATATTATTGTTTAGGAAATTATGAGACGATGTAACACGCTTGTGATGCTGTTGTCTAAAGAGATTGAAGCCGAAGACGATCGTGAAGATCGTAAGCGCAAGAGCAAAGATGTCAGTGTTGCACCAAGCAAAAAGAAAAAGTAATGGTGCTGTCTTGTGTGACTCGACCAAATAAAATCAAAGTTTAACTGCACATCAAATGTTTATTGGGTTTTGGCTTCTCGTAACAAGGCTGATGCCTGATTGATAACTGCTTGTTGAACAGATGTTTTGAGAAGATCTTTTACTGGATAATCTAGAGATGCGTCGAATGCATATACAATAGAGCTTTCGTGTACTTCACAGTTTTGACGACCAAGAAGAGTAATCACGTTGCATACACGAGCAATAGCCTCACGTTCAGCATCAGATATCGACTAATAGGAAAACACATCAAGTTGTGTTAGATTGGCAAGAGTGAATGGTTGTCAAACAACTAGCCTCAAATCTACCTCGTTCTCATTTGTATAAAGTCCATCTGGTTGGTTGGCCCATTCAGGATCAACTGGTATGTGTTTGGAAACCCACACGTAGCCATTCACACCCAAAACAACATCTACACCACATGGAAGTGTGATGAAATGTGACTTTGATCGTTTAATTTGAGCAGATGGAACAATCACCAAAGATCCATTGCGTAACTATCATGACAGTTTTGAAATACATTGATGGTTATTTTCTCGCCATGTATGCGCATGTTCGTGGCATGTTCTGTTTACCTTGCCATACTTGATACCTCGAGTCTGTAGTGATGCTGCACCATCTCCAAAAAACGCTTGTACTTCAGCCTATGAATAACCATTAACATCATACCACTGCAATATTCCGGATAATTAAAGATGCAACTCACACTCAATAAATCTCCTTCGGCAAAAAACGTTCGCATTTGCAATTCATCCGATTCCGATTTACGACGCTATTATTTCATGATATCATTGTAAACAAGTGATGAGTAAGCATTCTGTCCTGTTTTAATGGTAATTAAACTACGCATGATTAGATGGACTTACTAGAACACCTCCTGGTAGATTAATCGATGACAAGAGCAAGACAGCGTGCTGGCGTCCTTTAATATCCACTTTCCATCGTTTAGGTCCCAACTGTTTCATATCATTCAATTGTTTAGATGAATTGCAATAGAATCGGATCATCCAAACATGGATTTACCTCGCTAATTCTACCAACAACAACATCGCCAATCTCGCCATTATATCTGAACATTTCAAAATATGATTCCATGTTGAATTAGATTCCAAATCGACTCATAAAAAGGTCATTATGGGATGGACTTGCCTTGACTTGAGCGGTTTGACTGAAATCAACTTGTTTACTCTCTCGACAACACCAGCAACCGATGCAACCAGAGCCTGCTCCTCAGTAAATGTACCGTGACCTCTAAATAGTATATCCAGATAGTGAAAATCAACATGAGTTATAGACGAACTGGATGACAATCCATGTAATGTATATCATCCAGTACAAGATACCTCATAAAGGCCGAGTCTTTTGTGATGATTTCACCTGGAGTGACCATTTGTCTGTCTGTTGCTGCCTCGTCAATGTCCATTTCATTATCCAAAGACGATCCATTGATAAATCCAGACGTAGCGAGTATGTGCTGCCTCGGTGGTGCTGATATCTCGACCATGAATTCAAACTGATTAATTTTATTTCTTTGGCAAACTATTTTGTAAGTGAAAATGCTGTCTTGCCATTTCGATAGAATCGTTTTAACGATTGCACGTTTAGGAAAATACGGCCATGACGAGTCCAACCGCACAACACAATCCGACGGTTGATATTGCCGAATTGAATGACGATGTTGGCACTCGTAAACAGAACTCCAGTTTGAGTCGTTTTGGAGGACGAACATTAGAGAACGATCATCAAGTGTTTGATCATAACGCTTGGTAATTCCTTGCAGTGTCACTGTTTAACTCGGTGTTGGAAACTTGAACTTATTTTGAATGCATGTGTTGATATGTTTAGGGATAATGTTGAATGGAGCGAAGAACAAGAACAACAAGCGCAGGTTATTATTCAGAAACAAATGGAAGGACAGGTTGATGAAATGCAGCGAGGCAAGATATAGAATATGCTGAATAGGTTGATTCGGATCGTAATCTAATATTGATGTATTCCAATGTAGTGCTGTTTGATGAAAAGGCAGCTTCTTTTTGGGATGAATTCTATGCCAAAAACACCAATAGGTTTTTCAAGGACAGACACTGGTTACGACTAGAGTTTCCAGAGCTTTTTGAGTATTCTAAAACCAGAACCGAGGTATAATGCCACGCTTCTGACTAGTCTTGTATTGAGATTTAATGAGTTTTTATTGTTTTTGAATCTATTTGTCTAGTCTAAATTCTTTTTATGTGAGATTGGATGTGGTGCAGGTACGTCACTTGCATGCAAGTCTAGACCATCAACATCAGATGCTGATCGTGTCTTTTTAATAATCGCATATTGTCTTGGCAATACGTAATAGGAAACACTGTGTTTCCATTTCTTGAAGAAACGCCAGATTCAAACGTAATGGTGTATGCATGCGATTATTCCAAGGAAGCTGTTGGTGTTGTCAAGGTAAGCGAGTATATTTGATGTGTGCCAACATTCAAGATACTTATACCAAATGGTAACTATCGAGTAGAGTAACCCGTTGTATGACGAATCGAGATGCAAGAGTTTTGTCTATGGTAATTGTGATTGCTTTGTAATCATGTAAGCTTTGAGTAGAAATTCAACTGTTTTTATGATCCTTTTCCGTTTGTGGAATTTAGATATCACATCATCAGAATTTCCTGTAGAAATAGAGGAAGGATCAATCGATGTTTGCACATGCATATTTGTTCTTTCAGCAATTCATCCTTCGACATGGACTCAGGCAGCCGAAAACATATATCGCATGCTCAAACCAGGTGGTCTTGTTTTATTCCGTGACTATGGCCGATACGATTTAGCCCAACTTCGATTTAAAAAGGATAGATTGTTGGAAGACCACTTTTATGTTCGTGGCGACGGAACTCGAGTGTATTTTTTTACAAATGAGGAAATAGAAAGCATGTTTTCCCAGTTTGAAGTGCTACAAAACGGAGTGGATCGTAGATTGATAGTAAACCGAACTCGAAAACTGAAGATGTATCGTGCATGGGTACAAGCCAAACTACGCAAACCATTGGCTTCAGATACCATTGTTTGAATATCAAATAAATGCATTCAAGTAATCGGATTTACTGTTTTTACTATCGAGTGATTTGAAGTTTAAAGCAATGAACATTCGCATCAAGGATTGTCTGATCGTATCAAGACCATCCAAACCAGACACTCCGATAGATGACGATCAGTTATGCAGGTAATGTTGAATTACCAATCATATCCACTGTCTGGATACTCGGCTTATACACATTGTCTTGAATAGTATTGCATTTCTCTGCGGAGATGATGTAACAGCCAAAGCAGCTGATATAGCAGATGCAGGTCATGGTAAGTGGTCTGGATTCACATTCGATTGTACTGTCTAGTAATCCACAACTTCAGTGTCTTTACTTCAGATCACAGGCGATACTGGTGCAAGGAAAACATACACTGTGCAAGATGGTACAAGCAGCTTTATATGTCTACCAGAGCAACACTACTGCTCATGTAATCCCGAGTTCTTTTGTATTCATTTACTTGCAGTGTATCTGGCACACCAAACTCTTCAAGTCCAACACACTGTTGTGAATAGAGCTAAATATCTACATATTCTCATGTCTGTTACAGTTTAATCTACTGGACATGTTGACCAGGAAACCGGATTAAAAACAGTTGCATTGTTTTATCTGGCTTGAAATAATAAAAACTGCAAGTTATTACAAGACTTGATATTATTTTAGCGATTGCAGTACGAACCAATGGCAATAGTGAGTATCATCACTTTCAACAAAAGCTACCAGTGCATAAAGTCATTCATATTGCTGTTGGATCGAAATACTACCCGATAGAAAGATCACTCATGTAATATTAGCTACTATGAATGTCAAACATACGTGCCAAGCCATCAATGTCGGCATGAGATTTGGCTTCGCGTATGATTTTGCGAGCCAAATCCATCTAAACCATTGAATAAAAAGTCAGAATAGTTCATGCAAGCCATCTGAAAGCCATCTGCACGGTTTATCAGGATGATGCGAATCGACTGTTACCTTGCCAAACACGTTCCATGTCAGCACTCCAATGACTTTTTTGCTAGAAGATAGATAGAATACAACTCCTTTGCCAAACTCCTCGGTTTCTTCTTCGGTTGGTGCATCCTTTCCTTTTTTAGCCCAAACACCTACGGTAGGTAGCTTGGAGTCAATGATTCCAGCAGCTTCATAGCTAATGTTGGGTCCAAGATCGCTCCAAAACATAGTTTGGTGTGTGTAGGGTTTCTATTGACATTGCATTGCAGTGGAATTACATTTCAGTCCAAACACTCGATTGAATTGGTTGGCTTAAGAAATAGATTGAATCATTACCTTGACACCAGTCATATTAAATCCAGCCATACGTCCGCTCATCACAGCATGATCGTAGTGCTCCACACGGCGACGACCAAGTGCAATATCATGATAGCTGGTAACATCTCCAGCCGCAAAAACATTGGTACGAGCTTCCAGTTCAGCATTTACTATTGGAAAAAGGTTGGTATCTGAAACTCAAGATTTGATCCACATGTGTAAATAATTCACTGTCTTACCAACAATGCCACTACGGATGGAATCCACTTCAAGTCCAGATGAATAGGCAAGTTCCTGGAATACCAGAAAATTGATTCTCAATGTGAATAAACCATATAATACTGATAAACTAATGACGCTTTAAAAATATACAACATCTATTTAAATACCTGATTTGGCGACAGACCAACAGCCAACACAATCAAGTCCTATATCAGATCAATACGTTTGAGATGAGCACAACATATCACAATGTAAAATAAACAGCACATGATTGTCTTACAGCATCAACAGAGGTTCCATTTTTGAACTGCAGCTCAATATTGTCGCCCGACTCTTTAGCATTGGTAATCACGGTGCTTTCTTTGACATCAACTCCCACTGTATGGAAATAGGAAATATGTTATATATCTAGTAAAATACAATCAGAGCTATAGAATATACCTTCGCGAAGCTTAGCGGTGGTCCATTTGGTAAGGTAGCGTGGAAACACGAGTCCCATGTTACCATCTTCAGGAAAAGTCTGCACAATCTTGGTGCCTGTTTCAGCAGCTAATAAATATAAAAAAGGATTGACAAAATTCAAAGTTATGCAAATGTAATGGCATACACTGTCGTGGTAATCATCAAGTACTTACATTTACGAGCTTGATTCGTTTGACAGGGTATTTAAGCAGTAAAATATTAATGTTAAATCAAGATTGTCATGGAGTATTTAAAATCATGTTAGAGTCATACCAAGTGCAACTGCAAGTTCACTTCCAAGAAAGCCGCCTCCAATGACAGCAATTGTCTTGGCCTCCTTAGCAAGAGACTCGAGACGCTGAAAATCTTTAATCTATAGTCGATATGCAGCATTTTATGTTTGTACAAATGGCTTTTAGGGTTCTGTCATAAAATGAATAGTAGTCGCTCTATTATCCAGCAACTTACCCCACGGAAGGTCATAACACGAGATTTTGCCTTTTCGGAAAGACCATCAAATACAGGAAGGCTGTATCAATGAATATGGATAATTAAAAACAAGCCAATCAATACTACTTTAAACCCCTGATTACAAAAATAAAAAATACCTTTTAGGAGTACCGCCAGTAGCAATCAAAACCCGAGAATATTGAATACGATCGCCGCTAGATAGGACAACTGTTTGATCCTCTGGATTCAGCTTAACGACTTTGGTGTTGGCCAAGTATTGAATTTTGGTACATGGCGATTCTAATGTGCTGATCTGATCGAGGGAAAGTACACGATAGGATTCTTTTGGAAAATAAAAAAGACTATCATAATTCAAGATTGAGTATGCAAGATTACCAAGTCTGCAGACAAACAAGCAATACAATTACCTGCGCTGATTGCCTTCCCAATCTTTAAAAGTAAGTTGCTGCGAGGTGTCATCTGCAAACCAGAGCTCTTTTGAAAGTGGTGGTCGTTGGTATGGAACAAATTCCTCTTCAGAAATGATCAGAATCTGTGCATCTGGTTGAGTCTCTCGGATAGCCTAGAATTGAAAATTGTCGTTGAATTTGTCAATAAACATGATCACCAATAAAGCAATGTCAGATTTATACCTCCATGGCGCTGTATGACGCAGTTCCACCACCAATAAGAACATATTGCACAAATGGAACCCCCTTGATGGGCTTGGGCTGATTTGAGGATGCTGTTGCTGAAGTAGGAACTTTTATTTTAACAGTAGCAGGAGTGTTTTTAGTTTGTGTTTTGGTCTCTTCATCTGACGCAATAAGATGGTACTATAGAATACGTATTAAAAATATAGTTGGATAAGCATATGCATTTGAATTACACAACACATTATAAAAACAAGACATTTAAATGGATCATCATTTCATTGATGTCAATGATTGTGCATTCAATTGACATCAATGAAATGTATTGTCGAATATATAAAATTTTAAATTTTGACAATGCAATCCAACGATGATTGAATGCAATGATTCAACATATTATTCTTACAAAAGGACCAAAAGCAAACAGCGATGCAACAGCCAAAATTCGGATAAGAGTGCCAGATGAAATGTTCTTTTTGGAATCATTATCGCTGTTGCCATGACGGTTGTGATTTGCTGGAGCATGAACAGACCTTGAAGCTGCAGGATGGAACATTCCATTATGGAGTCGCATATTGAACAGTGGGGTTGAGCGAACAAAGACGGTGCGACGTAATGGATTGCGTAGTGCATGATTGGTCAATACATAACCCAATCTTTGAGAAGCTGCCCATGCCATGATCTAATAGGTTTTGCAATGGTAAAAGTTGAATCAGCCGTATTCACGTAAAACATTAAATAAGGGTGTCGATTCACATCAAAACTACCGGATTGTCTTGAACTCATCAAAACTACTGGATTGTCTGCCATTCAGCAATATCGTGAAGCATATAGTTTCATATTGTCTATTAAACTCTATCGAGAATCATTTGATAAAAAGTGAATTGAGCAATTCCATACAATTCTTGATAGAAAAATGTACCGAACATTCAATCATTCTCGAATCAAGTGTTGCATTTTACGTGAATACGGTTATAATAGCAATGAATTCAAGATTTTGAAGATTTGAATGTATTTTAAAACTGTTCATATTGATCAACAAGATACTAAATTCAATTCTACAAATAGTTTAATGTGTAAAGAATCAAACTTGTTGCTGCCAGATAAAGCGTAAGCCAGTTTTTAAATCCGATTAGTTCAAAGATTTGAACTTTCCCAGAATTTCAACAGTTGATTCGGTTTAAATAACTCGAGTCTTTCTGGAATCCACCATAAGTGATACTCTGGTATACTATCAATCCAGATTAACCAGACTGTTGCATCAAAGTAGTGTTTACTGATATTTAATATTCATTGGCAGCAAGTTTGGCACAACTACGCTCGATGCAGTCACTCTACGCAGCTCTTGGTTCTGAGCCTGCTGGCTCTACAAACAACTCTACGGACGATTCTTCAAAGGTGGTTGGATCAACCACTCAATCTGGTATACACTCATTCTTGGTCATGGACTTTAATAGGTTGAACTTGGAATAGTCTGCATTCCAGACTGATTAACTCATATCCTACCTGAACAGCACAGTGGGGTGTATCCAATATGATCATACCCATCAAACGGAAACCCATTCAGGGATTCAAGCCTCGATCTGCAACTACGGTTATCAAAAAACAATCTGTTTTTGGTTCTGCAGAAATTGTCACTGATCCTGCTACTGCTCCTCCAGTCGTATCAGCTGTAGCCCCAGTGGTAAATATACGACCAGTAGTAACCCATCCAACCGCAAAACCATCCGTTGCATCAGCATCACAACAGTCTTCTGCAAGATCCTCTGTGATTAGGAAAATAGATACATCCGCATTGGTGCATGGAGCAGCTCCAGGAGCTATTGGTGATTATGGTAAGCATGGTTTTAGCTATTCAACTCTGATGACTGATTTCAAACCGCAGACGTATATTAATGACCTATTGTGTCTTGGCTAGATCCAACTAAACCTTGTCAGTTTTGGGTATGCAGAAAGGAAGCAAAACGGATCAAGCAAAAGGCTCGTGAGAAACTCTTGGCCAAAGCAATGGAAGATATGAAGAAGAATGCACCTCAGATAGGATCGTTTAGTGCAAATATGGGCGAGTTGAACGTGTTTTTATCTAGCCAATGCATCGAATATTTGCCATGAATCTAATCTGCTCACTATCCTTTCATTGTTACACCATTTTCTTTGAATATACAGCCAGGAGTTTTGTGCAGCCTGCCTCTAAACAAAATGCTCAAACTCGTAGCGATCCAGCTCCTGTGTCACAACCAGCTGCTGTACATCCGGACGTGTCTGGAGAAGATGCATATTTACGACGACTTCGCATGAGCGAGACTCAGTATGTGTTATGATTCCAATACTATATATTGAGGCATTTATTTAATTTTCAGTTTGAAGCACTAATCATTCAACTAGGCAATCGTTTAGAGAACAGCCTCCCAGCACAATCAAGACACCTGTTCAAGCATCACTACCAACCCCACATTATGCCCAATCATCTGGACAGCGTACTATAAATAGCAATCCAACTCAAGTTGTTGTCTTGACAAATTTGGTTGGTAAAAGTGAAGTGGATGATGAGTTGCGTCGGGAAACTACCGAGGAGTGTGCCAAGTTTGGAAAAGTGATCGAATGTAGTGTTTATGAAGTACCTGGAAGTCATGTGCCTGACGATGAAGCTGTTCGGGTGTTTGTCGAATTTGCTGATCTGAATGCTGCCATAAAGGGTGAGTACTTGCCAACAAATCTAGATTTAATTTGTCACGTATATTTATGGTCTTTATGTTGAATAGCACAAGCGGATATGCATGGACGATTTTTTGGTGGCCGGAAAGTAACTGCTGGGTTCTGGCCTATTTCCAAATGGCAACTACAGAATTTCGACTATTAAATCTACTGACTGCTGAAATAGTTTTACAGTCGTATTCACGTAAAATGAACACTTTTGTATTGGTCTTGGAATGATTGTCTTGGAATAAACAATTGTTACATATTTGTTATTGAAACTACTAATATCAAATATGATCTAGTCCAACATATCTCAGGAATGCAACTATACATGCTGGCCATCCAGTATTTGGGTTGGAGGTTGAAAAGATGTCAAGGATGTATTGGAACAGAAATGTAAGCATTTATATTTTTGTACAAGAATAAACATCAAGAAAGACTAGAATTCAAAAAACAATATTACTCGGTAAGATTAGGTGGGAATTATCACCAAATATGAAACTGTTTATCGTTGAATTCATTCGGCTGGATAATTGCTGTAATCATCCTGAGGACACTACATTGCCAATATAATTTTTTTGTGCTTCTTTCCGCTCGCATTGCAGATGAACAGCAGTGAGTCTGGACAGCAAACTGTGCATTCAATGACCTCTGAACTAGTACAGAAAGCCAATTCATTGGATAATTCAGCGGAATCATCCACAGTATCATCTCCTCATGCAAACCCTATTTCATCGGGGTAAACTTTTTATTTTGATAATGCTCAGTATGTGTTTCAAACTAACATCGAGTCCAACTTTAGTCGCAAACGCAAATGGGATGTTGAGCAACCGGAGCAGACTTGTTCATCAACCGCATCCGAGGTGAATGCGGTTTCTACAAAAAAGACTGCAACAGAGAGCAATCCCAATCCATCTGCAGGCAAGCCAAATCAGTGCAATTTAAATCAATTTTTACTTTATTCGATGCATATTAACCTTGTAAAGCCATTCTATTGTTATAGAGCCGGAATCTGCTATTGAGTCGACTGCTGCTGCTACTGCTGCTGCTGTGTCTCGTCTAAGTGCACTTCAGCACTCTTCACTAAAACCAGCCTCTGTCCATTTGGTAAGCACGATGTTCAATCCAATTAGAACAAAACTCGAGCTAATAGAGTTGCAATGCTTTTGGATTATACTTTGCGATCATTTAGGATCAGTTTGTAAAAGATATTGATATCAATGATATCAAAAACCGCTATTTGCTCACCAATCGTGCTACTCAGAATAGTCTTGTTGAAGAAACTTCAGTAAAGTATGTTATCAGCCAATGTGTGTTGTAGCTGGTTGCAACTGGAAATACTTATTTTTGAATCCTTGTTTTAGTATCACTACTCGTGGCAAATTTTATCCAGATAGAAATCGAGCTACTACAAAAGATCCAGTAAGTTGGTTCAAGTGCTGATTGGATCGATGATTATTAAAAGAAATGCAATTCATTTTGGATCTCGTGTATTTTTGTTAGCCCTTGTATTTGCATCTGATTGCTCCTACCCAGAAGGCGCTGGATCTGGCTATTGATAAAATCAATTCCATTATTGAGCAAGCATCCATAACTTTAGTGGAGCCTCGTATCCATCATGTAAGCTCAGTTTGACTGGATAAACATTGCTATTCATTTATCACTTATGCTTTGTTTTTAGAGTCGAACTTTTTACCATGAAAAAATACCTGTCGACATTGATGCAACACCTGCCATGAATCTTCGAGCCAAGATTGTTGGTCCAGGAGGTTCGTACATGAAACACATTCAACAAGAGACTAGCACTCGTGTTCAATTGCGAGGTCATGGATCTGGATTTACCGAAGCATCTACGGGACAGGAAGCAGACGAGCCCATGTTTGTTAATATCAGGTAAACTCTTTTAAGCGTGTACATGACTGCATGTTGCATTATAGATATACTGCAGGTCTGACCCTATTGAATTGAGTTTAGTGGGAGTATTGAAAAGGATGTTCAATCTGCCAAGCAGCTCTGTGAAGATCTACTAGATACAGTTCGAAAAGATGTCGAGCAACTTAAACAGCGATATCATCCACCACAACACCAACACAAGATCTCAGCCGGAGCATCGACTCATGCTCCGTATCAAACACCATATGCTTCTGCACTACATCCACCGCCATCAACCTCACTCTCAACAACAACACCTCAAGCCGCGCCATATAATCATTATGTTGTTGGGCCGCCAGCACCTCCTGGGTATCCGCCCATCTATCCTTATTATGGTGGGTATTACGGATACCCACCACCTCCTCCTCCACCTTTTGGCTTTGCTCCACCACCTCCACTTCCGAAATCCCCACCACCACCACCACCATCCTAACACTCCAAATAAAATATAGTTCAAATCCAAATCCCAGTTATTATCTAGGCATTCACTACCCATACCGCTGGTGACCTTTAACTGAAACTGACTCGGACAAACATGAATTCAATTTCTCAGTTTCCAACTTACTCAATACAACACAAAACGTGAATCTACCGCACATACAACACTACGTTCCTTCCATTCACCAAATAGTTTAAAGTCGGTTTCGTGTAATGAAGAGTTCATGTTGAAGATGTTTTATTGTGAATAGGGCTGTACATCAAAACTATTCATTGACGGAACGCTGTTTGGAATACATGGTAATACAACTGTTTAATCTTTACACTAAAAAGGATTCAACCAGACAGTAATCGTGACATTGAAACTTAATCAAACGTTGATTTATTTGCAAAAATATCCAGCTCTTTGTACAAAGAGATTCGACTGCAAGATGATACAGAAAGGTGTTTCATTTTACGTGAATACAGCTGTAAATGCAGTCGAAATGCAAGGCGTAAACATCAAATTTGAATAAAATAAAAGGTAATCAATAGAAAAGGCTAAAGGTTTATGCTTGTCAATACTAGTGTTGTGGCGAATCAGCAGAATGATCGAGCATAGTCCCATAGACTCTGCCATGTTGGTTGGCGCAATAGCATCACACTGACATGAACTTGTTCACCACGGATCATGGCTTGTTTTAGCGAATCGTCTAAACCACTTGCTAGAATATCGGCGAAACCTTCAATCTTGTCTTTGGGCACCATCTTTAGTAGCGTTGCAAACTCATGTGTGCGCAATGACTTTGCAGAAGCAGTTGGGAGGTAATTAGTAGTTTGGGTATCATTTTGGGGTTGGTCGTTGCAGGTGCCAATTTTACTATTGACGGAGGGTTCAGCGGATAGCAAGGTGGTTGGCGTTTTAAAATTGAGTTTAGGCAAACGAATTTTAATGGATGCAGGTTTTTGTTGTAAATCGGATTGTAGCGAGGGAGACGGATTGAGGGATGACTCCGAGGTTGTGGGAGAAACCATTTTGGATTCGATTGATGGCGGTATTGCTACTTCAGCAAGTGCGGGAGTGTTGGGGACGGTAGCAACAAACAGCGATGGGGTGGTGGAAAGCGACCCAGATTCAGGAGGAGAAGGTGGTTTAATAACCGACTCTCGTCGTAGCTTTTGCTTTTTTTGCTTTTTACGAGCCACGTCACGATATGACGAATTGTCGACCAAAGGAGAATCTATAATGGTACAAGACAATCTCTTGGCGTCCTGACACATGTCAATTGAGTCAGGTTCAGACTTTATCTCATTTTGAGAGATAAGGGGAGTTGACACGACATCCTCCATCAACGACATAGGCTCTTCACATAGTGACGGTGTAACAGCTTGTATCACATTGCACGTGGATTGTAGCTCGGTAGTTGGTGAAAAAAGAGAGTGTGTTGAAAAGGTAGACATGTCGGAAAGACTCATTGGAGTGGAAGGAAGATGTTGGTTGGGCAAGGGGCGACGACGGCGTTGGGTTTTCATGGTTGAAATAGCGACAAAAGAACGGGTCAAGTAATCTATAGGCAACAGCGAGGCACGGTCAGGGTTTGAAAGTTTCGAGTCAAGCGAAAATGGCTGCTGCAACAAAGAGCAGCTAGCTTCAGTAGAGACAGAAGACAGGTCAGGCTGTTTAGCAATGTTTGGGTTGGAGAATTGCTGTTCCGCCCCTTCAACCATTGTTAATGAAGTATGTGGACATATCGGACTCGGTGACGCGTCACCTGCAGCTTCCGCTAGAGTATTCTTCTTGGCTCTGATGCTTGCATTTGGTATAACTGTATGACGAGTGCCGCTACTGCGGGTAAGTCTTTCGTTGGGCTTGCTCGCGTTCTCCTTGGGCGAGAGCTCGGCCATACTGCAAGGCGAATCAACTCGAGTTTCTGGTAGTTCTGTAATGCCTTCACAATCAAGCGATTTGGATGGTGCCGAGGCTCGACGTTGGTGTTTGGTTCTGCGTAGACGAGAGGGCAGTGCACTGTCTGGTGTTGCTCCAACAGAAGCCGTGCGTGAGACGACTGGTTGTTGAGGTAGTGGAGAGACACTCTCCCAGTCATCTACTGGTGGTGTACTCGGAGTGCTCGTTTGTGCTGATGACAGGGTACCCGGGTCTTCTGACAGCAATGGGGTAGTACTTGCAGCAGATACAGAGTCAGAAGCTACTGTTGGTTTCGGTAAATTACCAGTAGATCGACGTTGGGGCTTCAAGGGAGCACATAGAGGATGCCGAAGCTGCTTTGTCTGCAGAATCTTTCCTCTCCTCCACTTGACACCACATGAGTTACACAGATTCGTATATATACCTGGTCCATGTCGCCACATGGGTGTACTAGTGGCTCCGCAGTAATTGCATTTACGATTGGGTGTACCACCATGACCTGATTTCAACGGCGAGATAGATTGTGGTTTGTCAAGCGATGTCGACTTGTTTTCTTTGGCTGAAACAGCAGTTGTATGGGAAAGAGTAGATAAAGCTTCAGTATGGGTAGATAAAGAAGGTGAGGATGAAATAGGAGTATCAGAAGAATGCAGAGAGTGTTTATGCGAAGATGAGGTGACGTCTATGTATGAGCACAGAGCAGTTTGTGAAGGGTCTGTTGCATCGCCAAGCAAAGTAGACAATGGTTGATTTGAAGACTTTAATGGAGCACATCGAGACGAAGAGTTTGGGGTTGACGTCAAAGATGGAGCGGGGTTCATGTCGGGCAAGACAAAGGGAAAGCACATGTCCATATCCATAGTCTCAGCTTGAGTATTAATATCGTGAGATGACAGACCTGACACTACTGCCTTCTCATTGATTGAAGGAGAGTATTCGCCCATGGTTGGCCTAACCCTGACAACTTTGGATACTTCGATATCAACTGATATAGAAAAAGCGAGGGAAATATTATTAATACCGATATCGCTATTTTTGTAATAGTGATCAGCTGACACTGCGCAATACAATTAGCAAAACAATGCCAAGTAAGCAAAGGTTCTGCTTGATGGTAACGACGGATTGTCAGCTAGTGTTTTGGCTATTTGATATACAATGGCCAATATACAACTCAAAGTATGGCTGGATTGAATGTATACATTGGATGTATACATCCAATTTCAAATTTTAATGGCAACACTGGCCATATCAACCTCGGGTTTAGAATAGCATGTTCATCTGGGCGTCACTGCATAATCTGGCCATCGAACAATCTTGTATTTAATTGAATATAAACTCCTTGATTTAACAATCCCTTGGTCTCGACAGTCTCAATATGCAGCACTACAGCCAAGGGGATTACGAGGCAATGTTCTTTTACTTTGCTTACATTTCCATGGCCCTACTCCATTCGAGCAAGTGTCAGCACGACCAATCGTCATATTGACAATAGAGGCAGTGTAAGACAGTGTAGGGAGAGTATACCAAATTAAAGGAATTTGCAACAGCCAGCTAAACCGGCAACTAAGCATCACCGGCCACTTTCACTTAGCACTCTATTACATAAGCATATCTTGGCTTGTTTGAAAGACTTGTATGGTTTATATCAATTTCTTATTCAAGCTTGTTTCCAAATATTATTGCTTTAGCAAATCAGCCAGTGATTGTGTCCAACACGAAAGAGTGTTGGGATCGGCCATAGCGGCCTGCTTTAAAAAAGCCGTTTCCTAAAGCAATCACGAGATAGCAGAGATTCAGTGGTCGTTAGGGTAGCCCTTCTTACCAGAGTGCATCGTATCAGTACATATTAAAATTTAAAGCACATATGCTTACCAATAGCTGTTTTGGATGTGGTCGCTGTCTTGGATCCTTGATTAGGCTAAAAACAATATACAAACAAAGTCGAGCGGTAAGTCATTAAAGTCTCACAAAAGCATAAAGCAGGACCCTTTAATCATCAACTCGAATACACTCTTGAAAGGTCAAATTCAAATATCCAGTCCAGTGCCATCACTACTAGCTGCGCAGGCGATCCATCTGCAGCATGCATAACAGTGGCAAAATTCATATCTAAACCTACCACAACGAAGTAAATTCACAAAGCTCGGGCGAAAACCCTCCGACTGGCAAGGTGGGCGAAGGCTCCTGTTCGATATACTGGAGCAAATCAAAGATAGATGGCAATGCTTCTGCTGGAATGGGAAATCTGCCCAAAGCAAGCTCCATTACGGTCAATCCAAGTGACCATACGTCTGAAGATGGTGTGCATGATGTCCCTTCGCGTACCCGTTCCGGCTGTTGTATTGATTCATTTATCAACAATATACTCCGGTTAATTCAAATACGCTCAAACGGTGGGATAAAAACAACGATGCCAATACAGATTGAATTAAATCAGTCAACAATTACGGCTATATTACGTGAAATGTAACACCGAGTAAGGGTATCAAAGTGCATGATAAACAGCCGTCTCATGCTTGATTGGTTCCAGCTCATATCAGATTGGCCATACAAGGTTGTTTGCATCAATCAATCCCACACTTGTTCAATCTCCAATTGCTTTCTACAAAACGGACATTGGGTGATTGATTGGAAACAACAGCTGCATTTTTCAAATATGCAATCTCTGCTTTCTTAGATTAGAGCGTGAACATATCCGAGATTAGGATAACAAAATGGGGTTGTAGAGTTGGGTGAATCAATCTGATTGATCGTACAATGTACGGTTATACCAAATGAAAAGACAACTCAAAACTATAGTTTGTCATATGATGGACGTTGCTTTAAAGAATTGAAAAGGTCAAGTCAATCTTCAGTGGGGATTATAACAAATGCTTAGGCATTGTCTATTCCAAAGCAGACTAGTCGATACAGGATACAAAAGGGTTCCATTTTACATGAATACAGTTGTAGAACGTTGTCACAAGCATTGCAGCTGGAAACTTACTGCGAGGTATCCCTGAGTTCCGGTAAACGTAGCCGCTTGAGTCCCATTCGACAACTCTTTGCTTACACCAAAATCAGCAATCTTGATATCCCCATTTGAGTTGACCAGTATATTGCTTGGTTTAATATCCCGATGCACAATCTTGTGGTTTTCGTATAAATAGATTAAACCTTCAAGAATACGCAGTGTGACTTGTGCAATTATAGGTTCGGAAAGCACTCCTGTTTTTCGATACACTCTTTCGAGTGTGCCCATGTCCATGTATTCCATCATGATATTGATATCACCTTGGTCCAAAAATGCTCCATAAAAGGTTACAACCCGTGGTGATCTACATAGACGAAGAATACGGAGCTCACGAAGAATTTGTTTTTCAAGTTTATCTTGTCCGCATTGCTCAAACACACTCATTTTGATCACCTAGTCATTAGTCAAGCAAATAAGTATATATTGGTCTTGTCAAACTTGGACGTCTGAATGGATTTAGCATGGTACTTACTTTGCGAGCCATCAACATTCCTGTTGGAATATGCTTGACTTTGCTTACTACACCTCCACTGCCTGAACCAAGCACAATATCTGTAACCAGATCTTCTGCACAGAATTTAATCTTGGAGTCCTTTGAAATGCTATCTACATTGATTCTGCGAGGAACTTCGGGTGTTTGTAGGCTTACATCAATCAATGACCCGATAGAGTTGGTTTTTTTAAATAAGTCGATAGGAGGTGCTGGACCGAGTCGCTTTCTGCCAGTAAGCGGTGAAGCCGTAAATGCCGGTTGCTGCAGTTGCTGCATCGCTGATTATGACTGTTTTGATTGGTGATTTGAATATCTGACTGTTTTAGGAAATACCTAGTGTATTGAGCTAAGAATTTAGAGTGAGCGATATCGACTATATAAATACTAGAATGTATTGTTGACTTGCCTAGAGTTGGTGCGAGGTGTTGAAACCCAAGAGTGGCGGCTCTGCAAGATATATATATGACATGCTATGTCATTGACTCTTGATCGCTCCATGATACAAGCTTCTCCCATGCTTAAATCAAGACTCCACACATGACAGCAACTCGTGACGCGAATGGATAGCATATTTCTATATTTGATTGTGGCTAGATCCACATAAAGTATTGTTTGCGTGACACCCCTTCAATGATGAAGCAGATGGGATGGATATCCACACAATCTACATATATACCTGGCCAGCTGCTTTATTAACTCATTCCTTACCATCTTGGTTAGTAGACGATTGCACCGGTTTTAAAATGGACAGACAATTGGCTAAATCACTAGAGTCGATGCAATTTATTGACATGCTCAAAGCTTCAAGTCTAGCTACATTTTAGATAGTCTACAATCTCAATCTGTTCAATGCTGTTATCATGCATTACATGCTTACTGCCATCAGACTTTCGATTAGAATGTAAAATACTGTCATGATGGGGCAAATCTATATGATTTGAACTGTCTATGGATCTAGAAGTTTGCTCAAAATCAACCAATACATCTGCACGGGGACGGGATGCCAACCGCTTCATCGTATATTGAATAGGTGTTTCTTCATCCTCCTCATCTTGGGGTGGGTTGACTGGTAGAAGGGATAATGCATCTGAAATGGCCTGATAGGACTTTACCCCAGCAAACTCATCCATACATTGAACGCCATCATCTGCATCTGCATGTGCTTTTGTATACGTAGAGTAGGGCTTGGATTGAGACACTGAACTAGTCAAAGTATGTTTTTGAGGGGATGTTGATTCGTTGCCATTCACAACCACAAGCTCGCGTGATGATACTATCCGTTTAACAAGAAGCGTATTCAATGTCGGATGAGAGTGAGCAGTGTTGAGTGACAGGGTTGGAGGCACAGATTCGACAGGTTGAAACAAAGTGTGAGTGGTATTGGAGGTCTTTTCAGTTGAAGGTGCTGTTGATCGAAGTTGATGTTCCAAGGATTGTAATGGGTCTTGTGATGTGGTTCCATTTGCAAAACCTTGATTTGCTGTCATTGGAACTACCACGCCAAACCGTTTCGGACAAGATTTGGCTCCGTGGATTATAGCCAGCTTTGTCTCAAAAGAGACCACAGGTGAATTGCTAGCTGATGTGGATTTTATTGCAGGGTGAATCACAGGCTGCAACTGTACTGGTCCGACAGGAATGGATTCCGATTCCAATTCTGACGATGATCTCGCCAATCGTGAACCAAATAAACTTCCATATTTTGCCGTTTTGGTGATATTGGCCATATTTGAATTATGCGGTTGACTGTTTTGGTATTGGCTAGAGTCGGCAGATCCTGAATCGGCACTGTTTACCTGGAATGTCCGCACTGAAGTGTGCGCTGATTTGATTTTGGATCCAGAATGGTTGCTGGCGACAGTGACTTCTCGCTGTATTTGGCCACCTTTTTCAGATATCAGTGTGCTCATGTCAACCAATCTACTGCTATGTGAAAGTGATACCTATACGTTTAATTAGCCATTGATTGTATATTTGGTAACAATGCATTCAGATCTCTGTCAAATTGATGACACCTACAATTTGATGAGAATCGAACGAATCTAGAGCAGTCAATTGATATTTATCTTTGAATTCTAATGGAAGCATGCAAATCCCGCTCGATAATGCCCATGTCAATCCTTTTTCTTGAAGCAGGGAGTTCACTCGATTGGATTTATTTGCAGGATATTGCATATTTCTATTCTGTGCATCGTCTGTTTTTTCAGATGCCGTCAATAGATTAAGTTTTGACTCTGGTTCACTCGGATTTAAATGATGCATGTCAACAACCTGGTCGGGTATCGCCATGGACATGCTCCACGTATCCTTTGAAGCCACTGAAGTGTTCAGAAATGAATCTGAGAGTATAAATGGGTTTAGCATAGTCAAAGAATCTGATTTTTTTTGGTCATGCAATGATTGGGTTTGTGCGACTGACGCCATATGAACCGATTCATCACTAGTCTTGCTGGTGGTAATCACCACCTGATGTGTGGGTGTTGGGTCATGTGTGGTAGATGGAGCATTTGTGGGTTGACTTGATTGATTTTCTGATTGTGTAGCTGGTTTACATTTTATGCTTAGTATTGAATGGTTAGATTCGGATCGGGGCAATCCACCAATGACACATAATCGCTGACTTCTTGAGAGTCGGGGTGATATTTCACTGATGCTTCCAGTGGCCTGATTGAAATGGTATGCTTCGGACAGGTCCACAAACTGTTTGATTACAATTATGAAATTCAATTGTATCAACAAGACGATAGTTAGTATCCAAGATCGCGAAAGACATTCGCAAGACTAAACAGGACAATGCCAGCGACAGATATTTGCTCAAATACACCAATAATTTGTTTCAATTCGTACTACTGTACTTACTATTCTTTCAGCACTCTCATGCTTGTTTTTTGCTGGATGACTGACAAAGAGCATTTCTCGATTTACGTCCAGTGCTTTATCCTTGCTGGGCAATTGAGTAGTTGACAAAAGGGTCTTCAAAGGGTCTTTAAATTGTATTGTATTTTGATCTAATAACCTGCTTGTAGGAAGGATGCTGGCGTATTTATTGTGTTTATAAGTATACTTATCTGGGTATACAGATACGTTACGAAGGTGAGATGAATGGCAACCCATATGCTGGCTAGTATATATATGATATAAATATATCCGTTGGTGTACTGTAGCAGTGGACTAGATTTACAGTCGTATTCACGTAGAATGTAACACTTGTATTTCTCTTGCAATGACTATTTTGCTTTTGAATAAAAATGATTAAATATTCATTATGCTTTCCTAGTAAAATTGGCTGCATTGCCTCTTCAATTGACATTCGACTTTTGCCCAGTGTGCGGAATCACATGCCGTACAAAACCATTTTTATTCAATTGCCAGCAGAGTTTGAAAAATGATATGAACCTCTACCTCACAACACTGTCTTTTTGAATGGTTGGCAGATCATGTCGAATCAGTAAATTTGATGAAAACTATCATTTCGTGGCTGTTTATTAAAGTTCCAAAACTAGCCCAAAGTGCTGCATATTGACCTTGTCATGTGAATCACACCAATTCGTTAATCGGCTGCCAAAACCGCTGCAGAAAGAGAGTCTTGGATCCACGTAGGCGGTGCCAAAGGGCACGACACTTCGATAATGCTTCTGATTGGATACGATCCAGTGATTCCGCTTGGTTTAAAGACTGTATTATGTCGTGATCCAGATACTACTGGCTTTGCCTCTGCTTTGAGTTCGCCCCCTTTTGGCGGTTCGTAGCTGGGATATGGGTTAATGGTGTTATTGCAGCAGGATGTGGGCTTGAATGGAATTGTGGGAAGGAATGCCTTTTTGATTGGCCGAGACATTGCTCCGTGGCCAGCTTCCGAGTATTCTAAAAATCATAATCATACTGATTGAGACATTGCATTCTAGAATATTCAATTGTGGCCCATGCTATTTGTGAACATTGACCTACTTTCATCACTGGATCCAGAAAGACCCGCAAACGCATTAAAAAACTCATGGTTGATACTCGAAGAAACAAATGGACGTTCACCAATCATCTTTTTTTTGTTTTCGCTTCGTTCTTGCTAATTTAAGGAATTATCAAAAAGTTTAATCTCTCAATCGTCGCTGAAGAAAAGTAAAGCAAGAGTATCTTGAAGGAAAATAAAATACAGGCACCTTGTCAAGTTTTTCACTGCGGTCAAACGGATCACTCTCATATTGATATGACTTTCCAATAGTAATATTTGCATATCCTACATAAAACCATTAATAGCAGATTAAATCACAAATCACTTTTACCATTGCTCGACAAGTAGTTTAGATATGCTCCAGATCAATAAAAAGTATTGCAAATGTTTCAAGCATAGTGTGTACCATATCCACTGCCTTGTTTGGGAGGAGCAGTAAGAAAGTTTTTAGGTTCATGAACAGGCTTTTCAACATCCGTTTCTCGATGACTGAGTGGTAGATCAAATCCTTTGGTATCCAATGGCCATTGCTGCTCAATTGTACCCCAGTGGCATCCTTTTCCAGATCTATGGGTGATGAATAGAAACAGAGATTTGGTAAATCATTTAGCAATTTCAAACCATTGGAATGCCATAAAGAGAATACATACGGTTTAGGCGGTACACTAGACGGCTTAAAAGGCACATTTGTAATATTTCTCTCTTTTGCCTGAATTCGCCATCTGCGACGCAATACTACCAGATCTGTATATGGCTCATTCTAACAAGATCGAGTAAGATATCAATATTGAAAACGTGGTCATCTATTCGGCAAACATGACCATTCTTGTATGATATTTTATGACCTACTTCAAACAATCGAATGTACTCCTTGTCAAAATATGCATCCTTTGTATCTTGACCACGTTTTGCTGGAGCAGTCAAGAATTGTTTTCCCTTTGTACGGTAGTCGAGTGCCGATGCTAGTAAATTGAAAAATAAGTAGCAGGCATAAAAAACCGCATATTATTAAAACGGCACATGCTGTGTTGATTGCATTTCCAGATTAAGCAGATTCCATTACACATTGTAGATTCTCAAACAGTTGGTATTGAAAATGCCATGACTCTTACAACGGCGTATTTTAAAGTTGCTGATATTTGTATTTTTAGAATACAGAGCAGGATAGACTTTACCTTGCTTTTTACTGTTGTATGACTCTCCGCTAGATACATATTGAGGTTCACTGAACAGACCCATACGAGTGAGATCCGATCGCCCATATTTCACTCCAATATCACCCGATGTACTCTTCTTTCCCTTTGACATTTTTAGTTGATATTTTCAGTTGTCAATCGTCAAGATGTTGATGAAGGACCAATGTGGGTGGATGTATTTTGTTTGGTCAAGAAACATAATGGTGAGATTTCGTGTTGTAGAAGACTGTTTCAAGAAAAATGAAATTTAAACTTGAATAATACCACACTGGTAAACATGATGCAATTGTTAGATTGATATAATCGTATACTTGACGCTTGTCACCCACATCTCGCCAATACTAACCCTGCATTTTACGCACCCACTTTAGTATTCAACTACAATTAAACATAACTCGTGCAAGCTAAGATTATAGTTTTTCTAAATAAGAGATGGCTTGTAATAAGCAATATTACAGCAAAATGAAATAGCAGTCTTGAATTCAACCAGTGTCAGCTCTGTTCATATATTTCCTGCTTTGGAATCCATGCTTGACTGTATTGACATCCAAAAAGCTAAATCTGGCCTGAGGGTGACAATCGTAGACTTTTGTGTTGCCAAATATTTCCGACAATTTTATAATCAACATGACGCTGTTGAGTTTCTTTGGCAACCTGTTTACTGCATATGGGCCGGCAGTTATGCTGATGCTCATGTACATAGGACCTAGTGCCCGTCTAATGATGATGTCTCTCTCCAGGTACAAATCTCGTTTAAAAGTCATGGCCCAAACCAATACTAATTGAATCTTGTCACTACTGAATGGTACCAAGTTTGTCCACTTGCCTGTGAACTCTAATCCTTATTGAATTTGATATCTACATTTAGCGGGTTTGTTTGGCTGCTGTCGATTCTAGTTGCAGCAATCATAGCACACTTTTTACCCAATTTAAGCAGCAATAGCTGGCAGATGGTTGTCATGAGCTCATGCATACAGGAAGTCAGCAGAGTTGCTACATTTTATTTGTTCAAGTAAGCCGAGCTGCTCCACTTTTGATTATACATTGCTGTGGGTATGAATACCTACTATTCAAAGAAATGCCATCGTGTGCACAAATGATTCTAATCAACTTGCATAATCGTATGATTTGTGAATGTCCTCTTGTGGATTAAACTTTTCTGCAACTATTGCACTATATATTGGGATATGATATAGATATGCAGACTCGGTGCTTATTCTGATTTCATCTGATCCAACTACGCCGTTTAATCGGGTGCATCATTCAGTAGCTGCTGGATTTGGAATTGGGATGATGAGTGGAATGGTGAGCTTTATTACTCCGCTCTTTGAATCAATATCTCCTGGCATCATGGTCTGCAGCTCATGTCCTGGAACAGATATTTTTTTTATTGGAGGTAATGTATTCCTGTTGGTAACATTAGTTTATTTTGTTTCAGAAATTAACAGTTTAATTTTACAGCAATCACTACTTCGCTGTTTATATTTCTACACATCATGTGGAATGTTGTTGTATTTGATGGATGGTACAAGGGCCAATGGTATCAGTTTATATGGGTGATGCTGTCTCATTTGGGTGCATCCCTTGCAGTACGTATACACCTGTTTTATATGATGTTTCCAAGTCAGATCTCTAACCCGATATTATTTGTATGGCAGACACTTTGGATTCCATCCAATGTATCTGGTGGATGCATTTACTCGATAGCGGTTCAGCTGGGAATTTTAGCTATTAATGCAGCGTGTATAGTATGGATTGTGAATAGCAAACTCAAGTCTAAACAGAATTGATCAGTATTGAATCTGGCATAATCCCGTGTCGCTGTTGTGAAGGACAGATTAGACTATTTTTAATTTTAGACATGAATTTTCTTATTAAAACTTGTGAGTTGAATGCAGAGCATCAGATTGCTAGTGAGAGATTGGCTGCATCCTGATCATCTTTGAGTTGGGCAAGTAGTAATTCCAAAACTTGCTTGTCCATTGCAATCTTTGAGATTAAATCTCGGACCCGAGTCGAGTCCATTGCACTTGCCACTCCGCTTTGGCTGTCTACACTTTTACGCAGAGCGTCCACTTCAACCTCCAATGCTTGCTCGTGACTTTTAACGTACGCGGCCATGCCTTCAATCTCTTCCTTTGCAACGCAGAGCTCTTTAAGGCGTTGAGATGCCATCTGACTTTCTTTGTGGGCCGCAGAAGCGTCAAGTTCAAGCTGTACCAACTCCATCTGAAGTTCGTTGATATCTTTATTTGCACTCGCACCTACATCTCTTACATTAACTGCGATAAAGTACAGTCGATACAATACGTGTGTTGCAATCCATGTTAGATCCAAGTTGATTCAAGCAAGTCAACCCTTTGCAAACCAGTGTGGATGGAATGAATAAAAACAAAACTACCTGATGGACGGATATACAGCGATGAAGCAATTTGGTTCTGCAGTTATATTACACGGATGGATAGTCGAGATTAATGTGCAAGTTCCTTTTAAGCTGGTCTTGTAGATGAAATGCACATACCTCTTTTAAAAACTCTTCCTTGATATTGAGTGGCAGTCCAACAGGTAAGGGACGACCCCGTCTTCTGGATGTCAATATATGCATAAAATAAATAAACTGGCTCTTGTTGATGCTCTGCTGGTATTTGATATCCACCAGTTGCCATATCTGCAAAAAATCCTCAGTCTGTAACCGAGATTGATGAAATATGGGGTCAAGCTGAGGTACTGGATGATTATTAATAAGCCATTCATATGCATGTTCATGATTGGCAGTTAATAAGAGTTGAAAGGTTTACATTAGACAAGGTAAAGGTATAGCTGAGCATACATGTAATCTCGCAGTCATCGTCTCCATTAGAGCACTTGGAAAACTGAGTTTCATAAGAAAAGCGGTCTGCAGGACTGATGTACCAGTCAAAGTTGGAAGTGTCTGACATAATAATTCTGAATGATTTCAGTCAAGTTGAAAATCATTTACAGCCGTTATTCACGTAAAATGAAAGTGTTTCTTGCTCCAGAATAGACTAGTCGAATACTTGTACTTGTTAAAAATTGAATTGGTTAGACATTCTCAATTTTTTGAAATAATATTCATCGTATGATACAAATTATAGGTTTAAACTGGAATTATTTTCATTTGACACAACCATGCATTGTATGACCATCGGGTTCATATATTGAAATCGACCAAATATTGACTTTGTTGTATTCTGAAATATCGGATACATTCACAATTTAGTTTAAAAGATTGCACGGATCAGGAATGCAACGATATATGCCAGCCACCATAAGAAAGATAATCAACTAGAGTTTAAGGATGTTTGTTGCTCAGTGAATTGAGTGAAAATTATTTCACGATTGACTATCGATTGGCAACTTTAGCGTTTATTTTACGTGACTAGAATAGTAAATAATAGTGTCAAATTGAAAATAGATTGTTCAATCTTGTATGAAAGATGAGTAGACTATACATGAATTAATATAGTGTTTTAGATTTAAATGGTTTATAGATGTCTATGTTAGAGTACGGTGATAGATAGTAAAGCGGTGTATTAATTTATATGCCATTGAAATTACATAAATATATGTATGGGATTGAATATGGCTTGAATCGGACAAGAGCAAAATAGATTGACACGGCAGTTTGTAAGCAATCTAGACAAGGTTCAATTCAGAATAACAAATGATAAACACGTGATTATCGGAGGATTTAGCGAGCAATGATTGGCGTTAGTATTGAAAAAAAAGACGAGCGGTAGTGGAAGACAGCACGAGAGAGACGAGGTATGCGCCTGGCTAGACAGTGTTTGTGATATACAGCATAATCAAGTAACAACACTTTAGTTTGAGCATTTATCTTGAGCTAATCCTTACTAGCACGCAGTCCTGTTTCATGTTTTTGTTTCAAAACCGCGAGTTTGCGCAACGGCAGTTTTCGCACTTTTCCTCCTTTTTTTGCAATCGTCCTTCAAGGTGTGTTGGTTGATTATTCTATAAATGGGTGACTTGTATGTATAGATGGGCCTGTAGATGGACAATGCTTTAAAGACCCACCCTGTTGATTTTGTTTCCTTTCAGCATACATTGGTTTATCACCCGAGTTGCTTGGATAGTACTGGATAGTACTGGACTTACTAGTATGAGCATGGGATGAGTGCATGTTGAATGCTGGCGTTCCCACTCTTCTCTTGTTCATCCTATTGATGGCCTGTATTGATCTGTCCCATTCAATGATGCAATCTATTGTCTACCTTGTTTTTAATGCCATGGACTCTGAACCATGGCATTTGTTTATGGTTCAGATGTCTTGGTGATCTTTTACATTGCCATTGCTGCATATGAATGTCTAGCTATGGTGGTCAGGTTTTGTACCGCCATTTGTGGACTGCTGTCGGCTCTCTAAAAATTCTAATCCCAATACTAGATCCACTAACAGCTTACTGCTATTATCCAGACTCGACACCAAAAAACCGTAACTAAAAATGGCCGAAGAAGAGCATGAACAGTTCGAGTCCACCAGTGCTGGTGCATCACTGACTTACCCCATGCAGGTAAATCACTGATCTGATGCACTTGTGTGTTGTTGTCTAGTCCAATGACTAGTATGCGCCTTTTTATTTCATTAGCTAATGCATGGTTCTGATTGTTGGTATGATAAAATCGTTCTAGTGCTCTGCTCTCCGCAAGAGCGGTTATGTCGTTATCAAGGGACGTCCTTGCAAGATTGTGGACATGTCCACCTCCAAGACTGGAAAGCATGGACACGCCAAGGTCCATCTGGTTGCAGTTGACATCTTCACCAACAAGAAGCTCGAGGATCTGTCTCCCTCCACCCACAACATGGATGTCCCCAATGTTAACAAGACTGAATTCCCTTTGCTTGACATTGATGACGGTTTCCTTTCTCTCATGAAAGACGACGGTTCCACCAAGGATGATGTCAAGATCCCCGATAATGAGATTGGTTCCGGCATCCAGGAGTGCTTTGATGCTGGAAAAGACATTATTGTTACCATTGTCTCTGCAATGGGTGAAGAGCATGCTCTTGCCTTCAAAGAAGCTCCTAAATAAATGGTTTGTTACTTGTTTTGGCGTTTATAAAACTACCAAATGTAATTGAACTGGTGCTTTGTGACGCTGTTCTTGTTTTTGGTTTCTATGCTAGACAGCATATTCTCATTACAAACTTTTTACACTAACGCCTTGTTTTATCCAACTACCAATAGATCTCTCATAATGCAAGGCATTGAAATAGCTAGGGTTCATATCTGATTCTATTGTTCAGCTTTTATCGAGTTTAAACTTGTCTGGAGTTGAATCTTGTTGGATTAACTCTCATTTCCCACTTTGCTTGCATCTACCTCACTCCAATCTTTTTACCTATGATAATGAATATCTACGTTTAAAGCATCATACACATATCATTGACCTTGTAAATAAGAGCTATACTGTTGACATTTCTAAAAGATAAGCTATCCATGACAGCTTGGGAAATACGATAGATTTTCGCATTCCTATCCAAACTGTTAAATCATTGTTTGGAAATGGTTTCAAATATTTACTTTTGGTTTTAAATCGATTTCTCTGGTAGGATGGATGGAGCAATCATGTTTGCTTTATAATAGATAAAGGCTTAGTTTATTCAAAGCTTGAACATAACCCATTAGAGTGAGCCGGTGAAATGACTGATTTGGAAATCGGGATCCTAACAAGATTGAACACAACCCATACACCAAATGCGTTTATATTAGATTCAAGATATTCAAATGTAGATGTACACCACTTACCAGTAAATACAATAGCACTGCTTTGGTGGGGTTCCAGTAAATATGAGCATGTTGATACACTATCCAATCATAACGTCAATACCACGTAGGACTACTAGAACTCGACAATCACTTACCTAGACTCCATATATAGGGCACAAAAAACTTTTGATACTCCGTTTCCTCTTCGTATTGGAATTTGACATCGGGGAATTCTTTTAAATTGCCAGGTGCCCACCGTAACCCAGTTTCATCAATCAGCTTTAAAATATCATCCACTGAAGGAGTACGCAAATCAGCTTCAATCAATCTGCCATGAAAATGTGCAATCACCTACAACCCAGAATCATCCACAAGTCACATACACATGTTTTATAGATTATCATCCCACTCAATACACATCGACTCGGAACATTTGCTCGATTCATAGATACTTACAGTGTCAATATTTTGAATCAATTCGGAAAACCGTGCATGCAATCTGAATTGTGAAAACATGGCACGACGATGTAGTAAAGCATACACTAATTGCTGATTGCTTTTGAGTGTATGGGTCAGCACCGAATTGATAATTTCCAAAAGCAGTGCAATCAGATCACTGTATACTGCTAATTCCATTTCCTGAGTTACATCATGTTCAGTATTCACACCATCATGCTAAACGTAGGTATAAAGTTTGATGAGTGAGCATGCGTTTAAACACGCATATGGTTATAAAAACATCTCGATCGAGGCAAAACCAAATAAATATACTTACGTTGGGCTTGTCCAAAGAAAGTGTTGGCGAGCTTTCAGTCATTTCAGCTTGTTTGGATAATTTGGAGTATTTTTTAGAAATCAACTCATACAGACTAACAGTCAATGATAAAAGTAATAAAGATGGTCAAGTCAGCTCAACTACAAATGATTCGCTATTGTCTGTATGATATACATGCCAAAGCTTTTGAAAATCAACTTACTTGACAAGTCGCTGTGCAACCACCGAATGCATACCAATTATGGTGGACGACATATTGGCTAGAATGGCCAAAGAAGTCGTATGGAAATAAATGTCCCTGTGTCGCGATATATTTGCTTGAATAACTCGTATTAGAATGAGCATTACTAAATCGCCCAGTGTCACAAATCTGATGATGCGTTCAGTAAACCATGCAGGCGGAGATATAGTCTAAACAGAATTCAGATTAGTCAAATGTTTCGAGGTTCCATAGTAATATCATGAAAAATGCTTTTAAACCATTACAGCGTATCATCAAATATACCGGTTTCGCTCAAACACCAATGGAAATTAATGTAGTTATATACTTACCACTTTATGACTGTTTTCATTATGCACGTCGTCTTGAGACAGAATGAGCAGAATTGTCAACAAAATATACAACTGTGAATAGTTGGTCTTTTTTTCAACTGCCTCGTAGATCAAATGCAGTAGGGGAAGCATCTGCAAACACAAGTAAAGAATTAAACCAATCCTCATGATAATCAATGTTGCTTGAGATGGATAACAAATATCAAACATTCTACATGTATATGATACTGTAGTTTCATTTAATAGACTTACCAGTACATCTGGATCTGTTCTAGATAAAACATACATACGAAATTGTCGATTTTTCAACAAAAGCATGTATAAGAGCAAACAGGTTTCATCATCCTGTATATATCTATAGATATGAATATAATAAAAGCATACATAACCGTATTTTATAAAAGCAATGAATAAAAGTGACTGGCTGCATAAATAAATCAAACATGGCCTACTTGATTATTGAGTGATAAATGCTTTTGAAAGGCATTTGCATAGGATTGGTGGACATTTCAGACAAAATGGTTGATGGAGACTGCGATCTTGCTAACAACGTGCAGAATTCCGTTTGTAGTCCATTCACGACAGCGTCAAAATATAAGAATTAGACAATTGATACCAAGAATTGAATCTAGTTCAAACCTGCAAAAATATCAAATATACATACAGCTAGAATCTTCCAAAGCTGCAAACGCCTTGCGGAAATCATTTTCATGCCCACAGGCACCCTGCCCGGCAATTGTCATCAATAGCAAAATACTTTTTTCAGCCAGTGGAGATGATTTGATAAGATGATCCTTTGATGAAAACAGCATTGAGTATGCATTGTAAAAAACACCTGCAACAAAAATATAAATCTTAGCAATCAAATAAATTGGGCAAGACTGCATAAACAAATAGGCTTACCTGCTCGTTGTGCTGGAGGACTCTGCTGGTTAATAAAGTTTTCCAAAAGTCTTCCAAGCATTCCTTTAGAAAAATGGCTAGATTCGATCAGCGCCGCCATTGTATCCCAAATTGAAAAAATTGGTATAAAGTTAAACTTTGAGCCATTGCAAACATCATCAAATAATGAAAACATGGTTGATACCCTAAATTCTGAAGTACGATTTGCAAAAACAAGTCATTCTCTGTTGCTTCTGTATTGCCATGGGTCAGCTGCGTTGACAACAATACAAGCAAAAGATTGATTGTTTCCAAATAAAATTCATAACCCGATGCCGTCCTATTTGTATTGAAAAATAATGAGCCAACACAATATGACCCTTGGGCTGCTTAATGTATATTGAAACATACACTGTATTGGCATAAATAACCACATGAAGCAGTTCCTCCAGTAAAGCTAAACTCCGTTTTCGTTTGTCTGTTTTGATTACCAAAATATCCAAAATCAATCAGATTGACTTTTGATATAAATGCAATTTCACACAATGGAACAAACCTGAGATAACTCTTGGATCAATAGAGATAACAGGCAAATCTGAGCTAGCTGAACTTCTTCTAGCCGGACGACTTGAACTGGGTACATTTAAACCACTTGATGGATTGTCGTTGGTTGGCGAATGAATAGGCAATTGTGGATCAGTGAATAGAATCTGAGACGGACCATTTATATCTGGTGACACGATTCGATCATCTGCACATTAGCAGTTTTACGTGAATTGTGCCGAGATACTGTGAGCTAAATGAAATCATTGAACCATTACACTAAAAGATAAAGCACTTACGTTCAAATAGCTCAAGAACCTGGCGTTTGGATAATGTTTCAACAAAATGCTTGGTATAAATACGTACTGCAAACATAGCATTATGAGCTTCTACTGGCCAATCTCTACATCCAGACAAGATACCAAACTATCTGTTAGCTCCAGGTTCTAGCTGTCATTGAAAGTAATGTATTACATTCACCCACTTAAATTACCCTTCGTATGCAAGATTGCGCATCTGCTTTAACTTGGTCAATAAATACAGCACCAGCGTGTTGAAATTGAAGTGGGTATGATTGTTGTTACCTATACTCGATCAAAGCACATTGGATTAAAACTAAACTTTCAAAATCCAAGTATTGCGAGTTGTGCATAATTCAAAAGCATATATAACTTTACTCATTTTGCAGGCGATTTCTATTGCAGCACTATCCAGATCGAATGCGTCCTGACTAAAAACAAGGAAATGGGTCAGATCTATAAAAGTGCTCAAGTGTGCCATAATATACTCAGTACATGCTTACGCTGTGGAGATGGGTGGGATTGAAGACTGCAACAACTGTTTCCACACCAAAGATTTTTCAAATGGAGAGTGCGCTGATTCAGAAATATCCTCGAGTGCAGCAAAGAAAGAAGAAGTAGCGAATTTATTGGCAGACGGAGCCTTTGTGATTAAATCTACAGAAAAGGAAATGCCAGGAATAGCAGTGGATACGACTGCAGAGTCGGATGACTTGATTGCTGTAGTAGATGACGCTCTATGCAGTTGAGGGTGTGAATGAAGGGATCTGGTGTGATGAGCAGATTGTGACAGACTTTGATGAGTGTTGATGGTAGAAACAGTTGATAGAGTTTCCGATACAAGTTGAGTTGGTTTCGAGATATCGAAAGACGCTCCTGTCTTGGACTGATTCTGGACACCAAGAGCAGTAACAAGACCAGAGTTTGTATTGGCTATTGAAGTGAGTAAAGCAGCAGTTTGGTCTGGAGAAGAACAAGCAAGATGACTGTTGGGTTTAGTTTGTTCTGTCTGTTGCATTGCTCTATTAGGATACGAACGAGCACTTGGTCAACAACAAATGCTTCAAGATGTTCCTGCAGTTGAAGACCAAAATGGTTATTGAATGGCTGATAAATCTGAATAAGACTGACTGTTGTATGTCAGAATATACACGACAAGACTATTACTAGATGCTTGTGGCAAGTTATGGAAAGTCTAAGTCTTGAACCGACACGATGGTATAAACTGCCGAATATTTAAAACTGCAAATCTCATAAAATGATAATTCACTCGATTTACTGTTTTTCAAACTCTTTAGTGATGATTGACAAGCAATCGAAACTGCTGTCTTGATCAGAATGAAGAATTTGGCAGTCTTGCACAATCACCACGTTCGATTGTATTGATAATAATTGGCTATTCACGTTATACTCGATACGCTTTTATTGGCATTTAATGTTCTCGTCAACACTACGTAAAACACAATACTTTGGTAACTGTCAAAACCTGTGCAACTGTACTAGTAAATTGTGCTGAACTTGCTTCCATTCGAGCTATTCCTTCAGTACTCGTGATGATTGGTCGTAGTAGATGATAAGCACTTCCTCTCACCTATACAAACGCATTCATCCAATTTAAATACATTGTTGGGAGTTTCAAACTTTTAATCATGTTATACTTACAATCGAGTTTTCAGGATCATCCATCTTGAATTTGGTTTCCTCCGTTACGTTGTTGTCTGATGTAATATATCCAACAGTGTGTCCTTGATCTTTTATCCGGTAATTAACGTCGTAGACCAACGATCTCCAATCCGTCTGCGTTTGTTATCACATAAAAGTATTAATATCTATTGGTAACAACCCATAACTAGAAATATTTAATCAACACTTACCTCTGGTGGATCCGATGCATCTTTAAATTGAAACACGCATTTTGAGCTTGAAACTAATCTGTTTGATGGACTAGATTTAAATGACATGGATGCAATGCATTGACTAATTCCAATAATAGATTCTTCCTCTGCTGCATGATACTATTTATAAAATATATCGTAATATAGGATTGTAAGGAATGCTAGATGCATTTCAGCATATATACAATAGATGGAACCAACATACCTTGAGAGCCAAGCCTTCTATGTTAACTCCCTTCATAGAATCTGGACCTTGGAAATTAAACCCGTGCTGAGATAAACGCTGTTGATTCAATCAAAAACAATCCGTGAGAATTCAAACTCAGTATATGTAGTATGTCCGAGTAAACATGACATACTTTTAGAAGCAGGGATGGAGGAAACCATTTATTCCGCAGTGATCGTGGAACACTCTCTGATCCACATTGGATCACCATGCATTCTCCTTCGCGAATTTCAATCTTAAGCTTGTTTTGTTTTCCATGAATATACAGTATTGCTCGGTGCACATCGGTAGGATCTAGTCTCCAGTCACAGTATGGAAGCTCTGAATATGTGTTCTAATAGAGTTTAATCACAGTTAAACTTGTTAATCAGCTAATGATCTCAAGCAGATGCCATTCACTTTTGAAAAACAAGTCTTAACTTGAACAACAGCAGTTGGACAAAAATGTGTGGTACGACACTTGACAATCCCTGCTTCCAAATCAATATCATCATCCGTAATGCCTTCATCGTCCCACATTTTATACTCGGCGTTCCAAAACATAACCTTGACAGAATTCCGATCAAGGTTGACATTGGATGGAATTGGAAATGATATCAAAGTCGACCACATTTGTGCATCGTTTGCTGCTTGCGCATCTTCCTCGGTAATTTCTGCTGCGGCTTTTTTGAACGGATATTCAAGTTTCTTTAAATTACCATCTGGCGACAAGACTAGAGTTTTAACAGAGTAAAATAAAAACATGCTGTAGTGAATAAAATAGCAATCACTTTAAACGATTCGCTCAAAATACCCTGTAAGCATGTGCTGATAATCCCAAAAAATTACACGGCATCATCTTGTATTTATCCTACTTTGTCTAATGGTCCACGTATCAACTGTTTTGGGCAAGTCGGGCATTTCTGCCAAATCAAGCATTAAAATGCCTCCAACAAACGATCGATGTTCTTCGTTTTCTTGATTCTCAAACGGCACACCACAGTTTGGTCCCGTCATATGTATCATTCGAATAGACACGTTGGACAATGCAAGAGGTTTAGGAAGACTGGCCGATAAATTGATATCTGTAAATTCAATCAACTTGTGCCTTGAAAATCATTCAGGTTTGCAATATTAAAAAATCATTTTTTTGGTAATTGAATCTGAAATGGCATAGTTTTCAACTACCTAGGATTTTTGGTCAAGTTTCCCCAGATTCCGTATGCAAAATTATCTGTTTTGCCTGACAGTTGAAAATTTTCGTTTGGATCTCTCCAAAAATAATCTGCATGCTGTATTATACAAGGTTATCAACGTTGTAGTGATGAGTCATTGATAGCATCCATCTCAACATTACAAAAGAGTTGTATATATCAATCTAATACCTGCAGAATTTGCTGCGATATGCAGTTCCACTTTGAATCAAGAATTTTTAGCAGAAAATTCATATGCTCATCAAGTCTAACCCAGTTCTTTTCATCACGATTATCTCGAGCAAATGCTCGTTCCTTTTCCAACTGTGCCAACAACTGGTCCCAATATGTAAAATGATATTAAATGGCTGATTTGCAATCTGAATTGTATAATTTAAAATATCAAGTATTTTTTCTTACTGTTTCGGCATTGGGAAGCTGGTTGAATAAGGGAGTTAACGATGGTTCTTCCTCAACGCTGATTTTCTCTTCGGCCCAAAGTCCTAGATACGTATTTACATCTCTTTCACTTTTTGGCTGTGGCAATGTTTCACAGTCCATAAATTGCTTCCACTGAACATTGTTTTATATTCATGCATGTATATTAGAATTGATTTCAAAAACAACTTTAAAAAAGAACATGTACCTCGGCTTCCATTTGAATTTTTGCTAGTATAGAATTCAGCTCATTCCTTTTGAATTCGACAATACGCTGAATTTCTAATGCCTCGTCGTTCAATCGAGATTGCTCCTGGTCATATACGAATTTATGCACATTTAGTTTAGTACTATCACAGTTGTCTATTTTAGAGTCAATGCATGGTGATTATAAACATACTCTATCAAAAAACTGTTCGATTAGTTCACGATTACGCTGCTCTTGTAACTCTCTATCACGACGTTGTTTCTCTTCCGCCAGTCGCTGCTCTATTATTTGATAAATCAGTGACTAATGTCCAATGTAGCCAACCTTGATTACAGTGCATACATAATCACATACCCTCCTCAAGCTGCTGTTTTTTCAGCTCCTCTAGCTCCTTTTCTACATGTTATGATAACCAACGAGGTATGCATGTCAGTTTAACGCGTTGAGAATCAACCATCATAAACTGGACATAAACTCTTGGATGAGTTAGGGAGTGGTTAGATATACAAAAGTATAACAATAAAAGAGTGCAGATGGATACACTGGCTAAAGCTAGACTACGGTAGTCAAGATATGCTCATACCCTTGCTTGTATCCTTTTTTGTCTTTTTCTTTTTTGGACCCATTTCAAATCTTGCAGCTTGTTTATGTTGTATCTACAGTGAAACTTCAATTTCTGTCAAAAGCATTAATGATAGGACGACTCTCATTTACAGTCGTATTCACGTAAAATGAAACGTGTAGTTTATCTGGGTCATTGCCCAGAATATACAATGGTCAACTATTCAACTTCCTACTACAGATTGACTTTAAGCATTTTTAATTTTGGTGTTTGGAATTGCTTGATGCACAAACTCATTTTTTATTATACTTGAGTCAAGCTGTAGTTAGTCTCTTTTGTTGGCCATACATTGCACGATCATTGACATTGTTGGCCAAGACATTTGTGCTCGCAATATCTCGTGTTCAAGTGTTGATGACAATCTATTATACAAAGTTTTGACATAAAAGTAGATATTTATACGTAAAAGAGCATGTTTTGAATGCTAAACCCACTAGAAACTGTTTCTACACGACGATTTAAAAGGACAATTCTGTTCAATAAACTGACAGAAAACATGAGACTGTTTATGCATTTTTAGCTTATTTAATGTTACATTCTACATGAACACGGCGGTGAGATGAGACTATACTTGCAGAATATCGAATGGCTGACACATGTTTTGTAGATTGAATATCAACCATCTGAATCATATTGGCTCGTCAAATACGCCGAGTTAATGTTCAGTTTGCACAAGATTACAACTTACCCAATATAATTCTAGCAATGTATATCCCACCTGGAAAGCGTCGGGAACAGCAGAAACAGAGTCAATCCAAAGACCACCAAGTTGATGCTAAACAGGTGTGGTTGATTCAATGGCAATTATACTTTTAAATAGATATGCAGCTTGACTTGTTTATAAATCTCATCATATGCGGCTTGAGTTGGTAGAATGATTCTGCATCGACTATCAAGCCAACTGAATCGAAATATGCAAAGCATTCACCACTCCAATCTAAAGTGAGTGTTGACAAAGAGCAGGGACAGCCATTGAGTATGCCAATCAAAATGCAGGGATCCATTGATAGCGACAGATGGAACAGAGGTTTACTACTGGATTGCACTGATTCGAAACCAGTCAACTCATCCACCAGTTCAATTCATGATTCTATTCAAAAAAAAGGAACTCGAAGCAGTATTCCTCCCAAAAAGAATGACTTTGGACGAAACAGTTACATATTCAACAGCAAAACTACTGCCCGATCCACAAGTAACTCTAATAGCAGTCATAGTGATGAGGAGGACTGTTCAGGTAATACTCGGCGTACTTTTTCAAGCTTACTAAAACAGTCTGCACACCCAAATCAATCGGTCAAACTATCCTCAGATTTAAGCGCAAATACTCGCTTGGATCGCCAACAGGTAGATGCTGCAACACCATCAGAAAGTGATACAGGCTGTAAAAGTGAATTGGTCAAAGGAGATGTGGTACAGCATACCAAGACATCCAATGCTACAGGATTAGGTCGCTTGACCAACGATTCTGGTATTGAACAACTTCAAGGCAGTTTGGCTAAAATGAGCATATCTACTGTTCCTATTGAACGTAGTACGAGCGCACCAGTATTAGAAAAAACAGGCACATCTGGACAAGGTTCATGGGGTCGCCGATTAACCAGCCGCGCCTCATTCCAATCTCAACATCAGTTACCATTAGGTAATTTAAATGTTTCAACACATCAGTTTATATGTTCAAAGCATATACTGACTGGCTATTTAGATCGAACTGGCTCTGAAACACGAGTTTTGGAAGTTTGCGGTATACCACCTTTCTTCAGGCAGTCTAATATTCAGCGGCTGATGAGCGAGTCGATAAAGCAAAATGTACACATTTCAGTCAAGATGGAGAGTGAAACAAAGGCATTTGTTTTATTTCCAACCTCTACATTGGGTAAATTCATCTAGTCGCACATGATTGATTGAGTCGAGACGGTTTGTTGACTGTTATACCTTTGATTCTACTGTATTATAGCATGTACTGCATATCACAATACCAAGAATCATCCAGAGGTCCAGGTATATAAATGTGTCAAGTAATTATACATGCTAATTGGAATGATACTATTTGGCTAATATTTTTATCAATAGGTCAAACCTTCAATCGAATATACCATTGAATCTCCACGTGCACCAACGTCTGGATCGCTTCGACCTGTCACAACTGATATGACTGCACGACGACTTATTGCAGGTGCGCTGGGTATCCAAACTCCACAAAAATCAAAACAAGGCATGGCTGAAGATCGTCGGAAACTACAGGAGGCTAGAGGTAAATGGATGCTAATCTGTCAGCAATTCGATCAAACTAATATGAGCAATAGTTTAACTGGTTTAAAAAATACTAATTCGACATGTATCTGAATACTCTGTTAGATGCCAAAAAGAGAAATCAATTAGATCATAAAGAAAAGGCCAATCAGAAAACTGGTTGGGATCTGTAGCAGTCGGCACGTGAAACTTACTGACCAGCTTCATCAGTGTGTAATCTGCTAAAGTTGCATTTATAATTACAAATGAATACACATTTATGCCAAAATTTTATTCTTGATGAGTATACTGCATATGACTGATGGAATGAATTAAAGCCAGGTGTCTCGTTTAAAGATGATATGATTAAACGTGTACTACTATTACCGCCGTATTCATGTAAAATAAAACACTTGTCATTTATCTTGGTCATTGTTCCAAAATATACAATGAACTAGAAGTAAACATTTGTTCAATTGTTTTATAAAAATGAGCAGAAATCAGTGAGCTTGACAGGTTTAGGACACAATGCTGACAGTCAATTTGAAGATTAACACTTTTCACAAGACTGGCGGTTTATTATGTATTTTGGCACCTTTATTTATTGACCCATTTATGTGAATACGGCTGTAGCGCCAAGTGCTCAGTCATGATTATTGCTTTGTTTGAAACTGTTGTATACGAATAGATATTGCATCCTTCAATGCAGCATGACGAGCCCACAAATCTTCTTCAGCAAACACCTCATCCTGTGCAATGGTTGCTAATCGTTTGCGCAATCTATCCATGGGAAGCGAGCGACATTGTTCCTAGATATATTATAGGATGAAATCCAATTAGATACAAGCCAAAGTTGTCTCTATAAGAGGAGCAAGCTATAATAATAATATAAACTTTTACATACATCCCGTAAAGTTCCAAATGTGGTAGCACCTTGATCAATTGGTTTGATAAAGAATGAGTAAGTTGCTGCCATGGGCGGGGAGAGTTGCCAGCCAGCAAGAACAACTAGTGGGATTTCATCAGGCTCTAACGCTCGGATAATTCTGCCTAGAACAAGCAAGATTAAGATTAGGCCAAGTTATAACAGTGGATCAAACGGTCATCAAGTTTAGATTGCAAGGTTTCTACTCCGAGACTCGACACTATCGTATACATACGTTGTACAACATCCTGAGACCGTCGACGACCAAGAGCATGTGTTTGAGATGTTGGTTCAGCAACTGGTCGAAAGAACTCTGATTCGTAGAGTGCATATTGAGAAGTCATCTCTCCAGAACCAAGAATCTTCTCTAGTGCAATCTGAATGACATCTCTTGCTCTTGTCCAGGGTCCTATTTGAATATACTGACCAACATCCTTTGTCACGCCGCCTTCTATGGACATGACACTGACCCCAATGGTTACCATTGCTTTATAGTGGTGGGTTTAGGATGGATTGAACAGATGTCGATGGTATGGATTTACAATGTATTCACGTAAAATGAAACACTTTTCTGTGTCTTGCAATGACTGTTTTATTCCAAAATAAACATTAAATATTTGAGAATTGGTTTCTTTATAGAAACGTTTGTGTTTTAAACCTGCGACTTATTCGCGCTCTAGTTGAACCATCTCAGCATTGCAACTCTGCATGTCATACTACTCGTTTTGGAAAAAAAGAGGTGTCAAGAATGTGGGATTGACTGATGAGCATTCGTTCTGTATTTTTGTACAAGAGTCAAGACCAGTAAACTAAAGAATTTAAAAAACAATCCGAGTAGGATAAGCATCAATCAAACATGACTGTTTATTATACCGAGACTTGTTTAGTGCTTTATTTTACGTGAATATGGTTGTATTATGGGTTTCAAAAGTCGGAAAATATACATCTAATATTGGATATCTAATTGTAGGTGGACTCGAATGGTATTTTATAAGCAATGTGTGCTGACACTGACTGCAGAGTCTTGATGTAATAATTTTATTGTATATTCGAATGCACTGATCAGATTTAAACATTTCAATATTGTTGTATTACGGACTCGACCACTCGAGTCTTGTCTATAGACTGCATTCATAATGCGGATTTAAACACATTCATAATGCGGATTTAAATACATTCTAATGCGGATTTAAATATATTCGTTGAGCATCAGTTGGCTTTTGCTGACAAATTTCCGGGTGAAAACCAACAATGGAAAATATTTGAATGCGCAGTTTGACTGCAAAAACATATTATCAACCAAATGGCATCCACAAAGATTGGTAAGAAACAACCATTGATTCATGTTATATATTATAAGCGACTTGAACTAGCCATGAGTATCAATTGGTAATTATGCGAATTGACCCAATTTAACCACGTTGATCTATGTTGGTATCAATTTGATATTATAGCACCTGGTAAAGAGGTTCCTTTGCCCATGCACTATAGCTTGCTTGCAGGTAAATCACTTAAAAACTAATGTCATGTTACTTGTTGATGTGTTACTACGTTTGATACACTCGACTGGGTTGGTAGAAACTGCCAATTCAAACATGATGGCTGTTGTATTTTTCCATCTAGAACTGCAGGGATTGAGCAAAGGCTTATTTGTTGTAATGCATTCTAGATTTTGTCAATCATCTTATTAGCAACTTGTTACCAATAATTTCAATCAGCTCGTTTACTATTACTAACGCCTTTTTGTAATTTGACCCCATTGGTGCATGTAGGCGCTATTGCCGGTGTGACAGAGATCATCACAATGTATCCTCTTGATGGTAAGCATGATGTGATTGTCAGATTGCCTATTTATGCAGAATACCGTATATGCATTTGGGTGATTCAGTTTAGGATCAATTTGATTTGATGATTATGTGAATAATCCATTAACAAGATCTACTTTTATCTATGCGTTAAACACTCAGTCGTCAAGACTAGATTCCAGATCCAAGTAGGAAACTCCGAGTACAAGTCAATTGCCGACTGTTTCAAAAAAATCATCAAGAATGAAGGGTAAACTCATTCTTGGATTTGAAATGTAACTTGTTCAAATGGCTTATTCTTTTCATGACATGCATGGATCGCACATACAGAGCGGGTGCACTATATCGTGGTATTCTTCCACCAATTATGGTCGAAGCTCCCAAACGTGCTATCAAGTTTGGAGCCAATGATGGTTATCGCCAACTATTTATGCATCATTTTGGCTGTAAAGAGTCTCAAGGACTTTCTGTGCTGACTGGTGTCTCTGCTGGTATTACGGAAGCATTCATTGTAACAACTCCTGAGCTGATCAAGATTCGGTAGGATTTATAATATTAGTTTAAACCGTGATGTGACAAACTAATTTTTGTAAAATATCAATATGGTGCTATAGTATGCAGGACAAAGGCAATGTAAGTTGTGTTGACTAGATGTATTGATATGCTTGGAAAACACATTGAGTCAATGGGGTTGTTAAACAAGCCATTATACAGGCAGGAAAGTACAAGAGCAGTGCCGATGTGGTTTCCAAGATCTTAAAAGAAGAAGGAGCTCTTACTTTTGGTCGTGGTCTTGAAGCATCCATGTGGCGTCATGGTACTTGGAATGGCGGTTACTTTGGTGTCATTACGTAAGTTCATGTATTGAATGTAGTGCATAGAATGAGATTTTAAATTCAAGTATTCTGATTTTCAAAACCTTGAAATTTCTTTTAGCTTAATTCGATCAAATCTACCAAAGGCCGAGTCCAAAGAAGGCATTCTACTCAACAACTTTATTGCTGGTGCATTCGGTGGTACGGTCGGAACCATGATCAACGTGGGTAACCATTAAAGGAATTGACTTCATACTGCCTTGTACAAAACAATCTACTAATAATTGCGTTTTTAGACTCCTTTTGATGTTGCAAAGACTCGTATTCAAATCCAAATGACAACACCGCTCAAGTACAACTGGACATTGCCTGCCATTGCCACGATTGCTAAAGAGGAAGGTGTTGGTGCTCTGTACAAGGGATTCATGCCCAAGGTGCTGCGTCTTGGTCCTGGTGGTGGTATTTTGTTGGTGGTTTTTGACTTTGTATCTGGCTACATCCGCAAGTAAGTTGCACTTGTTTCAATTCACAACTCAACCATTATGCAATTAGATGATCTCATTACAAACTTTTGATAAATAATCTAGAAACCTAATGTGAAATCTTGCTATCAAAATGAACACTATTGAGAGTTGAGCTACAAACTAGAACAATCTGTTGGATGAGTTACTTGATGCTCTGATCAAGCATGTCATTACTTTTATAAGCTACATGCATTGTGACAATATTAAAAGATAAAGATGCACAAGGTTGCTTTGAACCCACTTTCCTTACACAAGTGTCATTTATTCAAGCAAATCAATGGAAAGAGGTTGAACAAAAAGGTGGATGGAATAGCCATTGGTCAATCTGGCATAGAAAGTTAAAGATTCGAGTAGGCACAAGTTGATGCAACAAAACATCAGACCAGATATAGACAAACCCGAACAAAATAGCATAGACTGCTATGAGTTAAGAGAAATAAGCTTTTCAACGTTGAGGAACTCCATCAAATTTCTTTTCCATTTACAGGTTCAGCAGCTTCAGCAAAGCGACCACTAAGCGATTTTGGTTTAATCCTATTATATGACAAATGATATACTATCAACACATGATCATACTGCACTATGTGATGTTCAAGCACGATCTTAATCGATGACTTACGAGCTAAGAAGTCGATGACGCTTTGCTTCAACCTTTTGTGTAGCTGGAGACATGATATTATCTGTTGGGCTCTTGAATGTATTGGAACCACTGCTATGATTTCAAGATTCAACATAACGATTAAATGCAATTCAAATGCCAAAGCAGAGGAATTCAAGTTCGGACAATAAAGAGAATACTTTGGGTCATTTGTGCAAATGCAACCCTAGTGAGATGCATGCATACAACTGAAATGGCTTATAAGGCTTTATAAGGTATACATCATCAGATAGGGAATGAAATTGAGGTTATTGGCATGAAGAATAAAATCCAATTGTATCATGAACTATTGAATTCGTTATTTGTCAGACGTTGATGATAATACATTCAAAAACCAACTCAATAAGAAACCGCAAGTCCATTGGTAAACTATATCACATGAAAAGCCAGTATATCCAGTTTCAAACTAGAGGCTTGGACAATATAACAAGCCATGTCCAGTAATGAAGGACAGTTGACTTACTTTGGCTTTTGGAATTTGCCCAGTAGCGGGTTGATTGATTTCTTTGGAAGAGGATGGCCAGAAGGATCTTCAAAAGTACTCATGGGTGGTGTGGTCTTCTTGGTTATATCTTCCTGTTCATGCTGCGAGGTCTGCTGGTGCTGGTCAATCTTGTCCATTTGATATTTTTGTTTGAACAACCCAAAACTTGATATTCAAATAATATTTATGTTCGCGTCAAATGGAATGCTAAATATGAATGTACAGTAAACAGTCTCATCAAATGACGGAGATTGAATTGCTAAACATTGTTTTTACTCTTTACTTGACTGGTCTTTATACTCATTTTTGTATAAAACTGGACGAATCTTTACATTGCGTGATTGGCATGTTAATTGCATTCCCAAAATTGTTCTTTTCAGCTAAGCTGTAAGCTGATCTATGAGATTTATGGTTTGACCAAATAAAAATATTTTATAAATTCAATTTCTATACATTTGGAGGCTTGAATTTTCAAAAATACACAACCCTATTATTGTATGATCCATCGTGTATCAACAACAAAAGCATGTGTTTTACATTCTCATTCATCCATTAATGTAGATATGTCTGCCAATTTAGGGTTAGACTCACGCCCTGTTCGAATTGTTGGGTTTAAACTAACAAATGATGTTTCATGTGATCGAGTCCATTCTTGTAGTTCGACATCAAATGCATTATTGTCAATCTGTACAAAAGACTATTGAACAGCACCATATAAATAGTGAGTTGCAATTGTAAATATGGTTTTTTTAAAATAAACTCACCTTGAGTGATTCTGGTACTACTGAACTCGTTTCATTAATGTCGTCCGTATAAGCCACTCCATAGGTGTACCAAATTGCAGTAATGTTCTTCAGTGTATGAATATGCTCATTTGAAACCAAGGTTGTATCAGCATCAGCAAATCGAGTCCATGTGGTATTGCATGAATCTGGGTTGGTCTCCAAGCATGTTTTGGTTAAAAATCTTCGAATATACACGACTGTCTTGGAGTTATCCAACACAAAAATTGCATAAATGCTGTATAGCAAAGTATAAACATTGTAGTCAGCAACCTTTTATATCAGATGAATTAAATCAGAACAAAAACACTCACTCGAATGGCACTCGTTGAAGTTCGGGAATATTAAATACATTGGCAATATTATTTTCAAGAACTTTGATTTTGGATTGCAACTTTAAAACTGTTTGAAGTATGGATTCATGTATCCCCTCCATATTGGCAATCAGCTCTTCAGATCCCAAATCAGATTGACTTTTTAAAAACTCGACTGTTATCTAATTACCTCATTTCATATATTAGCATCCAATATATTGGTGCTAAAAGTATAATAGTTAAAGTACCTTGATAATGTCAAGCTCGTTCTGACTGTACTTGTCCAGTTGATGACGACACGATTCCAATTCCAAAGCATAAGAAACACGCTGACGCACTAATCCAGATACAAAATCAAAATTTCGACCAAGATATCTATCAATAAATAGCCTTGTGTGTGCAGTGACACACTCTGACTGATTTTCAGCTGGAGAGCGGAAATTGAGTGACATAATCCGTCCAGAGTTGATCATTTCATCACGAGAAAATATATACGCACGCACCACACTCGGATTGGGAGATAGTCCCAGTACCTTGTCTAGTCTATAGTGCAATGCAAGGATTGTAAATTCAATGGTAAAAACCAATTTAGTCAAAAACAGTGCGTTGTGTGAAACTTACGATGTGTAGAGATCCAGCTCAGGGTGAACATTAATGCATGGAGTAAGACTCTCTCCTGTTTGAGTAGGTTCGTCTTGATGCACTTGGATATGGGTCATGCGTCGAAGTGAATGTACTTCGGCCCCCAATGCATGTAAAAAGTATGCCCATGTGTCTTTGATCATAGATACAGTACCGTATTATATGCAACAGCATCATAAGCAGAAACAGTTAAAAATTGACAAAAATCAAACATGTCATTAAGCAATTTAATCTCAATATACCCGAGATATCCTTGGAAAGTTCTAGATTCATAAGACGACGATATGCAATGAATGCCTTTTCAACACATAGAGAGCTTTTGAATGATCGCTTGGATAGCGCCAACCCAGAGAATAGCTTTTCCACTTCCATCAGTACTACCAATATTGTTGAATTCATAACAAACGCCAAAATATAGAATTTAATACATTTACATTGAATCCTATACAATCCGATCCATATTTCCAAATGCAATGCATTCAAATATTAAACCACTTACAGCTACACGCAGACGTTTTATCAAGAGCTGGATCGTATTGATCAGATACTGCACCCCACGAGTCAAATAAACCGGCTTCAAAAATAACTTGTCTTACTGGTGGAAAATGATACAAGGCTTGTGTGATACATCTCAATGGAGACATGCCAACCAATCCATGTAAACCAACCGGCCTTTTTAAATCATCATCGAGGACAATAAATCAGCACCAGTGCGTATAAAAATAATTTTAATCAAACATTACATTGATGCAATCCGAATTCGCTCATGTGGGTTTTGAGGGATGGGTGGTACGATCATACTATTTTCCTGGAATAGCTTCTGCGAGATGGATGGATTTGTATAAAAGGTTTCCTTGGCCCTATTTAACAGACGCAATAGTCAATACTGAAGCATTACAATGTACTTTCAAATCAAATCGACGTGAATCTAGTATGAATTCAAGATTGTTTCAATAGGAATACTGTATGCAGTGTTGGCTCTAGATTGTACTTGCATCTGAAAATCTCTTGCTTTTGCGACATCTTGTTCGGTAATGCTTTCTAATATATGGGCAGATGGGGATGCTGTTTTGGGCAGATGATTGTATGACCAATATCAGATTCATGGACTGTATTTCAGAATCAAAACTGTAAAGTAATCCTGAAAATCCAACATACATATATTCGATCCAAATCCTAGCCATTTTGATTGATAAGCGACCTAGACAATTGAACCATGAATCAAACCAATCCAGTAATGAGTTGATGAATTCTATTTGATTTATAAGCTTTGGTAATGAAACATACTCTCTGGGACTGTTCTGCCTGCTTAGTGGTGGATTTGGAATCAATGGGTTTGAGTTTGAGTGGACTGGGTCTGACATTTCCAGAAAAGTGTAGCTCAACAGCTCGTTCAATCACACCATTTGCCTGATTAAGCGATGCTACGGCTTCTGTTAATGTCAGTCCCATATCCACCAAAGTCATGAGTCTTAAATCCATGATTGGCTGCTGTTTGAAGAATTACAACTGTATTCACGTAGAACGAAACGCTTGTATCCGACTTTGCTTTGGAATGGTTAAATAGTCGTCTTTCTACTACAAATTGACTGCTTATTCAATCGTCATTTTTAATTTTTCCAGATACAACAACCATCATGCAATAATTATTTTTCCTCTTTTAGTAGTCATGCATTGTACATTGTCAGATTCATTTTAATTCAGATAGAGCTCAACTGACCTCAATCCAACTTTGTGTTGTATTTGAATCTCATGTTCACGCTTGGATTCAAATAGCAATCACATAATATTTGTATGAGAGTTAAAGAATGAGCAAGTACCAAGGATGTGGGATTGATTGCAATGTGAACATTCATTTAGCTTTACATAAAAATGAGTAAAAACAATGACCAGTAAACTGGCACTCGTTCTTGAAACGGACTGTTTATCATATATTTTGATACCTTGATTCAGTGTTTCATTTTATAAATAATTGTAGTTTAGTGGGAATCATCCAGTAAATTCAAACTTTTTCTTATCCGAGTCAACTCGTTAGCGGTAGAACTGTACAAGTCTTTTTGAGTCGGCTATTGAGCAAACACTGCATATATTGACTTGAGTATACATTATGGTTGGACCTGAGAGATATGGCCGTGGAGGGAATCGAGGTGGTGGTCGTGGAAGAGACCATGGAGGTAGTGACTACTCTCGTAGAGGTGCTCCTTATTACCGTAAGTCGTTGGTATTCTCCATCAAGCATGAATGGCTATGGGAAACCAGCCGTACTTTATTTTTATTGTCAAGACCCATGTGCAACACTTGTCTACCATTGAGCATCATCTGCTCTTTCTCTTTAGTTGTATAGCTACAATTGCATTGCAGTTTGGATCTGCTTGGCATTGGATGATAGTGTACATTGATGAGATGCTAGGTGTAGTTTAGAGAATTGTAGCTGCTGATCATTTGAAATGTCATTGCCGTATGAGCTATAACCTTCTTGTTAGTTTTCAAGATTCATACACTTGTGAATTGGAATGTGTTGTGATGGCTAGTTTTGCGGCTTATTCACGTCAAGTGGAGCTCTATCTTGCAGTACTATCTTGAAATAGAATGGTTAAATACTCTGTTTTTTCTACTGCAGATTGATTGAATTAAACATGCCCAATTCTTTCAAACACAACGTCCATAATATGATGCTCACAATTAAGCCATAATCCTGAACATGCCCTTTCTTCCCTTTTGGCATAGCCATGCATTGTACGATCATCGTATTCATTCGTTGCAATCCAAATATTGGATTCACTGTTGTCAATCAAATTCTGTTGTATTCTAATCTCATAGATCAGCTTATAGCTTAGCTGAAAAGAACAATTTTGGGAATGCAATTAACATGCCAATCACGCAATGTAAAGATTCGTTCAGTTTTATACAAAAATGAGTATAAAGACCAGTCAAGTAAAGAGTAAAAACAATGTTTAGCAATTCAATCTCCGTCATTTGATGAGACTGACTGTTTACTGTACATTCATATTTAGTATTCCATTTGACGTGAATATGATTGTAATACTATCCATATCTTGTATAGATTCATTCAGTCCATTAGCTGGTTTCCCATGACCCTTGTATCCACTTTGCTTGGTCATTTATCGTTTCTAATATTTACTGTTTAGGTGGTCGAGGTGGTGGCAGAGGTGGATCTTCGTATGCTGGCTATGGTCAAAACAGAAATGAAGGCAATGGCTACAACGAACATTCTCGCGATTATCCTCCAAACAACTACAATAATGCTGATTCTCTAGATAACCATCAATATGATCAAACTGCTCATTACCAGGATCATCAAGGACAGTCTTGGAGACAGCAACCTTATCCAGATCCATCATCGTATCAACAACAGACTTTGATGCAGAACCAGCAGCAGTATGACAATCAGGGTGGGCAGCAGCATACTCAAAGTGGATCTGATGGTCCTGCAGAAGCCACATGCCGTACACTATTTGTTCGCAATGTTTCATTTGATGCTACCGAGTCGGACATTAGACGAGTATTTGAGCCATATGGAGAAATCAAGCTGGTTTTTGATCTTATTTCTCGTCGCGGAATTGTATTTGTGACATATGTGCGTGGTGAATATGCTGCTAGTTTGTATTTTGATTGGTTTTTATTCATTCATCTTGTCAGCACGATCATTTTATTTGCTCTTGTTGTGTATATTGGGGTTTAAAATTATTCCGAGTGAGATTCAATGCAGGTAGTTTTAGTATTACTGCTTATGCAGCTAATAGCATTTTTGCTGTTATTTGATTGCCTTGTCTTTGTTCATGTTCCATTTTATTGAGTGATAGATTGAGTTAGATGGAACTGGACAGAGTGATGCAATAATAGGTTATTAGTTATAGTGCACATCTAGATGAAGCCAATTAGTGTGATTTTCCTTTACGGATATTCCTTTTACTCATTTACTTTAGTTGAACATGCATATCTGACATTCATTTTGGTTTTCTATAAATTTGGTTTGGCATCTACTGGACATTACTGTAAATGACATTCGTTTGCGCTTTTGTTAAATTCGACGCCAATATACGGATGCTTGGGATGATTCTGGATTGGCATGGTTTGCCTGATATCAATGCGATCTGACTCGATATATTATACATTTAAACCTTATACTCTGAATGGAAAAATGTGGTGATATTCGCTTATACCATAGTATGATTTGCGGGCTGCTGAAAGAGCGAGAGTTGCTCTGCAAGAAACCATGTTTGCAGGTCGTCAGGTAATGGATAGTTTTTGGTGTTAAGGTGTTGGCTATTGAGTAGCAATTTTATTTTGTCTGTGATGCCCGTCAATCTGTAAAAAGTGTTTGAACATACTGCAAGAAATACGAGTTTAAAACTTTATTTTTTAAAGCGTCACATGGATGTGGGATCATGGCATCTACTTTAGTTACCATTGTATCGAGTTATAAGTAGACTTATGGATAGTATTTGAATGTTTGATATTTTAGATTGATGTTCATTATTCGCTACCCAAAGCCGAGGAAAAAAATAACGGAGATTGTAAAGCAAATAGTTATCAAGTGAGTTGTAGCATAATGTCTAAACAGTCAACTTTTGGTTTACAATCGCTTGTACTGGTGATTAAGATTGAAATGGGTTGATATTGATGTTTTGAAACTGGTTTGGTTTATCAGGGTACTGTTAAACTTCATTTGCGTGATAGTCGTAGCGAACTGAATGGTCACGACGCTCAAGAGCTATTAGCACGTTTTGGTGATATTAAGAAAGTGCGGGAGGATGCTGATGGGTATGCTATTTTATCGGCCAGATATTTTTGTAGTTTGTTATTGTCGATGCGCTTTTGTAATGGAGTGCGTACTTGCTAATTCAATAGCACATGTAATGCTTACACCATGATAAACGTACTGTAATTTGTTAGTGATCCACTTGTCGAGTTTTGGGATATGCGTAGTGCAGATAGTGCACTGGATTATATTGAAGCGAATCCATCTTTTAAAGGCGGACGCCTTAGTGCCAAAATTGTTTGGGACACTACCAATATTGAGTAAGTTTGTCTAATTCTCAAGCTCTTGCAGATTTAGTATTTAAATTCAACTTTGTTTTTAACATTATACTGCCATGACATAGCGAGAGTTCATTGAAGCCTATTCAGCATGCTGATCCTAGACGTCAAAATCTGTCGCACGGATACGATCGTGACCTTGAGCATCACGGTCGTGGTGGATCTAGTCACCGAGGTGGTCGTGGCGGTAGCTATCATTATGAAGATCGTGGTAGATCTGACGATTTTGGACGTGGTCCGCGTTATAGTGGTGGATATAATGGTGGCCAAGGCTACGATCGAGGAGACGTACAAGCTCCACGACCAGCTGGAGGTTCACTGCTCGGTAAGATGTATCATTCATTGTTGAGATAGATTTCTGCAAATGGTGATACAATAGAGGCTTATCATTTTGTTGATATTTTAAATTGGATGACCTAGATTCGCTTGTGGGAAATACTAATGTGCAGGGACAAGGCGGATCTGGATATGGCCAGTCTTTGTCTACAGCTAGAACTACTCCCTCTCAAACACCTTTGACTCAGTTGCTTCAACCACGTGTAACTACACCTGGGCCTGCTTCACAAAATGCCAGTGCACCAATGGCCGGTGGATCTCAGGATGCAATGAGTTTACTGCGGTTACTTGGCCAGGTACAACAGCAGCAGGCGCAATCTAGACAACAGCCGCCACAGCAAGTGATACCTCAGCAACAAGGCCCACAATCACAGTCTGCCGCCCCAGGTATACAACTTGGCACTCCTGGTGCAACCAGCCAGCTGGCTCATCTACTTGCACTAATTGGACAGGTAATTTATTTGATTTTTGTCGAATCTATTGTGATTGTAAACTGGATTCATGTTTATATTGTATGGTTACATGCTTTCTCTACAGGCTACACCTGGCGCAACGCCAACTGCTATTGGACAGCCATTGCAAACACCTGGAGCACATTCCGTGATTGGAGCTCAGACGCTGCCAGTGTCAAATCAGCAGGCAAATTATGGTTATCCAAACCCATCGCAACATCAGCAGAATCGGCCACCGCATGGTCAGCAACACGCACAAAATTCTAGGCCACATACATCATCTAGTTTGCAAATGCAACCTCACCATGGAGTACAATCGCAACAACAAGATCAGCAACAGCAACTCCAGTCACTTGCTGCAATGCTCCTTCAACAAACTAAGAAATAAATGTGATGGATTTACTAGTTTTATTACCATATTGACATAAAATCAACTACTAAATAGGGGTGTATAGTAAGCCGCAGTCTCATGAAATGATGGGGATCAGTTTACTGGTCACTGTTTTTACTCATTTTTGTGTAAAGCTAAATGAATGTTCACATTGCAATCAATCCCACATCCTTGGTACTTGATCATTCTTCAACTCTCATACAAATATTATGTGATTGGTATGCATAATTGTATGAGATTGCTATTTGAATCCAAGCGCGAACATGAGATTAGAATACAACAAAGATATGAGTAAAGTTATATTGACAACATCAAAACAGTTCCCATATCCAGATTACAATGAATATGGTTTCAGGTTTAGTGATTGTACAATGCATGGTTATGCCAAACGAAAGAAAGGGGCAGATTTAAGATTGTAGTGTGTATCATATGATGGGCACTGTACTTGAAACAAAAATTGAGTGTCTAATCAAGATGTAATAGGAAAGCATCGCGGATATTTAATCATTGTTTATTCCAAAGCAAAGCAAAGTCAATGCGAGTGTTTTATACATGTACATTTTATGCCAACTTTTCCTTATTACATATAGTGAATCTTGGATTTGATTCATCAACATTTACAGCCGTATTCACGTAAAATGAAAGACGTGCAAATCCAACCATCATTGACAAGCCAAGTGATGTTGACAATCCTTCAAGTCATGGGATATCAAGTGGATATCAAATGGATAAAAAAGCGTTGCTTTTATTGAGACGTGATTGAAGCCGTCATTCAATAGGATAAGACAATTGAATGGAAACCAGGACTTTTGAAAGAGGTGGATGTCACGGGTTTACCGGATAGAATGGGATTGAAGCGATGAGTCCTAATCTGGACTTGGGTGGCAATGTTTCGAACAGACGCGTTTTTGGCTTCAACCGCGTGGCAACACCGCGTGGCCATTCTAAAAATTCAGATTTGAACTCGTCCTCAGGAAATATTTTTTTCAAGATTTTTTTATTTACTCGCTCGAGCTTTCTCTTCCTCTACGCATCCTTTCACGACCAAGTTCTTTCAAAGGATTGGTAGGTTTTTATTTTTATTGGGGCGGAGGATATTGGCTGGATAGTTTGTTTTTGTTTGAAAGCACTTGCCAGTGTTGAGAGTGTAGCAATGACTTGTCTGTTCTCAATGCGGTTTTATGATGTTTTATTACTATTGCACTTATTGAATCATGTGAATAGTCTGCTGGCATGATATAATCCATGTTTGTGTAACCTTGACAACTTTTTGTTCGATACTAACTACTGCTGGTTGGTATGCATTTGAATGGGCTTAGACTTACTCGTGAAACTCTTAAAAGTCGAGACACAACTCGAACTGCTTGCCGACCTATAGTTTTTATTTTCCTCCAACAGCACAGGTATGTTTTGTCCTTGATTTGTAGTGCATGTTGGTATCTGAAGTGATGGTTTTTTTGGTTGAATGTGAATTCATCACAAGTGGAAGATGGGCAAACAACGACTTTGACAGTTTGTTTTTGCCGCTGCACTTTCCATTGCCTTTTCGACTGTCAGTTGTACTAATATTACAATATTTTTTGTTTCTACTTGCTGTGCGTCAATTTTTCGGTCTTGTCACGCATTTTTGCTGGAATTATCTGGTGATTGATATACCGTTTTTATGACTGGTCATGCTACTGTCTTGCCAATGCGGATTCCAACGTTGTCGATATGCATAAACATAAATGCCCATATTTGGAACTGCACTGCGTTTTGATGTCTTGCTTTATTCCCATTTATTCCCTACGTGGTTACTGAACAGACAGAATATTTTAAAATGACCAAGGCTCAGATTGCCGATCTCATTAAGCAAGTTACATCCGATACCGCTTCTATCGATGAGCGCCGTGCAGCTGCTAGTGATCTCGCCGGTCTTGTCAAGACCGTCGGTATCTCTGCCGGCCTCATTGATGCTGGGGTTCTTGCATCCCTCAAAACTGCCACTGAAAACAAAAAGTCTGTTAATGCCCGTGAGGGTGCACTTTTTGCTTACAAGGAGCTTGCTGACAAACTTGGCTACCCTGCTGAGCCATACCTCGTTCCTGAGCTCACTTCCATCCTTAATGGCTATGGTGACAAGGTTGCCTCTGTCCGTGAGGCTGCCGAAGTTGCAGCTAGTGCACTAATGGCTCTTCCTGGACGTTTCTCGGTTAAGCTACTCGTGCCTGTTTTGCTAAACAATTTGTCCAACGAAAAGAAATGGCAAACCAAGATTGCTGCTCTCAAATTTCTTGGAAACCTCACAAAGACCTCGGCCACTCAAGTGTCCCGCTGTCTGCCCGAGATCATTCCAGCTGTATCCGATTCCATGTGGGCCACTAAACCCGAGGTATATTATTGACTTTCAGCAAAAGTTGGTGTAATAAGGACACGTTGTACCGTCATGAATGTGCCTTTTGGGCCAACATGGTTTGGCACTGCGTTGTCTGGTTAAACCAACTCGTGCGCTATTTTATTCTTTGAATCTATTGCAATACGATATTGTATTTCTCAACTGGTATGTACTATTACAACCACAAATAGGTCAAGGTTGCAGCTCACGAATGCATGACTCAGGTTTGCGGTGTTCTTGAAAACATTGACGTTGTACCGTTCTTGCCTGCTCTTATCAGCTGTATTGCTCGTCCCGAGGAGGTCCCCGAATGTGTTTACAAGCTTGCTTCTACCACCTTTGTGCAGCAAGTTGAAGCCCCAACTCTCTCCATCATGGTTCCTTTGCTTGTGCGTGGTCTTGCCGAGCGCAAACCTGCAGTTCTTCGTCAAACTGCTGTGATTATCGACAATATGTGCAAGCTTGTCGAGAACCCTGCAGATGCCCATCAGTTTTTGCCCAAACTCATGCCTGGTCTTGATCGTATTATTGAGATTGCTGCCGATCCTGAACTCCGTAGCGTTTCAACTAATGCTCGTGCTACCATGATCCGTGTTGGTGGTGGTGCCGATGTTCATATTGAGGATCCAGAAGCTGTTGCAAAGCGTTTGGCCGAGGAACACGCTCAAACCATTGCCTTGGTCAAAAAGTCTATCTCTGCCGTGTCCAAGGACAAGGTTGACGAGCCCACTGTTGACTATGTTGCATCGCTCTTGTATGTCATGTACGACACTCATGTGCTCGATTTGCCCGACTTTATCCATACCGTCGTTCCCTTTATTGGTCCCGTTATTGGCGAGGCCAAGGCCAAGGAAGTTGCCAAGCCATTGCTTGCTCACTTTGTTGAGATGGACAAGAAGCGCCAAAAGCAGTCCAACGAAGAGGTTATTGACGAGGGTGAAGAGCTTTGCAACTGCGAGTTCTCCCTTGCTTATGGTGGTATGATTTTGCTCAACAACACCAAATTCCGTCTTACTCGTGGCAAGGTCTACGGTCTTTGCGGTCCCAACGGTGTTGGTAAATCTACTCTTATGCGCGCCATTGCCAATGGACAACTTGAAGGTTTCCCACCTGCAGACGAACTCAAAACTGTTTTTGTCGAGCATAACTTGCAGGCATCTGATGCCGATCTATCTGTGCTTGAGTTTTGTCTAAGTGATGCAAAGTTTGAGAGCACTGCTGTCAGCAATACCCTCAAATCTGTCGGTTTCGACGAAGATCGTCTTGCTCAGGCTGTCGGCTCCCTTTCTGGTGGCTGGAAGATGAAGCTTGAACTTGCTCGAGCTATGCTTGAAAATGCAGATATTTTGCTTCTTGATGAACCCACTAATCATTTGGATGTGAGCAACGTCAAATGGCTCGAGGACTATCTTAACAACATTCCTAATGTCACATCGCTCGTTGTTTCTCACGACTCGGGTTTCCTTGATCGCGTCTGCACTCATATTATCCACTACGAAAACCGTAAACTCAAGACATACAGGGGTAATCTATCCAAGTTTGTGGAGCAGCGTCCAGAGGCTCGTTCTTACTATGAGCTTTCTGCCACCCAGTTTTCTTTCAAATTCCCAGAGCCCGGTTTCCTCGAAGGCATCAAGTCCAAGGACAAGGCCATTCTTAAGATGCAGCGCATCAAGTTTACCTATCCAGGTGCCACCAAGCCCTCATTGCAAGACGTATCCCTACAATGTTCGCTCAATTCCCGTGTTGCTTGCATTGGTCCCAACGGTGCTGGTAAATCTACCATGATCAAAGTTCTTACCGGAGAAGTGATTCCCGAAAGCGGTGAAGTATGGAAACATCCTAATCTGCGTGTTGCCTACGTTGCCCAGCACGCCTTCCATCACATTGAACAGCATTTGGACAAGACTCCAAATGAGTATATTCGCTGGCGTTTCCAGTATGGTGAGGATCGTGAACTCCTTGCCAAGGCTTCGCGTCAAATGACAGAAGAGGACCAAAAGCAAATGCTCAAGGTCGTTGTTATTGAAGCCGAAAAGTACCAAATCGAGGCGATTATGGGCCGTCGTAAGGCCAAGCGTTCATACGAGTATGAGCTTAAATTCATCAACAAGCCCCACGATGATAACCAATGGGTGTCTCGTGAGAAGCTTGAAGACTGGGGTTTTGAAAAGATTATCCAGGCATTTGATGACAAAGAGGCTGCAAAGGAGGGGGCTTACTCTCGTCCCCTTACAGCAGCTAATGTTGAGAAGCACTTGAAGGATGTTGGTCTTGATCCCGAGTTTGCATCACATTCGCGTATGCGTGGTCTTTCTGGTGGCCAAAAGGTCAAGGTTGTGTTGGGTGCCTGTATGTGGAACCAACCTCACATGCTTGTTCTTGACGAGCCGACCAATTATCTTGATCGTGACTCGCTCGGTGCTCTTGCAGGTGCTATTACCGATTTTGGTGGTGGTGTTATCATTATTTCTCACAATGCCGAGTTCACTGATGCCTTGTGTCCCGAAAAGTGGAACGTGGTAGATGGCCGCCTCAGCATCACTGGTGCCAAGAAGGAGATGATTGTTGAAAAGATTGAGCTCAAGGAGCAAGAAACAGTGACCGATGCATTTGGCAACGTGACCAAGGTCAAGAGCAAGAGGAAGCTGACTCGCAAGGAACTCAAGGCAAAAGAGAAGAGAATCGCCCAAAAGATCAAGGATGGCGAAGCACTCAACTCTTCTGATGAAGATTTCTAATCTTTTAATTTGACAGATCTATTTTTGGTTGGCAGTCATTTCAGCAACTACACTACCTGTTTCGCCTCAATCTATTAACTGTCTTTCAAACATCATTCTCTTCATCCAATTTTTATTCTCTCAATCACTCCTTAAATGGTGGGGAAATAAACACTTGTCTCTTGAATTGGTTTAATTACTTTATGGATAAAAATTTAAATAGACTATAGAATCATTAATGCAGTTTAAGCCATATTGGAAACATGGCGGGACCGATTATTATTGGTTTGTATCGGGTACAGATACACTTTTGACTCCAATTGTACCTTGAGCATATCCATCCAGAGAATCGATTAGAGCAGACAGACGATTCTGAAATGCTACATCACTTTGTCGCCATTCTGTTAGCAATCCAACAAGGTCTTGCATGGTAGTAGACGTTGGTGAGTAAGCAGCCAATAGTAGAGAATCTGGCATCAGTTTTCCATTTCCGCTTTGGACAGGTATTGTACTTGAAGGTAAAGTAGTAGCGGGTATATGGGAAGTAGATGTTCGATTGCTGTTGGTAGGTACGTACAGTTTAGACTTGTCTGGTAGAGTGTAATGGGATTGAGACGAACCTTCTGACTTGACATGGCGAGACGCCAAATGAGACTCGAGTCGATCTAGAATCTCTGTTCGTGTGTCGGACGAATACGGCGACTGTGAAGAAAGCGGCGGTACTGTAGGCGAAGTTGACATGGCAGAATTTGATGCAGCTAAACCAGAAACGACATGCGTACGCATCCCATGAGTCGAACGATGTGCCTCGGACACTTCGTCAGAATATGCCATTGGGCGCTGATTGGCATAACTGTAATGACGAGGTGTAGAATGGTGTGGTTGGGCTTCGGCGCGTCTAAAATGATTGTTTGGAGAGTTTTGGGTTTGGTAAGATGCAGTCGAAACAGCTGCAGTATCATGAAGCGGACCAGCAGCACCCATGCCTGCTTCCACTAGATGCCGATCTGATTGTGCATTGTGATGCTGATAATGCAATGTCTGGGTAGACGACGGGCGCACTGATGCACCTTCTACTCGTTGATACTTGGTCTGCGGCAGAGCGTGAGAAGAGTATGCAGAAGAATTATAGTCATTCCCAGCACTGGCAGAAAAAGCCATTCGCTTTCCTAGCTGCTGAGGATACGAAGTGTGCTGTGCGTTCTGAGGATACTGATGATGGGATGGTGGATAGGGATAGGGATGTGAATGGAAGGGTTGATGGCGAGTCTGATGCGGATGTGGAGCAGAGAAACTTTCTGACGATAGCAAGGGTCGTGGCGAATGTGATCCGGCAGAATGTTGAATCTGGGCCGCTAGAGAAGGGAGTTTTTGGTGAAGATGTTGCGATGGGTGTGTGCGAGAATCAACATAGGGAGACTGAGCTTGCCCTGGAACAATAGGAGGCAAGGCGCCCGATACGACCTTTGCTGTTGATGGAGATGACGATGATGAACGCGATGAGTGGGACATGCTATTAGGTGGTATTGATGGGTTGTTGGATCCTTGGAAAGATGTACGATGATTAAAGTTTGGTGATATGCACCTGTCATCTTTTCGATCCAACGGTACCTCCGACTGCGAACGAGCAGAATAGTTCTGGTGCTGATCATATTGCTGGTGAGAAAATGACTGCTGAGTGCTCGGATGATGATTGGGATGCGCTTCCTGATAGTGTGTCTGAATAGGCTGCTGTGAATACTGAGTGCTTGGATGTTGCTGACGTGGACTAGCCTGAAGTGACTTTTGCTTCATTGATGTATCCTCTGAGCTGGTGGCAGAATTAGGAGTTAGATGATGCGAGGATGGATACGTTTGATGTTGCGGTTGAGCGTTTTTAGCAGACGAAGAAAATATAATTCCAGGTAGCCAAGACGAAAGGAAATCAAAAACGGCCTTTGGGATTGATTGCTATATACATGTAGTAATTTAAATACAAAAAAGTCAGGGCTAGCTCGAGTACTTTTGGTTTGGGAATGACGAATGTGGCAATACAGATATGCTGTATTTGCATGAGCAAGTATTCAAAAAAGAAGCAACATGGCAGTAGTTGACAATAGGCAAAGATTAGGTACAAAAATTGGATGCGGTCATCACGACTTCAAATTAAGGGACAAGGTATTCAAAAGCATCCAACTACATTAGACCATCAGCAGTTGAAAAAGTGAACGGCCACGTTAAAAATGCTAAAAGCAAAGGATAACACTGGATGTTGTTGTTGCACAGGTGAAATATTGCCATGGATAATCAATCTTCCGGTTAGCAAACGAAGCTTTACCAGCCGCCAGCTTGAAAAAAATCGAGAGCATCAAAATGCAAAACTTTGGGCAATGTTTTTCAAAGCACAACTCAAACATTTAAAAGGTAAAATTAATCATCTTTTTGACTATTCAAAATAGTTCAAGCCATGTAGAAAACATCGTTGGAGTACCGAGAATTTCACACCCAACTATCAATATGCAAACAAAGTAGATATCCAATGGTATCACCAAAACACAGATGTAAAAAGCTCGGCATATTTCAAACAAGCATGCCAAAATTGCCAGCTGTGCTGCTACGATTGAATCAACACTCGACATTTTCAAATATCAACCCATGTACTTAATGCATCATTTGCTAAGCAATCACCAAGTCACGGCAAAGGCTGAGCTCTCAAGCAGTAAGCCACTTTTCCATTACAATTTCGTACATCTCAAGCCATCAATGAAGACCCATGTGGCCAAGACAGTATATGTCCTGACCTATCTTCACCTTGCCACTATTGGAAGGTAGGTATAGATGGACCTCGATGCAGGCCAAATCATCCATTAGCTTCTGAAACCAAATTGTTTCTCTAGGCATAAATTTGATGGGAAAAAGTAAAGATACAATGGCTACTGAAAGCCTTCCGGCCGAGCCAAAAGGATTATAGATTCAAAGAATGAGTATTGGAAATGAGAAGCATTCAAATCATGCTGCTCAAGACCAAAGCTAAGCTTTCAGCATTAAACCGAAATTACATCATCCAATAGCATAAAATACTTGGTGATATCAGAATACATTCAGCAACAGGAGTATCAGCAGACTTTGACTATTTGTTGATATACAGCGCAAAAGTCGAGTGGGATGACAAGGTTAAAGCCAAAATCTTGTCGCTTATTTCTTGGAGCTCATTAATATGCGTTGGAGATGCAGATAGCTAATAAAAAGTGCAGTATAGCAATCAAAAGTTGGCAAGTACATGGCTTTACCTTGCGATATAAAGTGAGCACAGTCTTTCGACCAGACCGCTCGTCTAGATCCCACCAGGATCCTGTTAATCCAGGAGGTCTGGCCACGGCGTTGTTTTCAAAATCAGACACGAATCGAAACGAATCTCTTAGTTTGTTCCACCGATCCATGCATGCTTTGCAGCTCCTATCCGTTGTTGGAATAGATATATCTATGGGGTTAGGGCTAGAATGACTGCCATTATTATGCGCTGCAGAGTTGGTTACGATCCTTGAAGCAAGACCACTGATGAAGCAAATATCGACAACCAAGAAGAAATTATAAATTTTAAAACCAATGAATTAGTAAAAAGCTCGTAAACAAAATCAGCAATATATGAAAATGCATTGGGGTAAGACTTGGAATATTAGAGCATACAGCCAAAGCCATAGTAATGCGTTTTTGATCGTATTTACGTAAATCAAAACATTAATAAACAGCCAGTCTCATGGAATAATAACTGCAACCAAATTTACTGGTCAAGATCGTGTGTTTTGTAAACTCAAAAGATGAGCGCGAAGAAACCCCAGTACTTGTTTCTGCATAAACAGCTGACCAAATGTTTACAGCAGTCCAGCTCAATATTTGAACCACAATAAATGAATCCAGTTCTAGACTTGTTAGTTGTAGTATACGACTGCCAAGAAAAAGAAGTGGCTCAATCGTGTAAATCATGATGGGTATTTTGAAGAATTGAGAACGTCAATTGAAGCAATCGATCCCTGATAGGAAAGCGCATCAAGTGTTTAGCCGTTGTCTTCCAAAACAAAACAGAGGCAGTGACTGCAAGATAATGTTGCACTTCACACGAATAAGCCGTAAAATTGAAATCAGCATAACAAAGCGATACCGGAACAAATGCGCAAGCTGGTGTGATCAGCCATCCAAACACCGCACTATATTGCTTGGTAATCCAAACAAGCTTCAGCTAAAGACATTCGGATTAAAGCAATGTGTAGCCAATGAAATCGTAGCTTCATCCGCATTCATCCGCACCACCACTACTGGCTATTTGGTAGTCTAGTTGGTTGATCCAAAACCATCCACTCGATACTCAAGACAACCAACTCAATGCTACAAGTAAAAAAAACAATACACCAGTGGCTTTGTTTCATGGAAAAGGATCCTAATATTGCTCTATACAAATCAGCTAGAATGGCCAGCGGTTATTTCACTATGTGCTGGCAATGCCAAGCATGTAATTTTAGTTTAGCTAAAAACTTGGTTGAGCGAGAAACAACCCTAATCTCTCAAACCATGCTGGGCCAACACAATTGCAATAACTGACAACAATTGAAGCGCTTATGGCCAAACTGAATGAGGCCAAGTATTGTTTACCTGGGAACCAACTGTGCTTTGAAGCAGCAATTGCAGAAAGAGCATGGCTATAGAAAATCACAATAGTAGCAATGCAGGTCTAGGCTGGCACAAGTATATTCAAGACCAGCTGTAATACCGATCATATTCATCGTTTCAAATGGTAGCAAATACTTTTCGGTATTTGAGTACCATGCCAAATAGCCAAGTGGGTAGCGTGAGCCAATAAAAGCGGATGTTGCGAAAACATTGTATGATTCAGCAAAAATGGTGGTATCAGGTGGAGATTATAAATGCTGTTCATAACATGCTGTCTGCAGCTTCAATCAGCAACATGCTTCAGGGTAGAATGCATAAGACCCAACTCAGTAGGAAATAAACCCTTAAAACGACTGCTGTTGTTTTAGCTGCACGCAAGTCTGATGGATTAGGAATGAGGCGATGCTTGAGCATTTTAGACCAATATGCTCGATTTTTGAAAATCCCTCATCTTCAAGAGATTTTGATGGGTGTATACCAGCATGTTTTAAAGTACTGCCTCTTCAGCCAGTAAATTGGCCATCATACTACTTTTTGATTAAAACGAGCTGTAGATGCGACAATTACAAGGGAATGGGGAAAACAGGTGCAGTAATAATGTAGCCGCGCTCAAACAAGCAGCATGGTATATCGGCCCATGTGCTGGAATGTAGGAGCTGGTAAAATCAAAATATATTACTTACGCTTGATACTGGAGATATAAGTTGTCTTCAAAACAGCCCTCCGGACCAGTTGTGTAGGTATGATGGGCGGCTCGGGCAAGCAGCATCAGCTCATGCTCAGTCCAAGTTGGGCCTCGCCGTTGTCGCATGATATATTTGTCGAGGGTGAAAAGATGGGTCGAGGATTACTTGCTAGTTATTACGACTGGATTAAAAATAAAGTTTGGAAAAAGCGATAACAAGAACCAGCGGATTATGTGCGATTGAAATTTGCGATATGCGAGCTGAAATGACTTATTGATAATGAGTAGTCAGAGTAAATAAATAACTCATCAGAAGAGCAAACGCTGGAGGGTTGAAATAGCGATTCAGCAGGCTCGTGGATCCGGTAAACCTAAAGGGTCGACTAATGATGCCGAGGAAGTTGGGTACAGGTGCTACCGTAAGCTGAAATAAAATTTGAGGTCAGTAAGCAGTGTGGTGTATACTTCCACTCGATGGCTTTTAAAGACTTGCTAAGACGGCTGATTATTGAATATAGTAATGTAGCAAACTATTTAAAACAAAAAGCTATTTCCAAAGCTAGAGGACAGATTAGAGAGGCAATTGGCAAGGAAATTTGTTTGCTTAGGTTTTGTCACGGACAAAATCGAGCTATTTTAGTTGCCACTACACAAATGGATACTAGGTGTATTTCTCGGCTGGACAAATAAAAACTGTCAACAGTCTTAAATTTAAGCCAGTGTTTCAAATGGCCGCAATTCGCTATAAAGCAAGGGTTTTATAGCGTGTCTTGAATCAGCGCGTGTGACCTAATTGCTGGTATATACAAGCGGCAATGTTTACAGGGTGAAGCAAATGTTACTTGGTAAATAGATCTGTTGCAAGCCATTTTTGCTACTGCAAAATCAATCAATTTATAGATAAATATAGGTGAGCAAAGCTGCACAATACTCACAAACCTTTACTTGGCAGGTGTGGTCAGCTTTCAGAACAGCAACGTGATCAAAGTGCAATGACTTTGATATTCCCTGCTTGGTACTTTAATAAAACCTGTGTCAAATAGCTTGGAAGTAACCGAGTATGTCCTATTAAACCAAAATTCAATAAGTTGTAGGTTTTGATTCAAATTGATGGTCAAATAAAGCTGATTTGTTTCTAGATTTTATTCTTTGGCTTAGATGGCAAAGCAAGTTTTGGATAAAACAGCAGTGGGGTTTAACCATATAGCCACTTGATCGAAACTGATGCTCTCAAGCAATAATTCCCAAAGATAATGGCATCAGCCATTAATCAAACAAGCACAGGTGATCCTGTGCGAGTACATAGGTCAAACCAGAAAACAATGGCCAAAGGGCGAATGTGCCGTGTCAACTCAATTAATGCAAGCTAACAAGTCAGCTTTGGATATGCATATGCAAATCAAATTTAAATCTGTACTATTGCTACTGTTGAAGATGAACACTATTTACTTGCCTTGTTTAACTGTGATAATTTAGCACGGTACAGAAGCTCAGGTGTAATGCAGCCAGCTGAGGGATTAAAACTCAGTATACCTCAATGGACAAGAATGCAACGCTCAAAAAGTAGGCTTTTTCAAAATGAGACTTCCAAAAACAAGTGCGATATTTGTACTCTTTATGGCGCTCACCTGATGAGACTGACCAAGAAAAAGAGATGATGGGGTAAACACTTGCAGCCCAACACTTAGATTTGGTATGCGGAAATATAACTATATCGAGTGTTTCCGTCAAGGTGTTTGTTTTTTTTTTCAGTTTAAAACAGGTGACGGACTAAAAACCTTATTTCTAAGCAAACAACGCTCGTCATGTACTTTGTATAATTATTGTCTGGATCTGATTTTACACTAGCAATATATATAGAATCCATCTGGTTTGGTATGATTTGTATATTTATCTTGTCTTTGTTTACGATCATTTCTAACCATTGATGCTTCAAATGCGAGTGGCATGTGATTGCAGTGATAAGGCTGCGTTAGACAAACTTTAATGAAGCCAATATTACCGTCATGATGTTACTTGGATATATTTGTACCGCTACTAACTATTGACTCGAACCGTAACTTTTTATTTGAATACGATCTATTGGGTTATGACATAGTATTATAGTAGTGTGTTTGGGTGGTGGCATTTTATCTGCAGATCCAATATATGAGCCATCACATTGAGCTTTCATTTTTACATCAACTGATACATTTGCCTTGAATTATGACAAAACACTGGTCTGAAGTCGTTAGCATGTGCTTCTGTTTGGAATTTCCATTATGATAGTTGAAGTCGGCCGAACGTGCAGTCTTTCAGCCTGATGCTTTCAGCTGGCATTTGGACTGCATGCTTTGAACATAACCACACATTTCTATTTTTCAGGCATACTTATGACGCAATGTTGGCTTTTGTCTCTCAAGGCTTTGAATATACAGGTTTTGCTTGGTCTTGCTCACTGCCTCACTGTTTTAATGTGGAAAATGCCAGAATACACCTGTATTGCGTTTGCAGTTCCTCAAAGGCTTGGGCGTACCTGACTATTGACTAATTGTTTAAAGCACATCTGCTTCAAGTGCGGCAGGCCAATGATTGGTTATTCATTAGGTTTCGGTTTTGCCAGCCCAGCCTTTTTTACGGTTTTGGCCTAGCCTCATTCAACCCGAGACTTCAGACGACGGTTTTTTCCACTACGCTTTTTACATGTATATGCTGCACAGCTATCGGAACCATATCCCTTCCTTTCATCCAGATACGAGCCACAGTATTCTACCCCACAACACTACAGCTATGCCAATGTTTAGTTGTATCATTTTGCCTGAATATGGCAGTAAAAGCGCATGTATGTGTAAAACACAAGACGTGTCAACAAATCCGTATTCTATACTCAAACATGAGATAATAGGCTTATGCTTCATACACGCTTTTTAATATTCAATTGCATACTGGACTAATGCTATCATTCAATTCAAACCCAACCCAACCGATTTCAGTCTTCATAGCTAACATAATGGAGACAAGAATGGAGGAATAAACATTTACATTTTAACAGTCCAATTTCATCATATTTGAAACCATTCTGATGTCATCAAACAGGCTACTGTATTTCAAAAACGAGTTTTTGGTTGTAAAATTACACGATTGGTTTAGATTGGCGCAGACTACAATGTGTAGAAAACCGAAGCCTTTGTCAAAACAAAACCAAATACCAAGCTCAGAGCATGGTACTGCATGGCTATGTTTTCAGTATGTTTACGGTGCCAATCTGACAAACTATTAGTTCCACCGGTTTAAAGCTTCGAGTGCTTGTAAAAGACTTCGTGGACTTTACGTATCAGACCGAAACGTGATAAACAATGCACTTTTGTTCGTCTGATACAAATAGTGACAAGGCCATTATAATGATTTTGATGCGTCATAATGACAATTCGAGTAATATGCTTAAAAACACTGTTTCATGGCATGCGCTTGAGAGATACCGACAAGCTTGGCGCCGCTTAGAATATTTTTGGATTCGATCGGTATGCCAAACTTGAATTACTTTATTTGTTTAAACCCTTTTAGAAATGACTAGATTGTCGATGTATTTTACCCGGTTTAATCCAGGCTCAATTCCATGGACCTGAATTAAACCATGATGCTTCATGAGCTGCTGCTATAATATGTCATCGGTATACTTTTCAATCAATAATGTAAAGTATACTATCAGGTGATATTTACATGTATAAGCGGGGCCTGTTTCTACTATTCAAATATTTTTTCTTGGGTACGCATGTTAGTATTCTCCTTGTGAATTGAAAATGATGAATGTTTAGCTCTTCGGCTTTTGAGCCTATAACTGTAAACATTCAACAAAATACCTCTTTTAATTGTTTGTTGGGACACATTACAAGTGTGGATTGATAAAACTGCATTGTAATGACTAAACTGGTCTTGCTTTTACCTATATCTACTATAATATATATTTCCTTTTGATATGTACCATGCTGATTTCAAAAACAGAAATTCTGAGCAAAAAGTGCAGTCAATATTCAAATCGTAGCTCTATTCGCGGATATTTTGGAAAATGTAACTCTGCATGTCTACAAACTCGCTTTGAATATCTAATATTTAAACTTTTAAACATTATCAGCAATGTTATTCGTTTTATAGTCATGCTCGAGTTAAACTGTCATGTGCGCCAGTTTTGGATTAATGGCCACTGTTATTAAGTTTATAGGTACCGTTTCTACTATATAATTATATTGCCTCGTATCATTCTATCTAGACTCGTGAGCCATTCACAGCTATCCTGTCATGTGGTCTTGTTTATTCACGATTACTGCATTCCATCTGTTGATCAAAATACTTTTTCGCAATAGGCCATGACTAATTGTAAACCCATTAGCTCAAAAAATGAATATTTTATCAATGGGCTTCAAAGCCATTCATGTATCTACAGAGATAGACGTCACCATTGACAATTGGAGGCCATTGAGGGGTTTTTAAAAAAGGCAGGTTTACTTTTTCGTGTTTCTTTGGAAATAATAGTAGCTGGCATAACGGTAGTAGTAAAAGAATGCCAAGCTAGGGCTGTCAACCAAGTTTCATTGTTGTCATGGTGACCACAACCAGGACGTACATGACACGAAATTATGGCAACCGTTCATGTCCCAACATCAGAGGTAATTGCATGATGAGTAGTATTCAAAGCCCTGCAGTTTTTTGTTTTCTGTTGATTCAACTTGCTTTTTTTCTTTGGTTGGTGCATCAAAACAGCACTTTTCATCTCGCTTCCACAACAACAACATGACCGTGTGGGTTGCGCGAAAAAGGGCCATATACAAGGATGATCGTATAGGTTGAATTGCGCATACACATTGTAGGTACAAATCGGAACCCTTTGATTGGGAGTTTGATGGGCCATTCGTTGTTTTTCAAGTGCTTGGCGCATCGCATTGATTTTTCAGCACGTTCTCGCGCAGGATCGTCATACGAGAAGATGCGTTGGTAATGCGGGATTCAAGGAAATGCCATTCCGCGCTCAGTGTCCTGTAAATCGGGACTCGAATGTGGACTTACCATTGCTGCTGTGAAAAAAGCCTGCAACAACCAATGTTGGGTGATGGCAATACAACTCTGTAAAATATGTCAACCAACCTAGCAGTTTCACGACACAACGTTTGTGATTGTTGTAAACGGATACGCAACTAAGCGTGTTTCATTTTGCAGACGTAAACCTTTTCTTGACACTGATGTCAAAACCGATTCTGGTAAATGTCCCTGTTCTCACAACACTCTAGCTTTACACTCGCTATGAATAGTGGCAATCATCAAAAAAGATGGAGAATGGGCTATCCAACTGCTGTTGATTGAGTGAGAAATATATCGAAGCATCTATTGTTCGCCATATTGCGCAACCGATTGATTGCAAAGCATTTCACATGCAATGTGTTGACTCGGGCCGGGACCAAAAACATGACACGATCCATTTCCATATGCCTGAGCGACTTGTTGACATGGTAACGTGCTGTATAGCAGGTATTGCAACAACCGTTTTATTTTTTGACGTTTTTGCAAAGCATCAGGCGGGGTTTCTTGACGGATGTTTCAAGCAAGCACAGACAGACACCCGATCTGTTGTACACTTATTGCGTAAACGTATGTTTACAGGAACAGGTTGATGTTTGTTTCAAAATGAAAACGGCTGATCAAACGGCTACATTCAATCGTGTAGATGTGTCGGTTTTGAGCAATCCTGTTGTGCCAAACTTGTCTAGATAGTTCACGCTTTGAGCGCCAACTGATCGGTGCACATGATGTAGTCAGTAGCGTTGTCGATAATCGGAAACACACTGTGCATCACAATCCTGTATTCGGAATCTTGTGCAAATGTTACCACCCACAAGAAAAGCGGTCATTACTTGTTTTTGCTTGGCATCATCCTGCATAACATGCCGACACTCCAAAAGCGCAAACTGCTTCCATCACGTCTGCAAACGCCGTTGAACGTTTTTGACCCGAGTTGTCGTTTGCTTCAACGTCCACGAGTGCAATGTATTCATCTCTAGCCATCATCACTGATTAGCGTAATGGGGCTCGAATAGCATCAAAACATGTTGAGAGATATACATATAGATTGCCTGTCAGATAACACTCCACGCTAGCAAGATTATCTGACCATTAATGAATTTAAAAAGCACAGTGTTTAGTAAACTAGCACCAACGATGCCATGACACTGACTGCCTATTATACACTCTTGTTTAGTGTCATTTTATATGAATAAAACAGCAAAACTAGATGTGAAAGCTTGTATTAACAAACTACGGAATGAATGTTGTGATTTATTTTTGCTTTTGTGAGGGGTGTTGGCGCAATTGGTAGCGCTTTCGACTCCAGATCGAAGGGTTGCGCGTTCAAGTCGCGTACGCCTCACGTTTTGCAACTTTTTGCAAATGCATGTATGCGACAAAACAGTCAAATATCAGTGACAATTCGACTTGCTAACACGATCTGCTGCTCTCCCTATCCAATATATGACAACATCTGATCTTGTTTTGACAAGTTTCATCTATATAATCTGTATGCTAACCTAAACCAATCGTGCAGTTTTATAAATCGAAAACTCTTGTTTCTAAAGTACATCAGTCTATCTGATATCATCAGAATGGTTTCAAAGCATGGCGAGATTGGATTGAAATATAAATGTTTATCTCAGTCGCGAATGAATCTGTTTCTACAGCTTCTAAATGGCTCAGCAAGCATACGGATCGCTATCACGATTAAAAACCATTATTTACAAGTACAGTTGATGGCAGCAAAAGATGAACCATTTATTTGGAGGTCTTCTTCTTGGGACGCAGCTGGTTACTGTGTCCGCACTTCTTCTTGCGGCAGTTGGTGGCACGAGGAGGCAGACGAGCATAGCACTTTCTGCACACCTTCTTGTCACAGTTGTACTTCATGGCCAATGCTTTGAGGGTGGGTTCAATAACACCACCACGAAGACGGAGGACAAGATGGAGAGTAGACTCCTTCTGGATGTTGTAGTCGGAGAGAGTACGGCCATCTTCAAGCTGTTTTCCGGCAAAAATCAAACGCTGCTGATCAGGAGGAATTCCTTCCTTGTCCTGAATCTTGGCCTTGACATTATCAATGGTGTCAGAGGACTCGACCTATTTATAAAAACCAGCCAAAACAAAGGTTTGCCATAAAGCGGATTGTAAGTCAACGGTTTGAACTGATTGCAGATAGTAGAAGCACATCTAACTGGTTTGCACTGCATGCCAAATTGGTAGGAATTCATATCTAAGCGTAAACTCGGAAAACAAGTGAAGCCATTTTATCCCGATGAACACTCTGGAATCAAACATCTGTAGAGATCCACCTCGAGTGATATCGACAGCTGTCTACTCGTCCTGTTTCTAAAACAGACACTATATCTCCAGAGCCAATACTGTCTCATTTTCAAAACACTAGATATTCCGTCCAATTCTGATGATCGTACAAGGTTGAATGATCAATGCAAATAGCTAACCTCAAGGGTGATGGTCTTTCCCGTCAGGGTCTTGACAAATATTTGCATCTTGAGCTAAAAAACAAATCATGCCAATGGCAGTTGGAATATGTCAGTCTTGGATACTACTTGGCATTGTCAGTCAAATCCAATGCAGACACCAGGGAAACAAATGATGGTGTAGACAGAACGCATTTCATTGATGGATGGATGGATTGGACAGAAGTGGCAGTGGATATGCATGTACAAGACCTTACAAAAACGGTGGTGCGAGCAAAAGTCAAGTGAGCTTCAAATTGATGTTCTCAGACATGAGCGTTACCAGTCCAGATTATTACACGTGATCAAGCAAAACAGTCACGTGAATAACACTCTGTCATGGATCTGACTTGATGCTTGCCAACTATCTATCCAATACAGCAGTTTTAAACTCACTAGATGCCACAAGGTTGGTTGGTATTGCCTTCCCATTTGACTGACAAACTCTCACTTCAGCAGCTGTAATTTGTTCGTGCACTTGTTTATGATTGACTATACATTCAGCATGCCATTGCCTTCATTGGCTTTGATTAGTTCATAACATTAACATCAAGTGCTTGGATTGATGACCCCTTGTCGCACGTGGAGATATCTTATCAGCACATTGATCAATATCAACAGAATTTTTGGTTTATAGAACGCCGACTTGGTTGGTTGAGCTGCAGTGCCTTTCTAATCGCACCCTTGAAACCATCCCATATCAAATTATTGCAGATTTACTCGAGTACAAAGTTTTCCTAATTCAAATGCAATGTTTTAGATAGCATCATTGTCAAGGAAACCCTTGATGCCAAAGTCACTGAAGAAACCTCTGGAGAACGCCATCTTAATCAATATCACATTCAGCGTGTATTGGGTTCTGGCAGTTTTGGTATCGTGCATCTAAGTCTAGACGCGGACAGCAATACTCTGGTAGCAATCAAAGAATTTAGTAAAAGTAAACTACGGAAACAGCAGGCATTGAAGAATGGCTTGTTTATCGGTGCGTGTAGAGGACGTGGACGTGGGCGTGGCAGAGGTGCTGGTCCTGCAAATCTGGCAGCTTCAGGAAATAACCATGCTATAGTGGCCAAACCTGTTGAAAATCCCATCGATCTAGTTCGTGGAGAAATTGCTATTCTCAAAAAACTTCGTCACCGCAATATCGTTAAACTATACGAAGTTTTGGACGATCCAGATCAAGTAAAGCTTCTACACTCTTTTAAACATGTTATTATATTGTATTTTTGATGTGTTAATATGTAGTATGACATCTACCTTTCAGGACTCGCTATTTATGGTATTCGAACTGTGTGAAAAAGGCTCGCTTATGGATATTGGACTGGACCATCCTGCACCACCTTTGGATATAGACTTGTCTCGACGCTATATGCAAGAAATGGTTTTAGGCATTGAATATCGTGGGTTTTACTATTTACTATTGCTTTTGATTGTCCTCTTGCTAATCTTGGATCTTGTTTGAAAATAGTTCACGAGCACGATATTGCACATCGCGGTGAGATGGATTGTCTTTTAATAGTAACATAATTTGAAATGCTTCGATTGTTAGAATTGCAACTTACATCGTGTCTCATTTTGGCCCATGTATATCTTCGTTCCCAGATATCAAGGTACTTGTTTTATATCCTCTCCATCTTCAATCTCATCACTTACTCTTATTATCTATATTTTCATTCACTGCAATTGGAGTAGCCGGATAATATGATGATATCAAAGGACGGCACTCTTAAAATTGTCGATTTCGGCGTGTCCGAAATCTTTACAAAGGATACGGGAACAGTTGTCAAATCTGCAGGGTCTCCTGCATTTTACTCTCCAGAAATGTGCACTGGTAAGCCATTAGATCCTGATCAATCTCATATGAATGAATTCCAACATCATGCATATGTCACATCGTGTCGGTATTGGATACTAATCAATCGTTGTGTATAGCACGACATGGTGATTTGAGTGTCAAACCTGTTGATATCTGGGCTTTGGGCGTAACGCTGTATTGCATGATTTTTGGTGTTTTGCCATTTTCAGGAACTTCGCTACTGGATCTCTACGAGAATATTCGCGTAAAAGAGTATGTCTAGTTTAAACTAGACAATGTCTGCTTCTCGCTATAATAATTTCATTTATACAAGCTAATCATTGTCCTGCCAAATCTAGACCAATATATCCAAATGTTACAGATCCATCATTATTAGATATTTTAAAGCGACAGTAGGTTTATGTCGAATGGCAAATTGAGCTGTTTAAATCCTTTACCATTTCAAGATAACTGACTCGTGTACTTTTGATGATATCAGATTGGACAAGAACCCTTTGACACGAATTACAATGGACGAACTCCGAGTAAGCGTTTGAATGTTCTGGATGATTGTCAAAGTATTGTGAAGCACCACTTTGTATTGCCCAATTCGCTTTTTTAATTCTTGTGCCATTTATTTACTGAATTTCTTATGGAACCAACTCCAATCTTTTGCTCTGATAGGTTCATCCATGGTTGTCCAATCACGGAAAGCAACCGTTGATAACCAAAGAAAAAAACTGTGCAGAGTTGGTTCTTGCTGTCACTCAGACCGAAGTGGATGCAGCTGTAAAACCTATTCATTCACTACTCACAGTGCTAAAGGCGGTTACAAAATTGAAAGGGTTTGGAAAAAGCGGTGCTGCAATACCCCATCCGCCCACTGGAGAGAATCACTCAAAATAAACTAGTTTTTGAATCTCGGCATAACACCAATTCGTATTTGAATCTCCAATAGACTGTATACGTTGAATATAATTTGTGCTTTAAAATAAATTAATTCTTTGCAAAATAGTTTGCTCAAGACACAACTATACATATCAACGTTAATCTTGCTAAAAATAAAGTCAAAACACATTTGCACAAACTCCAAGCCATTTAACGTACACGTTTATATAATTACTGCTAATTGGCAAACTCCCAAAATAAAATGATGCTTAGGATTTGCCACCACCTTCATCCTTTAAACTATTAGAATCTTCTCGATTGGGACTCGTTGATGCATCCGACATGGACACAATCCGTCGCTGTCTAGTTGCAATCCGCTGCAATTCCGGTACACTCTTGACATCATCCCTTGACTCATCCAGTTCTTCCAAGTTGGGATTAGAGTTGGAATATGATGCCTCACTCAAACTCGTATACAATCCTCTGTCCACTCGATTTGAGATTGGATTGGAACTTTTGGGTAATGATTGACGAATATTCGAAGTGCTATATGAAGACATGATCAGCATTTGGTGCAGGCTGCCCATTTGGTTCTGGTTCGGGTTTCGTGAACGCAGCCGGTTAAAGATTCGGTCAATCGTATCAGGGATTTCAACTGTTCCTGCAGCCATGGACAACCGTCGGCCATTACACATTCCACCCAATCCTCCTTGCACAACTTCTTCAAAACTAATTTTGCGCTTTACAGTGGTTAAAGAATTGCTATATCCATGACTGGTTGACCCAATGCCTGCTAGGGAATCCATAGTGCCCATTTTTCCTTCGCGTCCGCTGCTACCACTGGCAGACATGTCTGTTTCATTACACGTGGTCAAACATTCTGGCGATGCAACACTTTCTGAAAATACTGCGGGTAACAAATTATCCCACTCGCGCGCATTTTCATAGATGATATCAGTCAAAGTGACCATTCTTGGAAAAATTTCCGCCAGGGTTTCAAAATAAGGTCGAACAATAAAGTCGGTAAACGCCATTTGAATCTGTGCTTGATTCATTGTGTCTCGGTCCATGTTGGGTGAAAGCGGAAGATTTTTTTGACGTTCCAAGTCGCCTTGATTAAAAAACTCTTGAACAACAAGATCCGACCATTTCCTACAGAGGTTAAACGGCCTTGCAGGATTACTGATATCTATTAGACATGTTTGAAGATCAAGTCCCGTTTATAAAGTGTCGTGATCACAATCTAATTAGAACGATACAATATCATGGTCGCTAAAACTAATCGTAAACTCACCAGCAGCGTGAAGAATCGCATTCAGCATGTTTTGCTTCATAAAATGATTTTTTATAATAACTTTGGGCAAGCTATCAGTGCTAACATCACTTCCCGTCCAGCTACTGCACTGATCATTGGACATTGAGCATACATCCCCTGTATCTGATATTTTAAACTTTGCAATCCCCTTTAATCCGCTGTCTATCATTTGAGCCTCTGAAAAATTCCGCAACAAACTCGCTTTTAGCAAATCTGGTTCTTTACCTGTGATTGGAGTCGGAGTGTTTCGTGACAACGTCAACGGCGTTGTGGATTCCTGAGTCTCTGCAAACAATGAAATCTGCTCCAAAAGTGTAAAGTGGCACATCATGTCGGTTTTCAATATTGAATTTGTAATTATTTCCATAATACACAAAATGATTTCAGAAATTGACATTTCTGATACATCGCCATAGCAAAGTCGCGATAAAAATGTGTACTTTTCAGTGAGAAGAGTTTTACATAAACTAAGAGAGTGGTTTTCCAATACAGATTGATTATGATATTTTTTTGCTAGATCTGTGTTGGAGTTTACTTGGAATAGATTGTTTGTTCCGGGATGCTGTGCGTCGTGGGATATTGCTGCAAGTAGCATTGCAGCTATATCAAGTGAAAGTAAATCAAGTTGCTCTTTAAGACCCATGTCGTGAAGAAGGTAATAAGTCATATATGTCATGTCGATGGCGTGTAGAAATGAGTGATATGGGTTATCGAGATACGCTGCAGCAATTTCTGTTGAAAATTCAAAAACTTCTTGAAGCGTTGTAGAATCTTGAACAAGGCTTTGCTTTACAAACATTCCTAGAAATATTCCGATAAGCTCTAGCAAATATGTTTGAAAGCAACAATGGGTTGTTTATAGTCGATATATGTAAAATGGTTTGGTAAAAATCAAGTGTGTCGCAGAGTTAGTATACCATGTCAGGTTTCCATATAGACAGCCAACAGGAAATATACAATTAGAAAGTCAAATGGAATGGATCTAGCGCAAAAATCTGCTTTGATGCGATTATCCATATGAAAAGACACATGCTGTCCATGGTCTATAATATCCATGAAATATTTCCATAACATTTCTCATTTAGTTTTAATAGATGACTAATGAGTATTGGTCATATATTAAAATATTGGATTTTAATCCACATATCCAACGTCATGGGCATAGGCTCATACCTGCATGGGTCCACTCCCAAACAGAAAAGTCTAGTCCTAGGTTTATCAGTTCGTCATTAACAAATAGTCGCATAGTCTATAGCGCACCAAGGTTTACAGGATAGATATAAAATTATCGAATGGACATAGTAAAGTATAAATAGTTAGTTTAAATCCAGCACATGAGTGAGAAATACAGCCTAGTAATCGGAAGATGCTGTAATGTTTCAATGCGCATATACGATTGGCCATATGGTGATTCACATACAACCAGTTGATACATGCAAGTGACCTGGGTTTCAATCAGATTACGACCAAGTCAAGTGTATTGAATCACTTCACACCTTAAGAACACAGGAAACATCGTTTTCATTGATATTAATGACACCATCTGTCTTGGACAGCTCTAACGACTCTATAATTTGCAGCATTCCGCAGTAACGTCAGATGGTGGTGTTGTGAATAGTAACAGTCGGTCAGTTTGTCTTTTGCTTGGCCGGTCGAGGAAAACAATTTCCAGCTGAAATACAACTGAATCTTTGCCCAAATTACCGAGTTGGATAGCCTGTTTTAGCCAAAATACGGGAATAATGACCGACTTGTCTTATTCTTTGCATCCAGTTTCCAATGGATTGAATCTTGTTTATGATCCTGTCATTCTAACATGTCTTTCAGTTGTTTTGGTTCATTTACGCGAGCAGTCGGTCATCACAATTACTGTAACTGTATGCTTAGATTACATGACTCTTGGAATTCAACATATGGGTCATCGCAATATACATTCCACCATTGTTCCTTTAGTATCAATGATCCAACTACCAAGCATAGGATTGTAAAAACTATTTGTCATAATGTCAATCCTAATTATCGAATGCCACGAGTTTTGTTTTTTACACCTGTTTGTGTTGAATATCTTTTAAGCCTTTGCTTTGGTCGGATTTAAATCTTTACTCAAGCTATTCGAATCTATCGCGTCTGTAAAACGACAAAATAATGCGACCATTCCCAATATGGAGCGACAAGGTATATTCATTCATCTTGGATATCTTGTATATATCCGAGTCAATAGTAAAATCATTGCATATGTACTTGGTTCAAGTAAACATGTGTTGACTCGATAGAATAAACTGTCAGTTGTGGACTAATGAGTCCAAGTTCAAGATTTCCACCAACTCGCATATATGCACATTAAATATTCAGTACTATTTTACAGCATGTAGCCTTTATTTTTCTCAACAGCTGTGCTTAACAGTACAACTCAATACATTTGTCTATTGTAGGTACAAGATACGGCAGGTACCCCACAACCCATCTACAGCCTTATCTACACCTACGATGGAGAGTATCTTATAGCAACTGCAGGTGTTGAGATTTTAATCTACCATTCCACAACTGGTGAACTTCAAAAAACGCTCAAAGGCCACAAAGATGCCGTGATATGTCTATGTCCACTAAAGGGAAACGGCTTCGCATCAGGTGGTGCAGATAAGCAGGTGATTATTTGGAACAACAAGTGGGAAGGAACGCTCAAATACTCACATAACGATACCATCCAATCCGTGTCGCAAAATCCTGTCACTGGAATGGTTCTGTCCTGTACTGCTTCAGATTATGGATTATGGACTCCAGACATTAAAGCAGTAAACAAAACAAAGGTAGGCCTGAAAATGATTTTGTTGGACAATACCAAAATGGTGTTTAGATCTATGCTCTTGCTTACCATCAAATATACACTAGGTTCCATCAAAAATTTTGTGTAGTTCTTGGACATTGGATGGCCAGCATTTTGCTCTTGGTCTGTATAACGGAAATGTATCAATTCGTTCACGTACTGGAGAGGAAAAAGTCCGTATCGAGCGTGGTTCCTCACCAGTATGGTCTGTAGCATGGTCGCCTGCACCAGAACTAGACTTGGACATTCTCGCTGTTACCGACTGGTCACAAAAACTTTCTTTTTTTCAAATCAACGGATGTCAAGTCGGAAAAGATCGCCAGTTGGGTTACGATCCATGCACAGTATCTTATTTCCCAACAGGTGATTATCTCGTCATAGGTGGATCCGACAAAAAAGTCCATCTGTGGACACCAAATGGCGTACGTATTGCTCCCATCTGTGATCGCCAAGGCTGGGTGTGGTCTTGCAAAGTCCGACCCAACCATAATCACGTCGCAGTGGGCAGTCAGGACGGAACCATTTCTATTTACGAAGTGGTGTTAAACATTGTTCATGGACTCTACCATGATCGATACGCATTTCGACATAATTTAACAGATGTAGTTGTCCAGCATCTTTCAACAGATCAAAAAGCACGTATCAAGTGCTGTGACTATGTGAAAAAAATATCTGTATATAAAGATCGACTGGCTGTGCAACTGCCTGATCGTATCATCATATACGAGTTGTTTCACGATGATGCCGGAAATATGCATTACCGCATAAAAGAAAAATTACAAAAGAATCTAGAATGTAATCTACTGGTAGTGACGTCACAGGCCATCATACTTTGTTTGGATCAAAAGCTTCAAATGTACTCGTTTGTGGGCGAAAAAGAGCGTGAATGGAATTTAGATTCATCCATTCGATACATCAAGGTTATTGGCGGTCCAAGTGGGCGTGAAGGATTACTGTTGGGACTAAAAGACGGTCATATACTCAAGGTTTTTGTTGACAGCGCATTCCCCATTTCAATTGTTAAACTACACTCGCCTATTTGCTGTATTGATTTGAATCTGTCACGAACCAAGCTAGCAGTGATTGATGATCAAAATACATGTGTGGTATACGACATAAATACAAAGGATGTCCTGTTTCAGGAACCAAATGCAAGCAGCGTTTCATGGAATACAGAGGTGGACGACATGATGTGCTTTTCTGGTAACGGCATTTTGAATGTCAAAATTGGAAACTTTCCTGCTCATCAGCAAAAAATGGATGGGTTGGTTGTTGGATTTAAAGGATCACAAATCTTTTGCTTGAATACGTATCAAATGACTATTGTTGATGTGCCGCAAACGACTGCTATGGATCGATACATGGAAAAAGAAGAGTTTGATTCGGCGTATCAAACAGCTTGTCTAGGTGTTTCTGAGGGAGATTGGCGAAGATTAGCACTCGAAGCACTGGAAAAACTGAATCTAAATGTATCTAAAAAAGCGTTTGTTAGGTTGCGAGATTTCAGATTTTTAGAAGCTATAAAGACGATTGAAAAGCTTAAAATTGAAGGAGGCAAAGAAAACGATCTTTTTTTGGCACAGGTGGCTGCATTTGCCGCAAAATATCACGAGGTAGAGTGCGTTTTGATATTGTATTTAAACAATTCATTTTGCTACTATATTCTTGCATTGAATCAGTCTAAACCATTCCAACTCTTGTTTATTGTAGGCTGCACGACTTTTTAAACGCGCAGGTCATGTTCAGCGGGCCGTAGAGATGTTCACCGAACTAAATATGTGGGAATATGCTACCCAGCTTGCAGAAGAAACCGATGGGAAAACTCAAGATATTCTTTTGCGTAAAGCACAGATGCAGGAAGATCGCCACGATATGCTTGCGGCTGCAGCCACGTATGAAGAGGTTGGCGATTATGCCAAAGCTATCGACATTCTTGGTCCAGCAGGATTTGTTGATCGTCTGATGGAAATTGTTCGTAAACTTGACAAACAAGCAACCAAGGAACTTGTGCAATGTGCGCTGTATTTTCGTAAGCACAATCACCAAGCCTATGCCATTGAAACTTTTATAAAATTGGATGATCTGGTTAGCCAGCTGCAAATGTATATCGACATGCAACAATGGGATAATGCATTTCGAATTGGAGACACACATCCAGAGTTAAACAAGCAAATTTACTTGCCATATGGTCATTGGCTGGCCATGAATGATCGTTTTGAAGAAGCGCAGAAATACTATATTAAAGCTGGTTGTATACACGAAGCCATCCGTGTTCTTAAACAACTATCCCAAAATGCTGTGCTTCAACAGCGGTTTGACGATGCTTCTTTTTATTACTGGACACTCAGCAAAGAGTATCTTGAAATAGTTCCTACTGACTTGGATGAAAGCCAGCTTAATCAAACCCAGCGACGTGCATTTATGCAATACAAGAGTTGTATTGAACTTGCAGAGATTTATCATGCATATAAATCTGTGTTTCGATTTGTCGAAGATCCATTTACGTTCACTTTGCCAGAATCTCTACTTAATATGGCCAAGCATGTGTATATTTTCTGCACAAACAAGTACACTCCAACTGGAATCAGTAAAGTCTATGTGCTCTATACCATGGCAAAAATATCTCGTAATTTAGGTGGGTTTAAACTAGCACGATATGCGCTTGAGCGTCTTATGCTTATGAAGGTTCCACCCAAATGGCAAGACACGCTCGATTTAGACACTGTGACAATTCGCAGTAAACCTGTAACAGATTCAGACGAACTAATGGTAACATGCTACCAATGTTCAAGCATGAATCCACCATTCCAATCCAAAGCAAATGCATGTATAAACTGTTCCGAGTTGTTTGTTTTGTCAATGTATTCGTTTCATAGTTTACCGCTCGTTGAATTTGTGTTGGATGCAGGCATCTCGGATCAATTGGCAGAAAAGTTGATTTTTACAGATTTAAACAAGGAAAACGGTGCTATCAATGACCAAGGAAGATCTAGACCGAATGATGAAGTAAAAGGAAGTGCTCAGTCTGCTATTGAGCAACAGTTGGCCACCATGCCACTCCAAACAAAACGTGGATCAAACCTAATTGAAAACCCAACTACACATCCAAAGTACTCTCGTCAACAGCTACAAAATTTAACCAAGTACCAAGTGTTTGTGCGCAAAAGTTTGCATCGATGTGTACCTGTGAGATACTTTTATCGCGTTCAATCCGATACAAGAGTTGCCATGTGTAGTTCTTGTAATATGTTTTTCTATGAAGACGAATGGATCTCTGAAGTATTGTCTTATGGTAAATGTCCATTTTGCAGATCTAAATCTAGTATTTCCGAATGAACCGAGTTTATTGGTGATGGATTTGATGTAACATTACTGGTTGCCTCATCATTTCGATTTAAACATGCGCTTCATACCAACTTGACACTATACGTTTGGAAGAAAAATGAAGGGTTATATATTGTTCATTGCTTGAATACATTTCTGATGATTGAGAGCAGGACTGATTTGGAGTTGAGTCCCAACTAAATTGCTTTCAGTTTAAGCCGTATTCACATCAAATAAAACACTAGATTTTCAAGATGTGCACTCTTTGGTTTCTTGAACCAGACGCGAAGGTATGTGTAAGTTTGTAATTGTATTGACAACACCAAAGCCCAATATTTGGTAATTGTATAATACACGATTGTATCAAACGGAAAAAGCGGAAAGACTCAAGACTATAGTTTGGCTGTATTATACAATATGCGTTGCATTTAAAGAATCGAGAGTGACAATTTCTAGCAAGTGCAATAATATTCAAATATTTATTGCAAATAATAAAAGTATTCCATTTTACGCGAATACGGCAGTAAAACAAGTTTGTCGAGGATGAACTTTACAGCAACGCATCGAGGCCAGCTGGCCGTTGCTGCAGCAAGTGGTGGTCTAGCTGTTCTTGCATTCATCTGGATTAAAGGACTTTTTAGAAAAAGAGTGGAACTACAAAAGTTTAAGAAAGAGTTGGCACAGCAGGTCAAGTTTGATATTCCTGAAACTGAAATACTCACTCCAGAAGCCGAGTTGCTGGTCAAGGAGCAACTCTCTCGTAATATTGCGTTTCTTGGTCCAGAGGTGCACAGTTTGGTTGCTTGCTAAATAATATATACTGTTTTTGAATACGTTCCTTGACTGATACTGGCTACTTTGAAACTTAGGGAGTTGCCAAATGTCGCAAATCGTTTGTGATTGTTGTTGGTCTTGGTGGTGTCGGTAGCCATGCCGTAAGTTTCAAGTCATGATTGATCGTGATAGATTGTATGGATTTACTCTCGACTAATAGGAATGATTAAATATGCCATTGATTTATATTTGATGGTTTATTAGGCCCACATGCTAGTGAGATCAGGAATTGAGCATGTTCGTCTGATTGATTTTGACCAAGTAACATTGTCATCCCTTAATCGGCATGCTGTTGCCAATCAATCGGATGTGGGAACATTTAAAGTAACGGCAATGCAGCTACACCTTGCAAACATTGTTTCTCATGCCAAGATCGATGCAGTAATTGAACTATTCGAAAAAAAGACCGCTTCTCGCTTGCTAAGTGGAAACCCTGATTTTGTTCTAGGTAAGACTGCCACACAATGATTCATAAGAGGATAGTCAAGAAACTATACTGCACAAAGCATCTTTTGTTACTGACCTACTCTATTGATCTTTTAGATTGTATTGATAATCTCCAAACTAAAGTCGATCTACTCGAATACTGCCACAATCATAACATTCCTGTGATTTCATCCATGGGTGCAGGAGCGAAAGCAGATGCGTCTCGTATTCAGATTGCAGACATTAGCGACACATTCGAGGATCCGTTGGCTCGCTCAACCCGCCGTCTTCTTCGACTCCGTAAAATTGAAAAGGGAATCACGGTTGTCTACTCTACCGAAAAACCAACCAATGTCAAGCTGGTTGAATTGACCGAACAGCAATTGGGCGATGCCCAAGAGTTTGCCCCATTGCCTCATTTCAGATCGAGAATCTTGCCGGTTTTGGGAACAATTCCAGCATTGTTTGGAAATGCTATGGCTTCATATGTGCTGACTGAATTGAGTGGATTCAAGACGGATCCAATTCCAGTCAAGTCAAAAAAAAAGATTACTGATAAAATGTTTCATGATTTGCTCAAGGCTGAGCGTGAACGAAAGTAAGCTTATCCGAAATTACCTGTTTTCAATGTTCAATATCTAATTTTAATCGACTTTTTTTAACGTGGTCTTGGTTAGCGTTCCAACCAAAGTAAACTCGGACGATGCTGCATTTATTGTAGACGAGGTAAACCCTAACCACCTAATGTATGGTTTGATTGATGTGCATGGCTAATCATAATTCATTTTTGATAAATTATTCATAGATTTGGGGAGGACGAAGTGCGCTCACTGGCGCCACATCAGAAAAATTAATTCTAGTCCGCTGGGATCTAACCAAGCCAGCCGAGTTTGGCAATCTTGTTTGCCTCACAAAGCAAGAGGCAGAGCTTCATAAAAATGGTGCACTGAATAATTTGAGTACTCTATACACTGCTGATCAATTGGCTAAAGTGCAAGAGAAGTTGGATCTAGCCGTATCACTTCAAAAATGGAGAATAAAATAAATGTATGTGCCATGGAGTCTGTATTACTGTTGTATTCACGTAAAAGGATCACTTGTACTGTTTTACAGCCACTATTTTGTTTCAGGATAAATAGTGGGTGTATAGCTTTGTCAAAAAGTTTAGAAAACACAATGCTGTCCAATAAATTTAATGAATTGGCTATTTATTATGTATTTTGGCACCCTTGGTTGGTGTTCCGCTTTACATGAATACGACAGTAATGATCAAAAGCAACTAATGCGCTTATTATTTTGCCTCGTCTCGAGACTCATATGTCTGGAGACCGTTGCAATCACTATTTTCAATTCGAAAATTAGTATATTGAAAATTCGTTAGTATATATGGCAGTATACATACCAGAGAATACTGATAAACGTTCCGCCCATTCCGCATTCTATCAGATCTAAAGTTGATTCATCAGACAGACTCGGTAAATTGGCAGGATTCATAATTAAATTATTGATCCAAATCTCACCTTGGAGTGTAATTCGAGTTAAATCTTTTGGATGAGCCATATCAAACAGTTCATTCTATTAATGCAAAATTAGATCTTTTGCACTGAATACATTAAAAAATAAACTTTAAACCACTACGTACTACAATATCTTTGGCTGGAACTAGTTCATATCCCAACAGTTCTTGTTTTTTGGATACCTCCTGTAAACAAATATTAAATCAATTTCAACACAAAAACAATACACATTTGATCAAACATACTTGGAAAAATGTAGAAATGATGTTTTCGTCAAGATATCCACGACTGTAAATATCCAGCAGTTTAAAGCAGTATGTAATTGATTGTGGAGATCGCATATTTTCCATTGCAAGAACAAAATCGAGATAGGCGTTGAAATCCTAAATATAAACATTCGCAAATCAGGCAAAATAAGTAAATAAAAATATTATATTTGTATTTTTAAACTATTTAATGCAAGTATACCAACCATTTCGTTATTATATGTTTGATTTTCTTGAAAAACTCGATCTAGAAACATGCCAGTTAAGGTCTGAGACCGATATTTTGAGAGCTCCTTTCTACTCACCATACCGTTTCTATCTGTGTCTAAATTCAAAAATTGTCCTGCATAATTCAAGGTTTGTATAGCCTCGATATTAAAATAACGATTGTAGAGCTAATATACTTTAACACATTTACTGACCATATACTCTCAAAGCAGAGTAAGATGAAAACCAATTGGTCTGTTCATACTCTCGTGGAAGATCTGGGTCGCGAAGCTCTAGTAGCTCTGTAAGAATGGGTGAAAGCAAGATGCATTCTATGGCCACTTTACCTATTTGGGTGTTTAATATATTGTCAAAATAAAAGCAATACATTGGCATCTTTATGAATATCCAATGGTTGCAAAAGATTCACTCTCACCTCTTCTCAATGGATCCAAAAAAAACAAGATTTTGCGAACAGCAGTACAGATGTAAAATTTCTCAAAAGGTGCACTAATGTTGCGCAGATTGAGAGTAGGCATAATAGTCTTGATATATGTTTGTAATTCCTTTAAATCAAAGAGTTAAATTTATACAAGATGCTCGACCAGCTTTCAAGACGGTGTTTTTAAACTTACGAATTCGGTCAGATATCCATCTGCATCTTCATCGTATATGCTTAAATCGGCACGAGCCTGCATCAACGAAACTAATGCGCTTGACCAAACATATAATGAGATTAGGTACAATGAAAAAGACAGTATTTTACAATATAGCCAAATCAATCAATGCACCTTTACGGAGGACAAAGTTAAAAAAGGCAAGAATATCAATACGACCCTGATCATCTCTAGAAAAACGAAGAAATAGCGATGGTTTGAAGAACTGTGCATACTTTGTATCCAGATCCTCCTCAACAGCTTGAAACTGTGCAAACGATACTCTCTGGATTGGCGTCCCCAATAAAAAGGTTAATTGCATCACCAAATCCGAGTTTTTAGATTTCAAGCTGAACAGATTCAAGAAATACCTGGGATTTATCATTGGATTGTATAGTTGCATGAGAACATAGACATATCCACAGTTTATCCAACTCATCATTTGACAATATAGACTTTCCGTGCTTGTCTTGGAGGGTCAGAAGCGACAGCCTTGTTAGTTCAAGTCTAATGGCACTAGAACTGTCCTGCTTTTTAAAAAAGAATTTTGGAATAGTTCCAGCAGGACTGGATCTGGACTGAGAAGTGTCTTGGTTTGCAGATGTATCCGGCATGCGACTTAAAATGTGTTTCAAGACATTCCACTGAGATTTATCTGATGATAATAGACTCATTCTTACTGAATAGCGTGAGGGTTTGGAGTGAAATGGCAGATACGGAGTGTTGAACTTGTATTCTGGCTCGCACAGGAGCGTGTTGAAATATGCGGTGTGGGCGGAATTCGGCCATTCTAACAGCTGTTAACCAGGGCCGCCATTAAATTGACAAACTTTGATTTTCTATTGTAAAGATGAGTGCCATGCCCACAGCTGCTACTCCTAGCTCTGCACCTGGACAGTCTATGCTTGTGCATTTAAACAGAGTATGTGATGATTATTCTGAACTCCATGTCTTGCATCGTCACTTGATACTCACACATCTGTTTTTTGATGGTTCAATCTGTATACAATCTTTCGACATCTCGACTGAATCATTGTCAAACTTGATACTTTTTGGAACCTTGATCCATCTATTCATCCAAAAACAACCGACTTTGAAATAACAGAAATGTCAAAAGATCTTGGATGACTTGACACCTTACACAACCCCACGATGGGCTGGAACAGCGGTTCTAGGTGTTCTCTATACTATTCGTGCATTTACTGCTGGTGGTTGGTATATTGTAACATATGCTTTGGGTATATACCTGCTTAATCTGTTGCTGGCCTTCTTGACTCCAAAATTCGATCCTGCATCGGAAGAGGGATTTGACGATGAAAGCGATGGGCCAATGCTTCCAACCAGACATGACGATGAATTTAAACCGTTTATTCGTCGTCTTCCTGAATTCAAATTTTGGTAGGCATTATAACGTATTGGTAGTTCTGCTATCACAGTATCAGTCTTGGCAGTTACTGAATATGATCATGTTAATTATTTATTTGAAAATGATCGTTGGGTCTGACGGAATTCATCTAAATCTAGGTTTTACTCTACTCGTGCTCTCTTGATTGCATTTGGATGTACACTCTCAAGTGTCTTTGATTTGCCCGTATTCTGGCCGATTTTGTTGATATACTTTATCATCCTATTTAGTATCACCATGAAGCGCCAGATCATGCACATGATCAAGTACAAATATGTACCATGGGATTTTAACAAAAAGGTAGATTCAATGCCGATTTGCCATTCCCTTTTTATCTAGGCTTTGATATTTTTGACCCTGATTATTTATACTGTGGATTTATTATAATCTACCCCATATAGCAATACAATACTGGTGCAGCTAAATCTGAAAAATAAACCAACTGGACTTCATTTTATGCTAGTGCGAGATTTTACTACATTTTCTTTGGTTCATGCTCACTGTACATACACGACAACATATTCTGTGTGATACTGTCTGAACACTTTGGGTTATATTCATCAAGGACAGCATCTTTGTGATATGTCTGCACCGAGATGCGAAATAATCTCGTGTTTGATGTGATGCTGTTATTTACAGTCGTATTCACGTATAATGGAATGATGAATAAGGATGCCAAGGTACATAATAAACAGTCAGACTCATGGAATGATAATCTCCACCAGAGTATTTGTGATTTTAGGATACAAAGGCGAGTTTGTAGAGTTCAGTTTTTGCACTGTAACAATCGCCACCACATTCAATGTCTTTTTGAAGCTTGGCAACTGCGTTTGTTTGGTGATGTCGGTGGATTGTCTACTGGCTTAAGTGACATGAGCATCCATCGCTCGTGTCTTGCGTATCACAACAACAATCTGACTTATTGGCACAATCTGCTACTCTTTTTGATTGAATATGGGACATCGTTCATTTGGTCCAACGACAGCTGTTCGCTAAACTTGATGTTGGTCTTGTTCTGACGCGAGAGTTTCGGCATTCCACTTGTATATTTGTAAGCTAACCTGAAACAGTCATGCAGTTTTACAAACCAAAGACTCTTGTTTCCAGCAAGCTGCAACAGAGTCTGCTCGATATTATCAGAATGGGTTCAAAACATGACGAAATTGGGCTGAAATGCAAATAAATATTTTCATCCCGTTTTCGTCCCTTTTGTTTCCATTAAACTGCTTCAACTCAAACATGTCACTATCACCTATGGTTCGACAATCCATTACTGCCATATGCACTACTCGTCCATTATTGGCACTATCTCACCAATCACAGATTGTATGACTACTTTGAATTGTTGTTCCGGCTCAAGCTTCTTGATTGTTTGAGATTGCCATCAGCCCATCTTTTCTGTCGACTCTTGACTCGAGTCTTGCTAACCAACTTGCCACCTAAATATTCAGAGATGCAAGTTTTCTAAACCCGATCTACATGTCTATTTGCTGGAAGATGTCAAAGGTCTTGGAAAGCGAGGTAAGCCTGTCAAGTGGGTCTTGAGTTTCGACTTTTCTTCAATCTCTTGTATTTTATCGATAACCGCAGTTGGATATTTATATACCGTTTGACTGATACAACTATTGAAACTCGTTTAATTTATAGGCGAGATTGTCCAAGCTGCACGTAAGTTGATCTTGCTCATTAGATCTGGTCATGTCCATCAAAACATTGGCCAGTATATTATAATAGCTTTGTCCTTATTGCTCTATAAAACTACACCCGAGTTATATGGTTTATTTAATCAAATATTTTAAAATACAGCCAAAACAGTTCGAAACTACCTTGTACCATTTAAACTGGCGTACTATCTGCCTAGATTCAACGACCAACCAGTTCTTCCAGAAAACTGGATTCCCAATACCAATGAACAGGAGCTCGATATCGAAGTCATATCTCCAGCATTCTCAACAGTAATATATAATGAATCAGCACCACAAACTGTTCTTTCCCCAGTGGCTGATATAACTATGGGACCAGTACGTTCAGCGGCCCAAAAGGAGTTGGTTGAAAAAGAATACGAGCAGCATGATAGCGAAAATCGTATTGCATTACTCTCACTCGATCGATTGGTTTTCCATCGTGTGCGGATTTCGCCAGACTCGGACAAGATTTTTGGATCAGTATCTCCATATGACATCTCGCTGCTTTTGGATCAGTCGCATTCGATTCGTGTCAATCGTGACTTGATTATTATAAAATCTCAAAAAATCAAGCACATTGGTGAGCACGATGTTGAAATTCAGTTTGGTTCTGGCCTACAGCCCGTTCAAATCAAGGCTGTCATTGAAGAGCTTAAATAATAAATGGGTTGGCCAAAAAAAGTGTTTTTTGAGTGCTTGTAGTTTATTGATTTGATCAAGTTGAAAGATCTTTGGTATTTATATTGATGGAGGCTTCCAATTCACCTTTTGTTGCAACATATTCGACAGCTCTTCATTGATCACCTCCTCCAACGAGTGCTGGTCTCGTGCATAAATCCACTTTCCTGTTTTGGCTTCATAATCATATCGTTTTGGCCCACTGTATTGCATAAATAAACATTAATTCGAATCACAAGTTGAACCATGCAAGGTTGGATCCTTACCTTACAGGCGATGATAACCACACTTGCTTATTCGGTGGTTGTTTGTTAATGACGAATATACCATGATCGCCCAGTTTAAGTGTAAGCACTCCACTCTAACCAACATTCCAACAAGCACGTATCAGTCTCTTATCCAGTAGTTTATAAGCTCTTGAAAGCATACCCAAGTCTTGACCAAGCAAAACATTACCGAATAGACCACATCGAATCCGTCCATGTCGATCGAATCACCAAGTTCTTCAAGATACTCCAGCAAAGAATTAAGATAAACATTAGCGAATTTGTGGTAATCGTTTTCAGACAGAGTGGTTGAATGGCTGACTAAGGGTACATGTGCTGACTGGATGGTGTTTGGAGCTTTGGAGTAATATCGGATAGGATGCAGTGGGTGGACCTGGATCAGAGGAATGTAATGGTGATGAAATGCAAGGAGTGACATGGGTTTTAAGCGTTGTTTCAGACACATTATGGTGGTCGCTGTTCTCCGATGCATGCCAGACATTGATGACAGAGTAGCGTACAAGATACGATAGTAATGGTGAACTGAGCGTTCCATTCTTTTCTGTTTCACGTGACTGCATTGATGCTCCCGAGCAAATTCCCAGATGCAGTAGACTACTCACAACTGGATTGAGACGCAATTGGGGTTTTACACTGCCAAACAGGTTTATAATCCAACGGACTGTTTATTCAATATTTGAAAGTTTTATTAACCTGGCGCGGTTGGTTTGTTAGGTTGCGCATGCTCTAGTGAAGATAGAGTAGATGTTATGGGTGACAGAGTGGACAGATTTGCTTGCAATATATCATGTGTCAGAGGAGTAAACGGGGAGTTTAAAGCACTGGTGGGCTCTGTGTATGGGTGAACCTCGGTTGCATCGCGTTGCTGCTGGATCGGTATAACTTCCGAGACATCAGGCTGCAAGTATACAGAGGTGTGCGATCGATCGCGATGAGCTTGACCATGTCTCACAATACTAGTTCTAGAAGGGATTGATTTGGAATGATGTGATGGTTGTATGGCTACTTTGTTGATATCGAGGAGAGAGAGTGGTTTGGATTGAGTCGCAAAATGGTCTGCCAAACGTTTGCGTAGCATCGTAAAAGAACACATTTTCCAATCTACTGCATCACCAGGCTGTTTGGGCACATTGGGATAATCTGAATCTGCAATAGCCTCCCATAAATTATACCTTAAAAGTAGCCGAGAAAACACTGCAGTTTGATGATGCGTTGCCAATGCCATATCGTTCAGCGTAGGATCTGCCAAAAATGTAGTATATTGTGTAGGAAATCAGCAAAACGTGTAATGTTCAAGAGCTATACATTTGTGGATAAAACTATAAATTACCAATGTTGCTGTAGTCTGGAACATTGGAAATATCTTTCCCAGACAAATTTTCCAAAACAATCTGTACGTCTTCTTGAGGCAATAGCTGCTGCATACCAGGATGCATATGTTGTAAAGCATTGCGTCCCATGTCCATTGCAAGAAGCCATCTGAATATTTACAATGGTTATAAAACAGTCGAGGCAATGCCATTGGAATGCAATGCACCATTTTGAATGGATTATGTCAAAAAGTAACTCACTTTGTCTTTGAATAGATGCATTTATCACAGGCATGCAGAACCATGATTTCAACCACTACATTATAACAAAGTAGAGTTAGCTATAGCACTGGTGCAAGTGCTGACATCAAACCAAACGCGAATGGATAAAGGCAAACTTGATCAATGACTCTTGCTACCTCCAGTATTAATTGATGACAGGGCAGGAGAGTCTGTGAAATCCCTTATGGAGAGTTTATGAAGCTGTAATCCCCAGCGCACTCCACTATCCTTGACATGCTCTTTGTGGTTCGTTGTAGCCCTTTCATGTATATCCGCCTCTGAATGTGATGTATTTGCCATGATGCTACGATGGACCAAAAAAGCGTGTAACTGTTTCAGTTTTAAAGTAGCGAAACAAAAGCAAATGTTGGGATTTACGGCGATGTGTATGTTGGGTAAGAAAACAATGAGGGGTGAATGTTAGTAACTCGACAAGCCATTGTTGGATGAACGAGGGTTTCAAATGCAACATCAACGCGACTCACGTGTAGCGCGTGATCCACTAAAAAGAGTCTCAAGAATGTGGAAAGGCTGCACAAGTACTGATCGCAGCCAGTAGTTTGCGAATTTTATTGCTATATAGTATTCTGTATCGTCTTTTTATAACACTCGTTCTGGTTTCTTGCTAGTCTTGCCTTTACGGTAAAGCAATCACTTGGTGCATTTAATTTTCTGCTCTCTTGCATTTTTTCAAGTTTCTGGTTTGTATTCTTCGTCTTGTCAATGCTATTTGAACGCACCCGGTTTGTCTTCAAGGAATGCTGCTTGACTCACTCAAGAATGACTTTCATTGTTTATATAATACACTCCATGTTTGACTTGCAGTGCTGGTGGCTACACCCGTCTACTTTGGCCCTATTGCAGTATTTCTGGTTGTGCGATGGCAGCAACCGAAGCAGATTTTCATGATATTTTAAATGCCGAGTCGTTGGTAGACATTGGCAAGCTAAGATCCGCTGCTCGCTATGGTATCCCTGACGAGGTGTGTTTTATATGGAACGATCGTCATCGTTGAATATTACAGCATGCAGCTCCTTGTTGTCGCCGCTACATCTACTCCCCTCATGTTTATCCCATGAATATTGGGGATGGAGTACATTCCTCACCCACAATCATTGCATTAACTCTTATTACCATTCAACTCCGACCATCTCATTTCCTCTAGGTTCGCGGCCAAGTATGGAAATATTTGCTTGGAGTTGAGACTGCTGACAAGTGTAAGTTTGAGTCGTTTTTATTTTTGGTATGGCTTGATAAATGATGGAATAGCTGGCTTGTTTCAGCAAACGACCCCTTTATGCCATTGACTAGTTTTCAGAATTACGTATGCAATGGCTCGTGCTTGATACATGTTTGATTAGACAGCCATTGCTCATTGTGATAAAAAAGATACTGACCATTTAGTTTAATGAATCTGACATGTGTACAAAAACTCTATTGTGTAACCAATTTAATGCTCATCCATGTATATAGCCCAGGAAATTTCTATCCATATGGAAAAGTATCGAGAGTATCTTCAATACAACAAGGAAAATACAACTCTGGTCAAGCGAGTGCGTGGAGAAACCTCTCGCTATTGCTGGCGTCGCAAAAGGGATTTTGAAAAGGCTGGATGTGTAGATATAGAACAAAAGATTGAGAATGTTGTGTCGGCTTATTTGAATGTGCACCATCGATCTCAAAACCTATTGCCAGAGGTATTGATCTCACTCTGTGGCCCAATAGCGTGCTCGTTAGCCATCGAGTCTGAAGTTTATTTCAGTCTTGAGAAGCTTTTGGTCCAAACTGGTAGGACACTAGATCAACTTGATTACTTTCACAAAGTGCGTTTTGATTGCTAATTTGTAATACTGTTTAATATTTTTATAGACGAATTGCTTGCAACAAAGGATTTGAATTCACGACTAGCCAACTTTCTCATGCTGTTTCGTATTCTCATGCCGGATCTGTACAACCATTTTGAAGAGGAGGAAGTCAACTTTCGTGATTGGGCCACATCCTGGTTTCAGTATCTATTGGCACGCGAGCTTCCGTTAGAATGTGTGATGCGACTATGGGACACTTATTTCTCCATGCCAAGTGGATTATCCCTTCATGTATTTGTTTGTTTAGCCATGTTGTCTCATGTCAAGGATAATCTAGAGGAACTGGAGCAGTCAGAAATACACTCCTTGTTGCTAAGACTGCCCGTTTTGGATATGGATAAAATCATATCGCACGCATTTCGGATCAAGTATGAAGTCATGGAGCTAGCATTGTCCGATTTAGATTGATTTAAATACCAAGTAGTTGAATATATCCTTGGTCACTTGAAGGTTTCAGCTGCATGTTTTACATGCAGAATAAACACTGCCTCGACTAGTGGCATGCCGTTCTTGTATTCCATTCATCTGTTGCTAGTGTAAGATATGAGACAACACAGCTCGAGATGGTCGACAGTTTGCTTTTATCAAGAACTGATGCTGATGAAGCTATACCGAGTTTTAACCCCAAACAATCGAATCTGCAAGAATATCATCCATAATCTAGTCATGATGGGTTTAACAAGTTTTATTTTTGTTAAAAGTCGGAATAAATACCAACTCCATCTTCCAATAAAAAGGTTGATACATTGTAATAACTGCCAATTAACAAAACGATCCGTTCAAGAGGTTACGGAAAAGTCTTGGATGAAACTCTGAAATGCTGTTTGGAGCGCTTTGTGAGACGGAGATCTTTAAAGACTCTCCACACATTCTTCCACTTGACTGCATCATCTCGCTATTGATATCTATATCCATCATAGATCGCTTTTCTGGAGAAACCAGTACAGGATATGAAGTAGCCATTATATTATTGATACCTGACAAGGAGGTAGTAGGTGGAAGCGTTGGATGGGTGTGAGACTGATGCATGGAGTGATCTCGATACAACTCGAACGTATCTTGGCAAGACGGCAAGGTGGATGCTATGGGCCATGCAGTTGCTACATTCTGTCGTTTAGCCTAAATCAAAAAATAAACATGATTAGAAATGGGGTTCAATAGAGTCGGAGACAAGAGGTGCAGCGAGTTGGAGATGGTGTCCGTCTTGGCTTATGCTCCCCATTTCTCGCTAAAGCATTGCTTTACACATCAGTTTGTGTAAAGCCGAGTCTTATTCATCAGTTCTCATCATGCTGGATTACATGATCAGAATAGCTACTGTTTCTGAGCCCAGCAAAACAGGCTCTGGAACCATTAGAAATATTAAAATGCTCTTACCTGTGTGGTATCTGTCATGCTCGAGTCAAAAACTCGTTTCTTGCTCGGCATTTCGTAAGTGGGTGACATGTAGGTGAAAATATAGGATAGTACAATGAGACAAGGACGATGCTTAAACTACAGAATATATGGGCAAAGCAGGCGGTTAAAGTAGGAATATCGGCCTTTTATAAGCGAGATTTTCAAAGGAAAATCCGAAACTTTTGCACTGCCAACAATCTGTTTGCGCAGCAACAAAAGTCCAAAACCATTTTGAAACCCAATTGTGTATTAGAATGAATGATGCAAGTGTTCACAAGACCACCAGTTAAAGTAAATTTCATTTCATAGTTATTCAGGTGCTGGCTCAGTAGACTCTGTTACTCCTGTTGCTACTGTCGCCCATTGAAGCTCAACCTCTGACATTCCTTCACCACTCAATTGGCTGGACATGGCCTATAGTACGGTTAGAAACAATCCATCAAATGAGTTAGTCGCAAATATACCCTATCATCCACTACAAATTAAATATGAATATACTGGAATGGGTGTTGCTTTTACCTTTTCGGCTTGCCAGCGCATTTGATAGCTGGCCATTGCCGAGTCATCACCCAATTTTACAAATTCAACGAATCCATCAAAAGCCTAAAATGGTGATCAAATTATGAATTGAGTCAACCATCAATTGTGTTTCAAATACACATGCATACATCCAATAACCTACCTCAAAATGAGTCCGGATAGCCTCCAAATTGGATTCTGAAACAGGAGAGATGGAAATCTTGGTTGATCGATTGTCAATATTAAATGCTCTGGGAGTATATCCGCCACGTCCACGATTCCATCCGCCACGTCCACGTCCTAACCCTGCAACTGGTTTTGCAGTCGGGTCAGTGATGCCCAAACTCTGAGCCTAAATAGTACAGTACATAGATTTAATAACACAGCAGCCGACAATATTGTGCATTGCATCTTTACAAATGATAGCCAACATACCTCGCCCTTGAGTGCCAAAAGTTGTGTTTGCAACTCTGGATCTACAGATTCGCCTGCTGCTGCATCTGTAGTAGAAGTAGTCGTGACAGGTTTGGCAGTAGCTCGTGATTTTATACTTTGAGCTTGAGTGGCTGCCTTTGCGACCATGCTCTCAGTTTGAAGTGAGAGTGATTTGATACTCAGTAGCAACTCCTTTCTATCTTTAGCACTTAGCGTCGTGTCCTTTTCCAATCGCTCCATCATTTTCTTTTGCTCGCCAATCTGTTTGGAAATCAGTGCTTCTTGACTTTTGTGCAATTCGAGTATAGCTTTAGCTTTCTCCTGCTGCATACGACGAAGCTCCTCAGCTGCAGCACGATGTGCATCTGCTGCTGTACCATCGTTGGTTGCATGTTCAGCAGGTACGGTTGCTCCACCCGCAGTCTGTGATGCATCAGTTCGTAGCTGGTAGCGATTGTGTGATGCAACTGCAGGCTTACCGTCAGATCCATGCACTGGACCACTGTTGACTGGTTCCGTTTGCCAATACACCTTGACAAATCGATTGCCAAAAATAGGATCAGGCGACCGATATGCATCCAAGGCTTCGTGCGCATTAGAATATTGAATGACTGCCTTTTGGGTTGCTGGATCTACCTGAATATTCGTTAGTGCACCAAAAGCTTTAAAATAGGCATTAACTTTATCCATGGCGCAAGATTCTAACGGAATATTTTCAACAACGAGTACTGTATCAGATTTTCGAGTACGCTGTTGGTAAGTATGGCCTGCGAATCCTCCACGACCAGATTGACCACCGCCACGAGTAGGCCATGAGCGGCCTTGTTGGTTAAATTGAGGACGAGAGCCAGCTCCAGATAATGGATCCATAGGTCTTGTTCCCATTTGCGGGAAATTTCCTTGATTCGTACCATTTCCTTGCATCATTGCCGAGTTCATTCCAAAGCCTGTCATACCGTTTTGGCGAGCGGTAGCATTCATATTGTCAATCAGTAAAGCCTCAGGCCCATGATTGTAGGGACATGCTTCTCCTCGAAGACAGTAGCCTTTTGCTATAGTTGTAAATTGAATATCAATAGTTTAACAATTAGATGTAGCCATGTTTAACATGCTTATCTTGGAATGAAGTTTACCTTCATAGTTGAAGCAGTGGCCTCTTCGACTGTCCATATTGTTATTTCCTCTGGTATTGTTAGATCGAGAGTCACGATCATTTCTTGAACCAAAACGATGATCCATGCCTTGATTATTATCACGAGAGCCATCGAATTGTTTGGATCCAAGTTCAGTCGATGATTCAGATTTATTATAGGCAGATTCACGGTTCCCATTACTTTGAGTCGTATTGAATGCAGTTCGTGCTATTTTGTCTGGACGATCATCGCTATACTGTGCAACATAATCACTGCCATCATTGGTTTCTTTTCGTGAACGTTTTAATGGAAGTGATGAATTAGCATCTATATCTTGAGTAGCTGATTGGTCATGAGATACAGCGGATAGTTCAATGGCATCGCTTGGCCCTGCTATGGATGCATTGGAAAACGCATCATTGGCTAGTGCCTCGAATAGTTGCTGTACAAAATCTTCGGTTTCTAAAAGTGTTTATAGTGATTGTTGGATACAGTCAGGATCAGTAACTTTTGATGGAGGAAAAAGATCAAGTATGATAAAAGTACACATCACAACCATTCGCTAAGAAATCCACCAATTCTGCCAGACAGTCTTCTTTTAGTGCCGCAACTGCCTTGTCATGCTTTAGCAAAGCAATCACATAATCTGCAAGAACGGTAGAGTCAGCATCAGAGCTAGAATAGAGCCCATACCGTATGTTTAGATATATGACAAGAGTGTAAGATAAATAGCAAAAGAGGATTGAATCTGTTAGCACTACAAAGGAATCTTGCACAATGGAGTGATTTGCAAAGGCTCGCTTGAATATAGTAAATCATCAAGTACATACATTCGCTCAAGAGTACTGACAAGGTAAGTCTTTAATGCTTCAGTGGCTGCTTCAGAAAAAAGCATTATATTGTATTGGTAGGATTTCAAACGAAATGCAATGATTTAATAAGATCAAACCAATTCAAAAGGTTGACAAAAACACCAGTTTGTGGGAATGGTGATTTGTAGTGTTTTAATGAAAACTGGCTGTTTTGTACTTTCAGAATCACTCATGACTAGTGTTTTTCTCATCAGATTCTGGCTTGATGGATATTGAGATTGTACAAATTCTTTATCTAAAAGGTTTAATGAATCTATACATTCAAATGTATAATTTTATCAACAGTAACAATCTCCAATAGATTGACTTTGTGTTTTTATATCAAATATGACGATGGAATTAGATTCACAATCAAATACAATTGTTGAATTCAATGTTTAAATCAAGTTTTACTTTTTCATATCGACATTTATTACAAACATGGTAACGAGTGTGATTTCTAAAGTACATGCAGATCCCATTCTAATTCCTTGTATTAGGTTAAAGTTGCTGTTCTTGGTGCTGCTGGTGGTATTGGCCAGCCTCTCTCGCTTCTGCTCAAGGGCAACATGTCTGTCACTGAACTTGCTCTCTTCGACATCGTCAATACCCCTGGTGTTGCTGCTGATCTGTCGCACATCAACACTCCTGCAAAGGTAATCATGCTGATTTCATGTGCATGAATAGCTTGATCTTTACTGTACCTTGAAGCAGTTCATTTCTGTCAAGTAATCTAACCTTTCTGCATGGATTGTAAAATATTGCTATGGATGGTAACAGGTCACTGGCTATGTGGGTGATGAACAGCTGGCAGATGCTCTCAAGGGTGCTCATATTGTAGTGATCCCAGCAGGTGTGCCTCGTAAACCTGGCATGACTCGTGATGATCTATTCAACATTAATGCTGGTATTGTCAAGAACCTCGCCATTGGTTGTGCCAAGTAAGTCTTGTTGCATCAGTGTTTGAATTGTGCAGTAGATCTAACCCTGACTTAGAAACTGTCCAAAAGCATTCATTGCTGTCATCTCCAACCCTGTCAACTCCACTGTCCCCATTGTTGCCGAGGTCTTCAAACAGCACGGCGTCTTCGACTTCCGTCGCATCTTTGGTGTCACCACTCTTGATGTGGTTCGTGCTGCCTCTTTTGTTAGCGAGATCGCTGGAACTGCTGCTGCATCTACCAACGTTGCTGTGATTGGTGGTCATTCTGGTGCTACCATTCTTCCCATTCTGTCTGCGGTATGTGGTTTTGTGCATTGAATAGTATTTCTTCATGCTCTAACTCTCATTGAATGTTTGGATCTATCGTTTTGAATCTACTATATAGCTTCCCCACCAATTCACCGATGCTCAGCGTGATGCCCTCGTTCAGCGCATCCAGTTTGGTGGTGACGAAGTGGTCAAGGCCAAGAATGGTGCTGGATCTGCTACTCTTTCTATGGCATATGCCGGTGCTCGTTTTGTCAACTCTCTTCTTGAAGCCAGTGTTCACAAGAAAACTGGTATCAAAGAATGCACTTATATCAAGACCGATGTTGCTGCTGCCGATGGTCTCGAATACTTTTCAACTGTTGTCGAACTTGGCGTAAGTTGGTTCTACTGCCGAAAATGATCCTTGACTTTGTTTTCAAACTTGTTCATCTACACCACAGCGTCTAGATATAGTATCACTCACATCGACAATGGTTTATATAGGTTGATGGTGTTGCTGTTGCTCACCCACTCCCCAATCTCTCTGCCCACGAAAAGGTTCTCTACACGGCTGCTGCTGCTGAGCTCAAGGCTAACATTCAAAAGGGTGTCGACTTTGTTGCCAAGGCTTCTCTTTAAATTGAATCTTGAAATATTATTGCTTTATTGTCTTGTACTGACTGTACGTTTTCTGGGTCTTTATTGCATTGTTTTTTGGTGGTGATTATATCTCCTTTGGTTGGTGTTATATTTTACTACTGGGCTGGAGCAGTTGATCGTTTGGTTCGTTCTCGATGAAGCTCCAAGTTTTTGGGCCGTTTTGGAATGGATGGAATCAGGAACGAGTTGGTATCCTCAGATTGTTCTAAAGTCTGCGCATCCATATCTGATGCCTCTGAAAAAACAAACTTTTCTGAGCTGTGTGATAAATGTCTTCGTATCTACATTGTTTGATCAATAGTATAATGTGAATATTTATGATACACAACAAGCATATTGCGTGCTAAAATATACACTACCGAATTGGCTGGCCGTAAAGAAATAGATGCATTGGTAGTTGGCATGGGCGAGTTGCACATTGGTTCTGATAATTAGAAACCAACAGGTTGGGTTAGTTGCATCTTGTAGTATTGGTTTGTGCTGTCCAGTTAAACTCACCAATTGCACCAGGATCGTTTGTAGCAGTTGTCCATCTATTGCCTTTGATTGTTCGTGTCGCACTTCGTTTTGAATCATCCAAAGACAATCCTTGCACTCGTTCTCGTGTTCCTCCAAACTCACCACTAGTCAATCGAGAAAACCATCCCTGGATCGTTGCGTATAAATACCAGTGTCCATCTCAATATTAGCCTTGAATGCATATGAACATTGCATAATTTTACACATTGATTCATATCAACCAAAATCCAATGTCATGATTAGACTAACCTGCTTTGTAGTAGCGGGTGAAAGCTGAGGAAAATCAGTCGCCTCAGGACTTTGCCCAGATCTTGTTCGCCTTTCTTTACATAGCTTGGCAAACACATCACCACACTCTTTTCTATTTGTCCATGCAACTTCCCCAGCCCTCTGATCCATCCAGTTTTTAATATCAATATCCGCGCCAAAATCCAACAAAGTCCGAACGACATCTGCTCCCTTCCAATGCTCTTCTTTTGATAACCATTTTTTGGTAGCAGGTTCCTGTTGCGACAAATTGTTTACAGCATACATCAATGCTGTCCATCCGTTGATTTTACTTTGTGCGTTGCATTCAGCACCGTTCTGTAACAGGAAAATAACAATTTCCGTGCATCCTGAATTCGCCGCGAGCATGAGTGGAGTCAGCCCAGTCATCCCACCAGTAAGATTCACGTTTGCACCCGATTCGCAAAGAAGTTGGGTGACTTGGAGACTGGCAGTACGTACTGCACAGGTCAGGGATGTCAGTCCAAAACTAGATGTGGCATCGATTTGAGCACCGTGATGAAGAAGAAGCTTGACATGAGGAAGATCACCGTTTAACGAGGCAAGCATTAAAGGTGTCCATCCATATGCGTTTGAATCGTTGGCATTTGCACCCAGCTGATAAATACATTTAAGTTTAGTTCAAGAATAAATACGAGTAAACAGCTGGTGACAGATTCATGTCATGCATGGATTATCATTGCATTACCTTGAGAAGCAATTGTGACACTTCCAAGTGAGCCCCAGATACTATTTATTACCAGTCAAATGAGCATGATTCAGTACAAATTGGTCCATGAGCGGATAAATCAGTTTAATTTGTAAATGCATCAAAACATGACGTTGTATCTACTCATGCACAACAGCACGGACATTTTAGATTTCATGTACCTGAAAGCAAGAGAGCAGTCGAGCCATGACTATCAGTATGTGTAAGCAATATCTGTACAGCAGGCTGATTTTTATTGGAGCATATCTTTGATAGCAGCAAAGAGTTTCCGCTCTTGACTGCATTAAACACAACCTACAAGACCAAAAACAATAAGTCATGCCAAAATACTCGTATGTATTACAAATACAGTCAAGATACACGTTCGTAGCCATAGTTTGATACAAAGCATCTATTAGATGCAACTTGTGACCGAGGAATAAACGCATGATAGTTATACTCGCACCATACCTTGGATAGCTCTTCCACACTAAGTTCATCTACATCACTTGTGGTTAGAACCTGCTCGCTTTTTACTTCCATTGATGAGAATGGCACAAACCCCAAATATTAGGTTTGATGATGTTGAGTTGGGTTACCAATTTGTCGCGATTAAGGTTATGAATTGTGTTGGATTTAGTATCTCGTCCAAACTTGGTATCAAATCGCAGACTAAATATGCCTACTATCTATCGAGGCATAAACTATGCATTTCATACAGTCTTCAATAACTTGAAAAGACTATTGACCAACCATAGTGTCCAGCTCGTATAGCTTATCCCACTCCAAAATATATATCTTGGCCACCACCAACTCATGCAAGCTTGGCAAAATCACTTTTATTTAAAATTATATCATGCTGTAACATCATCGAGTCAGATAAAACATGGCATTGCAAGAATGGTCCACAAAAAACCCAACAAGTGTATTGCAGCTAATAGGAGTCTGCCACTAGTCGTTGAACATATGAAGGTGGATGAGGACCACTAAATAATTCAATTTGGTTTTAAACCATTTAGTAAAACTATATAATAAATACCGAAATAGAATGGACAAAAAATACTAACTTGTTGGTGATAAACAAGGAGAGAAACTCGGGTGCGACATAGTCGTAATTGGGATTTAACAAATCCACATTCTTCGTGATCTCAGCTACAAATCAACATACAGCACCAGACATGTTACCATGGGACTACCAACTACAATAAATATTTACAGTTTAACAATAGATCTAGTACCATCAGTAAAGTTGCTCATTGTGTTTGGACTGATACAGTGGTTAAACACGCCAGAGTCGTATGGGTAGATGGGTGACAATGTGTGTAATCCAGTGCACACTACAACTGGAGTAGAATGATGTTTAGCAGCAGCAGCTACAACATGACTTCCACTGACTGCTACAATACCGCCATTTGCAGTAACTAGTTTAAAATTCAAAAGTAGTCGACATTGGTTAAACTGGATCGTATACTTGAAATAGATCTAGAATTGGATCAATGGAAATCAGGGGAAAACTCACCTGCATGAGTTCCAAGAATAACCTTGTTCATTCGAGACATGATGGCAAAAATAGTTGAATCTGTAATTAAAGTTGTATCAATTCCTGCCATTCCCAGTGATGCTGCCATATCATGTCCAGTATAGCTAAATTCATAATATACCGTGTTAGTTCATGCTGAATACGATTGACAAATGATATTGTAATCAAATAGAATGCATCAAGCGTACAATGGTGCTGTCTCGGCGACAATAACCTTGAATCGGCGTAGTTTTGCAGCTTCTTTAAGAAATTGCTCTACAATAGGCGAGCCTCCAATAGTCATGATAAATTCACTGAAATAGTACGATAAATTAGTATCTGAACAAATACAATTTTATCTACAGTTCATTGAATCTTACTCTGAATGAATATGCTCTAATGCCTGTGCTGCAATGTTTGAAGATGCAGTCTCCAGCTCGTCCATTAATTCAACCAAACTCTGCTTGAGAGCACTCTTCATCTGTAATATCCAAAACAATAGTCAAGACAATTTGCAGCTTGTGATCAATACATTCCGGTAACACAAGGCTCTAAAATAAAAACTTCATGACTCAAACTCTAGGAATCGAATCGTCATGAGTTTCAAAGTAGATCTCTACAGAATAATACAGTAAAAAGGATATTGTCTCTAAAACTGCCACTTTCGTCTAATTCATCTGAATCCTGTGGTTTTGAAGATTCTGTCCCGATCGCAGTTGCTTCTTCAGCAATCAGCTGAAGAACTCGTCTGGTAATACTACCAACAGAAAGCTCTATATATCACCATGTCAGCACTTTATACTGCAAAAGTCGATCCATAAACTCAAAATGATCCATACCAATTGGCTGGCCTTGTTCTAAACGGGAATCAACCTCCATGATAACAGATTTGAGTTCATCGACATCATTCCATCTGCTTCCACCAATAACAGTCCGGATTAGCCTCAAGGTCTCGAGAGCAACTGGTAACGAGCCAACAAGCACTCTATCAAAAAGAATCAAGTGGATTGAAAACAGCCAGGTTAACATCATTGGTATTTCTGTAGGCAATAGCAAGTGCATACTGAGAATGTACCTGCGGTTGAGTTTGGTTACTAAAGCATCTACTTGGTACTCAATATCCCGAGATAGTTTGGCAGTCATGGTTTTCAATTCAATAAAGTTGGAATGAAGATTCAAAGTCTCGATCTTTACATTCTCAAATGAACCAGTTAATGACTACTGACAGCAATTATCACTTGTTTTAATCCCTCATTAAATGTACAAAAATAATAAAACCAAAACTTATTATTGCCAACCTCATTAGTGATTCAATCCAATTGTTTTAAACTAATCTAGCATTTAAAATGATCTTTAACAGTATATCTCAAACTGAAAACCAATTCCCATCACACAGGTCGGGCGAAAGAATAACGCACCAAATCCATACAGAAATCTCTAGGAGATATTTTGGAAAGCTTTAGAATCTCGCCAAGCGAGGAAGCTCCATCACCAAAAGCCAGTCCACAATTTGCATTGACTTCCAAAACCAACGCATCAGGCTTATCAAACGATTGAGTGCGAATATCTACGCGACCGTATCCGTTTCCCCCACATGCAGTGTAAGCACGACGAGCAAGATCTTGCAGATGGGATTGCCATTCGCTAGGTGCCAAGTCGTACCACACCATACTGGATTCTGTCATGGCAGGTGCTTCACTGCCTAGTTCATATCCATCCCAGTATCTATCAAAAGCAAGAATCCGCTCCTCAGTTTTCAAGGCTGGATTAAACACTCGCTCGGCTACGGGATAGACTTTGACGCCATCCCTGGAATCACCCGTACATAGAGCAGTAAATTCACGACCTGGAAGAAACTTTTCAATAAATATTCCCTGCGAAGTCAACTGGCATAGTTTTTCGATTTGACAAAGTGCTTCCTCTTTTGAATGGACAATCGACGTGTCGCTGATGTTCATACTTGCATAAGATACAGATGGCTTGATAATCATTGGCCAGCTAAACCAGTTGGAAATCGCAATGAATTGGGTTCAGCTAATCAAGAATTTTAAACATTTAAATCTTCAAATAAAAAATACCTAAGGATTTTTTCAGATGCAGCAATATCGGCTAGCTCAGTTCCTGGATTGATCTCTTGAAATGGAGACGTCTCAACATTAAACTTGATGAGTTGCTACAATAATACAGTCAGTTTACTTGTAAATCCAAGGTTAAAACATTGATAGATGACTCACTCGTTTAAGAGCAGGCTTGCTGGTGGTACCATCGTAGAAATGAGCATCCGCACCAGAAAACGGAATATTGGCGTTCTGAAGATTTTTTACAACAGAAATCCCCTAACAATAGGCATGCGTGTAAAATATAAATGAGATTATCAGCATCTACAATTCATCAGTGCTAAAGCGCAACTCAAACATATCCATCTATTACAACTAAAGCAAAGGGAAGATCAAAGCTTACAGGATACCCATCCAGTTCTGTTCCATCGCACAAATTAATCACCAGCATGTGCTCTCCGCTAGCACGCTTTTGAGCAAGCTGATTAATAATTTGCTGCTGTGTCTCAATTGCTATTGGGATAATCTCCACTTTGGTTTTTGGGTCGCATATCTGTAGCGTTTTTTGTAACAGTTGAACATCATCACTTTTGCCGTGCTATTGAAATAGTATAAAATAATACTAATTAGCACCATATAAATGGATTTAAAACTAGGATTGTTGAATAGACATTCGATACAGCAAGGTCTTTTATTTTCAGCTAGTGTTGGCATAGATTGTCGCGACAAAGGCAATGGATTGTAAATAGTTACCTCTGTGCTAAGAAGCAGCTGCCTGTTGGCATCTCCAAGATTTTCCGAAAATGTACCCATAAAAATATAGATAGATGCTGGCCATTGTGTGCTACTGGGCTTGGTGTTTGTTTGCATACCCAGTATTGAAGCACTCATTTCTAACAAAAGTAGCTTAACAGATACGTGAATCAAGTGTATGAAAGATGATATCAAAAGGTGAAAAACTTGATTTTGTTTTATGCAAAAATCAGTTTTAAGCTTTGCATACATTTCAATTTTGTTTGTTTTGATGTTAGTGTCATGCAAAACACTTTATTTTCGCTCATCATTGAAAAATATCGAGTTATTATAGCTTGGTTTAAACCGTCAAATTATGGTTGTGAATCAATCAGCACTTTGTTCATCACAACTACCGTAAACATTTCCATAGTTTTTCAGGCAGTATTTAATTGACTTCAAGCAATATATTTGAAAAAATCAACCTTGTATTTGATTTCAGTTTCGATGATCAATAAAATAGCGTTTTAGTTTGACGATAGTTTCCTCGTACGGCTTGATAGCAGCACCACCTTCTACAATTGCATCATGAAATTTCAGGTCCAAAATGGCCTTGTATTCATCATATGTGTATTGTCCAGAGTTTTTAGGAATCATTTTCAGAATAGCCTATAACCACAGAAAATCATCCCGTTAGGCTTTTCTTTGATCAATCATATCAAAAAGGTAATATAAATTACTAACCTCAACATCCAGTCCAAGTAACTCGTAGTAGGTCTTAGCACGATCAAGACTTTCTTGGTGAGCACATGCCAGATTGGTTAGATTTTGCTGGAGTGATTGAATGTTTCGAACAAGTCTTAAAACACCATTGAGATTCACGGTGCGGATATATCGGAGATTAAAGATAAGCACTTGTGCCATAAGTTCTCCAAGTCCGTCAAACAAAAACCTAATCAGTTTAATTAGCCGTGTATAGTTACAGGCTTTGCATTTTGCAAATCCAAACAAGTCATGATATTATTAGCTATATACAACTTGCCTAGTTTTTCGTATTGGCAAAGCTGTAACGACCACTTCCTCGGCTGCAGATAAATCCATATTTAGCATGGATATGTACGGATCAGGACTCGGATTAGAGTCGTCTGATACATATGTGCCCTATATAATATAGACAAATTTAGTCAGTTTTTAGTGTTCAAGCAGTAACACATAGCATCCTTCAAAAACTTGCCTCGCGTAATGCAAGATCCAAGTAGTACATGGAATGACACCGAAGCTCAACCCTGAGCGAATAGATGCATTTTTTTTCCAGTGCCTTGAACGAGTTGGCCAATACGCTAAATCGATTTGCCATTTCTGTTGTCATTTCTGCTTGAGGAAGCTCAGAAGAGTCAACAATTAGCTGAGGAAGACTATCTGATGACAATCTCACATACTCAGTCTAAAATAACGAGTGAGCCAATTTTGCAAACTAATTGTTACAAACAAATGTTATATCAATCAAATTTACCAATGATTCAACAGAATTTTCAAACACTTTAGTTGCAACAAGTCCAGTGCTGCTGCCAGTATCCCCTTTCATGTACATAATTTGGGCTGCAAGCCATTCCTAAAGTATTATGTTGGTTGAAAAATTACTCTGGCTGTTTTAATCAAATACAAATTATGTTTGTCAATATACCATGCTGTAGTGCAGTTGAGCAAGTCCCTGTAATCGTCGAGACTCAAAAATCAGCTCACTGCGATGAAATGATCGCTCTCCCTTGAGCTTCATTTCCAAATCTGTTTCCTAACATATATGTTTCAACATTAAACCCATTGATGTTGACTAAATAGTCGTCAGGGATTTGAATAGTGCAATGCTAGATTTACTTTTTGCCATGCAGCTTGATTCCGATTCATTTGAGCTGGTGTATCAAACGCGTCCGTCCTATAATCAAAATCATGCATTCATCAAACCAACACGTCATTTAAACATATCGAGTAGCTAGCCATCTGAAACCTACAAAAACAAATTTTCAGCCATCAACTCTGTAAGTTTTTCGTTTTTTGTCCACGCAAACGATATAGAGCCAGAGTTCTCAGATCCAGATTGTTCCGTGGAAATCAAAGTACGAAATCTGCTCAGGCATTTTTCATGGAATTTTTCCAAAATAAACTCGAGTGACTTCAAAAACTCTTCTTTGTGAATAGGGATTGTATTTGACATTTTGCACATGCTTTGGAGTAGATAACCAAGTGCAATCACGCTCTAGAATATGGTATTTAAAGTCAGCAATACAGGCTAGATGAGTTTAAATATGACTCTTGCTTGCCTTTAACAGAGGAAACGATGGTTCAGGAAGCTGGTCTGTTTGAAATGAATCAATTCCTGAAAAAGTGCCAGTAGTAAGTGACAGCTACAACACATTTATCATATATTGATGCAATGCTTTTACCATTAATGAAATTGTGATAAAAGTTGGTAACCAAATCATGAGTCTGAGGTAAAAATACGTTCAACACAAAGTCTTCCAAAAATACGTGGAAAACTCCAGGACTATTTTAAACTGTAAGTAAAGTATTTAAACACAGCAGATGCTACAGATACAAAAATGCGTATGAAATTTGAAATTTTGGCATGTATATACCTAATTCCAACAGCTTGCTCAAGACTGTCAGTAAACTGCATTGTGGGTTTGAACGCAATCAAAATATTGGATGCTTCTGGACGAATAAGTGGCTTGTGTCCATTGGAAAGTACATTTGCATACTTGTCCACCACCCCTTTTCCTACCAAAGTATCATTTACGCTACACTTTGCCAAGTCGGCATCTTTCCAAATTTCATCCTGGTCTTCGTTTTCGGAAATGACACATAGTGTTGAATTAGAGGCTCCATTGATCCGAAATACTTGCTAGGTGACGAGAGTTTTTGTATCAATGTTTTGAAAACAGTTTATAAAAATATTAGTTTAAATTAGACACATTGAATCTTATTGCAAACAATAGAAATACCTTGCCAATTCGCTCGGCCGGTTTTCGTTTATCGCGAAGTATTTCGTTCATGGACGAAACAGTGTTTGTACTAGCGATAGTTTTTTCTACAGTAATCAGATAGTCGTATAACACGGTCTTGACTTCTCCCTGAACAGCATGACATATATCAGATGCAGTGTATGGAACTGCGCTCCATATTAAATAATTTGATTTAACACGACAAATCGTTTGAAATAGCATCTCGACATTATTATCTCTGAAAAACAAACAAATACACACTACCTTTGTCTTTATCAATCTATTATAAAATATGAATTAGCTATAATAGTTTTGATATATCTCACCAACAAATTGATGAGCTTACCCCACCCTCTCCGCTAGCCACTTTGAGAATAAACATATGGCTCATTACAATACATTCAAATCTATCATAGAGAGTCAAAAGAATGGATGCCAAAGGGTTGTTTTCTGCTGGAGAGTCATCGAAATTTCCATCGTGGGAAAGTGGTTGATTGGTTGTACTGTAATTGTTCAAAAACTAAAGGTTAAACTTTATAATTCACTGATGAACACGATAAATCTGCCAAAAGATGATAAACAACATGCCTATGCTCCTGCTCTTCGATCGTCTTTTCAACAACACCAAATAGCTCTTGAGTGACTCTACTATCAATTACCTTTATGGATTGGTAGTCCCGTGTATAAAAACCATTGATCAGGTCAAATGGCTTTGGTTATTCATGCATAGTTATACGCAGTTGTTACCTTGAGACCATCTTCCAGCTTATCCAATACTTTTAAACTTTCCACTAATGCTTGCAAGTAGCAAAATGAGTTGGTTTCTGGATTTGACTCGAAATCATCAAACAGCTATTGAATGATTCATGAGTTGATACACATCATTGGTATGGTTAAGCCACACGTAATCTAAACGATTGGTGCAATTACATACTTCTGGTTTGATTTGATCAAACACATAGTCCAGCTTGGTCCTTGTAAAAAATTGATACTCATTTCCTAAATATTAAATAGATTGCATGTTAGTAAAGTAGATTTGCTTGGCATAACAGACTATTTGATCACAAGAAACTCACCAATTGCAATCTCAACATTTTCTTTGGATGTGCTAAAGTTTAACACCACACAATAAATATAAATGATTCTGCATTGATACGTTTGCATTATTATAGTTTTGATTGGTGAAGCTATACTTTAGGATTGGTTCAATTCTTGCCATTGCTGGTGCGGTTTTTAAATATAGATGATCGTGAATTTCTTCTAAAATCAAATCATACACTTGCTGTTGAAACAAATACAATTATTTAGGATCAATCATCATATACACACATAATAAAAAACATGCATATTAAGCATTAGGGTTACCTTGCTCATTTGTGCCAACTTTTCTTTGACAGTATCCATAGCTCCGATATCTACCACGTCGCTCGCATTTAGGGTTCGAATTGAACTGACAAGCGTTTTAACAGCAGTAAGATAGTACTTTCCATCTATAAGAGTTTGAATTTTTGTGGGTGAACGCTGGAGCTCATCGCTATACAGACAAGTGGATCAGTTATGAAATGGATTAATATATAGATGACATTTCATGACAAGGTAAACAATCCAACTTGCATGCTTTCAAGAATTCTGCTCATTTCTTTAAACTGGATACTTTTAACCCATAGATGAAGTAGATCGAATCGTTTGCATTCCAGCCAGTTTTTAGATTTTTCAAGGTTTTCTCGCATTTCTTGTACCTTTTTTTGAGACTCTAGATACCAGTGCTAGTTAGATACAGTAAACCTTTTAATTTATATCACTATCTAGTAGTTACCTGAGATTGTGTCTACGACAGAACTAAATGTTTGAATAGCACTATTGAATGCCTGATGATAATCTATTGATTGATGGATCCAACAAAAGCAAGTCAATGCATATATCATGACATATCTGGATTTAAACCTCGATTGATTTAGCATTGTGTTTTACCATTGACAATCAGGTCCATGGCCTTTTCTAGAGAATCGTGAATATCACAGAATGATTCGTAGTCGCGTCCAAGAGAGCTACCATCCAACAATGAAAGAGCATATGGGATAGGGTTAAACTAGACATATTATTCAATGTTAGTGTTTAGATGGTTAAAACTACAAGTGATATCTCGACTTTTCATTTCTCAAATAGAAACAACAGTTTAAAGTAGAATGTATTGGAGTATATTGAATGCAAGACTTGATGCTTGCCTCATTTGCAGTCATAAAGTCCCAGTTCAAACGAACCACACTCATGACTTCGGTGACAAGTGGAGGCAGAGAGTTTGCCTCTTCAATTTCTGGACTAGTTATTGGCCTGGTATTTCCTTCCTGTCCAGGCACTACAACGCCAGTAGGAGTCTTGCCATCTCGCTTTCCAACGCGATATCGTCCAGCAAACATGATGTAGATTCAAGTCGGAATAAACTCGACCAACGACAAGATCGCGATGAACAATCTGGATGGTTTGAATCAACTCATGATGATGTCTTATAAAACACAGTTACATAACATATCGCCACGACCTATTAACCAAACCGTAATGTATACGAAATAAGCGTGGTAAATCAATAGGAATACATTGTACAGTTGGATAGACTCGAATATTTTAATGGATTCATTGTGCAGATCAGCAATTCTTTAACCAACAACCACAATGAGTCTCGCTAGCAAGATTGGTCTTAATGACATCAAAGTTACTGGACAGCGAGTGCTGATTCGGTAAGATCGCTGTGGATTCGTCTTCATTCGTTCTTTATGCTCATGCAGCCATGAACTGGTTGATAGTGTCGACTTCAATGTGCCTCTTAAGGATGGCAAGATCTCCAACAACCAACGCATTACGGCAGCATTGCCCACCATCCAGCATGTCATTAATAATGGTAATCATGCATCGATATAAATAGATTTGTAACAGAACAGATTAACAGTGTCTTGCTCATCCATTGCTAGGCGCTCGCTCGGTGGTTCTGATGAGCCATCTTGGTCGTCCTGATGGAAAGGTCGTTCCTAAGCTCACACTCAAGCCTATTGCCGAGGAACTCAGTCGCTTGCTTTCCAAGCCTGTTACTTTCCTGGACCAGTGCGTCGGAGAGACTGTTGAGAAGCACTGCCAGTCCCCTGCTCAAGGTATGGTTTGTTCTAGTAGTTTGGCTGATGACTAAACCTAACTGATCTTCGCTTCTCAAGGCGAGATCATCCTTTTGGAAAACTTGCGTTTCCACATCGAGGAAGAAGGATCGGTCAAGGATGAGGCCGGCAACAAGGTATTTTATTCTATGGATTCATTGGACTGCTATTCCCACATCAAATGTTGTGCTGATTCTCGATCAATTAGACCAAGGCCAAGCCAGAGGATGTTGCCAAGTTCCGTGCTTCTCTTTCCAAGCTTGGAGATGTCTATGTTAATGATGCATTTGGCACTGCCCATCGTGCACATAGGTCAGGGTTGCTTGCTGGATGATCGTTTAATTGAATGTTGAGGTGTTTTTAGCAGCATAAAAGCCTATTTTACTGACTTTATAGTCCAGCTCTATGGTTGGTGTGGACCTCAAAGTAAAGGCTGCTGGTTTCCTCATGAAAAAAGAACTGGACTTTTTCTCAAAGGTACTGTTGCATCATCAAGAATATATAATAGTAGCATGTCACATTTTGAACGATCGATTCAACATTTGTATAGGCTCTTGAAAACCCCGAATCTCCTTTTCTTGCTATTGTTGGAGGGTAAGTCGACAAACAGTAGTGCTTATTGAATAGTCTTGAACTTCATTATTGTTTTTTAAATTTCTGGTTTATATAGTGCCAAGGTTTCTGACAAGATCCTTCTTATTGAAAACCTTTTGGACAAGGTCAGTTTTTATTGTAAAAATACTGAATGAATCTGACGTGAGTAGACGTGTTAACATGCTAAAAATAGGTGAACAGCATGATCATCTGTGGTGGCATGGCATTCACTTTCCTCAAGGTTCTTGAAAAAATGGAGATTGGAAATTCGCTTTATGATGCTGCTGGCGCAGATCTTGTTCCCAAGCTCATGGAAAAAGCCAAGGCAAAGGGGGTTAAAATCTACTTACCATGTGATTTTATCACTGCAGACAAGGTGCTAATTGATCTTGGTGTTTTTATAAACTGTACTGCTGTTATGGATCTGTTGATGCTAACTATTATGTATTTTAGTTTGGTGCTGATGCAAATGTACAATGGCTAATTTTTACTCTCATTAGTTGTTCAACTTTTCGTATTTTTTCAACTATTTAACCCATCTTTGAAACCTCTATAGACTGGCTATGCTACCAAGGCGGACGGAATTCCTGCCGGATGGATGGGTTTAGACCACGGTTCCAAAACTAACGCTGAATTTGGCAGTGTTGCCGAATCTTCCAAAACTATTCTTTGGAACGGACCTGCCGGTGTTTTTGAATTTGCCAAGTTTGCCTCTGGTACCACTGCTCTCCTTGAGTCGTGCGCCAAATCCACCAGCAAAGGTATAATAATCTAGCTGTTAAATATTAATTTGTATTTTTTCAGAAATTTAACGTGATGCATCTACCAACCTAAATAGGTGGTTGCACCATTGTTGGTGGAGGTGACACTGCCACTGCTGTTGCCAATGCTGGCCGTGAAGCTGACTTCTCGCATATCAGCACTGGTGGAGGCGCTTCGCTAGAGCTGCTTGAAGGTAATTATAACATTTATCCAAACTCATCAACGTTTGCTTTAGCTTTTAACACATGTGCATCTCATTGGCATTTTAATATATAATAGGAAAAATTCTTCCAGGTGTTGCTGCGCTTTCTAGCCGAACTTGATTGCATTTATTTGAAATATTTCAATAAACTGGCTTGTTCCTGACTGGTTATTTGATATATTCTTTTTTCCAATCGTTTGATGTTTGTTTACATGCCAGTTGTATTTACGAATGCTGCTGCCAACCTTGCATCCAATCTCAGCTTTCCGTCTAATTCAATATACCTCTCTGGAGCAATTTCCTTGTGCTGGTTAAGTGCATTTGGTATTGATCAATACGAGTAGTAAGATTGCAATAACAGTATGTTACATAATTTAAAATGAATTTACAACACTTTTTAAAAAACTTTACCTTGGCAAGACGTTTTTCAAGAATATGGATACGGAACAAGGCATCATTACAGAATCGAACATAATCATCCGTTTCTTCCACAGTCATCGAGTCGGCGTTACGCGAGTATATCAGTTGCCGCTTTTGGTATTCTGCAGTAACTTCATCCAATCTGCCTTGAATAATATTAGCCTTTTCAATTAAACGTTCTTTAAGACTTTTCAAGCATGCGTCTTTGATTGCCACTGCATCGTCTCGCTTCAAAGATTCGGGGTGTTCCTATTTTGATTGTCATTTGATATCAGTCGAGTATTCTATACTACATCACTATACATATAGTCAAAAAATGATTTACATAGTTGATGAGGAAAGGCGATAGGTAATCCAGATCTGCCGATTTAGTTTCTTCCTCTTCGCCCTTGTGTGTCTCTTTACCATTGTCGTCCGTTGGAAGAGTCTGTTGTTTTTAAATGCATTAGACATGATAAAAAGTGTAATATGAACATGGCTGATACTATGTGTACAGTTTCAAAAAACAATATACCGTATCGTTGTGAAGCGTATCGTAGACGGAAATGGCCAAATTGATTTCACGTTCTTCTGTCTGGCGCAGTCGAAGAATATCTACCAACTCACGCTCAGAACTTTTGATAAGCTGAGCACACATTTGTTCTGCACGCAAAAGTTCAGATAGTTGTATAAATAACTGCTGCTTCTTTGGCGGCTTAGCATACGGATCAACCTATGGGTGGTTGAAGAGTGTTTAGTAAACCACCAGTTTGGATTGAATGATTTTAATGCCAATATACCTCAAATAAATTAAGCAGTTCAACAAAATGGCCTTTTTGATCTGGTGTAGGCTTTCTAAACTCACGCATGGATGCAATAATTCGTCCGGTTTCAAGATGATAAATGACTCTAATCTATCATACAAAGCGTCTTAGTTATTTCAAACATAGCTATCAACAGCAAGCAATATTTGGTTTACCTTTTCTTCCTTGACAAAATAGGTTTTTTTGAAGATATCGGTTTGTGCAGGTATATCTATTTTTCAAAATAACCACACGCGGTTACAACCACTGCCAACTATTTGCAGTTCAAAATTCAACCATCTAATTACTACCTTTGTTTCTTGAGAATTTTTCGGTCATTTTAATCACAGACCCACGAACGCCGTCGTTGACTTCGTGTGTAATAGATCGATAAATCAATCGATCTTCGCGTTCTGTAAAGTACTCCATAATCTTTTTTGGACTTTCTAACCGCCTTACAAGACCGTCAGAACGTGCATTGGGATAAAAGTGTATTTCTTCGGTTTTGGAATCAATCAATATATGCTCTTTTAGTCCATGTGGTGCGCGGCCTGGATGAAATAATTCGTGCATCTTTTTGATACTGGGTATTCGAATTCGCTGATATAGTTTATCTCTAAAGTTTGGATATTAAGATGATGTGTTTAGCTTGAACAACATGTGTACATATAATTTCAATGAACACAACACTAACTTACCGACGATTTTCAAAATATTCGTGAATTTGACTCACCGACTTGGAGTCTTCCTCAATGTACGTTATTCTTGAAACCATTCCATCATCACGATGGTATTGTGCAAATGTTTCCTAAACAGAATGATAAATTTAAATGACAATTGAATTTTGTAGTCAACCTCAATACAGTATTTGCAAATCCTTACCATTTTCGCATCTCTATATGTAGTGTGTTTTGTTCCAGCTGGGCACCGCATTGCAAACTGTTCTTTTGAAATGGTTAGCTTGTCTACCCATGATGGAGTAAGATCCACAATGTGTAAATGCATGTCAAGGAACCACAAAGAATATAGTAAAATAACAGACTTTCAAAATTGTCCAAAGCAAAGTATATAGACATTTAAATCAATCAATAAAAGGATATCTCTGAAGTTGTTTCTACTTCATCTTCTTCGTCAGAAGCATTCCCATTGTTTTTTGACTGATCCATATTTGCACTTGAAACACCACCTGGCTGGGTATTATCTAACAAAACAAATTCCCATTTTGAATTGTCCCCAATATCAAACGAGATCCCCTATATTCACAATGTATTTAGCAATGTTGACAAAAGCAAATACAGTGATTTAAGCATTTGTATATACTACCAACATACCTTGAGACCATCATAGCATACTTGCATGTTTACCCAGTAGTTTCGAGAGCTAAACACGCTTTCCAACCCCAAATAGTGCTCGTTATCGGTTGAATAGATACTTCCAGTACTGGGTTCAATAAAAAAAGATTCGGCAATTTCTCGTTTTCCTGGAAGAACCAATACCCATGCATGAATACGAAGTCCTTTAAGCTCATCATCGTCATCATTTGCCTCCTAGTATTTGCAATGTGTTAGTCATATTTAAAATTTTATGTGATCTACAAGGTTTTAAATTATAAAACTTCTTGTCAATTCAATAACCTCGACAATATTTCAAACTGAATTTTACCGTGGAAACACTTTTTCGTGCAGGTGTTGTATCAAGACTATTTTTAGCAAGCTGTTGCTGTCGACGTTCTTCTTGCTTGACTAAAAAGTTACTTTTAAGTTGACGAGGAGGTTTGACTCGATATTTGCACGATGTGGATATACTTTCGTCCAAGCAAGCATCTTGATCCAAAAAGTTGGTTTGAGGTGGATCTACTATTGGAATACTTTGTGCAATTTTTTCCGAGTATGTTTTGGTTTGATCCATCAAGGTTATGTTGCATGAAGCATATCCAGAGATCACATAGGCATCATATCCCACGCCACGCAGAAATGACGTGAGTAATACAGACATATCGAAACAATTTCCAGATTGAATACCCAGTGTATATGTGGGAGAGTTCAACACTTTTGGCTATATGTGTAATGATGCATTCCATGTATAGCTCACTGGTTAGTATTTACAGGATCATGTCTAAATTATCGTTTCATTGGTTTAGATTGCTCGGTTCATATTGAACCCAAACTCTTGATATCAAATAAAAGTTACCAGTTCGTGAGGAGGATTGAGTTGCTCGTAGGAAATGAAATCGGCAACAAATGACGCGGCACTGCGGTAGTCATATAGTTCCTTGTAAGGCAGCTGAGTAGGTCGGATAGTTGAGCACACAAACTTTTTTGTGCCAAACTCGTTGCAAGGAGTCAAGAGCAGTTCTTTTCTTCCAGGATACAACTGACTATACTGTCTGTTGAAGTTTTCTACATACTGCACGATAAGCTGTTCCTTTTTTGAATTCGTGTAATAGGATGCAGGAACCTTTTTTTTGTCAACAAGCTGGTGAATAAGTTGATTTTTTTGGCGTTCTAGTTGTTGAATGTAGTGTTGTTCGTGCTGGTCCAGTTCCTCGACCTTTTGTTCTATACTTGGTTTATCCACTACCATTTCATCAACCACCATCTCACCCAAGAGTGGTGGTGGTGATGGTGGATTCGTCGCGTCTTCCATTAGCATCTTGAACTTGAGTTTGTGTTATGGCAAGAACAAAAAGGTTTGACTGGTAACATTTAAACATGCGAATTTTTCAAAGTGAGTGAATAGATTGTCAGATGTTTGCAGACTTGAAGACACGTTGAGTAGCCTGAATGAATATTGATTCCATTTGCTTATAATCTACAATGAATCCAGACTCGATCTTGCAGTCAGGCCTTCTGCCGCGTGACTGGAGTGCTTTGTGGTTGCAAGTTTGTGACCAACTTGACATCAATCAGATCGGTTTGAATTGAAATAATGACTACTCGCAGGTTTTTGGTTGGTGGTAACTGGAAGATGAATGGCAGCAAGGATCTAGTGGATTCTATCTGCACTGGTCTTAATACTGCTTCGTTTGCTGCCCATGTGCAAGTTGTTGTTGCTCCACCTGCTCCTTACCTGGCTCTTGCTCGTTCCAAGCTCAATCCATCGATTGCTGTTGCTGCTCAGAATGCCAGTCAAGGCAAGTAGTATGCCTTTTTGGTTCTGTTATTAATAACAAATGAGGTGTTTGGCTGATTCTTCTGATGGACGATATCTAGAAAAAAGTGGTGCTTTTACTGGCGAGGTTAGGTAAGCCAGCAATGCCTGATCATCCATCTACAAATGGATTTGGATCTATACTACAATCTAACGCTTATTCTATTTAATCTTATGTATATCTAGCATTGACATGCTTCATGATCTCTCCATTGACTGGGTTATTCTCGGTCATTCTGAGCGTCGTGAGCTGTATAACGAGTCTGATGATGTAAGTGTGAACCATCAAATATGACTTGCAACACATCCTGCTTGTGAATTGACTTGAATCTCTTATGATCTCAGTTGGTTGGTCGCAAGGTAGCTTTTGCTGTCCAGAACAACCAAAACGTAATTGCCTGTGTTGGTGAAAAGCTTGAGCATCGTGAAGCTGGCAAGACCACCGAGGTGGTTTTCCGTCAACTGAGTGCTATCTGCAAGCACCTCACCAAAGAGAGCTGGAGCAAGATCGTGATTGCATATGAGCCAGTTTGGGCTATCGGCACGGGCAAGGTCGCTACTCCTCAGCAGGTAAACGACTCTGGTTTAGGCATTTTCTCGACTGATTGCTAACTCTATTATAACTTGTATGGCTCTAGGCACAAGAGGTCCATGAGCAGATTCGTCACTGGCTCCTTGAACATGTTTCCTCTGCAGTTGCCGAGACCACCAGAATTATTTATGGAGGTTAGTATGAAATCGGTATTATTTTATTGTCAGTAGATTATAGATCTAACTATTGATTCAATCAGGCTCTGTTAATGCTAAAAACTCTGGAACTCTGCAGTCCGAAAAAGATATTGATGGGTTCCTTGTTGGCGGTGCATCCCTCAAAGCCGAAGACTTTGTGTCCATTTGCCAGAGCAGAGTTTAAAAAAATCACTAAACGCTTTTTTGATTTTCTACGAGTTTTTTTGTCCATTTGGGATGTTCAAGCGCATTCTTTTTTTCGATTGCAAGTAATCGCTTTGCAACGAGAATCCAATTATCACAAAGCTCTCTTGGGTTCATCAAGTCAGCCAATAATATTAGTGTCAATCATTTTATAACCCACCAGGAAAATATTTTAGTCGCTTTGATAACGATGCATCCATTAGAAAATCACTTACTGCACAACCTTGCGCAGATCCTGTTTATCATCCGATATCATCTCAATGTCCGCAGCATCGCACATTAGATTGGCGTTAAAGGAAATCAACTATATGAAAGTTTAATAGAGATGTTGCTTGCCAACTATATAGTGTCAATTTTAAAAATAGGCATACGCCATACCTCTTGGTTTAACTGTTGGAATTCATGATCCCATGTTTCAGATGGCTTTTCCCTTCCGCCTTTAATAAGTAGATGAACCATCCAGCTGATCATCGAGGTGTGTAATTTTGTATTTTCTGAGTTTAAACCCACAAAACAGCGAGTTAGTTGATTTATCGCTGAGCGTTTACCATGAATGTAAATCAAGATGCTTGGAGTATACCTTCATTACGCACATCCGTATCTGTATTCATTTGATCCAACAGTTTAGAAATCCAGTTTTCTACATGCAATGGAATTTTGTGTTGCTGTTTTTCGGCAGTGTTTGACAACGTATCTGAAAGAAAAACCAAGTTGGTTAACCACATACCAATAGCACCAATTCACATGATACTTACTAACTAATGCCCCAATTTGATCAGTCCAATGTGTTAACGATTCTTTCAACTGCGCTCTTTCGGATTGTGGAAGGGGTTTATCAAGATCCCGAGCACTGAATGCAGTTTGCCTATTTCAATAGTTGATGGAAATGCAGCATTGTCAATATCATTCGCAAAGATTTAGTCATCTATATATTAAAATCACAATGCAATTACCGGTCTTCTAGTTGATTTTGCAAGTTGATGACTTGAGATGCTATACCATCTTCTCCAGAAACGCGAAGGTCCAACTTTGTAAGCCACTCTTCAATATCTATTGCCAGTTTTTTCAGGACATCACTCAAGGATAGATAATCCTTGCCATTTGTACTCTTTTCACTCCGACGTAACAGTTTAAGCCCTGATTCAATCCAAAGTTCAGACATTTTGCGAATATACTTGATTTCTTCTTGCACAGATAAATCTCGATCGCTTGTGAATCTTATGGCAACAGCTGTGATTTGATCTACCCACTTTATCAAATGATCTCCCAAAGTCTTGATATCAAATATGTGAAACGCTTTGAGGAGCGAATGGTCAGATTCGATGGCATCCATGGGCTCGTTGCTGGTTAAATTTTTCAAAACAAGTTTCATATCCCGCTGCATTTTGGCCAAGATTTCCATGTTGCTATGATCTTCTTCAATCACTGATTGTGACAGTTTAATCAACTTGGCTCTCCATTCTCCAATCTTTTTTTCAATTCCACTTAATTCAGCATCATTTGTCTCGCTGATGGTAATAATCATGTGGCTGGTGGAACGGAGCCTTGAATACTCGTGCTTTTGTAGCAAAACCAAATCACCCACACCATGTTCTTCACCAATTCGTACAGCTAGACTTGTTGCCGCATCCATCCAGATTCGCTTCTCTTGTTCCGATAGCTTTACAGATTCTTCAAGACGATCACGCTGCATGCGATACAGCCGATGATACTCTTCAAGAATCTCGTCCGTATCGTCCGACTGTGTCAACACGGAGACCAACTTTTCCTGTGCCTCTTGAGCTTGTTTTGATACTTCACTATCGTGTTTTCGTACAAAATCCAACTCGCGAATCAATTCTGCAATCGTTTCTTTGGAGTGTAGCATCTCTTCAGATAGTCTTCGATTGAGCTTGCGTTGAGCAACAAGCTCTGTATGCATGTTTTTGATATGTTTAGGGATTTTGATAAACATGTTGGCGTACCGTTTTCTTATCTCGGCAATCACTTCGCCTCGTTCAACCATGTTTACCATGACTTGCCGAATGATTTCCTGAAAAACAGAATCGTATATTTTTTGCTCTTCCTGGATGATGCCAAGAAAGGCGTGCATTTCTGTTGGGTAGTCGTCTGTTTCATTTGCACCAATCTCTTCCAAAAGAGTGATCATGGCGTTTTTTAAAAGTGCGACCTCCTTACGCGAGGATGCGTGTATTGTGCGATGAGTTTGTTGAAATGGGTCTGAGACGACTGCCAATGAATCGTTGACCTGTTACGTTTCTTGGCAATATGTATAGGCAAAGCCTGTCAGTTTTGTTTGAAATAAAACATCTATTGGAATTTGACAATCAAACCATAGTATGAAAAACTTGCATTTTTTCCAGGTGAAACAGCAGCTACAATTTGCAATTCGGATGCGTCAATAGTGGGGCTTTGCGCAACTTTTTCTTTTGTGACGATGATGGGTTCGTCAATGGGTTGGGGTTTGGCATAAACAAATGTTAGATCTTTCATGACTGCTGGTCCTTTCAATGCATGTCGCAACTTTTTTTTATTGGCCGTGTCGTACACAGTAGCTACATCAGACTTGGTATGTGTCGTCACATTATGGCCAGTCGTAGGTTTTTCGGAAGCAAACGGGGTTTTCTTGGATACAGTGGCGGAGTGATGGGTCACTGCTGGCAGCTGAAGAGCGGGATTTCGCGTTTGGACATCATCCATTTGTGTAGTCGATTCATCCAAGGCCGCATTAGACAATGCTGTTTGAAATGATTCTGCATTTACTTTAGAAACCCTTTTTGACTTGACTGACCCTCTTCTATTGGTTAATGAAGAAAGTTGTGACGGGGAAGGTTCGCGGGGTTGTTGAGGCTGTCGTTTTGTTGGCTGGCTTATACGGTTTAAATCACTAATAAGCGATGCGGGGATGAACTCCATTAGGAATTAATAATGGTTTATTTTTATTGGAGAGGAAAGTTGCTTACGCATATTCATTTTAATATCAGAATTGGATGGTCGAGGACCATGATAGAGAGTAGTGGTATCTGTTTGCATTCGTCAAACCATTACAAATATACTTGATTAGCTGCCAGTATTCTTACTATATCTGGTTATTTTATAAATGACCATCAATTATATTACACCCTGGTAGTACTCGGACACCAACCTTGTTTTAGCGAGGCAATCCAGCGCTCAGAAAGAAAGCAGCGTACTTGCTCAAGCCATGCTCTACAAAATGCCGAGTCAAATAGTGAATGAGTATCTCGATATCACAAGCCAACATTTTTAAATCGTATTACACCGTATTATTAGGCTCACCTATCAGTATGTTCCATTTTGCCTGAATATGGCGGTTAGGATCAAGAAGAGAAGAAATTTACAAGTTTATAGCGACCTTCAATTAGATTGACTTTGCGTGACCATTCCTACTCTTCACTGCTATGGGATACAGCAGTGGTTCCATTACTAACACCATTTCTACTGGACAATGCAGCGGTATTAACAGAATCAGTATGAACTGCCCGTATCTCCATATTCCGTTGTAGTTTTCCAGCTGCTTTGGGATCATTTTGGAAAGGTAAAAAGGCATCTGCAAAAAAAGATACAGCCTGTCGAGTCTGCATATCGATCTTCTGCTCCAGATCCAAAATGACTTGTCTGATGGGTCGTTTGTCTACCGGAAACAAGATTGGACCAATCTGGGAAATGGCAATCGATACAGTAATAAAAAACTGGCGCAAAAGTTGAATTTTTTGTGACACTGTACGCCATGGAAGAATGTATGGAAATACATCAGTCGATGAAAACAGCCATGCTGCCTCTATTGCAGCAATGGCCAACAATCCTGAAAATCTCCAATATCTACCAAAATCCATACGACCAATGGCGCTAAAGAATGTTGATACACCAGCGGTAACTGCATAAAATGTCATCCAGTTTCGAATAGCTTCATGAAGAAAGTCACGCTCAGTCTTGCAGTATGAGCATTGAAAGGCTTCCATGCCAAGTTTATCTACAGTGATGAGACGCATTTAAAATGTCAATAATGGATGTGATCATAGCTGATATAACACTATATCTGCCTAGATTTGAAGTTTAACCATTACCATATGCCTGGCGCAAGAGCGGGTTCTTTAATGTATCGTATCCTTGTCGGATCATAATGTATACGTTCTCTAGATTGTGCTATTGATCGGAATATAAATGGTGTCAACAAAGTTTAAATCCAAGTATTCATCAACAGTGCAGATACTTACATTGCCAGATTTGTCCTATAAACGGATTTGAACAGATGAATACATTGTAGAATAAGTCAAGCCAATAAATGAACTGCGTCAAGTTATAATGTATAACACAAGATGAAACAACTCACAGGATGATATTGAAGCGATAGAGCTTTGTAACTTGCTCGAAGTTTCCGTTGATCAAAGTATGGTCCTATGCCAACATTGAGTAGATTGTAGAAGTTTGCAGGCAAGTTTCGCTCAGCCTGTATAAAACACATGGACTTGATGAGTACAGACAATACAAACTATACTGTTGAGAGGATCCAGACATGACAATGACTCTACAGACCTGCATGATGGTAAACACCAAGTAAGCAGTGACAATAATAGCGTATGCTCTATTGTAGTGACGTTTGTAACGAGGATCGTGTTGCTGCGGAGTGTTCTTTCTGCATGCAACATAATGATAAGCCATGAGAGTATTCTTTGTGACGAATGACTATTGATGCATGTAATCAGACAAGTATGAGTAAAACTAAACTCTAGAAAACGAATGTTATACTGGAATGCATAATTGCGTACTGGCACAAACGACCAAAAGACTATCTGCTGAATGATATCCATGATGAGCCTTGAACAACTTCAAGTTACGACCAACAACAAAAGCTACAAAGAATGGCAAATACAGCCGTATTCACGTAAGCTGAAACAAGTGTAAAGTAACCAGCTTCGTTTGGTGCGAATCTTGAAGTTTTTTAAAGTTTTAGTTTTTATAAACCGAACAAGTGTTCATGTCAGTCAATTCCATGTGTTCAGTTTTCAACTCTTCAAAACGAACGAGTGTTGAGCGATTGAAATGTAGTTTTATTCATAAACTAGAACACAAATATATCCGATATTAGAATACAATCCGACTTGTTGGCATGATCGTGTCGGATACTCTCGATTGAATATAAAATATCATTCATTTGGTCTTGTTTTGATGGGTTTCATCTATATAGTCTAGATTAACTTAAACCAATCGTATAAACAGAGAATTCATGTTTTCAAAAGATTACAACTGCTTGATTGTGCTGTCCGAGTGTTTCCGAAACATGATAAAAGTCAAGTTTTTTATATAACCAAAATAAATATTTCATCTCTACTGTCGCTAGCTGTAACCAAAATGTTTCGTAATTTCTATGTGTTGCACAAGACTGGAAAGTTATATTTTTCAAAGAACTGTAAGTACATGAGTCGATATTATGGAATTAGGTCTGCATGTCCTGACATGTTCAGACTTGTATTTATTATTGGCTGTTTATGCCAACTGTTGCAATATTCACATCTTAAATAGTTCAAGGCGATGTGTTGGACCAAGGGTATGTAGATTAATTTAGGAATAGTCTATAAAACAGATTTAACAAGTCTTATGGTTTTATAAATAGGCTTGTTGTTGGCTTTTCTTCCTCAATATCTAGTTTTTGCAAAACGCTGTTGGGTGAAGGTGTCCGAGAAGTTACTTCGCTTAGTGGTCGAATCGTGTACAAGGAAGTCGGAGATGTATGTATCTTTATGTCGTGTTTGGCTTTTCATTTGTTCATATGCAAGTGTGTTGATGACTGACTTAATGGAAATGATTGGCTTAAACTGGTTTAGTTTGTTTTTGTTGTTCATTGTAATCTGAGTATTTCGAGCAATATTGTGCAGGGAGTTGTCAGTGATGTGATTTCGATCTGCGAGGTTTGTGCAAGTCTTTTTGGTAATTGTTGATAACTTTACTCATTCAAATGGAAATATGGTTTGACCGAGTCTAGTTACTCTTTGGTGCTTCGCATAACTGGGATAAAGATACGTTTGATTTGTTTGGTGCACAGGTAGTGTTACATTGCAATCGGCCGTTCAAACTAGAGTGCTGCTAAGCTAGTGTTGGATTATATAGGATATCATCAACATGTACTTTGCACGTACAACATATGATCCTAGTACAGCTGTTGGTGGACTATCACAGGTAAACTACATATAAACTTGTGTCTGTATTTTGCATGGTATTTGATTCGATGCATCATTTTATTAAAATCAACTGTGTTATTTCTATTTGGCTATGGATAGGTCTTTGTAGATCGTGATGTTTTGGATAGGCTAGACAATCTGTTGGCATATCTAGAAAGTCAAGAAGGTGTATGCAGTAATGGGGCGATGCTTGTGCTTGGTGAATCTGTATTGCATTCACGTATGTCCTTGGTAGACACTAGAATGGTATATCATTGACACGGTTTTAAATATGTATACTGTCTAGTTTAAACATTAAACCTGTACACAACTGTTAGATTTTGCAATATCATAAAGCCCGTGGGTTTGGTTCTGTCAGTATTCGATACACACCTGTTTTCATATCAGGCGCATGGCGTAGTCTTTATTCTATTCGGATGAACAGCTTTGTCTTGTTTGTTACGACATTTATTGACAAACCGTATTCCCTGATTGAAAAGAAAGTCTACGAATTCCAAACAAACTTGATTCAATATCACTTGAATATTCCTATAGAGGTATAAGACAAGATGTTTAAAAGGCTAATATGCTATGACGAATCTAATTCAAACTATTGCGCGTTGATATAAATAGGAGCCGCCTGTGTTGCTTCGGTTATATGCAAAACGAGAGACACTTGCAATGCTGTACAATAATACCAAGACTGGTGCTACACTGTTTCCCGAACTTCGTCCTGGACCGGAAGTCCAGCAAAAGGAGATCTTGAATGCGTTTTGGACACTTTTTTCTGATGCAAGGTAGCAATAGTATACATGAAAATGATGGCAATTTAGTTGGCTAATAGATTAAACTGTTTATTTTATCAATACTATTAAAGCAATGCTCTTCGTGTCTCGGGTGTTACCGAGTTTTCCATTTGCAAAGAACTGTATAGATTTTATGCAAGGTAAGTCTTGTCTTGTATATACGAATGAAAACTGTCATTAAAACCCATTTGAATTCAGGTGTGAAGGAATTCACAAACTGTACGTTCTTTTTTCAAGCGAAACGTCGTTTATGGATGTACCCAATGCTGCGACTGAGATTCTCAAGAACATCAAGAATGTCGTACCAAAATAAAAACATAGCGATCAGTAGTAATTTGAGTCAATGTTGAACTGGACAATTGCTGATTTTTAATTACAAAACAACTGTCTTGACAGTAATGCTGTTTCTTGTTGAATTGTGACTTTCAAGATTAGTGCTGAATCGATAATTGAAATGACAGTTGAAATGAATCTTTCTTCAACATTTGCACTACTCGATGATTCTGCTTCCTACACACTCTATTGGTATCAAACCCACTCGGCTGGAAATGGCTGGTGACATGGCATTCTGGGGGTTTGGAGGCTTTCTAGTGCAGACCTGGCAGAACGGCATCATGAAAAGACCATTGCTTTCTAGTAAGTAACCATTGAATCGAGGGTGAATACTAGAATCATGATTTGACATGCAGCTCCAGCCATTTACCAGAATGAATTGTATTTTTATAACTAGTATCTAACAATATAACTGTTTAATACATGATGGTTTGTAGAGCCTCATCTTCATTTGGTCTGCAGTGCTATTGGTGCAGGTGTGGGCTACCTTATCCACAGACATTATTCTGGGCAAATGGACTATCTCGAGAAACAGCGGGATATGCTGGTCCGACGCAGAATGGATCGTATGAAGCGAGACGGCCTTCTCGACTAAAAAATAAATATATGCGTTTTTCAGCAATCCATCTAAAAGTCAGTAGAGTTCAACTACACAACATTGAATGAGAATGAATGCGCTTTTAAGCAATGGCTGATGGGCTGAGAATACGTCAAGACAGAAAAAGTAGGATTCATGCAGTTGCAAGTTTAGATTTACAACTGTGTTCATGTAAAATGGAACGTCTGGGTTTTGCCATCACACTTTGGAATAGACAATCGTTACATTACTTTATACTGGATAAATATTCTCAATTCAATCAACAATGTTTATCATTTGATGAAAAATATAGTCTAGAGTTGTAATCATTGTACGATCACCCGATTCACAACACTCCAAATATTGGAGTTGATTATTGCCAAACCCATCTCAGATACGTTCGCGTTCTAATTCAAGAGCAGTGATCGCAAGTCACAGGAATACAACTATACATGACAATCACAAAAAGACTAAAGAGTTCAAGAGACAATACTGTTAGTAAACCTTGAAAGTTGGTTGTTATGCACTTTGACACTGCTGTTTAGTAGCTCATTTTACGTGAATATGACTGTCAACAACCATTGATCATTATCTATAAAATCATTAAAGTTTAAACAGAATATTTATGAATTCAAGTCAAGTCTGTTCAACATTGATTGTCGAGTTGATGTTGAAACAAGAATTTAGATTGGAAATGCTGTTTGAAACATTTGTATTCTTTACAAGATTTGTTCGTCACTTACCCTCGTATCACACCACGTCGTGCATGTCAGACCCAATAGTACAGGATGTATGGGCGGCTAACCTGGAAAAGGAAATGGCTGTTATTAGAGACATAGTAGAACTATATCCCTTTGTAGCCATGGTGTGTATAGACTGTGTTTGCAATCCGTTTTGTTCTACTTCAAGTCTGAAGATTCTATTCAGGTCAACCCAGATGTCAAGTCTTGAGCACTTGCAGGACCAGATTCATTTTTGGAATATACAAGTCGTCAATCCCAATACAAAACTGTAGTTGACTTACACTGTATTTGTATTAGCTTTTGCTTACAGAGAAACTAGACTACATGTTGACTTGAAATTCTGTCATCTACATCAATCCATCTTGAGCAATCTTTATATGCTAACAAGTCTTGCATAAACTCATTTTTGTTTATAATTCTAAACAGGACACAGAGTTTCCTGGAGTCGTTGCAAGACCAATTGGCAATTTTCGTACTTCATCAGATTATCATTATCAAACGCTACGGTGTAATGTAGATCTTCTCAAGATCATTCAGCTGGGATTGACATTTTCAGACTCGCATGGCAACTTACCTCCTGGGAGAACAACATGGCAGTTTAATTTCAAGTTTAGTCTCAGGTAGTGATGAGCTTAAACTGGTCTGGCTTGGAATATCAATCTTTTGGAGTTTGAGATTTGACTATATATTATTTACGGATGTTGTGTTCTAACATGTAACAATGGTTTTGTCTGAATCCAAATTATTGTGCAATTAGCGATGACATGTATGCACAGGACTCGATTGATTTACTCACAAAATCTGGTATCGATTTTAAAAAGCATGAGAAATATGGCATTTCGGTGGAGCAATTTGGAGAACTAATGATTAGTTCAGGACTAGTTTTATTGGATGATGTTAAATGGATTTCATTTCATAGGTATGTCGTTTGTAATGCTCGTTTTCATTAGTGTTCAAGAAAATCAAACTTTAATGATTACCATGGCTGTTGACTAACACGGAATGTGTCATTCTAAATGCATTATCACTATCGAATTTAGTGGATATGATTTTGGCTATTTACTTAAAGTTGTTACTTGTCAGGAACTTCCTGCAGAGGAAACAGCATTTTTTGAACTGCTTAAATTGTATTTTCCGTGTATTTATGATGTCAAGTTTTTGATGCGAAGCTGCAAAAATCTAAAAGGAGGACTACAAGATGTTGCAGATGAGCTTCAGGTACACTCGACAGATTTGGTCAGCTTTTAAAAAATTAGAATACTTATTTTCATTGACTTCATCTAAATTTATCCAGGTAGCACGAGTTGGGCCACAACATCAAGCAGGCAGTGACAGTCTGCTTACATCAAAAACGTTTTTCAAGATGCGTCAGCTTTATTTTGAAGATACTATTGACGACGAAAAATATTTGGGATGTCTTTTCGGATTAACCGGTTTGATACCCCAGGCAGTATAATGACAATGAGTTTGAAATTTAAAGCTATCTAGAACCCATTCAATTATTTTGAGGGTGGATTTTATTATTGAGAAAAGTGAGGAGTGGCAAACTTGATGATGGACTCGTAGCAAAAAAATAGAATGGCTGCATTGGGAACAACACGCATCAAGTGTGCTGTCATGCCACCGTACAAAGCAGCAATACCTTCTTCTCTGAATATTACTTTGGCTGTTTGAATAAGCCCAATGTATTTGATGACTCCGTCTACGGGAGTTTGTCGCATTCGAGTACGGATCACCTAATGATTTAGTATTTGGTTAAAATTGCTAATACTCTGCTGATTTCAAAATGTAATACGCAAACAGGCCAAGGTAATGGTTGGAAACATAAGCCAAGTCATTTACCTCGTGTGGATATGTGCAAACAGCTGCAATAAGTTTTGCCGATGCAGCGACACCAAACGTTCCTGTCCAATCTAAATACGTAGTATGACGCAACGGTTGAAAATGCAAGATTGTTTAGTCAAGCAAATCAAAATCAAACAATGCAGTTGTAGTGTTCAAACTATCTGATATTTTTACATACCAAGATGAATATCATTAGTAGGAAGCCCTGCTAATCTAGCAGTTTCTTTTTTACGCTCGAGTGCAATTTTTTTGAAATACTCGTACATGACAAATTGGAAAGTTGATTCGGCCAATCCTAGATATGCTAATTTAGTACATAATGCAAGTGAAGCTGGTGATCGAAAACACGATTGTATGGTTTACTAACCGAGAACACTGGCAGATAGACCTCTATATAAACCACGAATGCCTTCGTCTCTAGCAACTATGTATGCACAATGGAATGAATTTTTGTATGTTTGTAGAGATCTTAATGTTGGATCTTCTGATTGCAATTGCTAAAATCAAAATAGATGGATAGTATCAGTACAGAATAAAACCAGTCACTTGAATATACATGGACATACTCGATGGTTTGATAAAACTTACCATTCGAGTTTTTATAAGCCAAATTGGATTGGTGACTGTTGCTGTTGCCAAACCAGCTGTAGCTGCAGATAAAACATGAACTAGCGAAGTTTCTTTTCCGCGGTTCAAATCACTATACACATGCTTGCCTTGACTGTATACTGAAAAGTAAATTGCTCTTTTGAAACAACGTGAAATATTCAAGTATTAATGATTTAAAATAAATCCAAAATGCAATTTAATAAATAATTATGGTACATCAGGGTAGTTTTAACTCGATGCTGAAAAGCAAATTGGGTCTACCTAGCAGGAACCACACCAATTAGATTGGGACCAAGTCCTTTCCACAGTGCACGAATGCCTTCTTTTTGATGAATAGAACTAAAAAACACGATACAAGCAACACGGTTGATTTGTAAAATACACTTGTGAGAACTACTAGAACCAACATATTCGCAAAGATTGTCTAGTTTCTCTAGAGCGTGGAAATACCTCAACAAATTGACTACACCTCGAACATGATGCATTGCACCTGCTACTGGGTTTTTAAAATGCATAGAAATCTCAGTGCCTCGGTAAAGTGACGACTAAATTTAAAAGGTTTTGATCAAAATATAGATCAGAATTTATATTAAGCACCTGGTGAGATTTTAAAAATGAAGAGCCCAACTGTTCTAGATTATGTTGCAACGATCCAAGACATATTTGATTACCTGTAGCCGAGTCTTGACGACTTCCAAGGGACATGTAACTGCTGCACCAACTATTTCAATCAAGTGTTGTATTGAATGTTTAGTACAAGATCCAATCCAAATAAGCAACGTTGAGTTTAAAATCAATGCGGTTAGATATTGAAATTTGTTGGTATAAAAACTGCAGCACAGACTGAGTTATAAATAGTTTGGAGTGAATGGATGAGCAGAGTGTAAGCTTACTAGTTCCGCCAATGCCACCAGCCATAAAGTGCAGCCAAAAAGAAGGTGGAGATCGCTCTGTTGTTAAAGACATTACGCCAGTGATTCAATGTCGTAATTTATGTAGATAGAGCGACAACAACAGCAGATGTTCGGTTGACTAGCAAGTTTCTGTTAAACTTGAAATTGTTTTTAATGAAATTTCAAGAGATTAAAATTACAGTCTGGACTCTAAATATACAAATTAAACAGCACAGACCTTAAAAACAGTGTTTTCACGTGAGTATAACAACGCATACAACAGGAATTCTCCGATAAAAACAGCCAATCAATGAACTACATGTGATCACAGTTTGTAATGATTTTCTTTTGTGCAAATTTCCAGTCGCAAAACGTCAAATTTTACTGTTGCAGAAATCCTTTTCTTTCCACAGAAATTCAGATTGTGAGTGACTGTCAGCTTTGTCTTGGACTTCTTTGGAGTATTAATGAGCTAACTCTGTTGGTATAGAAATGGCATCTCCAGATATTGCTTGGTTGATTACCCGAAAAAACTCTTGCTTTCTTGTAAAGCGCAACGGAATCCGGCTTTCTCGTGAGCCTGGCAACCTTCGCAACTTGCACTCCTTCAAGTACTCTGGTATTGTTGGCAAAAAGGTAAGCGATTTGACGATCAATACCGGATACTAGCCGGATCTATTGGATTTCTTTGTGTCTATTCTGAGACATGACTATTCGGACGAGATTCAAGTAATGTTGATGCTCATCAATTCATGGTTTTAGGTTGTCGATATTTCTGCTAGCGCCAAGGGTGTTGCCATCACCCGTAAGAAGACTACCGTTTCTTGCGCCAAGCCATCTGCATCCACCACCACCGTAGATATTGCTGGACCTACTCGTTGCGCTGCCAAGAGCATCAAAAACCTTGTCAAGTTTTATCGTGGCGATCTCCTTGCTGATGCCCTTGCCCGCACCTCTCGCATCCTCGAGTCGAAAAAGACTCCCAAGCCTCTCAAGACCAAGTCTGTTCGTGGCTCCAGAGCAAAGAAACTTTAGTTTAAATAAAAGCAAGTCCACAACTTTATTGAGCTACTAATTTGCGCAGTGTTTGCAATCCTTGAATATTTAATGCTTGAATTTGGACTCTGCCTTGGTGTATCAATGTAACTGTGCCCAATGTCTTGCTGCTTACAATCGTGCTGTCTTGAGTTTCTAAAACAGTTGCGTCCAGGATCTACGCGATATTTTAATACATTGATCTCGAGTCAAGCAATATGCTTTACAGCCTTGCATTACAAATTTACCTTTTCAGTAAGTGTCTGAATCAGCTCTTGTCGGTGTTTGGGATCTCGTAGTGCTTCATCGTCTCCGTACATCTTTCCAGATGACGTTGCTATCACTTTGGATGTTCCCAGATGCATTTTGCCTTTAAGGAATCCAACGATCGGTTTGGCAATCGCATGTCTTTTGCTCGGTGTAAATAGAGTATTACTCCATCCCGTGTGCGACGCAATCTGCATAAAATGCTGGTTTTAGCAAACTATTGTATAATATACAGTTGGGCTAGAGGCTTTGAAAAAACTCACACTTCCGTCGATCGTGCAGTAGCGCATTTGCTCGTGTTGTGGAGAAATACTTAGACCTGTCGATGGAATATCTTGTTTGGATAGTATCAAACAGCGTATATGAAGTTGGCTGGCAGCGTGTTGTACCTCCAAACTTGTCATGGCTAATTCTGTCGGACATAACAACAATGGCATCCAGTCAATCACATCTGCTGGAGACCAATCTAATTACACTTAAACCCGTATAATTAGCATATCAATCTATTCCTGTATCTCAATTTAAAATCACTTGCCCACTGCAACCACAAGAGGTCTTGGGGCACCATGTACTCTGGTTGAATCAAGCAACTCTGCCGCCGATATAGCTAATTGAATATCTGTTGCAATAACCAATTTCGGATTTGGTTGTCTGGCAACCGACATCACGTCAGAATGATATACAAGTCGCATCTTGTTTTCTAGCGTGGCAGAAGACAATGGCTGTGATGCTGTAGCCAATTGTGTTTTTCTCAAATCAGACATCCTAATATAAAGTTGAAAGGTGTTGAAGCATTTCAAACTTTCAAGCAATTCTATACGCCAAGAATTGACGAGATCAAATCAAATTTAACTAGCATGCAAAGTTGTTTTTACCATTCTCCTTGAATATTGGCATAGATAAAAGCTTCCTTGGCATGTGCTGACAACATATGAATGGCAGTTTGATCAAATCCTCCAGCACAAAGTAGTCGATCAACCAATTCGACTAAATCAAACATATGACCGCATAAATCACTAATAAACACGATTGCAGCATGGTCACTCAATGCCTTGTCTGAAAATAAAAATAAACGCTTAGTATTCTGCATCACTTTGACTACAATACAATAATGTACAGCTGTCAAGTCTTACGAATTTTTATCCAGATTTGATTAATTGCTTTTGCAAGTCGATGAAAGTATTTCCTGGGAGTGGTATTGGCTGTTGAAACCACACAATCTAATGCATCAAAACCGGCTAAATCGGCTCGTTTAGGAATTCCTTCAGATAAACTCAAATCACCTACAAATCCAATCTATTCAAATCATCAATATTCGGCAGTTTTGTTGATATTAACAGTTACAGTTCAAAACCAACACCGTTTTTACTAATGAAACATACTTTGAAATTGTCTACTTGCACGATCCATGCTGTACAACCAAGAACAACTCCAGAGCTCTGTCCACATACATGAATGTTTCCTAAATGCTACGCATCAAAAATCACAAACTCAGTTTCATCCTGTAATCAAATAGATCCAACACATCATTTAATCTTGGATCGATCCAAAATCAATCTATTTTGTACAAGTTACCAATTTTTCCCCAAAGCGGACTCGAGTAATCTTGTCAAAACTGCGATGGACATCGGTTTCTGTAAATGGAAGATCTACATCCCATCCAAGCATTTTTGGACCCATTATATTCTTTCTATTCCTACATCTTGACAACCATTCTAATGTGCGTAACCTACAAATTAAACAGTTTAAAAAATTACCATCAAAGTCTATTCAAATGTCTGGCATATCAGATTGAATAGCTGCAACATGAATTTACAACATGAAATTACCTTCCAAAATCAGCTGTTGGTTCACTGCAAACCACATCTCCTTGAAATGCTGTATACATCAAAGCAAAGGGTAAACCAGTAATGTCCTGAAACGAGAAAACAAGAATCAGATCAATCGTTGCCCAAGGAAGTGTGCGAAATACATCCGGAATCAATGTGTGGCCAGTTGGTGGTATATGAAGGTTAAGTCGAGGCAATCCACATCCAATTAAAATGGTTTCTTGGCCAGATAGTAACAGCCATTCTACAGATTCATATTCGAACCGATGCTAGAATAGCAATGTCTAGTGTTAATACTGCATAAATGACCTCATAACAATGTGTTATCTGGATTCATTCAACTCTACCAACTGCATTTTTGTCAAGTCTTGGTGAAAATATTAATGTGGAAACTCGAACATTTAAATGGTCAAATCTCGATTATAAATCGCCCAAACCATTCTAGAAAACACTCCATTGGGTTGTCATCTTTAAAATCAAACTATTTATTCAAATTTAAACATGGCCAGTGTTCATTTCAACTCTACTTGGCTTGTAGTGAGCCAAACTTGTGAAAATATTTACGCATCTTACCAAGAAGCACACCATCCAGCATAGCATTGGCATAGATTTTCAAACGATGTCGCTTGTAGAATCAGTTTTTGAACTTGAAGTGGTACATCAAGCGTTACCGTAGGTTTAAAATCACGACCTGAACGAGTACTGTTAGTATATAATTACAAGTTAAAGTGTCTAGCCAATTAAACATCCAATGCGTACCAGTAAGCTTGTTTGAAACTCGACTAATAACCGTAAGTGCACGAGCATTCATGCCTTCTGGCTTATTGATAAACTCACTATCAACTGAATGATCTTCATTCTCGTTTCTGCCTCGTGGAAGCTTGCGATTATTGGTGGCATTCGAAGTTTCACGGTCACCTTCAGCCAGTTCTAATAAAATCAATCTCGTTAGAGTCGGCATCATAAAAAGATTTACAAGCATATCAGTCTGCCAACTCACCGTGATCTAGTTTATGTTGTCGCCCATGCTTTCCATCTAAAATTCAAAAAATTGTAGAAACACATTGTCAATATGGCATATTGTGATCAAATGTAAAACTCGCTCATCCCTAATGGTTGCAATCCTTTAAAATATCAATTCACCTTGTTTTGGACTGGTATGCGTCATCAGACGCCAATTGATCAGTGGATCGTATACAAATGCCTCCAAAACAGCCATAAGACTGTCCTTATTCTCGCGGAGAACACGCATTACGTTTTCGCAAGTGATTCGAAAAGTTCCTTCAATACCACTAACCTGTTCATAAAATTCCCATCAAAATAAAAAGTACTTGTTGATATAATTTTTGAAACAAGAGATAAAGCATTGTCATTTAGTAACGTACCTCCATAGCATGGATCAACATCCGAGTAAGTCTAAACGGAATGCGCTCAGGAAATTTATCACGATGAATCGCAACCTAAACATATATTAGCCTAGTTGTTCATAGCACAATGAAATCAATTGTCGCTGTATGCATTAAAAAGCATGATAAATACCTCAAAGCAGTCACCAAAATCAATATGGATAACTTTTCCAGTAAATCGATCCAACATCAAATTAGATGGGTGTCGATCTCCAAGTCCAAGAATATACCCAACCATGGACATGACTGCCAAAGAACGTGTGTAATTGGTCCGTCGATCCAGCCACACCTAGGTACTATAGCAAATTAGCTCAAAACTATAGAATATCGTGGAGGTTGCAATTTGACAAGCTTTACTAAAAAGTCAATCTATAACATACCTCCGAGTTTTTTGATTTAAGCCACAACACCTTGTATAGATCTTGCCCAGTTGTGTTTTCCAAAGCATAATCAAATACTTCGACTTTTTTCAAAAGGGACAGATTATCATAATCAGGTGCCATCTAGCCATATTAATATTAGCATAGGATTTGCATTTTAAAACATCAGCCTCGAATGTGTAGTATACCTGAAGCATGAGCCGTTGTTCAATATTCAACAGAATTTTTCGACTTTCTCGATAATCACGAATCAATGAATGTAACGTATCACAATGGGGAACCCACCCAATGAGTCCAGAATTGGGTGAAAGTGGAATGACGGGATAGCGATGAATGACAAGGTGCCGCTTATATGTCTCTGCATCCACATTCAATAGCGTGTTCACTAGACCAAACAACTGCATAACCCGCTCATCCTGTCGAAGATCCTCATGTCCTACATTATAAAAAATATTTTGATAAAGCATTTATCAATGTTAATGCAATTCTGTGATGCTAAATGACTCCAATCCAACTAAAATATTTAAAAAACTTTCAACCTTTTAGTAAATACTGATACTCTTTTCCATCACTGCCGCGAATGTTGATACGTCGAGGTCGTTGTTTGGAGGCCATGACCGTCAGTGTAGGTAAAAATGACCCAATTCGAACAATAGGATCACCGCTTCGATATGATCCTGTAAATTGAATTGTAATTAAAATAATCCAAATAAAATCAGTATCAAATGCTTTTTGGTATGAATATGTACTCCAACTTACCTGGTACAGCTAAATCAAAATCTTGGGCTTTCAATAATTTCGGAGATACATATTGCATTTCAAGCGAGTTGAGCTGCGGCAATAGCTTGCTCACTTTTTTGAACACTTGGTAGTATAAATCCCAAGCTTGATTTAAATCATCAGAATGCAGTGTGTGTTTGTATTTCTTGCTCCACTCAAACGCTTCAGCAAGATCACGTCCATAAGCCTGCATAAACGCTACTTCACGAAATGTCTCGGGACCCTATTTCAAGCATGGCAAGCAGTAATTTGCTATTAGGTAAAAGTACAAAGCAATCGATATTTTGAATTTGGCAAGTTCAAAACAGTCAAACTACATACTCTTTCAAGCATCAAATGCAATGGCTGTAAATTCGCAATCATGCCCTCCACGTTTTGTTCACCAAAATAAAGACGTGATGCATCCTCAAGCCCTTCGTGCCACATCTCTGGCCACAGAATAGCAACGCGAATAAGTTCTTGACTAACTAAAAGAGCCTATATATATTGTGTTTAATACCTATCAGTAACCACTCAAAGTTCACATAGTCTTGATAGCTTCAACACAAAAAATATACCTGCTCAACAAGGTTATCACTATGAACTCGCATCTTATCCAAAATTGCCAATGCAGATTTTTGCCGTGCATCACCTTGAGATTTTGATGCGACTGTAAGAGAATATACAAGAGCTTGAGGATGCTCTTTGCCTACGTCGGAAAGAAGCTGGTGAATAAGACGACGTACGTTGGAGCTCGTTGCATGAATGCGAGCAATCAGTTGGGGTATCACATCCAACCACGTGTCAACAGAAACAGTGCCGAATCCCTCTCCCACAGCAATATTTACATCGTTATTGAATCCATACTTGAACCAAAGAGTAAGCAGCCGAAGTGTGTCTTGAAGTGAACTACCAGTTGAAAGGGCAATAGATCTAAAAAACCCCTGAACTGAAGGAACCGCATGGGCAATCAATACATTGTTGGGAATTTGATCATGGATTTTTTCTTGATACGCCAAGACTTCAAAGTTTGCCAGTGCCCAAGCATGCCATGCCTTGTACCAATTCTTGTCGCATTGTGTAGCAGCAAAATAGGAATCTAAAATTTCTGGAATAATTGACTGGCACACATCAAGCATAATGATGAGTGATCGCGAAATCAAATGATTAGCCAAGGCTGGCAGTCGAATAAAGCATCTATGGTCTTGAACTATAAATAGTGAATTCAATTATACCTCTGTAAGTTCTTCTTTTAAAGCAAGTGTCCAGTCTCCAAGCTTTAAATAGCATCGAGCTAGCCTTGATTGCAATCCGTTCTGTTCAGGTGTAGATTTGTCATTTATGCATACAGTATTTCCCCCTGAACTCTCAATTAAAATCCCATGTTTTTCAGAAAGCACTTTGCTAAATTCTTTCATGTGCAAATATGCCTGTTCACGGTCTCCAGCAGCCCACATATGCTTCAATGACGCATATACTACGGCAGGATGATCATTGACAAAAGACTAATGAATTCAAATAATCCAAAAGCATCATTAGTCAGTACGACAACAACACTCTTCAAACCACCGTCACGTTATAAACATTTAAATGCGTGTGTATGCTTACCATTGTTTTTAAATCTTTGGAGGGTTCTGTGAGCAAAATAGAAAGAGATTTGCATGATAGACTTAAACGTCCGCTTTTGCGACATAAGCTAGCAAATTTGATCCAAATCTCAACATCGTCCTTTGGTGCAACTACCAACGTGCGTACTTTTAAGATCCGCTGCCATACTTCAACATTGCATTTACATCCTTTAATTCTGAAACATTATTTGAAATCAGTGTTCTAGTTAAAGACATGATATGACAAACAACCTTGACAAGCATCTTACCTTGCCATCCAGGTTTTTCGAATAAAAGCCTGTATGTCAGGCTGATCATACGCTTGCTTATACATGATAATTTCTTCTAGTTCTGCTAGCATTTGAATACGGACAACAGTGTTATAAGCCCGGGTATAGCTTTCACTAACAATTGCAGGCAGCTCAGCATCCAACAGATCGCGTGTTTTTTCAATATATCCCAAAGCTTGAGGGTATAAGTTGCGATGCAATGCCAAAATAGCCCGAAAAAACACACTGTCGTGCGAATCTTGCTTCATCATAGAAATATATTCATCCATAACATCCCATTGCCCAACACCCCAGGCAGCGGCCGCAGCAAGTGACGACATGGCTTTTTTCACATCTGATCGTGAGCTACTCCATCGTTCTTGAGATAGTTCTGCAAGAGCTTCCCATCTGCCAAGATTGTGGAGACACCGCATTCGACCAAGTAAAGCTTCGACCGAGTTTGGATCTTCTGCTTGTTTTCGCTCATATGCAGCAAGGCCATCTTCCCATCGATTAAGCTTTTCGTACCAAGATTCTTTAAGTTCAACGTTATGATTTTGCTGTGCATGTGTCAAAACACCTATGGCTGAGTCAGGCTGTTGAAGTTGATTGTTGATACTAATGAGAGCTTCAATTGTATTGGTAAGCGGTTCTGATATGAACTCGAGTTCTTTGTAGTGCAGCGCCTTGGCATATGCATGACATTTTGCGGCATATAATCCCAATGTGCGTATGTCAATTGGCAATGCTTTATCATCGTGTTCCATAAACTCTGCTAGATTTAGCAATGTTTGCAGTGTTTCTGGAGGAATATTAGGAGAGGTCAAAGCAGTTTCCAGTGATTTGACCAGCTCATCTTGGAACTGATCATATAATTCACCCCAGCAAGATACAAACGCGGGGTTGAATAGTTCGCGTGCTAAAACAGGGTATGAGCCAGCAAGACTGGCACAGGCGCGCAAAGCATGTGAAGGAGATTCCTTGAGTAGTTCTACACCAAACCTTCGAATCCATTCATTCCAGTCATCTTTGGTGGATCTTTGCGAGACTTCCCATGCTTTACGAAGTTGCTGTTGATTGAATGGCAATTTTTTTGTAGATACTTCAACAGGTATTTCAATTGGGGTTGGATCGCTAAAACCCTCATCTGTATCTAGGCTGTCATTGTCAGAAAGCAGCTCATTGTGCAATAGTTTTGAAACAATTGCTTCAAACTGGTAGTTTCGAATATGACTTTGTGCCAAAACTTTTGTAATAACAGGAATAAAAATAACAAAGTCCTCTTGCATTTGATGTGCTATTCTGCACAACGCATCAATAGAAACAGAATGCAGTTCAGCGGATGAAGATTTCAAAACGCGAATAAGAGGATGAATTAGCCTTGAACATTGGTCATGCAAAGTGAGTTTTCTTGCCAAGCAAACAATTAGTTGAATGGCTTGCTTTCGAAAAAAAACTGGATGGTCTAATCTCTCAATCACTCGAATGACAGTCGGAATAACCAAATGTAGATACTCTTCCAAAATCTGTCCACAGTAAGCAAGTGTACTCAGGAGTCGAGATGAGGTTTGGCGTTTTTCTGAATTATCAGTATCGAATATTTGGAGCAGTTGCGGAAGTAATGTTGGAAGATAAACTTTAAAATCCTCTTCTAAAGCCAAAGTAATTTGCTCGACCAACGACAGGGCAGCATTTTGAATGTTGACAGAGACATTCCAGTACTCCTGAATCAAAGCAATAATGTCGCCAATATAGCTTTGCATATTTAGTTTTACTATTGAAACTAGCGCTCCCAAATTTTGAAAGTATGTATCAAGCACACTAGGAGGACAGGCTTTCATCACAGCCAAGAGTGGTGGCATAATCTATAAAAGAAAATCGTAAATCAGTATAAAATATCAACAACAAGAATACAGCAGCACATCATGCAATCAAAACGCTGTATTACTTGTGGTAGCAAAGAAACACATTTTAGGCCCAATGTACGAAACATAATCATGACCGCATTTACTACAGCTGCGTGATGAATACTTAATGAAGGATCGCGCAAAATCTTCATAAGAGCAATAGTTGCAATGGTTGGGAAATACTCGTCCGAGGAAGGGCTGATGTGTGTGGCCATTGTCAGATAGGCAGATGCAGCAGCAGCAGTATCGGTATGTCGTGATGCAAGCTTATGTCGATATGGGTCCAATGCTCCTAAAACACCAATTACTTTAACAGTTTCACGACGAATAGGCGGACTTTGTTCACTTTTAAGAATGGCGATAAGATAATTAAGTAGGTTTGGGTACTTGATAAACGGCTCAATTACCCAGCCTGTTCTTGATATGATACGCGATAAAGTTCGAATCGCCGCTTCTCGCTTACTAAATGAGCTTTGATCTTGAAGAGTTTCTAATATAATGGCCATCAAGTCGTCCAAATATGGCGCCAATTCTTCACATCCAAGATATGCAAGCTCTCCAATTGCGGTCAAAACCTTTGAAGCAACACCGGGACTAGCATCGCGTGCTTTGGACAGTAACACTTTTAAAATGGGCTCAACATACGGTTCTACCAAACGCTGTGTAGAGCCAAACAAAAAAGCCAGCAGTTGTGCACTTTCTTCTTTTTGACGACTACAGAAATCATCGATACTAAACAGTCAGCATCTCACGTATACCAACAATATCCAAGCCAAGCCAATACACCAACTAAAAAGTACAATCACCTTGATGCAGCATACTCCAATTCAGTCAACAATTTGATCAAAAAATTTCGAAGCTTAGGCATCACAAATGATGGGTTGTAAAGTGCCAGTCGTCCGACCTTTGAAATTACCGTTTCTCTAATCACAAACACCTCATCATTCAATGCAACCAAAAGCGATCTGGCATAGTCAGATTTGGCAAGAAGATGGTCAAGACTTTCGTCAAACGATGACAGTACAATGTGTCGGATTGATGGTTCTACGTTGTAAAAGTTAAGTATGTTTAAAATGTGTACAAGTTAATAACAACTACAACATTATTGAACAGATAGTATGAAAAAAAAGTAAATCATATTGCTTGCTCAGTTATAAGTCATAATCTCACCTGGATCAGTAATACCAACTGCAATCATACGCTCTAAAAGTTTATTTACCAAAGTTGCAGAAGAATTTGTGCTCTAAATAGTGTTTCAGCAAAATACTATGCATACCAATTAAAAGATAAATGTGGCAATTCATACCTGATGTCGCAAAGGATGACGAACAAGAATTTGACAGCATGCAACGGCTGCGGCTTTTCGAATATCAATGTTGTCATCTTCAAGATACGTATCTGCACATTCTAGTACTAGATCTTGCATGGTGGAATCTATAGAAATATTGTCTTGGTAAAAACAATTAAACCGTGTAGTAAATGAGCACACATACTTACAGTTTAAATCAAAACTGCCTAGAGTCGTCAAAGCCAGCTTAATGGCTTCATTATCTCGAACCTCCAGTGGCTAGATAACAAAAACAGTATCTAGAAAAAGTTAAATGCAGTTATTAAAACTAATTATTTACCGATAAAACCATTACCATTGTTTCACGAACTGTTCCTGGCACAATCATTCGTGTCTGAAAGGCACCAACCTGTGTAGATCGGTTGCACAAAATGGCTGTAAAAGCATCAAGTAGACGAGCTATTTATTTGATAAAACCCATGTATATTTAAACAGGTGAGTAAAATCGATTTAGAATTCAAATGTTCCATCTAGACAATTAAAACTAAAAGCATACCTTGAATTGTTGGCAGAAGTGGAGGTATGTGACATGAAATGTCGATCAAAGCTTGACAAAGAGGCTCAGTCAACCCACTAACAAACATGCAATCAAGCAGTTCGTGCATATGCTTCGTCAAAGCCGGCCCTACAGCAATTGCAAGCATTCCAATGCATTGAAATGGCGAACTATCGATTTGTATTCGGCTTTTTCTGATGTACAAAAATGAAAAATTAGTCATGTTGAGCCATTTAATTTTCAATTCATACAGGTGTAGATTTCTTACACTTTGACTGCCAGCGCTTCTCGGATACACGATAAAACGGCATCTAAATATGGTGCAACACTACGACCAATCGCTATTGCAACCTTTCCAACTGAAATAAAAGCTGCCAATATAAAAATATGTAAGCTTTTTCATATACCACCAGCAAAGCCACCATTTTTTATCAAGGTTTGGATAGCAGTTTGCGATATTAAATCATGCGCATACCAATCGATCGCTCCTTTTCTTTTTTCAGCTGAAGCAGTAGATATGACATGCTTATAGCCAGGTGCTTCTCAACAAACTGGTCAGGGTCAAACTGTGCAATATTTGAAATCACAGAAATTACAGTTTTTCTGATCATCAAATCTTTATGTTCTTTGAATCTCATGATTGTTTCACAAACGTCGTTGTAGCGACCACCATCCATAAACTGTAGTCATTATGATAAAAGTAAAATTACCGTAAGTATAATGGTTATATAATCAGGTGGTTGTCTGAGATAAAATGCTGCAAAATATCACAGTTTGATCAACAATCCTGCATATTACTTTGGTAGTATGAGTAAGAATTTCACGAAGTGCAAGAAGAGACCCATGAAGCGCATCTGCAGAGACCATTTTAAACCCTCTTTGACACTCTTCAAAAATGGATTTATACGTTTGTCGCTTGTACTGGGTTTCACGAGCTTGAACAAGTGTCAAGCATTCACTTAGTGCTTCTGCTGCAGACTCTCGAATATTAATCTAGATCAACGATTTTAGTTTAATATATCTCAAAACTCTTGATAAACCATGTCAACTCAAATATAACCTTTGGATCACGCAATGCAGCCCATATGAGATCCAGAATTTGCGGAACAAAAGAATATACGATTGACGGTGCATTAGCTGTCAGTTCCTTTAATATCAGTACTGCAGCATACCGCCGTGTCTCAATCCGTTCCCCTATTTAGTTTATTAGTAAATAGATGATCACGTAGATAACTATAAAGGCATGCCAGTAGTCCAAACCAATATTTTCCAGATGAGTAATTCAATATAAAGCCAGCATACCCTGCAACCATTCAAATGCACGCTTGATTTCTGCTTCAACAAAATCAGTGGATAATCCTTTAATTGGATTTACAAGCCGACCTGAGTTAAAACATACTATTAGTGACATTTAAAAAAATTCACAGAATCAAAAACAAGAGCAAACCTAGTGCTTTGGTCGCAAGAATAGTGATTTGTGGATCTGTTCCTGGAAGCACATTGTGCAAGTAATTTGCAAATCTGGATATTTTTGAAGTATTCTCGTCACCGCTTTCAAGATCAATCAAACGTTCTAAATACCACAGGTTTAAAATAAGCGTGAGCGATTAGCCAGTTATTTTAAATGGGTGTATTCAGATACTTGAAAATCCTTTTAATTTCAATTTTCAGCCTCATGCAAGATCACAAGCCATACCAATAGCTATAACCCCTGCAAACTTGTCTGTATTTTCTGGGCTTGCCACTAATTCAAAAATACGCTTGTAAAGTTCATTATTGAATTTTGCAAATGCTTCTCCGGTGATTTCCCTTGATGTGGCAGACACCTAGTATTTACAACGTCAATATATACTTAGGCTTATTTGGGTATGCATAATCATATCAAATCTGGATTGATATAGCTCAAGTGTATCCTACAAGATCCCGAAGTTCATTCGCCGCTTTAACTCGACTATCCTCGGTTCTAAATACCAAAAATACTAGTCAATAAATTGATAATTATGCAACCAAATGCCCATCATTACTGCAGTATAATTGCCAAACCAGTGCAAAAATAGATATCCAAGTTGAATAGAAATTCAAGCCCTTGTAAATAAAGATTGGACTGAGTGGATTATCCAAGTAGCAATAGATGGCATGAATTGCTACTTTGCTTGATTATATGAATGAGCGACATACAGACAAGTTCAAGTAAGCGGTCAATTCATAATATTCATGGCCATCTAGAACTTGAGCAGCCAAGTGCATAATTATATTTTTAAAACTGTGCGCTTAATAATGGATAGCCAGATACGATGCATCTGACATGGGAATTGAAATATGCAGTGTCGAGTAAACAGCTTCAAAGCAAATGAGTAGACCAAGTATGGCATGTAATCTATTTCCAATTCTAATCAAAGCAGACCGATGCCTTACTTTATTTTGAGGTCCAAGAATAGCCTCGATAGCTCATTGGTTGCCATACGTTTCTGAATGTATTTATCGAGGGCAGAACTCAATTCAACGAGATCCGCGACTTGCAGTCACCGGCAGAACATTTAAACGATTTGAAATCATTGACTGGATTGGATTGGATCGCTTGAATGCATTGACTGCTGAGTAGATATAAGCATTTTGACTTGTTTTTTTTGAATCTATGAATTTAGAAACACTTGAGATGACTGTTTAGGGTTTTATAAACTGCTCGAAATATTTACAAATTCAAAACATGAAAATTGTGGAATGACTGCATTAAGATCTGTCCAGTTGTTTTTGAATCGTCATGAACAGTCTAGTATCAAACTACAAGATTGAATTTATAAATATCAAATCGTGTTTAAAATAGTATTATGAGAAATTAAACAATACTTTTGATTTCTGTTATATTTTAAAATCAAATTATGATAAAAATACTCGATCAATACTGTCAAATAGCTAAACTGCACTACTGTTCAATGTGCAAATCAACGAGAGTTGACTCGACTAGCCAAAAACTAAACCTATTTCCACGTGACTTTCACATTGGTTTTTGCTGTCATTTTAACAACATTCTTGACCTCAAAACACTCAAATGTAAGATGCAACCGAGTTTATCCATTGTCTTGATGGAATATTTTATAATTAGATATTTCTTGCATACAAGATTCTATTGGCGTATTTTTACTGCAATACAGCCATGAACAGATCTGTATTTTACTAGCAACTGACATGGATTGTATTGTCATAGGTCCGAACGAAAAGTCCTCAACAAGTACTTCCCACCAGACTTTGATCCTAGTAAAATTCCTAGACGAAAGGTTGTCAAGGAGGAACAGCAAAAAGTCCGGTTGATGGCACCGTTTTCCATGCAATGCTCTTCATGTGGTGATTACATTTACAAAGGCAAGAAATTCAATGCCCGAAAAGAGCGCTCAATGGGAGAAAAGTATTTAAATATACAGGTACAAGAGCCAGATGTCTGATTTCATAGCTAGTCGTTTCAAGAGTATTGACTATTATTATGGCTGATTAGATTTATCGGTTTTATATCCGATGCCCCAAATGTGCAGCCGAGATTACATTCAAGACAGATCCTCGCAACTCCGACTATGTTGCAGAGCATGGTGCAGTCAGAAACTTTGAACCGTGGCGAGATCAATCGTCTGTTCAAGACGCTTTAGAGTCTGAGCGTGCCAATGAAGAGGAAAATAATCCCATGCGTGCATTAGAAAACCGTACAATGGATAGTAAACGAGAAATGGACATCCTTGATGCCCTGGATGAAATCCGAACTAAGAATGCACATCTTGAACGTGTCAGGTCAACTAATCAAGGAGATATACCAGTTGATCATGCTGAAGAAATGGCTAAAAAATTAGAAGAGCTTCAAGATGAGGAGGATTCCAAATTGGCTGCAGCCATTTTTCAAACGGTGGACGGCGAAGTTGTGCGAAGGATTGACGATGATGCTGATTTGCATAGTCTGATTGCAAAATCAAATGTGGCTGCTTTTACTCCGTTTGACGTTTCTACATATCACGTCGAGGCTAAAATCCCTTCTATATCTGCACCATCTACTGATCATATCCCGACCTCCAAGTTAAAACGAAAAACTCCAGAATCATTGACCAGTTTGGGAATCAAACTTAAAAAGAAAACTGTAAGCAGCACAGAAACAGTTTCCACAAACCCTCTGTCCAACTCATCCCCTATAGTAACTGTTTCATCCAATCCTCTTGGTTTACTCACTACATATTCCGACTCGGACGATGAGTAAATGCATTTTAACGGCATAAAATCAATCACCCATGCATCTAATAAACTCCAGTATTTTCAAAAAGTATAAAACCCTGATCTGATATAATTGTGATATTTATCAATAAACGAATATGCACAAATCTATTTTTAAACCACTTAAAGCTGTGGCATGAATGCAATGTCCATTTGAGCCAACTTGAGTGGATTAACGGCATGAGAAATCAAATCAAGAATGGTTCTACAGACTGGCTCTGCACGGTCACCCGAGTTTTGCTACAAAATCAATATATATAAACTGTGGTGTTAGAATATGTGATAGGCTCTCTGTAAAATATGCACTGCTGATGACTTGTATGCATAGTTTTTGATATATTGGCAAAATACTTACAGCTGATTTTTCACGCTCGGCTTTGCAAGCAAGAGATTGCGCGCGCTTCACTACAACATTGACATTATTGTTCACCAGCTCGCGAAGTTGTGTAGGTTGAAAAGCATTTTTTCTTAGGTTGGACTGCCAAGTGACAAGCTCATCACGAATAAAGATACTGAGGTAATCTGCCAATTCAAACTATTACAGAAAAGTAAATACACGCAATAACAAAAAAGAGCTGTTTAAAAAAAGTAATGGGGTTTACCTCTGGCTTGGTAAGAGATCTACCCACAGCCATGAGAGATGCTACAAAAACACCCTCAACGCCTATAGGTGTCAAAAAGTGCTGAATATTGGGAGTAAAGCGGAAGGGAACAGCCTCATTATTTGTAAATAAAGTCGTAGAGTTGGATATAGCTATAATCAAAATTTAATTTCAAAGTGATGAATAATTAGACCGAATCTATCCAAAAACAACTTAATTGCTGTAGAGCAACACATTTCGCTTACTTGGTAGTAGGTCTGAACTCCATACACCGCCAGTCTTTGGCGACATAAATATTTTTTGTGGGTATCTGTGACCAATACTCATCAAGTAAGTCATAAAGGTCATTGTTGCCAGATGCGATGTGAAGCGCTTTCTAAATGTCCATAAATCAATATATGACATCATACGTTCTTGAAAATACTGGCATTTCAAATCCAAAATAAATCATTGTCAAAACAATCATCAAGTAAATGGCAAAGCAAGATAAAATAGGTTACCTCGGTCATGATGGTTTCTGGAATAAGCTTGTTACCAATTTCCTCCATAATTTCCGTTTTTAGATTTAAAATTTCTACCTTCTATAACCAATGCACAATGTCAGTCTTGAAAAATAATTGCTACTTTCAAATTGTCGACTTACAGCTTTCCGTGTAATATCAACCGAAGCAAATATTTGGCGTATCCGTTGAGCATAAAAAATGATTGGGTCATCTTTGTGAATACCAGATTTTACACAGTGACTTTCATATACATCTTGCAGTGATATGTCGGATCGGTCATCTTCAACAAGTCGGATTTGTGGTGCAAGGGGTACAAGTATAGGAAGATGGAAGTTGAGGTTGCGTTTGCGAGCTTCCTTTTTACGCGCCATTACACTAGAATGATAAAAATACAATCAATGGCAATATTAAATACTATAAATTTCAAACTTTGATGTGCTCAAATATACATACTCGTTCAGGATGCGGAAGAGTTGAAGAATACGCTCCTCTCTTCTACAATGGCGTGCTGCAGGATTCTGAACAGTGAATCGGTGGGATGAACCATCGTGACCAAGAATAGTAAGACTTTTATAGCAGCAGATATGCCCTCGGGTAACGTCAATGGTTGGACTGAATCGTTCGATATGTACAAAATCTTTGTTGTTGGGACGCATCTATATTAAAACAGCATCAAATCAAAGCTCATTAGTATATTATCTCTAAATTGATAGGCTATATGTAGATCTAAAAAACTCGATATACCTCAAAGTATTGTCCTGGAACCTCAATCTCGTCAAACTTTTGGTATTCAAATTCGACTAAATGATGACTAAAATGCTCCAGATACTGCACACGGGGACGGCAGTCAAGGATTTTCTCAAGATTGTCGCGCCAAGTACGAAACCCAGAAACCAACTGACTCAAATTTGGTTTGCTTGCAATAAAGTCCTTTTCAAACAAGTCCTTATACTGAAAGTAACGCATGTTAAATATAGAAAATAGACATTAGCTAAAATTTATGCAAATGTCAAACACTGAAATAAAAATTTATACTGGATATACCTTGAGATGATTGGGTTGCATACTCTCTCCAAACTTGACAAGATTATTTGCAGTAGCTGGAGAAAGATTTCCCCCATCATTCGGATCACGGGTAAGCTGCTGAAGGTACATCTATAAATAACAATGTAAAAATATTACTATCAAAATAGCGACGGATAACTATTACAAAGGTATGCTGCAATTGATACGCCTGGTGCAAGGTGGCTTACCTGAACACCATCACTCAATAGTGCGACAATCAGACGATAAATATCCTCGTCGGTAGTGGGTTTTAGTCTTAGTAAAATCTGATCAACCATTGTCTCCATGGATAGAGCAAGTAGTGGAAACGCAGTTTTTAGCAAACCCATAATCTCATCAATGATCTCCCATGGCTGACGTTTGACTGCTGGCTGTACAGCCGGGGCTGGAGTGGCAGTTGATACAGCTGGAGTCGCAGCTGCGTTTTTATCTTTAGTAGGCGTAGAGCTGACTGGTACTTTGCTTGAATCGGTAGATTCATTCACTGGATGCTCACTCGTAGATACTTTAGCTATCAAATCATCACCAACGGCATCAGTAGAGGATATCTCGTTATCATTACTGATATCTTCAACTGATGTAGCAGAAGACACCTCGATCGTTGGAATAGTCTTGGGAGTCTGTGCGGTGGGTGCTGGCGTTTGCGCAGCAGCAGAATTGGAAGTTGTAGCAGATTGGGTGGGCCGTTTAACAGCCAAGAAATCTTCTTTTGCAGTGCGTAGTTGAAAATGTAATGACTGCGGGAATGCTTTTGCAATCTTTAGTAATATCTGCCGAGCAAAGATAGATTCCTTTCCAGAAAGCGATAGAATAAGTTGTGGAACAAATGTGATCCAGTACCAAACAGGAACATCAGGCTTGTATCCATCGTACGATTTGGCCAATGTACCTTGATCATCATCCAAGCTTAAAAGCCAAAGAATTCGCGCAAGAAACTTGCGAGATCTACCATTGTTGTAAAGACTAGCAGCATGCAAGTAGCAATTAACTGCACCAACCCCGTATTCTAATTTTTGAGGAAAATCGTTCATCATACTGTCATTATACTTTCCCCACGAGGCCCATGCCTTGGGATAAGACAGATCCATGTTAACCGCAGAGGAAAAGGCCTGTACTGCATCTTCGTGTAGATTTAATTTAAAAAGAAACTGTCCCTTTAAAGTAAAAAACTCTGCTTTTTGTCCAACAGTAAAATACAACAGGTTGGTGTTGTTTATAACATCAAGACCAGTCGAGTATTCTGAAAGCGCCTTTAAATGGCATTTTGCTTGCTCGCGTAGTTTGAAAAATGCTTCTTGGATTTCAATATTAGGAAGAGTATAGATTTTACTTAGAGAGTTGATGCACACCTCTGGCAATTGATGTTTGCGAGCAACATGTGCAAACCGATTGATGATCCAAGCCGTTTCATGGTAGCCACGGAACGTGTATGAACTGGTAGGGTTTCCATTAGAAAGCGGTTGAGACATTTGCGGAATCAAGGGTATATATGCATTGTTGATAGAAGTAAATACATGCTGGCGCCATGCCAAAAGATCGCTCCATAAATTAATATCATCCCACCGGTTTGGGAGTCGCTCTCGCCACGTTTGCAAAATTCCTTTGAGTTCTTGAGATTTGGAATCAATATTTGTAGTGTTGGTAGATACCAAATTATTTTGAATATGGCCAGCTTCTTGCAACTCTACAAATTGCTGGAAAGCGTGGAATGTGCCGATATGAGAGTTGGAAACAATGGATGGAAGTGAGGTCCATCGTCGAAGTACCAATTGCATACCCTCATTGCATAACCGTTGAAATTCTCCTTGATTTTCTGGGTCATCTTGACGATTCTGTAACACCAAAAAAGCTTGAAACATTTTTTTTCTTGCAGTAGCAGGCTCGCTACATGACTGAAGTGACAGTGCCAAGTTTTCTTTATCCGTGTTCCAGTCCGAAAGTCGCCACATGCACTCTAAAAGTAGATCTGGATTTGAATCATGCTTGGCCAAATCTGTAAGAATATCCCATTGCTGAAGGCGCTCAGCACATTCAATCCAGTGGCTCTCCCAAAGACAATACTCAAGCTCGGTAAACGGAAGAACGCCGGTGCGTGCCTTGAGTTGAGCACTTTCGTAAAACGTTTGGGCTGTTGCCCACATGCCACATTGCTCATAAGACACTGCAGCATTGGTTTCATTGAACAAAGCCTTGCGGCGCCATAAGCCATAGAAATAATCATCCTCACTAAGACTGGCATAAATATCCGCCAAGGAGTCCATAACAGATTCCTTGATCTTTTCCTCTTCTTTGTTTTGAATAACAATACCAGATCTAGGCTCAATTATGGCATTTTGTAATAACTCCAGCGCAACATGCCATGCATTATAGGTCTTTCCTAAATGACGAACCAAGTGAGGGGGAAGTTGCACAGGAGGCTTGCATTTGCAAATTCCTTGAAGCATGGTTTGAATAACATTGGGTCGCATGCTTGCCTGCGCTGTATGAAAATCGCGAGCCAAAAGATTGATAAATCCTTTTATAGCATCGTGTCGTTCTCGACTGGTCAATTGGGCCCAGCACATGGGAAAAACTGCAATCCATAGCCAGGAAGACAGATTGACATCTTCTTGAATAAATGCTTTGATCGGTTCCATCAATGAAGACAGCTTAAGCAATCCAATCTCTTTACTAACCACAATGTGGGCTGCAAGTAATTGGTTAATCTCTGCCGACACTTGATGTTCCCCGTCTACATCCATGCTGACATCCTCTGTTTTAAACAAATTTTGATGGCGGGTTTTGAGTCCTGAAATGCAACAAATACGTTGTAACGGTAAATGGGTTTGAACCCGTCGTTCAGAATCAACACTTCCAAGTAAAATATCTACAGCGTGCCTGATCCAAAACGACGACGCAAGTGGTTCCCAATTTTGGACACCTACATATCAGCAAGATTTGATAGGATCATGTTGAAAACCAAATCAATGAGCAAAACTAGTTTAAATAATAGTAATTCAAAAGACTTACTCAGCACATAATCAAGTCGCAATTGAAGAGTGGGTTGTAGCGAACAATCAAGTATTCTAAGAATTCTTTCACGCATCTCATGATTAGGAGAAAGAGTTCCTTCTAAAAACGCCGTTTCCAAGCGTACCGTCAGTTCGGTTCGAGCAAACTCTGGATCTTCGTAAATATCAGCAACAAGAGTCATATAATCATTTGCAATTGGAGAACGTTCAGATTTGTATAACGACAACATTTTGACTGCAACAGATGCACGCTCTTTCATAGTGGGGAAAGCATCATGATGCGATACAAAAATCCACTGTCGCAAAATGGAGAGAATAAGCACATGCAACTCTGGAGTGTCTTGCAAATCAATAATTGCCATAATACCAGCAAAAAATGCTTTACGAAGTTCGCCGAGTTGTGTGATTTGTGCATTCAACAGCTGAATAATGGTCTTGAGAATATCTGTAACAGATCCATTTGTGATGACTGTGGGATGGGTGGAATTCACGTCCTTGATAAGGACGCCAAAGAGTTTTGTCAATTCAATCACATGAGATCTCAAAAGACTTTGAGCCGATGGTTTATCTAGTCGATGTAAACATGATGCCTCTAGAATTGAAACAGCCGCATAGATATTGGTAAGTGAACCAAGTCCGTGCTGGACTGTGGCATCAAGCATCTTGTAAAATAAAGCCTCGTCAGCCGATGGCTGCTCAGGATCGCCGTTATCGTCAATAGAATTCCACATGCTCATCAAAATGGAAGATATGGCAACAACAAGGGAAGGTTGATCATTTTGAATCCATTTTTCAATGCACCTCTGCAAAGTCGACAAATTTTGGTGAACCCATTTGGCTGGCTTGGTATTGACAGTAATCATAAGCATGTCTATCGCATTGGATACCACAACAGATGAGGAATCTTCCTCGTAGGTAATAGCCTTTTCAGTTTGGCTCAGTTTGATCGGAACATCGGGGGAAAGAGTGATCAAGGTTTTGAACAAATCAATGGCTCGCTGTATCAAAGGCTTGCTGGTTTGAGGCTCACTTAAAGACAAAACAAATCGCAATAGATAGCTGACAATCATTTCTTTGTAATCCAAAGTCAGCGCGGTAGCAGGAGAGGATACATCGTGTGAGTCCTGAGCAGACGTCCAATCCATACCTTCGTCATGAGCATCTATTGAATTCAAACATGTAGAGCAGTCAGAAAATTTTGATGAAAAGCTGAAACAACAGATATTAAGGTTCAAAACACTCATCAACCCAAATATTCGACGTACCAGCGTTACCATTCGCATTAGCCTCCTCCAGTTCACGTTTCTCCCAAACAATAATTAAATCGCCAAGATCAAGTGTAAGCGTTCTTGTTTCCATTGTAGCACTTCCCGAAAGTCCAAGCTTGGCCAATGAAGACACAATCTGAGGTAAAAAATGCTCACGTGTCAAATAGAATTGATCAGCATTGCGGATGAGTAACTGGTATAGCGACAACAACTGCGTAACAATATGTCCCTCTTCAACAACCACTTTTCGAATCCACTGGACAAAAAGAGGCATACGTGCACGCTCTCCCGTAGAACTGGCAAGTCGTATCGGGAGCACTGGTAGCAGTGTGTCAAGCGCCTGTTTTACAAGAATTCGGCCCTCTGCTTGATGTGCGCGAAGCAATGCAACGTAAATCTGTGAAACAATCTTGACAGGTGTCTCGTATTCGCGAATAAATCTTGATAGCAAAACGTAAGCTGACTGCTTCAGAGTTACATCTTCGACCTTGAGATGATTCCATGCAAACTTGATAACATCCTTACGAGATTCACTGATTACTTCGGGAACACGGTGCACCAAAAGATTCGTGAGTTGCAATAGTTCAATCTTGAGACTATCTAAATCAACCGAGGAGCAACTAGAATCGGCAATAAGAGGAGCCCAGACGTTGGCCAAAATGCTCTCAACAACCTCAGTATCTACAATATGAGCATCGTGTTCGGTTCCTAAAAGCAGCATAGGAGTAATGAGATAACGCATCATGCAAATTTTTCGCTGAGTCGAAACCTCTTGAAGTGGAAACAGTTCCAAATAACGTTTAAAAATAGAACTGCGCTTGTCAAAATCTGTAGTCTTTCCCACCTCTTCGTAAACAAATTTCCTTAAAAATCCATAATCAACAATTTCTGGATCAATAAAACCCTCCACAATGTCGAAAATAATATCAACGTTTAGCGGATAAAACTTGCTGTACTCGATAAGCAGTTCAAAAAACGCTGTATGCTCACGGCCTCGAATATACACATATTCGTCTAAAGCACTCAAAAATCCACCTCTCCAAATCTCACGTATGCGATCAACGACTTCAAAGTTTTCAACAAGCCATTGCGCATCGTAAGCTACCAAATGCTTCACAAGGTGAATGCCATTACGATACATCACGGTTGAATCAACCTCATTTAGGTCAAACACTTTGGTTAAAAGATATTCCTTGGCGCTGGATACGGCCGCGCGAAGCTGAGTACTTTCTTCTGAAGCCAACATACCCAAAAAAAGCGCAGTTTCGCGTGGGAGTGAAATCTTTTGCAAAAAGTATGTAGTAGCCTCTGTTGGGTATTTGTTCAAGTATCTAATGAGTGGTTTACGAAAAGGACTAGAGATAGATCGATGAACACGCTGTTCCAAAAACAAAACGTTTTTGATAATGTCATCCATGAAAATACTTGCGGAAGACGGAAGTCTGTGAAAAATATCCAGAATGGCAACAATAACTTTAATTTCTTCCACATCGCCAATAGGGCGTCCAGAGATTTCTTCAAGCACTTTGGGCTCTGCCCATAGTCGCAGATGATCCAACAGCTTTTTTCCAATCTCTACTTTAAAGTAGTTTGTCAATAGCTCCAAAAGCTTTGCAAGCCCCTCAAGACCAGAAACAGTCAGCCGTTTGTGGTCAGCAAGGTTCACCAGAATAGGTCGCAACCCAGCTTGAAGTAAGTCTTTAGGCAGTTTGTGTTGTTGAGCTACCACTTGCTGCAATCCCTTGTTTGCAGCCTCTACGACGTCATTACTTTTTGAATATAGGGATTTGAAAAAAACAGAAATAATACGAGGGCGAATGAGATGGTGTCGGGGAGATGCAAAATCGGCACATGCCATGGCAGCGGAAAGCAGTCGAATACAAACAACGCGAAGATTGTTCAATGAAACTGCATTTTTAAACTGAGATGCCTTGCTAACAAGAGCTTGATCCTCAGCATCCGCTAATGCTAGAGCTTCGTGAAGTAGACGAAGCAACTCGTCATGAAAAGTCAAAAGTGGAGGCCTCAATGACAGGCAGTATGTGACAGCATCAATGTGGCCAATTTGTATTGCAAACGGCAGTGCGCGAAGCGGTTTTGCAAAAATAAATGGCATGAGTCGCTCGCACACTGGACGAATCATATCAGAAAGTTCTGTTTCAGTCAAAGTAGAGAGCAGCTGAAATGATGCTCGAATGCTTTCTCGAACTGCAGAATTGGCATTGGACAGCTCCGATGTAAGAAGTGAAACAAGACTATTGAATTTAAGAGTTCGCTCAGTCTCGCTCACTTGCTCGCTTGGGGTATTACATACTTTAAGAACATAAGAAAGAGTCTGTGTGGTATCTTCCAAGTTAAAATAGGCGACATCGGCAGCAACATCTTTGAGAACGTAAAGCAGCGCCTTGACAAACTCCAACTCATGTTCAAGCATCCATTTTGGTCCCATTTGAAGCTTTGATGCCATTATAGATATTCCAAGACAGCCACCCGTTTTCTTGAGCCATTCAAACTGATAGCAATTGGAACAGAATCGAGATGCAAAAATATGAAGTGCGGGAATAGTGTCGACACAATCTTTGGTTTCGACCCAGAGCAAAATAATTTCGTAAAAGTAAATCAAGGCTCGCTCTGCAATATCACGCTGTTTTGAACTATCTGATGATAAAGTCTCTACCAATGCTTCAATAAACCCGTTCAACTTGGAAAGCGAATGAACATCCAAAAAATCAAAGCTGTAGCTACGAATTCGATCTGATGGAGTGTCTTCTCTGTAAATCCCCGCTTCACCAATACTCAACATTGCGAAATGGCGACAAAGATGTTGAAGCAATCTCCATGCCTCATCATGAAGTTCGTCTGTGGCAGCACACGCAAATATGACTAGCAAAACTCCAGTAAGCGATTCATCAATGGAGGATTTGTGCCTGCATGAAATGGAATCATTTAGGTTAGCAAAAGGAGATGCTAATTGAGATTTCTTTTGCGATGCTGGCAGTGGCGACGTGGCAACATTGGTCGATTTGGTATTCTCCAAGACAGGCTGTGAGTGGCGACAAAAAAACCGTTTAAGATGATCTTGCATAGCAGATAAAATAGAGTCTTCGCTATCATCAAACTCAATCAAAAGTGGTAGACAGCCTTTGGCAAATCGAAACGCTTGATAATGTAAACGTTGAGGAGTATCTGCTAAATTAACAAGGCGCTTTGCAACAACAAGAATTTCATCCAAACAAAGATATTGAGGATGAGGCATTCCACCATTGAAAAGCAAATTTACAGACAATGCCGAGTCTGTCCGAGCAAGAAATTCTAACGCAGATCTGTCCTTGAGCCAGCGACGATTGCGGCCTCCAAATTTACCCAAGATACGCAAGGTTGTATGACTGTGTAGCTGATTATATGGACTCGGCTGAAGATGCTTCCAAAGCGCTGTCATTAACTCGTCGATTACCGGGTTAAGAATAGGTTCCAAAAACTCGTGGCTCAAATTATCTACGCAAAGCTCCAATGTACGCAGACTTTGGCTAACAAGTTCTGGACCAGCCTGTAATGCAATTACAAGTGGACGCATTAGATATGACAAATATGGAAGAAGAACCGACAGTCGCACGGGAACAGTAAGACAAAGCTCAACAAAAAGCTCCTTTGTCTGTGGTTGGTGTGCAGAAACCAATAGAGCGTTTAAAGTCTCTAAAAGCACCTGAAGCAATGGAAGCACTTCTTGATAAAGAAGCTCAAAACGGCCTCCGCCAATGCTACGGAAAAGCGAACGAAGAAGTAAAAAGTAGTTGATTGGGTTTTTGGCTTTTGCAGAAAGACGCAAGCATGACATGATAATGTTGGCCAAGTGTGGACAAAGAATGCTTTCATTAGATTCTGGAAACAAAGTAACTGCCATGAACAAAAGTTTAAACAGCCTAAGCATGGCATATGTTGATGATGCATCGCCAAAACCAAGATCTGGCAGTCGATCGACCAAAAAAGACAAGAGCAGTCCTGAAAAATTTGCAGAAACGGATAAATTGGCTAGAAAATACTGTGGAACCGCAAGCAAAGAAGAACTTTTTACAGCTTGGTCAAAAAGCAGCTGCATGTTTGTGGAAAATACCTCTTGAAAAATTGGTGGATCTACAAAGGTAAAAATAGACGCGAACGCCTCGTAGACCTCCTTGTCCTCTTTGGAAGCAGTGGTCATAGTTGCCGAATTTTCCCCTACTGTCGAAAGGCCAGACTGATCAGGATTGGTTCCTGGAGTGGTAGGTAAATTGGCGCTAGTTGCTGTAGTAGCAACAGTCTCTGTAGTTTCAATATCTGATGAAAAATATTTAAAGCAATCAAGCCCTTCTTTAAAAATATGAATGAAAATTGCAACTTCGTCGCTATAGCTATGAATAAGATGTACATCTGATGTTTCGGCTGTAGATGCTGGAAGACTTCGAAGAGCAAAAAGAGCAGTTTTTATACCGAGCAACACACTTTTGATTTGTAAGCGAATATCCTTTATCAAATCAGGAGCCCCATCCAGCGGGCGAGCACATGTTCGGATTGGCTGCACATAGCCAATATCCAAAAACCCGTCCATCTCTAGTAAATGGCTAAAGTTTTCCTCTGTTGTGGAGTTTTGGGATGTCGTCTTGCGCTTTAAAAATCTAATGACAGTAGAGTGCATGTCGTTGATGGATTTAAGACGGCTTGCAAATGTATCCAAAGTACGTAATACCAGTCGACGTGCATCAGATTTGGACTGTTGGTTGACCACATTATCGATCAAACTAAGCAACAGCTTGGCACACATTGTTTGGATTTGAGGTTGAAAGCTAGGATCATGAAGGTTCTTGGAATAAACATAAATCACTTTGGTGATTTGATCTAGGGTCAGCTCGTTCCGAACATGATGGATGAGATCAACAAGAACACTGTGTCCAAGCGGTCGAAGCGTTTCGCGACATGTTACTCCAGTTCCAACAAGAACATCGTCATTTAAAATCACATCCATATGCGGCACGAATGCCTTTCGAAACTCGGTAAAAAACAAATGGCGGGTAGCTATGAGTAACTCCTTGCGGGTTGCCGAAGCATCTGGAGGACAGTCTTTCATAAGACAAATGACACCGTTTGCAACACTGTCTTCGTACGGCTTCAATAGTGAAATAAAGCTACGCAAAATATAGGCAATGAACGAAACTGTCTTGACTTGCAAAGACTTGAACTCCACATAGAGTGCAGCATCCTTGATATCAGGCGACATTCCCAAAAAAATGGTACCATTAGCCTCGGCATTCTGATGAGCTTGTTGTTGCTGGTAGGGCTGTAGCATCAGTACCTGCAGCAATCCAAATTTAAAATGCATTTTAATCAAAACGCAAACTATTTACTCATCTACTGCAATAATCTAGCATAAATGTCCTATACAGCTCAACCTACCTTGACTATGTATGGTACAAATTGAGGGACGTTGGGAGTGACGAATTTGCGGTGAATCTGGAATAGTAGCGCAATGATTATGGGGCATTCGGTAAGAACTTTAAAACTGAACATTGATAAACAAATTGTTTTTTGAGAAGCAAGTCCAGGAGATGAGCTCGCTACACTTTGATCAGCCTCATCCATCGCATTGATGTCGCCAAAGGCATCTGTAACAGCTTTCTCCATATTCTGATACATCTCTTGAACAATATTAAGAAATGGCTGGACAAATTCTTCAGCAAGCATTTTGTAATTTTTGTGGAGATCCACTATGATTTTTAAAGAAATGGAACCATTGTCCTCATTATCCTCACGAAGAACAATCATTAATACGCGCATAAGATCCAAAACATACTGGCGCAATGCCTCGTTATGAGGAAAGCGATGGATTATTTCCAAAATAATATTCCTCAGTTTCTATAATATATAAAAATTATAAGAAATCTGCTTTAGATCATAATATAGTTTTAACACAGCTGTAACTTGCATGGTTGTCATGGTCACTAGAGAATGCCGAAGGTGTTTTTTCAAGAAGATTGATGAATACAGGCAAGATGTGTGCCAGGAACCGAGGATATTCTCCAGATTGAACAATCTCAATTGAATCCCGAAGCTCGGTAACAATGGCAACCTTGACATTGTTTACTGTCAGTGTTGATGTGGTTAGTTGACTTATTATTGCAAAGATATAGACTCAAATAAGATCTAGCTAGTGTGCATTTTAGCATACATATATTTGGGTCGTTTAGTCGGTTTGCAAATACTATTTGATTGGATACATTAAAAACAGAATGTTAGATACTTGTACTGGCAATACTTTGAAAAACAAGTGTTTTGATTATTAGGCCACACATCAAAGAAATTGATCATAAATCAGCAAACCTTCACAATTGGATGCATTGAGAGTCTAGACATGATCCAGTGCAGTGTATTTGATTCAACATAGTTTCAAAAGTCAGCCGAGTAATATGGCAAATGAAATTCAGAAACAGATTGTTTTGGAGATGCAATATGCAGAAAACCAAATGGTATCATCAAGATCTAGAATTTCCTAGCAAGTGTCAAGTGTGTACCATGGTTGAAAAAACTCCAGTGCAGCAGTACTGCCTGTATCTGATGTGTTGCAAGTTGTAAACAACGTTTGTCTACTGTAATAAAAAGCCTTTGCTGGGTTGAATGCAAGATCCGAAACACTAAAGAATAATCTGGCAAAACTCAAGCAACTAGATGAATGTATTTTAGATAAAAGTACAGAGTTATAGATTAGCTTGTCAAAGAACCAACTTGTACGTAGCAAACTGACCAAGAATGGTAAGTGATGATGCATGAACCACAATGGGTTGCAAAAAACCAGTATTTTCAATCTGAATGGAATCTGCAGTGGGAATATCAGGGATGAACAGTGGAATGGCAAGATCGATAGTATACCTTGTTGGCTCGATGGAATAAATTGATCCAACAGTTTTGCAAACTCAATTACAAATGAGCGCGAATCTCAGAACTCACTGTTTCCTGAGGGTATGCTGCGCCACACCCCAGAAATAAGTCTTGACATCAAATCATTGCCAAGAGTCAATCTCACGACTATTGCAGTCTTCAAACCTGATTCCACAATCCACATGCACAGACCCAGCACTCTGTGACTCCAAAGATTCAAGATTAGGTACAGATGCATGCATATATGGAACAAGTGCTACACTTTCTCGGCACAAACCACTCTCACTCATTGCACTAGTAGCAGTGCATGTCTCAGTATCTATTTCATCAGCATCCACAGCTAGACAAGTATATTTTACAGGAGTGGTAGGGCCAGGAGTTTTAAATGGACGGTCAGTGAATCGTATTGATTGACGGTGTGAATTTGCCAAGCGAGTTTTTCGTGGAGCAAGGCTGGACGGCCAATGAGCTCTTGAAAATGGTTCAGGTCTCGTGCGATCTCTCCAGGGTGAGACAATCTGTGAAATGGGTCGAGAAAGATGCTGTTGCGGATCTGCTGATCGTCTACACACTATAGCAAAATTTGCTGTACGCAGAGCATGTTGTTCCAATAGGGGTTCTTGAAGAATTGTAGGAGTTTCTGGACAAGAGACATGATGAACTTGCTCTTGGTTGAGCTCGCTCCTAACTGAACCTACTTTAGTACCAGCAAGCATATTGATACGCTCCTGCATGTAGTCAACACGGGCATTCAGATTGTGTGAAACAAGCTGCTTTTTTCCAGGTAGCCAAGGGTTAACTGGATGCTGTCCAGATGAATCGTGCTCATAAAGTAAAGGTCTATAGGAAGTAACTACGAATGGAACATGGGCCAGATCCAGATCGAGATCATTGTGAACATGACTGAGCCTGCTATCATGTGCATCTTCATTGAACTGTCTAGGCATCTCAGTAATTGGTGCCGAGTGCTTCAAATTCATATTTCCAACACGAAAAGGTTGAAATAATTGAGAATGTTTATTGTAAAAGCAACCAATTATGTACGAAAACGACAAATACTCAACCATTGTTTATTCCAACGACTCGATCGTTGCAAGATAAATGCAAACTCCATTTTACGTGAATACAGCAGTGAATAGTTGAAGTAACGTAAACTCGTCGATTTATAGTAATCAACTGTTTCACTACAGAATTCCCCAAAGATTGCAAGCTGTTTTGGCTGGTCTTTCATCAATCCCAATCAAATAATTACCAATATAATCGTACTGTGAGTTACCCGTTACGTCAGGAAGAATATCTTTCAGTTTTGGTCGGATTACAATGTCAGATACGATGCCAGTATCTTCAATCCACTTTTCTTTATGCTTGTCATTACGAACAAATGCTCGATTACCTACAGTCATTTTGTTGTAAAATGTTTCTTTGGTACTAGATGTCAGCTCTTTTTTGAATGGCACTGGTTTAAAGTCTGTCGGATCATGAGTGATAAGTTCTGGATCTAAACTCCAAATATTTGCACCAGCGCCAGCTGTTGTGACATCCTCACCAAACACTGTTCCAATGTCATGCGACTGCACAGTTCCTGTCATGATTTCACATGCAGAAGCGCAATTACCACTGGTAAATACACCCATTGGTTTATCATAAACCTGATCGTAAGTGCTGATCATTTTCGGATCCGTAAAATCATGCAATATCGAGTACTTGCTTTTGGGTGGTGTTTTGAACCAAGCATTACGAGACGATTTCAAATCTATGGGCATATTTACAAATATATTGTATGTGACGTCGCTTATGAGATATTTCACTTCAAATGGCTTAATATTGCTTTTGAAAAACTGTGGAATGGCATTTGCAAAATCCACACTTCCACCACCACCTTCACGAACATCGATCAAAATAGAATTGGTGTTTTTGAGTACTGTCTTCAATAGTCTTTTCACTACACGAATTCCTTCAAAAACTGACACCAAGTTTGTTGTGCGGGATGTACACCCGAACGATGTCAATTTGATTATTCCCATGTTTTGGCTGTCAGGGTTCCAAATTGCCCAAGATAGTTCGAGTATACTCGTTTCATAAAATGTAATCTGTAAATCACGTTTTGACAATCGTCCTGTATCTTGATCCTGACTGCTTTGATCCCGTTTTCGAATACGGCGAGCAGCGACCAATGACTTGGTAGATTGGGAACTTGTGGTACGATCATCGACTGTTTTGATCGACAATACATGACTATTGGATTTTACAGCAACTGTATTTTGTAAATGTATATCAAGATTCACGCCTGTCAGCTGTGTGTAAAGTTTGCTCGAGTACTCCCAACAGGTATATTGATATACAGACATGTACGGTATATCAACTTCGTATATGATGTCGCCACGAGATTTGAGTTTAAGCTTGATAGAGTTTTCATCAGGAAGTGGGGTATCAGATCCATATCTGAAGGTCAAGTATTTTAATGCTAGACGCTGACTATGAGACTCGGTGGACCCACCAATGACATTTCGATGTTTGCTTTTCCACTGGTAAAAAGTGAGGCCGTTAATACTGACAAGTCGATCTCCAACTCTAATTTGGCTATAAGCAGTATTACGTAGTAGGTCAAATATTTCACGATTGACGGGTTGGCTGACGACGATTGTTGGGTTTTTGATCATATTGCCTGGACCATCAATAAATTGGAAATAAACTCCTATGGTAACGAAAAAACAACTATACGGACCAGCTAACGTCATGGTAGTATGTGCGTCGCGAGTTCGAGTGAATGCATCCAATAACCCAAGCTGGAGCTGTTTATCAGTAAGGGTTCCGATATTGTTTCGGATATGCTCAAGAGCAGGATACGGATTTGCCTTTTGGCCATGATGCTCTATTTTTGATTCAAAATTAACCCATGCCTGGACATGTTGAATCATTGGAGTTCGATTGTAATGTGTTGGTCAGTTAATAATATGCTGCAATATATTGTGTTGGTTATGGTATCAGATTGTGATGGAAATGACAACTTGCCTTGAATACATTTTCGGCATTCGACATTAGAATTTTTCGCTGTTCAAGATTATATGGCAAAAAGGTAAACAATCCAGCATCACGATCGAGTTTGATGGGTCTATAGTCAGACCAAGTATCTTTAATAGCAGCAGGTGGTGTTGATGTTGCATCAGGTTGTGTTGTAAGAGTTTGAGCATTGATGCAAGATATTGCAGCTAAAACTGTTACCAAAAAAAGAACCATTTAAAGCAGTATGCAATGCGAGGTATGATCAGTCAGTTTGTATAACTCGCAATCGATGATACAGCTGGTATTATATTGATGAAAAACTATTGTATAAAGTATGTATTTTCAATTCTCAATATATTTATAGTCGTCTTCCAGTTTACCCTCCCTTTTATTCAAGCTGTTTTCAGTCGTGTTTTAACTTGGTTCATCACCCTATTCCAATATCACGTCACAAGCACCTGATACTGTTTCCACAATATTACGCTGGCTTGTACCGAAAATAAATATACACAAACCACCCAGACTTGGCAGCTGTCTTTTAGCAATGATTGCTTGTAACCATATGGTTTTAACGACTTGGTGATAGTCTGTTGTAGGTAGCATGAATAAGGCGATATTCAGGCAAATGGAACATTGAATAAAAGTATAATAAACAGTCAATCTTATGTTGGATGGATGCCAGCTTTCATCAAATTTACTAGGCAATATTGTCCCTTCCAAACCCTTTTGTAAAATCCATTGGGTTTTCTCCCTTGTGCCCATTCTGGATGATCATCATAGAAACAACAGTTGCATTCCTGATACGTGCAATCTTTGGCGTTATTCAAGTAGAGCATGTCTGATATTAGGATACAACAGCACTTGTTCAATGGTATGATTGTGCCAGATATTTGTTGGTTGTGTGTCAAACCAGCGTTTCCAATAACATATACGGTGTCTGATTGTGTGTTGTGTAGTAGGAATCTGTTGGTTGCAGTGCAATCTTTCCAGACTCCCAACATTCCAACATTCCAGGTTTCAGCAATCCGTAACATGTCAAGACTTTTTAAACAACGACATGCAACATTCCAAAACACGCATGTTATTCCAAACAGTATTCCATTCCACAAAACAACCGTCTGATTGAACATGGTTTACCAACCATTCAACAAATGGCACAAAGATTGGAACTACACTGCCTCGCACTTCATTTTTGAATCCTGCAGAAAACGACTCGAGTGTGACAATAGATTTGTGCGCCAATCAATTCCAGACAACAGAATGTTGAATAGTCAATCTTTAGTAGAAAAGCACAGCAAATATTCATCATTGTTTATTCCGGATCAAAAGGGTCAATTCAAGATACAAAAGCGGTACATTTTACACAAGTACGGCTATGAATTCGGTTGCATTGAATCTTGGAAACTAGGTTTGTAATGCGGTTAGCTAAAGCATGGCTACCGTAGTCGGGCTAAACAACTGGCTAAACCAATAAATTCGCCATAACTTCAACCATCACAAATCTACCTAAAAATGTGGCTTGAATTTCGGGGACCTATAGTTTCAAGATACCAGTGTATTGGGTTATAACCCCACATCAAGCTTTGCAGCAAGGTGCTTACAAATAGGCAAAGCACCATTGCTTTACAATTGTTTGGAAAATAGGTCGAATGACAAACAAAAAGCTTGTTTGTTTGGTTGCGTGACATTAAAATTTGTAAAGACTAAACTGAAGATGGTTTGAGATTGATCCCTAAGCCAAGCATCTTTTTTTAAAACCGCTGGATCTTGAAGCACCATGCATTAGAAGTCTGTTCTGATCATCTAATAGACCATAGTTCGGTGCCATCATTCCATAGTGTGGGCTAGAACCGAAATTGGCAATGCAACTGAGATTGCTTGGCGTGTAGATTATATTGTGGCTGAATTGTGCATCTGCTTTATACAATTTGAAAAACATTGCCGTCGAGCCAATCTATAAATACTTGATGACAGCACTGAGCTCACATTTCATCAGATCATGCTGTGAAGTAGTGCTAAGGTAGTATGATTAGTTTGATAAATAATGCCATGATGCAAGTTCGTCCGCAGACCGCTGCTGAGCAAGGGATACCAGCACCCTGATTCATTCACAAGATTGGCAAAAGCATATTTGTCTACGCGATATACTCTTGTACCAAGCACTATTTAGTGCGGAAAATACATAGCACTAACAGTGCTTTTGAATGCTGTAAACCAAGGAGCATTTAACAAAACACAGGTATATATTGGCCGTGCTTTGCCCATTCTGATACGATATTCATTATCTTACAAAAGAAGTTATTCTGGCGTATCTGTTCATTTCAAGTCCCATTGACAAAATTTTAATCAATTACATCTGCATATTATCATCAAGTATTACAAGGTACGTTTTCCAGTCAATGCATTACAGGGCTCATTGCCACGCACATTCAATGCTATATTGTGGTCTAACCTTGGTTTGATGGCACAGACCACAACAATAGTTAGGCAGAATGTCGATTCAGTACAATAAAAACACAGTCGTGATTAAGCGGTCCCAATTTTCATTGACACCAGAGCGGATTCTCGATTTGCTGGACCCAAAGAATCCTGATCTTTATTTGGAATTGGGGAGGTCTGTTGGTCTTGAAAAGTCACTACTGACGGATCTCAAGCAAGGCATTTCATCGGTATGTATTTTGTAAAACTATCCAGCTATAGAATGAACGTTCAACTAATACTTGTTATGATGCCAGGATGTGTCCACTCATGAAGAACGCAAAGAATTCTATGGCTCCAATTCGCTACCAGAAGCTGCCTCGAGAACCATTTTTCAATTCATGTGGGATGCTCTTCAAGACAAGACACTCATCGTTCTATGCTGCGCAGCTGTTATTGAAATGGCCATTGGTGTATACAAGTTTGAATTCGCTCCCATTGAAAAGCGGGACAAGTTTGCTTTGATTGACGGTGCTGCCATTGTTGCCGCAGGTAAGATTTGCTTTTTGACAATTGTTTCTTGGTTTCAATGCATATTTATCCAGATTATGGGAAAACTGCTTCGTTGCACTATATGCTGATTGGCCGTGAAATTACAGCCGTATTCATGTAGAATAAAACGCTTATATTGCAATGTCTGCTACTTGGGATAGACAGTGATTAGATATCCTTTGTGTCTCTGGGCATTGAATTCTCAACTGCTCAGATAATGTCCATCATACAATGCTCAAGTCAAACTAGGTTTGAGCTGAGATTCATTTTCAAACCTCCCTTTTTCTTCGTTTGGCATAGCCTAATTGTACAATTGACAAGTCTGAAGCAGGATTCATCCATTACAATCCAGATATTGGGCTCAACTGTTCTGGTGTTGTCAATGCAACTCTCCTAAAATCTCATACGTCCACATTCTAAAAACCGCGATGTTCTAACAATTTTATTATAAAATATGGCAACTGTAACTATTGCTTTGCATGCGCTTGAATCGGTTGTTCAACCATACTTCAATTTTTCAAAATGAATTCAAAACATCTAGTCATTATTGTTGTCATGGTTGGATCTGTTAGCGATTACCGCAAGCAAAACCAATTTCACGAACTATCAGCCTTTTCAAAAGCATTGGCTCAAACTAAAGTGGTACGCAGTGGGGAGGTAGCTATTATACCCACTGCTGACATTCTTGTGGGAGACATTGTACTTGTTGAGACGGGCGACGTTATTGTCGCTGACGGAGTGCTTATTGAGGGATTCCATATTCAAACCGACGAAAGTACACTGACTGGTGAACCCATTTCAGTCGATAAAGATTTGGCTCGCGATCCGTTTTTACTATCTGGCACAAAAGTTGTCCATGGTATTGGTCGCATGCTGGTTATCGCCACTGGTGTCAACTCGATCAACGGCCGTACTTTGCTCTCCTTGGAAGTCGAGGCCGAAGCCACACCTCTTCAAGAAAAACTCGGGCGAATTGCCGACAAGATTGCCATATTTGGCGTGGCTACTGCATTCAGTATGATTGTTATTTTGTTTATTGCCTACTTTGTCACATCGCCTCCTGGTACCAAAGACTCGTTCCAGATTGGTCAAGACATTATTGCTCTTCTGATTCTTGGTATCACCGTGATTGTTGTTGCTGTCCCTGAAGGTCTTCCTTTGGCCGTTACCATTTCTCTTGCCCACGCTACTCTTTGCATGTTAAAGGACAACAATCTGGTCCGTCATCTTGCTGCTTGTGAGATTATGGGCAATGCCACTACTATTTGCTCTGACAAGACTGGTACGCTTACTATGAACAAGATGACCGTAGTTCAAGGATCTCTTTTAACTGTTCAGTACAAGCATGAGGATGTCGAAAAGACTCTAAAGCAAAAACTACTCGCCGGAAACAGTGTACCCGATCTATCTCAAAAACTATTAGCATTTGTTGCTAGAACTCTCAACGTCAATTCTACTGCCGACGAATCTCGCAACAGCGAAGGCGTTGTGTTGTTTAATGGATCAAAAACAGAGGTTGCATTACTGGAGTTTACCCGAATTCTCGGGTTTGAATACCAAGAGGATCGAAAAACTGCTCACATGGTAGCAATTGAACCATTTAGCTCTGAACGAAAGCGCATGTCCTGTATCATCCGTGATCCTGTTGATCCTGTTTTTGAACAGCTACTTGGTCTTCCTCAACATGAGCTTGCCTCGCCTACATCCGAGACTCGTGATTGGGTATGCGTCAAGGGTGCTTCCGAAATTATTCTTGCACTGTGCGATCGCTATGTTGATGCTAGTGGTCGTGTTCTTCCCCTGGATGATGTGGTTCGTGCTCAATACACCGATTTGATTAGCACCTATGCATCCAATGCGCTTCGTACGATTGGAGCGGCCATTCGTCCCATTGACCATTTTGTTCATCACATGACGTCTAATTCCGACGATGGCGAATCTGATCAAGAGAGTGAGCAACCTATTCCTGACGACGAAGATCTGATTCTTGTGGGCATGTTTGGCATTCAAGATCCCTTGCGACCCGAGGTTCCTGATGCTGTTGCATCGTGCCAGTCTGCTGGAATCGTTGTTCGTATGGTTACAGGTGACAACATTCAGACTGCTTGTGCTATTGCTCGTGAATGTGGTATTCTCGCTGCTGATGGTCTTGCCATGGAAGGTCCTAAATTCCGCACACTTTCCGAAACGGAAATGAACGATGTTCTCCCTCGCTTGCAAGTGTTGGCACGTAGTTCGCCACTTGATAAGCAGATTCTTGTCAACAACCTTAAACGTCTTGGTCACACTGTTGCTGTTACTGGAGATGGAACTAATGACGCGCCTGCTCTGGCTGCTGCTGATGTTGGGTTTTCTATGGGTATTGCTGGCACTGAAGTTGCCAAGGAAGCTTCGGATATCGTGCTTATGGACGACAACTTTGCTTCTCTAGTCAAGGCGGTCATCTGGGGTCGTAGTGTTTTTGATGCAATTCGAAAGTTTTTGCAATTCCAGCTTACTGTCAACATATCTGCTGTTACCCTCACTATTATCACATCCATCTACTCGACTGTTGCTGGACCAAAACATGTTGCATCCGTTTTGAGTGCGATTCAGCTTCTCTGGATTAACTTGATTATGAACACGTTTGCTGCCCTTGCACTTTCTACCGACCCTCCTTCACCAGATCTTTTGAACCGCAAGCCATCTAGCCGATCCGAGTCGATTATTTCTCCCGACATGTTCAAGATGATTGTTGGACAAGACATTTACCAAATCACTGCCTGCCTGGTGCTGTTTTTCAATGGACCTGGTTGGTGGGCGTCAAAAACAAGTCCTGAAGCCAATGCCGAATCCTTTAGGCACACTGGAGTCGATGTCACTACTGCCACGATTGTTTTCAATACATATGTCTTTTGCCAAATCTTTAACGAAATCAACTGCCGCTCGATTAGTCGCGAAAAGATCAATGTATTCCGTGGATTCCTTCGCAACCATACATTTATTGGCATTCTTCTCATGACGGTTGTAATGCAAACACTGATTGTGCAGTTTGGAGGTGTTGTGTTCAAGACCAATCAAAATGGTCTTGATGCGACAGGATGGGGAATCTCACTTTTGATTGGACTTGGCAGTCTCGTTGTTGGATTCCTGATTCGCATCATGCCCGACTTTAAGCTTCCGTCGTTTATCTTTGCCGAGCCGACACTCGTTACTGCAAGCACAGAAAAACTTTCCTATAAGCAAGATTCTGAAAAACTGGCCATGGATAGTACTGTAGGAGAACATGACATGATGGTTGAAATTCCCATTGACAAGACATCTGATGAAGATGGAACAGCAGAATCTAGCCGACCATTGAGAAACAGTATTGAAGGACTACGAACAGCTCCATTGCGATTCCCAGGACCAACAGTTTCTCATGCACCGGTTCCAGCAAATGCAACTATGCCACTATCTTACGCACATTCACCTAGTCACAGTGGAGAATCGTCGCCGGAAGGATCACCTCAACAAAGTGGATCACAAAGAGGATGGAGATCTGGCGCAGTGCATCTGGTCAACATCTTCCGTACAAACAGAGAACAAAGTGTGGATTACACCACGTTGCAGGTTGCAGATGCCAGCTTGGCACGCCGGACACGGGCTGTTCGTGCTCGTCGTGCATTAACTACACGCATCCTTGGATCTGGAAGCAGCATTAATGGAAGCACTTTGGGACTTGGACATCGCACATTGACGATGGAATCCACCCGAGAACTCACGAATGGATATCGTCCTTCAAACATCTGAATGTCGAGTAATTGACTTGAAAATACTATGTTAAGCAAATAAAAAATACATAGGCTTTATTTAGCCATCATATTGGGTCAAGTGTGGGCAGAACAATATCTATAATTGGTGAAGCGATTGCAGTGGATTGCAGTCTTGGGTTTGATAAGATATACTCTCATTATTAGTAATAGAAGCCATAATGGTAGTGCAAGGCATTCTGTTTGTGTCGTACTCTTCCAGAGGCCATCAACTGGTGTTCATGTATCCTGCAAGCGCATCGTCTGCTGCCAGTCAGAGTGAGCAAACTGGCATACGCTCTCGCCATCGGAATGGCCATGAAGATGACAGCAACTCTGGCTCACCGCCTATAGAAATCCTAGGCTCTCGTCATGGCATTCATGGTGTTCCTGTTGATCATTGCATTCAAGAGTATCGACATAGTAAACCTCGTAGCTTTCTAGGCAAACAGCGTCCTGCTACCATGCATACCAGTGAATCCACTAATGGATCCACTAATGGACTCACTAGTGGACTCACCACAGACAGCAGAATGAGCTTTCAGCTGCCATCAGGCTTGAATCATCAGTACAATGGCTCACAAACCCCATCAAACTCTTCTGCTGGAAAGACTTTGGCAAGTCGTGGCCATGCTAATACCATTCCAAGTGGGATTTCTTTGGCTGGTACAAACGCTGTCTCGACTGCAACCAGCAGCGTATCTGGAACACATTTGGACTTTCGATCTGCTCAATCCTCCACTTTAGTCATGACTGCTGCAACATTATCTAAAAAACAAACTCATTCAAGACATGGTTCTCATGGACCTCCAGAGCCTAAAAATAAGTTTTTGGGCTTGGATTGTGAGTTTCTTTCAGATATTCTATCTCCAAAAGTGGCTCTTTGCGACAAGCAATTCCACTTGACAGTGGACAATGTTGATTTTGTCGGTCATCCTACACTACTGAATGCAGATCGTCCAGGTACTGGCCTTCGATTTGCGCGCATGGTTCAAAAAAGAAAGTTAATTGCAAGTGCAACGAGTTATCGTCAGTCTTTGGGTGAAATCGACTCGTCTTCTACTTTTACTGCTGCTGTTTCGGATCCATCCAGTAGCTGTGTTTCCGAGGATAAACCATCTGCTAATGCATTTTCTTCAAAGTTGCCTTCGCCTGTTGATCATCACCATCACCAACTCACCATGTTCAATCTAGTGTTTGCACTTCAGCCAGATGGTCGTGGAACCAGTCACCATTCAAAAGAAGTTAAAAATATCTACGATCACGTTGTTGTCAAAGTTACGACTGCATTAAAATATGAACAGTTGCGTCGTGGCTACATTCGTACTGAAACTGAGCTTATTCTTGCCATCAATGATCGGTATCAAGTTCAAAATGGTGGTGCGGGAGATCCTCTTGAACTTCAATCGCAAATTCTTAAATCAAGCAGTCTTGCAAGATGTCTTGCTCATATTTACCATGCTGTTCATGGTCAATTGCCATCGTTTTTAGAAGTAAACGGATCTGTAAGTTTGGCGTTGCGAATGTGTGGTATTATTGAAACCCAAAACACGTATCCAGGTTCAAGTAGTAGCACTATAGATTCCTATTATGCTAGTAATTCTACCATCTCTATTCCATTAGAGATCTCTAGTGCTTATTTTAACCATCCTACATTGCGACCCTATCAAGCACTGTTGCTACTTTCAGATGCTGAAGAAATTTTAAACACATTGCCTGTTGACGCATCTCCATTACTTGTAGAATTAATTCAAATAGTAACACCTACTTTATCGTAAGTGATTTAGCAATGTAAACCATGGCATAATAGCTAATCTCCACTAAAACTAATATACTAATTTACGTATTCAAGGTTTGAAGAACTGCAAACTACACTGAGCTGCTCACTTTCTCAGATATACCGTCTTGCCGCTCATCTGTATGTATGGTCTAAAGCAAAAATTATTCATGTAGTCAGCAATCGAAACGTGTATATTGTTTCTCCTCAAGCTCAACTTTCAGAGTATGTTTTGCGTAGTTTAAACTCCTTGATGCCTTGTTTAAACAGCCATACTGCGATGTACGCGATATTGGCTTGATCATTTAAACGTCTAATCCATTCTGCTTTCTTCATTTTGAACAGACTTCCAAAGCTATCCACCGAGTTTTCATCTCGGTTTCCACAAATGGAGCTCGTACGCATTTTGCAAGACCTGTCAATTCCACGACCATATTCTGCAATTGCCCATTCTAAAGAAAATCGCAATTTGTATTTAGAAATTATTACATTTTTGCTCAGAAAAAACCTTGTTGTTCAACTGCACATGTATATATGTACGTTGTATACATGTATTTTGATTACACTAGTTGCACAACTATAAAATTGGTTTTAATTGATTTTAAATGCATGATGCCTAGACTTGTCGGTTCCAGCACGTTTATTGGCAAAAACTCCGTCACCAGAAAATGGGAATGTACCATGGAATCCTGTCAGTGATCATCCGTCTATTTTTACAGATCCTGGAAATTTAAGCGAGCAGGAAGCTAGTTGGATCGCTACCATTGCAAATTCACAGCCGCCGCCTCTTGCAGCACTATTTACAAGGTAGATTTCCGTTCATTTTGTATAGTCTAGCAACTCAAGGTTTGGTATCACTGACATGTTATATCCAGACTCGTTCCATACTTTAATGGTCGTATACACGTGGAAGAAATCTTATTCCGAGAAAGTATAGCCAGGTACGCTACACGACTGTGAATCCCGCTTATTTTCAACCCTCAACACTATGCTTTGATCAATTTGCTAGTTTATTTATTCAAAGCCAACTGATTGCTCAACTATTTTAGGAGGGAGCTAAAGTCTGTTATCAGCAAGTACAGAGACGAGATTGTAACAGCTTTATATCCAGAACATCTTTAACTCTATACTTGACATGGTTTATGCACTAAAGTAATGCTGAATGGGTTCACCCAGATAGTGCTGAATAAGCAAGCACAGCTCTTGGCACGACTTTTCCACATCCTCATTGTCATCTAAATGAAGAGTTTACATAACATTCACAAATTTGTCAGAAACTCGGCATACATAAATATTGACTTATTTCAATCCATGAATCAAACACTTCAAATTGGATGCACTCAAAACAATTGGCAATACAATTATACATACCTTCCATAAGTTCCGCAATAAATGGAATTGCTTCGGGGAAATACACAAGCATCTCCTCGCCAAGTCGAGAATACATTTCATGAAGCACCTTGATGCATGTCCATTTGACATTGGCATCGTCAGAGCGGGTGAGTTTCAACACCTGTTGTGTCAGTCCTTTCCATACTTTTTCACTTCTAAAGGTTACAGCAAGTTGGCCGATACAAGGCACCAGATGCGACAGCATATTATCCTAAAACACATGATAGTACACGACTAAGTCAAAGCTCAACACCAAGTTAAAACAACCAAAAAAACAAACCTTGTATGCAACATCGTGAGCCTCGACCACTTCAATTTGCTTGATTAAAGCCTTTAAAACAGTCTGCAGTCGATCAGAAGTGATAAAGTCATTCGTTCCATGATACAAAAAGCATGATTTCAAATTCGACACCATCAGAATCCATACATCGGCATCCAATACGTTGTTTTCAGTAAATCTATGCAAAGTAGAAAGAATATTTTCAAGCAGATAGGCCAAGTAAGGAACAAAAATGGATTTAAGCTCAGAAAAAAGACGATCTGTAAGACGATAAAGAAGTTGCTGGCGGGTCGAAATGCCTTGGATTGTCCATCCATTTTTTTCAAGCATTTCAGATGTTGCCCAGTCTACCACTTTGAGAAAAAGCGGACGGAAAATATTTTCGTTAATTTTCATCATCATGACCACAAATGCGCCAATCAGTATATTCTCTATATCCAAGCTCTAAAAACAGTATAGAATTATTATAGAATCATGTATGAGCATTTTCATGTACTAGTAGATACATCAATCTATATATTCACAATCAAAATGTTACCTTTGGCGCAACCGGCGCACCAGGACCACTGCAGCGGTATCCAAATCCTTGAATCATGATTGCACCAAGGGGCTTTATGCAATCAATCAGTGCCGGCTGAGGTGTATTGTATATGACATCAGCCAACAGTTTACAAATTGAAACAGTAGAAAATTCACTCGCTTTCAAAGCAGTAGTCAGCTGTTTCGACATTGGATCAAAAATAATACGTGCCGAAATATGACGAGCCAGCCCACTGGAAATAGCCGAGGCAAGCTGGGTGATACGAGGTGTCATGGACTCGATACGAGGTTCAGCAACAAAGCCAATAAGATCACCAAGATAGGGACTAACAAACTGAGGAAGAGTTTCGATAAATATCACAATAAATCCAAACACTGCAGAAACAACAATTGATCGAGTATCGGCATTTGAAGCCAGTGCTGCCTGTCCATTGTGGATCACTGTCGGCAAAAGAGTTGGAATAAATGGTACGATACGAGGACCAAGAACAACAGAAAGTGATGACAGACACACAATAGTTGATGAAGCAATATTATCGTTTTCAGATCGAATGCAATGGTCGGCAAGAAGTGCAGTAAAGCATTCAGTAATAACTTTAGGAATGTTTTTACCAACAAGATCTGCTGTGCTAGAAATGCACTCCATAACCAGCTGCTTGTTTTCAAGGATTTTGGCTTTTGTGCTTTTGGTTTTCAACATTGACACCAAAATAGTCAGCACAGGTACAAATACTTGATGATCCAACTCATCGGTGCCTTCCAGTGATACAAGCCGTTGGCGAAGCATAACTAGAGATCGGTGACAAATGCCTTCCTCCTTTCGTTTCAAAAGCTCACCAGTAACGTGCATAAACATGGCAAGCGGGAGAAGATTATTAACCAGTCCAAGAGCTTCTTGCAAGGCATTCAAATACAGCTTGCTGAATTTGGCATCTGACGATCCGGGTCGTATCTGAACCTCGGTAGCAAAAAGACTCGTAGTGTCAATTTCAACAAGAAGTAGCTCAATAAGTTTCAAATGCAAATCACTAAAGTTTTCTGAAGACTTGGCAACCTCAGCGGTAGCCGAGTGAATAAGAGCTTTAGACTTTAATGCCTGACTGACAAAATTCGTGAGCTGAAGTTTAATGCGACGAACAGTCTTGATTTCACTATTGGGTTCCAAAAGTGGCGAATTACACTGAACGTTTTGGTTTGGAAGAGATTGCTGAAATACCGATATTTTGATCAGGGCTTTTAGTTGATCGTGGTGTGAGAATTCTTGCAATAGATTGAGCCCAAAACTAATCGCTTGGTTGGCATCGCTAGCTCGCTGAGCCACCAAATAACTGCTAATAATGCTATTCGATTGAATTAATGCGAGCATACTTCCAAGATGCTTGTCCACTCCCAAGATCTGCACCAGTAGCGTAAACAGGCGAAGACGTCGGTGTTCTGGGATATGAGGCAAAGCTTGCACAAATACCTCCATAATAGGTTTAACTCCAGCGAAATCATCTCCGTCCAAGTGTTGCATCAAAGCAGGAATAATGGTCTGTAGCGTTTGTTGAATGACATGGAAGCTGTAGCTATCATCCTGTCGAAGAATATTGGCACCCATAAACGTAAACACTTGCATAATATTGATCAACACGCTTTGCGGTGCAACTGAAGCAATCGTGGAGAGCAACAAGAGAGCAGAGTTGTGGGTCTGTGGATTGTCAGTCAGTCGAATACATTGCACTACCAAATCAATTCGAATAGAGTCTTCGTTGACCGACAAAATTTCCTTTTCAGCATCAACCTTGAATATTAGCTCAAGCGTGGAAAGAAGGAGCTGTTTGAAATAGTCTACTTCAGTAAGAGTTTGAACAATATCTGCATTTAAAAGAGCAGCAAGAATGTCAAACAAAGGACCAATCAATATTCCAAAGTCGGTCATATTTTCCTTGAACTGTAAAAGCTCCAATAATGCCACGCCGGCAACAATAGAGCCATTATCATCTGCTGCTTGACCTTTAACACGCTTGCTTGTGGATGGATTCAAATTATTGGACAAGTGTTGCTGAATACGTTCAAGAATGGGAAGAATAGCCTGTCCAGTGAGAGGTAGTGGCTTGAGCATAATTTTGACTTTGGCGGAAATCTCACCATCGCCAAAAGCAATGAGATCAATCAGTGCAGTAAACACGACTTGACACTTTTCAACTTGAATACTAGAGATCCAAGTATCCGTAATTTGTTCTAGCGCACATGCATTGACTGTGCACCATAGCTGTTTGTGCGCGTCACTGATTTTCAAAAATGTATTTGGAGACAAAAGATTGCAAAAGGATTTAAGATAGCGTCCGCTGCGAGACTGAAACAGAGATGCAACTGCAGCTGAAGAGTATGATTGGGTCAGTAGACCCAAAAGTGTGGCATGCTTAGTAACAAGCTCGACTTCTTTTGTCGATTTCTCGGTGCCAAGATCTGCACAAGTCATCTCCGAAAATACTATGGCAGTATTGGACTCCACAAGAGGAAACAGTCCTTTCAATTTTAATGGCGAATCCACGTTTTCCAAAAGTGAAACCAACTGAATCTGAGCGTCTACAATGCCAAATGCACAAATGTTGGTCAACAAAAATCCCAACACATCTTCCTGATACTTTATCTTGGCTTCATCTCCACGGCGAAGAGCAGTGTGAATGTTATTCTTTAAAAAGCAGGCATCCGCAATAATTTCATGTTGCCAGTTGCAAATCTGGTTGGCAAATCTGGCTGCTGATGCAACAGTGAGATATCCAACCTCGGAAGATTTGCTTCCATAAAAGTACTCGTAGCCGTATATATTCTCTTGAGAAAGCTTTAGTTGCAAACCACTCAGTTTGCCATATTCGCTGCATATCACTTTCATAATGTCCATGGCTGCACTACGAATATGATGATCTGCATGAACAAGTGCTAATAAAATACTAGGAATAGCAAGCTGATAGTCAAATGCCTTTGCAGAACTTGAAGAAATGAATTTTTTGACAATAGTTAGACCCAGAATGCCTATATTAGAATTATTGGCAGCGATCCAAAGACTGGCACAAAATGAAACAATGTTGCGAGTGCCAACAAGATCAAGGAACTTTTCAACAAGGTGTTCGCGAATAGCTTGGTTTTTGACGGCAAGAACAGCCAAAAACACACCTTTAAGAGTACATGTATGAACGCTTTGTGTAGCTGCTTCCGAATCAAGCCATGAGGCTGGCTGAGAAAGTTTCTTGATGATTTCTAAAACAATCTTGACAATGGCAAATGTCTGCGCATCTTTTCCTGACATGACAATGCGATTACTATCAATAATACCAATAATATTGGTAACAGGATTTCGAGTGGTAGTCGGGATCTCGGAAAGATTCTTCATCAAGAATGGCACCAATGTAAGTGTATCTTTGTCCAGTTGAGAAACCGACTTGATTTCACCTGCAAGAGCTAAAATGCCTACCAAGCGCGCACGATCAAATTTGGAATGCACGGCATTTTGAATCACAAAAGCTCTAAATATGGTCGAGGTACGCAAAGCATCTCCAAGAAACTTGATGGTTGCAATATTCATGAGTGTATGAGGCGAACTTTGATCTTTTGGCGTTTCTTGAACTTGCTCAGACTGCTGTTGCTGTTGAAGATTTACATTTTCAACAAATTTTTGGCCAAACTCGACACTTGCTGCTGTATTGATACCAATCCGCTGCAAAAGAGCAGGCAGAAAAGAGGCCAAGAGCGTGGCTGCAACAGTGGATTTTTCTGTACGCCAAATGGTTCCAAGCAACACCTCACAGCAAGACATTGGGCAATCTGGTTTATCAAGAAGCTTGCATAAAACCTGAGCTGCAGCAGCACGCAATCGAGTCTCGGTATGCTTTGATGCCAATAGATCTGCAGCAAATGAAGAAAGCTCATTTATAGGCACATACGAGACAAGATTGGGAAAGCTAAGAGCAGCAGTTGCTACAGTCTGGTCTTGGTCTGTAATAAGAACCGATAGAGTTTCACGAGCAATGTCGTGCATACTAGTTTTTTCATTAGTGAGCAAATCTGTATCTAAAATCGACTGAAGCTTTTCAATAGCTAAAAGACGGACTTCTGGTTGAGGGTGGTGCAAACTAAGATACAAGGTAGTGCCCTTATCATCCACGCTTTCCAGCATAGTTCCCTTGAGAAACGAAGTCATAAGCTTTTGAAGAGCAGCACGATGGAGTTTACCCTTATCGCCAGTATCATTGCACAGTTTAAACTCTGCATCAATGATGCTGTCCAAAATTGCCACATTCTTTTCGTATACTTGGCGTAAAAGAGATCCAGCACCCATTATTTTTGGAGTGTCGCATTCAATTACTGAAGATATATACGACTGAAGAGAAAGCTCTAGCACCCGTCGAAGAGTAGTGGTTTCAAGACAAGAACCAGAAACAATAGATGCAAAAATGGTTGCTTCCGGTGAATCTGACGCATCGTCTTGATTGGGAGTGTATGACTGAATCAATTTTTTCAGCAGTGGTTCAAGCAGATTTTCGGCTTGATACATGTTTGAAATCTCAACAATCACCTTTGGGAACGTTCTAATCAATGAAACATACCATCATTAGCACGATGCATCAAAAACAAACTTGGTCAAGCAACCCAAATATCTACATACTCTGTCTGGATCAGTCGTTGGTACACATTTTTGGGAAAAGATTTAAGCTTTGGCTGATTTTGGCAAACTGTTACCATGCATAGAATTGAAGAGCGCAGCAATGCTGGGGTTGCATCGACAGTCACAGCATCTAAAAGGCCTGTCATTGCATTTGAAGAAAGGCACACTTTTGTGGACAAAAAGGCCAAAATCATCTGCCCAGCAGCACGACGATCGACATCAGTAGTGCGTAAAATGTCTAGCAGAGAAGGAAGGACAATACGAAGGTCCGAGTCATTAATGCTAGGCTTTGAATCGAGATATTGAATTACCATGCATGCCATGAAAGAGGTAAGCGTCGAATTAGTAACACCATCGGCACTAGATTTGGCCATCATGTCAAAAAGAAATTTAAGAAGCGATGGCTCTCTTATGCACTTGTCAACCAAAAGGTTTCGATCGAGTTGAACTCCTGATTTCTGTACCGAGTCTTGCAGAAATAGGAAAATGGAGTTGGAACTAGTAATGTATTTTTAGTATTGTATTCTGCAATTGCAACACTCAGTTATAAATAAAAAGGCACTTACGGAATGGCAAGCAAACGCACAAATTGCACAAAATGTCTGGTTTCATGGTACGGCAGAATACATTCCATAATTGCATCAACATTCATCTCATTTATCCTAATAATAGAATACAAACCCTAAAATTAGTCTAATACTGGGATCATGCAGTCGATTTGCATTTGTAAACTCACTTGAAACGACGAATCAACCATTCAAGAGCCTTGAATGCACCTTTGCGCAAAAAGTATGGTGAGAGCATACGCAAAAACCTTTCAATCTGGCTGTCAAGGACCACATTCTCTGGTTTTGTCTGTAGTCAGGTTTACAAAGATTAAAAAAAGAAAACACAAAATTAGTGAATCTTTCAAGCCTATACACAATCCCATTCCGAGCCAGACTGGCTTACCAAAAGCATACGATCTTGATCCTTGAGAGAATCAGAGAATAAAGAGTTTTCAAATGCACCAAACAATGGATTCATTTGAATGAGATCCAGCAGGCCTTCACGACCAACAGTAAGAATAGTATCTCTGTCAATATCGGCAGCTTCATGGCCATCAAACAGCAGTGATGCCTTGTGACGAGATTGAATTGGCGCTCTCTTTGCCGAAATTCCCTGCAGCTGGCGAGCAAGGCTAGAGATGGGAGCTGGCATTTTCTCAACAGCTAGCTAGAATGTATTTTGTAGGTGAAAGTTGCATTTATAATTTTTACATTGAATTTGTTTTTTTTGTCGTGCAATTGTTTGCATTCAATTTTACTGCGATATTCACGTAAAATGAAACGTTGAATAAACGTTTATAATAAAAACAGTTTTATGAAATGAATGTCAGTTTACTGAACAGTATTGTGTTTGGTCTCTTTAGTCGACTGAAATGTGACTACATTCCAGTAATCGTTGTTTTTAAACTAGAATGTGATTGTACAAGTCTTTACAAGGCCGAGTTGGATTCAAAACAGTACAAATATTTAACAATTGTCTATTCCAAAGCAAAATAAGACTGCAAGATGAATGCAGAAAAATGTTTCATTTTACGTGAATACGGCTTCAAATAAAAGTTTTTGATTTTATTCCAGTTGAATCATAATAGTTACATCCACATCAGCCAGTATGGGTAATGTATGTACTACGAGTCTGTCATGTCTAGTGTTTGTTGAATTGTTTAAACACATGCTATGCATATCAGTAGTCGAATTTATTTCAACTACCTGCTCTAATTTGCTATGAAGCACTGGCTTATCATGCTGTAATTACCAACCAGCAGTGACCAGCTCTTTAGATTTATTTAAATTAACATAATGATTCACAGGGAGCAAAGGCAGCAATGCGTCGTGACCGCAGTGAAAAAGATGCCAAAGGCGGAAAGAGTCAGCTCAAGACTGTGAGTATCAGAATTGTACTCGAGTTTGCCCAATGTCATATTTTTGATTCATTGCAAAACTAACAATCTATTTCAAACAGAACCAAGCTGCAATGAATATCATTTGTAGTATCTGTCGACAAACATTCTTGCAAACTATCAAACGCAAGGCACTGGAGGAACATGTTGCCGGAAAGCACGCTGGAAAGGATTTTAAATTGTGCTTTCCAAATTTCACAGACTGAGCTAAAGGATTAGAGCGAATCTTGTTCAATCTTTGTTGCAACAGCTAATCACTCTTGATCAATAAACTGAAACCCCATAGTGAATACAATTAGCTTATATCTGAAAGATCAAATATTAAAGGCCACAGCACTGGCAGTTGAATAACCAATTGAGATGTTTCATCAGTATTCGTTCAAGTATCCCAGCTATTCCAAGCGAAAACAAACTGGATTTTCCCGAGAAATCAGCTCTTTTATTGATATTTCAAGGGCAAACTCCGGTCGAGGCTTTGGTGTTGAGAATAAGAGCAACAATAAGACCGTACAAACCCTAAGATGAAATAAGAATGGCCAGAATCATTAGACGTGTTGAGACACGCATTACAAGATGCAATCCATTAGAAAACTTACCAAAACTTCAGCAAAAATAAGAATAAGAACCATGCCTAAAGAAACCCAATGTTAGAAATACTGCAGAAAAAAACCAATACATCGAATTACAACTCACCAACAAAAAGACGAGGCTGTTGGGCAGTACCACGAACACCAGCATCACCGACTACACCGACTGCAAACCCAGCAGCAAGACCAGAAAGACCCACACTAAGACCAGCGGCAAGGGAAATGAACCCAGCAAAAAGAGTCATCTCCTGTTTGACTAAAATTCAAAAAAAGATGTGGGATGAATTGATTGCAATATAGAAAGATGAAATGATCCCAAAAATCAAAACTTACGGCCACCAGAGAGAAGTACAGCAACAACGACTCCGTAAATAGCAATAATACCAGCCTAAATTGATCAACAATCACACGAATGAAATTAGATAGAACCAGGATGTCATGAAAACTTGGTTTGAATCAAGACTGAGCGTACCATAATAATAGGAATGATATTTTTTACGATAAGTTCAGGGCGCATAACACCCATAGCACAGATTCCAACGCCAGATTTGGCAGTGCCGTATGCAGCTCCAAGGCCTGAATGTTAGATCAATATACAAGATGGTTAAGTGGTTGAAACAGTCAAGCGTGTTTTAAAATTGGCAAGCACAAGATCAAGTTGAACAAGTTCCGAGCTATAGAGCGACAGCAAGATATAGATCTGCTGGGTTGAAAATAGTCCAAAAACTACAAAAAGCATACTTGAACAAAGGTAAACTCACAACTGAACACAATGGCTGCTGTGCAACCCATGGCACCAAAGAAAGGACTTTAGTGGTTGATCAAGCGCCAGCAAACAAGTGAACAAGAAATGTTAGTATATAAAAAGGTTATGAATGAACGAGTTGGAAAAGAGAGTATGACAAACAATAGAATGGTAATACAAGATAGATGGCAAACGACCTGTAACAAGAAAAAGCATTCAAGAGATTCAATAGGTGCCAATACAAGGGGAAACAACCTCATTCCAACACCAACGGCAAGTGCCCAGACAGTAAGCACAAGTAGCATTCAAAGAGCATGTTGCTTCATTACAAACACAAATACATGCTTGATGGTCATAGTAGAATGACGCTGCAAACATTGGGTTCGCACCTAGTTAGAAACCATCTCATACCCTTGGCACACGCTCACACCATGGCACGAACCCTTGCAGGTGTTGGGGTTTCAGCTGAAAGCAATAGAAGCATATAAGAAAGTAATGCAAATACCTGTATGAGGGGCAGGCTTCAGAGAACATGATGAATTGGAGTAGTGAAGTAGATGTGAACAAGTCTGGAGGAAACAAAAGATCAAATTCAAAGCATCCTCATATCAATGGACGATTTCAATGCACTCGCCCTAGATGTCGTTTTGTCTCCCTTACAAATCCAACACTCGAGTGTAAAGGGTTGCACACTTGATCTCAACATGCTGCATTCGCATCTCAACCACTTTAGGTTTATCATTCAAATAAACATTCAATCTCTTGGAATATGTATTACTCTTGCTAATCTCGTTGGTTATAAGCTACTGGTAACACTGCTAATCTCTTGTGTTTCTCACCTGATTCAATGTGAAAGTTTATTTGAAGCATCCCTACAAGTACAGCTGTATTCACGTAGAATGAAACACTCGAGGATAAATCATTTAAATACTCATTGCACGTTTCTGCAACTGTTTTTTACGTACTAGTTATCAGTAGAGTAACTCGGCTAAAGAATAAAAACAATGCTGTCCAGTAAACTGACACCCATCATTTCATGAGGTTATTTATTCCGCACTCTTGTTCACTATTCCATTTTACGTGAATAAACTGTAAATGGTTTTAAATGGTTCATTTTTGATTTGTGCTGTTTGTGCTCACTAGGCTTGATGGCCATCAAAGATATAGTATAACGGCGCGTCTAATCCATAAAATAATCTTTTAAAACTTTAGCTCGCAATTACCTTTGTTTTGTCCACCATTTATTCACAATTTCACAGCTATAAAATCATATCACATTATGCAATCAAATAATAATCAGGAATTGCATTCATTGCTACAGCAATGGAAACCATACGTTACTGCGGCAACTCATCGACCATCTACAGATCTTCAGTCTCTAAAGTCTGCACAGAATATAGTTGGCACAACTTTAAAGTCCAGCTCAAATGGTTTTAAATCAAAAAAAATGCAATCTAAAGTGGTGTTAACCAACGAATATGGATTTTTAGCCTCAGTCAAGGAAACTGACAAAAGTCATTTCCAACTTCAAACAGAGTTTTCACGGGCATTGTTTAAAAAAACATTCCATACCGATGCTGTCAGAGGTGTTGGATCTCATTCTTTAGCTGATCTTAATCTGTATATGCAACAGGTACTCTTTCTACTGTACTTAATATTGAATAGGCTGATGCAGGCTGCTGATTCGTGTATCTGGTCATAGGAATTTCGAGACGTGTTTTCAAATAGCTCGGATATGCTTAGTAAAAGTCGTATACAAAGTCTAGATAGATGCTTGGAACAAGTCATTCAAACATTTCGTAGCTATTCTAGTCTTCTTTCAGATATTCAGGTTAGTCAAAATGCTTGCTAAAACACAGCTATTCCAGATCAACATTGTTCAAAACTATAGGTTTCACTTTTTAAATTTTAGAATCAATATAGAATGAATACCATTTAGTTATCAAGGCAATAGTAAACATTCAAGATGAAAAGGCATTTTTACGATCAAAAATTAACAAACTACTGGTTGGGTATGCATTCAAACAAACACTTGAAGCAGAAAAAATGCGAATCGTTGAGCTTGTGGCATCTTGGGAGATTGCTCAAAACCATAGACAAATGTAATTCATTTCAAATTGTAAACCAATCCATATTAATCAATACTAATTCAACACTGTGTGCTCATTGCATCTCAACTCAATTTATTTTACTCATAAAAGGTTGGAATCTCATTCAGCAATCGAAGATACCAAATTTATTGAAACAATAGGAAAGTTGTTTGACCTAGAAGTAGCACGAGATCAAAAGGAAAAAAGACGCAAAGATCTGCTGTATCTGGGCAAATGGCAGTTTGTCAAGGATTGGATCGAACAACGTGCACTTACTGATCCGCTCATCAAAACCCTTTTTGAGCAATTGAAGGAAAATGCAAGTCAGCCATATAATCTTTATGCTAAATATAGAATATTATTGCAATGTACATAGATATCTACTAGATGCTAACGCAATATGTCTAGCCGGATTACTATAGAAAAAATCTAGTCGAGGATGAAAATCTCGCAGTACACGAATACGACTCACTAGAGATTCGAAAATTAAAGGTAATATTCTGCCCTCAAAATAAACATGGGTCTAAACAATCATGATACATTCACCGCAAACTTGAAAACTAGCCGATGCAGTATGTAAACTAACTTGCTATTGGTGATTCCAAAATGTAGCGTTTAATAGAGGAACAGCAAAGATTAACAAAAGTATACGCCAAAGAATTTGCTGCAGTGAATAGCAAGGAGCAATTCATAGCAACGCAAATATCCAATGTAGAACAGAACATTGAAAAAGTATCAACACTACTTCAATCTAAATTTAAATCGAATTTTTCTGTCAACTGTTCTCGCAATGACGCAACCTTCAAGTGCAGATACTGATTTTACCTATTTGATTGGCTCGTACAAAAGCACATATCCAACATCTATTTCGACAAAAAATACAAACCAAAATAAACTAGTTTGTTAATAAAAAGTGGATTGACTACACGCTTTCAAGATTTACAAAAATATGCAAGTTTATTTCTCATTCATCACCACCCATGTCGGTGACAATCTGCTCTGGATAAAACTCGCCACCTGGACATAGTTGTTCAAAAAGAGTTTGCGCTTCGTGCACATGATGCTCTGCATAGATACCTGGTGCAGGGCTCTGACACACTGCAACACGATCATGAACCCATCCATCTTGAGCTTTGACTTTAGTATGATTGGTATGGTGGAACACATGTAGAGCTGTGAGCCCGTCTAGTGATACAAGAATGCCAAGTCAGTATAGTTGCAATGTGATGAAATGTAATGGTAATACATGGATCAAATAAAATAGTGCAAGTATACAATTGAACAAACCTGGATGAGACTCATTGTAATGCCTAGTCAAAGTAGCGAGCGCCTCTTGATGATCTTTCATGGTTGTTGCTACGCCATCTGAAATCAAAGTAATGGTATCTGTATACTTGAATGAGTTAATGCATGTGCAGCTTCAAATCATACATCCGTGTCAACAATTGTAGCCAAGCTTACAAAATCCATCTGGACAAGTCTTGATAGTTGAGTTGCTTTGTAATGCAAAAATACCCTCAGATCGTACCTCAAACTGGGGAGGTAGTACAGCAAGCGCCAGAGAATCATATCCAATAATTGGCGCTTTACTGATAATAGTGGATCTCAAAAGCTGTGTTGTTTCAGTAACAGATTTTTCAAAAATTAAATCTATATACTTTGCTCCAGCAACCAGTTTTTTAGCTTCAAACGTCTTTCCTTGGCCAGTCACGGTTATCATATCTTGCTGAATATCAAATCTTTCCAATTCAAACCCTAAAATGTATGTACTGCCATAAACAGCAGAGTATCTGGAAACCCAACATAAATATACACGCTACTTGTAACAAAATTATACTATACTGTCCTATCAAAACAAGCCAGCCAACATTAGATACATACCTTGAAAAAGCCTGGCATAATTCACTTCCAGATCCATAAATGCCCATTAAAAAAGCACTTTTTCCATACCGACCGAGAGAACTCAAATGCGTATGAGTCAGTTGAAGTCCTTCCAAAGTTGTCATGGTTTTTGACTTGTTCACATTACCAACAAGCGCAATCGCATGAATGATCACAGCCGACATCTTTTCATTGAGCTTTTGACTTGCAAGAAATTCTAAAAATGGTTTGTTTTGATAATCTAGAACAAAGTAATCACTGTCAGAACTCAAGAAGCCACACACCATATGCATGTGAATGCTATAGTACACCAGTATACAGCACAGTATTGGTACGCACCTTTCCAAACAGATTCGTTTTCTTTATAGTCTAATACCATGGATAAAAATTTCATAAGGTACCGTTTACCAACAAGATCCGTGGTCTTGCTAGCAAATACGTCTTCCTTACTTCCGGGGACCTGCATTGAAGCATCCATGTAAGTCTAAATCTGTACTATACTTGATGCACAGAGTATATCAACCCATGTGACATGGACAATCAGAATCAAAACAGACCTTTTCCAAGACGCCGTCCCATTCCAGGTATATATCCTCCAACATTTTGAATTCCAAAAACGGTCCTGCATGTGATGATACCAGCAAATTGACCAGTGGACCTCGACAATAGAGCAGCAATGGGATAATTTCTAGGCTAAAGTTTCGCGAGCTCTGAAAAGCATCAACCAAAAGAGCGACTTGATCCAGCACATTTGGCTCTAAAGTATCCCACTGGACCGTTGATATTTCTTTCAGATGCAAGAGTTTTTCCAATTGCAGTTTGATATTGGGCGACTTTGATATGAGCTGGTTTAATGTTTTGATTTTCTGTTCAAAAGTAATACTATTTGAAATGGGTGCTGATTCATCTTGAGCAAACTGTGCATTCGTGGATGCCTTGGATTTTTCAGAATCATTTTCAGGATGAATTGGAGATGGTTGATGAATCCAAGAGAAATCAACTAGGATCAAGTTAATTTGACAGTCACTATTTAGTGCCGTCTACATTGTAGATTGGTATTACAATGCACAATCTATGACGGTTGGTTGATATTACCTTGTTTCTCGATGAATTCGGCAAAGTTGAATGCAGCATATTCAGCACCATAGTATTCAGCAGTGTCCAAGTGCAGGACTTTTTGTCCAGCTTTGGCAAGTGCACTAGAGAAATTGATATTAGTTGGATAATAATGGGTCTAACCATGCAGAGTACTCGAGTGTTTATCAGATAACCAGAGTATATCTTATAGCATTTGCTTGACTAGAGCTTACCCAGCGAGAATGCACTCGGAAAGTCCAGTTCCAACAATAATGACATCAAACTAAAGAGGGATAATCCAGCATTGGTCGTGAATAGTGGGATGAAGAGCATCAAAGTCAATCATTAGCCATTGAGGTATGAATGGCATAGTTCCAATATGCATTATGTTCATATAAGGAATACAACCTTGCTATCACATTCCATTGTAGTAGTTTATCAGCGAGATTATGTCAAGATCAATAACAATCTTTGCAAGTATTTTAAAGAAATGTTACTGTTGTATTCACGTAAAATGGGACATGAAGTGATCAGCAATCTCATACAATGGTGAATACCATGAGAATTAAACTATTATTTTGTAAACTCTTTTGATTAAACTAGAGCGTGATGATGAGTATAAAACATCAAGTCAATATCTGGATTAGAATGAATTGAATGAATTGAATGGTTTTATAATATTGAGTTTCAATCCAAACTATAATGTTTTTAAAGAATTAAAAAGTTATTTCAGCTCAAAATATTGACCGTCAAATCAGAAAACTTTCACATAAATACGGCTGTAATCATTGCAGTTTTTATCTTTACATTCAACTTTGAAATAGTATTCATCAATCAGTATGACCAGCCAACCCATCAAACCCTCTATCGTTTCCATGCGAACCAGTAATCCCATCCGGGCTATTGTTGATTCGCTCAAGGTCACTCCTAACCCTGCAAAATCCATGCTTTCTCTTGCTCTCGGCGATCCTACTACTTTTGGAAACTACAAGCTTCACCAGAGGTATTGTCGCATGTGTCCAACTAATTTATTGTCCTAGTTATTACTATATCGATTAAAGTATTTGAGAATTTATATCCCATTAAATGTACTTGCATGTTGAGTGATCTAAGTGTTCATGAAAATAAAGCTAGTCTTTGACATCCTTTATACACATGTATCCACTCCATCTCAAACCATAAATGCTAATATATTTAATTTGAAATGATCTTTATAGTTGCGTCGATGCTGTTAAAAATAAGCTAGACGCATACTCTGCTAACGGATATCCTCCGTCTATCGGTACTGTGGCTGCTCGTACCAGCATTGCAGCCAAGTACACTCATCCGAATGCACCCTTGACCGCCGATGATATTATTTTGGCCAGCGGGTATGCACTTGTTTTAAACCAATTGTATTGGCATTGCTGAAATAATTGGCTTGCATGATCTGGGTTAATTACAGCTTTTAGTAACTCCATGTGTATTATAACTATTGACATTCACGCTTAGATGCTCGGATGCCCTTAACCTTTGCATTGGTGTTCTGTGTGATGAAGGGAAAAATATTCTTCTTCCCATGCCAGGGTTCCCACTTTACGAAACCCTGGCAAGCTCCAAGGGTGTTAGTACTCGCTTCTATCATCTGCAGCCACACAATAATTGGCAAGTTGATCTTGCCCATTTGGAATCGCAGATTGATGAAAACACTGCGTGCATTGTTGTCAACAATCCTAGCAATCCTTGTGGATCCGTATACACCAAGGAGCATTTAATTGCTATTCTTGATATTGCCGAGCGTCACCATCTTCCTATTATTGCAGAGTATGTATGACTTGTCTGCGCATTTATTCAGACTCTAAACTTGAGCCATATGGCCGACATCAATGCATTCAATGCTGACTCTTTTATAACCCATTAGTGAGATCTATGCAGACATGGCATTCAAGCCACACGAGTTTTTCTCAATGGCCTCGCTTACTACCAACGTCCCTATTCTTTCAACTGGTGGTATTGCCAAAAAATACCTTGTTCCTGGATGGCGTGTAGGCTGGCTTTTTATCCACGATCGTCATAACAAATTCTCAGAGGTACGAGAGTGAATTCAATACCATGCTGCAATCTATAGTGCTATTGTATTTACAATTCAACCATGATAACTAGATACGCAAAGGACTAGTTAATCTTTCCCAGCTCATTCTCGGTGCTAATTCGCTGATTCAAGCCGCTATTCCCGAGATTCTTGCTGCACCGCAGTCATTCTACGATGATACTATGAAGCAACTTGAAGAAAGCAGCCACCTTAGTCAAGAATTGCTCAAGGGAATTCCAGGTCTTTGCCCAGTGTTTCCACAGGGAGCCATGTATCTTATGATTGAGTTGAAATTGGAAGAGTTTGATGGAATTAAAGATGATGTTGATTTTGTGGAGAAGCTTGTCGAAGAAGAGTCTGTGCTGCTGCTACCAGGAAAGTGTTTCCGATGCCCAGGACCCTTTGTTCGTATTGTGCTGACACCTCCCAAAGATCAGCTGGAAACAGCGTACCAACGCATTCGAGCATTCTGCGAGCGACATCAGAGTGCTGCAAGCATCGAGAAGCAAAAGGCAAAGTAATTCAATACCAAATGGGTATTTATGATTTATATTCTAGACAATCTGTCTGAGTTGAGTCTAACGCAATAAAGCATAATGAATGCATGATTTTGAAGTTGTCAAATGATTCCGATAAAGTTTAATCGTAATATGAAAAGTTGTGACGGAATTTGGACAGCGTTTTACGAGTAAGCCTTGCAATTGGCAAAACTTGGACTTTCCACTCTTGAAACATCGAATGCAAGCATGTTGGACCAGTCTGGTACTCCACTAGAAGTCAGAACTTCAGCAGATGTTAATCAAACTATAACACCGTTGGCTTCTACTCCACCCTCTCAGGCATTCGAGTCTTTTGACTTGGATGGGATTCGTTCACCCACTGCAGCCATGCCAAAATCAGTTAGTTTCTTGAGCAATTTGTTTAGACGAAAGACTGGCTCAGTTCGCAGGGATCCGTCTGTATCTGATACTGGAACCATTTCAAACAGTCAGAACTTGAATACTACAATGCCATTATTTACCAAACCAACACTTTTATCGCCTCAGCAACCCTCTGATTGGAGTATTAGTCCTGACCTACAAAGCTCACAGGTCAGCTCTGACACCAGTAGCGTTCACCAAATGACAGATGCAGACACTGCATCTGATACTATATCGATTGCGTACAATCCAACCATGGTTCGCAGCAGGAGCATCAGTGCAACTAGCATTGCAAGCGGGATAAGTGGTGTAGGAAATAATATAACATTGGCTTCGGGTGGTGCATCAAACTCATCTGCTTCGCGTAGTCAGCATACAGATGGTCGCATCCATTCTCCTATTAAGCTCATCAATAGATTGCGAAATCTGGGTGCTTCAACCATGTCCAAGGACTACTGGATGCGTGATGAAAAAGTATGCGTTCAATCATATGTACTGTAATGCTACTTCTATTAGGACTTGGATGTGTCCTCGAAATCTTTGTATTTTGTTGCGACTATCTCTTCACTCACAGTTGATGATATTTGTTTTCACGCAGGTTCGAGAATGCTATGATTGCAAACAGCCATTCTCTACATTCAAAAGAAAACATCATTGTCGTATCTGTGGTCAAATATTTTGTCGAAAGTGTGCTTCGTCTATTGTTCCTGGCGCACGATTTGGTCATGTTGGTGAAATGTAGGTATTTTTAGATCTCCTGTTGGTTCAGGCAGTCTGTGTCAATTATTCAACTATTTATATTCTGTCATAATCCATATTCATTCCATATGCTCTTGATTTACTATTAGGCGAGTATGCAATTTTTGCCTGAAAATCATGGAAGACTATCGGCAAAATGGACCTCCCCAGGTAGATCCTGCAACTCTATCGATTGGCTCAAATTCAAGCTCACATGCCACATTCTATAGTCAGCATCATCTAGCTCTTGGTCCACGATCTCCCTCTTATTCGTCACTTCAGCCAAATACCTCTCAATCCACGTCACTTCCTCACAGATCTTCATCATCTGGCGCTATGCCAGATTCAGACGGTTGCTCTCAAGCTATATCTTGTGCTGGCTCGACGACAACAATGAATATTCCTACCAGTAATCTTGGCAATACCGTTACTATGTTTGGGTCATTATCCAACAATGTAGGGTTTTATAATGGAACATCAACCGATGTAGCCAAGAAATCTAGCAATCCGTTTATCTTCAAAAAAACAGACGAGTTTAAAACCTCATCAGAAGAAATTTTTGCTAGAGCACCATTTAGTTCTATTCTTGGAATACCAGCTGAAGGTGATGCACTTGCACGGAATGGACAGCTGGCTGACGATCCGCAAGATGACACCAATTTACCTTGCATCACCGATGATGAAATGGATGGCATAGGATATATGTCTCAGATTTGGACTTCAAGCATATTTAGAGATTCGGCAAGCCTCGTTACAGGAAACACTGCCACTCAATCACTTACTGACCTTGATAACCACAACATTAAACCTTTTCAGCATCAGCGTGGATCTGAGCCGTGGAAACATTTGCATGCATCAAATGGTCAACGCCAAAGCTATGCTGGCCCTTTCTCTGGAAATTGGAACCCACCACTTTTGCTAGAAACCAATTCAGCTGTTTGCTTGCAATCTCTGAGTCCTTTAGATTCTGCCATCATTTCTGGAACGGAAGTTTCACCAAACCCACGCTTGGATTCTACTGAAACCTCCAATGATTCAGAATCTAAATTTAATCAGAATAGTCCAACATCTCGATTACCAATGCGATCAGCTGTTCCATCTATATATGGTAGAGCCGGACTGAATGCTGTCTCGGTACAGCATATGAGGGGTATACTTGCACAGACTCTAGTAGAGGCCGCAGTGTGTGATCCGGATGCTTGGATTGATGTTCTCATGGGAATGCTCATTAAAGCGACCGGGGCTCTTCGACCTAATTTACGACATGGCGATAATATTGACATTAGAAACTACATTAAAATCAAAAAGATTCCAGGTGGTACAATATCCGACAGTGCACTGATTCACGGTGTTGTCAGCACAAAGCAAGCAATCCATAAGAGTATGATGCGCATGATTTCCGCCCCCAGAATTTTGCTTATAACGTTTCCATTAGAATATCAACGGATTGAAAATCAGTTTATATCGCTTGAAACTTTAGTAGCACAAGAAGAGGATCATATCAAGCATCTGATTAGCCGCGTTACTGCACTTGACCCCAATGTTGTGCTGGTACAAAAAACTGTTTCGCGGATAGCTTTGGAGATGCTACTCAAGGCTAATATTGCAGTAGTACATAACGTAAAACCCTCGGTTCTTTTCAATGTTTCCCGTTGCACTCAGGCAGATATTATACACTCTATTGATAAGTTGGCTTTGAGTCCCAAACTAGGTACTTGCGAGACGTTCAGCTTCAAGGCATTTGTCAATGCAGATATCATTGGTATGCGCAAGACATTCATGTACTTTGAAGGATGCAATGTAGAGGCTGGCTGCTCGTTTGTACTTCGTGGTGATTCAGTTGATCAGCTAACTCGTGTCAAGCGTGTCTTGGATCTCATGATATTTGTCGCTTATAGTCTCCGTCTTGAAACTAGCTTGCTTCGTGACATGTATGCCTTGACACCAAATTTACCACAAAGCATTGGCACCAGTGTATTGACTATAACAGGAGCAACCGTCACTCCGCCTAAACCCTCAACCGGTGTGATTTCTAACTCTATAGTTGTATCTCCCAATGCATCAGGAGCCACCTTGACATGCAGCGTTAATCATTCTCCAGCACTTCCACTATCGACTTCATCATCCTCTACTCCTTTACTCGCTCAATCCGCTGTTCAAAAAGCTGAAGATTCTCCAGCCGAGCGTGCTTTTAAAATATTTCAAAATACGATCTTGTCAGGATCTCCTAGTGTCAAGTTTCCTGCACCGTACTTGCTTGTCAAGATGAAGGAGGCGTCTACTCGCCGAAACAATACTGGGAATACAATAAATACAATGGCTAATCGACGCACTCCTGCCAGATTTCCAAGCATTAAAATGAAACAAACAGCATCTGATTTCAACTCGGCAGCCAATACCTCTACGACTTTGTCGCAATCGGCAGCACCGTATCAGTTGGATCGACCTCTGTCCTTCCACATGCGTGACTTTCATGTTGATGATGCTTTGGTTGCGGCTATTGGAGATACAGCCTCGTCAGATCGAACTTCACTTGACGCTATTCTAGCGCCATCTCAAATCGATCCCGACAGTAAACAGCTTACTGTAGTTCCGTCTTTTCTTGATCCCAGATCCATTCTTAGTCATGTAAATGGACTATCTATATTCTCTCAGCAAAACATCACCATTCTATATTCCAACATATGTCGCGGCAATACCATTCCATGCATCCCAGCACATCAGAGTCTTATACAGTACTATGGTGATACAGACCTTACACTTGGACAATATTTGGAAAATTTATGCCTAGAATCATGTTTTGTATGTCCTATAAAGGGGTGCGAAAATACTTTGATGGCACATTCTCGCATTTATGTTCATGGAAACTACCGGCTAATTGTCAATGTTGACTCGCTCCCTTGTCCTGTTCGTGGCATGGAGGATCATATTATTATGTGGAGTTTCTGCAAAATTTGTCATGTTAGTACGCCGTTCGTACCCATGTCTGAGGAGTCGTGGAAGTATTCTTTTGGAAAATATCTTGAGCTTCATTTTTATCTTCCAAAGCTAAACTGCAGAGCCATCAGCTGTACACACGACATTCATCGAAACCATATCACATACTTTTCTCTGCACAATCTAACAGTTCGTTTTGAAATGGAATCCATTATATTGTTTGAAGTATCTGTTCCACCTATGCGACGTCTTGCCAAAACAGAGCACAGCATCAAATTACGTCAACAGGATTTAGAAGCTTTGCGTCACCAAATTGAATCCTACTATGACTCAATCTTGCAACGCATTAAGCTATTCACTATTGATATTGTTCCTATCACGAAGCAACAGGCGTGTAAGGAATCCATTTTAGAACTTGGAAAGCGTGCAACATCTGAGCAAAAACTTTTACTTCAACTTCTTCAACAAACTTCTATTACTTCGGCAGCAGATGATCATCTTGCCCTTAATGCTGTGTTTTTTATGCTGCTGTCAAAAGTAACTGCATGGGATTCAGAATTCACAATGTTTGTGAGGACATTTTTACAACCTGAACAAGGAGATGTACGTAGAATGGCTGGACAGATTAAACGGATTTTTGTTGATAGGGATGCACTTTTAGGCGAATTTCGGATTGTCATACCGACTGGAATTGCCGCTCCTGCTATACCTTCTACCAATGCTTCGAATCATATTGCTCCGCAATTCGATCTTGATTTAGATATGGGCAATATGCCAGCGCTTTCCTGGAAACTTCCAGTGCTGTGTAGTTCACCCATGCCAAAAATGGTTGAAGTTTTAGAGGCAGATCGAATGGACGAGGATTGCATTTCAGTTCATGGTAGGTGTTTTGATTATTTAAAGTCTTGTTATGGTACATTTAATGCGATTTTGCATGATGTTGACATGTTTATTCAACATTGGATTGATTTTTAAAATATAAAGACGATTCATCGGTTGCATTAGGTATGAATACCACTGCATCAATACCTGCGTCTCTGTCCGTTCAGCTTTCACAGCTAGGCCAGTCACGTATGGCTCCGCCATTGCCAATATATGCGTCACAAGCAGCTTCCGTACAAGGGGAATCGTCATTTGTGTTTATTGATCGTCGCTTGTCTTTTGCTTGGATGAAAACCACACTATTTCTCTTAGACAATCCCAATGCACATATAAATGCGCCAGTGCTGGGATCATCCCCATCAGATCACGCTCCTGACGAAATGGCTGTAGCCAAAACTGATACCATTACTACAAGTCCCAATATGTTTGATGATCCAGAAGACTATACTGTATCGGATACTGCAGCAGGAAAACCTGTTCGTTGGATACACAATAGTAATAACAATTCATCATCACCTGAGCCTGATATTTTACATCGAACCATTTCAGCTACATCAGTTACGTCGCGTGGATCTCATGCATCCACCAATTTTATGGCTGGCGCGATATCAAATGCTGAAATTGTAGTCAAGTCAATTGGTGGGGGGAGTCGAATTGGGTCAGAGCGGGAAGACGATGTTCCATTGCATGAACAGATTGATGATGGTGTCATGTTTCCGCGCCATCTCTCTCTAAAGCCACGGTCTCGTGTCACTCAACTGGCAGGTGTAGACACGGAGTTGCCTATACGTAGTAAAAGGTTATCCAAGGGCCAGGTCTTGGCAGACGAGGATGAGCCACTGGCTGGAGTGAATATGATCACTGGTGTAGCTGCAGAGGTTGAACCGATTATTTCTATGCCTCAGTTTGGTCCTGCTAATGAGCGTGCTTCGATCTTGAAATCCATTACCAATATTTGGAATGGAAATCCAGCCAACTTTTTACCAATAGCGTATCCTTCGTAAGTACTTTGAATGTTTACTCGGCATGGCTTTTCAAGCTTTCATACACTTGTTGGGCTGATCATGCAATGCATATGTATTTTATACAGGAATCCAACAGAGCATATATTTCCAGATTCTCTCATTATTGTTCGTGAGGACGAACCAACATCAATCCTGGCATTTACTTTGGGCTCACGGCATTATAAAGAAAAGCTTGTATCCATGCAACCAGGCACAAACACCGACTCAATTGCAGCCTCGCAGGCTCCTGCAGCGGCAGTTGTAACTGAAGATATGCAGCAATCTCGCTATTCTATAGATTTTGATGATCAGTTTGGTGATATCGAGGAAACGCTGCTTCGAGGAACTGGGACGCACATTCGATACCGTATGTATATTTAATTTCCATATTTAGTTGTGTTGTTTACACACTATGCTATATGTATATTCAGATTATTAACTACATATATATGAGCAGAATTTTGGGATGGTCCTACTCGTATGCACTGTAAAGTGTTTTTTGCAGAGCAATTTGATGCCTTGAGAAGAAACTGTGGTGCAGATGAGCAGTATGTGCAATCGTTGGCTCGATGCATCAAATGGGAAGCATCTGGTGGCAAATCAGGATCTACATTTTTAAAAACTCGTGATGATTGGTTGGTTGCAAAACAACTGTCTCGACCAGAAATGGATGCTTTGTACAAGTTTGCACCCGAGTATTTTGAATACATGTCACGGGCCTTTTTTCATGAAGTAAGTGATATGTTTGCTTACTGGTATGCTTTTACAAGTATGATTGATTTTTAAACGTTGATGGTAGTTGCCGACAGTACTGGCCAAGATTTTTGGATTTTATCGCATTGGATTCAAGAATCCAGTTACAGGGAAAACAATCAAAATGGATCTTCTTGTCATGGAAAATCTATTTTACGATCGGTCTATTTCGCGGATATTTGATTTGAAAGGATCAATGCGGAACCGTCACGTTCAATCTACAGGAAAGCAAAATGAAGTTCTTATGGACGAAAATCTGGTTGAATGTGAGTCGTTTAAACTACAATATCATCTGAAATTGACTGATTGTGGAGTGACTCACATGCATTTTTAGTTATATATGATTCGCCATTATTTATTCGAGAGCATAGCAAAAGGCTTTTGCGTGCATCTGTTTGGAACGATACTTTATTTTTATCCAAACTAAATGTCATGGACTATTCCTTGCTTGTGGGTATTGACAGTGACTCAAATGAGCTAGTTGTTGGCATTGTTGGTGAGTCTGACCTGATTGTTTATCAATGATTTTCAGTTTTTTAAAAACTATACTTATCCACCGAATGTACCATTGCAGATTTTATTCGGACATTTACATGGGACAAGAAATTAGAGAGTTGGGTCAAGGAAACTGGATTTCTTGGCGGTGGAGGAAAAGAGCCAACAATTGTTACTCCACGACAATACAAAAATCGGTTCCGTGAAGCCATGGAAAAGTATTTTTTAATGGTTCCAGACAAATTTCTGATTGCAGATGCAGAAGGATCGCTACTGGGTTCTAAATAAGAACTACATGCGTTTGAACTTTATTCATTGTATATAATATTTTGGATTTGTCTACATTATCATCATATTTATTTCTGATTGTCATGCACTACCCAATAAAAATCTAGCAACTGGACTTTATCCAGATAATAAAAGCATTTGTTAAATTTTCATTTGATCATCTTGACTAAAAACAATTGAATTCAGTTTGTCAATTCAGTATTGTCAATCATGATATTCAGAATGCATATGCTCGCTCATAGACATTCGGCTCAGAGAATTAAAATTCCCACTGGAATAATGAGATTGCAATCTAGACAATTACTTACAAGCAATCAGTCTGAAAAGTACTGCATGGATTTAGTCAGGTAGGGTTCCAATGACTTTCAATACAAGACTTGTGGATTCTAGTCATTTGCTATTCATTAGTTGATCAATACTCCCATTCAAATGTATTTTGCACGGCGCATAATAATAATATTTTTTGAATGTAATATGGATACCAACCACTAGAACGCATGACTATGAACAGTTTCTAATAACACTTTTTACGCCCGAATTTGCTCGTCAAACTGTGTGGGCACTCAAGGCATTCAATGTAGAAACAGCTATTATTCGGGATGCAGTAACAGATGTAAATATTGGATCCATGCGAATACAATGGTGGCGGGATGCCATTGAAAAAACGTTTCAAGGATCTGCTCCAAACCATCCAGTGATGATGGCGCTGGCCAAGTCGCTTGAATCTACAAGACTTTCACGCATGTGGTTTACAAAAATACTTGCTGCTCGGGTGAGAATCTATGTTATTGATTATATTTGGCAGATCAAACTACATGTATATTGCTTGGGAAATTCCAGAACTGATATTTTAATAGGAAGCCAATCTGAGGGATACTCAGCACACTACTATTGCAGATCTTGAGGCATATTCAGAGAATACAATGTCGTCTCTTATCTATTTGCATTTGGAGGCATTAGGAGTGACAGATGTCAATGCAGAACATGCTGCTAGTCATAGTGGAAAAGCGATTGGGATCACCACTGCATTGCGTAGCACGCCATTTAATATATCCAAGCAACGGTTTTATCTTCCTACAGAAATCATGGCTCAGGTTGATTGTTCTCGACTAGTTTAAATTGAATTAGAGTTTATGTTACTGACAACACCACTTTTTATAATGGATAGCATCAAGTAGTCACGGAAGATATTTTTAGGTTTGGCTCCAACGAACATCTGTTGGATGCAGTCTTTACAATTGCTACTCGTGCAAATGATCAGATCCTGACTGCTCGTTCGTTTTCAAAAGATGTGCCCATAACTGCCATACCTGCTTTATTGCCATTGGTAAACTACCGTTTATCCCAAATATCGATATTCATCACTTTTATGCATACAAGGTTCATTCGGTTCTCCAAACTAACACACCTCTGCACATTAAAACATATAGATACTGGGCGACAATTATTTAACCAATCTGCAAAAGGCCAACTTTAATGTCTTTGACCCATCGCTTCAGAAAAAATCACTGTTTCTACAATTCTACATCTGGAATCTAGCTCGTAAAAATAAATACTAATTCGATCTACTAGTTTCATTGCTGTGATTTTAAAACACTGAATGCCCTATCAGATTTTCCATAATTGCCTATACAGATATATATGTTTTACAAAAAAACTAATTTAATGATGCTAGCAGGCTTATATTACAGCGGGATTAAAATACTCATGGTCACTAACCAAGTCCTGTTCTATCGTTTCGCACTTTAAAAATCAAAAATGCGTGTTTAATATGATGCTGTGAATAGACAGCTTTAGACATGATGCACTTACTTTTGTGATGGATTTGAGTAATCCGCGTAGATTTGGTTCGGCCATCTCGCCGGCTATCAATAGTTCATCAAGAATGATGTACGCCTCAACAATCCTATTTTAATCAAATGCATTTATGTTAATCTAGCAATAGGTATCAACACAACCACTGCAATGAGAAAAGAGCCAAGGAGCATACCCGTAGATAATATCCAGTTCACACACATTTCCAAAATCTAGAATAATCATGTCAATTGCATTTAAGCTTTTTGTAGATAATTCTCAAAACCATTTGATTGAAGCAAGACTGTTTTACATGCATCTAAAAGCTGGACGTATCTCTGAATTAACTCCAGTGTGACTAGTGGATCAATGTAGCAAGTCTAACAATTAGCATCCAGTACATCCACCAAGTTGTAGATTATCCAACTATCCTTACTTAGTTCATTATCATTTTCTTCAATGCCTATAACGGAATGGGTTTGTTAGCTGATAAACTTATTTCAGATGAGCTCGCCATTACTCATTGTACAATATACATGAACTTACTGGCACAAAAATACAAGCTTGCATACCGTTTATATATTAGACGAGATCCCCGGAAATCCAGGATATTGGACATTGCATTAGTACGTTTGAGTATCTGTGCCATTGTGTCGTTCATTATCTGAGACTTTTTACCAGAAGAAACTGTTTTGAATCTAAAACTCCCATGAAGCCAAATTAGAAATATGTTTTTAATGTAGTTGGTATTATGTATTGTCCAAGCTAAAGGTAATATGTGATAAAGTGGTATACCAGCATATTAATTTTATCTTTTAGAAACCCATGGTAGTGTTTTGGAGAATATCATTCAAGAAAAACGGTATTATCCGGTGTTCTTTCTATACTGCTCATGATGTTCATGTAGTATGTCAAGAATGGGGCTTACAAACGCTTTAGTCTCATTTTCCCGTACTTTGAGAATACAATAAAGTACTCAATCTACAGAATAGCACAATATCAGTATATGAATATGTCTGTATGCTAATTATAGGAGTGTGAATGAAAGCTTCATCCCTACTTCAATGCATCACTAACCATCTGGCTTTTGCTGTAATGCCGAGTCGCAGATTTGCAATTTTGGATAAAGTTGGAAACTTGATGAATGCGGGATCAAATACTCAGCCAACCTATCGGCCAATAGGGATCATGATTAAATCTGGCCAATACCTACAGAAATGTGTTTTAAATGTGCTTCTGAATACGAAAACATATTTAAATGTATGAGCATATTGTATCTGACGGAAGCAAAATCAATAAATGTTTCGTATTATTATCATCTCAACAATATCAAGACTGATATTTTCACATTAACCAGTGCAAAACCCATCCGATTTTTATACATTGTGCTTAAAGTATTTTCTTTATTAGACTAGCATCGCGAACACCAACATTGCTCATATCGACACTCGCATCTGACACCATAACACTATTCATATTATGAGCAACACCAACCGTTCAGATACGCAGTCTTGTCTATTAAACTCTACTTTTTACAAAGCGGGAACGCTCATTCCATTTGGGTCTCGGTTTGGAGCGGGATATGTAATGTACAACTATTCAACTGGAATGATTGTTCCCCAAACTGCTAATGGCACGATTCGGCTCGATGCAGGACAGGTATATACGGTCGAGGAAGCAAATTCAAAAGCTATGCGGCTATGCAAACTGCCAGAAGCCATTGGCCAAGTGAGTATAATTGTTTGGATATAATATTAAAATCAGTCGATATGTAATATTGGATACACATGATACAAATTGGCATGCAGCGACGTAAAACATATCAAATACGGCGCAGCTTAGCTAGGCATAATAGTGCGACATGATAATCTGCTACTATTTTCAAGAATGTTTATAGGCGTTGATTAATTTTTTGTATCATTAATCTGAACAGCCACGACGCAATTCAGACATGCCGCCGGGATTTTTCAAGAGTCTCACATTGGGTCGCTCCAGCAACCGTAGGCGATCTGATTCATCGGTTAATAATCCAGGATACAGTCGCAAAATAAGCAACTCTCGTGGATCCATCAATATGCTAAAGGCTGCAATGGAATCAAAAGACGAGGTAAAACCAAGCATCCAATGCAATCAAAATACAGACTACTAAAAATTGTCACGCGGTTTTAGGGGTTAGAGATGGACAAGTCAAAGGTGACTAATTTGGCTGGAAAGACGACGTCCGGAAACTTTGTATCATCAACTATGCCAGGATCCGATATGTCATTGGAGCAATCATCACCTGCAGCATTTTTTAGTCTTCGCAAAAAACCTAAAAAAGTATCAGCAGAGCCTGAACCTTTTCATGATCAAGCTTTCAAAGAGGTGGCAAAAAGTATGTTGGTTATGACCAACAGCCAGGCAAAAATGGATGATGAGCTAGATTTGGTGGCATTTCTTAAAGGACCTGGACGCGAGCGTGCAAAATCCACTACCTCGAATCGACCAGAAAGTTTAATTATAGAAAATAAGCTACCCACCTCTTCCAATAACGATTCAAATATAGATGAATCTCTAACATCTGTGGCAACAAGCGATCCCGGGATTGAAAACAGATGGGCTACAACTACTCCTAGAAGCCAGTATCCAAGCTCATGTAATTCGGCACACCAAAGCTTGCAGCCAACTCCCAATCAAGTCAATACTCCAACATTCAATGCAGATGCAACATTTTCGGCTGAAACCTATGGCACTAATGGGGATATTTGCAGTTCCAGTTCTGCACAAGATATTTCTCGACTATCCGCATCGATCCCTTATAAAGGATCAATCGGTGGTATTCAGATGATTGATGCAGAACCCCTTACACATGAAGGATATATGAAATCGGCTACATCAACTGGTAGTAATCTATATTTTAGATTGTCTGATAATATTCTTAGAGCATTTAAAGGTAGTGCTTTACTTCTATCTGGTTTGTAGACTGCATGAATTACAAGTGCTAACCTATCGCTATGATTGCAAATTTTTGTGGTGGTATAAAACAGATATTGATACTGTAAGTGATGCATGTGAATTGAATATTAGCATGCTTTTAAATAATATACTTGATAAAGGTTTGCACCATATATTAACCAAAGAATACATGATTAGTCGGTTACTTCAAAACCAATCATTGAATTGAAACTTGGCAATAGCTTTGCCATGCCTCTTCGATCCACAACAGATTTTGGGTTTGAAATCACTCATTCTGATGGAAAACTGCGGTGTTATCCTTCATCGTATGCAAATATGGTAAAATTACTTGTTTGATTGGGTAATCTCATTGCATGACAATAGAAATTGATCATAAAATGCAATGTTGGTAGATTATGTGGATTAGTACACTTAACACTGCAAGCTCAAATATATCAGTGTGGCATGGCCCAGCACAAGTTCCCTTGGAAGGTGCTTTATGAATATTTTTCATTATACTATAAACATGTACTGTTTTTGTCAAACAATTACTAACCACATGCTTTGTATTTAGACTATCATATGGACTTGTATGGCAAAGAATACCATGCACTATTGTCAGTTTTACGTGACGAAACAGGATTAACGGATCAGGCAGCCATGGATTTAGGAGCAGAAGTAATGAATGATGATTTGCCGCATAGTCCAAGTAGGCAAAGAAGTTTTGACGACCAAGGCAAAGCCATAATTATATACCAGCCCGATCCCGGTATTACAACTTTTTACTCGACTATGCCAGCTTGATCACATTTAAAACGCAATGCTCTGCTTACTATTATTTTTTGATCTGATGAATAGATGGAATTCAATCGCCCTTTCATATTGTGCAAGCCACAATTGAAAAGCTAGTGGAAAGAATGACTGACATATATGGACCAGGTACTATCATTAAACTATAAGTAGTTGATTGTCGAAATATCAATCGAGTAAAGATACTATTAGCTGAATCACCCGTATTGATAACATGTATGAGCAGATAAAGCATTTATCAGTATGATGCTGCATACCTACAGACATATTGTTAGCACTTCGGCATTTTTGAGCATGCTCAAGGCTAGATTGCACGTTGTTATACCTCAGGATGAAGAAGCTGGTGATGATCTGTTTAGTGTGAACTGGAAGATTGTAGTAAAAATAAGGTAATTATCAGTAAAATGATAACTAATTCATACTAGGAAAACTCTTTTATGTGCCATTAAACTGAGGCATTTGTAATATATTTGTTATAACCCAATAGAACGATATCGGTTGTGTATTTGTGGATCAAAACGATTTGGTCGCCCGATTTTATCTATCCAGAAGCGCGTGAAAGTCTAGAACAATTTGTTGCTGCAATTCAAGGGTCATTTGGTCCATTGGATTCAGACAAGGCACTCGAAAGCCAACATTTGAATGAATTTAAACTGCTAGCTGGTCACTTTCGGGGTGTCATTCGTCGGAGGGTAAAGTGCCATGAATACACTTGCTTTACAAGCCATTATACTTGAAATTGCCAAACTCATCCAAAATTAAAATGCCAAAACTTGAATTTTCTTTGGGGTATAGGAAGCTCTTTATGCTGCATACTCGCCTCCCCCAAGTGAAATAGCACCAGTACTCACGACATCCAAACTTGGATTTATAGACTTTGAGCCAGCAGAATTGGCAAAGCATCTTACATTACGGGAACAAGAGTACTTGAATGCCATAAAACCCATTCAATTTCTTCTCCGTGTTTGGTCAAATGAAAAAGATCCTATTATTGAACGCGAGGTTCGGCCACTCAACGATGCTGTCAATGCATTCAACACAGTAAGCCTACATAGTTGACTAGGCATGAGCCAAGCGTGTTGGAAGCTATATTAACATTATATTTCCATAAAATAATATATGAAAAGGTTAGTTTTTGGGTTGCTACAGAAGTGTGCACTCAGCCTGAAATCAAAAACCGAGCCAAGGTTATTGAAAATTTTATCAAACTTGCTAAAGAATGTCGCAAGCTCAACAACTTTAATACTTTAATGGCCATTGTATCTGGACTAAATGTTGTTGCTGTGAGTCGTCTCAAGGCTACATGGGAGGTGAGTCTCGGTGTGATGGTAGTACGATCAAAATGCCACGTTGAGTAGATTGTCAATGTACTTACAAAATAATGAATGTAGCTAACGGATGCAAAGCGTGTCCGACAACTCAACGAACTAGAAACTTTGATATCACCTACAAACAACTTTAGAATGTATCGGGCACTCGTTAACGACATTGAGGAAGAACCCAACAAAAATCGCAGATACTATGTTCCAATTCTATCACTATTTCTCAAAGATTTCTTGTTCATGAATGATGGTAATCCAAAAATCACCGAAAGTGGATGCATCAATGTGGACAAGCTACGATCCATGTATACGCGTGCAACAGAAATCGTTCCAGTGTCTAACAGCCGACAGAGTTCCGGGGTTGGCTCACCATCAACACCTATTCAACAGTATTGCAACAATCTCAGGGCACTTAAAGAGCCAGTGTTGTACAAGTACAGCTGTCTTTGTGAACCTAAAAATAACACGGGTGATGATTTACGATTGAGAGAAAAATGGATGGCACAGCAAAAACCGCATACCAACTAGCATTTCACCCAGCTCACAGGATCCTTTTTTCTGCTATAAGCATGTTATCTGAAGCCATTCATTCTATAAAAACCCTGATTTAGATAAATTGAAAGCATTTCAAGTAAATGAAAACGGTGATTCATTCTAGATAGAAGCAATTCAAAAAGAATAGATGTAAAGCTAGTAGAAAAGGTGAGATGGTGATGTAACTGTTGCCAAGAGATTAGATGCGTAAAATCAGTAGGCTTATTTCTGGAACATCTTCTTGATGGACTCTGTGCTGAGCGATTTGGGACGCTCAATTGGAAGACCGTGGATACGATCCCAAATGACACCAGACATGCATCCAAGAGAACGAGAAACGCCAAAGAGGACAGTGTAAAAGTCTTGTTCAACAAAGCCAAAGTGCTGCAAGTGCAATAGATTAGATAAAATATAACAATACATTCAACCAACGTTAAAGTTAAAATACCTGAAGAAGGACACCACTGTGAGCATCAACATTGGGCCATGGGTTTTTGGTCTTTCCGTGCTCAGTAAGCACAGCTGGAACAATGTTATACAGCTGCGATACAAGTTTGAAAATGGGGTCAGTAGGCAAATGCTTGAGAGCAAATTCACGCTGGGAAGAGTAGCGAGGATCAGTTTTGCGAAGAACAGCATGACCGTACCCAGGAACAACCTGGCCATTTTTAAGACCTGCCCAGATATACTCCTTAACTTGATCGTCAGTAGGTTCGAGGCCAATAGTATCTTTCATTTTCATAACCCAGCGAAGAACCTCCTGATTGGCAAGACCGTGGAGAGGACCAGCAAGACCATTAAGACCAGCAGCGAATGAAAGGTATGGATCAGAAAGAGCACTTGAAACAAGGCGGGAAGTATGTGCACTGCAAGCAAAGAAAATTACAAACATGATTGGAATTAAAGATATTGATTACAACTATTATGCATCTATGTTTCTAGTAGAGTATCGCAAAGCATACCTAACATTTCCACCCTCGTGATCAGAGTGGATAGTGAGATAAAGACGCATCAGCTCAATAAACTTGGGATCCTTGTAGCCAAGAAGATGCGAAAAGTTGGCAGAGTAATCGAGGGAAGAATCAACATTTGAAACTTTGCCATCCTTGAATGTATTACGATAGATACGAGCAGCAATGCTGGGAACCTTGGCAATCAAATCGTTCGCGTCTTCAAAAGTGTAGTCCCAATAATCAGATTTGGATGCACCCTTTTGGTAAGCCTTGGCAAAAGAACTCTCTTGCTGAAGGGCAGTAACGGCCAAACTAAATTGGCTCATGGGATGAAGGGTGTTTGGGCAACGATCCAGAATGTCTTCGACGTATGCAGGAATAGCAGAACGGGCAGCCCAGTCAGCGGAGAGGGCACGAACCTGCTCAACAGTGGGAATCTCACCCGTGACAAGCAACCAAAAGAGACCTTCAGGAAGGGGCTCTTCACCACCCTCAGCCTTGGGGAGAAGTTTCTGGCACTCGGGGATAGTGTAGTTACGGAAACGAATGCCCTATACATATTTATGGATAATAAGCATCTATTCCAACCAACCGGTGTATACCGTGTATAGAATAGATGCTCAACACAATGGTGGCAGTCAATAACACACCTCATCAGCGTCAAGTACGGAGCCTTCCCAGACCAAGCCTTTAATACCACGCATACCACCATAAGCCTATTGAAACAGAAAATTTCTCGGGATTATCAACTTGAATAAGCACATAAATGCACGATCAGATAATAAACTTGCCATTTCCACTGTGGTTTCGCCAAGAACTTTGGAGCCAAAGTTTTTACGGATTTCCTTTACTTCAGCCTGTTTGGCAGGAATGATTTCTACAAGACGCTCCTTGAGAGTCTACAAGTATGGTGGGTTCAATTACAACATGGCATTAAATTTCTGCATCAACAGACAGTAGAATCAAAACAAACTCAACAGGGGCTGATTAGAAAGGATAGTACAGATACAGTTTGAATAAAGATCTGGTTAAAGTGGTTGCATAGACATCCAACACTTTTAACAAATCAAAGTTTCCAGTCAAAATATGGCATGCAAACCCTATTCCAAAAAATTAATTTGAAGATCAAAATACAATATTGAGTTGATATGCACCTTGGGCTTGGCAGAAGCAAATGAGCGAATGCCAGTCGTCAATGCTGCATTAGAAAGACGAGAGGAAGCAGCGGAAATCTACAGTATTTAAAGTGATTGACAGTCAGTTATGAGTTAATGAGAGAAAAGGTTCCGTAATCAATAGAATGGATTTGAATTCAAGACTCAAGCCAGCAGCTTGTATTACAGCCAAAACAGCGTTATCCAAAACCAATTCATTTTTTAGCAATACATTGCATTAGAGTTGCAGATGGGTTGAAACTCAACTGTCGCAGAATGAGCAGCGGAACGAAGCATCTGTTGGATTTTCAAAAACGGATAAAACGAAGTGATCTGCGAGTTCAGGCTGTTAACTGGCTGATACACGTGACGAATAGCCAGTTTTGTTTGTACAGCCGTATTCAAGTTTTCTGATTTGACGGTCAATATTTTGAGTTGAAATAACTTTTTAATTCTTTAAAAACATTATAGTTTGGATTGAAACTCGATATTATAAAACCATTCAATTCATTCAATTCATTCTAATCCAGATATTGACTTGATGTTTTATACTCATCATCACGCTCTAGTTTAATCAAAAGAGTTTACAAAATAATAGTTTAATTCTCATGGTATTCACCATTGTATGAGATTGCTGATCACTTCATGTTCCATTTTACTTGAATACAACAGTGGTAATCTACTTCACTCACCATTTATAACCAATTCATGCTCTCAAAACCAAAGTATTTTATTTAGTTTCCAAAAACTCCCGAAACAAACGAATTGAAATCATAACCTTCCTCCTTGCGCGACAGCACGGTCTTCAGATACTCGACAATGGCCGGTGGAATCGCCCCCTTGTACAGATCTGCCTCAGTCACAAATGGTTTGTCAATAGCAAGAGTGCGGAACGATTCAAGCAGCTGCTCGGGCGTCGTCTTGTCTTCCGATAGGTTACGCATGTATTCAATAAATTGCTCAAACGAGACTTCATCTGTACCTTGCGAAACTTCAAGAAACGTTTTTTCAAACTCGGTATCTGCAAATGTTGTACCTTCTGACTGAAGTGCAGCTTTGAATTCTTCCAGCTTAAGAGTGTTGGAGTTATCTTTGTCAAAGTGCTTAAAGGTCTCAGAGTACTCTTCAAGTTGCTCAGGAGTAAAATTGGTTTTGGTGCGTGCCACCATCTGGTTCTCAATAAAGGCATGCTTTTTGTTCAGAGACTGGGTAAGCAGACCATAGTCAAACGATAAATCTTCAACGGTATAAATGGTATACCTATTACCGATTGATTAAAATGCAAAACATTGGGTTCGGTCAGTACAAAAACGCAATTGATTAAATAGCCATTAGTGTCACTGGTTGAAAATCGAAAATAGTTTTTCAAATCCACATACTCATTGTCGTCAATATTGGCTTCAACAAGAGCATCATTCAACTGCTTGATCTGAACAAGTGACTGCGCAACCGGCTCAAGTTGTCCCAACAGAGTCTTGGTCACATCAAGCTGCTGCTCAAGATCTCCCTGCAAAGAAGCAAGCTGATGTGAAATCACATTCAGAGAATCTTGCAGCGAGTTGGCCAATGTTGCATATTCTTGACGAAGCTGATCCTTGGACCTAATTCAATTGGAAAAATGAAAAGTATTGCCAGGGTTAAGTATGCCAGTTAAACATGACAAACTGTACAAATCATATACATAAAACACTTACTCGCGAATATAATGAGTAATGGCACGCTTGCGAGTAGCCTCAGCAGTTACAAGCTGATTCCAGTGACGATCAATGTCTGCAAGAGTGTAACCAGCAGGAGGGGTATAAGGTCTGAGATTATATGTTTTGAGTTTAGTCTGAATATTTCCAAGAAGCTAAATGATATTCAAAATTAAACAAGAACTCAGCAACTTGTAAATCCAATCTACAAATACTCTATGCTAAACAAAACTGAAAGTTAATATTACACTGTCCAATTCACGACGCTCAGTAATCCAGCCTCTCTTTGTAGTACCCTTGTATGTTTCAAATTCAATCAACTGACGGCGAGCATCAGGATAGCCAGAAAAATTGGCATTGCCCCAGGTAGACTGAATAGCACCAACTAAAGCAATCAGCTCACAAACACGACGTTCATAATCATTTTGCATTTCCCATGCTTGGTGAAGCACCTGTCCAAGCTGACCAACACGACGACCAGCAACACCAAACCTGTCAAGAGCTGAAAAGGCGTGAAAGTATTGAGCAACATAAGTCATGACAGAACGCTCATCGGGTTTGATCACATCAACAATATCTTCAACAGCAAATAATTTGGGGATGCCAAGATGCCGTTCAGCGATATCAAAGGCAAGCTGAGTGTTGGCATGTTTTTGTTTCTTATCCAACGCCCAGTAGTTGATAAGATCCGGACGATGTCGGTGAATAAGAGCACATAAGGAAAGACCATCCTGCCAGCTAAATGTAAAGTCCTTGATATGGAAATCGGCAGCATAAGGGGTCGTGCGACGTTGACACCACAGCAACAAGCCTTCTTTTGCAGTCAGTCCTTCTTCACTGATCTGGGAAATAGAAAATCGTAAAATGATGGTCCAGATCAGACCAAGAATCAGTTTTGGGTTGGAGTCGACAATGTCTTCAGACCCAATGTTGGTGAGCATGACGCCACGCTTCTTGATAAAGCTGAGCGCCGTATTCATGTTTTCAATCTTTTGAAGTCGAAGCTTCGGGTTTTTAGTGTATCTGCCCAGACTCTCGTCACCAATAATCTCTGAATACAACATTAGACCATGTTCAAATAACAAAATAGCATATCAAGCAGTTTTAATTATAAAAGCAACACTCACCAAGAAGCTGAATCAGATTTTCACCATTGGACAGATCGGTATCAAGATCAACAATAGGTGGGATCTCACGCTGTTTAAGCTGACTGTTGATCCAGTTGGTAAAGGCTGATGGGGAACGCAGGTGCATAATTAAAAAAGCACAAACATGTCGAGTTGGATTGATGTAGCAAGAAAATTGCAAAAATTGATGAAATGCAATTAGAAATCTCAATATTCCATTGTTGGACAGAAACCAATGTTTCCATCACCAATTAACAAGTTTCTTTAAAATATAGTTTGAAAATATTCAACAGCATACTTGGTCATGCATATAGATTGGCCAAACTAAATACGACTCACTTTTTTTTTGGATAGACTCCCAGTCACGGTCCATGACCCTGGAGTATCACGGAAACATGATTAGATAAACCATGACAGTTTACAAAGTATCGAGTTAATTTTGATATGACTCAAGCATTGATAGAGACTAATGTCGAGTATCAAGGAAAGCATATGGCAATGCTAAAGTGCTCACTAGAACACTAGCAAGAATGCATGGACAATATCCTGCCATACTAGACTCAACAAGCCTGCATTTATGAATGGTATCTAGCATATATACTGGAAATACATTTCAGCAGATGGCCAGAACACACTCATGAAGAGTATTGTATACATGGAATAATGCAGAAACCTCAATGCATTGGTTCAAGAATTAGCGGCGTCCATTAGTAAACTTGCAGGCTCAAGGGTCGAATCCATCATTGCGCTTCAAGCCTCAGCCAAATGCAGTTATAGCCAAGCAACAGCTACTTCCAAAACAGACAACACCTACCTAGCAGTATCCTTGACCATCTCTGCAGATGCCTTGGAGTATGCACTAGATGGAGAAGTGGACATGATTACAGATGCTAACGAGTTTGATGTTTTTTGAGGAAAGAAATGCGCGTCGAGATGCGACTCAAACTGAAGTGATTCAATCATGATTTATTTATAACAGTGTTGATGCTTTATCAAATCTTTATTTTATAGCTTTTGCTTCCTGCTTATCATGAGACTATATGCATTGGAATAAGTTAGTAGCTGGAGATTACAGGTCAAATCGTACTAGTCTTACCTTGTTCTGAAACACATATGTAAGCACGCCAGTAGAAAGTCCTTGCTCACGTAGCAAGTGATCATAGACTTTGTTCAGTTCAAGACCACTGTAATGATTCCATGTGCTCGTGTCGGCTGCCGTTGCTCCTGTATTAATGACACCCTCTGGAGGTTTGATCATCTGCTTTCCTCCGCGACATCGCTTGCATTTAAACGCATCATGCGTATCACTCATTGTTTGATCATTGTACTGGAACAGCTGTCTTAGTGCTTCTAAAGAAAAGTGTCGTTCCACATCTTGCTCTTCGTCCACTACACACGATGACAGTGACTGTTTGTGTGCTTGTCCTAGATTATAAATTGAAAATGAGTTTTGAAATAAATGCCAAAATGTAGTCATCTTAACTCTTGGTACATGGTCACTTACTTTGAAAAATCTTCTCTTCAATGGTGCCAGTGGCAATAAACCGATAAATAAAGCATACTTTGGTCTGGCCATCACGCCAAACACGAGCAAGAGCTTGGGCGTCATTGGCTGGGTTCCAGTCTGGATCTGTAAGAATAAGACGATTGGCACCAATCTAGATCATGCAAGCATGTTATTTAACTCGTATTTGAATCACACATGTAAGCCAGTTTATATCTTGACCTACCAAATTGATCCCACAACCACCAGCTTTACTCGAAAGCAAAAAGATGAATTCAGGTTGAGTAGGGTCATTGAATCGATCTACAAGCTTTTGTCGTTTTTGAATGGTCATGGTACCATCCAATCGACAAAGCTGCCATTTCCTAACCCTGCACATTTTCTCGATCGCATCCAACGTTTGAGTGTAGTTGGAAATCAGCACAATTTTATCCGAGGATTGGGCACTAGATATTCAAAATATTAGTCTACGCTTTCAAAACTACAGTTGAATGGCATGAGTATCAATAAGGACAAATCAAGCCTGTCACATACTGCATCTGGCAAAGCATCCGTTCTAGCAAATACATTTTTCCAGAGTATTCTGGTTGGCATTCTTTGAAACTAAATTCTTTTGGAATCCAGCTGTCTTCCATGTCATCTCTATTAAGAAGAATAGGATGATTTACAAGCTTCTTGAGAGTTGTAATGGCTTGCAGCGAACTAGATCCTCCACCCTTTTTTCCACCTTTTTCTGGTTTCTCGCCTCGTTCTTTGGCAGCAAGCTTGTTCATTTCTTGCTTGGAAAAATGACGATATATAGTGGCTTGCATCTCTGATAATTTGCAAAACACAACATACTCATACTTGACTGGCACTAAAAATTTGGTTTTGGGCGTGTTGTCAAATGATGCAAGGTAAGAATTCGAGCTTAGGCAATACAATGCGATTATTGAGATGACTCCAAAACATCAAGATACATACAATACTTGGTAAGCAACTCAGCCGTACGACGAATAATGAATTTGTTTGCAGTAGTGAGCAGCTCGCCTAGTCTCTCCTCACTGGTTTTTCGATCCTTGTCAGATGCATCAGCATCACGACCTCTCAAAATAGGCAGCTCAAATTTTTTTCGAAAATCAGCTTCAGAGCCAAGCACATCAGGAATAGCAAAACTGAGCAAACTAAAGTATTCGGTCAAATCATTCTAATTTGGAAATATTGAATATAAATGAGAATTACTTGGTAGAAATATATTTACTCGACATGGTGACAAAACAATACATACTTGAATGGGAGTTCCTGAAAGAATAACACGACGTTTGGCTTTAAGCTGGTTAAGTGAAGTATAAGTAAGAGAGTCGCCATTTTTGAGCCGATGTCCTAGATGTGCCATTAAATAAGTCACAAATGAGAATAGTGTTGGACCGTCAATGAAAAGCAATTTAAAGTCTCATGGGAATACGGTACCTTCGTCACACAAAAGTAAACCAATTTCTGTCTTGACCAAAATTGGAGTGTAAATACGCAATGTTTCATAAGAAACAATCAATACTAATTAAAGCATGTGTCAATATGAGATTAGCGATTTGAACACAAAGCCACATCACTACAAGGTATTCAAGCGTAACAACGTACCTGGATTGACTACTCCACGACCCTTTGCAGCTACAAACTGCTCAATGTCCTTGGTAGTTTGCTCCTTTGTTCCTTTGTTGTCACACGAGTATGGACGAACTCTGTTTTCTCCAAGCCATTTTTTTAATTCGTTGGCCCAATTCTTGACAAGACTAGACGGACATGCAATGATTGCCTATGTATTCATTTTGTTGGCACAATCGTAAATTTCAAGCTTGAGCCAGGTTACAAAATAAAGTATACCTTTTCAATCCACGGCTTTCCTGGTATAGGTGATTGTCTTAAAAGAGTCCAAAGTAGAGCAATGCCTAATTGTAGATGTTTAGTACAACAAATACAACCATTGATTTAAAGTCGTATTATACACTTACATTGAAGCGTTTTTCCAAGACCCTGTGCAAGCAAACCGAGAGAATTTTAAACCACTGTCAATACAAATAAATCACTTTAAAGACTTTAACAAACTCACCATTTCATCTGCCATGATACAACCAAAAGCGCCAGCGACTTGCTCTCCGGTGGTGCAATTGTAAAGAAACTGAACACCTTCAATCTGATGAGGTCGTAAAACACGACCCAAAAGTGGATCGACAACAACGTGCACCTCACCGACAGGACCTTTTCCTCCAATAGCAGTAGATTTGAGTGCTTCCAATTTGGCGGCTTCGGATAAAATAACTTTTGGTTCGTACAGTATAACTGCATCTGGCTCTGTAGGATCATGCAATGGTCCAGATAGTATATTTGTCTTGCGTCGAACACCCAAAGTAGTGCCAGAACGCACACCACTTCCAAAATTCTTGGTAGATTTAGCTAGAGTTGGAACCTGATATAGCAGCAATTTAAAGCCCGTAAAGCATAAAACAAGGATTAATGAAATGCATGAAAATTTTCATAATGACAGTATTCAAGCTCTTGCCTTGAATGGTTTGACAATCATGGCTTGAATGGCATCCTGGTCAATGGTTCGCAATGGAAGTGGGGCTTGAGGGAACACACACATGGTTGATACATATCCCAGATTGCAACTGTTATCTGACCTGGACAACAACCCCAACTTTCTACCAGTAGTCAAACGACCCAATTCCTTGGTTCCTTTGTACAGCTTCTTTCTTCTAGCAAGACCAAATGTGACTGTGGATGCACCAGTGCCTTTGATCCCAAAACTGACGACAGATATCCTCTGTGATGCACCATCAACGTCATATTGGCCACTTCTAGTTGTGAGTTTGTTCCCGGATGGAAGTTGCCGTAGTCGTTTTGAAGCCAGTGTCGCTTTACTATAGTTTTCATCACTGTAGTCACCATCGTCACAGTCTTCATGGTTGTCCATGTAAACATCACCTTCGTCTACTTCCATTGTGTTTCAGTACAATACAAACCCTTGAATTCAAATCAACACTGTAATCAACTCAATCAGATCCCAAGAAACTGCTGTTTATGCAATATCAAGTTGATGGCAATTGAAATTTAAGTTTCGGACAATTTGTATTGCAATTGTCCGAACAGATGATCACGTGAATATAAATATTTCTGACTTGAAAAATATTGACTTGACAAGTCATTGAAATGTCGGATTCGTCTGCTACCACGCACATTCCAAACGTATCTACTCATAGAATATCTCAATACAAATTCCAACCATCGCTCAGTCAAGATGTACGACGCCAAAGAGCACTCGAATTCCAAAAGAAGCGACGGTTGCAACAAGTCGATGCTGCTAGAAAACTAACCGAAAAGCTTTTGAAGATTGATGCTGAGGTTGATTCTGTGGAATTTGATGTATCAGCAAACTATCAAGCATTGGTGCAACCACAATCGCAATATGTGGATGCAATGGAAATTACAGATCCTAATCTGACTATTGGATCGCTTCAATCTGGATCCAATGTTACTGCTCAAACGGTTGAACATCAGTAAGACTTGCTGTCATCATCATGTTGGTCCATACTCAACTATTGTCTGTGGTGTGACTACTGACATGTATAACAATAGACTCATGGTCATGTTACCAGAACCTTTAATGGAGATTCCTTTAGATTTTACTAGTGGGTGGTTGGCCATGGTTTTTCCTCAAGGAGAGCGATGTTTGATCATATCTTCTCGTGGGAAAACAATCAGCAGAAGAGCCCATGGCCAGAAAATTGAGTCTTTTTTATCTTGCTTACCTGGAGGATCGTATGCAACCATGTATGTTACCAGAATTCAATTGGATAGATTGCTGCAGCAAGATGTTGAAAGCTAATTGATATTATCTACTGGAAAATTTATACGGATTGACCAACAGAACACCAAAATACAACAAGCCATGTATCTTGGACTGCATTTATCATCAACCAACTCAAACCTATTATGCACTGGATATTCTGACCTGGAATGGGAATCCTGTGCATGAATGTGATACAGAGTTTAGGTAAATTGACTATTCAATGTGTTATCACCACCAGATCTATGTATTTGATTTCCATCATTTCAGCCTATTCATTAAAATAATCCTTTAGACAATATTGGTTACATTCAAAGATCTCTGAAGTAGATGTAGGTCGTAGAACCAAAGCAAATCAACGATGTATACTGCCTCTCCAGACCAAAGAATGCACGCCCGACAATCTAAAGCTGCTCGTAGCTCAAGCAGAACTTGACTCTATAGCTGCTGGACTATTTTTAATTAATAAGCAATGCATGTATGCACCAGGGGAAAAAACGCCTTTGTTTTGTGCTGTTGCCTTTCCAGGACGGTCTTGTGAAATGGACGAGGAAGCTAAATCATATGCCATATTTCAAGCATGGTTGTCATCTTGACTCGATCTGGCTGAAATCCAATTTTGGTAGTGTTGCTTCATAGCATTAGTAGGCTGTAGTTACTATAATTATATTTTTCTAAACTAGCAACCAAACTTGTCCTAAATCGACGCCAGTTATTTGAATAAGAAACTCGTTTATTTAAGCATCACTATTTCATGAATGTACTGTCTTGTATCTTCAAAACTCTGCATCTGCTACAAAGTAAGTCATGCTCTGTAGCAGAAATTACGCTTATCGCCGACGTGTATGGAATGACAAAGGCAGTACCAAAACAGCGTGTTTCACTGTAAGTCTAACACTGTCAACAGGCCGTATAGCTTTAATTTGGCATCCCATTTCTTTTGCAATCGTTGTAGCCCTAAGTAATCAGCCAACAACATCTGTCATTAGGCAAAACTGTATAAACTGGAAAATAGTTAAAGCGAGACACTTACTTGAGTGGACTAATAAGCAGATCAGACGAAAACTTGTCAATATTGACGGTAAAGTTGTTAATGTGTAGTGTGATTGCCAAGATATATGCAAGCAACTTGTCTTTGAGCATATTCGAAATGCACAATCTAAATTGTAATAGCAATGGTAAAGTTGATGGCGTGAATAAAAGGCAATGTCTTGAATCAAAACCAATGAATGATCTACATGACAGGCAGACTGGTTCAAGGCATGCATCATGATGAATTTACCTTTTATTTCCAGCCTCATCTTCTTGCCATTCAGTAAAGATGGATGTGACATGGTCAGCAACAATTTGATTTCCATTCGTTAATTTCAAAACGCCTTTACTAAGTTCAAAAGGCTTGGCACAGTAGAGCTTCATAAGCATGGACACGAAAACAAGCTAAATTCAAGTGAATTCATTGCCAGATACATTGACAAAAAGATTAAAATCAATGCAAAAATAATTAGAATCAACGCAATAAACCAATTCCATCACCATACCAGCTTAGCATGACTTTTATGTTTTTGCTCCTGTACTGTAGTAATCAAACATTTTAAGATCCAGCTAGTCATTCTAAATACCACGACAAAAGTGACTTTAGATTGCAAGTATTGCATGATAGTCGACAGTCACTGAATGCTTACTTGTAGCCTTGAACCTGTTTGACAATCTCTTCCTCTAAACGAGCCTTCCATACTAGTTTGATGTCTATAGTATTCATGATTTGGGTAGGAGCAAGATCCTCGAGCCTGTAAACCTTGTCAGGCGTTTCAGCGTCCATGTGGCAGGGAGGAATATTTCTATCGGCAAACATAGTGGAAGTGATCATTTCCCGAGATGGAAGAACTTTTGAAGTTTCTTGAATCTTATTTGTAATTGCCGAGGCCACATTTTCAAGTCCAGTGACATCCACCTTGTTTAGCTCAAGGTCTTGAATGTTCTTTTTACGTTTTTTGCTACCAAATGTCTGACCAAGCTTATTCCGTGCAGCAGTATTCTAAAACAACAATATATATGGGATGAGTCAGGACAGTTGAAAGATCAGCAAGTTTAAAAGGTTTGCTGGTGTAGATCATCAAGGATAAATTCATACTTTTTCACCAATTAGTTTTGAAGAAATCTGCTTTTGTGACTTGACGATCGATGTCATGGTCAACGGACTAGCATCATGCAATGACATGACACCCGAAGCCTTGTCCAAAATGCCGACAATGTAGCTACAGGCACCGAAATGATTAAAACATGCACTCTTGAAAACTACTAGTGTATCAGCCGTAATAGTAGACATGATCACTTACTTGCAATTGACTGTAGACGGTTCACCAACGTACTCCATTATTGCGGTTTCAGCAACAGCCAAACGACGTTTTTTTGTGGCAATTCTGTTGATGGTATCATCATTTTCAGAAACTGGTTTGCCATAGATATCAAACTGAAGTGAATCGATGTTGCTTGGAGGAGTGGGAAACGTAGCTAGAGATTACAACAAAAACGAAATATCCAGTATGAACAATGGAACCAATCAACTTGTCAAATACAATTTCTCAACATATATAGAATATACCGAGGTAGACCTGACTAGCAGAGCCTCGCTCTGCCTTGAGTTTGTAACTCTTGTTTTCCATTAATTTTTAATCGACTTTAACGAATTGACGATTAAATTGTAAAAATTTGTTATTTTTTAATCAAGACATCAAGTCACATGTCAGATAAAGTGTTACGATTAGCTCGCAGGTATCCAGTCATGAACAGATGAGACTTGCAAGTACTTGTAATCTGACGATCGTGCTGTTGTCTGTTCATGGCATATTCACGTGACTGTCATTTGGGGACTGGACTGCAAATGAAATCACACCAAAATACCGATTCCAACACTTGAAGTTGGCAGAATATTGAATAATGGTTGTATTTGGTGGAGGTGAGTTTCTACAGCGTGCTATACTACGGGTTATATGTTGAATAGATAAACACTATCTCGGCATGTGTGTATGTGTGCTAAAGCCAATCAAATGTCAACTCCTCTTGCATCGTCACTGGATTTACTTCAACTCAATCCAAGTGGGCATTTACTCGAGCTCATAACATATCCTATTCATTCTATATCTGAAGAGCTAGTGCATCAACATGATACTGTTTAATCTATTTTTCATCAAGATATAATGTGCTGATCATATTGTAAATGTGGTGTGCATTATCTTCACGGCCACTTTTGAATTATATAATCTATCAATAACAGACGAAGTATCTGCGCTCGTATTCGATATTGGATCACGGCTGACAAAGGTTGGCTATGCAGGAGAAGATTCCCCAAAGGGTGTATTCTCGTCATTTGTAGGTCATGTTCACACCGATTCTGGCAACAAAGAAGCATCTCTCACGCCAATGGATGTGGATGTAGACTCGACCTCGGATAAGCAAGCCAGCCAACCGTCTAAATCCCAACCAAAGAAAAAATACTTGGTAGGGGATTCACAGATTTACAAGTGGCGAGAGAACTTTCATGTCAAAACTCCTTTGGAAGACGGTGTTGTAAGCGATTGGGATGCACTCGAGGCTATTTTTGATCATACTTATTCGACTGTGCTATGTGCTGATTCTACTGAGCACCCATTGATGTTTTGCGAGTCATCATGGAATCCTCGCGAAAAACGAGAAAAACTATGCGAGCTAGCTTTTGAAAAGTATAATGTTCCTGGGTTTTATCTTGGGCGAAGCGCTGTTCTTTCAGCGTAAGCGATGATTGTATTGATTTGGTATGACTACCCAGATTTATACAGTGTTCTGTAGTATTGAATCTTGATATATTGTATAGTTTTGCTGCTGGAAAGTCGTCTGCATTGGTGGTGGATTCAGGCTCATCATCGACAAGTGTTGTTCCTGTGCACGATGGCTACGTTTTGAAAAAGGGTAGGCTTGATACTATTGAATATGTCGATTGTGATATAGATATGGTATGCAATCTAATCTGTCTCCAACATTTTGGCGTGCTATCTTGTGCACAAAAACATGGGTATTTACAGGCATTCAAAGAGCTCCATTAGGAGGAGATTTTGTATCTGAGCAAATTAAACTACATCTTGAATCGATTGGTATCAATTTAATTCCCCAATATCTAGTCGAAAGTAAAATGGCAGTGGTTTCCGGTACACCAGCCAACTTTGTTGCTGCCAATCGCCCCAACACCACTCCAAGCTATCATGATTTTGGCATGGAGGTAATTGAATACACATCCATAAACTTGGTTGCATGCTTGAACACCTTTTAAAACCTATATTTATTTACTTAGTGCTTGCTCCAAGAATTTAAAGAAACCATTTTACAAGTTTCCGAAACGCAGTTTGATGAAAAGTAAATGACTACTTATTGGCTTGCTTTATCGTAGATCTCAATTCAACTATTAATCCTCAAACTTTTAAGAGTGCTAAAGAGACGTCCACCAAAGAATTTTGAATTTCCAAACGGTTTCAACCGATCCTTTGGTGTTGATCGCTTCAGGTGCGTTGAAGGTCTTTTTCAGCCCGGATATGTTATCAAGGTAATACCTGTTGCTGACACCATAAAACCGCAACAACATGTCAATTCAATAGCGCATTATTGGATCATTAATGTTTTGCTTAACAACAACTGCCTAGAATCCCAACGCAATGTCTACCGAGACCAATACAGCGACTATTCCCCAGCTGATTCATTCCAGTATAGGCGAGTGCGACAATGATTTACGTAGCAATTTTTACAACAGCGTAGTGCTTACAGGAGCCAACACGTTGTTACCTGGATTTGCTGATCGACTGTATTCAGAATTACATCATGGTGTTCCCGAGGTATGTTATTTAAAGTAGCAGCTTTATTTTACAAGGTTCTAATTAGTATGTTTAGGTTCGTATCAAGGTACATGCTGCAGGCGGATCGACAGAGCGGAAATTTGGTCCTTGGATTGGTGGATCCATCATGGCATCACTAGGCAGCTTTCATCAGCTGTGGATTTCCAAAGAGCAGTACGAAGAAATGGGCAGCTCGGTTGAGAAGCGCATTCATTAAATAAATCCATTCGTTACAAATCTCGACACTCCCCCATTATAATTAATACAACTTTTAACTAAAAATAACACTGTATTGAAAAATTGAAGTTTTAAGACTCCCAAAACTGGACCAAAAAATTATGCATGATGCTTTTTGGAAGACAGTGTGACATCTCTCCAATGACCGACAACACCGGCCATAACGGCAGCGCGACGAAGTTTGGCAATATTAATATGGACACGCTTGTGAAGGATAGCATCCTGTTGACGCTTGAGCAGCTTTGCGCGGCGAGAAGGAACGGGCCATAGCACGGCAGTAAGCTCAAATGACCACGAGCGAATAATAACAACCTTGAAGACGTCAAGTACAGTGAAGAAAACAAACGACATGAAAAGTACACCAACACCCCAGCCCCAGCCAATAGCAGTGGCATAAAGGAAAGAAGCACCAAAGATGGACATGAACATGGCAATGATTTGGGTACCAATAATAGCAAGGAAGAATTTCCATGAAGGAATAGAAGTCCAAAACCAAGTTTCAACACGAGTAGAGAAAATGACGAAATGGGGGCATGAAGAAATTTGCAGATACATGATGGTTTGAATAATGCCTGCTCGAATATGAGGATCAGGCTCGGTAACAAGAGCACGAGCAACGAAGAAGTGGCAGAACGAAATAATCATGAGCAAAAATCCAAGAACGAACGACAAAGAAATAAGCTGGCCAAGACGCCACTTGTCGGGACGCTTGGAGATCTTGGCGTTATCAAAGGCAATCACAAGGGTAGCAGCATCGTTGAGCACAGCGATAATAATAATCAAACGATCGGGCAGGTAAAAATCGAAAGCAAGCATGGATATGAAAAAGAAGATCAAGAAATGAATTGTCGAGGCAATACGATACAGAGCATAAGAACGCATGCGCTGGAAAATGGAACGCGATGTCTTGATACCATCAACGATGGCAGAAAGACCGGGAGCAAGCAAAACGATATCGGCAGCAGAACGAGCAGCATCAGTGCAGCCTTCAACAGCAATACCGACGTTGGCCTTTTTGAGTGCAGGAGCATCATTAACACCATCGCCTGTCATGCCAACAAGCAAGCCACGCTTCTGCATAAGTTCAACAACACGGTACTTGTGTTCAGGAATAACCTGAGCAAATCCATCAGCCTTGATGCAACGGTCAGTAAGAGCCTCCTCGGTAATGTTAGGATCAACGAGTCTTGAAGCATCAAGAATGGCACGTTGCATGCCAAGTCGATGAGCTACTTCCTTGGCAATAATAAGCTGATCACCAGTAATCATACGAACTCCAATACCATATTCGTTGCACTCTTTGATGGTCTGAGCAGAATCGGGACGAGGAGGATCAAGCAGCGAAATCATGCCAACAAGCTCAAAGACCTTGCATTCAGCGTCAATGGTACGAGCAACACCAAGGGCACGGAGACCGCGACGGGCCAAATCAATAACAGCGGTATTTCCTTCATCGTGGCCGCCGCACATACGAGCAATGACCTGGGGAGCACCCTTAATGCAACGGAATTTCTTTCCGGTAGAGTTATCGGTAACAGTGGCTTCAGTATACTTGGAAGTAGGATTAAAGGGTAAGAATTCGTTGACAAGGTATCCAGGAATGTTATGGTCCTGAACATCACGCTCGCGCAGAAGAGTAACACGTTCTTGGGCAGCATCACGAGTAGCCTTTTCAATAGGATCGGGTGCACCTGGTTCGGAAGCAAAGTAGGCGGAAAGCAAAAGATCATCCTCGGTATAGCGACCAGTACCATCTCCAGCGAGATTGGAATTAGTGCTTCCGCGATTGGCAAGATAAGGCTTATCAAATGAAAGCTGGTTAAGAGTCAGAGTACCGGTTTTGTCAGAGCATAGAATGGAAACGGAAGCAAGTTCTTCAATGGCAGTAAGACGCTTGACGATAACCTGTTTTTTGGCAAGCTGGGAAGCACCAACAGCCATAGTGGCAGACATGACAGTGGGAAGACCGACGGGAATTGCAGCAATAGTAAGAACAAGCACCTGCTTGAGAGCAAGCTTGAAACGCTCACCAAACTCGGTGACAACATGGCCAGCCTCGTTTATAACAGGCTTGACGGTAAGGTAGACAATCATGATAATAACAACCATAACAACGGTAATAATGATGAGGAAGTTTCCAATCTGATTGATAATCTTTTGGAAATGACCCTCCTCAGTGGTGATGGAAATCAGATTGGCAGCACGACCAATAAATGTGTGAAGACCGGTTTTTGTAACAACAGCCAGCTGTTGGCCTTGCTTGACAATGGAAGAAGAGTAAACGATAGCTCCTTTTCCTTTTGAAACAGGGAGAGATTCACCGGTAAGAGCAGCCTGATCAATTTGGAGAGTACCTTCAGTTGCAGCTCCAGTGACACCAATTCCAAGAAGACGGGCATCAGCGGGAACAATATCACCAAGACGGAGAGCAATCACATCGCCCGGAACCAAGTGTACAGATTCAACCTCGACCAGTGCGCCGTTACGCCATGCACGACATCTAAGAGCCAGGGTATTTTTAAGAGCATCCAGAGCAGATTCAGCCTTGGCCTCCTCGTGGAACCCAATAACGGCATTAACAATCAAAACGATAATCAAAATAGTAAAATCGACCCAATCTCCAAGAATGGCAGAGACCAGAGCAGCGATTTCAAGCAAAAACGAAATGGCACCACCAAAGTAACCAAGGAACTTGAGGAACGGATTCGATTTAGATTCGGGAATTTCTAATTACATCCAAGGCATAAAATGATTAGTCGTCACATTCAAATTAAACCCGGCCAAGCAAGTGCTCGGTACAATAGAATGGCTTGTCTAATCAGACAGAACGTGTAGCACATTCAATTTAATTTTGTCGCTGAGACAGTAGCAAAAGGAAATATATGAAAGCACGGGTCTAGTCGATGGCACGTGGTGGGATAATTGTACTCGTTAAAGTGCATTACACCACGAATACGGCTGCAACCAATTTGAAACGCAAGCTATATTTGAAAGCACCAATCCCACAGGGTAGTGAAATATAGAAAGCATATCAAATATCCAAGCAAACCTCCCAGACAATGCAACATCACAAGATGTCAATCTTGAAACTCATCAATACGGAAATAGTAAGACAGGGTAGGATAGATGCTTGACTTTAAAGCCAAGAGTGCTTGGGCTTGATTTGTAATTAACCCAATCTAAAATAGACAATTGGGGTACTTTACAATACGGGATACATGCATGTTTAAACTAAAAAATATAGCTCACCATTAGGTCCAAACTTTGCAAGACGTTCCTCGACCTCAGCATCTGTAAGACCTTTAGAGGGGTTGGTCTGAATCAATTGTTCTAGTTCAGCGTCAATAGCATCAGCTACTTCAACATGAACATGGACATCATCCTTTTCATCCTTTTCAAGATGGGGATCTGTCTTTACTTCTATTGAATTGAATAGAGCCAGTTTGAAAAAAATAAAAGCAGTTAGCAAATACTCGATTTTGACAAATTACAATTGGTTTCCAATGGAATATCGATAGGGAATGATGAGAAAGGCCAGTAAACATGTGTACAGTTTGATAGAAAGTAGATGAAGCAGTAGGCAAGGACTACCAGCGGGAGACGGTAAATTGCACCATAATTAGTCCACTACCGTCAGCCACCAAGCGATAAAATTTCGCCATCTTTCAAGAATTAGACCAACAGGGCTACAGCAAAGCAAGGCTACACCAGTCATAATGGTGGACTAGAAACAAGACTGTAGCACGTCTCTAAACACATCCATCCAAGACAGAAAGACATGATGGAAGACAAACGTCGACGATTGAAGAAGCAATCTGACAAAATAACATACCGTGAGACATGGTAGGCAAAAATAGAGAGACTGGTTAACTCGCTATACTCGGCTAGCAAATGATGTAATAACAATCAGCAGTGATGGCCTGTGCAATAACTAACAATTGCAACTGAACAAATTGTCTACAGAGCAAAAAAGGACTGTGAAAGAGAATTCGAGGGGAGACAATCTACATTTAAATAGTTTTTTGGGTGGACCTGCAAAAGCCGTTGATAGCCGTGTCAATAAATGTGAGACAGCGCATTTCATAACCGTATTCACGTAAAATGGAACACTAAATAAGGGTGCCAAAGTGCATAATAGACTGTTTTATCAAATGATTGGTGACAGTTCCCACTAAATTTACTGGGTAGCATTGTGCCCTCTAAACTCCTTGATAAGGTTTACTGGTCTCTCTCCATTGTGCTCATTTCTGTATAACTGACCGAATGTTTACATTACAGTAAATCTTACACCTGCTCACACACAACTTCCTAAACATTACAAGTAAACATTACGTGACCAACATGAAAGCAATAGCTGTATTTCTGATACGTGCGATTCATGTTCTCTTGAATTAGAGAGCGCAAGCGCATTTGTGAGTTTGGGATACAGCACGTCTGTAGAGAACTCAATATCTGGGTTGCAATGTATGAATCAAGTTTCAAACTTGTGATCGTACAATGTATGGCTATGCCAAAAAGGAGATAATCTTGGCTGAGCTAGCTTAATTGCGTGCATCATATGATAGATGTTGTTTATTGACGAATTGGAAATATCTATTGAAGCAATACAGCCAACCTATAATATGAAAGCGCAATGTTTAACCATTGTTATTCCGAAGCAAAAGTGGCAGTGATTGAAAAGTAGATACAAAAGTGTTCCATCTTACATGAATACGGCTGTGGACTATGTGAAATCGTATTTGCTTTGACGCGCAATTCAGACCCCTATGGGTTTTAACAATCTTTTTTCAGTGCCCAATTATATCCAAAAATGCATTTCACCCTAAAACACATTTTCTTGCATCTGGTTTATCTTATCACAAGTCAAAGAATTGAATGTTTGATTCAGATGTAACTTTGTTGCAACCAGAACTTATAGCTGCACACTCATGTAAAATGGAACACCTCTGCATTCATCTTACAGTCACTGCCACTTTTGCTTCGGAATAAACAACGGTTAAATGCTCGGTGCGCTTTAATATTCAAATTAACTGCCTCTTCAATAAACTTTCTTAATTTTCCCTGTCTGGAATTGCTCGGCAAAAAAAACTATTTTATACCAAAGCAACTGTCAGCTGGGTTGAGCTGACACTATATAGTTTTACCTCGCGACGTTGTCGTTGAGACGTTTTTGGAATATCAAGCACTAACAGCTCCATTAATCAATATTCAGACAACTATTATGATACGCACAAATCAAACTGACTTTAAACTAAAGTTGTGGTTATTTGGTAGTCAATATTGTATGATTGACAGATTCATGCATTATAATCTAGATATTGAATTCAACTCCCAACACTGTCAAGAAACCTGTCGACTCTTGTATTGTAAAAGCTCAGATAAACTTGGATTCTACTGCAAGAAACCAACGACAGCACAAGAGATCTGTAGACTTTGATGAGCTCATATAGCATTGTCCAGCAATCGACAATCATTTCATGGGACTGACTGTTTATTATTTTTATTTAATGCTTCATTACGTGAATACGACGGTAATTTACTCAAAATACACGGGTACTTCACCCGTTTCATAATAGAAACTTTTTCGCACAAACGCTATCATATTTATTTGCGCAGGGTTTAGTTGCACACATGTTAGACTGAATTTAATTTATAGCAATTATCTGCATTGGCAGACTCTGGTTATTCAAAAACATAGATATTCGCAACAGTAAGAATGAGCTCTTACTAATTTGCATTAAAAAAATGTTTATCCTTGCTTGAAACCATCATCAGAATGCGAATGCCAGGGGCTTGAACAATTACATCATGTTGAACTTTGCTTTGAATAAATGCCGACTTGGCAAATGGGTATGGCTTTAAATTGCATGTCATTTTTATTTCATTGGCTTCATAGTGAATATTTGGATTAAAAATCATCATAACCAAATAGCTTCTGATATCAACAAACTGTATGGCTGTGCGGGTAAACTCTAGCCCAGATTTTAGCTTGGAGCATTCATCATAGCCCACTGGAAATGCCAACTTTACTTTTGCGCGAATAAACCAGACCTTTTTTGTATCAATGTGTCTGTCATCCCTTCGAAGCAACAAATGGGTATGCCTTTTGGTACTTTTGAAATATAAAGCAGTTGATCATAGTGATTGGTTATAGACAGGCTAGACTAAATCATGAGTGGCTATAGTGCTTCTATCACCGCCGTATTCACGTAAAATAAAATACCTGTATTCATGCAATGACTGCTTCTATTTTGCTTTGGAATAAACAACGGTTAAATGCTCGGTGCGCTTTAATATTACAAATTAACTGCCTCTTCAATAAACTTTCTTAATTTTCCCTGTGTGGAAGTGCTCGGCAAAAAAAACTATTTTATACCAAAGCAACTGTCAGCTGGGTTGAGCTGACACTATATAGTTTTACCTCGCGACGTTGTCGTTGAGACGTTTTGGAATATCAAGCACTAACAGCTCCATTAATCAATATCCAGACAATTATTATGATACGCACAAATCAAACTGACTTTAAACTAAAGTTGTGGTTATTTGGTAGTCAATATTGTATGATTGACAGATTCATGCATTATAATCTAGATATTGAATTCAACTCCCAACATTGTCAAGAAACCTGTCGACTCTTGTATTGTAAAAGCTCAGATAAACTTGGATTCTACTGCAAGAAACCAACGACAGCACAAGAGATCTGTAGACTTTGATGAGCTCATATAGCATTGTCCAGCAATCGACAACCATTTCATGGGACTGACTGTTTATTACTTATTTAATGTTTCATTACGTGAATACAGCAGTGACAATACTGCTTGGTCATTTCATAGATATTCAACTTGCAAAGCATGATTTTCTTTTGAAAAATCAACATTGTGCATCAACAAACGACATATTGCACAAACCTACTTTTATATAGCAAACTCTAAAATTCCCTCATACAAATATTATTGATCGGCATGTCAATAGATCTACCAGTCATTAGATATAACATTCAAAAGTATAATAATTGAAGATCCTAAAGTTTATTGACAGTTTTTGTTGTGAAGAAAATCAAAATGGATGGATGAAAGCATTGACAAATGCTTTAATGGGCGGATTCAAAAGAGCAATAGTTTACGAGCGTTCACCACGGAGTCTGCGAGCAAGCTGGATGTCCTTGGGCTGGATAGTCACACGCTTGGCATGGATGGCAGCCAAGTTAGTGTCTTCAAACAGACCAACTAGGTAGGCTTCAGAAGCTTCTTGAAGAGCACCAATGGCAGAAGACTGGAAACGAAGGTCGGTTTTGAAGTCTTGAGCAATCTCACGAACTAGACGCTGGAAAGGAAGCTTACGGATAAGAAGTTCAGTCGACTTTTGGTAGCGACGAATCTCACGAAGAGCGACGGTACCTGGACGGTAACGATGGGGTTTCTACAAGACATTCTAGTAAGTCAAACTGTCTCAAGTATAACAAGTCAATGGGAACACACCTTGACACCACCAGTAGCGGGTGCAGATTTACGGGCAGCCTTGGTAGCAAGTTGCTTACGGGGGGCTTTTCCACCAGTGGACTTACGGGCAGTTTGCTTGGTACGAGCCATTTGAGATGATAGAGTAAGAGTAGGTAAACTGTGGTAGTTAAAGTAGCAGTTGGTACTGGATGGTCGAGTTATAGAATGGTGGGAAGCACCTATTCATTTATAGGCAAAACAAGGGCGGATTATGATGGGGGTGAGGCGCAGCAGGGTGGGGCACAACCACGAGCTCTATTGAATCGAACATGGTTTTGGGGCAGGCTACTGCGCCGCATCTTTAAACTCTGTACGATATATAAACCACAGTTTCTTGCACAACAAATCCTCATCAACAGTTCTCTATTATCTACTATCTACTATCACAATGTCTGGTCTCGGAAAAGGTGGAAAGGGCGGAAAAGGTCTTGGAAAAGGTGGTGCCAAGCGTCATCGTAAGATTCTTCGTGACAACATTCAAGGTATCACTAAGCCTGCCATTCGTCGTCTTGCTCGTCGTGGTGGTGTCAAGCGTATCTCTGGTTTGATTTACGAAGAAACCCGTGGTGTCCTCAAGGTCTTCCTTGAAAATGTCATTCGTGATGCTGTCACCTACACTGAGCATGCCAAGCGCAAGACTGTCACTTCTCTTGATGTTGTCTATGCTCTCAAGCGTCAAGGACGTACTCTCTACGGTTTCGGTGGTTAAACATCTTTAGCTTTGCCTGTCTGCTACTGTCTCAGGTCTCACTACACACCAATCTCTGGTCTTGTGCATATAGCCATATCTCCACATCCATCTCTGCGTTTTTACTACTCAAAGCGCCTTTTTCCCACAACTCTTAAATAAAATCTCGTCTTTGGATATTTAAATCGTTCTTGTTGAAAATGGTTGGTTAGAGATCAGTTTTTAAAAACCAGGGCATGCTATTCTATACACTTTCTAATTGTCTGAGACTGTTACTGGAATTAGATCGTATGACAAAAGTTTATGTTGAATGTATCTGAAGATTGTGCACCGACTGTTTAAGCGAATTCAGGTATGCTTGAATAGAGGAAACCAGCTAAAATTCGAATGAACAGGGCTCTCATACCAATAAGAGAAAGCCGCCCATCATGGCTGATTGAAACAATACCGACTCCATTGGCCAACGCAATAGACGATATTCACTGGGCAGAAATGTCAGTTGTAGTAAAGCCAATTGACATAAGGAATCTCCAATTAAGACCAACAGATAAAAGCCTGGTGCCAAATGTCTTTGAAACTACAGTATTGTTGAACGAAAACTAAACAATAGTTTGATAAAAGCAGCAAAGCATTATTTAGAAAATGACATTAAACTCGTAGATCTGTTCTAGTTCAAAAAAACAAAGATTGCAGGAATGCATGTCGAACATTCAATGTTTGGTTTGGAGATTGAACAAGTGTGATTGACTGCAATTGTAATATGAATCTTTATTCAGCAAGTCAAAACCAATCCAACCAAGACTGACCGTTTATCATGAATTTTGACTCGAATATTTTATTTGACGTGAATACAGCCGTAATTGCCATTTTGCGTGAATACAAACTTATACTCGATAATTGCTCTCCTACATTAAACAAACCTACAAAAGCAATAAGCTTTTGTAATGATGGTCAATGGCTTACCGTCCAGGAATCGACTCGACTCCACTTCAGCTAATTCTTGCTCGGATAGACCGAAACCTCAACCTAGCGCCCATATGAATTCAGCATCACCGCAGTTATCGAGAGGAACTGCATCTCCTATGGACTTTGCCATGGACTTAGAACTGACTCCTGGTGAGAGCAGTCCTTGGTTGTTGGCAGTATCCAAACTATCGACTCCTTCAAAACAAAAACCTTTCAACTCATCACCTTTTTACTCCACTCCCAATCTGCCATCATTCATATCAAATTCAGCAATTCATCCAAATCCAAATTCAAGTATTCCATCCTATTCTAGACCAGCCATTCCTTCATCCCATCAGTCTTGCTTTAGTCCAAACTCATTTGGTCAGACCCGAGCAGGCGATCTTTTTTCTTCAACTGGGATTGCTGCCAAGAATGTATTCCAGTTTGGTGTATCACATCAAACTCATCCAATATCTGCTCAAATAAAGCCGAGTCCAATCAAAGCACAGCCAGTGTTTTCATCTGGTCATCGACCGTTGGCTGTTGCACACCAACGATCCAGTATAAACTCGCCATCCAGCATCGATACTGGCCGCACACAATCCACTTCACCTGATAAAATATTACAAAGCAAGTCTAGTATGAAACCACAAGGACGGAAACGTAAAAAGACTGGAGAGCTATCTCCTCAAGACCAACACGATGCATCCAATTATCATCAACACGCTCGCTCTAACTCTATTCAGCAGCCTTTGCTTCAACATATGCATCTTCCATATTTGATTACTGGATACATTCAAGCACTATTCACGCTATTCATTGTGTGTGTTGTGGCATATATTCTTGTGCAGTTCATTTGGTCTGTACGGCATGATTTACAGTTGAAGACTGACGAGTTTTCTCAAGGTATATTCATCCTGATTGCATATTGAAAAGTAGTTGATCATTCTATACACTCTAGTCATATAGATGCTGTTTTTAACAACCTGTATCTTTTAGAAATGACCCAGCAGATTGCTCTGTGCAGCAAATCATATTATGAAAATAAATGTATGCCTGGACAGCGGGTTCCTGCAATGTATCAGGCCTGCACTGAATGGGAGATTTGTATGTCTCGAGATCCCAAAGATATTGCAAGGCAAGTAAATGCGTGCTACAATAAGACTTTGTCGACACCTGTACTTTAAATCAACACTGATTACTCTTGGTATTTCCATTTTCTAGATTAAAAGTAGGTGCAGAGACGTTGGCTGAAATTCTCAACAAATTAATCAACCCACTTTCATACAAAACAATGGTACGTGATATTTTAAAAACTATGAATTAACAAGAGTGCACTAATTCTCATGTATCGTGTGGATGTAGATTTTTGGCGCATTAGCTCTTTTTGGAACCTTGTTGTTTACCAGCTCTGCCTTTAGCTTTTTCAAGCGAACCTCTTCTGAATCATTGGCAAAAGAAATTCATCATCACCACCATTCTTTGCAGTCTCAGTATCCCTTGTCAAAAGAATCTAGACAAGGATACTTTTTACCAGCATCTTCTACAACTCAAATGGATTATAATGACATGAATACGTTGCGATTTCGCAATACTTTTACCAATGATGACAGTGGTAAACACTGAGTCTATTTTTATACAGCAGATCATGATACGCTTTTAAATCACTGGACTGCATTGAACATCATTTTTTATTTTTTATATCCGCCCCTTTATTTTGAATATGGTCCAATAAAACAGTTATGTAATCATCAATATGCATGGTGTACGTAAGCTCATTTCAATTATGACAAATCGGACTACTGAAAAGCTTATTACAATATGACAATTAAAGCTTGGTTTATTTGGCTATTATGTTTCTAAATTTCTTTATATCAATCCCTTTCTAAAACCTTTTATGCACTGGCACTCGCATTGCACAATTCACTAGCAATACGTATTGTAATAAACTAAACAGTACTCATCTGACCGAGTAGTATGCGCTATTTAGGCAAGTAACTCGATAGTTTTCGTGCATTCCGTGTCTATATTGTATCAACAAGATCTAATTATTTAATGAACATTGCATCTAAACTACAGCAATGAAACCCACGTTTGTGTATGCTTGGTGTACTCTGTGTACTATACTAGCCACTATAGAAGCACGACCAGTCCAGCAAGAACGATGTGGACCGCTGCCCGATCTCAGATGGAATTCCCCTCTACTTCATCTACAAAATTCAAAAACGTTTTCATTCGAGTATGGTCAAAAACAATCGAGATTGCAAGATACATCAGTCCCATCACACGCTTCAAGAAACTGTGGCATACTGCACCATGAAATATGTTCTTTGGGTATGGAGTGTGATGTGGATGCAGATTGTCAGTCGTTTAAATGCCAACACGGCACATGCTCCGATGATGCCCTGTCCAATTCTCATACCTACTCGTCGTTGTATGGGATGCAATCACTGGACTATCAAGATTAGCATTTCTTTGAGTGTGCAGCGTATGAACAACCAAATAAACCAACCTAAACACGCTTATGTGCATTGCTTTGTTCAGCAAATCCATAATAGAACCCTTGATATTTAGTCTACTTGCAAGATTCAGTCACAACAAAACTTGTTACAACTGTTGAAGTTGAAAGCGCGATATCGGGTATAGGGATCTTATCCAGAATAGGCTGTATTGCGGGATGTATACTGTTGCCCCTACATAATGGCTTGTATTATTTTTCCACCCTTCATCTATTTCGACACTCGGGTCCCGTCTATTCAATGAGCGCCTTTTATTACCATCAAGGTCTATCTCCAAAAAAGGCAGGACATTGGGCTTCTTTTATACTACTAACCCTAGCTCGACTCTATCAGCCATATCGCATGATACGGATACGGCAAGCATATCAAATCACAACAGTATACGAAAAAGAGTATTTTTAAAAGTATTTTTTGTAAAGTATATAAAGAAGGAGAAAAGCAAATGGCACGGCGACAAAAAACAAAGATGTAGTATTAAAGGTGATGTCTCACGCCAAGATCAAAGCCTGGTGAAATACTCAATTCCATCTGTGTCTAAGCGGTTTAAAGCTAGACTTTCCAGTAGATTTTGACAAAAATTGGCTGGAGCTTGATTGTGACTGTATTATTGAAAAAATAAAACACAAGAGCAGACAGCTATAGATGTGCCACAAATCTAGAACAAGACAAACGCATAAAAAAGTATTATACCAAGAAATCCAGAATGATCCATATTTCACAAAGTGCAATTCATCTTTTCATCCTGCTCAATGTAGCTAATAAGGCAAACAATAAGACCCAGCAGCTGTTTGCACAAGGCTAGTTTTACACGATGAACTAAGCTCGCAAGCAGACAGCGTCATGCCATTGCAAGTTGAGGCAGCGGAAAGCTGTTGGTAACGATAATGTTGCTGTTCTAGCAATTGCTCCTCGTTTTTACGTGCAATTGCCAAAAAGCATTCCAATTGGGAACACCATGTTTGATAGCCAGCTGCAGATACGTGCAGGTCAAAATTCAATGCCGATATAAATTCAAACTCCATTTGCTGACAGGCCAAAGTGATTCCAACAGGTTAGTACTGCCCAAGTTAAGATTGACCATTTGAAAAGGCAGAGTAAAGCTTACCGAAAGTTCAGCAACAGATATGCTAGTGATTTTGGACCAAGCCTTCAATGAGCATACCGTATCATCCATCATCTAACGGGTAAGAAGTGTTAGTCATAAATGATTGGATCGAGTCACACGTTTTGCAAAAATGATGTGACCAGAACAAGCAGGAAAATTTAAGCTCGAAGCCAAAGGTGCAAGTGAATGACATCATTTTACATGGACAAATCTGGTCAGGGTTAAATGAAAAGCGATTACCTTGTGAGCAAGAATCAGTGCCGTCACAAACAAGCGATACTCTGAGCCTCCAGCATTTTCCACATTGCCAGGGTAGCGTTGGCGTAGCATGAACAGATATTTTAGACTGACAATAATGGTTTCGGCTGGAGCGCGGGTAATTGCAACCAGCTGATGAACAAACGTGGTGAATGAAGTGGATGATAGAGAAATCGATTGTAAAGGTTGATCCAATTGAGAAGTTGGTAAATGCATGTGCATTGGAGATGATTTAACCGGTGACAGTTGCTCTGCTGGAGGCGACATGGGAGCTTGAGGATAGCCAGGGTAATTTGTAATGCCAGTGGATGATTTTACTAAAGATGGAGAAGGCCATACATGACCCATAAAGCATGTACACAGAGAAGCTAGTGCCCGTGAATAGTCTGGTTTTTCAAGCATCACGGGCTGCTTAGCAAGAGATGTGGAGCAACTACGTGATAACAGGCGATTGTCATTGCAGGGCGGAATTGATGTGGCAGTAGTATTTGAAGGATTGGGGTTACAAGTAGTGGCAGTGGCTACCGGAAGAACCAAGTTTGGAGTGGCAGTGGGTTCTTGATGGGCCTTGTTCAAAGAGTAAGCAGGACTGCCAAGATAGACTGCTGTAGCAGACCTTGAAGGTAAAAGCTTCTGTCCATCAGCAGAATATTGGTAATGACATTGAGAAGAGTGCATTATATGCAGACGATTGTGCTATCAAAGTAAAAAGGACACTCGAGAGAAACAAGCCAGATCAAAGTAAACTATGGATTTTCAGATGAATGGAAGCAGTTGAATTCAAATACTCGAACGCAATGGCACGAAAGTACAAGTTGTCACTTGACAAAGTTGTGGAAAAGCAAGCAAAGTCAGCTGTAGTTGTAGAATGGGCCGATTCAGGATCAATGCAGTAAAGTAATAGTCGAGTTAGTCAGATGAGCGAATGCTGAGACTGAAATAAAGCGGCTTCAGCAAAAGTATACCTAGAGTCAAAACAGTTCTTGATGCTGTAAGACGAAATATGGAGCCTAAGAAAATAGTATGTCAAAGTTTGAGGACGGTGTAGAAATAGTAGAATGTAGTAGAGGTAGAGTAGGTCAGGATCTAGACTTCGACTGTTAAGTATCGAAGCGAAATCAGTAGCGGTAGTGGACTTGGCTGCTCAGCAGCGACGAATGGCTTCCATTTGATAATGGCTGGTGGAAAAGAAAGTGCAACCAATCCTGTCTTAAGCTTTGGTTTAGTGACTGGTCGCTTTGTTTTGGTGGCTGTACTGTTAAACTATGCCGTTGCAAAGCTGTCATGCATTGTAAATCTGACTGTGCGTCACGTGAAATGTGCATATGACTTGCTGTGCCTTGCCAAACTAGCCAATCAGCTTTAGACATGTCATCCAGCCTGTAATGCTTCTATTTCACTAATAATTCTGTATTTCATCAATGACTCATTTCAAAATCATGGTCATTGACCATTTAGACTTTCAATGGCTCACAGCCAGCAGCAATGGAAATGAGAAGAGGGAAAATATTCTTTCGGTATAGAAACTTCCACTTTCGCTGTGCTTTGGAACCAAGAGTTTTTGGTTCGTAAAACTGCACAATTGCTTCAGGTTAGCCTAGACTGTATAGATGAAACGCTGACGCTCTCATGTTGGGACAAGACCAAAAGAGCAACAGTGTTCTATATTGAATCGAGAATCGTTCAGCAACTGACCGTATCAACAAATCAAATTGTCACCACAGTACAGTAGACATAATCGATAGATGCTCATGCCACTCAAATCAGTAGACGAGCAATCTACCAATGTCTGCAAAAGAACATTGCCAAGAAAGCACACTTTGAGTAAACTTGATTCCAGCAAGCTGGCAGTATTCAAATTACAGTTTCAGTCAATCCCCCATCATTGACACTTTTCAATCTCAAACTCCAAAATAAATATTGGATGATTGACATGTAGAGTTACATTCCTGAAACAGGACCTTTGCTCTCTTGAACTAGAGCGCAAACGTACGAGTTGAGAATAATAGTCTATTCTGCAGTAAAATAATCACTGCAGAATAAAGTGATTCATCCTAGACGAATATAGCTGTAAAGGAATTCCAATCTTACATTTTAGCACACCATTCATGTATATAGCACTTCAAGACCCATCACTTGGAAAGCAAGCCAGGTTTGATCAACGTACACAGGGTGTTTCCAAAGCCACTACGTTTTGATAAGATGCTCATTAGGCTATTCACTACAAAAGCTAGAGTACTTTTTTGACCAAAAGTCTGCTGTCTAGTGCACTATCAAATAATTGATTCATATCATTGTCAAGCTTGGATGCGGACTGGTTGTATAATTCTAGTTTGACTTTATAGTGACATGGCCGAGTAGGCTAAAGCTCAGCTAGCCTCTCCCTCTTGTTAGATTGTCTATTCTACTGAATAGACTCGAATTTATAAAATTAAGTCAGCCGGCTTTTTCTCAAGATTGAACCCGATATGGAATTATGCAACAATAACTGATTTCCGTAGTCGCTTTGATTGGACGGGAAGCACGCCATTCTGCTGGTTTATTCGACCCTGTCCAATCAGCTGACTATACGCCTTTAAGAGTACCTGTGTGGTGAAGACCTTTGTGGTTATCAGTATTCCCATCTTGTTTCATTGCTCTTGCTTTTCTCAAGCTTGTCGAGTTTCGATTCTACCATCGTTTTTCTGTTTTGATTGCTTTCAAAACACATACATTTACCTACATGTCGTCTAATAATACCCTCCCTACTGTTGCTCAAACCCCAGGTAACCTCATTTTCGTCATTCTGAATTGTGCTTTCTTTGCATCACATTATTTCGTTTACTATCAATATGAGCCGTAGTAACCCTGTTCATGGCTAATCTAACAATGCTTTGCATTCAATTACTAAACAATTGTACCTTGGTCATGTAAACAGAGGTTACTGATCCCTGTGCCGCATTGCTAGAAGGATACTATGACAGCCATTTACACATTGCTGCTATTTTCATTATCATGGCTACTTCATTTATAGGCACTCTGCTGCCAATCCTTGGTAAAAAATTAATTCAGTCCAAGGCAAGTTTCGCTACCTATGTATACTCTGTTCCCATTGTTGACACGTCAATGATCTATTTCCAAATATGGTTTTTCATGAGACTGACCATTTGCATCATCGGTTGGTTTTATCCAGTCGGGAAGAACCTTTATTGTGACATTGAAACTTTTTGGAGCTGGTGTTATTCTAGCTACTGCCCTGGTACACATGTTCATTCCGGCCACTCAGGCACTCACCAATCCGTGTCTTCCTCAAACCTTTACCGGGTACCCTGCATTTTCTGCCGTGTTTGCTATTGGCGGCATCTTTCTTACTCACCTTATCCAAGTCTTTGCCGGGCATGCAATCAAATCTCGTCAAAAAGAGGCATCCATGTCACTGGACAAGACTGCCATCACTGCTGCGGGCCAAGTCACTACTCCCTCCTCGGATCTGACTCATCACGAAGGCCATACTCATGGTGGTGCACTGATGCACGCTCAAGAAATGCAGTTGATGGTGTACTTACTTGAGCTCGGTATTGCATCTCACTCCATTATTATTGGTATCACCCTGGGTATTGTCACTGATGAATTCAAGACACTTTTGATCGCATTGTGCTTTCACCAGTTTTTTGAAGGACTCGCACTTTCTGCCATTGTGATCGAGGCAGATTTCAAGAAAATGACCATGGCGGTATGCATGGTTATTTTTTACACCCTGACCACACCCATTGGAATCGTTATTGGTGTTAGTATTCGCGAATTTTACAATGCCAATGGAACTCAAACTCTTATTTCTACTGGGGCTTTGGATGCTATTAGTTCTGGTATTTTGTTGTACGATGCTCTTGTCAATGTGATTTTCCCACACTTTTCTGCAGAAAGCTTCAATAGCTTGTCGCCTATACGGAAAATACTGCAGCTCGTTACAATGTATCTTGGATGTGCCATTATGAGTTTTATTGGAGTTTGGGCATAAGATTTTATATTTTTGTTTGTATAATCAAGAACATAATAAAAATTCAGACATTGCAGATAAGATGACTACTTTTTAGTTTTATTATCAAAATGAAACTAGCTTGATTGCACCATAATGCTATGGCCATTTGAATTTTTAAAAGCAAGTATCCAACTTTATTGATTATAAAAATTCACTGGCTTTGCTTATACCACCACATGTATTACAAAAAGTAATTATATCTGCCATGCAAGATCTGTAATTGGATGGTCATTGGCTTGAGTGCTTAACTTGCATGCTGTTTTTGTTCAACTAGAGGCTTCATCTATTGGCATGCCATTCTGACTGCAGTCACGTTCAAAAGGGCCACTATATTGCCTACCATACTCCCAGTCATACTTACGACTGTACTGTGGTCTACTCTGATTGTATATTTGAACCGTAGCGAAATATGGGTGCTTGAATTTGATGACAAGTATGTATTCAAGTGCTGGCTTTTTGGTAGCTTGTTCCATGTCTGGCATCTATGCGAAGAGTTTGAATTTTGGAAACTAAGCTATTTGATTGGCTTCATGTATGACCAGACTCATATCCATGCTAGGTATGGCACTGGCATTTTTGCTTGCATTTCGAACAAACCGAGCCTTTGACCGATACTGGCAAGGAGCACAACTATGGACCACCTTGTCCATTCAATCACGCAACCTTTCACGACTCATTTGGAATGGTGTTCAAACTACCAGTCACGAGCATCTAGTAGAGAAGCACCAGATGATGCGTATGGTATTGGCTGTTGCTGTTGCGACAAAGTGTGCTTTACGGAGTGGGTCGCAAACTGCTCATGGCTCGTCAAAACAGTCAAGTCGAGTTTCTAAATCTGAATCGTTTACCACGGTTCAACATGATGGCGAAAATGTTCAAGAATTACTAGACTCATCTTGTAAAAAGACTCAAAAAAGGATCCATGAATTTGCTGTGGATAACGAGGTGTTGGATTTGTTGCCACCTGGGTATTTTAAAGTTCATACCTGGAGACAGAGCATGGTAGATCTATCTAGCGATGTACCATTTTGCAAAAAGGAGACTCAATTGAACATGCCTGTTCATCTGGCCAAAAGTCGTGTTATAGATCATTCAACAAGGGAGCAAATCGCAACTTTGAATGCCCAGGAAAAGTCAATCCAAACACCAAAACAAACGGCTGTCGCAATGCATACTCACGATGAACTATCAGCAAAACGAGTTGCAACGTGGAGACTAGGGCTAGATGCTCATGAGGTTCTAGTCGAGTCTCATATCGCTCCATTGGAATCGCGTCATGACAACCCGTTTTTAAATAATTGCTGGTCAGCCGATTCAAATGAGCAATCTGACCCAGTTAATAAAACACCAAAGCTTCGCAACCGTAAACAGGATCAGCCCAAACCACCATCTAGTTCTAGTTCTCGAATGACTAGATCTATGACTAAGCTAGCACAGACTAGTGACGATACTGTATTACAAAAAAGTAAATATTCACCATTAACATCAACTCGTATCCAGCACTATAAATCTCCCAAAGCAAACCTGATTGTCTCAATATCTCCCCATGCTACCAAAAATCCAAAGGAAATTCAAACTTTGCAGTACTCGCATTCGACACACTTGGTAGATGCACATCTATCAACATCAGGTGTATCATCCGCGTTTTCATGGACTGATGGGCAATTTTCAGATAAACCTCGAGGCTCTACATCTCTACTTGCAACACCAAATGAAAAAAAGGGATTTACCACAAGCTCGCCACAGTTTCCCATGCAGCGATTTCCAATGTATAGTCAAGACGGATCATTAGTGATTAATACGCCATTGGATATTATTTATCGCATTGCATTTTATTTGCGACGGCGGCGTCGTGCACATTTAGTTGACCTTGACGATGTCCCTTCTATGACACAAGCGATTACTACCATGATTGACTCGGTAACAAAATTTGAGCAGGTCAAGTAAAGGTTTATGTTTATTCAATGTCAACTTTTATCCATGTATTCAACTGACGATGATGTAATGGTTATAGATTTTAAACGTGCCAATGCCCAAATCCTATGATGTTCATATGAAGCAGATTTTGATTCTCTATTTTTTAGCCCTGCCATTCCAGCTTGTCAAGTCGCTTGGCTGGGCTGTTGTATTTGTAACCTTGGTTGTTTCGTTTGCATACTTTGGAGCAGATGCCATTGCAGCAGAGATTGATGGTCCATTTGGCACGGATGAGGTAGGTTTATGTTTAAGCAAGATGGATTAAAGGTTTGACCCAGACTACGATTGTATGGCTAAACTGGCTTTAAATGTGTGTTGCAGAACGATCTTCCGTTGGATTATTTTTGCCAGAAGCTTAAAGGGGATATTGAATATATTATGGAAGCCCCATTATTTGACGAGAGTTTAAGTTCTGAATAAATGTTTGATCGTGTTGATCTTGCAATGAGATTTGAAGTTGAAATGTTTAGACTTTAGAGCAATGCAGCGGGATGATGTCTGGCCTGTTGATAAATATGCTTAAAATCCAGTAACTCGCCCTTTCCCCAATCCTTCCAACTCGCCTATTCAAGTATGGAGGCAACTGGCACACATTTGTTTTCTAGGACTACTCAAGGATTTGGAAACCTTACTGGATGGACAGGAGACGATGTTTCTGGCAGCCCAAAAGATGGGCAAGGCAAGGATAAGTTGCAGGTAGGATAGGTTACCGACAGTGTAGTAAAACAAGACGTTCAAGCCCACCCATGATTCACGATTATTAGACCACTTTGATATCATGAATGATGCCGCTTGATTGGCATATTCTACTGTTTTTATCGAGAATTGTAGTTTATCTGACTGTTTTAAATGGATTGATTTGTGATGGGCACCATAGGGGCTTGTCATGTCATTTCTAGTGATTCTGGTGTCTGAAATAGGGGACAAGACATTCTTGATAGCAGCAGTGCTGGCTATGCGGAATCCAAGGTGGAGTGTTGGCAGTTGCATTCTTCAATAGACTCATGGATGCTAATCACCACATGAATCTTGAAATACTAGACTACTGATTTTCTCTGCAGCCATGTCAGCACTTTTTCTAATGACGGTTATATCTGCACTTCTTGGCCAGATTTTACCTAGTCTTTTATCAAAACAGTATACACAGATTCTTGCAGCCATTCTTTTTATTATTTTTGGTTTCCGATTACTCCATGAGGGATACTACATGTCTGGTAATGAGGTGACGGAAGAATTGGAGGAAGTCACACAAGAGCTTACAGGATCCACACATAAAGAAAAGCAAGAGGATTTAGAAGCAGGATCCGAGTCATTTGCCACAGAAACGGGAAGCGAGTCTATACCCATGGTTACAACCACGACACAATCAGATGAATCTGATAAAGCCGTAAAACAGCTGAATCATCCACTTGGTGTTTTGTGGCACGGAGTAACTAGAGTTACCAGATCTTGGGCGTCTGTATTGTTTTCACCCATATGGATTCAAGCGTTTGCATTAACATTTGTAGCAGAATGGGGAGATAGAAGCCAGCTTGCAAGTGAGTGGTTTGCAAGTATTATTTTTAGTAAAACCGAGACTGTATACTGAGATGTGACTGTGCATGGTATTTTAGCTGTTGCGCTGGCAGGAGCAGAGGTAGTGGATAACATGATAGAGCAACTGTATTCAACAAGTATATTAACATATTGAAATGTTTAAAGGATTTCTGGTGGGTTACGATTGGTGGTCTTCTTGGCCATGCGATCTGTTCATGTGTAGCAGTGATTGGCGGTAGAATGGTAACTCATGAATGCACTGATTGAACAATTGATGGTAATAGTAACACGATTCACACATTGTGATTAGCTTGCAGCACGAATCTCAGTCAAGACAGTAACGATGATTGGAGCATTGCTGTTTATAGCGTGTGGTGTAGTTGGACTCTATGAGTTTGTGGTTGAGAATTACTCGGAATAGAATAAAGAATCCAACTGCAGAGTTGAATAAAAAAGTCGAGATATTTGTCAAGACATTTGTCGAGACTTGTTCATCCCTTTACAACGACTTTCAACTCATTGACTCTTATCATGTCTATTGCTGAGCTACTGGCAAATACTCTCTCGCCCAGTTGAGTATTACTGTGTTTTTATCCAGACTATCGCTTCATGCAGACACTTTCCTTTGATCCTGTCTGAGAACAGATTGAACCGCAGCTGTCTTGACCAGCTACCGCTGGCTGGAACTTCAGAGTCTGGTCTGTGGTCTTTGCATACGCTTTGACTCAATGCACTATTATCCTCTGGTCTTGCTCTGCTCTTTGTCAATGCTCAAAAGTTCTTTTTTTCTGTCTGTATCGATTCTCCACTTGCATTCTTCAATACTGACCTGTTTTTACATTCTGTTATTCCTATTCATCTGTTCGATCGATCGCACTCATCTCACTGTGTTTGACCCATTAACTGCTTTACCAAAACAATGGTCTTGATATCTCTCATATCGTGACTGTCGTTCTTACAATTCAAATCTAACCATCAACAGCTCAGACTATTCGAGAGGATGCCACCAACAAACTTAATTCGTACGAATCAGAGAATTTCCCAAACTATCTAGGTCTGCTCTGCCAAGAACTTACCTCTCAGCAAACTCCCATGGACATCAGAAAGAGTGCTGGCCTGATTTTTAAAAATTCTCTTACTTCCAGGGTTAGTGCTTTTGCCATCCCATGGTTTTGTTTCAAGCTAGATTCACTCTTAAATCTTGTCTACTGTGACGTTCACGAGTCCTAACAATCTGGCATGTTATTGTCGTGAAATCTACAGGATGCTGTTCGCCAGACTGAAATGGCTGCAAGATGGAGAAACATCGATCCGGCATTTAGAACTCAAGTCAAAACAGCCGTAAGTGTTACTTTTTATTCTTCATTTTCCAATACTTTGTACTGTATATACCACAATCCATCGAATGTGCATTATTGTAGTATCTAATCGCTCTACATTTCATTAAATTTCAATTCACGCATTTTTTATTTAGATTCTTCTCTGCATTGCTGCTCCCGTTGCAGGGCCTTCTAAAGTCTCGGGCCAGGTATGACTGTTTCAACTACAATATGCTGGCATCCAAGATTTTTATTAATATTGTTGGATAAATTATCAACTTCAAATTTGACGTTTATGCAATCTATTCATACTGTTTGATGTGCACTGTACAAGGTTGCTGCCGCAATTGCCGCTATTGAACTCCCGCATGATGAATGGCCTGATTTGATCAGTTCACTTCTTGAAAAAGTTACTACTTCTGAAGCCGATGTTGCCAAGCAAGCATGTCTCCAAACCATTGGTTATATTTGCGAATCAATTGTACGTATGGATTATTCCATGCGCTTTATCTTTTAATTTGACGACTTGACAGCATTTACAATTGCTTTATTTATTTCGTACAGGAACCTAGCGTACTAAGAGGTCAATCTAATGCCATTCTAAATGCTGTTGCCCATGGAGCTCGCAAAGAAGAGACCAAGTACATTTATTTTTGATTATTCACTCAATCATATTGCCATATCTATTCTGACATTTTTTTCTAGTAACGCTGTGCGTCTCTGTGCAATCCAGGCACTTTTCAACTCGCTTAGTTTTGTTCGAGATAATTTTGAGAACGAGGTATGGTTACTATAGTATGCTTATTTCGGACAATACCAATTCCCGATTGATTATATCCTAACCTTTGCATATTTTTAGGGTGAAAGAAATTACATTATGCAGATTGTTTGCGAAGCTACTCAATGCTCAGATGCTGAAGTTCAAGTTGTTGCTTTCGAGTGTCTCGTCAAAATCATGTCTTTGTATTACGAAAAAATGGTTTTCTATATGCAAAAGGCTCTTTATGGGGTAGGCTATTGGATGTAAATACTTTACTGTGCACTCATTAGTTTAATGCCATACTTATATTTTTATTCATTCAGCTTACCGTGCTAGGTATGCGCCACGACAATGAAAAAGTCGTACTTCAAGCCGTAGAATTTTGGTCTACTGTTGCAGAGACTGAGCTGGATATACTCTACGAGCATCAGGATGTAAGTTGTTTGCGCAAAGCAATGTATAGTTTTACTCTGCTGATCTAATTTTTTGGACTGGATTTTAAATGTGTGCTGGTTTATAGGCATTGGAAGCCAACGAACAACCAGAACGTGAACTCTTTCATTTTGCCTCGACTGCATTGCCTCAAATTGTCCCAGTTTTGTTGTGGCTCATGACAAAGCAAGACGAGGATGACGACGAGGACACATGGAATATTTCCATGGCCTCTGCTACTTGTTTGTCATTGTTTGCTACTTGCTGTGCAGATGCCATTGTTCCTCTGGTTCTTCCCACTATCGAGTCCAACATCAAAAATGAAGATTGGAAATTCCGTGAGGCTGCTGTCATGGCATTTGGTGCAATCTTGGAAGGTCCTGATCCCACGCAGCTTGGTAATCTGGTGCAAATGGTAATTTTTGTTTTTCAATTGAGCTGCAACCTCATTTTTGTTGTATTAGATACTTACTTTAAAACTATACAATAGGCGTTTCCCACTCTTTTAGAGCTTATGAACGATAACATGGAACAGGTCAAGGAGACTGCTGCCTGGACTCTCAGCCGTATCAGTCAGAATCTTATCCAGTTTGTCACATTTGAGCAATTTCCTGTCTTGATCTCCACCATTCTCAAAGGCTTGAGCGATAATCCTCGTGTTTCTACTCACTGCGCTTGGTGTATTATTAATTTGGCTGAAAATACCACTCCTACATCCGACAATCCTGAAATTGAGTTTGCAGAAACCTCTCCATTATCAAGTTTCTTTGAACCCATTGTTAGTGCATTGCATCAGTGTGGTGAGGCTGCTACCAATGCTCCACATTTGCGTGCTTCTGTTTTTGAAGCCATGGCTACTGTTATTGCGACCAGTGCAGATGACTGTCTTGGCTCTGTGCAAAACCTGACTACCGTGTTGCTGCAACGTCTTAACGAGTCTGTCAATGTACAGAGCCAGCTGGTTGGTGCTGATGAGCGTCGCGTTCACCATGATCTTCAAGCTCATCTCTGCAGTGTCCTTACAGCCGCTATTCGCCGCCTTAAAAATCAGATTGCACAGATTGCTGATCCCATCATGTCAACCATGCTGCTTGTTATTTCCAATGCACCAAAGGCATCCACTGTTATGGAAGATGCATTTTTGGTGTGCGGAGCTCTTGCTGCCGTAATCGAAGGCAATTTCTTGCGTTATGTAAACACGTTGCTACCGTATGTGAGTTCTGCCATGCAGAACGTTGAGGAATACCAAGTGTGTATTACTGCTATTGGCTTAATTGGCGATATTTGCCGTGCTGTGGGTGAAAGCATTCTTCCTTATTGTGAAGGTATTATGGGGGCTCTTGGTAGTCTGATACAGAATCCCAGTCTCCATCGTTCTATCAAGCCGGCCTGTCTGGCTGTTTTCGGTGACATGTGTCTTGCGATTGGAAATAATTTTGAACCATTCTTGCAGCCCACAATGATGGCGACTCACCAATTATCCGAGAGTCTTAATCAAATGCCAACCGTGAGTGATGCCTTGATTGTGTTTGATTTTGCAATGATGGTACGACAGGAGAAATGTGGATTTGACGTAGCTTACTGACACGTGTTGAACTGGCATTTGTTTTAGTCTACCAATGAGCAGTACGAATATATCTACCTTATGCGTGAGGGTATTGCAGAAGCATATGTTGGTATTGTTCAAGGTCTCAAGGCTAGTGATCGGGGTAGGAGTTTGTTTTTAAATAGAAACGCCATGCCTTTTATCGTGAAACTACCTTGTATATTTCTAACACTGCTTTCAACATGCTACTTTCTATCAACTTTTCAATATACTTTAGCTGCACAACTCATCACACCCTATGCACACCAAATCTTTGCATTCTTGGAGGCCGCTACTGCTCAAGAAGATCGCACCGAGTCTGTAACTCGTAGTATTCTTGGTCTTATTGGGTATGCAATTTTGGCATTTCGAGTTTGCTCTATGCAGCTTTGTTTTACTAAACTATGTTGGTGTGGAATGATAGTGATTTGGGCGAGCTCTTGCCACTTGGTACAATGAAGCCGCTTTTCAGTGCTGAATGGATTCCTCTATTGTTAAAGGAAGTCAAAGTGGATCGTAATGCTTCTATTAGTACCAAGGAAGTTGGACGATGGGCAAGAGAAATGGTTCGCCGCCAAGTGTCGGTTTAAATGAAGATCCACCATCACGCCAGCTTCACATTTAATGCTTATGTGCAATCTTTGAATTCTATCCTGCTTCATCCATCTACTCCTACCTATATCTCTTCTGATTTTTGTGTTTCTATCAATTCTTTTACTTGTCCCTTGCCTTTACTTGTTGGTTTTTCGAATCAAAAAGATTTTTGTGAATTTGTTTTTAAGCTTTTTGGTAGATTTTTAATTTCAAACCAATGGGACATGTTACTGTTCTTGTTCAGCATGCTTGGGCTATGCAGTCTATGGCTGCTGCAAAAAAGCCAAATCAGCATGGGGCAGATAAAAGAAAGCCTATAACTCAGAATACAAATTTAAAAAAGAACCAATCTGTCAATGCATCGACAATGCCCATCCCCAAAACGCTAGCGCAGATTACATCCAGAAAAGTATTGCCGTCTCAAATCAGAGTAACAGTTCCATCATCGGTAGCTCAGCTTGTAAACATGTACAATTCGAGCCAAACAGTAGCACAGCGTCAAACTTGTCAAGCAACAGCTTGTGACATTTTAGCACGTCTAGAGCATCTTGTATTAGCCAGCATCATCCATGATCCTTTTAGAAAAGACATGGTTCGGTCCAGTATCTATCCGGTGCTTGATTCCGCGTCAACTGGTGTATTCACTAAAGCAGCTGGAGCACATCGCCAAAAGCCCCTCAAATCGCTTGGCCAGGCTGCTCTCGCCAATTCACATCCATCTACCCTATCTGCAGTGTTTAGCTCGCCCATCATTGATCCAGTCTTCAAACCCCATCATGATTCCAAGTTCATTGGCAATTCAAACTCGTCTGCCTCCAAAACCACACAGTTCGCGTCTGAAGCTCGGCTGTCTGTTCTTATGCTTTCTCAGTGTCGTACTAGACACATTCGTGATCGAGCCATGGATCTCTTGATGGAGTCTTTAGATACCAACATTCTTTCGACCCATATGGAGGAGACTATCTGCTTACAACACCTGTGGATTGAGTTGGTCCACGTATTACGTCATACAATAGATGGTCGACGACGGCATAGAGCAGTTTCGGGAGGGATTTCTATTGCAGCCGAACTGAATAAGCATCATTCCATGTCAAACCCTATTCAACACAAAAGCACAGATGTACCCAGAGGGGGCTCGTTAGCCAATCCAACAAACAATCAAGCTGCGTTAAAAAGAGTAAATTATGACCGCAGTGTGTCAGAGCTGGTGGAAAATGTACTTGATACGCAGGTTTTAGTGGATGACCATTTGGAGCGAATACTAAGTGTGAGATGAAATTCAACTATGAATTGATGTGTTTCGATATAATGCCAACTTTGATTTTTGTTATGTTTGATAGTGTCTTTTGCTGACAATGCATCGGATAGAGTATGCACGCGATGTGTGTCATGTTGAGCTGATTAGTGCTATGGATCAGTCATTCTATTTGCTTCTTGAAGATCTTGAACTCGTACGATCGGAAAATCCCTATATCATACAGCTCATTGGTGACATTCAAGACAGCGTACGTGTGTTGATCAAATGTCATCAAAGTTGAAGGCTCTGCCAATCTATTTGTCAATATACTCATGACTTGTTTGGATGATTTAGGTGCATTATATTATCTCAATGGGTGAAGAAAAGGAAGAGGTCATGGCGTTTCCAGTCGGTATTTCGCTGCTATCTCAAATTGTCAGAACGGTTGTTCCTGAAAATCTATCCACTTTATACGAATCGTTTCAGAGCATCATGTCTGATTTAAGTCATAAAAGACAATGGTAACGTGAATACATTTGAAATGAGAGCATTGATGTGTTGACACAGTTGCTTCAACCCTATACGATTGTGTATTGATATTAAATTTTAGGCATATTGGACGGAAGTTTATTCGTATCTTGGCATCAGCAGGAATGCTCAAGCTAGAAGTATGCTTGATGTTTATTCGGTTTGTTAAAGAATTGCAAGTGTACAATTGGCAATGGCAATTTCTTGGAGTTCTTTGTTTAGGAAATATTGCATGTTCATCAGAATCATCAGCCATTCGTCGCACTGCAATAGAAGATGGTTTGCTGTACTACACAGAGATTGGATTGGCAAATGATATGCTACAGACCGAAACATCTTGCACTGATCATGCCAATCATCAAGCCAGCAATCCACTTTTAGCTTCAAATCAAGATACAAATAGCATAGATAAAACCCATGAAGTAAGATTGACATCACAAAACGATACATGGAAAATCCGTGCAGCATCTATTGTAGCCTTGACAGAAATATATCAGCAGTATCGATCGCAACCTCACGGCTTGCTAGCACGAGAAGTCATAGGCAATTGTCGGGCTCGTGAACCCAATCCTAATATTCAGCATCTTCTCAATCACCCAGCAGCAATTGCTCCACAGACTAGAATGATTCGTCGACTATCATTTGTATTCAAGTACATCTGTATGTCGCTTGCAGAAATTTATGCAGATACGCAGTCTGACTACAGTTACTTGAGAAAATACGTGCAGACTGCAGAGCGCAATGAATCTCGACGCAGATGGCATCCACCTAAAACGGGAATGCATGATCGATCCAATGATAGATTGGGGCAAGATGGATCAGCAATTGACAACGAATCGCATCATGGCAAACTCGAGCATATGAAGCCAATAAAAACCAAAAAGGATATGGCGCGAGAAGTCAATGTACCATTTCAATCCCATTTAGCAGGATCGTATCAGACCAACCATTCGATCCAAGAAGCAGTCCAGTTGAGCACAAGAAACATGACCAATCGAAAAGAAAAACCGCAGTTTGCTGGTCGTGATCCTGAGTTGCTGTCCATCAATCCATATCATGAAAACTACAAACAAATTCAAATTGACTCGACTGCCAGTCTTGACGATGCGTTTCTGTCATTTGAAGAATGCAATCGATTCGATTCTCCTGTTGATGGAATTCCTACATTAGCACAACTGCCTCCACTCGCACCCTCCACATTTCACAGTTATCTGTCTGGATTCCATCCAAGACAATCCAACTCATTGATACTAGATAATGGTACGGCAAATCGTCGTAAACTGTTTAATGTAAATCGCCCAGATTCAGATTCAAGTCCAGGTTCAGATTCAGAGCATAAACACTCACAAAAAGAATCGATTAAGAACCAAAAGAGTAAGATGGATGATTGTCATTGTATTGCAGAGTAACAAGTAGGATTGATTCTGTTGTAGAGCTTATTCATCGTGAATCTGACGAGCATCACAGAAGCAAGTCATGACAACGAATTGAATGAATTGTGAATGGAAAGTCTACAATAAAGATGGATGAATAGTGAATGTGTAGTGCAATAGAATGAACAAGACTCTTGATATGCTTTGGCTTAATCGTTATCTTTTGCTATTCAATTGAACACAAGCATCGATGGCTTCGCAGCAACCATCGGCAAACTCCACATCGGCCGGATTTGCAGTGCCAGGTCCTCGCACATCACAGAGTCCTAATCGTCGTCCAGATGTTGCTTCACCCTGTAAGCCTTGCTTGCCAGTCAATTCATCCGGCCATTCCATGCAACCACCTCAAAAACCACTTGCATCAACCTCCACTCCAGCACCCAATATACAGGCATCATCTATAGTATCAACCAAGGAACCCATGGCAGTTTCTAAATCTGTGTGTTCTGCATCAGCTCCTCAACCACCTCCGCTTCCTTACAAAGTGCCTGAATGGTCCAAATCACCATCAGAGGATTACTTTTTCGAGGTTTGTAACCAGCTGTTTGCTGTAAATAAGAATATCGGATTTCTACTCTGGTAGAGATACTGGGCTATTGAATATTTTATTCCTAATAGAAATTCTATTGCTTTGTCCTTTAGGTCATTAAAAATGGAACCATTGTCGAACAAACTCAGCTGTTTCGTCAAGAGTATATCGTTGTTGGTATGATACTGTTCTTGGTCAAAAGCTAATATAAAAGATATCCAAATATTATAATGCATTGCTACAAACTAATACTGCATTTCCAAAACTTGAATAGGTCGATTGCCAATTTGTGATGTCGGTCTTGAGCATCAGGTCAGTAACAATCCAATTTTGCATTCAGTCAACCAATTCATTTCTATTGTTCAATATTTCTAATGTTAATTTCTGTTGTAGAGTATATCTCGTTACCATGCAATCATTCAATTCAAGGAAGATGGTGTGTACTTGCGATTGTCACTTTTTGTATATCAGTTCAAATGGTGTACTACAGACTAAACTCGTTATAAATACTTTAACAGGGACTGTACAGATTTATGATCTGGGTAGTAGTCATGGCACATACCTCAACAAGACACTTCTTCCAAAGCATGATTACAGACAGCTTTGTGTTGGAGGTAGGTTGTCTAGGAACAAATATACTTGAGGGCTATACTTCAAACTATCGTGATAAAGTTGGCTAATATTGATTTATTTGACAATGTCCTTAGATATGATTCGATTTGGGCAGAGCTCTCGTATCTATATTCTTATGGGACCTAAACCTGTTTACCAGGAAATCGAGTTTAAAAAAAGTCTAAAACTAAAAAAGCCTGAAGAGGCTGTCATTGAAGCGAGCAGAGAAGAAGTTACATGGTAAGGGTTAATACTTTCCATACAGTATTTACACACGTTGACTGATTGTCATGCACTTGAATTTTCAGGGGATTTGCCGAAGATGCGTATGATGGGGACGAACTGGCTGGGCAAGAAGTTGATATGTCTGCAGTGGATCGATCAACAATTGATCCCAATGCATTTTATTATTCAGATCCACGGAAAGCATTACGAGTATGGTTTGATTCGCGTGGTGCTGACTTGGAATACCAGCATGAGGAAGAGGGACATGGTGTGACTCGTGGATACGTTGCACGTATTGAGTTGCCTGTAGAAACCGGATTTGGAAAATTGATTGGTGTAGGTCATGGCAGCAAGAAAAGGTCTGCTGAGCATGATGCTGCCCTGGAAGCATGCTTTAGGTTGGACAAGTATGGTTTGCTGCGCGGCAGTGGTGCAGAAACCAATCAGAGGCTAAAGAATCGTAGAAAGGAACTTTATGGGGATGACGATGATGCTGACGATTCCTTTTACGATCGAACATCCAAAGGTTTGTATATTTAAACACTCGGGGTTTGACAATCTGCAATACAATCATTTTGTACTGACTTTTTTCTTCAATGTCGAATTATATAGCCGGCCATTCAAAAACAAAACAAGCTGAGCATCAAGAAAAAGTAGAGACCTTTGAGAGTCTACAGGAAAAGCGTCTTGATACGCTGAAAGAGATGGATAGACTACAAAAGCTTATTGAAAAAGCAGATCAAGGTGTGTTTCTGCTATTTGAACAATATAATATGTTCATTGCTCAATACGCGTAATTAAATGCAACATGATTATTTAGCGGCGAGTCAAAATACGGAAGAGGTTGATGAGCTCGATCAATTCATGTCGAGCGTTAATAGCAGCATCCAAGCCGAATCATTGTTGGCAGACAAAAAACTACTCGAGGAATGCAAGACTGAGATTACACGATTGGATAAGTTGATTAAATTGGTTGAGCCTAGTCATATAAGTCAAGCGCAGCAGCTAGCTGTGCCTACTGAATCGATTTTTGCAAAAAAACCATCCACTTCTCCCTTCAAGACTGCTTCTGCTTTGTCTAGCCAGTCATTACCATCTAAACTACTGGAAAAGTCATATCCATCTAACGGTGCAAGTATTCGACCGTATCAGTCGTCCATCAGTGCGTGTGTTAGCCAGTTGGGGCTTGTTAGCCCTCAAAATACAGTCACTTCAAAGTCTGATGGTTTGTCCCGCTCTACGTCACCGGGTCTGACAGTATCACGATCATCTACCAAGCATTCATTTCCTGACTCGGAAACAGCGGTGTCGGTCGCTGAATCTGACAAATCTGACAAGGATTCGGCAGCCCACACATCTATTGCATCCAACGACTTTAAACGGAGAAAGTTTCTTGTACCCACACAGCAGCAAATGAAGCAGCATGACATTGAGACTGAGGATGTGGTAGATTCTATTATTGGACAATCAGTAGATGCGTCCGATGTCGCACAGATGAATGCTGCATATGGCTATTAAAACAGTATCCACATAATGGAGCATTTGTATCTATCTTGCATTAATTTCCCTTATTTTGTTTTGGAATAAATAATGATCAAATGTTTAGGTTTCCTACTACAGAATGAGATGTATAGACACAACATTCACTATATGATGCTCAGAACCAAACTCATTGATGTATTGTAAATACGGTCGCGTTCTAGTTCAAGACAACGATTGCACATCTCATGAATGCAACTATAATGCCAATCACTAAAAATAACCAGTCAACTAAAGAGTTTAACAGACAATATTGTCCACTACATTGACATTCATCATTTCATGAGACTGGCAGTTTATTATCCCGACTCTTATTTAGTATTCATTCTGCGTGAATACGGCGGTGAACAGTCATGCGCTAGAAAAAGTTGAATCTATCGAATCTGACCTTTCAGATTATCCAGTCATTTGGTCAGAAATGCTAGACTTTGAAGCTGGTGAAGCAGTACTTTGTTTCCATGGACCATTGCTTTATGAAGCCAAGGTACACAATACAGCTGTCATGCACTTTTATACTTTGTATCGCAATCCTCTCCTTGAAAAAATATAGCTGATAGTTCGTCAATCCACAATAGAACCACAAGGCAATTTCATCAACTTTTGTTTTGACGGATGTGCTGACCTAAATAGCAGTCCAGTTTCATTTGTATGAATAGTGCTGATTATATTGTAAGCTAGCATCTACATGAGCTAGTCAATATTGAAAATTACTGTCCATCTTGATATTGCCATTCAATAATTGTTTAGAATTCGTATTGTGACGAGTACATCATTGACCAACAATCTATTTGTTTCTGATTATGATTTTTAATGAATATATTTATTTTATTCAATAGGTTCTTGCTGCAGAGCTGTTTACCGATAAGGAAGGATTTCCAGACGGACCTCATTATCTGATTCATTACCGGGGATGGAAGGCATCGTAAGTTGTCTAGTATAGTGGACCAACATGAAATCTATGAATGTGCATTGCTAATGCTATTCACGTATCTCTATATCTTGTCCGTTCTATCCAATATTCATATGCAGATGGGATGAATGGGTTCCACCCAGCCGAGTACTTAAAAATGATGCTGATGGTCTTCAGCGCCAGGCAGAACTCCGATTTTCCCAGGCCACCAAAAAAAATGCAGCCAAATCGGCACAGAAACCTTCACCGACATCAGTAACTGATACAGGCTCTTCATCTCAACTAAAAAAGCGTCGCAGAGATTCGATTGTTGAAAAGGTACGAGTTGAGCCTTTATATTTCAAAATCTTGGATTTACTCTTTGTTATAGTTGGATTGACAATGACTCCCAATGGATTTGTTTCATTATGATTGTTAGGAAGAGATATATATGAAAAGACCAGAAATCCGCATTCCAATTCCTGACCCTCTCAAGACTCAGCTTGTAGAAGATTGGGAGTTGATTACCAAATCACTCAAGGTGGATTATTGATGCCTTTTGATTGCTGACTATACAACACACTTTCAAAAGACTCATTTTACGATTATTTGTAGCTTGTTCCTCTTCCTCGAAAAATTACAGTCGCAAATATACTTGACGAGTTTTTGGATACCATTCGCAAAACAATAAAATCCAAAGGCAGTCGCGAAAGGCAAGTTTTTGTTGAAACAGTTCTGGTTTACTTTATGCATTTGATTGTCTAGCTCGTGACAGTTTCTGTATATACATCAAACTGACATATTCTACGATTTATCTGGGATGTTTCTTGTATGCCATCCATTTGTATAGAGAGCTAGATTTGTCTTTTAAAGAAGTTGTCGAAGGACTCAAGCGATATTTTGATGCGGCGCTTGGAAATATTCTTCTCTATCGGTTTGAGCGCCAACAATATGTAGATATTTTGAAGCGAATGCCAGGCGTTCCAATGTCACAGATCTATGGTCCTGAGCATCTGCTTCGTATATTCACTCAACTTCCTGCTTTGGTTGCACACTCTAGTATGGATCAGGATGCCATTAATATTCTCAAGGACCACTTTGCTCAAGTGTTGGCGTAAGTTGCGAGTATATTTCAGACACTGTTTGAATAGTTGCTAACAATAATTGTTTTTAGCTACTTACAAAAGCACCAGGACAGAATTTTTCTTCAGGATTATGAAGCCACTACTCCCGAGTACATGGCATCAATCCGCCCATGATATTACAATTTGTAATAAACACATCTTTCTAGTAGCATATTTTAAAATATGAGATGTATAGTCATTCAGTCTGACAAAAGATTGTGTTTGAAAGAATTGATATTATGAGTTTTTAAAACCATGCAAGATGGTGCGAGTATTTACAATCGTATTCACGTAAAATGAAACACTTGTATTGATTTCCTTGAAATAATGATCAAATGTTTAGGTTTCCTACTACAGAATGAGATGTATAGACACAACATTCACTATATGATGCTCAGAGCCAAACTCATTGATGTATTGTAAATACGGTCGCGTTCTAGTTCAAGACAACGATTGCACATTTCATGAATGCAACTATAATGCCAATCGCAATGTTTGAAGATTAAACAAGTGCAGAATTGACGGTAATGTGAATGAGCACAAAAACCAGTTAACCAAAGAGTTCAATTCTGTTCAGTAAACTGACATTCGTTTCATGACTGTCATGTATTTTGGCACGTTGTTTCATTTTACGGAATACGGCCGTATATTCTATAAATTCTTTACTGTAAATCCAACAGCTGTTTGGCATTCGACAACAGTTCAGGCATAGTTGAATATCGGAATGAGTTTTCTGGAATCCTTCAATGTAAGTAGACTCATAATCAGCAACGATTTGTAATCATAGCAAACTAGCTATTTGAAACCAGTGATGAACCCATTTCATTGAAGACTGCAACGAGTAACTGCCACTTGCAGCCATTCTAGTTGCATGGCCCTTGTTTCCTCTCATTTAAACTGGCCAATATACTCAACATGTTCTTTAGTTTGGCTCTCCTCGGAATAGCGTGGATGTAGTGCTTAAGCGACTTAAAAAAGGAGTCGCTCTTGATGAGGAGATTGCAGCGTTTTTCAAGGAAAGGCAAGCTTTTTGGCTTCTATTCTGCTGAAATATCTTGGCATTTGGAATGCAACAGACTGATCATTGCTATATCTGCTTTAGAGCTGCAATCGAGGAGCGATATTCTGCCGATCTATCGAGACTGTCCAAGCGAACATTCAATGACAAGATTGATCCCGATTATATTGGGTAAGCGGACAATCAAACCTATTTCATTGTTCATTCACTGCTTTGACTAAATTTCGTATTGCTGTACTTTATAGAACACTTGGCACGCTATGGGGCGAAATCCTTCATGCCACCAGTGTTGTGGCTAATGCAAGGTCTAATCTAGCCAAGGAAATTTTAAAACTGGAATACACATTCCGTACTCGCTGTGATAAGGATCAGGATGCAGAATGGTCAAAAGTGAAGCAGGTAGGTCCGAGTCAGGCTTTCAGTAATTCTGAAAAGTTGAATCGCATTTATATTTGTTATAGTATGAATCTAGTCATCATAATGTTTTATTTGATGTTTGCCGTGATATTTTAGAGCCTGAGTGCTCTTAGTGCAAATTATGAAAGCGATTTTGTTAAACTCACCAAGGATTACGCCGACAAGATTGTCAAGGTGGAAAAGTATGATGCCAAGTCAAAGAAAAAAGCTACATCTCAAGGCAAGCTGAATGCTAAAGTCCATATTAATGCTTTTGCAATGTCGTTTTAATATTAATCTGAATCACTCTTGTCTATTTCCATATCTATCAGTTGACAAAAAGTTGCTGGACATGATGAGCACTCTCGAGTCTGCAAAGAACCAGTGGGAAACTGAAGCTAAAAGGCTATTCCAGGTTTGAATCATGGTTACATCATCATTTCAAATATAGTTGTTGTATTTACAAAAAATAACGCTTTATCAACAGAAATTTGAACAAATGGATCGAGAGCGCATCGAGCTAATCAAGAAAAATCTGTCCTTGTTTGCTCAACAGGAAGAAATGATTGCAGAGACTTTGGCTGGAGTACGAATGGTTTTATTTTTTATTGATATTTCCATTTTCCAGACAACTCATTCAACTGAATTTATAATATTTCATTAGGTGAACGGAATACTTATTGTTGCATGTGACGACTATAGTGTTGAAAACGAGATTCAAAATTTTTGTGCAACCAAAGGAACAATGTTTGGTGAGATTCGAGCTTATTTGAATGGTGGTATCAATTTTTTGTGTTGAGCTAATTGCACTTTTTAGTTGATGTACAAACCTCTCGGGTAGCCTCTGCGAGCCATTCAGAGCTACGACAGAGTGATCAGTAAGCATTTTATATCAAGGTTGCGTGACAATACATGTAGTTGAGACTGACATTAAACTATTGTAGTAGGACTGTATCGGTTGCATCTGGTATCAATAATGTTGTCGAGCCAACTGTAAGAAAATCTATTGACTGCATTCAAGTTGTTGAGATATTGTTTGTAAACATGACGTTGATATGTGTTTTGAATGGGTTCATAGCCGCCTGTGCCAGTTGTTGATGAGAATGGATTTTCTATTCGACCAGAAACTGTTGATTTGTTTGCATCCAATTTTCCCAATGGTAGCGAAGCTGATGATTTTCATGATGAATCTGCAAGGTAATTAATAATACACACAATGTTGCTATGATACACGCTGTTTGGCTGATGGTCGTCTTGGAGTTTAGTCGAATACAGCCAAAAATTCATGTGGCAATTCAAGAGCACGTTATTAAAGAAAACATTTCAGATACGCAAAGTGCGATTGCCAATTTAACTTCCAAGCTTCAGGCGCCTGGTAGTGCTACCGGAGGTTCAATTAGGTATGCCTTGTGTCTTGATTTATTTTTAAACTATTGCCGTGAGTTAATGATTTAAAATATTAATTTATCAACATGAGAGGACGAATTCAGTCTTCATACGACAGCAATGCTGCAGTAAGCAGATCACATTCCACAGCTGCTCCTCCAGCACCGCATGAGGCTACGCCAGCTAAAGCCGACGTGATTGTTTGCGAAACCTTGAATATTCTGCAAGTGAATGGCATGGTAGACAAGATTCTGATCACGGGAGAGATTTCCATTCAACTTCTCGATCCACTTTTGCAGCTTAATAATGACAGTAAATTCTGTAAAATCCTCATCCGCAACTTTGATAGTCTATTACAAATTGTGCCCAATGAGGAATACGTTTCACTATCATCTTCTATTGGAAATGAGTATGATTTGAATCTAGAAAAACTAGCAGAGCAGGTTCATAGCAATGTGCAGCTTTTTAAATATCAAGTCTGGACCGAGTCTCCAGAGCAGTTTTCACCCATTATTGTCAAGCCCATATGGAAATGCGAAGAGAAACAGGCATCGCTTTTAATCAACTATGAGTTCAACTCGGATTTATTGAAGCGCTTGCCGCCCCAGGAACTCACCATTATGGCTTCCATTCAAGATGGTGGTGAAATTGGTGCTGTTCAAACAAAGCCTGCTGGTGTGTGGGATCTGGATCTGCGTTGCATATTTTGGCAGTTGTCAGATCCAGAGTGGGAAGCAGTACACGGAGACTACGCGCAGCAAGCAGATGCCTCGACAGAAGAGATTCCCCGACAATATAAAATCCTTGCTCGTGTTGAAACCAGCAAGCAATGTCTTCCAGATCCCGTGGCAATCAAATACTCGAGCTCGATGGGACTTTTTTCTCTTGTAGATGTAGAGTTTTCTGGATTGGTTGGACATAGAGATGGCACTGGTTCCCCACATTCCCATCAGCCACCACTAGTTGTATCGGTACACAAATCTGTCTGTTCTGGCAAATTTGGATCTCAAATCATCACTGTTTTACCAGAGTAAATCGATTGATTTTTCATAAAAGATGATTGAAATGTATGTTTTTAAAAATATATGTATGCTGTCTTCAAACACATGAGCATTAATGCTGCCATTGTTGTGCAAACTGCATCAACGTGAACAGCATCACGTGGAACACTTCACTTTTTCACGCGACATAATCTTGGAAAAAAAATAATTTTTCTTTGAAATTAAAGCTGTTCGTCTTGGCGATAATCGACAAATTCAACCAGTCTTGAACAGAAAATAATCTCCATTCAATCCAAACGTTTGTTTGGTGTTATAATATCATATCTGACTGAAAAGTTTATAGTTTCAAACAATCCTTTGATTGATGGCAAAAAAGCAACCTGCTGAAGTTCGACTGCAGTCGCAACAAAAGGAATCGCAGGATTTAACAGCGACTCCTGCAGGCGAGAGTCATGCAGATTCTACTCCAGTAAATCATTCCAAATTGTCCAAAAAGGGTCGTAAAGAAAAAAAAACCACTACTCCTCAATCGTCTGTCAAGACTGAGCCAAACAACACTGACGATGGTTTGGGTTTGTGGAAATTGATTCCTAGTACTGGTGGTCGTTTGAGTAATTGCAAAACTATTTTTTCAAAAAATTCAAGGTAGGCTACTAATGTGCATGTATTTAATCGAGTAACATGATTTATTCCATTGCCTATTGTATGCGTTCATTGGCGTCACTACCCAATAGTTTATTTCGGTTAGACTTATCTGTATGCATACAACCCCACTTTTATTCTAGGTGCTTTTTTGTTGGAAATGGATCCGATGTCAAAATGTTTGCCGTTTCAACTGGTCTAGTTGTAAGAACTCTTAAACTTGCACATACGGCGGATGAATCAAGTAGCGTTGTATGTGTTGCGATTGATCCTCATCATCCAACTCAGGTATACTGTCCATAGCTATTATGTAGACACCATTCACGTATATACTGGTCTAACATTTTGATTGTATTTTTAGGTTTTTGCTGCATATGCTGATGGTGTGATTGCTCTTTGGGATCACTCTACTGGTACATTGATCAAGGTATCGTTTGTCTAATACGTGCATCTAAAATAATGCAATCGTTTAATTTCAAATCGCAAACCTAACACATTTTTTTATATTCAATTTAGACATGGACCACCAAGTTAGAAATATCACAAATCATAATCAATCCATTGTTGCAATACGAAGTGTTTTTAGTGGCTCATGAAAGCCATGAAAAGTCGGGTCGGTCACAGGTGCATGAGCATAGTACAGTGGTCAGGATTAATCTTGAAAGCAAGACTGTTAATGTGTTGTTTGATTCCAAAAAGGGAAAAATCATTTGCATTGATCTGGCTTTAGAAACCACAGTACTGGTTGTAGCCACAACAAATGCGTTTCATTTAGTGGATCATAATAGCAAGCGTCTCAGTGTTCGTAGTTTCAATGTGCCTAACAAGATTGTATCCATGGCTGTGAACCCAGCTCAACCATTTGTTGCTATTGGTGATATACGTGGTTGCATTAGATTGTGGTATTGCTTCAACATACTTGAAGGCCAAGAGGCTGTTTCGTCTCTACTGCATTGGCATGCACATCAAGTTAATGATCTTGCTTTTACCCCAGATGGCACAGTACTTATTTCTGGTGGTGACGAAGCTGTGTTAGTATTATGGCAGCTTGAAACCGGAAACAAGCAGTTTCTTCCTAGAATGGGATCAGAGATTTTATCGATTGGTATCAGCAGTGATCAGATGCTTTATGCCATTGGACACAGGAATAATTGTGTAAAAATTGTCTCTGCATCAGATATGAGTACCAAGCAAGCTATTTCAGGAGTCAGATCTGCCAACATCAATCTCAAAATGTATCCAATGACAGCAGGACTTGTCGTTGACCCACGAAGTTCGAGTATTGTTTTAAACGGCTCTCCTGGATCCATTCAATTCTATAACGCTTCTCTTGAACAAAGCACTGCAGAAGTGGATGTATCGCCAAGAAACAGAATTACTCGAATTGAAGACCGTGAGATTCTTCGACCACATGTTCATCACGTTCAGTTTTCTGATGATGGTGAATGGATGGCAACCGTAGATTTTCGTGACGACCGTGTATTTGCTACTGAAACGTATTTGAGGTTTTGGAGATACAATCTGGACAGTCGTGAGTTTGTAGCCAATACTCGTGTGGACTCGCCGCACGATCGTATCGTTACCAGCTTACGCTTCCAACCCCGTGTTTTCGGACAACCTTTGTTGGCTGTTACTGCTGGAGAGGATAAGCTATTCAAGATTTGGGAATTCGTTGAGCCTACTAATGATCAGGAAACTCGTAAGTAGTTTCTATCATTTACCGCCTATTTTTGTATCTACCTTGTCAAATCAGATTCTAATTAAGTTTATGCTGTGGATGGCTTTTGATTAAACTATTGACTTTTACAGCAACCTGGATATGCAGATCAACTGGATTTTATAAATCGTTTGTACCTCAAGAAATTGCCTTTTCCGAAGATGGATGTGTGATGGCCGTAGCTTTTGGATCTATTGTTACATTGTGGGATCCATTTACCAGCACTCATCAAATGTCTCTTGCATATCCACCTGCATTTGAGACTGTTACAAAGCTGTCCTTTGTCAAAGGTCATCCCATCCTTGTGGCTGCTACTCAGTCATGCATGCATGTGTGGAATGTGGCCACCACTACTGTGTTATGGAGTTTGCGTGCCAAAGTACTACAGCTCTTGGCAGATCCTTGTTCATCACAGTTTTTGATTCTAGCTCAAGATCTTGATGAAAATTGTGATGTTCAGCTTGGCATGTTTTCACCTTACTCTCCAGTTCCGGAATTTGCATATAAAATGTCTTCAAAATGCCATGGTGTAGTATTTTCACCAAACGCTAATGGATCACATATTGTTTATCTGGATTCCAAGTTTCGATTCCAAACATTTATCAAGAATGCTGCAATGGCTGACGCTCAGCACAAAATTGCAGCAGCAGAAGCACATCATATCGAGCAATCTCTATTTACCAGTATTTATGGAAATTCTGTTTATAATGGTTTGGATTCGGAAGAAACTCAACGGCGCTCTAATAAGCCAATTATGTCTAGCAAAGTAGTTTCCAATGCGGAAGATTTGGATGAGAATTCTGCCCTCTCCACCAAATCTGTTATTCATGCTCTCGGATTCCTTGAAGCACCTTCTCATATTGTTGCTGCTCCATCAAGGCTTGTTGAGCCCTTTATGGACCAATTACTTGCTCGTCGTATACCTGCTGATCTTACCAACGGAATGGATACCAGTCTTGTAACTGAAAAAGCATCTAGTGAACAACCTATCGCTGAAGTTGCTGATGTGGAGTTGATCGAATTGGACAATGTATCTTTCTTGGATACATTTTTTTCCAATCTGTGGATTACCTGTACCAAGACACGAGATATACCTGTGATCAAGTCCCTGGCGAATGGAACTGCGATGGCATCTCAAGATTCTTTCAAAAGCAGCCCGGTTTTTATAAACGAAAAAATGAGTCCTGATATGGCCTCAGTCAAGCATAGATCAAAAGCCAATGGTAGCGTATCCACTGTTGCTGGAACACCTCTATCGAAGCCAGTCCCTTCCAAAATTGCCAAATCTTCTGCAGTCACTCCAAGCAAGTCGTCAGATCTCCCCATTACACCCGACACTGCAAATGGTAAATTATCCACTGGAAAAAAATCCAAAAAGCGAACGCTGGATATTACCAAATAAATTCTTGTTGAATTGATTTTTTTTATTTGTAAAGCCTGTTGTATTAGATGTAAAAATGGATTGTCTAGACTATTTTAAGCATTGGCTTTTTGATTGTGTCAAGCCAGGTTTATTTCCGCTTTTTTTCATCTGGGTTTTCTGCAGCTACAAAGGGTTTTACTATTTCCTCGACCTGATGAGATGTGTTGGGTGGGGGACTATCGAATGGTATAGTTGGAGCCTGTCCAGACTTGTTTAAAGCAGCGTTGTCTACTTCAGGAAGTAGATCTATACTTGATAGAAAAGATTCATTGACTGCCAGTTGCATAAAGGATCGTATGGTGTCACGTTCATGAATGACTCGAGATACGCCAAATCCCTTGAGAGTGTCCTTCTATTCTCAATCAGCAGATCCATCAGTACATTGTAGAATATGATGTTAAAGACAATCCACACCACTTACTTTAAATTGGGCATCTTTTCGGCTCACGGGTGCATGGGTACCCAAATGGTCTGTTTTGGCTTGAAAAGCAAAGTACTGTACAAATAGTTTTCTCAGTTCATCGTCGCTTAAAGCGGTGTGCATGGCCATGGCAGTAGCATCACCTCTTGCATAATTAAATGAGGTTTTTTGAACCAACTCGATCAAGATTTCGCGATCAGTCCATTCATCCGAAGCATTCATCAAACCTGCTGTCAATGCCAAGCCAGCGAATATTACATATCTCAAAGCGTGCATTTGATTAAACTGTGAATCTGATAGGATGGGGATGGAAGTATCTTGTCTCGGAAAAACAAGATCAGACGAAAGGTACAAGACGTAGATATCGAAACAAGCCATACACCCAATGGCAGTTGCAGCGACAGTACGAGAAGAGTGTTTACGCCATACGATAGTACCACATCCAAACAAAAAGAAAAAGGTGGCATATTGGGCCATGATAGCAGAGGATGCACCAAAGAGATAGTCTTCACCGTCTCTACACCATGTGCAAGTACGAGCTACAGAGGGACCATATTTTGTGTAGTAGAGTCGTTTTGCATCAGATGAACGAAGATCGTCGTAGAGTTCATGAATGGCTTTGACGGTAGCCTTGGTAGAATCGGGTAATGAGGATGTTTCAGGCCATGGTGGATACGTAGAAGCCATGTAAGAACGAAACTGGTTACGCATTTCATGTGGTGCAGATTTGTCATGGATACGCAATACAGTAAGAAGGTCGGTCTGTCTACCATAGAAAGCTATCAAGATAAACAAGCCTGATAGTAAAAGTAGCCAAATGCTGGAACATTGGTCACTGAGAGTGTAAGGTTTAGGACGTCGAGTTGATAGTTTCTGGTTGCGGTTGGTTATGAATCGATATATTTTAGGAATGAAATAAGGCAGAGCAATACAAGCAACGAGTTCCATCCATCCTGACATGATGATGAACAAGTTTGTTGGAAATCGAAAGCGACGAGTTTCAGGTGGCAGTGGTAGAGTCCAGCCACCAATAGTCAAATCTATTGCTAATAATAGTGGTTGTTCTCTATATTCCTATCAGATTTGTGTAAAATACAACTCATCTCATTGAATGATCATCAATTTAATCATCAGTTGGATCATCAGTCTAATCATCAATTTGGATCATCTTCTGAGGATTGATATGGAAACAACAAACGTGTATCTAAATTCCTTGTTCTTGATTAAAACACAAGCGTATCTGTAAGTAATTGAGAATTTAATCGTTAGATTACAGAGTGAATCTACACTGTCAAACATCATAGTTTTTGTACGAGTGTTGTGCTGTAAGAGTTCAAGTTCATTTCCAAATCTAGTCAATATTTTTTATTCCAAACCAAAGCGCAAATCCAAAAGTATTTCTTTACTGAATCAACTGTAATTCAAACTCAACATGGTGTCAGTATCTTCATACCATATTTCCAACAAGGCATATGCCAAGATTCTCTTACATTCTGCAAAATACTCTATGGATCCAGTCTATGGTGTCTTGCTTGGCTCTCTTAATACTGACGGCTCTTCCGATGGGTCTGTTGTTGTAAGCGATGTAGTGCCCATGTTTCACTCGCACTGGATTCTCTCTCCCTCAATGCAGTTTGGCATGGAGCAGGTGTGTGCTCATGACTATCATTCTAATCCATGTCATGATCTAGTTGTCTTGCCATGAATCGTTCATCGTTTCTCTACTCTTGTTTGATTGAGCTTGTTCTCCATACTCAACCATTGCCTTGAAACTCTTTACATGATGATTGCTATTTGAAAACTATTTCCATCATCCTGGCCTGAATTTGCAGTTTCTGTCGACGATAAATATATTTACAATATTTATTCTTTGTATCATCAGATTGAGATCTACGCCAAACAGACTGGCCTCGCCATTGTAGGCTCATATTCTGGAAATGAACTTGCATCCACTCTATCAGTCCAGCCTGCAGTTGCCAAGGCTGCGTCAGACATTGATGCCCATTTCCAAGGAGGTGCTCTTCTTCTCATGCTTGATGTTGCTTGCATCAAAAAACAAACCTTTGCTGTCATTCCATTGACTCTTCAAAACACTACCTGGAAACCCCTCAACAACACACCAGCAACACATGATGATGATTGTCACTCTTATGCCATGGGATTAATCAAACGCAGTCTATATAATCAGATCTATGACCTGGATAACCATTTGGAGGACATTTCACTCAACTGGCTCACGAACAATGCCTTGAAGATTTAAATCTTTTATGATTACCACTGCTAGTTTAATATATGCACTGTTGATATTTTAGTATTGTTTTTATACTCGTCTAGTCTAAAATGTAAAATCAGATTGTAATACACGATCATTCTAATCTTTATTGCAATTCAGTCCGACTTTGAATTCAATTGGAAGATTCTGTTTGGCCTGCAACACTTATGCAGCCTACCTACGAAGAAGTATTCCGCTCTAGACCAAAAGTTGGAACAGACCGCATTAGTACTTCGATGTTGTTTGGAGATGTCACAACAGCACCAGTCGCTGCAAGAACCAATCTGGTTGAAGGCGGTCATTCTGCTAGTAATGCAACTACCAAGATGTCTACCGTACATACTAACCGGAGGTTAGATGGAAATGGTCGTTTGATAGAGTACAGTCATGATACTGGACGTAGCAACTCTTCAGGACCATATGATAATTACTACGATAGAAACTCGAGCATGTCCCAGTTTGATGAGCATCAGTCCAGATACCATCAACAAGGACTGTTTAGTAAGCACCCCAATACTACGGATATCCATGATGAACGGATGAGTGGACATCATGTTTGGGATCCACGACTGCGTTATGTGGATCATAATGGATACGCTGACTATCTGGATATCGGACATTCTGATGGCAGCATCAAGGATCAAGGCTATTCCTTGAACCATCTCAATGGACGCACACGACATTATGATGATACTGTCCATTCATCCATTCTGGAACACAATCCAAGGTACATCCCAACTGAGCCTACCTCAGCGTATTCTATCTCTAATCCATCCAATCAGACTCATCAGGATTCAACCTATCGACACACAAAGCATCATAATCAAAGCAAGAGTCGTGATCCTCAACACTATCCAGCTGGTCCAATAATGGGGCGATCTTTAGCTTACAATGCACCAGAAACCTCCTTGAATGATGTGCGTCGACAAGCCTGGACAACAGGGCATGATTCCACACAACCTCTGGATGGTCACAGTCGTCAGCAAACTATTGTACAAGATGTAAAGACGTTTAAAAAACAAGCAGTGAGTGTTCCTTTAAACATGCTGCCCATATCTCAACCACAGTATCAAGATGGTGATGAGCAAAACTACTGGGATGCTTCTTTAAAACATGGCCATTCTCATGAAACATGGACCAACCCAAAGAGTCGCGATCTTATCGACTCTCGACGTGCAGATATGGATCATTCTCATTTGATTTCGTCGCATGGTATCAATAGTCCAGCTACCATTCCTACAAAGTTCTTGTCCTCGGGTATGCTATGTACTTTTTCATCAATACTGCATCTATTTTGTGTCTTGAATCAAACGTGACTCGGTTTCTGACAATACTTTTATATTTAAAACCATGCATTAGTTGAGCCCACACATCCGATTCAAGGTCCTCACGACCCATTACAGTGAGTTTTACTGTTGTTGAATTGGTTTTTATAGTGTATTGCATTCAACGTGTTGATAGGATGCCTTTTGAATACCATTTACTTAGAAAGCAAGTACTTGACGTCACTGGAGATTTATCAGAGATGCTGCATTCTTCATCAGAAATGTTTGAACTGCATCAGGCTGAAACTCGTCTTTTAGAGGAATACAAGCTCAATGTTTCGAGTATATCCAACATATCGTCAAAAGTAGAGAAGCTACAACGACAGGTATAATTTATTCCGAGTTGTATCCAAAGTGTTTAAACAATAACAGTTTGAATTGTTGGGTATATTAGATGAAGGATATAAGACAATGCATACATACCATTATGCAGGCCGAGGAAGAACGGTATTTACCACAGATTATTCAATTGCAGGCATGGACACGTGGATGGATTGTACGCAATCGATTGAGACAACAGGGAATTGAGTTGGATTGCTGGCATCGCAATAAACCTGAATCAGACATTTCTGATGCTTACCTGGCTGAATTGAATGCAAAAATTCAACCAGCTACCACAGCAGTGGTCAAAATCCAGTCACTGTGGCAAGTTGCTTGGCTTAATGTTGAATTCAACATGTATTCACTGAATAGTGGTTGTCTAACATATGGGATGTATTGTGACGCGATATATTTGATAGGCGTGGATATAAAGAGCGACTGCGACTAGGACCGAGTTTTCGATTACAACTCATTCAAACAACACAACAAAAGAGACTACACAGTCTTTGTCAAGAAGTGCAGATGTTGCGATTGCAAGATACTCAGAGATCACAAGAGATGTTGCAATTAAAGCAGATGCTTGACATGGCACTAAAGCAGGTATTTACACCATGGTTGATTTGATTGTTTGGTTTAAACTGGGGTGTATGTAGAGTATGCGTGCTGACATGGTTGTATGCCAACTACATTTCCCACTTATTACATGTATGGTCATATAGATTGAAGCACTACAAACTACGCAACCCACTCCAATCGTGATACCACAAGATATTCCTGAGCATACAGATGACAAGACACACTCGATCAATCTGGTAGATCCGACTGTTTCTAATTAAGATTCTGATTCAAAGTACAGATAAATTGGTGGTGGTAACAGGGAAATATTAAGTTTTGGAAAGAGCCGAATATATTTCTTGTATCAAAGAAAATGGCAAGATTTGGATAAAGGGTGGTGAGTGAATTGAGAAGAGAAGCTCGCAAGTGATGTGAGATCAAAGACGAATCTACAGTTGGAAATGCAACAGATGAGCGTGGAACATTCTATCAAAAGAGGTATACACCAGCCAAAAATGCGACCAAGACAGCAATGATGATAAATGTGAGCGAAAGTGTGTCGTTCTTTGCTTTCATGCTAGTTTGACCACGTATAGCAGAAGGTTCGTTGGAAAGACCAGAGCCAGAAGCCTCAGCGCGACGTAATCGAACCTGAGAGAGTCGTTCAATCTCGATCTTGTATGCCTCACATGCAGACTGTAAGGATCGAATCTTTTCACGAGCATCTACAAGCTCTTGATCGGTAGTTGAATGTACTGAAGCAGTGGGTTTGACTGAGACCAAGATGGAGTTGAGCATGGATTGTACATGGAAAGAGTATAACAAAAAACAGTTGAAATGAGACACTATACACACAATAGCATATCAAAGACTCCATACCAGTACCACGCAATGGAGTTTGCTCATGAGCATCGTGAAAGTCGGAGACAGGAGCAGAAGACAGTCCAGACTGAACAGTCTTTGAGGGTAATGGCAAGGGTGGTGATGCATCCGTACCAACTGAAGCATCGAGTGCAGGCAAGAATGTACAGCGTAGCTTGCGTTCATATATAAGATTATCAACCATTGCGACAGTGTCTACATCAGCAGAACCACTATGAACAGCAGCCTTTGCTCTGTCAGCATCAGCCCATAAGGCAAGTAAACTCTGTTGCAGAGCATCGCCTTCCAAAGCCATCACATCGTCATTGATCACAATGGCCAATACTAGAAACTTGTCTCGACATCTGTAATTCAGAGGTGGATCTGTTCTCATGGCCTGTAGTAACACACTCACTTCACTGCTAGCACCAGGAAGTAACCTTCCAGAGTTGGGTCTAACACAGTATTGCTTTGGAGTGGTAGTACGAACTTTAAAAGCCATGGCAGCTGTTGGATGACTGTTGGTGATGACCAAGACCTGTTTGATAACATTGGTGAAGGGACGACGAAACTGCAGTTCCTTGTCAGGTTCAATGAGCAGATACTTGTTAGTTTCCATGCGTGAAGCAGCTGTACTGTTTGGATTGCTGTCGACTCCAGACATGGTATTTGATTGAAGAGTAGAAGTGGAAGAAACGTTGACATTGGTGAGGGTGGATGATTCGAATCTACTTTCCAAACTGTTCATGTCATCAACAAGTTGTACACAGAATTCAGTCTTACTAATTCAATCTATTTCTATAAAACTCTAGTCAAGTACAGATTTAAACTTGCAAGTCATTGCTGTTGGCTTTACGTTTACATTCATTTCCATCTGTTCGACTTGATAAATTTTTATTCTTTGTCGAGTTTGAAAAGCCTTTTTGTTAGATTAGGTTTACATCGACTGTTGTTTGCTTCTGGTTAGTGTTTGCATTCTATTCAGTTGTTTAGAATTCAACCTTGCTTTGGATACACTCCAACCTTGCTTTGGATACACTCCAACTTTAATGTTCTTGTTGCTGGTGTTTATGGTTTTATGGGTTTGTACTTTAAACATGTTCAAACTGCATTCATAATGTTACTCTACAACTATCCACCACTCTTCATGACCTGTATTGTTCCATCTACTTATCATATAGATTCATCCTACACTCTGCTTTCATATCAATAAGCTATCTAATTTACTCCTCAAATCTCGTCAAAATCTACTACTTTGTAAATTCATGTATGGCGTACATGACTAACTTGTTTCTGTAATTAGCATATACACTTCCGAAATCTTTTACGGAACTAGACTACTTGAAAAGGGTTAAATAGTAGATAATTATACTGTACTTGATGTACAGTCCTAATGCACTGGTCCACAATGTGGTCGAGGTGGACAAGGTAACCACTCGGCTCTATTATATTGTTTAATCTCATGTTTACTCTTTCTAGACCCCACATTGCAACGTTTTGTCTGTTTTCATATCAGTCGAACCTCCTTGATCTGAATTACGGAAAATTGCTTGTTTCTTTACTAATCATCTTGCATCTGTAATACATGTCGATTTGTCAAATATCAAGCTTTATGTACAGAAACTACGAGAAAGTATTGATGAAATGTTTTCAATCAAGCAGAATGCCATAGCAAATGAAGACTACACAACTGCAGACCAGATGCGGCTCAAAATTACTGCACTTCAATTCCAACTTATAAAAATGGAAGACCAATTCAATGCTGACGTTCTTACCAATATCATCACTCATTGGCAGACAGACCTGGCTACTTCCATTCAGACAGCTCTGTCCAATCCACTTACGTTTTCCAAGGCAAGAATATATAAATTAACCCGTTTTGATGGTCGTTGCATCCATTTTAATCTATATTTATCTATCTTTATGTTGATATGTATTAGTTTATTGGCGTCGGAATGCTACAAGCTCAGTTTCAAGTCGATCTTATCAATATCATTAAAACCATACCTGTGAATTACTGCGACGCTATTATTCGTTCTGTACTGGTTATAAACCCTCAAGAACTTCCAGACTCTCCAAAATCACCCTATGGCTGGGATTTTTTGTCTAAAAAGATTCCTACTTTAATATCCAAATCTAACGATGTCATTGATGCCGTGGTATGTTTTATTTTAAACAGTTGGAAAACTTCATTTTAATACTCTATAAACTAATTCGCATACCGTTTACATCTCAATCTCAGAGAGCAACCGTTACACTAGTAATTACAGATATCGTAAGTACCGTTCTTGGACTTACCACTAGCATGGACATTCGCAGGGAAACATACGATCTGGTGCTTCGACATGCATTCAATTACTTTCACTACATGTCGCTTCGTCGCATGAGCCAGGACATAGAAGGTCGCATTTTCGAAAAGATTTTTATTCGATTCTCCATTATTATTGGAGATATTTCTGACACTGCGTGAGTTGAACATTGTAATGTCAAGTATTGTACTTTGAAATGATAATTGATCTTATTTTATGGTGTGTTGGGGTCAGTAGAAATAGTCGTCGTGATATTTACAAGTTCACTCTTGGCTATATGGATCCTCAGAAAAAAATTACTTCTGAAGAAATCATTATGGTGCTTTCATCCATTCGCTATATTGGAGCAAAAGTAAATCGCACCGCTTTGAATGTTTCTTGTTCTAGTATGTAAAAACAATGATTTAGTCATATTTTAACACACCAGCATGATGTGCTTAGACCAAGACTGAGGATGAGGCTGTTGCATTGATTACTCTTATGCGCGAATTGATTAGTTTTCATGACAAATCTCGTAAAACCTCACTCAAAATTGCAGCAATCCAGGCACTGGAACGTTTGATACAGCCTCTCGAGTTTGGAAGTCAGTGTTTGGTTGGCGAACCTGCAATTTGGAACGAGGTACTTTTATTACTGGTCCAACACGGTCATTCAATGAACTAACAAGTCTATTTTTAAACCATGTTTTAGGTGGCAGATATTTACAAAAAAGCTCGAAAATGGTCGAGTAATGAGGATGAAAAGTCGTCAGCTCTTCATTTGCTTGTGATTATTCTAGTCAATGCTCGGTTTGAGTTTTTTGCGCAGAACATGGACAGTTTTCTCAACTCTGATTTATGTCCCAAAGGAAAAGTAAAATCTTACTCGTACGAGTGTATTCTTCAGCTGCTTCGTGGACGTTATTACAACGATACTCGCGAACACTGGAGAGAACGAGCTAATGGCACGTTTCACTTTGGTCATGCATACGGCAGTCTTACTCGTTCTCCAGAAGATCAGAGCTCTGGTGGTGTGGCCAATAGATTGAATGTGATTTGCGAGTTATTGTTTTTCCGGCGAAAAGGTCCTATTTTGGACGAACACCTTGATACATGTGTTGATATTGTTGTACAAATCTCTGCACACAATCTACAAATTGGACTCAAGTTGATTTCTGAGCTTATGAATACCAACAGCGTAGATAGTGGTCCTGATGTGTTTTACATTGGTGTTCGCGCTCTACGCACCATTGTCAATCCAGAAAGTGGATTTTCTAGCTTTGCCTACTGCCGATCTATGGACAATTTTCAAACTATTATCAAGGAATTTCCTTTTGACTTGGAGATCAATTTTACGCACATTTTAAATTATATCGACGTTCAGGTTGGCGTCGGTGTCGTTGGCACATCTGGACAGGTTCTCGATCCTTCTACCAACTCGACTGGGATAAAGCAAATTATCCCACTTTCTCGCAACTTTTCCAGTGAGCAAGGATCGCGCGATAATATTTTGGCTATGCTACACAATATTGAAGTCACTTCATCACAGACGTCGTCTTCCACCGATGACCTTGTTTCCACTTCGCCAACCCTGTCCATGAGCAATCTCAATCTGCGCGGATCAGTTGTATCTCCTCTCGCTCGTTCTGCCACTGCTAGACTGATGCGTGAAGCAGGACATGGAAGCAATCCTGGCTCACTCAGTCCGTTGGGAATGGCACAGCCGCTTACATCTGAACGCCGCAATTCTTCAATGTCACTGCTTGATACTTACAGAAACTCATATCGCCGTGATTCTCAGCTTGGAATGGGTCCATTGGTTTCACCCACTTTTTCCCAGGACGTATCTTCTAAAGAGTTGAATGACAAGGTTCACGCTACAATGAAGGAATGGTTTGAAGTTTGTCATGCTGACAGTAAACTACCCTCCAAGTATCATGTTGCGGCCTCCATGATAGATCTTGCTCGCGTCCGAAAGCGAGCAAATATAAAACTTAAACCTGAGCAGAAACTTTCCATCAGAGTGCTAAAGGAAGTTATTCGTACTATACCTTTTGTTCCTGCACCCGAGTTCATTGGTGGCAATCTTTTTATTGGGGTGTATCTTAACCACATTTTTGATGAGATTGGTGCCGAGGTTGCTGTTTCCTTGCGCACTATTTTTGAATTATATCCACCGCTTCGAATTGGTATCCTCAATGGATTTATGAATTATATCAAGAACTCGCTTTACCAAGACGACATTAGTATATGCACCATCATCAATTTTGTTGCACAACTGACCAGAATCTGGGTAGCTGACTTTGAGCAATCCGGTCCAGTAGATCAACGATCATTTTTGCGAGTGTCGTGCAAAGTAGATGCAGCAATTATTATAGGACTTTGCCGCGCTACGTCTCTTATTCGCAAGCCATGTCTTCAGATTATGTTGGACATGTACACGATTCAACAGACGTTTGAAACACATCAAAACACCATTCATGAAATGCCTCTTGCTGCTATTCTTGTTCAAATGGAAACTACAATTTGTAAACAGGGCATGTATGCCTTTCTTGAAAAGTGTCTAGTCGGTCATTTGATATCTCCACGTGTAGCAACTTCATTGAGAACTCTTACGTTCTTGGATGTAGCTTCGAGCGACTATACGGTTCTTTTTCGGTATTACCTTGGAGAATTAGCACAGAGATTTGCCACTTACGGTCGATCCAAAGCCACCCGTCATTGTGCCAAATTTCTACGACTATTGGCTATTCCCATGATCAAGTCACCTCCTGGAGCCAATAATGCACCTGCTGAAGATATAGCTAGATTTTCTGCTCTTATGGTGGTGTCGATGGCTCTTTCTGGCGTACCTCTTGTATCAGAAGTTGATTACATTTCTTTGAAGCCTCAAAGTGTAAGCGATGAAACTCTTTTTCATTTAATCAAGCCAATGCTTTCGCAAATTATTGCTAGCGAGACATTTGTTGAAGTCAAGCCTGTTCTCGACAGTGTTTATTTCTTACATCGTGGTATGATGCAGCTCTTTGTTTCGGAGCTATTACAAAATTACTCTGAAGTGCGTCATAATTCAGCCAAAGTGATCAACAAACGCTACATTGACAATATTATGTATGCGCTTAGACGTTTGTCGCAGAGCCCGGGGTTGGATGCGGCGATTGAAGATGAGTCTGTTCTGTCTTTATCTCTAAGCGACATGTTTGCCGAGTTTATTACTCTGGCCTGTGTTCCATTAAGTGATATGAGTTTTCTTAATACTGGTCCAGTATGGCGTCTCAAAACAGCTCTCAACGTTTGTGTTGCTGTTCAGCGATTTGCCGAATCGCTTTCTGCTGTAAAGCGATCACTGCAGCGACGCGTAATTATTACTCAGGATCTTACTGAGCTAGAGCGGTTTGAAAAGTCAACATGGTCTACTCAACAGCGTCGCTTGGTTATTTCTGGCATGAGAGAATGGTATGAGATTGTGCTTGAAATCTCACCTTCTATACCGATTACCAATGATACTCGCAGATCGGTCAATCTGCGCAGAAAGTTGCTTCGTAAAGTGGGTCTTGCAACTGAAAGGGTGTTGAATTTGGGAAATGTGTTTATCGACGAAGCTATCCCTAGTGGGATTCTTACATGGCTCACTACATTGGAGACCAATGGATACCGGGTATTCACACCAGACTTTCTGTACGGGTCGGAAGAGGCTCTTGGTACTGTACTTGCCAATAGCTACAGCAGTGTTGGGGTACACTCGCAGGTGTTTTTTGAAGCTATTTTTGAGCAAATTTTACCCCAACTTGACGAAAACCCTCGACTGCATATTTTTGGCGACAACCGCCGCATGTCCTATGCTGAAGACTACTTTGCTGGCATGCATTCTTTGCCATTGAAAACTCAAGAAGGTGATTCGCCAGCACTTATCTATCCTGACATTAGCCGTATCAATGCTATTAGACTTCGCCAGCACTTTGGCTCTTTACTTTTTTTTGGATTATTCAATCTCATGAATGTCAGCAAGGTCGTTCGTAGTCGGTCACTTGTATTTGTTCGAGAACTTTTAATTATGTTTTGCGCAGACGACTCTTTTGATGCGCATTCCTATTTTTCAGATATTACTGGCGCGTTTTATTCGGGAAGTGGAAGCATTTTGCGTCCAAAGATTTTGGATATATCCATCACCATGTCTACTTTGTTTGAGGCTGATAGTGGTTCGTTTTTATGGGAAGCTGTTCGGTGCTTTCGTAGTGCTCAAAATCAAACCACGGTTAGCACTCTTGTTCCAACGCAGCGATGGGTTATGGAGCTGATTATTCCCTGGTGCCGCTTTGCTGATTTCACTTCTCTTAGCGACGATGTTGTCAATGCCGAGTTTTTCAGATTCATGATGGATGTTGCTTTTACGGCAGGAAGCGAGCATCATGATTACATGCATACATGTTGGAGCGAGATATCAAAAAGTCCTCAAAATGGCTCTATCAACACGGATATAATGATTGATTTTGTTATTCAAGTATCTGCTCGATTTGACCAGTTTCGCAACGAATCGTTGGCGTTGATTTCGACACTCTTTAGTGCACATCCAGAAAATGTCGCTGCTGCTCTAGCTTATCATTTAAAGTCGAGTGCCTTTCCATGGCGTGCAGATGGTGGATCTTCACGTAAAGCCTTGGCTCCACATCTTAGAGACTATATTGCGCTGCTTGAGACTTCGCTTCAAAGCGAAAGCCCTCGCAACTTGTCCACAAATGACTATACACTGTTGTGTCGTTGTGCAGTTATCTTGGCTGCTGATTTACTTCGTCAAGGATTTGGCTTTTTTATTCCCCATATCTCTGTGCTAGTCAATTTTCTGCTGGTACATCTTTCTGTTCGGTTGCAAGATCTTTCCCCTGCCACCATTCTTATTGTTGGTTTGGTGGAAGGATTTGTCGCTTGGAGCCACGAAACAGGAAATCGAAAAAATCCAGATTTTGTCCCAGCTTTGGTGAATATTCGAAAACTGATGGGACTATTTGAAGCCCGTGACTGCGAAGTTACGTGGGAGTTTATGCCTCCTAATGACTCTATATTATCAGACTTGCCATCGATTTGGAGCAAAGATTTTGTGGATCTCATTCTTGGTATCTTTTCTTTAGTGCGGCCATCGATTCGCCAAGAAATGGCAGAGGAGGTGCTTTTTTGGATAAACGAAGGGTTTTTGAGCAGCTCTGTTACCAGCCGGGCTTTGGAGGTGTACTACATGCTTGTTGCTGACACACCGCTTCCCGAAGATTTGCTAGATCCATTTACTGGACGTATTTTAGACCACCTGACGATTTTGATGCAGCTAGAGGGTGATGTAATGTCACAGACTCTTAAAGCGGGATCCGAAGACAAACTATCTGCTACTGGCTGGAGTGCGCTTTCCAAAGGAAAGGTTGATATCAAAATTGGCACTGCTAAAGTGATATTTGGTATCATGCAAGTGCACGGCATATTGATGCGCAAGTATCAAGAGCAAGGCTGTCTAATTGAAAACGGAGAACTGTTTTGGCCCACTCTTGGTTTACTTTACCTTCCTGCGGACGAGTTTAGCGACGTGTACATAAATGCCATTGATAATTTGATTTACTTTATTGCAAATGCTGGACCTGGTTTGAAATCACCAGAATTTTTGGATCCCTTTACCTCTCATCTTGCTGAACGATTTCCTGGTTTACAACAGATTCTTATTCCTGCCATGTTTTGCAAACATGGACTTGCACAAGCCAAGTCATTTGAACTGCTTTTGCTGGCTTGGTTGCGACTTTCCGACCAAATTGTAGATTCCAATGAGACCGGTACTCTATTTATTATTCTGTACACATCTCTTTGGATTTTCTCAAATCTCTGCAATCTCGGCACGGATCCAAACCACATTGCCACTAATGTGCAATTGTTTAAAGAAGCTCTTGCATTAAAGAATACTAACGCGTTTGCCGAGGTGCACCTTTGTTTCCAAACTATTTTGGACGCCATCAACGCTGACCAGCACATTACCGAAACCATGTGTGACGAGCTCTTTGAACGCACCATGACCAGCTTTATGTCTGCATTTATCCCGGAATACATCAACAACATATCTGAATTTCTTGTGCAAGCAATCATGCTTGAGGGTACGTATGGTCGATTGGCATTGAGAATGGCTGGAGTGCTATGGTGCATGACTGCTCCACAAGGCTTCCAGAATATTGGTTCGTTGAGAAATCTTGTGCGGAGACTACCGTTCCATGGAAATGTAAAACCTGAAACAATGATGCTATATCGCTCTGTGTTGCAGGATAAGTTTGAAGGAATGCCTGTGAAGGATCTTGACTTGGTTAGTCAGGGTCGTATAGAATCATTTCCCGATAAGGAGCCCATTGTTGGTAGTGTAAAGTAAGTCTATTTCTGATCTGCGCAAGTATATGATTTTTTGTAGATGAAGCTAACATTATGATTGTCACTTGATTAGAACTGCGTCCATGTGGTTCTCTGTTGAACTTGGTATCAAGCCCAGCAACACCATTTATACTGCTCTACTGAATTAACATGAATGATTCAAACTGACTATTAGAAAATTTTGAAAATCTTACAATTTGACTGTGGATAGATTGATTTTTAACTGGCTACGGTCAACTTGCATTCAATTAAATTGCCTTCATTTAAACCGATTTCTAATGAACAATGAGTTTTTTATTGACCTGATTTTATGTTTTCTAATGGTAATCTGGTTGTAATGTCATTATTTTGAAATAGTATAATATTTAGATCATTATGTTTTGTAGCGGACCTAAAAATGGGTTTCAACCCTCTAGGCAATCAGCAAAATAAAGTTTTATCAACATGCGTGACAATCACAGAGTGATGATTGAATCAAGACATTGTAGATGGTATGACTACAAGTGAAGTGACGACGGGTGATAAAGAGGGAGGAAATGGAGAGATAACATCAGTAGATTGTCTACTGATTTGAGTGACAAAACATCCATTGCTCATGTTTCGTGTCCGCAGCGACAATCTGATGTATTAACACAAGGCTTCATCTCTACAATCTATACGCTAACCTGAACCAATCGTGCAGTGCTGTTCAAAACCTCTTGCTTTCAAAAGATGTAATGAATAAAAAACGCGGCAAAGCGCGCAGAGATAGTATAGTGGCAGTACTCCACGTTGTGGCCGTGATGGCCCCGGTTCGATTCCGGGTCTCTGCAGTTGGTTTTTCATTTTGTCAGTCATGTTTTTGGTTTAGTTCCAGTTGACAGCTCGAGTTGAAGCTGTATTCATGAAACCAAACCATTTCAAAGAAAATGGAGGTATCAATGCAAGATACAGTCTTCATTCTACGCGTACAACTGCAAACATTCACATTGTTTTAGATCCATACTAAAATACGACTTTATTTGGTATGTCAAGCTATTTAGCCTTTTGGGTTTCATACATACGTGAATATCTTCCAAGAGCCCAGACAGGGAAAATAAACTTGTAGTTTGGGTATGAAATCATACAGTTCTAAATATAGGCCAAAAGTACAAAAGATTGAGTACACATAGCATTTGAATACAGGATACATGAATTGCAATGACACATACCTTGTTAAAAACACCTTCAATGGCTTCTTGTGGCCATTCGCCATTGGGTAATTGTCTCGACATAATCAGCTGTAAATGAACATAATTATCAAGTTAAACTACTAATGTACAAAAAAGCATTTGCTTTAAAAGACTTACAGCAATAGCTCGCTTGATAGGAATAGCATAAGGGTATTTAGCACTCAAAAGAGCCAGTACAGCCCAAGACGTTTGCACCACCTGAGATTCTTCATGATTCACCCATTCGCCAATCTCACATGCTCTGTAAGATTCGCCCCATCCGCCATCCTCCATCTGTTTTTCGATTAAAAAGCTACACGCTAGTCGAAGATGATCACTTGTTTGATAGGTTTCGCCTACACTTGAAAGAGACTCGATTGCAAAAAACATGGCATAGGTAAAGCAGATTCCCCAGCATCCAAACCATGATCCATCTGGTCGCTGAGATTTTCGGATAAAGCCAATAGCTCGATCAATCGTTCCGTCAATCTCTTGACGACGGTGGTCAGGATACTTTTTGCGGAATGAAGAAAGACCAAGTAAAACAGAAGTTGTGCATTCCGTATAACTGTACTCGACCATAATCTTGCCAAACACTTCGGAAGGGTTCAAGACTTCCAACCATTCTGGTCCACGCTGAAGCTCATAGCTGGCAAAGCCTCCATCCGGATTCTGCATGGTTAAAAGAACATTGATGGCATCAAACAAGCGATCATTGGAAATAGTTGGTTTGATGTAGCTGGTTGATCCAAGTACACGCAGAGTAGGATAAGTACACACGTTTTTTATTCAAACACAATAATGCAGCATTGGTGCTTACCTGAGTTGGTCATGTATAGCCAATACACTCTTGAGACTTTCAGATGTGCAGTCAGACACGGTGTAGCTCTGCTCACGGGTACTAAATGGCCAAGCACCCTCGGAAATATGGCGGTAGCATCGCTGATAGTCCTTCATATTATGCCTGATCTGTCCAGGTATCAACGACAATAGATTGAGTGGGTGTGTTTAAAAAAGCGAATATAAAGCATTGATACACTACCTGCATATCATCGAGAAATTCGTATGAACGAGTCAACATATCTCTAAATTCAAATTCTTGAGCAAGACCTAATAGAACCCATGTGTCAATTTAGATGTGTTGGGTTTATATTTTCCAGCTACTCATACAATTGAAATCAACATACCTGATTCGGCAAATGCCTGAACTGCAAAAGCTGTATCCCAAAGTTGCGATCCGTTGGTGCCATTCATCATCATTCCTTCCTTTGACATCCACATGAAATCAGGAATACGAGCCAGATGGTTTTTAAAATTGTCTGAATCTGCGCCATGCACTACAAACGAAACAAGAAGGTTCATGACTTTGTTGACTGGTCCCAGATCCAGGAAATTAGTGTTTTCATCCTCCATGTCAATCTGTAAGAGTGTTTCTTTTAGTGCCCTGGATCTGAAGATACCATTTGGCAGACATTCGTAGATCCCTACTAGATCTACCATTTCAAAAGCATGTCAATAATTTTTGTAGTCTCAAGACATGGAACCCAACATAAAGGAACGACTTACAATTGACAACATCTAGAAACTTGCTGTGTGGAGAGTAAACGTCCACCTTTGCAACATTATTGCGTTGTTGTGACCAGTTGATCTGATCATAGTCAATGATATAGAGTTCCTAGACAAGACAATGTATTGATTTCAGTACTATTAGATAGTATAGGGTTGAATCGAGTCGCGATGCTCTAAAATCGAAAAGCTAATATCCAATATTTAAATCTACCTGTCGCAAGCTGAGAATCAGATCGTCAACCTTGGCTTGGAAGCGTACCCCATAGAGGTATCCTATTGGCAAGTAAACTAATTGACAATCGACATCAATATTTGATTCCAACATCACAACAATCATACACAGCAACATTACCATTTCGAGTATGACACCACATTCGCCCTGAATGGAACGGAATCATGTACGGCAGAATCCTAACAACACAGCGTGAGTGAGGATTGGAATCAACAAGACAGATTGCAATAAATCGTACCAAAGCTCTGGTGGAACCGGATTGTTTCCACTCCATTCATACACATTCAACACGGACAACCAAAACTTTCCCCATGCAGGAACACCCACAGCACCACCTGTTTCAAGGATTACAGTTTGGTGTATTAGAATTCAAATGGCTTGTAGCACACCAAGATGACTTGGAACAAGACACATACCAAGACGCCAAAGAGTCAGTCGAGCTTTTTCACAAACAGGATCATCCAAAGGCACACCCAAAAGACGCAAGGCAACGTAGTTGAGCGATGTTCCAAAACAAGTGGATACACCCTCAACATGACTAGACACATTCAAAAGACAAGTTGTGAGTGTCAGATCTAGAGTTTAATGATACGACTCGAGTCAGACTCAGACTTGCATTCCCCAACCTCCGTCGGTTTTGTTGGCCTTGTTTTTTAAATAGCGAATGAGTTCTTTGACATATCCGGGAGGATAGCTTGCACCTGAGATATACATGGCAATCACCAGCCCAGGGATCAGGAACATGGGACCACCATACTCGCCAGCAAAGTGGCCATCTGGAGTCTGGAGTTTTTTAAAAAATTGCATGCCATTGCGAGCTGATGCAATGGCTGTAGTGGGGTGATCAAGGACAGTGTCATCCTGATTGAATAGTTGTACATGAATCAAGGATTAATATGAATGGATTCATGGTCATTTTAATCATGAATGCATTTCATTATATAGCATGTACCTGTAAGATACCCAGCCAGTACTTGTCAAACGTGGTTTGTGGCCAAGCGTTGCGTTCTTGTTCCGTTTGAAGATAATGCCAAGTTTGAGCACCATGACTGACCTTTAGTCTCCAATTCAAAAGGTCAGCAGTGTTATCGTCTGTCAAATGTTGGGCCATCATTGAATGTAATGGTAAAATCGAACATTCAAGCACAGCTATAAATCAGTAAATTTCGGATTTCCGACTAGATTAACTTCCGAACAAGTTTTAAATGCCAACATAATGTATTGGCTCTTTGCAAATAATAAATGTTTATTACTTGAACTGTATTGCAGAGATAAATCAAGAATCCAGTAGCTTGAAATGAGGTTCTGAGCCCATGGTGTCAACTAATCTGACTTGATATCCACCTTGGATAGCTTCACAATGGGTTTAAGCGAGTCTGCAGTAACCATATGCCTCAGATCTTCTTGGTGGATAACAATCCGATCAGCAAAATGATGGTTCATATCTCGGTGGTTGGCTTCATCTGCACGAACAGCCAGCACAACATCACGGACTGTAGCATCTTCTTTCAAGTTCCAATAGTCTATAGCGAGTTTTGGAGCGGGTCCGTTGGGGATATTTCCAGCATCGATTTCAGCTAGGAAATGAGTGTACGAAATGATGGCTTCTTCCTCAAGATAGCCTACCATGCGATGAGCCGTTTTAGGAAAAAGCATATAAGCCAAAAAGTACACATTGAAGAACAAGGTCTGTACAAGGGCAACAAGCATGCGTTCGAAAAGAGAGGGTTGGCACACTTTCATCCAGGTCAGGAGATGCAGACGCTCGTTCTCTGCCTCAGAAAGAAGGTGTGAGATCCAGCCTCCATCATGTCGCTGTTGGATAGTGTAGTCAGTAGCGGTTTAAAGACCCACACCATGCTTACAATTCTAAACAGAATATCCTACCATCAGTCGCAAGCTAGTTAGATGACGTAGCATGCCAGCAACCATTCCAGGCACAGCAGCAACTGTCTCCAAGACTACTGCCCTATGGACATATTGCTTTCTAAAGAACAGATCTGCAAAGAAACGCAAGAAACGCACGATGCCATACGCAGTCCAGTCAGAGATGGACACTAGCAACAAAGGAGTGTCAAGGGTCAAGGTGTCTCATGTACAAGCAACACTCATAAGCAATCTAAACCTAAAAGATACCTGGAATGCGATGAAGACCTGCGCCTACTTCGATCTTTTCCAAGGTAGCGGTATCAATAGGAGTACTACCAACAAACTCTGACCGGATAGGCAAGGGATGGTGTCGTCCAACAAGCTTTTCCATGTTGGCTGGATCTGTGGGCTGCTCTGCAACATGGGCTTGGTTATGGACAGTCTTATTCCATGGCTGAGAGAGCAGGGATGAGGGTTTGCTACGAGCAGAGAGTATCCAAGGTTGTGTAGTAGTAATCAAGGACCTAGCAAGCAGTGGTTGGGCACGGACGCCCATGGACGAAATAGCGAGTCTCGAACCAAGACGGCTGGCTGTTGGCGCCAATGAGGCTAATCTGACGATGGATGATGACATGAGTTGAGTTGCTGCAAATTGCCTGACTTGATATGAATAGTACTGAAAAGATTCACTCCAAGCATTAAATACACCAATTCACACTGACAATGGTCATTATTCATCTTTATTTAGTCATCATGACTGCCTAGTCTAGATTTATGTATTAAATCACTGCTCAGTTATCGTATGGTTCTCAGGGTCGCTCAACCGTTATTTACCGCTTGCCAATGCGTTGATGAGTAACCAACAATGAGTTACGGCCGTGTTCTCATAAAATAGGTATTAGATAAGAATACAAAACTATATGATAAAGCCACAATATAATTTCCTTCAATCTTACTGGTCAGCATGGACCCCTTACAATTCACTGATCTTGCTTTTAAAAACAGTTTTTGTACTAGTCCATTCCACACTTGTTGAATCTTCAACCTTCTAAACTAAGCATTGGGTGGTTGGCATGCATTGTTACATTGTTCTTTTAAACTAGAGCGTGAATGTATCGGATGATTTAAAATACATGATTTTCTAAAGTTGTATTGAAAGCAGTTGATCCCAATATCTGCATTGCAATCCATCAAAAGTCAAGAATCTCAATTCAAATTTATACTTTGTATTATATAATGAATATAATAAATGTCATGTTGATCAAAACTCTCAATTTTTAATAGAAAAATAGTAAAGAGTTGACCATTGTTTATTCCAAGGAAAAATAGACAAAATCTGAAAGATGAATACAGAAAATGCTCCATTTTACGTCAATACGATACTAAAACTTTGATCCATGCTTGAATGATTTAATCGTCCCATGATTCATCATCATCATCTGAGAGCTGGAAACTAGCAGGTTTTCGTTGCTGGGAATGCAGTCGTGACCCTTCCTGACTCTTACTCTGGTGTAAATGTATTGCTGATCCTGCATGTTTGGACGAGTCCATTTTATAATTCATAGATGTCATCCCACCAAGTGCTGACATGGCAGATCCAAAGCTACGTGCACGACGCACTACTCCTTCCCCATTCGTCCCGTCACCAAACAAACTACCAGAGGTTGAAAGATAGGAAGATACTATGCTCAACATACTCGATGATTCGCTAGATGTCCAAAGCTGTCGTGCAAGTCGTGACTGTAATAGCTGCTGCTCCTCATGCGCGTGTTCTAGTTGCTGCTGTTTGAGTTTCTTTTGCTCAATACGTTGTTTAAACCACATTCTCCATGACGAATTCTCTATACGACGAAGCTCATCCGAATCTGACCGCAACTTGGAAAAATGTTTCCAAGTGTCCACAATGTTGTTGTGCTTGTCTGCAATGGCTTCAATCATATCCTGTCGACGATCAGAATCATTCAATGCTACAAGAACTCGGTTTTTGGAAAGTGTAGATGCATTGGTTCCATCGTATGAAGGACTTTCAGGAACAAACGGTGATGATTCTGAAAAAGAGTCTTGTTGCGAAGCGCAATTGGGAGAACTATATGATGACCGTCTTGTATGCCCATGTCCATGGTTACCATTCAATCGTTTACGAAGTACTGCTCCGTATCGAGTTTGCGAATTTTGTTTCAATTGTGCTCTTTTCTCCACTGGCGGTGCATAATTCTATATATAAAGTTAAAAACTATCAAACTAGATTTAAAAAATAGCATCGGGTTTACCTTGAAATATCCATCCCATGACAAATTCTTCAACTTTGCAACAGATGAAATTTCAGCCTTGACTTCGTTTGAAAATTCCACGGCAGTCTGACCTTCACGCAAACACCGAGGTTCCAAGTACCACACATCAGCAACCAGGGCCCACCGAGTCATAAGGTAAAGTAGATGATATGTAAAGGACTGTGTTTTTGAATGCCAATACGCATCTGCCCAATGCTTGTTGTATCTAGATGACATGATTGAATACATATATAAGACTGTTGAAAACTAAATTAAAGCAGATAGACAGTAAACATGCATACTTGATGGCTACAGGAACAATAGCAGCATTTAATTCAAATGCACCCTTGTGGAATAGTACAGTATATTCATTGTTGACACAGGTTCCCTAATACATGTGTAAACATCAGAAATGAGACCAAGATACATCTAGACGTGTCAGTCACGATAAAGAATGCAGCATCATACAGAGTTGTATTTACCTCTGGAAAGATTAGCAGTGGAACATTTTCTGGATTGGCAACGTGCTCGCGCATTCTATCAGTCAAGAAAAGAGTCAGAGTCAGATGGAGTCGATTCAATCAAAAAGAAACATACTTGCGAGCAAGAACGGATCGATCATTCTTTTCATTCCGGTTGAACATGAGAGATCCATTTAGGGTCAAAACAGAATGCTCAAAGTAACCAATTAGTCCACCGTGTTTTTGAGCCACAGTGGCATGAGGAAATTCATTTGCGCTTAAAATGACATAGTCAATGACAGACGTATGGTTCGACACAAAAATATGAGGCTCGGTAAGTCGAGGTTTTGTGCCATGGTATCGGATACGTCCGCCCCATGATGCCACAAAGGCTTTACAATAGTATTTGAATAATCTGCGCTGCCATAGCTCATCGTTGAGATAAAGCACAATGGGTAAAGCCATAAAAAACAATGCTGATGCGGTCAACATCAACATCACCCTTTTAGAATAGTTAGCTTGATGCTAAATCGAATGATTACAGACCAGCAATCGCAAGTATTACCTCAATGGAAATAAAATAAAGTAACGGATGAAGCCATCCAACAGTGAGATTGGGCCATTAATGAAAAGAGAGCCAAATGAATTCCGAGGCTTTTGAGCAAAACACTTTGAAAACTCGTCCTAATAGCGGATTGACACGTATCAAGTCCAATATGAAGTATTACCCAGCCGATACAAGATAAAGCCGTTGAATTATGAATCCAATACAGTATGGTAGCAGATTGAAGCAGAATGGTTAGTATTTAAAAAAGGATTAAACTGACGCCAAAATCAAAAGGTAAAGTTGAGCGAGTGTGGGGTAGAATGACAATATAGTTGGACTTGAGACCAATACAGGAATTGATAGTAAACCAAGACTAGATGACCAACAGTTTATAAACATGACAAAGAACATGCATTGGGATGCAGTCACAGATCCAAAACAGTTGCATACTTGAGCAATGGCCTGTGCGCCATAAGCCATGAATGCAAATCCATCCTGCAATACAAATCTAGTGATATCAGCACATTATCCAAAGACCAAATTAAATTATTAGCTGCAAATGGATGTACTCAAGGCATATAAGATGATTAGAGCTGTTACCCAGGATTCAACTTGATATGATTTCGTTGCAACTTTTCTTCAAAACCGGGCATGATATCATTTGACGGATGGCTAGTACGGGCTCTTTGAGCGAATCGAGCAACAGCAGCAGAACTCGTTGCACTCGTAGTGCGGTATGGTGAAGTGACAGCAGTTGTAGGTTGAGAATCAACCATCGTTGGAGTCATGAAATGGGAAGGATGCTTTCGTTGATCGATGGTGGATTGAGTGGATAAAAATCTGAATTGCTTGTTGGGAGTAGAATAGTCGGTAGAGACCACCAAAGGCAATACAGCAGCTGGAGGCATTCAGCAATACTTGCACTACGAGTCAGTTGTAGATCTAAAACGAGTGTCAAGAATGACGATTGTCTAGCTGTAAATCAGCTCGGATTTCCAGCTCGGATTTATTTCCTTTGCAGCACGTGTGCTTGAGTCCTGTCAATGCTTATAAGGTGATGGCTTAGAATAAAGGTTGTCAAGTGTAAAATGACCCGCAAAACCATCAATTGAATTTAATCCCACAACTGCTTATTCACTCGGTTTTACTGCCTTATATTCTAAATTATTGCACGCTGTCACCACGTGTTATGTAGAGAAGGAGAGAAGTTCGGCAGTCCCCAGGGCATGGACGGACTCGACCTCAGAGGTTGGATTTCACTCCTGAATTTCCCTGCACGAAGGTCTTGCAGGGAGCGACTTTGTCCAGATTCACACACTAGAATCTGGTCCTTTTTTTAGTCTTGTTACTGGATCGTAATAATACACTGTCTAGACACTTGTTAATGGTCTGCTAATAAATACCAAATGCTCCATTTACACGGTTTGCATTTATTAATCAACTTCATTTGTCGTTTTACAAATCGCTGTCTTTACTTGTCATTGGCATCATAGTAGGCTGGATTGATGGCAAGAACTGGATCCTCACTCAGTGCAACTCCTTGTTCATCTACTGATTCCTCTGTAAGACGGGTTTGGTCCCGAATCTCCATGAGAATGTTTTCCTATTCAACACTACATCAGTAACTGTAAAAATAACCCAGGCATTTATACATTACTTACTTTTTTCACAAGTCTGGACAACACGCTCTTGATGAGCATAGAATGATGGACAATCTCTTCTTCGGTTTCAATCGTGTTGGCATCTACTAGCATCTCAATGTACCAGTTGATCAAATCAGATTTGGTCATGCCCGCATCAGCACTATCACGTCCTCGGCGACGAAGCTGCAATAAAACAGATTGCACAATTTTTTGATATTCTTCTTGAGATAAAGTAATCTTGTTTGGTGCTACTGCTGGAGTGAGTTGCTGCGATGCCTAGTGTCATCAAAAAAGTGAATTCTTGTAAATATTTCATGACTAGACTCACACAACCGTGTTTTGAAACCAAACTGTTTCTTTTGGCACATCACTCACTTCTTCTGGTCGCATGATTCCAGGTACCGCAAAGTCTTCATCTTCAAGTGGCACAGACTCTTGCTCTACATGAACAATCGAAGTCTTGAGTAAATGCGCAGCTTCGGTAACATGACGAATCAGAATCTACTTGGACAAAAATAAAAAAGAGTTGGTAATCCCAGGTTTAAATCTATCTTGTAACCAGCATAAAAACAAACCTCTGGCTCGCAATGCACCTTGGCAAGCGCTTCAGACAAACGAATCATACTCTCAAGCTGACGAACAGTAATGCGGTACGATGATCGACTAACACCTATACAAACGTTTAGTTTTAAAACACATTCGTATAAACGTGAGTAAACTACATACCAGTGGCATCGGCTTGACGTAGATCACGGTATTGTGATACTAGATACTCCATGGCTTCGTTTGTCAGCTACAGTTGCAAGTTTAAAAATAAATATCATTTAGAAAATTCTCGTTTATAAAAAGTCTTTGTTTTTACCTTGGGTTTCAATGCACGAGCATAAGTCAAGTATCGCTTAAGCTTCTCGGTAGATATTTCTGGCACAATGCCTTGCTCTTGAAATCGATGAAAATTGATGATGTGCTGTGCAATACATAAATCAGTCTGTTCGTGGCATTCGTCTAAAATAACAAAAAACAAATCAAACCGAGACATGATGGGTGGAGACATGGCAATGTTTTGCTACAGAATTAAAAAGTATATTTTGTAAGAATGTTTGATCTACAAAAATATACTGCTCAGCATCGAAAATGTACAAGATATTCATGAACCTACTTTAAGTGATAGTTTCTTGTCATACCGTCCATATATGGGATTAGCAGCAGCTAAAATAGATGTTCTTGCGTTAAGAGTGGCTTGAATGCCGGCTTTGGCAATAGAAATGGTCTGCTGTTCCATCGCTTCGTGAATAGCAACTTGGTCCACAAGATCCATCTTGTCAAACTCGTCAATACAGCAAATGCCCTGATGATAACATATTGTCAAAAACTGTTAATAAACAGGATCTGCTGATTGTACAAACCATTTTAGCAATTAAAACCAACACTTGCATTGTCAGCAAGCATCAACGCTCCTGCTTCAATTGTAAATTCGCCAGTCTCTTCGTCCTTGACAACAGAAGCAGTCAAACCAGCAGCACTCGATGCCTTGCCAGACGTGTATATTGCACGCGGCATAAAATTGGACACATACCTATACTTGTCATAGGATCGATTAGATTGTCATAAAATCAGTGTAGACAAAACATGGCAACTGATATAAACTATTCAAGCAGATTTTTACTTGAGAAACTGAGATTTGGCAGTACTTGGATCACCAACAATACAGACATTAATATCACCACGAATACGAATTCCCTCAATTGTAGTCTTGTGAACACCTCCCATCATTTGCAGTAAAACACCCTTTTTGATATCATCGTGTCCTAAAGTACAAGACACAGTTTAGTATTAACAGTCTGGTTCTGACCACCAGCATCTGTCTTACCATAAATATGAGGAGCGATACTAGACGCAAGCTTTTGGTATATACGGCGATCTTGGTGCATAACACGAATTTCATCAAGCTGATCTGCAGAAAACTGGGCAATAGCAGCAGCAGCAGGATCCTCTTCGTCATTCATATCATGCAAGGCATTCAATGCATTGCGCATTTCTCTAGGCTGAACAAAGCTAGCAAGAAACACCATTTTGTACGTCAGTTCACGCACGCCAAGTGCTTTGAGACCAGTAACACCATCTTGGCCAAATCCATCTATTATTACAAGTGTGAGATTCAGGTATAAATTAAACACACATTAGTACAGAATAGTTTGTCATCAATCAAATAAACCTTTTGGACGACCGCCAGAGTTGTCTCGGCGAGACTCGACGCGATTACCTAATCATTCAAAAAATGCCATAAATAGCATTTTGGTTAATTAAACAAATGCGTAGATCAAATATGCAGTGTTGTATAGACTACCCACCAATCAACTGAGATACATCTGGAACGACAATTGGCATGCCAGTAATAATAATCTTGTCTCCAGCCTTGGCACGTTCAACAATCTCGTTTCTCAAAATCACATCCAAACTACGAGGCATTGCACCGCCAGGCACTTCGTCAGCATTCTCCTGAATTCTGATTTTTTGCCAGTCCACAAATTTACTGGATTCGGTAGAAAGAGTAAAGTTGGATCGATTACCACATTCAAGCTGAAAACACGTTGTAGGCTTATTGTTTCAAATACACCATATCATTGCAATGTAGATTAGATCATCATTACTTGTAAATAGAAATCAATAATAGAAATATAGTATATGTCTACCTCGGTGTATTTAAATGCTTGCTCAACATCGTTGATTAAGCTACCGCACTCGTTACAAATAAAAGTGCCGTAAAGAAGTTCGGGTCGAACCTCGGAAGTTCGAGTAACGGTGCCAGAAATAGTAACCAGCTGACTGTGACAATCCATCTTGAGTGCTCTTAATCTTTGAGTAAAAAAATGATATGGCAGTGCATTAAATATAAAAATTAGATATTACAATTCATATCACATGGTCTTGATACACCCAGATCTTATTATAAAATACAAAATATGTGCATGCACGGCAAAATCGTTTCATCAACGACTGGTAATACAAATTACAAAAAATCTAGCCAAAAAGTCGACCTACTTTTTAGTTTCATTCATGCCATACCAGCTAAGCCAAAATTCTCTACTTTGTCCGTTTTCTTGAGCCTGACCTCCAGTCCGGATACGAACATAATAGGGAGCATGAATGGCTACTAGATTCTGCACGGCCTTGCGCAAATAAGGCTCCATACTAGCAAAAAATGAATAAAACATGAGTAAAATAAAGCCAATTGTCAACAAATAGAATAAACATTGGCTGGTAAACGCAATTTACCGGTAGTGTTGCTGACGGATAGTTTCAGCGAGAATCTCGTTAAAGTTGCTCAGATGCATAAAGTCGACATAGACAGTAGCAGTTTCATTATCACTGAGATGTCTGATCTGCTCCAGATATATATTCGTATTGGTTTCTTCATCTTGAAATCTATCATTCAATATAGATTGGAGTAGCAATATGATGGTTTACATTAGCAAGACTGAGACTGCATAGATTCCATCCAGTCATTAATGGATATTTGTTCAAGTCATGATTTCAAAGACTACTAATAACCACTGCAAGCACTTTGAGTTACGATTGGCCAAATACCTTGTTAAAAAGTCTTCAAACGTCTTGCGGACTTCCTCAGCAGTCTCGTCAATAACTCTGGGAATGGCTTCAGAAAATCTACTCAAGCCGACAGAACGGGCAGATGGATTAGCAGTGCCGTTAGGATGATCAAGCAAGTCTCTTGCATCAAAAACATTCCGGACATTGGCGGGAAGATCGACCTCGGACTGCATATTACTGTTAAGACCCGATCGTCTGTCCATCTCACCGCCTAGCTGGGAAAGTGTTCCGATATCAGAAAGAGTGCTCATTTGGCTTGCCATGATTAACTATCTCGAGTGTATATGAAATCCAATCCAGAAACCAGTAAAATCAGGTTTCTTGTCGGGTTGTGTAAAAAATGTCAAACTGTCCGAATTGTTCAAAAGTTGAAAGTCAACGCAGTCATTTTATTGCATCAAAACTCATGAATTCATGCTCGATGAGCCAATATTGCGTCATCGAGTTCTAGTAAAATATTGGATTGCGATCTCTGGTTTAGTGCAGGAAGTGTCGCCATGGCAGACGTGTTGGTCAGCAGCGTTTCGATCTGAGGATCAAGTCTACCAATCACCATGTTGCCTTGGCCTAGACAATGTCGTATTCTAAATTCATGATCATTGATGAGTAACACGAATGTTTGTGAATTGACAATGAAACAACTTACACGGATAATTCCGCACTCGGTTGTAGTCCAGCATTTGCTGCTTCGCATAACAATCGCCATGCTGCCAGAATCTTGCGCTTCAGTCGTTTTTCTGACCATGTTTCTGCGTAAATCTACATTAAATAGATTAAGTCTTGTTCCAGTCCATCTTTGCTTTTTCAAAAGCCTTTACATAAATAAATACGATCCTTACCATTTTACGAGCCATTTCAAACCGACGTCGTTGATGCAGCGATTTCCATTTTACAAAAAGATCCGACATGGCCCGAAACCGCCAGGATGTATCATGTGTTTTTCTATCCAACACAATGGAAAGTACATGGTTTGATTTCTTACTCTGTTTCAAGCGAGTCTGCCAAGTTTGAACTGCATGACGTAGCATTTTCCAATGTGAATGCTGGACAGCCCGAATTTTCATATCTGATATCAACCAACATAAAGGGTTTATTTTTTGCTAATCACATTCAAGCATTGCTAAAAGTAATTGTTTACCTTGTTTATCTTGAAAACAATTCATCCAATTTCCAAAGATGCGTCCAAGATAATGCTGCTTTGCAAGTCGAGAATTTTGTACCGTTATTTTCCAATGAGTAAATACCTAGATATATCCAGACCGGCACTCCTGTTAGACAGTTGCAAATAAGCCATCTAAACAAATGCAACTTCACCTTTGTCTCAACTTTGATGACTTCGTTCATTAAGCAGCGCGATTTCATTTTCAAATTCCAATGAATAAATAGCCGTTTTAAAACTCGACTATTCGATTTTTTAATAGCAGCCAGTGCATGTTTTTTATATATCATCTAATTCATCCACTTTGGTAATCAGATAATTGGAAATAAAATCAAAGTATACCCGATTTGGTTGAATGCTTACCAAGTGTGATGCCCAGGCTTTAAGCTTTCCACGAACAATACGCTGAGTGGAAAAACAATCGGATTTGTTTCTCATTGTCACATTTTTCCAATGCTTGAATGCTGATGACAGATCAGCCAATGTATGGATATCTTTTTTAGTTATGCATGCATTTGAAATAGTATTGGAGTGATAATACTGCTCTACCCATTGGTTAATACTTTGAATATTATCAAGCAGGAGTTTAGGCTTGGATATCTGAAAAGCTATAAACTGTCGTTCTCGTTCGTATAATTTCTCGTCAAGTCTCGCCCAATGCAATCGCTTCTGCCAATGATGAAAAACAATTCCTAGTTTAAAAACAAAAAATCTCACGACACATTTTTTCAACTTGACAAGCTTGTCATGTAGCATTCGTTTCTGAACTGTCTTTTTTTTCCAAATTTGCAAAGCTTGTGATTGACGACGAGTAGTCAAGTAACGGGATGCATGGTAAAGATTAAGCCGCAACTGTGTTTGACGATACCATGTCAAAAAAACGCTTGCTTGGCGTTTTCGTATATAATAGTACTTAGCCTGCATCCTCAATCGACGCAGTCTAATATGTTCAATCACAGCCACCATCCACTTCAAAGTATACTTTCTAGTGCATCGATTTTGAAAATGCACATCAGCAAGCTGTTTTAGGGTTTGAACGCGATTGAATTTAACTTGCATTGTCTTTAAAGCATGAGAGCAGGTTTGCTTATATCGCCACAAGTCAGCCATTTCCAAATGCTTCCGTTCTATTACAGTGGTTCGAATGACACGGTATCGAACTACCCATTTTTTATAAGCTGTAGCTAAAACACGGTGAGTGTGAAGTTTAGCTGACGCATTAGAAATCATTTGCCAGCGCTGTGTTGAATACATCCATATATGAAACCCAAGCGCATGTATTTTGTATTGGTCATACTGAGTTGCTCGGTACATATCAGCATGTATGTGCATGGATCTTGTTCGCCACAGTTTAAACATTCTTTGTGTAAGCTTTTTTTGACAATACACGGTAAACTGAATCATAGTTTGTACATGATTTCTTGTGGTTGAAGAGTTAGACCTCCATATCTGAAAAGCTGCAGCTACCAGTTTTACATTATATCGGCGTTCGACATAGTCACTCGAGGTACGAAATGCTTTAACCATCTCATGCCATTGAGTAAACGATCGTGCAAGTATAACTAGAGAACGAGAGATGGACACACGAGGCTCTGCAACAACCGTTCCGTCGGCATTGGAAACAACAGTTGCAATGCTTTTTTGAGGCTGAATGAAACTAGCGCCATGTGCATAATATCGCTGTGAAAGAGGTGTATATGATGTAGCAGGTATGTTTGAAGAAATATTTGAATGGCCAAATTGTGACGACGTACGTAGTGAATTGTCAGATAAATGCTTGATTATATTTGTCAGTTTTATGGGTCGATTTTGAGGTACTCCGTCCATTGCAACGACCACTTTGTTTGAATAAAGAACTCGAAGAAAGGAATCAAGGGCAAAATGTTCATCGCTGTTTTTAACCATGCTTGTGCGTACAAATCGAGGCTGAGGTAGTGATATCTGCAGGATTTGCAGTGAAATAATATAATCATTGCTAGAAAAATAATCATGAAACGATAATTATCATTCAAAATAACATCGGATTAGAATCACGTTATACGTCAATACAGGAGTTAAAAATGGTATTTACAATATGCTTTTAAGATCTACTGGACCGAGACCAACTCTGATTTTGAAAATCCATTTTCGTAAAGCTAAACCACATATTTTGTTGTAGTACAGTACTAATGCGCGACGATCGCCATCTTTTAAAAAAAACCGGCGTCTCCACACTTGAAAAGCCGATCGGCACGCCTTTTCAGAAAATGTACAATGTGCTACATGTGCCTATGATATATACATAAAATGAACATGGCTTGTTTAACAATTTTGGACCAATCATTCAAACACAAAAATAAGTCATACCATATACACTTGACGCCAGTGAATAAAAACAATTTTTTCTATTCGCAACTGTCGTTTTAAAACTATCCTGTGTTTCTGATCATTGTGTTAGTTACTGGCCTATTTAATATTGATTTTAAAAGCACTTACAATTTTCTCCAGTCGGCGATATTTCAATGCACAGGTCCAAATAGACAGTACAATTCTTTGCTTGCGCAAGTGAACCCGATTCAATTGAGCAGCCAGCTTATCTTTCAATATGCGTTCCTTGGAAGCAAAACTATGCCATTTTTTGACTATATCACAAAGCAAATCTGACAAGAGCAATATGGCTGTTAGAAAATCATATAAAATCAATCAAAATTGCAACACATGCATACAATTTTGGTGTGATTGTCTTGATAAACGAACAATCTTATTTCGCCACGCTTTAAAACGCCATATTTTTAGCCATTGACTGAACGCCAACCTAAAAAATGCATGATTAAACTAATTCAGATAACCCAATGCTTGATATTTCCACATTTTTCAATTACAAACAACTAAAATACCTCTGAGTATAAAAATTGCATTGTGATTGTGCCATCAAACCCTGCTTTCGAATGATTATATATTTGCTTTCCCATAACCGCAACACATACGTTTTGATTTTCCGATCAAATAGTCGAGCCACGGCAGATTCTCGACGCACTAACGTATAACGCTTTGAGTAGTTTTGATGCCAATCACTATACGCAGATCGAAGTACATTTAGCCTGTGTTTGTTTTGAAAATTGTCAAAAAGCATATGCACTCGCTTGATCCTTGCTTTCAAAAGTTTAGTATGCCACTGCTTAAAACTAGATATGAATCGCTTGGTATTGCTAAACTGAATTGCATTTTTTTTGGATGCCATATTGTCGCGATAGCATGATACCCATGATTCAAGACTTGTACGTAGCAAAGTGTATCTGCTCATACGCTATGTGATGGCATCAAGTTAGAAAAATGCATTTAAACAAGCTGAAAAGCATAAAAACAAAATGCATGCCATGAATATAATAGATGTAGCACTTACACGCGCAGAGCGGCGCTGGCTTGCATAAAAAATGGTACGCTGTTTCCAAGTATGAATCAAAGCAGAGCATATTCGAGTTTTCATGTTCAATTCGTACAATACAAGCAATTCTGGCAATTTGCAAGCAACATGATCATATCGACATCGAAGTTGTGACCACATCCGTTGAACAAGAATTCGAGCACGCTTTTTTTGCAAATTTTGAGTCGCAAGCACATTTCTCCAAGTTTTAAATGCGCACTGTAATGTTTTCATGCTACTCGTGGTTGTTTTTTCAAGCATCAATTTTTGTAAATAATAACGGTGAGCTGACAATGCTTTCCAAGTGTAGAAAGCGTGTCTAGTAATATTAGTCTCTCTAGTTTTGATATAACGCAGATCCGTTTTGACCAAGGTGTATTTTTTGATCATGAGATTTCTCCAAATACAAAAATAGTGCAATATGGTTTGGTGCTGTGACGTTTTTAAATGCATAGTCACTGATGTTCTCAAAGGCTAAATAGGATAAATAGTAAAATACATTCAAAAATTTAGTATATATTGTTTAAAAAGTACATCAACATATCTTTGTTTAGCGTACCTTGGATTTTATGGTGTGCAAGTACCAGTATTTAAAATAAACTCGTAAAACATGCTGATGATGATTAATACGCAAACCAATAGCCCTCGAGTGTTGCTCTTTACGAGATTTGACGTAATAATGCCAAGCTTTAAACGTAGGTTTCACTGCTCCAACTAGTCTCATACGTCTCACAATTTTGTTCAATGCACTATATATAATGTCAGCCAAATGAAATACAATGGCATATAGATATAAAGCTTTCACATAGCTTAGCAATCAAATAAATACAGCACCTTTTTCTTCTCCAGTCATTAAATGTCTTGAAAGCAATGTGGATAAAGTGCAACTTCTGTGTCTGCTTAAATGCCAACGATCGCTGTAAAAGTATATCAAGTCCATTCCAAGCACAACGCAAACGATTAGTTTGAATAGTATGCTCAAGTGAATCCACCAGTTTTCGTGCTCCCTTTTGCTGACGCGACCTATTAAAACATCATTAGCCAAACCGTATTACTCTCGATAATGCGGCATTAGTATACATGCCGTTTGTGCCAAAACTGAATCACAGTTTGAAGCATTTTGTTGCAGTTGGCAGCTAATTTAGCATGGCATATGCTTTTGGCCATTGAAATATGCCTCCTATTAATTCATATCAAATCAGCACTTGATGACACAGCAATTTGCAAAAGTATAACAATGCATACCATTTGATCCAAGTTGCAAATGCTTCAAAGATCAGCGATTTATTCTTTCGTTGAACCAATACATCGGCAATCGTTTGAATTTTATACACGTTTAGTAATCTAATGGCATGATGAATATGGGTTAAATATCAGAAATTTCAGAATTGATCTATTTAGTCACAATTTAGACTACATAACAATGCAATACCTCTGTTTCCATTTGATTAAATATTGATGCTGGACAAATTTGAGAGATTTTACACGGTGTATTTCTAGTAATTGAACACGTCTTATCGAGTGATACCATCTATCCCACGCATTCTTTATCAATACAAGTTTTCTATTCCGTACATATTCTGCCAAAAGTGTTCGCGCTGCATGGCGGCGCTTGTACAAAACCTTCCATATCTAAAACCATCATAAGAACAAATTAGATGTGTGCCAACTCAAAGATTCGGTAAATCATGATCATCATACTAGCCTTGAAACTAATATGTTTCATACGATTTTCTTTGGCATCCACTGTGCATTTGATCAGCCGTAGAAACTGGGCATTACGCTGTCGTTTTACACGAGAACCTGTCCGCCAAAAATGAAAAATGGGCTCAATAATATGCTGTTTTTGAAAAGCATGCACAGCAGCATGTTGAGAATTGACATTTTGTCTCAATGCAGTAAATGAACTTTTAAGTAATCTTTCACAATAAAGACGCTTTTGAACTAATGCTTTTTTGTACCAAAAAACAAGTATGGTGCGTTGAATGGTCTGGTTTTTAAAATATGTTGCATTAGCGCTCAATACCGCTACATAATGCCAATGTGTGGTATACGATCGAAGCAAGTTTTTTCTCCAAAATGCTGTTGCCAGAATCCACTGCCGAACAACCCAGTTTCGATCCTGTTTTGCTTTTGCAATGTGACTATTGAATGCAATATAAAATAAAATTATACAACAAAATCATTAGTTTTTGATTATGTATTTGATTTGCACAACATTGTAAACCATAGTTTAAACAACACGTACCTTTTCCAAGAAATGAAAGATTTGAACATAGGTAATTGATCTGTGGTTGTTTTGAGAGTATAAGAGGGATGATTTTGAAAAACTGTATTTGACTGCAGAGTAGATTTGTTTGCATGAGTTGACGAAAAAGTTGGAGCATAAGAGCCTTGAGATAAAGTATAACGCGTATCGTGCAAGTTAGAATGCTGAAGCGTGGACAAAGTAGACGACTGCGTGACTTGATCAGGCTGAACTGATTCGCTCGGTTGATCTTCAAGATCGAATTCAACGTGTGGAATAGAGCTCATGTCAAATTCTGTTTGCCCTAAACCTAAAAAAGCTTGATCATTTTTATTTGAAGCCGCTCGAGTATCTTTTGATAAAGGTGGGTCTTGAATGTAATTTGAACTATTCAAGTTGAGAGCACCAGCAGTAGGTCGCGTAGGTTTGTCAGGAATGTTTTCAAGGTTTGTTTGATTATGTCCTGCTTCTTGATTTAAAGGAATAGAGTAGTGTTGAAGGTTACGAGCATCTAAGTTTGAATCCATATACTGCATTGGTTTGATGTTGTTGGTGTTTTGGTTTAATGTATGATGATTTGGTTGAGTAGATGATTTTAATGTGGTGTAGTGGATATGAGGATTGACATGATGAAAAACAACTCCGTGTGGATGATGTGTGTGTATATATGAGCCTAAATCAACTGTATTTGATTGAGATATTGGAATATGCTTCTGCTGAGCTGCTGATATATTGAATTCGTGGGCAACATGGATTGTAGAATTCCTATTTAAACTCGATATTTCTGGATGTCGATCATGAACCAAAACTTCTGTAGCTATAGTTTGTGCAAATGTAGACTGATCTATAGACTTTTCTGTTAATTTCTAAACATTAGAAATACACCATTAGAAATTATAATCACTAAAAATCCAACTCAACCAATAGATTCATCTTGGAATATAGACTCTGTCCACAAATTGGTCTAAACTTACATTTCGTAGATACTCAAGTCGCGAAGACCAAGTCATATCTGGCATCTTGCGACCCATGAGAAGCAAGACAGTCCGTACTAGATTTCTTTGAGCTTTGACTCGACGTCTAATTGCAGAATTCTCTCGAGATATGGGCAAGATGAAATGAGAATTGGTGTTCATCTGATTATTGGAAGATACTATGGTTGATGCAGACTCTTCATTCTCAATAGCAGACAAGGCTCTAAATACTTGAACTACGTCGATATCTATTACTTGAGATGTATTTGGAGTAGATAGGTTGAGTGCAGTTGGCACATTACTCCTCCAGTTATGGCCCTCATCCAGTGCAATACATGTGTTTGTAGTAGTAGCTAATGACAAGGCAGCCTCAATTGTATCTAAATCTATATCAACACATCATCATTGGTGTTAGTGAATGGCATAACTGAACCTAGTCTATCCAATCCTTCCCCATTGGGCTTGATGGCATACTGATTGGATTGAATAAGTATCTATAAAAACACCTTGATTTGTAATATGAAACCACCATGTGCTGTCATCAGTACCAGCTTGCTGCATCAGTCCAGAATCAAGCCCAATCTGTTAGATTGTATCGAATATCCAACCAGACGGTTTAATGTCCGCGTTTCAATGCAACAGTTGGACAATGTCCAGTTGATGATGTATTTGCGACTTTCCCATTTAACAATAATTCACAAATCAGATTCAATATCAGCCGGATTCTGTTTCATACTGTTTTGCTTCAACAAATGACTATTTATTTGTATTGGTTTCACGACGTTTCATTGACAGAAAGCAATCTCAAATGTTCATGTCAAACCATTAAAGATGAGCAAGAATCCAATCAACCCACAAACTGATAATCTCATCTCGTTCTGAAGGTGACCCATTGTGTACTAATCAATACATAAAAGTGTTTATATACAACCACGATACAATGAATAGATATTAATTCAAGCACTTGCCTTCATGGTAACGGTCGCCTAAAGACTTGTAAGTCTTATCTTTGCTGGGAGCATCATCATAGAATTTCTTGGATGCAATTGGGCTATACATTCAAGCGTCAGAAAATATTCGGCATGGGAATGCAAGTGCAGCTTAAATCAAATACTGTTTACCAAGTAACGGGATCGCCATCTCCATGATTGATAAAAATTGGCAATGTGCACTTAGGAGCATGTACGGTGATAAGATCTGCACTCATACCAACTAGGGATGAAGTTGTGCCAAGAGTCATCCAAGGATGAACATATGGATCTTCAATGTACGCCTGAACTTCTGCAGAATCTCTGCAAAGGAGTTTGGGATCTATTTACATCAATCCAGCAGTAGAAATGAGCCAGCAATATTCTGTACAAATAATAAAACGATTCCAACGTGTAATGATGTGCAGTTGACCTACCAACTGAGCTTTTGATGGTAAATGATGGGATTATAGCTGGAGCAAACTTGAGCAAAAACGGTTCTATACCCTTTGGTTTGGTAGTTGTTCCAGGAGCAATAAAAGGTGCTAAAACATAGTTGTATAAGGTTAGCTGATGGCAATATTATAAAGTATCAAGCAACCAATGAATAAACACGTTATACAACAGCCTCTTACTAACCACTGGCAATTATACCCTTGATCCCCTCTGGATACTTGGCACTGAAACTTAAAACAATGCCTCCTCCCATGGAATGGCCCATTAAAAATAAGGGAACGCCTGGTATGCCTTGAGATGCAATCAGATCCTTCATGTCTTGAAAGACAGCAGCCAAGCCTTCGCTGTTGCCAAGTTTACCACTTCGACGACCAGTACGACCAAATCCACGCTGATCAAAGGCGACAACTTTAATACCAGCTTTTGCAAATGCTGGAAAAATATTATTGTATCTAATTGTAGAATACAGTTGGAAATCAGTAGATATACGCAGTAATAAACTGGATTCAACCGTCACTGCACAGCTGGATCCTGATTCATGGCAAATCACTGGATGCAGTGCCAGGTTGAAAGCATAATTCAAATTATGGCAGATTTTGAATTTCTTTTGTATTCATGGTGGAAAGGCCATGCATTGTAATATACTCAAGGATAGACCAAATGATTGAAAAAGACTCTTACTCATTCAATTTGTAACCAATAAAACAGGAATAGTTGCTTACCGCTGAACATGTTCACCTAGACCATGTACAAAGAGAACAACCGCTACAATGGAGGCTGAGGCTTGAGGTTCTGGAACCCAAGTGCGAGTGTATATCTCTGTTCCTTGACCATTGTTGACCCAGTTATCAATAGTAAAGTACTTTCCTGACGGGTCCTTGGTGACTTGAGGAGAGTCTGTAGTGGGTGATGCCATTTCAACAGTTGGATTGAATGAGGATAATAAAATACTAAACTATTTAGGGTCAAATCTGCTCCATTGGGTTCATTTAGTTGCTATTTTGCTCGAGTTTATTGCTAGATTGGAACTATTAAACCCAATGGATATTTGTAAAGTCAGACCATTGTTTGAGCAGATCATGGTTACAATGGCATGAATTGGATTGTTTTGAACATATATTCACGTAGTGGAAAACCAATACCAGTTTATTGGTATTCCTGGTTTTGTATAATTGAATGAGTATTTACAACTCTGTTTTAATGCATCCTTGATACTGGTTTAATTTCCAACTCTTTAAAACAAACATCATGACATTGGGTGATTGATATGGAAACAACAGTTGCATTTCCGAGACTACAATCTGTTGTTTTGAATTAGATCGCGAACGTATGTGAGATTGGAATACAAGAATATTATCGAGTCGAACCAAATATTCGGGTTAAAATGAATCTGGTGATTGTACAACGATAATGTTGAATGAGAATAGGTCGAGTTCAAAACTATAGTTTGTATGATATGATGGACGTTGTGTCTATTAAAGGACTGAGAGTATCCAGTAAGAAAAACAGATTCAATCGCTTAAAATCACATCAATGCAAGTTCTATTTTGCGTAAATATGGCTGTAAAAGCATTTCGAATCTTGGCTTGAAACTACACAATAATTCAGTCAATATTCCTTTAAAAGTTCATTAATGACACATGCAACCCATGCCGAGTTGGTCGCAGAGGCTCAAAAACTAATGCATAAAAGAGATGCATTAGAGTCTGAGTTGACTGAGTTACAGTCTCTTCTCAAGACTGTAAGTGTTGTCTAGTTATAGACCAAGAGTCAACTTTGTTCAGTCTAGTCTAATCATTACACTTTTTCTAATTGCAGCACAATATGGGCATGACTGAACCTTTGGTGGATACTCAAGGCTTTCCACTAACAGGTGTAGATGTATACACTGTCCGCAATACTCGCACATCCATCATTCGTAAGTTACACATGATGGATTTCAACCGAAACTAAATGACTATGGAATCTAGATTAGATATCTTTATCCAATCAACAAAGTTTTTAAACCATGCATATCAGTATGAATCCAACTTGGTAAACCATTCATTTATTTACTGCAGGACTGCTAAACGATCACAAGGCTCTCACCAATGAGCTTGAACTGATTCTTCAACGAGTTCATGAGGTTGCGCGTAGTGAAGGAATTACAACAACTTCAAGAAACTCGGCATCTCCAAATAACAATGCACTCCATTCAAAAAGTCTTGCTCCATTTGCAAAAGTCAATGCAGTTGCGCCGGATAGTCCTGCATGGAATGCTGGACTTCGCAGAGATGATCTTGTGACCAAATTTGGATCTGTGCATGCCGAATCTGAGATCCCTCTTAAGCTACTTTTTGATATTGTACAAAAGAGCGAAAATGTAAGATCTTGGAATTGTGATTGAATCTGCAGTTACAATTTGGTAAAAACTAACACTCATCTAGCGGTTACTAAATGTTCATATCAAGCGAGAAGGCTATGATAAAATCATCGAGTTGATTCCTCAGAAATGGAGTGGCCGCGGACTACTTGGGTAGGAACTTGACTATATTGAAACATTTATTTTGGATTACAAACTAACTGCAGCTTTGTTTCGGTTGGATGCCTGACAGATGCCATATTACAGCAATTGAATAAACATACCACAGATCCAAATCAACGCACTGCTGTATTTCTATATGTTGGATATCAAACTTGAAGAGAATGGCTGGACCAAAAAAGCCAAATCTTTACACAACACTGCAGTCATCTTCACGTAAAATGGAACTCAAACAAGAGTCAATAAACAGCCAGTTTCATGAACGTTGTGTTGATTGAAATGTCAATTTGTAGTAGGAAGCAATAAATATTCATTGTTTATTCCCAAGCAAGTGTCAATCACTACAAGCTAAATCCAGAAAGTGTTCTGTTTTACGCCAATATAGTTGTACAAGGACATTGATCATGGCCGAGTTTGGACAGACACTTGCAGATACATTCAATGACCAAGACATTATTACTACTGCTCCCACCGAAGCTACTGTTGCAGCCGAACACACTGCAGCTGCTACACAACCATCTGTAGCAGCCAGTAGTGACTGGAGTGGGTTTTCCTGGAGTGGCCTGGTTAGTGCTGTTAGAAAGCAGGTGTGGTTATCTCTTTACTGTTATGCATCAGTCAAGCTAGCTAGTATGAATGATTGAGTCTGTTGGCTGCAGCCTCATTCAATGCCTCGACTCATACAAAGCATGCCAATCTCTAGTGATACTGTCTAATGATGCTTCTAACCAATCTACTTGGAAATGCAACTATTTCTGTATATATTACCAGTCAGAGGCTGTGGTTGAGGTTTACAAGAGAGACTTGAATGAGTTTGTACAGACTGTGGCTGCTGAAGGCTCGCAAGGTGTCGATATTTTAACTCGAGGCTTCCAGACCTTGGCTTCTGGCGAAGTTAATCAAGATACTGAAAAAAAGACCAATCTTAATGCATCAAGTCCTGAGACAGTCTTACTGTCGTCATCTACTGTCCTTGATACCAGTACGGCGTCCAACGATCCAGTTGGTGATGCTGCTGGTTCAGACTGCATTGAGAGTGCTTCACATGTAAATGATGAATCGCATCCACAAGCATCCACAAAGGATGTTTTAGATACTGAAAAGCAAGATACAGGAAAAAGTAAACCAGAACTGCAGCCCATAAAAACAGATTTTACTGAAGCTGCAGAAGAAGGATTACTGGATAAGCTTGATGCTATAGCTGAGCAAGCAGAAAACTATGTTGGTCATAGGCTAACCGAGTTGGGATCTGGACTTGCAAATGGATTTTCATCTCTTTTAGGCACTGTCACACATGCTGCACCAGACAGCGCTTCTTTGGGCAGATCTACGCATTCATCTACTTTAAATCCAATTCCACCGGCTCATCTCAAGTTGAGTGTCTTTTATCCTGTCACGAATCTAGTAGTAAACTGTGCTGATTCAAACTTTAACACTTTACACATCGACTATTTACAATCTAGGTATGATCGTGTTCAGGAAATGGTTGATGAGATGGCAAAGGATCCATCTACCTACACAACTGATCCTCGCGACCTTGTCCAAGTCAAATCCCATCTTGCATCGTCTAAACTACTTACTTCTGATTCAGAAACCTACGCAATGCGATTTGCTCAATTCGAATCCACATTTGATAGGATTTCTAAAGCTGGACAGATTGCCGTATTGATGTCCAACCGCTCACATGTTAAACACTATTACGACACAATAGGTAGGCATGTTTTGAGAAATATGTTGATCAATGCCATGCTAAATTTATGGTATTCACATCGCTTTTGCTATGTCTGGATGATACAGTGCCTCGAGTGGTTTCGGATTCGGATTTTTGGACAAGGTATTACTTTAGGGTGTCGGAGATTGAACGAGAAGACGCAGCTCGTCGACAGCTTTTAGATCATGCAGCAGCAGGCGAAGCAACAGAAGACGATTTCAACTGGGATTCAGACGACAACGAAGTAGAAAGTGACAATGCAAAGAGTACATCTCCAAACCCTGTCGCCCAAAACAAGCCTACTGTGGCTTCGTCGGTCGTGTCACCTGTTGTGGCATGTCTTGAATCTTTAACAGATAGTACTGACATGTCTCGGTTGAATACAGAATCGACGTTGCAGTCAAATGCCCCACCATCTCACAATGATACTAACTTGGTCAAACATATTGAATGTATTCCCAAGGATACTTTGTCTGTGGTTTCAACTGAACAACCTGCTGCATCATCAAATGTTTCCATCGTGTCTACATCCATTGCCATAGGCTCTGAAGACCATTCCTCTGATAGTTTTGAGCTGGTGCGCGAATTATCATCCTATACTGCAAGTTGCAAGCCACATGAAGATACAGATAGTGATACAGGCGACAACATCGCAAGTGATACCATGACAGATACACATCATACACCTCTCGTCACACACAAGACATCAGATGATAAAGGGGATTGGGGCGATTGGGAATAGATCTGTTTTGGTTAGTGACATTTTATTGCAATGTTTTTATGAAATAAAGGGTGTTGAATTGCAACTCCAAGGTGTTTTGAATTTTAACTACATTCGATCCATTGCATGAAGCCCATATTTAAAATTAACAAGACATCCACTGCACAGGTATACCCATCAAAAATACGAATCGCATAACATATCCAAAGACCAAACGTTTATTCAGGTCAAGATTAATCAAAGTTTTAAGGAGTTGAAATTGAGAAAAAAGATGCCAGTCCTAATGGTAAAATTAGTGACAACAACAAGCAGTAAAAAGGCATTTATACGGAAACTAAACAATCATGGAAAGAATTATCAATAAAATTCACATGATGGTGATTAAGATGGAGTGATGATGCACGTTTGTCCTTGCATAGACAAAGTAATCAAACAGAAAAAGTGTAAACAAACCAGATAGTAATCCAATTGAACAAATTCACAATTATACCCTTTTAAACAATCGAAAAATAACAAAATTAAAAGCTCTATTATGACTAGTGCTGCTTTCGTTGTTATACAAGGGATTGTATGATGCTAAGAGTAGTATCTTTCTAGACCTGGCCTGCCACCATCTGGAATCATTTCTGAAACAGCAGGCGATTGCTGATGATCTGATCGAGGTGCAAGGCCATTACGAGAAGCATTGATAGGCGGAGATCCATAAGATGTGGGTGCGCCACCAGTTTGCATTGGAGGAAGGGCTCGTCCATGTGAGCCAGATCCAGAATGGTGTTGAGGAGGATACGAAGATGCAACCGATGCCATTGAAGAACGGGGTTCCATATTGACACAAGCGCCTGTATCTTGTGAACGCGGATGATACGCATGTTGAGAATAAGCAGATGCGTTTCGATCATCAGGCGGAGAACCAGTAGCCGAGTGTGGCATGTTTCCGTTCCAGCGTTCCTGCTTTAATGGCATCTCATTTGATCCTTGTACGATGGGTCCACGCAAAGGACGTTGTGGGTAAGAATGCTGAGATGGATGTTGATGAGAGTGCGATAGCGAGTGCTGGCTAGGATGTCCATAGCTTGCGCCAGAAGGCATAAGAGAAGCATATGGGTCAGGATGAGCCAGTTGTCTGTTGATGGGTATGGGTCGGGAATGATTCATTGGTCCATGGGGTGGTCTTTGTCCTCGAGGCTGACCTCCATAGGAATGTCCCATCTGCTGCAGTTGGTGATCTGACGATCCCCCAGAGGGAGACACGTAATGATGCTCTGTCACAGGAGCCTTGGACTCAAATTTAGGACTGACCTGCGATGCTCCAGGCTCCGTCTTTGTCAAAGGCGCATTGGCTAAAGTCTCGGCAGATTCTCCAGGATTCGGTGGACGCATAGCATGCTGTTGCATGGATGGACCATACGGATACGGACGACCATATGAGTGGTTTGGGTTACCAGAACCATTAGATGGATGTCGATCCGTTGATTCAAGTGATGAGTTAATTAACATAGATGGCGGTGGTCGGGTAGATCCAGCATGATTAGAGTGAGGTGGATGGTAATTTCCCGAGTATGGAGAGTAGGTAGGTGCACTGGACGGCGAAATATACCCATGAGCAGGTGGATGGGAATGCATTGGATGCTGTGCGTGTCCTCCATAAGGTCCAGGCGGACCACCATATGAATATCGCATATGATGAGGAGGTGGTCCTTGAGACGAGGAGCTATACATGGGAGGTGGTGCATCTCCATATGCTAATGGCCGGTAATAGTAGTTGGTTGGGACGGGTCGTCCCCAAGAGTCATAAACAGCATGCGATGGAGGCGCACCATACCCATATGGATCGTTAGACTCGCTAGGTCGTCTATAATTATGGGGATTCAATCCATTAGGACCACCATGCGAAGGAGGATAGTCTACATAACGAACTCCATTCGTAGAATGCGATCCATCCCTACGATCATCATATGTATGCTCATGACTAGTTCGCTTCAGTTGGCTTGGCACTTCTTTCTTGGGATCCTCGTCTGAATCTAACCCATCAAGCCCACGCTTTAGGCTTTTGCGCGATACATCCTTTCGAATGCGAATCTTTAAACCTTGCTCTGCAAAAAACCGAGATAATGGGGAAGATTCAACCATTCCAGGAAATAGTTTTGCCTGATAAACTGTAAATACATCTGAAATCACCGAGTTGCGGCGTGCTACTTTGGGAGGGACCAAAGGATCTGCACCAGCACTGAGGATTTCAAAGAGGGTAAATTTGATGCGAAACTTGCCTTCCTGACGAATAGAAATGTCAGGAAATACAAAGAAACCGCCATACGAACTATCCAGATCTCGAAGTCGATGCAGAGAAGAGGCTGTGGATCCTGACATCACCCGATTGCCAATCTCTTTGTAGTCATAGGTGTCTTTGGAGATGTCCGTTCCCAGCAAGGTTGCATAAACGAAAAAGAACGGATTGTGGAGATATGCCCTATATACAAAGATGCCGTTTTAGAAAAGTTAATATAGCGACGATGCTTGCAATTTTCATAGCTCAGTCACTATTTCAAATAATTAAGCATATTGATTAAAGTCAACACGACATACTTTGAATCTTGAGAATGCGGATCATTAAGGGTGAGTTGCACTAAATACGATTTAAAGGGTTAGATCATTGAACCAATGTACTAGCACATAGGGATGCATGTTTTAGCCATGGGCTGTGTAAACAAAAGTCTTCAGTCCTAGTATATGAACAAAAGAACAAGATAGTTTTTGACCAACACCATATATTCCAAACTCATGACTCAGTTGAAAATAGCGCATCAAAGTGAATTACGTACAAATGGGTAGTGGGTCAAGTGGGCGCTTATCCGCTAGATGGTTACAAAATAAATATAGACGCTCGGTTAGTAAACTCTAATGAACAGACAAGCTGTAATGTCTAAACGGTTGCCAGAACAAACAGTATAGCTGGCCCGCTACGGCATACATCAAGCATAGCCAAATAGCACTCCAATATAAGGATCAAATGATTGATTTACCTCCTTTCTCAGACATGGATGAGCAGCGGGCTTGCTTTGGTTGCTGACGAATCTTGAGTACATATGACGTGTAGCTAAAAATGACAAAAGATATTGCACAGGTCAGTTTATGCGGTTCACAAATCAAACACCAAAGAATTCAAACAAGGATTTGAAAGCAAGCTATGCTTTGGGAACTGTGTACCAAAGGGAGAATAAACATTACATATTACATATTCAGGTTCATGTTCACGTGCACATTAAACCCAATCGATAACCAGCGCTATAAGCATAAGCAGGGGTATCGATTCAACCGTATTGATAAACAAAAAGTCGACAATTTAATTTTCCAAATAATGAGTGCAGCGATAGGAGCTGAGTTGAACTATAGCTCTAAAAACTATAGCACTAGTTCATCAGTTTGGCAAACTTGTGTACGGTCGGAGTAGAGCTTTGCAGACATTAGAAAGCGGCGATTAGATGAACAAAACAAAGGAATGTTGTGGAACTCTAGCCAAGCTATTACAAGTGGAAAATAAACAAAAAGAACCGGTAGAATTCACAAAAAGATATCATAGAGGGGTAAACAAGAACAGGCGTATCAACAAGAGCAGTTGTTGAATGTCTGGTTGAAGTAGAGCAATAGAAACTAAATTAAAAGATACCCATCCAAAACTTACTCAATATGGCAGGGAGGATTTTGAGTTGGTAAAAACTGGTACTGCTCTTCGAGCATAGAGTTATTGACTGTTGGGCTATGTGTTTGAAGTGCTTGTTGCATTTTCTCAGGAGATAAGACCGAGCCAGCAGTTTGCTGGGTCAATGATGCTCGCAATAAGCTGATGTCAATATCGACGCTTCCGTCATCTGGAACACATGCAGTGATCATGGAGGATGAAGGGTTGTTATTGTCGCCATGGTCTATACTAATGGAGCCAGTCTTGTCAGAGATGCTGTCGTTACCAGAAACAGCCTCATCAATGTTGGATGTGGTTGAATGGCATGCGGGGTCAGACGGTACTGGCTGATGGTTGGTATTTTGTGAAGCACAGTGTTGAGGGTGACGGGTTGAATCCATCTTGTTATCTACGGTTTTAATTGCAGAAATGGGACTAGATACAGTTTGAGCAGAGTCTGGCTGCAGCGATGCAGAAAGACTTTGTTTCTGCAAAGGAGATACGCAAGGACTATGGTGCTGTGCGCTGTTCATGATGTGCGGTTCACAGATGATGGGGTGAGTGTTTGAGGTACTGGAAAGTAATGTGTTTGTACGGGACTCGAGCTGTACGGCGGAAGTCGAGGTTACATCACAGGAATATGGCCCACCACCAGGAGTACCAGCAGTAAGATTGTTTTCTGTTACGGGTATATGAAGCTCATGCTTGGTTTTCATATTAATGCCATTCATGCCAAACGATCCTACGCGAGTTATTGTACACCCCGCTGTAGTGCCTGCTGTTGATTCGCTAGTGACTGGGTGATCCATTGTTGTATCTGAAGTAGTCGGTATGTTGGGTAGCACAAGACATTCAGACCCTGAATTGTCTAAAGTGCTAGGCTGTAGAATAGGCATGGATTGAGCTTGATGGGAAAATAGTCGCAATTCTCTCGACTTGTAATGTGAAAAGCTATTGGTGTATTAAAAAAGAAATAGACAAGTAGAAAGGGTAATGCCAAACAGCATCGAATGTTGTTATTTAATGCTTTGGAATACCTGGATAATTTCAAATAGCGGGAAGGCAACAATGCCAATAAACCATAAAATGAGGTTGATAAAGCGCCTTTTTATGACCGGCTAAAAGCTTTGCAATTTAAACAAACAAAAAGGGAAATATTTTTCCGTAACCAAGGTTTGTTTGAGTAGTGGAATGACTTGTGTCAATTGAACACCAATACTCTAGGTGATGTATGACATTGAGCATGGTAACAGAAACGTCATTGTGGTATCAACAAGCCATTAAAACTTGCTTGGAATTCTAACAAGCACAAGCAGATTCTTCCTGTTGTAACATGTTTGCAGGTGGTGGCGAGTGGTGTTTCCACTAAATATTTTTTCCTTCAAAAAGTATTGCATTGTGGGTATAGCCGTTACTTTGATTCCTCAAAATTACAGCACTTTGATTGCCACTGCCGTACTCATATAAATGGGATATTTTATATTGCAGTCACTGCCACTATTTGCTTCGGAATAAGCAATAGCTGAATATCCGGCGTGCTTGTCCATTGGAAACCAGCTGCACCGCCCCTTTAGTAAACATTCTCAATTTTCAAAACATATCCATAATACGGCTCACATCAAACCACCACTCTCTTCCTCTGGTATGTTATGCGTTGTATGATATCCAGATTTGAAATCAGATCCACCCACATGTTTGGTTTGGATGCTGATACTTTAGTCGAGAGATGCAAGCTTCACTCTGTTATATCTTTACCACAAACAAGTTCGCGACCTAGCTCAATAACACAAAGATCGCATGACTCGGAGATGCAGCCGTGTTTTCATACCAAACATTGGATGTTTGGTTTCAGAAAGTGAGAGATGGAGATTGAGCAAGTTGAGAATCTACTGAAACTGTGATCTAAACATACAGTCTTGTATACAAAGACTAGTGATCTAAAAAGCACAGTGTTGTCCAGTAAACCGGTATCAATCATTTCATGATATGGGCTGTTTACTAGACACTTTGGTAGTTTTATTCAGTGATCTATTTACGTGAATACGGCGGTGAATGCAACTCAAACAGCTTGTACTCAATTGCTACGCAATAGTCTGCTTGTAATGCCAGGTGAATAGGTACACTTGTGTATCCATGTAGCAGGAATAGTCGTCCACACAATTCACTGGTTTCCATACAGACTGATGTAAAGTATCCAAAATCAACTTTCAAGTAGTGTATTCCATATGCTCAAACTTTCGAGCACCACTGCTAGGTTAGAATCGAGTTTTAAAATGTTCAAGCTTGCTTCATGTATCAGTTTAAGAGTGCAGATCGGATGGCACTTGACTGCAGTTTCATGATCAATACAAATATATCAAAGCCAGTTTTTTGTTTTTACAGATCAGTGTACAGCCCATTGTCTTTTATTTGATGGTCCATAACCAAGTAACATAGTTGTCTACGTTTGAATCCAACAGGACATGATCTTGCTGCTTTTCAGAGTGATAATACTGTTTAAAAACATCAAGTACAGTCATAAACCCAGAAATATATAGATCCATCTTGGCAGCATCATATTGTGTAGACACAAGCTTGTCATCTTGATTAGGATCTGCCATTTTAGATTTTGCCATTTCTTGTGTAAGAAGATAAAGTTCGTTTCGACAAGCGGTGAGCATGCGATCAAAAATGGATGCATACTCTATATTCAAGTTTTTGGGTTGGTCATTTGCGTTATCATTGGAATCCCCAGATAAAATACATTGCATTTCGTACAAGGTGTTTAGATGACGAGCTGTGTGTACACGAATATAGTCTATTTGAAGGTAGATGGGTTAAAGTAGCAGATTAACAAGCAGTTCAAAACACTGTATACCATGGAAAATGCACAAGTATCACCATATACCTATCCTTGTAAGATCATCCATCCAATCTAGCTCTCGAGGAAAGGTAGCCTCAAAACGCACCCACGCGCTATACCCCTTCATTGTTGAACTAAACATGTCTTGATTAAACTGCATAGTCTCAAGTATCTGATCAATTCTTGAACATATATTTACAGCTAATGAATCCGATGGGGCAGCTGAAAATCGTTGTTTACAATGCCATAGCTGCCTTGCTATTTGCTTTGCAAACCCGCCAAATCGAAGATTCATTTTTCTAATTGGCTCGTGCGTTTGTTCAGATGCAATGGCAAATCTCCGTGAATACAACCATTCACATGCGGTATAGATGTGCTGAACAGTCAAGTCATGACCACTTTCCACAAATCTATCAAGATAAAAAAAACGTTAAATCGGTAATCAAGTCTAAATCAACCTAAAATATTGTCAATGAGACCGTAAAATAACATGCTTTAAATATCCAAGATATGGCATGTCTAGTTACCTTGAAAACAAGGCTTGAAATAATCCACGACGATCTGCATTGGAATCATCCCCTGGCTTCATGCTTCCTTGCACTATCCATATTTGGTTCCAATCGCCTTTAATTCCATCAAGTTCTATATGCCGTGAAGTTATCCTTTGAATACGATCAAAGAGATATCCCAGCAGTTCTCCACTTATAATTGGCAGCCCATTTTTAGAGCTGGCATGACTTGTTTGTTTATACTGTAGATGAAATTGAAGATGAGTGACAATTGCAGGAAACAGTATGGACTGAGAACATGCTGCATCTAAAAGCGACTCTGCTGCAGGATCTAATGCAAGTTCTTTGCTTGACTGTTTTTCCAAATTTTGTATCTGAAAAAAGCGATTCAGCAGCAAAAATACTACAGTGATAAGCTGCTGCTCCTCTGGATATACAATTGATCCACGCGATAGAGTTACTAGCCCAGTTGTAGTATTGAACCCTACGCAACGATCAAATGCAACGATTGGATACAACAATGCAATACTACTGCATAGTAGATCTACAAGTAAACACAATGACTTGGCATGTGCAATCAAATCTGATGATAAACTCGGCGAGCTAATCTGACTAGCATCTGCAAAAGAAATATCATGTTGAATGTTGCTGATCTTTTCCAACAAGGTCTGCAGCTCTTGCCTGATTTTCTCATATGATACCGAGTCCAGTGTTTTAAGCGTATTTTTTGCTTCCGATGCAATAGTATCTACTGCACTATCATTGCATCTAGTAGTATTAGTATCTATTTGAGATTTTTCTGCTTCGATTTTAGCAAAAACATGTTGTGGGATTCGATCAGCATTACGAAGCAATTGAATCAGTCGAATATGTGTCAAGTTGCCCATTATATTTCCTTTGCGTAAAAGCTGTGGCAAAAACGTCTTGTTGTACCATTCGGCTACAGTGCATTGCAATGATCCATTAAATATTAATCCAAGCACAAATTAGTTGATTTTTATGTTGAATCAATACTACAGAATCATTTTTTTAAATATAAATTCTCTTCTAAAACGTACCATGAAATATGGATGCATCTATGAGTGAGGCAGGAACAACCCCGTGCTGATTAAAATAATCAAGAACTTTGTCGACGCTCAATACCTTGGATATACTCATACCGGTGCCAAGAGTTTCGCCAAGAATGTCCAACTTCACTTTGGCTTGCTTTACAAAAATAGTCCAAAATGGATCTGGACGTAGTGCATTCACCAAAGACTATATTTTCAATATCATTTGACATGGTTCATGATGCTTAATATTTCATATAAAAACAATAGATTTCCTTTTTTCCATGAGACTATTTTACACAATATATTCGGATTTTGAACTTAGAAACTCACCTTGACAATAACTACTGGCAAGACTTCTACTAGAGATGTCAAAGACTGCAACACCCATTCCTTTACAGATTTCAAAGGAAGGTTGCTTTTGAAAAAAAATACTTTGCGCAAACTGCTTATCAAGCCTTTCGTGTCAGATTGGTAGACTAATACTGTAGAACACAAGAATAAACACATCGCCGACACATCGCGTTTTTGAATTGCCAGCTCAATGTTCTTGAGTATACTATCATACAAATTACTATGTGTATCGAGATATGCAAGCTCCCGTAGAGATCCAAAGAAAATAGGTATATCTACAACACCCTATTTTCAGGTTTAGATAAAGTGTTGCCACAAGCGAACAGGTTTCAACAAAAATCATTGAATGCAGTGTTTGAAAAAAGGAACTAACCTTGACAGCTGCATCCATTACAATTTCCCATGTGGAATTACTGGTTATCAATAGACACAACGTTTTAAAAAAAGATTGCTGCTGAACAGACACGCTATCCGAGATCGAATCATCAGAAAATATCAAATGAATTGCATCGCAGCATATTTGAATGAGTTGATCATTGAAAGCTTTGAGTTTAGTGATATATACAAGTCTGCAGAGTGTATCGATCACCATATCAAAGCAAGGAGCCTTTTGGCATTGTAAAATCCATTCAAGAACAGTTCGAGAGTGTCGCAGAGTATTATCTGTTACTGTTGGATTAGTCTTGCTATTGGATTGAAAATGTAGTGGTTTGGAAAAAACCCGACAGCCCAATTGAATAACATGCGATATAGGATTCAAGCATATAGGATTTGCTTGGTTTGCATAACACGACATCATGCCATGCACTGTCACTAATTTTCAAATACAGATGAGTTGGATGCAAATGCCAGTTGACATTCAAATCAATTAAACTATTACTACTTACTTTGACCAATAGACTGTTGTGATTTTTTATCAATGCATTCAGTGAGAAAATAAATCAGTTCCTTTTGCAAATAATCACTGTATATGGCTGCTCCAGTTTTATTCAGATCCAAAGTGATGAATGCATCCAACCAATCAAAAGTGGCAATTGATCTGGGCAGGAGAGCATATGCTGACAAAAAAGAATGAAACTGCAGGCTGTTTTTATGAATAGCATGCTGTTTTTGATTGTCAATAAGCTGTTGAACATGGCAGACTATAGATGATTTCCATATATGAGGAATAATCCTGCCAGATTTATGCAGGGCTGATATTTCCAATGAAGTAAAAGGAGTAAGAGTAAACAGCGATGCAACTATCAGATGAGTATCGTCTGTTTGGAATCCATTGCCTAAATCCAATCGCTTAGTAGAAGATAGATTGCCATCACTAGCACGTTTCTTGCTAAATTGCGAATGATCTGATGTTGAACTATGTTCTGAATTCAAGCAGGTCAATAGAGTTTGAGCATATGAGCCTTCAGCCAAAACTGAATCTACGTCCAAAGGAGCCAGTTGTGCAAGCAATCCAGTAAAATCTGTATCTGACAGCATACATATAAATGGTTGCTAACGACACTATCACTGCTGTATTCACGCAAAGTGAATCACAATAAAAATGTCAAACTAACAATCGATTTCATGAAATAATTCTCAATTTACTGAACATTGCTTTTTGAACTCTAGTTTGCTGGTCTTTCTCCTGATGATTGACATGAAAATAATAGTTGTATTGCTCAAACAAAATCATTGGTTTGTTGAACTAGAATGCAGACGCATCTGCAATACTTTGGAATACAAGAACAAGTTTAATTGAAAACACCACAACAATCAAACTCGATATCTGGATTGAATTGAGAATATCTATTCAAATCAATTTCTAGTAAGTGCAACATTCAGCCATTGTTTATTCCAAATCAAAATAGATGATCGCTGCAAGATAAATACAAAAGCGTCTCATTTACACGAATACGACTGAAGCGATATATCTTTCCAGACAACTTTAATTTATCCAATCTTTTTGAACAAAAAATTTATAGATTGTTACCAATTCATATGGAGAGCTATTAAAATATATATAATCCTCATCACAGCTTCATTCAAATATTCGATCCTATTGGAAAAGTAATCTATCCGTTTCTCCTGCCAGATTCTGCAACATACTAAGCAGGTATTTATGGCTTGAAGTTGAGGCATAGTTTTGACTATATTTCCGACAATTTGCTCGAGTCTCGCAACGACTCTGGCATACGTAAAAAGTAATCTCCATTTTGGGTAATGTATCGTACCCACGGAAATGCTTGGTAACCGCTCTTGTCCACTACTTTTAAATATCTTACTTGTATGCCCGAAGTAGTAAAGTATGGAATTTCAAACTTGACTGAGATGGGCGGTCGTTTGTCAGGATCCTCTACATGTTGCCGTATAGTATAAAAATAACATTGATTTTTTAAATACAGAGTGCCGTTATTGAAGCCAAAAACAAACCAGTGGCCTAGTTCCAGCAATTCTATAATTACCATTCTTGACACTGGGAAGTCCAAAGTGTGCACGCAAAACAAACTCTTTACCACCGGGAAATTGCTTGATTTTCCACACAAACGAATTCTTCTCTGGTGCATACTCGCAGTAGCCCATGTTGGTTTTAAATTTGGGTGTGTCTGCATCTTCAGGCACTGGAACCACAATTTCCACATTGTTGGCTGATGATCGTCGTTTGAATTGTGCTTTGGCCTATTGAAAACAGTAGGTTTAGTTATAGCCATGCAACCAAGTAAATCAAACAATACATTGCTACAATAACTCATAAGTGATGTGCTTCATTCTAAATAAAATATACTTGGTCTTACCTTGATCATAAACTCAATTCGCGAGCCAGCATGTGTTTCAATAATGGCTTCGGTCCAGATAAGTGGTTTCACCTAAATACAGCAAAGTGTCAAGCGCAAATCAACAATTGACCATTCCAGAGTAATGCAGTAGTTTTAAAATATGCAGGTTGAGAGTTTTTGTATAAAGGCAATCCAGTGTATACCTCTGTGTTTAAACGATACGACATTAACTCAAACTCCCCATCTGGAGGAATAAATGAAATTGTACGATCATTTTCAAATCGGGAAAGACGAACACATTGATGAAATTTGACATCCTCCATTTCAATTGCTTTTCCTTTAGATGCAGCTGTTTGGCATGGTAAAATGAGTCAGTATACATACAATATTCATATCAAGCACTTGATCTACCACAGCAAAATATCTACTTGTACCTCGTCCAGTGTTTTCAAACATAACCTTGTCATTAAGTCCAAGACGAACATCTGGCATTCCACTTAGATAACACTTCATCTTGACTGCACCGAGAATTTCACTTCGTACAACATTTCCGTTGGCATTCACCTAAAAACAAAAGGCGCAGGTTAAACCATGTTGGTAATTCAATAAAGTTTAAAATATTTGTAATCAGCAAAAATGGACGTACCAACAGATTGACAGACTCGACCACATCCAAAAACACTTCATTTTTCCTGTACTTGAGCCCTTCAGATCGCCAAGACACTGCATTTGTTACTGCCATGGGAGGTCGTGCCTGCTTTTCCAGTTTGTACGATTCCTGAGTGATGTATCTTGCAGTTTCAAACCCCCCAATAGTATGTAGGTTAACCATTATTGAAATTGATAATTTCCAGTCAAATCCTGAAGTAAAAACAAAAGCCCTTACTCTTGTAAAATCTTTGATTCTGTTGTTTGAGGATACCCAAAATCCATCATTTCATCCAAAAGCTCATAAATAATAACAAAATTGTCTCTGATGGACTCCTCTTCCAGCTCTTTAAAATACTCGGCAAATACCTACATATTTCATTTGAAAAACAGTTGAATACGGTTAGATATATGGCAATGCTCAACTACAGCATGCAAAAATATAGTATGCATTCAACATTGAGTTCACATTGCAAATCTGTAGTCAATGATCGCATGATTCAGTCTAAACCAATACTAACCTCGCAAAGTTTGTGAAGAAATAATAGGATTGTGGCTGCATTTGAATTCTTTTTAGTTATAGCAACCACTTGAAACAGATCCAGTCGATTATCAAATTAAGACAATTTCAATATGTAATTTATAAAGTAGGTTAGTTGAATATGCCAACACATTTTGGCGTGCTTTCAAGATATACTGTAATATATTGGTTTAGATTGAGTGGTAGGTCGAGCATGTTATGTTGACAGAAAGGGCTGATTCTTGATGAATAGTTGAGTATGGCATTTGTAATACAGCAGGAATTTGAATCCGTATCACACAATTTACTGATCCATCATGGTTATATATGCATGACATTCAACAAGGTTGTGAATCACGATCCCAAGGGTTAAAAGCAATTTGGGTGAAAATGCCAGATTTACGTACAGAACAGGTTATTGTGACGGATATACAAATAGTTGATGCCATCATCGGATGAAATGACTGGTGATGGAGTCTGCTGCTCTTCCTCTACTTCCAATATGAGCGACATAAACTTGTCAATGGCTGTCATGGGAATATCACCCCTATAGTTGCGCGAGATGAGCACCTATGACATGATATCGATGGCATACATTCAGTGCCAAGTCCACCCCGCCAACACATATAACCATGAAAATGTTAGACTATCAATACATATTTTATCCAAGCATAAGACAAATAGCAAGGGCTACTGGCTGTCGTGCAAATTCTGCAACCACTCGACACAATTCGACAAGTTCAAGTATATTATGATAGATTGATTCAAAGGCAAATGCATCTGATATATAGACGGTTGGTAGTCACATTCCATCAAAAGCGGTAGACTGGCTATTAAACAACAGCAATTCAACTCCAGAACCATCAAGGCTCACCTTGCCCTTGAGGTCCAATATAAAAACTGCACTCGCGACCATTGATGTCTGAAAAATAGCAAAGATTTGGTAGGTTGAAAGTTGACTGAACTGCAAGGCAAAGATCATTGATGTGTAAGCTTGTTTTTGATTCTCTTTAAAATAGTAAAAAGTGTTTAATGCAGTTTGAGACTCTGTCCAGTATCTGCTAGTGACATTCTAGTCGCCACATATATTTTACAGCAGTATCACGTAAAACGGAACATTTGTATTAATCCAACTATTTTGTTGTAAATGATGGTTAAATACTCGATGCGCTTTCTTGATTGAGTTGAATCGATAGTTTGACTCTTTAAAACACAATATTCATACAAAATCAAACTATAGTTTGAGCTAAAAGTACTCTTTTCCCCACTGTTGGCATAACCGTACATTACAATCACCAAATTTGAACCCAGATTCATCCATTTCAATACAGATAGATTCGACTGTTCTCAATACAACTCTGTACAAACTCGTGTATTCTAAAATATCAGATACGTTTACATCCAACAAAGATCGCATGTCTCATGAATGCAACCGTTGTTTCTATACTAATCACCAAAAGACCAGTCAACTAAAGAGTTTGCCAAATAATGCTGTCCAGTAAATTATCATTTCATGACATTGGGTTTTTATATAGTTTGGCATTTTGATGTTCCATTTTGCGTGAATATGACGGTAAAAGCAACCCCAAAGGCAATATAAAGTTTATTCGATATATGGAAATAAAAGAAATCATTTTGCTGCTGGTTTCTTAAACTGACCTCCAGAAAAATACTTGATGTTTGCCTCCTTTACACGTTGCAACGCAATCTCTGGATTTTCAAGTTCAATTCCTTTAACAGGCGTGAATGCAACTGAAGAGGATAATCCAGAGGTATGAGCAGAATGACTTGCAAATGCTCGATGTTTTTTGGCCACAGAAACTAGAATGATACGTGTATTCGTCACACATGTCAGCATCGGGTTAAACAATAAATCAAATATATACAATGCAACTACAGTGTAAAATCCACCGACGCAGTCATCTCTATGACCAACATGGACTCACCTTTGACTCGTGTATCCAATTGCGTTCCTCTGATTTTTCCTGTTTGTCGGCCAACCATACCCAGTCCAACAGTCTCATCACCAAATCCATACTCTTCCTCAGCCTCGCCAAATACCATTCTGTTTTGTGCCTTTCTCAGATCAGTTTGAGCGGTTCGTTCCTTAGCCTTTCGAACACTAGATTGATCAAATATATAATCATGGCATTGGCATGAGCAATAGTTGGCAAATAAAGTAGTTTAAATACAGCCCAAATCATGTATTGTTTTAAAACCGCTTTCAAATAAGCGCACCGTCTGCCACCACGTCGTTTTTTTGGACCTTCGTCTGGAATAGGAAGAGCTTTGGTTTTTTGGCTAGGAGGTGGCTGAAGCATCACTGCAATCTTTTTTTCAATATCTTCACGGTAAAGTTTACCCGCCATACCATCGACTGACTCACGAACACAGTCAATCCGTGCTGCAAGCGCACATCTGTATAGCAATATATAGCCAACAAAGTCAATATCAAAACCATGTCTTGGAGCAATGTTCAATACTCATAATTGTGCTTACTTGGCAGACATCAATCTTGCTGCCTTGCGACGAAGTTCGTCAGGCAATTGCTGAACTAGATCACATTGATATACAAAGCCAGCATGACGTCCCATCGAAATGCGGGAAAGACCAGTGTTTGTTTTTTTCTGAGCACCAAGAACAAGAATATTGCATGCTGGAATTTTACTTAGAGCTGTAAGACCTCCAGCATGACCCATCAATTTTGTAGCTACTGTACTGCCTAAAATAGCAGTTAGATTGGGGGCAATAAACGACATTCGCGATTCAACATATTCCTGAATCTATATTCATGATAAATAAGCAAACATATCAAAGAATAAAAAGAAAAGGACTGATTTCAAAATGTCATTCTAAACCAATAAATGAAATAATAGCTTACTCTTCTTTTTGCTGCATCCAACTCAAGAGCTACGTCACATGCTGACATGACACGAGCCAGTTCTTCCTTTGTCAAACTTCTTCCATTTGTAGTGGTTGCAGTGACAGTGATTACCATGATGGTTGCAGAAGGTAAAAATGATTTAAAATCTAGAGTAGTCAGATCCTATTAAATTCAAAATGATTTGGTATGGGTATAACTTGCAGAATCAATAGAAACAAGCAGTAGCACATGAAATCCATGGATCCGATTTGAATAGAATACCTCCTCATTGCCAATCATCTGGACAGCACGAGCAAATTCGACAGGGTTGAGTACCAAAGACTCTAGTTCAGGAAATCTAGGAGCATAGTGGTCTCGAATAAACTAAAGAAATCAATAAAGTTAGATTGAAAATGGTGCACACATCAAGTTGCAAGAGTACTATACTCACTCGATGAACTACAAGTGTTTCGTTATCTAGATCTACAGTCAAGTTGTTGGATTGCACCAACACCATATATTCTGGATCGTCCTCAACAGGACCAGTGTTATGTTCTGGAAGTCGGTCTTTCATCAAAAACAAGGATATTTTCTATAGAAATATAAATGCATAGAATAAAAGGCTGACAATTAGAGTGAGTTGTGATTCGACTGACATTGGAGTCCAATGATGATTACCTGCAACACATCTCGTAATTGCTTTGACCCAAACACCTTGAGAACATGACGAACATTGTCAGTATCTTTAAGTGAATCCAGCAGAGCTGCATGCTTTAGCTCAACATCGTCTTGAACTATATCCTGCACATCGACATCTGAATCACTGCCATCCATACGAGCACTCGCAACATCTCGTTTGCGGACACCAGAGACGCTTGAATTTGTAAGAACGTACTCTTCAGTGTCTTGATCTTCTTCATCGCCAAGATCATCCAAATCAGCAAGTAAGTTGTCGTCCATTGTGGTTTTGGATAAAAAACAATTGTCGCGACTGGTTTTATCAAGCGAGAATGAGTTCAAGTTGAACTTGACATCACTTGAAGAGAATGAATGCAGCGACACATTCTGCAGAAGCAGCTCTTATTGACATACTGATTCTTGTGGTTACAAATGAATTAGCTAATCGCACTGATATTAGTGCTTTTAGTGCATGTTCACCAAGCACATTGCGATTGCTTCACACTCCTAGTATTCCATCAAGATACTCTTGGGAAGCTACTGTCATGTCTGCCATCAACTTGTTTGAACCACTGCTATCATCAGCTTCTTCTGATATTCAACGAGTCGGAGTGCGTAATATAGTTGCATTCATGGATTACACCATTTACTGTTTGCAACCACTTTCTGCTTATATAGATCTACAGTCAACTGATCCTAACCAGTATGTCGACAAATGCAAAAAATCCATCATGTTAATCAAGTCATTGTCCTTGTTGATCAGTACTGGATTTAAACGGCTTCCGTCTGTAGAATATCATTTGGATAGGAAAACTCTTCTACAGGATGATTCGGACCCATCGCAGTTACCAGAGAGTGGGTTGTTGCCATACAGAAACTGGTTGCAGGCACTTTATCGGATCATGGACAAGTATGTAGATATTGGCATGGAGTATTTTCAATCTACAGATCATACGATCGCTACTTTTTTCCAAGAACATCCTCATCCATGGCTGCTCGCTACAGTGTTTTGTATGTTCAATTATATGCAGCGCTATACCATGCTTCTGCCATACAATGCAGATAGCGTCAAGATCTTGACAAAGATAGAGGGCGATATTGTCTCGTTAGTATGTCACAATAGATCCTTGTCAAGAAAAGTGCTCATTTTCCCTATCGCCTTCATTGGCAGCCATATAAAACGTCTATTTTCACCTTCCGAACCCCAGAACATGCAGTTTCAAGCTTCGTTTGACGTAAGTCGTTTTTAATACAAAAATTCAACCACCATAATATTGTAATGCCATTGGAATCGCCAAGTTTAAATACTAATCATGCTTGATAGTATATTGCCAATATATTTGGAGTAAACAAAACCAATATAGATAGTGCTGCAGCAGATGAAGATGCTTTTATACCTTGGGCACATGTTCACGCTTGGCGTAAATATATGCTCACCTACGACTTTGCTACTGATTTGTCCAAAACTCAAAAGTTCTCTGTACCCATCATTCTTCGTGATATCATGCTGGTGGATTTGATATTTGGTAGTCAATGTCAAATTGAGTTGCTTTGCAAACAAATTACAAAACCAAACTGGGTTTTTATCAAAAAACGCACGCTTGATTCATCAGCATTTGTCGATGAGTACTTTTTTGGGATTGCAGATCGTTTTATATTACAATCCAAACCAGATACACAGTGGATTCTGACATCTATGGTGATCAGAGCAATCATCCTTCAAGAAAGTTTGCTAAAATTTTGTCAGCCTACGGAATCTGAAAACCGTCTTGAAACTCTTGTGTTTCGCAGAAAAAACCACACTGGCAATGCACCTATTAGTTTAATGCCATCTCCTATATCAAGTACCATTCAGGAGTTTTTTGATCTGCGCTATATTTTCAAGGCACAGGCTGAGCGAACCTTGGATTTGTGTTTGTGTTTGAACAATTGGCTGACACGAATCATTAAATCAGAGCAGGATCTTTTAAAAGCCATGCAATGCCTTCCAAGCAGCTTTTGGATACATTTGGCTTTATGTCACGAAAACCCACCAGAAACAACGATTGGAGACTCCTTCATGGTCACGCTGTATTCATGTATGCTTCGAATAGACGCTTTTTTGACTGCCAACTCAAACTCTATCGAGGTTTTAGAGCCTGTAAAGACTGAAAGCGATACAAACCCTGCTCAGCTACCAGATATATATAACCAAACTACAGCTGAAAATGCGATGGGTGCACAATCGCTCCCGTTTGGGCTCACTTGGTACACCTTTTTTATCAGAATGCATATTCCTGGTGTGTTTGTACACGCATTTGTTCATTTGCAGAAAAAATACAAGGACGCATCCAAAGCTGCTCAGTTGTGCATGCTAGAGGGAATTGAAGTGGATCTATGCGGATCATCTGAGGTTTTAAAAGAACGGGCTCAAAAATCATTTGAAATGGCCTGTTTGAACCTGGTTGATGGCAATGTTTCATGCATGGCATTTGTGCCAATTGACTCGACTCAAGATATGACATCAAATGATCTTCAGCTGTCCTACTTACGATTGACAGAGCTTGTTTTTGAATACCGCAGCCTATTATTAAAAGTGAATTACCAGCTTTTTAAAGCGTTGTTGACTGAGCCTGTCGTATTGACATCAGCCACGGCCAATACTATAGCCTCTAAAGAAATGGGCGAGATTGGCGAAGACGAGCCAGATACTCCATGGGCCAAAGTTTCCGAACTGACTACTTTAAACGCATTATATAAAGATTATGCTAGTTTGTCACATCAAAAAAGATTGTCTTTTTACCATGAAGATGAAATTGCAAAGCGTGCCAAAAAATGCTCTCGACCCAACTTGCTTCTCATGGATGGTATATTGGACTCTTGTGTCAAAAATGAATCAGTCAACACACAAGAATTTCTTGAATATCTAGACGGCTGGAATGCGTTGGCCTGCACTCTTCCACCAAAAGCATTACGCGACGATCTTGAAGACATTTTGACAAACTATTACCCCTCTGATTCAATGAGATTGCTTGATCGCGTACTGGCTGAATTCCTTTTTATGCATTCCTGGATCATCTCTGATACTGTTACTATGTTGAAACTAGACGGTAGTGGACAGTTCTACCATGGCAGCTCACCATCTGTTGGTACCAAAATTCCCCAATATCATCGTCGCCAGGCACCCTACTATGCACTTCTTGGTGTTTTTTGTGATCAATCCACTCTGCCTTTGATAGGTCCCATTGATACAGTGTCTACAGCTGTCAAAAACACTATTGTAGACATGACACGTCCTGTAAACAATATACCAGTAATGCAACTGTTGAGAGGACTCAGATCTCGCCTACTATCAGATTCTCACAAACCAAATGTTGAACTTTCTATTTTTGAAAAATCCAATGCCGCGGTCAAGCTTATCTCTGATATACTTGATTCTGCGCACAGTTTAGTCAGTGCTCTTTTTTTTTACGAGATATTCGAGTTGGCAGAGCCTCTGACTCTTGGACCTACTAGCAGCAAATCTGTGGTAAAAAAGCAACACATACTTCCTATTGTTCTTGCGGCCCAAATTTTGAATATTGGCAGCGATTCAAACCAAACTCTTTGTTGCATTGCTGCTTCTATATATATGTTTGGACGCTTGGATGTATTGAACGACAAGGCACCCTATGCTTTGCTACATCGAGTTTTGGGTCGATCTGCAAACCATACAAGTTTATTTTATAGCTTTAGAATTATGGCTCAAATGGAGGACCGAGATCGTCGTAGCGGAAGTTTAAATTTGATAAGAGCTTTACTGATTGCACCACTTGGAGTTGATCAAAATTCCGCTGCCGTGGTTGGAAAACGTTTTACCAAAGTATTGTGTAGACCATTTCATTGCTTTATCTATACTGCCATATATGAACATTTATTTTTATACTAGTCTAACTTGATCAACCATTTGAATTTTAGATTTGTCGAGCTTCTTTTATGGAGAGCTCACAAACGCAGTTTATCTCCTCGTGGCTCACCTCAATATTTAACGCAAGTGTTTTATTTTTATAACTCTACGTGCATACTAGATCTGATGTAGATATTTTTCTGCAATAGCTGAGCTGACATTTATTGATGATAGATTGTACTGGAATTTGGTGATCAGCCATTAATGATGGCTCCATATCTACTTCGACACATTCTTAATCCAAAATCACATTATTTTCAAACCGCTACTACATCAAATCTAGACGAGTCTGAGCCAAGAGGGGATATTTTGGACGGCTGGCTTCAACTTTTAGTGAATGCATACTCCCATCCCAATTTACCAGTTGTTCTTGGTATTTGGAAAGAGTGCTTTTGTGATATGCCTCTCAGTGACCTACTTCAGTTCCTATGCAGATGCAGTATTAGTTCTGCCGACCCACTTGTTGACTTTTTTTCAAAAGAGCTTCTTGCGTTGCTAAAAACCAAAAAGAGATTGAACCTTGAACTTTTGGATTCTATACTTGTTTCGCGGAAACCAGAAAAAATGCTGGCCATGGCCAAACAGTCACTGTCGGGCATTTCTTTGAATTCATCAATCAGAATAGATATATGCAAATTTATGGAGCAAAAATTTATGCTTGTCATGGAAATGGTTTACACCAATGGCAGCAATTTGATGCTGACATGGCAGTCTGCATTAAAAACAACCAACATGGTGTTGGATCATCTGCTAGAGTGGGACGTATCGTTAGCGCTAGATTGTCTTTCCTCGCCGACAGTAGCAGATTTTTTTATTGGCGCACTCTTAATCTTTGATGCTTCTCAAGCTAAAGTCATGACTGCAACACTTTCAATGGCTTACAAGGCGGTTTTATTACAAACCACTGGTACGACTGCATCCAATGGAAAATTGCAAATTTTTAAAAAGTTTGTATTGGTTCATGAATCTACATGGCGACTGTACATCATGCGTATTCTTGGGCGATTTTCCGATGAATCCATGGTAGCACTTTTAAATCCGCTGTTAAAAGATCTGTTGTTGTCTCTCAAGGTATTTGAACGAACAGAATTTGCAGATGTGCTAGCTGAATGTACGACGTCTACTTTTGTTGGTGCGATCCACACCAACAATGTTGTGTTGCTTAATAATACGGCGAGTTTACTTCGGTACTTGGTCAATGAATGGGCAAGCACGCGTGTTTGTGAGAGTGTATACAGTCTTATCAGCACGTGTTGTGTGTTTAATGTCAATACAATTTCGAATTCTATCATGCTGATGGTATCGAGTTTAGTTCCAGGTCTGTATCAGGCCACACAAACTCATATGGAATCTGTGGTGATTTTTGGAGTGATGCGGTTTTTAAGCACATGTTCAGATTCAACAGCCAAAAGTATGACACTAGATATTGTTGAGCAATGTTGTGCGTTGCGAGTCAATCGTGCAGAAATGCTGTGCTCTCTCGAATATATCATCTATGCGTTGGCAGGTGGACACCATCAGACGTATCTGCGTGCAGTGGATGCTCTCAAATTACTTCGCAATTGGAAATTTTACATTGGTGAGCATAGCAAAGAGTGCAAGTCTCCTTTTGTACTTTCCTGGACGGCAAAAGCTGCACAAGATACTGCTTTGATGGACCAACGACTGAATCTGACAGTAGAAATGTTTGATATGAATGTTGCAAAAGGGATTACTAATTTGATAGGTGCAAGCTCACTGCTGGGTGAACGTGCATATTTGGGATCAGCACTTGCGCGCATTTCATCCGATTAAATACTAGCTTTTTGAAAGAAGCAAGGTGGTTACACTCGTATTCATATACAACACTAAACAAGGGTGTCAAAGTACATAATAAATAGACAGTCTTGATGATTGGTATTACTCAATTCACTAGTCAATATTGTCTAGACTTTTTGACAAATCACAGATTCGCCAAACATGATTTATCCATCAACACAGTCATGTTGCAAGACACAAAGTTTCATATTGTACATTGTTGGATCTTGCTCAAAATTGAGTAGAATGAAAATGGATTGGTCTGACATGCAAATCCAACAGGAATCCAAATAGGAATCCATGTTAATTTGTAGTAGAAAAGCACACTACACATTTAGCCATCGACTATTTCAAAGTCATGATTGTAAGATGAATACAAACAGTCCATTTTGTGTAAATACGGCTGTAAATAGTAGAGATTGAAATAAAAACAGTGATATTGCCGGTGTTTGAATTGACAGCTTTATAAAACGTATGCATTAGCATGTTACCATGTCAGAAACCAAACTAGCTTTATTTGCATTTTTAATGGCAGCCACATAATTTCTGCAAATACTAGATTTTGTCTTACACGACCTGATACACGTCTGACCGAAGTAGATTCTCGATCGAAAAAGTAGCTGCATCACCTTCCACAGTATTGACATTTGAGATATGAATGGGATTGAGAAGTTTGAAAGATGTAAACACAATTTCAATCGGATAAAATGCATTCACGTCCTCGCTTGAAACGTTGAATTCAAGTACGCCAGACGAATTGGAAGCATCAATTAAAGGCAGTGACCATTGAATGACACGATTTTGGCGATTGATAGTGTAATGGCCTTCAACGTCACCAATAGTTGGAGCATTACTGCCGCTATTAAAGGCGAGAGTATGATAACGGTCAAACAATTAAAGTATAAAGTAAAGCAAGCACCACAAACAAATACTTACGGATAAGGGATAGAAATCAATACATCATGAAGCTCAAGACCGAGATTTTGCAGCTCATATTCAATGTTGACATCACATGCACCATTTCCAGTAGGCGAAGGCCAGCAATTGACTTGTAAAAAAGTCAATACTGATTTATGGGATACACGGCAAAAGAAAAGTCTACTTACTGAGTAACGGCGCAAGAGTCTCATCGCGAGAAGAAACTTTCCATCTTAAAATACCAAGTGCTTGACCAACAGGAAAGGGACGAGAGGGGTCACGAAGAGCAATAACAGAGTCAGAGGCCCACAAACCCTTGTCCACATTGGGATGCGTCTAAAAAGGGAATCGAGTTAGTCATCTAAATGCATGTAGCTCAGATGTTACATCCAACTAGTTTGAAAAACACGTACGGTAAAACGCAAGTTGGGATCTGAATTGTGAACAATCTCCAACTTTACGCGGGCAGACGATGGACTGTTAATCTTGAGCATCATGCTGCCGTTTACTTTAAATGATTGAAGACCACCATCCCGACTAATAGCCACAGATACTTTTTCTTCAACAACAACATGAACGCTGACAATTTCAATTCCACCAATACAGTTAGTGACTACTTGATACATATCCATGCAGTATATTATGCACATTACAATATAAACAACATTTACCCTTCTTCGTGAACAGCAGGTCGTACTGTAGCTTGTGTCGATCCACCAGTTGCTGTAGTAGAATTGGATGGTGTTTTAATTCCTTCGTAAGCGGTAATGCTTTCCAGTACCGAATTTTGGCGCTGACTTCCTCCTAGCTGCATTCCGCGTCCAGAACTAACATGATTCAGATACATTGCATGAAGATTAATAACATTTCAGTTGCCAATGAGTTGTAATGTCAAAATCCAATAGACTACACATATATCGTACACTGGAGCAGATGCAGGCATGGATTGAGCAGATCCCTGGCCAAAGTTATTGGCAGAAGACGACGAGGGACTGTAGTTATTAGATGGACCTTGATTGGAACCACCTTGGTTGGAAGAGTTTGAGAATCCAGAGGAAATCCCTGTCATGTTACCTGAGCCACCACTGCCCATTCCAGAGCCTCGTTTCCCACTACCAAATCCACCAAATCCACCAGAAGAGCCTCCATATCCCTTTTTGGCAGCATCTCTGCGTTGAGTATCCATCATCTTGGCCTTGCGCTTGAGTTCTTCTGCAGCTTCCTTTTCCTTGTTCTATGTATCATTGACAAGGTTAGACTTTGTTTGGCACAAGAATGGATTGTCTTGATTCTAAAGCCATAAAGTGCAATGTTTGAGGTATTTACTTTTTCGATCTCGGCTTGAACACGCTCTTCGTGGCTTTCCATGGCAGAGATGGTTCTGATTTGACCCAAGTTGATATTTTCACGGTATCCAAGTGAAATCACTTCGTCGAATACCAGCAACAAATCGAATGCATGTTTGGCAATTTCACGCTCGTCATTGGATCGACAGTATTCAGATACGAGTCTAGCAAACAAGTGGAGCGTATCAATGTCTTGCAGAATATTAGAGTTTTTTGTTGTAACCAAAACCATGAAAAGATTATCCAAAGGCTGATAGTTGGATCCAAACAGCCATGAGAATGGTATTGAATAGACAAGATTAGTGATTTTAAATGTAGAGATGGATGATGTATGCAACCTTTTTACCTGATAGACGTAACGCACAGCATCTGTTTCAATGTATGTGTGCTGGTCGCTAACACCAATGAGTTTTGGAAACGATGCAATCAACCCCTCAATGCGAGAACGGGACATTTCCACGAATTGCCGTGAAAGGACGGCTGTGGAGTTTATCAATAAAATATAGTATTCAAGTCAGTATTTAGAATTGCAGATGAAGGTTGATATTTGCAAGTAGATCTACAATGGAGTCAAGTATGCAATTGCTGTAGAAGGAGCATTCAAGTTGAATTTGACATGACAGACACCAAGCCATTCAGGATGAGCAAGATGAACATGCAACGCAATCCGGGTATTGAAGTTCAACCATGGACTATGCAGTCAAGGGATAACAAACACAACCTTTTCCAGCCTTTGTACAAATTGAAGCAGCCAGAACAACCTAGATAGAACGAGTCATAGATTAGTAATACTAGAAGCAAAGACAAGGATTGATGCAAGAGCACAAAGCAGGATTAAGATTCTTGAATAAAAAGAATGCAACCAACAAGACACTAGCAATGAGATTCTAACAAAGTGGTTACCATAACGCAAGAAACCGAAAATCAGATAAAGTTGAGGAAAGCAATACGCTCGTGTCTTGAATCAAGACGACAGTCAAGACAACAGTCAAGACAACAGAATTTCAAGATCTTGACTGTATCAACACAATAGTTTGTCATGAGAGAGAGAATTGTAAGACATTTGTGTTTGTTTGAGAGTTGATTCAGTCTGACATTGTGTAGATATTTGTTGTGGATACAGGACAAGAGTCTGGATGTGAACTTATTAGAGAATCTGTTGATTCTTACATGTAAGCTTATAGTCTTGTTCTTAGTCTTGATTGAATCATTCATACTCTTGTGTATTAGAACAAGACTGGATTGCACTAAACATCTTTTGGCTCGCTTTGTTCTTCAGAAACTCATCATGAACAGTCGTCATGAGGTATTACATGCTTGCTAGTCAATCTCATTACAAACTTCTAATTCATTTACTACTAGTTTGGTATATGTTGCTTTACCAACACTGTGTCTTGGCATCTGAAACCTACAAATAATCCACTCGCTGTTCAGGATGCAATCTGCACTCTTGCTTTCCAAAACCTAACATTCCCTGTTTGCAATCTAACAAGTCTGTTTGAGCTCATGTAAGATCTTGATTCTACAAGTCTTGTAAAATACTTTAAACTAATCCTTTTTAAATTTGAAAAGTATGTCGGAATTGCCTTTACAGGAAAGCGATTATTCTCTTCGAGTAATTCTTATTTATGCTCGAAGTCATCAAATACCAATCTGTCCATCTAAACAAGAGATTGAACAATTTTACAATGCAAACCCAAAATGTTTTATTGATACTGTGTATTTGCATGATGTATCTGAAGACTCAAACTCGGTTGTACGCATCTTTGATGTGTTGGGATGTCTAGAAAATAGCAAAAGCAAACATGTTGAATTGACAAGGCATCGGTCGAGGTGAGTCTATTTTATTCTACATGTTGTTCACCACGCTTTGTAATGATTGATGTGTGTTCAAATAGGTTTCTTCGTGGAATGACCGAGCTTTTAAGTAATCCGTTGCAACGATTGGAATCCTCGGCATACAAATGGGTCATTGTACCAGAAGATTGAAATCAATTCATGTCTATTAAAAAATAAACAGATGATGCTACTATTTCAATCTCTACTATGTACAGCCGTATTTACACAAAATGGACTGTTTGTATTCATCTTACAATCATGACTTTGAAATAGTCGATGGCTAAATGTGTAGTGTGCTTTTCTACTACAAATTAACATGGATTCCTATTTTGATTCCTGTTGGATTTGCATGTCAGACCAATCCATTTTCATTCTACTCAATTTTGAGCAAGATCCAACAATGTACAATATGAAACTTTGTGTCTTGCAACATGACTGTGTTGATGGATAAATCATGTTTGGCGAATCTGTGATTTGTCAAAAAGTCTAGACAATATTGACTAGTGAATTGAGTAATACCAATCATCAAGACTGTCTATTTATTATGTACTTTGACACCCTTGTTTAGTGTTGTATATGAATACGATTGTAACCATTTTAATACTATCGAGTAAAAGAAAAAACAAATTAAGCATTGATTTGTAGTGAAAATAGTCTAGATACACGCAGCTGATAAATCAATGAAATGATGGATTTTATTGAGAGCCACTGGCTGCCAAATGAAAACGAACAGCAGAAAGTTTGACAGCATGAACAAGTCTAGAAAACGATTTACCGTATCGCTTTCGTGTTGCTTCGTTGATTGCCCCAGAATCTACATACGTTGGATCATCACTTCCACAAAAAACTACTATACATGCTGAAAGAAATACATCCATATCTGATGCAGCCCATCCAAACGATACACCTGGATCTACAATCTTTTCTTGTATGGCCGCAAACAGGTCCCTGATTTCACGATTATTGGAAAGACTGGCTCCTAGTGTTATGATATTACGGAGGATAATTTTGAGTGCATTTGCTCCAGCTTTTTCCATGATATGCTGTTGATCAAGAGCTGCCAAATGTAGTGTCATGGCTATACGAAACTGCTCAAGCGTGTCTTTGGAGTTGAAAATAATTGTTTTGATCTCACGGCTATCCTGAGTCAGTACTGCATCAAATTCTTCAAGTACCGTCTTGGGTGATGCTGTCAGATATGTCATCAATATAGATGCGACTATGATCAAAACCCAACTAGTCAATGAAAACGGCATGTTCATATTCTGTATTCTAGCTACAACTATTGAAATAGCAGTTTGACATTACAAGTACATGGCCTACCATATTCAAAATCATAAAACCTTAAATGAGCCAAACGCTTTTTTGACGTATCAAAGCGATAGTTGTTGATAAAGATAATGTTGGCATACTGAGACGATAAACTATACGGTAGTACAAAGTCGCGCTGGATCACAGACACCATATCCCCATCGCAATCTTCTACTCGCTTGATAATACGTTTTAAATTGTCAAACATTCTTCTGCAGCCAATGATGGGAACACGAGTCCGTTGACACACATCTTCAAGTTCTTTTCTTACACGAGAAGTCAGCTTCTTGCCCAGAATCTCACGAATCACTCTTTCATCAAACCCATAATATGAATCAATTAAAAACTGTTTTGTGGATTGAGGAAGTGGAAAGATGGGCTGAGTTGTTAAATGGTGCGGATGATGTAAAAACCCTTCAAGGATCTCAAAATTGCGATATTGAGTTGTGACATAGTGAGAAACCTGACTCTGTTCTGGTCGTTGATTTCCAGCCATTACCGCTCTTTTTCGATGCTGACTTAATGCTATTGATACAGCGTTATCCACTAAACACAGCATATACAGAAATGAAATGGCACAATCATTAGTATAGCCTGTTGAATGGCCAGACTGTAAAATAGCCTGAATCAATGACTTAATGTTTTCAATCCAAGATGGATATTTCCATATAAGCTGATTCTCGGTCTGATTAAAAACAAACTATTTGATAGCAATTGAAGTAGATCCAGACTGACAAGACTGTAGCAATTTATAGATATGCATGAATATCAGTACTGACCAGTAAGCCCCATAAGCCAAATTTGCCAAAGAGCCTTGTCAATAACAATGGTATTTGAAAAGAAGGAAGTAAAATCCATGGTTGAATGACCTTACTGAAGCTACGATACGTTTAGAAGAGTTGCAATGTTCCAACAGCAGCAGACAGAGCAAGAGCGATAACGATCAGCCAGATAAGCCTGCAAACAACAAGATTTGCAGATTTGACATGGCGATTACTGGTGAGTGGATTGAATGACATCGAGTGTTCTGGTGCAGGATTAACGTGCAGTGTTTGAGTAGAATCTTCATGCAGCCTTTTGGCAATCGTTGTTGATGCCAATCCAATGATATGGGCTGGACTTGGCACTTTTGAGCAGACTATAGACCAGATGATGGTGCTGGTGAATGCTCATCTTGCTATGCATCATCACAACAGTCTGGCCGTCATTGGAACCACTTCAACTTCAAGTCGATTGCTGTATCCACCACCTTCGTTGGCATCAGTTTCGGATAGAGATTCTGTCGGTGCTGCCTCGTTGCCAGGCATGACTGGGACTCTATCTACAGCAGCCGAAAGTGCGCTTCCAGTGGGATCGACTACTTTATCTAAAAAGCCAGCCAACGTGTACAAACAGTTTTTTGATGTAGATACTCATATTGTGGAGCAACTGAGACGACTTGTATTGGCCGACGTTTCAGCCGCACCAAAACGTATGTAGTTCAAGCATGATGAGTCCAACTGGATTCATATTTTTACTAAAATGTAAATCTGTTTGGAATGGTTATTCTAACACTTCTTGTCACAGCATATGAGCCTTCCAAGATAGCTGGCGCTTTATCTCTTGCATTAACTTGTATGTAATTCACATGATTAGATACACAGTTTTAAAATCACTGGCAATCTGACCCGATTCTTGTTTACAGATATAAACAAGATGCAATCATCAACAACCCCTGATAGACAATCGCGAATCTTGGTACTGTCAGTCTCTCCTGATGGATCTGCACAATATATTCCAATCATGAATGCAATTTTTGCTGCGCAGAAGCAGGTATGTATAGCCAAATCATGGCTGTATTGAATGATCAAGACGTGTACTAGGTAACCAACGAGTGTGATGGGATTCAACATTTTGCAGGATACCCCCATTGATGTCTGTAGACTGGTAAATGAGCCATCAATATTTTTACCTCAGGCATCTTACATTACAAATGGAATCTATCTTCAAGTGCGCAATACGAGCCATTTGATCCAGCATTTAATTGTACGTGAATGATTAGTGATGTGTTGTGAACATCAATTTGAATTCTTTTGCTAGCTAGACTGAGTGAATAACTGACTTGACTGCAACGCCTAAACGTGCTGCAATATATAGCATATTTTTCTACCTGATTCATCCACTCGTAAAATGCTCTGTCTTGGTAGCAATGCTGACGTTGACTTTCGTGCATCTTGTTTCTGTCACAAAAAAGATGTGGACATTGGATATATCTGCAGCATCTGCTTGTCTAGTTGAGTTGAATGATTGTGATGCTGAACAAGTGATTCACGACTAACACTTGCCAACGATCGCAATGCGATATAATTATTATGAATGCCAGTCTATTGCTCAATTCGCAGTGAATGCACTACATGTAAGACACGATTCCAATAGTCCTCTAGCGTATGAATCCATTAAGCTTTAAAAATGAGGCTGTTTAGCCATGAATAAAGTTTATCATGTACGACTAGCAAGAGCTTAATGACTCGTTTATGCTTTGAATGCTCAGATATCAACTTGAACCATTTAATGCTCAAGAGAACCTTGAATTGGAGAGTTCAGTCGTTGCTGGCAGGCAAGACATGCTCTGCAGTGCTGTCGAGACAGACACTCTGCAGCAATGCATTGACCAGCATCGACCACACAGTGTACAACTGCAGGTCTCGTCAGCTTCAAACTAGCTCGACGCAAGACAATTCTGCCGACCATCAAACACCAGTCAACCCGCCATCCAAGGTTTGGCTTCAGAGCCCAAGGATCGAAGAGTATGCAGCCAAGTCTCTCAACTTGGTCACTCTGCAGTACCTTTTACGTCTTGGCAGAGAGAGAGATATTCGAGGTCTGGCAGAGGTGGTTTTGTATGAACTGCCCATCCGTTTGGCCAGAAGGGTTCGAGGTAACGATGGATAGCCTTGTTGGCTTGGACACTGCCAGTAATAGAAATAGTAATTAATCACTGAAGTGCATCTAAACCAGCTATTCAAAATCTACCGTTTATTGTTGGAGTCAATCCTTGGATCCGAGATGTGTATGAGCTGTATTTGGATTCATTCGAGCAGTTGTCGCTTTTGCCTGAGCCAAAAACTGACGAGGATCTGAACAAGCTTGCGACCACTTTGGCAGAACTGACCGAGTCGCACAAGACTGTCGTGCCCAAACTCGCCAACGGTAATCGATCAGACTCGAGTCACTATAATCTTCTGTTTTGATCCCTTCATTATTGTAATTCATTCATTTTGTTTGCTTGGATCAGGTTTCATGGAATGCGGAAAGTATATGGAAAAGGATCGTGCACGAGAGTTTTTAGATGGTATGATTCACTCTCGAATTGGAACTCGAGGTAAGACAAAGTCTGACATCACCCGCTGCAACATGTCATTCTAGATTGATTCGTGTATTGCAAAGTTCTGATGTTTGAAATATGTAGTGATTGCTGAACACTATCTGGCATTGCAAAAGGAACACGAAGGCTGGATCGGTGTGGTCAACACACAGGTTTTTCCTGCAACCATTCTCCGATCCACATCATCTTACGTACAGGAAGTATGCCAATACAACTATGGCTCCTACGCGGAATTTGAAATCATTGGAGATATCAATACCAAAATTGCATACATTCCTGTGCATATGGAGTATATTTTTATGGAATTGATTAAAAATGCCATGCGTGCAACAGTCGAGTTTTCCCAAAAAAGCGGTAGATTGGTGCATCCACCTGTTGAGATTGCTATTGCGCAGAGTGAGAATGATGTCATTATTCGTATTCGTGATGCTGGTGGTGGTATTACAAAAGAAAGTAGGTGATCCTGTATGTGATGCACATTTTGAATGCAATACTAATGGTTTAAAATTATCTACCTTGACTAGATGTCAAGCGTGTTTGGGAATACAGTTTTACTACAGTACCTAAATATGACGATGATGAAGTTGGTGGTATATTTTCAACACAAGCTCGTATGCAAATGGAGCAAGGTGTCGGCGGCCCCATTGCTGGTCTTGGGTTTGGTCTTCCCATGTCGCGTATTTATGGTGAGGTTGATCGCTATTGCCAATCGTGCAATACAAAACGTTGCTAACAGTTTTTTTCAATACTTGATAGCCAAATATTTTGGTGGCTCGCTTGAATTTAAAACTGTTTTTGGCCATGGAACTGACCTATTTGTTCGATTCCCGAACATTTCTCAACTCGAATCCACCATCTCCTAACAATTTACTGTTTTTAAATTGACACTGTTACATTTATTTAAAAAATAAGCAGATCAATACTTTTAAGATGTGTTACTTTCTTGGTTTCCTGTTCGATGCATGCATTTGTACTGATGAGTCTCAATTTACAGCATATTTACGTATAATGGATCGCTTTTCTGTAGCCACTGCCTTTATTTTGTTTTGGAATAAATAATACTCAACTATTCGTTGCGCTCTCTTACTTGAAATGGGCTGCCTTTGAATGGACATTGAGCCTTGTGTTTGGAATTGCATGCTCTACAAAACCATGCTTGATTAGGGAAACTATCATTTCACGAAACCGACTGTTTATTATGTATTCAACACCTTTATTTAGTATTTCATTTTGCATGAATACGGCAACACTATCATTGTTGCTTATCTGCATTCGTCGCGTTGATTACCTTGAAAGTCTTAATGCATAACTGTGTAACCCTGGTGTCAAACAATACAGCATGTATAGTCATCAAAATTCCTAATAAAAGCAAGTGCAGTCTATCGGTTTCCTATTGGTTCCTTATGAATGGAAGAAGTTCCACTTGAAATGTACTATTAGTGATATATCAAGGCATTTCAAACACACAACACACTTACTCGGCTCGTTTTTCTACACGGTAATAAAAATCTGCAAATTCGCCAGATCCTAGCAGCTGCATGAATTCTTCATCGTGGGTAATAACAATTAGCTGGAAATTGCTCTGCTGGCGACGGTATTGTATGATTCTGCATGTCGCAAAAACCACAATGTTAGTCATATGACCAAAAATGCACTCCATACTGTATCATGACAAAAATTTACTCTGCTAAAGATTCTGCAAGACTTTCAATATTTTCGCGATCTAGATTGGTTGTAGGTTCGTCCAATGCCAAAATACCACAATTTACACAAAAGGTTTCAGCTAGAGCAAGACGAATCATAATAGATGTCAGCACTTTTTGTCCTGCACTGCACCGTCCACGCATATCCAACTCCGTTTCTCCTTTGACCATGACAACCTGGTATACACACATCAATAGAAAACATTGATCATCATGCATTAGAGTAGGTTTGTGCAAATACTTCACATCTACTGAAATAGAACCACATACTCGATAGTTGTAAGATCGTGAATTTTCCTTTTCTGGATCCCAGCGAACCTCGATTGTATCAATATCCAAACCACGGTAGGTTTTTGTCCAGAGCTCGCGAATGATTTTGTTGATCTCATCCATCTTGTGCTGATGATGAGTCATAATTGCTCTGAATACATAGTAGATCTATTAGACAATATATATATTCAACAGACATTGTCCAAATCTAGAAACCATGATATTTACCTGTCAAGAGCCTTTGCATAAATCTCCAAATCATGGGCGGACTTTTCTACCAACTATAGAAATAAAATAAGCTGCCAAAATATAGCTTCTAATTCAAGCATTTAATAAAAATCAAATTTGCATAAAATTATACCTGCACTTCAACAACTTTTTCTTGAAATTGCAAATCAACATCTCGATATTCAGTCTTTAGCTCTTTATCTAATCGACGGGCGTTTTCTTCAAGCTGTTTTTGCTCTCCTACAAGTTGTGCACGCTGACAAAGTAGTCATTATAGACACGTTAATTTAACATTCAATAGCGTGGCATCAAAGAATCATCATGCATCATACCTCGCGAACCAATTGCTCATGAGTAGACTTGAGTACATTATACTGAGCATTGATAGTATTCATATCTACACTCTGAATAGCTTCATCAATGTTTTGAATGCGTAAATCAACTGCATCCATCTCACTTTGCAATTTTCTTAGTTTTAAATTGTCGTCAATGGTGCGCTGGAGGACTTGGATTTCAGACCGCTGTTTTTGCATGCGCTCAAGTCGACTGGCAACATTCTCAATCTCAACCTTGGAATCATCTGCTTTGCGCTGAAGGGCTGCTGCATCACAAATGCATTGCGACAACTTGGATACTCCGTCTGATTCAATGTATCGCTGAATTTCTTTTTGAACCGTAGCAAGTTGGCTAGAATCTCGACAAAGTCGTTGAAGTTGATTGTCAAGCTTGTGCTCTATCGACTCGAATTCTCGTTGTTGATCCGCCAGCACCACGCCAAGTCGATTGAGTTCCGAAGAAACCTGAACATATTTCGTATCCAAAGCCTTGAATTCAAAACATAGCGTGAATTCATAACGTTGCGCACCATTTTTGGCGTCATATATCAAATACAATCAATACATATATACCTTGACTTCCACATCAAGTCGAGATACTTCAGTTTTCAGTTCTTCAATCTGAGCTGCAACCCTTGTTCTTTCACTAAAGCTGTTTTGTAAATGCTCAAGCCGTTCGCGTGCATCTCTCACCCGATTTTCACACAACCGAACATCCTCTTGTATATTACGAAAATCTTGATTCAAATTTTCCGACTTGGAACCCAAGAGTTTGCTAGTTGAAAAAATAAAATTAGCCCAATGCAATGCAGGTCAAAAATGATTCTCAAATCAGATATATTGTACATTTCGTTTTGAATAGTTTCGTATTCACGCTGAATTTCTCCTACTGTGCGCGTTACATTAGATGATCCAAGATCGTGATTTAAACTAGCAATGTCCTTTTCAATCATGAAGAGTTCAGCACTTAATCGATTGACCTCGTCAGTTGAGGCTTTTAATTTGCGAATTAGATCAATCTCGGCATTATTGACTGCAATTAAATCCGGATACTGTTCAAAAATTTAAATTGTGATGAAACAAGAAAAGTAAGACAAAAGTATAGTTGTTGAACCCAGATATCATAAATAGATTAAACACTACACATACATCATCTTCTGTAGCACTGAGTAGCTGAGCACGATTTGACTCGAGCATACTTATCTGAGTTCGAAGATCGGGTAATTCTTTTGTATGCAGTCGCTCGTAGTCACCCCAATGGGTACTCAGTTCTGACAAAGCAGAAAGATCTGCCTCTGCCTTTGCAGCCTCTACTTCAGCATCCTGCATAGCATTCGGCACTCGCTCCAAAATCATTTCAAGCTAAATACCATGTTTATAGCCAAATATTGTGTTGGGTTGTATTTTCAGGTGATGAGCTTGGCAAGAAAATACAGGCATCAAAAAATCAAACACATAGCAACGGATACAATGATTATCGTACCTTTGACGCAAAATCATTTAATTCATCATCATCAGAAAACCCTCGTACACAAAGTGGACAGCACTGATTGGCTTTGAGTTTTTTGATGAATTTAGTGTACATGGATTTGGCACTATTCATGGACGATAGATTACTACAAACAATTAGACCAACATGGATTAAAAATGGGTTAGCAATAGTTATCTATACCCAAACCATAACAATCTAATTGAATCATTAATGCATGTTCAAGTCTATTTATGCTCACTCGCGACAGTCGATTGCTTTGATCTCAGCATTTTGCAAGGCAGCCTTGAATTCTGACGGTGGGCAAATTTGTGTCACTTTAAATAGTTTTACTGCAGTAAATAATAAGTGTTGGTTACAAATGCTTGCAAGTTTTATCCAAGAATAAATTAAAAATAATGGCAAATAAATATAATTGCCATACTTTTCTCCTCGGCTTCTTTGATTTTGAGAGATTCCTGAGCAGCGGTTAGCTTTACATTGATTGATGAAATTTGTAATAGACGTTCTGTACGAAGCTGGTCCAGCTTGGCACATCTTTCTTGTCGAGATCTAATACGCACAACCATGCCATTAAAACCCAAAATACTACACTAATTCAAGTCGGTATACAATTAAACTTACTTGAGTGCTGCATCAAGTTCTGCAGTATAATCCTCAAATGCTGGTGTAATATTTAAAACATTAAATATTTCGCTTGCCAATTCTGCCATACTATTTACACAGAAGTTGTTTAAATGTCAAAAGACAGCCATTAAAAAATTACAAAGTTTATGTCGGCAAATTGGATCATACATGTTTTCTTTTGATGCAGTTTTTTTTGAATGGTCTGCTGTTTTGATTGCATGCCGTGCACGAGTGTCCGTTTGTAAAGATGCTGCCGATATTTCTTTCCCTTTTATTTGTAGATTTCGCTCGCACTCAGTAAGCTGAGCTTGCACACGCATAAGCTCTTGATCAATTTGATTATTGCTAAACAATGTTTGAGCTTGCTCTAAACGAGCTTTCTCGCTAGCAAGATCTACCACTGCGGAATCGATTTCAATCTTTCCTACTTGAACTGCGTTTATTTTAGCATTAGATTCTGAAATGCGCGTATTTAAAGCATCCTGGTGGCATATGCAAATGGTAGAACAGTCAATATAATGTTGAGTGTTAACGACCAGGTGAAATGGATTCAAGATGTGCTTTAGTGGTCAATTTGCAAAGTATTGGAATCAAAGTAAAATGAATACTGACCATCTGAGATCTGTACATTCTTTTTGTTTGATCTATCATAGATACATCACCGTGAATCTGTTGCATTTGAGCCGAAATTTGAGATTCTTTTGTTTTCGATTCAGACTAATATTTAGCATTGAGATTTGAAAGTCAGTACATATTTTTATAATCAATACAGTCAATAAAGTAACCGTGCCTTGTGCTCTGCCAATGTTGTTTGTTGTTCAGTAATTTTGGATTGAAGTAATTGCATAAAGCGATCAATGTCCGCATCATCCAAATTGGCAACGTTAAAATCTTCAAAAGAATATTGTTTGATCAATTCTGTAATCAAGGCTTGACGATTTTGAAGCTGCCTTTGATATGCCTGTAATGAAAAATTCAACAAGACTGTCAGATCATATACCAAAACTTTGATGTTTGCATTCAACACCAACCTCGTGCTCTGCTTCCAATTGACCTCGTCTAGTGTAAAAGTTTGATATTTGTGTACCGAGAACAGTCAAATTATGTTCAAGATTGTCTTTATGTGTTTCCAATGCCGTCTGTTCCTCACTTTGATTTCCAACAGAGCATATATATTGCTCAAGAAGCTGTTTCAACTCGTTGTCAGTTTCTAGGTGATTAAGCCAAACGTGTTAGACTCCATCACAGTGTCAAAAGTAGATTAGAATGGCTTTTAAAAAACCAATGGTTTAAAAGCTATACCATGGTATATTTCAAGATTGCTTGACATTTCTTGGATGCGATTTGAAATCATGTCACGCTCATGCACGGCATTTTCACGACGGGCGGCCAGGTTGCTAATTCCTTGTTGTTTTTCAAGATGACTGGTGATCTGAGCAACAACTTGATCAATTTCACCATTATCCAGCTGGTTAATTCGAGTGCGGGTACTTTGAATGTGTGCATTAGCCTCGGCAAAAGATTCGCGTACCTAAAATATACGAATAAACATTCCAAACATACAAAACTGGTCAACATCAACAGGATTGAAGCAAGATACGCAAATTGTATCTATACAGTTGTGAATCCATCCTACTCTTTTGGCCTTGTCTTTGTTGGTACGCAGATATACCAACTCTTTTTCACACTCTTTTGCAATGCCAGTCAAAAGTTTTTTTTGGTCTCGAATTTCAACCAGTGCTTTTGTATATCTATTGATTTGACCAGTCGAGTGTGAGAAAATGCTTAATTGTTACAGAATCAAACTGGATTACTCACCTAGTGGAAGCAAAGATCTCGTCGAATTTTTTTTTAAGGGAAGCAGGCTCAGATAGTGGCCAAAACGAGTCCTCTTGATGACAAAAGACGACATGTTCCAAAATTGCTTTCGACACAGACAAATGTGGTGCAAGCTCTTCATCCACAACAGCACAGCGTGAACTCAGATCATGCACCTCACCTGTACGTGGATCTTTAATGGACAAGATTGAGTCAAGCGTGCGCATTGTTTTGGATGATAATTTCTGCACGACAATCAGTGATCGAGTGCAAGTCACTTCTTGGCCACGAACATTGTAGAATCGTAGTTTAACCTGAGCCTTGACCTCGCTAGTATGTGCAAGCTACAATGATAAAAGTGTATAAGCGAACGTTGAATCTGATACTCAAAGATTGAATGGATTACAAAGAGCATTACACACTTTGGGATCGTAGACAAAAGCACCATTCTTTGTGTTGGGTGGAAGATCACCAGTTGTAGCGTATTTAAGACATTCGATAATTGTCTAGCAATTCACACTGAAATTTAGAATTTTATCCTGTTGATTGATTACATTGACTATATAACATCATGACTAGATTAGCCATACAGTTTTACCAGCACCGTTGTGACCGACAATAATTGTAAGTGGAGTGCCAAATTCGAGTGTTTCTGTTCGGTCTGGAGCAAATGCACGAACACCTCTAAATAATGATCATTCAAGATGAGACCAGTTGAATCAAACAGAATGAAATATGACCAGCAATTCCATGCCAACCTAATCAACAATTTGTCGAGAGTTGCCATTTTGTTGGTCAAGATTCGGTCCGAAAGTGAGTTTCTGACAATGCATCACGTGGTCAGAGGTTAAGAATTGCTCGCTGGTTCAAGACAATCTAAACAACAGAATGTCAGAGGTGAGTGAGCGCTGGTTGAGCCAATATTGCATGGCTGAACTCTTGCATGAAACGCTAGTCTGATGTGTATTGGTCACTGTTTGCATCAAAGACACTGTCGTGTTCTGTATACCCTTGACTCTTATGCATTCGAGTTATTGGAAACTGCGACTCTCATCTGAGTTGACTGGGTGTCAGTTGTATTTTGAATCATTCAGTATACCACAATCGACCTTGTTGTTTTTGGTAATACACTTGCAACCAGTTGGGTTAGAAAACTACCGTGGTTGAATCTGACTTGTATTCCATACAGTATGGCTATCTGATATGGTCATGTTCTACTGGGTACTGGAAGGATGGGTGTATCGTTAATGGATTACAACTATCCATCTGCTGGCTTTACTCGATAATTGCTACATTGTGCTAACCACTTTCATGATACTGTCAATTTTTAGGCAGAAGGCGAGAAGGATCTATATCTTAGACTCAAAAAGTTACAGCAGCATATTGAGTTTCTGTCACTTCAAGAAGAGTACATCAAGGATGAACAAAAGAATCTCAAGCGTGAACTCATTCGTGCTAGAGAGGAGGTCAAACGTATCCAATCCGTTCCGCTTGTTATTGGCCAATTTTTAGAACCCATTGATCAGCACACTGGTATTATTGGATCTACTACTGGTTCAAACTACATTGTGCGCATTCTTAGTACTATTGACAGGGAACTTCTCAAGCCAAGCGCATCTGTTGCTCTCCATCGTCACTCTAATGCACTTGTTGATATTCTTCCTCCCGAGGCAGACTCTAGTATTTCTCTTTTGGGTGATCAGGAAAAGCCTGATGTGACCTATTCTGATATTGGTGGTCTTGATATTCAAAAGCAAGAAATTCGCGAAGCAGTTGAGCTGCCCTTGACACATTTTGACCTTTATCGTCAGATTGGTATTGATCCTCCACGCGGAGTTTTACTTTATGGACCTCCAGGAACTGGAAAAACCATGTTGGTCAAGGCTGTTGCCAACCATACTACTGCGTCTTTTATCCGTGTTAATGGTTCAGAGTTTGTTCAAAAATATTTGGGTGAAGGTCCTCGCATGGTTCGTGACGTATTCCGTCTTGCTCGTGAAAACTCCCCTGCCATTATTTTTATTGATGAAGTGGATGCCATTGCCACCAAGAGATTCGATGCCCAGACTGGTGCTGATAGAGAAGTGCAGCGTATTCTTTTGGAGCTGCTTAATCAAATGGATGGATTTGATCAGACGTCCAACGTAAAGGTGTGTTGAAATGGCTGGATACATGACATCTCACCACTGTATCTCAACTCATTCGATATATGTGCACATGTATTTTTCTAGGTTATTATGGCTACCAACCGTGCTGACACACTGGATCCTGCCTTACTTCGTCCTGGTCGTCTTGATCGTAAAATCGAGTTTCCCGTTCCCGACCGAAGACAAAAGCGTTTGATTTTAACCACGCTCACTTCAAAGATGAATCTTTCTGAAGAGGTGGATCTGGAAGACTGTAAGTTTACTTTTGTTTAGTAGACATCATGTATTTGTATTGACCTTGTTCATATGAATGTGCTTATACCGCATCCAGTTATTTCCCGTCCTGACAAACTTAGCGGTGCCGAGATTTCTTCAATTGTTCAACAAGCAGGCATGTTTGCTGTTAGGGTATGTTTTAATCTGGTAACCATCATCAATTTTGCCAGACTAAATCAGTACTAAATCGAATGGTTTTATAATTATTTACACCTATAGGCAAATCGCTATGTTGTTTTGTCCAAAGATATCGAAAAGGCATACCGTAGCAACGTCAAGAAGACCGATATTGATTTGGAATTCTATCGTTAGTCTGTGTTTTGAAAGCAGAGAATGGCCCGATTGACTACTGCCTCGATGTTTATACTTGAGATTTGTAGGCAAGATGGAGACAGATGTAAATGAAGAGCACTGCTCGTTTACGGTCGATTACAAATGGGATTACAAGTGAAATATTTTTGAAAAGTACAGTGTGGGAATCATGTAGATTCATTATACATTTAAACATCAACCCCATGCTGGTGTAATAGAATAATTCACAATCAGTTTGCCATCGATTGCAAAGCATCGATACAGATTGTCAATACCTTCGTCTGGGGATGGAGCGAATGAGGAATTGACATACACGAACTGAATTCAACCAGAGAATGAGTTGATATTAATACGAGCAATACAACCAGATGAACTCACCATAGTTCCCTGTTTGTATGCCAACTCTTTTCGTAAGAAAGCAATAACATTCTGAAACTTGCTTGATGAGGAGATCTTGAATACTGTTTGTTTTAAAATAGGAGCACTTCCTGTAGCCTTGAGTCGAACGACAACTTTATCAGGAACTTCATCTGTGTAGAATGCAAGTCAAGGTTGATTAGTTAAATCCAAAGTTGATGTTTAACTATAATCCATTGCAGAGTATTTACTCGAGTATTTCTCAGTATTTGACTCTGACTGTAGTGGAGACAGTTTGTGAGACAGTTTCTGAGACAGTTTCTGAGACGGCGGACTCGATTCCATAACACAAACTGTTGTTACTCGAGTGTGCTCAACACTTTACAATCCGAATTTGGTGATTGAAAATCTAAAGCGTGTTCATCACTCGACAATTTTCTTTTCTTTTCTATTCAATTATTATCATGTAAGTTGGCTTGTCTGTGTTTTGATAATACTGAATTGATTATGGGAAATGATGAACTTGAATTTCATTTGCACGTCAGTCTGACAATGACTGTGAGTCTTGTGCTCTGGACTAACCTGCTGTATGGTGCAATGGGTTTGCTGGGCTTATTGTTTTACTTTGGCTTGGCAAATCCTTCTTTTGCATTCTCATGCAGCTGTTTATCCTTGGTCTTGACTTTACATCATTCATGTAGAAATGATTCGCTATTTCTGACCCATCATCTATTGTCGTTCAATATACTCTTATTAGAGCTTTACTTTGGTTGTCAATCATGTGGGCTAGTGATGCTAATGTTGTTCATTTCAAACATTCTAGTTTTTCGATCCACTTTACTTTTGTGCATCATGGCCACTGTCACTTCACCCGATTTTAGTATGATTCTATTTAAAGCATGTAGCGAGGTATGCTTTTTTAATAAACCTATTTTTAGCCAAACTTTACATGATACTTGAGATTATTACTTTTATACATCTTTCATCAAGCTGACTATTTTAATACCAGATTGTTCATGAACTTGTTGTTGCGGTAAAAGAGGGAAAGGATGTAAATCTCAATGGAATCAAATCCAGAATTTCTCGCAAATACAAGATGCATACTCAACCCAAACTAGTTGATATTATTGCTGCTATCCCTGAACAACATCGTGCAACTCTGTTGCCCAAGATTCGTGCAAAACCTGTTAGAACTGCATCTGGGGTAGGTCTTGAATGCAAACTGCGTCACTGTTGATTTGTACTTGTATATTCTCTGATCCAAATACGCATTTTATAGATTGCTGTTGTGGCAGTCATGTGCAAGCCACATAGATGTCCTCACATTGCAATGACTGGAAATATCTGTGTGTAAGTGGTTGGTTGTAACCTACATGTTTGAACTCGATTGTTTAAATACTAGACTGGCTCAGCTTTTACTCAACCTTGTCTATTTTTACTGCAATCAATCTTTAGATATTGTCCTGGAGGGCCAGACTCTGATTTCGAATACTCGACACAATCATACACTGGCTATGAACCCACTTCAATGCGTGCCATTCGTTCACGTTATAATCCATATGAACAGGCACGAGGTCGTATTGATCAACTCAAGAGTCTAGGGCATAGTTGCGACAAGGTTGAATATATTATCATGGGTGGAACCTTTATGTCACTTGGTGAAAATTATCGTAATTGGTTTATTTCGAGACTTCACGATGCTCTCACTGGCCATTCCAGCAATGATATTGATGAAGCAGTCAGGTAATTTAAAGGCATGCACAATCTCACCAAACTGATTTGATCTTGCATCATGACTAGCTTTCTAAATGTCAATACTCTTGCTAGATTTTCTGAACAAAGTCAAACCAAATGCATCGGTATTACTATTGAAACGCGTCCAGATTACTGTCTCAAACCACATCTCAGCCAAATGCTGCGATATGGTTGTACCAGACTTGAAATCGGTGTTCAAAGTGTATACGAAGACGTTGCCAGAGATACAAACAGGTAGATACAGCTTTAGTATTTAAGACATGATGAAATAGAATGTTTTTAATGCTTGGCTAACACCTGCTTTTTAATGCAACAAAATAGAGGGCATACTGTAAAAGCAGTATGCGAGACATTTCAACTAGCAAAGGATACTGGATACAAGGTTGTGGTTCATATGATGCCCGACTTGCCCAATGTTGGGATGGAACGTGATCTGGAGCAATTTAAAGAATATTTTGAAAACCCTGCATTTAGATCGGATGGTCTAAAATTATATCCAACTTTGGTTATTCGTGGAACTGGTTTGTATGAATTATGGCGCACTGGAAGATACAAAAACTATGCTCCACAAGCACTTGTTAATCTTATTGCCAAGATTCTGGCCATGGTACCTCCTTGGACTCGTGTATATCGTGTACAAAGGTAGTGTGCTATTACGTTAACCTCTAGTCTATTCATGGCATTCTAGATCTACACAAACTAAGTGTTGCATCTTTTGATAACTGTAGGGATATTCCTATGCCACTAGTGACATCCGGCGTCGAATATGGTAATCTAAGAGAGCTTGCCTTGAGTCGTATGAAAGATCTTGGTACCGAATGTCGTGATGTGCGCACGCGAGAGGTTGGTATTCAGGACATTCATAACAAGGTACGTCCAGACCAAGTGGAATTGATCCGTCGTGATTACGTGGCCAATGGTGGATGGGAAACCTTTCTTTCGTATGAAGATCCAGAGCAAGATATTCTTATTGGTCTACTACGTCTTCGAAAGTGCAGTGAGGCCGTGTTCCGACCTGAACTCAAGACTGTCGGACAATGCTCTATTGTGCGAGAGTTGCATGTATATGGCAGTGTAGTTCCAGTTCACAATCGCGATCCAACAAAATTCCAGCATCAAGGGTTTGGCACCATGCTAATGGAAGAAGCCGAGCGAATTGCCAAAGAAGAGCATGGAAGTGTCAAACTATCTGTTATTTCAGGCGTAGGTACTCGTCACTATTACCGCAAACTAGGATATGAATTGGATGGACCATACATGTCCAAGATGCTATGATTATTAGTATCATGGCCAATCAAGTTATATCAAATAAACTCATAATTTCTTGCACTGTATATTACTATAAAGCAGCATTCCATTTATAACCTGATCTGTGCAGCAGTAATCTTTTCAGTTGTCTTGCAATACACGATTTTGGCATCAGTTTGCCATTTGATACTTTTTACTATTTTCATACATTGCAATCTTGAACAATGTCTGATCCTGAACAAGAACAACGTCATATGGCAGAAGAGACGGTCCAGACTACAGAGGTGGATTTACTCATTAGATGTTTGGGCTGTTTCTTGTCTACTATGAGAACAAACAGCCGTTCTGATGTCAATGCTAATTCTACAGGCAGCAGACAACTGATCAAATATTTCCTGTTTCTATCCAATGTTCAACTCTAGCCACTGGACTTGGTGCGACTATCTTTAGATGAAAGAATCTATGTCAAGATGAGAGGAGACAGAGAACTCCGTGGCAAGCTTCATGTATGCATTTTGAAATGGATTTATATGGGTTGATTGCCTGCATTCTTGTAGCCTTAATTCAAGCCAGTTGAACCCACATGAGTCGGTATGCTCACCCCATGTCTCTTTTTAGGCATACGATCAACATATGAATATGGTTCTTGGCGAAGTAGAAGAGTCTATCACAGTAGTTCACTTGGATGAAAATGAAGACGAAGAGTCATCAGAGGTAGGTTTTTCATTGCCTTGAACTTGATCATTTCTTCAATCGTAAGCTTTGAATCCTGATTATGCATCCATTTGACACTTGTTTAATTGTTTAGATTGTCACCAAAAACTACGAGATGCTGTTTGTGCGTGGAGACGGAGTGATCTTGGTTGCTCCTCCCAAACGGACATGAGCTTCAAAAACAAATATATTTTACTGAAAACTGCATTTATTTTATTAGTTACAGGCATATTTATGTAGAATGTCATACTTGTGTTGAACAGTATTTTGCTTTGGAATACACAGTATTTGTTGGGATTTCTTGTCACAGATCGACATTCTTGATTATCTGGGATTGGACGTCATGCAAATCCACTCTTTATTCAAGTAACTCTCAGCAGGGTTTAGGAATAGAAAGTATAAAACTATACCTCGCAATATTGGTATTGAACGATTGACAGCATATCCAATCAATAAATCAGTAGTTTGTCAGGGAGTTTAAAAAACAATTTTATTGAATGTAATCGAGTGTTTATTATGTATTCAAGACTCTTGGTCCTGTATTGTATATGAATACGGCTTGTAAACAATCTATCAAAACAAGTTTATTTTCCAAACAATGAATTTCACCAACAGTCGGTATGCCATCATATCAGAGATCCAATGGCTCATCCGCTATGCTGGCAGCCACCTTTTGTGCGATCGTATCTAATTTATCGAAAAGTAGCAACCAGACCCGCAACACTCTGTCAAGAAAAGTTGAATCATACGACTCACTTTCAAGATAAATCTTAAATATTGGCAAGATTAACGAAACCCTTGACTTGTAGAAATTGTTGGCGTCATGCATTGCACCTTTAACTTTCTCGAGCATTTCTCTGGCTTCAAACAAAGTGGTTCCTAGATTTATGATTGCCTTGTATGTATGTTTTTGTTGCTTTTGAAGGTTTTTGCTGATTTCACTAAAAACCTTTCTAAATTCTCTCAACATGTGTACTGTTGGTCTATGTGTGATTCGAAAATGAATCCGATCCAAAAATGTCTGTAGTTGTTTGATCCAAGTACGAAATTCATTAACGAGCGACCAAACCATGGACAAATAAGTCCCAGTTTTTTTTCTATAATTTGACACGTTGGTTCGAACATATTCTGCTGCTATACCAAGTATAATTGGATTATGATCGGGATGTGGCTGCAAGGCGGACTGAAGTCGGCCTGCGAGTCCACGATAAAGGGATGTAGGCCTACGACCTTCATCCTGTTCGCCAAAACCAGGAAGTTCTGAAATAACAAGTAATAGTGCTTGAAGAAATGCCTCTCTTCCCCAATACAAGGTCGTTGCACAAGCCTGACTACTCTGAGGAACTGTAGGATCAGGCTCGAATTTGACATCGTATCCGGGATTGCCAATTGGCCTCCTGCTAGTTTTAACCATTTCCAATTTTAATTCTGCGACTGTTTTAGAAATAAGCTCGGCTTTACGCTGTTGGTTAGGATCCTGGACATTGGTATCCGTAGTCGTTTCTTCTAAAGTGCTCAATGACCTTGATGTACAGGCTTGATGTTCTGGTAAGATAGCATGAATGCTGCTAATCAAGGTAAAAAGTATAGTAAAAATAAGTGGGCATTTCATGTCAGCTAGAGTTGGATATACTTTGGAGGAGGTTGGGGTTGGGTTTATAACCAGACTACAGAGGCCAGCCCTAAATATTTAAGGTATACTGTTCTATGACAAGGTTTGGCACATAAATATCACGTTGCATAGTCGAAAACATGGCAAACGTACAGGATTAGGGCTACTATGTAGGACGGTCAACACAAGGTAAACCATTTGGTATTGTGGAAATCCATTCAACCAAAGCGTGTACCTTTGGTTACAGGCATATTTATGCAGAATGTCATACTTGTGTTGAACAGTATTTTGCTTTGGAATACACAGTATTTGTTGGGATTTCTTGTCACAGATCGACATTCTTGATTATCTGGGATTGGACGTCATGCAAATCCACTCTTTATTCAAGTAACTCTCAGCAGGGTTTAGGAATAGAAAGTGTAAAAATATACCTTGCAATATTGGTATTGAACGATTGACAGCATATCCAATCAATAAATCAGTAGTTTGTCAGGGAGTTTAAAAAGCAATTTTATTGAATGGAATTGAGTGTTTATTATGTATTCAAGACTCTTGGTCCTGTATTGTATATGAATACAGCCAATGATTCATCAAATAATCACTAGAAATAGTGTGGTAAAGAATTGGTTTAAAAAACATGTTATATATAGAGGTTAAAAAATGATATATCCTCGTTAGTCCAGTGGTTAGGATACCTGTCTCTCACACAGGTGGCCGGGGTTCGATTCCCCGACGGGGAATATTTTTAGTAAATTTATTTTTATGGGTTTGAACAAAATAGTTATTTATCAACTGGATGTAATGTTTTGAAGCGTCATTCATCGATGCAACATTTATAAAGTTTGATATTGTATAGAAAGTTTATTTAGCATGAATATCGGCACCATCGTGTATTTCAAACTCTCCTTGTTTGACCTTGTCTTTAAAAGATTCTTTTACATGAGTGGTCATGTCAACCAGATCGTCAAGACCTTTGTGTAGAGCATCCACGGCTGTTATGGATCCGTCTGTCTGAATCCGCAAGTTGATCTGGTACTCGGATGGATGAGGCACAGAGTACCCACAGAAACTTACAGCAGGACTAATGATTGCATTTAAACTGTCAGTTCCATTCATAAATGATGAACAATCCAAGTGATTTTACTTTTTCATGATAATATATCTTAATGCATTTCCCAAGGTGTGATCTTCGTTACTAATACAAAACGTAGCAGAACCTAAATCCTGACTATCTGTAGCAAGCTAATGATTCAAAATAGTGCAATGTTAGTGAACCGAAACTGGATTTTGTTATGCTACCTTTGAAAATAAAATGAATCTTGACAAAATCAGATATGCAACACTTGCCACTGTAATCTTTGGACCAGGAATATATGGGACTCCTCTAGTTCCTCCCTCAACGGAGGGTTCTACCATGGCCATTTTGAATACTATTAGAATTAAAAAAAGTCGAGTTTATTCCAAGCCCTAATTAAATATAATTTAAATTCAATACCATGCAGAAAAACAATGATGCGTAGAGTAAGAGCATTACAAATAAATATTGTCGCAGTTGTATATCAAAACAGAGATGGAGTTTTACACAGTTGGATTAAGAGTAATTCAACCCAACATGTGGATTGCAATGAACGAGTCTAGTGATCGCACAATGTATGACTTCCAAAGGTGGACAAGTAGTTTGATTGTATTATGGACGTTGTGTTTAAAAGAACTGAGAATGTCTAGTAATAAAATACAACGAATACTCAACTGTTGTTGATTCCAAGGCAGAATAAAGTGCAGAATCAATACAGAAAAGTGTTTCATTTTACGTGAACACGATAAAACAAACGCAAGCTGACACCACGTGACAATATAAGAATTGAATGAATCAAACAGTGGATCGTATCTATCAAGACATAGTTGTACTTTGAGATTTAATTGGTTATAATCAATACAAGAATCAGTCAAGAGCAAGTATCAAACAGTGCGTACAGTTGAATTATTAACGTATAAAGACTCGCAGAATGCTATTTGAAACAAATCTTTGAATATAAAATTGCAGTAAAAATCAACTTGAAATTCCAGAAAATTGTTGAGCTAATCTGCCCTTCTCATCTCATATCTTGTCATGACTGATATCAGACACAGGAAGAAAGGTAGTGTAGCCGACCCTGACGAGTCGGCTACTTCCATTGGTTTATTTCCTACTGATAAAAAGGTTCGCTACTGTTGATGTGCAATATGTTGTGGTTGCTCCCTTGAATGGTCCTTCGTTTATCTTTTCAGTTGCTGTGGCAAGGCGGCATCCATTCATTACATTCTCTACTGCAATACATACAGCAGAAACTGAGTTATTCAAGTAGCATTCATATTCCAAACAAATTCAAGCTGGGTTTATGAACTCTCACGTTGTGTTGAGAGCTGAGTAGCGTCCAGCTTGCATACTATTCCTAGCCACCAACTATTTCTTTAAAGCGTTACAAATGATCTAAACAAGAACATCTCTTGGCACTACTGTTTCTTTCATGGATGTTGATTTGAAATGCTTGGAACAATAACCCCTTGGTTTCCATATCAATAACATGACCAAGGATGCACATTAGCGTTTTGATTCAGATCATCTTCGTGCTGCCACACTTGACAATTTGAATGTATGCATTCTAACCCTAGCTTTATTAATGTCTAATCAAATCAGCCGATTGGAAAAGCCATCTCCTCCGATTTATATCTTGCTGTTGACCAGTCTGGTAATGAACTGGTTTCCAACTTTGCTCTCTTTTTTGTAACTGCTCTCGCGGTTCTTACCAGAACATGGATGCTCCATTATCCTGGAGAAGTAGTGTGAGTTGAAATGGGTTTTAGACTGACTGTTTCTTTAGTTGTAATTCGATGGCAGATTTGAAATAGAGTTGCTAATTATTTCCGTAATGCAACTATTACGACTTGAATTAGCTTTGACGAGGTTCATTTTGGGAAATTCGCATCGTATTATCTTCGTCGAGAATATTTTTTTGATGTTCATCCTCCACTTGGGAAGATGCTTCTTGCTGGTGTGGGCTACATTGTTGGCTATGATGGACATTTTCTCTTTGATCATATTGGCGATAACTATGCAGAAAACAACGTACCCTATTTGGCTTTACGTCTGTGGTGTGCTTTGTGTGGTGCTGCCGTTGTTCCCATTTCGTACATGACATTAAGAGAGATTGGTGTATCTGTGATGGGTGCAGCTCTTGGGGCTTTGCTGCTTGTGTTTGGTAAGAGTTGATATTGAAATCGTATCGATATGTTCCGAGGATCCATCACTTATTGTTTTGCTATTGATCTAGACAATGCACTTATTACACAGTCTCGTTTGATCTTATTGGATAGTATGCTTATGTTGTTTTGCACCATGTGCATTTATTTCTGGGTCAAATTCTACAAACAGCGTCACAAGTAAGTCTTGGTTTGCGCTTAAATTAGTCTACATTTTGTCGATTGTATCTAATCAAGTCTTGTGATATCAGTCCCTTTTCTCGACACTGGTGGGGTTGGCTGTTGACTACTGGATTTGGAATTGCGCTTGTTTGCGGGTTTGTACATGCATGCAATGCGTTTATTATATATTTCTAGGTTTTGTTGGGGTATATTAACCAGAAAAATACTTGGTTGACAGAGTCAAGATGGTAGGTTTATTTACCATGGGTGCAATTGGTATTGCTACGCTCTTTGATCTCTGGGAAATCTTGGACATAGACCGTGGTGTCACGATGGTAAGCTCAGTATGGCTGGTGCATTTGCTGTATCGTAACCAATCTATTGAGCTTTATTAAACCACGTGTTGAACTATGCATTGCTTTTAATACATCACAGCGCAAAGTCATAAAGCACTTTGCTGCCCGAACACTGTGTCTTATTATAGTACCATTTGGGTTATATTTGCTTCCATTCTACATCCACTTTAGTATTCTTACTAAATCTGGTCCGGGTGATGCGTTCATGAGCATGCGTTTCCAAGAAGGTCTTACCAACAACAACAACACTGCAGGAGCTATTGGTAAGAAATGTCGACACTATTACTACTAAAGCAATGTGTGCTTTGTCTATACTACATGCATTTGGCGGCTAACATGAGATTGTAATTGCTACATTGTCAGCTGTTATGTATGGTGCCAATATTACACTTGTCCACGGTTCTACCAACCACTATCTGCACTCACACTATCACAACTATCCTCTACGTTATGATGACGATCGTGTTTCCTCGCAAGGTCAACAAGTGAATGCGTATGCCCACAGTGATGTCAATTCTCTTTGGAACATGGTTCCTGTTGATCCTGATTTGTACTCGCTTGCCAAAAAATATGTTCCGACCAAAAAAGAAGAGGAGCGTGACATTCGCTACGTTCGTCATAATGATATTGTCCGCATGTATCATGTTTCTACCAAGGCTTACCTTATTACTCACGATGTTGCGTCGCCAATGACCACTACCAATATGGAAATGACTGTGGTTAGAGATGCAGAATCAGAAAGACGGTACAATGAGACTTTATGGCGCGTTGCGATTGAAGATGCAGATCCTGGAGATAAACTCAAGAGCAAAAAGTTTCTTGTAAAGCTTATCAATGTTATTCATAATGTTGCTCTCATGACCAACAAGGGAGCTCTTCCTGATTGGGGATTTAAAATGCAACAGACTAATGGTAACAAGAATATAAAGGACAAGAGTAATATTTGGCGTGTGGACAAGGTCGAGCATGAGCGAATTGTTAATGGTATGTGATGTGTTGATTCCAGCTCAGTTGATGTTGGCCTGAATTGAAACTTGGTTTAAACCAATCGATGTGTTTGACGACTCGATTCTAGGTACTGAGCTTGGCGAGGAAACGCAAAAAGAAAAGAGTGGCAAGCCACCTTTGTCATTTATGGCCAAGTTTATTGAGCTACAGGTGCAAATGGTGGCCCACAACTCCAAATTGACTAAACCCCATCCTTACTCGTCACCTCCCAGCCATTGGCCATTTGTTGTTCGTGGTATTTCGTTTTGGGAGAAAAAGGATGGCATTCGACAGATCTACTTGATTGGCAATCCCATCGTGTGGTGGCTTTCTATTGCTAGTGTCCTGTTTTATGTCATTCTATGGGTTGTAGATCGTATCTGTCTTCGTCGTGGTATTGATGATTTTGGCCATAGTGCTCGTCGTTGGTGGGATCGTGCTATTGGGTTTCTGATTATTGCATGGGCAATGCACTGGCTACCCTTTTTCCTTATGGGTCGTATGCTGTTTCTCCATCATTACCTTCCAGCGTTTATCTTTTCAACAATGGTGTTTGCAGCCATGTTTGATTTTATTCTTCGCGTAGCATTTTCTGGTTCATACATTCCTATACGTAGTACTTCTGATGGCGGAGATGACAAGATAATCAAGAGCGCTACGAAGAAGCAAGAGAAACTAACGAGTATATGGTTTGCTCAGGCTGCTACACCTGGAATGGTGTATTATATCCTGGCACTGGTTATATTCTGTGCTTTTGGATATGTGTTTTGGGATTTTTCGCCCTTTTGCTATGGAAGCGGGTTTCCCTCTGTGGAAATACTTCGTGCTCACAAGTGGATGACTTCGTGGGATCTGCAATATGCTTGAGCTTTAAAATAAAGAATGACAGTTTGAGCTTTAAAATAAAGTCACATCGATTGTTTGAATCACAACTGTATTCATGCGAAATGGAAAGTTGAATCAATAATAAATAATCTCAAAACAAGTCTAATGCAATATTTCAAACATGTACGACAAGATAGCGTATGAATACATCACAAGAGAGTCGCAAGACAAGGTGATTATTCAGTTGTAAACGCAAGTCGTTGTGATAGTAATCAGCCAGCAACAATCCATCATCACATTGGATTACAGACGAGCAGGACAAAGACTACATCACAGATTCTGTTCCACAAGACGAACGAGTTGAACTCATTCTCAGAATACACACCCAAACACTCCATGACACTTGGAGTCGATGCACCTGTCTGTGTGGGAATAAATTAAAAAATAAAATGATTTTCAAACCTTTTCTGGACATTCAAAACCTCAAATGTTGGCTACTGCAACGGATGCGATCCATACAGATACTGTGACATATCAGAAACAGGATATTCTTGATGCGTTTGAAATGAAATCTATGCGTCCGGATGTTGTAGAATCTATTGCAGTTCTATGTCGCAACTTTAATCTGAGTCCAAGTGATTTATTCTACAAATGGGATGCATTCACTGCCAACAATATAGTAACTGCTGCTGATAATGAACATTCTAAATTGGAAGAATCTCCTACTATCGAACAATTACAGCAACTTCGTTTGATTCTGCACAAGGATCAGCAGAAACAGCTTGCAAAGGCTTTGAACTTTTCCTCTAGTCATCCTCAATCATCGTTCGGACATGCTTCTGGCTCACAATCTCATATTCAAAGCCAACCCTCACAATCCTCTTTCAACAGCAAATCACTTCATGCTCTTCTTCAATCTGGTACTTCTGGATTACCTTTTAAAAAAATCACACCCGTGCAGGCAACTACGACTGCCAGTCAACCCAAAACTCCCAATTCAAAAAAAGATTCATTTGCTAGCAACCGCAATGGATCGTTCGATCTACTTTCTTCTCCTCCATTTGGTCAATCTGCCTTTTCTCCTCCAGTTCACAATCATCCCAAAGTCATCTCCAGCAGTCAGTTACAATCTCCAGCCATCAAATTTTCTGACAGACTTGATCGTGCAAAAACAGTGGATGCTTTCAACAAACATATCCAATTTATTCCTGTTCCTGCTTCTGAGCCTGTTCAGTGTGAATTATCTCTTGTTCCGGGTCAGCAAACAGATGGGTATAGATACATGTACGAGAAACTGACTGAAAAGGGTGAGCTACTGGATGCTCAGATTGAATATTTTGCAAAAATCATTGCCAATCAATACCAACAGGAGTACATGGCAATCAACTCAGAAACCTCGGTCAATACTACTATGCAGAGTGCAGACGTGCCTCATAGCGATCCAATGGACCTGATCTGTAATCCTGCTCAGCCTCGTAACGAGCCTGGACTTGTTGTTGGACGTATATGTAGCGATTCTTTTCAAGATGGTGTTGCTTTGAATGCTCATTCTGTGATGCTTGAATGCTCTCGAAATAACGGAAGTGGTTTGCGAATCAAAGTAGATCTGAGCAAGATTTTAGACTCGAGTCAACCGTGCACTCTTTTTCCTGGCCAAATTGTCGGATTTGTTGCTACCAATCCGTCTGGTCAGCAACTCCACGTATCCTATATTATATACCCGACTCTTCCTCCACGACCTACAACCAATCTGTCTGAAATCAAGAGCATGTATCGTGCAGAAAATGGCTTGAACAAACGAACAATTCATATAGTAGTTGCATCTGGACCCTTTACTCTTGTGGACAGTCTTACCTATGAACCCTTGGAAGCCTTGGTTGTTGATGTGATTGAAAAGGATGCTCCCGATGTAGTCATTCTAATGGGTCCGTTTGTAGATATAGACCATCCATTGATTGTAAGTGGAAATGTTATGGAGGATGTAGATGACATTTTTAGAGAGCAAGTTGCCAAGCGTATTGATCGTATGCGCGATGCTAGACCTGGACTTCAGGTTATTCTTGTTCCAAGCATTCGGGATGCATGTACGGAATGGGTGGCATTTCCACAGCCTCCATTGGCATCTGGCATTACTACAGAAATAGCACAGTTGCGTAAAAAGAATCTTGGGCTCACCACAGATTCCCAGCGTGGACTTTATCTTTTTCCCAATCCAGTGCAATTTCGACTCAATGAGATTGTGTTTGCAGTTTCTACTAGCGACATTGTGTTTGATCTGGCTGAATCGCAGTACATGTGCCGTTCTGGACCAAAAACTCATTTGAAATCCTTCGGTAATGACTCGAGTGCAGGACATGTGTTGGATCGACTGTCTACTTGCTTCAATCATGTTCTTCGTCATCGATCTTTTTATCCCATGTTTCCTAGTTCATCCAATGCATGCTTGGATTCTACTCGTGCGCTGGCCATGACAAGCCCCATGACTCCAAAGCGCAATGAAGATTCGGATCCGGATCAAGATCAAGATGGCGAGTATGCTGGTCCACTGATTTTGCAAGTCATTCCTGACATTCTAATTGTTTCATCTCGTTTGCAATACATGGCTCGTAATGTTCAAGACTGTCTATGCATTAATCCTGGTATGATGACCAAAGGACGAAATGGAGGTACTTATGCTCGGCTATGCATTCATCCTTTCAACACGGATGTGATGGATACCGGTGATATGGATGAAGATATTGAACTGGAACACGCTATAGTGCATCGAACTGCTGTAAATATTCGTCGAATCTGAGACTATTCGCGCAGAATGGAACGCCAAGACACATAATAAACAGCCAGTTTCAAAGAATGCGACTGAATAAGTGGATTGAAGAATTGAGAGGATCAATTAAGCAGTTTGTAATGGAAAACACATTTAATTTTTATTCAAAATAGTCGATGCATGAATAAAAAAGTATTCCATTCTGCGTGAATATTACAATGATTCGCAGATGTTCTCTATTGAAAACATGCAAACTAAATACCTCAAAAGTGTCTTGTTTGAACAGTCATGTTTATCCAGTACAGAGATTGTGTCCTTCATTCAGACCATTGGCAACAGTTGCTGAACTGCCTAGCGTACTAAAACGAACCACTCGAGAGATTGCAGCTCGTGCTTGCTCAACCCAACTTTTACTTACAAGATGGGCACTAGAAGCATCAACTTTGTCTGAAACAACCCCATCTTCAAAAGGTGCTCTTATTGTTTTATGAATGTATGAATGTGTTTAGATCGCTATATATCAATCAACTTGGATGGCTTGTAAAATAGAACGGGCTCAAGCTGGATACGCTGCTCTACAGGAAGCACTTTCTAAAACCACTATCATGGAACATATGACTTTGAATGTATATTGAGTCAATCTCCCATTTTATGTATTGGGTTTACAGGCTGAGCACTGACTTTTGCGAATCTAAACTGTTTAGGAAAAAGCACTCTTGCAGAAACAGTTTGGAACATGGGATATTGCAACAGATATTGTTGCGATTCAAAACCGATGGGAGTCTTTTGGTATGCTGATCTGGGCACTTTGTATTGTTAAAGAAATTCCTGAACCGCCCCAGTCATTTCCTCACGAACAGCTTTATCAAGCTACGGCTATTATCCCAGGCTTTCCCAACACGATCGATATGTTTTTGGACTATTTCACAACGGGGGAGGGAAGCAAAGCTAGTCATATTATCAGTAAAACTGATTTTGAAGCGGTTGTAGATAAAACTGAAGCTTGGTATTGGAGAAGTAAGGCACAAACTGTATTGGAGCTGAAACGAGGATTGCAGAGTGATTCTCCCGAAATCATTCAAGCACGACAGTGAGTTGTATAAACGTATTTTTATGTTTGGATAGAAACCTGTTAGATTTGGGTTTCATTAATTCGTCTAATACTCTAGAAAGGTAACTGCTGGACTACGCGCAGTGATGGAAAATATCGAAAAAGCAATTTCTCAAGCAAGTCAGCGGGCACTAGCAGATGGGCTCATATCCAAGTCTGTAAATGACGATTTTTGTGTTGGAAATAACACTGCTTATAAGGACATGGACGATCACGGCCTGAGGGATTTGGAACGCATGTCAGCTGCAAGACTTGCTGCGTTAGGATGGCTTGTAGGTATTGAGGAATGGGACTATGATCCTAGCAATGTCAAGTTCATCAATCCTCTTGGATCTCTTTGGAAGCCTCAATAAACAAGGTTTTGACTATTTTTTTGATTTGAACATGGCAAGAAACAAAGTATGCGAGACATGGCCTTTGAGTCAAATATGCAGATTCATATCCAACGAGCGTGTACAGCGGATACTACAGTCAGCAACTTATGATAAAGCTGCTCTAAACATCTCATCAAATACTTTCAGATAGCTATTTGCTTTATAAATCAAAACTATAACAATATTCAACGTATACTTTGAGTTTAAAAATCTAGTCGCCATTTTAATCATATTATAGCGCATCAAAGGAGTAATAATAAACTTGAATTCAACAATGATTACAGCTTTCAAAATATGGCCAAACCCTCGATCGATTTCAAGACCAGCATTTGATTCAAATAGTTTGTATAGCCATCACACTTCAATGACAGTATCTTCACTCGATATCAAGTTTGACGTGTAGTTTGTGGCTTCAGTCAATGCCTCGTTGGCCTGTCGAGAAAGCTCTTCAATTGCTGCTGCAACTCCTGTCTGCATCCCAAATACATCTTGCAATCCTCTTATAAGCTGATTCAACGCCTTTTCCTTTTGCTCTGTGTACTTACGTGACAGCTCTTCATACCTAGATTGTAAACCGTCCAGTAATATCAAGTATATTCATAACACAAAATAGTCAGAAATTGACCTAAAACTCCAAAATAACAAATGATTGAAATAAATACTCAACTCTATTGTAACGGTTTGACCTTTTTGCTGAACAGCAAACATCATGGCGTTGCTTTCAACTTTGAGTTTTTGAATTTGTCGCTCAAAGTGCTCAATATCATCATTCATTGCCGTTGTCGTCAGAGTAACATGCTATTTCATTACATAAATGAGACATAGTGTCAATGCCTACATAAATTTATAAACATTTACCTCTTTTTCTTCATTATATCTATGGTTGAGAAAGGTAATGCGACTCTGCATAGACAGCAACTCTTCTTCGTCGCGTGTCTGAGTCCATACAAGCTGATCAAGTGTCTCTTGAAGTTCAAGCATATCATCTTGAGCCTTATGAAGTGCAGCATTGTACCTTTCTTTGAGTCTTTGCAGAGTCGTCTATATCTCGCCCAAATATCAAATGTTTAAATAACATGAGGTTTCATAGCATTGCTCTACTTCAAAAACAATCGAGTTGCACTGAAATACCTTGACAACACCCTTGAGGTCTACAGACACCATATGATCCTGTGTGTCTGCTTGAATGTAAAGTTCAAGTTCCTTGGCTAGCGGAGCAAGATCTGCAGACCGCGAACCAATCAAACCCAGTTTAAACGCCTGTGAATTATAGTCTTGAACTACTTTCTCAAGCTACAAGAAAATGAATACTTGATTTGCAAACAATACAACCAGTATGGCTCTATACTAAACAATGCAGTGTATCGATTGTCAATCTTACTTGGTCCATACGCTTTTGAAGAGCAATTTCTTTTTCCCAAACAATCTTATTTGCAGTTTCAAGTTTGGTTGAAACAGTTTGTAACGATAGTGCAAGTTGATCACGCTCTGCATTCATGCGATCCACGTCTGCAGGAGAGATGTCCTGAGCATCAACTGTCTGTTGGAGTTCCGTCTTTTCATTGGTAAGACAGGCAATTTCCTCGGCTAAAAATCACGCGGTGTATTCGGTTAAACATAGTCATGACTTGCAGCACAGTTTAATTCTATAATCCACCTTGAATATCCAATTCTTGCTTGAGGGATAGCAAATTCTCATTAAGTTTCTGCTCTTTGCCCTCCACATGTGTAATATAAGTTCGAAATTTTTCCTTGTCAGATTCTAGAATGCCATTTTCCCGAGTGAGAGCTTCCAGTGGAGACTAGAGTCCAGTTTTATGTTAAAGCTAGCAACACAACAAGAGCTTAAAACAGTATTACCTCTCCCTGAGTCAATACAGCCATTTCTTCTTCAAGAGCTTGATGTTCGCGACGAAGACGTTCTACATCGCGAATAGTGACTTCATTCTTTCGATCTGTAAGATAAAAGTACAATGTCAGATCCAATTGGCTGGCTAGTCACTCAGCGTATTCATTACAAACATTCATGATATTGCCATGTATTGACCATAACAATTTGTAACATCCGTACCGAAACTGCCCATCAATTCACGATCAATCGCATCAAAGTCGTCGCTTCCTTCCAAAAATGCAATGTAGGTTCGAATGACATAGTCGTGAAATATTTTTTCAGGTTGGCGACTATCGCCCATAGTATCATTATTATCATCGATTTGACTCTGTTCATCAAACTCGATACAACACATGATTTCTTCCATTAGCCAGTGAAGAATACCCAGAAATGTTGGCCAAGCATGTGGTGAACCGATAGAAAACAGCTGCGACTTGTTGATTTGTTCTGCAAACGGATACCTGCAAGTTATGAAAAGCATATTTCCAAATGAAACAAGTCGAGATTAAACACGATGCGATTACAACATCAAGTAGGATTCTAATTACCTCAGTGTCCGAAGTAACGACAGCAACTCCTCTTCGATCTTTGACTTGAATTCATGATTGGGTTCTAGTTTTCTGTACAAAAACTTGAACACATCAGCAAAGTCCTTGGATGAAGGAGCAGTGAGTTTTTTTGCGGATATGGGCACAGGACAACCAGTTTGAGCAAGGAAGCTAACGAGCTGTTTGATGGCTTTTGTTTGCCATTGCTTCTCTTTGAGCGGACGAGGATCTTTTGTAATTGACGATGCCTGTCCAGATAGGGAAACTGAAGATAGAGAAGGTCTTCCACCAAATCCCATGCTCTGTCGACTACGATGCACGAATGAAAGAGTTAGATGCAGCCATTCCGACATAACGTATAAAACCAAAACATACCCCAAACTCATTCTTGCAGATCCGTTTCCATTGATGGTTGAAGTGCGACGAGTGTCTGATGGACGAGATTGTCCGACAGAAAGACCAGCCATGGTGTCCGACAATCCAACAAGACCTCCGGGTTTTGAAGAGCGTTGCTGCTGAGAAGAAAGCATGGATAGTCGAGTGTTCATTCCAGGAGCCATTGATAATCGAGACATGATAAAGTAGTTTTCTGGATGAATTCGGGTTAGTTTGCTGCTGTCTGGTAGAAATCAATTGAAATCAATTGAAATCAATTCGTCGATTACTCGCAAGATTTGTCTGATTTTGGCATGTCGTAAAGCAATAGTGACGATCGAGCTCATTCACTACTGAAATTCGTTGTATTTTATACTGCTGTTTACACGTTCGATTCCATCTGCTCATTCTATCGTCTGTCCTTGTCATGAATATCATTTCATACAATCAGTCAAATTACATTCATTGATGGTTTAGTACGACTTTGTATTCATGATCATGATTGATAGTTTGAAAATTGCCAATTCATTCTGAAAAGTTTGAATTGACGTTCAATATATTAGATTTATGGAGTGCAGGCAAAATCAAGCAGATTTGTAGCTAATTAGTCTAGATATAGATTACAGCAATTGAAAAATGTAATTGAATAAGCTATTGAATTCGATTTAACCGTAGTTTTGTATTTAGATTTAAAAAACAGTAGACTAAAGTGTCACTAAAGTTCCCTCTCGAAATAGAACATTAAGTTTTGTTGCATCGAATCAAATCAAACCATTGAGCAAAGATGGAATCATATCAAGCCAAATTGCCATTTTTTACTCGCTAACATTGAATAATCGGAATTGATTTTGATTGGAATATTATTGCTGGTCAAACTCCAATAGACTGCAATACAGGAGATCCTTTGAATCTACTTTGTCCGAGTTGCTCAAGTGTTTCATTTTACGTGAATACCGGCTGTAATAAAATGGAATCTGAAAATGTATCGTTTATTTGGTGTTGGAATATTTAGACCATTTAACGATAAGAATCGACTTATTGCTGGACTGGCTCGACGTATTACACGTCATTAGCAGCTACACAATTGAAAACATGATAATGCATACACATCACAACTGTACTATTTTCACGCCATTTCAAATGTAGATTCAAATACACGATATAGTTTATCAAGCTAAATCAATGCAACGTTTTCCAAAGACCATCGTTTAAATAATGAGCATTCGAAACCCCAATGCCTTTGTTGATTTTTTTCCTGTTCATCAAGAGATGGTGAGTTGGATTGGAAGTCATTTAGACTGGATATAGACTTACATGTCATCCGTAGCCATTTTGGTCATTCCAACTGCAACTGCATGTTCTTTTCCTTGAGCATATATTGCAACAACAGTTTCTGCAGGCAGGCTCTCGCTAGGAAGATTCCCACCAGGAGAAGTCAAACCAGGACACATAATGTCAGCAGCCTTAAGAACAAACTTGATTGCACCTCGATCAACCTGCAGTTTGGGTAGAATATCGGGATACTTGTGCAGAATGTACAAACTAGGAAAGAATGGGCCATCAAAGGAGTTGAAGAAAAGAAACTTGTTGTTGACTGAGATGATATTGACTCTGTCCAGACTATAACATGTTGAAATAGAGTGAATACATGAGCTCAACAGCCATATATGCATTATTAGTGTACCATTTGACTAGAAAGACTGGGTCTTTTTTTGGAATCAGATCGTCAATGTAAGGAGCTAGCAAGGGAAACTGCTCAACAATCTTGGCTCTAAAGTTGCGCTGCACAGAGCTTTTGACCTGTGTCTGGCCTGCAATATCTTCTTTTAGATTGAATCTATAACAAGCATCAACATTAGTACCACACACCACTAGTAATAAGCCAAAATCATTTACTTTTTGAACATTGAAGTTGTCAGGCAAAGAAATTCAAACCCAAAATCCATCTCAAGGAATGCAAGAGCATTGAAAAATCAATCAACTCAAAGGTTTAAAGAAATATTAAACCATGTTTGACAGATAATTCTTGACAGGTGGATTTGCAAGGTTTTATTTCTAGAATCCGTTTCTCGAGGTTTCGTTTTTAAAATCTGTTTTTTACGTTTGGACAGATCTTGCTTTGATATAATCAGACACTTCAGCATTGGCAGTTACTATCAGCAATATAAAGAAATAATTTAGTGATTCAAACACTGCTGTTATTGGAAAAGAAAGAATTCAACAGTTGCTGTCAACATGTCCGATTATGACAGCGACGATGCTGCAAACATCCAAGGTGCTCCCAACACTGAAAAAAGACGTCGACTTAGAGCCGATTATCGCAGTGCTATTGCTCAAGCTGAAGGCAAGACAGTTTATCCCGATTTATGAATCCTGATATTTCATGTGTCTGGAAATATGGTTTAAATCCATCTCATGCACTGATGTATTCCAATGAATTAAATAGAAAACATGCAGGAGGTGCTGAACGGAAAAACCAAGATAGACTTGCATTCAGAGTTGAGGCAAGTGAACGAGCTGTTTCTAGATGGTAACAAACACATGGAATCCGTCATTGATGAATTGGTTTATGCCAAAAATGTCCAGAATCCGGACTCTTGATTATCTGCAACATTCTCATCAACTGATCGCTTGTTACAATCTACTGATATTTAAATAGTCAAAGCTACACAAGATGCTGCATTGGATTCAAAAGCATTGCTTCTGATTGCAGAAATGTCGTCATACAAGGTTCAACGTTTGAATTTTGGTGGTGGTTCATTCACGCTCGAGGATTTCGTGTCCAAGGTTGCTGCTCGACTAGGCGGATCTGAGCAATCTGCCGTGAGGAATCACGATGATGCTAGTGTACATTCTTTGAACTCTGATAATTTGAAATGGGATGCTTTGGCCGAAACCATTGCCAGGATATCAACTCGGGTTTGTATCCCTGGCTTCATGTAAGGATGTTGCTTCAATTAGCTAATGGCGAGGACTTGAGCGATAGATCCTTGGACTTACTATTTATATTCAACCTACTACAAACGGTTTTAAACAATAGGTATGGTGCGATTGCAGTAGAGCCTAAACAGCGAGAGTTTAAGCGACGGACTGCTAAACTTGTTAAAGATGGGTCAAAACTACGTCAGCCAGAGCAGGTGGGTTGATCTATTGTTTCAATAAGCCTATTTTTATTTCTCATATCTGTAATCGTTGAATCTAATACTGCACATGTTACAACTTTGTTTTACGGAATCTAGCTTGCCGAAGAAGATATTGTACAGCAGGAGAACGAAACATCGTCTAATGTTCAATTAATATACCGGTGTTTAGAACAAGTCCAACCTGTCAATTTTTTTAAATTCTTCATCAACCCAGATTCGTTTTCACAATCCGTCGAGAATCTATTTTATCTATCGTTTTTGGTTCATGATGGATTGGCACGTTTAGAGGACAAGAATGGCAAACTACTTTTGTGTAAGTCCAATTCTTGTATAGATCACAACCGTGCTTTTTTTACTGAAAATATATGGCTCATCTATATCCTGTCTTTTGCTATCCACTCAGCAACAGAAGTGCCTCCAACTGAATCAGACCTACAACGTGGAGTGACTAAACTACAACATATTTTGAGTTTAGATATGAAAACGTGGAAGGTAACCCCTGCACTAAATTTCAACTTGTTCATTTGCTTCAAAGTTTTATTGATTTTGATTTCAATGGGGTATTAGGATGCAATTGAAACGTTTGATATTACAAAACCGATCATTCCCACTCGTGTTTCACATTCAGTCAAGGACAATGGCAAGTGGTATGGATAGAAACAAAAACGGGAATTTGTGCATTAGGCTCAGATTGAATTCAGCAGCACTCGACTTCTTGTCATATTTGACTTGCTCAATGCATTCGTGATTGTCTTTATGCTTACATCAATTTCATTCAAGCTTTTAAATAGCTGTGACTTTCTAAAAACACCCAACCCTCAACTACATTTTTAATCCAATGTCGTAAATCACAATCCCAGGTTTAATGTTACAGATGTGACTAGACAATGAAATAAAAAGTGCAGGTATGCCAAACTATTTACATGGAAAAGGGATCGCCGCCACTTGTCGGTGAATTTAGGCTTTCTATTGTAGACAAAAACCCATCTTCATCCGAAAATATTGCAAGCGACTTGTATACCTTACAGATTTGATGAATAAAACCCGAAAATTCGAGTGTGATGGAACTATACATCAGTCTTGGAATGTCTTCTTTGCGTATACCAAGTTTTTCTATCAACTCTGTTGGAGTTGCATCACCCGTGACTTGCAATTGTGGCTCAAACACAAGTTCACCCGTCCGTATTAAAACTGGTTTGGGTCGAGACGGAAGTAGCTGTTGCGAGGCTCGTACAAATGAAGATTGATTGCTCATCGGAGTTGATGCCATAGGGCTCGGAGATACAAATTCATGGTGTTGAGATCCGTTAGATTGACTAGGTGAGGGTGATCCTATTTTCAAAGTCAATCTTGGCTCTAAATGAGCTTGGGGTATCACATCGTCCTCCATCTCAAATACCAATGCCGCTTTACTATACGTTTTGATCAAATCCAGCAAGTACTTGTATAGTCCAATATTCAATGCAACGTACACACGCCCTTGAAAATCAGTACGGAATCCATACTCGACACGATTTTTGATCAAATCAGATTCGGATGTGACACGCATGCTTAAAGTAGGAAACTGGAGCACATCCGATCCATTTGCTGCACCTAAAAATGTAAACCATTGTGCCATGGTCCACATTCGCTCTTCTGCTTGAGACACGGCCTTTAATGACAGTTTTTTAATATTCAACTTTCCAATAGTAAACGTGGTTGTCTCAGATATCTTTTCCAATAGCATCGGAATCTCGAAAAGGGTAATGTCAAGACCAGAAAGATATATTTGAGCACAGTCTGGATCGCGAAAACTGTTTCGAGTCGCTGTACCAAAGCATGTTGAGCATCGAATCCGCATTTTTAATTCAACCAAACCTTGGAACTTGGGTAGATTGAACATTGTACGGGGTTGAGAAACTGACGTTGATGTAAAACGAGTACTCAAATCGCTGTGTCGCGTTGTCATGTTTGCTAATTGCATTTTAGCCATCGTGGCTTTATCTTTGATCGATGTTGTGATGCGACGAATAAGCTGTATACACCGCGGAGCTGCATGTCGAGACACAACAAACTTTATACTCTGGATTAAAATATCCAAATTCAAATCAAGCTGAGAGTCTTGTAATGCGTCACCAAAAACAATCGCCGTGGAAAGAACTTCAAGAATCAAAATACGCTCATTTTGATATTGCAGATTTGCAATGGCACACTCGACAAAAAACGATGCATTGGTCCCCACTGCACCAGTTTGTGAATCCTGTGAATCAATACACTGTGCAAATCCTTTTGCATTCTGAAACGACATTGATCCAACAAGTCGACCTTCCATAGACAGCAGTATCGATGAAATGCCAATATGTGCAATACGAGAAATAGGCGACACGCCGCGCCATACCAAATCCAGTCCAGTATTGAGATTCTTGAGTGCAAATGTGGCGCGACCAATCGATGACCCCATCTCTACTGTAATATCAATCTTTCCAACCACCAATGCAACAGCCAAAGAGTCTTGAATAGTAGCCCGACCATGTTGCTCTGGTTTTGTTTTTGCACTGGTATAATTAGCTTCTTCACGGGAATTTCCGCCAGACGCTGCTTTGTGAGATTTCTTTTTCCATAAAAGCAAAAACATGAACATATCTTGCAATTGACGCATGTTCACATTGGCCGATATATGTGGAATCGTAAATGTGGACAAAAACGCAAACCCTTTACCAATAGTGTGGTCTATAGTCGAGCTAAATGTGATATTTGGAATCTCGTTTCGAATGCAATCTTCAGAAGAAAACACATGCCTCAATGATGCACGTAAACTCTTGATATTTGAAGTGCAGCTTAAAAACCGTCGCCCAGGAACAATATGACCCTTTGGCGTAAGCGAAAACAAAAAGTCGGCCTGATTTGTATTAAACGTATATTATTAGCCTAACATCCAAATCGTTATAGTAAAAACATACAAAACCTCGATACTTGCCTTTTCAAGCTGAAGCGTACAAATAACTTTGGCATATGGCTGACAACTAAGATTAACTCTTGTTTGAGAAAGCTTTAGTAAAAATGTAATGCCAAGTTGTTTGTAATTGGCAGATCCAGTATAGCCAGCGTTCCATTGCATCTTTGCAGCAGATTCAAGTTCATCCGCAGCATGTGCACTTGCAAAGGGTCTAAACGCTTTTGTATTCGCTGTATTGATTGACAAAGGGTTTGCTATACCATCACTCGACTCTGAAGCAGACGTGGTAGTTTCTGAAGCCATTGTTGCATTATCACGCCGTTGAGTAGGGTGCTGTATATTGGAAATCAAGTCCTCAAAAAAGCCTACAATACTTGGACTTAGAATATTTTCACTTGGATGAATTGTCAGTTCCATGTGAAGCCCACAGGGTGCGGATTTGTCATTTAATAGAGATTGAGGGTTGGTTGTCGTTGCACCAGTCAGAGTAAGGGTCAGTCCAGGTATTAGCAATGTATCCAACTCAATGTTTGCATTGGCAGGGATATACTGTTGCGATGCATGCATCGATCGCGATGTCTGCGGAATATTCCTGACAATAATATTTCCAGATGCAAACTCAAACAATCCCTTGACCTGCATGATGCTAGATACATCAAACGGATCGGATGTTTTAGAAAGATACGGATTTGAACTCCGATTTCTTAATATCCCTCCATTTACCGTTGTATCCAAAAGAGCACTTTCAATACGCCCAACAGTTTTTCCAAGCACTTGCAACTTTTTGATATCACCATCAGCAGATTGCGGAAATGATGCATATATTGTTTGTTTCCCGCGTTTATAAATATTGCCGAGCATGCTAATCTTTTTGGAAATTGAAGAGTCTAGTTCAATCGTAAATCCATTAATGTGGGAGTCAATCTCAACAGAGGTTTTTTCAATAGTGGTTGAGTGTGTTATGTTGACCCTTATAAGTGGAAGTATGGACTTATTTTGTGAAAAATGATTGTTTGGATTAAAGTCGTGTTCGTTGGAAGGATTGAAGTTGGAAATGAATGTGATAGAAAGCTGTGATATCTCGGCACATGAAATAGATCCATTCCGATTGATTACGGCAGATTCTAGATGTAGCAAAACTGCTTCAGCCTGATCTGTCGATTTAAAGTTTTTCCAGTCATGTTGCAGATCAAAATCGTCTATAATTGGCACCAAAATCGAAAAATTATTTAGCGTCAATTTAATTGGTCGTGCAAGTATAGCGGATGTACTCGGTTGATCAATCGACTCTGGTAGTCCCATCTTGAGTGATTCCAGCACTGATTTTGTGTCAAGCCGGATCTCTGACAAACTTTCTTGCCGTGCATTGCTGCGACGTCGAAGTGCAGATTGCCAAAAAGTAATCACGTCTACAATTTTACCCACTGCAATGGGCTGCATGAGTGCATGGACCTTGCGAAGTACAACGTCGTACATATTTTCAACACTATACACTCCAATATCATTGGTCACATCACGCCAATTTTGAACATTCAAATCAATCATAACAGATGCTACAGTTTGCTGAAAGAAGTTTGGGGATCGTTGAGCTAGCGATATAGTCAAGTTATCGGCAGCAACACTCCACAAAAGTCTAGAAGTCGAAGAGTTTGGAGTATTGTTGGTAATGTATCCATCAAGCAAACTACTACCAATCAAAACGGAGCTGGATGGGTCGTTGACAGAAAGCATGATTTCTTTAACAGTGACCTTGATAGCATACTTTGTTACACCCTTTACCGGTTCAGAAGGCGCAAGTCGCGAATATTGGCCAGAATGTGGTACATACCGCCGCTGATTAGTGTAAAAGGACATGACACGTACAACTTCACTGAGTTCACTTGGTAAAACAGAGTACGTAGTAAGTAGCTTATCAACGATATCAATGTTGAGTTCGGCATTGATGTTTTCAAGAACAACATTCCCGCTGAAAAATGAATTCCAAGCAGATGTAGCATCAGCTCGATTGTACAAAATGCTTCCAGTAGAAAATGAAGCCGGAAGAGGTAAAGTATCCAGAATAGGCTGCAGAGTTATATCGCTAGCTTCAGGAGGTAAAAATCGCACCTCTTGTTTATCAATCCGATATATAAAAGTCGCCTTAGACATCAACTTAGAAAACCCTTGATGAAGAACCGATACAGTTGTATTACGCAAATCATACGAAAAGCGAAAGTTGGTCAGTAGTTCGGATTCAATGGATACATGAGCAAAGAATACATCCAGCAAACGCTTTTTGGCAACAAAATGCGGTGTTTCTTGAGTCAAGATTGGAGATTTGGGCATAATAGATGCCTCGCGGAAAGCATGGCTGTACCGGGGAATATCTTCAGCCTTGAGCTTTTCAAAAAATGTTTGGATTTTAATAAGTGATCTTGGCAAGCGAATGGCCACCTTGTTAAACTTTACACATGCAACAGAATCATTAGAAGGAACGCGTGTATGAGCAAGATTCATCTGTGCATCAAAAAGGCTCAATGAAAATATATTGTCCAATTGAACTTCGGCGCCCAATACTACTCGTTCAAAAAGTTGGAGGCTTGTCGAGCAAATACCGGCATTGAATGAATATTCAAGCAGATGTGGAATAGAAGATGTCATCTCTAAACTGTTGTGTCCAGAGTGAAGTGACATAGTGATTCCATTCATCAGTAGACGTGCCTCTGCATTCTTCTCCTGCACAGCTACGACGATCGAGTTAACCCGTAGTAAACCAGAAAATGATATGGATCGATTCTGACCAGCAATAATAGTGCTGGTCTGTTCAAAAGTAGCCGGAGATAGTGTCGCAGAAATGGATGACGACGAAAGTGAATCAGCCGATGGTGCCAAATGCTTTCGCCAATCTTTCAGAGATCGCAATATAAACGAGATAAAGTTGGGATATATAGTCATTTCCAGAGAGTCTAAAGTAGTAATAGCAGCTAGTTCAACCACAACCGACGAGAGTTGAAGTGCTGGATCAAATGGTAAAATGACATTTCGTAAACGAGGTTGCACACCAATATTTTTTAGCTTGATGCAATTGGATTCCCCAGATTCATCATAAATGAACAGGTTTGCTGAATGAATCACTGCTAAAAGACGACTTTCGCCTAAAGGAAGTTGTTGATGTGCTGTCGAGGATGAAACAAAAGATGACGGATCTAGTAAGCGCAAGAACCACATTGGATAAGAATCGCAAGGAGAATGTCCCCATTTTCGCAATATATTACTGCATAAAGTATCCAGATTCCCCTCACTCACGGCCAGCAATTCAGGTGCCTTTGTACGCACATAATCAAATCGCTTTGATGTGCGCACAAGATCCCATACAATACGTGAATACAGCAATAGCAATCCCACATCATCATCTGCCTCGACAAATCCATTCTGTATAAAATAAGCCGGTCCAGACACCGATGAAAGCTCGTTGGTTTCTTGAAAAATGGAAATCATAAACAAAAACTGTTGCATTAAATTGGTTGGCATACGCATAAGTTCTTTGAAGTCGTTCTGCAACTGATGTGCAAATCCAAACCATAGTTGAGCTTGCATGATCAACACATCAACAATGGCATCTACAGCTTCAATCTCAAAGCTCTTCACATTCATGACATTACGAGAACTGGTACCAATCTCAAACGTCAAATTGATATCCTTGAGTGAAAAGTACAAGCCAATCGGATCGCTGATATTGTGCCAGATATCGCCTCCTTCCCATACACTGTCGGGAATTCCAGGAATTTGATGGTACTGAAACTGCTGGTTTTCTTTAATACGTAAGCTACAGTCTACACTACCAAGACGTAAATCAATCTGACCTGGAACAATCTCTTGCTTTTTTACTTTGGCGAATCCACTAAATGACTGCAGTACAATATCGATAATGCATGCTGTCCGACGGTCATTTGGAAGTGATGATATGAGTCTGATGTTGATGGTGGAAAAAAGAACAGAGTAAATGTTTAAAAATGAAACTGGAGATGCCCGTTGAATATGCTGTCTTTGAAAAATATCCAGAATATGTGCGAAATCACCCGTGGATTCTGACGACTGATCGGAAGTAAGGGATTGCACCGCATGGAGTACAGACTTGAGACTCAACGGAGTTAACACTAACAGGCTCTTATTTCTAAACTTGATGCTCAAGCGATTTTCGTTAGGTAATGCACGGCTCATACTTCTAAGTCGGTGCGTTTCAGCTGGGGGAGGAATATTTAATATGGGTGTGCACGATCGCTTGACAAGATTTAGTGTTTCTTGCGATACCCATAATGAGTTTGAAGACGATGATGTTGAAAGATAGCTCTCCGTGTCATATATAGAAAGATGTTCTGCATAATGAATTGAACTGAGCGAAGGCGGTACCCGATTCAATATAACATCGGCCTGAAATTCAAGTGGTATAAGTGATGCTTGAGGGTCTTCTGTAAACCCTTTTTGAAAAAAAAGCGGCATTCGTAAATTAAAGGTTGGGGGAATTGGCGGTGAGCCAAATATATCCTTTCTTGCGCGATTGAGAAAAGCCCAAAGACGGCCTCCCGTTTCAATGTCGCCATCTAGTAAAAATTTGTACTGACTTGCTGAAGTAGCTTCAGCATCAGCAAAAGCCCATTTGTTTTCAATGATGACCGATGTCTCTAGTCGAAACACTTCGGCTGCATAATCATTGCGTACTCGCGTCTGCCGAACCATATCAGGCAGTTGAAGTGACGATATAATCAATGCCGGGATATGAACAAATCGGGTCAAGTCACCTTCAATAAACACACAGTTGTTCATATGTGCAATCAGTCCTTGGGGAAGCAGTAGTCGCGTGAGAACTCTATCGAGTCGAAGACAAAGCTCAATATTACGTACAGTCAACTCCATCACAGATGCTGATCGAGAATCTGTACGAGCATCAGTATACTCGCGCACAAGAGGATGTACACATCCCATGTTATATATGAATGATTGAATGGCATCGCTAAATTTTCCTACAAACTTGGGTTCAAGATCGCCCAAAATATCGTCAATGCAAATGTTCCAAGAACTAAGCAATAAATCGTGACGTGGCATTCCAGTCGAAAATCTTTGAATATGAAGTTGGGTATCTACAGGAAATTTGACAAACATTAATGTTAACATGGTTGAAATTGCCGAGATAAAAAATAAAAAATCTTAAAGCAAACCTCGAATCATGATGGAAGTTTTTTTCCAAAACATAGTTAATGGCGACAGTGTCACATGAATATCTAAAGAAATTTGAAATACAAATTATTAAAAATGATACCTTGACAATATTGACATGCGTTACAGTTGAATTCTTACCCTGTCCGTCTACCTTGTTATGCAAATCTAAATGAATATAATTTCCTTTGATTGCAATTGAATCAGAGGCGCCATATATGGAGCATGGTAATAACAAGCTAACACCATTAAACCGCCATTGAAAATGCAACTCAAATGCATTTCTCGGGGGAAGCTACAGTTAAAAGTATGTTAGAACAGCAAATGGTTTAAATATACTCAATAAAATGCTTACCGTTTGTGGCTGCAAGAGTTTGGCAAGAGAATATGATTCTGGGGTTGAAGAGCGCGCTGCATCACCAAAATAATTGCGCAAAAAGGACATGACTGTGGGAAGAATGTGCCCATGTGCATTCACGTTGGACTCTTTTGACTATTATAGTATGCATAGTGATAAAATTGGATTAAAAAAGTGTAGCAGGTTGGTTTACAAATCATAGGCATCATATCAGCAAATAGTACCTCGATCAACAAAGTAAGTGCATCACGAGCACCAGCAGCAAGTTTTCGATATATATAAGATGCAGTGATGTTAAGTAGTGACGAAGATAGTACTGTATTAAATGGACTCTTTAAAAATAGCTTGAGTTTATGGCCCTCGGAGAATGACGCGACAAACGCAACATTATGCAGCTACAAAGTGTGACAGCATTTTTCAAAAATATTAGAAAATCAAAAAATGACAACAAGTTTTTAATCCATACTTACGTCTCCCGATATATCTACTTTTCTGAAATCAGGCTCAAACTCTTCAAATGAAAGATTGACTTTCAATGCTCCATGATGTGTTGTGAGAGTAAGATAGTCTATCCAAAATACACATGTCTTAATACCATGTATATAACAAAACAAGCTTTGGATAAATAATTGATACTTACCGTTAGAATCTATACTGTTGTGGTTCTTGATGATATTCATAGGATTTAAACAAAATAGAATTTTGAGATTTTGAAACTTAAAGTTCAAGGTGTAAACTGACGGTACATGATATTCAATTGAAGGCGGAGGCAAAGAGTTCAAGTCTTTGATCATGTCCGTGACCAATCCAATGTGCTCACGGAGAAGGTACACATCACAGTCTGTCCATTTCAAGCTGATATCCCATTCACGCAATCCATTCCAACTCAAAGGAGAACAGATCGCTACCTCAATCTAGCAAAGCAATAAAATAAGTACATAGATGCAACATATTCCGCATCAATATCAATTCAAAAACAAAATAGTTACCAGAATCTGCTTGCCGACAATAAACGGTTTGAAGTTGACACTTGTCTTTAGTGTTACATTGGATAACAGTAGATCAAATTTAGTTATACTCCCATTTGTTTCAGCAAACAGTGGAATATTAAGTGACAAAGCCGATCCAGATTTAAACTCGGCAGTAATCCAACCATATGGGCGTTTCCCAGGATTACCAACACCACTTTCAAATACCAAATCAGGATTTTCAGTCCGTAAAAACTCGGCATCCTATTGATTTGTATAGGCCAAGTCAGGAAATACTATTTCAGTCAAACCAACTTGTTATGAATAAAAATATTGGCTGTAAATCACAGTGCTGACCTTTGATGGCTCACGGGTTGGAATTTTGAGAGTAGAATTGCCACGAAAATCCAGATTGATTGAAAGTACTTTGGATTCCAGCGCGCTTTTAGGCTGCACTAAGGGAGCATCTCGATATGATGGGGGAGAGTAAAATGACTGTATGATATGACTAATACAGTGGGTCAGTTTGAGTGATTAGTGTTGCGTGGAAATAAATCAGCAGAATATATTGGATTGCAACACAGAAGAGTAGAATAGTCCAAGTTGTTACCGTTGGCGTTGTGCCCAAGGACCATATACAATTTTAGCGTTCAAGAAATCCAAGTCACATTCGCGTGAACGAACCAGTCCACCTAGCATGAAGTCCAATAAAATTGCTTAATCTATTAGTACAGCCATTGATGGTGTTTAATTCGTGCTTTTCTGCCACTTTCAAACTCAGCGTATATGAAAAGCATACCAATTTGTTTTGTATAATACTTTAAATTTACAAGACTGCTGTCTACAATCTGAGATGACTGAGCATACTCTAATTTGGAAGCGCTATGGGTATCGTTGGCTTCTCGAAACCGCTGTAAGCCTTCCCATTGGTAAGGATGGGACATGGAGATGCCAGTATCTGATGATGGTTTTGGAAAAAAAAAAGATTGAATTTTTCTTGTCCAATGGACCGGCTCACTGTATTCAACAATATGATTAGTTTGACCAAAATCAATTTGGATCGAAAGGGTGATGTGTATAAAATAAACACTTGCGTTAATACTCTCAAACGAGATGCGTAATTGAGAGTTGCTTCTTTGTAATCTACATTTAGCCGAATTGTGACAAGAAATGATTTGAGCTGCATTTGAAGATTGTCTTTCAAAATTGGAGTTGCTGTGTTGTGCTGCAGCTACAAAAAGTATCAAAAATAAGAGTTGGATACAATGCAAAGAATAAAATGATGGCCAATGCAATACTTTACTCACTGTAGTACTGGTATAGATTGCATGTATTTCCTTGTATGCAATGGTCAGAATGCTAGGTAAATCTGGATTTCCAATAAGGATAGATCCGGTAGTTCCCGTAAGTTCAAATGGACAATAAAACATTGGATTGTTTTTTGTTTGTGCCAGCACATTCACACTCTCAGGGGTTGTTGAAGTGGGTTTCTGATATGTTTGGTGAGATGTTGAGTATTCACAAAGCAACAAGAAACATAAGACTGATACAAATTGAATTACACACCTTGTTTTTCCCAAGCAAGAGATCTTCTACGACGTCGTATGCTGATGATCGATTGTAAATGAAGCACTCCAGACCATCGACGCGAAGTTTGAAATAACAGCGAGTCTGGGCTTCATTTGCTGGATGCATAATTTATAGGATCAACTGGTTAGCGAATATATTGAATAGTAAGTATATATTCATTGAATGTCAAGCCCACCACTCTCTTCCGTTGCTCCTGTAACCGAGGCGTTTGGGGAGTATAGTTTCCAAAATTGAAAAGTGACATTCCCTCTTATTATGCTTATTGATAAATCCTTGGAATAGATGCGAATGCCTTTGAAGAAGATACGACCACTTAATGGAGCCAAGCCAAACGATTCTAGATAATCAGACAGTATGGCACAGCATGATACATAATTAGAGCCAAGCGCAAGCAGGAATATATGGAGATTGGCAAGAATCTACTAGGAATAACAAGTGCAGTGGCTTTACCTAATTCGAACCAGAGACCATAGCGACGCCAAGAGAATAAACACACCAGCCATGCAATGGGCCTTGTGATGATACGATTAAAATAGAATAGGAAAAAGTGGGCAACCAACACTACTAGTAAAGAGTAAACCACAAACGTCCATATTTGAACTATCGATTACATGAGTTCATTCACAAGAGTTTAGTAGTCATATCTACAAACAGAAATGCACAATTCATATACATGCCTATAGGACTAGTCTGATCAAAGTCACCAAACGGTAGCAAGATGGCATTTGAGTCGACCATGCAGTAGCAGTTGTATAACTTGAATTAAAGATAAATTCAGTTTAAATTGGTTTACCTCACAGCACTTTGAATTGCAGGGAGTTGTAATTGAATATATAAAATATCATAATTATATAAAATGAGTTGAGCATAAATACAATTAAATAGATTTCAGATTCATACAGTGTTGATTACCAATCAAGCAGATTTAAAGTTGGATTAAAATCGCATCTAAAACTTGACCCACTTTGTTGCTTTAATGTATGGCAATCCCAACAATGGAAGCTCTAGTGCAGACAATAGTACGCAAGGCAGTCCTAATCCTGGAAGACATCCACTGCCTCCCACTCCTCGACCCTCTAATTTTGGAGGATTGCCTCAGTATCCAAACACTCAGCAGCAACAGTTCATGTATGGCCCAATGCCGCCTTATTCGCAACGCCCTTTGATGCCAAATCAGCAGCATCCACAGCAATGGTCTAATATTCCTACTGCAAATTCTAGTACAGGAAACTTTCATCATTCAAGTCCTCCACCATTGCCTCAGCGTCACTCTTATCAGCATCTTCCTATTAATGCTCCTTATCAACAACCGTATCAGCCCCAATCACCGTATCCTCAGCAGCAATATAATCCAACCTATGCTCCCTCCATGGCAGGTAATTTATTCACATGTTTCTTTCCCTAGCGTTCATTCTATCCAATGTAGGGCTCGTATTGATCTGTTCAACACGAATTATTCACCGTTTCAAGTCTGGTGTAATTGGATCCTGCCATTGCTGGTTCATGTTACTTATCTGTGCAGTATATACTATTAACCTGTTATTAATCATATTGTATTTGTCACCCTTGAATATTCAAGGCTCATATCAGAGCAACGTTTCACGAATGAACAGTATCAGCATTCCACCCTCTCAAATACCTGTCACTGGAAACTACAATAATGTATCTAATTCCTCATTCGAGAGTGCAGATGATATGGCGTCAAGTCTTAAAAAAGAACAGTCTGAGAATCAACGTCTGGCCTCTGCTCTAAAAGCAAGAATGGAAGACAATGCAAAGCTCGAGTGTGATTTACGTACAAGCTTGTTGCAAAAAATAGAATTGAAGAAACGTATTGCAGAGTTGTCAAAACAGCTGGAACAAGTGCCATCCAATGCATTGCCAAGAGAATCTTCTACATTGCAAAATAGCTCCGAGAATAGTCGTGTCACTGCCCATGTAGATATAGAAAAGGAGTCTGCTGAAAAGCAAGCGCTTCTAAATCGTATTTCCGAATTGCAGATTGCTTCGGACAAAACTGCTATTACTGAACAGTTCACCAAAGAAAAGGAGGACCTGTTGAATCATATTTTGCTTTTAGAGCGCGACTCGGAAAAGGCACGACTGTTGATTTCTGAACTTCAGGCAAAGAACAGCGAACTGGATACGCTAAAGATTTCCAATGCTGCTTTATCTACAAAGAATGAGGCCGAAAAAGCCGAAACCCATGACAAGATAGCAACCCTGGATGCAGAATTGACAAAAGCTCGGCAGACCATTGCAGAAATGCGAGAAAAAACCGCTGAATTGGAGTCTTCCTGTAACATCAATCGTGCTCTTTCAGAACAGTACGCCAAGGAAAAGCGCGAGTTACTTGATCAACTATCAAGTGCCCAGCAAGAAGCCTCTCGCAACAATATTGCATTTTCAGAGTACAAGACTCGAGCTGCTACACTGGAAGAGATTTTGGGTCGCAAGGACAAAGAAGCTGAAGAAATGCATTTGTCGTCCCTGGCTACCATACAAAAAATGGAAGCAACAGTTAAAATGCTTACCAACAACCTTAACCAACAGTCTAGTATTGCTGCTGCTGACATGGATCGACTTTCAAAATGTCTTCAAGTAGAAGTTCAAGCAAAAGAGTCTGCACTGCGTCAACTCAGCAAAATTCCACCCGACCCGTTTTCTAGTTGGACTCGAAACAAGACATCCGATATGGGTATTCCTAAAGATCCACCCAATATGCCTCGCGGTGCAGATCCAGATCATTGGACCATGTTTTGCAAAGCAGACCCTTTTAATTCAAAACGACTCGATGCAGGCCAGCTTGGAATCGCTCTTTCCGCAGGTCCGTGGCCTCCACTCTCTATTCGAGCCATTGTGCTTCTTATTCGTACATACGATCGTAACGGTGATTTTGTGGATTTTGAATTTTTCACCCGAGTCTGGCCGCAAATGCATCAGTGGAAAAAGACATTTTTCCGTCATCACAATGGCCAGGGCGAGTTTGTTTTTGGATACATTCCATTTAAAAACATGGCAATGGCACTCAAAGAGATTGACATTACTATCCCTTTAAAGGTGCTTGAGCTAATATTTAAGCGTATAAAACTGACAGGTAAGTCTTTGTTTTAAAGCCTATAGTTGAATTTAAATAGCTACTCTAACATCTCTGTTAATTAGGTGATCTTGTTGGATGGGACGATTTTGTATGTCTTGCTGCTCGACTACAAGCTCAAATTAATGATTTCCAGCGAGTCGACACTGATGAAGACAGAGTTATTACAGTCTTGTATGACCAATACATGGACATGATCAACAGATGTGTGTTTTAGTGAGCTGGCGTGACTGGATTGATCCATGGAGATCAAATTCAGAATTTGCAATGTATTTTCCAAATATATCAATCCATTTTACAATCCCGAGTTTAAAAAGCGATTTTAAATCTTGCCTGTACATTCACTACCTAGTGGTAGAAAGTCGAAGCAATAAAGTACAAATGAAAAAGCACACATCAACTTGCACATTTATTGTGAATGTGGATATCATCGAGTAAAAGCAAATGAGCGTCCAACCGCCCAATGATTCAGATCTTTGAAGGGCCCCAGCTGTAATCCAAGTTACGAGCATATCCAAGCTTTTCCACAAACGTATTCAAGCCTGCAGGCCCACGAGTACCAAATGTATACGGTTCAGGCTGTACCTTGCTTTTCTCAATCTCATGTAGTAGTGGAGTAAAGATCTTCCAGGCTGCATTCAGCTCATCATCTCTTACAAAATTAGACTTGTCTCCATTCAGAGCATCCAAAATCAATGACTCGTATGCGTCAGGAATTTTTATGTCACTATATCGCTTGTTATAGGACATATCCAGCTCGGAAATAATAGGGGTGTTGGAAAGACCTGGTTGCTTTTTCATAAATTTCATATAAACAGCCTCGTGAGGTTGAACACGAATAACAAGCTCGTTACGAGAAGTCTCAGCATAAATGTTTCCTGGAACGTCCTTGAACTGAATACGGATTTCAGTCTTTTGTTCATCCAGAGCTAAACAATTAAAATGCAACAAATATCAATATATAAAGTAAAAATAATCATTTGAATTATACAGATAGCATACCCTTTCCACTTTTAAGAATAAATGGGACACCTGCAAATTGAATTGAAAAATATTAAAATTGATTCAGTTAAAACTGGACATACTCATCATAGTACCTTCCCAACGCTCATTGTGAATATAAAATACACCCGCAGCAAAGGTAGGGGTAACCGAGCCTTTTGGAACAGTAGGATCTTCCAGATATCCAGGTGTTTTTCCATCAGCGCTTTTTGTATATTGACCAAGAATCATGTCATTGATTGAAAGTGGTTTGATGGCACGCAGTACCTTGACTTTTTCGTCACGTACATCCTCAGCGTTAAGAGAGATGGGTTTTTCCATTGCCACAATGGTAAGAATTTGTAGTAAATGATTCTGCATAATCTACATGTACGAAAAACAGATATGCAGTAAGTTTATGTAGTTTGGCTTTACCAGGATACGGTATTGATTGGTCAACCCATCTTACATCTCGGATGATACCAAACTCGTCAAAGTAACCGCCACGACCCTCGGTTCCAATTGGTTCCTTGAAAGTGATTTGTACATTGTGAATGTGAGAGCGGCTCCAAACTGCACCAAAAAAAACATTGGCAAATCTAAGATTGTATTGAGCAAAAAGGATTAGTTCCGACAAGACTATAAAGTATAGCAGGGTGACTGGATATAGAATGAAACCCCTACCTCAGAACCATGAGATCTTTGACCATTTCTTTTCCAAGATAATGATCAATACGGTAGATTTCATCCTCCTGCCAATACTTTGCCAGAAATACGGACAAATCAAGCGAGCTTTGAGAGTCTTTTCCAAATGGTTTTTCAACAATCAAACGATTGCATCCATCCTTTGTATATACGTGCTCCTTGAGTCCCTTTGCGGCAGCACTAAACACGGATGGAGGAAGTGCCATGTAAAAGATACGATCACGCTTGCCAGGGATAACACCCTCGACTTTCTCTACAAAAGTACAGAGCTTTTTGTAGGAATCATCTTGGTCGTATTTGCCCGAAACATAGAAGCATTTTTCAAAAAAGGTGGACAAAAGAGCCTTGTCCTGTTCATTGTGAAATTTGATTTTGGACGAGATTCTAAGCTTGAACTCATCCAGCTGAAGATCGGAGCGAGCATACCCTACGATTTGGAAGTTGTGAGGAAGAAACCCATTACGGAAAAGACCAAAAAGAGCAGGATATGTCTTTTTGAATGCAAGATCGCCTATGCGGATTTAAATAATGAGGCAGGGTACAACATTTGCTATTTAGTTGGATTATATCGGTTGGCAATATAGACGACAGGGATCTGTACATACCGGAAGCACCGAGAACTATCAATAGTGATTCGTGTAATGAATATAAAGCCGTCAAGCGACCAGAATGGCAAGTTGCAGTATAAATAGGTTAGCACACTACCACAAACATATAGAGGTGGATTAGGATGTAACAGGATGGAGAGTCTAAACATGAACATGAGCCTCAACAGTCGACAGTGTACTAATATAGATTGAAGGGATAAGCTTCAATCTACACTGGTACACCCTGCAGTAGATTGATATAAAAAAGATCATATACTGATTAAATGAGCAACCAGACAACAGGTAGATTCAAATGCAAGACTTGCCAACAATGCAGCAGTTATCGTTTAAAGTTGGTGAGACAGGCGAGGACATCTGTATAAAATAAAGAAATAGGTTAATAGTTATGATCAGAACAAGAGTGGAGCGAGAGGAATAGAACAGAGTGAGTTGGATCTAAACGAAAGCTGGGGTTGACAAGTAGTCCATGAATGCAGCCATACTTGAAGTTGGCAATCTGAAGTTCAAAAAAGTAAAGTTGATAGTATTCACATGAAATGTCTCATGAAACACTAAATGTCGTGAAATGTCACGATGATTTGCTGGTTTGTCTCCCAGTGATCGGCATGCAAGCAACTATTGCTCTCTTGGACTAGAGCGCAAACGTATTCAAGTTTGTAGTTTGATGAATTTTGGTTGACGTAGCAGTTGTTGAGGCTCAAAGTGGGTTATCAACAGTCTCATCTAGGATATGCTACAATGCATTGTATATTGCATAGTGGTTTACTTTTTACTCGTCTTGCATTCAATCTCGTTTATTCAATGAGCATTTTTTACTATCAAGAGTATATTAAACTTGATGACGATCGTATTGCACCAATCCACTACTATATACTTTGAATCCATTAATTTACTAACCCAAACAAGTATACTATGTCGTCTGACTGTGTTGAAATGTAAATCAGTTTAGAAAGTGCTATTGGATCGTTTTACCAATTTCCTGTAGTATGCATATTATGAATGTATGTTGCGATTATGGCAGTCACCAATGTTTGAATTTTCAAATTAAAATCAAAGGTTTATTCTGCCAAGAGCAAATCATTATGCTGCTGAATCTTCAACTGAGTGACGAGTTTTAAATTACTGATCGTAAAAACCAAGTGATTTTATTCAAAACCCGGTGTGATTGGGCTCAGTACATATATATCTGATCTACATTTTGGTAGTATATGGCTCAGCCTAAACCGAAATTCTGGTGAAACTCTATTTCCAACATAGATAAACCTTTGAAGTTGACTCCAATGGCATATCAATGTAACTAGAGTTTTTTCCGAAATTTCAGTACAGCCAATAATCTCGAGACGATTCAAGTATGGTGCACCAATCTGGCATCTGACTGTTTTAAAAGGCACTGAAGATCTCCGATGTTGTGTGGTATCAGCAGTCGGTTTATCGTTTAAAATACCCGCTAGTGGGGTTCGAAGTTCTGGACTAGCCAAGATTGGACTCGGATCCATTTCGGAAATATCAGAAATAAGCCGTTCTTTCAATTCATCAATTTCTATAGACACCAGATCATTGGTTGTTTTGGTGTATGCCTGATGCTGACACATTAGTGATGTTTCTTCAAAAATATTAGGAGTATCCTGTATAATTAAATGCCTTAGTTTTGGAAATGTTAGTGATCTACCAGATAGAATAACGGTTAAATCCAAGGGCTGGTTAAGACCACAGAGGCGTAACTGCTTCAACTCAGTGCACGTCTGTCCAATCCAAGCAACTGTGCTGTCGCTTATATTTAGTGCCTCGAGCTGAAGAAACTCGAGTGTTTCCCGTAAAAGACTCTCCAAAATGCTCATGAGCAACTCGTCAGTCATGTGAGGGATGTTTGCTAGCGTTAGTTTTTTAAGATATCCAAATGCACAACAACGGCCTATCTGTGACAGAGCGTCTACTGAGATCTGCATTGCCAGTCTGATTTGTAGCTTTTGAAGAGTCTTTCCTCTAGCACTTAAAAAATAGGTAAATCCCTGATCAGTCATGGATACTATTCCTGTAAGATCTACAGCTTTTAAATTTGGACATGTTGTTACTAAAGCACCAGCAAACGCATCTCCGCCCGATGATCGACTGAAAATCTGACCATTGCTCATATGCGACCCTAATGAGATATCAACCAGATTAGGACAAAGTTTTACCATGGTGCACATGTCCTCCTCATTGAAACTGCAGCCTGATACGGATATTCTTTTTGTTTTAGGGGATACTTGCAGCAGATTTATCAGCAAACTCAATCTTAATTGAGGAGAATCAGATACAACAAGTTCTTGGAATCTGGAAAGTGAAAAACATGATTTGGTTGGGATGGATGCACTGGAAAGAACTTGTACGTTTGTGTTTTTCAAGTCTGTGTAAGCAGAGCATGTAGTAGAATTGGATGTAGCATGAGGAGCATTCAGATTGGTAGCGGGAATAATAGATACGACACGTTTAATAAATAAGCTTTCCAGATTGAAACATGCATCCACGAGTCTTTGCCAGTCGTTTGTCTGTATTGTAATATCTTCCAGTCTAATGCTACGCACAAATCGCACATATTGGTGTAGCATCGACTTTTTTACCATAAGCATAGACTGAAACACATCATAATATTGCTGTTGATAAAAAACAACATGCTTCCACAAAAACGCAGATGCACACATATTCCATTTCTTATTGACCAAAGTGCAGGCTTTTAAATAGGAGCAACTCCAGCCTTTAATTCGACGATCTGCAACATGTCCTAGTATAAGCATCAGCACTTCGTTTGGAATCGAATAAAAAGCATCGTGGCTTTGAACATTCTTTTTCTGATATTGCTGGGTATTTGATGGATTGCAAGCAGCACCTGTCTCACTAAAGTCTGTGCCTATTAGTTGCAAGGGTGAATTTTCCGATGAGTTTTCAGTGTATTCCGATTCAGATATGTCTTTTGATAGCGAAGACTGGCCAAATGCCCTGTCAAGATGCTCAAGGAGTGAGCTAGCTGAGCAAGATGCGGATTTAAGCATGACAGGAGTAGATGCTCCTGAACAACACTCGGAATTGTATTCTCCAGTTTTAACATCTACAGTAAAGAAACCCGCTTGATTTGATACTTTTTGAAGTCTAGATAAAAGTGGATTGCTACCTGTTATAGATTGTAGTTGCATATTTGTCAAATATTTGAAAAGTGGTTTGTAAGAATTATGCAGCACGACTTGTAAAATTCGCATCTGCCAAACTTCATATTCAATGCATTGGTGTCTATCCATGCCTGATATCTCATTCATTACTCAAATATAGATTTACAACATTGTATATTTACTTTGAGAAGCAGCATCAAATCCAGAGTAGTTTTTGTTTTCCAATCCACAGCAGTGAGTCACTGACTAGTATAAAAGCGAGTTGAAAATAGCAAATATAATTCATGACACATTTAATCATCGACTTGGTAAATTATTAAGTGATGGAGTTTAATCAAAGTTTAAAAGCTTCAGGAGGAATCATATTTTTGGCTGTTAAAAAAGCCTGGCCAGCGGCTTCTGCAGACCATCCAGTTTGTTGAAGGCATAGTAAGCTGTATGAATAGTTGAGCCCCGTTGCCTTGGCAAATTCTACAACAAGAGTATGCTGCTGCTCATTGAGATTGTCCCGAATCCTATACTGAAGTAGTGTTTGTTCATCTGGAAGTTGTGGCCATGGTGAAACTGCAGGCAAAACAGGCGCTGGATTTGAAATAGGTGTACTATGTGTGGGTTGCAAGCTAGACGCAGTAATAGTAGTATCGACTGTATCAGACCAAGCGTAGTTGCTTGAATAACGTCGAATAGCCCAAGAATCGTTTGTAATAGTAAATGGGAGTGATGCCATTGCAGATCGAGATCCAGGTATAGCAGGTACAATTATAAATGTGCGATCAAAGCTTAACAATGCTGATGCTGTTAGATCTTTGAATTCGCCATGTACGGTGATATGAATATATGTTGCAGGTGCAACACCGTTAATTGCCTCTACTAGAAATTTTTTGCGCTCGGGTGGATCACCAAGTGGGTGAAGTGTGCCGGGGATTTGTCCAAGTGCATGAATGATCTTTGTTTGTCCCACATAAGCCAAAGTAACCCGTTTTTCTAAGTATCGTAACCAATATCAACAAGTACAAAAAATCATTTTAGCACCACCATATATATCAAGGCACAACGACTCGACATACCTGGTTGTTTGATTTTGTAAAGGTTACGATTAAATGCTGCCCACGAGTCCAATGCTTTGTCTGACTGGCGTGCACTACTTTGAAACGCACCACGATTCCCTGGCAAAGGCCGCGCAGTATCTACAGATAACGAAAGAACTGCATTATCACCATAAAAATCTGCCAACCCAGCACGATTTGTATCAAAAAGAGAGTAAAACCTGAATGAAAGCAAACAAATTGATGCACAGTAGTGAGCAATACTAATATTGACACATTTCAAACAGTTACAATTCAGATTCAAATCACACAAGGATTACATTTGAAGAAATTGCTGCGAGATTAAGCGTGTGGAATCCGATCCCATAAATCCACATTTTGTATCCAATGGAAGTTTTGTCAATGGTTTGACAACATCAAACTGAATCTCCTCCAGTACTGGCTGCATATCAAGAATATTGATTGTAGGAAATAGTTTTTTGATGTAGCTGTTTTCAATGGGTAAAATTCCATACAAATTCCAATATGATGGTTAGTCAACATTGTCTATTACCAATTTAAACAAGTGTCCCGCATCGCCAATATACCTTGTATAGTTGATTTCTCCTCCTGGACGACTCAGTTCTCGTTCTCGTAAAGGGTTTCCAATCAAAACTACTTCGCGCAAGTTTGGAAATTCTTTTGCATGAAGTGGTTCCAAGTCCCGGTACGATGATATCATATTATCTTGAAGAGATAGGTTTACTAGCGAAGGAACTCGTTGATACAACGTGGAAAAGTGGTCCAAAGTGCAAAGTTTGTTGCCTGAAAGTGAAAGCGTTTCTAGCTATCTAACAAATTGAGGCTTAGTATCACAACATGTATAACCATTTCTAGTCATAATACACAGACTCACGTTCGGGCACACTTCTTGAATGATCTTGCACAGGACAGGACCAAACTTGGACTGAGGATTATGCTGATCGAATACCTTTATTTTCTCCTTCTTAACCACAGGATCCTCTATAATGCGATCAAAATCAAGCCGACGTGACTCGGCATGGAAACGCGACGTTACAAGACTACGAAGCAAATCGATTGACTGATTTGTGGATGAATGTGCACCATTCTCTGATGTAGTATTTCGAGCCATGGGTTTCGAGTAATACCGAATATAAAGTTTTCCACCTAAACCAAATTGAAATATTCAATAATAGTGCTACAGCAGTTACAGTAATAATCAAGCATTTTACATAGTATGCACGCTTTTCGTACCTGCAAAGGGTATACCATGAAGACGATACACAGTAGATGCTTGCTTGGAATTTTCAAACTCAAGAATGATTTTTCCATCAGTTCGCTGACCCTAATGACTTTGTTAGCTGATTATTGCAGTTTGAATAGTCTCGGTCAATTCAACTAACCGTTTTAACAGTAACAGGTGGATTTGCTTTTTTAGTTATAAATGCAACCAACTCTTCAACTGGTATATTGGCCGAGATGCCATCAATCTATGAATATCACGATTAGCTATATTTACTGCCAGATTGATATAATATGAAAATGAATGAATATGGATTTAAGCTTGATTATTGTGCAATGAGAGGATCATTTCAGTTCAAAACTGTAGTTTGGTTGTGTGCATCATATGATGGATATTGTGTTTGGAAGCAGAAACTGTCTAGAGTCAATTTATAATAGGAAAGCGCAGCAAATGTCTAACCATTGCTCATTCAAGGCAGAATAGTGGCAGTCACTGCAAGATAAATACACGTGGTCCACTTTACGTGAATACATGTAAAACGAATCAAATACTTGATTATATCGAGATAATTGAGAATAAAGAGTCGGCCATCAAAATGAAACTCACCGAAACAGAAGTCCGAAGTGGAAGGCCAGATGGTGAAGTATAAGAGATATTCGGTTGGCGTCCGTATGGATTACTATTGAATATATTAATCGTAAAGCAATGCCGAGATTTAGCAGTTTGATTCAAATGCTGGCAAACAGCATGTATCCGGATCAAGCTTACTGTCTTGTTCGAAGCCCATTACCGCCATCCATTGCATCGTCTGTATCTGCAGTGACGGATTCATTTCCTCCTGCTTTTGAGAATCTTACAAACTGTCTGCTGACGTTCTGGGTGGAGTTGTAGGCACCTTGCTCTCGACCACGTTTTGAACGATATCTGCCTCCACCTTGATCACCAGAGTCACCTCGTTGATGCAAGTTCCGACGACCGTTAGTATAGTCTCGACCACTACTACTTCCCTCATTGCTACTTTCGATGGATGGACCGAGTCGATCCCGAACGTTGCTCCGAGATGTTTTGATGGAAGCAGAATTGTGGTTTCTACCTCGATTCCCTCGAACCTCTGTCCATCCATTCACATCAGATCCTCCAAAATCGTTGGAATTTTGATAAGCATTACCAGAATTCATCTGTGTAGAGGAAACTCCAGACCACGGCTTATAATGAAATGGGCACACCGTTGGCTAGTAAACTTTGAATCGCAACTTTGGCGATCAAATTCCAAGAGTGCTGACACGTGATTAACTGGTTTCAGCCTGGAATTTGCCGTTGAGCCAATTCAGCTTTATAAAATATTCATTTTAGATCATCATCCATACTGCATGTAGTAGTTGTATCAATACGTTAGCAATGATAAAACTGCTCATATCAAAGACTTTTTATATGAATTGAAATTCATTACAAATAAATCTATCTACACGTGACACTGGAATTCCAGTATTAAGGTCAGTAACGTTCTGTTGCCTATTTCTTGAAATCATATTTCAATAATTGCTTTTTGAAAACTTATTGGCAATAGAATGTTTAGTTATACGCGATACCAAGCTATTGACAACTTTGTATGGACCGGAATGCTACTTGCCCTATATATTCCGGCAATTTCTACCATGTATCAGAGCGCAGAATATACTGATCTGTCTAAAAGTATGGCATCAAGTAAGTTTTAAAAACAACGTTTATAGTATGATTATTGTCAACATTTAGATATTTTTTTTGCAAATGGTGTAACGTGTCGCATTCAATAGCATACATCATGACTCTAACCATAGATTGAATGCTTTGGCTTTACTGTATTAGTTGTGGATCTTGAGTACAATGCAACTAGTGAATCACTTAGTAAAAGTGAGTTTTAAATTGATTGATATACATATTACACCATTTAATCTGGCCCATTTCGCCAAATGGAATGAGTTGCAGCTGCAAACCCAGATAAAAGGTTTTCGCGATTCCTATTATTTAGATTCTAACCCTGCCATATTTTCCCTGTTTTGATTATGGTATATGTGGACAATTATCACAAGTGATGAGCTCTGAAATTATGCTGTACAGTCGTGATGAAAATTTGATATCCAATCAATCAGGTAGTTGACATGCAATATATATCTAGTGTAGCAACTTGCACTTTAGTAATTGCTTCAAATATGTATTTATGGCATATTAGTCGTGAAACTACTCGCTACGCAAGATTTTTTTGTGTATAGCATTTGTACTAAAGCAATGTTTGATATTTGACAGATGATACATACTTTTCATTTCAAATGCAACTTCCATTTAAATCTATGGCCATAGCAGTTTCCGTGATCGGTGCATTATTTAGTTTGATATGCTCCATACTACTCAATCGTTTTAAAAAAGAACGTGTGTTTAGAGCTGCAAGTCGGACATTCATGAGCATGTAAGTTTTAGTTGCATCGTTGGTACAATAAATTCGCATAAAATAAGTGACTTGATTTAAATTGCTAAACATCAATTATCCTTTAACTTGGCATCAAAAACGGGCAGTCTCGTTTGGGGAACATTGCTAATGTGGATTGGCATGTTTTTAAAAGGGTTGTCATCTTCCGCCACTGTATTTACTTGTTACGGTATATATTTTACTCAGTATATTGGGTAGGTAGTCAAAGTATTGAACAGATGGTATTGAATTATCAGGTTTGAATTATACAAACCGAATCATGCAAACCATTATTACTGGTGTATATCCTACCTGCCATATCTAACCCACACTTGCAATGTAGATTTTCAATTGTATTTGGTACACTCGTTGTAAAGTCGTTGCGTATTGTTCAGTTTTCAAAATCGTCGGAAAACCGACTACCCAGACTCAACGACTATGTTCTTCTTCGAAGTCTTTGGGGATATATTGCTGCATGGGCTGTTTTAATTGTAGCAGCGATTATGTGGCAAAATTCTATTCGCCCAATAGGTTTGAATATCAAGGTTGATTCAAACTCACAGTTGGAATATGCAACGTGTCAGGCAAAATCCGCGGAGATTATATGGGATGGATTTCAAGCATTGTCCATTGCACTCGGTGTATTTGTTTCTCTTCAGTGCCGCGGGATGCCATCTGCATATAACGAGGGTACATATATGTAAGTATATGCTGTGTTCATATGCATATTCAAGGACTAGTTGTATTTGATCGAGTCCGCTAAATTCAAATATATGCTATAAAACACAATTGTGCTAATTATTTAAACATATACTGGTGTTTAATGAATTACAAACTAGTTCATTAACAATTTACAACTGGGCATTGACATGGACTATTGGAAAGTTGATACGAAAACTGTGGAAACCATCTCTCGACCCAGGACTCGAGTTATTTTTAGAAATCATCGAGAGCTTTGGCTGTGTTTCAACTGTATTGCTGATGCTTTTTGCGCCAAAGGTTATGCTGATGTTACAGGTATAGTTGCTTTGCAGAATCTTGAAGCTACAAACTTATATTGTAAATTGCGTACAACTCACATGTTTATACCAAGGGTGACAAGCCCAAGCTTCCACATCACAATGGCAACAAAAACATGGACGATTCTAATCCAAAAGGACCATATCCCCAACACATGCTTTCAGCTCAAAGGGGAGCGATCAAAACAGTATCGACGGACACAATCTCACCAATATCGGAAAGCGGATCAACACGATCATTGCTTTCAAGCTCAAATGCAGACAATTCCAGTTCAGTTAGCATGGGGCTTGGAAAGAAATCGGATATAATTGTAGTAGTGGCATCACAGCCAGTACAGGGAAAACAAGCACCTATATCTAAAACAAAAATGTAATAGAATATCAATTGAGTATAGCAAGAAACCTTTATACAGATTAAATGGGTTTACAAGAATTTGAATTCGTTATTGTTTACAGTAGTTTTATGGAGTCCAAGGTTTGCGACTACCAAACAGAGCAGAGTGATTTAAACATTAAATTTATTACAGCAATTAACACTGCATTTGGACTTTAGCAAATAAGAGAGTTGGTTACGAGTCAAGTCAGCGGCTAATTACAAGTTTCAAACAAAAGGAACGCATTGTAACGAGGCATGACTGACGCGTTGACGCCACACTAAAACAAGATGCGCGGCACCAATTCCGCCAGCGTGTTTCGTCAGTACTCATTATTCTATCAAGTGAGCCACTATCGAATACAAAAACAAGCTTTTTTCCACGGCTGTAAATTACTTCCTGCCACCACCACATAGTTCCGTCTTGTACCTAGTCTTGAATTTATTGCTTGTATTATTTTAGTATTCACCAAGTCTGTATTAGCTATTCTACATACGCTTCCTTTAAACTACTCTAGTATATCTCCTACTATTCTAAATGTATCAACATAGTGTTATATCAACGCTTGTATTATCGCTTATCATCGCATCGTCTGGTGTTTCTGGTACACCGTCAACACAGTTCCTTGCTCGTCGCTCTGGAGACGACAGTTACGACGATACTAGTCTACCACAGAGCGAACTGGTTCCTAATCCTACTGGAACCGAGTCAGATGCACCATACGAGTCTTCTGAAAAACCATACTATGGTGACTTGATGCCTGCAGTCACTGCTGTTATGGAAATGCCAATGGCTATTCCCTCCGAAGCCTTACAGCTGCTCAAGCCAGCTATGATGTCTTCTGAAAAACACGGAATGACTGATCCTTCACAATGGGACTGCGAAGAAGTTGTCGAGTTTCCAGCCGACCACTGGGATTGTGAAGTGACCGAAATGGAAAAGATTGATTTGAGTCTGTTCGACTGCTGGGAAGAGACCGACTTTACCGATATGGACTGCGAAGAAGTCATGGGCGAGTTTGAGTGTGATGAAGATGATGAACCAGCTGGTTCTCCACCTGCGGGTCCAGCTGGGCCGTCTGCAACATCTGCATCATCTGCACCACCTGCCGAATCCTCAGCAGTCAAATCCGACACTAGTAATTCAAACTCTTCTTCACCTCCTGCCAATACACTCACTTCACTAGCATACTCATGGAAACCATCTGCGTCAACCTTCACAGCTGTCATATTACTTACAGCTAGTCTCGCTGTGTTCTAAGCTGTTGCATTGTTTCGACTTTTGTTTGGTTCCGCTTCCATATCCTTGTCAATAGACTGATTGCCACGCGCGTTCAAAATAATGTTCTCATTACGCATTTTGAAACAAACAATTGGTTACTATTTGCCTCATGACAAATTCGAGTTTATGCGCTTTAAACATGACGATTACAATAAACAATCGCATTCCATTAGCATGTCTTGGTCAGTGTATTTTTAGTGACTTGCTTATTTTTAAAACGTCAGTAGTATGGATGGGGCACCGAATGATACCTGGTATTTTAGCCTATATCTCTTAGTAAAATCTATCGAGTGTTCTTTATATGATCCAAAGTATGAAATTGCCACCAAAATTATGGATTTACTGATGAACAGTGATTTAAGGTCAATAATTAAAGAGGAAGAGGAAGATAATATTAGAAGTGATTTAGGAATGAATGACTATCTTTACGATAGTGAAGAAGAACAGCAATGGGATATCTGATGACTCTTGGTCTCAAAACGGAATATATGGGGGATATGATGATTGGGAGACTTACCGTGACGCTAATGAACTAGATTAATAGAATAAACCCAGAATCAATCTTTTTTGAACGAATAAGCATTAGTTTTAGGTTTTTGGTTTTAACTTTATTTCAATTCAAACATTTTCAATTACTGCCAGCACAGCTTCTCTTAAACCACGTTGAGTTAATCCATCTTCTTTGAGTTTCGCATCAGTCAGAGTGGTGAGTTCCATCACATCAATTTCTTGCTCAACAAATACATGCTTGATTTTCTCAATTTGCTGGTCCTTTTTGCCGTAATCTTTCAAAGCCTTGTAGAAATCATCCATCGACTTGAATCCTCTCTTGCGCCTCTTTGAATTAGGAATAAAGTTGGCAATGTTCCTGGCAGTAGTATTGTCATCAAGAGACGCAGCAAAATTCATCAATTCAGTCAAAGACTGTTCCGTCTTTGTAGGGTCGCATAAATCCCACGAAAACTTCAACATTGAACCAAAACTCGATGAATCAATCCAAAAACAATTATTTGACGAGAACTGTTGTTCGTGATCTTGTGACAAAGCAACTGTTGACTTGGGCGCAAGATATAACCGATAATCAGCAAGTCCATCATCAACAAGCCCAAACATGGCAAGAAACGAGGTCTTTGCTTTAAATGTCGAATCATCAACTTGTGTTGTTAATTGACATAGAACACGCACTGGTTCCTTTGAATCCATTCGATTAGCAAAGAATAATATATCTGTTTTAGATTTATTGTAGTCAGGGTCCGTCATAACATAGACGTCATTTTGATTCAAATCAGCGGTGACTTCTCTCATCATTTTGATACTTGGCTTCCAATCCAATCTTGGCTGTATTTTCATCTTTTCGCCCAGTTGTATCCAAAGTTTAGAATCAGATGTAGCGAGAAGCTCCAAAGCAAACAAATATTCGAAAACCTTTCCCTTGAGAGTTGTAGTTGTAGATGAAGCCTTAATGTTTGCTACCAAGTCCTGGATATTTTCCCAGCAAAACCAATGTACAAAATCATTGAATATTTTGACAAGAAACCGATTTGGAGGATACACATACCACCCCGAAATCCTTTTTCCGAATCTACTAGCACTTTCAGGTCGAACACGAATCAAACCCGCTTCAATAAATGGCAGCCAGCTGGAAGGTAGTTTTTCAAACTTGAGATATCCTTCGGGGCAATTGATAAACAAATGAGTGTGTAACAAGCAAAGATTTCGGGTATAATGTTCCAAATCATCTGACGCTAGACCAAATGAGTCGATGGTTCCTTTGATTTGTTCACGATAGATGATAATAGCACCACGTTCAATTTCTTCCCAGTGACCAATAAGTCCTTCAATAGATTCAAGGCTAAATTCTACGCTAGATTGTATGAAGAAAGAAACAAGTTTCGGTGGCCCACATAATTGTTCCAACTTGTCTTTAAACAGGGGAAGTGAACCATCGACGAGAAAATAAGACTGGATTATCTTGTATACGTTATCGATATTGAAATCGCATAGATACTTTGATATATCAAAGGGATTCCAAAACATACTGGCAACTTTCATTTCCAAACCAAGATTTGGTCTTGTGCCTGAAAAAACCCAAAGGATATTGCGAGATTTTTTAAGACTAGAGACTTGACTTGAGAATAATCTTAGAGCGAATCCCATAATTTCATCCACTTTGACTGATTTTTGCCTATCAACCTTGACGGTTTCAGTCAATCCGCAAAAGAACTTTTGGCAATCATCCAAGTGGATAACGAGCAAACGGTCCAAACTTTCGATAGTAGCTAGTAACTTCTTGTAGGAATCAGATAAACTTTCTTTTACAAGAGGAAAATCAGTTTTTGCAGGAGAGATGTAGTCTGGTATCGTAATTTCAATTACAGTAGCTTCTAGTTCAATACTGTTCAGTTGTTCAATGATTCCTTCAAAGAGTTGAGCAAGTACAGTCTGAAATCTCTTTCCAAAATACTTTTCAATGTTTGAGTATGAAATTGAGTCTTGTAACTCCAAGGGAGGGTCTTGCTTCTCACCCATATTCTTACAAGAATCAAGTAAAGGTTTGAACAGCACATCGTCAATGAGACTGATAGGTGCTCTGATACTACCAGAATGCTTTGAAGCCTCTAGAATAGTTGTAGTCTTGCCGGTACCAGACATATCAAAACAAACGGCACAAGTTGGTTTGTCGTCAGCAGTTCTCTTGCTCCCTTTGAAATACCTTGTCATATAATTTGTGAGCTGAATAATAGCATCGGTTTGAATAGCAGGAGAAAGAAACTGTCCTTCGTCAAGTTCTTGGAGTACAAAAGTCATTTTTCAAGAAAGAAAAAGAGTCCTTGAAAACGCCCACAAATGACTAAACAACTAAAAAATTGGATTAGAGAATGTGCTGCTCTTTCTGAATATGAACTAAACCAACAACTAAAATCAATCAATGGGCAGTTTGTAAAGTCATTCTTGGCTGCTATTGAAAAGTCATCGACCAACCAAACTAAGCAAGTGACAGTCAGAGAATTAGAAAAGGCAGGAAAACATGTCAGAGATACACTGAGACAGGATGAAATTACTGACTTTATTTCATACTGATAACCAGGAAATACTAAAGCTAAGAATCAAAGAGCATCTCTTGGCTCTAACTGACAAATCAATCTCTAATCTCAAGAAATTGTTCTATAGAAGGCATATTGGTCAAGATTTGATTGATTTGCGAGACACGTACGACAAATCAGATGATTTCTACAGCTTCTGTAAGCTAGAATTCAGTTGGGATATTGCCATGCTCCATCTATACTCAAACTACTATACTTTTGTTACAAATTATCCAATGTTTCTGTATTCAGGACTCAATTGGACGACCTTGAGGAACAAGAATGTTGTGTACAAAACGTGGTTGGAATCAGAAGAAGCGAATGAATTATCACAAGATGATTGTACTTTGCCTTTATTCTGGATAGGGAAATGTTAATAAAGTGCGTCATTTTAAGCTTTGATTTACATGTGTAATTGTTTACACATGTAAACAATTAACTATTTTTAGCCCTTTTTTCGCTTTTTATACTTGTTTAATCTTTCTCTTTCGGTAACTGAATGTAGAGCATAATAAGTTCGGTATCTCTGTCTTTCAGATTCCTTGTTTTGAGAGTAATAATCTCTGTACCACTTCTTTAGTTGTTCTTGTTGTTCAGTAGAATAGGAATCCCAATTCTTGACGCATTGTAAATAGTCGCTGTAATTCTTGATTGAACACATTGCCATTTACTATTACTCTAGAAAATAAGTTCCTTGAAATACCTTTTGTTTCTTGCTCTCAGGTTCTCGAATTCTTTCCAGTTCGTCTAATTCTCTCTTATTTCGACGTTGTACATTTGTCATTGGACGCTCTCTTTCAACTTGTTCTACAGTAAATGTCTCTGGTATCTTTACTCAATACCCCGACAGTCTTTTCTTTCGATATGATGATTATAGCTTTTGGCAGAACAATGGCAAAGTTCTCGTTCCAATCTTGAAGGTTGATAGTAATCTCTCAAAGTGAACGTGTCAATTGAAAGTGTACAAGAGAACTTGGTGAACCAGTTGTTTCGTTGGAATTCTTTTCAATCCATCCACATTCACCGCAATCTTTTATATGAGAAGAGAATGATGTTGTTGATTCGTTACAGAAAACACACGGTGCTAGGGAATATTCACAGTTTTCCAGATGAGATTCAACAGCCCATGGTAAAAGACGAGCATCACAACCATTGTTGTCGCACAATGACCATGTAATAAGCTGTTCTAGTTGTTTACAATGGTAGTTAGTATTTGAACGGCACGATGGACACTTGTCTGTTTTTACATTACAATCTCGGCATAAATATAGTGTAAAGCAAGAGCAACACGAGTAAATAGGAGAGAAAATTGGAGTATAACAGACGCTACATTCAAGTTCTTGTTCTGATAGTTGATAGTTGATAGGATATGGTGAGTTGATTCATTGTGGTTTACAATATCTCTAGATAAAAAGTTTGTCAATAAGACGAGATATTGGGTTGGCTACTAAGTTGAATTAGAAATAATTATTTTGTTTGGCTAGATTATATGAATCAGTTAAACCCAAACATTTGGATGATGGTGATTGAACAACTACATTCTTGTTCAGACATTCGCAGGTTTTGTAAGTTGAACAATATCTCATATTCAGTTTGTAGAGCAAGATTGCCCTTTATAATCAGACAACTAATCAAACACAACAACTATTGTTTGCTATACGATGCTGCGATTAATGATTATTTACCAATTGTTAAGCTTTTTGTTGAAAATAACGCCGATAAATCAGCCATAAATACTGCTTTCAAATGGGGTTCAATCTATGACAACAGTGTCAGATATTATTTGTTACCGCTTTCCAACATAATTCACTGACTAAAACACGAGAGTTTGAAGGAGCCCTGAGACTGAAAGATATATCAAAATTAGAGTCATTGATGAACAACCGAGAATATGTTCTCAACGACTTGGAAGACAAAAACAATCTTGATATACTTCTTGAAGCAATGAAGACCAAAACTACTTTCAAAACGATACTTGAATTCAACTTTGATTTGAATGCGATACACGACAGAGGAACATTACTTGATAAACTTTTGAGTAATCAAAATACATATTTTAAGGAAATTGATTTGATTAAACAATATGGAGCAAAGACACTAAATATTACTCCAGAGATGCTAGAAGTTAATTTTTAAGGCTCTATCATCAAGACATGGTATTCATTAAAAGCACCGAGTTTGAGTCGCACAGAAAGCTCCTGAAATCTCAACCAGATAAATCTACTAGTACTCTGCTCTATGGTTTTTGACATACTGGCAAATCTCCGATAATTTAACGTTTTGGGCAACTTTGAACATAATTTGGCTGTAACTTTCGGTTAAAAAAACTGGTATCATTCGGTGCCCAATATATACTACTCACGAAAGAGATTATCTTATAATTCATTGGATAAGAAGTTCCTGTAAACTATTCATCTTCAACATCAATGACTCTTGTATCCAGTAGTTCAAAAAATCTATCCACTCCATCCTGCTCTCTATCCTCAGAATTAGTTCTTGAACAAATAAGCAAGTCGATGGATTCAATAGGTATAGTAGACTTCAACCCTTCAGAACCATTTGGTTTCATTGATATAGTTGTGTATTTGTCAAAGCACTTACTTTCATTTGGCATCCAGTAAATAATATCTGTGTGTGAAATCTTTATTCAATTGAAATATTTCAATTCCATAATTACTCCCACTCCTTTCGAATATTATCACCTGGCCGTTTCGTAGAACAACAAATGACTTTTTGATTGCATCCATTTGTATTTGAAAGCCTTTGCTTGAATTGCGGCAGTATTCTGACATAGTTGATGAACCATTATTTGGTTCACCTTCTGTCACCCAAGTTATTTGACATTCTTCTTTAAAATGCTCTTTGATTGAGGTTTTCGATACCTTGTCATCGCAAAATCGACACTGATAGTTTAAAACGACAATCATTTTTGTGTTCATCATCCCAAGGAAATAACAATAACGTACATCCCGGATGACAGCAGTCTTTCATCTGATTTTTGACAGTTTTCTCTAAAAACTTGTTATGAAATATTCTGCTAGTTTGACACTGGGGACAGTAACCTTTTCTGTCACATTTCTTAAAGCACATCAAACAAACAAAATGTAGCGCATTGAAACACTGAATTAATGGTGTGGTAATAGTTGGATAGCATATTGGACAAGTTGTGTTTTCACTGTTCATTCGAAAAGTAACATCAATCTCAGTCATAAATGGTTATACATTAATGAATGAAAATAATTAATTGGAATTTGTTTAAATTTGATAAAAAGTAACACTATAGAATACTATTATTAAATCAGGTTCCGAGAAAGAGAGAGTAAAGAGAATGAAGATCCACATTCAGAACAGAATTAGAAACAATCAAAGTGTTTTATTATTAACAAGTAGATACAACGATACATTGATGTCGTCATGTAGCATTTCAATAAGAATGATTTAGCCTTTTCAGAGTCTGTTTTCTTAGTCGTTGCTGGCATTCCCTTTGAACTGGTCAATCCCCTTCATTATAGAGCACAAATTTGATGTCAATTTGTGATTGTTGCCTCCAAAATTGCATTAGGGCATTTTCGCTGCTTCTTGACCCAGTTAGCAAATCGGTTGTAGTCACACATTAGAAGTTGATGAAAGAAGGGAATAAGAGGCTTTCGCGATTTTTATACTCGGACACCACTGGGATGTTTTGGAATGTCGTGAAACCTTTTTTCTTTCCCAAACAAAGATGGCAGAAATCGCCCCATCGCTATCAGACGCTCATATCGTCAGAACCTACCCAAAAGACTATGCTGCATTGGATACAGAATCGGAGGGAGAAGTGCAATTCGAAGTGGATATAGAAGACGAAGAGCAGTATTCCATCGCCACAAGGCTCGTCCAAAACCAGGAGTATATGGACCAGCAAATTACCCCACCATCTGCTTGGATATTGGAACTTCAGCCCTGGCAAACAACCGAAGGCACCGATTAAATTATATTTTGATTATAACTGGACTTGGAAACTCTTATTCTAGATAAACTTGGAGATTTGATTAAAACAAGGATTCAAAACAAATGATACATTGTAGGTTGTCGATGTGAATTGAATGTTGGATGAAACTGATTATCCCTTTAGATTGTTGTAAAACCACTTTTTGGATGGAATATGTGAGTGTTTTAAGAACTTGAATGACATTATTGGAATATTGTGTCAACTTTGGGTGTTTATCAATGTATTTCGATAAATTCCGAGTTACTTTATGTGGAAATATTCCCATTGTGATTGTGTGTCAAACGTTTTCAAGAACTTGTCAAATAAAGTATTTGGTGGTTGAAAAGCAAGAATGTCTTTAAAAGCAAACGATCCATTTGATATCATTCGGTATTTGTTACATTTGATAATGTCATTCACTTGACCGTTTTCAGCTGAATGAAACTCACAACTCCAAATTGATCTTGTGGTATATCCCATTGTTTGAGAGCTGATTCCTTGTTTGCTGTCTTTTCATACAATATGTTCATCGTATCTCCAGTTAAAGGATTGATATCTTCTGATTTGTGACACTTTCTACATCAGTGGAAAAAGCATCCCAGAAAGTCATAGATTGTGTTTGATTCTTCATCGTAGTCATCAACATTGTATCGTTCAATCTTTTCGCTTTGTTCAATATTACGACCTAATTCTCCTTGAATTGAATTAATCCAAAGCTTTTCGCATTTGGATACATTTCCATGTTTTTTAGAGTGTTTCAAGACTTGTGGAGGGTATTTCTTGATGATGTCGATGCCATATGATGAGCTACTGAAGCCATAAATAGCCAGAACACCAAGAAATTCTAGTAATTTTAATCTTAATCGTTTCTGAACCTTTGCATCGTCCAAATTGGCCATTATTACAAAGAACCGAGAATACTTTGAATACAACAATTGCAGATATTTGTGTCGTATTTGATCCATTTTTGTCATCACTATATCCAAAGCTTCTTCAGTTGTACCTTCAACTGGGATGAATTGAGCCTTGTTTTCTTCACTTCCAATGAAACTTGTGCTCAAAAGTTTGTGTGTTTCAATGAATGAGCTTCAAGTTGGTCGTAGATTGACCGATTTCAACCAAGTTTCAAAATCAAAGTAGATGAAATATGGATAAAATCTCATTTCTTTCGGTATATTAATTCCATTCAATTCAAGATGCTCAAATACATTCAACTTTGGTTGATAATTTCCATTTTCAAATATTATCTTTGGTTTTGCACAAACAATTGAGTGTCGTTTTATCTTTTTGAATTCACTAAAGGATGAATGGCATCTGGACATTGAAACACTGGTTAACTGAGACAAGTTAATAATGGAGGAGAAATGATGGAATTTATGGCTTATATCAGAGTATATATTCAAATTAATAACCTCCTGTATTCTTTACCTGAATGTCGTTCCATAACCGCTTTCTTTCCATTGAATCGGTATATGTTGACATTTACAAAGAAATGGCTTTCAATCTCTTTCAATTCTTGAATATCAAGTTTGGGATAACACTTCTTTACATTGGTTTTGTAATAATCCTTGTAAAGATCTTTTGCTTTCTTTGATAATCTGTCTAATCTGATTTCTGGATACTTATAACGAGCAAAACTACCAAAAACAAAGGTTATTTGTGACATACTGGAATGAAACAATGCTCTTGATATTCTTGATGAAATCAGGTAGAATTACAGATGCGCCTATTGATACCTCTGGAATGGGTGTTGTTAAAAGTACATACTCGTAGATATTTTCAATACTCCATTTGGAGTTTGAACACTTCAATTTTTCCAGTATATCATCACCATCCAATTGGTTTAGTACCGTATCAATAGTGGAATTAACTAGTGGTGAATCATTGATATTAAAGCAGGTATTATCAGAGGGATAAAACTGAACTCTATCATCAGTTTCAATGTTCCTCAGTACATATCCGAATTGAATATCGAACCAATATCTTAATGCTTGCTTTTTGTGATTCTCTTTGATGGTAAACTTCAATTCATCTAAAGTTGTAAACAAGTGTCTCGACCAATGAATTGGTTTTGATTTTGGTCAGAACGAATATTTCTTGATATGATATTGTGAAAACGACCGTTGTTCTTGTCCAGCTCTCTTTCTGTTTGTTTTGTAACTGTAAAAGTTGGTGGTAGGTTTTAGCATCGTCCATTCCACTGGAAACCCCTTGAATGTGCTTTTGAATCTTAGTTTAACCTTTCTAGCCCGTCCGACATCCAGATTTGTAATTGAACTAATCAATTCTTTGTACTAGTTTTCTCTTTCGTCTTGTATTTAATAGCAAATCGATATCTCTCGATACCATTTACTTCAAAAAGAACCTTGTACAGACCAACTGTGCTGTCATTTCCTTTAATCAACACTGCATTTTCATTCAAATGAATTTGGGTTTCTTCCAATATGTTTGACATTTCCAATGAACTTGTTTATCATTTTAAAAGAAATTAAATATTCAATTTTATCTTGGATTAAACTTATCAACTATCTATGATAGTGGCTGTGACTGAATATTGCATCTTTTATTTTCTAGACTAGATTTAAACAACATGTTGAATTTACCTTGCTCAAATCCGAGATCAAAGTACATCAACAATTTACTAACGGACACAATTTATCTCGATCCAAGAAATAATCATATCTATCAAGTTGTTGAAAAGCGTGTCAATAATTCGCTGTTGAAAGTAGCGTATAATTACGTTGGAAATGAAGAAGCGGTTGTGTTAGATGATGTTCCAGATTCCATGTTTAGACTAGAAAACCCAATCGAGGTTAATCCATCGAAACTATTAAAAGGCAAAATATTGTCTTTGGAAAACAATGCCAGTCTATTATGCGGCATCGACATAAATCACTATAAAAGGATTAAAGAAATGATAAGCGATAGTTGCTATGAAACAAACGATACCATTTATTCACTACATTATGGGTTAATTGTTCTTTTCAAAAAGCATTATCCAACTTGTGACAATGCGAAGGTTAATCTAGAAATGATGGGTTATCGAATCTTTGCAAACATAAAGATGCTGCCAAGAGTCATCGAAAAACAGCAATCATTACAGGAAAAGTTGTACAGAATTGTTATGAGCGGTGATGATTCTAATTCAGATGATGTGAAAGAAATTATCATGTAAACTATTCATCTTCAATGTCACTGTTGTATCCAGTAGTTGTTGGAAGAATCGATCCACTCCATCCTGCTCTCTTTCTTCGGAATTAGCTCTTGGATAAAACAGCAAGTCAATAACTTCAATGGGAATGATTGGCTTCAACATATTTGATTCATTTTGTTTTATCGAAATAGTTGTATATCTGCCAAAGACTTGGATCAGGAAGCTAATACGTTATGCCAGTTTGTGTGGTATCGTTGGTCAAGTGTGTTGTATCGACCTCGTAATTGCTATCATTTGTTGTTTAATGGTTTTCTCAAGGAGCTTATTGTGGAACGATCGTGTGGTTCTAAACTGCGCACAATATCCTTTTCATTGACATTTCTTGGAGCATGTCATACAGACAAAATGAGGTGCGTTGAAGCATTGAATTAATCGTGTGATTACTGTAGAAAAGTATATTTCGTATTGCGTGCTTTCATCATCAAGTCAAAGTGTGACGTTAATTTCATTCTTACTGTTTAATACAAGTAATGAAGAAATAGTTGAAATTAAGTTGATAATTCAATGAAAACTATTGGTATTCTTTGTTAAGAATTCAAACGACCCAAAACAAGGAATCCGAACGACTGAGATATTGCAATTATTGTTAACAATTCAAAAAAAGAAAAAGAGCGATTACAAAAGTACAAAAAGTCTGACCACACTGTGTAATTGCTTTCGTTCAACCTGTCAAACAAATAGTTGATTTAAATTGAATTTTAAATAAAACCGACTTGATATCAAATGAAAGACTTCAAGGCAGTTGAAACTTGAGTGTTTTTTACAGAATAAAAGTTTTAGGATTGTTCAAAACAAGGAATGTTGATTGTTATATTTATCTTGACAAACCAACTTATACAAAAGTATTTCTATTTCAGATTAATTTAAAACAAGATTTAACTGGCATTTCTGTTGATTACACGAGTCACTCTAAACAATTAGCAGTATATTGGATAACAGGTCATTAGAAATGGTGTAATAACACCAATTGCTCCAATGATTACAAACAATATCAGAAATTGGTTGAATTCAAAAAAGTTAAACAAATCGATCAAGATTTGTATAATTGATTGACAATAGTAAGAATATTCTAAGATTAAAAGATTTGGTTGTATATATTGTAAATAGGAGCTTCGACTCCAAAACTGACTTTATTTTTAAATGTTCAAATTGGCAAGACTCGTAAAAATAACCATTTCACCTCCTACTTGAGCTTCAACTTCGTCATCTTCTAAAGAATGAAAGCTAAAAGGGAATTCGCTTGTTTCAGTTTCATTTTGACTTTCCCGATATGGTGATAAAGTTCCTTTCCAGAATGAAAACGTAAATCAGAAGTAGGTAAACTTTTTGTTTCATCGCTGTCCAGCCATCTTCTACAGCGAGTACATTCACTGCGAATAGTTGTCCAAGGCAAAGTAGAATAAACAAACACAGGATAGTCATTCAAAAACCAACGATATCCAATGTATAAATGACACATCGTATAGTTCCATTTAAATGCTTTTAGAGTGTAGTCATTGAATTCTTTTTGATTTGGAAATCATCCTTCCAAGGCAACCAGGTCTTGTCCAATGAATTGTCTAGTTTGCAAATATTTTGGTAATGGACCATGAGGCGATTCTTGCCAGATAATTCAGACTTGTAAATAGTAATACGTCTGGTTAAGACCTTGATTCTAGTATTGTCATCCATATGAGAACTGACTGGTGTTTCCGAATTGATGGCAGATAATGTATACTCCAATAGAAACCAATAAATCGATTGTATCTGCATGTGGATGTGCTTCATACGTTCCATTTCTGTATGTATGAGAATCTAATTCTGGATGGTGTATATGACTGATTACTCTTGCAAATACATTGAGTGAATTCTTGTTGATTAATTTGAGCTCTTCTTCCAAATCTAAATCATTTAGAGCAGCAACTCTTCTAATCCAGGTGATAAGCTGTTCAGACATTTGTAGTAAACAATGGAAATTACAATTATAAACTAATACTACAATTTTAAGGTTTTGATAAGCCTCAATATTGCAATTATAACTTTGTTAAAAAACAAACACATTTATTTCATTCATCGGATAGCATAGCATAGATTTTTCCAGTGATATCGACAAGAGAATCTGTACTAGGTTCACCTCCAGGCAACAACTTGATGGAACATTCGTCCATCTCAATCTTTTCATCAAGACTACGCAAGAAACTCCACTGCGCATAGTTGGTAACAATTCCATAGACTGAATCCAAGTGACCAATCTCTGCTGCTACTTCACATCCAATCAAATTCTGTCATTCCTTGATCCATATCTTCCTTCTTTGCTTCGACGATATAAACTCTTTTCTTCCCACGACGTAACACAAATTCAAAATGGCCATGAGCTTTCAAGAAATCTCTGTTCAAATCTTCCTCTACTTCAATTTGAACATCTCCGTTGAACAGGAAGCACACAAATAATGATTGGTGCAATCAAATGAAGTCTCTGAGGTCCCATGAATGATATAACTGAACCAAAGCACTTTGTGGCAAACGACAAATACTGTGTGAGAATATTGAATTGAGTATCTGGAATAGCCTTTGAAGATTGGATATAAGGAGTAGTTCGTAGTACATCCTTGACCTGATTCCAAGAAACATACGAATATGCTGTTGAATCAGTCGCCTTGGATTTCCTTTTGTTCTTTTCAAGAATTTCATTGAGTTGTTCCCATCTTTCTTTTCGTTTAGGATGAGGAGCTTTTAAGCTAGATTTTGATAAAGAGCGACTCCCTAAAGAACTGTCTGCAACAGTGATGAATAGAGGAGTCTTTGCTGTATTCTGAGCAGGAATAGGGTCGTCTGGTTGTAAAGGAGTACCACCATCCGTAGTGGAAAGGGAGAGTTGGTCAATTGCATAGGAATCAAAGTGAGGAGAGAGCTCCTTCTTGCAGGCTTTAAGAAGGTCATCTACATTCTCGCAGTCTTCAGTAGATACCCTTGTAGCGTTGTTTGGCTTGAATTTGACCCAAAGTTTTGTCATTTTTAAAGCTTTTTTTTCCTCAAATAAACTGAAAAATGACAAAAATATACTTCAAAATACCAACACTTTGATACACTGCTCACTATTGACCAATTTAAAGGCAAGACTATTTCAGCTCTGAAATGTGCGATAAAAGAAGCAGTTATGCCTGCTTTGCAGACTCCTATTTGCAATTTGGATTTGAAAATAGGAAACTCGATTATTGAAGTATTAAGAGCCTCTGATTTGAAGGATGTATTAGAAGAAACTCAAGTTTCAATCACCAACACAATCATAGTGATTCCTTTAGTGACTTACCTGGACCAATGCATTTTGTGTTTTTGCTTTTCATTTGGTTTAGGACTTGGTTATTCTGTCACTGTCTTTTTGAGACTGACAATGAAGTGGAAGAATATCATCATCCATTTATTGCTGATGTCATATTCATCATTATTGATATGACTGGCTTAGGATACTCTCTATACACTATTTGGCAGTCGATCTGGCAAGCAACAATGGAATTCACAACTTGCATCTGTTTTCGCTGGAGTTTTCTGTAGTCTTCTTGTAGAACCATCTTACCATTCCTGAAAAGGTAATAATAAGTTTTAGTAAGAATCATCCAATAAACGTTAAACAATAACTGGCATTATCTAATCGTGGTTACTATATAACTTTACTACCAGATCTTGGTATAACGGCAGGATCCATTTAAAGCATTAGTATGAGTCCCGCACAAATAGCTCCTGATAATTCAAACTTGAATGCGATTACCCTTAGGTTTCTGACCTTGATGCTCATCTCTGATAACTTGTTATTTTGACAGCTTTAGAGCAAATTCAAGTCACCTAAAAAAACTGGTATTATTCGGTGTCCTATTTATACTACTTTGGATCAAGAAACGAATACAGAAATCAAGGACCTAATGAACAAAGAGGTTTTTGAAGATGAAAAGTATCTGTTTACCATTGAAAATGGTATTGTATATGCAATCAAGAACACATGCAATTTAGATGAAACCAATAAAGAATTACGAGACTACGTTGCTTCAACATGGAAAGATCCACAACTTTTACACGATGATGCTTGCTCAACAGCGACTCCAAACAAAACTGTCGAGTATTTTTTAAACGACTCCATTGAAAAGGCAATCACGTTTGTTGTCATTGAAAAAGTCGACTGAGCCAATACTCGACAGAGATGCGATCTCATCAAAGTCGGGGCTACTTTGGATAAAATCAGCTACTGATTAGATAGAGATAGCTTTGGTAACTCTTCAATCAAATGTATATCATTGAGTGCATGACAACATTTGGACTTGTAATCATGGCAAATATTAAAGCCATTGATCACAACTTATCACCACATTGAGCATGCCAACTCTCTTGGTCTTCCCATTTATCCCAACACTGTTTTTACTCTGTAAAATGCCAGCCAAAAACAAAGCAGACTTTGTAATAGTATTGAAACCCCATTGGCTAGTCTATGGTGATTAAACCCGACCGAGTCCCAATGCTAAACAAATCTAGAATACAGCCAAAACAACCAAGTCTACCGATTAGAATCATTTTGATAACTAATACTCAATTCATATTGTTTATTCAACACAAGATATATTTATCTCACAATCGAGTTCAACATTGAAAATACAGTCCATTCAACACTACATCATCGCGAATTGGCAATTCCAATGCGATTGTTATCAGAATCAAAAATAGTATAGTACAGCTTCATAAACGAATCACCCAATATCCAAAACCCATGCATATCTAGTCCAACAAATGCTGACACGCAGTATCCAAATCCAAATGGAATCACATAGTCTTCGTTGCGCAGCGTAAATGACACATTGTTCAACATAAAGGTAACTGAAGGCAGTCCTGTGCACGGTATCAACTGAAGTCCGTTTTGATATGGAATCGCACCAAGTTGTTGGTGGATCAGTGTCGCAGATACTGTTGGGATGGCTATAAGCGACGTCCCACTATCAAACACGGCTTGTGCATTTTGTATGAGAGTTGTGCCATTAAAGGTTACCGAGGTTAACCCCACTTGCCAAAATTGTCGTTTGGACAGTGGCAGCCATGTAATGGATCCATCAACATGGCTTGGATCATATCCACCAATTGTCAATACCGAACCTGGTGCACTGTTCTTGGTAAGATATAATCCAAATACTCCAGCTGGTATCAAACCTTGCGCATGCATATTTTCCATTGGTGTTGCTACATTATTGATTGAAATTTCGCGCATGCCTAATCCAAGAACTCCATCATACTTTGTGTTGATGAATGTCGTGCCTGGCTGAGATACAGACTCGGCAAAGCTTTGGTTTGTGACAGTCAGACCAGCCATATAAAAGGTATCAGAGGACATGACACCACTGAGCGATCCTGTTCCATCTATTCATAGAAAATACACATATCTAGTTAGTAATGAATGCAAACAAGTGCATATCCGACATAAACAGGACCATCTAGTTGCTATGCTAATCATAACAGGCCGATTCCTATTTAACCCCGACAAATGTGCTACCACTTTTGACATTTATATTTACATACATTGAATGGAAAACGTTTGCGTGAGTGAAGTCCAGGTGGATGAAAGCAATCGATTGAACTGAGAATGCTTTACACAGGCTGGATCCGAGCATCGCGTCGAGGGAAGCCTATAGATTCATCGAGTTTAAAAGTAGTATATGCCATGTTGTCAATTTGTGTCAAAAATTCAAACTAGATGTACCAGCATCTGCACATGCTTCTAACCATTTGATCAAATCACTTACCAGAGATTTGCTGATCCAGTATCAAACTGAACCAGAAAGCTTTGCGGCGGTGTTCCCAAAGCGATTCGACCATAATATTGCGCATCAGCACTGTTGGTGACTTCGACATTCCTCGGAGCAGCCAAACTGCTGACACTTCTTGCTTTACGACTTGGTGCCCTTGGCTTAGAGCCGTATCGTGTAATAAGAATATCTATCTGTCCCAACAAACTATCTGGAGAGTCCATGAACCTATTGTTGATTTCGATTGGAACAGAAATAGGAGCTGGTGTTTCAACCGTGTTTGTAGTATATGGATTGTCAATCGCTGGCGACGTGGATGCCGGATCAAGTACATCAACTGTAGATTCCAATGGCAATGCTGTTGAAAATTCCTGCAGAAAAGTGGTTTGAGTCGGAGTTGAAAAATCAAGCGGTACATTGCTCAACAATATAGGCGAAGCGACTGAATCTTGTGATGGCGTTCGAGTAAGGAAAAATTGGGTTTCCGCTGCTTCAAGTGCAGTAGGTGAAAATGCATCTGATGTTATCAAAGAACCAGTTGCATCAATCAATTCAAAATTGACATCACTGCTAGGCGTTTTTACAGTCGATGGTGACAGGGATTGGTCCGAGACTGTAGTACTGGTCGAGTATAGAACTGGTAAAATTACTGCATCGTCTGTAGAAGCGAGCGCGGTTTGCTTGAACTCTGTTGTGCTTTGCATCGAGTCTGTAGCAACATCCACTGTTGTCGTGGGACGCTGATCTATTGTTGGAAGCGAGCTACTTGATGGTATGTTATTCAAGTTTACTAAAAAAGCATTCGTTTTTTGTTTGGATGGTAGATTCGAGTAAGACACGAATGTGCGACGAGATTTGGATTGTGCGTACGGCACTCTCCTAAACGCAACAGCTGTCTCGCAAATGATGGCTAAAACAGTACTTGCAGGTACAAGACGTGGCAGATGCATGATGTTGCCTTTTCAAACGTTTCGAGATGGTTGAATGCTGCAAAAGAAAATGATTTGGATAATTCACAGTTGACAGCCGTTGGTAGGTATCTATTATGAGTAGATTACGTATATTTATATAAAATAAATCTCCGACACGCTTCAAATTCTCGGCCTAAATCACTATCAACTATTTCCCAGTTGAAAGCTATGGAGCGTAGACGTGCGGTTTGGTTGATGTGGCGTAGAGCATGGCAGATTTAGAGCCACTACGATGGATAGCCAATAAAATGCTGGCTTGAATTACATTACAATCTAGCACGTTGTGTGATTTGAGATTAAATGAGCACTAAGAAAGTGCTGAAATGGCAATGCAACCGAGTTGATTGTGGCCGAGTATTGTCTTGATAGATCGCGACGCTGTAACACCATATCAAATACCATGCATACCTATTCCAGCCCGCTGTAACGAAATTGCACTTTTAGGATCATTCGTGCTTCCCTATGTAGTACCATTGTTGGGTATATACTATTAGGCATTGTATGTGTTTAGTCAGTCACATGGCTATCTTGAATCTCACTATTTTCACAAAACACTGACTGATATACCAGTTTAATCTCATCAATGCATGTGGCTATGAATATCTATCAATAGCACCAGCGCAAATATACCATGGCTTCAACGATTTCAGCGATTGCAAGTTTGATAGATTGGGGTCGAATACAAGACACTGTAAAACTAACGGCTTTACTGATTGTAGCTCCAACATGGTTGGTTATTTTCAGTTTAGCATATGCTTAATTCAATTGAATGATGCCCAGATATCCGAGAATGTGAATTTGTTAACAAATAGGATAGGCATATCAATTTGACAAAAGCAATAGCCTATATTTTTGCTTGATGATTGACTTGACATTCATTTATGTCGGCCAAGGCTCGATAGTAAGTGGCCTTGATAGTTTGTATTGCATTTGGATATGAACTCGGGTCAATGTGGTTGCAGATTGTGCTGAATCTATACCACCAATAATTCTATATTTGAAAGCCTAATCTGGTGGTATTGGTATATAAATCTAATCTACCCAAAAATGATCAATGTGATTCTATTGGTATTGGTCTATGAATTTCACCAGCATTACTGATATGCCATAATGCCAGATATATTGTGGTTCCGAATATTTTGGATGAGTGCATGTCTGCTTTATTCAAACCTTGCAAGGAGCATTATGTTTAGAATTGCAAAATGGTCAAAGTCAACAACTTGTACATATGATAACGTAAATGCAATTTCGGACATTGCACGACAATCATGGTGGGAATACATCCTGCTATACAACTATTTATTTTGTTGGTATATCAGCACTGCAGATGGTAGCAAGGTGTGCGTTTTTTATCAATCTGGCAATTTTATTTGACCGAATAACTTGTCATGCCAGTACATTTGCATGGGTTGCTACAGTAATGTGGATGTATTGTTTACCATGAATATCCATACAGTTGTGATTGCTGCATAATTAGAGTAAAACCTTGAACAACTCCAATATCTAGTCTTTTGTATTGATACGTCATGAACTAGACCGCTTTCTCAGATTTAGTTGATATGTTGGCCGCTTGCTACTGCACGTTCTCAGAAAGCGGAGTTGCAACTATCAATACTTTCCGCCGATTTGATTTTAGTATCTCCATAAATGCAGAGTATAATAGCCATTTGGCATAAATTAGTTTTGAAACACCGTCATTATATTAATATTGTCCCGAAAGAATACAGCTTACGCCTGACGACCTGCATATCTTGGCATTTCAAACTTTTGTATACAAGGCTTGCTTTTTGAACTTGGAGCCATTATTACATTCCGAATAAAACAGTTGCAAAGCTTACCTATATAGATATTCGTATTTGGGCAGCTCAGCAAGAAACGCCATTCAATAATGTTGCTCGTGCACACTTTCAAGATCCTGATGTGGGGAATTTCACTGGATGTGGCTATTATCGTGGCTAATGCGTATTTGGTTGTTCGTATTCCAGATAGCAGTTCAACAGAGGCATCTGTAACAACATCATTTTATTCACCAATTATTACAGATACTCTGTCACCATCAGTGATGGATACCTTGCCGATATTGTACAGTAGCACGACCAACGATGATGAAATTTGGTCGACATCTACGACTGGATCAACAAGACTTTCAGATTTATCAACCACCGTTTTAACAACCTACACAGGATCACCAACGCCTAGTATATTGCAAAAAAGCTCCGCATATTCGGATAGTGAGAATTCACAATCATCTGAACTTGTCTCGGATACAGTCGATTTCAATTCAAATCTGTCACCTACCACTATTATATCTGCTTCATCAGATGACAATTCATCCATCACATATCAATCAGTTTCATCATTGAGCAAAAATATTACCGAGCTTAATCCAGCTGTTGTTTCTACGACTCAGACATCTTCTTTGTTTATGTATAGAACTGCTTTATCCAGTTTTCCAATTTCCACATCAGTAGAATCCGATTTTTTAACTCTTTCTGAAAGTTTGTTGACGACCAGCGAGGTACCGACTAAATCGTCGATTGGCCCAACTGCATCCACTGCAACAAGTCTGAACGATGCATATTTTTCTACACAATCAACATATACAGAATCCATCACGACACCGACCGGCTTTGATGTGTCGCAAATTTCAGCAGTATCTGCTCCAATATCGTCCATCCAATCACAAGCGCCATTTGCTCGTATTTCAACTCGATCACCGACCAGTTATGTTGATATTTTGAGACAACTTGAAGCGGACCTTATGTCACAATATTCACGGCGAAGACGTAGGCGTCGACCTATTAGAGCAATTGCCACACCTACCATGAAAGCTGTATCGCAATCTACATATTTGATTACAACAGTGACCGATTCCATTCAGATTTCAACCGCATCGGCTGATTCTTTGATGGCTCAAACCTCGACGCTAGTTTCAACTCAGTTGACATTGACATCAGAATCCTTGCCATTATTTTCGACTGCCACACAAACAGTATTAGCGACGCCTTCTGTGGTTTCGACAGTTGCTCAAAATTCATCTGGCGAGCCAGTTACGATCCCAATTGTGTTTAATACCAATTTTGACACCAATCCAGATGGTATTATCAGACAGGTTGATTTTCTTCGACAGCGGTATATTTCTCCTGAGCCAGCGTCGTTTGTGAGTAATTTGGTATCTGCGATAAGTAGTGTATTTGTAAAAGCACCACCGCCTGTACCAATTAGCAACACAGCAGATGCACAGTACTTTGGCGTCGTTCAGTTGGGAACACCACCACAAAGTTTCAAGGTTTTATTTGATACGGGATCAGCCAATTTATGGTGGGTTGACTGATACATGTGTAGATACTTGTGTAGATGATTGCAAGAATGGTTCGATTAATGAACGCGAGCATGTTCACTAAATGACTCGATTATATTGATATTTAATATGTAGGGTTCCATCTACTCGTTGTACAGATGCACCATGTATGAACCATGCCAGATATGACTTTACTCGATCGTCTACATTTACTCCAAACAACTCTCCGTTTGCGATCCAGTGTAAGTTGATGTATTATTTGATTTTTTGTTGAGCCATTCATGGATTTCATTTTATGTATAATGCTGACTGTATGATATGTTCAGATGGACTAGGATCGGTTACCGGAGTGATTTCATCAGACACATTGCAGTTTGCAGGAATCAATATACCTAATCAACAGTTTGCAGAAGCTGTGACAGAGCCAGGAAATACATTCTTGACATCGTCCTTTGATGGTGTCCTTGGACTAGGATTTACAGCGATTTCCATCAACAATATTCCAACACCGATGGATAATATGATAGCTCGTGGACTGATTCCAGCAGGAATTTTTGGATTCTTTCTTACACGAGGAGGGGTATCAGGATCATCGCTCACATTAGGAGGGATTGACACAACTCATGTGAATGGGGCGATTACCTGGATTCCAGTTGTGCGCAAAGCATATTGGGAAGTGGTGATGGATTCTGTAACACTTGGAAAAACGACTTTGGCAACTGGATCTCATGCAGTGTTTGATTCAGGTACATCACTGATTGCAATTCCCACAGTACATGCAAACCAGATTCACCAACAGCTTGGAGCAATACCATTTACCAATGGATTGCAGTTAATACCGTGCAGTGGATTACCACCGATTACATTCGCATTGAATGGTGTAGCATTTACATTACGCAACGAAGACTATGTGCTGCCCTTTGGGTTTGGATATTGCGTGTCGGTATTTGTTGGACTAGATATGAACAACTTTTGGATTCTGGGAGATTCATTTCTCAAGTTTTACTACACTATTTTTGATGTAGATAATGGTCGGGTTGGTATTGCCAACTCCAAGTGAACTGAGTCGAGTTTGATATTTTCTACAGTGACATATTCATGCTTTTACGATTGTATAAATTGAAAAGCTACTTTTGATCAAGTCCAATGACTGAACATTAGTAGCAGATTCACTTTTATATTTTTATCCAACAACTATTTTTATCAAGCCATTCATTGATTTTGCTAGTGCAATAAATTTAAACCATTGAAATAGTTTATTTTGAAATGAGCACCAGCCAACTCTGTAGTCTTAAAAGCCAAGAAAGTGATATACCAACCAAGACCATTGTAGACTCAATGCACACCCCGCTAAAGATGCCTATTCCTATTAGGCAAAATGAACCGTCTGTGCAAGGCCAGTCTCCAAGCAAATCTTCCTTTGTGACTCGACCTGCTCGAGAATTAGCAGTTTCCATTCCTAGACTATTTGTTCCCAATAGGACTGTCAAGGATGATGCCACTAATCATCCAACAGAAATGCCGTTGAACAATGATACTTCTGATTCTATATTGGTGAATGAGGTGTTGAGTGCATTGTCCTCATTAGCACCTTATCCACACCATACTGCTCATAAGCACCATTCCAGTCAAGCACCCAATCCACCAAAAGGAGAGTGTCAATTCCTAGAAGTCAGCCAGCAAGGGTTTGAGATCATCTCAACCATCGGTGAGGGTTCTTTTAGCAAAGTAAAGCTAGCTCGTCATGTATTGTTGGACAAATTGGTATGTTTGGACTACAAGTATATTTTACATGGCTATAGATTGAGATTCAAAATACACGTCTGATGATTGACCACATCCCACTCACCATTTATATAGGTTGCTCTCAAAATAATTGACAAAGACAAACTGTCCGAAAAAGGAGTATCTACCAAACAGCTGTTGCGAGAAATGTTGCTTTTAGCCTCACTGGAGCATCCCAATATAAATCGACTGCTGCAGGTTATTGATTCTCCCAAACACGTGTATATTGTCCTCGAATATGAATCTGGTGGTGACTTGTATGATAAGATTACCAAGAATACCAAGGTTTCAGAACATGAGGCTCGAGGATATATGCGCCAAATCGTATGTGGCTTACATTATTGTCACTCACAGGGAGTTGTGCACAGAGACTTGAAGCTTGAAAATAGTAAGTTTGTATTCTAGGACTACACCGTCGATATAAATGTATTCTATGCTTACTGTATGGGTTTTAGTTTTAATCAGCAAGAGTGGTGTTTTAAAGATTTGCGATTTTGGATTTTCAAATCTGCTATATAAAGGCAACGATGAGTTTGAAACCTTTTGTGGATCACCTCCATATGCCGCACCAGGTGAGAGACCTATCAGCTATACAAAGAAATGCTACATGTATCAAAACAGATGATGGGGTTGGTCACTATATTAAAAAAGTTGATGATTGTAGAGATGGTTTCCCGAAAAAAGTATCAAGGACAAAGTGTCGATATATGGTCTCTTGGTGTTATTCTTTATATAATGGTTACTGGTGTAATGCCATTTGGACAAAAGAGTTTGCCTAAAATGTTTGTCAGCATTATGTCAGGAAAGTATGAAATACCGGCTCGGGCAACTCCAGGTGTGTTGATGCAGTGTCGCGATTTTTGAATGATTGGATATATGAATTTGCATGATCAACAAAATATGGAATTAATGTCTTGAACTTTTTAGAATGTCAGTCTTTAATTGCATCAATGCTGAATGTAAAGCCATCTGACCGAACAACACTGGATCAAATTATTGCACATCCATGGATGAAAAATGACGGATGCGATTCAGCTGCAAACATTTTTAGCAGCACTATGCTAGTAGACCATACTTTGCGTAAAGATATACTTTTACAGGTTTTGAATGCAGGGTTTGACCAAAGTGCGATTCAATCATTTGTGGACACTTTAGGGCCAGGTGCTGTAAAAACTGCATACTGTCTATTGCTTGAAAATGCAACGTTGAATTCCACAAATCAAATCAAGGTCTCCGGATCCAACGGGACGGATGTTACATTGATAGGAAATCCAGATGCTACGAAAGATCCCACCATGGTCCGAGTGCCTCCACAACTCGTTGTATCTATTGAAGCAAAATTAGCTAGCCCAACCTTCAAAAAGATTGAGCCGAGTAAATGTTTGTATTCACCTGCACTAAGTACGCCAGCCTCGACACCCAATTCATGCACCTTGATACAAATTCGACAGTCCCGGGAATCTGCTTCAAAAGATATATGTCTCGAGTCAACTGTAGAGGACACTGAATTACAAGCCAATCAAGGGGTTTGCCGGAGTTTTCAGATTACCATGCCGAAAGACGACGCGTTAAAGACCATTATTCAAAATCTATCAAGTGAACATATGGCAGTACCATATACTACTGGTATAACGAATCACGATGTCGTTTTTGACAATATCGTTTGGAATTTACCACAGCTTGATCAGGACAAGTCACCGAGTTTTCTGGAAGCTGCTTCACCCGAGGATGCCATTGACTTACTCTATCACAACTACGATAGTTTCAAGCAGCAAGATATAAAACAGTTGTTTTTTCGAATTTCTTTGTCAAATAACGCTACAGTATCTCTTAAAACAGCCACTTCAAGTGCAGTTTTAAATTTTAAAATCGAGTCTTTGCCATTCCACTATCGAGATGCATTTGAGAAGCTGATTACCCAAATTATGTCTGGAGTCTATTAGATTTTCGATATCTAGTTTTTTATCTGCAGTTTTGTGCAGATTTTATTTTTCGAAAACTAACAAGCTTGAAGTTTTGAAAAATAAAGTACGTTTGTCTAGATGTAATTTGACTTTATGCGATAGACCTAAAATAAACCTTCAAATATTTGATTAGCATTACCATCCAATGTTGTAGATGCGCTACCATTATATACAGAGAAATATTGGACTGTGTAGATTACACACTAGACAGGCATGATTGATCTTTTATAGATATATCAAGGTTAACTGAAAACTATTCTATGAGGTAAATTCACTTTATTTTGGATGAAACGAGTTTGAAGCAAAAAGATCTACTGTTGTATTTGGAGCGGCTGATCCAGTATTCCGTTCTGTACATGGCATGAGTATGGTTAGGCAAGCCACATCTAGATTGTTTTACACGCTAGATAGACGATACACTTACCCATTGGCGGCTCGTGATTGTTGATCTCCAAAAAATCATCAAACTCATCGTCGTGTTTGGGTAGACTTGTATAGGGTGAGCTTACAGGGGTATCTTTAGAAAACGTAAGCGAAGATTGAATTTTCCCATAAAGAGTTTTGAATGTTTTGGATGCAGTATCTTTAATTTGGCTTGTTGTCTTGAGTATCATTTTGCCAATAGGTTCCTCTTCTAAATCTACAAGTAATAAAATGCAAGTTGAGAATTCATGAATTCAGAATAAATGGAATGGAAAATGAGTGGGGTTACCTTGTGTACCTTGCTCAAGGTGTCGCTGAGCCACTGCGATGTTTAGTCATGGAAAACCGGCAGCGTCATTGGGTTAGCTGAAATCTGACTATTGGCTTGTTTGAAATAATAAATGGCAATGCAAAACACTACCGTAGTTACGACGATCCTCCTCTTGGAGTCTCATGGCAAATTCCTCATCCTCCATTTGTTGGTTTAGCTCTTGAGCAATTTGTTCATCTGTTTTTTGAAACGAGGAAATCTGTGGTATAGTGTCATGCAATGGTTCGTTTGGCACGCCAACATGATGTAGCAAGCCCTGGCCAGTGTGTAGCGTGCCTCCATCAGCGATGGCCATTGGAGGTGAGATATTTGCAGTGGTATTCTCTGGCGATAGAGTTGTACCTTGACCAGATATTTCCAGCAAGGCATTCACTGTTCGTTCCATATCATTGTTTTGAGCTAAAAATACTTCCTCGATGACCTCTGCATCCACATTTGCAAACATGCGTTTCAAATCCTAATTAAAAAGTTATTTGATATTGAAGTGTAATAAAAGTCACCCAACACTTGGCTGTTAGTAAAACTAGTTTAAATAGTCGGATACCAAGTATATTTTTAATTCATGTTTACCTCCATTATGCCAAGTTTGGGCAAGCTGAAAGAGAGCTGGCAACTGTTGATAAACGCGTCGCTCACTGCCATATTCACAAAATGGGATACGATTCCCAACTCTCCCACAAACCAAATATTGTATGAATAAGATGAAAACAATGTTCATTCCTAAAACTTCAATCTTTGTTCCCTTGGATTCAAGCACAAACGTATTTGAGATTAGAATACAACAAAAATAAGTTTGAAGATAATCGAACTCAATATCTGGATTGTAATGAATGAATCTAGTGATAGTTGAATCAATGTTTGGTTTGGATGGTATCAAAGTTTTTGAATCCCTCACATCATGGGTTTGAAAAGATTGTACAGCCAATGATGTAAAGTCGTGTTTTGGATTTGTAAGATAAAAATGATATATGGCCGAGTCGTTCATTTTTTTATTCGCCATGCCAATGTATTACAGCAATACTTTGAAATAAATTTAGAAACATTTTGCTGGATTATTCTTGGTTTGCAGGTAAAGACAAGAGTGTTGAAGGCGTGTAATATTTATTTATACTTTGACCTAATTGCGCCATGCTCTGAAAATACTAATAGCATCAAGCAAATTTTTGTTACAGCATTTCAAAAATACGAATTATCCGTTCCTAGAGCTGTAAAGGTTGATGATGGGGAAACGGATCCAGCATTCAACAGTGCAGGAATAACATCATTTTTGTCAAATTGTGGATCGACTAATTTACATGTATGTGCCCTTTCAATATGCCGTAAAAGTTCACGCCACCGTAGTGTCTTGTATGAACAACAGTAACATGAAAGTTTTTTAACTCCTACATGTTTTGTTGCATAATGACATTTAAGATTATGGCGACGTCGAAATCTAGAGGCACATCCCGAAAAGGGACATGAAAATAGATGATCGGTGTCTGGGTCCTGACACATGATAGTCTCTAGTACTGGGTCAAGACGAACGCAGTGTAAGGGGTATACTGTCTTGTTAAGATCTGAACATGAAGGCGAGTGATTAGATTTTGATTGGCGAAGCCTTGTAGTTGTTTTAGAAAGTGTGCTGCGCGTGGGAGTGTGTAAATCAGATTCTTGAGATTCTAGAGAGATCTGCAATGGTTCGGAGCCAGTGATTCCTGAAAAGAATGGAGTAGGACGTTTTAAAGATGAAATATTAGTGGATTTAGTTGGTTGAGGCGAGTGATATTCGGAATGCTGTGAAGGGTTGGAGTGACATGGAAAGTTGATGTCAAAATTAGACAAAGACAAGAGATCAGGCTCAGATGCCATCCAAGAGGTAGAATCTTTTTGAAAATAAACAGGTTGCTGAGTCATAGATGACGATGAGATAGATGCTGGAGAAGAGTAACAATGAGATGACAATTCCAAGGACGACTTTGTCAACTGCTGGAAATGAGGTTCAAAATGAATTGGTGAGCACGATTGGGCCAGGAGTGCAGGATTGAACCAACTAGGAAGTGGTGAATGGAAAAAGTCCGAGTCTTGTCTGTAAGCAAGAGTCGTAGTGTCTGTGGGGAAATCCGGTGCTAATACTGAAGATGGTTCAGGCAGAGTATCAAGGTCTGATGGAGCAGCAGATTGATCTGACTGTTTCTGTGAACCCAACGGAAGAATCTGGTTGTAGTCGCTGTCATCAAGAAGACTCTTGAGTAATAAAGAATCTCTCTCATTGAGTCCAGAATCTAGAGAGTTTTGATTATACACATCCTCCTGAAGTGAGCCAAACAGCTTGTCCAAGTCATCCGACTCTGCCTCCATCCTCGACCAAGTCCAATAAAAGAAAATTCAATAAAATTTCTGTAGTGCTGCGTTTTACCCAACAATTGTGTCCGATCCTCGCTCTATCTCGATCTATAGGAATGCTTGCAACTGCTGTTTCTATCGACTCTACTTTAAACCTTCAAATACCAGACAGTTCCTATTGTCCAAATGTACCCGTTTTTGCAAAGTCTTTTGCTCGTTTACGGCCACATCTTTATGGAAGAATGAACTGTCGTGTCCATGGTGTTGTAGTTGGTCAGTTGTCTAAAAATACGTTTGTTTTAGGTAAGTATCTTGGTGTGTATGATTGTATCTTGATATTGGTGATGTTTAGCACATGTTTAATGATCAACTATTACGAATTCGCATGAGTTAAAAATAGACGATAGCACTGCTATTGTAAAATGTATTCTGTCCAATGAATTGCTGCATCTACCCAAAGTTAAAACACACCTCATTATTGGGGCTTGTGTGCAGGTGCTTGGACTGGTTGGAAGCGAAAACAACATTCAGTGTTCTGGGTAAACATTTGATGGTCAAGATCTGCAGCTGCCGTTGTGTGCTCTTGTAATAATCTGAATTTTCACAAGTATATGTTTTATAACAGATCCTGCACTTGAAATGCTATGCGATCTCCAGGCTTTACTATTTACACAATATGATGCGTTGTATAACGAGGATAATCATTTTAGTATGGTGCCAACAGCCAATTCAGAAATTAAGCTACCTCGATTTGAAGAGTTACAATATGACGAATCAATTTGCAAAAAACATATGCATTCTGATACAAATCATTTTACTATTGGTTCAAACGTACATGCAAAACCTGCAAGTACTACTACGAGCTCGGTTCCGTTTCGGGTGGCCATGTTTTCAAATGCTCTGTCTGCTGCTACTGCATCGAAAGCCCATACTGCACCGCCAAATCGAGCATCCCTTCCCACCAACACTTTATTAACTAAAAAAGTGCTACCATCTACTAGTATCAAGTCAGCTATTCTGTCTCTTTTGAATGAACATAGTAAAGGCTGTACATCTCAGGATCTATATAGATTACTCGCTACCAAGTTTGACGCGACAGCCATTGATAGCGCACTTGAAGAGGTAGGCACGAACATTAGTCTAGCCCAACTCTGGAATGCTACACCAAACTAATCGGATTTATTATTTTTGTTTCTATACATGAGCTATAGATGCAAGAGGATTGGATGATTTTTCTCATGGGAGATCAGTTTATGAAAATGTAAATGCCAGACATATGCTTCAACTTTCTCTTTGATATGTTGCGGTTTAATCCAAACATTGCAGTGCAGGTACAATAAACTTGTCCAACAAAAGACATACCCGTCGAGAGATTGAAAGTGATTCCAGAGTAGTTTCTGCTGGAAGAGGCTCTGTACATTGTAATGATGAATTTTCTGAAGTCTGTCCAAGATGTGATGTATGCTCAGCAGCAAGACATGTTTCATCGTAGAGTCGTGATGGAATTTCTGCTAATTTGGACATTCGATCAACCGACATGAGTCCATTCTCCAAAGGCGGAATAGTTAGGGGAATCTTTATTTGCCTAATACATATCCATTTACATCCAAACAGTAAGTATGCAGTAGAACATACCGAAAAAGTCGAGATGTTTTTAGATTGTAATTTAGATTTCAAGCTTACTGTATTCCATCGATAGATCCTGACTCGTCGCTGATGCTCTGAAAGGCAGTGACTTGAATGCGTTGCGTCAAGTCCTGATTGGTATGAAAGCAAGAATAAATCAAACCAAAAAAGCGGCTGTCCATAGTCTGCATAGTCAGTTGAGTTGCCAGATCGACATGAGATGGAAGAATGGTAATCTTGGGATGCGAATGACACCATCCAATGACTTTAAGCGATCTCTGGTCTGCTTCCAGCAAGGCTCTACTGAGCTCTTGACTGGAAATCTCCACTCTGTCCTTGCGCTTATCCTTTCGCACTACAAAGAAGCAGTTTTGAACTATTGCGATATTGGCACCGTTGGGCATTGGCGTATAATCACCAAGAAGAAGCAAGGCAACTTCCTCATTCTCTAACATGATCAAAGCATCATCAGTGGGTTGTTGTGACTATCAAACATGCATGAGACTATCCAGTTACCAGTACAAAGAGCGTATGCACTGCAGAGCATGTGAACTTCACTCGCAAGAACAACACTGTGCAAAGGAATCATGAATCAGCAGGCATGCAGACTGAATGCGTGAATCCAACTCGATTGGCGGACAAGTTTCGAGTTTTTACATTTAGAAACTCTTGTCCAAACTTCATTATTCACATGGATTCTGTCTTGCTGATGAAATTTGGTAATCTTGCTCAATGCATGACTTTATTGTCGTATAGTTTTTTGTCACTGTTTTCTACCACTGAATCTGTTTTCATTACTATGGTCTTGTGTCCATTGCTGGTATACTGCGTTAAACTGTTTTTTGTAATCATCTCTTCAATACACTTGTTTCAAACATAACTTGTGGGTGATTCCCATCTAGTGTTTATTCATGACATATGGAATACTATATCATTCCATTGGATTTACTCACATGTGCTGTCTAAATATTTTCAGATCATCCGCTGGAAGAAGTCCGGATTCGAGCCGTTGATACACTTTTAGTAATTGTCATTTTTTATTGGATTTCTAGTCATGTCCAATCTTTGTTCACTGGCCTAACATATTTTCAATGCATAGTTTAAATTACGGACGGGAAAATTGACATATGGTGGGCCAATTTTACAAATTTTCATTAGCTTGGTTAAGCTATTGTGTAACTGAGACCAACTATTGCATCTACTTCCATTTTTAGGAGAAATCTCGCGGGAGGGCCAATTGATTCAACGATTGACAGAGATGCTTGAAGATCCACTTCTGATGCAGCAGTATTCAAATATATTGCATATTTTACTACAAGTTTGCACCGTATGTAGCCCAGCCTTTATTACAACACTTTCACTATTGAATTTACTTGACCAGTAAACTTTGATCAATTCTTGGTGCTGATTTATGTCTTGTGTTATATTTAAAATTGTAGCGGCCTTTTGTCCAAGACAAGTTGGTTCAACACGGAGGTGTTTTTAAACTTTGTCAACTTGCTCAATCTTCAGACGAAACAATTTCCAAGCTATGCAAACAAATTTTATCTGAGATCCGCAATGGTCCCACTGCCTCAGTTTCAAACTCGCCTCTTAATCAACTTGCCACACCTTTACAGAGATCCTGCAGCCACAAGTCACAAAATACTAGACTTTTACCTAAAGAGCAACATTTCACCAGCCCTGAGAATATCAAACTGCAATCAGTCCCTTATAGTAACTCCGTAAAATTTGATGGTATGTATTTTACTACTAATGGTAGAAATGTCATTTGATTTTAAATGATCGATTTTGTAATTGATATTTTATACGTTGATATACTGATGGAGATGTTCAGTGTCAATTCGACCTGTTCCTTTTTTGCCAAATATAGTTTGCTCATTTGAGCGAGTGCATTTAAGTTTGCTAGATTTGGAAGCAATTGAAAGATTTTCTGCACTTGTTGTAGGCCCTTTAGATGACTATGACCTAGAAATGAAGTTGTTTGACATCATCTGTATGGACTTTGGCTCTCAGGCATTTTTGCAACAACCTCATGTTCTACGGGTACAAGTATTTCAATCTCATCATCTATTTGATGTGTATATTTTGACTAATTCTTGTTGCACTCATTTTTGTCATAATGCTTATCATTGTTTTTATATCGTGTTTTTAGCTTATTCTTTCTGGTATGGAATTGTCATACTCTGGTAGACCAGAGCAAAGCTTGGTATATTTAAAAAGAATAGCAATTGCATGGGGAACTCTATTTAGAACGTTTATATCATCACCGGTTTCTACAGAATTGGTAACGCCGGCTTGTGCAACTCCAAACATATCTGTGGATGGAACTATTTTTCACTCTGTACCAGATATAATCAGTGAAGACTATGCTATATCTTTGCCATTTGCTTGTCACGAAATACTGGTTCATTTATCGCCATATTTACGACCAAATTCGTATACAAACTCGATTCTACAGATTCTAGAGCATGTCTTGCCATTTATCAAATTCCATGTGGAGACAGTCGTGTTTAAAACAGCTTTGGATTTACAACCATTTACTTTTGAAGACGCTGCCATGTTTTACTTTGCTCAATTAGCATCTCAAGTAAAACACTTTTCAATCAATCCTACTCATCCTGATCACACCATTGGGATGTTCAAGTATCAGGTCATGCTTTTAGCAGTACAGGTTTTCTGCTCAGTGTGCCAGCTATGTGTGGTATGTTTTTATTTTATTCATGCTTAAAAGTCTGTTGGAATGATTTGTTTTTGAATCTCGAGGCTAATTTGGCGAGATTGGTAAATAGAATACAAATAGTGCTATATCTCGGATGATTCAATTTGCTTTAATGGAAAATTCAATGCCTTTTTTTGTGACAGAGCTCAGTCTGTATCAGTTTAAAACTCCCAGTCCAGACGCATTTGCTTTTCTTGACTGGTTAATGAATACATCTCCTCATGATCCTGCCATTTCGACTATTATTCCTCATATACACGCACTAGTAGACAAAGATCCACGCTTTCAAACAGTCAAAGTTCTTGATCACATTGCATTTATACTTGCTTGTAACTTGGCGGATGATTCTTTGGAGTGTGTAAGTTGTACTGCGCTCAATGTTGTTTTAGTGTCAGAGAGTTGGATGATTGATTTTGAACGACCGTATCAGCTAACTTTGGTGCTAGTTTAACTTATTGGGAGATGCATGTATTGATAGATTGTTAAATGCGCTTTCCCCAAAAGACTTGGTCAGTCATTGCTTTGTTCTTCAAGCACTACCGTCATTTTCAGCAGCAATTGCTACAAAAGTTATTGAAGAGTGCAAGACAGTTTGGTCACCTCATGAATTGTGTCTTTTTTTGATCAGGGGTTTATTCCATCGTGATGAAAAGTACGTATTCACGACGCATTGCTAATATCTTATACTTTTAATTCAAATGTATTGAATAATTGTATGGTTTTTATTTATGTAGTATCAATTCCGTATCACTGGCTACCTTTAACTCCAGCTTGAGCATATCGATTACAAATGCATTTGTTTCTTCTCATTTGTCTGAAACAGTTCTTGACGAGCCATTAGAAAGTGGCGTATCTACACCAAAGGTTTGTCAACAATAGTGTGTTTTATGAGTAGATATAATGCATAACCTTAACACCAGTCTATTTTATTATTACAAACTGTAGGTCAGCTTGCCAGATCTACTCAAAAAGCTGTCAATTGCAGTCGAATCCAATACTCTTCAAGTTGGACTGTCTGCAGAAGTTTTGGCATATAAGAGGCAAAATTGTGAGCACTTGATTTGTACGTTTATTATGTTTGATGGTTTGAAACAATACATTTAACCCTTTAATAGTGGTGACCACTTTGGTTAGTGAAGCAGAGATTGGTTTGTTTAACTACGTTGCAAAAATATGCACAACGTTTGATCATCTTTCTGAAGAGGATCTCTGTGGATTTGTATCTGTTTTGCGCATGTTTTGTGAAACATCTAGCAAGGCACGAGAATCCATGCGTTGCACATATTTTGACTTTATTTTTGGTCTTTTTAAAGGTAAATTCTATGGACAATGTGAATCAAATTGTATTGTATTTTTAAATCTAACTGGTTTGACATTTAGAAATCGATTCGGCATCCTTGACTTTTAAGCTTGATTTTGCTCGTTTATGTTTTGCAGTTAGTTTTTCAGATCTTGACAAAAGTATTTATCCGACAAACTCTTTACAGTCAAAGGCGATTTCCTCCAGACACCAACTACTTCCAGTACCGCAGGGAATTTATAAAAGATTTCATGTATTTGGACCGACTCGTCATTTTTTAAAATCAAATGAGGATTTTTTAAGCCATTCTACTCAAGAGAAAATCTGGCTATATCTCAATAGTAAGCAATCGAATATTTTTTGAATCAGTATCTGCTTAATAAGGATTACTGGTACTAATCAAAATTATCTAGATCTTCAATTTGGCAGTTTATCGAGCTCAAACTTGCCAAGAAATGCAATCAGCATGTTTGTAAAGCAATATTTAACTGCTCTCACTGATGCGTCAGCACACGAGGCTTTTTGCGGATCACTTGAGCATCTTGCTTTGGTTGCTACATTAAAGACAACTAAATCCTATATTGAAGGATCAAGTGTATATCAGCACATATCTCGTTTCTTGACAACTATGCCACGCAGTGCTGAAGATCATTTGCTACTGGTGTGCGTTGTTAAGTTTATTAGAGAGTGTGATTATTTTTATATCGACCACTTGCAAGTTTATCTTGCTTCAATCAAGCAAGTGCTATTTCCACTTTTGCAGCGACACATTGACGCTGTAGATTTGAGTGGATGTGAATCATATCCTAGCTCTCATTGTGCAATAGCTTCATCAGAGATCTTGGCCTTTTTAAGCTGGCTGTTTACAAAGCTACCGTTATGCGAGCTATCAAAACTTTCTGAAGCAACGCCATGCATTGTAATTCTCAAAAACTACACACATCAACTATTTGCCTCGGAAAGTGGCAAGGCAAAGAACCACATGGAACGAATCAATTGCTTTTCCGTGTTACTTTCTCTAGTTAGTTTACCCAACTTGACCATCTCAATTGGTAGTACTGATGTGATTGCAGAAATGATCCATCTGTTTGTCCAGGTTCTGGGATTTTCCCAACAGAATTACATGAACTTTTCTAATGGAAACACATTTACTTATAAAGATCGTGTCATTTATCGATGTGCTGCACTATGCTTAAGAACTTTGTCACGGTCTGGACTTGATGTGCAAAGACACACACTGTTTTTGGGCGATCATTGGCTATTTGATGGGGATATAGATTGGCTAATAGTAAGTTTTTTTACTTGAACGAGTTTTTTGCACTACTTCACTATTTTATTGTTTTAACTCTGATGTATTTGAATTTTGTGAAATAGAACCTATTACACGATGATGAAAAAATCATGCAAAAGTACGGCCTTGGAATTTTAGGAAATTTCATTTTAATTGGTGGAGGCTTGTCATACATTGAGGCAAAAATACCTCAGTTTTTGAATATGGCCTTTTCGTTTGTGTTTGACCAGGAACAGCACGCAGCCAAACGCAAAGAGTCTTTAGTAATTATAAACAACTACATAGTTGCTACTTTTCAAGGTTGATTTTTGGTGATACATTATCTAACTATTAATCGCTCTAGTGCTAAATTTGTCAATTGTTTTACTGGCTGTCTGCTAATAGTTTTTGTAAATCGATATGCATCATTTTGCTTGTGTAGGACTCCAGTCTAAAGCATCTGTCGAAACTCGCGTTTTGGATGTAGTGCATGACGAGGTTAAATTGCTTGAATTGAAGTTTGTAAATATTTTGGATAAGTTTGGCTTATTCGAGCATTTTGGTGATTTATTTCATCATCATTCAAACACACCATATATTGCTGCATTGGCTGAGCTTTTGATGAACTTGTCTGTGCTTTTGCCTGGATACGTTGGACATCGTCTTTCTTCTGCTTCATATTGGTCTGTGCTAATGGAACATACTTTAATGGATCGGCGATTTTTTGGTCAGCCAATTCCATCGGCTTTAAACATAACTGATTCTGATAATTCAATAAGGAATTGTCCCTACTCAAGTTTGCAGATATTTGAGCATGCACAATGGCGACAAACTCATCATTGCTTGGCGTTATCAGCAGTTCAAAATGTACTTGAAACAATTCGATTTTTGACGTATGATAATGCATCACTAAAGAACATGCTTATTGGACAAACAGATATTTTGATGTATATATGTCAAACAATTGGCGATCTTTGGGGACTGGCCATGCAATATCAACATTGTCCAATTTTCGCAGCCTTGGATTTAGATCAATGGGCGAATACGCTTTTGACAGCATTTTCGCTTTTTGCCGATCTACTTTCGGACCTGTCTATTCATTCTCCAGACGCACTATCACGAATATTTACGCATACTGATATAGGCAAACACTTGGTTCAACTTGTTGCACTTTCACTTGACATGACTCATCCAATTGCCCACAGATACGGGTGTATTTTAATTTCTCGACTTCTTACATTGCATTATGGCGAATTAGTTAAATTGGATCTTGACAAGATTTTTGAAACCATGCCAGATTTTAATATAGACCATAACGGCTTGCTTGAATTTTGCTATCGAGTAAAAACACCTCAAGTATATGATCCCAAGGATTTGGAGCAGGACACAGTTGGCGCGCGGATTTATCGCTCACTGATTTCCCATTTTCTTGATTACCAAGATATTCCAGATGCCGTTCTACTAGAGTCTATTAGATTATCATTACAATGTTTGCTTGGAAGATGTGAATTTTCAAAATCAATGGCGATATCAGGTGCATCAGATATACTTTATTTTGTCAAACTTGTTGTTTAGCTGAAACGTTCATGAGGGATGCTAATCTTAAACTAAATTGGTAAATTTACCTGCACATAATCCTATATTTTAGGCCAGCTAACTCGCACTCTTAACCAAAGGCTAGGTCGAGTTTTACAAAAGGTACTAGAGATTATTTGATTGGTTTCAAATATTGTGCATTGAGTGGGCATGGTTTTGTTATATGAAACAATTCATAGTTACATGATATTCTTGGTCTGGTTTTATTGATAGACCGTAAAAGGAAAGTTGGACAATGCGGATCAAGAAAATCTTTACGCTTGTATATCCTTGCTAAGACATTTGTTTGCTGGGTCGACTGCTGGAAAGGTTGGTTGGAATCATTTTATTGGATGAATGAATAGGGTCTGCTATGATTTCTGACCATAATTTGTCTATAGCTTTCAGGTGTAGAGAATCGTGTAACCGTTACCATTTCCCAGATTATATCACTCCAAGATATTCACGAGCGCCTACTTTTAGAATGTTTTGGCTGTCTTCGAAATTTAATAACCAAGTGTGATTCAGCCAAACGGTTGGTTCTTGATTGGAAGCAGTACAAAAAGCCATGCATCAGCATTTTGGACAGTATTCGACGGATGTACCAGGACTCTTCCCAATCCAGTCAAGTGTTTTGTACTATAATGGAGGTGCTGAAACTTTTGGTACTTGAAAAAACCACAAGAGCCACACTATTCAAGGTATTTTGTGAATCTCATTTTAGAATCATGTTGATTGCCATTGAGTACGTGGGTTGAACACTGTCATTGATCAGAACTACTTGTTTCATATCAGATCAATATCAATGCGGAATTGCTGCTTGTTTTGGAGAGACTGTTTCAGAATAAGGAGACTACTCGATCGAGAGCCATTATTGGCTATTTCATTAATGCAACATATACTACTGATGGACAACTAGCTATCATGCGTATAGATGGTAATTTGCGACTTTTCATTTCTATATGTTTTGAATCAGACTTGCGCAAGTCAAAGTCGCGGTTTCATACTTGTCAGGCCACTAATGTATTTCAACCTTTTATTTAGGACTGCTACCAGTGCTCACGAATTTTTTAGGTTCTAAATCGACAGATGTTTGTGAAAGCGTACTTCCATTGCTTATAAATTTATCTTTAGCTCGAGAAAACAAGATCCATATACTGGCTAATGGTAGGATTGTTGTACTATACCTGTAGCTACTAGTATAAACTCATGTTGTTTGATATGCTAATCCGCTCTTGATTGGAACTTAGAAAATATGATTTGCATACTGCGTCAGATTTGCACTTCAGACTCACTAAGGCTGATTGCGAAAGCAACAACCCTCGTCAGGGTTCTCTTGTGCAAGTCTGAAAAAGCCAAATTTTCTTTAAAACAAAGTAGTTTTGGTATCACTGCAACTGAATTGCAAGACCGCCTTTGTACAAGTGAGTAAATGTGCCATACCTGATATCGGAATCAAATGTTAATTTTGATAAACTCGCAATCATTCGACTAGAGTATCCTGGATATATTTCTAAAATGACTAAAGAAGCAAGCAATGGAAATGAGCTACATATAGCAAATAATTTTACTGGTGCACTTCCCGAGGAAGAAAAACGGCTGCTATCAGAAGCATTAAACAATGCAGTATATATATCAAGACATTTACAATCGTATTCACGTAAAGCGGGACATTAAACACGTCAAAGTATAATAAACCCATTTCATGAAATGATTGGTGTCAGTATACTGGACAATGCTGGGTTTTGTGCTCATTTTTTGTATAAAAAACTGAACAAATGTTTACATTTCTAGTCCAATTCATTTCATATCTGTTCAATCTCCAAAACAAACCTATAGTTTGGTTGTGTATTTCATGATTGGTGTATTTTAATACTGATCAAGGAAACAGCGAATGCTCAATAATTCCAAAACTTTCTAAACAATTTACTCAAACATTTCATTACACAAAGCAACTCATTCGACATGACTTGACAACTGTCGAGCAATAGGATAAGAATTTGATTCCTGAATCGTGTTGAAATGATTTGAATCGAGAATGAATTTATCGAATAATTGCAAAACAAGCGAGAATGTCAAACGTTTTACGTGAATACGACTGTAATTAAATTTGATAAAGTTTTTCTAAAGCGGAACATTCAACAACAGCAGCAGAACAAGAGATTGGCCCAATTCACTTAAATGGATGTATTGTTGGACAAGCTAACTAGTTTTGAGTTGCTGGATTTGCTGCAAAAAGCAGCTGTTAGAGTTGGATCTTCCATTTCTTCATCGACTGCAGATGTCAAGATGGCTTCAACTCCGGATGTCGTTTCTGATTTAAAACCCATTTTGTTGGGGAAAGACAGTGACCATTCGGGTCAGTACCAACAGTCAGTCAGTCCAACATGGTGGTCATCCAATACTGTCACTTTTAACAATGCGATGGTCCGTCTGTTTCAGCTCAAGGATTTGCATACACAGGTTGAGCAGAATGTTCATAGCTTCAACCAGGCCTCTGCAGCTGCTCTAGAGCGGCAGTTGGCAATTGGAAGTCTTGTTGATCAAGGACACTTGAAAGTCGAACGTCTAGCCAGTGAGCTACGAGATGCAGAGTTTGCATTGCAAGAGCATCGATATGCCTATGCTCAGGCACTGTCTGAAGCCCAAGTGTATCTAAAGGTTAAAAATACAACACTGGATCTCCAGCTTAGTCTTCAAAAGGATATGGACGCAATTCGCAATGCATTATCGTCTGTTTCTGCATCCCTGAGTAGTGATGAGCGTCAGTCTGTTGCTGCCAACATAAAAGCTGCATCTGAATATATTTCGGGAATAAACACCGATCGTGATATGGATGTAGCTTTGCATTCCACCAATGCAGCGCAAGTTAAAGGTGTTTCTAGTCCTTCAATCGGTGAACCATTTTCTTCGAGAGAAGTCTCGATGCCATTAAACGATTCTCATCATTCTGCACATCATGGTATGTACGAATCACCGTTTCCTATTCAATCCACCAACACACATGCCATTGTTTTGGGTAGTTAATTCTATTCGTCGCCACCAAATACAGTTCAAGTTAAAAGTTCTAGCACAACCGACAGCCGTCAACCAGGATTGATTCAGAACGATCGTGCCTCGGAGCTTCAATGCAATGCCAATAGTACTGATCATTCCCATTCAAAGACGTGTACGAGTGAGCGTATAGAGGATGTTGTAGATTATGGCTGCGACACGGACGATGATTTGAGTGTCAATGGAATTCATAATGGCACCTCTCTAGTAGAAACTGCTCCTGTATCTCAACAAGACTCCACGGAAAACGAGATTCCTTGTAATGCCAACTCGGTGTCTAAACGAATATTCCCAGTTGAAATTAGCAACACAAGAAATATTCACGAATCTCGAAAAAACAACTTTAAACAATCAGGTATGCCGTTGATCGAGTCGATTCTTGAAAATTCTGGCATGCTTATCAAGACTTTGTTAAATAGAAAAACCTATGGACACTTTGCGATCTAGACGAAGTATGGTAGGCACTAGTAGCTACAACAGTACTTCTGGTAATCGAGATCGATCATCTTACAATGGAGAAGGTGATTACCGTTCTTTGAAGTCGGGTATAGTTTTGGATACATCGATGCCGTTACGCAAGCGACAAAGATCTATGGATGACAAACCTGGTGTTCCTGTAATGGAAATGCATTCATCCTCTACTCATTATCGTAAACGCTCTCCAGATTTGGAAGTGCCTAATAGACATCAGATATCGTCTCATGGACGCGGACCTGAGAATTGTTTGCAATGGAATATTTCCCAGGTAATAGATTGTCAAGTGAATGCGTCTTGCTATACTGACATTATCCAACGTGTTGAATCTAAATGGTTTCTATTTTGATGTGCTACTGATGATTCAACTTGCTGTTGCTTTAAAATCACGAAACAGTGTGGCAGTAACTGTCGACGACTACACCGCTGTCTTCGCTGTTTTAGTTCTGATCACACACTCAAGAATTGTCCACTTCAAACAAAAGAACACAGTAAAACCTCGGTTTGCTTGAGCTGGAATTGCGGACCATATAAAACCTGTCGACATTCAAAATGTGATAAAAGCCATGTTTGTTTAAATTGCCATTCTGTGCAGCACAATGCATTTGGATGTCATCGTATTGGTGATGATGAAGGACGGATGTAGACAATGTTGGAATCTTTCAACGTTGTTACTTTCAGCCGCTATATATCGACGATCGTTGCTTGTAGTTTGCAATTAAAATAAGTATTTCATCATTGAGTCCATTCCGAAATCATATTGTTGGTACATCTTAGTCATTGTTTCTTATAACAATCCTTGCACGATTCATTGACAGAATCGTAACCAGTTCAAAAAATCTTGCATGAATTTAAAGCGGTATTCATGTAAAATGAACCATTATATAGGCCAAAGTATAATAAACGGCCAGTCTCGTCAAATGATGTCGGTTGGCCGGTAGATGGCCTAGAAACAACCGTTTCATTCCCGAGACACGCAATCTTTGTTTTTGAACCAGATCGCAACCGTGTCTGCGATTCTAGTTTGACAACTCAGAGCAGTCAACCCAATATCTGAACTGCAGCAAGTCAATCTGGTGATCGTACAGTGTATGGTTGTGCCAAAAGAAGACAGTTTTGGTTCCAAACTATAATTTGTATTATATGATAGTTGCTATATCTGAAGAATTGAGAATGCCAACTTCTAGTAGGAAAACAAACGTTTGATTATTGCCTATTTTAAAACAGAATAGAGTCGATGCAAGTGTTATGTTTAGCGTGAATACATCCGTAAAATCATGGCCATGCAATCAATTCTTATAGAGCGACTCCATATATTTAAAGGTCTAATCTACAAAACAAACATTTGATGCTCAGTTCAACATGACTGTAAATGAACAAAAACAACTGTAGCGTCCCTTGAATTGAAATATACAACTGCTTGTTTTTAACGCTTTGGATATGAATTTAATAGTTGATTCAACGAAAATATATATTTAGTTGGATATGTTTTCCCACATCTTACCCAGCCCAGCCCTTACACGATCAAAGATGGATACAGGGCTGTCGAGTGCTGGACGAACATCCACATTGAAAACTGGGCTATCGCCATCATCTGGCCCCGAGTAATAATCTATAACGTAGCGAACGTCCGTTCCACATCGATTGATGGTCCAATCGTGTCGATCAAAGGGTTGCTCCACTCTATGTTCAAACAAAACTTGGGTTAGAAAAAACTAGACTACACAATCCAAAACCAACTGATACATGGATGGTATACCCGCGGAATGTAGTATAGAACCAGGCCTTTGGACTTAGGTCGTCTGGTCGTCCTTGAAATTTGGCAAGTCTGACGTTTTTGCAATCGCAGTGGTATTTCGATTCCCATTTCATGATTTCTTCCCAGCATGCCTCGTTTAAAAAGTTGTGAATGTCCACCATGGTGGAGATCTCGCTCTCGGGAGCTTCTTTTCCTTTACGCTTGAGTGCACTATAAAATTGCTTATGGTTTGCAGTGTAGAATGAGATTCATGTTATTTATCCCCAATCAAAAGTAATCTTTGACATGCCATTGAAAAATCAATCACAATCATTCAAGTTTTTTCTCGATGGACAGCAGTAAGCAATGGTTGATACCTGTGGACTAGGATATTCCCAATGATTATTTTTAGACTTTGGAATCCCAGATAGTGTGCGCTCGGTCGAAAGTGCTCGAGTCTGTCCACTTACCATGTTTTGTGATAGATTAGGCATCATATTGAGTGGATTCAACTCTGATGTCAAAGGTTCAGTACGAGTGAGGTGGGAATGGTCCACTGGACAAGACCCAGCAGCAGTGTCTGATGATAAGCCATGTGTAGGGACAGTAGAAGTGTGTGTTTTCTGGTGATGTTCTACAGGACAACTGCCAACATCTTTACTGCCAGTCATGTTGATAATTGAAAACAAAAAAATTGAAATCTCAATTCATGGCTTAAAATTGCTAGTCTAATTTGCTTCAAATTGTCCTGCAATAATCCAATGTTTGTCGTTTCATCAAACATGGAAACCTCGATATTTACTAACATCTCAACTACTGTAGAATCTGCAAGTCATATTGCCTACAATCTCAATCCAATAAAAAAAACTAAATGTTTGATGGTGCAAAGACAGCAGCTTCCTATTTATTTTTTGAGGAGGATTCCGTCAAACTAGATTGTCCAAATAAAATATCAAGGTTAATACATGTTACATGGGCAAACATTTAGATATTTAACGCAGACAAAACACTGCAATATACATACTCTCTTCTTGAACCAGTTCTCAGTCTCAACCTTGGTAACACGGTGGGGTGCACCAACACGTCCACGCTTGTGCTTCTTGTTGGCGATCTTGAGTCCTGGACGGCCCATAACGACATAGAAATCCATACCGTAAATGCCAATCGAAGGATCGTATTTAATTCCAAGATCAATGTGCTCTTGGATACCAAAGCCAAAGTTGCCAGTCTGAGAGAAGTTGCTCTTTTTGAGCTCATACTCCTTGACCTTGAGGCCACGCTCAAGAATTTCCTCAGCCTTGGGACCGCGAACAGTGCAATGGACAGAGATTTTCTCGTTACGACGAATACCAAAGGTACGAACAGTGTAACGGGCCTTGGAGAAGACGGGCTGCTGACCAGTCAATTGTTCGAGCACTTTGGCAGCACGAGTGAGTCTATCTCCAGATTCACCAACACAAATGTTGAGACAGAGCTTCTCGAGACGAAGCTCTTTCATAGGGTTTGTGGCAGTTGCTTCGGCCTATAGCAGAAAAGAATGAAATCCATTGATGAAAGTGATTAGCTACAGATTTGCAAATCTGGATAAAACAAAGCTTGATGGTATGAAAAGTAGACAAGAATCAAAAGACTCCAATCCGACAAGATCGCTCAATATTAGACCCTCCACACTAGCCAATGCAAACCAGCGTTTGAGATTAAAAGTTGATCTCGACTCAACAGAGGTGAATTGTGTTCAAGACAGTTGACTTGGAATTGACACTACATGGAATCAAACAAAAAACGATTGTATATCAAAGAGTTCAAGCATTGACTTTTTGCAATAGCATGAATCCAAGCAAGATATCCATGAAAAGTGTCGAGTCTAGACAACAAGCATCCAGAGCCCATTTAGAGTCATGCATCCAATCCACACATAGAATAGCAGAATGCATGGATGGTAGTTGTTGTGGATGGCATCAATAGCTACAAGTCAGAGCCTTTGTTATCCTCACCATCGTATGTGCTGTTTTTTGATGTGCAGAATCAAAGTCGTTTGCAAATGTCAAGTTTCTGGTCAAGTCAGACCCCAAATTGTAGCGTGTATAATTGGAGTTCAGACCCTAAAATGGTGGCTAGACCAATGTTGGAATCTTGCACGATTGCAATGCATTTGGACTCGAGACTATCAGCAGGTTAATAGGACGATCAATCACCCGCATGCCATCCCACTACTTCAGACAAGGTTTAATAAAATAATAGATTGTAGTTTATTAGACTGGATCACAATATAGCGCATGGACATCCATAGTGTTGAAGCCCATCTCATGTTAGGGAAGATCAATCTATTTAGTCAACCAAGAGCCTTGAACGACCATATTGGATGGTCTCTATCCAACTGACCTTCTGCATCGAGAGAAAACAGAGTCAGTGTCCGTAGTTGGACTTTTGCACATCCATACTTGCAGTCACCAGTGACTCGCAACACTCCAACAGCTTCTTTAAAGATACCTGCTGCACCCAGTCGTTGTTCTTCTTCTGCTGATAAACGCTCAAACATGGGAACTTCTAAAACAGCACCTGTACGATACATGCCCATAACACCTCCAGTCTCTTGATAAACATGTCCTCCAAGTCCAGGAGCAAACACTGCAGAGATCTCCAGTCCTGGAAATGCATCTGCAATGATGGGTGTTGCCTGATGAATTAAAAATGTGGCAGCTACAGGCACACCTTGATACGTTGGAGAGCAATCGACCTGAAAGAGACTGCTGTAGTGTATAGCTAGTAATGAAGATACAGCGATGGTCAAGCCCAGTCCAATTCTAGTTCCAATTGGATTGAATGCAGAATGACAAGACTGTGTGTGATGAAACGACCATTGTGTCGCTCTGTAGCGAACATCCTTGACTGAAAGCAGTGTTCTAAATGGAAACGATCGTTTGATAATAGTTGCAGTTCGACCTGTCCATGACAAAGACATTCAAGACTTGAACACGACTGTATTTGAAGTTGAAGAGAGAAAGCGAATCTTTTCTCAGCTGTTCGCCTAAGGATTCCTTGGTTACATGTCGTTGGGTATGACCATGATTAGCACTGCTTTAAACCAATATTACTCTTGTGTTTCCATCCACTCTATTAGATACACTTGCCTTTGAGAATTCTGTTGAATAGCGACCACTTTCATCTGGAAATTCATGCTGAATACCACTCCTTGCATTGCTATACAGCCAGAATACTGTCATGACATTATCACTACTTTATACATAGTATTGCATTCGTTTAGTTCATTATAGCATTTACTATTTTCTTGAAACTCTGAATTGCTTTTTGTCCGATCCTATTGTGCTCAATTCATTATTGCGTTCATACTAGTACAGTTGGACCATTCATACATATCAACTTACAACAACTTGTAAACCATTCGCTTGTTTAGATCCGCCCGATAAACTTCGGCTGGGCTGGCGCATATCCTACGATCCTACTTTGGATCACACTGCAAATAAAAAACAAGGCACTAAACCCATTCTGTATATATATGGATCTGAGTCAATGCCATCTACAGTTCGTATTTGATGGCTAATGTCTTGAATATGATCGTGTTCTGGAACAAACTGAAGCACTTGTTAACCTGCTTATGCTTGCGTTTGCTACCAATGCTATGATGTGTAGTTATCCACTTCTGCCAACGGTCCAGTCGACCCACGGACTAGTATTGCTTCCTATTCAACCTGCGGAAAGGGAAAGCAGTCACTTCCTGTAAACGGTCTTAAACGTTTTTGCTTCGAAGTAAGTCTGGCTCCAAAAACTTGGATCAGCTATTATCTACTCTTCATGCTGTTTTTTTTGCTGGTTTCCTGCTGTTTTTATTGAACGTTTATATTTTTATTCATCATTAACCTGTTTTCTCAGTTTGATGAACTATCTGTAGGCCTGCCCTACCCTGCTACTCTCTATATCTCGGGATTTTCATCCAGCATGACTGAACAGCAACTCCGCTCAATTTTTGGAAAATTCGGCTTAATTAAAATGATTTTGGTAGCCATCTCTTCTCAGCCTGACAATAACTCTCTAACACTTAATTCTGCCAGTATTACTTATGTTGGAGATCCAGCTATTGCCGGAAATTATGCACGCATGGCTGTAATGGCTTTGGATAATACTCGTAAATATGATACGCACTGGCATGTCACGTTTGATCGAGATGGTTGGTCCCACTTTGGTCTACATCACGTATTCAATCTCTAATTTATTTGTTACATGGTTCTAACTATTTGATATCATGTAGCGCTCATGTTCCACGATCAATGCGCTGGTATCAAGACTGCCGCAGAAACACAATCTCGCAACGAACTTCAGTCCGCTCTACACAATCATTCTTTTAATCAAGTCAGTTTTTCAAATGATTCACGGCTGATCTCGACCGTCTCTCATTTATCAGGCGAAAGAATTCGCTCCACAAACTCTCTGAAAAAAGCTGTGGACAATAATTTGTGCGACCTTTCACGGGGAAAAATAGATGATAGACGGCATCCGCATGAATATAATGTAGAGCACCATCGACCATTAGATCGGTCTATAACAGAGTACAGAAGAGATGTTCCAGACGCAATGAGAGGACTCAGAGCCTCTGATTGGGCAAAAGGTCGAGACGTTGTGTATGATGGTGATGGTACTCACCGGAGTTCCAATCCAAGACCTTTCTATGCACCTGGTTTAACCGAATCTCGGAAAGATGCTCATATGTATCAAGATCTAGGCCGTGGTAGGAGTCAGAGCTCTCGCAATATCAGTCGCAGCAGGAGTCGGAGTAGTAGTAGAAGCAGCATGGATGATAGTAGAGGCAGGAGTCGAGGTAGAAGTCATAGTCGAACTCGTGGTAGAAGCACGAGCCGAAGCAGCAGTCGAAGCAATAGTCCAAACTACAGACGCTCCTACAACAACAGTCAAGGGCAAATTTCTGACCATCCAAATGGTATATTGCCAATTGATCGTGATCGGCGTAGCTTTCGATCTCGCAGCCCTACTCTAAACTCGCAATCAGATGGCTACAGAGGACCAAGCGGAATATCACCACCATTTAACCTGAAAGATCGATATCGAAAAGATGAATCATTTTTGTCTCATAAACCGTTTATTCCTGCAAACCATGCTTCTCACTATAATAATCCTAGTGAATACAGAGAAGCTGGCAGGCAAAAATCACATTATATATCGCCTCAGCGCGATCATGCATACCCAGCACCATTGCACTCTTCATATCCAACCTCATCCTTCACACCTACTAGCAGTCATTCTCGGTTTCATCCTGACCAGTCATTGTATTTAGGACAGGGACACGATGGGCATGACATTCGTGGAACTTCATCAAAACCTGCTCGTTCTCGCTTACCCTATCATTTAAATGATGACACACATTCTAAACGTTCTTTTTCAGACGAGGCTGCCACGGTGGCTGATGCTGCACTCTATCTTTCTGGTCTTCTTTGCACTGCTCTTGAAAAAGACTATCGTGTACGAGTTCTTTCAACTTTTATTTCCAAATATCTAGCAACACTTGATGCTCAACGACTTGAAACCTCTAGTTTGAAACGTGACGAATCTAATCAGTTTGATAAGCCTTGCGAGGTAGTCCCATCCGCTGAGCACGAACTTTACGATCAAAAACCTGTTAATGTCTTGACGATGGTCGACCAAGCTAAAAGTGCACAAACTGAATTCAAATCTCAGGATTTTACCATCAATGCACAAGAGGACAGATTGGATACTGAACACACTGAGGATAATGCAGATGACAGCAAACCATTGCTTTTACAAAACGGTTTATTGAGTGTGGACAGTGTGTTTAATTCAAACAGAAAAGTAGCGCTTCCCTCGTTTAAGAAAAAAGCCAAAAAATCAACTCTTGTTAAAAAACACATGCGAAAACACTCACATATCGAGTCTGACGATAGCGACTCGATGAGTGCTGAAATGAATGTTGATATATCTCTGAAATCTACAAAACCATCTATAGCAATCGAGGACGAGGTTTCTTTGCAGCAAATTCAGAATGTGTCCAAATCCACCATTCCAGCTCGTGATTTTTCAAGTGATTCGAATGAACAGGAATCGATCAAAAAGACATCTTCAAAGGCACAGGATCCACATGCAACGACCGAAAATCTAGCGATTAAAGCTACAGGTTTTATATCAAAAAATGCATCTCAAGAATGCTTGGTGGGGCACTCGGATACCAAAAGTGCGGTAACAACGATTGATTCTTTACAAGATTTAGGATCCCATTTAAATGAACCAGTAGCAGACATATATGATCATCAGCATTCGGAACAGCAAGCCAATATTCATTCTGTGGACAAGGAACATTGTGAACCTACATCTGTATCTATTCAATCTAATCAAGATGGTGAAAATATGGATACACTTGTTCATAATAAATCATCAACAATACAATTTGCAACTGAGTCTGTTGTTGCTGCTGCTTCCTTGGATAACATAGAACGTACTATAGTGGCAGAATCAAATACTAATGCGGCGCATGCTCCTGCACTCAAATCTCGTACAAAAGCAACCGGTCGCCATGCCAACAAGAAAAATAAAGGCAAACGCGGTCCTCAGCCCACTTGTATAGTTGTTCGTGAACGTCCGATACGCACTCCAGCGGTGTTTTCAGACGATGAGGACTCTGCTCAGTTTGAATATCTTGCCAGTGCAAAAAGCATTCCTGATGCATTTCCTTATCAAAAACCAAAGCCTCTTCGAAAGCGCTCTATTGCCAGTGTTCCCGATTCATCATTAGATTATGGCAATATGCACAAGTCGAGTAGCACACCCAATGGCTATCTTTCTGATGAGTCTCTGGATATTGATTCGTTTGACCCAGAGGATATCAGAATGCTTTCCGAGGAAGAGCTAAAGTATTTAAAAATAGCATTTCATTCTGATCAGGAGCAGCGACGGAATCTTCGTTCTTATCGAGAGCGGATGATTCGAGACGAGATTGTAGAGGCACAAGCTCGCATTCTCGGTGCCAAGCCTTATGAGCCATCGCTGCCTCCCCCACCTCCTTCAATTCCTGATCTGGTATTACCTGTTGATTCTGAGCCTGGCAGAGATGCATTGTTTCAAACTGAACGTGTCAAAGCAACGCATAGAAAAGGCATTGCTGCTCAAGAGGAGCCTGCTTCACGATGTGCTCGAACAGAACCCTATCATCGGCGTACTTATATTGAAAAAATGATTCAAACTGCTAGTGCACAGGCACCTACAGCAGCACCCAATCTTGATAGCTCTTCTGCTACTGTATCTGCCATGGATGGGGTTTTGGCTCGTCCTATTACAAAAGGATTGTTCCATCACACTTCACGTGGTACACGAGGAGCAGGTTCCTACGGAGGCTTGGGGACTGGATCTGATTCTCAAAAAAAGGCAGTAACACTGGGTCTTGGGTTTGGTCTTGGTCAAGGTCTTGGTTTAGGCGTTGATACTATTGATGCGCTAAGCTTCAATCAACTCAAAGCACGCAAAAAGCGTATCAAGTTTGATAAAAGTATCATTCATGACTGGGGATTATTTGCCATGGAGCCCATTGATGCCAATGATATGGTTATTGAATATATCGGTGAGATTATTCGTCAAAAGGTTGCGGATCACCGTGAAAAGTTATACGAGGCTTCGGGCATTGGGTCAAGCTATTTGTTTCGTGTGGATGAAGACACCATCATTGATGCGACCAAGACCGGAAATTTGGCGCGGTTTATTAACCACTGTTGCGAGGTAAAAACACTTGCTGTATTTTTATTTATTTAAAATTGACTTGAGCCGGAATCAATATTATCTATAGGTACTAACTTTTTTCCTTTAACCAAGCCAAACTGCAATGCCAAAGTTATCAGTGTTGATGGAACCAAGCGTATTGTTATTTATGCTAATCGTGATATAAAGGAAGGAGAGGAGTTGACGTATGACTACAAGTTTCCCATTGAAGAAGATAAAATTCCATGTCTGTGTGGTGCTGTAGTACGTTGTCATGCCTGTGTTTTTTGTAAATGGACTATACTTTTTGTAGAATTAGATCAGCATACTAATCAAGCATCACTATTTTTATATTCCTGGTTGTTAGAACTGTCGAGGAACACTGAATTGATTAGATCGGATTTGTTTCTATTTTACTTTTTGATTTGGGTGGTTGTAATTGTGCTATTTGATAGTTTTGTTTTGGGCAATGCCTTATTAATAGATATTTTCTGTATTCAAGCATTTATGTAATTATTCTGATACAAATATGTATATATCAAGTGATAGATTGCTGGTGATTAGCAATGTTTTTACATTTATTATGATACAAAATATTTGAACTGTTCAAAGTGTGTACACTATGCAGATTTAAAGTGCTCTATATACTATTCATGTACCAATCTAAAGCAATGCAATTTTTTATTTGATCGACAGCTAGTTTACAGATCGATTGATATCGGCAGAATGTGCATTGCTTAAAAATCGATTTAGTGCTGTAATTTATTTCATCCAAATAGAATGAAAACTAAAAAGTTTAAATTCAATTGTTTTATACTTTGATGTCATTCCAGCTCGTTTAACATCAGATTCCAAATCAATTCTGTTTCCTTGAACTAGAAGCGCGAATGGATTCGAGTTTTTGCAATACAAAGTTTTTTCCGAGTTCTCATTCTTTTCGCCCTCATTCATCAGAAAATAGCCAGATCAGCCTATACAACCATGTTCAAAACCACTGCGTTTATGCCACTTCGTATTGCCTCTTTGGCCATGCGTACTTCCATCACTGCACCAACGAGAGCCTTTGGTACTGTTCAGACCAAGACCAGCCTGGTTTTTTCAGAACCTGTGAGTTGATTGAGTTGGTTCGTTTTCTTTTCATGCATTGCTTTGTGATTTCGAATGGGAGAAATTGTAATAGATCAGCTGTTGGAATCCTACACTTTAAGGGATGTGCATAATGGATTTACAGCAATGCGACGACTACTGAGCATGATTTCAAAGTTGAATGAGGTCGCTCTAGTGACTCTACACAATCGTATCCCATGTTTGTATATTTGATCCTGGCATGACTGAAGGAATCTCTTGCTTGGAGAGTAGAATAGGGTGGACTTGGCTTGACTTTTGATTCAGTTTCAACAGTGTAGCTTGTCAAGATGGCTATTTTGCATCTTGAAAACATCCATCCAGTTGCATTTTATAGCCATATTCACGTAAAATACAAGTTTTGTATTCATCTTGCAGCGACTGCCTCTGGCTTCGGAATAGACCATATTGAATGCTTGCTGCGTTTTCTATTAGAAATTGATTGCTTTAATAGATATTCCCAATTCTTGTTCCAAACACAACGTTCATCATATGATGTACACAAACTAGTTTTGAACCGAGGTTGTTTCTTTTTCGGCAATCAAACGCTGTACAATTACCAAATTTGAAACCAGATACCAAGGTTGACTGTTTTGATGTTGTCAAACTCCTCTTTGTTGTATCCTAATCTCATATGCTCGCGCTCCAATTCAAGACAGCAAAGATTGCATATTTTGGGAATGTAATTGTTGTTTTACGCCAATCACAGGAGAAACCCAATCGGTCTTGTTGATGGGCGTAAAACATTATTGTCCAGTCCATTTGGTGGAAATCTTTCCATGAAACTGGCAGTTTATTATGCATGGACACCCTAGTGTTTTATTTTGCATGGACACAGTTGTGATTGTAGATCCATCTTGCTGTTCAAGTAACTTTACGACTTTATCAATAATGTAGTTTAATCTGGTTTAAACATGATTGTATAATTTGAGATATTTTCTGACAATACTTTGACTATGTATGGTTTCCAACTAGCGCTCTAACTCGGGCACTGAGTATGGAGGTGTACATACCGTCACTTTGATTCCAGGAGATGGTGTTGGTCAGGAAATGGCCACTTCTGTCAAATCAATCTTCAAAGCTGTTAATGCACCCATCAATTGGGAACAGTTTGATCTGTCAGGATATACAGAGGCGGATGCTAATCTGCTTCGTCAAGCTATGGACTCTATTCGCAAGAACCGTGTCGCTCTTAAAGGTACAACATTTACATGCAGTGTTTTTGCATTGTGGAAGATTGACAAGTGATGCTAGATGTAGTCAAGCTGTGCCATGCATTTCTAACTGTACACTTTTAAATTGAATTTTTGTAGGTGTCTTGTACACTCCAGTTTCTCGCCTTGGACATACGTCGTGGAACATCTTTTTGCGCAAAGATTTAGATGTGTTTGCATCTACTTCGTTGATTCAGAATATACCTGGAAACTGGCCTACTCGCCACAAGGGAGTCAACCTGGCAATTATTCGTGAGAACACAGAAGGAGAGTACTCTGGCAAGGAGCATTCTGTAAGTAGATTTGTAATGATCAGAAACGAACCAAACATTTACACTACATGTTTATTTTTCTATACATAGCCTGTTCCAGGTGTTGTCGAGTCACTCAAGGTTGTTACTCGAGCCAAGACTGAGCGCATTGCTCGTTATGCATTTGATTTTGCGTTAAAGAACAAGCGCAAGAAGGTGACGATTATCCACAAGGCCAATATCATGTACGCAAGTATTTTTTGATGATGTGAGTATATTTATGATTTAAAATCGAGTGAAAATGACCAAGACATGAATGGGACAAAATCAATACAGGAAACTGGGAGACGGACTGTTTTTGAACACTTGTCGAGAGGTAGCCAAAGGATACAAGAGTTTTGGCATTGAAGTGGAAGACATGATCGTAGACAATGCATCGATGCAGCTTGTTTCCAAACCACATCAGTTTGATGTTGTTGTGTGTGGTAACCTGTATGGTAATATTCTGTCGAATGTGGGAGCAGCACTTGTTGGAGGGCCAGGACTTGTTCCGGGAGCTAGCATTGGACGTCACTATGCAGTGTTTGAACCAGGATGTCGTCATGTAGGCAAGGACATTATGGGACACAATACAGCCAATCCAACAGCTATGTTGATGTCATCTGTGCACATGCTTCGTCATCTTGGATTAGATGAGCAGGCTGATCGTATCTCGGCAGCATTACTGGCGGTGATCAAAGAAGGTCATGTGCTGACACCAGACATTGGTGGAACCAGCAGCACCACAGACTTTACCAAGGCCATTATGTAAGTAATCCAAGACATGAGTAGATATCAAGACACTGACTAATCCTTGTTATAATAGTGCTAAACTCTGAAGTTGACCAATGAAAAGCGGTACCAATAATAAAAAAATTGAAATCCACCCCATATTCCACGTGATTTGACATTGTTTTGATGAGGAGCAACTCGAGTGAAGTTGGCCAACTTGCTGATAGGGAGGATGGATCCATTATTACCGCCATTACTGGAACATCCTAATACGACCGACACTGTAGAAATGGATTCTGTTTTATCTTGTGTCGAGTCTGGTCAGCAGCCATTGTCTGCTACTAATGCTACACAGACACTACTGAATCTTGAAGACCAGTCATCTTTACAGTCTGCTCCTGATGCTCGTCCTATTCTTCAAGTGTTGCCTGTACCAAGAGCACCAAGAGCCATTCGAGAACGACGTCCATCTGCTCCTATGCTCATGTTTCCACCTTCTCCCATTTACGGCACTTCGGGATTGCCTTCGTGGTCTGCCAGGAGAGGATTGGTGCACTCTCAGAACCAACAGCTTCAGATACAGCAGCAGTTAATCATTCAGAAACAACAACTCATGTTACAGCCAATAGCCATGCTGCCCGACCAAACTGCTAATGCAGAACTAAATCACACCAACACTCGCAATCAAAACCCTGTAAAGACTGGATTGCATGTGAAGCACTTGCTGCGATTGCCTCTCAAACGGTATCTCACTTCCAATGCTTCCAGCACTACTGCAGAGGACCAACTGCCTTTTGACTCTTCAACTAATGTAAATCCTTTCACACCCAACGCCACTTTTGTCACTACAAATTCAATTCCCGCTACGTCGCTCGGCACTGCCACTATCTCTACTAATCATTATAATCAGTTACCATCTTCTTGGTCGTTGCGAAGATCCCATTCTGATTCTAGAAATCAGTCTCCATTGACTTCAATGGTTCCCGATTTGAACCCGCAATCTTATCTACCTAAAAATGGACGCCCTAGTGTTACTATGCAGTCTGGCGCTATGACTAATTCTGCACCATCACCTCATGCTTTTATCACAAAATACAATCCATCCAATACAGACTCCAACACCACTTCAAATATACATCACTCTCAATTCGCTTCATCATCGCTACCTGGAACTCCCGCTAAACCACTTCTTTCTACTCCTTCATCTGGTACTTTCCTAAATCTAAATCAACTCCCTAGGCGACAGAGAGCTGCATCGGTTCCTGCCATTGCATTTATGCCCTTGGCTCACCATCCACATACTGCTCATAAATCTGCTACTCCCGTCGCTTCATACACTGGTATATCGTCAAACAAACCCTCTAATGGTGATGTAGACTCTTTGGCGTTTGGTGGTGAGCTGGCCTCTACTCAGGGCGGATTTAAAACTACAACCGAAAACTCGACTCCAAACAGTTTTGGACGCAGATCCAAAAAGCGAAGACCTTCCATTTTGGATGATTTGCGTAAACGATCTGCTTCTGCCGAGTCCTCTGTCTCGTTGGGTGGATCGCTAAATCCACAAAAAACTCTGGATGCTCACGAGCGTATGCATGATGCTCTCGGTGCACATCTTCTGGTAGCACTCAAACGATCCGCGCTGTCTAAATTCACGCTTGCTTTCAAGGAACCCGAAGATGAAACTCGATACAGCTTATTTTTCATTGAACAAAACATTCACAACTGGAGATTCATGGCCATTATTGGCATTGTCTTTATTATTATTTTTGAGATTGTATTTTTTAAAGCCTTTTCCGAGCCAGCTGGAATCTCTACTCCTCTTGCAGATATCTTGATCATGGTGCTGGGTGGATTTATACCGCTGACTTTGATTGCATGCTTGTCTTTTTGGCTTCATCCCACTCATTTAGCTAGATTCATTCATTTGTTGTCTGCACTGTATATGGGCTCCATTACTGGAAGCTTAATATGTAGTAGGTTTTTTATCTCTGGAAAGCTATACGATGCTGTGACGGCTCCTTTCTTCATCACCACTCTGTTCATTACTGTATTTTTTTTCAAGGTGCGATTCATCTACACCTTTGTCATGACGACACTTTCTATAATATTTTGGTTCAGCGTCTCGAGTATTGCCTACGTACAAGAGTTTAAAATAGCACACGACGCCATGTCGCATTTAGATGCATCTTCACCTGACATCATCCGAGACGCATTAGCCAACGTTGTGCTGCGAAATCGAGTGATATTTGCATGGTCGGCAGTCTCCGTTATTCTTGCAACAATTGTAATTCTTGCCATGTCCTATGTCAATGAACGAAACCATCGCTTACAGTATTTGAGTGACATTCAATTCATCAGTGTGAATGCTAAACTACACAAGCAACTTCGAGGACTGCTATCGTCGTATGAGTCTGGCATAGCAGATTTGGACTCTCCGTTGGAAAAGGCTATCATGGGTGTCAAGGCATTGCTATGCTCTCATATCAATACAGAGCAAATCCGCTTGCTGCATATCATATTAGCTTGTCTCACATCTAGTAATTTGATGACTCCAGATTTGTACCAACAAGTCAGGCGTGGTGATGTGCACGTGGATGATGAGCAAGAGGTAATTTGTTTGTGTTGACTGATGTTGTCATTTAAAGTATGTATTCATCCTATTTCTCTTTAAATTTGTATTATAGAAATGGCTGTTTAATGAGATTGCAGCAAAAAAGATTACCAATACAAACAGTTCCTCATCTGCTTTGTCAATCGACTCATTTCAATCACCAGAAAACGGATTGTCCAACAAAACTGTCGCTCCTGGATCTGCTCGATTTCATTCAAAACAACGACGCAATCGAACCTCACACATGTCACATCGAGACCACCGAACAAACACTGTATCACACGGTTCTAGTTCTGGTCACGATGCAGTGATTGATGTACCATTTAGCAATTCAGATAACGACGATCATAAAAATCCTATTGAGCCAAGTCACGCTACAGACTCTGTCAAGATTGCTTTGTTTTCTCCAACATCTCACCGGGCTTTAGAAGGAAAGGGTTATGAGCAAGATTTCTCATCCAATTCGAGCGACAGCATGTATAATGGAGTCGACTTTAATTATGACAAGGAAGGCTTTTCCCATGGCATGCAGGATTCTCTGACTTTGTCAGTAGATCTAGACGACACCGATGTTCAAAAACTCATGAATGACGAAATCCGTTTTATTCTATATCAAGTGGATGATTTCAATTTCCCCATATTCGATCTTGCCGATGCGTCAATGAATCGACCACTGTTTTTCCTGTCGCATCATTTGATTGTAGAATCTGGCTTGTTGGCTCGTCTTCAGTTACCCGAGGATAAGTTTTTGAGATTCATTACTGCTGTGGAAGCTGGATACGATCATAATCTTGCATGTAAGTATACTTTTCAAACAGCAGTTTTTTAAGTGATTTTGAAAATTGGTTATAAATTGAGTTTTAATCTGACATGTATTGCAATAGACCACAACTCTATTCATGCATCCGACGTCTTGCATTCCATTAGACACCTGTCCCGACTTGAGCGTATTACGGGGAGCTTTTCCGATCTAGAGATTTTGGCCATGTATTTAGCTGCTTTAATTCACGACTATGATCATCCTGGCGTTAGTAACAACTTTTTGATACAGACAAATGACCGACTTGCCATGTTGTACAATGACAAATCTATTCTTGAAAACCATCATTGTTCTGCAGCGTTTAATGTGCTGATTCAACCAAAGAACCACTTTTTGGAGTCTCTGGATCGCAAACCGTATAAATTGTTTAGAGCCAATGTTGTTGAGATGGTACTGGCTACCGATCTTACTCAGCATTTCTCTTTATTGACGACGTTTAAGAAAAAGGTAAATGCATTTGAATGGTTTATACTAGACTGGAAAGACGTGTACTAATATTTTTGGAATGTCGTAACGTACTGTTAATTTGTGTCAACATCAGGTGGTAACAGGAAGCAACTTTGATCCTGTTGGAAGCCAAGAGGATCGACTCACATTGATGCAAATGCTGATGAAGTGTGCAGATGTGTCCAATCCTACCAAAGCCTGGCCACTCTATCAAGAATGGATTACACGTATTACAGAAGAGTTTTTCAACCAAGGAGATCGAGAGAGTGCATTAGGACTTCCCTTTTCTCCGTATTGCAATAGAAACGCACCCAATGCTACAAATCCGACATCGAGCCAACAAGGTTTTATTGAGTTTATTGTTAATCCGCTGTTTGAAGCCCTAGAGTGCTGGACACCTGTGGGCATCATGCGTGAGGGTTTAGATCATAGTCGAGAGCGATTCTGCAGTGGATTGATTGCAGCCAACACAGTTTCACCTCCATCTACGACACCAAGTCCAGCCAACAGTCTTGGTCCAATTGCATCAGCGACACCCCATTTACCACAACAACTGCAGAGTAGATTGCCAGATCTGGGTGCTTCTTTTGATTCATCTCGATCTCAATCAAGCATACCCTTGACTCCTCCTAACCCTGTACAACACCTTCCTAATGCAGTCAATGCAACATCATCACCAAATCTCTCGGCTCAGATTCTTTTTCCTCAACAGACGTTTACAACGACTAGTTCAGGTGGAGGAAGTAGCTCAGCATCATCTATTGCTATGCGTATACTGTCTCCACGAGGTTCAAAACGAAATGCTATAGGAGGAGGATTTCGATCAGGTCTTTCGCTGTTTACGGATCGTCCAATTGGACTTACGATTCCTAGTATTGGTGAAGCAACATCTCGTTCTGGTGCTATTTCATCATCTGTTATAGCAACTTCTCCACAAACTCCCGTGTCCAATACGGGACATCACACTGATAAGATCTATTCTGATTCTGCAGCTGTAGATGTCTCACATGCTTATCCTCCTATTACTTTACGCCCAATTGAGAGTGTTGAAATATCACCTCCTCTCTCTGCTCCCTTGGCTTCCGATGGCCAGAATATCGATAGATTTAAAGAGAGATGAAAGTCTCCATTTGACTTGTTTTCATTAGAGTTTTCCTGATATAGAATCATTAAAGTTTGCATTCACTGGTGGAAATGCCAACAAATTAAAAGTGTTTTTTGGAATTGATTTTAACAGTTTATCAGCAGTAAACTTTTCTGATAGTGTTATTGTCTTGAATATGGTGCGTATCTTGTCATCATCAAGTGTACTAATGAATACATTGTTTTATATAACATCAACTGCATTCAACTCATCTTATTAATGGTTTAAACATTAGCCTCTCAGACTCGATATCAAGGTAAACACTAGCAGAATAAAGATTCATTCTATTCATTCCATCCATTCCATTGACAATTAATCAACTATACAATCCTCTTATTAAAGAGAAAACTATCCAATCGCTCAGACCGAGTCAAGGCCGTGGATTATCACCCAACTGAACCTTGGCTTCTGGTTGCGCTTTACAATGGCTCTGTTCATATTTGGAACTATGAAACACAGGCAAGTCATTCATCTGCTCATGTTTGTGGTCTTGTCTAATACTATCATTACTATTCAACATGGTTTAGGCTCTTGTCAAGACATTCGAAGTGTCTGAACTCCCAGGTAATGCTGTCTTGTTGAATTCCTCTAGATCTTGTCTTGTTGAATTCTACTAGATTCTGTCTTGCATAACCACTCTTTGATTTCAAAATGACTTATGTTTTCAATCCAATTGTTAAACTATAGTTCGTACCGCCAAGTTTATTGCTAGGAAATCATGGATTGTTACTGGTTCTGACGATATGCAAATTCGAGTATTCAACTACAACACCCATGAACGAGTCATCTCGTTTGATGCACACGCTGATTTCATTCGAATGATTGCTGTGCATCACACTTTACCATATCTCATATCTGCTTCAGATGACTATTTTATCAAACTTTGGGATTGGGAAAAAGGCTGGCGCAACATTATGGTATATTAACAATTGGGGTTTAATCTTTTGCTGCTACTACACATCTATAGGTCTTGTTTTACATCACTCATGTATGCCAATTCTTTATTATAGACCTTTGAGGGACATACGGATTTAGTTATGCATGTGGCATTCAACCCCAAAGATAGCAACACTTTTGCTAGTGCTTCCATGGATCGCACAATAAAGATATGGTCGCTTGGATCTCGCGTTCCAAATTATACATTGGACGGGCACAAGAGCGGTGTCAATTGTCTTGACTACTATCATGGAAGTGACAAACCATATCTTGTCTCTGGAGCCGATGACAAGTACAGTATAATTTGCATGGATTTATTGTGAACGTCTAGTTTGTAGATCTAATTTACATTTGAATACAATCCAAATCGGTATTTAATCCTGGTATCAACATGATCAAACAGAACTGTCAAAATTTGGGACTATCAGAACAAGTCTTGCGTGCAGACCCTTGATGGACATACCAACAATGTTTCTATCGTGTGTTTCCACCCCGAACTTCCTATTATTGTCAGTGGTAGTGAAGACGGTAAGTGCATGGGTTTCAATAGCATACTGAATAGTTGGATCAAACTGTGTTAAGAAATATTTACTTGTTGCTGACATTTAATTGACATCTTCATTCAAATAGGCACTGTGCGTATCTGGCATGCAAACACGTATCGTTTAGAAAACACTCTCAACTACGGCATGGAGCGTGTATGGGCAGTTGCCTACCTCAAGGGCAGTAACGATCTTGCATTTGGTTACGATGAAGGCACAATTGCCATTAAGCTGGGTCGTGAAGAACCAGCTGTTAGTATGGATGCCAGTGGAAAAATCATTTGGGCTCGCCATTCTGAGATTCAGACCTCCAATATCAAGGCATCTGGCGAAGAGGTTCATCTTGAAGATGGCGAGCAGGTGATTCTTCCTGTCAAGGATCTTGGTAGCTGTGAAATTTACCCACAGACACTTCAGCATAGTCCGAATGGCCGGTATGTATTTCGAACCTGTTGTGCACTGTCTTGATCTTCAGCTTTTGCATGTGCTTTGGAAACACATGGCAGACACTAATGCATTACTCTACACCTGAAATATCATGACAATACACTTAGATTTGTGGTTGTATGCGGTGATGGTGAATATATCATATATACGGCTCTTGCATGGCGCAATAAAAGCTTTGGACAGGCACTCGAGTTTGTATGGGCCATGGATTCCAATGAATATGCTATTCGCGAGTCATCATCTAGCGTCAGACTATTCAAATCATTCAAGGAAAAACCCGTAAGCATCCGACCCAGTTATGGAGCTGAAGCTATTTTTGGCGGTGCATTATTGGGTGTGCGTAGTAGCTCGTTTTTAATCTTTTATGACTGGGAAACTGCACTTCCAGTCCGTCGTGTGGACGCTGCTGTCCGTAATGTGCTTTGGTCAGAGTCTGATCTTGTAGCCATTGCCAGTGAAGAGTCGTTTTATGTTCTCAGATTTAACCGATCTGCCTATCAAGCCCACATTGAAAGCGGCGCTCAGGTTCAAGAGGATGGATTTGAAGCTGCCTTTGAATTCGTTACTGAGATTTCCGAGAGTGTTCGGACTGGCTGCTGGGTCGGTGATTGTTTCATCTACACCAACGTAGCAAACCGACTCAACTATGTTGTTGGAGGACAAGTGGCTACACTGTCACATTTTGATAACAACATGTACCTCCTCGGTTATATTCCTCGTGACAACCGCATCTATATTTGCGACAAGAACCTTGCTGTCATGAGCTATTCATTGCCACTTTCGTTGATTGAATATCAAACTGCAGTGATCAGAAACGACATGGAGCATGCTGCTCGTGTGCTACCATCAGTTCCTGTTGACCAGCACAATCGTATTGCTCGCTTCCTTGAAGGTCGTGGGCTTAAAGAAGAGGCCCTTCACGTTTCGACCGATACGGAGCACAAATTTGAATTGGCAGTCCAACTTGGACACCTTGATATTGCGTACGAGATTGCCAAGACAGCCGCGCATGATCAAAAGTGGAAGACCATTGGCGATGCTGCGCTTTCTGCATGGAAAGTAAGTATATCTAGTGAAAACTTAGTGCACTGGATTGAACATCACATTTAACATTTACTGTATATGTCAAATTTAATTTATGGAAATCCATCATGCTTGCTAGTTTGGACTGGCAGAAGAATGCTTGCATCGTGCTCGGGATTTTGAAGGTTTATTAATGATTTATCAGACATCTGGTAATGCAACAGGATTGGCAGAGTTGGCCACCATGGCGGGTAAGTGTGTCGAGTATCAGATCAATATATATCTTTTGTTGGATCATTGAATGTGGACAATAACTGCTGTACTGTCGTCGAAACTAACACTGTTGTGTGATTGTTTTCATATTGAATTGAAATACTCAGTTGAAGCTGGATCCAACAATATTGCATTCGTATGCTTTCTTTTGCTTGGTCAGACCGAGCAATGTGTTGATCTTTTGATCCATACTGGTCGTATTCCTGAAGCAGCATTATTTGCGCGCACCTATGCACCTAGCCAGATCAATCGTGTTGTTGCGTTGTGGAAAGCATCTTTGGAAAGTCAGGGTAAACACAAGTCGGCTGAAGCACTTGCCGAACCCACTCGCTATCCAAATCTCTTTTCTGATTTTGAATATGGCTTGACTGCGGAAATGGGTTTTAAGCGTCGTCGTGATCGTGGACTTGTTTCGGCTGGAGAGTATGTTGAATGGAAGGATTCGCTGGACTGGGATGTGATTGGCCGTAAGTTGAATAGTTTGTTTTTATTGCCACACTGCAGTTCTATCTAGCATTGATTTAAATATGTATTTACAATGGGTTGTTTTGAATTTAGAAATCAAAGAGCGATATCCCAATGGAATTCCGCCAGAACTGAGTCAGCAGCAGCCATCAGCTTTAACATCTCCTGATGGACTTGGTTCGCAGAGTGCACAGAGCATGCGAAGCAATACCAGTCTAAATGATCCCTATGCATCTACTTCCACTTTAGCCAAATCTGATGTAAATGGTAGTCAAGCTGCGCTTATATCACCTGTTCGTTCTGCATCACCAGCTCGTCGTACGCCATCGCCGAATCGGATGATTTCGCCCATTCGCGCTGCACAAACATCTCCTGCTTCAGTGTCTAATGCTGCCTCTTTTTCACAGCCAAGTGTCATGCAACCTCAGCAACACAGTCAATCTGGCTCTTTTGTTTCGAATCAATCAAAGACATCGAATGTGTCGTTTGAGGTAAATGAATGGATATGGACTGTGTATTTTGCATTGGGTTACTAATCTATTTCTATTTTATGTCTTTTTTATTGCATGGTTCAATAGGCATCACATCCACCTCACCCAACGCTGCTGGGTAAAACACATCTCACCGGTATTGCTACTGACGATAGACCTGATGGTCTTTCCGACAGTCTGAGTCACCTTAGTCTAGATGTCAACACCACTGGCACAGGATCACTTCGTGGTGACATGGATTTTGAAGATTTTAGTTCAATTGGAAACAGTACAACAGCCAATGATGATCTGGCTGCATTGAACGATGATGAGATTGATGCGTTATTGATGTGAATATCCTTTATTGATGATGACTTAATACATTGGTTTTATTGTTTTCAATGTTTCAGTGTATTTAATTTAATTTATACTCGGTTTAGAATCAAAACTGTTGATGTGCTTGCTTGTCAACGTAATAAGCCTAAAACAACACATCAACTCCATACCATGTTTGAATGGATTGAATCAAAGCCAACTTCAAGTGGGTCGTGACACATTTCCAAACTCTAATGCCAGAGCTTGTAATGTTCGCGACATGTCTTCATCTTCCTCATCGCTCATCTCGCCATCATTGCGGATACTTAGTACACTGCTTCGTATAGCATTCGCACTTGAAGCATTACCATTACCATTCATAGTTAGTATGGATCGCTTATCCATAGTAGAAGGTGATCCAGACAAATTTCCCGAATACCCTCTTGTGATGCCAGACATGTCATCATTGTTAGATATCCCAGTTACACCTTGTTGTTGCATTGAATTGAATCTTAATCCTCCAAGAGCAGCATTTCCCGTTACTGAAGCCGAAGGCGAGTGTGTAAATTTGCGCAAATACGATGCAGTGGATACAGATAGGATATCGGGGATATATGCCAATTTAGTTTGAGAACCACTTCGTGATTGAGTTTGAAATTCGTTTACAGATGAACGCCATGCATCTTCTTTTTCCAATGCAGTTGTAGAGGCTGTAATGGGTTTGTCATCAGAATGAGACAATGAATGACTAGTTGATTCATTGTTTAATCTTGCTTGTAATGGATCATTGACAACCGTATGCAAATGTGCGAGTGTTTCTGATGGAGAGGTTTGAATTGATGCATTTGGGAGTTGAGAGTTGGGTGGTGGTGTGAGCGCATATCCGTTGAATGTACCTGATATAGACGACACCAGAGAATGGTTGACACGCTCAAGTGACGGAACGACAGACATGAGTTCAGGAAGTTGTAAAATCCGAGTATTCATTACAGCAGATGAATGAGCGTGATTAAAAACTGTTTCAGATTCAGTCTGCTGTCCTTCAGATTGAAACTGTGATTGACGCGAATCACCACTGGATCTTGTATTATACAGAGATGCAACAGAGGAAGAAGTTGAAAGAATTGTATTTGCGACAGAAGTTCTCAAGGTTGATGCTTCCATAGCAGACCTGTGTAAACCATAACCCAATGAAGCCACGCCAGAAAAGCTTCCTCGTGTAGAGGTAGAATTAGGTATCAGCGTTTGATTAGCAGTTAAAGATCCTTGCCGACTATTTAGATATTGCTGATTTCCAATGAAAGTGGATATAGATGGAGGTGACATGGATCCAGACAGTCCAGAAGAGGACTGATCGGATTGGATTATATTTGAAGCAGCAAGTGGATCCGATACAAAAGTAGTATGTCCTGTAGATTGCGATACTGCTGTATCCAAAGGAATAGGAAGTGGTGCAGTTGGTAATCTCACTTTTAAAGTGGGATGCCGTTTAAACGGAAAAACAGGTAAACTGACATATGCTTCAGATTCACTGGAAACTGTTCCTGAAGCAGGAGTCAATGTAGATGAAATGGCAGTATTCCCCAGATTCCCCCAAAGCCATTTGGGTAGCCTGGCAGCCAGCGCATGCGAGATTTCAAAGTCACCAGTAAACTTGGTGACAAACTCGGCTTCTTCCGATGACAACATTGCTTCCTTCAAGTATCGAATGCATTCTGACCTATACGAAGCAACACTCCAACACTGTAGTTTGCGTAGACACATGATCACTAGAGTGGTTACCAAAGACCCATCCAGACAATGTACATACAGAGGATACGAGCATGAATCAATAAGGACAGGCAGGATCTGAGCAACCTTTGGAAAGGACAAGGGAATGTTTTCTTTGGGTCTATCGACTCGAATATGAACCAAAGTGATGTTGTTTGATGCAGCAAACTTGAGTATGGAAGGTTCAGATAGTGGTTCAGGAGTGAGGGATACGATGGTCTTGAGTCCAAGTCTGGCTAGAAATCGATGGTTTCGGTCTTTTGGATAACCGCCTCTAAAGAGGTCTTCCTCGACAGTACCAAACCGATAAGTTGGATATATGGAAGGCAAAGGAGTGCAAGGACGACAAGCATATGAAGAAAGCGAGGGTTGTGACTTGGTCATATCTAGAATGGTTTGTCAAATAGTCAACTTTATCGAGTTAATTCAGTAAACTTGATGGTAATATGCGCACATCGTTGTCAACGTGCTAAAACGTCAATTCTTAAAATGTATTTCAATATAAATCCACTTGAATTCCCCATTTTAAAAATAAACTCTCAAAATCTGTAATAAAGAATCAAATGTTGAATGAGAGAGTATTTATGTGCATGAACGTTTTTAAAAAGTAATTGAATGCAAGAAAATATTAAAATTGTGACTGTCCAAAGAAAAATACACTTGTAGATTGGTTTGGTAGGTGCAAGATGAACAATTAAAAACGATCAAGTTGTGGGCCAGATTAGAGTGAGTTGTGGAGATCGAGATGAATAGATAGTACTGCCAGCGACTATTGAAGGTAGAGGAGCATTTATATTAATTTCAGAACAACTGGAACGGTTTTTACTCTTGCTTGAAGATCCTCCTTTTACAGTCGACACGTCACTGGCATCACCATCGCACGTTTCGGGGCTAGACGGATGTGCCAGCATCAGTTTTGAGAGCTTGTACGATGATAAAGAGAATGAATGTTTATGTCGCATATTAGTACTTGGGGTGGGAGGACATTTGGATAAATGCGACAACGACTCTGTTCCATTTGAATGAGGTTGTACTGCTATAGTAGATATGGGTGCATGCGCGATCGGCAAAGTGGGTGCAGACGATGAAGCAGTTACGGCAGTAGCAGAGCTGGAAGGAAAGAAAATGCTAGACTGCCATCCTGCTCGTTTGCGAGCGGATTGAATGTGTGATCGTCCACAAGAGAGTGGACATGGAGGTACGGCGGTTGGCGAGCTGAGCTGTTTAGTAGTGTGTAGTGCACAAGGACAATCTGGTAAATGGCAATGATTTTGAAGATGGGCATTGCAGCGGTGTAAATGGCAGGTTGATGACAATGCATTAACGGTGGTGTCCGAGTTGACAGTGGACGACGATTCACTTGATGAAGACCCGGTGCGCGGCTTGCAAGGATGATTACCACAACTACAAATTGTAATGTTGCTGCAGCAATGGTTGGAAGTGCAGCCATTTGTACTGCATATCGTACCCACATTACTGTTTCCATGTCTTTTACCACCAGAAATCTTGGCTTTACGAGAGCGAGCATGCCGTACAGGAGGACAGCCACAATGTACAGGAATCCCATTTGATGATCCTTGGAGATTATACTCAACACATGCACTACACGTAGAGTTGCGCTTATCCGTGCTGGACCCTAAAGAAAACGGTACTGGATTGGGCGAGTTATTGCTGGCACAAATCTGATTCGAGATTGGACTATTGACGGAATGCGATACTGACATAGGTGAATTAACGCACCCACACCCATAGTTTGCATGGTTACAACGTTGCTCAAGTGATAGAACACGAGCTTGAATGGCTATATACTTTGCCTTGGTCTCCAAATACTCTTGAACAAAAATGTTTTCGTTTGTAGTGATCACCAACTGCTCTATAGCTGAATCCAATTCGTGCTGTACTAAGCTACGACCAAGAATCTCCCTACGTAGAGATTCTCGTAGTTCCTCAATCTCACGCTTTAATCCAATATTCTCTGTCTCCACTGGAGATGGAAGAACTGGGGATCCAGGCGTTAAATTCAACTGCAGTTTGGGAGTATTAAATTTACGAGATTTCAAAGCGGCATTAGGTGTTGAGGATGGAGTAATCGTATGTACCAAATGTGTAGGGGTTGCTAAAAGTGTAGACGATGTGGATGCTACAGAGCCTTCTATACTGTCAGATCTCAAAGACATAGCAGTTGCTACTGGCGAAGTTGGAGTAGTCGTGGTGTGAACAACATTTGGCACTGAATGTGGCAATGAAGTCTTGGCTTTTCCAGTAGAGGAAAATGACAGAGTTGGACTAGAGTTGGCGGACGCATGCATGTCCATAGCAGTCAAAACAGAAGCATCCATAGTGTGCAATCGATGATGATTGACACCAGAGCAGTGATTCTGTTGACGATCTTCTGGAACGGTAGAAAGGCTCGACTGTGAACCATGCATGTCTGTAGCTCGGTCTCCAGCATGATCTGACGAAAACCCAAGTTTCTGAGGAAGCTTACTTGATGAACCGAAAGATTTTAAAAAGTTCCATGCTCGTGAACCACTACTAGTGGGTGCAGTTGCACTTTTATTACCTAGTGAGAAAGAGCGAGTGTTATTGTTATTACCGTCTATGGAAATCCGAGCAGAGGTCGATGCATGCCGACGGCCATGATTACTGTGCAGTAATGCTGTATTAGAAAGCGGGTGCATAAAACAAAACTACTAGTTAGTCAAATAAGTCAATTTTGGGTTTACTTGACAGCACTACACACAAACAGACAAACTCGAATACTTCAAGATTAATGAATCCCAAGATCTTGGCGGGAAAGGAGCCATTGTGTATGGCACGTTATTCCGACAATAACCTCCGCCGGTGAGTTTCAACTCATCCGCGTGTTATTGTCAAGCTCAAAATTGTGGCATCGAGAATGCACAACTAAGCGGAATGAATGGCATGTAGATCAAGCCAGTCAAAAGTCTTGATTATAGTTTTGACTATAGTCAAGACTTAATACGGATATAATAGTTACACTTTTGTTGTTGAGCCACTCAGTCTAAATATGTTTGCTCGGTTTGCAAGACAGCTTATGACAATTCTCGGAATAAATTGCACATTCTGGCGGTGATAAAGCCTCAACTAAATAGTTGCTTTGCAATGGCAATAATAAACACTTACATGTATCGAGTGAATTGCGAGAAGTAGGCATCTCAGGCTGTGTATACGCTTGAGTAAAAGGCTGAATGTTGGATACTGGATGTAACGAGGATGAGTTGGAAGTAACTGTTAAAGTTGGATAGTCAGGTTCAACAGACATGGATGTGCGATTATAGTTACAATGGTTAGAAAACTGATTGTCAACTTTGTCATTATTCTGATGGGCGTGGTTATGAGGCTGGTGATGATCCACTACTTGTGGTCGCACAGCCAGCGATGCGTTCCAGGACGAAGAATGTACGCCGTCATCAAATGCTGCGCGGGCAGTGACCAGATCAGGGCTTGAAGCTGCCCGCAAATGGTTTTTCGCAACATAAGGATTGGAATGGCTGCTATATTGCTCTGCAAAGTTACCAAAGCTATTTCTATTCGTTCGTGCTGTTGTTGGGTCAGTAGTTGCTGCATTGGTGTAGCCACATCCATTGAGGTTTTCTCCTGCAGATATTGAGCGATGTGGTATGATGGAGAGCCGTTTTCCAATGCCATTGATTACAGTGGATGCAAACAGCTTTGCCTGGCCCAATGTGCTACGAGAGCGACTCAATGGCTGCCGGTGAATGGTATCAGAACTATTGTTGTAATCCACGCTTTCAGCAGTAACGCTCATCACATTTCCATAATCTAAACGTTCGTTGCGGTAATAGCACTCTTTATCTGTCATCGTCTGATGATAAGTAGCACTGGTGCCAAAATGATCAATAGAAAAGCGTTGTGTATCTGATAACGAGTGATCATTGCTTTGTAGTGGTTTTTGCTGTGAATGAAAAGCATGAACAGGTAGGGGATTGGTGAAACCGGAATTCCTACGAGTCCCATAGTGCGATTGCCGTTTGCGAGGGGGGTCAAATATAGGACTTGCAGAAATACTTGCAGTACTATTGGAGCTATATAGAATAGGTTGCGATGGCCGAAGAAATAATCTCTTGTCACTACTACTCGCCGAGACTGGCGAATATAAAGTGTTGGACATGAATGAGCCTTGAATGTCTTGGATCGTTGCTGGAAACCACCTGAAAATTCCAAATAAATAGTGCTGGTGTTGTGGCCAAGGTATTTATAGGACTAAAACGGCTTTACCTTACCAGATGTCAACTGTTTAAGGATTAGAAATATAATTTCAGTCAACGTTTGTTTTGCAGCAAAAATATCAAATTCCCTCATGAAAATGGAGTTGTTAGGGAGTAGTGCAGGGAATACACGCTGACCCCTCATTGAAACATACAGTACGTGAAAGATTTAGGGCGGGTGTAAGTTGCTTGTGAAGTACTGGTATGTGTAATATTGCTTGGTCCGTCAATATTTGTTCAAGTATGTTTTTAATAGTCTGACCTGGTGTTGGATAGACGAGGGGTTGGTACTGTCAAAGAACAGGCTGGATAGCTATGGTAATGACCAGTGCAAATCTACCACAACTTTAAGCATATTTGGCGACTCACGGACATTGCCAACGCGCAACATTCCGACAATGTGCAACACTGGATACCGGCATGTCTTGGCTCACCACTAAAGTGTATTGTTGTCTCAAACTCATTCCTCTCTTTAATGCATTGCCTCACCTTATGTAAGTCTATGGCGTCATGAGTTGATCTAGGAAGCTTATTTATGTGGTTCTAAATCACCTATTTTGTCCACCATCTCTACTTTTACATTGCACTGACAGTTCCGCTCAATCACCCAAAACAACATTCATTCCCGATTCAACCTCAAGTTTAACAAAGTCAGCTCAATGCCCTAGACATGCATGGGCAAATTTCCACTAGTATATATCAGCTCAGTCAATCGATAAACGATTCGATACGTTTGATTGGCTGGTATTGATCTGTGCCAGGTTGCCACTGTAAAAGTCTTGCTTGTGCAACCATATTCATGTAAAGTAGAAAACTATCTTGCAGCCAATATGTTGCTTTAGAATAAATGGTTAGACATTCGCTGTACTTTCCTACTAAACATCCACTACTTCAATCGGCATTTTCAACTCTTCAATAAACACAACGCCCATCATATGATACAAAATCAAACTATAGCTTTGATTTGAAATTCACTTTTGCACAGCCATACGCTGTATAGTCACCAGATTCATTTATTTTAATCCAGATGTTGGATCCAGCTGTTCTGATAGTGTCAAACTATAAACTCGGATACGTTTGTAATAACTCTATTTTGCTCTGGAATAAACAATCGTTGTATATTTGTTGTTGAAAATTGATTAGTTTTACAAACTCTGTAGTCTAATATCAGATACGTTGACGATCTAGTTCGAGAGAGCATCTCGAGAATGTAACCGTTGTTTCCATGATGGTCACTTGAAATGTTTGTTTTGAAGAAAAGGAAAGTTGAAGGTTAAAGAAATGTCAAGAATGCGATCACTTGCTCTGTATTCTTGTACAAGAGTGAGCATGATGATCAGTCAACTAATGAATTCATAAAACACAATGTTGCCCAGTAAGATTGGCATTCATCAAACATGACTGTTTATCATGCATTTGATACCCTTGCTTAGTATTCCATTCTACATAAATACGGCTGTAATATTGCAGACATCTAAACACATACATGCTTCACATGGTAACATGCACAATCCACAACAACCATCACTTGAATGGTATGTTGCCAAGCATTGCCAGGTTGCATTCATAAATATTGCCAAAAACTCGTATAGGTTTCACATGGTAGCATGCGCAAGAATAGCAATTAGCAATAGTAGGTCGAGGGGTGATTCATCTCTCAATCGATTCATTTACTGCCATAACCACCCAAGCAAAGAATTCCAGTTACTAAGGATTTGGCTGTTATAAATAAAAATCTATACAATTGATGCAATAAGCAGCCTTTTACAGCCATATTTATGTAAAATGGAATACTAATAAGCGTCAATGCATGATAAACAGTCATGCTTGATGAATGCCAATCTTGCTGGGCAACATTGTGTTTTATGAATTCATTAGTTGACTGATCATCATGCTCACTCTTGTACAAGAATACAGAGCAAGTGATCGCATTCTTGACATTTCTTTAACCTTCAACTTTCCTTTTCTTCAAAACAAACATTTCAAGTGACCATCATGGAAACAACGGTTATATTGTTGAGATGCTCTCTTGAACTAGATCGTCAACGTATCTGATATTAGACTACAACAGAGTTTGTAAAACTAATCAATTTGTAGTAGAAAAACAACCCATGTTGAAACATGGTTTATTTCGGAACAAGAGTCATTGCAAGATGAATACAGAAAGGTGTTTCATTTTACGTGAATACCGGCTGTAGATCAGATTCAGTAAAAACCACTACCATTCAGACTTGAATCAGGCATCAATCTTGGCTACATCAACGGTCTCAATAGCACACTGGGTAAGAATGCACTGAACCCATTCCTTGACATTTAGCTCAAGAGTTTCAAGACGAACAGATCCGTGATCAAGAACAACATCGTGGAAAGCGCGAAGATCAAACTTGCTTCCAAGTGCAGTTTCAGCATAAGATCGAACTTCCCGAATCTTGATCTCACCAACTTTATAAGCAAGTGCTTGACCTGGCATGATCGAATATCGCCTTACTTCACTGACAATCTCTTCGTGCGACATAGAAAGCTGTTCTGACATGGTTTCAACACACTTGTCAACGGTCCATCCGAGTGTGTGCAATCCAGTATCAACAACAAGACGCAGGGCACGGAACATTTCAAGCTCTAAGCGACCAAACAAGTCGTATGGAGTGTCGTACATCTCCATCTCTTCTCCAAGAAATTCAGAATACAGACCCCATCCTTCAACATAGGCAGTGTTGGACACGGTTTTAAGAAAAGTGTGAGAGACGGGCATTTCAAGTGCAAGAGACACTTGATGATGATGACCCGGATTAGCCTCATGTAGTGTCAGTGCCATGGCAGAGTGTCTAGGAGAATCTTTAGAAAGAAGCAGATTGGTGGAGAAAGTACCGGTCTTTTCAGCAGTACCGGGCTGGTAGAAGGCAATGGGAGATGACGACTCGGCCGCAGGAGGAACAGATTTGACATCGCATTCAAATTTGGGGAATTTGCTAAATAGCTCAGGCATTTTCTTGTCAATGCGCTAATAAACAGCAATCGTTACAGTGTAAAAATCAACATTTGGATATATATTAGAATGTCACATTTGCATTACAATCCAACAAACATGGCTAACCGTAAAACTCACCTTGATCAAATCTTTGTAGTAAGGAACACAATCATCAGGACTGGCAAAATACAGCTGAGGGAACTGTTTCTTGTCCTTCAAGGCGACAAGGAACTCGGCATAGGTGCCATCAAACACTTTGCTCTTTGTTTCCTCCATGCGGGCACGAATACGAGAAACTTCCTTGAGACCAAGCTGATGAAGCTCATCAGCAGTGTAGCGCACAGTGGTGTTGAGATAGATCAGATCATTGTAGACACGCTGAGAATCAGCAAGACTGTATATACCTGCAGTACTACGTGCATGAGGCAAATACTCGCTTTCGAGGAATACTTTGACACTGGTATAAGCAGGAACAAGGTAGTCGCGGATAGCAGCAATGGCATAATCTTCTGGAAGGTCAATGGCGACAAATTTTTCCTTGAATAATTGGTGGAAAATACTTTCAGTGGGATCAGCCACAGCCATATTTCCGCAAAGATCAATCATCAGCTTGATTGATTCAGCGGGAAGAGTAATCTTTTTTGCGATGCCAGCACGGTAAGCATCAATGCAATGACCAAATCGTTCAGGAGTTCTTTTGATACGAGTAACATAGTTTTCAGCATCCTTGACAGTTTTGAGAGACTGGAAAGCAGATATGGATGAGTGGAAGCTAGCAAAGGCGCCATACATGTGAGTAGCAGGGATTTCATATCCATAGCAAGTGTCGCTGAGAAGAATCTCAGTACAACTTCCCTTGACCTGTTTAAGGTCGTCCTTTTCCTTGATAGAGAGCTGACTGGCATCGATTGCTTCAGCTCGTTCAGAAAGCTTAGTAACGATACCGATGTTTTTTTCGTGAAACTCTTTGGAGCTGTTGAAGATCTCGTCAGGATATCTGTCAAGACCAAATATGGGCGAATACTCTGTAATGTCGGATTAAACCCCAATTGATTAATAGGATTTAAACAAGTGCAAGCGGATGAAAATACACATTGTAGAGTCGATTAGTAAACATGATTGGAAATGATCTGCTTGAATAATGCTGGATATCAGCCAAAGTTACAAAGGAATGATGATCAGTTATACATGCAGACCAGCTGTCATAATTTGGACCAAGGCATTTACCAGGTGCAGACTGACAAAAGAGCTCCATAAAGTCATCCATAATACAGACCAACTCTTTGCTGGCATCAGGAGTTCCAGTTACAACAGTCGTTTTTGCGACAGGAGCAGCAGGCTTGGTGGCCTTCAAGTGTTTTCGAAAAAAGGGCAAGCAGCTTAACATTCTAACAAGCAATGGTCGTAATAGGAGGATGCAATAAAATCTAATAGCCAAGTATTTGCCGCCGTATTCAGATTCGTCTTCAACTTTATACGCCACAAAACATTAATATTTTACTGCCGTATTCATGTAAACACCAATTGTCAAAATACATAAATCAGTCATGAAATGATGAATGTCAAATTCACTGGACAAATTATGTTTTTAAATTCTTTAGTTGATTGGTTCTTTTTGTATAAGCAACTGAACGAATGTCGATATGACAGTTTATTCAAATATTGAATGATTGGTATGGAAACAACTGTTGTATTCTTGAAGCATGCAATCATTTTTTTTCTTGGATTAGAGTGTATTTATGAGTTTAAGATATAGGAATTTGACAACTATTAAACCCAATATTTGGATTGTTGTGATTGTACAATCTAGACTGTCAAATGAAGGTTTTTGTTCAAAATTATCGTTTGGTTTCGATTAAAAACTTGAGAATGTTCAGCAAGAATACAGAATTGTTTTATTTTGCATTGTAAATATTCCTGAGGGTACGATAGTATACTGGTTTTTTCTGGTACGAATATTTTTCAATAATGTTGCAAAATAGCCAAATGCTGAAATCATTGACTTCTAGACCAACTGTAATGTATGGCATGGCAGCATTCAAATTGAACAGATCGCCATATAGATATTTAACCTTTGGATCCAAATTACAAACAAGACACAGTTCACACGTATTTCCCGAATCCATGAAAGTCACCACAGTCCAAAAAGAGGCAAGTCGGTTAGTTGATAAATTCAGTAATACTCCAAAATCCTTTACTGCATCATATCCATTACCTAATGAGTTGAGGAATGTGTCAAATTCTCTTATTTTACAATGATTGCTAATTGATATTTTTGAAATATATGAATGCATGCTGTGATAATTTTCTTGGACAATCATAATCTCCAGTTGGATGTTCAAGTCACTACAGACGATATAGATATACTATACAAAGCTCTAAAGACTCCAATCGCATCTCAAGCTAAATCAGGACCAGCAGCATCCGTCTCTCATAAACTCAGTCCGGAATATCTGCAATCCCTACACCTGTCATTAAAAGATGTTGAAGCTGAAAAGCTTTCCAAGAAAACAAACCAATTCAAAAGTTTGGAACGTGCTCTGAAAAACAAAACAAACACTCCAACACTTTCACAGCTTACTCAGCTCATTCATATCAATGCTATTGCTAAACGACCAAAGCAAGCACTAGAGTCATTCAATCACATTGAAAAAGTTGGATTAACGCCTGATGTTGTTGCATATAACCATCTCCTTGATTCTTACTCTCGTGCTGGTGATTTAAACGGTGCCGTGGCTGTTTTTTCTCGAATGCAAACCGCAGGAATATTCCCAGATCTTGTTTCATTCTCTACACTGATTAATGCATGCGTTGCCAAACGCGATCTAAACGGTGCATTCAAACTGTACCATGAAATGAAGAGCAAAAATATCCAACCCAACCAGATTATCTACACCACACTCATCAACGGATGTGCCAAAACAAAAGACTTTGCTCGAGCATGGAAGACGTTCAATTTTATGCGCACTGAAATCTCCCTTCCAGATGCTGTTGCTTTTAATTTGATGATTCACATTTGTTCAAAAACAGAAGATGCAGAAAGAGCAATCGACTTGTTCAAGGAAATGTCTGAGCGTGGATTAGAGATTTCGCAATACACGCTGACTTCTTTAATTCAAGCCTGCTCTTCCCGCCACGATTATTATAACGAGTCGTTTGTCCTGCTGGAACAAATGGCTGCAAGTGGTTTTGTGCCTTCCATTCGTACATACAATGTCATTTTGTCGGGAGCTGCCAGATTTGGTGATATCTTGCGAGGTCGTTTGATTTGGAACGATATCGTAGAGCGTATGCGTGAGCAGCCACTTAGCTCCAATCCTGATGTGATTCAACTCAATCGTATATCTCCAGACGAGTATATTTATGCATCCATGCTTCGTCTCTATACTAAAGCAATCAAAATTGAAACTCAAAAAGCTTTGCTTTTGGATCCATCAACGAATACAGCAGCACCACCTACTCTAGCTTCTGATCCTACACAGCAAGCAAAAGACTTTAATCTTGAAACTAGTTTTGATAATAGCCAAGCAACGGCAGAAACAAGTATTTCCTTGCTTGAATCTACAGATACTTCACCTGCAGCGTTACTTGATGAAGCACAGAGCATATGGCAAATATTTCTAAAACAACATCATCTTCATAACACTGAAAATACCAAGCGCGTACAAAGTGCCTACTTGAAACTGCTATGCACTGATCCATCTCACAATGCGTTTGCTCGTGCCTATGATTTTTGGAACACGTTAGACTCTGTCAGTAAAAAATCCATAGCCAACTATTACTGCTTAATAACTCTTGCAATGAGACAATCAGATACAATAGATCAAGGAACAGTGTTATGGAACAGTCTTCTTGAATGGGATGCTGAAATGGAAAAGTCGTTGGATGTGCAATCTGGAGAAAAAATGACACGTACAGAAAAAGAACTGCTGCGTCTTCAACATGGGCGATCTCGCGAAATCATGTTTAAAATGCATTTAACAATGGCAAATGGATATGCATTGTAAGTTGTTTTTTGAAACTATTTCATTTGCTTAAAAAGTCTATACTTGGCAGTCGTATACCATTACTCTACACTTGATTTTTCTTTAGACAAGGTCATGTTTGATGCAGATTGGCTTTTAATCCTATTTAAACTTGCTTATTTTGATATTTTTACATTCAGGGCAGGAAAAATCGAATCTGCAGTCAAAGTTCTATATGATACTGTTCTATTTCGATACCCTTACTATCTACCTGCAGTCCACTTTCGTGATATCTCGCCGATTGTCAAGATTGCCGAGCAGAATGCGGACAATGCTCAATGGGATTTGATGAATCACATACTTGGACTCTGTCCACCCATCACTGATCCACTATCACAAGTTCAGCACATGTTGAAACTCAAAGCTGTTCCTTCTGGAAGCTGGTGGGGATGGAACATTCTTGGGGTTGATGAACATGCGATGGCTATGTTGCGTCGAAAACAACAAAAAGAGCGATCAAAAGTGGTTCAACGCACCGAAGCGTATCGTAATCGTTCCACCCATCATAGAAATACTAAAGTGGTGCTGGCAAACGTACCAGAGCTTGTAAAATCACACACTGATAAGAATTCTACTACTCGAGGGTAGTAAGTTGAATCATCCAAATGTATGAGTGCTGCAATTCAAGGGCTGGACAATTTCAAGATTGGATGGTCTATGTAAGGCGGATCAAGTATGTATCTGGGTATTACTGAAAATCCAGATATTCTCACAACCTTATTCGTGCCAAATACGTAATAAACCGCAGTTTCGTATAATGATAATTCGCCAGATTGACTAAACAAAGCTGTGTTTTTTGAACAAATATTTGCATTACATTTTGATGAAAGACTTGCTGCATCTTTCGATTAAATATAAGACAATGCTACTCATTTGATATAATGGCGACTGTTTGCCAATCTTGTTTTGACAAAAAAATGGCGTTCTGCCCGAGTCTAGGCTAGCCTAAAGACAATCGTGCAATGTTACGGATAGTTTAGACTTTTAAAATGCCACAACAGCAGTCTGCTTGATGCTATTAGAATGCCTATTAAACATAATGAAAGTGGAGTCTTGTATAACTAAAATAAATCTTTCATCTCTATTCTCATCCCCATTGTCACTAACTCTGACTTTTTTGTAGACTCGGTTGGATGTAATATTTTTGAAAAGTTATGCTAGGTTACTGCTGTATAAGCAAAAATTTGGGGGTTTAGATCACCACCAAGGTGTTTAAATAGTTGAAAAGCACCAACCAAAAACAAGGTATTCACTTTCAGTCCAAGCGCTTTCGCTTATTATTATACTCATCATCACCTGAAATTGATTGTAAACCATACGAAGTTTGATGCTGATGAGAGGAATCTGGATACTGCCTTGCAGACATCTGCGACTGCCGACGTGGTGGACGGTAGTGATGTAGTGTTGATGATTGCATTGGCAAGGCACGTCTAAACGCAGGGCCAGATTGGGCACTGTCTGATGAGTCATTATTAAATGTAGATCGCATAGTGTGGCCCCGACCTCTGGAGTTATATGGCGGCCGCCTACCCCGATGATTCGAGTCATTCTGTGAGTTACGCGCAATGGGTTCGGATGATCTATTTTGGGGGCCAAGCCTAGGATTAGTTTTGACTACTACTGGCTCGGATGGACGATCGGCCTAGAGTTGAAAGTAAAAGACGGTTTTTAAAATTAGAAATACATAGAAAAGCCATGATTTTATAACTGATGCATACCCAGTGGTGATACACAAGCTCTGCCGTAGGCACCTATTTTATATGGATCAAACAAATGATTTTAAATCAGTATATGATCAAGTCATTGACTATGCCGCTAAATACATGTATTGCCAAAAATGCAGTAACATACTGGTTGTCCTGTTTCTTCTTCTCCCCATTCCATGTGTGACATGTTAGGTCTGTCTGTGAATGCCATTGAAAATCTAAAAATAAACTCGATTGTAAGCGCACCGAAAGCAATCATGAGTACTCGGACTAGATGCAGAAGCTTATAAGTCAGTCAAGATAGACTTACTCGCCTATGCGCACAATCTTGCCTATAAATAACTGAACTTGACCTTGATGCAACGATACTCTGCTATAGAATCAAAAGTCAAAATATATTAGTATCTCGTGAAAATAAACGAATCAGACTGATTAGATCCACTCGAGTTATACTTGCCATTTCGATAAGGTCAACACATCTCCTAAATAATAGCAATGCAAGCCCATATATTTAAAGAAAACACGATGAGCAAATCATCAGAGTGTATTTGTCGAAACCGCCACAGACAAACATCTCGACATCCATGTGTAAATAACAAGCAATTCACACCTTCGTTTATGTATTTGGCTTCAGGAAGCATTGTTGTTGCAAGTATGGATGCTGTATTATCAGCAACCCAACAGTGCCGCAGCTCACCAGATCTGATTTGTATAGGATTATCCGCTTGTGATTTGAATTTCAGATTTACCATTTGAATCAAGCCAAGTAGTGATGGATTGTATTATTCAAGATAATTGTAGATTAGAAATCATATAGACCTGAATGGTCAATGCACTAAACCCATTACAGTTCAAAACTAGAAATCGATGACCAATCTTGATATAACCAAGTTGAGCATGACTACGATCTAAGACGCCTCGTGTGCCATGCCTATAGCCATTGTAGTTTGGCATGTAACAATAGTAGAAAACAGGTCTTCAAAACCACCCACAGTGATCTGTGCTTACCCTTGTCAATGACAAAACATTGAACAGTAATATCTTTCATGCCTGGTCTCAATGACAACAGCTGACGTACAGCATCGATGCCCACCACTGCAGTAGTATTCTGCATTGTCAGATAAAGAAATTCATTGTTACAAAAATTGAATCCCTCAGGCAAGTCACGGGTTTAGTCGCGGTTTGTTCGAGCCATTCAATCCACTCGAGTGTCGCTGACAAAGACTTCAATGACAAGCAACTGCAGTAATAATTGATAAAATGTCTGAAGCAACAACATCTGCAGACTTGAGTCAAACTGCAACAACTTTACAGGATAAAGACAATATTACTTTGTTTCAGTCTTATGGACGGATGACTGACGATCATTCTGAAGATTGGATGATAAGAGTTACAGTAAGAATTACACAACATTCGACTGTTGTGCAAGTATAAAGTGCTCATTTTATTTGTACTCAAGGGTTGGCTGTATCGTACTGCTGGAATGGGAATGCGATCTCAGTTTTTATTGAATCTAAGTCAGCGTCTGATCTCTCCTAGCAGTCTTGATTGTGAAGCATCCACAAGTCTGTTCTGTGATCGCACATCGCCTTTCTTTGCTCAACCTCTTCGAAATACTCCTGTTTGTTTAGTGGTCTTGGGAATAGCAAAACCTTCTGTAGGCACTTCATCTACAGTGCTCAATCCACCAGATGAGCTTATGACTGATGAAGACATTATGACTCTGGATGAAAAGGCTTTGCAGGAACATACTGGTACATATATTGGTGAGGAGATTGTGACAGATTCGTCTGGAAGATTCTGCTGTTTGATGCGAGTTCCAAAAAGTGCTGTTGATCGTATGATGGCTGCTCAATTAGAGTCAAATCCTTCTATCCAAAGACAACCCTGGACTCGTTTGCTACTTATGGCATATCTTCCTAATAGATGTTTGAGTATGTTGACAGAATTTTATGTTTGTAAAAACCAAGCTTTACTACTATGACTTGTAGTTCATGCATCTAAAAATTAAACTTTTTAATTTTTCATGTTTAATTATTCAGAAATTCGAGACATGGCTGTCATAACATTGATCCCATCAACAGGAATCACAGTCATTTCAGATATTGACGACACAATCAAGGATTCCTCCGTATTTCTTGGAAAACGATTGGCCGCTAAAGTTGCATTTTTAGAAGATGGAAAAGAGGTCAGGGGAATGTCAGACTGTTACAATCTTTTGGTAAAATTAAACTAATTGCTACCGAGACTAGATGATTGAATTGCACATGCTTGGCTTTAATTAAACTCTTGATAATGCATTGTATTAACATAAACATAGTCGGCCAAAGGCGTTGCAATACACTACTTAAGCGCAGGACCATTCCAGCTCTACTCGCCTATTTCTGCATTTCTTAAAACATTTTCATTTCCACAGGGCTCTGTTACCTTGCGTAATGTTCGTGAGGTCTTGTCAACGCGAGCTTATAAAAACACGGAGCTGGTACGGATCCTCAAGGTAATTATAGTACTGTTTTACAAAATCAATAACAGATATCTTTCAAACATATGTATTGCGATGCCAACCTGGTCTATTTTTCTGATACGATATAGGACTTTCCCAATCATAAATTTATTCTGATTGGGGATAGTGGTGAAAAAGACATTGATATCTATTATGAAATAGACAAGACCCAATCCGAAAAAATCATCAAGATGTTTATTCGAAATGTTACCGAGGATGCATCCAAGATTCCTGATCTACTTAAACGGGTAGATAATCTATACGGTCATCAACACGATCGTAAGCGATGGACGTTCTTCAATAACTCGGTTGAAATCATTACAGATGAGGTTACTATGGATGCCATCATGAAGCTTCGATCAACTTGCACATAATGGACAAGTCAATTAGATTAAATGGTTTAAAACTAAATCTATTTCTGTCATTAGTAGTATTATATGTTGCAATCATCAGTAAATAAAATGCCAATTAAAAGCCTCATTTGTATCAAGAATCAATCATATTTTCCATGTCTGGCGTACTAAAAAATTTGACAGAGGGACGAGTATCATTGTGGGCATCAAAAGCAATCTCAGTTTGCATATAAGAGTAGTTGAAATGCGCAGGCTGTTGCGATGCTTGTTTCTGATAGGTTGACTCCTTGAACTGTACAATCACGTTTCTTCGCGCATCCTCCAATCCATGATACATACACAGAGCAGCGAGAGATTTTGCACTGTTGATATCAAAGTAAACCATCCGTCTATGGCCGTCTTGCCACACTTTGAGCGCCAAGTGAACTTCCTTATTTTTCACAAGCCAGCTCAAAAGTATTCTTGTTGCTGCCTTGTATAATGGTACTTGATGAAACAGAAGATCCTCCACAAATTTAAATGACTCCTTGTTACACGGAAATTGCTGATAAAAATAAAGTAATTGTTGGTAAAACATCGTATCATACTTGATACCCTTTTCAGCCATATATCCAAGCAGCATATCTAAGCCATTTTTGTCCTGATTCAGCACAAAAATCTTGCAGAGGATGGAACATGATACCACATCTGGCGAGAGTCCCAATGCACTATACGAATGAAACACCTCTATCACTTCTGAAAATTGCTTGTTTTTGTACAAAGCGTTCATAATCTGTGTTAAAGAGCCACTTGAAACCGGTACACCCATTGATTTATATCGCACAAGTTCTTCAAATGCATCCCTTGGAGTATGTGATTTACAAATAAGCTCGGTTCGACGTATCATAAGCAAATGGCATGAAATCGATCGACCTTGAGAAATGAGACGATCAATTTCTTGAGTTATGGTAGTCAGATCGCCAATAGCTAAAAAGTGTGCCGACATAATATTCGTAATAAAAAGCATATCTTCTGCATCAAACTGCATGGAATGTGCTTCTTTATAAAGTTGCTCGGCCAAAAGAAATAGATGCTGATTAAGAAGAGCCTGGATTAGAGGAATGACTACCGACACGTGCTGTAGACATTTGGCCTCGTCAAGAATGTTCAAAATATCATGTACAAGTTCGGGTGATTTAGATTTGAGTAAACCCACAATAATACCTTGTATTAGAGAAAGTGAAAAAACATATTTTGAAGGACCAATTAACTTGAGGATCTGAACTATTCGATCACGCTCACCAAGATGCGATACGTGGTTTAAAACAGGCTCAAGCAGGATCTGTAGCACTTGATGGCCTCTATTTTTACCAGAAGAGTTCAATTTACTACACAGCTGTATCAACAGTCGCATAATATTTTGAAACGAATCATCTGGGCTGGATCGAATAAGCATTTGTGTATAGTTTTGTGCGGCATTCGTATTGGCAGGATCGCTGAAAAGTGATTTTTTTAAAAGATCGATAAGAATACTTGAAATATACACAGACGTACTATCTACTGGCATTGATACAAGCTTCAATAAGCAGCTTTGATTAAATTCTATGCAAATGTTTCTATCCAGAGATCGGACTATTGCAGAAGCAGCCTGGGCACTGGCAGTCTTTTGATTTAGTAAATAAAGCCAGTCTATAACCAGCGCACACAAAAACCGGTTTGTTGTTGAGTGATGTATTGTAACAAGTCTCGCTAGCAATGCTGAAATGAGAGGTTTAGCTGCTGATGGGTGTTTAAATGTTTTAAGATGGTTAATCAGAATATCAATAGCTGGATCAACATCAGCTACTAGTAAATGATTGTGCACTCTCTTGATTAATTCATTGTCGCTCGTGCAATCCAAGTGAACCCCATCGTCAGATAGTGCTTTAGAAGTAGTCAAAGATTCAGTATCTGACTGAGCTGAATTCCCAAATGGTTTTGTAGGAACAGACCCAAAATAAAATCTTTTTTGATATCCAGAAATGCTGGGTGAAATAAGGCTGCCAAATCGGTATACTCCAGATCTAATTGGGGATGTCGTGAATGAAGAAAAAAGAGTTGCAGACAGATTGGAATGTGACAGATGAGCTGTGTGGTGTTGCCGAGGCAGGAAATCAAAATCCTGTTTCTTACAGGCAGAAGTAGGTTTAAAAGAATTGTAACACAGTTGACTATAGTTAAAAAGTAAATATGACTGAAGTTTGGATATAAATGTTGCCAATGCGATCCCGCGAGCTTGAAGCAAGATGAGCGATACTAGATCAATAGCTTCGTGTCTTGTAAGGAAAATAAACTGTCAGTATATTTGATTAAAAAGTCAAGTTATGATTTCAATGCATCAATAAAACCAAAATCTACCTATTTGCAGGACATGAATGGCTCAAGTCTATAACGCATCGGACTACATGATGAATTGTCTGTGCAACTGTAGTGACGATTGTAGGATATCTATTATAGCCAATACCCTCATCAACAGTACTTGGATTTACAGAAGAATTTCCTGACCAAATAGATGGATTAAATAAAGGTCGGAATGTTTTCCTCATATTTGCACCAAAGCAGAGATCTATTCCAGCAAGTATAGTGACCAGCTGAGATGTGACAATAGCAGCACGAGCCAGACGAAAAGAGATTGAATTGTATCGTTTAATTTTTGTACTTGGTTTCAACTTTGTTTGTATACGCTGATATGGTCTGTAGAATTGCAAGAGCATGTATGCTGATGATGCAGGTATGGGTATAAATGAATGTGAATAAAGTCGAGTCAAAGGCAATCTGTGAACAGCTGGAGAGTGAATTGAAGAATCTAACAAAGATCGAGTGGTTCCAATGCGATATCTATCAATGAAATGTACTTTCTGTCGAGACTCGGGAGTCCATCTCTCCCAAGGCGGCAATGCAAGTTCATCAACCATCCAACTAGCGTTGTAAAAACTTCAAGCTCGACAAAAATCACTTTGGTCACCACGTGACTGTTTTTGATAAAACTTGATAATTTATTGCCATTGGTCGAGCACTTTGCAGCCAATAATAAATCATGCATTACTATGAAAAAGCCTCGAATATCTTGACAAAGTTGTATAAGAAACAGGGCACTATAAAGGGATTGGTGATGAAAGAGGATCCAAAAGACAAGAAACTCGTGTATGGTATAGTGTGCGAGACCTTGAAATGTAAGTTTATTGATTCCGAGTGAATGAGTGGTCAACCTCATTGCTGTAGTAGAAATCTCATTCGTAGTAATTAATAGATCGAGAAGTCATTGAAGAAATCATTTGCTCGTCAGACATTCGCAAGTCTGAGCCAAAAAAACTTGCCAAGCCTCTCCTAACAGTTCTCGTCTATGATTTACTTTTTGGAAAAGGCATAAAAAATGCTGGAAAATACAAGGATATGCTTATGCGACACAAAAGTAGACTCAATGCAGAGCTGGTTAAAATTAAAGTAAAGCGCAAGTGCAAGAATAATCAAGATCTCATTCCAGAGCACATTCGAAATGCAATTGTGTTGCCTCGCTATGTTCGCATCAATACCATCAAGACAAATATGGAGCAGGTTATCTCTCATTTCGAAAAAAAGGGTTATCGACTTGACACCATTGAAAAGCTGAATGAACCTGAATATCCGTAAGATCTTGCATCTATACGTGTTTATTCCAGCCATGTCCAAGGATATTGATGTCTTGTGTAAAATGTAGTGCAATGTGCATGATCAAGGATCAGCATCTTCCTGAGCTACTCTTGCTGCCACCAAGCACAGATTTACACGAGGATAAACTCTTGCTTCAGGGTCATATTGTTCTTCAAGTAAGCAGCTATTTACTTTGATTTACCATCTGAATGTTCACGATCGCTCATATCTACAGTGTTGTGATGCTTTCTAATCAATTAGGACAAGGCTTCGTGCTTCCCAGCATATATACTGTCACCTCCAAAAGGCTCTGTATGTATCGATGCATGTGCAGCACCCGGTAACAAAACATCCCATCTTTCAGCGATATTAGGCAACACTGGCACTATATATGCTTTTGACAAAGACCGAGCACGACTAGATACACTGCAAAGGCTGACCCACCAAGCTGGCTGTAAAAATATTTTACCTCAGTTTGGTAGCTTTTTGGATGCTGATCCATTCGATCCCATGTTCAGCAAGGCACGTAATGCGATGTTTGTCTTTTTAAGATGATATGCTTAAACCCTATTTGTGATTGACATTAGGTCGAATATGTGCTACTTGATCCATCGTGTTCTGGATCTGGGATTGTTGGTCGCTTGGATCATTTGCTCAAAAGTAAAGCTGTTTTGAATGCTTTGCCAGGATAAAGTGTAGTAATTCATTCACAAAAACTTATACTATTTATCATTTTTAGATTCTAAAGATGCAAAAGCCGATACACAGCAAGAAGAAATTGACGATCGAGCCAATGCATTGGCAGATTTTCAAAAAAAAGTAATCCTTCATGCGTTCAAATTCCCCAAAGTCAAGCGTATTGTATACTCTACTTGTTCCAGAAATCGGATTGAAAATGAGGACGTGGTACAGTATTGTCTACAAGAAAATACCAATTTTAGTTTAGTAGAGAATGTATTTCCTCAATGGCATCGTCGCGGTTTAGAGGGATCGATTGAAAATGGTATGTGACCATTATTTGATTTGAACTGCATAGAATACTATTGGAAATTTGTTTTCTTGACCCTATTTGTTTTATAGCCGATCGTGTTATTCGTGCGCTCCCCGAAGAAGACGGAACCATTGGATTTTTTGTAGCGCTTTTTGAGAAAAATAAAGAGCCTGCACCAATTGAATCCACTGATTCAAACAAACGTAGGACGCATTCTAACGAAAGCAATTCTGAAACAAATGCATACAAGCCAAAAGAACACAATACAAAAAGAAACCGCAAAGAATAAAGTTTTGTTATTTGGTAAAATGTAGTGGGTTTGATTTGATTGATCAGCAGCAAGTGGGCCTCAAACCACTGTGTTGTACCAAACAGTTAATCTAGCAACTTGGTCCAGTCATACTCTTTCCACTGTGTTCGAAATTGATCAAGTCTCTGAGCATTATCCCTTTCGTTGGCACGCTTAGGTTTTCGCCATGTGTATGTCGGTAGATCCAACACGCTTGCAATTACCTCCTATACCAATAAACAATCAGCAAACAGTTTATATCATATCAAAGTAAAACGATATAGCAAAACTCATAGCGTCACTTACCCGGCCAAACCAAGGCAACCATTCTTCCGAGTTTTCAATTACATGCCCAAACCCACGATTTGGATCAAACCAAACATGAAAATAAGGAAGATTAGGCACCATAGATCGACGAAATCCACGATCTGTTACAATCAGCTTTTTATGTTGCGACCATTCTTCCTCGACGTTATTTATGGCTTCTTTGTAGTATGCAGGTGCATCTTCAAACAGATTCATTGGAACTGGAATACATTCTATGACTGTGTGTTTATGTGATTTGAAATTAATAACCTGCTCCATAAAAATCACTCCTTGATTGTTCGCAGATGCCATTCGAAGTAGCGATTTTTGAAAATTCTAATCATTGGAAACACTTGTCAAATTCTGTTGAAATATAGGTAATAGGCTGATGTGTTTACAAATGATTAGGCATTAGATAGCAAAATGCACCTACCCTGATTTCATTCCATGCATTATCTTCAAGCTCGAGAGTTGTGAGTGAATGTTGAACTGGAACAATGAGACAATGGCCAGGAACCATGTCGATTGTCTCTGGAAGCGAAAGGTACACCTCGGTGCCCAAAGATACAATAGGTATACGCGGAGCCTCGCCCTCATGAAAACAAAAGTTGCACTTTGCAATTGTACTTTGAGTCTTTTTATAATCTATAATAAAATGATAATATCATGTTAGAGGCGTACCAACAGTAATTATGATCGACAATCTAATAGACAAAGGTTAAAGTTGTGATGGGTATTTACTATCAATTGCAAACTGTCGCTTCGAATTACTACTGACAACTTTTTTCTGTGCCAGTTTGTCGACACTTTCGTCCATGTAATCCAAACTATCTTTAAACGTAGTATCACGAGAAATACGATCAGCCATATCTTGATCAAACGTAGTTCCTGAACCCATCTTTTCTTGAAGAACCAGATCTTCAAGAGTCTGTTCTTCTAAATGCGAAGATTGAATACGATTACTGCTTGTGTCATGAGTATCGCGCTCAGACTATAGATTATCAGATTATGTTTATCAGATTGCAAACTAAACCATGTAATATTACTAGTAGATTGGTATTACCTTGTGCCGCTTTAAAGAATGTTTGGACTGTGATGGATCTGCATTCAGGTCATATAATCGACCTCTACTATCGATATTTGGCACAATTTCAACCTACAGTTAATGTTAGAAAATTTACTAGAGCCTTTGAACGTTCAAGAATAAACATGCTCATATTCTTGTGGAAATCACATACTTTTTCCCTTTGTGCAGCATTGTCTGATTGAGCTTTAGAGCGCTTATATTCTTCTTCCAGTGCTTTAAGATTTGGCGAGCGCATCAGCCTTGCTTTAATCACTTGTGCATTGAGCCTATTCAACTGAGTGTGTGATAAAACCTCGCCAGCATAGGCAGATTCAGATCCCGACTGTTGTGCTACAGGAACAAATGCAGAAGGAATGACAGATTTTCGAGTTTGATCCACAGATTTCTTATCTGCATTTGCCGTTACTTTTGTTTGTTCTTGATGTATAGTAAAGCTGGAGTTTGATTCACCTGGACGCTGAAATTTAGCAGTTGACCCAATAGATGGTCGATATGACCCCAAACTATCCTTTGATTTTACTCCTTTTGCCTTGTCTAAAAACGCTCGTTCATCCAATGCCATTTGAAACGCCTCCATTGTCTAAAATACGCTTAAAATTAACACTGCGTATAAACAGCTACCATTTCAGTTTACAAATAGTACATACACCGTATCTTTCCAAAGCCATACTATCTACGCTCTGGCCTTCTTTTGAATTATCAAAAATACGTTTAAGCTTTGCCATTCTCCAGTTGGCACCTCGATCACCAAAAGTGTATCCCAACTTGTTTTCTATTATAAATTACATTATCCAAATAGTAATTAAATGTCAGATTTAGTAGCAACACTACTAACCAGTATGGAATAAAAATAGGCTTAAAGCAACGTAGAGGACTCGACACACACTTGATACAGAATTAGCAAAAGTACCTTTAATTTCTATCGATTTGACTATATTAGTATCGGGGTTAGCTGGATCATCAAAATAAGTTGGATTTAGTTCTCGCTCTTTGCGAATTGCCTAGAATAGTTTATGGAAGAGATTTAGAGTCAATTCAATGTATAATTATAAATTGGGTCCAACAGAAATATGCAAATCTATCCAATAGAAAAAAGCAATACCAATCTTCGAGCTTCTTCAGCCTCACGCTCAAGATGTTTAAGTGACTTGCGATCTGGCGCAGCTTTGGCAAGTCCAAAGATATCCATCGAGTCATCCAGTGTCATCCAATCTGCTCTAGCAACTGGCAAAGATTCACTTTCATGAATGGATGATACGTTGGTCAAACTTTCTACAGTTTCCTGTTCTGTAGCAGCTATAGCAGTAGGTTTTTCTACCCACAAATCGACATCATGTTCAGATCCTGAAGAGTGAGATTGCTCCAATTCACCACTGCTGTTCCTAGACTTCTTTTTTGAATGTTTCTTTTTATGAGACTTTTTCTTGTGGTCTTTGTGATGTTTATTCCGATTCAAATCCTTTCTGTCGTGCTTGTCAATGGTCATCGATTCTCCTGTGAAAGCAGGTTGAATGTCATAAGTTTTCTGTTCCAAATCCATTTCAACTGACTCAACGAGTATAAACTGGAAACAATCGACTTTTTCAATTCAGTAATAAAACGAGCTGTTTTATGTTGATTCCAAAGTTTAGTAATTTTGCGACAAGTTGAACAAGTTGAGATTTTTGAATTCAACAATTGATATTTATCGAGTATTCGTTCATGAGTTCGTTTGTTAAATTCACTGCTATACTCGGTGCTCATGACCAAGGACCTCTCTGCTATTTGTTAGAGATTGACGAAGCAAAACTATTGTTGGATTGTGGATGGTCTGAATCCACGGATCCTTCTCAACTGGCTGCTCTTGAAAAGTACGAATCAATTCATGTAGTCAATGCACATCATTGCTTTATCTGCAACTACATATATTACCAACTAACTCATGAGTTTATGTTACACGTTTCTACAAACACTTGGATTTGTGCAACCATCTTTAGAGTAGCAAGACAAATCGATGCTCTTCTTCTCTCACATGCAGATCTGGATCATTTGGGTGCTTTCCCTTATGCTGCAAAGCATCTTGGTCTTACCTGTCCTGTTTTTGCTACTACTCCAGTGCATGATATGGGACAGGCTTGTATGCATGATCTAATACAGGCTAAACTCAACCAGGAGGAATTTCATCTATTTACCAAGGATGATATTGATACTGCCTTTGCCAAAACAACCATTTTACGGTACTCTCAGCCAACTGTTTTGACTGGTATGTCATCAATGTCATTCTGAAAAATGCAGACGCTGTATGTAGATCTGTGTCTGACCCTCTTCAATTGGGTTTACGGTTTATGAAATGGTTTAGGAAAATGTCAAGGCATTACAGTCTCTGCTTTTAGTGCTGGTCACACAATTGGTGGTACCATATGGAAGATTAAAAAGGATACTGAAGAGATTGTATATGCAGTAGATTATAATCACCGAAAGGAACGGTGCGTCGGTTGATTCTTGTTTATTTTAACTAGGTCGTGTATCATTATTACATGCACGACTAACAATGCGTGTTGACTGTTGTAGGCATTTAAATGGTACAGTGCTTTTAAGCACTGATACACTGATACGACCTACTCTTTTAATCACTGACGCATTCAACACTCTCATGCCAGATCCAGCACCACGAAAACAACGAGATGCAGCTTTAATTGGTATTGAACCCTATCCGTTGCATTATAACAACACTGTTTATCTACATCAACTTATTTTAAACTTGTTTTAAACAGAATCTATTGCAACGGTTTTGAGCGAGCATGGAAACGTATTGATACCAAGCGATAGTAGCACGCGCGTGCTTGAACTTCTCTACATGCTCGATCAGCATTGGGCATTCCATCGCTACACATACCACCTTGTATTTCTCACAAATCAAAGTCAAAATGCCATCAATTTAGCAAAAAGTACACTAGAATGGATGGGTGATGGTATTGCACAAGCCTTTACCGCACGTGAACTTCCATTTGAATTCAAGTGCCTAAAAATGATTCATTCCATAGATGAGTTGGATAATTTAATGGGGCCAAAAGTGGTGCTGGCCTCGTTTCCTGGTATGATGACTGGGTTTTCGCAAGATTTACTGATTGAGTGGGGCAGTGATCCAAGAAATATGATCATTCTTCCTGATCGTGCTCAGCCAGGAACACTAGGTCGTATGATGTTTGATGATTGGTTTGAATCAGCAAAAATGGCTGATATGAACGTTCGGCATCATATTCAGCTGAACCGAGATATTCCCATCACGGTAAGATTGCTATTTCGCCATATCATGAATAAGCTATACTGACATGGTTAAATTTAGCTCAAAAAACAGGTTCCTTTGGTGGGCGACGAGCTTGATGAGTATATGTCGAAAAAGCAAGCAGAAGAAGAGCATGCTCGTCTTATGCACAGTCACCAGCTGGGTCTAGATGATAGTTCAGATAGTGACATGAGCGATACAGAAGAAGTAGCAAAACCTCAACCCATGCAATTCGATATTTATGTCAAGGATGTAAATCGCTCTACTGGATTTTTCAAACAAGCGCAAGCATTTAAAATGTACCCAGTGCATGAACATCGACCTCGTGTAGACGACTATGGAGAGTTGATTGATTTGGACATGTACGCCAAATTAGAGCTTCAACATGTACCCGACGAAGCAGCAGTTGAGTTGTACTCGGTTTAAATCAAGGTGTCAACCTACTTACTGATTTATACTTTTAAAATAATTAGAATCTGGCCCCAAATGAACCTGAAGAAAACGAGAAAGTAGTTGCTCCTGTTAAAAAGGTTGTGCCATCCAAATACGTGGTCGAGGATATATTACTTTCGCTTAAATGTAGAATGCAATATATTGATTTTGAAGGCCGATCGGATGGAAAGTCTGTCAAGAACATCATTGCTCAAGTTGCTCCTCGTAAACTGGTACATGATTGCATACTATGTTGGAAAATACAGTGTATCTAGTGTATTTTAAATGTGTTTGGGTTGATACAATGACTGACTTGATGTGTTGAATGTAGTTGTTTGTGCATGGTGACAAGGCATCTACAATGGCATTTGCCGAGTACTGCCGTACAAACGAGTCTTTAACAAACGAAGTCTATGATCCAGTCCAAGGCGAATGTGTCAACGTATCTTCTGCAACGAACCTTTTCAGAGTGGTTCTTACTGACACGCTTGTCAACTCACTCAGCATGATACAGGCAAGTCATCTTATTTTATAAATTGAATGCAATGGGCTGTCATCTAAACACGGATGCTTTTGGAATATTTATCTGTAGATGGACGAGTACAGTTTGTCGTATATCACTGGTGTGATTAAACTCCAGGATTCTGTCACGGGTGGTACAAGAGCGATGCTCGAGGTAGTTCCAGTTGAAACCCAACTTACACGACAGCATGTGATGGTTGTAGGTGAAGCAAAGCTTTCCCAAGTGAGAAAAGTGCTTGATTCACAAGGGTTTCGTACTGCATTTGCCAGTGGGGTGCTTGTTGTGAATGAAGGCAAGGCATTGATTAAGCGATCTGGTACTGATGGATCACTTGCTTTGGAGGGAAGTATTAGTCGAGATTATTACAAAATTCGGGAATTATTATATAGCACTCTGGCCATTCTTTAAACAATAAAACAATTTATTCAATTTGCTTTCAAAACATGAAATCTGAAAAAGGTAAACCAGAGTACGACACACAAGCAACCAAGCCAGGACAAGGCTAGAATAAGAATTGGAGAGTGCTATGTAGTAAAATACTTACAGCAATACTGACATCAAAGCAGTCATCAAAGCAGTCAATGGGAAAATGACGGAAAATCTGTTTGGCATAGCATCATTGGATGCAGCAGGTTTTCCAGCACCATTACTAGAACCACTGCTAGCGCCATGACTAGAGCCACTGCTGGGACCTGGAACGGAGACGGATTGTGACAAGGGAGGAGGTGCAGTGTTTGCAGTAGCAGGCAGCGAGCCAGTGCCGACACGCTCCCAAAAGCCTTCATCATAAGCAGGCTGGTTCAAGCATTCAGAAATAGACATAATCTTATAACCACCAGTGCCAGAGAGAATGGCATCCAAAGCCTCAGCAGCCTGAGTTTTGATGTTGGGCAATATATCGTGTTCGAGTGAGATGTATGGCTTAGGGCCAGCATTGGCCTTGAGTTTAAACTGAGCTGCAACATCAGTAGCACCAGCAGCATCGTTGGAGTCTACATTCCATGCAACTGCAACAAGTCCAAGATTGTGAATAATGGCACGAACACGATCGTCGATATCTCCATAAGGAAGGCGAATGAAGCGAGGAGTGAGACCAATAATTTGTTTAACAATCATGGCATTGAAGACAATGTCGGCAATTATTTGATCATTAGGAATGGTAGTCATGGCAGAGTGGGACCATGTATGCAAAGCAAGCTGATGGCCTGCCTGGAAGGTTTTGAGCAGAATATCGGGATTCTGCATAGCACGAGATCCAACAATGAAGAATGTAGCATTGATTTTACGATCTGCAAGTACCTTGAGTAACTCGAGAGTATGAACAGAAGGACCATCGTCGTATGAAATGCCCCATTGCTTTTCATTCGAGCATGTAATGATATCCTTGGACCAGTCAGGATGAGGAAGTTGTTTGGTATTCAGAGGAATACTGGGTACATTTTTCAAAGCAATATGAGTCCAGTTAGGATTAGCAGGAGAAATCTTGTCGAGAGGAGGATACTGACTAGGAGTAGGTAGTGCAGCCCGTGTAATTGACAGCGAGGCGAGGAAGAGGGATGCGGATAGCAGATTAAATCGTGATAAAATCAACATTATTTCAATGGTAATCAAGCAAGGAAATTGTCAAACTAGCTGGAAATCAAAAGGTGTCACAGCCATCTTCATGTAAAATGGAATACTAAGCAAGGGTGCCAAATACATAAACAGTCAGTTTCATAAGCGATGGGTATCAGATTCTACTCAATTTACCGAATATTGTTCTTTCAACTCCTTGACAAAGTTGACTGATTTTTATTCTTATTTTGTATAGAAAACCGAATGTTGATCATCACACATTCCTGATACTTGTTTAATTCTCAACTCTTCAAGCATTGAATAATTCAACATATTTCAGTTTAACTTGGTTTATTATACGAACACTTTTGGAATATTTAATAAAAATGCAATCAACTAAAACTCATTTCAAAGCGAATTTCTAACAAGTTTCTAACAAGTTTCTAACAAGTTTCTTCCATCAGAATCACTCTTTGCTATGTTAAATGTGTCTTCAAATTCATGTCAAAACTTGAATTTCAAACTCTGCTTTTTTCTAGCAATTTACTTTAATAACAATGAACGGAGGTGACGTTATGGATATGGCTCTTGACGAAATCGTAGGTTTACTGTCGCTGAGGACCCTTTATACCCCTATTCGCTACTACAATATTGCCTACCACTGTGCATGCTCCCTCTAGGGATGAATGTGTACATTGGGCTCTCCCAGCTCAACCTGTCTTGTGCTGCTTCCTTCTCTATTCCCTACTGTAGACCTTCCTACTCTACCATAAACTATACTCTCTAAGCAACTGAGCAGTCTCTTGCTCCAGTGCGTCTAATCTTTGCTCCAGCCGCATGTCTGCTTTCCCAATGTTGCAGTCTTCAATTGTGGTCTTCATATTCCTGTAGCAATATGCCGTCTGTTTGAGCAAAGAATGACTTTAATGTCACTGTTTTGATAATGGTTGCACCATGAGAAAGAGCTTTATTGGTGTGCAAGTTGGTGTGTCTTGGATGATGGCTCGACCTGGCTGGCTGCTGCGACCATGAAATTTGGATGCTGCTGGTGTAGTGTACGGCAACTCTTTTGGCCTTAACGAGTCTATTGAATACTATCAACTATTGTTTTGGCTTTAGATGGTAAGGGGCTGGGGATTGATTCTATGGCAAGCGATTCACTCTGGAGTTGGCTAGTTCCGCTATGAACACATTGGCAGGCATCATTGCTGCAACTACTATGCAGTAGTTCAACGAAAATGGTCCCTTCTATCCCTGGCCCCTTATAGCTTCTCAAGTCGTTGATACTGAGGCAGGTTCGGACTACAAATTGGAAAGATTTTGGCCCATCAGTAAGATCTACTGGAGGCTGTTCATAATTGCACTTTGCGATAACTTGGATGCATTGCCTTTCGGATCTATTGCTAGGATCACTTTATCTGCTATTTGGAAGTTTATCGTTTTGGTCTCTCAGTTTCGGCACCTATACAGGCAGCATCCAATTTGTACTATTGTCTTGCTTTTTATTTTAATTAGATTTCCTTCTAGTCGTCAATCCTGTCCTACATCAAGTCTTTTGACTTGCTGATTACTCGAGTCGTCTGATCGTAAACATCATCCAATTGACTGGGCCATCTTGTTATTCATCATCTTCGAATACCTTGCAAGCAACGCTTATCTTTATGATTCGATCCTGCTTTTTCTATTCAGAGAAAAACTTTTTGACCGTCCTTGATTTCATATTTCTGATTATTTGACAACTGACCATACCTCGACTTTATTCTGTTTGGATGGCGTCTTTTTACCTTGAATCGTTATATTTGGACTTGTGCGACTGGCTCAATCTTTGCGTCTACCACAATGATCTGGTTGGTTTTACCCTGCTTGCTTAGATCACTCAAAAGCGGAAGGATAATCGTGGCGGTCGTCGCCGTGGTGGTGCTGCTAATGGAGCTGGAAAACCCAACAACCGTGCTGGTGCACGTTCTGGTGATAATCGTCCTTCTCGTGGAGCTGCTGCTGGCATGGTCGGAGCACCTCTTAGCGTTGCTGCTTCTGCTGACAAGTTGGTTGTTTCCAATCTTGCTTTCAATGTCACCGAGGCTGACGTGCGTGAACTGTTTTCTCGCATTGGTGCGTTGCATTATTTATTTTAAAGCATCTGCTTAAACTTGCGATGGATTCCGCATCTCTTGTAGTTGACTAATGTCTGATTGTGTATGTCTAGGCCCTCTTCGATCCGCCCAATTAAACTATAACTCGGAAGGCAAATCCAAGGGATCTGCAACCGTCATTTTTAATAAGCATGGCGATGCATCAAAGGCGTTTGCAGAGTACAACAATCGAACCCTAGACGAACGTCCCATGAAAATTGAACTTATTGTTAACCCTGGCGCACCTGCCCTTCGTCTTGGCCCTGCAACTGGCACGGCCAACAGCCATCGAAATTCTGGATCAGGTGGTGTCACCAAAACTCGCGGTCCTGCGTAAGTTGTATCGATGAATTTGATGATTATCATGATTTTAACTCACGCTTTTGTAATAGTCGCGCTTCTGGTGGTGGTCGAGGTGGTCGCCGTGCCCCTAAAAAGCCTGTTACTGCTGCCGATTTGGACGCAGAGATGGACATGTACATTGCTGCTCCTGTAAGTGCTTTAATTCGTCAATTGCTTTTTGATGTCAACTGGGCTAACTCTTGCATGTATATGATTTCATGTCGATAGGCCCCTGAAGTCAATATTCTTGCTAATGCTCTTGCTTAAAGCAACCACTTCTACTTTGTTGCTGTCTAATGTGCTTTGAGCACTTTTTTTTCAAAACCTATCAAATAAATCACTTGACAACTGGTTCACCTTGTCACCTGTATTATGGCATGTGCAGCCGGTATTCACGTAAAATGAAACACCTTTCTGTATTCATCTTGCAATGACTCTTGTTCCGAAATAAACCATGTTTCAACATGGGTTGTTTTTCTACTACAAATTGATTAGTTTTACAAACTCTGTTGTAGTCTAATATCAGATACGTTGACGATCTAGTTCGAGAGAGCATCTCAACAATATAACCGTTGTTTCCATGATGGTCACTTGAAATGTTTGTTTTGAAGAAAAGGAAAGTTGAAGGTTAAAGAAATGTCAAGAATGCGATCACTTGCTCTGTATTCTTGTACAAGAGTGAGCATGATGATCAGTCAACTAATGAATTCATAAAACACAATGTTGCCCAGCAAGATTGGCATTCATCAAGCATGACTGTTTATCATGCATTGACGCTTATTAGTATTCCATTTTACATAAATATGGCTGTAAAAGGCTGCTTATTGCATCAATTGTATAGATTTTTATTTATAACAGCCAAATCCTTAGTAACTGGAATTCTTTGCTTGGATTTCATATTTTATTGCAACTGCTACGTGGGTTTTACCTGCTACTCCGAAAAAGGGATCAGTACATTTTCAATAGTTTCCTTCATGGCATTGATTTTAGCCGAAAATGCCAAAGTACGCTCGATTCTTTTTTGCACTGCAGTTTGAATCATTGATACATAAGATTTGTCTTGTGTCACGCTATAAAGTCGATCACCAACTTGCGCGAGGGCTTCAGTCAAGTATGCTTTATATGTTTGTGCAATCTGGTCTACCAAATCTGACATATCAGCCTGGATTGTTGTTGCCAAGTGTGATGGCTGTTGAGCTTGATGCAAAGGGTTGTCTTGATGATGAAAGATGGTGGGTATCTTATTTGATTTAGCTGCTGTAGATTCTAGATGTAGATGCCGATCCAGGCGCTGTCGTTTCAATTGATGAAATTCTGGTTCAGGCTCGACAAAATCTTTAATTGGTCGCTTTAATTTACCATCACTCTGTGGTTTTATATCAAGAATGGGCATTGGTTCTTCGGGTAATGAGAGATTGGATTCACTATTGGTTTGTCTGTGTAGCAATCTCGCATCTTGTGCAGATTTCAATTGGGCAGAAAGATGTGCTCTTCGAACTGCAAGCTCATTGTTTTCAATATTGGATTTCGCATTGGCATGCATACCCATTGTGTCCGTCTCAGAACACATTGCAAGTTTTAGTGGTTGATTTGAACTTTTGGGCTTGGATCCTTTGTATGATTGCATAGATGGTGGTTTCTTGGAAATACATTTTTCTTTTGATGGCTTTGATCGCACTGGCTTGTTGGTTGCTTTGATTGACTTTTTAGGCTTTTTTGCGACAGTAGTTTTTTCAGTATATACTGATCCAGATGGAGTTTTTGGTGAATAGGATGTGAGATGAGAATCAACAGGGTGTTGATTAGTTAATAGTGCAGTGTTTCCTAGTGCTTCTTTTGTTTGTGTCAAAAGCTTATTCTGGGCTTGTTGCTCCACTTCAGCTAAATCATTTATGATTGTCTCCAAGTTAGATATACTATCTAATTGGAGCGATGTCTGCTTGTCTGGCTTAACAAGGAATATATTTTCATCTGGATCACGATTTTCTTTGTCTTCGTCCTCTGGGGAATCTGTGGTCGGAATAGTGTGGAACGGAGCCTGTGGTATGTGCACCATCACCGGTGTCACTACAATCGATGATTTACTCGATTGTGGCACCTTGTGATAATCAAGTATATGCACAACTTGAAAAAGAGTTTTATTAGATACTAAATGCAGTGCATTGGCTAGAACAACGCATGCCCAACTTACTTTTCGATACATCCTGTGTACAAAGCGTGACAATCTGACGAGTATTAGCATGATCGACAATCATACACACCTCAGAGTCTAAGAGATAAAATCATTAAGTTGGTAGAAACATGCTAAAGTTATCAAGAAAGTAGATGATAGTAAGGTACCTGCGACAGTCGAAAATGATTGGATTTGCGAAAATAGAATTTCCATATCCATTTCGGCATTTTCCACGTCTTTAATGTCGACAACTACCAAAGCAAGCTGCGTTTGACTAATATCTAGACAAACAGAACTACATGGATCCTAGTATAGAATAAATTGAAACCTCATGATGTTTAATCATAAAAATAAGCCTATACTACCTACCCAAGACGATCCGTTTTCTAGTAAAACAGATTTGGCTTTGTTTAGCAGGATTGTCATTGGTACAAGATCCATTCCATTATTATTTGCATTAATTTGCTGTAAATAAAGTCTAGCGTTCTATATTTGATATAGGGAATTAATATATATAATTGCAGTTTAAAAGTACTATACAATCAAAATCAGCATACATCCCCAAAGTTGTTGGAGTTGAGCGATAGCAGATTTTGATCTACAGGCAGCCCCATTTTAGCGAGAAAGGAAGCACGTTCTGAATGCAGTTTAGGTAAAAGCCGATAAATGAATTCTAGTCCTAGAAGTTGACAACGAACATCTATGAATGTATGGTTCAAGGTTACGATTAATATGCGTTGAAAATAAATGCCTTGTATTCAATAGTGAGATTCACCTGGGAGTTTTGGAAGCAAAGCAACTAGTGATTTACTGAACAAATGTATAGTTTAGGGTTAGATGTAAAATGTAATGATTTTGATACGAATGAAGCCATTAGACTTGCGTGAGAGATTTTGCAGAGGTAGCCGAGAATCGGACTTTGTTGGATGTGCACTTTGTGAGGAGACAATTTAGCAAACAAAGTAGTTCTCCAGTGACTCGTGCAGAGCTATTCACATGAGTAGCAGCAGATTTGTGGAGTATTGTAAACAAATGGCGATCCATGACTGAAGCTACAATGTCTTTTGAGATGGATCCAGACTGTATATGCCGTTCTAACCATTGTGTCCATTGAAGGAGTCTGTCCAAACTAGTGCATAACGGTATACTGAGTGATGCAGCACTACCATGTCTCGTTGGCTTGGCAGTTTTTGACAAAGAGCCAAACAGTGGTGAGACATTCTGTAGTAAAACCATACCCATGGCATCAAGGCAAGCAGAAACCAAACAATCGCTTGTGGGTTTATTTGAATCTAATGCTTGCTCAAGAGCTTTTACTTTCTCCCAAGATGTTATGGATGAAGAGGTATGAGACACTTTCTAAACAATGTGAGACACGTTGGTTTGAGTTGTGCTAATCTAAACCATTATAGCCATAAAATGGTGGGAGTACAGCTCACTAGACTATTTTGAAACTTGCTGCGTAGTTCTTTCAACCATCTGTCAATACCAAAGAAGTGTCAGTAGACGAGTAGACTAAATAAGCTTTAAATGAGCACAACCTTTCAGGGTGAGATACGATCAAATCAATCATGTCGGGTGGTTTAGATATCATATGCTGATAATTAGCTTAATAATTATTGACTGTCAGTATTCGAAAAACAATGTGTTGGATTATACAAATCTTATTTCAAACTATTGATTCAATAAACCATGACAGACACTTGCATTTACCCGTAGACTTTGAATAAGCAATGTTTAAATACTTGTTGCATTTATTGGAAATTAGTTTTAATATACAACGATCATCATATGACACACAATCAGACTATAATGTTGAATTTACACTTTGTGCACATTTGGTAATCATATATTGTACAATCACCAAGTTTGAACCCATATTCATGTATTGTGTTTGACTGTCAATGTTGTCAATACAACTCTGTGTACACATTTGTTGATGATATTCATGACCAAACTGTAACAATGTGCACTTTGCATTGAGTTTGAACTGCAATCTGCGACTTGTACGCATTATGATGCATTGTTTCAATATTCATGTTGCATCCATCAACATCAACGTGCAGTGTCGATCTGATGTTTGGTGTTGATGTTGTGTTGATATTCCAACAACACTGAATATCGTAAATCAGGTCAGCATTGACTCGTGTGATAATAATCCACAGACAGTCAGTTGTACCAAACTGTTGTACAAACATATTGACATTCGATCAATCGAAAGTAGTATAGATAGAACACCCGATGATACCAGTTTTTTTAACCGACACTTACTGCTAAATCATGTACAAAGTTGTCAAAACATAAATTATTCGCAGAAAGGAATTCAAGTCAAAAGTATTAGGGTAGAATAGTCAATAGCTTTGCTTGTAATTCATAATAAATACGAGCTATTTGTGCCAGACTCATACTTGATGCCTCAAATTGGATACAATGGGTAGTTTTTTAACCAGTACTAAGCGTTAATGTACACATCAGACTGGGTTTAGCTGGATCTTGTTGTAAGAATGATAGAGTATAAAATCAAACCACTGACAAGTCTGTGTTTATCGAGTACGAGTCTTTATATTTCCAATCAACTCTTCCAAATGTGATATTGTGTCTTGCAATGCCAAAATGGATTCAAATCTGCTTGATTACACTATGCATTTGGGCATCATTGCTGATCTGTTGAATTCCACGCTTTTTTTGATCATCTTTTTGATACTCTAGCATATTCCATTCATAATTTTGTCTAGCCTCCACCTCTTGATCCTGGCTCATCCCCGGTTGGTTTTGTCAATACCATTGATTGGGAATAAAGCCAGAATCAACCCGCTGTTTATCACGTATGGCTATTTGATTCAATTCAGTTGCAAACAATTCTTTGTAAGAGTATACTTTCTGGTACTCCTTGTATCATACCAGCATCTCTTGAAACAGCTGCTTTTGTGCTTGTAACAATCCCTGCAGTGTTTCGTCAGCTGGGAGTTTGATTCAAGTTTGAAACCCGAGACTATTGATCGGACAAATCCAATGTCAGCAAAACTGCTGTACAGTTTGGCAGTCAATTGATTGTCCAAAATTGTAAGCAACAAAACAACTTTTATTTGCAAAAGAAAAAGGAAAACGCAGTTTGTTCTTGAATCAAAATATTAGTTTCAAAACTGTATGGTGGAAAACAGTCTTGGGATATGCAATTATTTACAAGAAACTATAGGTTTCAAAACCAAAGCGATTAAATTACACGATTGGGAAGTTGCTGACAATGAAAGTGGTCATTTCCACAAAGTGAGGTTTATTGTCCGATGGAACCCATACGATATTATTCACCTTTAAGAAATCAAACGCCGTGTATTGTGTAGAACGAGGTCGAGAAACAGAGTTAGGATTAGCGTTATGCGGCCAATAAAAATCATTAATTCTAGTCTACATACCTTATTGATGAGATGGTTCAAACGTCAAAACAAATCGAATCAACTTCTCAACACTCGCAATAGTATCGTTTTGTGACAACACTTGACCATCTGTTCCATGGTAGCTTTGGTGTGTAAAACAGGCAAAACGATCAGGAGGTACAACAAAATACAGTTCTGGTTTTGACGGATTACCAAGTATTTCCAAAACATCACAAATCCCAGTCTGTTTGCAAGGATGATCTTTGGCACCAGTCATTTGGAAAAGTAGATTTGGCTTGATGAACGAATCAACAGATTCAAAAGTATTGCTAATGGGACGGAAATAGCAATTCGTTGCGTCTTGAACTTGAGAATTGTTGGACAATAACAAAGTACTAAGATCCATTGGCAGTTGAAGTGTAGACTCCAGCTTGGTACGTAAATCACGAATCTTGAATGAACCACCTTTAGCAATGACTGTATGAGCGTGCTTTTCAAATAATGCCCTATTAAGTTGACCAGTTTCACCAATTTCTCGAGTAACAGAAACAAATCTGATAAGATGATCTCGGTCTCTGGCATAGACACGGTTGTAAATTTCATCAACCACATAGTCAGAAGCAAACTGATAAGGACCACTGTGGAAGCCATCCTTGACTGATATATGAATCAAACAACTTGAAGCGTCTAGGTGTTCACCATATTTACCAAAAGACTTGACAACTGAATCGATATTGGAAATATTTAAAGCTTTATCGAGAAAATCCTGTTGTTCTTTTACCAATGCATATTTAAGAACATAACGAGCAATTCCTCCCCACTTCAAATACAGACTTTCAACCAATTCTTGTGGGACTGTAGGAAACAGCATTGAGCGACAAGAATGCAATTCTTCTTTTGACCACACTGGCATATACCGAATGTCGCAGGACCCCTTGGAAAACCGATGCCAAATTTCCCGACGAGGTGAAGTAACAAGAATGGTCTTGGCATCAACATCAACAGGTGCCGAGCCATCAACAATGTAGAATGTTGACGAGGAATCCAAGATTTTCCAAAAAGCATCCTTTCCTCCTTCGAGTACACCATTGGGAGTAAGCAGATATCTTTTTTGATCAGCTCCACTCTCATACACGACTGTAGCACCAGAGCGAGCAAGATGCAACAGCAAAAAGTAACCAAAATATGTCTTGCCAATTCCAGGATTTCCAAGGATGATCAAATGACGTATATCAGCAGATTGCACAATAGATAGTGATTTTTCAAGAAGTTTAGGATAACAAGGACGGATGAAAATGGATGATCCAATTGAATGGTTTCCAAGGATGAATACGTCTGTTGGAAGTTGGACAACAGTGTTTCCTTCAAGAGGGTTAGGGTAGTTTGTGAAAGCAGTCCAAAAATCCAGTAGTGCGGATGAGGCTGCAGCAGATGCTGAACCTAGGTAAGTTTGAGTAGGTTGTATTGGAGGTAGTGGTAAACAACCAATAACAACACAATAACCATCTTGAGTAAAGTATTCTTGAGGAAGGGAGTCGAGTAAAGCCCAGGTGTTGATTAGTTGGCCTTGCTGGTCGTATAGTTGAATGAAAGCAGGTGGGACAGAAACGTCTTCAGCAAGTTCTCTCTTGATGGCATCCTGAACTCCACCAAGTCTACTGATTCCAGTAATGTCAATTTCAGTAGAAATAGTGCCATATTGGACGTTAAGGAATCGGTCGTCTGTGTTCATTTTATGAAAAGAAAAAGAGTAAAAAAGCAATTTATTTGTCAAATTGTAAAACAAAAATCGACTTTTTAATCGAGTCAAAATAACAAAATTTTGGGATATTTCAAGACAATTCACACGATTTAAATATTTGGAAATTAGTCAAATTTACACCAGAATTAATGTCTCATTAATGTGAGACATTACTAGTGTGAGAGTGTTGACTTGCATTGTGTGAGACATTAGTAGTGTGTGAATGTGAGACATTTCTGAATAGTTTAACAATCAAAAACCATCAACAATGACGTTTGAACTGGAATTCACATGACTTTCTTGGTTTCTTCCATCTTATAAACACACTCTCTTCCTTGTTAATAAAACAATACAATCGAATATTGGTTTGTTCATTCACATCCTTGATCAACTGCAACACACTTGACAATAATGACAACCATCAATATGCCATCGTATGTTCACGATCCTTAGCTATTGTCCATCAAACACACAGTTTAGTCAATGTGTAATAGCAATCAACCAAATATGTAACCATTGTGTATTGCAATGTAGAACACAATCATTGTACAATGAATACAAGTGATCCATTTTACACATACACAGCTGTAAAACGAAGCGTTTGTGGTTACACAACACTATTGAAGGGTGCTTTTCAATATACCTGACCAAAGGGTCGTAAAAGCATAATATGATACTATGAATAGGGAGTAGCATATTGTCTAGTTTGATAGTAAACCGCTACAAGCAATCAAATAACTCTGTATAATTGGTTAACCTAAAAGGGTTGGTTTGCTATACAAAACATACAAATACAATTAAGTTTAATTTTATAATTAACAATCTGCCCATCTAACCATCTTTTAAGCCCATCCATTAATCTAATGAAGTTCATTGACATTTTATTCGTACTGAGCGCGGCAGCAACCGCTAATGCAATACTGGTTTCAGATAATAGCAATGACTCAGTTCAGGCATCAAGCACTTTCAGTCAAGTGTCTGGTCCAACCAATGAACCTGAGCCAGGCACTTCCGGACAAGGCCAGCAATACTTGTTGTATCGAACTGATCCAGGTGTTCCAAAACGAAGTCGAAAACGCCCAATCAGTGAGCCTGGTCCAAGTGCTCCAAAACGAAGTCGGGAACAATCAACGAATCAACCCGGTCCAAGCACTTCCAATCAAGACCAGCAACAGCCAATGGACGAAGAAGAGTCGGGAAATACTGCTCCAAATCAAGCGGTTGTATTAAGCGAAAGAAATCGGAAAACCTTGGATAGTCTAAAGCAAAAACTTGAAGAGTTTAAAGAAGTGGAAAAGAGCATGTGTCGAGCCTATTATGATAGTGTGTTTCATCAATTAAGCCAATGGAAAGGTTTAAGAAAAGGCAAAGGTATATCTGAGCCAAGGTGCAGCCCAGAAACTCAACAAAAAATGAGAAAAGATTGTGAAGAAGCAAAAAGAGTACTATATAGTATCAAACAACGATTGAAAATGTTTATGGAAGGCTATGGTTTGAAATATGAAGAGCCGGATTCAGACTTTGAAGAGTCGGATTCAGAAGAGTCGAGTTCAGATTCAGATTGATGATTCGTCAATGAATTTAATTTTGAATAAATTTAAAGGCAAGACTATTTCAGCTCTGAAATGTGCGATAAAAGAAGCAGTTATGCCTGCTTTGCAGACTCCTATTTGCAATTTGGATTTGAAAATAGGAAACTCGATTATTGAAGTATTAAGAGCCTCTGATTTGAAGGATGTATTAGAAGAAGCTCAAGTTTCAATCACCAACACAATCATAGTGATTCCTTTAGTGACTTACCTGGACCAATGCATTTTGTGTTTTTGCTTTTCATTTGGTTTAGGACTTGGTTATTCTGTCACTGTCTTTTTGAGACTGACAATGAAATGGAAGAATATCATCATCCATTTATTGCTGATGTCATATTCCTCATTATTGAGATGACTGGCTTAGGATGCTCTCTATACACTATTTGGCAGTCGATCTGGCAAGCAACAATGGAATTCACAACTTGCATCTGTTTTCGCTGGAGTTTTCTGTAGTCTTCTTGTAGAACCATCTTACCATTCCTGAAAAGGTAATAATAAGTTTTAGTAAGAATCATCCAATAAACGTTAAACAATAACCTGATCGTGGTTACTATATAACTTTACTACCAGATCTTGGTATAATGGCAGGATCCATTTAAAGCATTGGTGAGTCTTGCACAAATAGCTCCTAATAATTCAAACTTGAATGCGATTACCCTTAGGTTTCTGACCTTGATGCTCATATCTGATAACTTGTTATTTTGACAGCTTTAGAGCAAATTCAAGTCACCTAAAAAAACTGGTATTATTCGGTGTCCTATTTATACTACTTTGGATCAAGAAACGAATACAGAAATCAAGGACCTAATGAACAAAGAGGTTTTTGAAGATGAAAAGTATCTGTTTACCATTGAAAATGGTATTGTATATGCAATCAAGAACACATGCAATTTAGATGAAACCAATAAAGAATTACGAGACTACGTTGCTTCAACATGGAAAGATCCACAACTTTTACACGATGATGCTTGCTCAACAGCGACTCCAAACAAAACTGTCGAGTATTTTTTAAACGACTCCATTGAAAAGGCAATCACGTTTGTTGTCATTGAAAAAGTCGACTGAGCCAATACTCGACAGAGATGCGATCTCATCAAAGTCGGGGCTACTTTGGATAAAATCAGCTACTGATTAGATAGAGATAGCTTTGGTAACTCTTCAATCAAATGTATATCATTGAGTGCATGACAACATTTGGACTTGTAATCATGGTAAATATTAAAGCCATTGATCACAACTTATCACCACATTGAGCATGCCAACTCTCTTGGTCTTCCCATTTATCCCAACACTGTTTTTACTCTGTAAAATGCCAGCCAAAAACAAAGCAGACTTTGTAATAGTATTGAAGCCCCATTGGCTAGTCTATGGTGATTAAACCCGACCGAGTCCCAATGCTAAACAAATCTAGAATACAGCCAAAACAACCAAGTCTACCGATTAGAATCATTTTGATAACTAATACTCAATTCATATTGTTTATTCAACACAAGATATATTTATCTCACAATCGAGTTCAACATTGAAAATACAGTCCATTCAACACTACATCATCGTGAATTGGCAATTCCAATGCGATTGTTATCAGAATCAAAAATAGTATAGTACAGCTTCATAAACGAATCGCCCAATATCCAAAACCCATGCATATCTAGTCCAACAAATGCTGACACGCAGTATCCAAATCCAAATGGAATCACATAGTCTTCGTTGCGCAGCGTAAATGACACATTGTTCAACATAAAGGTAACTGAAGGCAGTCCTGTGCACGGTATCAACTGAAGTCCGTTTTGATATGGAATCGCACCAAGTTGTTGGTGGATCAGTGTCGCAGATACTGTTGGGATGGCTATAAGCGACGTCCCACTATCAAACACGGCTTGTGCATTTTGTATGAGAGTTGTGCCATTAAAGGTTACCGAGGTTAACCCCACTTGCCAAAATTGTCGTTTGGACAGTGGCAGCCATGTAATGGATCCATCAACATGGCTTGGATCATATCCACCAATTGTCAATACCGAACCTGGTGCACTGTTCTTGGTAAGATATAATCCAAATACTCCAGCTGGTATCAAACCTTGCGCATGCATATTTTCCATTGGTGTTGCTACATTATTGATTGAAATTTCGCGCATGCCTAATCCAAGAACTCCATCATACTTTGTGTTGATGAATGTCGTGCCTGGCTGAGATACAGACTCGGCAAAGCTTTGGTTTGTGACAGTCAGACCAGCCATATAAAAGGTATCAGAGGACATGACACCACTAAGCGATCCTGTTCCATCTATTCATAGAAAATACACATATCTAGTTAGTAATGAATGCAAACAAGTGCATATCCGACATAAACAGGGCCATCTAGTTGCTATGCTAATCATAACAGGCCGATTCCTATTTAACCCCAACAAATGTGCTACCACTTTTGACATTTATATTTACATACATTGAATGGAAAACGTTTGCGTGAGTGAAGTCCAGGTGGATGAAAGCAATCGATTGAACTGAGAATGCTTTACACAGGCTGGATCCGAGCATCGCGTCGAGGGAAGCCTATAGATTCATCGAGTTTAAAAGTAGTATATGCCATGTTGTCAATTTGTGTCAAAAATTCAAACTAGATGTACCAGCATCTGCACATGCTTCTAACCATTTGATCAAATCACTTACCAGAGATTTGCTGATCCAGTATCAAACTGAACCAGAAAGCTTTGCGGCGGTGTTCCCAAAGCGATTCGACCATAATATTGCGCATCAGCACTGTTGGTGACTTCGACATTCCTTGGAGCAGCCAAACTGCTGACACTTCTTGCTTTACGACTTGGTACCCTTGGCTTAGAGCCGTATCGTGTAATAAGAATATCTATCTGTCCCAACAAACTATCTGGAGAGTCCATGAACCTATTGTTGATTTCGATTGGAACAGAAATAGGAGCTGGTGTTTCAACCGTGTTTGTAGTATATGGGTTGTCAATCGCTGGCAATGTGGATGCCGGATCAAATACATCAACTGTAGATTCCAATGGCAATGCTGTTGAAAATTCCTGCAGAAAAGTGGTTTGAGTCGGAGTTGAAAAATCAAGCGGTACATTGCTCAACAATATAGGCGAAGCGACTGAATCTTGTGATGGTGTTCGAGTAAGGAAAAATTGGGTTTCCGCTGCTTCAAGTGCAGTAGGTGAAAATGCATCTGATGTTATCAAAGAATCAGTTGCATCAATCAATTCAAAATTGACATCACTGCTAGGCGTTTTTACAGTCGATGGCGACAGGGATTGGTCCGAGACTGTAGTACTGGTCGAGTATAGAACTGGTAAAATTACTGCATCGTCGGTAGAAGCGAGCGCGGTTTGCTTGAACTCTGTTGTGCTTTGCATCGAGTCTGTAGCAACATCCACTGTTGTCGTGGGACGCTGATCTATTGTTGGAAGCGAGCTACTTGATGGTATGTTATTCAAGTTTACTAAAAAAGCATTCGTTTTTTGTTTGGATGGTAGATTCGAGTAAGACGCGAATGTGCGACGAGATCTGGATTGTGCGTACGGCACTCTCCTAAACGCAACAGCTGTCTCGCAAATGATGGCTAAAACAGTACTTGCAGGTACAAGACGTGGCAGATGCATGATGTTGCCTTTTCAAACGTTTCGAGATGGTTGAATGCTGCAAAAGAAAATGATTTGGATAATTCACAGTTGACAGCCGTTGGTAGGTATCTATTATGAGTAGATTACGTATATTTATATAAAATAAATCTCCGACACGCTTCAAATTCTCGGCCTAAATCACTATCAACTATTTCCCAGTTGAAAGCTATGGAGCGTAGACGTGCGGTTTGGTTGATGTGGCGTAGAGCATGGCAGATTTAGAGCCACTACGATGGATAGCCAATAAAATGCTGGCTTGAATTACATTACAATCTAGCACGTTGTGTGATTTGAGATTAAATGAGCACTAAGAAAGTGCTGAAATGGCAATGCAACCGAGTTGATTGTGGCCGAGTATTGTCTTGATAGATCGCGACGCTGTAACACCATATCAAATACCATGCATACCTATTCCAGCCTGCTGTAACGAAATTGCACTTTTAGGATCATTCGTGCTTCCCTATGCGATACCATTGTTGGGTATATACTATTAGGCATTGTATGTGTTTAGTCAGTCACATGGCTATCTTGAATCTCACTATTTTCACAAAACACTGACTGATATACCAGTTTAATCTCATCAATGCATGTGGCTATGAATATCTATCAATAGCACCAGCGCAAATATACCATGGCTTCAACGATTTCAGCGATTGCAAGTTTGATAGATTGGGGTCGAATACAAGACACTGTAAAACTAACGGCTTTACTGATTGTAGCTCCAACACGGTTGGTTATTTTCAGTGCAGCATATGTTTAATTCAGTTGAATGATGCCCAGATATCCGAGAATGGGAATTTGTTAACAAATAGGATAGGCATATCAATTTGACAAAAGCAATAGCCTATATTTTTACTTGATGATTGACTTGACATTCATTTATGTCGGCCAAGGCTCGATAGTAAGTGGCCTTGATAGTTTGTATTGCAATTGGATATGAACTCGGGTCAATGTGGTTGCAGATTGTGCTGAATCTATACCACCAATAATTCTATATTTGAAAGCCTAATCTGGTGGTATTGGTATATAAATCTAATCTACCCAAAAATGATCAATGTGATTCTATTGGTATTGGTCTATGAATTTCACCAGCATTACTGATATGCCAGATATATTGTGGTTCCGAATATTTTGGATGAGTGCATGTCTGCTTTATTCAAACCTTGCAAGGAGCATTATGTTTAGAATTGCAAAATGGTCAAAGTCAACAACTTGTACATATGATAACGTAAATGCAATTTCGGACATTGCACGACAATCATGGTGGGAATACATCCTGTTATACAACTATTTATTTTGTTGGTATATCAGCACTGCAGATGGTAGCAAGGTGTGCGTTTTTTATCAATCTGGCAATTTTATTTGACCGAATAACTTGTCATGCCAGTACATTTGCATGGGTTGCTACAGTAATGTGGATGTATTGTTTACTATGAATATCCATACAGTTGTGATTGCTGCATAATTAGAGTAAAACCTTGAACAACTCCAATATCTAGTCTTTTGTATTGATACGTCATGAACTAGACCGCTTTCTCAGATTTAGTTGATATGTTGGCCGCTTGCTACTGCACATTCTCAGAAAGCGGAGTTGCAACTATCAATACTTTCCGCCCATTTGATTTTAGTATCTCCATAAATGCAGAGTATAATAGCCATTTGGCATAAATTAGTTTTGAAACACCGTCATTATATTAATATTGTCCCGAAAGAATACAGCTTACGCCTGACGACCTGCATATCTTGGCATTTCAAACTTTTGTATACAAGGCTTGCTTTTTGAACTTGGAGCCATTATTACATTCCGAATAAAACAGTTGCAAAGCTTACCTATATAGATATTCGTATTTGGGCAGCTCAACAAGAAACGCCATTCAATAATGTTGCTCGTGCACACTTTCAAGATCCTGATGTGGGGAATTTCACTGGATGTGGCTATTATCGTGGCTAATGCGTATTTGGTTGTTCGTATTCCAGATAGCAGTTCAACAGAGGCATCTGTAACAACATCATTTTATTCACCAATTATTACAGATACTCTGTCACCATCAGTGATGGATACCTTGCCGATATTGTACAGTAGCACGACCAACGATGATGAAATTTGGTCGACATCTACGACTGGATCAACAAGACTTTCAGATTTATCAACCACCGTTTTAACAACCTACACAGGATCACCAACGCCTAGTATATTGCAAAAAAGCTCCGCATACTCGGATAGTGAGAATTCACAATCATCTGAACTTGTCTCGGATACAGTCGATTTCAATTCAAATCTGTCACCTACCACTATTATATCTGCTTTATCAGATGACAATTCATCCATCACATATCAATCAGTTTCATCATTGAGCAAAAATATTACCGAGCTTAATCCAGCTGTTGTTTCTACGACTCAGACATCTTCTTTGTTTATGTATAGAACTGCTTTATCCAGTTTTCCAATTTCCACATCAGTAGAATCCGATTTTTTAACTCTTTCTGAAAGTTTGTTGACGACCAGCGAGGTACCGACTAAATCGTCGATTGGCCCAACTGCATCCACTGCAACAAGTCTGAACGATGCATATTTTTCTACACAATCAACATATACAGAATCCATCACGACACCGACCGGCTTTGATGTGTCGCAAATTTCAGCAGTATCTGCTCCAATATCGTCCATCCAATCACAAGCGCCATTTGCTCGTATTTCAACTCGATCACCGACCAGTTATGTTGATATTTTGAGACAACTTGAAGCGGACCTTATGTCACAATATTCACGGCGAAGACGTAGGCGTCGACCTATTAGAGCAATTGCCACACCTACCATGAAAGCTGTATCGCAATCTACATATTTGATTACAACAGTGACCGATTCCATTCAGATTTCAACCGCATCGGCTGATTCTTTGATGGCTCAAACCTCGACGCTAGTTTCAACTCAGTTGACATTGACATCAGAATCCTTGCCATTATTTTCGACTGCCACGCAAACAGTATTAGCGACGCCTTCTGTGGTTTCGACAGTTGCTCAAAATTCATCTGGCGAGCCAGTTACGATCCCGATTGTGTTTAATACCAATTTTGACACCAATCCAGATGGTATTATCAGACAGGTTGATTTTCTTCGACAGCGGTATATTTCTCCTGAGCCAGCGTCGTTTGTGAGTAATTTGGTATCTGCGATAAGTAGTGTATTTGTAAAAGCACCACCGCCTGTACCAATTAGCAACACGGCAGATGCACAGTACTTTGGCGTCGTTCAGTTGGGAACACCACCACAAAGTTTCAAGGTTTTATTTGATACGGGATCAGCCAATTTATGGTGGGTTGACTGATACATGTGTAGATACTTGTGTAGATGATTGCAAGAATGGTTCGATTAATGAACGCGAGCATGTTCACTAAATGACTCGATTATATTGATATTTAATATGTAGGGTTCCATCTACTCGTTGTACAGATGCACCATGTATGAACCATGCCAGATATGACTTTACTCGATCGTCTACATTTACTCCAAACAACTCTCCGTTTGCGATCCAGTGTAAGTTGATGTATTATTTGATTTTTTGTTGAGCCATTCATGGATTTCATTTTATGTATAATGCTGACTGTATGATATGCTCAGATGGACTAGGATCGGTTACCGGAGTGATTTCGTCAGATACATTGCAGTTTGCAGGAATCAATATACCTAATCAACAGTTTGCAGAAGCTGTGACAGAGCCAGGAAATACATTCTTGACATCGTCCTTTGATGGTGTCCTTGGACTAGGATTTACAGCGATTTCCATCAACAATATTCCAACACCGATGGATAATATGATAGCTCGTGGACTGATTCCAGCAGGAATTTTTGGATTCTTTCTTACACGAGGAGGGGTATCAGGATCATCGCTCACATTAGGAGGGATTGACACAACTCATGTGAATGGAGCGATTACCTGGATTCCAGTTGTGCGCAAAGCATATTGGGAAGTGGTGATGGATTCTGTAACACTTGGAAAAACGACTTTGGCAACTGGATCTCATGCAGTGTTTGATTCAGGTACATCACTGATTGCAATTCCCACAGTACATGCAAACCAGATTCACCAACAGCTTGGAGCAATACCATTTACCAATGGATTGCAGTTAATACCGTGCAGTGGATTACCACCGATTACATTCGCATTGAATGGTGTAGCATTTACATTACGCAACGAAGACTATGTGCTGCCCTTTGGGTTTGGATATTGCGTGTCGGTATTTGTTGGACTAGATATGAACAACTTTTGGATTCTGGGAGATTCATTTCTCAAGTTTTACTACACTATTTTTGATGTAGATAATGGTCGGATTGGTATTGCCAACTCCAAGTGAACTGAGTCGAGTTTGATATTTTCTACAGTGACATATTCATGCTTTTACGATTGTATTGATACAAAATGAGGAAAATGAAAGAGTCGCATGAAATGATTAAGATTAATTTTTCTAAAAACAAATTGTAACAAAAAGTAAAGAAGTTGAAGTGGATTTGTGAATTGAAAGTTTGAAAGCAAAAGACGAACATTTGACTGGAATTTGACTTGACAATTATTACAATTATTATTACAACAACCATCACAACAACTATTATCACAACAACTATTATTACAACAACAGTTTAAATTCATCATGTCAACTACTTCTGTACCTACACAAAAGTCTATTACTATTCATTACAAACACTTGGACTCACTTGATACCAAGAAAACTGGCCATTCTAGCAACACAACCATCACAGACTCGACAGAAACTAAACCATTACAAAGAAGAATATCTACCGACTCTGCCATTTCCATATCGTCAGTGTCTAGACGTTCGTTTTTACTGCCATTGCAAGAAGTGTCGGATGAAAAGCTGCTTGAACCCCTGCAAAAGGGACCATCACAGCACTACGCTTCTGCTCAAGTCGATTCTTGTCATTCGAGTCGCATGGAAGAGTCATTGGACAGCATCACTGCAGACAGGACGATGCCTTGCATTCCATCTGCTGTATTGACTGACACAGCTGCTCGTCATAGACTCTGTCGCTCTTCTGCATTGAAAATTACTACACTGCAGCATTCAACCTCCACGACTGTTCATCACTGCCATGACTTGGCTCAAGTCGTTCCTCCAATGCTTCAAGCAGAAATGACTGCTCATGAAAGCTACTCTCTTGCTCGTCCTGGATCTGGCGCTTGGGTTCCATTGGGCGATGATGATGCTTGGGGGGCTGCTAGTCCGAACAGAGATGGTCTTCCCCAAGACTCTTCTTTCAATCGATCTCCATGGTCTCGTATGGGTCCTTGGACTCCTTCCTCTCGTTCATGGCAGATTCCTACTCGAGGCATTGGTCCTGACAATGGGTTTGGCATGTCCCGTCGTCAATTGATGCGTCGTCAGTGGTCTCGCATATGCTGCATCCGAGTTGGCATCTTGGCTGGAATCGGTCTGGTTCTAACCATCGTCATTGCTGTCGTTATTGTTACTCATCTACATCAAACTCCTGTCGTATTCGATGCATCTGCTGGTCCTCGTGGAAGTATTCCCGGTTCTCCTCCTGGCCCACCTCTTCCTGTTCTAGGTGTTCTTGGGCTTGGCAATCCTTCTGGTCGTCCTGCCATTTATTTTGGCGCTAGCATCGACTGGGTATGTTGTCTTGCTATTCCATCCTTGAGTTCATGTATTGTTCCAAACACTGTACTGCTTTGTGTCCAAAGCTGACACTACTACGAGGGGTTATTTATCATCCTTGTTTAAATTTTATTTAGGATAATAACGATCCCGAAAATTTCAACAATGATTTTGGTCATGCTGCTGCCATTCAGGATTCCTTCTTTTACATGACGAGCTCTGCTTTGCTTACTTCTGCAAATGTAAACTCTTCAGGTATCTTACACACAGTGTCTGACAGTTTTGCATGGACTGCTGCACTGATTCGTGGAACAGGCGCTATCATGGGCGTGACTGTAATTCCTCTGGCTCCATTGAGCAGTATTCAAAATGACGTGCTTGTTTCACTCGCTAGAAAATGTAAAAGTATCAATTCTATTGGAGTCCCTATTCTTTTGCGATATGCTCCACAGATGAATGGTGAGTTGTTTTGGTCTGGCCTGGTTTTTATTATCGTAGAATCATGATTGAATCCACTGTCGGTTTCTCTAACAGCTCAATTTTCAATACGCATTTTTTATTGTTAGGAAACTGGTTTCCGTATGGACAGGATCCGAAAGCTTACCGTGAATCTTTTGTTAAATTGGCCAACATGGTCCACAATACTACAAACAATACCGCAATGGTATGGTCGCCAGTATCTGCACTTTCGTATCCATTTCCAGGTGGTCGCTTTTTCCCTAATCAAACAGAGTCACGATTTCAACAACTGGACACCAATCAAGATGGTGTATTTAACGCTGAAGATGATCCATTTTTACCCTACTATCCTGGTGATGATGCTGTCGACTGGGTAGGAATCTCTACATTTTACACATCTTCAAATCCTGCCAGAAGCTTTTATCCAATTCCTGCTGGCATGCCATACCCATTTCCTCCAGTATCTCAGACTGCAAATACCACTAGTGCGGCTCCATCCGATGTCAAGGCTATATCCTTTCCAGCTTTTAATGAATCAAGTGGTTTGCCAATCCATATGCAGTCAAGACATTCTACTGTTAATGGCACACCCCTTCCTTCAACATCTTCCATACCATCTCCAAAGTTAAAATCAGATTCCTTGACACTGCTTTCATATCCACTCTCGGGACCTGGACTGGCTGATACAGCTGGAAACTCTTACTCGCCTTATGCATCCACCTTTCCCGCTATCCCTACCTATGACAATCTTCCGCTGCCTAGTCGTAGTATTGGTCCCAATTCTACTAGTTTTGAAGCTCATCTGACTTCAGGAGGATCTCAATACAATTTTTACTCCATCTACGCCAAAGGACATCAAAAACCATTAATTGTTAGCGAGACTGGTGCTGCTTATTACCCTTCTGGTCGTCAGTTGGGTCTTAATGCGACCGAAATGTCGATAAAAGGTGAATGGAGGAGACAAGTGTTTGATTATGATTTGTTGCAGGTAATTCACATGCTTGAATATGATCTAGCAATGTCTTGGGTTTATATACTTTTTGAACTTTAACCTCTTGTATTTTTAGAAATATCCATTGATTCGAGCAATTGTCATGTTTAATAAGATTGTGCCTTTGCAAGCGACTTCTTTGTATCTGGGAAAATCTACATTTTCTGAAAGTCTACATTCAACTGCTGTAGCAGATTTTACATTAACTGAAAACTCTCAAGTTTTGCAGGCCTTTAACATGGATCTTCTACCCTTGATTTTGGCTGCCAATGCTCCCATGGATTCCAATAGTTCTGTAACAAACGGCACTGATAATGGTATTGCACAGACACCGCCTTTATCTATAGGATTACAACCCCAAACTCTCAATATTTCAGGATTCCTCATTTTTGCTAATGGGACTGCAGTGCTACTAAATGGATCATGGACAGTGAGTGGGGCAAGGATGGCTCCACAAGTTGAACCAGATCAGTCCAAACCTATACTACAGGACCCTACGTTTACCAACATTACCAACACTGCAACACCATAGTGATAAAGTGCCTTTTTACATTCAATGGCAATGCTTTCCCTGATTATATGCCATCATCCGTTTTTATATTTTACATTTTAATTATCATTATTCATTATTTTCTGTATACGTGTACATGATAGCCTTTTAAAGTGCCTCCTGGTTTTTCAAATAAATGCGATTTTCTCGTTGTCTGTTTATTAGCCGTGATGAATTAAAATACAGTCATATTCACGTATAATGAAACACTATGATAAACAGTCATGTTTGGTGTCAATCTTATTGAACAATATTTTATTTTGAACTCATTGGTTGACTGGTCTTTGTGCTCATTCTTGAACAAAATACAATGCGAATGTTTACAACTTTGTTCCAATACATTTCACATTCTTGACATTTTTTTAATCTCCAAAACGAATATTTCAAGTAAACATTGCGTAACTGGCATGGAAATAACAGTTGCATTTTTGAGATATGTTGAACTAGATCGCAAACGTGTCTGATATTAGAATAGTTTCAATAAAAGAAATATTCAATCACTGTTCATTCCAAGACCATCATTATAAAGTGTTTTATTTTACGTGAATACGACTATAAATATTTTATTGTATGAATGCTTTGACAAGAACATGTTTGTGAAGTGTACTTTGAGGCATGAGATTATTTCCTGGCACAAACTCGATGCTTTGCTGGTCCAACAGATGGTTTTGGCATTGACTAGCCAGCCAACAAAAAGTGAGTTTACACGTGATTACTGCTGAAATCATGTTCCAACTTAATTTGATAAAATTTCAATTTTTTTTTTGGAAATTTCAAAGTCAAACTTGAAAATTGATTATTATAAAAAAACTGCATTCTAATTGACAAGATTGAGTTTCAGTAATCTTTGGATATTATTACTGTCAATTTGTACGCTTATTCAGCATCATCAAGAATATCATTCAGCATATTTTCTTTAAAAAGCCAACACATGCCATCAACCAAGAAAGATCAGACCACCGTCAACCTCTCAATTCCCAAAAAACAACATGCATCTTCTAAAGTAACTAAAAATATCGTCAATCCATCATCAGATACGTTGGAAGATTCCACGCCGATTTCTGATCATCATATCACTAGCGTGGATGTGGATTCTGACGGAGAGGATACCAGCTCGGTCTATTCCAAATCTACTTTGTTTGTTTCTACTCTTCCATTCACTGCAAAAGCTGATGATCTTGAAGAGTTTTTTTCTCAGATTGGTCCTGTACGTTCTTGTTTCATTGCCAAGCAGAAATTAACCGGCTTGTCCAGCGGTTGTGGATATGTCCACTTTGCCTTGGCTGAGGATGCCCAACGTGCACTTGTTGAACTCAAAAAACAAAAGTTTATGGGCGGTCGAACTTTGAAGATGAAAATTGCCTTGAGAAAGAGCATTGTTGTTCAGAGAAAATCAGGTAAACCTCGTATTCATATTATCAATTTTTTGATGTAGAAACTGAGTGCATATATTTTATTTAGAGGGCATTCCAGTAAACATTGAAGAAGTTGCAGAAATGGAAAAGCAAGCAAGTAAGGATTTTGTCAAAATGAAACGTAAACTTAAAGTCGTTGATACTACACCTGTTTCCAGCACCAGTGCAGTGATCAATGGTCCCTTAGCAAATGCCAAAAAATCTGATTCAACTGGTTCAAAACTTGCATCAAACATGACGACTCTACTTCTTAGTAGGCTTCCAGCAAAACTTACAAAGAAGCAACTGTACAAAAAGTTGCGCAAGTTTGGTGATGTTGAAGATTTACAATTTCCAATCGATGATGTAATGGATGCTGCTTCCCAAGGTAAACATTGTATTTGTTTCGATGCAATCCTAATCTGGCTAAAGGTTACAATTATGCTGCTCAGATGTATTTGTTGCGGCTTGACTGAAAAATGTGTCGGATTTTTAGATTGTGCTCGTGTCATATACAAAAATGAGGATAGTGCACGTCGCGCTCAAAAGCAGCTCAATGAGCATCAGTTCAAAGGTGCAACAATCAAATCAGTTATTGAGCCGACAAAGGTATTTACATTCCATCATATAGTTACAAACTGATACGTTTTACTTGCTACTAATATCTACATTTAATCCAATAATATGCAAAAACAGGCCAAACAACGTGCTCGACTTATTATTCGTAACTTGTCATTTAACTGTAAGCCAGAAAATCTACAGAATGTATTTTCAGCATTTGGCATAGTCAAGGATTGCTCTGTGCCTCATTTAGATGATGGAAAGGCTCGTGGATTTGGGTTTGTCGAGTTTGAAACTATGGATTGTGCTCAACGTGCCTTGCAAGCCGTAAATGGCACCAAGATTTTGAATCGGCCTGTTGCTGTCGATTGGGCTCTTGCCAAAGCTACTTTTGATCGACTTTCTGCATTGCCTACAGCTGAAGGCGAAGATTCAAGTGACAATGAAGACCAAGTCGCAGATGCCGCTCAACATGACAATGAAATGACAACCAGTCTGAAACCCCAAAACAGTCTACACGAATCAATGATGGAAGTGGATGGTGAAGATGGTATGGAGATTACTATGGACGATGAGTCTTCTGAAGAAGATGACGGTATCGAAATCATCATGGATAATGAGGTTGACAGTGACGTTGATCAACCATCCACCAGAAACACTATTCCAGATGAATCCAAGCCATCAAGTAACAAAGCGAGTTCAAGTCAGGACGATGCTGACACTACCTTGTTTATTCGAAATCTATCATTCGAAACAACCGAAAAAGAGCTTTACAACGCGTAAGTTTACTATATGGATATTGTCATGGTTTACAGATTACAACTGACGATAAGAAACTGAATTGGAAATCACTAGATTTTCTACTTTTGGAAAGCTAAGATATGCCAAAATCACTATGGACAAGACCTCTGGTCTTTCAAGAGGTACAGGATTTGTGTGCTTTTATGATGAAAAGAACACGTCCGACTGCCTAGTAGAGTACGAAAAAGCAAAGTCGGTAGCTTTGTTGGTAATGGATCCTACATCGAGCAATGCAGTTCCAGTGCTCCCAACTTCCCGAAATGAATATACAACAGTAAACACTAGCAATTCACACAAGTCCGTTATTACTCCTGAGCTATCACAAATGGCATCCGGCACTAATCCAGCATTTATGCTTGGCGGCAGAATGCTAAGCATTACTATAGCCGTATCCAAGAAACTGGCAGGAGAATTGACATATGATTCTAAATTGCGTCGCCGAGCTCAAGACAAGCGCAACATGTATTTGATGCGCGAAGGAGTTATATTTGCAGGAACCGAGGCTGCCAAGACCATCACTGAGGAAGAACTGTTGAAAAGGACAAACAGTTTTGCAGATCGCAAACGCATTTTGGCTACTAATCCCAACCTCTTTATCTCGCGTACCCGTCTCTCTATTCGGTCGTTGATGCCATATGTTACTGATCATGAGTTGCGAAACACTGCAAAACATGCAGTGATTGCTTTTTGGAAGCAAGTAGAAGAAGGAACTCGTCAACCCCTTGAACCAGAAGTGGTGGATGAAGAGCTACAACAAGGGAACGATGCACCAGGCATCAAACGCAAGGTGACAATACGACAAGCCAAGGTGCTATTAGATATGGATCGACTTGATGCTGTAACCAAAAAACCAAAGTCTAAGGGATACGGGTTTGTTGAGTTTAATTCTCATGCTGATGCATTAGCATGTCTTCGATGGCTCAATAACAACCCAACTGCATTCATTCAAAAAAAACCACAGACTAACAATGCTCAAAAAGCAGATTCAACCCAAGACAAAAAGACTGATAAACAAGTCAAGGCAATGCCAGTTTCCAATACCAAAGTAGCTAAGCGACCGATTGTCGAGTTTGCAGTGGAAAATAGATTGGTACTTAAGCAGAGAGGCGAGCGCGATATCATTAACAAAGCAAAAAATCCAGAATCAACCAAAGTTGAAGGTGCAGCAGCCAGAATAGCTAAAAAGGATCAGATCAAGAAGCGTAAGAGAGATGCTCCAACAGCCGATGAGCCGTCTCAATTACCTAAAACCAAGAAACCAGACATAAAAAGTATTGTTTCCAAGACAAAAGCAGGAAAGACTCGTGTAGATGGATCACAGTCGGTGAGCAGTCTACCCAAGAGACCGAGAGCACTGAATGCTGCTTCTGGTTTGCCAGCATTGGCGGAGACCGAAAAATCAATATCCAAGAAACAAGCAAAGCGTGCTCGACAGGACAAGGAGGAAACAGACTTTACATCCATGGTGGCTCGGTACCGCTCCCAGATAAATGCGCCTTTATCTAAAAATGGAGATGGAACACCACATCCAAGATCCATATCGTCTTGGACTGAGTAATTGTACGCGTCCTTGAAAACAAAACCTCGAGATTAGCGAACATGAAAATAAATTCAAAACTTGTCACAATTGACAATTGAACATGAACAAGATGTTGGTGTGGGTAGTGAACCGGACTGAAGACAACGATATCATTGCTCAGGCATGTGTTTAGCATGTGTTTAATTTAAGAGCCAGTCAAGTATATCAACTGGATCATTTTGTTCGAGGCTGTAGTGATCCTAACTAGCAAGATATTGGTTTGAATGATTCATTTTAGTCCTATGAAGAATGCATGCAACTACTGGATCCTCAAGAACAGAGTAGAATAAAAGGCTATAGGTTTCAGAAAGATGCATTTTCCAGCTTAGTAAGCATCAAGCTATTATCGAGTCACATTTTACATGAATGCTAGCGAGTCCTAAATGCCAATTCATATCTAATGTTTTTATCGTTTGAATCAGGTTGGTCAGGTTTTGCCGAGAGCAGCCATATGCAGACACATTCCAGACATATCCTTGCAACAACTGCAGTTTCATAGAACTTCCATTGGCAGACCATTTATGACTATTTCAAACTGCTGTTCATTTAATCCCACATCACCATCAATGGCTTTACCAGATTACAATATATCACATCACGGCGAATATATCGCTTTGATAATGGCACCATTTTCCGGCTCTACTGTTTCCAATCTATCATCTGGAAATAGTCAAGACCAATGGAGAGTTGGGGTGGATCTTACCAAAATTGATCAGCGTGAGATTGATGATCCGGAAACCTTTTTTGGATACTTTGATGAACAGTTTTCAAAGTTGGAGTGGGAGTGGATACGGCATGGTGTAACTGGGGAAGCAAATGTGTTGGTTGGTATGGCAGTAGTGTCGCCAGACTCGATCGTATCTTCATCTATTATCACTTTCCAACCCAAAAATGATCATAATCAAGACATGATTCGACGGTTTCATTGCATGTGGGCTCTCAAAGAAGCTTATGTGAAAGGAGTCGGGTGCGGGATTGTAACCAACTTGCAAGATATTGTGTTTTTAGTGTCATCTTACAATTCAAACAATCCATCAACAATCAAGGTAGATTTGCCACATTTTGATTATTCAATTACCCAAGCGTCAGATACTTGAGCTAATAGATTTCAACTGCTATAATTGGGCTTAGTTGTGGCAGAAGCAGCTGTCAGTAACGCTGATGATTCATGGAAAAATATCTCATGATTGGTTGTTTCAGGTTCAACTAGTGGATGAACAGCACATTATTTGCATGGCATCCACATCAAAATACAAAGGCGACTTGTCATTTGATATTGTAAAATGGAGCAATGTGCTAGACAATTGTGGTATCCGTATTTTAAACCATGATCCATAATCAGCTGTACATTCAATTAGACTAGAATCAAATATTAACCGAGTCTTGGGTCTGATATTGTAAATCGAGCGCATATCAATGCTGTCGTATTATAACCGTATTCGCATAAAATGGAATGCTTTTGTATCTTACAGTCACTGCCTCTTATTTGGAATAAACAATGGTTGGATATTTAGCATTGGCTGCTTCTTCAAACGACAATGTTCATATAATACAAACTACAGTTTTGAATTGAAATTCTCGTTTGGTGTAACCACACATTGTATGATTGCCAGATTCTTCCATTGCAATTCAGATATTGTATTCAAACTCCTGTCTGTTGTATCTTAAAATCTCACAGATGCATTTGCTCTAGTTCAAGAAAACAATGATTGCAAGCTTCGGGAGTACATCAGTTGCTTCCGTGCCGGTTACCGGGAGAAACACCAATGAGCTCTATTAAACAGCTTAAAGGATACGGCATTGCCCAATAAATTTGATGGAAATTATCATTTCATGAAACTAGCAGTTTATTATATACTTGGCATCCTTATTTAGTGTTTCATTTCACATGGGTACGGCTGAAATTGAACATGCAAAATATTCGGTGGTTTCCATATAGCCAATGCAATTCAATACGCCGGTTCTAGATAAAATATTTGCTCATCTCAATTTTATTCTACAAAATAAGAATGTTAATTGGATACGTCTACTCAGTTGTGTGCATAATTTTAAAATAATGGTGCTAGCTGACCATTTTTATTTGTCGCTTTTGATATACATTCAAATCATCATATTGTTGCTCGAGTGCTGTAAATAAAAACGTTTTTTAATAATTGGAGTGTCTTTATTCATCATAAATATTTCGAGTCATTTTTTAACGAGTCATCATCAGTTTGGTTTAAAATGGTCTGCTTTACTCAAGCCGATTCACCTTTTGACGATCCAGAACCTGAACCTGATGATCCCGAGTTTGAACCGGATGATTTTGATCCTGAACCAGATGATTTTGATCCCGAACCAGACTCTGAATCAAATGGTCCCGAATTTGAACCAGATGATCCCGAGTTTGAACCAGATGATCCCGAGTTTGAACCAGATGATCTCGAGTTTGAGCCAGATGATTTTGATCCCGAACCAGACTCTGAATCAAACGGTCCCGAATTTGAACCAGATGATCCCGAGTTTGAACCAGATGATCCCGAGTTTGAGCCAGATGATCTCGAACTTGAACCAGATGATCCCGAGTTTGAGCCAGATGATTTTGATCCCGAACCAGACTCTGAATCAAACGGTCCCGAATTTGAACCAGATGATCCCGAGTTTGAACCAGATGGTCCCGAATTTGAACCAGATGATCCCGAGTTTGAACCGGATGATTTTGATTCTGGACCAGATGATTTTGATGGACTAGATTCTGAATTGGACGGGCTTGATTTTGAACCAGATGATCCCGAGTTTGAGCCAGATGATTTTGATGGACTAGATTCTGAATTGGATGGGCTTGATTTTGAACTAGATTCTGAATTGGATGGTCCTGATTTTGAGCCAGATGATCTTGATGATCCATTTCTGGAAGATCTTGTTGATTCTGGCCCAGATGAACTCTCACTATTTGAATTCGAAGGTTTGGAAGATTCAGGGTTTGATTTTGATGGATCCGCGATGCTAGATTCTGTAGAGCGAGACACCTCTACAGAGTTGATAGAGCGTGTCCTTGAAGGCGTGGGCTCTCTTGAACTATTTGCATTTGATTGAGATTTTGAACTTCCGTTCTCAATAGTTGGTTTTTCTGTTGAAGTAGGATTTGATAGTCCAGATACCGTTTTTGAGATAGGCTTACTTGATGCAACAGATTGTGTAAAAAGAGGACCATCTGATGTAGCAAGGCTTGATACAATAGATCGAGTCGAATCAGATTTATCCAGTGTATTAGTTCTAGTAGATTGGGCCACCAAAGTAAATTGAGTCAATGTAGCGGTTCCAATGGACCGAGTTGCCGAGATTGACTGGCTCAATGTAGCGGTTCCAATGGACTGAGTTGCCAAAGTTGATTGGGTCAATGTAGCGGTTCCAGTAGACCGAGTTGCCAAAGTTGATTGGGTCAGTGTAGCGGTTCCAGTAGATCGAGTTGCCGAGATTGACTGGCTCAATGTAGCGGTTCCAGTGGACTGAGTTGCCAAAGTTGATTGGGTCAGTGTAGCGGTTCCAGTAGATCGAGTTGCCGAGATTGACTGACTCAATGTAGCGGTTCCAATGGACTGAGTTGCCAAAGTTGATTGGGTCAATGTAGCGGTTCCAATGGACTGAGTTGCCAAAGTTGATTGGGTCAATGTAGCGGTTCCAGTAGATCGAGTTGCCAAAGTTGACTGGCTCAATGTAGCGGTTCCAGTAGATCGAGTTGCCGAGATTGACTGACTCAATGTAGCGGTTCCAATGGACTGAGTTGCCAAAGTTGATTGGGTCAATGTAGCGGTTCCAATGGACTGAGTTGCCGAGATTGACTGGCTCAGTGTAGCGGTTCCAGTAGATCGAGTTGCCGAGATTGACTGGCTCAATGTAGCGGTTCCAGTGGACTGAGTTGCCAAAGTTGACTGACTCAATGTAGCAATTGTAAACTCACTTGATTTAGTGGGTGAAGCTGTTTCAATAACAAATGACCAAGTAGTAACCTCGTACCCAGTTTGAGGTGTATAGACTTCAGGATACTGATAACCGCCCATAGTTGGTTGAGCCGGATTGGTTTCCGACACTATGATTGCTTCGATAGTAGAGGTATCAACAGATGCACGCGGATTTTGCGAAGGCCATGTTGGAGGTTCAGGATATTGATAAACGCCCATAGTTGGCTGAGCCGGATTGGTTTCCGACACTATGATTGCTTCGATAGTAGAGGTATCAACAGATGCACGCGGATTTTGCGAAGGCCATGTTGGAGGTTCAGGATACTGATAACCGCCCATAGTTGGTTGAGCTGGATTGGTTTCCGACACTATGATTGCTTCGATAGTAGAGGTATCAACAGATGCACGCGGATTTTGCGAAGGCCATGCTGGAGGTTCAGGATATTGATAAACGCCCATAGTTGGCTGAGCCGGATTGGTTTCCGACACTATGATTGCTTCGATAGTAGAGGTATCAACAGATGCACGCGGATTTTGCGAAGGCCATGTTGGAGGTTCAGGATACTGATAACCGCCCATAGTTGGTTGAGCTGGATTGGTTTCCGACACTATGATTGCTTCGATAGTAGAGGTATCAACAGATGCACGCGGATTTTGCGAAGGCCATGCTGGAGGTTCAGGATACTGATAACCGCCCATAGTTGGTTGAGCTGGATTGGTTTCTGGCATCGCGGTTGATATGGCGGCAGGGCTTTGTGACCCCATCATGGTAGCGATGGTTTCGTAGCTGTTCTGGTTAGTCGTTACAATACTAGCCTGATCTCCCATTCCATATGTATATGGCAAAGATCCATCGGTTCCTGGTTGTGATGATTGCATTGGAATATTTGTTTCAGTTGTAGAGCTGTCACTGTTTTCACTTTCAGATCCAGAAGTATCTCTATTTTTCTCGTCATCCATACCCGGCCTAGGTGGTCGATCAAATATATCCGCGTCTGTATCAGTGTCCTGACCATTAATTTGAATTTTTTTGTTGGTGGAGCTATCTGAAGACACTCTTTCATTAGTTTCTCCTTTAGCGTTTATGAAAGTTACACGGATACAATCATCTATTGATTCAAGACACAAGTCAGTTCAAGTAATTTCTAGCACATATTTCAAAATATTACGATTAAAACCCAATAAAAATTTACATACCAATTGGACCATGGTTTACTACAGGCATAATAGGCGGCTGATGGGAATCTGCGCCAGTCATGGAACAGATACGATAACTTCCGTTTTTCTTGACTGTATCAGCAGGCATCGTAGCCGAAAGCACCTTCCCGTCGCGATCAGTTGCAGCTTCGTTAACACCTTTGAAGAAAACGAATTCAGTAGCATTTAACGGTTTATTCTTATCAACGATCTCCTGAATAGTGATATGTTGGTGGCCCTCGATATTTCCAGTTGTGCTGTTAAGTGTCTGGGGTGCAAGATAGTATTGCTCGTTGGCAAGGTTGAAAAACCCAGATACCAGATTAGACACGCTAAGCGTTATGGTGATGTTGACTGAAGCATCAAGCTGCTCGCCAGAAGTTGGACTGGTAATGATTGTTGATATCATAGATTCAACACTGGGAATAAGACCAATAGTGGTTGAGGAGCACATTTGTGTTCCATCTTTGTGCTGCGTGCCATTAGCGGGCTCGATATCAGGAAATTTCAAACAAAAATCAGACGGCGGCTGAGGTTCGAATATCTTGACACCGGTTGGCAAGTCGCTGGTGTCTGCATTATTTGAGGCGGGGTTGGATGGTTGCTGCTTACCATCTCTTTTAGATAGCCATACGCCGCGACCTCGATAGTTATACTCGGTTGGGCGGGCATTGGCAATCATTGGATGCCCAAAAGTGTGCATAACAGCAAGCAGCGCTGTAAATGTGGAGCTAAGTATCATTGTACTAGGTTTGAAATACAAATTTAAATGAAAATTTTCAACAGTTGATGTCTGTGGTATGCTACAAAATATCAAAGTGTAGAATAAAACAAACAGTTGAAGGTTAGATGAATGTAGGTATATCAATCTAATACGACTGCTTATGTATAAAAGGTATATAGGGGCTTTAGATTGGCAAAAGCGAATCACAAGAGTATTTTTTTACATGTCCAACTGCAAGGCAGATTTATGAATATGGAAACGCGTTAGATGAAGCATTCCAGTTGTATCCACGCAAAATGAAACACTCGACAAAGTGCCAAAATACATAATAAACAGCCAGTCTCATCAGAAGATAGTTTTCACTAAATTTACTGAACAATACTGTGTCTTCTGAGCTCCTTGATAAAGTCGACTAGTTCTCATCCTAGTGACCGACATGGAAACAGCGGTCGCATTCCCAAAACGTGCAATCTTTGCGTTTTTGGACTAAAGCGCGAACATATCCGCAAGTTTTTGGGATACGACAAAGATGCTTGATTGACAACATCAAAACGATCAAACCCAATGTCTGGATTGTAATCGATAATCTGGGTTCAAGCTTGGTGATCATACACTGCATGATTATACCAAAAATGCAGAAAGGAAACTTCAAAACTATAGTTTGATTGTGCATCATATGATGGACGCTGTGTTGATTGAAGTGTATTCAAAGCAACTTGTAGTAGGAAAGTGCAACAAAAACTTACTACTGTTTATTCTGAAGCAGGGGCAAGTCACTACAAGATGAATACAAGTTTCTTTTAGTTCTTTTTACGTGAATACGGCCTTAATATACGATTGAGCTTAAACATGGCTATACATATATTCCATATCAGGCTTTTGATGGCACAACTATTTTCAGTGTGGCTGATAAGAATACCACCGAGTGGCACTTAGTCCAACTACTTTGCGGTGCTTATTCATACTTGATTTTGACCTTCATTTGGAGTGTTTCAAATCAATTCCTATTAAAGCCGTGTTGTTGATCAACAATTCATTGTATTTGCAAACCGCTAATAGGTTATGTCTTGTTCCTTATTTTGTTTAATTTTTAGTGGCTATCAATCTCCAATACAATTTTATTATTTTGTAATGATTGGGGCAAGATTTTTTGGTAAAGTGGCACTTGCATCATTTTAATCAATTTAAATATCAGGCCAAGATGAGTTGATACAACCATGCCACTCATTCAAGCATAGACTAACGGTACCAAATGCTGATTAGTCAACTCTTGTGATACAACTACGGCGATATTGTTAGTTTGCTGAAGCATATAAGTATATACGAATTTGGGAGTGATAAATTTACCGCATTTCACTATTTCCACCATAATACATATTCAGCAACGGACTAATGCTTTAGGTTTTTGAAAATAAATATAATTTAAAAAACATTGATTTATTTTCATAAACATGTATGAAGACAACAATACAAATTCAATATGATATATTGCTCAGTTGTAAAAAGTAGATAGGCTGTGGCATTTTCGGTAATATTTAGTTGGAAATAGTACTGTCAGTGTTGCCAGTGTCAGTTGATCCGCCAGTGTTGGTAGATCCACCAGTGTTACCGTTGTCAGTTGATCCGCCAGTGTTGGTAGATCCACCAGTGTTACCGTTATCAGTTGATCCGCCAGTGTTACCGTTATCAGTAGATCCGCCAGTGTTACCGTTGTCAGTTGATCCGCCAGTGTTGGTAGATCCACCAGTGTTACCGTTGTCAGTTGATCCGCCGTTGTTGGTAGATCCACCAGTGTTACCGTTGTCAGTTGATCCGCCAGTGTTGGTAGATCCACCAGTGTTACCGTTATCAGTAGATCCGCCAGTGTTGGTAGATCCACCAGTGTTACCGTTGTCAGTTGATCCGCCGTTGTTGGTAGATCCACCAGTGTTACCGTTGTCAGTTGATCCGCCAGTGTTGGTAGATCCACCAGTGTTACCGTTGTCAGTTGATCCGCCAGTGTTGGTAGATCCACCAGTGTTACCGTTATCAGTAGATCCGCCAGTGTTACCGTTGTCAGTTGATCCGCCAGTGTTGGTAGATCCACCAGTGTTACCGTTGTCAGTTGATCCGCCAGTGTTGGTAGATCCACCAGTGTTACCATTATCAGAAGTAGGCTGGGGTAATGATTGTGTCTGAATTGTTCCATCGGTTGTCAATGTTGGTGTTGGCAAAGAATCCGTCGAAAAATTGCGTTCAGTAGTGGTAGTGGGATCAGATACGACAGTAGTCACTTCCAACACAGTAGTCGTTTGCTGAGATATATCAGTAGTAACGGCATCGGTAGTGATACGAGTACGACGTCTAGTGGTAGTCTCACTATCTGCAGAAGTAGATGAGTCACTTTGTGACTCAGCCTGAGTTTCTGATGAAGCTACAATAGTAGCAGTGGAACCCAGAGTTTCTTTGGCGGTAGATGTGGAATCAGTAGAAGTGGAACCCAGAGTTTCTTTGGCGGTAGATGTGGAATCAGTAGAAGTGGAACCCAGAGTTTCTTTGGCGGTAGATGTGGAATCAGTAGAAGTGGAACCCAGAGTTTCTTTGGCGGTAGATGTGGAATCAGTAGAAGTGGAACCCAGAGTTTCTTTGGCAGTAGATGTGGAATCAGTAGCAGTATTAGCTTCTATTGTAATGCTTAAAGATTGTGCTTGATTATCAACTCCCTTGACGGTAATATTAGTGCCTTGATCATTAATGGTAATATGGGTATTCACTGAAGTGTCAGAGCCAACCCTGTTGTTTGCTCCGCCGGCAGTATTGAAAAAGTTGACACGGATGCAGTCGTCTGTAAAAAGATTAAACTATAAAATTAGACGTGTATTTCAATTGAATCTATAAAGCTGTTCATCAGCTGGCTACATACCATGAGGACCACGTCTGACAACTGGCATTATCAAAGGTTGATGAGAATCAGCACCAGTTACAGAGCAGATACGATAAAGACCTTCTTCCTTGATTGTACCGCCAGGCATGACGGCCTGAAGAATTTGTTTAGCCGGATCTTTGGCAGCATCGTTGATTCCCTTGAAAAAGGCAAATACTTTTGCATCAGGAGGAGCATTAAGATCACCGAGTTTTTGAACAGTAATATGCTGGTGACCCTCACAGAATCCAGTTTTGGAATCGAGAGTTTGAGGAGCAAGGTAATACTGCTCATTGGCAAGATTAAAGAAACCGGAAGCCAGATGGATATTGTCAACGGTAATGGTCAGATTTTTGGAAGCATCAACTCGGCTACCAGAGGATGGCGTTGTAATGATAGTGGAGACCATTTTGGAGACGTCAGGAATCAGACCCAAGGTATTTGAGGAACACATTTCCGTACCATCTTTGTGCTGAGAACCGTTTCCGGCAGCAATACGGCCAAATTTACGGCAAAATGAACCACGAGCGGGAGGTGTAAATGAGTCAACACCAGTAGGCAAGCCAGAGGTATCAGCTTTACCAGTTGGGGCAGGAGCAGGAGCAGAAGTAGTCGGATCATTACGATTTCCTCTATTACGACGGCCACCAGTATTTGTACGATTGGGGACTCTTCGACCAGGAGATTGTCGACGACGGCCGCCAGTATTTGTACGATTGGGAACTCTTCGACCAGGAGATTGTCGACGACGGCCGCCAGTATTTGTACGATTGGGAACTCTTCGACCAGGAGATTGTCGACGACCACCATTATTTGTACGCCTATTAGTAGTCACTGGAGTACGAGGTGCTCGTTTACGCCATCTTTTACTTTCACGAAGTGCAGCGGCAGGAGCAAATTCGGAAAACCCATCCAATGCAGAAGTGTCGGCGGGAAATGAAGCACAAGTTGATGAGATGAAAAGTGCTAGAGATGCAATGGCAAGAGTAGGAGGAGCAAGCATAATGTAAAAAGGAGTAGATCTAATACAAAAGTATAATATTCACAGGACTTGAACAAAGGTTGGATACTTGAGGTTGAACAAAAGGTGGTTGAAGTTGAACGGAAGCTGGTCAAGGTTGAATAAAGCAGTTATTCGAGGTTGAATAAAGCGGATACTCAAAGTTTCATAAATGCTAATTATGGATGCCGCGTCGGTATTTAATGCAAATTATACTTGAGCTGGATTAGACTGACCATTTGATAGTTTGCGGTGAATGCAATTAACGCCACGATGGATTTCATACTAAAAGCCACGCGCATTTATTCGTAGATTTCCTAGTAAAAAATCATGCGTATTATTCGCATTGTCATTCATTTCTTCCACGAGATGGTTTTATTTAGCAATATTACGGGTTCATACATTGCTATTGTCCTTTTTGGCTTATTCCTGATTTCATGCCTGGTTAGAGTTGGAAAGCAACCATTGTAAAGATTTGCTTAATTCAAGCTTTGTCAATTATATGCTAATCGAGCCAATCTAAACCAAACGATACCTGACTCAACAAGCAGCAGTTGGTGGATAATAATTTAATCATTCAAATCTTTGTCGGCATTTTTAGCCTTATTTCTCGCCGCATAAGTTTCATTTTAGATATTCTTTTCACGGATACACGATTACCATTTAGAGCTAAAATTGAGAGGGAGCCCAAGTATCAATCTGGTCATTGAGCCTCTAATACTTTGTATTGCAGGGGTTCTAATCATTCATCACATTGACTATTTGATGGCGTATTTGGGCTACAAAGGCAATGATTTTAATCATATGAAATATGCTGGTTGCAAGTATTTGGATTCAAACCTAGAGAAATATAAACAAGACAAGGACTTTAGACTGTTGGCATACATTCAGTATTAAGTTTATCTATTGTAACAAAGACCAAGCTTTAAGGTGTAACGAGTCTTTATTTCAAGATCCACCAGAATGGTGGTGATGGAACAGCAACACTACTTTTACTATGCAATGAGGTATTTATGCTGCAGGTCAAGAAAATTGCTTGAATCTATTTGTATTAGATTTGGATTTGTTTGTTATTCAACAGTAGCATACGTCATTATTGACCGCAGCTCAACAGATTTGACACGTACTGGAGCCAGATAGCTTTGAGCATAACAAACGCCACTTGAGTCATGTGACCAGACCAGATTAGCTCAACAGTGGCTGGCAGACTCAGATTGTGATATTTTGGACAGGACTTGACAGACAGTCTGATGAATGAGCCAGAGTTAGACCTTGATGATGGACTGTAGCGATGGATTATTACTTTTTTTATTAAAAAGAGGTTGTTGGGTGGTGGATTAGCATTGCTAATTAAAAGGCTTTGTGAGCACCCACGCCAAGATTCTGTTTCACTTATGCAGAGCGTGTCCAAGTTTTTTTCGACGCCGCTAAAATGTGGTTCATAAAATGCCAATGCTTTCCCCGCTACGCTTTTCATTTCAGGTTTTCAATTCCACTTGTCCGGTTTATTCCTTGCACTTATCACTCAATACTCTGTACACCATCAGTATCTTACTGAACATATCCGCTTGATACAACTCTATTGTTTAATACTGCATATATCAGTCTACTCTTTCTGACCTATTCATCTACCAGCCTTATGCTTTTTTCAAATATTACTCCATCTACTGCCTTGGTTGTCTTGACCATCGCATCGGCTCTCTCTCTCGTCACTGCACAGTCACGTCCAGTTGATGTTCCTGGCTCTATTACCCCTCCCTCTCCATCCGATTATTGCAAACAGTTTGCAAATGCTGCACCAAGCAAAGGGGCTCAGTTTTCATCTGGTCAGGGCTGCTCATCAACTGTTCAAGGACTGATTCCTTCAAACGACAAAATGGTTTCGACAATCATCACCGCTCCCGATGATGGTGCTCGAGTTGATCCTAGTGTTGAACTTAGTGTTACTTTTATCGTACAAAATCTTGATACTGGCTTTGCATTAAACCCTGACACTGAATTCTTGCTGGCTCCGCAAACTATTGGAAAAGATTCTGGCTTTATTGAAGGACTTGTCAATCTTGTGATTCAACAGCTTACTGGCATTTCTGCTCCAGATTCTCGCAACTTTTCCTTCTTTGTATCTCTTACCAACCCTTCGCCAGACGGTTCGTACACAGTTACTGTCCCTCCTAAAACATTAAATGCCACGGGTGACTATCGCATTTGCACAATGGCCACATCCGCATCATTCCATCCTGTCATTATGCCAGTCGCACAGCGTGGATCACAGGATGACTGCATCCGAATCACTGTCTAGACGACTTATCTAAAGTTAATTCGTATTTTTGATTTGTAGATTCTAAACAATCACTCACATCCTGTTTTATCGCTCATATCTTTCACTGTTACATAAAACAAAACCTCTCATTTAAAGGTACTATCAATAAATACTTTAAGAATACTTGTCAGTCATATTTACCATTGCAGTATTACAGCCACATTCATGTAAAATAGAACGCTTCATTATGCAATATTTTGCTTTGAAATAGAAAATGAGATATTCGTTGCGCCTTTCTACTACAGATTAACTTGAATAGACAACATCCATCACATGGTGCTTAAACTATAGCTTCCAATTGAAACTATCCTCTTTTGGTACAACCATGCATTGTACAATCACTAGATTCATCAATTGTAATTCAAATATTGAGTTGGATTGCTTTAATGTTCAGTAAATGTGGTGTGAATTATCATGAGAACTTGCTGTCTATTACGTATTTTGGTATCCTTATTCAGTGTTATATTCTACGTGAATATAGTTGAAAAGAATGAAAACTGCGACTCAATCTCACCATATTTTGAAACCATTCAGATGGCATCAAACAGGCTGTTGTTTTAGCCTTTTGAAAAACATAAATTACCCATTCGTAAAATTGCATGATTGTTTTAGGTTAATTTACAAACTATATATGTAAAACACATGTCAGAGCAAAACCAAACTCAGTGAGCAACCATTATTTGACTAAATGAGTGACACTGTTCTATATTTAATCAAGTGGATCAACATACCGGTCGTGTCAACAGGTCAGATTGTTGCTGTAGTACAAAAAACACTATATGCTCATGTTGTTCAAATGAACAATATACCGATATTTGCAAAATACTACCACCAAAAGTAATGATTGCTAACAATTTCTCATTTATCTCCATTTTTATCTTCACCTTGCACAAAGAATTTCAAATGAAGGTGATAGCAACCGTCGCGTCTGACAACTGTTCAGCTCCATTGCACTCATGGTTTTAGTTCAACTATCCAATGTGTTAAAAGTGCTGCTAACAACCCATTGTGCATTTCTGGTGATGCTGTTGAATTTATATAGCGTATTTTTAATATTCGTTCAACTGGGGGTGGTCCAACGCTCTTTGAATGGCAACGAGGGTCATCCCAGTATCTAGCTTCTGTACCGTATGTTTATAACTTGCGCAAATGTAGTCATTCATGTATTAGTGTGATGAGCTACTCATAGATAAAAACATATACTAAAGTGTCGAGCTTATCCAAACTCTATAAATTATTCTATAGGACACTTGCATCTGTAGTTCGTATCACAGACCGAAAAGGTGCTCTTGTTGATTCAATAAGTCTCAACAGGTAATTTTAAATTCATTACGCCCACGAGCGAATATTTTATATATTCAGCTGTTTGTATTGTCCATTTTGTACAAATTTCTAATCATATTCCTACTTTTGGTTTAAATACAACTTAAAGCGACTGTCTTGAAATAAAATGGTCTCCGCAAGGCACTTGTCTTGCTATTTTACAAAGCAAAAATATGCCATTGATTCTATGGGATGCAAGTGGAACAAAAAATGTAACTATGGTGGATACAGGCATGAAGAATTTGGAAACCATGGCATGGTCACACGATGGAGAAATGGTAAATAACATTTGGTTAAATATTTCTACCATCATGTTTAAAATCCATCTCTTGAAACAAAGTGCAAGTCTAAAGTATTCGATTGTTTAGATGGCGATTGCATCGTCTAAAGGTAGTTTATTTCTACTAGACCGTAAATCCGACAAACGAACTCCTGTTGTAGGAAAACACAACAAGGCTATTACAGCAATGGCTTGGTCTCCTACTGGTGAGCTTGCATGTGCATCCGCAGACAAATCGGTAAGCTTTAATCATAAATGGTTTGCACCATGTTCAAAAATGTAATTTTATTGACCTTTGAGGTTAATTTCAAACTAATCAAAGATTTAAACATTATGTCTTGCTAAATCTATAAATATAGTTTTCGATATCCAACCGTGAAGGGGACACGCTATTTCAAATGGGATTAAAGGGCGAAGCCAACTTTTTTCAGGTACTAGATGATTATGCATATTATCTGATACATTTTTAGCACAAGGAGTTTTGAAATTTGCTTCAACATGAACTATTTTTGAAAAACTAATCAAACATTTGCACATCAACTTGAAACCGCGAATCAGTGGTCAACAATGAAATCACTGGAAACAAAGTCAGTCAGTCACGTACTGTCCATGACAATCAATAACAACAGCATATTGATTTTTGATTCGCTCAAGCCTACTCAGCCTCTTGAGCTTGCGTTCTCTTTAAAGTATGGTGCTATTGCTGCATACAGATGGTTCAAGGACAATCAAATCCTAGTTGGATTTACTTTGGGTTATTTGGTGAGTGTATCCACAAGTAAGTTGATTGACACATCTTTTAGGTTAAATATTGTCAAGTATAGATCAGATATGTTGAATCACGTTAACCATGTTGTTTTAAACAATATATTTAAATGATAGGCTCGCATCAGCTTGGAAAAGAATTATTTCAATCTAAAAGTTATAAAGACTCACTGGGTGATATAGCCGTGTCTAATATACTTAATATAGCTGCTACATGTGGTGACAATGTGATCAAAATTCACGACCTTTCAAATTTACAGGTACATTATGGTGACAATGTTTTACCACGAATTTATATCATGTAAATAATAGTCAATTTTTTAGGACGTAAGTTTGTTGATTACTCTTGAAAATGAGCGAGGATCAATGAACAGGCTTCATTTTAGCGATGATGGACAGTTTTTGACCGTCAGTACAAAAGAGTATGTTTTTGAAACACACCAACCCTAGAATACAATCGAGTATAGTTTGTTTATTTTGTTGTCAATATAGTGGCTCGCTTTATACGTACTTGTCGAAACTCCCTTTACTTGGTCATACCTGGTTTAATCGAGTGGTAATATAGTCTAGTTTAATCAATATGCCAACTCAAACTGTAACAAATATGTTTATATGTTGCTTATTTATGTAGTGACTAAACTACTTGTTTGTTGATCACTGTTAGGCATACCTGTCAAGTTTGTCAGATGTTGTGGTTGCAGATTATAGTGTGACACCTCCCGTGTATGTTAAATGCGATATTGGCACGGAGCCATCATGCATATCACTTGGTCCAAAACACGTAAGTTGAAATAGCACCAGAATCAACTTTGGTTACAGCTAGTGAAAGTCACAATTTCAAATCAAGTATTACGTTTTGTATTTTAATATTGACGTGATTCATAATGTAATATTGATTTAGCTTGCAGTTGGCGTGGGATCAAAAGTCAAATACTATACCATGGCTTCACCATTTCAACGACAATGTGATGGAATTAAACCAGGGATGGAGTATAATTCAACCACATCACTACTGGGTCAAACCAAACAGCCGCTTACTTTTACCGGTGAAATGGTTGAAAAAGAATATCCTGAAAAGGTTTCAGATACAATTGTCATGAATCAAGACTTTGCTGCTGTACTGCTCACCAATGGCGAGTTACATTTGCATCCGCTTGAAGCTTCCTTTTTTGGTGTTGATGATTCATGTACACCAATTGGACAATCGCTTATATTTCCCGAAGTCAAATCAGCACAAGACAAACTAGCTCAAAGACCAATCATTACTTGTGTCGCACTGACAGACGATTTTTTCATCTATGCTACATCCAATGGGTTGATTTGCCATTACGACTTGAATAATATTTTACTAGTGAACGAGTTTCAGCATTCAGTAAGTTTAAAGATGATCAAGATTGGAATCAGTTTTTGATTGATTTGTGATACTGAGTCAGTAGTTGTTTGAAATGATTGTGATTGTATACATAGGCAGAAATCAAAGCAATATACCCTAAACCTGGACTCAGTACCAAGCTAATATTTATTGATGCAACAAACAAGGCGTATATTATGAGTCCTATTCTTGAAGCTCCGTTTGAAATTCCGGGATTTACTGGTCAGTATTATCAGCTTTTGAAATAAGTATATCAAAAATCATTGCAAATTAGTAATTTAAAAAGTGTCATTGCATTATGAACATGCTTTTAGCTGAAACACGAGGGATTTTGTGGGAAACGACTCCATTTTCAAACCGTAACATTTTTGTAACTTGGGATGACACAACCATCACAACGTTCACTTATACCACTGCAACTATGAAGGGCCCACAATGTCGTGGATTGCACTCGTCAACTACTCATTTGCCATATGGACTAAAACCTGCTCTTTTTTTGGATGGAACTTTAGTATGCCAGGTAATTCGCCAGCTTGATAATGTATAACGTTTTATTAAAGTAGTACTGAATTGCGTGTTTGGAATTATACAAGACACCTGGTGGAAAATTGGAATCCACTGTGCTGGCAACACATGAAAGCGTTAGCCCAGATGAGTTTTTACGTTTATTTCAAACCGAGGTTGAACAGGGTCGTGCACTCTGTCTCCTCTACCTAGTTGGTAGAATGCAATGCAAGTATCACTGTTGTTTGCTTTTGATTGTTTATTGAATTGAAATTTTAGTAGTATATTAACTTGCTGCAGACAATAGGTATTTGGAAACTGTTTCCCAAAGTATCGTCGCGTCAGGCATGGGCAATGTTGGCAGAAGCAGCGCTTCACTCCATAGATGTTCCAACTGCAAAAAGAGTCTACAGACAAATGCTGGGAGATGCAGGAATGATGATGAACCTTTTACGTATCGAGGCAGTTGAAGAATTGACGGAACTACAAGGTCATATTGCCGTCATTTTTGGTGATTTTAACTTGGCTCAGGTGAGGCACTACATTTTGAGATGGTTCATAAATGGTTTATATTTACTAATATTTTATTTTTCAAATTGGCGTAGCAATATTTTTTGATTAGTTCAAATCCAAAAGAAGCTCTTTATCTTCGTCGTGACCTGCTTGAATGGGATCAAGCACTCACACTTGCAAATCGTATGTGGCCAGAGGAAGTTCCTATCATTGCAAGAGAATATGCTATGCAACTTGAAATAGATGGTAAAGCAATATTAATATGGGTTTATACAAATGATTGTGCATTTTTAAATTGATACAATCTTTCTCGTTCAACTATACTGTGTGCAATTAAATATAGGTAGTCCGGCAGAAGCACTTGCAATGTATGATTTGGCAAACTCATTCAATATTCAATTTGATTTTGAAGAGGAGTTGCAGGAACACAAACATGTTTGCCAAGTTGGGCTTACTCGCATGGCATTCCGAACAGGAGATATTTCCCGTGGAATGTCACTTTTAGAATCAATATCTGACAGTCGGGTTTTGTCTGATTGTGCTAATATCCTGGAATCTATAAAACAGTATGTGGAGGCTGCAGTGATATTTGAGCGGGGTGGTATGCTTGAGCGTGCAGCTGAGCTATGGATCAAACGTAAGTATATTATAGTATGAGTGCTTTGACAGATCAAGTGCCACTACAATGCACTAAATTCAAGTCATGCTTTCAACTATTTTTCTGATAAAATTGAATACTTGTCTTTACATGCTTGCAATAGTCAAAAACTGGAATAAGGTTTCGCGATTGATTGACAAGCTAAACAATCCAAGAATATTTATCCAATATGCACAAGCTAAAGAAGGTATGCGTTGACTAAATATTATACAATATGCATATGCTTACTTTTTACGTTTAAATTTTTGAATCTATTAGTTGAAGGACAACATCTTGAGGCTGCCAATGCATACGAACGTGCCAAGGATTACGATAACTTGGCGCGTGTTCTTTTAGAAAACCTCAACGATGTCCAAGGTGCAGCTAATTTAGTGAGAAAAACAAAGTCGCGAGAGTCTGCTAAAATGATGACAAAGGCATTTCAGAGCTTGCAGGATTACAAGTCGACTATTGAGTTTTACATCTTGGCTGGAATGCTCAAGGAAGCGTTCGAGATTTCCAAAAGTCAAAATTTGGTCGAACACTTTGCTGATATGGTTGAGGAGCAAGCCAGCAATGACATGCTATTAAATATTGCTACTTACTTTCAAACTCGACTCATGTATTTACAAGCAGGAAAGTTTTTTCTACACGCTTCTAGGTATGCTGAAGCACTCAGAATGTTTTTGCAATGCCCGGTTTTGGCTACGTCGGATACCACCACATTAAATGAGATTGGATTTCACAGCAATACTTCAAACACCAGCAGTATTCATCTGGCGATTGAAACGGTTGGGTATGCCAAAAATGATGCTCTCACACATGAGTTGATAGATTTTTTAATGGGAGAAACAGATGGAATACCCAAAGATGCCAAATATATATTTAAACTGTACATGTCACTCAATCAATTCAAGGAAGCTGCTCGCACCGCGATTATTATTGCTCGTGAGGAGCAGGTTTTAGGAAACTATCGAGCAGCTCATGATTTACTTTTTGATAACTACAGACAGCTTAAATCCACCAAAGCCAAGGTACCTGCTGAGCTGGACAGAATGCTTATGCTTTTACATAGCTACATACTTGTAAAAACACTAGTCAAGATTGACGATCATGCCAAAGGAGCAAGGATGCTTATGAGGGTTTCCAACAACATCAGCAAGTTTCCATTGCATATCGTTCCAATTCTGACATCAACTGTTGTTGAGTGCCATCGTGCAGGATTCAAAAAAGACGCATTTGAGTACGCTTCAATGCTGATGAGGCCCGAGTATCGACAAAAAATAGATGCAAAGTTTAAACGCAAGATTGAGCAGATTGTTCGACGTCCAGAAAAAAATGATTCAGAGATTGAACCAACCACTCCATGTCCATTTTGTTCAAGTCCTGTTGCTGAATCGTGTTTGGATTGTAGCGAATGTAAAAGTCGACTACCCTACTGTATTGCAACTGTAAGCGGTTCATTGACTTGGGCATTTACATGAATGTTCAACTGATTACCATACTGTGACATACTAATCACGCTTTTTTAACAATATAGGGATTTCACATGGTTTTGGATAGTTGGAGTGTATGTTCCAAATGTCTGTTTCCTGCAATTACTCATCACTTTAAAGATCTTGTGCAAAAAACTGGTCAATGTCCCATGTGTAATGAAAGGATAGATCCCGAGTCGATTTTTTCTGTGGACGATCCAAAGTCATATCTCTATGGAAAAAGCAACGATATTGAGGACGGAATAGATCCAAACGCTTTAACCACTAAACCTGCTGCACGCAAATTGAATGAAGGTTCAGAAATGGCGTCAAAAGTGACAGAATTGCCGGTTATAGGACGACTTTCAATTGATGGATGAATAAATGAAATTGGAGTTTAAATAAACTGTTTTTAACGAGTATCTATAGCCGTGTTTATGTAAAATGAGACGTTCAAGGATGACAGTATCGTGGAATGATAATTCGCACCAAATCACAAACGTATGGATTCAGGACACAACACGAGTTTGTACGGTTAAAAACAGTCGAATACAATATTTGAATTCAACGAGTTTTGTGATTGTACAACCATGTCAAAAGAGTGAAAATTCAACTGTTTTTTAATTCAAAATAATGACTGCAAGAATACAAAAGCATTTCTTGAATAGAATTTTATCAACAAAATCAATCTAATTACCTGAGGGTGTGTCGATGCCCAAATCGAGTTTTTCTTTTGCAATTTTAATTTGAAATTTCGGCAACAATGAAAGCTCAAACAGATGCGACGAGTACCTCGACAGTTTTTATAGATGCGATCGTTTCTGTCGATTCGTCTTTGCAGAGCATCACTCAAGCTTTGCGTAATAACTCTATTCCATTTTCGCAACGTCTGAAATTGGCTATTTCTTTGTGGCATTCTCATAAAGTATTTTTGCCTGGAAAAACTGAACTGCTTCTTGACTGGATATCGTCTCTGTTGGTTAAATCCATTGTAAGCAATGCTGATGCAGTAAACGAATCAGCCAATCTGTCCAAGACAAGGTATTTATATTTTGCATTTGCATTTGCACTCTAAAAACTTGCAAAACTAATTCTTTGTATTTTTATCTAGTGACCAAGTTTTGCCATATTTGTCGCTGGATGGATGGACTTTTTTCCTCGACATATTAAAGCATATTGATGTTCAGAAAAAGCAGGACTTGGCTTTAAAACAGTCTCTTTTTTTACAGCTTAAAGTTCCTCTTTCTCCACTTTTTAGTGCTCTTGTAAGCCTTTCAGCTCATCAGATTTCTGCTACAGTTCAACCAGATTTGATTATTTCCGTTGCAAATCAAGTGTTTAGACTTGCAACGACATCTCTCGCAGACATTGCTGCGATTTCAGTGGATCAATTATCTCAACTGAGTATTGATGTTTTGCAAACTTTGTTGACTCGAGCGAATGCATCGACTCCAATTTCTCAGTCTTTATGTGATTTTTCATTCGACATTCTTGAAAAAACACAAACGGAGCAAGCCCTCACTGCTAATCAAAAAAAGGTTGGATATTAATTTGGATTTATATACAAGGAGTTAGTTCCGTTTGATATAGTATCGTTTTTATTAGGAAAATATTATTGATGATTAATGCTTTACATTGGTATAGATTTTCATGTCTACTGTACAAAAAGTTTTGCAGATTCAAATCAGTCTTCATTTTAAACTTTCTCAAGCACCAGAGTCCATTATTTCAAGTGCATACAAGACTCGTTTTGATTCTTGGTGCACTCGCCAATTTCAATCGATCATATTTCACAAAGATCACATCCCCGAGCTTGGTCAAATGCTCATAGACTGCCATAAACGTAGAACTAATTCCAAAGATGCTCAATCTGATACCAGCTTAGTTGAAAAAGAAATAGTCAGATCGTACTCTCATGCTTTACTGGGCTCGATTGAAGCTATGATGCACTCGAACAATTTAGATCGCAGAGCAGGTACAACGCTTGCGTTTGAAATGTGTATCTTTATTGATTTTGAAAAAAACGTATTGAATTTCATTTACTGATTGATTTTATTTTTGGTAAACCACAATAGCTATTGAAGAAATTCCCAATTTATTCCAATGTTTTTGCGTATCATTTATTGAGCACGAAAAACTCGCACTACGATCTGTTGTTATATTTAGTCTGTTTGAGCAATTTTATGATTTGCTGAGTTCAAACAAACAGCTGGCCACTGCACTCCTATCCAAGCAAGATCTGAATTTGCTGAGCAGATTGTCGGGTATTTTACTAAAAAACGATGCATTTCGACCAACTGGAGATGTCGAATCTAAAAATCAACGTGCATTTTTGGTTGATATTTTTGACTCGCTCTTAAAGTTTGCGCAGACTTTGCCATACCAATCTGAGTTGTTTTCCCCAGTTTTTTCTTCTTGGGCACAGTTGATTCAATTGGATTTTTCTATTGTTGCGGATCATATCTCTGAAATTTGGCAGTTTGTTCTTTTTGTAAGTAGTCTGGTTGTATACATTGGTATATGCGCTATTTTTAAACACACATTCTTACCGTGTTATCCTGAATACTAGCCGGCCGATTCATGTTTAGATAGCGCTGTTGAGTTTGCAGTTTTGATTTTAAACATGTTTGTCAAATCCAGAGAGCTTGATAGTCTACTAAGCAGTGTGTTGACTGCATTTCGATTACAAACTGTTGCCAAAAATAAGCATTCTCGAGAGTCCAGTTTGTTAGACTCTCGATTTTTGACTGCATTCGGCAAGGCAGTATCGAGCTTGCTTTTCGCTCAGTTTACAACTATTCTCAGACACCTCTATGCTGAATTGATTCAACATTATAATATAGCCACACTTTTATCCACAGATAACACTACCGAGCCAAAAACCAAAAGACAAAAAACAGCGTTGGGATTTCAGTCTACTTTGCCTATTTTAGATGCTGGACTTGTGACGGATTTGATTTGCATTTGTATTAAACATACTTCTGCTGCCAATGCTTCCCAAGACTCTATTCTAGCCTTACATAGCGGATGTTTCAACGATTTTATTTTACCGGCCATGAATGCTTCAAAGCATTATTCTAATGGCAATCTGTCTGAATTTGCTGATCATTACCTTTGCCCTGCATTAAAGCTACACCATGTATTGATTAACAGCTCACATGCATACTGGGAAACGCATGTGTCGGATAAATCTATATCTAAGATTCAAAAACAATCCATTAGGTTGATTTCTGTTAGTAACGATTTGCAGGAACGAATGGTAATTGATGTCGATTGTTTTTATTCATTTATAACACTGTTGTGGGGTATTTTTAATTTTTAATTTGAACCAACTAAACTGTTTATATTTTGGTTCTAGGCAGTATTAGTATGCGCACATATTTGTCGAACAGTCGGCATTTCTGCAGCGCCTTCCAAAGAAGAAGGATGCCGTAAAATCATACACAAGTTGATAGATACGATTTTTTCAGATACTGGCGAGCTATCCATGTTTTCAAAAAACATTATAACGTGGCAAGCAATTTTGAGCAACCTGTTTCCAATTTGCAATGTAGCGCATACAGAATACGTTTGTCGTATAGTAGATGCACTGTTTTTATCAGTAAAAAGCCAACCACTTTATATACTGCTAAAAAATACCAAGCCGTGTGCAGGCCAGCTTTCGGCAGAGCTGTTGCATCACGCTTCCTTTTTTGAAATCGCTTCTGTGCGTGATCAAGTCACACAATCACTCTTCAAGTGCATTTTTAATTGCATTCACGATGCATTTAAAAAGGGAAAGTATATTAAAAAAGGACTAGAGATTGCAAAAAATATTTTGAACGCTCAAACCTCATCCCTTGTAAACCCAATGGTCATATCTGTCATGGAGCTAGTGGGACCTCTTGATTCTCCTGATGATAGATCCAAAAGGCATATTGTTGTGCCCGAATCTTTAAACCAGGCTTCGCTTTTGTTGGATGTCTTGTTGAAATTTCCAACAACCTATTTTTCTCTTTTAGAGCAAGATATAATTGTTGCCATTTGCTTTGCTTTGGATATGATTGTGGGAGGAACAGATGCTGCGTATGTTGATCCAGAATCCTATCTCAAATGGGGGCGATCGTCTCGACACGTTAGTATAAGATTCATGAAGAGCAGAGAAGGTCGATTACTGCCACTGCTAAACCCTGACGTTATGACAGCATTGATACAGCTGCAGATATCATATGACTTGTGCTCTACTCGCTGTCCTGATTTTGCGGAATTTACTCGCGCAGCATCCATAGATACTGGAAAAACAGTGCGTCTTGTGTTTTATAAACTACTGGAGACGCACCTTGATCTTCAAGATTATTCCAAATCAAAGTCTGGAGTTGATTATACTGAATACCTGCGACAGCTTTGTACTGCTCTTTGTCAATCTAATATTCCAGTGATGTATGCTGCATGTGCTGTGGATGGTTTAAACAAATGGACTGCACATTTCAATTCACAAAAAGGCTTGACGATTGCTACGGGTCTGCGACCTCAATTTGACGGACTGGTTGACCGCCTCTACCAAGAGGTTATGAGTAGCTCACTAGACCATATAAATGCATTCCCAGATCAAATGAGTGCTATTACAAAAGAACTTTGTCAATTTTTCCAAACTAGCTCTGACAAGCGCTTTGAAAAGCTTATTTCTCATATTGTAAACATTTTGAGTGAACTTGATTCTGGAGATGAATTTGATGCGCTGCGTGCTATCTTGACTTCAATAGTGTTGGTATGGGTAAACGACACGACTACATTGACTACAACTATTCAGGTTGAATTTTCTGTTCGATTCTCACAATGGCTGTCTGATGCATGGCGACTACTTGAAAATCCACAATTTACAAACATTATGAAGATGTCGCTTTCAACATACTATACACAAGTTTGCAGCTCGACCTATTTTGAACATGTTTTCAATCAACATTTGGATAGTCTTTCAGCACTAGTTTTTTCAGCGTCATGGTCGTCATCATCTTTAAAAGGCAAGCATCTTGTTGGTTTGTTGAAATCCTTTAAAATTCTTTTTGGATCGACAGTTCAAGCACACACTCAAAGTGTTGTGCGTCATCTGATACGGAGTAAAGCAGCAGATATCCTGACCATGTGCATTAAGCTTGCCGAAACAGCAACATGTTCAAATAGTTTACTTTCTGTACTAGATTTAGCTCAAACTATTGTCATCCATCATCAAATAGAACACAGTCTTGGTAATGTTTCGCTAGTATTTAGCATTGTTCGGGCTGCTGGGAGCAATACTGAGATGCTATTGGGTAATAAGCAAGCCCAATGGGCTGTGGACGCATTCGATCATATATATGGTCTTTTAAGCTCATTGTTGCATCATTGCAGAGAGAATGTGATTCTTTTAGCGCCTCAGCTGGTTGCTTGCATATGTGCACTGTTTGATACGTTTCGAGAAACCCCGGCCATTGCACTTAGTGGTGTCAGAGGAAAGCAACGTGGATTGGATCAAGATCAACCTTCAAATGGTGTATCGGAATCGCGTCCAAACATATTTGAAGTGGCTTTGGATGGTTCAGGGTTAGCTATGGAACCGTATAGACTATTTTCTGGAAATACACCGCTTCCAGTATCGTGTGCCAAGAATCTATCTCGACTTTTGGTGTCCATGACTCAGAAATCGCAAGGATATTCATCATCCAACAAAAAATACAAATCCAAGAAAATGGCCGAAACACTTTTTTCACAACAAAGCAAGCTAGTACGACCATTTAGTAAATATGCACCATTTGCTATCTCGCATATTGTTTTGATCCAAACATCTGCACGACCACTAGCAATGGGTATCAAACAGGAGCTACTCGAGGGTATTTATGCCTTGTTGGATCTTTGCACGGATAATGGGAGAAACACTGTTTTGGCCTCAATGAGCTCATTATCCTATTCTTTTGGTAATTCTGATCGATCGGCTGCTCCGTTTATTTTCAAAGAGTTTGTCAAGGGATGGGAAACGTCATACAAATACACTGGAAAAACATAAATATTTTGAAATATATTCTGAATTTGGTTATAAAATTGGTTTTATAAGTTGATGTAGATTATTCAAGTATAATGAAATACTATGATAAACAGTCATGTTTGATTGGTGTCAATTTTACTGGACAAAAATACAGAGCGAGTGTTTACATTTCTGAGATGGTTTATTCCAAGACAATCATTACAAAAATATTTCATTTCATGTGAATACGGCTGTAAAACAGAGCAACAAAATTTAGTGAATCAAAAATCCGACTTCTCGGAGTCGAACCGAGGACCCACAGATAGTTGTTATACTACAGTCTGTTGCTGCTACCAACTGAGCTAAAGTCGGACTTTTTTTCCAAAATGGTTTAATTATTTTATATTTTATAATTATCATTCAATGACTGATTGAATTGATACAAAATGTGGAAATAAAAGAATTGCATAAAGTGACTAGACAAGATTGGGGTTTTAAACCAGAATGTAAGAGAAAGACGAGCGTGTTGATTAAAATGAAATAAAATCCAACGTTTAAAGTGTTTTGTGTGAAAACAGCGAAAAAGACTGGTTTTTACTGACATTTGAAAGCCAAAAGTAAACTTGCTTGAAAACAGATCCTCAGGATATTAGACAGTTTAAAGAAAGTTGGCTTGACAAGACTTGCCAGAATAATCCGACTTATGATTGAATTGACGGAGCAGGAGCTGGATAGTGACCCATTGGATGTGTTTACTATTACCAGAAAGGTCGGAGAAGGGTATGCTTCATTCTGTCGCTCTTGAATTGTTGCTGCAGATATCTACTAGTTCATTCGCTACTCAGTATTGATCAAGGGTTTCGTTATATTTCCTGTCATTCTATCGTCACATCCCAACTCGGCATAAATTAATTCATTTTATTTGAAACTCAGCTCGTATGGGTCTGTTCATAAAGCTATATACAACCGCACAGGACAGGCATGTGCAATCAAAAAAATCCCAATCGAGAATGATTTAGAACAAAATATCAAAGAGATTCATACTATGACGACATTTGCGTCCGACTATGTTGTGCAGTATTATGGCAGTTACTTTCTCGAGGATGAGCTGTGGGTAGGTTTAAATTTACATGGTGTAAACAAGATTTACAATGTGTTGCTAAATCTGGGCATTTTGGTTTAGATTGTTATGGAGTTTTGTGCTGCTGGATCTGTATCCGACGTAATGCGGCTTTGTGATATGTGTTTGGAAGAAGACATGATTGCTGTGATTTGTCAATATGTACTTCGTGGTTTGTGCTATTTGCACGAGATTCGAAAAATTCATCGGGATATCAAGGCTGGGTAAGTGCTCTTGAGCCAATATAATCTATAACCGCTGTTGAGAGTTTGAAAAAGCATTCCATTGACTTGGGATTTTGGATTTTGGGTTGATTTTTATACACAGAAATATCCTTTTAAATGAGCATGGCGAGGCTAAACTTGCTGATTTTGGAGTAACAGGCCAGCTAACTGATGCTGCGTCTAAGCGAGTAACTGTGATTGGAACACCGTTTTGGATGGTAAGCCATTAATGTGTGTTTTTGCAAAACAACATTGCTGTTATCAACCATTAGCTTATTTATCTTTTAAATACTAGGCACCCGAGGTCATTCAAGAAGACGGATATGGCACCAATGCTGATATTTGGTCATTGGGAATTACATGTATAGAAATGGCAGAAGGGAGACCTCCATACTACAATCTACATCCAATGAGAGTATGTCATTTATTAATGTGTATTGATTTATAATACAATTAGTTTATCTTGAATGGTGTTAATTCATTTTAATTTCACAGGCAATTTTTATGATTCCATCCAAACCCCCACCCAAGCTTGAAGCCGAAAACGATTTTTCTGAAGGATTTCGTAAATTTATTGCTAGGTGTTTGACAAAGAATCCAGCACAGCGACCCTCTGCCAAAGAGCTGTTGGAGGTGAGTAGTGCTCTGATGAGTTTGTTTAAATATCCAGTTTTTGAATCTCACTCTACTTGATATCTAGGATCCATTCATCAAGAATGCCAAAGATAAAAGTGTGTTTCGCGAAACCGTAGCCAAGATGCTAGTGGAGATAGAAAAAGGTCGATTGGATGTTAACCCAAGTGTAAGCTATATAGTTTGACTTTATTATGCTTGGAATCTACACTCTTTAGTGGGTCATGTTTTAAACTTTGCAAGATTTATGCAGCTTGACTGAAACATTGACTTTGTTTAGGATAAGGAGGGTGAAGACGACGATGAGGCAGGTGACGATGATGAGTGTTTCACAGCGGATGTTCAGGTACGATAGGTTTAAATATTTATATTTTTGCTAGATTCACAATACGTTTTAAAGATTTATTTTATGTTGCATGACTGTTTAGAGCTCATTTGCTGATCTTGAAATTCGAGGAGAATCGGAAGCTGGAGATGTGGGAGGAGATGACACAGTAAAACCTGGGTTTATGAAAGCAGCACAAGGGTCACAATACACTCGTAAAAAACACAGCTTTGATACTATCCGACAAAGCAAACTTCAAACTTTTGCTAAAACCAGCAATAATTTGGAAAATTACTCATCCCCGGCATCACCCGTATCACCTTTATCACCTACAGGAACAGAGTCGAAATCTAGTCAGAAAAATGTACATGATGGACAATTTGGACCAGGAAGTAGTGATGGAGGACATACTTTGAATAATGATGTAGATGGACGAGGAGATGATCGGCGGCAGTTTGTCAGCTCAAATCATGCAACACTACGACAATCCATGGTGAACCAAATTGGGTTTAAACCTTGGTCGACAAAAGCAGAGACAATCTCTGAAGCTATACCAGAATGGAGTACACTTGCTTCAGATACCAAAGGAGGGATTGCAAGTCAGGGGGTAAACGATTGATAGTTTTTGATATGAGTTTTGTGTTGCTTATATATTAGCTGATCAATACAAACGCACGAAATCAATTCTAGGGTAGTACATCTGCCACAGCGCATCAGTCAGGAGCAGGAGCAGGAGCAGGACGCAAGCGACTGGATGTAAATGTAGGTGCAAGCCGAGTACGCAGACCGACAGTCTTTATGCCAGATCTTGAAGCGGTAGCGCGTCTTCTTGAGGAATACACACCTGATCAACTGAAAGAGTTGTTACAGGCAGTGGATCAGAGTGCAGAGCATGAGCTGCATGGATTGCATGCACGATTTGAATACAAGCGACTGCCAGTATTACGAGGAATGCAAGCACAAGCAGCGAATGCACAGAGTGATGAAGGGCCAGCATCAAGACGACCAAGCGAAGCCTTGTCAGCAAACAACAGTACAGTCATGCCAGTGTCATTAGCAACTGTTGCTAGCAATAGTTGATGATTTGGAAGTGAATCCAAATGGCAATCCAAATGGCAATGCAAATTAATTTATATTCGCATTATCCGAATGGATTTATAGTTTTTGAGAAAGGTTTGCATAACAGTCAAGATATGACTATAGCAGACTGATATGAAGTTACTGCTCGTTATTACTAAATAGTTTATACGATTAAATATAAAAAGTCTTGTGATAACAAATGAATCGATGATATAAAATCACAGTTCAATACTTTAACAAGCCCGCGATACACGCCAAGATTATCTATTGCCAATCGACTTCAAAGCAATTTTTAAATTTCGATTCTTGCTAGACCCTATTTTACGTCAATACGATTTAAATCCAGTTTGTTAATATTATTATTAAAAATGGGACTTTTATCTTTGGGTACTCCGCTGAGTTGGGAAGATTTACATCCTCATGCTGACCATGTTCGTACTCATGGCATCGCTCAATTCCTTAATATCTGGAATAGAGTCAAATCTCGTCGCAAGGATCATCTGCTTTGGGGTGACGAGGTAAACCATACTCTTCAAAATCATTCCTGTTTATTCTATCGATAATATTACTATGAATGCTGTGTTCTGGTTGATTAGTAAACTCTGTTTTCTAGTCGATTAGTAAGCATGTTGTCTTTGAATTCTATTTCATTCTCATGCTCATCGAGCCCAAACTTATTTTTATTTTGAATGGTTGAATCGAACAATTCTGTGCCTATACAGAACTGACTGTTCTAACATTTTTATTAGATTGAATATGTGGTAGTGGAGCTCAACAAGGATGCTCGCACTGCTCGTCTCGCCCTTGATGCTTCTGTGGCTCTGGATACGCTTTCTCAGATGGAAAATGATACTCTTGCAGCTGGGTATGTATGGGTTGTGTTTCAACTCTCATCAACTCGACTAATTTTTATTTTTGGATAAAGTGGTGTTCCAGATAGTTCTTGGAAGCCTGAATATGGTCGATACATGCTTGAAGGTATTGTCCAATCGTTGTGCGTTGAGATGACGAAATATCGAATTTTTTACTCATTTTAACGAGTCATATTAGGCACACCTGGCGTTCCTTATGGCTCGACTGTGGATGATCTTCTAACAGTCGAGGAAAACATGCGCAAGAGGTATTTCAATCCATGTATTCGTCACTTTAAATTCTATTCTTACTGTGGTTTTGGCGCTTAGCTTTTAGTTTTTGTTGAACAGACGAGCACTCGGCAATTCTTTGCTTAAAAGCAATCAGTCGCTATTTACATTCACCAATTTTCCGCGTTTGGGTTGTACCGACAAGTTCATCGAGCCCAGCTTCGATCCTACTCCTGGTCAAGGTGCCAGTATGAGTTTATTTATCCCTCAACAGGCCATCACACAGCATGCTCGCTTTCCGTATGTTATCTTGTAATGCTTTCTATCAACAAACTTTAATTTCTAATCTCTATTCAAAATAACCTAGAACATTGACTGCTAATATTCGAAAGCGTCGTGGGTCAAAAGTTGCAATCAATCTGCCCATCTTCAAAGACACCAACACTCCATCTCCATTCAGAGAACCCGTTCCTCGTGTCCTAAAAGAGTATCTTGCCAGTCAACATCAACCCATTCCCGCCTCATTGCCTGACTACACCCCTGATGCCAAAGAAGACCACATTTACATGGACAGCATGTGCTTTGGTATGGGCTGTAGCTGTCTGCAAGTGACCTTTCAGGCGTGTTCTGTTGAAGAGGCCCGTCGATTATATGACCAACTGTCTGTGGTGGCTCCTATCATGCTTGCTCTTACTGCTGCCGCACCTATTTATCGTGGTATGCTAGCTGATGTGGATTGCCGATGGAATGTCATTTCTGGATCCGTGGATGATCGCACATTGGAGGAGCGGGGGAAAATGGTAAATCTTTACTTTTACTCAATCAAAACAGCATCATTTCTAACATAATCTTGATGACTTTTATAGCCACTCAAGAATAGCAAATTCAAGATTAGCAAGTCACGATACGATTCAGTATCGCGATACCTTTCTCCTGGTCCCAATTACTCTGGTGGATGCTGTAATAAAGTCGAATCTGAACCTCTGGATCTTTCTGCTCCTCCTCCCGGTTCTGGCTTTTACAAGGATGAATACAATGATCTTGATGTAGCTATGGATATGGAAGTCTATGCCAAGTTGGTGGATGCAGGCGTAGACGATCTGCTTGCCAAACACTATGCTCATCTGTTCATTAGAGACCCACTTGTAGTGTTTCGTGAACTTCTTGATCAGGACGATCAAACTAGTTCGGACCATTTTGAAAACATCCAATCTACCAACTGGCAATCGATGCGGTTTAAACCACCTCCACCCTCTGCACCCAACATGGGCTGGCGAGTGGAGTTTCGCAGCATGGAGATCCAACTGACTGACCATGAAAACGCTGTATTCTCCATTTTTGTAGTATTGCTAACACGCACTATTCTGGCATATAATCTTAATTTCTACATTCCTTTAAGCAAGGTAGACGAGAATATGCAAACTGCACAGAAACGTGACGCAGTATTAAACGAAACGTTCTGGTTTCGTCGTGATATTTTTGGTGAAATCTATTCGACCTGTTTGTTGGACTGTCAAAAGCTCACGACTAACATCATCTATGCAACTGTATTATTGATTTATATTCAACAGCAAACTCGACTGACCCGCCCAGCTCGTGTCGATCTTTTCTTCCCCACCCATTCAACGTTACACCCAGTGTATCTGTCAATTCACTAAATGCGTCCAATGCCAGCAGCTGCAGTGATGACAGCAATGGTACGAGTCCATGTCTAACTCCCAATGGAATTCATATTCCATCGGTTACTGCTGGTGCGACACCTAATACAACTCATGAATCAAACGGCTCTTCTAAAAGCGAATTTCGCAAAATGGGTATCAACTGTATCATGAATGGTAACGGCGTTTTTCCAGGCCTTTTACCTCTTATTGGTGGATATCTTGACAACGAAACTGAAATGTCAGATACGACACGACTCCGACTGAAACAGTACTTGTCTGTCATTTCTCAAAAGGCTTCGGGTGAACGTATGACTGCAGCTGCATGGACCAGAGACTTTGTTACGAAACACACTGATTACAAGCACGATTCGGTCGTGAGTGAATCCATGACATACGACTTGTGCCGAGCGGTTCAAACTCTGTTTGCTGATGATCTTATTCGAAAAAAATAAAGTCTTGTGTTGCAATCAAGATGAGACTATTGTAAACATGATGTATTTTTCCATTCTCATGCCTGCTGTTGCTAAATGTAATCTATGCACTAATGACACGAGTGTTGTTTAAAATTCACAGAATATCAAACATTACATGAAAGCATGTCTTGACTATTAAATTGTAAAATACTAAAAGCACTTCAAAACAGTTACGATTCTACTCAGATTTACTGTGTAACCGTTCAAGGCGTTGGAGATTGGCGTAAATGAGCAACTATCATCACGTGAAGTGGTGCCCAAAATCGGGTTTCCGCAACAAGTTGACATGAAAATCTCGAGTATTTAATATCATGATCGGGCCAGAACATCGACTATCAATGAGCCAGACAGAGTCAAACAGACTTTCTGCTTCATTTAAATTATTAGATAATAATCATCGAGCTAGAGTTCAAGTGAGATCTGATCTGGAAAAACCTAATATCAAAACACTCCGCAAGGCAAGCCTCCATCAATCCTGCAGTTGAATCTGTTTATTTTGTTAAATATAATATTGGCTAACTTGATACTACTATGTCTTGCAATAGGATGAAAAATATCTTAGTGATATGGTAAAAGAGTATGAGCAAAAACTCAGTGTTGAATTGATGCTGAAAAGCTCTGCTGAAGTCATGGCAAAGATTCACTCCGACAAGGCATCCCGTCAAAAAGCGGAAAACGAGATTCAATGTAAAATGGCTGAGATGCTCAACCTCCGATTTGGTTGATTACAAAATTGTCAATCGGTCGTCTAAATCTATTGTTGTTTTTTATTCTGAAATGCACTGTTTTAGTCGCCTATCGTCGTATAGAATTGATTAGTGGTGAACTTGTAAAACTTGTGTCTCGTTTTCGAATCGCATCAAGAGTCTTGTGTCAGGCAGAAATTCAAGCTATTCGAGAAACGCTTGCGTTTCAAAGCAGTACACAATCCGACAACTCTTTTGATATTCCAACCATGGATCTTACTCATGTATAGATTTGATTGTGTTTTAATTTGGATATATAGTAAGCATTCAAGGAAACTAATGTCATTCCATTTGCTTATTATTTTTACAGCCAGATACGAGTTTCAAGTCGGAAAATGCCATCGATATCCCAATCGTGCCCAATACTGTTTGCAATAACTCGATTAGCCGATCAATGTCAGCAAAAACTAATGGTGTTGCATCGGATTTAACAATGGTGCAATCTGCCTCTCCCACCTTTTCGTTTATGCAAACTGCACATCATCACTCTTCTTCAATAGCCATGATTGGATCTCTTCAAAAAACCATTCAAGCCAAAGATGCCGAAATTCAAGCCTTGAATTTGCAATTAAAAACCGCCCAGCTCAGTACTGGACTGATTAAAACCCTGACATCAGATCCAGTCGACTCTTCATCAAGCCATGCCAGTCTTGTCAAGGAAGTCACATCACTTAGAGAATCACTTTCGGCATTAAGCAAATCATCGTCTGATATGGTGATGGATTTAAATATCAGTCTTGCCCAATGTCGCCAGGAAAAATCTAGCTTGGCAGAACGATTGAAAATTTCTGAAACAAACTATTACTCTACTCGCCAGCAATACATTCAAGTTCACTACGAAGCAGAAACACTCAAAACACAATATCTTCAATGCGGAATGGATCCTCAACATTTGAACCAGATTCGCAACGAAGCAAATGTCAGATCTGTTTCTGAAGTGTCTCAATTGCAGTTGAAACAAGTCACTGTTGAGCGAGATACTGCCATGGCCAACTTGCAAAATCTCACTACTAAACAAGAATCGCATTCAGCCAATATCATTGCATGGAAAAAATCTCTCAACGAAGAATTACAACGCAAACTTGCAATAGTCGAGTCAGCACTGTTGGTGGCTCGTGCTAATGAAAAAGTCAAAATGGACGAATATAAAGCTAAAATTTCAGAACTTGATCAAGTTTGCCAGCAACTGCAGTCGCAGATTGATGAAAATCGTGATGAGCATTCATCTATTGTTTCAAAATTGCAAGAAACAATTACTTTGCTTACAAAAGAGCAAGTATCACAGCAGAATATGTCGGATAAAGGTGAACAAACTGATGAGCTTATCTTCAACTCTGATGTTCATTCTGATGTTAAAAAAACAGACGAATTTGCTGTAACCAAAGACATGACTAATCAACACTATCTTGAGGAGCAGCTAGAGCATGCACACTCTCAAGTGGGGCAACTTCAGTCAACATTTGACTCTTTGGAGATTCAAAAACACGAACAAGAGCAATCTATTACCAAGCTGGAAATTCACATCAATGATCTTCAAACTCGACTGGATCATCTTACTCTTGAAAAGACAAATTTGGAAAAGCATATTGCGCAATTAACGCATAGCTTGTCCGAGGCACAAGCCAATGAGGAGTTGAGTGTACAAACTGTTTGTCAGATTCAGGCTCGAAATGAAGCACAGCTGCTCGAGTTGCAAGAAATGGTGGATTCAATGGGATTAGAAATCAGATCTGAAAAAATTGAAAAGCGTCATTTGTCTGACCAGCTTGCATCAATGAATAGCGAGTTGCAAAATATGACTACCAAACTAAACGCTGCAAACCAGCAGGCATTGACTGATCAGCAAACAAAAAAGGAAATGTTCAAGGCGCTCCAAGATCTTCAAAGAACTGTGTGGATGTGAATTGTTTGAATCATTTATTGATAACTCATCTACTTTTAACGAAATGTGGTTTGTCATGTTTACTGAAACTCTACTATAATCATTGATATGGGCTACTATTCATTTCCAAACATGATTATATCCGTCAACTGCTCAAAGGCTTGTCGATAAATCCGATAAAACTCTTTATAATCCCCCTAAACCCAATTCAATCCAATTTAATGGTATTAAAACACGTTGATGTGCAGAATAAATTCAATGCAGTATTTTATCATTTGCAAAATAGTCATTCAACTTACTTTGTAGTTTTTGAAATCCACTAGCGAGATTCCTCTTTCGGTTTGGTATACACGAATCATTAATACAACCATGCCGTTTTCGACTGGGGCCATGACACTCACCATATGCCTTTTTTCATATATATGAAACGTGACTGGCATTTTATACAATACTCTTGTGAGCGACTTTATAATGGTTTCAAAACACGCAGCTGAAAAAAACTTTGTGCATAGCGTATATGGCAAAACTTGCTTTTCCACATTAAGAACGAGAGATATATCAAATGCTCCTGACGCTGCAAGAAGTTCAAATATATTGGCTCTAGATTATACAAATTAGCAGTTATATCACACATGTATTGACAGCAATGGTTAATGAAAATGATAGGTTAGACTTACTTGGGATTTCCACCTTCCTGATCTCCATTGTCAATTGCATGCTGCCCACTATGCCACGTTTTATCAATCGGCATGTTTCTTTATACGTAACAAAAGGTATCAGTTTGCGTTTGACAACATGAATACACCATCTCATGTAGTTTTCAAAAACTTACAACCACATGTGTTTCTGTATTGTGGATATTTTTGCTCTTCGTTTAGGATCACGTACCAGAATGGTTTGTAACAGTTCTGCATTTAGCACAAGGTTAAAAAGGTGCAATATTAGACATTTCAATATCAAAATTTTATCAAGTCAGACTATTTTAAACAAGGACTGCCAATGTATACCTCGTGCAGGCAATGACATGCTTGGAGGAATCTTGTATTCTGTGCGAATGATCAGCTCGTTCATTTGTTTAGTAGTATTGGTCGCAAACGGGTGTTCTATTTTTAAAAGTATCAATGATTGTGTCATGACAAAAAACAGCCAACTTTCAAGTGTTGCATCATGGCTTAAAGGTAAAATCAATTGGTTTGAATCACTTACTGCCTGTTAAAAACAGATAAAGGACAACCCCACATGCCCTAAACAAAATGATTGACTAAAGTTGGTAATTGATATTGTTTGGTTTACCAATATTTTGATGATGCAAAAATGTACCAGATATCGGCAGAAAAAGCAAGGTATTCAATTTGATTCGTTACAATCATTTCTGGTGAAAAATATGCCGGAGTCCCAGCAACATCGGTTAGCATGGCACGATCGCCAACAACAGCCGCTAATCCAAAATCTGTGATTTTGAGTACGCCAGTATCTGTCAGCAACATATTTTCTGGCTTGATATCCCTATGGCAGATACGGTTATCGTGACAAAAAGAGATACCAGCAATAAGCTGACGAAAGTAAAAACTTGATTGACAATCGCTAAATGAGCCTTGTGAAACTGTACAATCATAATATGAAATTAAAACATCAACAACATGTAGTGAATTTGTATTTGGTTTGCTGATTTTGAAAATACGATTTGGAATCACCTAAATGGTAGAGAACTTCACCGCCTACAACTAGATCCATGACAATGTAGATGTGACTAGAGGTTGCCATGACATCATGCATTTGAACCACATTTGAGTGTTGTCCAAGTCGTTTCATTACCATAATCTATCTTCCCAAACCAATTATTGTCAAATTAATATTTAGCCTGTAAGCTTCAAACTCGATAAAATATGCAACGCTATTCTACATAAACAGGCTGATTTGATCAAGTCAACGTATTCAAGGCCAAGATCTTACTTCATTTCGCACATGACTAGTCATTTGAGCACGAATGACATCTTCACGTCTGAGGATTTTGATTGCAACAGATGTATCCGACCCAATTTTAGTTCCAACCATAACTCTACGTAAGAGGGACATTGCTATCAGTGTGATATTCCCACAATGAATTTTAAATTAAATATAGCATACAAGTCATAGTATGGCACCTTCCAAACGCTCCTTTTCCCAGCGTATGTCCTACATGGTAGATAAATGATTACAAGAGTCAAGATTAGTAAACATTGTAGATGCACTTTTGATATTTGCAGTATCTGAAAAAAAAGGATTACGTATCACCTAGTCGATAGTCCCCAACCCGTTTAACCCGTTCTACACAAGGCTTTTCAGTATTTGACATATCAGATTTTATAGCACAAGTATGGATTGAAACTAGTTTATTGACAAAATGTCAAACCGCGTTTTCATGTCATCTCAAACTCGAGTATTCCGTTAGTATATCAGAATTCGACTTGAACAGCAATAAGCGTAATTTACAACTACTTGTATAAATCAAGCAATATTCAATGATTTGATTTAGTTTTTAGCAAGATGGGTCGCATTGAGTAGCGTTGGAATGCATTCAAGCAAAATCAAAACAGTATAGTAAACCCTATTTAAAACTTGAAAATGTAAAAGTATTGAACATGGTTATTTATTAGAAGGTAAAGGTACATCTGCTGGAATATCTACATGGTGAGACTCGGTAGGGGTAATGTCATGATTGAAATCATTGCTTGAGTTGTTGTTCAATAGCAGCTGTGTAGAAGAATCCACAGAAAGCGGAGTACTTGCACAACTGCTTTCAGCTGCACATACTAGACACGTACCAGTTCCATTTACCAACTCTTGAAAGCATACTTCGTGGTAGCAATGCTCGCAATCTAGTTGGCAAACCGTGTCATTATCTGCATAGCCAGAGTGACAGATCTTACATTCAGCAGAACCTGGTCGAAAAAGTGGATACTTGGCATACATCCGTTGAAGCAACATTGATCGAAGCATTGTAGCAATATATCCAATACCTTGTCTTACAAGCCTAAATGGATTGCAACATCCACATAAGCATCTCGATGAATCAGTCCACCCAGTGGTTCTATTTGATATAGCTTGATCAATTTCTGCGTTCATGGTTGTAACAGAGTCTCGAGCATACTCTTCAATGCCCATACATGTAAACACCTTGACTTCACCAAGACGTGTCTGCCTCACTTTGTTTCCACCTGATAATCCATTTCGCATAGATTTGTATTTCGAGATTGCCCAAAAAATCATTGCCAGGAGAGCGCCTCCAACCCAGATGATATTTCCTAATATTACCTCGGCTTGCAATAGGTAATAAAACAAAGGCGAGGACGTTTCAGCAAATTTGAAATAAGCTACATTGGTGTATACATAGGCTGAAAAAAAAGAAATGATTTCCACATCTCCGCCCCTAGTTTTGTACACGTTGCATTGAATTCAAAACAAATTGATATAGTATGAGCATTTTATAGGTCAAAGAATGTGTACGCAATAGAATAAAGCCAATAAATTGACAAGGGACGGGTGTATATCAATGATTTTACCATATGAGCTGGTTTTTGATAGATTTAGCTTCTTGAATTTTAGCTTGAATGGGCAGGGTGACTTGATAAATACCAAGTTTTCTCCATCGTCTGATATCGGCTACAATCGACCCAAGTAAAACCAAGATACGCCATGATATAGATGCCCATATTACTGGAGAAGCGTGTTCATCCCTGGCTATGGCAACAGAGCATACTGTAACGAGTGCAGCAACCAGGGGATATTTATAGAAAGTAGCCAAAAAAGGGCTGAAATCCATAGATTTGAGTAATAACAGATGTTTGCAAAGTTGTAGTGTGAGTAGACTTAGATTTGCAAGCCAAGATGCTAACAAAAAGAAGAACTGATTGTAGAGTATGAAATTCTATTTTATTCTTGATATGGCACGAATCTATTAGCCATCTTCGCGTAAAATGGAATGTTTTTGTATTCATGCAATCACTGCCACTATTCTTGGAATAAGCAATGGCCGAATCTTTGCTGCACTTGATAAAAATGACTGCTTATTCAATCGACACAACGTCTATTATACAATGCGTATACAATCAAATTATGTTTTTTAAATCTATTCTTTCTCCTTGTTTGGTACAATCACATATTGTACAGTCGCCCTATTCATTGTAATCCGGATAGTTTGTTAATCCAACTCATTTTTTATATCCTAAACTATTGGATACGCTTGTGTTCTAGTTCAAGAGATTAATATCAATGTTTGAGCGATTAATGTTTCCATGCCGGCTACCAGGAAAAAACAGCCAGTTCAACGTGCACAATGTTTTCCAGTAATTTGGCACTAATTGTTTCATGAAACCGACTGTGTATTTTGATTTCCTTGTGTTCCATTTTGGGTAAATACAACTGTCAAGGAAAGTTGAGCTTGAGAGTAGCAAGAATTTATTTGGTAATATAGTTTGATTTTTAAAAAAAAGTATAATAGAGTAAAAGTTTCAGATGGCAAGCATCATTAACCATTGCCTTGCAATCAAGACAGAAGCCAAGACTAGTTTTCAAGAAAATATATAACAAGATTGATATGCATTTACCAAACAGACCAACCTAGTTATTCACTCTGGAGACATACAATTACAGAGTTTACAGCATTTAAAATTTGATAAAACACGAATGGACTATAGAGCGACTATCTTGTCCGAGTTGATTTCTGTTTTGGATCGGATTGCAACTCTTGGATGCAAAGCGGACAATTGGATTTTAGTCTTAACCAGTCATCAACACATATGGCATGAAAGTGGTGTTTGCAAGGCATCTGTTTCAAATCATCACCACTATCATACTCGGCAAGACAAATGATACAATGCGCGTCTTCTTCATCGAGTTCAAGGAAAGTGGGGGCAGGAGGAGCAGTGATGTCAGTAGACGAAGATGCTTTACCAAAACGAAGAGGTTTTGAAAGTAAACGAAAGTAGCGTTTTTTTGACTTTGAGTTTTGAGGAGATTCAGCCTGGATGGGTTGGACAGTATGGGTAAGATCCTGGATGGATTTGACAATATTTTTAGGGGACTCGATAAAAGCAGCCTCGTCAGTCTGAGTATTAATAGGCTGTATATCGAGTACAGACGTCGCATTGTCGTCCGAGTGATGAAATTGTTCCATTAAGATGGGGCTATGAATAGAAGCGGATTTATCCAGCGCAGCAAAAGTCAAAGCAGTATTATCAGGAGCGATTTTGCGACGGAATTTTAGAATAGGAATGCCGTTGATCAGCTCTTCGGGAGCACCTCTACTGCCATCAAGAATATCTGGAGGATGAGTTTCATAGTATCTGGATAGTAAGAAGATACAAGGTAGAAAGAAGATGGCGACGATGCACAAGAGAAACGGAGAGCAAAAGTACATGAAGCTCAAGACAACGAGGATAGAGTTTGCATAGTAAATAAGGGGAGCAGTTTCTAGACAACGAGAGGGAGACATGAGAGCAATCAAGCCAGCGACGAGCAAGATTAGAAATGGCAGATCGATGGCATTAATATATCTTCGTCTGCGATATTCCTCATTGATTCTGTGTTGCTGACGAGAGAGTTCTCGAGAGGTTTGAAAGTAGCGAGGAGCCAAGATCAACACTAGTGGCAGCATGATAGCATGTCCAGCAACACATATGAGATAGAAGCGAGGATAAGTGCTGTTTCTAGAGAGAACTAGAGCAGTGATGGCTATAGTAGTCTAGATGAGAGTGTTAGCACTGGAAGATGGCATGAAACTAGACCAAGATTACCTCCAACAACATCACTACTGTCCGCATGATAATAAACCGAAGCTCTCCTCTGTCTCGAGTAGTAAGAAACTCTCTGTGATCCAGAATAGGAAAAGCCGGCAGTGGGTTTGGCTCAGACAGCTGCAGGGAAATGGTGGGCAATAGAGTTGCTGCAGTAATATCTTGAGTTGCAGTATTTCCTATAGCATTTCCTGTAGTATTTCCAGTATTTCCTATAGTATTTCCTCCAGTATTTCCTGCAATGGTTCCAGTAACAGTCGCTGTTAAAGTATTCTCACTGGCTGCAGTCGTAGTTGCTCTGTTTCCAGCAACATTACTTCCACTAGCATCAATATCAATGCTAGTATCCTGTCCCATAGTAAAGTTCAAGTTTAACATTGGGCTCGAGCTTTATTCAATTAATGCTCGAGATGACCACATTAATATTATCACCATCAGCAATCCATACATTCCCAACAGTGTCATTCCAAATCTCTCATTCACTTGGAATCGATTGTATATGGCCATTACTAATCCAACCACTAGTCCTACATACAATCCCCAGCTTGTAATCCAGAATGTCATGTCCATGGTGGGAATACGCACTGCATGTCCTGTTTTAATCACCATGTATAATGACGACACTCCCACTCCTAAAACAATATCTATTCAACAATGTTAGTCTGTTTGTATCAAAGCTTAAACTCGACTGTTTTACTCACTAAGCATTGGTCCACCATAGCATGCTCCAATAGCCATGGTCGGATATCCCATTCGTGCAATCTGTATATTCGTTACAAGTTCTACATTACAATGTTAAACAAATTCAGTCACTTGTTCTTGTATCAAAATTAAACATTTTACTAACCTCCAATACTATTTCCTAGTGCAAAAAGCGTCAATCCCTAATCACCATGTCGTTAGTGTCAGTTTAACTAGTTTAAAATTAAATCCAAACTTACCAAAATGGTTGGACTAAGACCTGAAAGTACTCCAATGGCTTCCAATAATCCAATCAATTCGTTTGACACTGTTGCAACAAATAACATCGATACTCCAAATCCCATCACTGCAAGAAAAACCAGTATCCATCGGCTGGATATACGTGGAATCACCATCCACCACGTCAAAGCACTCAGCACGATGCCAAAAATAATAGATACTCCCCATACTGGTATGTATACACTATCCTCTACAATCACTACATTAACTAAATAGACTACAATAAACTACAATAAGCACTACAGATAAAACACCAGTCTGAATCTTGAATGGTTGGTGTGTTGCATACCTTCAAAATAAAGGCACAGTACCATGGGTAAAAAAAACATTTGAGTCATGACCAGTCCTGGAATCATCTTTTCTTCTTGATCCAATACATGAATATGTCCATCTTCCATATCTGCCTCTGTATCCATCAGTAACGATTCACGTTGCTCCAGTAATGAATCTGATATGCACATGTATCCATCCAAATATTGTTCATGCACAACTGGTGCAGTCAATGTGAGAATTAAAACAAGTGGTGATGCAACAATGGAGTGAAGACGATGAAGCACAGTCATGCGATGCCATTTGGTAACAACGGGTACAGCCAACATAAGAGTGGACTTTAAAAAAGTTGTAATGCAATCGTATCGGTCAGGTGGAGTCACCACTGGTGCGTAAGATAAAACCTCGTCTTCACTAGCCTGCCGTCTTGGAGGTCTATATGCATTGGATAGCGTGTCTGATGAAGATATATGATTCGAGTCACTAAAATTGTGTTCATGAGTAGGCGATCTGGATCGATTGGATAGAAAGTATGTGCTGGCTAGTTTTTGAATTCGAAGATGAGGGAGAAAAAAATCGGCATCGAAATCAGCTTCTTCTACTAATGACATGTTTGATAAGCGTGTATCTGGAAACTCGGCTATTAATAAAGATCTATTTTCTGTTGTAGAAGTATTGTCATCCAAGTCTCCTACAAGTGAACAAGATGTCAATAATTTTAATATTGAGCATTCAAACACGAAACCAGTATAAAGCTTACCAAGCTGAGGAGTACTTTCTTGAATCAATGCTCTTACACTTGATGCATGAGAACTCATTTCATGCATTTTCCTTTGACTAATCCATACACCAACGATCACAACCAGCACATACAACAAGTAATATCCAACCAGCGCGCAACCCTTGATCAAGTCAATCTCACCCGATACAACAAATACATTAACCAAGATAGCTGCACCAATGAATGCAATGACATCTCGAACAAAAGGTCGACGAGGCAGTTTTGATGGTCGAATAATGCATACCAAGCCAGCTATGAGAAATGAAATGAATGTAGCTGCGCCATACAGTTCACCCAATGCCAGGGGAATTTTATCAGTGCGAAAGGCAGCAAATGTAGCAAAAAGATCACCAGCACCGTTGCCTAGAATCAAATAATACAAGTCAGTTGAGATGGAAATCATTCCATTGCGATAAATCGACTTTACCCAAAGCAGCCAGAGTCACTCCTGATACTGATTCAGGCATTCCCAACAGAGTTGCAATTGATGACAGGTTTGGACAGAAGAACAGTTCAGCAGTCGATGCAAGAGCTACAAACAGAAATATCAGTGCTAGACATAGAAACAGACTTCCTAGTATTGGACTGGATTTGAAAGTGGTTTGATATATACTAAGATAGTCGATGAGAGTTTCTGGAGCATCCAAAGGAAGAGTTGTATTGAGAGTCGTTTTAGACAAAGTCGAGGCAATAGTAGTCGGAATGCTGGCAATAAGAACGCTGACTAGCATGGCTTCCTATTATAAATGGTTGAATTAGGACTATAAACTACTTTAGTGCTAGTGCATCACTCACTCTTGTCAAGTTTATCAAAGCATTGACAAGCATTCGCTTGTTTAAATCGTTATCTTCCACCAATAATCTTCTACCAGCCATCAAATTCTTTGATCATCGCAGTAAATGTTCATGTAGTTTATTATAGAATCTCAAGATCAATGTGCTTGACTTCTGGATGATGTGCCTACATATACAAGTGTCAGTAGTCATCCTTCACCCTTTAATTCATTTAATCTTACCTTGATTTCCAGTTCTATTCGATCTACTTCTGTACCTAAACTCGCTACTACTCGTGCTGAATGCTTTGTCATCCATTCTTGAATCTCCGCATCGGTATTCAATGCTCGCAGAGTCTCCAAATCTGTCTTGATACGCACTGGATTCGATGCAATATACTTTCTTGCAACCTCTTCCCCATTAAACAAAATCTCGGCTGTTTATCAAACATGATGAGTTATCTTGTCTGATCATAGTGTTTAATATGGTCTAAAGTAATGACTTTACCTTTGAATCTTGCCCATTCCGGTCCAATACTCGTCGATTTGACATCATGTACAGACCTATCAAAAACACACGTCTTGTTAGCACATCTCGAGTTGCGTACCGTCACAATATCTACTCACGTCACTATAGAATCAGCTTCCAGTAACCCAATAATGCTTGCTTCTTTTGCTGGATGCATACTTCGCTCCACCAATCCAGAAATATTCCGTTTAATCAAAAATGTCGCAACAGCACTCAGCAGTATCCCAATTGTAATGGATCCCAACGAATCTATAAATGGTAGTGAAAAATAATTGGAAAGACTAAGGCAAGTGCCTGCCACCAACACACCCGTGACAGATGAACAGTCTTCAAGAAAAACTTGAACAGAGGTTGGATCTCCACCCTTGACGAGATAAGACCAAAATGTTGTCGAGGCCTGGCGTGCACTCGATGCTATTTGTCGGTAAGCAAATGCCATTGTAACTAGAGCAAGCATCATGCATAAAGTCTCAATATCCGCCATGTACGATTCTCAGTATACTCACATTCATACCAAAATCAAACATGCGTTTTACCTAAATCAAATGATAGTGACGCTCCCAAAATATATAGTGCAATGGTGGGATCGCCCAAAACGTGATCATTCACAAATAGTCCATTGATGCCATGATACAAACTTACACCGCCTCCCAAAAAAAATACACCTGTTTGCATCATACATATACTGGATGTGTTAGATGTGCAAATAGTTAATAGTATACATGGGCTTTTAGCATAATAGTATACTTGCCAACTCCACTGACAAGAGCCCACGCATACTTTTCTGATAAAAATCCGTAAGGATGCTCAGTGTCTAGATTTTAAAACAGTAAGTACTCGAGCCAACATTTACTTGGAATACTATTCATGATGTCTGCTAACCTGGTTGTCGCAGCGATCTTGAAATTCCTGTCAATAAAACAAATTAATTAAGCTGTAACAAAATAAACCAAATAAAAAAAACTTACCAAGCATTAATAAGCTAAGTATCGAGACAATAAAGCCAGTTCAGTTAATAGTTTAAACCAAACCACAGTCTGTTCTCTACTCAAAACCTACCTCTCATTTAATACTAGATAAAAATAAATCAGACAAGTGTTGATGCTTCAGCAAATATTCATCACACTACATCTCAAACTTACCATCAGCTAATGAATGCAAAGCTTCTGAATACATTGATGCAGATCCAGATGTGATTGCGCCGTATGATTTTGCAAAAAACATAATGAGGTTGCTACCAGATTTAAAAATAATGTTAATACTCGACAGCAATCCATTTTTTGAAATAAAAAATAATTCAACAGATTGAACAAGACCAAGTTGTACCTTGATATGGCTAGCAACACTACTTTTTGTGATCCTTTAAGTTGATGTTTCCGCTGATTTTTATGTTCAACTAGATACAGTCCAGAATATATAGAATTAAAAAGTTGGATAATTCAATTTGAAAGCATTGCCACATTCAACCAAGAATTCATTGGGTTAAAAACAGATCGGATCAAGATGTAAGATTACCTTCAGTGACTTCTCTTCTAAGTTGTTTTACTCGACTCTTCCATTCTCCAATATAAGCAGCTTGCGAGATATAAGCAACTGTAGCCAATACGGCCGAGTCATGAGCTTGCTCCTCTCGAGTGATCGGTTCAACAGTTCTGATTGGGGTTGGTGGATTGGATGAAACTACCTGTGCTGTATCTATTGCAGACGGTTGAATGGAGTTGATTGAATCTTTTACTTCCGGTAACGGAGTGATGGGAGCAGTAACATGAGTGCGGACTGTAGATGACAAGACCATACTTTTTGATGTGCTGAAAATCGTAGTCGAGTCCTTTTTGATGGTGGATACAAAGCATGCATGCAATGGAAATAATGGATTGACAGATACAAACTTGCGACTATTTCCTAGACATAATGCATCTGCGACTGTCTTTGAATTCATGACAGTCTTGCTTCTAATAGTAGAAAAACTCGTAGAATAATGAAATACATTGGATTTTAAACGAGTAATTTCATGTGTATTGCTGGTATTTGTAAAAGAATAACTGGAAATAGATGGATTCATAGCAGTAGTGCACCGAATCGGGCAATGTCTGTAGTATTGTATTAGCAACATGACGGTTCAACTTTCACCGTCAGTATTCACGTAAAATGAAATGCTAGGTAAAAGTGCTAATCTTGTGAAATAATTTCCACCAAATTTACTGAAAAATATTGTGCACTTTGAACTCTAATTGACTGGTTTTCTGCTCATTTTGTATAGGAAACTAAGTGAATGTTTGCATCTCTGTTTTAGTCAATTACACGGCTGATCAATCTTCAACTCTTTTACAAAATATTGTGTGATTGGCATGCAAACAGCTGTATTTTTAAAGGGTACAATCATTGAATTAAACGCAAACGTGTGCGAGGTTTAAAATATAACAAATCTGAGCTTGATCAAAAACAGTCAAACCTAATACTTGGATTGAAATGGATGAATCTGGTGACTGTACAATATATGATTGCACCAAATGAGGATAATCCCAGTTCAAACTTGGTTTGTATTATATGATGTGCGCTGTTTTGATTAAAGAGTTTGAGTGTCAATTGAACGAGCGGTCAATTTGTAGTGGAAAAGTGCCATTATGTAAGTGCAGTTGTGATATTGTGATTGTCGGTTTTTAGAATTGTTTGCCATTAAAAAAACATTCGCGCTTTAGCAATCACATCCATGAAGTGAATCCATCATTTTGAATCAATACTGTATGTGATATAGACTGGTGCATCACATTGCAGCAAGTCTGGTTTAGTGTAGATAATTTTCAAAATTCATCAGTCAACTCTATCACCAATCAATGCTAGTTACTAATACCATCAACCATCTATACATCCACTTGATGTCAAATCATGCATTGGTTACATTCCTTATTTACGATTGTATTCCTTTGTCTCTCATATCTACATGAAAAAACGACTTGCTATTAAAAACACAATTTTGAAGCGATTTTTTATAAAACTGTATAGTTAGATCAAGTCCATTTTTATTACATTCAGATGCTGTAGTTATTGAATGCTAGACTGGTATATTCACCATATAAACAACTTTGACCATTTTGCCTGGCAGCCATGTATTTGTAAATCAAATATGCACGGTTGGGTAAATACCACACATACATTCTAACATTAGATTCTACGCTATCCCCTCGTCTGTCAATTCAAATCTAGTGACCAACGCGTCGCGATGCCATTTAGACTCCATCCACTTGATAAATGCAAGTTTGCTCGACCATTATCAACCCATCAGTCCCATAATTTCATACCTGCTAGTAATTTACTAATACTGGCTTTCCAATACTAATATATTCAACCCTATTCAAACCATACTATATTCTAAACCGCTCCACTCAAATAATTGGTGATATATAGTGTTGACTATTTGAGCTGTCTCGGTCACTAGCAATCTTTTCTAATTAACTGATTATGAATTACACCCCCTCAAAAAGCTCCATGCTTGATAGTAGTAATCATATCACTGTTTTTTCCTCTCATGTTCAGAATTTAGCTATCCCGCCTGGCATGAATACCAATACTGGGTCTGAACCTAGTCGGTCACAAACTATGCCACGCACGAGAAAGGCACTTCCCAAACCTCCTACTGGTAATTCTCCACAGCGTACAGCCAGTATAACAAGTGTTTCCAGCGTATCTGCATCCATTCAGACAACAAACTCCAATACGAGCAGAATGACAGGAAACACTCAATTCAGTATGGGTCCGCTGAATGTCGCATCATACGCTTCCATCATGCCGCATGGGCGTATCATGGACCACAATATCCATCGAAAATCGTTTCGTTCTTCATTTTTTGGTATTCGTAAAACCCCCTTGACAGTCAAAGATATTGATGTTCCAAGTGGAACACATGTTCGTCGTCTGCGTCCACCATTTCGGTTTGTCCCCAATCTCCATTACAAAGAACAGTCATTTCACGCCAACGAAAAAAGTCATTTAGAACCCGCATCAAACACTACTCTTGAGCGAGCTATTCTTTTTCAAGAGTTTATTGAAGATGAAAAAACATATGCACAGGATCTTATCCGTATTATCAAGAAAATTGATTCGGCAATTGCTCGTCAGCCAGAAACCAATACCCAAATTCTTCAGCTCCTTAAAACTTCACTTCAAGGAATGATTACTGTTGCATCGGATGCAGAGATTTCTCTTCTTCGCACACCAGATAATTTTGGTATAGTAGACAATACTGAAAACATCGAGCGTGTATATCAGACATACATGAATCAGTATCAGGACATTTTGAATGGAATCGATTCATTAACAAAGTTGTGTCCAAGAATCGCATTGGATTTAGATGGAATTATTCAAGATATGCGCCATCCTCTTAAACGTTTGATTGGGTACAGATTTTATCTTCGTGTAAGTTGCTTGAGATGGTTGAATTTAAATTTCTCGGGCTTCGAATATGGATCTTGTAAATGTCTAAATCTATAAGCTGTGACGTGTTTTTGCAAAACTATGTAGCGTATACTACGAATCGAGCTTCCGGTATCTATTCCATACGTTACTGCACGTGGATCACTGCCCTCATTCTCGTATCTGGTCGAGCACGCTTATGCCATTTTTGGTATCACTGATACGTTTGATCAAATTGCTGCATGGGAAGACACACTGAATATTTATGAATGTAAACCCATTGGACCCGAATCAAACGATGCTCAGCTTGCAAACTCACGCTATGTAGGTGCAATCGTGTCACCGTACGCTTTATATTTGATTACAGTGACAACTAACCTGCCTTGTTTATGTTTAAAACACAACTGTTCAAGGCCATTTTCACACACTTGACAATGCCAGTAGATGTATCTGCTATTCCATTACCCATCACACCAACTCTGCATCTATTTTTAGAATTCACTGATCTTCCACTTACGCTTAAAGACACCATTCTTAAAGTGGACAAGAACTCTGAAATAGAACTCACAACTAAACTATCGGGAACACCCTTTCTAATTTATCTTTTAACAGACACCATCGTTCTTACTTCTCTCAAAGACGCTTTTGGTCATTACAACCTTTTGTTTCCTCCAATGCCGCTCAGTCACGTTGAAGTCGTGTATAGAACAAATGTCAAAGGCCCACAAAAAATCTTTGAGCTAAAACTATCTCCATTCAAAATGCTGGTTGTTAGAGGTGACACGGCAGATGTTCAAAGGTTTTTAGATATGTTTGAAAGTCTTAAACCTGAAATGGGAAGTCGAGTAAAATCGAGTATTACAAGACACGAAAGTGTGAGTGCAAGTATCAAGTCTGAAAGTAGTGATGACAGCTCTTCCGCAGCTGCAAATAAAAAACTACAGAAAGCCAGGCTTGCAAGATTGATTCAAAAACTTCCAGCATCAAAAGATGTTGCCGTGGAACGTAAAGAAGATGCATTGGGTTCTGCAAATGAAAGTGCATCACTATCCAAATCAACTTGTGTTTCACAAATCGTGTCTCGCGCTGCATTGCTTTCATCAGATGTACTGTCATCAAAGTATGTGCGCTTGGGAAGAGTAAGTGGATACAATCAATGTTATTTTTCTGGAATCATTTACTTTTGTTAAACTGACTGTTTGATACAAATGCACTATGATATGGGTTGACAGAAAATCACAACTGCCAATCCACAAATGAACATTACTCAAGCAGCGGCAGAGTTTACTTGTCCATTATCAGCTATTCTTTTATTTCACACCTTGTGTCGACCTAACGTCTACAAGCCTGCTACGCGCGATTGGGAAAAGCTTTCGAAATGCCACATGAGAATTTACACCACTCATGTAAAAACCTGGATGACGCTTAGTATTGAGGATACAGAAACGTTGATTCTTACAGCTGTGATTACTCCCTATTGGAACTGCAGCGTGTCTGGTCAACGTAGTGTGGACATCAGTTTGGTTACACATCAAGGCGGGATTGGAAGGTATTTGGTACTGGTCAAGTCTATGGAGATTGCTCAAAAAGCTGTTAAAGTGGTGAAAAGCGGAATTCAACAAGCACTTTGGACACTTTCAACTGACTTGCGCGATGAATTACTGATTCAACCACCCTCTACTTACCCGATTGTATGCATGGGATCACAGTCTTTAGCAACGCCACTTTTATCTCCAATGCCAGAATTTCATACGCAAAAAGGGTTTGAGCATGACAAGTGTTGGTTGAATCAAGGAGATCAAAAACTTGTTAGTTTGGGAGCAGTGCGATCAACCATCATCACTACATTTGGCACGCTTTCGCATCCCATTTCAGCTGTTTCAAAGCATAGAGTCGCTTATTCTGTTCGATTGCTGCTTACTTCTGTCATTCGTCCAGATATTCGTCTTTTTAGTGCTGAACTTGAGGATGAAAATATGTCGTTTCAATCTGATGGTGATGCATATACTTTGGTAAAAGTTTATTTCCAAAACTCTATGTTTGAGTACAGATTATCAATCAAGAGCAATGAAAGCGCTGCATTTTTAGAAATGCTAAACGAAGGTGTCAAGACGGCCAAGCAGCATCGTAAGCATGCAACAGAAACTATCGATACATTGCGTGAGGCGTGGGATAAAAAAATTAAAGACGATCAGGAACAAGAAAGACTAGCACTCGAGACTAGATTAAATGAGATATCGATGGCAGTCATCACAAGTGATATTGCTGCTGTTCAACACGCAACTGAAAATCCAACCAATGCAACACCATCTCAAGTTCAACAAGTTGCTCAAGAAACCCTATCTATTGAAAATATACAAAAAGAACTTGAAACTGAAGCCAATGTTGATCATGTACCTGCAGAGTCAATAGTAGTAAAAGACCAAGATTTTATAACCGAATCTGCCGATTTGACTCGCACCACTTTACTGCCATCGCCAGACACCAAAGCGGAATCAATTTTAAACAACCAGCCAAGCTTGCTTAATACAGATGACTTGAACGCATCTGTATTACGAGAGATCCCATTGTTATCAAACAATGACACCCCTGTTTGCCCAACTGCGGAAGCACCTGATTTGGCTGATTTAGCCGAAATGTTTTCTTCGCTTTCTGTTGAAGACTTGGACAAACGCAAGGCCAAAGTCACCAATTCAACGAAAACAGACACGACTTTAGCCAAAGATGTATTGCCAGATACTTTAAAACAAGACAAACATATCAGTAAATCAGTGAGTCAAGCGTGTTCTATAAACACACAAGATTCATCCAAAACCAAAGTAACTTTACAAGAACGACCACCACCACCCAAACCTGGATGGACTTCATCAACACCCAAAGTTGAAACTTCAACACTACCCAAAACTCAAACATTGCCAACACAGCCTATAAAATCACTTGCGTCGGAATGCATTGCATCCAAACCATCTAAAATAGCAACAAAGATCAAGAGTGCGTTTGGAACGAATTGGAGCGAATCTTCACTTACAGCATCAAATGGTGTACGAAAAATCCGAGAAAGGTTTGAGATCAATCGATCAGGATCTTCACCCAATCCTGCATCCAACAGATGTTTTAATGGTAGTATGAATGGATCAAAGAGTCAGATTGGTTCTATTGGGACGCGTATGTCTTTTACACCGACTAGCGTGTCAACATCTGGAGATGTTTATAAGCAACAACCTGCAAAGGAAGTGATGGAATACAAACAAAGACATGCGATGATCAAGTCACAACGAATGGTTATTTGTCGTGAGAATAAGGAAATAATGAAACAGTTTGCACGCAAAGTGGAGGAGAATGCTCGACTCAAGATCGAAGAAGGTGAAATTGGAGAGCATTTCAAGAGCACTTTAGGACGCAAAACAGGAGTGATGAAATGGCATTAAAGCCGCAAAACTCTGAGTGAAATGATGACATTACAACTCAAAACAGAACGTTTTGTTCAAAGTGTAGCGAATAAAGAATATCAAATCTATAAATATGAACAGAAACTCGATTTGGATTTATTCCATCAGCTCGCGATATCGATAATGCCATTCAATAGGCTATCACTTCCCTGCTTGCTGTTGGCTCTTATAGCATCCTTGTTCATTCATGCAGCTCAAGCTGGTGGTAAAATTCCAAAGGCTGTAACTGAAGCCTACCTTCGAGCAGAGAAGGAAATCCTGCATTTGGAACAGTCTTCTTTCCAGACAAAGATCCAGAAGGGCAATTGGATGATTTTTTATGGAGCTACCTGGTGCGGACATTGCCAAAAGTAAATCCTGGATTGTTGAGCAGCATTGTCTTGCTTGTGAATGCAGTCGATATTGACAACACTTGCAATCATCTTGAAACTAGATTCACTCCAACTTGGCTTGAACTTCAGAAAAAAGTAGAGACGGATTTCAAGGACAGCAATTTCCATGTTGGGAAAGTGGAGTGTACACTTAATGCAGGTACTTTGTCTTGCATTGGAGCAGCTATGGTGTGTGTTCAATGCTGGCTGGTTGCTCACGAGTGATTTGTGTAGATTTATGTGAGCAAATAGCTGGATTTCCGACAGTTTATTACTATCAGGATGGAAAGCGAGTCGGAGATGAAGTCGTTGATCAAGAGCTGCCAGACCTTCTCAAGTTTGTCAAAAGCCATGCTTGGGACAAGTCTGGTCAGCCTGGTCTTGCCAATCTAAAAGACGCTGAGTTGAATGCTGGTAAACCCAATATAGCTTTAGATCAAAGTCCAATGGAAGTCCTACATGCATATGCTGAACAAGAAATTCATCCTGGTGCTGATGTCAATCCCACTGGATTGGTTACGCATATGACAAGGGGGACATTTGCATCTGTATGTGTTGTAACTTGTCTTGAATCTTGTCTTTATACTCTTAATTAAGCTTTTGAATATTCAATGTTTTAGCTGACTGCCGAAAGGTCCTGGTTTGTGGTATGCTGAATGCTTTATAAAACTTGAGTCAGATCTGTCTAGTGTCTTGCTAAATACTTACTACAATTTGCTTACAATACCAGATGTTCCATGCTCCATGGTGTGGTCATTGTAAAACACTTGCTCCTATCTGGGATCAAGTTGCTGAAGAACTTAAAGGGCAAGTAGATATTGGAAAAGTAAACTGCGATGAAGAAAAAGGTAAATCTATCTTTTTAAATGAGTTTTGTATTAGACTGTGTTTTGACTGTTGAATTGCTTGTATTTCAAATTCTTGTTTAGATTTGATGAAGAGATTCAACATTAAAGGATTTCCAACGCTTGTTTTGTAAGTTGTATTGCTCGTCTAGTTTGATGTGTTTTTACCAAGAAAAATAATTGTTTAAATTGACTATAAACACCACGTTTTGATTTCAGAATCAATGAACCCAACGCTCCTATTGTGTACAAAGGATCTCGTAGACTTGAAGATATCAAAAAGTTTGTTCTTGATAGCATCACTCGTCCCTCATTCCTCCCTGTTACAGCCAAAGAAATTCCAGATATTATTTCAAAAGAAGAGGTGGCCTTTTACTTTGCGTATGATGCAAACGTAACAGATTATATTCCTTTTCGTATGTTCCAATCTGTAGCCAAAACCGTCAAACCCTTTGCAAAACTATACGTGTCGCCTGAAGTTCAAGCATTCAAAATACTCCACGCAGAAGAAGGTAAACCTGTATTGATCGCTGTGCGTGATGGAGGATTGGATTCCTCTGTTTATCCTGGAGAATTTGCTGGCGATGGTTCTACTCGTACGATGCTTAGGGAATGGATTATGCAGGAGCGGTTTCCTCTTGTAACCAAACTTGATACGGCCACTCAAGCCGATATTCTTGAAAGCAATCGATTTGTTGCACTTGCTCTAGTCAATCCGGACACACCTGATGGAAAAGGCGCTTTGGACCACTTTAAAAACTCGGCGAAACATTGGAAAAATATTGCAGCTGCAGAAAAAAGAAACCGAGTTAAATTTGCTTGGATTGATGCCAAAATGTATGCCGATTATGTTTTTTCGGTATACAGTGTCAAGCCAATGGATCTTCCTGTTTTTATTATTGCGAATCCAGCTGTAAGTGCATAGTTTTGACTATATTTTAGAAATCAATACTAACTTTTTGATTTGTGGATTTGAAAAATGAATGAAATGGCGTTTGTATTAGATGGAGCAATACTATAATGAGTTTGCTGACGGAAAAAAGTATGATTCATTTGCACACGTTGTGGTCCACGATAGTATCAATGAGGTTTTGGATGGCAAGGGCAAGGTAAAGTTTTTCAACGCATCGTTATTTCTAGAATTTCTAGATCATAGCTGACTGATTTTTGGATGACTGCATATTCTTAGGCCAAGACTAACCAAGGCACATTCTCTCGCTCAGCCAAATGGGTCAATAGGCAGTTTGTTCGTACAGTTGTAAGTTTACTTTATACTTGTATAGTCTGTATGTATCGGTATTAACACTAGTGAATTTTTAGATTTTTGTCACCAACAATATTATTGTAACTGTGCTGATAATGGGTGGATGTATTATGAGTTTGACGTACTATGCTATGAATCGTAAAGGCGGGTACCAAAGTGTGTCGAGTATTTCCAAGCAAGAATAATTTGGACATTCTATGGACAATTGGTTTGCTCTTTTTAAACTATTCGATGAGTTGGTGTTTGTTGTGGTTGAGACTCGAGATCAAATGAAGAAATTGAGTTGGAATATACTAATTTGTTAGTTTTGGGTTTATAGTGAGTTTTTATCACTGCATATTTTGTTATACATGAACATTGAATGAAAAGTTCAAGTGATGGTCAAAATACAACTTTTGGTATGATTGAAAAGTTGATTTAAATCAAAAACAATAGTTTTACAATTGTATTCATACAATGTACGATTAAAATCAATGTGATGATTACACATGAAGAGAGTTTGTATTCAAGAGTTGAAACTGTCGAATATTTAACCATTTCCAGAAATCACTGCAAATACAAAAGTTGCGTTTTGCGTGAATACGGCTGTAATTCGACTTTTACCTCAACTTGCTTGTCTGAAATGTCCACTGAAGTTGTATCTGGTGCTAATGTCACTCCAAAGCTGTCTAATCAGGAAACTATTTCTCAGGTAAATCTGTATATTTACTGCTTCAAAACAATACAGCCAGCTGATGTTCAAATCCAATATTCTTGACAGTTCAACACCATGAAGCAGGAACTTCAAGCTATTGCTCAAAAGATTGGCGAACTGGAGCTGGAAAGAGATGAATACCAGCTGGTAATAGAAACAATTTCTCCGTTGAATGGAGACCGCAAGTGTTTTCGTCTTATCGGCGGTGTCCTTGTGGAACGTACCGTCCAAGATGTTCTTCCTGCTGTCAAGCAAAACATGGATGGGGTAAATGCCATCATGTATTGTTTCTACACAGATCTGTCATGGCTTTTTATTAACTCGACTTTCTTGTAGATTATGACTCTTATTAAGCAACTGGCTACAAGCTACAAGAAGCGAGAAGAAGAAGCTGAAGCCTTTAAACAAAAATACAATATCAAGATTAAGGCATAATCTCGTCATTAGATTCAGGTTCAATATGTTTGGACCAATCCAATCATATTTAAAGCTTTGTTTTACAGTCGTATTCATGTAAAATGAAACACTATCTTGCAGTGATTTCTGAAATAAATGGTTAAATATTCGACAGTTTCAACTCTTGAATACAAACTCTCTTCATGTGTAATCATTGCATTGATTTTAATCGAAATATCAAGTTTGAATATTGTCAATCTTTGTCGTTTTCTAATCTCAAATACATTCTAATTCAGTAATAATCCTACATTGTATGAATACAATTGTACATGACAATCACTCAATGTTTGCTTGCAATATCTGAGTAAAGGATTTAAAACTGATATTCGCAATTCATTTTACGTGAATTCAACTGTAATAAAGTTACCGAATCTATCATCAAGTTTACTGCCATAATGAACACAACAGTCAGTCTTATTGCTAGAAGATTGCATAAACTGCCTTTATTTATGCACACATTCAAGACTGCAACCATCAAACACAGTACATTGCTATGCAACCGTCATTTTTCAACTGAAGCTCCTCCACTTTATTCTAGTCATTCACCTGAAATCATGATATTTGATCGTATTGCAAAGAAGCGACAAAGAGATAGAGCAGCTCTTTTTCCTGACAGTCGCTTGGTGGATTATTTAAAGGATGAAATGGCTGATCGGTTGGCTGATCGTTTCTTGGTAACGTTGAATTCACTCTCCATAGATTGCTACATCATGCTTTTGCATCTTCAATCTATTCTAATGTTATATCAACTGCCATATTTTTATAGGATATCAAGAAAGAGTTTGATGTTGTATTGGATTTAGGATGTGGATTTGGGCATATCATCAAGTTTGCTGATCCAGAGAGTATCAAGAAACTAGTCATGATGGACATGTCTGAAAAAATGCTATCAAGGGACAGCCATATTCCATATCCAAGTAAGTTGTAATCCAGCTGGCTGTCATTACAAAAGATGAGCCAATCTTTTTGGTACTGACCTCCATATTGCAGTTCCGGCTGAGCGCATTGTAGGAGATGAAGAAGCTTTGCCTTTTTCCAACGACACATTTGACGCAGTTGTTAGTAATCTGAGTCTGCATTGGGTCAATGATCTTGCAGGAGCATTGATTCAAGTCAAACATGCATTGAAACCAGATGGAGTGATGATCGCTAGTATGTTTGGTGGAGATACCTTGTTTGAATTACGGTAAATCCAAAACTATTCTATCGACTGTGTATATCTACTATTAAGATTTGATTTTAAAATGGATTTTGTGTATATTTCTTGACCTGTAGCACATCATTACAATTAGCTCAGACTGAGCGCGATGGAGGTGTATCTGCTCACGTATCTCCCATGACAGATGTACGAGATACTGGCAGTCTATTGTCTCGTGCTGGATTAAACCTTACTACAGGTATACAGCTACAAATCATGACTGAATCTGCCTTTATAATTGAAATGCACATGTAGACTTGATGTGCTGACTATAGTTGCAGTTGATGTAGAAGAAATTGTTGTGAATTACCCATCAATGATGGAACTCATGGATGATTTGAGAGCCATGGGTGAAGGAAACGCTATATATGGAAGGTAAATTATACATTGTCAAGCCAAATCTAGTTTATCAAACACCATTCTATTCAAAGCACTGTCATTTATCAGCGATTGTTTTTGATAGAAAACCTAGCATGTCTAAAGATGTGTTCATGGCAGCAGCAGCAGCATATCAGGCAATATACGGCAATCCAGACGGTACCATTCCTGCTACGTTTCAAATTATATGCATGGTGAGCTATTGATATAGTTGGCATGTATTGTTTCTACATATATGATATTTATTCACACGTCTATCTATTTAGATTGGATGGAAGCCGAGTGATACACAGCCCAAACCACTACCAAGGGGATCAGCAAAACTATCCCTTAAAAGCATTGAACAGAATGCCAGTAGTTTCGAGTCTTTTGAAGATTCTGACAATGGCCGAAAAAATAAGTGATAAATGTTGATGTCGATTAGCAACAATGGGCATTAAAACAAAGATAAATGAAGAATTGCCAGTAAACACCATCAATGTGTATCGTGTTTAGAGATGCTTGTATAGGCTCATTCAACCACGCTTTCGGGTTGATTGGTGTGATTTTGTAAATCTTGTTAGATTGTTCAACTGCTGATTTGAATGACAGAATCAGTGTTTCATGTAACACGGCAACAATCCAACGTGTTGCCGTGACCAGTTGAATGGTTTGCTGCTCTTCAATATAAAACAATACCATTCGTTGAATTTGATTGACACAAGTCTTGATGCTTCATCCATACAGTCATACGCTAACCTGAAACAATTGTGTAAACGCTATAAACCAAAACTCTCATTTTCAAAATGCAGCAACAGCTTGCTTGATACCATCAGAATGCTTTGAAAACATAAAAGCAAAGTTTTATATAACCAAAAAATAGATTCCTGACTCATTCTCATTGTTGGTAGTCATGACTGCAGTGAAGAATGCATGACACTTGTCAGTATCAATGTATGATGTTCAAATAGAGTTGGATAGTCTAGCTACATACTGTCTGAATGCTGTATGCCGCATTCTGTACTTTTTTCATTGAAAATCGGTTTTAAAATGCGTTGATTCAACATTTGATACATTGTTTGGTTTAAAAGCCACCTATAAACGGTTTCTAACAAAGTAGAGAAAATGCTTGGTAGAATTGGTTTCTCAAACTGCAAACCAAGACTGACAAATCCACGCAACGTGTTTTCTTTTCTTCCAAATAATATTCGAGTTTGCAGTTTCCTTATTCGCTAGTCAACATCTCAGGTACTATGCATGTGCCTTGCTGCATTCAACCAGTAGCTTTGCTACTTTGTTGATTTTCCAATTAAACGATGACTGAAACGAAACGGGCATTTGCACTATTTAATCCTTTTGATGTTCATGTAAAATCAGTTTTTTATAAATTCTGTACCACTGTTGATACTATTTTCAAAATAATAGCATCACTTTGTATACAACCAACTCTTGTCATTTTATCAGTTGAATTGTACAATGCTGTTTATTTGATTCCTCAGTGAAACCTGAAAAAATCTTGAGCTTTCAAGTCGGAATCTATTTGAACTAATAGAGGCGCATGTATTGCATCTTTCAAAGATTTTCCAAGGATCTTCCAAGGATTTTCCAAGGATTTGTGTAACGTAATACATATCTAACCATTGATTTAATGAAATACCATAATTTTGGGCTAGATGACGGTTTCTAATTTGACTTCATCTACTGCCAGTGTTCGCTCACAAAAGCAAACTGAATCTGCTCGTAGCAAGTCTATCCATACAACCCCGCCAGACTATAAACCTCATCTTAAAGGCGCATACGCATCTTTGGAAGTCGCCTTGTCATGGACTCCTCCACCATTCACGCTCAAGGATATTCGCAATGCCATTCCTGGCCACTGCTTCAAACGTAACACTATGCGATCAATTGGATACGTTGTGCACGATGCTATTCTTTTAGCGGTTTTGTTTTTTGCTGCTACTTATATCCCCTTGCTTCCCGTTGCTCTGCAAATCGTTTCCTGGCCGCTTTACTGGCTTGCACAAGGAAGCGTGGGATTTGGCGTCTGGATTTTAGCTCACGGTAAGCCTTTTAATTCTGAAACACTTGGTATTACCTATACTAAATCTTTACATTCCTAGAATGTGGTCATGGTTCTTTCTCTCCAAGCACTACCATCAATAACATATTTGGCTGGGTTATGCATTCAATTGTTCTTGTCCCTTATTTTTCGTGGAAATATACTCATTCCAAACATCACAAAGGCACAGGCCATATGGAAAAAGACGAAGCGTTTGTACCGGAAGTCCGCAGTAGCATGAACTACTCTGAAGACTCAAAAACCACTCAGAAATCTGAAACCCACGTACACCAGGAATCTTTTATTGAAGATGCGCCTATTGTCCAACTGGCTGGTCTTCTCAGCATGCTTATTTTTGGATGGCCCGTATATCTCCTCACACACTACACCGGCCAAACCTACCCAGGATGGGTCAACCACTTTAACCCTTATGCTAAAATATTTACCGAAAAAAATCAAATCTATATTCTCTTGTCCGATCTAGGCATCTTTCTAGTTCTTGGTGCTGCCTACTATGCCTGCACCATCTTTGGCTACTTGAATGTCTTTATGTATTATGTCATGCCCTACCTAGTTGTCAATTTTTGGCTAGTAACGATTACCTTCCTGCAGCACACAGATCCTCTTGTTCCACACTACAGAAATGGAGAGTGGGATTTTATGAGAGGGGCTTTGGCAACTGTCGACCGTGATTTTGGCATCTTTAATCACTTTCATCACCACATGTACGCCCATTGTATTAGTAGCTTATTTAACAACTCCATCTAATTTGTGAATTGAACGCATGCTAATCTACATTACTACATTGTATTGTTTAAACAGCTCTGATACTCATGTGGTACATCACTTGTTCTCTACCATGCCACACTACCATGCACAAGAAGCAACTGAGGCTGTCAAGGAGTTTCTTGGAAAATACTATTTGTACGACTCTACTCCATTCATGGTTGCACTCTATCGCAATTATAAATTGTGTAAATTTGTTGAAGACGATGGTATGTACTTTACACGGTCGCATTATTTGAATGATTTGGCCATGGTTGCTGACATGCTTTGTTTCTTTAGGCGACATTGTCTTTTTTAAACACTAGCTCACTGAATCTTGCAATCGAATAGCTGTTCAAGATCTAACCCAATAAATAGATCTTTTCTACAGTCTCGACTGCAAACCCTATTCTTTCATTTGATTAAACATGTATTCTGTTCAATGTCGTACTTTTGAATCCACTGATGCTGGCATATGTTGGCCTGCCTTCATGACAAACTCGAGTTATTTTTTCCCAGCAGATTTGGCCGTCTTGGGAGTAGGTGGTTTATAAGCAGTCCGTCTTTTTAGCATATCTTCACGATTAGCAGTAGCGGGAGTGGAAAGGCTTCCCGAGCGTCCATTTCCAACACCGCCACTTTTCACACTAGAATTTCTAACTTGTGCCATGGCTTGCCGGTTTGCTTTATCGGTCTTTTCCTTACACAATGGCATATGTCTTGCCCCCGAATCCTCATTAAATCGTCGATTGCATGAAGGACATGTTACATAGTCTGGATTTGGATCGATTTTGGGTTGGTTAGTGGTTGAAGAGGTGCCGTCTACTGGCTGACGGGCAGATCTGACCATCTGCACAAATGCATCATGTTTGATTCTCCAATTGGATTTTTTTGGTAATTTCTGCAAACATACCCATTTATGCATGTTAATCCCAACCAGGTAAATTCTAGCTAGTAAAAACTATAAATTACCTTTTCAGCCAAGTCATTCGAGGGTTGATTGTGTTGTTTTGATGCATACTTTTCGAGTTCTGTACCTTTGATTCTAGAATCTGACGCATTAAACACCTTTCTGCTTTGGTGTGATTTCATGCATGCAATAATATGTTTTTCCTATAGGCGTAATCTGGTAAATATCAACTCCAAATAGTTCAAAATGATATCAGATTGAATTTACCATTCTTTCTGCAAGAAATTTACGGTTACAAATACGACATGGTGCCATATTGAGTGGTAATGTGGCATACTCTTCAACCAACTCTTCTTGGATCATTTCAGCTCCAGATGAAAACTCGCCATGCGCAGGAGAGGCTACTTGGTATTCTTTATTGTAGCTCTTTGGATGCATTGAAGTCGATATGGATTGATGCGTGTCTGAAATGGGATCGCGATGACGTGACAAGGATTTATCATCCCAAGTTGGTGTTGTTGAAGCACTTTTTTGTAAAGCAGATATATGAGTTGGTGTATGTGATGTGTCTGGCATGACCGAAAGTGTTGATGTTATTGGAATCTCTCGCATACTTCTTTTTGGCACTACTCGTATACTCGGTTGGTGCTGTTCAATGGGTTTTGTAGAAAAACTAGGTATGGCTTCTTTCATTGGTGAATGAGCATGTAATGGTGTAAGCGGATACGACAATGCAGTTTGGTTTGGAGATACTATACGATCACCGACAAACTGTGTTGCCGAATCATAGTCCAACGACGTGTGTTTTTTGTTGGTATTCAAAGTGGATGGATGAATAAACTGTTGGTTTGACTGATTTTGACTAGAATTACTCCTATGCATATCCCTATTTTGTTGATATCCTTGATCACTTGAATGCATCTCAGTACCATCATCACCCCGACTGAATCCATGATTTTCGTTAAATACAGTATTGTTTAGATATCCACCGCGATACACAGGCGCACTTGCTGGAGCGTAATTTTTTTCATTGGATCCACGACATGGTTCTTCATGATATATCTGGGCAGCTGGTGATTTGGATAAGCTCACCCCTTTACATGTGCGTAAATGCTGCGCAAGTTTAAATTGAGGTATTTTAGTCATACCTTTTGTATATCAAATCATATAGTGTTGATATTAGCATCGTGAGTAGTGAGTTGAATAAAAATTGAGATCTAGAATTAGTCGAGTATCCTGTTACGCGAAAATAACACTTGAAATAAAGCTACTGCCATTTAAAAATATACAACTTACAACTTGTACATGGATAAAACGAGACACTTCCAGCAGAAAGCGCTGTCATAGATCTAGTGGTTTGTATAGTACCCAAGCTTTTGCGTATACAGCTGAATTGAAAATGAAATATGTTTCATTTTAGCAAGAAATAGATTAGTCTTGGCATCAATAAACAGTCGCACAATTTTTATTGATAGTCATAGCAAATTAAATCAAAATTATAGTAAATCCAGGTATTGTAAATTATCAAAGGTTCAAGTCATAAAAAATTGTAGAAAATATATTTACACTGGTAATAACAATCATGCGTATATTTTAAATGCAGTATTGACATTTGGCTACAAGACATGTCTATTTTTGTGGCAACTGCATTGATTCAAACGAGTTTGGTTCATGATAAACTTTACCTTTTTTGATGAGCAGGCAACGAAGCCTTGGAGTATGCAATGCCGCATATGTGACATAGACGAAAGGCACTTGCTGAGCCTGGTGTGCTAACACATCCAGATGAAATCATACTATATATGTTGGTTTAATTCTGGGAAACTTGCGAGCTTGGTAGTACTTGCGAGTTTAATCGAACGAGACGCGTTCTATTAGTTGGCATTCCAAAGTCATATTCAATCATTGTTCTTTAATTATTTATTGAATGACTGCATCCATGCAGTCAATGCATCAGTTTCAACCAATACTGTATGTGATATAGACTAATGTGTCACGTTGCAGCAAGTCTGACTCAGTGTTGGATAATGTTTAAAGTTTACGATTCAGTCAACTCTACCACCAATCAATCAACACCAGTTATCAAATCAACAGCGTGTTTATTTGTTCAGTTATCAAGTCACTACTGTTGTTGTGATGTATTCAATGATTTAAATATAGAATATTGCAGTCCATTTTCAATTGCATCATCTGATACAATTACAATCCAACAACACTTGACCAAACAACTTGTGCAATCATCAGCACCATACATATTAGTCCAAAGATTGCAATCCATTTGGATCGTACATAAATAGTCAGCCATGACGGCAAGGCTCTAAATGGAGAATACCCCTCCATGGCAATCTCTCCTAAATCAAGCAATCCAAATGCATCACTATATGATTCTGACATTTTACTTTCTCCAAAACTTTGCGAAAGCTCGACATGGTTAGATCTGTTTCGATTGTATAAACCAGCTACGCGCGACTTGACCTCAGATCCACTACTCCGTGTTCCTTTGGTTGACGATTCAGCAAAAGATCCATATCCATATGTATTGAACTGACTTGCTGCCATGGATGATCCAAGATTGGATGTTGATCCCATACGACTTGCTGTCATGACGTCTAGGTTCTGTGTGTTTAATGATATGCGTGATGTGCCTACTCCAGAAGCATTCAATCCCGTCAATCCATCTGAATGGCGAGGATGACTTGCACGCAGTCCTAATCGATGACTGGCATTTGGATCAAGCATACTTCTGATTTGTTTGATCGAGTGTTTGGATGCAACCGATAGTTCCCCAATCGATTTTCCCCTTTCTAATCTATCATGATCAGTTTGTTTTTTAAATGGATTTCGTCTGATAATCCTGTCCTGATTTGCATGTGGCAGATGATAAATGTAATCAAACTCATCCTCCTCGTCAGTAAACCCCTTTTTGATTCCAGCAGTAATATCAAGAAACTCCAACTATTTACAAAACAGTCTCGTGTCAAAATTGTCAGTTGGGTGATACTAGACGATCAATAATACTTCAAACAATCAACACACAGCATGTTTGAATCTCAGCTAGATTGTCCACACTCCATCATCAACATTCTTACCTCGTCAATTACTGACTGCGCCATAACTGTGTTTCTCTTGTTCATAAACATAAATATCAGAAATGGTACAAAAAAGTTGCAAATGGCTTGAAACGTCACGCTTGTCCAGATTCCAAACGGCACAATCAAACTTCCAGTTTGAAATGGGATTCCAATTATAAATGGAGCTATTACTGCCCAAAATGTTGCCATCCCTATATCGTCACAAACATGTATTGTAAATTGGTATTTAGATCTCTAAATGCATATACTATCAATGCACATCTTGATTGCACATAAACTCTCAAAAACAGCAACCCAATCGTGAATTACCTGACGAACAAAGACCCGCAGCAAGAAAATTAATCTTGACAACAAGCATGGCGACTGGAATAGACGTGGCATAGGTCATCACTGGGAAAAATAGATACATGAAAAACAACCATCCTAAGCTCGATGTCGAAAGTGCAGAGTCATTGTACATTGCTTGCAACAAATTTGTGTTTGCATCTGTATGGAATCCAAGTGAGCCTAGAGTATCAATGCATACCATGTTACTTGTTTAGTATCCATTGCAGTCATATCCATATTGATTGAAACCGGCAATGTGAACAGTATATATCGCATACTATTGACTTTTCATACCAAATATACCAACAAGAATGTAAAAAGTGCATGCAAGTATAATAGACACCCAAATACTTTTGTGGATTGAAACGCGTGGATGCTAACATTTGATGCAATATTTTGGATTAGTAGCTCATATACAGCCAGATGCTAACCGTTGTTTATCCCAAACTATTACGTACAGCTATATTTACCCAAGATGGGATTTCATTCGCCATTGCTATCATAATAAAAATGTGTACACGTTGGCATTAAAACATGACACAACATTGCCTGACATGAGATGAAATCAACCTACCAAAATTAAACAACACACTTCCAATTGTACCGCTTTGAGATGATCCAATCATGGGCAGATTTTCTTTATGAAGTCCATCCAATGAGCTCTGAATAATCAATGTTCCTAAAAACAAAACAGTATACACGCATGAAACTATATCGATTCGTATCAGTACGAATCCTGTAAAATATAGCCATAATTCGTGTGACAATATACAATTCAGATCTTACTGAGTTGCAGAATAACGTTATCGTTTAGATCAATGCGTGTAAGTGGAATGATAAACATGGCAGTAAGCTAGATCACCAATATGAACAGATCGTATATCAAGACAAGCGGTGTCAAAGTGGTACACTAGAATCAGTAAGTATCGGACCATCAAAAACCAACAATCTCATCAAGCATGTATTTTTACAATGTAGCCAAACGTCCCGAGCATGTAATTATCACCAAATGGCGAGTTTTCAACTCCTGAAGAATAAACACAGATCAATCCATTGAGCGGTGTAATTCCATACCCGCATGTTATGCCAAAAAATCGAATAAAAATATTATCAAACACCTGCATGCATACAGAGCAACAAGTATTCAGATAAGCAAATTCATAATGTCTGTTTGACAGCACATCCAAACCAATATCGTTATTTGAAAATCAAGATTCCAACCTGAGCACATCCAATAATAGAAGCAATGTTGGTACTCTGTAGTGATCCATATAGAATAAAAATCATGGCGTAGTACCAATTGCGTCCGTAAAACTGATGAACCAAAACAGTGAATTCAATATTTCTCTACACAACATTTATATTACAATCAGCTCATGTCGTTAGTTACTCTGTCAGACTATCTTGAAATGGATGAATTGCTTTACCACACTCGAATAGGGTGTTTCATTGACTATCAATGGGTTACCTGAAATCGGTCGTTTCCTGGAAATATCGAACATGCCTCTATGATAAATAGACATGCAAACCCAGCCAAAACGCCTATAAAGATGAACGCCAGGACAGGACTGCAATGAATTCAACAAAACCGTATACACTGACATTAGAATGCAATATCTTGAACACAAGATTCAACCCAAGTTGGAAATATTGACTAGATTTACATGAGCCATTCTGCATTTTGAAAAATCGTTGGAATAATCACAATGCCTAGTCGTTTATAAATTAACAAGCATCGCAGTGTGGAAACAACCCAGAACCAGTATTTGTTAGCACAGTTTATGAGTTTGATTCAGATGATTCGAGATGCATTAAAATTATGAAACCTGCCTGGTCCAGTAATACTGGTTAGTAGCAAACTAACGCTGCCTATATACCCACTATGTATCAATATCATTAAATTAGTATTCAACCTGCATTCAGCTTGCATTCAGATACGAGTGCATTCAGCTCTTATAGTTGAGCTGATATCTGAATTACAAACGAAACATATCACCCGATACTTTTACAAGGTGTCATTAGTATCTGACAGAATACATCAACATACATGTTTTTTGTATATCCCATAATGACTGGCTCCAAATACTAGCAACTTTATGCTCACTGCTTCAAGAGCAACTTCAAGCTTTTGGAAGCATTTTAAAGACGCGAATATCCCGAGTTGATAAAGATCAGCATCAACTCGTTCATTGTCAAGTAATTGATACTGGAACAAAGTGCAGACCATCCATTTATATCAATTGCATTGTTTCTGGTTTGAATCCAATGTATCCTCGTGGCAAGTACTTACAAATTCAAGTCAATGCATTCAATCCCAAACTCGATCCTATGTAGTCAAACTTGATTGGATATAGACAAATTCAATCATTTAAAACTTGATTGGATACTCATACCACAGGTTTAATTTTGGATACAAGGCTTTTCTGATTTGATAATTCATACTACTCGCGTTCAACTTTATTGTATTCACCACAGACTTGTATTCTCGAGTAACTGCACAACAAGTTACCCAACAGCCATTTTAGCCCTGTACCTTACACTATATATACTCATGTCGGATTTGGTATACATCAAGAATGTGTAAGTTGGTTGTAATTGACTCGACACTGATTTGTAAGGCTACATTTTTGCAAGTCGTGTCATTAATCTAATCTTGACACAATGCTACCAGCTACTCAGAACTCTAACACCGTTACTCTTGAAATACGATCTATGTAATGTATGGATTATAGTGGGTTTTTGGGTTGTGTTAGTATGTTGGTAGCGAGCATTGTTGGTCCAGGTAAAGTCTGTTGGAGTGTCTGGATATAAAAGTATCACATTACCGTTTATGCTTGACTAACCATGTCAATCATCACAGCGTTGTATATCATGCCAAAACTTTTTCAAGCATATGGATGGATTTTGTAAGTTTCATGTTGAAAGTATTTCATCAAGTGCGGTTTGGTTTGCATTAAAGTAGACCAACAATATCATTTTGGAATTTCACAAATGGCTCAACGCATACAAAAACGGTTCGTGTACACGAATCATGTTCAGAACGTTGGCAGCTTTATTTTTCATAGCACTATTGGCGTATATCACTTCATTGTTTATGATTGAGGCAGCTTCAAAGTTTCCTGGAAATCAGCGCTTTCAGGTACGCTGATTTGTCATGGTTTAAAATGGACATTAATGTTTAGTGATTAAAATACCTAACTGATGTCCAATGTATATCATCTACAGAGAAACATTGAATACACTGTTTTAGTGCATCAGGTATTATTTGGTGAATGACTGACATTGAGCAACTTTATTACAACCGTATTCACGAATACCAAATATCAACTGGGCAACTCAATCACGATCGACTATGCTAAAACCCAACATTTTAGTTTTATGGGAAAAAATGGTTTTATATTGCTGTATCAATTTTGTATGGATCTATTACATCATGCATTGTAATATCATTGGTGACTTCATCTCAGGTACATTTAATCGCAGTATCCAATGGTGTCGATTGCAAACCCCATTCATTTGGCTATTCAAACCAGATTCAAGATTCTGACTTGTTTAAACTGTCATCACATGTGTGCAGATACTGGATCGTTTATACGTTGATGTGCTTGGTGGAACGTGTGGAATTGGCATGTTTCCAAGCAGCAATCTATACTGCACGCATTCAACTAGTCCAACTCCATCTCCATTTGAATCAGACACGATGTTCATTACACTTGGTTCATTTGTAAGTTTACAGAATGTTTGATGTGAAATGGCAATCAATTGGTCACGATTGGAGATTGCTGCTTTGAAATAGTATGAACTGATATGCATGTGATATGTAGACGAATCTAGCACTTTTGGTTCCGTTTACTTATTTTGAACTTAATGTAATAGTACCAATGCAGCTAGGTATAGCATTATATTGATTTGCATGGCCAAGCTTGTATTTACAGCCATATTCACGCAAAATGGAACGCTTGTATTTATCTTGCAGCGATTGTTTCTACTACAATCAAACTATAGTCTTAAACAATCTCATTTGATATGGTCATGAAATGGGTGATTGTAAAATTCAGGCATTTCAATCCAGTGCTGGGTTTGGCTGCTGTCAATCAAACGTGTATTGGCTGTATCCTAAACTTTGGATACGTTTGCAGTTTAGAAATGCAACTGCTGTTTCCATGCCAACTGCTATTGAAACTGTAATGTAAATAACAACTCGGTTGTTTTACAAAAATGAGCACAAAACCTGTCAGTTTTGTCAAGAAGTTTAAAAGACACGATGTTGTCTAGTAAATTTGGCGTGAATTACCATTTTATGAAGCTGGCAGTTTATGTATTTTGACACCTTTATTCAGTGCTCCATTTCGTATGAATACAATTGTAAATCTGACAACTGGTATTTTTCAAATAGTATCAGCTGCTGCGATTGGACTGTTTACATTGATTACAATATGCACATCGATTTCTTCGGGGATTAACACAAGCAGAACTTTTTTAAAAGTGTCAAATTTGTCCAACTTGTTTGGAACCATGTTCTTTAGTTTTGGTAAGATTCATAACAATATTAATGATAAATGATACCTTGTCTTGCTGAAACTAATTTACACTCATTATCATCAATGTTTATCAATGCTTTCAATATAGCATTTTCCAAAGAGATTTTAACTTTGGTGAACATTGCAGTATGTTGATCGTGTTTGAAAATTTTCAATATTTGATATTGCTGGTTTTGTGGCTACTGATAATCAATGTTTTGTCTAATATCATCCATTGATCTTTGTAGCATCCAAAAGTTGATTTGAAAAAATGCGTTGGATTATCAACATGCATAGCATGCAGTATATATGTATTGATTGGTGTATTTGGTATGTAGGCAGCGATCAAAATATTGAATTGTAAAATACCAAACAATTGCTTTGACTAGTGTGTTTACAATGTGGGTATTTGGTTAAATAGGTGCGCTTGGGTTTGATCTGGATTCAAGCAATACCATTGTTGCGGCAATGTATAGTAGCCAACACGATAATTTAATCGGCATAATTGTGTTGGAAATCATGCTTGTTTTGATACCACTCTGCACCTGTATAGCTTCAATTTTAGTCAACATGTCCATAATTCAATTAAACCTTGTTACTGGGCAAATTTGCTCCAAACGTAAGTGATTCTGTCATTGGACTACAGTCTTGAAATTGATTTTACGCTAAACTATCAATCGAATGTAATCATGTTCAATATTAAACACTAGCATGGGCTCGGTTTTGGGGTGTCATTGTGCCATTGTGTATTGCTGTTCCGCTGCAGTCAGGCATTGGAGTTGCTCATTTTCGATTTTGGACAAACTTGACGTTTCAGGCATTGTGCAATTATATTGTACCATTTCTAATCATGATGATGCTTTCAAAGCGCAGTCTAGGTAGTATTCAAGCACAAATTGTATTGCAGTATGAGCGAGTTGGTGTCAGTCGTATTTGGTCAACAATGCTAATCTATTGGCTTGTGATATATGGTACTAGTTATGAATCAGTCGATCATGGACGATGTGAGTAGTTGCAACATACACGATATATTTGCAGTCATGAGCTAACTATTACACAAAACACTCTTAGATTGAGTTTTTGGACATTACAGCTGGAATCAAAAAAATGTACCGTGATGATGAGGATGATTTTGATTACATTTATCATCTCCCACATGCAGATCTTGATCGGATAGTCATTCGCGATCCATTCAAACCATCTCACCCTGTTCATTCTAAAACAAAATCAATTGGCAACTTATCCCTTACATCTCGCCATTCCATCAAAGCAATTCGTAGCACGCTAGATGTGAATGTTGGGAAACTGTCTGCATCGTATCGTGCAGCTATTGCTTCCCATAGCTCATTGAACCAATCCAAGTCCAGTTTATCCGATTTGACAACTGGTCAAACAAGCAGTTCAAACATGGTTTCAGATGTGGTGGATATCAATCCAAAAGGAACTTTGAGCATGATGAATAGCACTCTGGGATTGACGATGGATATGAGCCGATCGAGTTTGAAGAAATCGCATTTGACTGCTGGTGGATTGCTGAATCCAAATCAAAATGCACATATAATCAGATCAAAACGAGTCAGTGTAAGCAGCAACGAAACGAGTAGTCGCCAAAGTAAGATTGGTGGTAATATGGCAAATATTGACAATGGCAATTCCGAGTATCTTGGTGGTCTGCAGTATGGCAATGGTGAATTGATGGATATTTTTGACGACGAATACAGTCGGGATGAAGCGATTCAAATGGATACTTTAGCCATGGTTAAGCCATTCAAAGCAATGCCTAGATGGTTGACTAACATCATGCGACCACAATGGATTGCTGGATTAGGCGCTTGTTTGGTGTTTGGGCTTACTGTTCATTCGTTGATTACAGCAGCAATATATCAACAGACACATTCGGTATAGGTTTAACTGCAGTCTTGGAATACACGAGTTTATTATAATTAAACCTAGTTTGCAATGTTAGTTTTCAAGACTCGATGAGTTTTATTGATTTGACTCGAGTTTCCGAATAAGATTGGTGAGCTACGTGAAGTTGACATTTGGATGCGATTTAAACTCGACAGTTATGCATCAGCAACTATATGCCATTAGTGGTGTGTTTATTGATGATATTACTGTTTGTATCGCCAAATCAAACCCATTTTTCGCTTTAGTTGATGAAGATGTGTTGAAACTGGCATGCATATGCCTTGCATGGTTAACTGGATCAAAGTGCATCGAATGTGATTCAATTGCAATGTGTGTTGAATTATAATCGATACGGCTGTCATCTCAATCCAACAGAAATCCAATGAGCAGCAGCATGTCCATTAAACCTAGTTTCAATTGAGCCAACAAGTCATAATCACTTTACTAGCATCCAAAGTTAAAAGTTACTCGATTCATATTTTACAGGACATGAGTTATTTTGCAGATTGCAGAGCGACTTGGAACACTTGGTAATTGCAATGAATTATACAGAAACCATGTCAATCCAATTTGATACACAAGAGTTTACCGAGATTTATACCAGAGTTCAAAAACAAGGTCTGATTTGTCATTTTGTAAATCAGACTGTCAACGTTCTTGGTATCAAAGTCGGCGCTATTTATTGCCAGCTCTGAGCGGCGATATGAGTATTATGCCACTATACAACAATCGAGTTAGTGCATTGGGTACAGCTGATATAAACAAGATTGATTGAATGATTACAACATGGAGTATATTTTGCCTAGTCAACTCGATTTGAATCAGTCGTGTATACTATGATTGTTGACGACCATAAAGATTCAAGCTGAGATTTGATCCAAAATACCAAAACGAGATCAGATTGTTAATTTAGCAAAAACTACAGCACTCAGTATTCCCGTGTGGTCCCCCACCACAGTACTGACTGAGCCATCACAAGCTTGACTTCGGAGATCGAACGGGATCCGGTATTTTCTTGTGTGTATGGCCGTAGATGTTAATTGAAACCAATTATACGGTAATATTCGTTAGGTGTGTTTGTCAAATACATTGTAATTTGGTGTCAGCACTTGTAAATCAATACTGCATGACATTCTCATCACCAATGGTCATCTGTTTTATATTGGATCTGAACATTGACAACTACACGTTTGGTGATTGACAATCATATGAACAACTGGATGATTCCATGACACCGCATATCAAACTTGATGTTCAATACTCCAATCATGTCGATAATAGTTGAATATTGTGCAGGTAGATTGTGTAATTGATACTCTCGACTCAATCAGTTACTTTGCACTTGTCATCCATGCTAGCCTTTTCAACAGTCATTGCCATTGATTGATATGTTTAAACAGAATTCTGAGATCGATCATCAGTAATTGTGATAATGCAGCCTATACTTGTTTTGATTGGTACAACTCTACCCAATGGTGGACATATTGTATTACTAGTCAATGTCTTGTAAAAACAGCATATTCTGGGCTGATGGATCTGAATGTATTTCATTCAAGCCTTTACTTGATATTGAATGGATTTATTTGCTGAATAAACTCGAATATCAAAGCATAGATAACTCCATGCAAGTGTGCCGTGTTCATTCGAGGTTAAACTAATGACATTACTTTTCACAAAGCCATACACACCAAATAACCATTACCAATATAGATTGTTTATACATTGTTACAATATACTTTTATTCAATAAATTGTAGAAACAATTACTAGACTTGAGCATCTAGTCTTGATTCCAACTTTTTCCAGCATAGTTGAAATAAATGTTTGGTGAGTTAGAAACTATGAGCTGTGGCAGACTCTACTGTGGTAGATTCTGCTGTGGTAGCAATAGAAACACTGCTAGACGATGAAGTACCACCACTGCATTCATCAGGAACTGAGAAATCGTTATTGAACTTGGCAGCCTTGACTCCCAAACCTCGTTTGGCGAATCCTTTCCAGATATCGCATTTGTTGGCACCATTGTAGCGAGCAACATCAGATGCAATAAAGGCATCACGAGCATCAAGGAAAGTGGGATGACATGGCTGAAGCATCATACCACCAATCATATTCTGCATAGTAATAATGTTACCAAACTTGCCCTTGGCGTCGTAGAGATTGGTGGAGAATCCGTTCTTGGTGACCAAGTTCCAGTAGATTTCCCAAAGCATAGAAGCCCACACTACACCTATAGCATGAGGGCTTTTAAGAGTTTTAACATCGGCATACGTCAAGGGATTGACTTTCATGTCAGTAGTGTAAGGATGAGAGCGAATACCGTTGGGCTTATTCTTGACATATGCAGCAATGCCAATTGGAGTGTCGGCTTTGTGTGATTGCTTGGCAGTTACGATCATGGCAAATAGATCTGACCAGCCTTCACCCATACCAACAACTTCACGTCCGAACGAACATTCAATTGTTGCAGGTCCACCAGTCAACCGAGTTGAAATACCGTGTCCATATTCGTGCAAAGGAACTTGGTTGTCCAAACCACTACTGCGATTGGGCTCGGTAGTAGTGTATCGAAACATTAGCATTACGCCAGGTTGGCCGTCAGGTGGGGTGTGGAATAAGGCGTTGTCAGTACTCGAATCATCTAGGACATTGATATTGACTGCATCGTTACCCTCACCACCTTTTCCAAAGTTGTCCGTTTGGAAATTACCAGCAGCCTCGGTGAAACCATACTGATACGAGATATCGTGCATTAGGTTAGCAACGTAGAACAGATTGACAGCAGCTGCTTGCATGTTGTCTGGATCGGCAACATCAGCAGTGGAATTGAACTTGGTGTCAAACACACCATCAACACCGGTTCCCGGAACTGGTGGATCCTTTCTTAAATCAAGAGCATTAACGTTGTTACCCTGAGTAGTAGTTCCGTCAGTCCATCCATTAGGTGACGATGGTTTGTATTCTGGATCTTTGACGTTTGAAAAACCATCATCAGGAGTAAGACCAGGAAGTTTGATCACCTTGTATGTTGCATGATGAGCGAAATCAACAGCCTGGATCAGTTTGCCTAACATCAATCCATTTACATTCAGATTAGTACCTACTCTATAAAAATCAATATCTGAATCCGAAATACCATACCTGTGTTGGTATCTGCCCAAACTTGGATCCATGAAATAACATTCTTGTCGCGAAGCTGGAATTTGTAAGCATACACAAGCGTGCCATCAGCCTGTTGAACATACTCGAGCTCATGTTTAAACTCAGAGTAAACTGGCAGACCCTTGGCTTTGGATATGGTATCAGCAACCTGTTCAAACGTCAGTTTGGCTTTGGGTTCTGCGACTGAAAGCTCACTTTTGGCAAAATGGCTTTCAGTACCAAACGAAGTCGAATATGAGATGATCTGGCCGTCTTGGATATGGACTGCAGCTTGGTGATTCGATACACGTGCATCATTAACTAGATGTGCACCATATACGTGAGTTATGCCAGCACTGTCCGTAAAGTTATTGTAAACCTTGAACTCGTTAGGTGTGAGATTGAGTTTGTCACAGAGATACGCAACACCAGTCTTGACTGGATCGGTATTGGACGGAGCCATGAGGCTGAATGAATGTTCATAAGGAATCTGTTGGTACGTGGATTCGGGAAAGTAGAATGGAAGACTGTCAGAGGCGTCTTGTGTGGACGGAATGGTTGGAACCGCAAAAACTGCAGAGGTGGCAAGAGCAAGAACGAGAGAAACAGTAGAAACAAACATTTTGAACAATATTTTCAATATCTATAGTGTGAATGTAGCAAGTATAAGATGCAAACTGGTACAATGATAGAGGTTGGTGAGATTGGTTCCATACCATTTCACGTCATTTTATATCTTGAATCTACAAAGCATGCTACGCAGCAATTTGATAGTTCAATCAAATATACATGTGCTAATCAAGTAAAACACATCAATATCATGTGAATACATGTGCTTGTGGACCACATGTATTCAAGCCATACATTTAAAACGGGTATATTGCTTTTGATTGATTGCATAAATGACAAATTTTTGAATTTCATTGCAATTGTATTTGGATGTAGCACCGATACCCGTTTTCAATTGTAAATCAGTTAAACTCTAGAAGATCAATGCAAAATGGACTAACCGGAATTTGCTTCATCATATACAACTTGCATACACTCCAAACTTGTGCATTGCGAGTCAAATGCCGAATTCAGACAGATAAAACTGGGCTGTTGGTATCCATTAATGAACTGTGATAACATCGAATGAGTAATTGACATATACATGAAACGTCCATTTCACACCACTAACAACCTTGTTTATATTGGCTGTATGCATGTTCTGTATGTGTTGAAGCAAGACTCATTGGAGCATGAATCAATCGAGTACTCAAAAGTGGACACACTATTAGTGGCTTGAGTTACTTGAATTGATGGCATGCATGTTTATATACCAAGTGTGTTATATCACCATGCTATTTGTAATCATGAATGATTGCAATATGCCTTGTTCATTTCAAGTTCGAAATGACTAGATTTTGAGTTGATAAGCAAAAGCAGGATGATAGTAAGCAGGCGTGTTGATTGGCTACAACTGTATAGCCAACTTGGAGATCGGATAAAATGTATGGCATTAATTATGAGCAAGGGAACAATACGACAAATGAAAATGTTATCAAACAAGCAATCTCGACAAAACATTAAACTGGTAATGCATCAATTGCTTGGTTTCAGACATGAGTTGTATAATTGAAATGGTCAATACCAGTTTAATCTTGGACTATCCAAAGCATTGCAAAGAGTCATGGCAACAGTCATGACAATGACCAGTCAAACAGATCTGACCATTACAAGATGGTGTTGCATTCCCGATTGTTGCAGAGGCAGTGGTCGATGATGTTAAAAAGAATCAAATATGCAGAATGTGGGTTCACCTGCAAATGTGGCTGCATTGTTCATGGATAAATGAACAGTATCATACATGTGATGGACACGACAGCTGTCAATGAATGCCATCATGTTATTGTATTATAGTTGATCATTCGATGGAATAAATGATTGCGATCGTCATTCCAATTGTTGGTGTGGTACAAAGTTGCAGATCTCAAGTCAATGACTACATGTGTTGTGATGTAATACTTGATGATATATTGTGGTTGAACATGTTATGCATGTCAGTAGTCGAATACGTCATCGTGTACAATGGTCTAGCAGTAGCCTATTCAAGTATGGTAAATAGTGTCAGTTTAATCACATTGTGGATCCGCATTGCAATAATCAAAAGTGAGTGGGAAACTCGCATATAGATATTGACTAATGTGTCACTGGATCAGACCATATCAAATATGTTGAAAGTGTATGTAATCATTCAGATCCGAGTTGGTACAAACACGATCATAAGAATGATGTATATTGCACAATGGTGTTTGTAATAATATGCATGTGATTGAATGCAAACTGGTGAACTAGTAGCAAACAAAATAATGAAAGATGGTGATTGAAAGTGCAAGTAATCATGCAGTGTATATGGTGTTGTGGTGTATACTAGTTGATTAATGTAGTATACTTGAAAAAGTCGATAGCTTGAAGATAATACAGTGTATACTATGCTGCTGTTATGGTAGTATTTAGTGTTTGCAAGACAAATGGAATGAACCATCATGTAGTGAACACAGTATACACGCCATATTAAGATACTGTCAAATAGTTTATCAAATGAAAATCTTGCTTTCCAGTTTCAACACAACCATCATAAAGATTCAAGTTGAGATTTGATCCAAAACATCCAAAACGATATCAGATTGTTAATTTAGCAAAAACTACAGCACTCAGTATTCCCGTGTGGTCCCCCACCACAGTACTGACTGAGCCATCACAAGCTTGACTTCGGAGATCGAACGGGATCCGGTATTTTCTTGTGTGTATGGCCGTAGATGTTAATTGAAACCAATTATACGGTAATATTCGTTAGGTGTGTTTGTCAAATACATTGTAATTTGGTGTCAGCACTTGTAAATCAATACTGCATGACATTCTCATCACCAATGGTCATCTGTTTTATATTGGATCTGAACATTGACAACTACACGTTTGGTGATTGACAATCATATGGACAATTAGATGACTGAGTACAATGAACCATGTACAAGTTCATGACCATTGGTGATGAGATTGTAGTGTTCCGCAAAAAATTCGCAAAATATGCGAAATGAAATGGATTTGGGATTGCGAAATAATTATTTTTTCGTCTTCCTGTTTCTGAGATCACCTTAAACTACCACGCTATCACAAAAAGTAACTTCCTCTATGGAAGTGTATGAGCTGTCGTCAACGTCAATCGATCGACACGAGAATGCAAGCAAAGGGAAAAGGAACCCCGACGACAGTCATGACCATGCGTCGTCCTCCTTACCCTCAATCTCATCCTCTATTCCTTTAGCAACCACACGTTTGTCTAAAGTCTCAAAGGCCAGTTTGGTGTGGCAGTTTTTGACAAGCTTGATGATATAAAAGACCTTGACAAGGCGAGAATTCCCTGTAAAGTTTGTCAGCAGCTCGTCAAGACAAATTCAAGAACCAACTTCAATCTTGTTGCCCATTTGGTGACCAAACACTGCGACGCTCTATCAGATGCAATGGATCGGTATTCAAAAGACTCCACAAGTATAAGTTTGAAGGGTACAAAACTACAAAGTAAGATTCAAGACTGCTTTGAAAAAGGTAATCATTACATACTCGTATGATGCGTCATTATTTCTGCTGTCTGGAATATTAATATTGTATTTTTTGATGTTAATCTATTTTCTTGTACTGACAGGGTTTACCCAGACAGAATTTCAAAACAAGCTACAGCGGTGGATTGTTGGTGACCAGCAATCGTTTTTGGTTGTTGAGAATCCCTATTTTCAACAAATGATGTTGTACATCAACAAGCATATCATTTTCAAGTCCGCCGATACTGTATCACAAACTGTGAATCGTGATTTCGAAATTGCAAAAGCTGACGTTTATGCTCTTATCAAAGAAAACACATCCAAGATCTCGTTTACGACCGACATATGGACATCGCCAGACAATGTTGCTTACACGGCCGTCACTGCCCATTTTATTGACAAAAATTGGAAACTGAAACGCATTCTTGTCGACTTTCTTGTGTTTAATGACAGCCACAGCAGCCAGAACATTGCGGCATTATTCAAGCAGATTGTGGAACCCATATGCGGTGATAGGAAATCGCTCATTTTAGGAATCTGCACTGACAATGCGTCCAACAATGAGGTTTTCATTCAAGAGCTCATCAATTCTGGTTATTTGGAATCTCCCGAATGTCATCATCGTTGCTTTGCACATGTCCTTGATCTTGCCGCCCAAGATGCACATCAAGAGATCAAGACATCAATCGAGACACTGAGGGAAGGGATTAAATTGCTACAATGTTGCCCCGCATCGATGGAACAACTGAAAAAGATAATGGGAGAATCTTAAAGTCAATCCTTGATGTCGCCACGAGATGGAACTCTACATTCGATATGCTGGTCACATATTTGAAAATGCGAGGTACGTCAAGGATCTAGAGCTGAACTTCAAGAGCACTTTATGTATGCCACCTTGCAGTTAAATTTGCAATAACATGTTGTCTTTAAATTTGTTAATTAGGACCACTCGTTCAAATCTTGGATCAATTGTACATGGAAAAGAAGATCCCTGACGTGCCGTCAGCGAGAGATTGGGACGACTTGACTGAATTAGTGCATTTCTTTCAACCATTTAAACAAGCCACGATGGAATGCAGCAGCAACAAGCATCAAACGTTGTCATACGTTATACCATGGTACAACGTGTTATTGGACCATTGTGAAAATGTCGTCAGTGATTATGGACAATGATTAGACGCTTCGATTTCTGGAACTCCAGCAAGTCGTCGGATAATTGCCAATGAATCGCTTGCAATTGATACATTGGAAATTTGAAAGGCGCGGCAAATGCATCCCAAATGCATCCCAAATGAGGCTTGACAAGTATTTTAATGTTTCCAATAACCACTGTGTGATCGCTGTGGTACTTGATCCTCGACACAAATTTGAGTTTTACGACGACGAAAATCAGAATGCCCAAGAAAATGCTTCTCAGAAAGAAAAAATCAAAAAGGCAAATCCAAAGCGTCTATGCCGAGTACCACAATCAAAGTGGTTTGATGCAATTAGAGGTATTCAAAACGGCATTGGACTTGTCAGATAATCACATGCGTAATTACTTGTATTTAAACTTTGTCACGCTCATTTCATTAGAATTCGGATGCACCTACTCCAGCAAGTAGGGGTTTTAAAAATAAAAAGTTGACTCCTACTTTGCAACTCGAAGAATATTTGAATATCCCAGTGGCAGGCTCTAGGCAAGACCCATTGGAGTGGTGGAAACGTCATGAATCGGATTTCCCCTTGCTTGCAAAAATGGCAAGGGATTATCTAGCAATCCCAGTCACATCTGCGTCCTCGGAGCACGCCTTTTCAAAGGCAAGGCATTTAATTACTGATTCGCGGACCAGACTGAGCGATCAGACAATCAGGGCTAGTATCTGCTTGGAAAATTGGCAGCGAGGTGGAATTTGGTGATTTGAGTTATTCAATGGTAGAAAACTTATATATGCAGATGGATTGAAAGGAGAAATGTTGGGTTACATATGAATTTATTATAATTGCAGAAGACGGTTTCCAAAGGATGGAGATTTGGAATAGGATACTCGTCTCGTTTTTAAAGCAACGATATACATGCATAGTTTTTGCACGCATTCCGTAGATGTGGTCGTTGTTGATATTGTTTTTACCTCGGACTGTCGAAATATAGTATGATACATGTATTGTTTATCATATTATTAAGCAAAATTTATGTAAACTTCACAAATTTGCAGTGAAATATGCGAAATAAATCCAGATGTCCATTTCGCATTGCAAAAGATATTGACAGGGACAAATAGCACAAATGTGGAACTCTTGGTACAACACATGTCAACATACATGTACTGTAGTGTATTGTACACTAGTAGTGATGATTCAACCAACGACATGCGTGGTTTTAATATTATACGTGAAACTGCATGTTCATGGTTATGGTGACATGCCAGTGTTTGATACATGTAACGTTACAATGTGATGGAACTGTATGTGCAATATCAAAACCATTCCCAGAATACGTGATATAACGACAACTTGCAGCCATATTGATTTGAATAAACTACTAAATAACAGTAGTGATGTCTGATAAACAGTTGCATTACTGATGTCATGATTGTTGTTGAACTAGATTGTGATCGTATCCGTGATTCAGAATACAACAAATGTACAGAGTTGTATTGACAACATTGACAGTCAAACACAACACATGAATGTGGGTTCAAACTTGGTGATCGTACAATGTATGATTACTAAGAGTGCACAAAGTGTAGATTCAACATTATAGTCTGATTGTGTGTCATATGATGATCGTTGTATACCAAACACGCAATACAGTCAATGCGTAGTAATCATTGTATATTGCAACACAGAATACAGTCATTGTTGGATGAATACTGGAGTGATCCATTTGACATAAATACAGTTGTAAAACAAAGTGCCTGTGGCCATAACACCCTTGAAGGGTGATTTCCAAGAAATTTGATAAAAGGGTTGTAAAAGCATAATTCAATCGATACAATCATCAAATTTATCAATATGATATTGTGGATAGGGAGCAGCATACTGTCTAGTTTGATGGTTGCTCACTACAAGCAATCAAGTAACCCTGTATATTGGTTAACCTTAAAGGGTTGGTTTGCTATACAAAACATATAAATACAACCGATTATGTTCAGTTTCATAATCAACATCAGTCTCGGCACTCTACTTGTATTAATTGTTTGAGCCCATTCATCGTTCTGATGAAATTGGTTGATATTTTATTCGTACTGACTGCAGCAGCAACCGTTAATGCAATACTGGTACCGACTGATAACGATCGTTCACCACAAGCATCAGGCACTTTCAGTCAAGTGTCTGGCCCAACTAATGAACCCAACTCAAACACTTCCGATAAATACCAGCAAAAACCAATTGACGTAGCTGGTTCAAGCACTTCCAGACGAGGTCGAAAACGACCAATTAGTGAACTGGGTCCAAACATTTCCAAACAAGATTGGAAAGATGTAATCAATAAACCCGATCCAGGCATTCCGGAAGACTGGCGAGAGTTGATTGATGAGGTCAATTCAAATATTGATAACCAAGACCAGCAACGGCCAATTGATCAACCCAGTCCGAGCACTTCCAGTCAAATACAACGACAACCAATGAACCAACCCATTACAAACACTCTAAACAAATACTGGAAATTCATAATGAATGAAATCAGTTTAACCACTCATGAAGACTGGAAAGAAATAATTGATGCAGTCAATTCACAAATCTATGGCCAAGACCAGCAACAACCGATTGATGAACCCAGTCAAAGTACTTCCAACCAAAATCAACAACAACCAATAGACGAGGACGAGTCTGTCGATACTAGTTTAAATCAAGTGACTGAATTATGCGAAAAATATCAGAAAACCTTTGATCGTATAAGACAAAGACTTGTAGTGTCTAAAAAAATACAAAAGAAAAAACGCAAAGAATATCGTGAATATGTAGCCCTCAGACTCAGTCAGCAGCTAGCGTTAGCAATGGGAAAAGAGATATCAGGGTCAACGTACGATCCAAATGTTGAAAAGAAATTGAAAGAAGAGTATGTAGCGGCAAGGAAAAGAGTACCCGATATCAGACGAAATTTGAAAAGGTTTACAAGAAAGCATGGCTTAGAATTTCAAGAGCCGGACTCGGATTCAGATTGATGGTTTGTCGATGATTTTGATTTTGAATAAATTTAAACTTTTTGATGCATTGATATTTATCGAGTATTGTGAATGGGTCAACAACCATATCATTGATTGCGTATACTGTGTTGAGTATTACATCAATAGTTAATGGATTGTTGATTGATACATTGACATGGTTTGTTTCATATACATCAATGACATGATAACAACCAGTGTTACTTGCAAGAATGGAATATTCATAGATACTTTCAACAATATACTTTGAATTATGACGTTTCATGCATTCGATAATATTATTTTCGTCAATCAGATCCAAAACAATGTCAATATCCGTATTAATCATGGATTGATTGTTACCATTAAACAATAATGTATTATCTGAAATATTAAATTGAATTGTATTTTCAGTATCTACATTTGCAGCATATACCCAAATTGAATATCAAGCCAATATCCAATGTTTTGATTGGTGATTTTTCGGTATATTTTGCATCAACTCCATCACATTGGTGAGCATGTGTCTTGCACTGTATTGTATTGTATTGTATTTTGGGTGGAAAGGATGTTTGTTGATATATCTATTAAACTGTCGCTTTAACTTGCTTGCTTGGTTCCAATGCTCTATTTGTAGTTGAATCAGTTGCTTGTACGCCTTTGTTGCTTCAACTCGACTCCTGAATCCTTGGATACGTTTTGTAAACCGCAACTTGACTTTGACGAGTTTAACATCAATATTCACCATTGATCCAATCATTTTCATGATATTATTATTGGGGTTTCCCTAATGGCAACAATAAATCAACGACAAAACTCAATCCGAGCATCTCGTAATGGACTTTGTATGAGCCAATTGAACCACTATTTTCGTCCAAATCAGAATTACTTTGTAACAGGTTTCCAACAGGTTTCCAACATTTTCAACGAGTTTAAACAATAATAGAAAATAAATCCAATCCAATTGTTTGTTGATACCATTCCAAAATGTATTTTCTTGGGTTTATTCAAAACCACCACAATGACATTACACATCACAAGCACATCCTTAAGATCCAAGTATCTACAAACTTTGGTCGTGAACTCGGTCTTCATCAAACCTAAAAACGGTCAAAAGTATCATGTTGTTGAACGAAATCTAACCAACCATCTTGTAAAAGTAGCAATCCACTATGTGTGCAATGATATTGAACCTATTACTCATGAAATCATACCTCGATATATGCTCAAGTCGGACAACCCAATCAAAGTAGATCCCAACAAACTCTTGAAATCAAACATTCAATTCCTTGATGAAAAGTATCATTCAAAATCAATACAAGCCACTTTATCATTGAATCAATGAGTTGCTGAACGAGAGTTACTACGAGACATTGTATTGTATGTATATTTTACATTCTGGCTTAGTACTTTGATCAAAAGTCATCATCACACTGTAACGGACGCTCAGATCAATGTAGACCGAATGGCTCATCATGTATTTAGCGATTTAGATGTTCTTGGTAAAGTGATGGTAAAACAGCACACATTACAGCATAAATTGTATCAAATGGTAATGAGTGCCGATGTAGACGCCAAACATGTTAAATATATCATACTATGAATCCGTAATCTTGATGAAACCCAGCACCATTTCTTGGGTCAAGCAAATGCTGGAAAAACACATCCAGTTCATCGTTTGCCATGTCGACACTTGGCTTGTTGTATCTGATATTCCAAATCTACCGCATAGAGTGGTATTGTTGGTGAATCATCAATTACATTCAAAGTATGTTTGATAGTTATTGTGGTATTATTTTCAAACGATTTGCTGATTTGAGGTAGCCAGTAAGTTATCATGATTGTATTGTTTGGATTTTGGCAAATATTGATTATTTTCAATAACCACCGACTATTTACTATTTTGAATATTGGTGTCTGGCCATGGGATATGATGACAAATGACTTTAATGTGTCCAATTTCAATTCTGATTGTGATTGGGATTCCTGTTTTCATGCAATTGGTCAACGATTTTGAATATTCATTTCCGTCGACCCAAAATACATTACATCCAGTTTTGAAACAAGTCTTCAAACAAGGTTTTGATGCAAGTTATGTACAATAGTCACATCCTGTTGTTCTAGATTTGCAATTCTTGTCATGATTGTGTTTTGTCTACAGAAATACTGATATTTAGCATTAGTTCTGTTCCAGATTCAACGTATTTTGTTTCTGCATCAGATTATCTGTATTTTCATGGTTCACTCTATGATCATCCAGGTTGTTTTATGGTCATTGACATGAATTCTGCATTGAAAACATCGATCAAACAAATATTCTGCGGTACCAATGATGATCAAACGGATTTGGCAAACAAGGTCATTGAACAGCGCTACAGCAAACGCATTGCAAACTATGATGAACTTGAATCATTGGTGTCAGAATGGGGTGAAAAGTTGAACGAGTCGGCTCGTGCAAGAATCAAGTTTTAAAAACCTGGCTAGTATTTACATTTTACTATTTATCAGCCATAAATGTAGAAGGTGTAAAACATGAGTTCAAGTATTGATTTTATCGAATTCAGCAAGTTATTGATTGCAATAAATGAACGCTGACTAGATGTTGGCATGTACTGCACAAAAATCAACCAAATCATTGCAACTTTCAAGTACTATTTATTCAGTTTCAGTTTTAATGACATTGATTCATTTTTACAATCTTGGACAAAATATAGCAGTGATTATGGGTGAATCTCATCAATTGTGTTTGTTTGAGTCAGAGCATGAATCTGGCACGGTAAGCAACCAATCATTTCAGATCATCCACTATTGTACGCCAAGTCTTTTATCCAAGATTGTACATCTCGAATAAACAGTGTGTGACAACTATGGACACATTTAGCAGTAATTGACAGTCAAGAAACTGGTATCAATATTCCATGTATACTACCAAAGTGTGTAGTTTAATTGTGGTTGTTTGATTGGTACATATTTGTACATATTTGTATGACTGAATGATATGGCTGCAGTTATTTAATCATTTCAATACAGGAATGAAACCTTGAATGTACATTGTAATCCAAACTTTATATTACAAATATTGTTTAAATTGACTCTTGGAATTGTCAGTCCAATAACATGCCATTAAACGATCACCTGTTGAGTTGAGTGGTGATATTTGCTGTATTGGTTGGATAAACACTGTCGATTCTTGAATTAACACAACAACCATCATATGACACACAATCAGACTATAATGTTGAATCTACACTTTGTGCACTCTTAGTAATCATACATTGTACGATCACCAAGTTTGAATCCACATTCATGTATTGTGTTTGACTGTCAATGTTGTCAATACAACTCTGTAAACACATTTGTTGTGTTCATCACCATCCAACCCAATCTCACCGTTTCAATCAATCTTGGTCAATGTTGATGATTTACACGCTAATTCATTATCCAATCTTGTCTGATATTATTATTGGCTTTAATCACGTTTGGTTTGTACAACTGCCATGAGTTGTACTACCATTATCATTGTGTATCTGAACACCAAATATTACAATACATCAATAATACCACAGTGTAAACAGTAATACAGTTGATCAATATCGAAGTAGTTGATGGCACAATCTATATCCGACTTTGAACAACTGTATCGCTTCGTTTGTTGTACAATACACGAGATGATCAGTTGGTGGTATCATGCAAGTGCGATTGGTAGTTACAATCAACACTGGTTGTTATCATGCCATTGATGTATATGGAACAAGCCATGTCAATGTATCAATCAACAACCAAATAACTGTCGATGTAATACACAAACATGCAGTACACAATCAATGATATGATTGTTGACCCATTCACAATACTCGACAAATATCAACATATCAGAAGCTTAAATTTATTCAATTTTTTGAGCTCCTGAAAAACCCAAGACTCGGCACCAAACCCAAATCCAAGCCATGCTTTTCCATAAATTCTCTCAATTTTCGTCTCGTATACTCTGTTTCTGCTCCTGCTTTTCTACACTCCTGTTTCAATTGCTCTTCAACTTTTAAATCGTGCTTTGATTCAGATATATCTTTTCCCATCGCTATTCTTAACTGTTGCCTGAGTCTGATGGTTACATATTCGGAATAGGTTTGGCGTTTTTGTTTTCGTATTTCTTCAGACACTTTGAATCTTGTTTTTAGATCATTAAAAGTATCTTGATCTTTTTGGGTTAATGCAGACACTTGATTTGAAAAAATATATCTTGACTTGGCTTTGCCTACCGGGCGTTTTCGGCGTTTTCGGGCTTTTCTAGAATTTCTTGGCTTGGCTTTACCAATTGGGCGTTTTGGGGCTTGTTTGGAAGTAATTGGAATGGGTTGATCGATTAAATCTTGCTGGCCTTCATTGGAAGTACTCGGACCAGATTGATCAACTAACTCTTGCTGGCCTTCATTGGAAGTACTCGAATCGGATTGATCGATTAAATCTTGCTGTCCTTCATTGGAAGTACTCGAACCGGATTGATCGATTAAATCTTGCTGTCCTTCATTGGAAGTACTCGGACCAGATTGATCGATTAAATCTTGCTGGCCTTCATTGGAAGTACTCGGACCAGATTGATCAACTAACTCTTGCTGGCCTTCATTGGAAGTACTCGAACCGGATTGATCGATTAAATCTTGCTGTCCTTCATTGGAAGTACTCGGACCAGATTGATCAACTAACTCTTGCTGGCCTTCATTGGCAATACTCGGACCAGATTGATCAACTAACTCTTGCTGGTCTTCATTGGAAGTACTCGAACCGGATTGATCGATTAAATCTTGCTGTCCTTCATTGGAAGTACTCGGACCAGATTGATCAACTAACTCTTGCTGGCCTTCATTGGAAGTACTCGGACCAGATTGATCAACTAACTCTTGCTGGCCTTCATTGGAAGTACTCGAACCGGATTGATCGATTAAATCTTGCTGTCCTTCATTGGAAGTACTCGGACCAGATTGATCAACTAACTCTTGCTGGCCTTCATTGGCAATACTCGGACCAGATTGATCAACTAACTCTTGCTGGTCTTCATTGGAAGTACTCGAACCGGATTGATCGATTAAATCTTGCTGGCCTTCATTGGAAGTACTCGAACCGGATTGATCGATTAGGCGTTTTCGGCGCTTTTGGCCTTTTCTAGAGTTTCTTGGCTTGGCTTTACCAATTGGACGTTTTGGGGCTTGTCTGGAAGTAATTGGACCAGATTGATCGATTAAATCTTGCTGGCCTTCATTGGCAATACTCGAACCGGATTGATCGATTAAATCTTGCTGTCCTTCATTGGAAGTACTCGAACCGGATTGATCGATTAAATCTTGCTGTCCTTCATTGGAAGTACTCGGACCAGATTGATCAACTAACTCTTGCTGGCTTTCATTGGCAATACTCGAACCAGATTGATCGATTAACTCTTGCTGTCCTTCATTGGAAGTACTCGGACCAGATTGATCAACTAACTCTTGCTGGCTTTCATTGGCAATACTCGAACCAGATTGATCGATTAACTCTTGCTGTCCTTCATTGGAAGTACTCGGACCAGATTGATCAACTAACTCTTGCTGGCCTTCATTGGCAATACTCGAACCGGATTGATCGATTAAATCTTGCTGTCCTTCATTGGAAGTACTCGGACCAGATTGATCAACTAACTCTTGCTGGCCTTCATTGGCAATACTCGAACCAGATTGATCGATTAAATCTTGCTGGCCTTCATTGGAAGTACTCGAACCGGATTGATCGATTAGGCGTTTTCGGCGCTTTTGGCCTTTTCTAGAGTTTCTTGGCTTGGCTTTACCAATTGGACGTTTTGGGGCTTGTCTGGAAGTAATTGGACCAGATTGATCGATTAAATCTTGCTGTCCTTCATTGGAAGTACTCGGACCAGATTGATCAACTAACTCTTGCTGGCCTTCATTGGCAATACTCGAATCGGGTTGATCGATTAACTCTTGCTGGTCTTCATTGGAAGTACTCGAACCGGATTGATCGATTAAATCTTGCTGTCCTTCATTGGAAGTACTCGAACCAGATTGATCGATTAAATCTTGCTGTCCTTCATTGGCAATACTCGAACCGGATTGATCGATTAAATCTTGCTGTCCTTCATTGGAAGTACTCGGACCAGATTGATCAACTAACTCTTGCTGGTCTTCATTGGAAGTACTCGAACCGGATTGATCGATTAAATCTTGCTGTCCTTCATTGGAAGTACTCGGACCAGATTGATCAACTAACTCTTGCTGGCCTTCATTGGAAGTACTCGGACCAGATTGATCAACTAACTCTTGCTGGCCTTCATTGGAAGTACTCGAACCGGATTGATCGATTAGGCGTTTTCGGCGCTTTTGGCCTTTTCTAGAGTTTCTTGGCTTGGCTTTACCAATTGGACGTTTTGGGGCTTGTCTGGAAGTAATTGGACCAGATTGATCGATTAAATCTTGCTGGCTTTCATTGGCAATACTCGAACCAGATTGATCAACTAAATCTTGCTGGTCTTCATTGGCAATACTCGAATTTATTGGGCCTTGCCGGTCTTTGGGAATGCCTGGATCGGGTTGATCAACTGATTCTTCCGATTCTTCGTCGGAAATGGTTAAATCAATTATTTGTTGTTGGTGTTGGCGTCGGCGTCGGTTGGGAAGGCTCAAATCCATTGGGTATTTCCAGTCCTGGTCGGAAATGGCTGGATCGGGTTCATTAGTTGGGCCAGACACTTGACTGGAAGTGCCTGTTGCTTGTGGTGAGCCATTGTTACCAGTCGGTATCAATATTGCATTAGTGGTTGCTGCCGCAGTCAGTACGAATAAAATATCAACCAATTTCATCAGATTGGTCAATGGGTTTAAACGATTGATGGGAAAATAGAGTGCCGAGACTGATGTTGATTATGAAACTGAACATAATCGGTTGTATTTATATGTTTTGTATAGCAAACCAACCCTTATAGGTTAACCAGCAATACAGGGTTACTTGATCGCTTGTAATGAGCAACCATCAAACTAGACAGTGTGGTGCTCCCTAATCACAATATCATATTGATCGATTTGATGATCGTGTCGATTGAATTATGCTTTTACGACCCTTTGATCAAGTATATTGAAAAGCACACCCTTCAGGAGTGTCGTGTAACCGCAAACGCTTTGTTTTACAACTGTATTTATGTCAAATGGATCACTCCAGTATTCATCTTGAAATGACTGTATTCTGAATTGCAATATACAATGGTTACTACACATTGACTGCATTGCGTGTTTGGTATACAACAACCATCATATGACACACAATCAGACTATAATGTTGAATCTACATTTTGTGCACTTTTAGTAATCATACATTGCACGATCACCAAGTTTGAACCCACATTCATGTATTGTGTTTGACTGTCAATGTTGTCAATACAACTCTGTACACACATTTATTGTGTTCATCACCATCCAATTCAATCTCAC